AAGTTATACTCGTAATGCTTCGTAATTAATAGGTAATGGTATTTTATAGATATATCTTAAGGGTATAGACTTATTCTATTTTATATAATTAATCGAATTAGTTAGAATCCTTTTAATTCTACTGTTAGATTATTAATCTAGTTATCTATAGTATTCCTCTATCTATCTATAATTCTCTCTAGTCGTTATAAGGTTCTATAATAGTACGTAACTTTTCGAAACTCTTTAGTTTTCCTTTATTTTTTTATTATGATTAAAACTTTCTAATCTCTTTACTCTACTAGGGTTATCGTATACTAAAACCTTCTTAGCCTCGATAAAGTAGATCTTTATAAGTAATTAATATTAATTTTGTATAACTACGGAACTAATAGTTGATAGAGCTATATCTAAAGTAAGTAGTATTCCTTCGACACTAGTCTCACTATTCTTTTGTATCTTTACTAGATATCGCGATAGTATACGTTATAGTAAAATATACTAGCTTTCGTATATTATCTTAACGAGATATTTTAGAGAGAGTAAGGATACGACCTATCCTACATTATCCTACTCTTTTATAGATATATACTTTAGTAGTCTTAATCTATTATTATCGATTAGTATACTTAATATATTTAAATAAGGCTAAGTTATTCTATTTAGGGTATTCTATTATTCCTATTTAGATAATATTATTAAGGCTAGTGCGAAAATACTTCTTAATCTTTAATGTAGCCTTTTCCGATTAAATACGAGCTATAAGGTAAATTAAGTCTTAAGTATATTCTATAATAGGGCGATCGCTCTAGATATATATATATTACTAGTTACGTAGTTAAGATTACTTATTATTATCCTTAAAGGTCTCGTATAACTAAGTAAGGTAGTTAGTAATAGTAAGTATAGAATCGTAAGTTAATATATATATTCGATATATACGTCCTATAAGATAGATAAACGCTATTTCTATCTTCTTACGTTTACTTATCTAGTATCCTCGTCGATCGTAGAAGTTAATTTAGTTCGTAATGTCTCGTATATAGTCGTTGAATTAACTATTACTATAGTCGCTATTATATACGCGTAGTTCGCGTATCTTTAGCCCTTATAAAATAGAAGTATTGTTTATAACGCTATAACGTTATTCGCTAATATACGTATATATTTATAATATTTCGTTAAGTTATTTAATAGTAATACTATTAGACTAAATAAAGAGCGAAATACTATATAATACACTAAAAGGATTAGTATTAACGGGTATAAGGTTCTTATCTTAGCTACTAGGGTCGTTACTACTACTATTATTGGTATAGTCGACCTCTAGAGAAGAAGGAAGATTTATTCTATAATAGAAGAGTCTAGAAGAAAGAAGAGTTAAGGCGTATCCGTCCGTAATAACGGGGATCTAGTAAATCCTCCCTTTATTTCGTTCTCTTCTTTCTTCTCTAATATCCTTATTAGTTAAAAAGTCTTCTTTTCTACGAGACTTTAACTTTCTTACGCTATTACGTCTAATTATCGTATATTTTAGAGATTTTAGGGCCTTAAAGTCTACCTTGTCGATACTCTCCCTTTCTTTTTTGGAAACTAGATATATATAATTACGATATAATATAAATAGTTTCGTTACTACTTTACTAACCTCTCTAGTAAAAATCCCTTACGTTAAGGTGTTGAAATCGAGGTCGCTATCGTTATTAAAGTCGTCGTCGAGGGCCGTCGTCGATATAGAGGACAATAAAGGATCGAAGCAATTAGAATCGTTACGGGCGTATAAGACCTACTAACTGCCCTTACAAGAGAATACGGCCGCTCTTATAAGTAGGTTCGTTGCTACCACCTGTGGTTGTAGCGGCGGAAGAGATTGATTAACTAACTAATCTAAGAGGGAAAGACTGGCCGCTATATGTAGTCACTCGTAACTGAGCGCAAGGAGGGGGAATACTAGGCTGGGCAAGTATCCCGACGCTAATATCACACTTGGCAGAAATCTTTGCAACATATGTGCCGCTGCCCTTGATTGCTTAATCGAGCACCAACGAAGGCTGGAACAATTCTATTCCTGTTACTGAAACAACCCCAAGAGGCAAATCATGGGAGAATCCGCATTGGCCCACGATCGAAACAAAGTCTGTTGTTCTTTGGTCCAAGAATCAGCTGAAGATGGTCAGCATAAGCGAGGGCTTGCCTAATGCGGCCGAACTGCGCTACAAAGCACGCTACGGCAGAGGCATGTTTGAGATCCCGCTTTCTGCCCGGCGAAACTCCCAGAACCACGATGGCGGTAGAGGCGACCTTAAACTTTGGATACTGGTGCTTTCTTGACTGGACTACCCTACAATCGCCCCGAAATCTGGAGGGTTGTTATAATTTGGTAGCTGAACAATGGTATTACGTTTAAGGCGGATCTTGAGGCGATGACGAGGTCATCGACAACGCCGCCGTACAGACGATGCCTGTCTCCATCCAAGCCATTTTCCGTCCAAGTTGGTTCTTTGATCGGTGTTTCTCGATCTTTAGTTCCTTTGTTCGGGATCATGGTCATTGCTGGGCGGGAATCTGGCGATGGCATGGACCAGGAAGCAATCTCCGGGAGATGACATGTTCGCATTCTACTTTGAAGATATGGCCATGCCATAATTGACAGGTGGATTCCCGCCTAGACCGACGGAGTGACAGCTCAAAAGGGGGTGGGTATCCGTGGCATGCTGCTTTCTCTTCTGCTCTTCTTGCTCTTACCCTTGTTCCATCATACTCGTCTGGTGCTTTAGCATCGTTGATCAGACAAATACGCTACCAGCGGACATCTGTCTCCAAGAGCATCTACAACGCTGCTGTCAGCTGCCGAGGTTAAACTCGTTTATCCACAATCCCGTATCTTTTCTCGCCAGTCACCGTCGTGGGGTGACATTCGTCTGCGCCATCCATATCATTTTCTTGGGTTCTGTGGGGGACTTTCTTGTTAGCCGCATAGCCGAATTGGTTACGTCCTGCAGCCATGATTTCGCGGTGGAAGTGAGCTCCAGAATTTACAAGCTTGCGCAGTATGTAGTTGTCATCCTAACGCCATGACCGCCCTATCGCTAAGATTGATGTTCAGCTGCCGCCGAGAACGCCAAGCACACATATTTCCCCGCATTCAGAGCGATCAGATCTTGCGCTACGAGTAGTTTCTGCGCCACTTCCTGTTCCGCTAACCTTAACCCGCTTCTCCACCCACATCAAAAGCTCTCCTCTCACGCCTCTAATCATGATCCGTCCATGGTGCAATCTGGTACCTGTTCGGATGACAAGGACGAGTGTTTTTAGTGAGTCTAGCGTAGATACAGCCGACCAATTACTGTTGCCGATGAGATCTCGCCAATCCTGCAGAGTTTTGATATACGCCCAGGCAAAGGCAGAATTTAGGTCCCTTCTGAATGACAAAGGTTGACCTAGGGCGTTCGATTTCCGTGTTTTACGAGTTTGCCTGGGAAGTTGTCTCCTCCCTCCCATACCAGAGAAACTTCCTATCAGCTGGATATACGTACCGGCCAACTCTAATTGCCCGGGTATGCACGTTCTTTTTGCCTTCTCGGGTCAGGTATGAGCATAAAAGCTCGCGAATATGGGGCTCAGAAACATGGAGAAAGCGGATATGTTTTTGTGATAATTCAAGTGAACCAAAGGGGAGCTTTACGTCAAAAAGCGGCGGCTCATGCTGCATCCCAAAAAGAATGAGCACGACCAAGACACTGGAATTATATTGGTTAGCTTTCATTTACTCCCAGCAGCAGGCCAGATCCAGCGCGTCGTGTCGAACGGATTATGTGGGCCACTACGCGCACAGCTTCCTCCATCCGGCGAAGAAACTCGTCAAACGGCCTGAACCACGCGAAAAGATTCCGAGACTCCAAGATGCTCTTCCTGTTCTGGACCTTTGCCTGCGTGCTGGCCAAGCTCGACTTTCAGCCTCACCTCGACATGCTTCTACTCTGTTCATCTCGAATGCCCGGCCACGTCTTACACATAAGTGTGGTCAAGCCTCAAACCAAGGAGAGCCCATGGCAGATTCACAGAGCGCCTCCTTCCACTAACCATGTTGGCGAATTTTCACTACTGAGTAGTCCTCCGGGAACGGCCTCCTTCATCTCGGTACTCGAACCGTATCTCAATCACGTTCTTCATCCTTCTTAAGGGTGAAATCGCCCTCCGATCGAAACAGAAAGCGCACGTCGCAGGCTGCAAGATCACATGATTTGCGTCCTTGAAAAGAGCGGACTACGGAGAACGAGTAAGCGTCCGCTAGGCGTAGGATAGATACTGCCGACTACGTTCACACGACGATAGATACTGCATAACGACACAGAGAATTAAGAATGGCAGTGGAAAGATACTGAATATGCTAGTCATCCTCTAGACGAAACAGTAGTGAAGAAAGCATTGCTTTGGCCGGTATCCGCGAAGCTATGACACTCCGCGTCCTTGATTCGACAAACTTTCGCAGGGTAGTCTGCGGTGTTGGAAGTGAGTAACCGTCAAGTGATCTTCTATATATTTGGTGTCAAATATGGAAGAAGGGGTGAGTGAAGCGGCAAGACCGAAGAATACAGTCGAGTAATGCGGATATGAACAAGAGCTTCAGCGCTCGAAAGAAAGCCCAAGTATGCCATTGTTTCCCATCAATGGATGAAAGACGACGTTAGTCCGTATTCTCGTCACCGAAGCTTTGGGAATCTATTATCATTGGCTACACGGAGGTCTTCGACAGACTGGTGCGTGTTTGCTCGGTAATAGTCCGCCGAGCCTCCGCCAGCTCTTCTTCTGTTGCGACTCGCCTGTCCGTCAACTCCAGTGCCCAGGCACGTTTGCCAACGGCCAGCAGCTTCACCATCGCGACACGCGTGCTATCACCGCACAAGCGCAGGCTGGGCCGACCCTGATCACAGTGCCCGTGAATCAGACAACAAAGTTTTGACCACAGACGCCGGGTCGGGCGTTTTCCCTAGTATGCATAGTCTAACAAACTTACAGATTCAGTCTCCTTCCTCGCTGTCTTCATCGAGATTGATCTCCAGCCCATTCGCACCTTCCGTTACCCACAGGCTTGCAACGTACGCCAGGACCGCAAGCGCCATGAGGCACCAAAACCCCAACCCAACAACGTCAATCCGAAGCCCTTGGCCGAAGATAGCCAGTGCGCCAATGGGAAACAGTGAGCGACCCAGATTTCCGATGACGGTTCCAGCCGTGTGAATCGTTCCTCGGACGGAAGGGTGCGGAGTGCAGTCATTGATCAGCATTGTTGTTGCTGGTGTAACACCCGTCCGGCCAGCAATGAACAGCAGGATTACGCCCACCGTCGCGAGCCAAACGAGCGCTGGAGTCCCGTCGGCCCTCTGAGATGGTGCGGATGCTACGAGCGAGGGAAATGGCGCCAGAAAGTAGACAACCGGGAAGACTAGAAGAGCACAGCGCCAGATCCGGATGGTGCCAAAGCGATCTTGCAGCATTGGGTATACGATCAGTTGGAGAACCACGCCAATGGCTCCCAGGAGCGCCATGGCGAAGCCGACATCACGAGGCAGCATACCCAGGCCTCCGCTAAATCTGAAGGGAGGTTGGCGACTCTCTGCGTCTCCGATAGGCGTACTCAAAAATATCGCCCACAGGCTTGAGAAGGTACCTAGATGCCCAGCAATGACAAAGTGAGAAAGCAATGTACAAACGACATTGAATGTCCAGATTCGGCGAAATGGTAGCTTGCGCTTGCGTTTAGGTGGCTTAGGAATGGTAGGAGAAATCGCGGCCGTAACAGTAAGTGATACGGCCGGGTCGTTGTCGTCTTCCCGGATTGTGGCGTAGTCATGGTGGTCGACTGGCTCTCCGAAGAAAACCTGCTTGGCTCTTCTGATCGTCCGGTGCCATGGCGTCTCGTGAGAGTGCTGGATACTTTCGAGCGTTTCGTTGAGGCCGAAGAAGACGCCAAAGGCGGCAACCATGTACACAGCTGCAACGCATAGGTTGGGGGCGAGGTAAGGATAGTGTTGACTTGAGGCATCTCTTGCGTTGGAGCTGAGAATACCTCCTATTAGTGGACCGAGAAGATTTCCGGCGTTGGCAAACAGTGGAAGCAGAAGAAGAGCCCTTGCTCGGTATCTACGTGAGGTTCAGGGTGATGAAAGCGTGAGGAGCTGGAGAGGTGAACAAACTTTTTCTCTGGGTTGAGCTCCGCAACAACACATCTCGTCAGTGCGACATTGCTGCTCATCGATCCTCCAAGCACCTGCCATACAGTCGCTGCGATGAAACTTCGTGACAGGCCGTAGCCGAGATAGGAGACGCCTGCTCTCATATCAGCCTGGACTCACTCATGCAATCATGATCCAAGATTTGCTCACAGCAGCTCGCGAGCCCAATGAATAAGACTACTTTCCTCCCTCCGTATTCCGAGTCAGCGAGGCGACCCCAAAACAAGCCCGAACACACCTGGCCGGCAGTTTTAGCACTGATAAGGAAGCCTGCTTGGGCCGAGATAGCGGCGTCGGATAGGGAAGGGTCAAAGAACTTGAGTTGATAGAACATGTACGACTGAGAGAGCGAGTTAATTGAACAGAACCTATTCATTTCCTCGACCCGTGTGTAGACACATACCTGAATGGAGGTCTGAGCGAGGGGGTCAGCCATTCGGGCGAGACACAATATGGCGAGCTGACCTTTATGAGGTAGGCTGAGATAGGACACCTTTTTGGGCTTCTGTAGTGTTTCCGGATCGCTTGGATGGCCAACAGCATGTGTGTCTGCCATGACTTGACTGCGCAACGCGAGATGTCACTCTGAATGGACGTCCACGGCTAATGACTGGTATCGCCATCCACCTGAGGAAAGCAGAAGTCGAAGAGATGGGCAAGCAGAAAGTCGACACGAGCAGTTCGGCCCAAGATGGCATTTCGAGCGGGGACGCGCGTTGCGAGCGTAAAGTGACAAACACATCAAAGGGGATTCGATGAGCCGCCACGACCTTATCGTCACCTTGCATGAACCCCGCAGGAAGCAAGTAAGGCCCAATCGAAGGAGCATCATCCACGTCTTCACACTATTTCACTCTCGACACACGACGCGAAGGATTGACCCGGTCTGGGACCGTAGATGTATAAGGCGTACAAACAACCAGAGGCGATGAATAACCCGATAGGTTATAAGGTGCTGAGTCTGCCCTTCTGAAGCTTTGATAGAAATCAATAGGTGGTAATCATTGACGCTGTAGAAAGGTCAATGGTGAATCTATTCCGTCTATTCCCTATCTCCGAAAGACACTTAGCGATATAACACGGTAAACTATGGTAGAGTTCGTTTCAGGGTCGTCAGAAAACTTACCACTACAGAGGGACACAGAGAATGCTCGAACTGCTACATCGGTGCTGACTAAAAACTTACACTTAGCGGAACTGTCTAAATAATAAGTGAGTTGATTTGAGAAGATGGCTACTGCTCTGGCGCAAAGAAAATGAGTTGTTAGAGACAACTATATAAAGATCACGTCTAGAAAGCAAAAGTTGGGATAATATCTGGGTCCGATCATTGTTGAAAACTCAGATCTGGAACTTAACGTGGCTGCTCCGATGATTGAAGCGAAAGAGACGGTCGCCATTGTTGGTGCCCTTGGAACCCAAGGAGCTTCCGTGATCAGGACGCTCAAGTCATCGCCAATGACTTCACAGTGGAAAATGCGTGCATTGACCTCCTCACCGCAATCAGACTCAGCACGAGCTCTTAGCGAACAGGCCAACATCTCTATTGTCTACTGCGACGTCAATGAACCGGAGACCATCCGCGAAGCATTCCAAGGATGTACGCACATATTCGCAAACACCGCGTTTCATGGAGGGACTTTGTTTGCCAAAGGCCAGCAGGCTGCCGAGGAGCTTGAGCATGGCCATAGTATGAACCTCTTGCGCGCGGCAGCCGAGAGAAAATCTTTAAAGCATCTCATCCGGAGTACTTTGACGGATAGCTACGCGAGTAGCCAAGGTAAATGGAAAGTACCACATTTCGTGAGCAAGCAAGGCGCCAATGCATACATTCTTCAAGTGGATACGCTGACTACGACGCAGAGGGGCAACTACAAGAGCCAGGCTGGGGAGCCTGAAGTCGACAAAAGCACACTGATGGCCATTGGTGTGTACGGAAGCAATTTCCGGAACCATTCATACAGGCTCGTCAAGAAAGTGAGAGCCCTAGCATATGAATTTCGGACGCCAGCCTCGTACTGACGTCGCATTTAAAGTATGCCAAAGACGAATATGTGGTACAGCTCCTATGCCTACCAGATGTGCCTTTTTCAATTGCTGGCGACGAGAACGAGAACGTTGGGATTCTGGTACGTGCCATCTTCGAACAACCGGAAAAGTCAATCGGCACGTGGATTGCTTGTGAGTCAGAGCACATCTCCTGCCGACAATGGGTTGCGTGCCTGGACGCGGCGGCCAAGTCGCAAGGAGTTCAAACATCGATCACATTCGAGGAGTGTACCACATGCAATCTCTCGAAGAGAGATGGAGCATCCTAGGTAACGAAATCGGGCAAATGATGGCATACATTAATGAGGTTAAAGAACGAGCTTTTGAAAATACCAGTGGTCTCCCGGAAAGCAGCGCAAATCAACTTGGGATTCAGGCGGAGCTAGTACCTGTGAGTGTGTTTTATGAAAAGCTGGATTGCGTGACGCTACTGCGAGAAGTGGATGATGGTCAGAGGCATTTAGCAACGGCAAATCGGTAATAGCTTGCAATGTATCTCAAATGCATCATATCATAATTGAGCTTCACGCCCAGCTTTGACTGTATTGTACAGACGTGATATGCGCGACATGTCCGGCACGCAGTGATCCGAGGCTGTCCAGCCTGGACCCTGTCTGATGTTACCGGTACCATTTTCCGATTTTCCCGTGTTCGTACTACCTGCCAGCACGGAATCATGTTTGTCACGATCGAACAAAAAGTTCCTACGGGCATAAATGGGACGCAGGCTCTGTATACGATTCAGAATCATGTTTGCAGAGAGAACAAGCCCCTAAGCAGTGGCAGAATCTTACGCTGCCAAGTAACGAAGACGAAAGTACCTGCAGAATGGAATCTGATCCTCGGTCTACTCTCACACTTCCGACTGTCTACATCACCGGCCACAACGAGAAGGGCGAAGCAAGAGTGCAGAGCTCAACGAAAGAAGAGACAGAACCATACCCCAACTTACGTACGAGCGGAAGGATTGTATACACAACTTCAAAGTTCCCGCCTGAGTTGGCTGGCGATGAAGACATAATACTTCATCAAGCAGTCTTGGAAGGGGGAAAGCTTGGTCTTGTCAACCTAGGCGGAACTGTTTGTAGGATCGTCAACTTTGGACCAAAAAAACAATGTCATGATGCACAGAACACATAGTCTTGACTACGGATTAGTATTGGATGGCGAAATGCTGATGGGACTGGACAATGGCTGCACCTCGATATAACTCCCGGAATCGAGAGCCTACCCACAATATCTCGCCTCGATATCGACATGTTCAACGCTCAGCCAGCAGATAAAACAATACTGACATTTTTCATACCTGTATATTGTCCCGCCGCGACGCATGGAAGTATAGGTCCAGCGAACAGCGCTACATTTGTTATACCTATTGACGACGATCCAGTGTATTTATTAGAGGAGAAAGGCCTCGAATCATATCAAGAGGCAGGCACGGCGAGAGTATTTCCGAGTCACATTGCAGTCCGACTTCGCCTTAGCCGCACCTCATTATAACAACCGTTGGTGCGCAGGCCCTTTCCACATGCAGCCTGTCATACAGCACAAGGACATCAAAGATGTTGCTTCCTCATGGATGCTAGAAGAAACTGGGAGGATAGCAAAGAAGAACCTTGGACGGCAGCGTTTGGCAATCGCAATATCAAACACCAGCCGTAAACCTGGTGAGTTGAAGATCTCAGAGGGAGAGACAGGGAGCATAATGAGGCAAACCGATGTGGAACATTCACAGGAAGCTGGCAGCTTTCTATGCACATACGTACAAGCCGTTGAAAATCATAGTCAACTTATTTCCTGTATGACACATCTACTGCTCTTTCGCTTCTCTTCTAACCTAGCTTTCTATTTTTTCTTCGCTCTCATACCAGCAGATCGTTTTCCAACAGTCACCACCCCCTTGCCATTTAGCGGGCTGTCCTCAACTTCGTCGAGCAGATGTCTCCCTCCCCCGTCATGTCCTCCCTCAGCCATCGCACCCAACAAAAACCATGGAATCGCGCCTTCACGACAAGAGATGCACAGCGCTCACCACAATGTCACTGAATATGTATGTTCATCCCAATCCAATGCCTACGCTGATCTTACAACTTCGCCTCCACCAACATTGACGACCAGGAACGAAGAAGAAATCATTACAAACCACTCATTCTTCTCACCACTCCAACCCTTTTACCTTTAGACTCATTCAGTTTCTTCACTTTCGTCTTCCCACTCGGCGGTCAGTTTCGCAAAGCCCGGTTCTTTGAGTGAAAATACGTCGTCCATTGGTAGGATCACGTCTATACCACTCAGCGCGTTGCGCAACTCCGCCGCTGCCTCTCGAACTCTTGTGAGCTGCTTTGGGTCCTTTGGCGTGTCAAGTGCGGTACCTTGCTTGTCACCGGTGCCTTTGCCCTTGAAGTAATTCTTCCAATAATTGCAGATAGCGTTGATGGCCCATTCGAGCATCATGTCGTATTGGCGTCGAACGGATGCATCGGTGGCGTATTTCTTCAGGAATTCGTCTTCTTCAATTTTTAGCTGGTTTGTGACTTTCAATAAGTCCTTCAACAACTCCTGACGAGTGGGTTGGCTCTTGCTGATCCAGTCGTGGATAGCTAGCCAAATGCGTTGGAACGGGACGAAGTGATTGTATCTCCGGTAGTTCATGTCCCCGTCCACCTTTGCCACCCTTTTTTTGATATCGCCGTAGTCGAAAGGCGGACTACGGATACAGCTGAGTTCCGTCACCTTACGACTCAGAAAATCTTTATCCGCCTGTTGATCAAGGGAGTCGTATGTGATGATCATTTTGATTGAGGCTTGTGCAGCAAAGTGTCCGATGCCGGATCGTCGACGCTTGCTATCCGATATTCGAAATACTGTATAAAGAAGAGAAAGAACGAGAGACAGTTCGAAGGCTGTCGGCTTTCTTATAGTCCGGCTCCTTGGGCTAGAGCGAAAAGTACCGGACTTGAAGCTCTTGTGAGAACCAATTAATATTCATGTGCGTAATAAGTCAGCCAGCCACGGTATGTATGTTGATGGCGCCTTAGCCAGCCATTCTCTTTTGTCTGGGCTGAAGCTTTACGCTCTTTTCAGCCCATAGGCTTCTAAATTTCGTGTACTGGTCAGCAAAGCAAGCGGAGTAGCATGCATATCGCAGCCATCCAAGGAATCCCCTGCATTTCGATGGATTTTGGGGCGTGTATAGGTCGGACATATGGCTGAGCTGAAGGAAGACATGCAACGTTGCCGAAACGAGTCTCGAAGTCAGTTGCAGAACTGAGTGCTCTGAAGGGGTGAAGTAGTTTGTTGCTTATGGCCTCTATCTTCGGATGACTTGAAAGCCCGGCCATCAATGCATAGTTGCATCCATTCTATCTAGGCAGTCAGGAAGAGTTGCTCTCAACCGAGCGAGCCGGGGTTCAGCATCATTAGAAATCAGCTGACCTCAGCAGCAGAGCAGGGCGAATACGATTTTGGTCATGACAAGTTTCAGCTGAGTCTTTAGCTGTGCATCGTAGCTGTATCTCCTAGAAACACGAAGTAGGCGCGAGGAACGACCATAAGCTTAAAGTGTAAGATGAGTCAACGGAACACCTTCCCTTTCCCCTCCTGGCTTTCGCGAGGAGACTTGACTGAAGGTAACAATGTGGGAAGATTATCATGAGTGATTATTCCCCTCCATCCAACAGCTTTGCAGAAAGAGCTCGAAAGTTGAGACTTTCATGGCACATCGTCTCTGTAATGGCCAAAACCGGGTACCTAAATCCTCTCATCCACGCTAACCCAATCCTTGCCGTCATAATGGCTCTTCCAGAGATCACCATTCATTCCGCACGCGAAAACGTCGACTTGACTTCCATAGGCAACGGCACATGGGCTGTTGTAAATTACTTGTGAGATCACAAATTTGGCTCTGTCGTTGACAGCTCCGAGTTGTTTGGGGTCGAAACTCGTGTCCGTCATATGGCATACCACCTTACCCTTCCCGTTCGGATCGGTGTTGGCAGGCACGTCACGGCCTCTGACTGCTAAAACAAAACAGTTCGTGTCCGTCACGACTGCCACGGGCGCTGAAAGCATGTCCCTGCTTTCTAGCCAGACACGGGTGCCTTGAGCATAATCGTGACCCCACACGTGTTGAGCACACCAAGTTCCGACTTCTCCTGCGCCTGTCCAGACGAGCAGCCCGACATCATTCTTCCCAGGAGCAGTGACTGATGACATTGACAAGCTCAACACATTGCTTTCCTCTAGCCGGGCAGGCGGTGCAGGATCTTGGCCGTCCTGAAGCGTGATCCTGAACATGTTGGAATCGGCGACCTGACTAACACAGTACAACCGAGTTGAGCCGGAATCGTCGTTCAAGTTTATCAAATAAGGTTCACCATACCATGTCCTGCCCAAGGACAACTCTTTAGTCGTCCAGGTATCTCCAACCAGGTTTAACCAATGGATGGTTGCATCGAGAGTACGAATGGCAATATCGATCCGGCCGAGCTTGGTAGAGATGACTGAGGGAGCAGAAGCGTAGGTAGTGTCGTTGACCATTTTCCATGGTTGCCACTGGCCATTTGCGTACATCTTGTGCCATAGCTTGCGATCCACTCCAAGGGCGAATATATCACGCAAGTCTACAGAGCTATTGCCCCTGTAGATTGCCGCAATGTCGTGGTTGCCAGTGAGGGAAACTGTGTTGCTAGGTGTGAAGAGCTCCCAGCTTCCTGGAGATGACCTTGTTACTACCCCTTGTGGTGGTTCATTGATCCATTTCCGATAGAGGAGGCCATCTCCCGCCACAGCAAATATCTCGGTCAATCCGGAAGGTGTGCGATATGCCTTCGGATTTCCAGCCATGATCATTGGCTTCGAGCCCTGATTGCCTCCATGAGGAGCGTCTTTGCTAACTGGAAGTTGTACTGCAATTATTTGAGGGTCCGTTATGTTCTGGAACGGGGGTGGAGGAGGCGGATTGGAATTCACTGATGCTCCAGGCACACTATCCTTCGCCTTGGGGGGGTTGACAACAACTGCAGAATCGGAGGAATGCGACGATGACGGGCCTGATGTGACTTGTGGGTGCTTTTCGTCGTCCGCCTGAGCTAGCACAGCATCAATTGCGCGTTGAGGGTTCTGGGTCACGAAGTCAATCTCTCGCGTGATCATTGCCATCTCCTTTTTGATGAGTTTCTTCATACCAAGAAGAGCTCCAATTTCGACAGGAACAGCGTTTGGAGAAGCGGAGACCTGGTAGTCAGTCAGGTTGCTGGCGATGTCGCTGACTTGTTTCAAAAGGCTCTTGTACTCCAAAAATTGGTCGAGAAGATCATTCGTATAAACTGCAGCCATATCGTAATCAAGAGAACTTGCAGTCCACCAAGACGGAGTGTATTTGTGGAAATCTTTCAGGTGGTCCCATTTAGTGATGATGGCATAACCTGCATTGTTGTCAGTATTAAGAAAGTACCGGGATAATTGGTATTTGAAAGAATGGCCCGGAACAGGTGGTAGAGTAAACTCACAGTATTCAGGATGCGCAGAGACTCTAGCTGGGAACTCTGTAGCGGCTTGGAAGAGGCTCGTCATGTTCCACTCTTGCTGAGGGTCCTTGATCTGACCACCACCTCTCCAATTGACGGCATAATTGACCTCGCTTAGTGCATCGCTGCTTGTTTTGTCAAAGCCACCCTGGCCTTCACCCTGAAAAGCAGTCATCTGGACGCTGAGGCTGGCTTTGATATGCTCAACACTATCTGTGTCCTTAGTCACCATGCTGACGATGGCATTGAATTCGCCACCCTTGACCCATCCAGAGATGAAGCCATCTCCATAAGATTTGATAAATTGCTCCTTATCTTCGATGACAGAGTCGACCTTGTTGAAGGTCAGGGTACTGGTATCAGGTTGTACAAGATCATTCATGACTTTGACTGTCAAGATGTAGGTCAAGCTGCTTTGCTTGACCTTGTCTTCTTGTACAAATGCACCGCTTCCACTGGCCGTGACGGACCCGAACTTCACAGAAGCCGCAGCAGAGATGTTGAGATTCTCAAGTGCATCAGAGACTTTGTTCGTCAAGGTGGTTTTGTAATCAACAACCTGAGGGACAGCATCAATTGGTGCGACGGGATACAGCTTGATGCTGGGATCCGTCGACCCGGCCAACGCTTTCACCGCGCGTGGCTCGACAACGGTGTTGCTGGTTGGGGGCACGATGGTTGGCACCGCCGTAGAAGCACTGGCAGAAGTATCAGACGGCTGTGTGATGGTACCCAAGGGCGGCGGAGCAGTAAATTTCAACTCCTTGCTGTCTGTGAATGTCACGACGTTTTCCATACACACTTGCTGCAGGTAGGTGTTGTAACCCTGGGGTTGTCAGTTCTTGAGGGTGACACGAAGCCATTAGTATCGACTTACCTGACCAAGTCTCATAGACTGGTCAAAGGGCACAAGTATCAAAGGCATCTTGAAGTGGGTTGGGTTTCAGAAAGTCGGAACAAGCAACAACAATTAGAATAGAGCAATGCGCTGATACAAAACGAAAGAAACCCGAGCTTATAAGCTGGTCAGCATCTGTCTTACCGTTCTCAAAATGCTTTGCAAAGTGCGGTCTGTGCTGAAGCTGAATAGCCGTTTGAGCATGGGTGTCGCACAACAGGCTTCGACTTTCAGCTGTGCGCTTCAGCTGTGGTGTGTCTCCGGCACTCAGTCAGCCTTCGCAAGGCTGAAAAGCGAGCCGGCTCTGTTCCATCCAAAAAGAGCAACTCATCTCTTGCGTGGAATACATGCATTGCATGGTGTACAAACGACCCTGCTGGAAATGGAAGTGTGCAAAGTTGAATGGAGGATTGAATAAAGTTGAGGTTCACGTGACGACACTTTAGCAAGGTTCATCAAGCGTGGTAAATGGTGGCTGGCTGCGGAAGAGCAAGCTGAATAGCTTCCCAGCTTCTTCCCCTGTGCCATTACTCATCAAACCCCAGGCGACTCCTATTCGACAGGAGCACTAAGAGCTGTAGAACGGCTGCCTATTCGAGATCGTTAAATGCATATGTTTCACATTATGGCAAGCCACACTGCTGCCGCTCAATGAGTTTGGCCTCCCTGTGGGTGACGGCATGTTGTCAGCTTGTTGGGTTCGAAAAGCTCAAGCTGAAGAAGATCTTGTGTGACACGGTATTTAGAAAGTGCAAAAATACGGCCCTTCGTGCCTCCTGTCAGTGACCGAACCAATTGAGGAACAGAAGTTGGGCCTCCTTCAAGGTATATCGCCTGCCTTGACTCCGTGCAGCTTCGAACGATTGCATCTAAAATTGTTAACGTGGTTAATCCAAGCTAAGTTAGAGTGCAGATGCCAGAGTCACAAACTACCAATCTCTTATAGCAGGACTTGTAACCTTTCAACACCCCGTTCACGAGAGACAGTTGGAGTGACCGTGGTGCCTCTACGCAAGACACCTCCTCCGCGGATATAGACTTCTATTTGTCAAATTTACCAGCTCTGGAGCAGACATGGAGCAGGATAATGACTGGGATGTTCGGCTCCTCTCAATCGACAAACAAGCTGCAGCAAAGGCGCCTTTCGATGTCCCGGCTCCCGATCTGAGCACCTTCCAACGTCCGAGTAAGCCATTCGGACCAAAAAACTTAGAGGCACAAGTGTTTGACATTGGCCTCTTCTCGGGCTTCGATTCCGCCCGAGCAAATTCGCCAGATCTTGGGCCGTTCCAGACAGATACGCCGTTTGAGGCTTCCGATAGCTACGACCTAACTGTCACCCTATTAGGCCGAAATAGCTTTTCAGACGTTACCAGCACTTCCTCCTCGTCATCTTACCAGCACCTGTCCGCTTCTGTGGGCGTCGGAGTCGACTGTGTCGTCTTTGGAGGGTCCGTTTCCGTTGCTTACGACAAATACATCACAACAAATACTGATGTTAGTTTACTAGTTGAATCAAGGCCCCTTCTGATAAGTGGCTGACGGACATAGGGCCTTAAGCATAGCCAACACGCCGTATGTTACGACACTGCTCTTCGATATCAGACTGCACCGACTTTGTCACAAGCTGCGAAACAGACGCTTCGCGAACAAGGAGAGGCCGCTTTTCAAGCAAGGTTTGGCGACTACTTTATCGGCGGGTTCGTGACCGGCGCAGAGTCGGGTCTGCTGATGTCGTATGCCCACAGCGATCAAGAAGAGCTGGAAATCACCCGCTTCACCATCACCGTTAAATTTCTCTTCTGGAGCACAAGCCACGACGAAATAACTGTTCACACTGATATAATCGAGAGTTCATCGTTGACGTTCACGTCATTCAACACGCTTGACCCGGCTTCCTCGAGGATCAACGCTGGCCCAGGCCCGGGCGGTATTGGGATTGCTTCGCAGAGCCTGCCCCCGGACGAAACACGAACAAGGGTACAAGACATAACGCTGGGTACTCAAGACCTATCGGCGCAGATATCTGAAAGAAGGCCTCTTCTTTTCAGGACACAGATGGGCATGCAGAATTGGAAGGACGGTGGCACATTTAGCGTTGCCCATTCCGCATCGCGGTTGATGAGTATGTACGCGTCAGGTATTCTTTTGCAGATCCAGCTCGTCCCATACGCTATATTGCGGGAGTATCAGGAAGTACTTGGGTCCAAAGCATGAGCAACCGGACTACGAGCATTGGCCGCTGAGGGGCGCATCGTTGATAGGGAAGCCTGGCAAGTTTTCGAAGGCCTCTTGGTGCTATGCCGAGCCCTGACAGCACGCATGAGAATAGTTTCAGTGTGTAAATTTGCATCACTTGTTTGGCTCTGCTTATAGGGATATGGCGATCTGATTGGTCGGCTTGAAAGTGCATTCCAGCGAAAGCCTTTGCATAATGCAGGAATGAAGTGCTCCATGCTCGATGGCGTAAAATTCACGGTGCCGCGTTCATTCGTAACTGGTATGCTCCTGTCTCCAGACAATATTATATGTGCCGCAATCTCTTGCGGCCACGATTCGGTTCGGTCAGCACTGCATGTATATTGAACTTCGCTTGTCACTTTCTAGGCTCCAAGGGAATGTCAGCAAGATCTACGTGCTGTCCTCACCATCCCTTGCTCAGACGTAAAGTGAGAACCAACACCAATCGTCGATGTGTCTTTTGTTTTGAGGATTGCGAAAGAGATGTCAGCGTCCTGTCTGCTTGGGTGGCTGGTGTTGGATTCGTTTGTTCGGTTGTTGTTCGTGGGTGCCAAGACCACCTGGCACTAGGACCAATTGGTCCATAACGCCCATACTCACCTAACACTCTAGGTGACACTCCTCGAGCTCATGGGCGCTGGAATCTGGTCTTGGTACCTACAAAGATGTCGACACAACCACTTGTATCGCCATAAGCCAAAATAAATACCATCGTTGCTCACGCCTACATTCGAGTTACAAGATTGGAGAGAGCAAAAAGGGCGCCACCATTGGTATTGGCGAGAGTGGCGCAGCTGAAGGATAGGTCTCGGCCCAGAAGCTGCACGGAATCACTCCGTATTATTTCTGGGATCCAGGCAGGCCCATGTCGATGTTTTCAAGAAATCTAACATGACCTCACGAACCGGGATTGACCCAACTTCTAACTCCGGATCTGTTGGGCACTCAACCGACCGGCATGCCGTTCGACAGTTCTCAAGCGTAGGCCTGCATACCCTCGGCAATGTTGAGATGGGCCATGAGCAGTTGGAGGCAATTAGAGACAGCTCTTCCCCGCAGGAGCCTGTCCGGGGTGCTCTGGCGAACGAGGGTTGAAGCATGCGCATTGTCTTCAGGATAAACACACTGGTCGTTTTGGCCAGTCGAATATGCAAAGTATCATACTATGCTGTTTCCAGGGGTCTCTCCAGGCACGGTCATTGCCGATCTGGTAGGATACGGTTAGAAGAGGCTTGAATCTGCAGCTAGCGAATCTTGTCTGCGTAAGTTTTTGTGGACACAACGTCGATGCCTCGGGGTCGATTTCCCTCCTTACATCCAACATCAAACTGGTCTCTGCCCCGAACTGCTCTTCCCTAACCTTCGAAGCATTATTGCTGTTCTACAATCCCCTTTCTCTAAGTCGCCATGTGCGGAGAATCTGGGGATCGCTTTCTTTCCCCTCGAAGGACGCCCCACACTGTGCTTTGAGTACGCTCCCGAATGAGGAGAATGGTGTGGAAAGTGCAAAGGTCGCTAGCCTGGTGTCCCACCTGCGCCTGCCGACTTTTATTCCACGATGTTGCGTGTCGATTCATTTTCTTCTTGCAAGTCTTTCGGTCGTCCTCGGCCTCTTCACATTAACTGAATCTTTCTCATATATCTGGAACAAGCGCATACGTTGTAACGCAATCGATAGTCTAAATATGACGTCGACGTCTACTCCTACATCTCCCGCTGGGGAAGGTCACCTCGAGCATCGGTTCTCACGACTCACCATGATCGGATTGACATTTGGCATCCTAAAGTACGGGCCCTTCAATTTCAGCAGCTTTTTCGGCTCCTCTGACCAACGCACAGCACTTGGATATGTCTTGCCGGTTCACTAGGCATCGTGATGCCATCTGGCAGCTCGGTTGCATTTTTCTATGGCTTCATCTTCTGCGTCGTCTGCAACTTTTGCCTCTCTGCAAGCGTGGGAGAGTTGAGTTCGATCTGGCCCACTGCTGGCGGCCAATACCATTATGCATTTGCACTGTCGAGCGAGCATTGGAAGATGGCTATGGTGAGTCCCCAAGGTGACGAGCCAACGCCTACCCTCCCGGGTCTGACAATTTGTGAAGAGCTTCTGGGTTGGATGGATCAATATCGCAGGGTGGCTGACACTGATTACCACTGAAGCCTTCTTCGCATGTAAGCACACAGTCTGGGGTGTTATCACAATCCAATAGCCGTGCTAACCTCCTCAGCACAATTCATTTCAGCCGCTGCCGTTGTCGGATCGAATGGAGCATATGTCATCACCCCATGGAAGACGTACTGTATCTTCCTGGCCGTGTCTGCTTTTGCAGTCGCCCTCAATATCTTCGGTTACCGCATACTGAATCGATGGAATGAATTCGCTCGTAAGCATTGATTGGCGCCTTGAAGAGGGTGAACTCAATTGACAAACTGCACAGTATTTTGGTCCATCACTGCTTGCATCGTAGTCAGTATCACAATTCTAGCGACAGGCAACAAAACATCGGGCAACTTTGTCTTCACCAATTTCACCAACACAACTGGCTGGAGTGATGGAATGGCCTGGATGCTGGGTCTGCTCCAGTCCGCACTGTCACTGATCGGCTTCGACGCGGTATGCACCCATAGACTGTTGCTCTCTTATCAGCATGGTCGTCTGACAAGAATGTTAGGTTGCGCATATGACGGAGGAGATGAAGATACCAAGGCGAGACGCTCCCCAAGCGATGGTTGCAGCTGTGGGCATCGGCGGCACAACGGGTATCGTGTTTATCTTGGTCATGTTGTTCAGTATCGTCGATGTGGACACTATTTTGAAGACCAGCACCGGTGCACCGGTGATCGAGATGATCCTCCAGGCCACAGGGAGTCCAGCTGCTGCCGTGGTTCTCAGTTGTGCCCTCGCAGTCTGTTTTCTGAATGGCACCAATGGTTGTGTCACCTCCGGCAGCCGACTTCTCTGGGCCATGGCTCGAGATGACGGCGCTCCTTTCTCTAAATTGTTGGACCTTCACTTCCATCGTTGAAATATTTGATTTCGTACTGATGACGTTCTAGTCTCGCACACATCCACCCTGGTCTGAACGTGCCTGTCAGAGCAATTCTAGCGGCCGCAGTGTTCAACATCCTCTTCGGGCTTCTCTATCTTGGTATGTCGTCCCGGGAATAACGGCCCCTATCTCTACAACTAACCGCAACCGAAAACAGGACCTACAGTTGCATTCAACGCCTACTGTGCTAGTTGCACCATCTTCCTCAATCTCAGCTATGCGATCCCCGTCACCTTACTCCTGATCCAAGGGCGAGGGTTGGTGAAGGAACAGCGGCCTGTTTTCTACCTCGGGCATATCAAGGGCTATATTATGAACGTTATTGCCGTCTGCTTTGTCTACGTGACATCGATCGTAGGTACATGATCAAGATGATCTGAAAACCATATTAATGACCCCTTGCGCAGTTTTTCTGTTTCCCTGGAGCACTTCCGGTGGATGCATCAACCATGAGTACGCCTCGGGACTTCTTGCTCCAGTGCAAGGTTTAGACGCGACAGCTGAAGCTGACACTTGCTACAGATTACGTATCCGCAGTCGTGGGCATTTTTCTAATGTTTACTTCCGGACTGTGGTTAGCCAAGCGAAGACAGTACAATGGACCGGTAAGCTTGATTGACCACCGGATGCAGACTCTGTGCTGACACTCGTCAGCAATTCGAGATCATTCTTGGAAACGAAGCGCCAAATGGGCCACATCCCCCGGATGAGAGCAAGCCTGGAGCAGAACAAGCAGAAACACTATAAATGCGCCAAGCTGCGAAGATAGGTGGCGCCCACGGACGCGGCCCGACACACATTTTAGGGACTCGACCCTTTCGGAGAAACGGTTTTCGGTGGCGGGCGGTTTTCCGTGCCTTAGTCTCGCCCCACAGTTTATGCCACCACGTGCATTTCCGGCTCCTGTTCGTGTGTACTCCTTATGGCGAGGTGACTTTGGTAGCCTCTGGCAACGTCTCGGACGTCGTCGGCTTTGGAATGAGTCCGTCGCGAAAAGACTGCCGGGTTGCAGGAGGAAGCACGGTCGTGACTTTCTCACCGGTGATGCTATGGGAGCTTCTTGACCCGCAAGTTCTACAAGATGCGCAGAAGCCATCCACCGGCCCTGACTTTGCTTCTCAGGCCGTCAGCGTGGGAGACGCAAGCATCCGCATCACGACACACTTTGCGCACCCGTTAATGGAGGAGAAGAATCAGATGGACCGATCGTCCCCTCCTGATGATAACCTGGCCTCTGCCGACCCGTTTTCACCGCGCTTCCAAGAGTTCGAGCATATACCCGTCGACGACTTCTTTCCCTATCTTACACCGGGTGAATTGAATTGGTTTCGCCCGTCCTAGGTCTTCAAAGACCAGGCGGCTTCAGCATAAATCATGGAGCACGGCCGAAAGGTTTTTGACAGGCTATCTCACCTGTTCTATGAATGGATCATCACATCATAAGGAAAGGCTATATCTCCATCAATAGACGTGACACTGAAGTTCGCGACTGACTGGAACCCCAGGCTGAAGTAGACCGGCTCACCCATCGGCGTAGCAATCAACGTAACCACATCCAACTCCATCGTTGGGGCCATGTCAATGCCGGAGAGAACAAGCCGTTCGGCGTAGCCGTGGCCCTGAAAATCTGGATGTGTGGCAAGAACGGCGAGATAAAACTGGTTTGCACCGTACACATCGTTCAAGTACTTGTTGTGTGCTTTGCTGAGTTTCTGGTCAAAGTCCACGGCTCTCGTGCTGTTCTCGTCCTTGTGAGTGCATTTGGAAGCCAGAGCCAGAGTTTTGTTAGCTCATTTACGTCCCAAGTGCCAGCGTCGGACATAAGAGTTCCTGCCGATATTGGTCCAAGCGAAGAGAGCGGAGTGACATACTATGCCCTGGGTTCCAGTCTTGCTTGCTTGGTCCTCGTCGATCCACCCAGCCCGCTACGGAGACTAGGCTGCCGTTTCCGAGACCACGATTTCCTGGCAAGACGATGACTTGCAACGTGAAGAACGGGACAGACATTGCCTGGAGGATGCTTTCGTACGTGCACCGCCAATGCTCAACGGGATAGTTGTCCTTGAATTGGTATCGGTATTGGAAGCGCGGCGATGGATCAAACGCAGCGTTCAAAACGTTTACGATAGCTGCTGCATCGCTGATCGTAGCGTTTCGGAGTATAGGGCCGGAAGTAAGAATTTGTTGGGGAGTTGAAGCGGCAACAAGACACGCAAAAAGATCAATCGATAGCAAGCATAAGCAGGGCAATGGAAACAACATACTTGGGAAACAAGAACTTGTCGCACTCTTGTGGCTGATGATGTTCCGAGGTCGCGCTGCTCTCAACAGTTTCGGAACAACTTCTTGGATGAAAGGCAGACGTCACAGTAGAAGAAAACGACCAGGGTTTCGACCTGTCCATCCTCTGTCCTGGGTTCAGCAAGGTTGGCGCCGTACGTTGCACCAACTTCTACGTATCAAGGCGCCAGACGCTGTTGTCCGCACTATCTTGGCCCGAATTTTCTTGCCCCATGGCATTCGGGCTTGGTTTCGTACAGTCATGTTACTTCTGCATTGCTGTGCCCTGCCTTTCATTCCCAGCAAATGGAAACACGTAGTTTGATCGTCCAATTGGCAATGCTGGTGACCTGCTCCCCATCATGGCGAACGGGGTAGGCCCGCTTAGGAAAACATGGGGTTTGTCTCCTTGGCTTCTATCTTACTCGTACCGTGGGGGTCCCGACCTGCCACTTGCCCACATAGTCTCCAAACATGGGGAATGGCGGGGTGAGCATTAGCGATGAGATTGATCGTTCTGTCCTAGATTTGTGCAGAGTACTTTTACTCCCTGCCTGGCTCAGAATCTCGCCAGTTTCACCACTTAGCAACCAGCAACACAGATGGATACTTCCAATATTTCGTTGTCCAAAGATGTCCCCGTATATCCCGCGGACCACTCCGGGATTCCAGAGCGCCTCGTCGCCAAGGTAGTACGGGAGAAAGAAAGACTATCAAAGAACCAGACGAAGGGACGCACAAGCGAGAGGAAGAGAGGAGTGGCGATTCCCCAAGGTGTTGGGAAAGACCAGTTCTTCAGTGCTATTGAGGATCTATCTAAGCTTCTTGGAAATGCCAATGTCAAGGTGAATGATCAGCCTTTGGAAGACGGATGGTAAGCCTTGCATGTTGCTCACGCATTCGTGGCTAACAACATTTAGGTACATGGAGCGTCAGACATCTCAGGCCTTCACCGCTTGTCGTTCCTAACGTTTTTTGCAGATCCCAATACTCACGACGCTTTCATGATACTTGATGGTGAAGAGACCGTCTCTTCAGCAGCCGTATATCCAGGAAATGTCGACGAAGTTCAGGCTGTGGTCAGATGGGCCAACAAGCATTTGATCCCTATTTACCCGATCTCTATGGGCAGAAATTGTACGTCAGTTTTCCAAGCCGCGTCACCGAACTAACATCACCAGTGGGATACGGTGGCGCGGCCCCAAGAGTTCGTGGCTCTGTGGTGGTTGACCTTGGAAAGCGAATGAACAAGATCCTCGACATCAACCCAGATGATTGTACCTGTCTGGTTGAGCCAGGAGTTACCTTCTACGCACTCTACGAAGAAATTCGCAAGCGAGGCTACAAGGTCTGGATCGATTGCCCTGACCTTGGTGGAGGGTCCATTGTAGGTAACACCCTGGATAGGGGTGTTGGTTATACTCCATACGGTGATCATTGGGGTGTTCATGCCGGACTAGAAGTTGTTACTCCGACAGGAGAGCTCTTCAGGACAGGCATGGGTGCACTGCCAGGAAATAATACCTGGCAGAGTTTTCCTTATGGCTTTGGTCCCATGTCGGAGTAAGTATGACCAGCACACCTTGTGCTGCTCTAACATTCTCAAGTGGACTGTTCTCTCAATCCAACTTTGGCGTTGTGACGAAGATGGGCATGGCCCTTATGCCTGATCCTGGTGAGCATGAGAGTTTCGTAAGTTCATGAAGGTAGAAACTTGGAGTCATGCTCACTGCTATCCAGATGTACACCTTCCAGGAAGAAGATGACTTACAGCAGCTCGTAAATTGCACGCCTTTCTCAAAAATCATGCTGACATTGCTAGATCGAAATCATTCGCCCACTACGAGTTGCTAACATCCTTGAAAATGTGGCGCAAATCCGTCACAGCATCATCGAGGTTGCCGTTGGCGGTCAGTCTCGCAAAGAGTTCTATGATGGCGATGGAGCCATCCCAGACGAGGTCCTACAGAAGCATCTCGAATCCACGGCGCTCGGACGCTGCACCTGGATATACTACGGCACAAACTACGGGCCCAAGCACATTCGGCAGTACAAACTGGACATCATCCACCAAGAATTTATGAAGGTACCAGGCGCCAGACGAATTGATCCGGATTCGTTATCAAAGGACCATTACTTCTGGTCTCGGGATCGAATTGCTTCAGGGGAACCAGATTTTGAGGAACTATCCTATCTTAATTGGGTTCCAAATGGAGCACACCTTGGTTTCAGTCCGATATCGCCCACTCGAGGGCCTGACGCGTTGAAGTTGTGGAAGATCGCCAAAGAGCGCCATCACCAGCACAAGATTGACATGTTTTTGGCATTCGTCGTTGGACTGAGAGAAATGCACATGATTGTCCTTGTGATCTGGGATCGAGATGATCCTGAAAGAAGACAAGCTGTGGACACTTGTATGCGTCAAATGATCGATGACTGCGCTCAACAGGGCTACGGTGAATATCGTACTCACATTCTTTTTCAGGATCAGGTTGCTGCCACATATAACTGGAATGATGGTGCTTTGATGAAGTTCAACGAAAAGCTGAAAGACGCTTTGGATCCTAATGGCATAATGGCTCCTGGCAGATGTGGTATATGGCCAGCTCGCTACCGAGGTCGTGGATGGGAGATTGGTAAAGAGGGCAGGGATACTTCTGAAGGAAACGGTGTACATCCGCCTACTGCTAGTACTAAGCTTTGAGCTTCAGACTGGTAGTGGACGAGAAAACAATTCCACGGCGATTTATATTATTCCTGTATTTCAATTGATTACGATACACTCAATCTAGGAAGCTTAGCTCCCACCCATGGTCAAGGTCACAACTTAGATCGTACTCGAAAGCACTTGTGAGCGCTCCTCTACTCCAGCTAAAATCCGCATCGGGAAGCGCGACCATGTTCTCGAACTCGACAGGCAGCCTCTGGGGTTGTTCCTTAACATTGTACTGACTCATCTCCACGGTTGGCTGGCTAGGTACTACGGCACCTGCGTCTGTGAAATCTCCCCAACTTGCGCGTGCGGCACATAAATTGCGAGGCTTTATGGTGATCGCTCCGAAGCAAGGTACTGTAATCTTACAGGCCATTCCCTGGCCCGCCTGCGAGTTTGTTTCATTTTGAGCACCGAGGAGAACCTCGAGAATCCTCAACCCCTGTGAAGCGACACTCTCAGTAGATGTAGAAGCCACAGAACGAAAGATATCCGAGACCGTGGTGATGAGATCCCAATCACTAGACCTCTGTCGGCTGACGTGGTCTTGCCGAACCACATGGACAACAAGCAGAGTTGCCATCGTGAATGCGTGGAAGTCTGCAATGATACCAAGATACGGAGTCAAACCGATGCTTTCACGAAGAACCTTGTAAGAAGCCACCACCGATCTGGCAGAAGTGAGGGCCGTATCATAGCAAAGCTGATATCTTGGAGCCAGTGGTTGTTGCAGCACAAAAGGCAGGAAAAGCAATGCTCTCACAAAGTGGTGCGCCAATTGAATCATGAATCGGTCAGTGTTCATCTTGTTGGAATGAGTCGGATCAAATTCCAGCCGCCACCATCCATCAGGACCTTGCACAGCAAGCCTTTCTAGGTTTTCGTCGATCTTCAAGGTCTCTGGCAGATCGTTTGGGTTGGTTTGATTCCGATCAATAATCTGCCGCATGATCGTCGTAAGTCTGAGGAAGTACGACTTCTCGTAGGGCATCTCGGTGTCGAGCAGCATCCTGGTCTGCTTCAAAATCTGAAGATCCGGCACACAGTACGGAAACCCGAGAATGAGACTCAAGTAAGCGTCGTAATGGCACAAAGTAGTCCATAAGACATTCCACAAAGCATCTTCTCGTGCTACACCTTTGTGAAAGCCAAATACAATGGCATAGTCCGTCGAGCGGCGAAAGAGATGCCACGAGCTCAGTAAATGTCCAATCTTCAAAAGGTATTTGGCGAACAATGCCATACATTCGGTACCTGGTATTGTCCGTGCAAATTCCACATCATGTAGGACGAGACGTTCAATGTGGTCAAGCACGACACTCCTTTGGTATTTGATCTTTAGGGAGGCCTGGATTGCTGGAATATTGTCGATGGTAATGAGTAAGAATATCAGCATTTTGGCCACCTCCACTGGTTGATTAGACGACACTCGGTTCCAGAAGTGCTGCTTGTAATCGCTCCTCTGGTGTTCATTCCATATCTCAGGGAAATATGAAGACCAAGTGGACCAGAGGTCAGTGCCTGCAATAAGAATAGCATCGACTTCTTCTCGAGTGGGAAGGAGGTCTCTGAGGGAACAACTGGTCTCCTCGGCTTTTGACATCTTTTCAGGCATGTCGACCCCTATGGATGTTTCCGTAATCACATCGTTATGGAAGAGACTGAGAATCGGCCCCTGCCTGGGTAGAGCTGCAGCGTCTAGGCTCAATGATGAACTAGATGTACCAGCTGTCGCTTGGAGGTTCATCTCTTCGACGGAAGGACCACTTGCCGAGGAGAGCGATGTATTGAAAGGCGCTTTCTGGGCGTTTCTGGCAAGATCCTTTACCATGTCTTCAAGAAAAGATACTCTTTGGCGCAGGCTATACGCCTGTCCGGCGGTGGACTCGTCATCAGTGCCAGTGGAACCATCCCGTCCTTGGCTTCTGCAAACCAAACCCCGAGCATAGCATTCGTCGCACTTTTTGGTAAGGCTACCTCTGGATGTACATTTCGTCTTACGTCTTCTGCCTAAAAGGCGTCAAGCAAGGAAAGATGTCTGGCAGAAGCAACGACCTAGAAAATCGGAAGTGGCAGCACATACATTCAATGCAACTCTTCGTCCCTTTCCGAATCTTTCTCGAAGTCCCAGTGGCTTCCATCCCGGCGCAATATCTCTGCTATGATCGTCGGTAAGATGAAGAACATGATTCTTTGCACTGCCGGCGAAGGATATCCGGACATTCGGACCATTTCCCGGCCTTGTTTTCTACGAGGGGTGTGAATCTCCGCCTTTTCGTCCGGCTTATCCGGGCTTGCACGCTTGCACCACTTCATTCGACCCAGTTCCTTGTCCTCAGTGACGTCTCAATTCCCTCGAGGCTCAGAAAACCCAACCAGCGCTTCAGGCTGGATACCCGCAATTATCTCCGAAAGCTCAACCCATAGTCTCTGCTGGATTTTTTGGCCTTCGTCCGCAACAATCCATGGCTCGACATGTGGCCTGATAGTCTCATTAGCTTGGGGGCAGTCCAGGTCTTCTGTTTCTGACTTACAGTCTCAGTCTTCCCTCGCTAAGCATGATCCCATGACTATCCGATCCCCTCGTAGCAGATTCAACCAAAGTTCGACCACCTTGTTCCGGCGACCATGCGAATAACAAGCGCAACACTTCCAACTGCAGTCTTTCAAGGCCATGAGCTGTTCGGGATAAGTCTGTTGAGACCAAACCCGGACTCATTATGTTGACGATAACCGATGGATATCTTGCAGGTGATCTTTTCGCAATCTCTAGGACAGCGAAGAGCTGCAACAACTTCGTAACCTGGTACCTGATGATGATTCAGTAATCCGTCGGATTGCCGGCAAGGGAACAGACCTCTCAGACAAGTCCTTCGATGCATCCAACTTCTCAATCATATGAGAAGCCGTACGTTCGGGAAATTTTGCCCAGGTATAGATCTTCGAACCCGTGACAGTAAGCATTGGCTTGCTCTTGAATCTGTCTGCACTTTGTTGAAGCGCTGGAATTAGCAGGACTGCAAGCAATGCAGTGCTGATCACGTTCACAACCACGTTGCTTTCGTGTCCTTCGAACAACTCATATCTCGTGTTGGCGAGCCCGGCGTTGAGCATAATGTTGTCAACCCTGTCCAATTTTGCGACTTTCGAACAAAATGAGAGAACCGATGCGTAACTGCCGTACTCAAGCTCCCACATCATTAGTTTTCCGTCATAGTTCAATGCAGCCTGGATGTCTGTTTCAGTGCTTTTGCATTTTGAAGCAGTTCTGGCTGTCGCAATCACTGTGTCGGCTTTCAGACGCAAGAAGTGCTTCACGGCTTCCTTTCCGATACCGGTGTTGGCACCTGTGACAATAATGGTCTTACCGGAGAAGTCGTATGTCGGGTAGGGAACTGGATGGAACTGGTTCAACATTTCGCGTAGGAAACCCATCGTGAGAGAAGGAGATATTTGTGCTTGAGCATCTCAGTCAGGAGACTGTAAAGATCGTAAGCTTTATACGAGGAGCATGCCCATGATTTCGTCCGCTGCTGAGGCTTCATCAGTATATCTTGACAAGTTCCGGGATTTCGAGCGCTCTGGGCAAACAGCTAAGCGCTTAAAGCGAGTGAAGCGAGTGAAGCCGAAAATGCTACAGCTCTTTTTTGACATGACTATCCTTCACCGAGAAGACTGCGGCATTATCCAGTTAGTGTTCTGTGTCTTGGCTGCAAAGGCATCATATGCCGAGCCGATGTGGACAGAAGAGCATGAATTTGGAAGGATCTTGGTGGCGAAGAGCCCAAAGACATCCGTCACCAGTGTGGTGAATTGTTGCTCAGCTGCTGGGTAATGAGTTTTAGCGTATCATTCTGGCAAGGAAGCTAGGGCTTCCGCCAATGAAAGGTGTCCATTTGCGGATTTGCGGCTTTTGCCCTCATCCGAAATTGAGGATGCCCGAATGCCTGTCGGATAATGCTGGCTTTCGTCTCTATAAGTTTCGGAATCATCTTCCTCTCTTTCCAATACTAGGCCACGCGGGCTGGGCTGTATTTGTCACATTCTAAGGAAGGGTCTGAGAATTGGACATGCCATAACACCATTTCAACGATCGACGCGCATTGAATTGAGAACTCTATCGACATCTCGACAGGCTATGAGAACAAGCGCATACCAAAGTAACAATATGCAGACGCAACAGCAAGGTCTGGCCACACATCAAATCCTCCTTGAGCATTCACAAGGTGGATTTGGATTTCTAGCTGGAGGTTGGCGGCGTACGTTGAACCACTCCGAACTGGGTATTGCCGACATCGAAGACACTGCGAATCATTAGCTTGTAAACTCCAAGCGACGGCCATGACTTACGCGTAGACATTCTGCAAGAATGTGTCACCAAAGATATCGAAGGTCAGATCACCTCGAGACTGGATACCACCATAAACCATATTGCCCTCGGAGCCACCAGCGAAACCAAGGTGTTGTTTCTCAATGGTGATCGGGGTATTTCCAACCATAAACGTGACGGTAGGAAGGTCGCTCTCGGCTGTGTTTGCAGGGTATACCCAACCTTGCTGCTGGGTGTCCTGTTTGGCACCAGGAATAGCGCCATAGACAGCCTCGCAGACCTGGTCGGATGTCAAGAGGAGTGTGGTGCCAGTATCAGCGATAGCCTTGTTGCCCGAGAGCTGGATGGATTTGCCATTGACTTCAGCGGAGGTCGAGTCGAACATCCAGAAGCCTTGAGAGTTGTCGACGGGAGTGTAAGCAATCTGAGAACCAGACGGCACAACAGATTGATCAATCTGGCCAAACGTGTCTGTGTCTTGGTCAGAAGTTTGAAAAGACGAACCAAAAGATGGGGATCATTGGTAGTGCTCACAGAATGACTCTTCATTTGCGTCTTTGATAGAGCCCAGATAGCAAGTAAAGAGTTCAGCGTTCTGAGGAATATCGTCCTGAGCAATCATGTTCTCAACTGGTGTCTTGACAGGAGTAGGCTGGACCGTGTTGATGGAGCCAAAAGCAAGGCCCAACAGACCATCAGAGGAAGCATCTTGTGTGAATTGCGACGACAACTTGTTAGCAAGCTCAATGGCTTGGTTTTCGACTGTGATGTTACCAATCTCGATATTGTCGGTGCCGACGGTGCCAGATGCAGATGATGAATCTCCGTATTGGATCTGCCAGGAAGAGCCGGAGCTATTCTTGAACGTGCTTGACTTCGTGGGGTCGTAGATTGTGTGCTCCTTTCCAGCAGACTGGGTGGTGGTCTTGGGAAGTTCGGTAGACCAGCACCAAAGATCGGAAGATCCGGAGTCGAAATCCTGAAGAATGGTCAACGAAGTTCGATGGGGGCCGGGATGTCATACTAGGTTCAAAGTCTGAGCTGGTGTGCCGATTTTCACTGGACAGGTGTAGAGCGAGTCGTTTTGCTGGTCAGTAGCAGGGCTGTAATGGCGGTAGTTAGTGTAGGTCAAAAAGCAAGCCGTTCATATGATCTTCGGCACTTTGTTTTGACTGCATAGACTTACACTTCGCCTTGGGTACCGTCTGCGTTCTGCTTGAGAAGAAGCTTCTTGCCTCGGGCGGCGGTGTAAGGACCTTTGATAGTCGGGGTGATGCCGTATTTGTTAAGCAAGTAGACGTAGGACTTGAGACCATTGTGCTTGTAGGTGGGATTGCGTCGAATAGGTACACGAGCGAGTGAAGCCATCTTGTATCACAGTATGAAGCAGGTAGTGGTTGTATTAGGTAGTCGAGATTTGTTCAGGGTGTCAATCAAAGAGCTAGAAGTGAGGTATTTGTAGTCGAGAGATCGAAGGGATCGACTGACTCGGAAGACCTGGTCTCAGAGAAGGTTACGACAATGTGCATGGAACAATATCCTGGTGGTCGTGTGAGCGAACAGGTGTCGACAGCAATCAAGGCAACGAGTCATGTGGAAACAATCAACAAAGTCATTCGCCGAGAGTTTCAGAAGACCTACGCGTACCTTCTGCTCTTGCAAGGTACCTGCCCTGATGAAGGTCTTCTCTTCTGTTTCATTTTGGGCAGGTGAACCCTGTCTGCTGCTTTTTGTGCCTGGTTGAGGACGGCAATTGGGTTATCGTATCAGGTACACTACTCGCACTACTGCCGTATGAGCAGCCCAGGCGGGTCGTGGTGCTTCGCCATTGCTTGACGAGGACAAGCTTCAGGTCCGCCGACGGGATCGCCCTCACCCGCCTTGCTGGACACATTCTGTACAGTCCAATGAGACAGTGAACAGGCACAACATATACAGTGAATAACAGCTTGGAGCGCTACCTTACGAGTATCCGTGGACCATTGTTATCTGCACGTTCTTTGTGTCAAGCAGGTTTTGCATGGTGGATATTGCGTCACACTGGAGTCTGTCGCAGCCTGCTGCTCAAGTTGCCGCGATCCGTGATGAAGGAATGACGCTACATCGCAAGCAAGCGAGTGATGCTAAACTTGAACAAGTACAAGTAGCAGAGAGAAGTCAAGGAAAGGCCGTCGATCACGATCGACCGTCTCCGTCACCTTGCCAAGCATGCAGGGATCGTGGGCATCATGGGTGATAAAGAACGACCAATACTTGAGCGCCGACGTATTCTGGTTATCCTTCCCACTCGGTGATCTACACATGAATTGGGTGCCGAAGGTCTTCTGACTTTGCTATGGCAAAATTACTTGCGAATGACACGATATTGCCAAAGTGGACGTCAGGAGATGTCCCATGCCTCGAAAATGGTTCGCGGCCGCAGCATGCAATGCCTTCACCTTTGGATGCACTCAACTGAACACGAAACACAGATGCATTGGTATTGATAGCCAACTTTCTCAAACGTTAAAGACTGGTTTGAGAATCGCGTGAACATAGCCACGGTGCCAAAAGCATATCCTGAGAGAAGGCCTTTCCATCTTTGCTCATAATCTCAAATGTGAGAGGCGCGAGCGGTATCCTTGGGCATTGTCCTATGCCGAGCGCCCTCGTCCCAGAGAGTGCTGAACTGCACCTGAGGACGTCAGGCCCAACGGTATTGTCTTTTGAGCATGTCAATCTTTGTTGCTTTTCTTTCCTGCCATGCATAGGATTATGGTACGAGATGGACACTTCGATGGTTCTCGGCAAAAGGCAAGCGGTTGGCACACAGAGGCTCAAGATAAAGGGATCATGCGAGATTCCCAGTGGTCGGATAGGCGTCTAAGGCATAGGAAGGACTGATTCGAGAGCGTAGAAGCCATCTCGACCGACAAGAGGTCTGAGGGAGCAGAATTTCAAAAGCTTCCTGGCAAGCCATCCGCGGAAGGAGCACTTTTCGGTAGGAACTTCGCTGCTGCAAAAGCGCCGACCATCGAACAGTCGAAGTCAACATCCTTCGATACGCCAAAGAGTAAAGTGCGTCAGATGGTTTCTTTAAAGGTCAAGTAAACGATCTCGACAGGCCATTGATCAAGGCGCAGGCTGTCCGGCTTGGAAAGTCTGCCGAGAGCGCAGTTTCGAACAACTCCATCAATCTCTCTCTCTCTCTCTCTCTGCCTGTCTCTCGGCAGTTTGATTCAATTATCTTCAGCCAGCAGTCGAGCAAACGTAAGTAGCAGACTGGCTCCATCAGGACTGCCATTCAAATCGATGTCCCGACGACGGTGGCACTCTCAACACCTGGCACCCATTCATCGTCGCGATTCTGCAATCTACTGAGTGGACTGCTCTCATTCCATGATGCCCAGTGCCGTTTAGATCCTTTGTTGGTCTCTCACTACTAGCAGTGGTCGTGCCTCTCGAATCCATCACGCTACAATGCCTACGGACACTGGCCACTACCTTTGTCTGCCTACACCAAGCCCGATGAGGATCTGGACCGACATGTCCTTGACGACAAGCCGCTATCGAGATCCCTTCCTCCGGCGGGCCTGCTATTACCACCTAACTCTTGCCTTCACCGAAGAATCTGCCAGCGGGAGGAAAATATCAGTCAATTGAGAAGTAGCGCTTGCACCACTGCATATCATTCTGATGGCGGCCTCGTGCTAGAAGTCCCCTAGATCACCGTGCTTACGGCCTGCCCTTTGAAGCTTTTGCTGAGATGACAGTCCGGTCATGCCCTTCCATCAACACTTTCACGGACCACCGCGGTAGCTTTCTCTTCGTCGCCTTCGAGCACGTCTTCCACCGTGGAAAGTCCCCGTGCCCGCACCTGTGCATCCACTTTATCGACTTCTCCGAACAGACGATCCATGTGTTCAAGACTGATACCTTTTGTTTCCGGCCAAAGGAACAATACAAGGATTAAGCCAATGAGATTTATGCCAACCAATATCCAATAAGCGTTGTGACCAACGTTTCCAAACATCACTGGCCATGCTTGGTTGATCCAAAGAGTCGTAATCTGCTGACCGGCCTGGCTGATGTTCACGCCCTTGTCCCTGAGGTGAGTTGGAAAAATCTCGCTAGCATAGATCCAAGCGACAGGTCCCATCGCACCGCTATATGCCATCATGATGATGTAGATGAAGACCACGCAGGCAATTGCGGCTCCACGGTTGAAGTTCGTTGCGGTAGGATATGCGTCCGAAAGTGCGCCAATGATGATATAACTCATGATCATGGTGGCAGATCCAGCAATCAACGTGATTCTGCGGCCCCACTTGTCGACTCCTCCCGTTGTGATACCAGTGGCGGCTAGACATAAAATGCCAGAGACGACATTGAGCAGCAACGACATTGTGCCTGAGGAGAATCCGAGGCCCTCGAAGATGAGGATGCCGTAAATCATGAGGGCGCCGACACCGGAAAGTTGACCGAGAGCCATGGTTGTCATGCCATATGCGATGCGTTTCCAGACGGGAAAAGACCGCAGGAAATATGACCAGGTCTGAGTATTCTCGTTTTCAAGCCGATAGTCGCGAGCGGCTACCAGCTCGGCATACTCGTGTTTGACGTTTTCGTGATCTGCGGGTAGTCTTCGAATCCGAGAGAGTTCAAGCAGAGCGCGTTCTGGCTTCTCAGGGTGGCGTTCGATCAACCACCGAGGTGATTCGGGGATGGTAAATGAAGCCACGATCAACACAATGCCAGGAACAACTTGCAAAGCAGTTGCCACTCGCCAGGAATTATTGCCAGGAATCTTAACCGTGCCCAGTCCAACGCAGTATGCCACGAGAACCCCGACTTGGTATGACAGTTGGACGAAAGACACGACACGGCCCCGGATCTGAGGGGATGAGACTTCGGCCTGGTAGGCAGCAAGGTTGGTGCCAATACTGGGGTTTGTCAGATAGTGTTATGCGATCTGGGGAGTCGGAACTTACATTGAAGTGCCAATTCCTGCGACGATTCTACCCACGACAATCATTGCGAAATCTCTGGCACCGGCCTGCAGGGCAACGCCAACCAGAAGAATGATTGTCCCGAAGATGAACGCAAACCGGCGTCCGACATACCAGATGAACCACCAAGCGATGAACAGGTTGCCGATGACATTGCCCAAGCTGACTGGTGACAGCATTAGCAGTCTGAACTTCCGACACGAGATCTTTGTTCACATACTCATACTGGCCACAACACCTTCCCGTGCACTCGAGAGCTGGAGGTAGTCGCCGAATTTCTTGTCAGAGATGATGATGGAGTAGATGCCAGAGTCGAAACCTTGGAAGCTTTGAAAGGTCAGCCAACGACATTTCGCATCGATTGAGACCTTACATATTCGCAAGGGACGCCACTGCGCAAATCCAATATATGTACCAGTCACCCTTAGGCATCTTGAATTGCTCGTTGATTTAAGTTCGAAATTGTCGTTTCTGAAGGAGAGGTTATCTTGCTGGAGGTGATTTTCTTGAAGGACAGTACGGGCTTTATATGCGATGCAGGCTAGTCTCTGCCATGCCTGCTCAGGGAAGGCGGAGGCTGATCTGGAGTAACGGACAGGGCATCTCCGTACTTGCTAACCGAGAGATGGAATCTGGACCTACCAACAAGCTGGCGGGACCCCGGTGGCCTCTGCTGAGAGAATTCTTCATGCTCCATATCGTCGACTATTCAATCATGCTTGGAGTAAAACACCGGTGGCCCATGTCCGGCGGGTGAGAATGGTATTGCTCAGGTTCCCCAAACCAGTGCATAACAGGAAGTTCAACTGTCAATCGGGGATACCCCACCGCTAATCAACGCCTCCGGGTACCCTTTCCACGAATGGTTCGTTGCCCATGGCTTTCGCTCAAAGCTTGAGTTCTTTATTTGCCTCCCAAAAACTTGGCCTTGATGGAGACTTGCTGGGGGTCGAGACACATGGCGCGAGCAGTCAAGCCCACTTCATGCGGCATTCGAACGGGCACACATACCGGTGGACGCAGATGTCTCCGACTTTGACACCGCGTTGCACTCACCAGGTCAGATTTTGCTATGCAAGGCCGAAATGGTGTCAGAAAAACGTGGGCAAGGAACTGGCCGAAACCAGAGTGAGCAGAGTCCCGCTCGCGCCGTGAATCTTGCGGCTGACAAGGTATTGCTCCCATGAGTGGTGGAGAACGTGCTGTTGATGGAGAATAGACGCGGAAGCGATTTCTGTCACCAACTTGAGAACTCCAAAATCATGACTGCTTCTGGTCACCCATCCCCGGAATTGAGATGTGAGCTCAGTATCTCCAACAGGGACGCCGAAACCCACGAGCTCAATAATTTCATTAGCTGCAGATTTGGTGTCAAATCAATAGTAGGTGTGCTCGTCGACGCAAGTCTTGTGTCATTTTGTTATGAGATGTTTGGAAGAAAAGGTGCTTTGCCGTGGGTAAGTACACCGAATGTGACAGAGAATCGTGGTTGATGATACTACTCCCATGCTGGGTTCGTCGTCGGAAGCGATGACGGTCATAAAATTAGCCCCGGTGGGGGACTGAGTAAGAAGGAATGTCACGGTCTGGGACGATAGATAGGACGTCTGGACCTCCTGCGCGGGGAACGACACTGGGGTAGAAGTTGGTTGACAGGGAGCACAACACCGGTTTGAGAGAATCGAAATTGCCTTCTGCATCTTCTCAGCTCGTCGGCTCGGGTGCTACAGCCCTGCTATGCATCGTTGTTATCAACCAACAACTGGGTGCAGGCGATGGGAATGCTCCTTCACCTCAGAAAGGGGAGGGCACTGGTATTTAGGAGCGGCATCGCAGAATCAAGTAAGACGGTGGTGATTGATGTCCCGTGTGATCCGCCTCTTACTCTGGTTGCATTGTCGCAAGACTGTAAGGACAATAAGGACCTGTTTCATGGCGGGCCGATGGGGGAGCGAAGGGCTTCTCTGGGTCTCGAGATGAGAATAATGCGTGCCGCTGGGGTATCGAGCGCAAGAACAGAACCATGGTCTTTGTGACGGGATTTGTTTGGTTGCATCTGAAGTGTCAGTCAAGCTAATGGTAAGACATTGCGATGTTGTCAATGTCGACGCGCAGATAGAGATTCAGCAGTCAAGCCGGATGTTTCGCAGACTCGGCTGACTTTCCCAGCACGTCAACACTTTTGTATCTTTCTGAAGGCCTCTCCCCTTCCACGATCGATCACGACTCCCTCAACACAGTCCGGCGTCCAATGTTGCCTCATGAGAGTATTCTTCTAATGAAGGATGCTCTGTGACGAATCTCGGACAAGCACGGTCGATCATATCTGACTGTTCCTGTTCTGTCCGCCTCACCACTGCTCTCCAATTGTTCTCAACGTAAAGAACCTCTTCCTCTGTGGCTGCTCGTATCTGTTTGTCACACCCAACGTCTTGCCGACTCGCATTGTCTGCATATACTCATCATGAACGGACTTGCTGTGGAAGGTCCACCACTAGAATACCCCGTCAATTGAGCAACACAGTCAAAAGCAAGTACCAACCAACCTGCCAGCTGCAATCACGACCGCCAAATTCCCTAATGATATGACTACCGCCTGGATGCTTTCCGAGGAAGTCGGTACAATCATAAACAATCTTGTCGACTACGATCCCTTACAAGACCGTCGGCGCGTCAGTCGATTAAGCTGTGGATCTCGAAAGGCACTCACAAAGCCGTTCACCATTGATACCCGTACGTAACCCGACTTCATCAGCTGGTATTGTGGGAAGGTCTGCCTCTGGGAACGTCCGCTTCAGAATAGGGTATGATCTCTCCGACATTCTTGATTTCGGAGTCGACGCATATTTGTTTGTACAACTTTCGTCTCTACTCGACAACATCAGATATGTGAGAGCAAGATAGGGCAAATCGAAGAAACAAGCTAAGTTGTCGCACAAGGGCTTGTTTAGCTCGAGATATGAAGTCAATCACGTGCAACAGGATGCACCTCTGGCGCAGAGCAGCAGTTCCGTCTGACCGCAGGAATCTGCTCGGAACGAGCTCTCCATGCCTGATGGTCGTCCGCCAGACAGCTTAAATCCGTGATGTGAGTGTGCCATCCGCGTTAGCCAGGGCGATCTTCCCCCAAACAAAGTTCGCGGTTTTCCCACGTCTGTGCTTCCTGCTATGACGAATCGCTTCGGTGATTGCCCGGCTGTGAAGGGTTCAGCTCCTCTATGGAAGAGCAAGCTGCACGCAAGGCGCGGAGAAGGCGGAGAAAGTGGGCATGGCGGTGTTGACGGAGAGCCTCAATAGTGCTATTGGATAGCTTTATATGCTGGCGATGCGGGGAAACGCGAATCAGCGACCAGCTTACGATATGGACCTCAGATCGAGCAAGACCGGCATTTGCTCGTCGCAAGCAACTGGGAGGAGGGTGGAAGAATTACGCGAATGCTTATTTGTACCCTTCGCCCCCATGAGTGCCGGCATCCTCTCTAACGTCAGTTTGCGGCCATGGCACCATCCGCTACAGACCACCAAGGCTTCATGGTTAATGGTTTTCAGGACCATTATCCTGGGGCCACAAATCATCATGAGAAGGTTCATTTCGACAAGAAGTTGACCCCCAAAAGACATCAGATCAAAGGGACAGATGCATCATCGAAAATCTTGTTCCTGGACGTCAATATCTTAGACAGTACCGGTCGACCTCCTTACCGTGGAGATGTTTACATTGACGGTATTGCACCCTAATCTCAAATGTTTGACCTTTACTGATGCCCAACCACCAGGTGAACGATTACGCCATGTTGGCGAAATACCGGATAAAGAAACGCTTCGGCGTGACCCAGCGGTGCGCGTCGTCAATGGGCGGGGTCGAACGCTGATGAGTGGCCTTGGAGACGCTCATACTCACTTCTCCTGGAACAATGGCGACCTTGGTAAACTAGGAGGCCTGGGAGTCGAAGAACACACGCTCTTGACGGCGCGCTCTGCCCAGATATATCTGGACTCTGGCTACACCATGTGCTTCGGTGCAGCATCCGCTAAGGAACGACTAGACTGCGTCGTCAGAGACTCTATCAACGAAGGAAATCTTCCTGGGCCACGTTATCTCGCCAATGGCAAAGAAATGGCAGTCCCAGACGGCGACCTTGTTCCTGGGATAACAGCATTTGCCAAAGGGCCGTTGGAGATGCGGGAGACCATCAGGCATCATATCAAGCTCGGTGTGGACCAAATCAAGTTGTCAATGTCAGGCGAACAGATTACAGAAACAAGGGACGCCCAAGACTGCTACTTCACGGATGAAGAAACTGCAGCGTGCGTGGATGAGGCGCACCGTCATGGCATTCGTCTTTGCTCTCACGCACGAGCACGTGATAGTGTGAAGCAGTGCATTCGACATGGTGTAGACATCATTTATCATGCTTCATGGATTGATGAAGAAGGCATGGACATGCTTGAGAAAAACAAACACAAGCATATAGTTGCACCCGGCATCAACTGGCTAATTGCCACAGTGTATGAAGCCGGTTCGTTTGGCTATTCATTCGAGAAGGCTGAACAGGTTGGCTACAAAAAGGAATTGGATGTTGCCATCAAGGGGCTGAAGGAGATGCACCGCCGAGGTATCTGCGTCCTACCAGGGGGCGATTACGGTTTTGCCTGGACGCCACACGGAACCTACGCTCGTGACCTCGAACATTTCGTCAAGCTTCTCGATTTCACACCCATGGAATCTATTGTCGCAGCTACAGCTGGCGTTGCTAAGCTCTTCATGCGGGAAGACGAACTCGGAAAAATTCTACCGGGATATTATGCGGATTGCATTCTTGTGGACGGCAATCCGCTGGACGACATCACCATCCTCCAAGACCACGACAAGCTCAACATGATCTTGATCAACGGCCGCATTCATAAGGCAAGCTACAAGGAATTCTTGCGTCTGGAAGTGGTGGACCAGCCAAAAGCGGCTCCACCAGTTCGACCTCGGAACTTCATCAGCTACGCGCTTAAAGACGGCACAAAAAGGACAAGGGTCGGCCATCTCAATCTGCAAGACGATACGATCACCGCATTGGCATTCGCAAGCGGTACGCCTGTCGAACGACTGGATCAGATCCTGGGGATTGCATTGACGGATCTCAAGCTTAGCGATGAGGTGATTTCGAACTCAAGGTGAGTTAATGTCGTCCACATGTCTTGTACGCTCTGGAAGATGCTGAATGGATTGCTAGTGTTGAGATATTGCCTCCGATCACTGGCAAAGACGTTCTTGCTGTTGGGAAAAATTACCTGGACCATGCAAATGAGTTCAACTCCAGTGGCTACGATTCTTCGGACAAGGTTGCTCTTCCTTCTCACCCTGTGATTTTCACCAAACGGGCGTCTTCCATAATTGCACATGGACAGAGTGTTTACCTGGACGAGGAATTCACGTCAACACTCGACTACGAGGGCGAGATTGGCGTCATCATTGGCAAAGGTGGTTACAAGATCTCCGAAGCCGATGCAAAGGAGCATATTTGGGGCTATACGATCATCAACGACCTCACTGCTCGTGAGAGGCAACGTGACCACAAGCAATTCTACATTGGTAAGCACAAATTCCTAGAGGTGCCTTCTTGTTCACCCGTTTACGCATGCTAATATCGTGGTCTCAGGTAAATCAGCCGACACATACTGCCCCATGGGTCCGATCGCAGTGCCCGCTTCGGAACTTCCTGAAATTTTGACCGTGACAACACACGTCAATGGCGAAAAGAGGCAGCAGGCCTCGACAGAACAGCTTATCTTTTCGATACCGCATATCATCAAAACACTATCCGAGTCTCAAACCCTACGCGCCGGCGACGTGATCGCCATTGGTACTCCTGCAGGTGTTGGCATTGGCATGAAGCCGCCCACCTTCTTAAAGGCTTCCGATGTGGTCGAGATCTCCGTCACTGGACTAGGAACTTTGAAGAACACAGTGACTGACTCCCGGGATCCCAACGCAGTTTCAGAGCGTCTGGCCGAGGATTCTGCTCAATCCGTTCCACGCCAAAATATATCAATCACGAATGGTGGCGTCGGGCTGACAACCATTGCGTCCGGCAAAAGGCTGAATGTTGAGAAGATTGGCGACGGAAACCGGCTGATGGTGTTTGTTCATGGCCTGGGCGGCAGCACGACCTTCTACACGCAGTTGGTGGAGAAGCTCAAACTCGCGGACTACTACACATGTCTCTTATTCGATTTCGAAGGCCATGGACTCTCTCCGACAAGTGCAGACAGCACCATCACAATATCGAGCCTCGCAGAAGATTTGCACTTGCTGCTGAGCACGAAGTCGTTAAATCTACCCGTGAACGAAGAGGTTACCATTGTCGCTCACTCTATGGGTTGCCTGGTGGCTGAAACCTTTGCGCTCAAGCATCCGGAGCTTGCTGGTCGAATGGTGCTTATTGGCCCCCCACCATGTCCGTTGCCTCAAGCAGGGTACGAAGCGAGCATCAAGCGGGCAGCGACGGTCAGAAAAGAAGGCATGCGCAATGTCGCCAAAGCGGTAGCTACTGCAGGAACATCCCAAAGGACCAAATCCCATCTTTCAAGTGCATTTGCGGCTGTGCTTGTGAGCCTGCTGAGTCAGAATCCCGAGGCATATGCCAAAGGATGCACGGCATTAGCATCCGGCCACGAACTGGACCTTGACCTAGGTCAGCTTCGATCGAAAGTGCTGATTATAGGAGGGGACGAGGACAAAGTCAGCCCTCCGGCCTACGCCAACAAGCTGGACAAGACGATACCCAATTCCAAATTGGTGATGCTGAAGGAGACAGGACACTGGCACACGTTCGAAGATATTGATGGCACCGCGGAAGCCCTGAGGAACTTTCTATGAATAGCCACTATCACACAAGCATCCGGTTATGCTGAATGAAAGCCCCTTATGAGCACAAGCGATTCATCTCCAGCAAGCATGGTTCTCAGTCGTCGTCCTTCTCGTTTCGTTACTTCCCTCGCCTCGAGCAACGCGATGCATCATGCTGCTAGTCTCCAAGATGCGCAACAGCGTCCGTATCATCTCTCTGGTCGACCGGCTCTTCAGCTTCTTTACCTCCTTTGCGTCTCTTCTTCGGAGTGGAATCTTTGGCGCCACCTTCGACTGTCTCGGCAATGTCCTTCGTTACTGCGCCCTTTCGCTTGCGACCGGCTGTCGAGCTCGGAGTGAGGGTACCGGGCATGCCCCATCGTTTCTTGATAGCCCGCAAACGCTGGTAGCTGGATAGGCAGTCAGCGTTCAGTTATCTGATGGAGTTACCACCAAAGGGCTGGCATTGCAAGAGTAATGGCGTCGAAGATGCAGGAGAGGCAGAAGGGAAACTCCTTAGTTCGTACCAGGCATTTCCAGAGGCCGCTCCCACATCTTTGGCTACTTCGTCAAAATCCGGCTTGAACTCGCCAGCGAAGTGTTTGAGGCAGGACATGATGAATTTGAGATCTTCGTTATCCGGTTTCTTCGAAGCCATTGTTGCTGATCGAGTTGAATAGAGGTTGGCAAGAGGTAGTGAACTAGGTTCCGATGTGATTGGTGGTCAGGGTGTTTGAGGTAATAAGAATTGATGTGTCGATGGGAGGATGCATCGTGGAAATAAATCTGAACACCTCGAGCCAAGTGAATAGTCCAGGCTGATTGATTCAGTGAAGGAGAAGTCAGAATGCATGAAACGGAGAACAAGAGAGAAGTGAGTGACAAAGTAAGGTGAAAAACGTGGGGAAGCTTAAATTTAAGGTTAATTTGTCACTCCGCTGGCTTCCTTTGAGGAGCATAGGCAAGGAAAAGACGACACTTTCTGACAAGACTTTTCTTGGATATCATCATTATACTGTACATTGGAACACCAAACCATACGCCCAAAAAGTCTACCAAATGGATCTCAAAAGCTCATCAGGCATCATTGCATCATGACTCATTAGTCGTTCCATTCCTTCGCCGACAGTAATTGTACTCGGCCCTCTGCGGGTGAATGCCAGTAACCGAGACTGGCTCGGCGGCTACGCTTGAGTATCAGGTATAAGCCGACCATGGCCATCTGCAGCGCAAGCACGACGAACACAGATCCAGCCGCCGTGGCTCCTTTGCTCATCTCTCCAATCCGAGTTGCCGTGTGACTTAGCTTTGGGACACGAGTCTTGCCCTTGGACGGGGCATATCCTGGCACGAGACTGGTAGGTCGCGTTCTGGATCTGCCGAGTGTTGATCCGTCCTTGGCTATTGCTTCGGCGTACACGAATTTCCATTCGCCCTTTTCAGAGAAAGCAGTCTCGAATCCTGTTTTCTTAGTCTGCCCGATATATTTGAAATCCCCTGTTGCGTTCTGAGCTCCGTAGAACTTCCAGCCCTTGATATCGGTGGCACCGTTCCAGCTGACATAGGACGTCGTCATCGAGTATGTCTTATCACTTTGGGATTGAATGATAAAAGACTTGAGGACTGGTGGATCTTCGGGCAATCCAGTAAAGTTGGACTTGAAGACGCGATAAGTAGAGAAGCGGTCGGACGCGAAGCTGGCTTCCATGACCAATTCGTTGTCCATCGTATGTTCGCTCATATAGCCGCTCTGACTCCATCCAACAAGGAGATTGCCATTGGGCATGATGTGCACGTTGCCACGCTTCGTGCTGAGTCCTCCGTCAGGGCGATCCCATTGCTTCAGTAACTGTCGAGATAATTAGCATGGAAAAGCGTCAAGCATAGAAGAACGGACCTTTGCTTCCATCGTCTCGATGTTGAGTTCAACCATCTTCGCAGATGATACGTTCGAGGTATTCGGTTGCCTCGTTTCATCGTCAGAAGCATTGTCCAAGAATGTGACTACAGCCGTTGCATCGTCTTCCGAGTGAATGACTGCATGATGTTGCGATGAAAAGTTGAAATCCATCATGAAGTCTGATCTCTTGCCGCCTAGCCGCCATACGATCGAGCTGTCCTCACGACTCACGCGATAGAGAGTGTTCGTGTGGCGGGCCGAGAAAAGGTAATCTCCGTTGCTGAACTTGTCAATCGAGTTTGCGTGGCTTCACAACACGTTAGCGAAGCAACACGAGTAAATTGGAGGAGACACCTCACAGATAATCCCATGCATTCTCCGCTGTCAGAGTCGACAGCTCCGGACTCTGGTGGTAGGACTCGTTCGGGCGGACTCCATGATCCAAAGGACACCAAGAAAACTCGATTTCGTCCTTCGTCAGGTCGATTTCGTGAATGCAATCATCCGCAAACCACCCAGTCTCGTTGGTTTTGAGTACCTTTAGCTCTGTGTATTGTGTGCCGATCAAAAGCACCTTGTCCCCGTTACCCTGAACCTTGAATTCGTGCGCATTGAATGTATTGCCGGTGAATCCTGGCATTCTTCCCACAGCATTGTAGGACGAATCCAGTATGACGCCCGCGCCTTTTGGATCTTCTGCGCCTTTTCTGTCGTCTGAAAGCAAGACATAGGACAGGTAACTTGTCCCGTCTACTTCGAAGGTTCTGAAATCAAAAGTGTTTCGGTTCTCGACCAAGGCGGCGCCGCTCCAAACAAGATTCTAGGGCTCAAACATCAGAAATTGCAGAATAACGAAGCAGTGTTCTGAATTACCCCGTCTCCGTCATAGATGTGTGGGCCAACCTGGTAAGGCTGATATTCGAGTCTGTCCGGTATTGATTGCCAATAGGTGTAGGGTGAAACGAAATAATAGCCAGGATTAATGGCATCCGGACGGTGCTTGGTGATGTTCCATCGAGGCGCGCGAATGTCAGGCCGCTTGCTGATGTAAGTCAACCAATTTTGGTAAGTGACCATGGTCAGCTCACCGTCACAAAAGAGAAGAGGTCAGATCCGGCTTCGAAATCATCAGTGGTTTTAGAAACCTTTCCATGCTCTACCGCCAAAGCGCTGCAGGCGGAGGCCAGAGCCACAACGGCTAAAGCACGCATTTTCCGAGTTCCTTGAGAAAAGAAATGGTATGCCGCAGAAGGCTTTGGGTGAAGAGAGTAACATTGCTCACAATGATGAGGCTCCCTGTAAGTTATTTGGAGGTCGCTGTCCCGAATTTCAGGAGATGCACAGACGATCTGTCAGTGCCATCACGGCTGGTACGGAGATGTCACGAATACGAAAGCCTCCATCAGACCGGGCGCTATTCGAACGCAGGCGTACACCGAGCCAGGATTCTGCGAGCAGCGATAACATCCTCGAATATCTGACCCCCGGGTCTTGCTGTATGCATACATTTCTTGTCGCAAGCATCCCAGAATTGCTGCGTGGTGTTGTTGAATTGCAACTCCACGCCGAATCCGTTTAAAGGAAAAAGTTTGGAGTTTTCAAGATGGACCGAAACTGTCAAAATGTCAACCGCTTGGCGCCACGCAGCCTGACACGGTACCGGTACGCGGTGACCACGGGTGACACAGCTCTACAACCCATGGCGTGGACAATGATTTGCCAAAACTGTCCGATAGCTACCTAGGTCAGGGATACTCTATACCGTACAAGCATAGTAGTTATGGCTTGTGGGCTTTGTAACCTACAAGCACCGACCCCCTGTTCGTGGCTAGAGATCTACTTGGCGACATCTTCGTCGACACCGTCGACGCGTCCGAGAAGTCGATGGCGGGTGACAAGCCAACCATCCAATCTTACCAAGCTTCTTCCCCTGTAAGACACTGCTGCTTGCATCTATAGGAGCAGAAACCTGCCACCCAGTCCGCCAGATCTGTGGCTTAAGTATCCCAACTTCCGTCTCATCCAAGCGATACACCACGGGCTGTGTCAACCTTCCAGAACATCTTTCAGGGGTCAAATGTACAGTAGATGCCTACACAATACGGATACCTCCATGACTTTCGTAGTTCACACGGCTTTGACTCTGTAGACGGATTCTTACAGCGCCAAGTTCACAAGGTCGTGCCAAACAGGCAATCATTCATGCGATGGACCTGATCAGACCCCTGGAGTTCTCGAGCGTCGAAAAAGCATGAATTGGACTCCACCAATTTTATGGATTACGGAAGAGCTTGCTTCTTTTCTCCACCAAGCACGGCGCTGGAACCGAGGCTATTTGTCGTGCTGAACGTGTAGAGAAGCTTAGAATCGGAGACGGGGAATCGTGTGCTCTTTGACACTACTTATTACTTACAGCCTCCTTACAGGACATGGTGCAAAGCTCAGATATGCAAGAATACTAGTAACCCTAACCCTGGCCCTCCTGTACAGGATTATCATATGATGTAAAGCACAGATATGCAAGAAAGAACTATTGAGTATCGGTACTGCGTTCATTGATTGGGCCCCATCGAATGCTATCTTTGACAGAGGCTCCGTTCCAGCTCGGATATCGATCAAGTTCCTCTAGGCTTCTCAGCCGATAGCCAAAGCGATCGAGTCTGCCGTGCGACTGGCTAACTATTTGACCTCTCATACTGTAGAATTTCGATCATCGGCCCAGCCGATCAACGAATGCTCGCTTGCGTCACCATGTAAACCAGGTCAACGGCGCATCCTTCGTGCGACTAATCAAGGATCCTTTTGATAAGAGCCAGTGACTTCAGTGGTGTTGTGTGCAGCTGGTAGAGACCAGCCTGAAAGATAAGAACAACACCATGCAGGCTGATCAATGGTTGCAGGCTCTTTCTGGCAGAGAAACATGGTCATCAGAATGCACCATTTGAGGGTCAAGGTCGTACCCGGACCTGGCCGACGAATGGCGCATCTCGTATAGCAAAAGTCTTGGTTTCTGACCTCGGCAGCGGCTGCTATGCCCTTCAGCAATTGGATGTTCAACGCAGATCTCATGCAAGACAATCACTTCACGCCACTCAATGGTCTCGGATTACCCTAGACGATCTCTGAAGGCCGGGGCAAACCAGGGCAAACCAGGGGTCCCTCGTCGGAGACTTGCTTAATCGAGATTGGCACCGGAAGCTTCACGGCGACAAGCCAGATAAGCCTTGCACTGGCCGTGCTTGGCCCATCCCAGGTCATCTAATCTACCTCCACCGTCTTCACACGATGGCGAGTCTGCGGGGAGATGTAACATGAACTTGATGGCATCTCGCCGCCAGCCAATCGTGGCAAGAACTTCATGCGACTATCATTCTTCCCGGTCGCATTCCAGAACTCATGGTTCAACTTCCTTATTTGCCTCCGTCGATAAGCGGAACGCAATTCGACAGGATGAGCACGCGATTCGATGCGACTTCATCCCCCCTCTTGATTCCAGAAGACATGATCTCTTGCCTCCTGCCTGTTGCAGCATACGATCTCGAGACTGGTCAAATGTATAAAGACCCTCTCCGTGGGATGTCTTCTTGAAATCCTACGACAGCCCAACTCTCTCCTTCAATCCCTCGTTCTGAACATTGAGACTCTGAACTCTGTAATTGATTGCCCGCAATCATGCCTGTCGACAATCCTGAAATTGTGCAGGCTGCTGGTCTGAATGATATTCACGCCGAACAGGGTCGGCGCCAGTCGGTGACCAAGGCCGTGGATGAAAAGACGGTCCAGCAATACTACAACCCAGATCCGGAGTATGACAATACCCCTACCGAGGCTGAGCTTCATGGTGCGAATGCTCTCCGCAGAGTTGCTGCTCCAATTCCTTGGGCTGTCTACACAGTCGCCTTTGTCGAGCTGTGCGAACGCTTTTCGTACTACGGAACTCAAGTTGTTTGTAAGCTTTTCTGACGCGGCCCTCACTCTTCATCCCCGACTGATGTTACTAGACTCCAACTTTGTGAACCATGCCTTACCTCTTCCCGCCCCGGCTGGACCACCGGGCTCACACCACAACACTGGTGCTGGTGGTGGCAGTGATCAGGGTATTTCCGGTGCTCTTGGTCAAGGGCCCGAGACCGCCAACGGTATCAACACCTTCAACACTTTTTGGGTCTACTGTGTACCCCTCCTCGGCGCCTACGTGAGTGCTCGCGCTTTCCATAATCTTGTCTCAGTGTACTGACTTTGCCGTAGATGGCAGATGAGCATTGGGGACGATACAAGACCATTTGCGTTTCCATCGCTATCGCCATTGTTGGTCATATCATCCTCGTTATATCGTCCATTCCACCCGTCATCACCAACCAAACCGCTTGCTATGCCGTCTTCATGCTCGGTTTGATTCTGATGGGCTTTGGAACCGGAGGCTTCAAGCCCAACATCTCGCCTTTGATTGTCGAGCAGATCAATGTCACCAGGGCCTTTGTCAAGACGCTTCCTTCCGGCGAACGCGTTGTTGTGGACCCCATCATCACTCAAAGCAGAATCTACCATTACTTCTACCTCTTCATCAACATCGGTGCTCTAGTTGGACAGATTGGAATGGTAAGTTGCATTCCATTTCCAAACTTCAATATGTCGTTGCTTCTCCACAGAATCCGCGGACTGACTCCTCTTGCAAATCAGGTCTACGCCGAAAAGTACGTCGGCTTCTGGCTGGCCTACCTCCTCCCACTCGTCGCCTTCTTGACCACTCCCTTCGTCATGTGGTGGGGCCGCAAGCGTTACCAGCAGCGACCACCAGCCGGCTCCGTCGTCACCAAGGCATTCCGGGCCCTTTTCTTCGGCATGCGTGGCCGCTGGTCATTGAACCCCGTGACCATGTACAAGCGCACTCATGATGGCTCCCTCTGGGAAGCTGTCAAGCCCTCCAACATCCAACCATCGCAAAGACCAAGGTGGATGACCTTTGACGACGCCTGGGTTGATGAGGTCCGCCGTGGATTCAAGGCTTGCGCCGTCTTCTGCTGGTATCCGCTTTACTGGCTCGCTTATGGGCAGTTAACGAATAATTTCACAGCTCAAGCCGGGACCATGACCTTGAACGGTGTCCCCAACGACGTGGTCAACAACCTCGACCCCTTTGCCTTGATCCTCTTCATCCCCATCTGCGACTCCTTCTTGTACCCGGGTCTCCGCAGACTCGGCTTCAACTTCACCGCCATCAAGAAGATCACTGCAGGATTTTGGCTCGCTTCCGCTGCCATGATCTGGGCCGCCGTGGTGCAATACTACATCTACAAGACTTCCCCCTGCGGCTATCACGCCAACGACTGCTTCAACGACGACGGCAGCGTCAACCCTGCGCCAATCATTGTTTGGGCTCAGACCGGCTGCTACGTCCTCATCGCTTTCTCCGAGATCTTCGCCTCCATCACCTCGCTTGAGTATGCCTACTCCAAGGCTCCCAAGAACATGCGATCCCTTGTTCAGGCCATTGCCCTCTTCACCAACGCCGTCTCAGCCGCCATTGCCGAGGCCCTCAACCGCCTGAGTGGTGATCCATTGTTGATCTGGAACTACGGTGTCTTCGCTGTCTTGTCGTTCCTTGGCGGTCTTTTCTTCATCATCCAATTCTGGAGCCTCGACAAGGAGGAAGATCAACTCAACTTGTTGCCAGAAGGACACGTCGTTGCATGGAAGGACGAGGAACACCTGTCAGATGATGAACTGCCTGCTCCCACTACTATTGAAGAGAAGCACTAGGCTTTGATGTGGGAAGGTATCAATGAGCAGTGAATGTGTTGCGAATCCCGATACATCATGAAAATCAAAAAGCAGGTGACGGGACCTAGACGTCCATCTACGTTATCTTCAGAGCCCGCAAAATCTTAACTACTTACAAGGGTTTTAGAACTATAGCCCCATGATGGCCCTGTTGACTTGGGACGCCTTGCATGCCCCTACACCAATCATAAGCATCACCTCTGAAACATTAGTTTTGACGTAGTGAGTGAGGCGCAGTCGTCCCAGCATTGTCCTTATTGCTATTTATCAACAGCCTGTCCATCTGCACTTCTCTCTCATATGCGTATACTCATTCCTCGGCCAAAGAGCAGAATGAGGATCGTCTCCGTCAACTTCGAGCCCTTCGAGGGAGCAGGAAGTACTACCCAATACGCTTGTATTGGCGCAAACTCCGTCTTCCTCATCTCCGCCTTCGTCTCATTATTCGCGTCCACGCTGGATGACCCCTGGGCAAATTTCGACTCTCAGCCCAAATGGATGTTTATGTCCTTCTGCTCGGGTGTGGTGGTGAGTCCAATTCAATCGCTTTTCGGCAACAGATAATGTCTTCGCAGTGAAAGAAGAATTCATGTTGACCGCGACAGGCTATGTGCAGTATTTCCGTTGCTCGGACCATCTCTGCGAGATTCCGCAAGTTGGTAAATAGCGAGGCAGAGCCTGGCCATGAGGATCTTAGATATAGCAATCTCCAAACCACATTCATCCTGGGGACACTTCTCGGTGTCGTCTTGTCCTTGGCTACAGCCTTTTTGGCTTACCTCTGGGGGACAACAATACCGAAGAACAACGGCTTCATAGCACCGTGTGTTTCGGGGATTATTGCAGCGTCAGTCGTCTCCCGTATCACATTTCCCCGTGTTTCTAACGGAAGCTAATGAAGAAAACTTCATGCAGGGTTACCGATCTCTCTACTGTAAATGCAGATTTCTGGTTATTTATCAAGGAACGCAAGGTTTCCAGGCCGGCGACTGATTCGGAACACGAGGTCGGAGTGGGTGCTATTAGCATCTAAAGACTATCTGCCATGTTATATTAGGATTACACGACTCATCAATTCTAGGAATGTGAATCAATTCTTCCGTCATTACTCCGTATGCCGTAGTCTCTTCGTCGCTCGCCTCAGTCACAGTCTTGGTGAGGTGAGGGACAAGCCACCCTTCTACAAGTAGGTCGTAGCCACTCTCGCCACTAGGGCCACCAACTGGAGGGTCGGCCACAGACTGCTGGATGCCTATCTATGTCATCTACTTCACGCGTGTCGCGATTTGCCTTGGCCAAGGTCAACCTCCGCAGTGAACAGCTTCAGACACATCATATCTGCCACAATGTTAAGCTTGTTGAAGAATCTAACTGATTTGAGGATTAAACCGATCGAATTGCAGCCCAACCCCAAAAATCAGCCACGATGCTCATGTATCCGGCGCCTGGAGAACGAAGTGCGCCAAGCACGTCGGAACAGCAAAAAAGACACGGACTTCAAGGAGTTGCATCCAAGCTACGGAGAACTTGAGCGATGCGCTCGCCAAGGTTGCAGAGGCTGTATGGTAGTGCGGCAGGCTCTAGTTCTAGCCCAGATTACCGGCCAGCAAGTCGAAGATGTTGAGAAACGAGACGACTCGGTCTATGTTAGATGGCAGGGCGGACAGACTACAGGGGCGGGACTGCCACCCAAGCCAACCTTACAGGTCACTCTGGGGATGCCCCAAAAGGACATCAAGACGGTAAGCATCGCAATCACGACGAACATTGAAGTCCCAAGACTTCCAGACACGCAATTCGAGAAAGTCGTTCCACAAATCAAAGAGTGGCTGGACAACTGCTGTAAAAATCACAGAGGAAAATGCGGCAATCTTTCCTGGTCAAATGAGAACCCCAAGCGACTGATCGAGATCTTATCGGATTCAGAATTGAGATTGATCGATACTTCACGCCTTGCCAAGGTGGATTATGTTGCTTTGAGTTATTGTTGGGGGCCCGGTCAGCCCGAGAAAACGACCACATCCACGAATCTGGCGCTTCGACAAGACAAATTCCAAATGTCAGAAATGCCAAAGACTATACAACATGCCCTGAAACTCGTGAGTAGACTTGGGCTTGCATACCTGTGGGTCGACCAAGTTTGCATCGTTCAATCGAACAGAACGGGCGTCCAGAGGAACAATGTCTGGACGAACCATGTTCAAGACGACGGCACCCAGGACGGCACCGACCCTGACCCTGGAGAGTGGAAACTGGAAGCTTCAAAGATGCACATTGTTTATGGTAACGCGCTCTTTACTCTTTGTGCTTGTTCGAGTGAGCGATCAACAGACCCACTGCTCTGGCCCCGAAAAGCATGGACTTATCCTGTTTCTCCCTTTTACTTCCTGGGTGACTGGCTTGTGAATGTTGACATGACACTCAAAGAAGTAAGAACACGAGCGCTGCTATCTACACGCGGATGGACTTTGCAAGAGGAACGACTCTCCCCCAGGCTCTTATACTTCTGTGGCCAGAGAGTGTACTGGTCGTGCTTTCTGGAACAACGCACGGAACTTCCTGCGGGCGGCACAGCGCAAAACCGTCCTTCAGCTAGACCATTTGCACTCGGAAACGAGTATGGGGGATTGAGTGAAGCACAAACGTTCCTCGGCCTGCGATACTACGGTGACAAGATAAGGTTACACAGAGAGTGGCTGGACCTGGTCGAAGCTTACTGTTTACGAAATCTGACAGTAGCAGCAGACAGGTTTCACGCAATATCTGGCCTCGCCACACAGTATCTCTCCGTCTACCGTACAAAGGACAATGAAATATGGGATCAAGAGTATTTGGCAGGTCTTTGGCGCAAAACCTTTGCGGAAGACCTGGCATGGTCAGTCGAAAAGGCATGTGATCCTCACAAAGGGCTGCCAGATCTCGCACCGAGCTGGTCGTGGGCTTCCCTCCCTCTCCGTACTCGAATCAAGACGAAGCAGCCAATCAAACATATTGAAGACTTTGCCTTGCTAAAAGAATCTGCAACACATTACGAAGAATCTTCGATGAGCAACAGTTTAAAGAACGTAAGCCTGGAGTCTGTGGCTAATTCCCTTGATGTCTGCCGTAAAGAAGCAGAAAAGGGAGCGGAGAATAAAAGTGTCTTGGTGAGAGGCCGCGTGCAGAAGCTCATGAACACAAGGTTCCAGCAGATCGACTGGTCTGAGATACAAATTGACTCTGAAATTGGGGACGAGTACGACATCTCGAGGTATATTGACCGGCATGTCTACGCCCGAAATCTTGAAAATGGCAAGATCGTGATATATGAGCCCAACAAGCACTGGATGGAAGGGCAGCTGGATTATCTGGTCCCGTCGGGTGATGTGGTGAGTACGGGTCTCAAAGCACAGGTCTATATTCCGACCGGTACGGAAAGGGATCTTCTGGGTCTTCAAATTGGTAAAGAGACGATGCTGCTACTGCAGTCCAGCGAATGGCCCACTCATCGAAGAGAGACGAAGAGTACGGATAGGAAATCCGGAGACAATGCAATGGCACCATCTTGTTGTCGGGTAGGTATTTGTCGGACTGTTGGAGAAGCGTTCTTCGACGGGGCTGAGCTCGTGGATCTTGTACTCGTGTGACATGCTGAGCTATCATGGCGTCGACTTCCCCACCGCATGCACCCCAGCTACAACCACTTGAACGTCCATATCATTCGAGCCCCCGACTCACACCAACAGCGCCAACGAAGAAGCCGTCCACGAAGATAGGCAGACCCCCTACAAAGACGATCAACCCACCATTTGTTTCTTGGACGCCATATAGCGGCGCTCCAGGCTGAGTCCAGATGCACAGCGCGGCAGTTGTGTATGCGCCATTGAACCCGGCGACGGTCTTTGCCTTCTTTGTGGCGATGTCGAAATTGGCGGGGAAGGCGTTGTCCATCTTCAAGCACGCGACGAGGGCACCTAGTGTGTCGCGACGGCGATGTTCTCGGGAACGGAGATGCTCCCAGCCAGCAACCAGTGTCCACATTGCTAACCAAGCCCGGGAGCATTATCCGAGAAGGGTACAGGCAAGATCGCTGTTATTCGGCCCGTGCAGAAGAAACGTCGAGCAGGCCGACTCCTGCTGCACAGCTGTCAGCAGTGCTCTGTTCTCCGGTCACATGCAGGTACCCGTATCGCCGTATGACAGATGGAGCTTCCGAGGGTTGGGAGTTTTGCCGACGAATGATCAAGACCCTTTGTCCAAGGGTGAGCTTACAACGGAGACAATGCACTGGAAAAGCCCAGAGGGGCCTCAAATAGGCAACGAAAGCAAAATGTTTCCCGTTGATCGCATGATAAACCGCATGCAGATAGTTCTACGCGCTCTACAACTTCAACGCAGCCACAATGGGCCCTCCAATGCCTCCCTGAACCAGGGCAACCCTCTCATAGCCATAGTTCGTCGGGGTAGGCAGCGGAAGTGTCTCAATCCCGCCCTTCCACTCCCCGATCTTCATCAACTCCTTGACAACATTCCGATGCGGCACTTTCTTCCCTTTGTTCGGTCCTTTCCCAACTTTGACTGTTTGCAGAGCCGCATCATACGTGACAAGCAGGACATCATACACCATATCCGCTTCAGACAGTTCGGACGCCAGCCTGAGCTCACTCCCGACGCGATCGATCCCCAATGCCCACGTCATTCCATTTCTCTTTTCCATGGCCTGCACAATGATCTGGTTGACTTCATCCTTGGTCGCGCCAATGCCATCTGAAGCCCCGTCGACGACAATTTGCGGAGTGAAGAGGCCGTTGCGACCCCATTTTGTGACATACTGGCGTTGTCTAGCATCCCAATGGATTGAGCCGAATGTATCCTCCCAACCGCTTGAAGAGTTCCAGTAAGTGACGTCGTAGGTGAGAAGGAGCAAGTTGGGGTTGTTGGTCGCGTCATGGATCAAGGGAAGCGCCGGTGGGCATGACACGCAGCCTTGCGACTGAAACAGCTCCACAACGGACAATGGCATGATTTCCACAAAACAGGCTTGAGTGTGGACGTGACCCTGATCGAGAGACATCATGCAAGCGAGCGGCACCTTGCGGCGCTTGAAAAGGTTGAAGAATGCAGACATTTTGAGTCGTCAGATGCAAATCCAGAACCCGATGGTGATATGAGAGAGGAAGCTGTTGCAGACTTTCGAGGTCGGGCCATCTCAGGAGTATTTATGTCCATCTGTATGATTGTCGGAGCCACACTGTCTGCAGTTTGGAATCATTACGTTGGGTAGGAGGGACATATCTCAGCCTGGAATATGGATCAAGCCCGCGTGTCTTGACCCTGCCATGAATGCTAGCCCTAGCCGGCAAAAGGACACTGTCGGCCCCCAGCAGATTGCATCGGTGAGACGTTGACTAGCGTTTCCAGCTGAATACGTGATCAAGCCCGCTAGTCAGGGCCTTGTCGTCCCTCGAGAAGAGCTGCGTCCTGCGAGTCTGCTGCTGTGAAAGGACCAGACCAGTGTAGTGCTGAGACGTACCGTCGATCCGAGTCAACCCAATTCAGAATGATTCGACGAGCTGCAGATATTGGACCCATGGATATGTCAGCTAGCAGGGTACGTTCAGCGGCTTAATGCACCCACTACATTTCTGCCTCCAAGAAATGCAAATTGAACGCTGACAGCAATGTTCCAAGGCTTTCAGTCTCTTTGGCTCCGCCCTTTGGCCACCGCTCGTTCTGTCTATCGGTATGGTTTCGCTATCCAATTTTAGACTATTGACACAGTGTTTGAGTCCCAGGTAGACTCGAATATGGGGCAGTGAACCCGAACAAAAGACGTCAATCAACAAACCGGCCGTATACCTGCCCAGCCTGTGGCTTTGAATGACGAGCCTTGTCATGAGCGCCAACTACCAGCTCAAGATGTCCGCGGTATGCTTCCCTCACCGCAATCTCTTGCCTCCAAGTGTTCGCCGTGCTGACTCCCGCGCAAGTATTCTGTAGCCTCGGTGACGGGCTTGAGTTCATGGCCAAAGCGAGAAACTCCGCCACTGTCGTCCAGGAGCAGACCAAACCGTCTCTGACAACCAGGACCTTATATAGTATAAACACTGAATGCATGATGGCCAGGGTGGCATGAACGAGTAAGACAATGATCCCGAATTGAGCAGTTGCGGATCCTTGCCAACGATATCCATAGCCGTAACGCGAGAAGACAGGGTCGATGCTGAGCCAATTCTCGATATCCGCAGATGTCGCGTTCAACGATTCATCCTGTCCACCCACGGCGGAAGAGACAACAAACCGGCCAACGAGGCTATCATTTGAATCGGTCTTATTGGTCAAGAACATAGCGGCCGAGTAAGGGAAAATTCCACCGCCAGCGATACGTGCAAGACCATCGGTAACGACGCCAGCGAGCAGAGTCGATATCAACTTGGCTCTACTTCTCCGCACGTCGTCCTGAGTAGTCGGGACGAAATTGTCACCATTCGCTTTTCCGAGGATGGGAGATCTGAAAGCATATCCTGTTTCGTTGGTGGGTGCAACGGCCCCTTGAGGGAAGGTCAGTTGATTCAGCATGGCCGTTATAGCAGGAACATCCCCCGAGTCGAAAGGAATAGGCTGATTGATAGCTTCGGCGTACTGCAGGTCAATGGCCATATCGCGGATCGATCGGCCGGTAGAAGGCACTCGTGGGATTGTCAGGCATGTATCCGGAAGCTCGCCTTCGACGTAGAAAGAAACTTGGTCACTGCTTCTGGGTTCGTACCAGACGAACACAGGTACCCATGAAGCCTGCGAGTAGTCAGAAAGCTGTACCAGATAGGGAGAAACAGAGCATGAGAATGTGCTCGAATGGCACAGACTCCTGGGAAATGGGGCGCATACATAAATACTGCAGGCATGAATTTCGGTTGCTTGCCGCGTCTCTGTCATGCTTGCATCTGTGAAGTAGATCCACGGCACTCTAACCGCCACTCCGAGTGTTGGAGTATCAGTGCCCTTTGGCATCTCAACCCACTGAACATCTGTCGCATTCAATGTACCATTGTATGGCAGCCTGAAACCAGGCCTCGGAAGCGTTCTGTTGGAGTCTAAACTGGGAAAGTTGACCGGTCCCCGGTTTTCAACTTCAGAAACATTAGAATAGTCGAATCCGTCGCACAATACTTCTACCCTCGGGGCATATATCGGAGTTCGTAGAGTGAGTCGCGGCTGCGCGGTCCTCAGACCTAGCCCTTCGTAATTGTTCAATGCAAAACTCCACCATTGTGTAAGTGCTCCTGTAATGAACGAGTTCAGTGTCATGCCCGATGCCCTTCCGTCAAAGTCGCTCTTGCAGCTTTGCGTCGACAGAATTCTTCGAGTATCCCCTCGTGAATCAGGAATGGAGGCGTTACTCCCAGAGGACGAGTTGACGAACAGCAGGTTGCCTGACCATGAATACAAATCTCTGAAGTCTCCGGCAGGACAGACTTCCTGGACCAGGGTAGAAAACGTGGCCTCCGTACAGTTGATGCCTGAATCAGCACTGTTGACACTTGCGGCAGTAACGGTATCAGGCCAAAGAGCTGTGCTTTCGTTGAACACATAATATGGCAGTACATCATTGTCGAAAGGTCTGTCCACTGGAAACCAGTTCAGTGAAGGGATAACTGCAATAGCAGAGGATGGACCGGCAAGGGTTGCTAGTAACGTCGCAAACAAAGAGAGCAGCCAAAACCGCCAGTAATGTGCTTTGGAAGTCCAGGCTGTTTTCCAGAAGGCTTTTGTTCGCAAGAAATCGCCTGAACCAATTGAGAAGGCGTTGGCGATTAGCCCTAGGGGTAGGCCATGATTTCCGACGAGGTGTGCATGTGCAACATGCATCACAATGTTCGCCAAGGAGGCGACCAGAACGAGTTCGACAAGCTTTGCCGCCAATTGAAGCGCATTCAACGCTCCGCCTTGCGTGATGCCAGGAAGGATTTCCACTGTGGGATCAACCAAATCCATCCAATACAGGTCGAGAAAGTTGATTCCCACAACAGCAGCGATGACTATGCTGGCAGCCACATGGGGAAGGAGTTTGGTAGAGTTGGCCCAGAATCCTTTTCGGATCGCCTGCTTCGGCTGCTCGAGTAGTTCTTGGAGGAGTGGTGCAGGATTCTGGGAGAAGACATCGCTTGAGTCAGATTTTGCGTATTCGATGGTCTTTTCCTTGAGATTTGTGAAGCTATCGACTGTGTAGCTTCGTTGTGTGACGGATACTATGGGTTTCTCTTGTAAATCCAAGTCACCTGGACTTGGTGGAGCGTTGAACAACTTGGTGTATAAAGAGTGACCGGATTGCCGGTGACCCGCGCCGGAGTAATCCATGAAGAGAAAATGAGCGACTTGAACGTAAGGTATTGCTTGTAAAAAAAAGGAGAGTCCTCACTCAGATGAGGTTGAGATCGACACATGCTTAGGTTTATAGCAATTGGGAACCAACCCAGTGCCTAGAATATGGGCGCATATTCTGTGGCCAATTCGACACAAGTATTGTTGCAAATTGAGCTGTCCATTTCAGCAGCGAAGCGAGTATACGGCCAATGACCAATGGGAATTGCAGTCTTTTGTAGGATTGTGTCAAAGCGACAGGTGCATAGGGCTAGTAGGGCTGGAAGATTTGAGGTTGTCAGTACTCCGTAAGCACTAAACATCCTCCAAGGGCCGCGGATCGTTTCAGACACATCACCTACTCATAAATTCTCGCCCCCAATATCAGTTGGATCAAGCCACCCTTATTCGGGGACACCGCCACAAGAGGTTGTGCGAAGTCGATAGTCGATAGTCGACAGTCGCGACACGCGCCAGGTGTTGGTCAATTTTCCATCTTGTCTGATTCAGTGATAAGTGCCAGGATCGCTTCATCCTGAGGGCATCAAAACAAAAATTGCCTGTAATTGCCGCCCGGATAGCAAACTCGGGCTTGACTCTCAGCTCAATAAACGGAGCAACAGCAGAATGTTGCATCCTGGTGGAAGTGGATGGACAAGAGAAGAAAACAGCAACGAACAAAATTCCGGTACCTGCTCAACTTCGAAGTAAACCTCGTCGAACTCAGACGGACATGAATTGGACAGCGGAATATGAGCAAGGGCCTTCCACAGTCCAAATTGGTCGGGAATTGGTAATCTTTTGAGCCACGGAAAGTATAATCCTATGCGGACTGAGATCTATTCATTGCATGCTCCTCCAAAAAGCCTTTGCTGATACCTTGTGGCGATCAAGATATCCTATCGGCAAGGTAGAAGCCGTACCACATGGTCGCAATCAATGATATCAGATTGACCAAAGAGGATGCGCCATGTAACCTCGAAAACTGTTGGTTAAGTGCTTGCATCTCTTTGCTATGCGGAGGTGGATCATAGCTCTTCTTCCCGTCTCTTGTCTCTTGATGTTTTCTGTCCTTCATGCATTTCGTCGTCGCTGGTCCAATATACGCCAGATTGGCGGCCGCGGTGACAAACATGGTGAAAAGAGGTGCTAGAACGCGAAATCGGTTGATGGGATCAAGGACACCTGATATACTTGACGGTATCATACTGATCGCAGTCCGCTCGGCGGGCAGTGTCAGGGCAAGGATGACCGGGAGGGCAGTCTGCATCGAGAAATATATGGGGAAAGTGGCTTGCTGAAGCTGGGCGAATTGTGGACGAGGTAGAGTCCTGAAGGCGACTATTCCTGCCACGAAGCTTTGAAACGTGGTAGTACCCAAGAGAATGCCATAGCTTGGAAGATGTTAGTTCATGGTCCCATCCACAGGGTAATTGGCCACGGACCTGATAATGTGATAAGGCGCGGCGGAGTATATGAGTGAACCAGCCATTGTTTGGTCGTCGCAAGTCAATCCCCACGTAGACAAGAATACTAAAATAGGTGTCTCTTTCTCAAGAAGTAGTTATCGAGGAATGAAAGGACAGTCAAGTCGAGTCGAATCTACTTGATCCGACAACAATGACGACATTGAATCGATTGCCCCTGCCGAGGCTGTAGATGCACGTGATCACGCGTCATTCGCGACTTTGGCCGCATATTGATTGAGGAGGAAATACTGTGTAGATGTCTTCAAGGCTGCAGGCGGGCTTTTCAGTTGTGGTGACCGTCTCGGGTAATGGGACTTTATTGAATCTGTTCTGTCACCACCAGTCAGCAAAATACCCTTCTCCCAGAAATTCGACCACCGCATCTTTCTCCCGTCGACCATCCGTCCCATAGACGGCGGCGCAATCATGGCTGAAAAGGAAGCGACCATCTATCTCATTGATGTGTCACGGTCAATGGGCAAGAAGCACTCCGGACGAGATCAAAGTGACTTGGACTGGGCCCTTCAATATGTCTGGGACAAAATCACCAATGCCGTGCTCACCGGACGAAAAACACTCCAGATAGGCGTGGTAGGACTTGGAACGGACGGCACCAAAAACGAAATGGCGGCTCAGGATGATTCATACAAACATATCAGTGTCCTGCAACCCATATCGCAGATCCTCATGCCCGAGCTGCAAGCTTTACCAAAACTCCTGAAACCCAGCAAGACCGACGACCGAGACGTCCTCTCCGGTATAATTATTGCCGTCGACGTGATGATGAAGCACTGTAGACACTTGAAGTACAAGAAAAAGATTGTGGTCATCACCAACGCTACAGGTCACATTGACGCCGACGACATTGAGAGTACCGCAGAGCAATTCAAGAACCACGACATCGAACTGGTGCTTTTGGGTATCGACTTTGATGATGCCGAATACGGCACAAAAGAGGAGGACAAGTCGCCGCTCAAGGCCACGAACGAGCGGACGCTGAAGAAGCTGGTGGATCTTTGCGATGGCATGTTTGGGACAATGCAAGAGGCAGTCGACCAGTTGTCACGTCCGGATATCAAACCCGTGCGACCCACACCAACGTACAGAGGACAACTCAGGCTGGGTGATCCCGAAAACTACGATACAGCCTTGTCGATTGACGTCGAGCGATATTTCAAGGTTCAGATAAGGAGACCACCTACGGCAAGCTCGTTTGTCGTCAGAGAAAATGCAGGGGAGGATGCTCAAGGACTCCAGTCAGTACACAGTGTGTACAAATACACAGCCAAACTTGAGAACGGCGAATCAAAGGAGCTCGATCGCGGTGAACTGGCTAAGGGATACGAATATGGTCGCACAGCGGTGGCAATCTCGGAATCAGAGCAAAATATCACCAAACTCGAAACTCAAATGGGTTATGATATCTTAGGTTTTATTCCGGTTGACCACGTGGAACGATACATGCTTCTCGACAACAGCAACCTGATCGTCGCCCAAAAGGGCAATGATAAAGCTGCTCTTGCCCTCTCCTCGCTGGTGCATGCCCTCTTCGAGTTGGGCTCGGTGGCGGTGGGTAGACTGGTGAAGAAAGACATGCAGGATCCAATACTAACCATTCTTTCGCCATTTGTGGAAGCAGATATTGAATGCTTGGTGGAGAACGTCCTGCCGTTCGCTGAAGATATGCGATCATATCGCTTCCCTCCACTGGACAAAGTGCTTACTGTCTCCGGCAAGGAGCTAACCGAGCATCGCAATCTGCCAAGCCAAAAGCTAGTGAAGAGCATGAGCGACTTTGTCGACAATATGAGCCTGATGGATGATGAGGAGGAGATTATGGCAATGGAAGACACCTTTTCCCCCGTGCTGCACAGAATAGAAGGAGCAATCAAATACCGAGCCATCCACGGCCCAGGCAACCTTCCAGACGAGCCCGAAGCGTTCAAAGCATACCGTGAACAGCCAAAAGAGCTTCAGGAACGAAGTAAAGCCGCTCTTGCTAAGTTGATTGAGGCTGCCGAGGTCAAAAAGGTCCCGCAGAGAGCCAAAGGTCGGAGACGATACCGCGAAACGGAGAAGCCACTGTCCGGGCTTAACGTCGATGAGCTGCTGGGCAAGGCGAAGAGATATCATCTCTCACCAGAGAATGCCATCCCGGAATTCAAGCAAATGCTGAGTCGCGGAGACAATTTGGACCGCATAAAGGATATTGTGCAAGAAATGGCCACCATCTTGGAGGGGTGGATCCGCACCAGTTATGGCGACAACTACGGAAAAGTGCTGGAAGGGCTCGGCACTCTCCGCGAAGAAATGCTTGGTTTCGAGGAGCCAGGATTGTACAACGACGTGATCCGAGATCTGAAGGAGAAGATTCTTGCAGAACAGTTGGGCGGAAACCGAGGTATGCTGTGGTACCAGATCCGGAAGAACAAGCTCGGTTTGATCAGCAGCGAGGCCTCTGAATTGTCGGATGTCACGCCAGAAGAAGCGGATGCCTTTGTCGATCCAAAATCGGAAAAATAATATGTTGGTGATGCTGATACTGCAGAACATTGTGATACAGTCGTCGCAAGGCGCTATGATACCCAAGTGATGTTACAAATGAGATACCCAAATTCACGTCTAGGATATCTTTCCAACTCTTCTCTTTGCGATGTTGATCTTGCCTTGGACACGATCGACATCCTCGTCCACCATTCTGAGCATCTCATTCTGCACCTCTAGCTCCTGGTTGATCGCGATGCCCAATTCCTTCTGCCTCTGAACGATTTTGCGGAGTTCTTCCACGTCCAAATCTTGGTCGGCCATCTTCTGTTTCTGTAGTCGAAGGACACCGTGATTGTCCAGTTCTCTCGTCTCGGCAGTCTCCTTTCCAAGCACTCTCCCACCGGCCTTCGGCTTGGTCCCCATAAGACTCTGCGTCTCCTGCATCGATGCTACCGCGTTATCCAGTTTTGACTTCGTCGCCATAGCGTTGAGCAGGTTCTCCAGTCCGTCCTTGTCCTTTTGAGCCGATGCTATCAGGTCTTTTCTCCGTCTGATTTCGCCTTCGCCGAGTTTCTGTCCACCCCATCCTTCTGAAGGTTTTTGTATATTCGCCAGCCCTTCCTCGAGAGCCTTGATCATCGTGCCAGCCTTGACAAGACTGCTCTTGGCCGCCGCGCTAGCCTCGTGCTGTTTCTGGAGCGTCGAGGCCTGATCGCGATTTGTCAGGTTGAGCCGTGCATCTTGCAATTGTGCTTTCAAGTCTCGATGGCAGTCCAGCCACACTACCGGGTCTGTGATGGGAGCACCGCCTCCGCCTGGTCCTGTTATGACCGAATGCAATGCGCCAGCTTTGCTGGATGTCTGGCTGGCGAAGGAGCTGGGCAAATTCAAAAACGCTCTCCACACGCTCGTTGTGCGCCATCTTCCGTCGTCTGTTTGATTGATTGTCTTAAGGTATGTCTCTAACGCTTGCCGTCGCTCTTCTGTCAATTGCGGATTTGAAATGGTCTTCGAGAACCATGACTTCGCGGGTAGAGAAGCAGGTGGCGGGGAGCCGACTTGATCTGTCAAGCCTGTGTGGAGATCGAGGAAGTCAGAGTAGCGCTTTTGGACGGTGAAAGACCGTAGGGGAAGGCGGATCGTGATGTTGTAGACCGTGTAGGGTTTGGAGGTGCTTGAGACGGTGGTGTTGGGTATGGAGATTTCGACCGGTGGCGCCATGTCGGGTTGGGACTGGAGGGTGCGGAATGATCAAAAAGGGAGGAATGGCATAGTCGTCAATGTCTCAAACGCTTGCAGGGGAAGATGTTAAGCGAAGAAGCCTGGATCTGGCTGTGTCGAAGGAGTTCTGATTGTTAAAGTCGATTCGCAGGCCAAAGGCAACAGTGACGTCGGTTTGTTGATCCAGGGACTCGGGGATGGCTTCACTAGGCATCACTAGCATAAACGAGTGGCTGTGCTTGAATGCGACGGCATCGACGGCCCATGGACAGTCTACAGTCCTGTTTGACCCATGTTCACTGGAACTCTGCCAGCTCACCAAGATATTGAATGCGTTATAGTGACGCAGGTGCCGCCGCATCCTGGTACTGAAAGAACTCATCATCGACGCCATATGCGATGAATATCATCTCGTCTACAGTCTGCCATCATGGCAGCGAAACCTCCATTGCCGCCCAGGTCAGCGTCTAGCTTATCTCCCATTGACATATCATCACCTGGATCTTGGGAGGAGCAGCACAGTCCTCAGTTCCTGTCTCCTGTGGTGTCGCCCACGATCAAAAATTCCCCTTATCCTGGTGGACTTCATGACCCGCGATCCTCGTCTACTCAATCTCTACGACCAGCCGAGCCTGCCGGCAATGACCGGCGGACATTGCTAATCGTCTACATTCATGGATTTCTTGGTGATGAGACTAGTTTCAAGAGCTTTCCGGCTCATGTTCATGCTATCTTGACCAAGTCCTTGAGAGAAACGCATGTCGCCTACACAAAGATCTACCCTCGATACAAATCTCGAAAGAATATTTCGTTCGCAACCAACGATTTCAGCAAGTGGTATGTCTTGAAGCCAGAAAACGCGAAAACGGCAACTGACTCTGTTCTAGGCTTGCTCCTCGTGAGTCCGATCAGACTGATGTTATACTTGTCGGCCATAGCCTTGGTGGGATACTTGCGGCTGAAGTCGTCCTCCTACCCTCCGACGCCCCAAGCAGCAATGGAGTCTTTAGGCATCGCATTTTAGGCCTTCTTGCCTTCGATGTGCCTTATCTAGGAATGCACCCAGGCGTGGTTGGGACAGGGATTGCTAGTATATTTCGGCCTCCTCCTGAACTTGCAGAGGCGTCTCTGGACCCTTCACCATTCTCGGACACTGCAGACCCCGACCCTACGTATAATCCGTCATACGAGAACGATGTCCGGCTGGCCACCAGGAAAGGCAAATTGCAAAGGGCGTGGTATTTCTGGAACAAGCATGCCGGAGAGGTCAGCAAAGCTGCAGGCAAATACGTCTCCTCGCATCTCGAATTTGGGGGATGTCTGGCAGACTACGTGGGACTGCGAAAGAGATATAGATCGATCCGAGCATTGGAGGACGTCAATGAGCTGGCCAAACCCAGAGCCCCGAATGGCCAACTGATGAAACGGGTGAGATTCGTCAACTATTATACCTCAGCCACAGGGCCAGTCAAGCAGAGACCACCTCCACCTAAGACTGGGCAGGATTTGCTGAAACCTCCTGGAGAAGATTTACAACTCATCAATTCTACTACTACCACGAAATCAACTGGTAGCGACACACCTCAGAGTCAGACGGCTTTACCAAACTCAAGTCCGCGCATATCCCTCGAAGAACATCGGGATGGAGAAGTCATCACAAAAGATGTGGGAGAACTTGATACTGATCTTGAACCGCCCATCATGTCGGAAGTTAGTCCCGAACGCCTTGTGGAAGTAATGAGTGGGAGCCACGAAGACCTACACAAGCTGCAGAATCTTGAAATTGAAGATGAAGCCGAAGATCCCCCAGAATCACTGCTTGAAGAACGTTCCACGCCAGTTGCCGAAGTGGCAGAGGAAGCAACCATCAGAGAAGAACCTCGAAAGAAACAGAAAGATCGAAGATTCTGTGTTATTCCTTCGAGGGACTCCAACGGGCAGGGCGATGCTGCTTGGATCCAGGTACGTATGGAGGGGATAGATGAGGTCCAAGCGCATACTTCGATGTTCAAGATGGGCGAGACTTATGTGGCTATGGTGGAGGATACAGCCAAGCGAATCGAACGATGGGTGCAGGAAGACGCATCCCGCCGTATGATTCTCGCAGAGATGGAAAACGAGACGTGGGAATAGACCCAGTAATGAATAGACCATGAAGAATGATTTTGAAACGGCTGTCACTGTCACAATCCCTGGCACGCTCTGGCTCACCAGGCTACCGTTGTCGGTGAAATGCGTGCCGAACAGCAGACCCGTTCAGCCCGTTGCAATTGGAGAAGCATGATGTGCACAATACCTTTTTTTGAACAGCCCACTTTGATTTCTGCCCGGCCGTCTCGTGATGCGCATGTGGTGAGTCAATTGCGGTCCATTGACTATTTGGATCGCGCTCGACCTCCGAATTCCTTCTTCTTGCTCTCACTACACTCTATTCTGCAAGCCACCATCATCATGTCGGAAGCCTCCTTGCCTACTCACGCAAAAGACAACCCCAATGTCGCAGCGGACGGTGCACCCTCGAAGAATGCGTTAAAGAAGGCTCAAAAAGAGGCCGAGAAGGCCGCAAAGAAAGCCGCGGCGAAGAAAGCAGATGAAGAGAAGAGAGCCGCTCAACAGGCGCAAGCTTCCGAGGACACGGCGAAGGAGAACTACGGAGACCTGCCAGATGATCAGGTGCAGGTTACACATCTGAAAAAGTTGAGCGAGGAAGACGTCGACAAAGATGTCACAATCATAACCCGAGTCCACAACAGCAGAAGTCAGAGTGCAAAGCTGGCCTTCCTAATGCTGCGGCAGCAAGGCAGGACTATCCAAGCTGTTGTTGCTGCCAGCAGCGATGCAGTCTCGAAGCAAATGGTCAAATGGGCGACCTCAGTCAATGTCAATTCTTTCGTTCGAGTCACGGGTGTTGTCAAGGAGCCCGATCCTCCTGTCGCATCTGCCACGATCAGCAACCTGGAGCTGCACGTCAAGAAAATCTACCTGATCTCCTCAGCCGCCGAGGTCATTCCCATGCAAGTCAAGGACGCCGAGCGACCACCGCCAGCCGTTGAACAGGAAGGACAGGTTGACGCTGAAGGCACTCCCATTGTGACCCTCAAAACACGACTCGACAACCGAGTTATTGACCTGCAGACCGAATGCAACCAAGCCATCTTCACAATCTCGAGCGCCGTGGAGGGTCTGTTTGAGGAATATATGCGAAAGAGCGGGTCCAGAAAATTCAACACTCCAAAGCTGCTAGGCGCCGCTACAGAGGGCGGAAGTGGTGTCTTTGAAGTCAACAACTACTTTGGCAAGAGTGCTTTCCTTGCGCAAAGTCCGCAACTGTACAAGCAGATGCTGATTGCGGGTGACTGCGAGAGTGTATTCGAGATTGGGCCTGTGTTCCGTGCGGAGAATAGCAACACCCATCGACATATGACTGAGGTGAGTCAAGCGACATCTTTGCGACGTGTACGCGTTCTGACAGTGTACTAGTTTACCGGCCTCGACTTCGAAATGGTCTTCGACCACCACTATCATGAAGTCCTTGATTTCGCCGAGAATCTGATCGTCTTCATTGTCTCCGAACTGAAATCCCGGTACAAGGACGAGATTGCCATTGTGCAGAAATATTTCCCTAAAGCCGGCGACTTCCACCTCAAGGACGGCAAGGCCCTGCGGCTGAAATATTTCGACGGCATCAAGATGCTCAGGGATGCAGGCGTGGACACGACGGAACAAGACAACTACGTCACCGACCTGACGACAGCGCAGGAGAAGAAGCTCGGCCAGCTCATTCGTGAGAAATACGACACCGATTTTTACGTGCTCGACGAGTTCCCCATGTCTGTACGGCCGTTCTACACCAAAGGACATCCCACCGATCCGAAGCTGTCCAATTCATACGATTTCTTCATGCGAGGCGAGGAGATCATGTCCGGCGCTCAACGTGTAAACGATGCTGCTGAGCTGGAAGCAGCAATGCGAGGCAAGGGTGTTGACCCCAGCTCGGAAGGATTCGTGGACTACGTCAATGCTTTCAAACAGGGCTGTCGCCCGCACGCAGGTGGTGGATTGGGCTTGAACCGGATTGTCATGTTCTTCCTTGGTTTGGACAATGTACGACAAGCCACGCCTTTCCCTCGTGATCCTCAGCGGTTACGGCCATAGAGCTGGCGGACCAATACTCCGCACGTTATGCGCAAATCCCAGAGCAGTGAAAAAGTCGGAGAAATATAGTGTCATGACAGATAGAGGAAAGTGGAAGTCATAGACCAATGTGCAGAAGAGATCATGACTCCATGTTCAAACAGAAGCGACGTGATCGCATCGTTGCAGTGTCTTTGATTCTTGCTCTTGCTAGTCCTTCAGCGCATTCGCAACAGGTGTCGAATCCTAGAGTCACCCCGTGTCAGCACACTCTCACGTTCATTACCCGTACGCTCGCCATGTTGTTGAAGAATTGCAAAAACTCACCACATAGACCTGATACAGCTTGAACCTCAAGCCGCCCTCATATTCGGCCATGACCGCTCTCGCCGCCCACTCACACGTGACCGCTTTGCCGTTCTTCAAGCCGTAGTCCACGTTCCCGTAGAGCATGAGCTCCTTGCTGCCCTCGCTGGTGGCGCCAAACGGGAAGATCTTGTGCAGCGTGTGCTTGCGCGTCTTGATCGGGCCGGACCACAGGCCATGGCGCAGTTCCAGGATGCCCTTGTAGCCTGCCGTCTTCTTGGCGCCCATGGTGAAGTCCGCGTCCGGCACGAAGGACTGGGCGTATTCTTCGTGGGCGTTGGGGTCGTCGGATACGGCGTAGAATCTCTCGAAAAAGGGCACGATGCGGGGGTCCACGTTCAGGTCCGAGGGCGTTGCACCCTTGTACGCTGAAGACGACATCTTGGCCTGCAGTACGAATTGCGAGGGAGAAATGCGCAAGGGAGAGAAGAAAAGTAAGTGAGGGCGACAGACAAGAAGACGGAGAGATGTAAAAGGAGGGCGCATGGGGATTTGTTTTCTTTCATGAAGGCCTGGATTTCAATATTCGGATAAAAACACTCAATGACGGAGATGGAGATGCGATGCGGGGAAGAAGCCGATTAACATCAGCCGAGGGAGGAGACTGGACAGTCACGAACAGTGGACACGGATGGTGCACGAGGCGCACGAGGCTACTCTGTAAAATGAGTTGAAATGAAGAAGCAGCTCATTCCATGACCATGTCACTATGATTTGATGAAGAGCCCTGAGGAAAGCATACCTTAAGCATCTCGATCGGAAGTCTTCCTCGTACATATACACACGTTCCCCTGCTCTCGCACACTTTTTGCAAGCACTGAAACTCCAGATGCCAAAGCGAATGTGGAATTCTTCTCCAACACCGTATCTGCCCTGCAAGGCTTCAATCACCCATCTCATAATATGTTCCATTGCGACCAGGCATGGTGTACCCGCCATCACGCGTTGGTTGTACTGGCGGCGGTCTCGTCGAACTACCCTCGACCTCCACACTCTGATGTCTGTTTCTGTTGTTGATTTCCTGATACCTCGGCGCTGGTGATATGTGCGTCGTCTCGTCGGCTGCCAGTTCAGACTTGTGTCCTGACCATGCTGGACTGCGCATGTCTGGGTCGATCTCGGCGTCGGAACGAGGTCGCGTCAGATCCATCATAGGTGGTCTGCATTGTTCTTCCTGTTTTCTCTTTTGTCTCTGTTTCGTGTATCTCAAGGCTAGCAAGATGAGCAGCAACGAAAAGATTGCGCCGGACGCGGAACCCAAGGCTATCCCGATTTTTGCACCTGTATTCAGACCATTGCTTGATGTCGCTGAGTCGGCCGTTGGCGTGGGTGAGGAGGGGTACGTAGTGGTCGAGGAAGCACCGGTGGTCAAAATTTGCGTAAATACGGTTGGGCTTGGCGAAGTTGAAGACACCGATGTTGTCGAGGCACTCTTGGAAGACGTGGAAGTTGGGTAAGATGAAGTAGATGGGGTAGAGACCGCAGCGGAAGTGAGAGCATGCTCAGCAGAATAAGCCTCGACGTCTTCCCACGTAACACTCAACCCGGTAGCAATGGGCAAGGACATGATGTTAGTGAGCACAGAGGCGTCCTCGAAAGCAACCGTTCTCGAAGTCTCGGGGCACCAACACGGCGAAGGTGTAGGTTTTGATACTGTGGTGCCGCCAAGTTCTTCGCAAGCCATCCATTGATTCGAAGTGCCATTGCAATAGACGAGGCCAGCCCAAGTTTGATCTGAATCTCGTGAGCAACCACGGCTATTGAAGAAGGCAGAGACTCACCTGCAAAAGCTCCCTTGCCGGGGCAAGCCCCATCCTCGTAATCCGGATCTGTACAACCGGCCAGATAGGTCACTCCGTCTTCTCACTGTCAGATCACTGTCTGCAAAATGGTAACAAAATCCTCACATTGTCCATTGTAGCAGGCCCTCGACGAAAGACACATGTCCTGGCTTTCACAACATGTCTTGTGGCCAAAAACCGCATTTCCACAAGGTATGAACCTCGAGGGGGCCTCTTTCCCACTGCCATAGTAGCAAGTCCCGTTGGAGATGTCGGGGTTGTAGCCTGCCATGGCGTGCAAGATGAGGTCCGTAGATACAAGGAGGAGAGAAACAATAAGTAATCTGGGTAGAGCAAACATGGCGGAGTACCAGGATGGCGCAGTTGTGTAACGGTGCAGGCGTTGACTTGTTGTACGGTTGCCGGCATGAAAGTGAATTGGACAGATTTACAGGGCAGATATTTCCATCCAAACTGAAAAAGCGTGGTGCCTTGCTGGTATTTGTGTAAGACATCCAGTTCATCTGCCAGGCGGTGACGCAGACACGATACATTTACAGATATTGGGTCTGGTCTCTTTCTGATCGTTCCGGATTCAGTCGTCACTCCATTGCCTTCGTAGATCCAAAAGGTCTCGCTGGCCATATACCTCGCCAACCATCGTGATAATCATGTCCAAGGTCATTCTAACCAGCCTGGTTCTGTCCGTGTCCTTTTCCATGGCCACGGTACTGGTCTCCGTTCCTTCGTTTGGTGCCCCGGTGGTGGTCTCCGAAGCCTCTCCCTGTGTAGCGACGACCTGATCATCCGCTGTCTGTACATCCGCGGCCTCATACTCTGTGTCTTCGGACCACGCGTCATCTTGCGCCAACCCACCATCCAGTCTGTGCAATATCTCAACCGCTCTCCGCGCCAACCCACGAAGTTCTCCAATGTCCTCGCTAGACAGTTCTCCTCGATCTCTGCACTTGCCCAGAATAGCCCAAACCCACGCCCCGATCCGTCGAACAATCGAGCCATTCTTATTGGAGACAAAATTGTTCAACTTCATTCGGAAGAACTTCACCAGTTCCAGAACAGTTTCTTGGTCGAAACAAGCCACCTGGGCCGGATGCGGGTCGCAGGAAAGCACATGCGCTTCCCACTGCGCTCGTACTTTTCGTGATGACTCTGGGAAGGATATGAATTGCGAGGAAGCCAGAGTTTCAAGGCTGGCCAAAGGGGGTGTGCATCGCATTGTGGCTTGCACCAGTCTGAACTGCGTGAGCAATGAGTCGTAGTAATACTGTTGTGCGGTCGAGGTTGGTTCTACGTCGGTAGCTGAGACCTTTGCGATCGCGGTATATGCGCCATCGTAGTAATATCCTCCTTCTTCAGCATGCTGCGAGGATCCGTTCTTTGCCTTGTCTAGAGGAGCCGTCAGGATGTAAGGGACGCCCTTCGCTTCGGATCTGGCATATTGCGATCAGCTCATGTTCGAAAGATCGCAGTAGCTGGCAATGATAGTCTCAGCGACATATAGGACGAAGCAAGTGTGGACAGCTTACCGAACCATCCGCAGGTAGTCGATACCATCGGCAGCTGGGCCGTAGAAGGGCTCATCGCTGTCAACACCCAAGCCAGGAAACGCTCCTATCTGCCCGGAATATTGTGCAACATGGGGAGTTTCTCCGACGTCCTCTTCATCTGTCTCGTCCCAGACATCCTGAGCATCATGCGTATTCTGTCGCTTCGGAGAAGGTAGGTCATCCAGTTCGGGAGAGGAAGTGTTGCGCCGTTTGCGTGACATCTTCGGACAGCTTCAACCCATGGCAAGATGAGTTCGTAAGGAGGCCGAGAAATAGCGCATGGCAAGTCGTGGCCGGCATGCAGTCGCAGTACGTGATTTCGTGATATTGATGGCGAAAGCACCAAGATTTTGGGCCTCCAACCACCTGACTCGGTTCAAATGACAATTGTTTTCTCTAATATTGGCTACCTAACGCCTTCGACTTATTCCATTCCGATGTTTACAACGATGAGACCAGGTGAGGTATGTGTGATATAAAGACCACAGAAGTTCCGTATAATGCCACTGGGGCAACGCACGTATCATGAATTGTCTGAAGCAAGCGTACCCGACATTATGACCCGGCACCCGCAAGGCCTCCCAAAACTGCAAATTGTGCAAACCGTCTTCTATCTATCTCCTTCTTCAACATGACCAGACATGTTGCCACAATCAAAGCTTCATCGAGGTACTCAGTCGCATGTTCGTCCAACATTAGCTGCCCGCCATTGCCTGCACTTGACTTCGATGATCCTTGAGCACGAGTCTCGTCGCTTCGGATCAGCTGCGCAAGGACTCCTCCTTCCCCTTCTCTGCCATCTTCCAATGTGGAAGGCTCCTTGAGCCGTAGCACCATAAGTTTGACCTTCTCCATGTTGGCGTCCTTCTTACGCCCATAGCTCCATTCAAATAGGCGGCCTTCAGGAGACCAAAATGCGATGGAACGAGATGTCCATTTCCCTTGGATCTTCAGGATGCTCTTGTCGCTTTCCCCCTCATAAGGGCCTTGCAAGAGTTTCATAACGGGATCCCGACCTGGGCCAAAGAAGTATGTCGTGCTAACCAAATCACCCAACTTCGGATGACTCAGAACAGCATCGCCCGAGCAGCATGTTCCTCGAGTAGACGTGTATGCCAACGTCCCATCGTTATGATATACAGGGATCTCAAGCTCCGAAGAAGGGATTGGGAGTCGAATTACGCCGATACCCTTGGCTGCCACGTAAAGTGTCGTAATGGGCTGGAAAATTGGATGCTCGGAAAGGACGGCTTCTTCAGAGCAGACCGATGACAACGAGGAGCAGGATTTTGCATCAACCTGGAAGTATTCTTTATCTGGAAGGGGAACTTTGCTGTGATTACCGTGCTGGTCCCCTTTTTGTGATTTGTATGTCGGGAAAGGCATTTCGAGGATATAGCTTGAGACTGACTGTGAGGTAGGGGCAGTCGGTTGACTCCGGACAAAGAGGGGATGCGTGCTCTATATATGTGCACATCTCGAAGAGACTCGCAACAGTGGCAGTGCAGAACAACCTGAGCCTTGCCAACGTATTCGGATTTGCGCTTTCATGATGAATCACACCGATTGGTCGAACTCGCAAGGCAGATTCCAATATCGGCCTCCCAAGCCTTGTGCCAGCCTTGGCAATGGGCAAGCATTGGAGCCTGAAATGGAACCCATGTATCTTTTTTTAGCAGCTCTGAAATACAGTCCCAGACAAACTGGCGTGGCTGACGCTTCACATGTCGTCCCAATGCGGCATCAGATGCTGCAATTCGAACCGCGCAGACGTTACAATAGTGCTGTTGCCAGGCGCTAGCTCGAAAGTCTGCCTGTAGTTGAGCACTCCCGACGCGGTGGAAATGGAGGCGAGCTCGCAATGAGCCTGCTATGGTTCCGGTTCAGATGAGTTACTGACAACAATATCAGGTAAGTCTCTGACGTCAATCACGACTCCCGGAGCGGCGGTGCCCAGCTCTGCTTCTTTGACCAGATCGACGATCCTCATAGCGTCAACTCTCATGGATCCGGTTTCGAAAGCAACCATTTGTATCTCGCTCTCATGACACTGTCCGGGACCAAGAGGCCCGATTCTCAGCTCGGCGGTCAGAGCCATAAGGTCAGTCTCTGGTGGGACAACGTTCGCGTGATGCATGGCGTAGACCACATTTTCGTCTACTATTGCCTGTGCAACGTCCACATCGTCTTCGCTCTTTGTATGTCGCCTCTCACTTGGATGGAAAGATGCAGTAGACGATTTTGGAGCATGTCTTTTCGCAATTGACTGTGCCTGGGTTGTCTGTTTTTGTACACGTGGCAATGGGATGATAGTTATTTTGGCAACCTTTATGGAGTTATTAACCACCAACACCTTCCAGCTGAAAGGTTTCCCAACGAGGGCTTGGGTGCTCGAAGCGGTAAAGGATATGGACAAGCCACTCCTCGCGATTACGTCGGATGTTGGCTGCAGACTCGGGGTATTAACTACCACTGCAGCGGTACCGTCGGTCCCATTGACAGGTAGGCTTGTCGGTCGATTTGGTCTCTGGATTGGCTGCGAAGGAGGACCAAACGATGGATTAAGTGCTTGAGTGAAGTCCACGTGCGTTGTCCAATCCATGCTGATCACCGGCCGACACTCTTCGGTTGAATAGATCGATATCTGAATCTTGATGGACAGCACGTCGATGTTAGGGTTTGAAAGTGACAAAATGGGCGAGCTGTTTATGTTAAGATCCTGATGAAGTTTGTGGATAAATGTGAGACAGTTGCCGGATTGACATTGCATGGGTAGAAACCCTGGCATAAGTGATTCGACACGACCACTCTTGAGCGAGAGGTCCACACTGTCCACAGTAGCTTTTACCTGCACAAACGGGATGATCTCAATGTCCAGCAAGGCAATATTCGTAGGCAATGGCGTGAATGCGTTGAGTCTGTTATAGCGGATACGTGCGATAGCCGCGGGCACCGCTTTGTATCGGCGTGATGGAATGTGCTGAATATGGAGCCTTTGCCTATGGGTCGCAGTGACCGGTAACACTCTCTCTAGCCTTGAAGCGGCTAGATACGGAGGATTGTGTTGAAGTCCTGGAATGAAGCGCATAGGCTCGAGTACGTTTGCTTCGAGCGGCTGAAAGGGGGCCAGGTCCTCCACCTTTTCGTTTTCATCCTGCTCAGGAGCAGTGATAGTCGCCGAAGGAACGAAGACGATGCTTGGCTGAGCAATACGAAACCTCGGTCGATGTAGAGCGATCTCGATTTCCCATATGAGACTAAGAGTTCGACCGCTGTCGGCAGACTGACTTGCCAAAACCAAGGGCTCGCTTTGCTGGATAGCCTCATGTGAAGACACCAAGTCCTTCGTCGGGGTTGCGCGTGGGACTGGAGGGTCGCTTCCTGCAGATTCTTCAATAGCCCAAACATCGACTTTGTACGAAAGGCGTGCAAGAAATGATTTGAGCACATCTTCGTCACAGTGTGGTAACTGGAGAACAGCCAGAGTCCTCAGCTTTTCATCTGATCTGCCATGAGTAAGAGTGCAGCCTGTGAAGGCGCCGCGAGCATCGCTTACCAAAGAACAGAATGTCTCTTTCCTTGAGTGCTAGCAGGTGGCCTGGTCCATCTGGCACGTCTGAATGGGTTGCCAGCAATTCGGACAGATCTGTGGTTGTGTCTTCTGGAATGATAATATCCAGCGAGGATGCTCTCACAGCATCTGCGTCCATAGTCTCCCGACTTATAGTAAGCAGAGCATCTCAGCGACACGTGTGCCAGATCAATCTCACAATTCTCGGTCGTTTGACGCCAGATAGATGTACTTAGGAGAAGTCGAGGTCGCTGCGTCCGCCAAGCGAATCCGAGCTTACATAATCCGGCTCTGATTTTCATCCCTGCGTATCGAGAACTGCGATTGTTCACTTTCTGTCTTACCACGTCGTAGCCTGACAAGTCAATCTCTTCCCATTGCACCCACTGTTCCAAGTCGATCCCGATCGCAATAAGGCTTCGACAATGAACGGACTACCACCCGCGCCTGTGCTATGGCAGGAGGCACGCGCTGCAGATGGCCGTACCTATTATTACAATACCGCAACCAAAGAAACAACATGGACGAAACCGGCAGAGGTCATGACTCCTGTGGAGAAGGCTCTTGCAGCTCAGCCATGGAAAGAATATTCCACCCCTGAAGGTCGAAAATACTACTACAATACCGAAACGAAGCAGACAGTATGGGAAATGCCGGCGCCATATCGCGAGGCCCTCAACTCCGCGCAACTTCCTCCCAAACCTGTACAGCAACCGCCTGCTTTTGTCGCCGGTGGAAGCACGGCCCTGACATCCTACTCCGCATCTCGCGACACCGGTACACCCTTTGAATCAAGAGCGCGGAACGATGGCATACAATTACCCGTCACAAAAGAGGTCGTGCCCGATTATTCCAGCTTTGAAGAAGCAGAAGCAGCTTTCATGAAGCTATTGCGCCGGTCTAATGTACAGGCCGAATGGACTTGGGAACAGACGATGAAAGCAACCATTAGAGATCCACAATACCGAGCCCTGAAAGATCCGAAAGACAGGAAAGCAGCATTTGAGAAGTTCTCGGTCGAGGTTCGCCAACAAGAACGAGAAAAAGCCAAGGAAAGACTGGCTAAGCTACGCACAGATTTTGGTAAAATGCTGAGAACACATCCAGAAATCAAGCATTACAGTCGCTGGAAGACCATACGACCCATCATCGAAGGCGAGACCGTCTTTCGATCCACAGATAACGAAGACGAGCGTAAGCAGCTATTCGAGGAATACATTGTAGAGCTCAAGAAGCAGCATATCGAACAGGAAGCTGCTACGCGAAAGTCCGCTTTGGATGACCTTGGTGCCATACTCAAAGCTCTCGAACTTGAGCCGTACACCAGGTGGTCGCAGGCCCAGGAAATTCTGGACCAAAATGAAAGGATTCAGACAGATGAGAGATTCAAACTTCTGAGTAAGTCAGATGTCTTGACGGCCTTTGAGAATCATATCAAATCGCTCGAAAGAAACTTCAATGATGCACGTCAACAGCAGAAAGCCAGCAAAGCTCGCCGGGAACGACAAAACCGTGACAAATTCCTCGAGCTACTTCAAAGTCTGCGAAGCCAAGGCAAAATCAAGGCCGGCACCAAGTGGATGAGCATATTGCCGACCATTCAGGACGACCCGAGGTATGTTGCAATGTTGGGTCACGCTGGATCAACACCGTTGGACTTGTTTTGGGATATAGTCGAAGAAGAGGAAAGAGCTCTTCGAGGACGGAGAAATGATGTTTATGATGTACTAGAGGTAAAGTCGTTCCATTCTGTCCTCAAGAAGCTCTGTACTGACACTTTGCAGGACAAGCGATATGAAGTTACACCAAAAACATCTCTCGATGAGTTTCTTGATATCATGCATGCTGATCGAAGAACAGCCAATATCGACCGTGATGTTCTCGAACTCATATACCAGCGTTTGCATGAGAAGGTTATGCGGAGGAGCGAAGATGAAAAGCATGCCGCAGACCGGCATCAGCGCCGTGCAGTAGATGCCCTCAGATCACGCATCAAACATCTCGAACCTCCTGTGCGCATAACTGATAGCTGGGAAACAGTCAAAGCTCGAGTTGAGAAGATGAATGAGTACCAAGCTGTCGAGAGCGAAGACCTGAGAAGATCTGCATACGAAAAGGTTGTCAAGCGATTGAAAGAAAAGGAAGAGGACGCAGAAAGAGAACGGGAGCGAAGACATTCCCGACGAGATGACGACCGGGACCGCCGTAATGGTCATCGCGGAGAGACCAAATATGGGCGACTCTCGAAATCCCCGGAGCCTGATGCCTATGAAGCTGACCGTCGCAAAGCTATGGCTGCCCGAGAGAAGCAGTATCGCAAGGCCAGCTCATTGGGTTTGAGCCCTCCACCTTCATCTTATCGCGATCGCGAGCGACGAGAAAGAGACGAGAGACATGGTCGCCTTGATCGGGACCGAATATCACCGTCACGACATATGAGCGCTTACGAACGTGAGCGCCGTGAGCGCGAAGAAGAACGAGAACGCCTCTATAGGACGCGTGCGGACCCTCGGAGCACCCGAGACGAACTCAACTATGGCGAAGAATCAAGAAGCGTGGCTGGCAGCGAGCGAAGAAGACGACGGGGGGATGGCAGTGATGCCGAAAGTGTCGAAAGTGGCCGTCGAAGTGCGAAGAGATCCCGCCGTGAAAGAGGTAACTCTGGGGAGAAAGACAAGAGCAAGACACCGGAACCGGTGAAGCCCGAACTTGTGGCCGAGCCAAGCGGTGTGCATTCCGGTAGCGAGGAAGGGGAAATCGAAGAGGACTAGATGTCTGCGGTTGAAAGTGAGAATCCACCAGGTTAGTCTGCTGTGGCATCACCCTTCTTTCGCAGAGTCTACTACTTGCTTGAGCTGAAGTTAGCTCAGCGGCAAGGCAAAAACTTCTCCTGTCCGTACCCACGAACTGTGATGGACGTTTGAGCACGTTTATGCTGCTGGGGAGGCCGGCAGCGTTCCAAGGATGGCTTGATCGGTATGTAGTACCCACTTACCGGTGTCTAATCATAAAATACAGTGTCTTTTGCTCTCATGATGTTGTCTCAGCACATATTTCCGATGGTCTCAGGTGCGTATGACTAACTTTGCGACGTTTCTTGATTATGGTAGCTCTGGCAGGCGTGCGATGGTGAGTTGCGCCATGATCGTGCATATACTATCCCCAAGATGCTGTCTCCTTTGCATGACCCAAGATGTGAGCTGGAGCCTTGCCAGAAAAAGTGGGCATGGCGATCAGGTCAAGTTTGAGGCTCGAGTCTAGATCGTGATGTCTGAACCTGGCGTGCTGGCTCTTGACAAGATGTCTGGTAACAGTTGCATTGGGACAACGTCGATTGCACGCACTTGGTCGCTTGTGGCTGCATGTCGCTTCTGGCTCTTTTGTGTCGCTTGTGGCTTCTTGTGCATGATGTGAGTGTACTCGCACATGATATGGCGTCTCTCAACATGTGAGAGTCATTCTGAAGGTCCATGATCTTCCATACCAGAATCACGGGTGTAACAATGGTGACAATCTTGTTTCCAGTAAATGGCGACTCCAGCATGCAAGAATATGTGTCAGCGACCTGAAACGCTCTCAAGTGAAACGATAGCTGGTATCGGAAGGCTCTCTAATGCTTCAACCTCTGCCTCCCAACGAATTGCTGCCGATCCAAACATGTTACTTTGGGATTTCCGTTCAGACAGTCGTTGGACAACCATACCCAGGAGCTCCATCCTGCATCCGGCCAGGGTCATCATACCTTGATAGCATCGACACATGCCAATTCCGTGATCAACATTCATAACTTGGCGGATGGTCCGGCGTTCGTGTCCCTCAAACGTCTCATTCGCGGATCGTATAGGGGTTCGCGGCTGACGGTGGCTTTGATCCTCTTGCCGAAGTACTCAATCTCGACAGACTCGCCCTCTTTCACCGTACCAGGCAGCCAGGCATAAGCAATAGGCTTGCGCATCGTGTACCCGAATGATGCGCTGGTGACATAGCCGCTTGCCTTGCCATTGAGGAACACGGGCTCCTTACCCATGACGACCGAGCGGCCATCGTCAATGACGAGGCAGCGTAGACGTCGAGCAGGAGACTTGGATCGTCCCTCCAGCGCAGTTTGACCCACGTAGCCCTTCTTGAATGGGTCGACGGCAAAGCTCAGTCCAGCTTCGTACGGATCGTGTTCGGTTGTCATGTCTGTGCCGAAGAAGCGAAAGCCCTTCTCCATTCGCAACGAGTTGAAGGCAGTGCGGCCTGCGGCAACCAGTCCGTGAGACTGGCCGGCTTTCCAGACCGCGTCCCACAGTGCCTGGCCGTACTCGGCGCTGGTCCAGAGCTCCCAACCCAGCTCTCCAACGTAGGACAGCCGGATGGCTGTGACTGGAATGCCGCCAACGCTCATTCTTTTGCAACAGGAGTAGCGCAGACCCTTGAAATCATCCGGGCTGATCTGGCTAATCACGTCGAGAGCACGAGGGCCCCAGAGTCCAACGCCGCAGACGCTTCCGGTGACGTCTCGGACTTGTGCCCACTTCGCTGGTGTCTTCTGCGCCTGCAATCTGGCTTCTCGACTGAGGTAGGCTAGATCGATTGGTGTGTTGCAGGCCACCTGGAATACGTCTGGCTCAATTCTGGCGGTGGTTATCTCGCTGCGGATGCCCCCGTGCTCGGTGAGCAGTAGCGAGTAAGCAACGGACCCGGGGTCTTTGGAGACATCGGTCGTGGTTAGCCGTTGTAGAAGGTCAACTGCTCCAGGTCCCGACACCTCAAGTCGACGCAGTGGTGTCATGTCGTACATGGCCACTGCCGTCCTCGTCTTCCAAGCCTCCACCGCGGCGATTGGAGAGTAGTGTCGAGACGACCACGCGTCTCGGTCGACCGGCTGCCATTCCTCCGGTAGGCTCTTGAGCAGCTTTGCATTGGCCTCGTACCAGAACGGCCGTTCCCAAGCACCAGATTCGAGGAAATACGCTCCAAGCTCACGCTGTCGAGCGTGGAATGGACTGACTCGCAGATTGCGCGGAGACTGTTTTGGCTCCAGTGGGTGTATGATATCGTACACTTCCACAAAGTTCTGCTGCGATGTCTCTTGGATGTATGCCCGGCTAAGTTGAACTTCGTCGAACCGGGATAAATCGCACTCGGTCAAGTCAATCTGAGACTTGCCAGTTGTTAAGACCTCCGCCACAGCCCTTGCAATACCGGCAGAATGCGTCACCCAGATTGCTTCTGCCACCCAGAAACCGTCCAGCGTAGGTGCCTCGCCGACAATGGAGCCGCCGTCAGGGGTGAACGAGAATATTCCGTTGAACCCGTCTGCGATCTCGCTTTGCTTTAACGCGGGCAGCAGCTCCTGGGAGTATTTCCACGCCGGCTCGAAATCTTTGGGAGTAAATTCCAATCGAGATGGCATGTTCTTTTCGTCAACGTGCTTGGGAGTTGCTCCTAAGGACGCGGCAACGACGGGCATCGGACGATGGCCATAGTATCCGATCCCATACTGCTCACCGTGCTCGCGATAATAAAGGTCTTGGTCCTGATACCGTAATATCGGCAGTCTCGCTCCGTTTGGTACCGGGGAGGCACGGCCGGCCAGGGCGGGAACCTTGGTGGTCTTCACGTATTGGTGAGCCAGCGGAACCAGGGGTATCGTCAAGCCGACCATAGCACCCACTTCGACACCCCAGAAGCCTGCGCAGGAGATGACGATGTCGGCGGGAATGGTGCCGTCGGAGGTCGTCACGCCAGTAACGTGACCGTCAGCTTGCTGGATGCCAGTGACCGGGGTCAACTGAAGATAACGAACGCCAGCCTTCCGTGTTCGTTCAATCAGCTGCTGTACGGCTTTCGCAGCCAGTGCCAATCCGTCACTGGGGATGTGCAGGCCGCCGAGCACCATATCTCTGTTCAGGTGAGGGTAAAGCTTCACGCACTCGTCGGCGCTGATCAAACGGGCATCAACGCCCCACGAAGACGCGTAGCCATGTTTTCGCTTGAGCTCCTCCATTCGCTCAGGAGTCGTCGCGATCTCGAGACCGCCTACCTGGTTGAAGCAGTCTAGCGATAGTAACTTGTCCATCGTGTATCGCGCAAAGTGTGTCATTGACTTTGAGGGGTTTATCTGAAAAACCAGCCCCGGAGCATGCGACGTCGAGCCTCCGGGCATGTTCAAAGGTCCCTGCTCGACGACTGTGATGTTTGTCCATCCTCGCGATACCAGCTCGTCGGCGAGGTTGGTGCCGACGATGCCAGCGCCAATGATCACGACGCGTTTGCTCAGGTCTGTCATTGTCGAGAATTGAATGTTTGACCACTAGAAGCTTATGCCACAGCAGCTGTATGAAAGGGTATAAAGATACAAATAGCAGCCCAATCACTCTGCTACCAGTAGCACGCCATGATGGTAAGGATGCAGAGGCTTTCCCGAGCACTCGCATAACCCCCCGCATCCATCGGCAAGAGCAACGTCCTGGATGCGTATGGTGTGTCGCTACGATACGAGTATTAAATGGGTTAGCGCTCCTAGATTGGACATGGGTTCCAGCAGGTCCAAGGCTGAGAGATAAGCGGCGATGCCGGTGATGGGCACCTAATGGGCACCTAATGGGCTATCCACGGAGTCTGTCAATGGACTGCTGGTCTCCATTCTTGCACCATTGCACCTCCAAAGCATTCGGTCTCGCCCATCACACGACTTCAACCCTTCGTGTTGACGGGCAGATATCAAGGGTCCATCAGGTCTCTTACTCCACCATGTCCCAGGGCGTCAATGCTAAATCCAACGTCATTATCAAGTGGCGCCTTGAGGGGGCAATGAGAGGGCTCAATGGAAAACAATCCCCTTTTGGGAATTTGACGTTCCATTTCAACCACAAACATGTGCGAGATTACGGTCCACGCCATCGATCATTCGCAACACTTGCGGTCGGCCCGACTTCCTGACACGGTTTGATATCATGATGACTACCGCGAGCAACACGGGCCACTAAGGGGAGGATTCTTGCCCAAAGGAGTTCCAGCCGACGAGAGATTTGGTGCCTCATCGATCAACTACTCGTACACTGACAAGCATTCGGACAAGATATCCTGACGTTTGAAGGAAGATCTGCCGATGCCGTGATACTGTTACTAACACGAAGTTCTGACACAGCAGAATCCTGTGCTGCTCGTCTAGGCGGTTGGCTTCCTGGATGGCCAATGCTGAAACCCTCTTTCTTGCTTCCATGCGTCGGATGACCTTCGATGAGAGCAAGGCTTGAAATTCTGGTTGTCAGTCTTATCAGAGGTCTGGGTCAATCACGGACGCTTATGCGGCCGTTGAGCATCTGGACTCTCGCGGATCACAGCCCACAGCAGACAATCACCACCATGGCCGCAACTACTGTAACACCTCCAAGAAGGAATGTCCCGCCCACCTCGCTGAGCTCTATGTTGATTGGCTTCTCCTGTTAACAATTTAGGGAAGACAAACTCCGATGTATCAGGTATGAATTGGCGTCTCAACTGACCGTACTTGAGCAACATGTGGAGTCCGGCTGCTGGAAACTCGAAAGCTAATCTAGACCATCATCACCCATCACGGTGATGTAAACACGCAATCTATCGTGGTATCATTGGCGGACCAGATGGTGTTCCAGAATATGGATGCGACCTCCGTCCTTGGTTAAGGCCCTTTATGTGAAATTTGGCCATATCGGGTCAAGACTTGTGCATGGCGTCCAGACAAGACCGTCTGCTGGACGAGCTCCGCTCCCTGGCAATGGCGACACAATTAAGCTACCGACGGCTGGCGCTGCCATCCAGCAAACCCAGTACACCCTTATCTATTCATACGGACCGGATTGCCCCATGGGGCTTGATGAGCTGTCGTCAAGCTGATAAGAGCGACAGCATGGTATGTGCTATCTCCTATATGTAAGAACCCTTACTGTCAGCGTCTCGTCAGCCACCATCTCTCAAGAGCCCGGTATCTTATCGAGTACTTCCTCTCCTTTCTGCCTTCCAGCGCCCTTGATCTATCTGCCCCTTTGATCATGGCTCCAGCACTACTGAACTATCTTGGCTTCGGCAGCTCCGCGGCCGCCGACGAAGAGAAGAGCTCCGTGAGAGCTTTGCCTGCACCATGGTACACCTCACAGGAAATGTATGAGCTTGAGAGAAGAGCAATCTTCTCAAGGAGATGGCTGCTCACCACACACAAGAATCGGTTCAAGGAGTCGGGTGACTGGCTACGTTATGAGATTGCTGGCTTCAACGTTGTCTTGGCCAAAGACCGCAATGGGAACATCAACGCTTTCCACAACATCTGCAGGCATCGTGCCTATCCAGTTGTGGACGAGGACAAAGGATCGTCGAAGATCTTCGCTTGCAGATACCACGGCTGGTCCTACGGCCTTGACGGCAAGCTTGCAAAAGCCCCTGGATACCAAGACTTACCTGGCTTTGACAAGACACAGAATGGCCTGCTCCCTATCCATGTCCACATCGACATCAACGGCTTCATCTGGATCAACCTGGATGGGAAACAAAAGCCAGAGGTTTCCTGGGAAGAAGATCTTGATGGCGTCGACTCGCAAGAAAGATTACAGCAATTCCAGTGGGATCAATATGAGTTCGACCACATCTGGGAGATCGATGCTGCATACAACTGGAAGATTGCAGCTGACAACTACAACGAATGCTACCACTGCAAGACGACGCATCCTGACATCCCCACCGTTGCAGACCTTGCTTCCTACGGGGTCAACGTGCAACGCGCGTGGATCCAGCACAACGGCGCCACCACACCTGAACAGAAAGCCAGGGGCTTGACAGTTTGTGCCACTTACTTCTGGCCAAATGCTTCGATGAATGTCTCGTAAGTCTTTCTGACTGAATTGATCGCGGCCAATCACCTAACGTAAAGCAGACCTCACTTCTTTTTCACTCAGCGGTTCATCCCTCGTGGTCCCAAAAACACGCTTGTGCGCTACGAGGTGTTCCGCAACAAGAATTCAAGCGAGGAAGACTTCCAATTGATCAACCAGATCTACAAGCGAATCATGTCGGAAGACAAGGCTCTGTGTGATGCTGCACAACGTAACCTCAACGCGGGCGTTTTTGTCAACGGCGAGATGCACCCGAAGATGGAAAAGGGCCCTCTCTACTTCCAGAAGCTCGTCCGTGAGGCAGTCACGGAACATCACAAGCGCGAACAGGCCGCCAAAACCGAGATCTGGCCAGCTCGTCAAACCCTGCCTAACAGTGCGTTGGATACGAAGAAGGACATTGACTTTTGCTCCGGTCTTGCCTGCTCGACAAGTCAGGCAGGTCTGGTTTGGTAATGACGATTCATAATAGGTTTGTTCGATGATTATTGACGCCAACCTGGGCTTTCCTGTTAGACTTTGTTGCATAGCATAGGTCTGGGATGATATTAACGATATTTGCAGAATGATTATTCCAACATCAAGAGGACTTGGCTCCGCAGTATCGAAAATTCGTCAGTTTTGACAAGCCACTGATCCGTGCCATCCTACGATCTCTTGTGGTTCCATTCCAAAGCAACAGATTTGCCATACGCGAGTTAACTACTCGACGAGATCAAATTACTTGATCACGCACGCCGACAGCAACAACGTCCTTTCTCTCACAGTGCCTTATAAGAAGCCGCAAGCGACACTTCTATCTACGAGACCCGATGATCCCAAGCAGCAATATCATAGGATAGTTCGAATCAACCGATGCGACTGTATTGAACTGCGTTCCAGGGGCAGCCCAAGCAGCAAATCACCGCAACCACCCATGTGCACCCGGCGTGTCAAGGGTTCTAGTGGCTACGATTCAGCACCAGTACGACGCCGTGCTCCAGACACGCCTATAATGGAAAATGGAGGCGTGGATCCTCGAGCGTGGCGACGTTGCCATGACTAGATTACGACACGGTCTGGTTCGAACTCTTCTGGGTTCGAAATCCGCCCAGGGAAGGGGTTTCTGCCTCGATAATTGCCGTCTTCTACGAGTACAATGCCAACGGACGAGTGCCGTAGATCTACTATTGCCAAAGTAGTCACGCCTATCAGCTGCAGAATGGCGGTGAGCGACGTCAAGAGCCAGCGCTTGCGGCACGAAACCCTGCCATCAGGTGAGGTCCTACGAGGATGCTACGATCTCAAGCTCAAGCTCAAGCTCAAGCACAATGAAGCGGTGGCTCGACAGCGTCGGCGACGCTCAAATGTCGTAATGGGGAGCATCGTAAGTGCGGATTTGGGAAACCCTTCGTCCACCGAAAAGGAGGTGCGGGTAGGATTTCTGACAAGGCTGCGCACATGATAGCACTGAGAGACTGATAAGGCCCGCCCTATGACAACTTCTGGCCAGGCAACGGTAAGTGATGATCTAACGCAGTAGCCGTCGAGAAATGCTATCATGATAACGCCATCAACGCTTTCGTGTCCACCAAGAAGTACGAGTTACAGGTAAGCGATAAGTTGGTGGGCTTATCCGGTTGGAGCTGGAGCTGGAACTGAAGCAGGAGCTGAAGCACAGGTGACCCGGATGGCGGATGGCGGATGCTGGAAGGCTTTTCTGAATCCGGGCATCATGCCCTTCTATCTCGTACCGCCCATCATCGCTTATCGCACCCCCGCAGGTAACTAAAGCCACGGCATGTGAGGCCTGGAGCTGTCCACTGTCATACCCCCTTCACGGCCCTTGCAGGCCCACATCAAGTATCGCCACTGGACGTCAAACTTCCCCTACCACGCCTACCTAGGCTCCGTACTCAACCATTATTCTCAAGCCGTGACCGAAGCTCCAGCTCCAGCTCCATTGCCGAGAACGGGCACACTTTCACTCTCACACAAAGCTCCGAGTGTGACTACCTGACTGAGTAGTACTCCGCAGAAATACTGCATCTATGAAACACAACAATAAAAAGAGGTGAGCCACGCAGAGCAGCAACCAGGTGACAAACAATAAATACTCCCAAAAACATACGGAAGTACTTCCTTGTCATCTCGAATATCGGATCAGAGATCAGAGACAGTCAGCATGTCCGACAAATCGTACCTCATCGTCGGCGCCGGCGTGTTCGGAGTCTCTACAGCGTACCACCTGATCCGAAAGTACCCCGAAGCGTCAATAACCATTGTCGACCGGGACGCCTACGACGCGGACTCGCGCGTCGCCGCGTCGTGGGACTGGAACAAAGTCGTTCGCGCCGACTACGACGACCTCGTGTACTGCCAGCTGGGCATCGAGGCCCAGGATGTGTTCCGGTCCGACCCGCTGTGGAAGCCGTACTTCCACGAGACGGGCATCTACTGGATGTGCCGCAGCGACTACGCGCAGGACGTGCTGGACAACTACAAGAAGCTCGGGCGGCGAGCCGACCTGTCCGCTGTGCCCGTGGACGAGGCGAAGAAACTGTACGGCGGGCTCTTCGAGGACGCCGACTACACGGGCGTCAAGGAGGTCCTGGTCAACAAGACCAGCGGCTGGGCCGCCGCGGGGGACTGTCTAATCGCCATCACGAAAGAAGTCCTCCGCCTGGGCGTCAAGTACGTGACGGCTGAAGTCACGGGGCTGGAGTTCGACATCCCGGGTCGATGTACTGGCGTCACGACACCCAAGGGAGACGTCTTGAAGGCTTCGCACGTCATTCTCTGCACCGGGGCGTACACGCCCAAGCTGTTGGAGCTAAGCGCCGCAAGTACAGGGAAGAAAGATCTCTCGGCCGGCCCGAGGATCGTGGCCGGTGGTATCACGACGGGCATGACGACCCTCGACGACAAATCATACAGCCGGTTTGCCTCTATGCCTGTCGGAGTGCAAGGCTACACCGCGAAGCAAGGCCCTTTCATCGGCAGTCTGCCGCCCACCAAGGACAAGGAGCTCAAGTGGTGGGGGCAAACGATATTCAAAAACACCAGCGAGGTCTTGCCAGGCCGCCTGATATCCATGCCTCCCGCCGAACCCGACTACGCGCAATGGAACGTTTCCGGAAGACTGAAGGAGGACATCAACCACGCCAACCACGTCTTCTACGGCAAGAAGGGCGCCTCGTGGAAGATGGAAAAACACCGGATTTGTTGGTAAGTTCACGATTTCTCGCGTTGATGCACAAATCGTGCAAACACATTCATTCAATCCCACTGTCGATTTAATTACATCTAGCTGATTCTATGTCAAGGGACGCATTCACGACCAGCGCCGACTTCATCATCTCGCCGCATGCAGCCGCCAAGGGCCTATTCGTCGCGACCTGCGGCAACTTCCACGGCTGGAAGTTCTTCCCCGTGCTCGGCAAGTATATAGTACAAATGCTTGAGGGATCGCTGTCACCGGAACTGGCGGAGAAATGGGCTTGGGATCGCGAGCGGCCGGATGCATCAGGGAATGCAGATTACCCGAGATGGGAGATGAAGGATCTGCTAGATCCAGTACGAACGTCGAAGCTTTAATCCGAGTGCGATCAATACCGGCGTTCGCATACATTACATAGTAGTTGTCAGTCAAGCGACGAGGAAGTTATCTCGTAAGGGTACAGAACGAGTAGAATTCATTGGTATTCGTGTGGAGCACCCAGTGGAGTAGGATAAGGTATCGGGCTACGTAGTGAGCCGGGAAGATGCCCGGCCGGCCTTCTGATCTCCTCGATCACTCGAACGCACCCAAAATAAATGGTGGGATTGTTTGCCTCATGCGGATGGATGATTCAGAAGCTTTGGGCTGCTATGATGACAGCCAACGGCGGGGAGAATCGCCGTAGGATCCCATCTTATCCCGTGCTCAAGTTGGCCGTTAGTGGTATCCCCATGGTCAGGTTCGCCGTTAGTGGAAATGACAAGCATTCATCGGATGAGATATCAGTATCGTCTCCCCGGGCACTGCGTTACCTCTCTCTATTTCGACTCGTTATCGCTTCCTACGCTGATCTGAACTGGCCCTGTATCATCGGACTTGACCTTAATCCGGCAGCCATCGAGGAGCTCCAAGCAAAATGGACAGGCGCAACTCGCAGCCTTGGGCAACGACACCTTTGATCGAGAGTCGAGCCCTTTCGGAAGCGGCAGAGTGGTATGTCACCCGCCTCGCCCGGTCAATTGCTTTGTCTCGCCCGTCCATTTATCTTGAACCCGTACTGCCCCATCTTCGATTCCTGTTCTAAATCGTAGAAGCAGAGTCTTCCTGAAGCTCGACAACCTTCAACCCGCGGGATCTTTCAAGTCCAGAGGCATAGGAAACTATATCCTTCGACGTGCTGCGGAGCGTCATGGGCAGCCAATACACTTCTATGCAGCATCCGGGGGCAATGCAGGTATTGCTTGCGTCCATGCGGCCAAATCGCTCGGATATCCTGCCACCGTGGTGATCCCCAGAAGTGCAAAGCCTGCAATGGTTCGGAAACTGCGCGCCATGGGGGCGACCGAGGTCATCCAGCACGGCGCCAGCATCGCAGAAGCCCAGGAGCACATCGAGACGGTTCTGCTGCCACTTGACCCTACTGGCGTCTTCGTACCCCCTTTCGACCATCCAGACATTTGGGACGGCAACGCGACAATCATGAGCGAGATTGCCGTGCAGCTTGGCGGCAAGCCGGACGTTGTCGTCTGCAGCATCGGAGGTGGGGGCTTGATCAATGGTATTATGCAAGTGCTCGACGACAACGGTTGGAGCGAAGACGTGCAAGTACTGGCAATGGAAACGAAGGGTGCCGACTCGTTGAATCAATCTCTCCTGGCAGGAGAGCTCATTACTCTGCCGCGCATCACGTCTCAAGCAACAAGTCTCGGTGTTGTCAAAGTCTCAGAGAGGACCTTCGAGTATGCCCAACGGCCGAACGTTACAAGTCTTGTGCTCTCCGATGCAGAAGCCGCGCGAGGGTGTTGTCTGCTGGCGGAACACGAGAGAATGATGGTCGAGCTAACTGTCGGTGTCAATGTACCCGTCTGCTATGATGGCCTCTTGCAAAGGGTACTAGGGTCGCGAAAGGTTCTGGACAGATCGAGCAAAGTCGTGATCGTCGTCTGCGGTGGGAACGACATCTCTGTCGAAATGCTCATGGATTGGTATAGAACAACCTTGGGCGAGGAGGATTTGCAAGAGACCACAATTGCTAGTGTACCAAGACCTACGTCGACCAAGCTAACAGCATGAGACAACGTATAGGATGCGGCGTTAAGGGTTTCTCGATAGTGTTGCAATATATCCACTTGCGTATTGAAATTTTGCGACTGCACTACCGAGTATTTGCACTTTCAATTTGATGTGATTGATGTACTGATGTAACGTTGCTTCCTCCGAGCAGCTTTTCGCCGGCCGAAAACTCCTTCGCTAGTTTGAGCAAGACAAGCTATCGTACAATCCATGCCTTTTGTTGCACTTCGAGTCATCAGTCACCTAGCGCAGTCAAGCGACGAGGTCTTTGATCCCTCAAAGTTCCATAGCGTCTCCAGTATGCGAAGATAGATTCAGCCGAGAACGATCGGCCAGTCCCTCCCCATCATCGTCAGTCTCTCCGTCGACTTCAAAATCGAAATCTCCGCGTTCAATTCTGCTGCACTTGTCTAAGATCTGTTGATACTCCTTTCGCAAATCTTCCAGGGTGATGATGATGCGCCGTCTCTTCTTCGAGCCGACGCCGTCTTCTTCTGCATTGTCTCCATTCTGCTGATTCGACAGCCCCTTATTGTCCGTTTCTGCATCGGCCAAGATATACGCTTCTTCCGGGGCCACGCAAGCCATCATGTTGATCAAGGAGAGGAGCACATGACGCAAAGCAGTCGCCTGAGGGTCGTATCTTGCTCCCCCGGATCGACGTACCAGTCTCAGACGATCGTACAAGACCGTCACCGCACCACGATAATTTTTCTGGGCGACACGCATCGCATACATGATTCCGAGATAATCGAAGCCGCCATCAGCAGCAAGCCAACCCGAGGAGGTCATGCTGGCTGAGGTCTGCTTCTTCGCCAACGACACCAGATGCTGATCCAGGTGACGAGCAAGGTGCGGATACATGGCCCATGGCAAAGACTGCAAAGTCTTCAGTGCGCTTTTGCCGTCACAGTTTGATGACTGAGGATTTAGTATGGCATTGACGAGTGATGTAACAGAAGATCTCTGTAACGCTGAATCGGGCAGCTGTACCAAAGTGTCGTATGCAAGATTGAATCGTGACGACTTCAGTTCTGCGTTGAAGAGTCGAGACAGGACTTCGGTCCTGAAATTTGGCAAAGGCTCTTTCTGGTCCGATTGCAATGCTTGCAGGGTCAAGTGAGCAAATCTTGCAGACTCGTTGTAAGCATGAGCTGATTCGAACAGAGTTGAGATGTGATGCAAATATAGTGGCAGTCCACTATTGAAATATTCGGCCTCGATCATCGACAGTAATCCTGCCGAAAGAGCCACGAGATTTCCAACTGCTTTGCCGCATGCAAGTCCGTACGAAGCCTTCTTGAAATACATTGTTGCCATCTGGTGCTCTCCTTTCACAAGCGCCAGACGTCCCTTGACATAACTCGACCAGGGGGTTGAGGGTTGAAACTTCAAAAAGTCAGTTGCTAGGTCAAATTGGCCCTGTTTCAGCAGATCGCACAGAAGGTACACAGCGCCATCGTCGTTCTCGATCGTGTCTTTGCCGGATGCCCAATCATCAATCTCGGCAAGCTGCTCCGTGATCAAGTAGAGGAGGGGCTTTTCGACGGCCGGCTGCGGTCGGACTGCTTTGCTCAGCGTATCCTCGAGAATGCTGACCAGTCTTTCGTGCTCCGAGCCAGACGTGGATGGTCGACGAGCCGCATTGGGCTGTCCGTCTGCACCAAGTATTTCCAGGGGAACGTGTCGAAAGCGCGTTGCCAGCCATAAATTGCGGTTGCATAATTTGAGTAAGGGAATGATTTGGTGATACAATTCTGGCGCATCAAACGAAGTCATTTTGACCTCTTCTTGATTCAGCTCACCCTCGACAAAGATGGCCAATACGAGGAGATCCATAAGCAATTGACGTTGGCATGACATATAGTCGAGCATTCCTGTCGAGAACAAGAGGTTTGCAAACAGTGTATTCCTCAATGCGCTCTTTGTCTTTTTGGTTTTGGCGGCCAGCAGCTCGAGAATACCTAAAAAGAGTTCGTTGTTCAAAGAAGGCATTCCTCCCACCGGGTCAAGGTCCGCTTCAAGTCGTTCGAAGACCTCGTTCGAGATCGCTTCGCTGAAGCCGGTGGTGTCGTAGATCTCGAATATTCTAGTAGGAGTGACCAACTCGTCGCCAATAGACATATCTTCCTCGATAGCGACCGCCAAGTCATTGGCCAGGTCGGCAGTGAATGATTGCCTGAAAGTCGAGGCAGCAGAAATCAAGGTCGCGAGATTCGTAAACGGCTCTCCATCATCAGCATTGACTTTACGATGAAGCCAGGTTTGCCCAGCAACTTCTTCCAGGTCTGGAATGTCCTCGAGTTCATTCTGCTGGAGCAGTTCGATTTTGCTGCATTCTCTCACAGCACAACATTTGCCCGTCATTGTAATCCACGCCATATCGCTGAATGCGTCGTAAGCCAATGCTAAAGGAGCATTCCGGCTCTCGTTGATGTTTTCCGCAATGCGATACAAATTGCGCCATTGCGAGTCTGTGTCCGCAATGAAACGCTCAAAGTCCAGATCGGAGTCTCCATATTTTCGTAGAGATATTGTTGCCGCGACAATGTGGCACATTCGTTGTCGTAATGAGCCTGCTCTCTGCGAGACACCTAACTTCACGGCTGTTGCCTCTTCGAACACGGACAGCGCGGTCTCAAGACCTGCTTCAGTGTATCTCCCTGGGTAAAACAGGTAATCCAACCATTTGGATGCAGGATCCTCGGAGTCGGATCTGACTAGGTCAGGTGCCAGATTCTTCGAGGAGGAAGTTGCTGCGCATTTGACCCAGTTCGTCTTCCACGATTTGACGAGGCTTGCAAACTCGAAACTGCAGTGGTAGAGTTGATGGTAATTGTGATTTCGCCACAACACCCATAATTGAGCAGGTTTGTAGTCTGTGCCAGGATCCAACTTGAAGCCGATCATTGTCCAAATGGTATTTCCTGAGGGGTCTGGATCGGGAGCACTTAATCGCTGGCCAGGATACTTGTCCTCGACAACAAGTGCTTCCGTTGAACCACCCTTGAGGTCCCAGAACTTGAACTGACCACCGTCTTGAGGAGTGTATGTCAACACCACGGGATATCGCTGAAGGGGTAGCTTAAAAATCTGAATGGATGCGTCCTCGGCTGGATTGAGGTGCGTCCGGTCATTTGGGTCTCGGACTGCATCGAGCAAGTCTCTTGTCGCAACAACTCTGCCGTCCAACAGATTCCAGACTCTTAAACTGTGGTTCAGACATACAGTGAACAAAAATTTGCCGTCGGGAGAGGTCACCATGGCGTGAGCTGTTCTTGGATCCAGTGACGTCGAACCGTATTCAATTGTTTGGAGACCCCGACGGCTGACAATACCGCGTATTGACGCACCCCAGCTCTTGTCATCGTAGATGTCATGTTTCCAGTGCCCATCTATCGACCGCCTCGTAGATCTCTGGACTCTACCGCTTGTGAAGGATAGGAAGACTTCGAGAGGACTATTGGCCCAAACGTGGTGGACAGTGTTGAGGTCTAGGGAAGAACAGTCAAGTGGCTTGCACCACTGATTAATGTCTTCCGCTCGCAGAACGGCTGGGTCGCGAAAGGCACTGGTGGGCAGTCGGAGATTGAACAATTCATTCTTGTTTGTGCAGATGAAGGCATGGATATCGTCGCCAGTCTCGAGATCCGCAAATGTGACGCCCCGAGGGCGAATCTCGTCTTGGAAGTTGCACTTCAACGTGTAATATGCTTCTTTCAGGTCGCCTTCACTCCGCGCCAAATCCGCGCACTGGATTTGGAGAGTTCTGCCATTGTTGACAACACTCCAATGGAAGGTTCTCGGGTAAGACTTGGATTGCCGGAAGTAAATCGAGCTTTGAGAGGCAAGATGGTGCGCGGAAAAGGACTGCTCGTCTTTCGTGAAGGCCTTCGTGTTGGCCAGACGGTTGGATGAGGATTTGGACTTGTCGTAGAAGCCCTTCTTTCCAGGGATTTGGAGGTCTATGGTGGAAGCTCGGGTCGCAGGCGTCACCTCGAAAGCGGTCTCGGTGTAGAGATTGAGCATGGCTGCGACTGCTGATCGAGACGCATTTGGTCGAAGGATCGCTCAGGTCCACAATTGTGCAGTAGGAAGTAACATGTTGGCGGAGGTCTGGTAGTCTTCAATGTGAACTGCGCCGTGTAAAAAGTTGCCCAACGCGTGTAATCGCGCTGCCACAGAATGCCAAGCAGAGTACTCCGTAGGTAGAGACTGTTCGCACCTCACCCCAGTTTGGGAAGCAGGGTGATGCCGCCCTGTTCTCACCTAGTGCCACCCTAACCACGCCTAATTTAGGCCACTAAGTTAGGCTCGCGAGAGTGGGTGGCTGGGGTACTTGGATATAAGCGGGCGAGACTTCACGAACCTCCAATCCGCCGTCACCAACAGCACCTCTGTATACATAGAAATCATGTAGAACATTGGCGCCTACAGTAACACAAGCCTAGCCACAGTTTCAGCCTCTTCCCAAATGGGATCTCTCTCTGCCCCCCTGTTCACCCCTGATGTACCGCGTAGAGAGAGACTTTCGCAGGTCTTTCAGCTATGTTATCCACATGTTGCTCCCATAATGCCACACGCTATGATGAAGGACAGTATTGAGCTCACCAAAACAACGCCGAAACCAAAAATCTGCGATATGCCGGGTCGTGCCAGATTACTTGGTGGCAACGAGGTTCCCTGGTGAACATTCACGACGCTCACGACGGTCCTAAGTACACCTTAACGACATCGGTATATTCCAGGTCTGATGATCGTCCATACACCGCCCTCTCATACGTCTGCGGACAAGAGAAATCCCCAATCTCGATAGATGGCACGATGACACCAATGTATGAAAATCTACACCTTGCTTGCGCTGCCCGCGCTCTGGGCTTTCAGTCGGCAAAACGGCTGTGATGGGAAAAGAGAAGAATCATACTTCTGGATCGATCAAGTTTCCATCGATCAGAATGATGCACGAGAGAAAGCAGAGCAGATGCTCGGCATGACTGATATTTACTCTCGAGCAGAGAGAGTCTTGATCTGGCTCGGTCCAACCAGTGAGAATCTGAAGGCCTTATTGCAAAGTTTCGCCCAAGTCATCGGTCCAGGAGCACGCAGAGCTGGGATTTTAGCTATCGGCCCCGATCTCACCACCAGCTGGCCGGATTTCCCCAACCATCCCGAGCTAAGGCCAGTACGTAGGCAGGTAGAACGGTTCTTCTGGTCTGACCCCTTCCGGCGCGCATTTGCGACCAGGCCTGACATGCTACGAGCTTTCGAAGAGTTGACGTGGAACGGATGGTTTGCACGCACCTGGACCATCCAGGAACACACTGTAGCCAACGCCCCGGTTTTTGCGCTGGGGGACGACACATTTGTTGATGGCGACGATTTCATGGCATCAATCTTGTGCTGCACGCTTTGGTTCGTGAGTACACTTCGGCCACTGATGCAGTCCCGTTTTCCCTTGCTGCGGCTGTTCAGGTTGCTCCTCTTCCGGTTCTATGAGAAACCTGGACTATGCGACTACATGTTGGATCCCGAGCGGTTAAGAGAATGGAACTCCCGCCCAAGTACAGTGCTTGGTGAACGGCGTAAGCGCCAAAGGGCCCAAATTGGCGACCACAGAGAAACAAGCTTGAAGGCTTGTCTTGTGCGTACCTTTATTCCGGAGTCGACCGAGGGTCCAGGTTGCAGCCACGAGATCGATCGAATCTGGGCCTTGTTCGGAATGTGCACTGATCGGACCATGCTGGAAAGAGGAGGCTTCCCGCTGGACTATAACACCCCTTGGAAAGAGGCGTACCGTGAGCTTTCGAGGACGCTAGTTCGCCTCGGTCATACAGACTGCTTAGGAATCGAAAGGAAAGGGTTAGCAAACAACATTCAGAGCACCACGGGCCCCATCGTGACATCGCTACCCTCCTGGACGATTGATTGGTCTGTCCCACTGAGACGTCCACTCTGTGGATTCCTAGAGGATGGTCTATTCAGCACCGCGACCCATCTCCCAGTCACCATTGGCGAGGCTGCACACGTCTCGAGTCAGGCCAACGCTCTCGCCATCAATGGGTATTGTTTGGGTCCCGTTCAAGCTTTGGGAACCGTTTTCACAACATCCAAAGCCGCCCATGAGCTCGACTACGTCCAAGCCAACATCTACTTGCGAGAGATTGAGGCCTTCGTGGAGCGATCAGCCTTCATTCCCCCCCAGCTCAAGGCACATGCCAGGGCCTGCATCCCCGTCCACAGCCTCGAATACAATTACCTGGCCATCACTCGTCGTGGAGAGACTGCCGGGATCACGCGCGGCTACAACGAAATGAGGAGGTGCACCGCACAAGGCGAGGGACCGATTGGCGTCATCAGCCAGGAACTACTCTCGTATAAGACGTTTATGGAACGATGTCTTGGAAAGCGAGCATTCATCACGACCCAGGGTTTTGTCGGGTTATGTAATAGCCAAGCTGAAGTAGGCGATGTGTTGGGAGCCATCGCTGGAGCTCCTGGGCTAATCATGTTGCGAGCGGCTCGTCAAGACACAGATCACAGCTTGGATGTCGGCGCCTTTGAGGTCATTGGCGAAGCCTATGCCTACGGACTCATGGATGGAGAGATCGCTAGCATGGAAGATGTCGAAGAGCGAAGCATCGTACTTTGCTGAAGTCACGTATTCCATCCATGTGCACGACAGATGGCTCTGTAGCTGGAGAGCTCGCATGGCGTGCGTCGTCTACTCAGGCCGTCAGCCGACTCTGGGACAGTTTCTAGCATAGGCATGTGTCCCATCTGCATGGCCCATGACCAATGTCCTACGATCGTGTCACTTTTATAAGTGAAGGCCTCCCAGCCGAGCGCGTGTCCCTAAACACATAGCTAGTTGTCGGCAACATGTTTAAGCCTGGGATGGCGCATCCAGGGGACTAGGGTATTTCAGGGCTTTTCCACTCATGAGCCGTGTCATACTTAATTGACCATGACAAGACACTGCTCCCAGGCACTCTGTTTTATATACTAAGGGAGTTAGGGTCTTTTAGTGCCAAGACAAGCCAGGACCAGCGCCGCAAGATACAACAAGAGGTCGATTCGTATCTGATCATTATGTGATGGAACTAACTCGCACGATATTCTAGCTGTCGAATAACACTCGTCCAAATCACCACCAATCACCCTGGTCCTTCATGGCCTCAGCAACCTTGCTGAACCCTGCAATATTGCTACCAGCGACCAGACTGGGGAACTCACCCTCTGCTGGAGTCAGGTATGTCTGAGCAGTCTGTAGGCCGTTCTCGAAGCAGTTCTGCATGATCTGCTTAAGCTTCTCGTCGACCTCCTCAGAAGTCCACTTGATGCGTGCAGAGTTCTGGGCCATCTCCAGACCGGAGACCGCCACACCACCAGCATTGGCAGCTTTGCCCGGAGCATACCAGATAGCTCCGTCCTTGTTGGATTTCCGATGTGATTCGAAGACTTCGATGGCCTCTTGTGTGCAGCCCATGTTGGATCCCTCGGCAATGAACTTGCATCCGGCCTTGATCAAACCCTCGGCTTCCTCCTTGGAGACTTCGTTCTGGGTAGCAGAGGGAAGAGCAACATCGACCTTGCCGACCTGCAGCCACGGTCTCGCGCCATCAATGTATTTCACCTTGCTGCTAAAGTCTGACGTGTTGGCGACCTCGGACAGTTGTTTCCGGTCGACCTTGAGCTTGGCAACAGTCTCGATCATTTCAGGATCGATGCCCTTGTCGGTCGTAGCCACGATAGCACCTTTGCTGTCACTCAGGGAGACGACTGTGCCACCAAGCTCAATGACCTTAAGTGCGGCATACTGGGCAACGTTTCCGGAACCCGAGACTGCGACTCTCTTGCCTGCGAAGGACTCCTTGCCGCCACTCGCATACTTGATCATGTGTTCGACGTACTATGGGTTGTCAGCTTGATTCCGCCTTCCTCTTCGAACGCTGCTGCTCACATATACAAGACCGTAGCCAGTAGCTTCTGGCCGGATAAGAGAGCCTCCCCAGCTGCCTGCGCATTGTTAATGATTGTCGTCAAGATATATGTGGCCTGCACTTACCTCCTTTTCCGGTCAAAACACCTTCCCACAGCTTCGTTTGTCTCTTATATTGTCCAAACATCCATCCAATCTCGCGAGGAGAGACACCAATATCACCGGCTATTTGTGGTCAGTCCTGTCCAAGTCGTGGGGCCGGTCGCGTGACCATACCTGGAACATCGGTATCTGCGCCAATGTGCTTTCCAAGTTCGCTCATGAAAGCGCAGCAGAATTTTCGGATCTCGTTGTCCGACTTGCCCTTGGGGTCAAAGTCTGCACCTCCTTTTCCACCGCCCATATTTAACCCAGTCAGGGCATTCTTGAAGATTTGCTCGAAGCCCAAGAACTTCAAGACTGATAGATTCACCGTAGGATGGAATCGAAGACCACCTTTGTAGGGGCCTAGAGCCGAGTTGAACTGGACTCGGTAGCCACGGTTGACTTGGACCTGGCCCTTGTCGTCTTCCCAAACGACTCGGAACTGGATGATTCGCTCGGGGATTGAGCAGACTGCGAGGGCTTTCTTGTATTCGGGGTTCTTCTCGAAGAGGGAGGAGTTTTCGAGTGTCGAGACAAGCTCTTTGTAAGCCTGTTCGAACTCAGGCTCGGACGGGAGGTTAGACATAATGACGATGTGGTGGCAAGAGGAGGTCTAAATGGGAATTGAGCACTCCGTAGCAGAGTACTGGTAGGCTGAGGAGATTTTGCACGCTCTGAGGAAAACTTAGTAGAGACAGTGTCAGGGTATAATGAAAGGAATATATTCTAGGGAAGAGGGCAAAAAGAAATTCAATTGAGAGCAACGAAATCATGCGTTTATCAAGAGCTGTGGCCACGAAGTGATTGCTTGCTTCTGGCCTCTGTCTTGTCTGGGCGGCTTTGCCATGCTTTGGTCCGCTCAATGGGTTTCCGTGGAGAGTGACGACAACATGGCGGTCATCGTGCATGTGCCCGCATGTCAGGGCAAGCTTTTCTCTCGTCTAATATGACCGGAAGCAAGCATGGTTGTCTGCGCCCGAGGGAAGCTTGCCAACCATCTGGTTCATCTCCGCCTACCCTAGGTACTGAGTGGTACGGTTGACGTTGATGCATCAACAAAGATTTATGGAAGAAAAAGTGCCAGCGGAGCTTGGGATTGGTTCGATAAGGATCAGAGCTAGTGATCGCGGCTGGAGCACGACTTGGGGCTCGTTGGGTGGCACTTTGACCAATTCATCTCGTCCCTTGACACACACTAATCGAAAATCCTCATCCACAGTCTGCAAGCGATGATCCCTTTTTGCCGATGTCGCTGCATCTAACAACCTGTCAACACTCAACAGTAAGCCTCGACGGAGTACCATAGAACTGTAACCCCACGTCCGGGCCAGGCGAGAAGGGCCAGAAGCACGATACAATGGGACTGGAAATTTTTCTCCTGCTCCGGTTACGCCCGATGTCTTCAGCTCCATCTCCAGCCTGGCTCAGGGCACGCATGCATGCATGACTAGGTAGCTAGCAAATGCAGCAGAACAAAATACGGCTCATCTTTCGCGAGGCTCGCTTGGAGAATAGGCACATACTCTGGAAATAACGACAGTTTTACCTTTACCATGTCCCTCGCTTCCTGCCATGGAGAACCACTCAGCTGGAAGTCGGGCGTGGTCGGGTCACTTGTCAAAAGCAAGATGAAATACGGAGACTCTATGTTACATTAGGGAATGTCTCTCGAGGAAGTATCTCGCTGTCTTGGAGGGCTTACCGCGAAGGCTCCGGAGTTGGACATATCTCTCCGGACATTCTAGCCCGCGGTTGTCCAGCAGTGACTCATACGCGACTTCGCAACCTCAGTGAAAAGACAGGGGGGGATCATCGCTGAACGCCTGCATAGAAAAAGGAATCTCTCAGTCCCGACCCGGTGTCGGCGTCCCTTACTCTTGAGGAAGTCCAGAAACAGGTCTATCGAGCAGTCTATCAAAATTTTCATATCCATCCAAAAAGTCTCCGCTCATGGCCCGACCGGCATTTACCATCGTCCCCGTGCGTGACCCTGCCGATCTAAAAGACACGATATCTCTATTCTACGCCTATGCAGAATCTCTCGGCTTCGACTTGGCGTTTCAGAATTTCGATACAGAAATGGCCAATATGCCAGGAAAGTATTCCCCGCCCAATGGAGAATTGTTGCTCGCTCGGAACTCGGATGGACTGGCCATTGGCTGTGTCGGACTGCGTCCTCTCCCTTCCCCAGACGCCGACACTCAGATTTGCGAGATGAAGCGGCTGTATGTCACGCCGTCAGGACGAGGGACAGGTGTTGGAAAAGCATTGGCTTCCGAGATCATTGCCGTTGCAACACAACTTGGGTACGCTGAGATGAGGCTGGATACCCTGCCGACTATGGTGACTGCGCTCAAAATGTATCGATTGTTCGGGTTTGTGGATATCCCTGCATACTATGAGACACCACTGGAGGGTACCCATTTTCTAGCACTCAAACTGGAGCGAAAGTAATGGCTTCGGATCATGCTCCCAGATGTCCTTGGGCGGTTCTCTCGACAGCTTCGCAGCCGTCTGCAGTGTGAAGGAATTTTGTAACTTTTCTGATGAGCCATAACCGGGATGCCAGAAATACCAGGGTTGATACGTCCCTGCAAAAATAGGAATGCTCACTATGTGCTGTGCCTGTGACGAAGAAAGTAGGTGTCGATCATTTCGCGTTGTTCCCATGCTTTTGTTCCCAATTCTTGACTGCGTTGAGAGCAGCTGTTATTTTCATGCCCAACCTTGCGTCAAGTTCGTATTTCTCCCAACCTTTTGCTCTCTCCAGATGTGATTTGCATTCTTGGACCAATTTGGCGTCTTGGACCAGATCAACGGAAGGTGTCTTCTCACCCCCGCCAGTGGTGGGCTCACTTCCATGAGACGCCCTGTAGCCAGTTCTCTGCATCCAAAGATTTACAGCCATCTCATGATGCGCCGTAGGAGCAACCCAGTCGTCCTTGTTTTGACCTTTGAACTCAAGGGGATTGCGGAGTAAGACGTGCAGCTGCAAGACTTCTTTGGACTCGTCGTGTCGGCGGAGATTTCGCAGAATAACAGCTTTCAGTACTGCAAGGATGGCTTGTTCGTCTATATCCTCTCTTTCCCACCGTGGTAAAGTCTCCGACCAGACGAGGTTATTGAGCGATCGTTGCAGTTTGGCTTCGTCCATCTTCTTGTATCCACCCCACAGGAAAATCATTTCTTCTAGAGGACTAACACCAACAGCATCAATGAAGCTGCAGTTGAACCTGGTCGCACGTTCCTCCCATTTGGCCATCTTGCGGACAACAAACACATCGAACGGGAGTTGTCGGCCCATCATCTTCTTCTTGCCAACCTTTGTGGGTGCGGTCTTGAAATATTCCTCGGCTATTTTGGCATGCTTTTGCGCCTCTTCTTTCGTCAAAGACTTGTCATACCGATACAGGCTTAGATGTGCAGCACCCGCGATGTAATAGTACAAGCCCCGTGACCACGCGTTGAGGTCGACACAAGCAAGAAAGGATGACGCGCATAGTTGGTACCTGTGTGCATTCATTGCGCAGAGACTCTTTTCGAACATGTGGAGAGCCTCGATCTGCTTGAGTTGGCTCTTCCCTGGCTGCGACAGGATGTCCAGCGCCCTCTCCAGCTTTCTGTGGGAGGCTGCCATTCTTGCTTCTTCCACAAGCCATAAATGACTCTGCGGATACCTCTGGCGCATATCAGCAAGCAGAGCCCCCAACCTCGCCCCAGGATAGCCCTCTACATCATCTGGATCAGAGGGATCTGAGTCCGAGATGATATCGCAGAAGCCCACGATTCCGTTGTACCAACCAAAGAGAACCAAGCTGGCCATGCCCCCGTTGATATTGGCAAATTTGCTTGCTTGCCAGAGCATACGAATGCCCCGCTCTCGATCGCCTCGGAAGCCAATAATGTACAAAAGCTTGCTGAACGCTGGAGGAATGATTGATATCAGAAGCGATAAAATACCAGACATGAGGTTCGTGCCGGAATGGATGAAGACATCGAGAGAATTGGAGAAGATGTCAGAGTCGGCATCTGCGGTAAGCATACCGAGTGTTGTTGGTGGTGGAGGTCTCATCAATCCCTCTGCGTGCAATTCATCGGTATGGTGACTGAGGTTCAGGCGCTCGATGCGGTGGTCGAGCTCGGTCATATCCTCAGACTCTTCGACCACCTCCAGATGACCAGTATAGCCTTCTGTCACGCGGTTATGCTCATGAATGTCGTCCACTTCGTGAAACTCGTCATCGTCGGAGTCATCATCCGCAGAATTGGCAACCTCGGTGTGTCGTAGACCTGAAGGCTGAGCTGGTTGTCCGGGGTTAATCGGATCTCGGGGTTTCGTGTTCGAGGTCGCCTCTGTCTGACCCAGGCCGGAGAGACTCGACTTTGCAGAAGTGGCCGAATGCAGACTCTCGGTGGACTGAGCCCTCGATTCAGCTAAACTCCTCACGCCGCGTGCTTTGATATAGGCCATTTCCATCTGCACAAGGCCTTCGAGCGTCATGTACGCCTTTCTGAGCTTGTAGAATCCCCGTATGGACTCTGTAAGACTCTCGTTGAGCACAGCCACAACAGCAGACATGATTTGTGCTTCTGCCTGACATAATGCAAATTCTGACCCTTTGTCGTAGATGTTCGAATTGAATACTCGAGTATCATGCTGGGCCTTGTTATAGCTTGACGAAGCACTGGATTCGGCGTCGGCAAGGGTATCGGACGCCTCCTTCATGACCTCTTGCTCAAACCCCAAGGCGGCCTTCATGAAAGCGAGTGTGCCTTGTGCAAGCTTGTGAAATGAGGAGTTGCCATCTGCAAGACCTCTTTCTGCACCCGCGATATCATCATTCAAGATCAATTCTACAGCTCGGAGAGCTGTCTCCAGATTCTGGGATTCTTCCAAAGAGCCCAGGCTCCTAGTCGAGGCATTGGCAGTAGACCAGCCACGATCGAGCCACCTTCCTACTCTATGCATGTTGTCGTACACTGGGTCATGGAACTTGGCCTTCAATGACCAGTGACTGCGTAGGAGAGTGGTATTTGGGTACGCTGCGAAATCTAACCGAACATGTCGAAAGCACGTGCGTGGTGATGGAGGCGTTTAGTGAAAAGGGCGAACGTCAATGACGGATGGTCGGGATGAAATAAAAGGCAGGAGATCGAGGGCAGTTGTAGCTGAAAAGTACAGACTCTGCTCGACTCTACTGTAAGCTGAAGGAGCTCGTTTCAATGCAACACTCTGGATATTGAGGGTTTTGAGAGCAGTTCGTCATCAAGGGAACTGTGATGTTCATTGGAGGTTCGTAGCTGAGGCGGCGAGGGCGGGACTGTGTGGACGCCTGGCTCGCATTTCCATTTCTTTCATCCTTGTCTCGGAGTACGGATAATCTATCACCTTGAGTCCGTGGAAGTCCGTGCCACGGCCACTAAGCCATCCTTCCAACGACCGCAGCAATTGTACCGGTTGATTGCTTCTGTGATTAGAGATACTTCTTAACACCCTGCCACATCTTAGAATCCTTGCCGCCTCGCCGCATAACCTCGATCTAGTGACCTTGCGTTTTCAGCCGCATCCGTCCACCGTCCTAATACGCAGCTCATCTCCGACCTTCACTCACGATACTAGGTTCCAATATGTCGTCTTCGGGTTCCGGAGCAGGCGCAGGCCTTGCGAAGATGCAGCCAACACAGAAGAATGAGGCAGATGCCGCACAAACATCCAAGACAGCGTCAAATCAGCCACCCGCAATGCTGGAAGAGGATGATGAATTCGAAGACTTCCCTGTCGAAGGTCCGGATACTCTTTGCTAAAGGAGGCGTTCGAGATATACTGACTCTGGTGCACAGATTGGTCACAAGAAGACACCGAAGTACATGGTGGATCAACGCACCTATGGGAGGAAAGCTGGGACGATGACGATGAGAATGAAGATTTCAGTAAACAATTGAAGTATGAAAAATCGTTCTACTCCTAAGAATACCTCTAACGAGGCGGTAGGGAGGAGTTGAAAAAGGTCGAAGCCACGAAATCATAAGAACTGCGTCGGCTGGATGAGCGAAACATTGCACTGCCTGGCGTTCGGGGTCATAGAGGAGCTAGAGAAAAGGAATAAATTCACTCGGTTCGATGCTTGCGCATCTCAGAAGAGAAAGAATATCATACACTCAAGGCTGTTTGTTCTCGTTTCCATCATATATTTGGTTTCGAGAAGCGGCCATTATCAACCTAACCAAAGCGTGCTCGTGTGATCATGCAAGGACCGCGATCTACTTACTGGACAATGCGACCACACCAGGCAAATCTTTACCTTCAAGAAGCTCCAAGCTGGCACCACCACCGGTCGACACATGACTGAGCTTGTCTTCGACTCCATACTTGGCCGCAACAGTCGCAGTATCACCTCCACCAATGATGACTATCTTGCCGCTCTGAGCTGCTGCCACTGCTGCATCCATGGTCTTTCTGGTGCCATTGGCAAATTTCTCAAACTCAAAGACACCAGGAGGACCGTTCCACAGGATAGTCTGGGCGTCATCGATGGCTTGCTTATACAGTTTGATACTCTCTTCACCACAGTCAAGGCCCATCCAGCCATCTGGTATGCCTTCCGAATCAGTGGCCGTTCCAGTCTGTGCATCTTTGTCAAACTTGTCGGCTGTGATGTAGTCCATCGGCAGGATGATCTTGACGTTGTTCTTCTTTGCCTTTTCAACAAGCTCGGCGCATTTCTCGCTGCCGGCCTGGTCGAACAAGCTGTTGCCGATCTTGACACCTTCTAGGGTCTTCTTGAAGGTAAATGCCATACCACCGCAGATGATCAAGCTGTTGACCTTGTCTAGCAAGTTATCGATTAATTGGATCTTGTCGGAAACTTTGGCACCGCCAAGGATGGCGAGGAAAGGTCGCTTGGGGTTCTCGAGTGCTTGAGCAAAATAGTCGAGCTCCTTCTTCATCAGGAACCCGGAAGCTTTTTGTGGTAGGTTGACTCCGACCATAGAGCTGTGTGCACGGTGGGCAGTTCCAAAGGCGTCGTTGATGTAGATGTCTCCAAGGACAGTCAAGCCTTTGCGGAATTTCTCAATATCGGCCTTGTCAGCCTTGACCTTTTTGCCGTCTGCATCTTTGCTGCTGCCCTCCTCTTCGGCATGGAAACGCAGGTTCTCGAGAAGGATGACCTGGCCACCACTAGCCTTGTTGACCGTCTCTTCCACCTCGGGTCCGACACAGTCATCAGTGAAGATGACGGTCTTTCCTAGTAGCTTCTCGAGCTCCGGCACCACAGGTTTCAGACTGTACTTGGGGTTCTTCTTTCCATCGGGACGACCGAGATGGGACATAAGGATGACGGCTTTGGCACCGTGGTCGACAGCATATTTGATGGTAGGGAGGGCTCCGACTATTCTCTGATTATTTGTGACATTCTTGTCCGCGTCGAGTGGAACGTTGAAGTCGACCTGGAGCATGGTCAGTTGAGGACGAAAGGAATCTCAACGCAAGAACCTACTCGGATCAAGACTCGCTTGTCCTTGAGGTCGCAGTCGGTGATGGCGAGCTTGTTTGACAGAGACATCTTGGGAGGATATCCAGGGTAAGAATAGGATTGCAAATGGAATTGTGAGTATGTGGAATATCAATTGAGCTCTCGAGTTTACCACAGTAGAGAAGAAAATAAACCGTTAGAGGGGTCGGGAATAACGGGCGATCACTGGGTGGGCTCGGCGGGGTGCAATCAATTGACGTAGCGAGCCTTCGAGGTAGCTTTGAGCAGGCTCTCTTCCTTGTGGTGAGTGCAGCAGCAGCAACTGTTAGTGAGCATGTGTCTGGTAATGCCTTCTCATCAAACATCCCGCACCTCATGCGTTTCTTCTCTTTATATGAGCATTGCAGGGAAAATCTCGTGGTATGCAAGTGTGGCATGATTGGATTTCCAGCTGCGTGTATTGTTATGAGCCTGCCGACTGAGGTCTTTTCACACATGGATACCGCCAACCACTTGATCGGTCTCGATAGAGGACAGAAAGACTATGCTGCTACATTCGAAATGGTGAAAGCATCAAGATTCTTGTATACATCCAACCCAGCTGCCTGCTATGAGTATTGCCCTGGATAGACTACTATTCACGGGCATCAATGCTTTATTGGAACTGGCGGCACCATCGGGTTTGTTGGAGCATCCATCCGCTGACGATCTGCAAGGCGCAGCCTCTCACGTTCTGGCCTTCAGCCCTCCCAGCCGTTCTCTTCCTCCTTGTATACTCCCGTAAGACTCGCCTATCTCTAACGATTCTTGTTGGGCCAAGCCTACACGAGCATACGAATCTACAGGTTTCAAAGTGTTGTCGCTCTTTGCACCGCGTTGGAAGCGATACAACCGCCGCCTGCCTCCCTGTGTCGCCTGCGACTAAGACTGGAACCTGGCGTCACCGACATCCACACACCGTGATTATCATTGACCTCATAACTGTCCCCGTATTGATTGCATCTTCTCTCTCTTCTCTCTTCTCTTCAACATGCTTGAAACATCGAGAAGGAAGTCCTTGGCCTGGCTGAATGGTCAATACATCTATGGCAGAATTGTAAGCTGCTCCCTACCTGACACAAAATCAATTCGACGGATCTGTATCCGAGACAACGGAGCGCTGACTTTTATTCTCGCAGCCTCTGCTTCACGCAATAATCCTCTTCATCGAACTAGCCATGGCCGCGCGACTCATAGCCAAGTTCAATTCCTACTATGCTCAGAAGCCGGTCCTGACTACGATGATCACCAATGCCGTACGTGAAACATGAAAAGATGGTGGGGAGCATGCTGATGGAAAAACAGGTCCTCGGTGGCATTGCAGACACTACGGCACAGACAATAACAGCCTTCCGATCAAGGCAAGCCATCCTCCCTACCAGCGACCCTAGCTCCTTCATCTCCTCCGGTGTCGAATTGGAAGACCTCAATGAGAAGCCCGCAAGGCTATCTCCCCAACTCTCTCCTCGGCATACCGGGCCACGGCCTTTCGACTTCGAACGATTGACGAGATTCATGTCATATGGTTTCATCATGACGCCGCTTCAATTCTTGTGGTTTGGGCGACTCACAAAATGGTTTCCAATCACCCCCAAGAGTGGAACAGTCCCCGCATTGAAAAGAATGGCGATGGATCAGTTGGTATTTGCTCCATTTGGTCTATCATGCTTCTTCACCTTCATGACGGTCGCTGAAGGAGGTGGAAAGAGAGAAATCTCCAGAAAATTCCAGGATGTCTACCTCCCGACACTGAGAGCCAACTGGATCCTTTGGCCTGCGGTACAGCTTATCAACTTTCGTGTCATGCCTTTGCAGTTCCAAATTCCATTTGTGAGCACAATTGGGATTGCCTGGACGGCTTATCTCAGTTTGACGAACTCTAGCGAGGATGAAATTATTCAGCAGGAGTGAGGTGCAACGGTGTTATGTGCTTTTGCTTTTTCCTGCAGACGACCAGCATCGTCGGCGTTGCGATGTGGCAACGATATGGCTTGTAAAGCATTTCCAGGTGCCCACTTCTATGATACCACAATATATTTCTATCAGCATGTTCTCTTTTGACCATCTTAGACCTCAATTTCATCCAGGGACTCGGTACTGCTTTGCTTATATTGCACTGGTTTGAACCCGAGTTATTCTTCTCTGCAGAACAAAGTCCAGGAAATAACTCTCTCAATCAAGCATTCAGAAAAAGACCAATGATTCATTGCATTTTAAATCCCGCAGTTCAAACTCTAGCTGTGCAGGATTCTTCCGTTGCTGCGAGATCCAACCGCTGCTTTGGACTTGAATGCCTATCTCTCCCCTAATTCTGTGATGTTTCCTCAGAGACACATCCTTGCCGTCTGCATTCTCTCTCCCTTTCATGACTGATCCGCCCATTCCGTCCCATTGACGATTTCACGAGGCAGATTGATCAACCTTTTTGACTCGAAAGTGTGCGAGGTCGGTCCTCGTCGATTGATGATCGCAAATCCCTCAGCTTACAGCCTCTCGCCCTTCTCCGCCTTCATCTGGCCGTACTTCTTGAGTCGGATGGCCTGAACCTTGATGAAGCCGCCCGTCTCAGAGGGCTCGAAATCACCGATCTCGTCCATCGAGCTCTCACTGGCGTCGTACAATTTCTCCGTCTCGCTGGACCGTCCGAGCACGATGCAATTGCCCTTGTACAGTCGCAGGCGGACCTGGCCGTTGACGCTCTTCTGAGACTCCTTGATCGAGGCCTCGAGGAACTCCCGCTCCGGCGAGAAGTACAGTCCATTATAGAGGACTCGGGAATAGCCGATGGTGACGAACTGGTCTCTCAGGGCGCGGACTTCGCGGTCCAAAGTGAGACCTTCAAGGTCGATGTGCGCGTTTCGCAGCACCGTCAGGCCGGGAGTTTCGTAGCAACCGCGAGATTTCAGGCCAATGAAGCGGTTCTCCACAATGTCGATGCGGCCGACACCGTGCTTGCGAGCCAATGCGTTGGCGGCAAGGAAGAGTTCTGTTGGGCTTGTCTTGGTTCCGGTTGACGAGCTCGTGAGCGAGACTGGGACACCCTTTTCGAACTTGATTGTGACATCTTCGGGCTCGTTTGCTGCAGAGAGGATCGGATCTGCTGTCAACTTCCACATATCGCTCGGCGGCGTGGTGTCCGGGTCTTCAAGAATGCCGGCTTCGTAGCTGCAGTGTGCCAAGTTCTCGTCCATGGACCATGGCTTGGATTTGGTCTGGCTGACGGGAATTCCTTGTTGAGCTGCATACTCGAGAAGGTCATTTCGGCCCTTGAAGCGTTCGTAAAATTCGGGAATTCTCCAAGGTGCTATGACTTGAATGGATGGTTGCAGAGCGTAAAAGGCCAACTCGAAACGGACTTGATCGTTGCCTTTCCCGGTGCAACCGTGGGAGATGAATTGGCATCCTTCCTTCTGAGCAATTTCAACCTGGGCGCGAGCGATGACAGGACGAGCCAGAGATGTGCCGAGCAGGTAGACTGTGGTATGTTGTCAGCCGAAATTCAAGACCGTCAGTCAACGAGCCGAGGCGGAGAGGCAAAGATAGATGAGGCCGACTGGTATTGCAGATAGTAGGCCAAGAACAGCCAAAGCAGAAAGACGTCCTATTCGAGGGGCGAGACCACATCATGGAGTGAGGACGCTCCAGATATGTCTTGTGCAGGACCACCTCGCAGGTATTCCACATTTGCTCACAGGGATATGTTCTTACCATTTTCATAACTGGCGTTACCTATTATCAAAATGGTATCAGTATAGGTTCATTTGGTGCAATCCTGGAGTATCAAGCAACTCACATTGGATAGCCGGGAAGCACAGCTCTTTTACGAATTCGTCGACAACGTCAACGCAGTAGAATGCTTTGGCTCCGATCTTCAGAGCCTTTTCCCGCGCTGCTTCGAAATCCTCTTCCCTGAGACGGGTCAGTAAATGCGCGCAAGATGCCCGACAAGAGAGAACACTTACTGGCCAATATTAGCCAAGAAGCAGACAACGTCGTAGCCCTTCTCAAGAAGCCAGGCCAAAATACACTATTCGATGTTAGTATTGGTCAAGAGAAGTAGCCGAAGGGGCGGTGATCGCAACAAGCAGACGACCACAGGACAATCTAGGAAACTGGAGGCTATTCGAAGCAGCCAAAGAAGCTGTTCCCGTTCCACGACATCCTTGCATTCGCAATCATTGTCCCAGCTGCTAGAAGAGGTGAAGCAGAGGTAAACCACGTTACTCACCGAAGTATCGAGACCGCCACTGTAGGCCAGACAGACTCGTTGTTTCTCAGGCATATTTGCGTTTCTGATGAAGTGAGAGTCAGTAGTCAGTATGGTGGAATTGAAGAAGTGCCAAAGAATAGGTAAAAGAGATAAACCCAGAATGATGGGATTCGTAGACTCACTATTAAGATATCCAGTTAATGTTATAAAGGAGCAAAAGTTTTGAATCCAGATGCAAACCGACGGAAGACCAGAAGATACGTCGCAGGACAAGACACACAATGGAAGTTGAACGATGACTGTTTTGCATGAGAGCTTTTGACGGAAAAATATTGAAGTGGAGTTCACGATAAGGACGGACCCTCAGCTTATCATTGACATACTAATAAAGCCTTAGTCCACAGAATTGTGAGAGTCTCCCACGAGTCTCGTCTCGTCTTGTCCCCGTACCTTGCATACAATAAAAAACTTTGCGGAGAAAAATGAATGACTGGCCAGCGAGCCAGAACGATCATGCGACAGCGAGCGAAAAAAAAAAATTCCAAGCTGCATACAGATGAAGAAAATTTCTACAGCATCAACATCCATCTTTTGTCCTATAGGCTATTATAGCTGAAGATCATTGCAGCGCCAATACACGACGCGAGATATTCATTATACAGCCAATGCAGAGGACGACATCATCCTTCCTGCTCCAGCCATGACCCGAATTTGTCGAGCCGTCCGCCTTCTTCCTCATCTTCGTCATCATCTCCGGCGTGCTTATCACTCGACTTCTTGAACCGCTCGTTGCCGGTCGAGATATATGCTTCCAGTTGTCTCTCATCGAACCAGCGTCCGTTCATGAGCTGCCCGACGTTAGAAGCCAATCGACCAGCGAGGATTATAACTTACCCTAACACAGGCTGCTGCTGCTTCAGCGTTGGAAAAGCGTACGCTCGCAACGCCGTCTTTTTCCTTGTCGAAAAGCACAACATTGGTGACTGGTCCGAGTTTAGCGCATTCTTCCCGTATATCTTCCTTGATCTCGAGCATCGCGGCTGGATCCTCCTGTGTGGTGTCAGATCATCCTCAACCGGCACCAGATGTCCGCTTACCTCCAGCTCTTCGAGTGTGAACATGTGCTTCAGGATAACGACCTTGTCCCACCGTGAACTGGTGTCCGGCAGCGCCTGAGGGTCATCATCGTCCCAATCGGTCAATTTCCTGCACCATGTCAGTATGCACCGGTATAGTCGACGCACTAGGCTCACCCCATCATCTTCTGCGTTCTTTTGATAATTTTCTTCTGGTCCCTCTTGTTTGTCTTGGGAGGCGCCTCTTGCTGACTTTTGTATGAAAAATCTGCCGCTTGCACTCTCATTTTGCCCATAGGCCCTTCCGTTCCGAGTCGGAAATCTGAATCGTCCATCATCTGGATGGCCAGATCGACAGATTCGGGTCTGAAGTACACCACCAGAGCATCGCCTTTGAATTGTCCCTTGTCATCTTCGTACATCCTTATTCGTGGTTTCCCCGAATCGATCTCTTCCGCAATGACGCCACACTTGGAAAATACCTGCTGGATTTCTTCTTGGTCGGCGTCGAGGGGTATCGAGGTGATATAGATGGCGGTGTTGACTCGAGGCTTCTTGGGCTTCTGACCAGCCTGGAACACAATTAGTTCGCTGCGCGCATTCGCAATTCTTTGGACTCACCTCAGCGTCGTTCGGCTGTTTTCGCTTCTTCTTTTGCGTCGTACTCGCGTTTTCGTCGACACCTGCAACCTTGTAGATTTCGCCTTGTTGTTCCAGTAGTGACTGATCCAGCTATACGAAGAAACGATATCCAGCACGTTAGAATGAGTCCTCAACTCCGAAGAGCATGTTGCGAAAGAGGGCGGTTTCTCTGTTTAGGGTCCTCGGAATCATGTTGCATTGCCTACCACTGGTATCCATCTTCTCAGGGCAGTGTCCCATTCGAACTCATTGCCCTCTTCGGTCTCGAGAATGAATTTATTGTCTAGTTTCGAAAATGACACTCTGGGATCGGCATCGAAGGAGGAGGGAGAGTGTGGGAATCCGGTCTGGACACCCTCCTCAAGGGGCTCTTCGTCAGCCATGTTGAGGTGTGTTTGTCACTGAATACCCTTAGTGTAGTGGATTTGGGAACGCCAGCTATGATGCAGCATGATTGATTGCGCCAAAAATGTAAAGTCTACAAATATGCCAAGGAAACTCTCAGCCTCGTCACTCAGCCTCGTCCAGTAGATGGCTCGATGGTGACTAATCTTGAAAAACCTTGCCAGCCTTGATATCCTCCAAGGCCTTCATTGTATAAGCCACAAGCTTCTCACCCACCCCTTGCTCTCCGTAATTCTTATACGACTGCTCGTTCCTGACCGGATTGCCTTTGATGTCAACGGCGTATGCTCCGCTGCCCAGAACACCATCGGATCCGGTGATCATGTCCACTTTTGGTCCTGGCACTGCAGGGGCGCTGCTTTTGAGGCTGCCTCCCGTCATCTGCTGAGCTGGAAACCTGTCAGGAGATGCAAGGAATAATATACGATCCCCGACTTCTGCGAGAGGGGTCGTGAGCAGTCTGATTATGGGGCTGAAGAGTGTGAAAATGGCCTTAAATCATATTGGAACCCCTGGGTTTTTGAAGGCCGGTGTCATCACAAGACCAGGGAAGACGTGCACCAAGCTAAGTAGTCCTGGTTTCGGAGCGGCAAGGTATTCCATGAAGAACGTGTGCAGATATGCAACATGAGATCGAGTCACTGCCAGACCGTGATGCTTTGGGTCACGCAAGGACAGGTCGTCCAAGTACAACTTCCCTTCCCCCCCGGCACCAAAGACCGAGATGACGTGTGCGGAACGCGGAGAAGCCTGGAGTAGTGGCATGAGATTGACGATGAGTTTCATGCGGGAATAGTAGAGCAGGGAATAGCGGAATTCAATTCCCTCCTTGGTATCTGCAATCGCAATGTGAGTAAGCCTTCGCCTTCATCATCGGAAAACAAGTTGCCATTCGTTACCTGATTTGGAGAGAAGTCAAAAGCACCTTGACTCATACATAGCAGATCAACCCTGGCAGGCTCCCCTGTTGCATTTCCATGCTCTTGCTTTGTGATTTCAGCGCAAGCCTTGTCCACACCTTGAAGCAGAGCCAGATCCGTGGCCTGGATGAAACAGAACTTGCCCGCAGGACAGATTCGCTTGCAACCTGTCACGACTCTATCGAATGACGCCTTCTTTCTGCCAACGACGTAAACCCGAAGTCCCTTGCCTCGGTTGCCATGAGCGGATGCTAGAGAGCGGAGGGTGGCCTCTCCAAGCCCAGAGGTAGCCCCGGCGAAGACTGCAACAGTATGTTGATTTGGTAAATGACGGTGTTATGAGTGCGGACGATGTTGAGTTGGACCATGATGAAGAACGCTGAAGAGTTCTATGACTGACAGAGGCATACTGACTTACTGCCATGGATTACCTACCTTACCTTATATCCTTTCTTTGAATCGGGACACGGATTAACGGTACATGGCGAACACGGATGAACTGTATATTGCGAACTCGGATGAACTATAGGTCGCGAACATCGAGAGGTGTCGCAGGAAGTCCGAGAACTAAGGACTAAATGGTCACCAAGATACGAGTGAAGGTTAGCCTCAATTTTTAAAGTCCGATCCTCCGTGCTCATCTTCTCCTCAGGCTGAATCGCAGTCAAAACAACATTGCTCTGACTCTTCTATCCACATTCCACGACTACAGCAGGCTTCTCTTGAATATGGCAAGGTTCGTCGCGAATGAGATCAATACCGATTGATGCAAACATAGCCCTGGCATGGAACTTACGCTACATCTTTGAGTTTGAACAATCGAAGTGCATTCTCCCGCCCAATCGCCTCCTTCTGGCCATCTTCCAATTTCAATCCATCAAACCAGGTACAAGCATCCTTATAACATTCGAAAGGATAGTCGGTCGAGAACATGATTCGATCTGCGCCGCCGAGTTCTTCGATGCAGTACTTCAGGGTCGACGTCGAAAAGTGCCCCGAGGTTGTGATCCAGATGTTGTCACGAAAGTACTCCCGGATGGTCCTCTTACACGTCTCCTTCAATCCCAACGGCTTCTTGACATCCTCAAACCAATGGTTGATCCGCCACAGATCAAAAGGAATATGCTCTCCCAGATGTCCGATCACCACTTGGAGTTTGGGGTTTCTGTCAAAGACCCCATTGACAACCATGCCCAGCAGATGCAGGCTCACACCCTGTGCAAAGCTGAGAGGAGGACCGACCAACCATTTGCGATCAGCCCACAAAGTATCATACACCACACCCGTGGGCTGTTTGGGATGAAGGTAGAAGGGGACGTCGAGTTCGACACAAGTCTGCCAGAACACATCCCACTCAGGCTGATCATAAAATATCAGGGACTTCCCGTCCGAGGCTATCTGGACGTCATTGACCAATGCGCCCTTGAAGCCGTACTGTTCAACGCAGCGTCTCAATTCCGCCGCTGCCTCGGATGGGTCGTGCATGGACAGCGTCGCAAACGAACCAAATCTGTCGGACTTGTCTTTGATCTGCTCATAGATATAGTCGTTGACCTGTCTTGCCAGCGAGATGGCTTCCTTTGGGTCAGCCATGTCCTGAATTCCCGGCGCCGTGTAGCTCAGGATGTGGTAGCCGACTCCATATTCGTTGGCATAGTCCAATCTGATCTTGCCCACGTCACTGATCTCGCGAACGTGCTTGTCGGCATCGACAGCGAACAGACTGGCCCACCATTTCGCCTTCTCCGCGAATTCGGGTAGATTGAAATGGTCTTCTAACGTGATCTTGCCGCGCATTTTGTAAGCTGCTCAGAGATTTCTGGCCTGAGGTGAGAAGAAGACGCTTGGTAACTTTCCGGTGCAATCCCTGTCGGACGTATGCTTTCAACACAGAGGCAGCCCGGCTCTTTATGCAAATCGATCTTGACAAGCTAACTGCCGCAATAGCCGTCGAGCGGGACGAAGAGGAGCTGTTTAGAATAGATACAGCCCCAAAATCCCAGGACACATACCTGAAGCAATGGGATCTTCGTCCTGCAGTCCTCTGCGAGAGACATGGGTCCTGTAAGGTGGGGTTCGGATATTGGTGCGGAGGGGACGAAGTGGTGGCGGCCCGAACATCGTTGTCGGGTATTGACCATGAACTACGCTGTTTGCGACGGTAGCAGCGCTTTGTCACGGGCAGCTTCTGCGCAGGGATTCATTATGGGCGGCGGCATGACTGATGACCATGGCTTTTCAGTCGAGGGGAGAGCTAATGAACAGAAGCAGCTTGAGGACGAGAATGCGGATACTACGTAGACGTCCAGCATGAAATCGGATGGCGGAAGCAATTACAAGCAAGGGCACCATGAATATACCTGGTATACAAGGGATATGCGGCTACCAGAGCACAACGATGCTGATTGAGACGGCCAACGCTCAATTTGCTACCACTGCTCTCTTTGTAAGAATAGCTGACTTCTCGTCCAGCCTGGCCCAGTCATGCGCGTCAAAACATGCTTGTCGGCTCATGAGCACAGCGCGGCTAGTCCTCGCCCTCATCGCCTGCTCAAATTGATCAATGGCATCCTGTTGTGGCTGCTCTTCGGTGCTGATCTTCTTCAAAGCTTGACACAGATGGTAGGCATCGAGCATGCCGTGATTGGCAGCCTCCCCACGATACATGGTCATGGCATGAGCTGCATCACCAGCTAGAGTGACTCTGCCTTGCCGATTGTCCCAGTCCGGGCATGGCCAATCTGCAAGTTTGATCTCAAGAACCGGCGCATCGTCTGGAATGGATTCCACAGCAGTTTTCAGGACCGGAGCGAACACTGATGCCCTTCTTTTCATGTCTCGAAGTCGCTCTTCGTTCTCAACTTTCACTTCATCTTCGTTGCTTTTCACGGGCCAAGACAAGTTGATCTGAACGCGGTATCTCTCCTTGTCGGTGCCTGCTGTGCCATTGATCTCGGGCACTTCCAGCATCGACACCCACATGTAGCACGAAGTATCCGGGTGACATCCCTGGAAGAGAAGAGGATCCAGGGCTCGCAAGGGCGCCACTTGATCCCTGGTCATATCGACGCCCGACCCGACAAACCGAATGGGTAACTGGTTGTTCCGGTAGTTTGCCGGGCATAAGAACTTGCGCACCGTCGAATTGCTACCTTCAGCTCCCACCAGTAAAGCTCCTGAGACAGAAGTGCCATCCTCGAAGTACGCCTTCACACCGTGATCGTTCTCACCGACCTCGACTTTGCATAATCTCTTTGACCACCGAACGTGATCTTTGACGCCTTCGAGAAGCACAGCCCGCAACTTCTCTCGATTAACCCTCCGCCTTTCCGAGGGAGGAATGCGAAATTTGGTCTCACAGTTTGACAGGTTGAGGAACAGGAAGTTTCCATTGTCGTCTCGTCCAACTGCAGGGTCGACTTGCACGCCTTCGACTTCTTGCATGACCCCAGGCGCAAGCATCTCCTTGAGATATGGTAGCGCCCAGTGTATCGTGATGGCCCAACCTTGCCCTCGAGCAGAAACGCTCTCGTCACGCTCGAATATCTGAAAGGGAATGCCCTCCTGAGATCAGATCAGAGTCAATCGCCGACCGTAGAACAATGCCCAAATCACCTTCGTGAGACCATGTGCTAAGGTCAAGCCGACGACACCTGCGCCGATGATAATCACGTCTTGCTGGGGCATTTCGATCATGGTGGGCTCTATGCCTTTTCAGAAATGCCAACACTCGATGCTCGCTCTCGGCAAGCGGGTGTTGCTGTGATTCAATTTGCAGTCTTTTTTATCTCGGGCGTTGGTCCTCTGGCGGACAGGCGAAGCTACATTTACGGCGAGATGCCTTTGTTGTAAGCATGGCAAATGATCTTCCTGTTTGCGGCAAAGAGACGACAAGGTCCGCCGCAATGTAGGTGTCTGTGCTCCTAACCGACCAGAAGCGTAACCCTACCCTAACCCTAACCCTTGCTACGTATGTGTTCTTGTTCCCGGGAAACTGCACCATTCTAGCACGAGTCATATGTTCTGTTCATGTACAGCTTTCTGACGATTTGCAGTTCCTTCAATTCCTGGACAAAGTCCTGATCAATTACGCAAACGTCATGGGTTTGCCAAAAGACCTTGGTCTCCAGGGGAATGACTTCTCATGGATGGCTACGGCGTTCTTCATCGGCTACGCAGTTGCCGAATTTCCACAAGGATATCTGCTACAGAAATTTCCACTAGCCAAAGTACTTGGCTTCAACGTCCTGTGCTGGGGGATCACCATTTGCTGTTCCGCGGCGGCACAAAATTTCGCCGGCATGGTTGCGCTTCGTACCCTCCTTGGCTGTTTCGAGGCTGTCATCAGTCCAGCTTTGATCCTCTCCACCTCACAGTGGTATACGAAGCGCGAGTCTGGACCAAGATACGGCATCTGGTACTGTGGGCTTGGAGCCGGACAGATCGTTGGCGGGCTTGTCTCCTTCGCTGCGCAGCATGGCGCCAAAAGTGCGTCGTTTGGAGGGTGGAGAATCATGATGGTCTCGATCGGAGCCTTCAATATTGGCGTTGCTTGCGTCGTGCTGGCTATCCTGCCCGACAGCGTTCACCAAGCTCGTTTTCTGACTGCAGAGGAAAAGGCCGCAATCCACCGGAAGCTGATCATCGACCAAGGCGGCAACGGCAAAAAGATCTTCAAACTCGCCTCCTTGGGAGAAATGTTCCTGGATTCGCAGATTTGGCTGCTGCTACTCTTGACAGTCCTGATTGTCATCCCCAGTGGGGTTATCACAACGTTCTCGGCCACTCTCATTCGTGGCTTTGGATACGATTCCAAACAGTCTGCACTCCTGAATATGCCATCAGGCATAGTGAGCATAGCATCAACCTTGCTCTGCACTTTCGCCATACTCCGGGGTTTTCCGCGCTGGCTCAGTATCGTTCTCCTGCTGATCCCCGTGATCATCGGCGCCGGGCTGATGTCGTTCATTGCGAAGGACAACCAGAGTGGCAAGCTGGCTGGGATATATCTCATCAACTTCATCGTGGCTCCCCTTGCCATTATCTACATTTGGGTAGGAGCTAATACTGCTGGCTACACGAAGCGAGTCGCATCCAATGCACTCATAGCGATCGGCTTCAGCATTGCCAATATTATTGGTCCTCAGACCTTCCAAGCGCAAGATGCACCGGACTATCTGCCGGCGAAAATCACCATCTTCGCCGTTGCTGGTGGAGCGATGGTGATTTCGATACTCCTCAGGCTCTTGTATGGCTTCAGGAACAGACACAATATGAAGAACCGTGAGGCTCAACTGGCCGAAATCGCGGCCTCCGGTGTGGAAGCGGTAAACGATGATCAGACGGACAGGAAGAACCCGGCTTTTGTGTATGCTTATTAGATGATGCTTCGAGGAGGTCGGCCTCCAGGCAGAGAATGGCAAGTCGTCTGAATAGTAGAAGACCACCCGGACCGATTGGAGTGGACACCGCTACCAACACGGTACTTATCATACTTATCGAAGGTTGCTTTGCTGCTTCTTGAGACATGAACAACGGAAAGAGTACTAATCTATTACACAACGCCACTTTTCATTTACGTGTTGATGACCGTGTTGTCTTCGCGCAAAGTGGCTCTTTTTATTTCGAGGAGACTTCGCGGGTAGTATCAGAACCAAGTGGCCTTTTCACGTTTTCGTCACGTCTGGCTCGGAGTCTCGTCACTCCCAGTTGGCGAGGCATCTCGAATAACTCGAGGCTCGGATCGCGTACCAAATCAATATAATGAGGTCAACCTGCCTGACATGGCCATAGCACGAGTGGTCTTGTGCGACGATATACTCCAACTGCGAAGATCGGGCTCGAACAAGGCCTGGCTTGTATTAGCTCAAGATAATCACCATTTTGCGACGGCCGCATCTCCAGAGACCTAGAGACCTCGGATGACCCACTTGCATTGGCTCGGCAGCCTTGTCCCCTCGACCTCCGTCGCCATCCTTTCCCCCAAGTACAATGCCGAGTAGGCTCACTTCCTCGTCAATGCGACGGCTGCCAGGAGCGCATGCGAGCCATATCAACGGAACGGATGGCCCCATAGGGGGTACTACGACCGAAGCCGCAAAGGAGCCCAACCTCGTAGCAAGTCGAGTCGTGCGGCTACTGTCTCAAAAGCTGCCAAACGACAGATGTCCTAGCGCAGTACGAATGCTAGTACCTCTGGTGTCGCGAAGCCGACGGCATTTTTGTCAGAACATAAGTAGCACTAGGGCTGAGTGATCTCAAGTCAAGGTGATCTCTCTCGAATCCTCGTGTCTGTCTTTGGCTGATGGCCACTTTGTCCTTCTAGCTCTGCATTTTCGCGAGCGCTATTAGTACTTCGCGTCAGCAGCGCCAGACGCCGACACCAGTCCATCCTTCCTTTCTACTGTGATTCAAGAGAAAGCCCGATCCTCGAACATTTCGCTGTCGAGGCCGTTCGACAAGTTTGAGTGGTGAACCTCTCAAAATGCCACACGCAGAGCGTACACCGATCGAGCCTCCCTCGCTGATCGTCGTTACCGGGGCGAATGGCTTCATCGCCTCCCACACCATCCACCTCCTCCTCAAGGCCGGATACCGCGTCCTGGGCACCGTACGCACTGCACAAAAAGCCGAGCTCGTCCAGAAAACGCATGCCCAACTTACACCGGACGCGGTGGCAGCGCACCTCCTTCGCACGGCAGTGGTCCGCGACATCACCGACCCTGAGGCCTACACGGCGCTTTTTCAGACTGCAACGCCACCGCCCGCGGCAATCATGCACATGGCCAGTCCCTTCGGATACGACGTGACGGATTTCGAGCGCGACCTCATGCAGCCCGCGGTCAGGGGCACGTCGGCCGTGCTGAGCGCCGCCTTGGCGACAAGTTCCGTCCGCCGGGTCATCCACACCAACAGCTTCGCATGCATTTACGACGCCAGTCTCGGTCTCAGACCGGGGTACACGTACACCGCCCGCGATTGGTGTCCCTTGACGTACGAGGACGGCGTGGACGGGGCGAAGAATGCGCCCATGGCGTACCGCGCGAGCAGGGCTGTTGCCGAGAAGACGGCGTGGTCGTTCATGTCCACGTCCATGTCTATGCCCATGCAGGCATCAGAACAACGGAAGGCAAAGGCCCCCTCGTTTGACATGGTCAGTTTGTGTCCGGCGATGGTGTTCGGCCCGTTCCTGGACACGCCATCTTCCCTGCCGCGCTCGCCGGACGAACTGAACACGTCGAATAAACTGGTCTGGGACGTTGTGAGTGCTGCGGGCAACGACAGAAACGGGGACGGAGACGGGGACGGGGCCGTGCTGCCGCCTACAAAGGGTCCCGTGTGGATCGACGTGCGCGACGTGGCGCTGGCGCATGTCAAGTGTCTGGTGCTGCCCTCGGACGAGATGCGTGGACGCAGACGCAGGCTGATGCTGGCCAAGGGCGTGTATTGTAACCAGGAGATCGCCGACGTCAGCAGGGAGGTCGTGACGAAGCAGAAATTAAAGCAGGAGGGTAGAATCAGAATCAGAATCCCCGTGGGCAAGCCCGGGACCAGGGAGGCACACACGCATTTTGCCGTCGATGCGAGTGAGGAGGAGGCCTTGCTGGGCGACGGCGGGAAGTGGAGGGGGTTGAAGGAGTGTATGGCCGACTTGGTGCCGCAGTTGTATCGCATTGAGAAGCCAGTGGAGGCCCAATGAAGAAATGTGAGTGTTCCGAATGGCTACCTACGAAGTACAGATACACAGTCTGGATTCCGCCCAGGAGGCTGGTGAAAGGCATAGCATCTCCACCCCCTTGCTCTTGACGGTCGTCCTGAGGGCATCGTCAGAGTAAGATATACAAGAAGCACTGGTTTATTCAGAATACACGCTGTCCGGTTGCTCTGTCTATGCCCATGCTTGTGAAGCTGGATCGCATCAGTCCTATCGTGCCCTTTTCAAGTGATACTTTTCTACCGTCCTCCCTCACCATCTCGCCTTGTTAAATAGATATCTTTCTACCGTCCTCCTTCACCATTATGTTTTCAATTGTCTTCTAAGCGTCTCAGTGTACACTGGTTACGACTCCAAAGGCATTGCGACTCAATCTGGAACAGTGGTTATATAGCATGAATTACGGATTAGAACGACACATGATGAACAGTGTTCACATTCTTGGTCTTCCACTTGGCCTGTAATTTTGCCCATGACCGAGTGCCTCGTCCCGTCATATTCGTATAAAGTTACTGTTCAGTAGCCACTAAGTTAATGGTTGCTGAAACGGTACAGGATTCAGTGTCGTGATTCTGCAAAGCACCAGACAACAGGATTGCAAGCAGCGAGTTGCCTGAACTCTTCCTTATGCCACACTCTTCATCAGTTTCTCAATTTTGGCTTCCTTCCTTGCGAGCTTCGACTTTTCGAGAATGCTCTCTCGATCTAGCAGAAATGTCAGTGTCCGACAAATCGAGATCGACAACGTCGTACATACTCTGTTGATAGTGCTGTCGGCTTCTTGCTATTTGCTTTTCCGGCTCTAGAAATCATGTCAGTACCTGGCTGTTCCCGGCAGGTCGAACAAGACCGCGTTGTCCATACTTCGTGCGTAAGCAGCCATTGCCTTCTTATTCATCATCTCTCGATCTGGAGACAGTGGTCAAGACTGAGAGAATGATCTCGACAGTATGGTAACGTCAAGTCTCTACTTTTTACCATGAAAGATCGGACGACTCCCTTGAACGAGTCAATATTGCAAAGTTCGTGATTATGTATCAGGGTATCAGCAGATTTTAGAGTACTTGTACTCCGTAGTGTAGCATATCTAGTACAAAAGCCCAATGGACCCGTATCGCATGAAATTGATGATCAACCGTTCCAGGACGCCTACTAACCTCGCTGGCAATACTTGACAATCCTTTTACGGGCCGGCCGAAGCAGCAGTTGCGGCATTTGGATTCGCAGGCTTTTCCTCATGGATATCGTCATCCAAGCTTGGAGTGTCCCTGTGAGTGGGGACAGCCTCGTGTTCGACACCGTGAACCACATCTCGGGCAACCTCGACGTAGTCATAAGCGAACTCGCCGACTTCGGTCTCGTCCATACCCATGATCTCCTCTTGGTCGGATGCACGGAGGTGGAGACCGGGGATCAAATTGATCAGGAAGAGGATGAGGCAGCTGAGGACGAATGAGTAGGCCATACCGGTGACTCCGTCGCAAAGCTGGTAGGCAAGCTGGATGTAGTGATGATTGATCCAGCCACCGTCGATCTCGGAAAATCCATCAAGGTGGGCAATGTAATCGGCAGCGAAGAGACCGGTCAACAGATCTCCAACCAGACCCCCAACACCGTGAATGGCGAAGATATCAAGGGCATCGTCGATGTGAAGCAGGAACTTGAGCTTGGTGGCATAATTGCAAGCGATGCCTCCGACAACGCCGAAGATCACAGCAGCCCAGGCGGGAACGAAACCACTGCCGGGAGTAATGGCGACAAGTCCAGCAATGACACCGCTGCAGAATCCGACCGTCGACCATTTGCGTTCGAGACGGTAGTCGAGGATGCACCAAGTGAGACCTCCGACGCTAGCGGCAAGGTTGGTGACGACCGCGGCCATGATGGCACGGAGGTTAGCGGCCAGGGCGGAACCAGCATTGAACCCGAACCAACTGGAAAAATTGTTAGCAAGAGCCCGGAACGCGGGAGATCCGGAGAACGTACCCAACCCAGAGGAAAACAGTGCCAATAACAATCTGAGTGACGTTGTGAGGACGGTAGTTGAGCTCGTGAGTCCCATGACCGCGACGCTTTCCGAGCATCAAGGAATAGGCCAGGGCAGCGGCACCGGAGGAAATGTGCACTGGAGTACCACCAGCAAAATCGAGACCACCCATCTTGAACACCCAGCCGGAAGCATTCCAGGTCCAGCAGGCGATCGGGTCATAGACAACCGTGGACCAGACAAAAGAGAAGACCATGGCGGGCAGAAGTCGACCACGTTCAGCAGCCGCACCAATTGCGAGAGCGACAGTAATGCTAGCGAACATTCCCTGGTATATAAAGAACAGGAGGTCGGGAATCTTGGAGGAGCCAACGGAGGGCGCTCCTAGGAGATTGCGGAGCCCAAAGTTTTCCATGTCGCCAATGAATTTGCCGGCAGTGTGAGAGAAGGCGAGCGAGTAACCCCAGAAGAACCATTGGAAGGAAATCAAAGCGGTGGCTGCCATGGAAAGCCAGATGAGAGAGAGGGCAGACTTGCGTCGGGCAAGGCCAGAGTAGAAGAAACTGGGACGGTCAGTCGGCGTATGTGAAAAATAGGAGGTGCCATGTCATACCCAACACCAGGAATCATGAGCAACACCAAAGCTGTTGCAGTGATCATCCAGGCAATGTCACCCGCATTGTAGTAGACATTGAGGTCTTCGGTGAGGGAGTCGCCGCCGGTCATGGAAGTTCCATTGTAGACCTCGAGCGGCACATAGGGCAGCGCATCGAGACCGTCGGACATTTTGGCGGTACTTCAATTGTGGTCCCTTGACAGCCTGATGCGGTATTTGAGTTGGTCGGCGGACGCAGCCAGGGGTGAACGCGATCAACAATTGGGTATACAGGTCGCGACACGACGCAGGAAGAGAATGGTCTTGCGCAAGGGTATGTAGGGAGGAGGAAGGACTGGAACCGGAAGTGAAGGAAGGGAAGGGAAGGGAAGAGGTATCACGAAATGATCGGGCAGAAGCAATGAATATAGGGACGATGAGTCCGTGTTTGACGAGTCCACACTCCGACCGGTGGAGACTATTTGGGTGTGAAGCGTGTGCCGCCGTCGCGACCAGGAACACTAGAACCCTGCGTACCCGAGACGGATGGCGTAGGTGACCCTGGTCCGTGGACTGATAGCGTGGGATCTGGCGAGATGCAGATGTGTGCGCTGAACACGACTGAAGTATGGTGAGGTGGAGTCCGGGAGGAAGCAGTCGGGGTGGTAAGGGTGGTAAGAGTCGGGAAACACAAGATAGTTAGGGATAAGGCTAATTGTAGCCAGAGGGTTACACAATTCCATTGGTACTTGATACACAGGATGCCAACGGGTGGCCTTTGCACGCTCATAGGTGTTGCTGGCGTACTCCGTATGCGTGTTCTGTTTTGGTCAGATACCGCTTGACATGTCAGCAATAAGATGTTGATGTTTCGCACATCTTGTGTCTTTTTTTCTTCTTTTCTTCTCTACTCGGGAGATTGCTATGTTTTCTTCTGCCCCCCGTACCAGGTAGGCAGGTAGTCTTTGCTTTCAAACTGAGAGTGTCACAGTCTCCCAGGGGGCTTGGACTTGATGGCAGCCCTCGAGGAATCACTGAGTGAAGTGAGTGAATTGCTTTGGTGGCGGTCGAAAGAAGTGTTCTGGGCATGATAAGCATTCTATCTCCCATTGGTTCCCGAAGCCACTGCCAAGTGGGCGCTCGTCTCAAGTGGATCCTTTCGGGAGATCACGCGAGATCCACTGATAAGCAGGCACCAAGCACCGAGGCACCCACCAAAGAACCTAGGAGTGCCTAGAGGTGCCTAAAGGTGCCTAGAGCTGCTTACCTACCTAGGCAGTCCTGGCAGTCCTGGCCAGCACTTCACTCCTAGGTTCTTTGGTGCTTACCGAGTACTCGCTTCTCTCTCTCATACCGAGCGAGCCTCGTGGCAACTGCAGACAGAAGAGGCAGGGTTCTCTCCGTCCTAGTACCTGATGGCGTACCTAGGTACTTTTTGGCGAGACGACATTTAATTGCGAGTATAAATAGGTAAAGTACTGCATTTGACAACGGCAGCAATCGAGATCTGGGTGCATGGCGCCTCCTCTCGTATCATGCATGGCCTCGGCGTGCAGAGTGCAAAGGGCGACGGAGAGCCAGAGACGACTACTGTATCTAATTCCGTCCTATATCAGCCTCGACGGCTTGGCCTCCCCTCTTGCAACAAACTATTCGTCCACGATACTGATGCCCAGCATTCCCCCAGACTGTACACCCAGGCTGGAAATATGCGACTATTCGTTCTGGCCTCTTCCCGAGCATCACGATACACCTTCTCCTCCTTCAGGAGATGCATCCAAGCACACTACCGTCTGCGACGAGATGCCGAACATCCGGCCAAACAATTGTTCACCATCTTCATTGGATTGATCAGACCTGCCTTATCAGAGTGCCAGGGCGCATGATTGTTTCGGTTCATGAAGTGCTTGTCGAAAGTATTTCCAATATCGACCCACTCCATGTCCGCCCGGGGCCGATGACAGATGACAGACAGATGGGTCATGCCTTTTCTTCCGATTTCAAGGTAGCATCTGACGCGTGCATTCTAAGCGTTTTTATTGGCTAGTTCGGTCGATAACAGTCAATTCGACAAGTCATCGCCACGTCCATTTGTAAATCGCTATGACAGCACCTCTAAATCCATCTTGAGCCACGTTGAGGAACCAAGCACATGCGCACCGACATGTTGGGTTGGACCCGGTCCTTGTAAATGTCGGGTCAGCCAATTCAGCCGGGAAATGCCTTGCCCAGTACTTTCGGAAAGGACTACAAGTCTTATACCTAGGTAGGCAAATCGCGTAATTCGGCGCCAGGGTGCCATTCGACGACAAACATCTGCGAGGACAATTTGTGTGCAGGAAGGCCGTCTGTTGAAGGTGACGTCCAGGAGACACTGGAAAGATATGACAGGCAGGGGCCGTGTTCACTGCGATGTTCAACTGCTGCTTGGACGATTGAAGCGGCAGGTGGTGATCAATCACGTGGTCACGCACGTAAAGGCCCTAGACAGGTGCTAGATACCTTAAGGGCTTCTCGCCAACCAGTCACTCTTTCTGTCGGTGACTCTGAGCCTCAGCACTTTTCAGCCATTGAGCTTCTATGACTGAAATTCCATTTCATATACGCCGTCTTCTTGTTGCAACCAAGCCCTAATCACTCGATACTGCCTGATGAGATCGCTAACACATAATAACACGACTGTACTGACAACAGCACCATCACTCTTGCTCTTGATCACTGCAGAGGAGACGGCATGCCTGCACCTACGACGCAACGACTGCAGCCTTCCTGTCATCAACCAGACAATATCCGTACTATCATTATGTATGGTACTGACTTGACGGCGCCATATCTCGTTGAAAGGTTTCCGATCGTTCCGTCATCAAATCGGCGAGGCTCTGCGGAATGTCGGCTTGTGGGGTGACTGCACCATTGCAGGCCAATATCAACGAGTCCCGGATCGAATTTCCTCACAATCACCAAAATTGACACCCGTAGAATATTCTCATGCACTAAACCTCACATCGACCATCCCGAGCTGCGGTCATGATGGGTGTTGGAGCGGGTCGACGAGAGAGGCGGCCTCAGACTACGTATCTTGGATAGATCCTACAGTGGACATGATGGAATGCCTGGTTATTGGCTCCGTGCGAGTTTCGAGTTATTGCACGAGGTGCACAACTGGATTCTATACGTCTCCCGACCTTTGTTGGATCAAAGCCCCCGTGAGCCCCTAACACCCCGCCTGTTGCCGCCTAGGGGAAGGTCCGAAGCTCCATTCCAAGTTTTTGGGCGCGTGAAAGTGGGAGCCAAGTTGGCAGGATCGTCCACCCATCGGATCGAAAAGCCTGCAATCACTTCGCGACGCCTCATCAAAGGCGAACGAATCGTCGCTAGTGACATCCGACGCCGGCTTCTTGAGACTGTTGAACGTCTTACGGAGTAAAGGTTGATGGGACTGTGGCTAAGAAAATCATAAAGAAAAATAGCCCTTCTTTCCCATACCCGCCTTAGTCCATCTATTATATCGTGATGCTGTAGAGCAACTGGGAGCAACCAGGCTGTCGCGACATGCATCTGCCCGTTGCAGGCAATGGCCTCGCCACCAGTCAGCCTCTTTATCAGCCACAGCCACAGGCCGTCTCCGTCTCCTCAGCGGCAGCCGCACCACCAACACCAGCTGGAGAGTCTCCAATTCTGCTGCGTTCTGCAGTGCCAGCATCACCTCTCCAAGCACAAACTCAAATCGTCGCCCCTTCGCCTGTCCGCAATTTCGCCTCACGAGTCGGTCCTCGTCCTCCCAAAAGTGAAGACCAACGAGTCGAAGAAGGTCGACTGCCTCTCGTCATGGAGCACGAAGAGATGCCTGCTCTCCATCGGACCAACGGTGGCTCCTCCTCTGGCTCTGATGAGGATCTTACCACCTCCGCAACATACGGATATGCTACCTCCTCCTACGATCCTGCCGAATCCGCGATAAACTTCACCCCTACATCCTCGGTCTCCGCTTACACTCCTTCGAGCGGCTTTTCATCAGGTCTGTCGTCTTGGAATTCATATGGACCCCGACCAAGAGGAGGAAGTGGTGCCAATTCATCGACAATGGACAGAACATTCTCGGGAGAAGCACAACCTGCGCCAACAGAACTGCGTGGTGCAAGGCCGACAGGTCCTTTGCGGACACCTTCGAACACCTACGCTCCCCCGAGACGACCTCCTCAATTGTCCCAATTAAATTCGAAGCGGATGCACTCGTCCAGTACAATGCGAGGTTCTAGACGAGACCCCAATGCTCAGTATAAAGCCCAAGAGAAGGCGTATGTGCAGCGGATGAGGCAGCAGCCGCAGCAAGATTGGATGGACAACGACCCTCGCACGCCCAGCATCGGCTACAGCACAGATGATGAGACGGACGACGAGTCACCCTTGACCGAGCATCCTTTTGACGACCCGTATGATCCCGAGACCTTGATGTTCCTGGGTAATGAAGATAATCTGCAACCTTCAGGAGAGGAGTTACAAAATCCCCAAAACAGGGAGCGGCTGGAGTGGCATTCGATGCTGGCTTCCGTCCTCAAGGGCGACGTGGTCAAGCAAGAAAAGCAGAGACTCATTGGCACGACCGAACAGAAAACCCGTACGGAGATTGGCACAGAAATCTGGATAGGGGCAAGATCAAAGTACTATGGGCGCCCGCTACAAATGCAGAAGAAACTCATCGAAGAGAGCCGTAACAATCTCGGGCCTGTCATTGAGAGTATTATTGCCTTTGAGATCAAGGGTGAAACCGTGGTCGGCAAGTCACCCATGGAACAAGTAGAAGAGGCCGTGTCCCACATTGAAAAGTGTGAATGGCTATACTCCTCGAGAAGGGAGCTGGAAGCTGCCCAAACCCGGGCGGCCTCGGATGCCTTTCAAGACAGCTGCGATGCTATTGTCTCATGGCACAACATAACCCAGTCCATCAACACCGAGCTCGCAGTTCTTCAGGCTTGGGTCGGTAACCCGGAACTCGACTTCAGCAAGCAGAAACGCCGTTCCAGCCACGACGGAGACTTGTCAGACGAATCCTCCTTCATCGATCGAATCTTGAAAGAAGATGGTCTCAAGTCCCTGCAGGGCGACAAGAGCATGTTCAAGGGAATCAGCCAAGTCATAAACAAGGCAAAGAGCACGTTGATCCAGAACGCCGAAGCCTTTGCAGCCCGCCACCTGCCTCCCTACATCGAAGAACTCTTGACCTTGATCAATTTCCCATCTCGATTGATCCAAGAAATTATCCGCATGCGCTTGTCCTATGCTAGGAAGATGAAGGAATCTGCCCAGCAGTCAGTCATGATCATTGACCAGATGATCTCACAGTTTCAGATTCTGATGCGGCTTGCTTGCCTGATTAAGCAGCAGTATCTCGCAATATCGCATCCGGAGCCTGGATGGGATCTGCCTCCTTGTATCGACGAAGCTTTCGACTCGGTTATTGTTGAAGCTCTGAAATTCTACTTCAAGATGCTGAACTGGAAGTTGGGTGCAAACAAGAACACATTCCGAGAAGCAGAAATCCTCGAACAGGAATGGGGCTTCTCAAATGAGATCGGCCGCCAATTGGAGGGCGGAGATATTGAAGTGGCAGAACAATTCAGCTCTCTGACGGCAAAGTCCCTCCTGCGGTTGACTGCATCATTTGAGCGCGAACTGCGATCGAAACCGGACGAGAGTGCCCAAGAGATGGAGAAGCGATACAAGACGATACTGGACTCGGTGCGCGTTCGCCAACGAAAACTATTCCGGTTCTCACGAATTCTGCGACAACGCTTTGAGAACGCCACCGAGTTCAACCTGGCCATGGACGCAGAACAGCTGCAAAATTTCAGCGAGTCACTGACCATGTCTGATCATATTCTACTGGACGTCGGCCCGAACAGCCCCAAGGGAGTCCATTTTGTGGCCTCGCCCTCGCTTTGGGGCAGACACAAGGAGATCCAGTCAATACTGGGGACGTCCTTCCATGCAGACGATGCACCAGAGGATCCCTCCAATCCCTACATCTTGGTGATCAACCCAGAAGATCCGATGACTTGGGAAGGTCAGAGAATGGACGTCGACGTCCTAGAACTGCCCACCGATGTTAGACTGGGCCGTCTTCGGCTGGTCGCCGATGGCTCTTCGCTCCGGCTGCAAGGTGCTCGGATGGAATTTGCCAACGCTGTTGGTCGAGAGCTTGATGTGGTTATCGAGCAGAGAGCCAACCTATCAAGGGTCAACCAGGAATTGGGCAAAATCAAGAAGACCACCTTCAAGCTGTCAAATACCATCATGGAGAGTGTCGAGGTCATCCGGTCCCAGAATGGCGGTATTGCTAGTCCTGAGCTGGTCCAGTCATGCTTTGCCTTTGCCACCGAATTTGGCAAAAGATCACTGACATACATGGACGCCAACCGGAGGATGATGAACAATTTAAAACTTACCAGATTGGCTTTGGACTGGATCAGTTTCATTTGTGACGATTGCGATGCCGCCGATCGGCGGACCTTCAAATGGGCTGTGGTGGCATTGGAGTTTGCCATGGCCATGACTCGGGGACGAAACATTTTGGACATCAGCGAAGAGGACTACAAACGAATCCGGAGCAAAGTCGCTGGATGTATGTCCGTTCTAATCTCCCATTTCGATATCATGGGCGCGAGATCCACCCTGGCTGCGCAACAGGAAAAGTCCAGGATGGAAGCCTTGACGGGCATGAACAAGCGGCTCGACTTCAACAAGTTGAGGAATGACAACGACTGCCGTCAGGAGATGAGCGAGCAGAGACTCACACTACTCAATGCAATCGACCAGGCTCGCGAAGAACGTGGCACAAAGACGTCGCTTGGACGGGTGCTGGAAGGCTCCAACGAGGCTGACCGATCGCTGACATTCCTGTCCTCGTCCGCGACCAACATCACCATGAGATGGCAGCAAGGACAATTTGTTGGAGGCGGCACCTTTGGCTCCGTCTACGCCGCTCTCAACCTCGATACAGGCACTTTGATGGCCGTGAAGGAGATTCGTCTGCAAGATCCGCAGCTCATCCCGACCATTGTCAAACAGATTGGTGATGAGATGGGTGTCCTCGCCGTACTGGATCATCCCAACATTGTTTCCTATTATGGCATTGAGGTCCATCGGGACAAGGTTTACATTTTCATGGAGTACTGCTCAGGAGGCTCGGTTGCTGGTCTGCTCGAGCACGGCCGGATCGAGGACGAGACTGTCATCATGGTCTATGCTCTGCAGATGCTGGAGGGTTTGGCCTATCTCCATTCGGCTCATATTGTGCACCGGGATATCAAGCCTGAGAATGTGCTTCTCGACCACAACGGTGTCATCAAATATGTCGATTTCGGTGCGGCCAAGATCATTGCTCGACAAGGACAAACGCTTATGGCTCCCGAACCGCCTAAACGTATTACCCCCGAAGGTCCTCATATCGCCAATAATGGGCCCGCCGCGAGGCAGCCACAGAAGACCATGACGGGGACGCCCATGTACATGTCACCCGAAGTGATTCGAGGGGACGGGCCAGCAGCATCTCGGTTCTCCGGAGCTGCTGACATCTGGTCTCTTGGCTGCGTGATCCTTGAGATGGCTACAGGACGCCGGCCTTGGTCAACGCTTGACAACGAGTGGGCCATCATGTACAACATCGCTCAAGGCAACCCACCTCAGCTGCCTGCAGAAGACCAACTCAGCTCCACGGGGATCGACTTCTTGAAGAAGTGCTTTGAACGAGACCCGGCCAAGAGGAGTACGGCGGCCGAATTGCTACAACATCCTTGGATCGTGGAAATTCGAAAAATGGTGGTGGATGATTCTGATGTCCAGACACCAAGAAGTGACTCTAGCGGAGGCATGTCTCTGCCCAGTCGGCAGAATTCTTCAGTGATGTGAAGGCATTGGATAGGATAGCCTGTCGGGTCCTCCGTACGGGGTTGTCATCCATTAAGCCTGCTTCATGTCTATAGGTAATTATATCTCACCATGCGCTGTGCGCATATTTCTCCCCGTAGTTCAAACATCTTTCGCTCCTAGTATTAGTTAGCCCAGCTGCCGTAAGCCCCGGGGGAATCCGTCTGGGAGGATGCGCGGCGTGCGACCATTGGTTAAAGCCCACCGGTCACTCAGTGGTTGTACCTGCGGATACCTGCTCAGGCTGCCCAGGTGGTATCCTGCATCCCGCACCCTGCATCCACTGCTGCCGTCTCGCTGACTTGCTGGGTTTCTGCCTCGGAAAAGAGCCAAGTCTGACGTTGGCCTTCCGGGCCTGTCAGGATTCGGTCTGTCTCTCTTTTCAAACAACCTGATCTTGGAAACCAGCGAGTTGGTTGCAGAGCAGAGGTGCCTATTGTCTTTATTGTATACTGTAATATCCCAGTTTCCAGCAGTCTTATTGCTCGAGTACAAACGACGCATTCTTTCATCCTTTCTCCATTCGTTTGACGCAGATCTGGTTTCTGGACATATAACACACGATACCATACGGAGGATACGGATTGAATTCTTGTCCTGCATCTCTCCCGCAGTCCTGCGCAATCACCCTCTAACCCATGATGCTCTGTTCCTCCACTCGCCATGGACGGTGACAGACGGAGCGAAACGAATCCGTTTTCGGACAATGCTGCAATCCAAGACGAACGAGAAGCCATTGTCGAATCGACCTTGAGCGTCGGTCGCAATGCCACCCTTACCCTAGGCACCGACGCGGTGATTGTTCTAGGTTAGGAACCCCAGGCACGACTAAGGGTCTTTCTGATCTTTCTTTGCAGATGACGGACTCCGCAGAGACTCGGGCTTTGACTGCTTCGGGTTGTTGCGTCAAAGTGCGTTGCTCCCCACCTGCAAAGACGTCCAGCACTGACCTTGACGAACAGAAACCACGAATACCCGCTCAATACCCTACTTCAACGTTCTGTGGACAGAGATCGTCAAAGACGAGCTGACCATCCGATATGCGAAACCGGCCTCCAAGTCCGCGAATTCTTCCGTCAATGTTGCATACATCAATTACACGATTGAAAATTACACGTCGGCACAAGAGAAAGCTTGCAGATGGGTAGAACGCCTACTAGAGCGCGCCTACGGAAGGGCGCAGCGCAATAAAAGAATAAAATTGTTGATCAATCCTTTTGGTGGAGCAGGCAAGGCCCCTAAGATATACGCAAAATCCATCGAACCTATATTCGCCGCAGCGCGGTGCGAGGTCGACGTCGAACGGACCACGCATTCGGGCCACGCACTAGAAATATGCGAGAACCTGGACGTCAACGCTTTTGATGTCGTTGCGAGCGCGTCAGGCGACGGGCTCCCTCACGAGTGCATCAACGGACTGGCGCGAAAACCCAACGCAGCGGAAGCCCTGAGAAAAGTCGCCGTGGTGCAGTTACCCTGTGGCACGGGGAATGCCATGTCGTGGAACCTCACGGGTACGGGAGAGCCCAGCACAGCGGCATTGTGCATTGTCAAAGGACTCCGTACGCCAATGGACCTGGTCAGTGTGACGCAGGGCAACACGAGAACCCTGTCGTTCCTCTCGCAGTCGCTAGGCATAGTGGCTGAAAGTGACCTGGGCACCGAGAACATCCGGTGGATGGGCGACGCACGATTTACATTCGGCTTCCTGGTTCGGTTGCTCGGGAAGACAGTCTATCCTATCGAGATTGCTGTGAAGACGGAGATCGAGGACAAGCAGGACATCAGACGGCATTATGCCGAGCATATGGCCAGACGGACAAGTTACGGCAGCGCGCTGTCACATGCCGATCTGGACGGACCACTGGATACCTCGACCGGTCTGGGCTTGCCTCCTCTACATTATGGCACAGTCAACGACCCTCTTCACGAGGACGCTGGATGGACCCCAATGAAGTCGTATTCGAACATGGGCAATTTCTATTCCGGCAATATGGCCATGATGGCGGCCGATGCGCCCTTCTTCCCGGCCTCATTACCCTGCGACGGCCTACTGGACCTCATCACGATTGACGGCGATATCAGCCGCATGAAAGCCGTTGACCTGCTGCTGTCAGTACCCAAGGGGACGTTCTTCGACAAGGAGTGCGTGCGATACCGAAAAGTCTCGGCCATCCGCGTGGTGCCAAAGTTTGGCAGTATGGCGAAGCAGTCCGAGAACGAGGCGCGACAGAACAGCTTGGGCAAGATGCTCGATCGGATCGGGGCGGCTGGGAATGGACGTAACGCCTCTCGCGACGGCGGGTATTTCAGCGTCGATGGAGAAAAGATGCCCTTCCAACCGTTCCAGGTCGAGGTGCACAAGGGCCTCGGGACGGTGTTGAGTAGGAATGTGGGCATGTACGAGTCCATTGGGCCGCGAGGGTGGGAAGACGTTGATGTCACTACCACTACGGCGAAGACGGTGACGGGTGAGGTGGTATGAACGGTCCAATGCAGGATGGATCCTATCGTTGAGGATCACAACACGAGAGAAGAAGACTGGTCTCGTGCCATTATACCCTGGAAAAGGAACATCAGAGCATCAGAGCATTACGGAAGGTGAACTGTGGAGTATTTGGAGGCGTGTCAATATCTGAAGTTTTGGTCCCGCTCATTTCGAGACGGATACACTGGACGCTGGTGAAAGCATGATACCCATGGTATTGTTTTTGGTGGATTCTTCTGCAGCTTGCATCTGATACCAAATACACAATTTGCACATACTAAAAGTATTACCGAGATGTTAAGACTGCGCACGAACTCGAATCGTAGTAATCCTAGGACGCGTACGGAGTAAAGTCTCACTGAGACGGACGGTTTTCTCGAGCCGTCACAGAAAAGGGCAGTACAGGGCAGTACGGTAGTCCAGGCGCATCCTCATAGCTCGGCCAGTTGCCACAGATCAGGCACATATAGTTGAACCTATTGACATAGACAAACACACACTTGCGTATACAAACATGATGTAACATACGACATCTTTGTACGACGGGCCGGCCAGCTCGGTTCACCGTGCACCGCTCACGGTTGATCGCTCACCTGCTCTCGGCGTGGTGAGAAATCCCTTCCTCGTCCTTTGCGTTTGCCATGTCAGGACCCCCATGCGCCATCTTGCCCTTATTGCCAGTATTGTCGAAAATGCCCTCCCTCTCCATGTGGACGGCCGTGTGGTTGGTCAGATAGATTGACGAGTCGCGCATGACGCACGCGAGGACGATGGCGATGACACCAAAGGGGATCGTGGCGAAAAACACCATGCGAAACGCCTTGCCGTACACATTCCTAAAAGCACTGAGCGCCGCGGCTTCGATCGACGCGCTGACTCCGGGGATCGCGTCGAACGCATGAGGGATCCCGACGGCGGTCTGGATGGTCGCGGGGATCAGGAGGTCGAGATTCGTTGCGTTGAAACCCTGGGCCAGAGCGGCGCTGGCGATGGCCGGGCCGAGATCCTTGGAGATGACGCCCTGCAGGATGGCGTTGAAGATGGCATTGCCCACGCTGCCGCCCATGCTGCGGAACGTGCCGATCAGGCCCGTGGCCAGGCCCAGGTACTTTAGGGGGATGTTCAGACCGGCCGTCACGTAGCAGGCGAGCACGACCAGGGCGAAGGGGCCGACCGAGAAGGCCTGCAGTGCGGCCCAGGCGATCTTGTGCTGTCCGACGACGGCGGCCAGACAGCCTGTGAAGATGGTTTGGATGACGAGCGCGACAATCATTTGCGCCTTGAGATGCTTGATCTTGCCCATGAACGCGGTCGCGACGGCGCCGAATACGAACTGCGAATTGTCGCCGTCAGCACAACAAAACAAAGAACCACAAATTTGAAGGAGAGGTCGGCGTACCTGCATCACACCGTTGGGCAGGGCGATATATCCAATCTCCCAAGGGTTGCTGGTAAATGTGTACAACGAGCCCTGGGGAAGCAGGGCCGACATGGAGTAAAAGATCATACCTACAACAAATCAGATCACGTCAGTAGGTGGACGATATACACTGAGCGCAGTGGAGTGGAATGGAATGGATTTCGAGCAACTTCCTTACCGGCCACAAAGACAATTCCCAACAACACCGTGAATTCTCGGACCTGTTTGAACACCGGTAGCGGGAACAAAGGGCGCGTTGCCAGAGTGAAGTCATAGGCGAAGCAGGCCATCAAAGTACAAAACCCGACAATGATCGGAGCAATGACCGACGCACTCTTCCAGGGGTGTCCAGGCTGGCCTGCCCAAGTCAAGCCGACGAGGAAAGTCGTCAGACCCGTAGTATACAGAAACAGACCCAAAAAGTCGAGCTGCACGAATTCTTGCCACCGCGTCGTCTCATAGTCGTACTGAGGCCTCGAGGGTGGGAAATAGGTGAGTAGCGTGCCGACCAGGCTGATGACCCCGAAGATGAGGCCCATGTAGTAACACCATCTCCAGCCCTGCTGAGTGTACACGGCTAGCAGGGTGGCAATCAGGACATTCGCGATGCCAAAGGGGAAATTGATGGCAGCCTCGGTCAGTGCAAGGCCTGTTCCACTATAGAGAGATGTCAGATCGAACTGGCCTTGCCACGCGACATCAGAGCACACTAAACTCACCGCCATTTGTTAGGGAGCATCTCCGAGATGCCCGCATAGCTGACGAAGATGATGCCGCATCCAAAGCCCAGGAGCGTCGACCCCACGATGATCTGTTCTACCGAGTGCGCCGTTGCCGCCACAGCCTGGCATGCTAGTTAGCCGTCTGACACAGGTACAGGTACGGGTACGGGTACGGCGAAACTGGAAGCGCGACGGACGTTCGACTTCGACGCCCACCGCCTGCGGGCAGAGAGAGAGAGAGAGAGAGAGAGACATACCGATCCCGCAATGTTGAAGAGCTGGCCGGAGACGATGGTCCAGCGCCGGCCGAACACATCACTCAGGTTTCCGGCCATGGAGAACGACACGGAAGACGCAATAGACCAGCCGCCCACCAACCAAGTGATTTTGTTGTCGGTGTCTCCGAGCTCCGTGCCCACGCGCACGAGGATCCCGGTGACGAGAGCGAAACCGCACGATATCGGACAGATATAGGAGAGAGCCAAAGACTGTAGTGGTCGCCCGAGTCAGCCTGTAGGACGTATACGATACTATACGAAACCAAACGAAGCAAGAAGGACAGGGGGAAAAAGCAAAAAATCTCTCTGTTCTCTCCTCCCTCTTCTCGCACTTACTATGACGGCTAGGATGGTCGAGAGCGACGGTGTCTCGGCATGTTCGGGGTTGTATTCCAGAGCAGCTCGATGAGGATCGACCAAGTCGACGGGGATGGCTTCCTCGACATGCGACGGGGCGACGTTGGTCCCAGGCCGCATCTTCTCTTCCGCCATTGCTGTTTTGCTGTTTCTTCTTCAAAAGGTGATGTGGGATGAGAGGACTGGATTGTGCTGTGTTTTGGACTCTCCCGTTACGTTCAGGGACTCGACGAAGGGATCAGGTCAAGGGTCAAGGACTCAAATGGGGATACACTGGGGAAGGACCGGGGCTGGGGGAATCGAGGGACTTGATATGTCGGTGCTTCACTGGTCATTGCGATCCCCTTCCCAGAAACCCATTTCAGCGCGCCCTCATTCGTGAGAAATCCAGAACGCGTACACAGTACACGAGGTCGGGACCTGGCAAACCCACATTGGTCGCTCGTGGGCGCAAGCGAGCTCTCCAGAGACCCCACGCTCTCGGATTTGGATTTTGATCACATTATTGCCTGGGGGCCCAGTGCGTGTGGACTTTGAGAAATCCCAGTCCGGGGAAGGGAAAGACACCGTACCATGGTGAGGTGAAGGGATGTCTGGTGTCCAGGGGACGACTTGGGAATGGCACCGCCCATCCCTGAAACAACCCACATGCACCACATCGATGCCTGATCTGGGCGTGATAGTGATGAGGGCTTGTCAAATAAACCCACCTCGTCCTTCCTAGATGTGATGTGGGTCGCTATTGCTATAGCTCACCATGTGGGTCGATATGGACATACTCGTAGTTCTTTACGCCGATTCTAAGCATGGCTCCTTGGGATCGGGAATAAAATTAAACCCTTGCATCTCGCTGTAAGTCATAAATACCTCGTGCAGGCTTCAAGGAGAAGACTGACAAGACGATGTTTGGTACCTCGAAAAGGGACAATATGAGGATTCTCGAGCGACAGAGACAGCGCTACTCGAGTCCAATTGCTACAGTGACTTGTCACAGTCAGAGAATGCTCCAGGAAGCCAATGGATTTGAATCGTTGTTTTTTCTATACCCCATGAACTGAATTCCAAGTGGACTGTGTCCCGAGTGCTCTCAAAATGGTGTGATGGTGTGAAATCGTTGGTTCCAGCGCAAGAAGAACAATGATACCCAATTTTGATCCCATACAAGATCCGTGCGAACAATGCCTCTGCACGGTATATAGACTACAATTTGCTTCTCAGATTCGTCCGCTCATCCTTCTTGAACAGCACCTTCGAGTCGGGATACGGGTCGAAGACAATGCTGTTCAACGGATTCACCTCACTTGCCCGGTGGAACATATCCTCGTAGACATTGCCATCGTATCGGCCCAATGAGCTGTCGAGCTGCCAATCTGGGAATTTCCATGCGTCCACCAACCTCACGGCATGAGGACGGATCTCCTCCAGCAACTTCATCACAGCTTTCGTGCGGGCTAGAGTGATCTGGCGCACGGTAACTGCGGCGCAGGAGTAGAATTCCGAGGCTTCGCGCTCGAGGGTGTTCAAGGCATACAGATGGAAGAGCTTATGCAGCAGATTGACAGTCTCAGGGTCGAGTTGTTTCGTCGTGTTGCTGTCATTCAGTGCTTCGTGGAAGTTCTTGACAATCATATACTGGGCATGAGCGGTCGAGAGGCGCCAGAAGTCCACCAGCAGAGAGTTCCAGGATTGTTTGTCCTCATCACGGTGGCGGAGGGCTTCGAAGGTCAGGAACGCGACACGCCAGGCGAATGCGTCGACGAGATCTTGATCGTTGCCAAGTACGTCGAAAGCGGCGCCAATGTCTCGTCGGCGAATGAATTCTTTGAGGAAGCGCGTCGTGTCGTTGTCCGCGGCCTTGCCCTGGAGGACTGATCGAGCTGATTTGAGAAGGTACCGTGACACTTGCTGGGTCAACATGTAGTTGTCGCCTTCCCAGGTGACAGTGGGCAGGTAATCGGCATACCAGCTCCCGATGCCGGAGAACGAACTGTAACCGTGACCTCCGCATGCACGACGGCAGATCTCGAGGCCTTCAGCAGCGGTTGTGGATGCGAGTGCTTTCAAGGCACAGCTCGTGGCGTGGAGATCCGCGAGCAAATCGGTACCTGGGTTAAGTTCTTCGGGACCAGGGGCGCGATTGCTGTCGGAGAGCTTGCCTACGTCGCTGTTCATGCGCTTTTGGTTCTCCGAGTACAGGTTGATCATGCCTCTGCCGGTGAAGTGGAGGGCATAGGTGGCTGCAAGGAGAGGGAGAAGGCGGATTTGCACCATAGTGTAGTTGAGGACTTGATTCTCACCGGGCTCATTTGCCGGAGCGTCTCGGTCCTGGAACTGACGTCTGACAGCACAGTATCGAGTGGCGATGGTGACACCACGTGCTAGGACGGAGCCAGACTGCAGGACGATGTTGCTACGGACCCAAGTCAGAGTACCATAGATAAGGGACGGGTTCGATGGCCGGACGTATTTGTTCGTGTTGGGGTCGACTCTAGAGAAGCGAGCAAGCATGTTGATGTGGGGAATTTTGACACCCTTAAAAAGAAGGAAGCCGTTGTCCATGGTGTTATAGCCGAATTTGGGACCAATGTCGCCAACATGGATGTTTGGTAGTGGCTCGTGGGTCTTGAGGTCTCTAATTTGGACGACGAATGGGTGAGGACCGTAGTTCTTGCCATTGATGAAAAGCTGAGCCATAACAACGGCATGGTTGGCGACTTTTCCAAGCGACCCAATCCACCATTTCGAGGCAGTCAAGTAAGGAGAATGTAGGGTGAAAGTCTTGTCGTCGGGATTCCAGGTTGCAGTGGTCTCTAGTCCTCGCACGTTCGAGCCATGGCCAAGTTCCGTTTGGGCGTAGCAACCGATGATCTTGTATGCCTCTGCCTTTTCGAGGAAGATTTTCTGCTGTTGAGGTGTGCCTTGCTCTCTGAGTGTGACAAGGAACATGCTCGCATGAAGACCATACGGTGTAGGCTCGCTGATCAGTTCATTTGCAGCCTGGAATTCTTCTCTTGTCCAGTTGTGCTTGACTTGTAGTTGGTACAGTCTCTTTCCTCTTGCCAGTGCAGCCTCTATCCTAGCTGTCCGGCCTCTGAAGTAGTTCTGGGACTTATCAAAGACTGGTTCGGCTTGAAGTATTTTCAGGAGTCTTTCGTTCCGCTCCAGGATTTCCCTTGTGAACATGAAGTCTGCGAGTTGGTCGACATTGAGGTTCGATTTTGATCTCTCCTGTTGAAGAAGCTCGGAGCCCTGGGGACCAGAGGGCTTGAGGGCCTTGACCCATTCCGGATTGTGCGGCATGGTGTTGTGACCGGTTATAGAGAGAAGGAGGGAGGCTAGCGAGGGTAGAGGTAGAGGTAGAGGTAGAGGAAGATATTCGGGGGTGTCTTGGAACGGGAGGGTTTGACAGTATTTTTACGAGTCGAGAAAGAACAATCGCAGTATTGTTGCAGCCATTGAATGACATTGAGAATGTGACAGTGAATGACGCTGACAAGGAGACGAACACTCGAATTGCCGAGGCAGTTGCCGGATATGGACTAGTGTGATTAGTTTATCGAGCGGATCTCAACTGCGCACGTAAGATCCCTCGAGTATCTACTACTGTACGTACTATGCCACGGCTACACACAATCACCAGCATGCCCATGCAATGCAATCCCACTCCAGCAAATAGCCGCCATCTAGCCATCGCATCCAGACACCTCCGGAGAAAACACGGTTCCCGCTCAGCCCACTCCCCACTCCCCTGAATTTCATACTTCCATCCGACGCTCTCGGATAGTGCTCTCTCAGGAGAGATTCCTCGTTGCATGAAATCTACCTCGGCACGCTCACAGTCGGCCTCGAATTCCGACCCTGCGAAGTTTGGGACGCCGTAGGACGCCCAGCTGGGCATGGCAGGGTTTGTTTGCCCTGTCTCTCCCAGAATTGCCATGCGGCATATGCCACATCAGTACAACAGCCGAGGATTGATGCGGGTTAAGGTAACACATGCTCATATATGATGTGTTCAGCGCATGTTTTCTTGCCGCATCGGTAAATCGTGTTTCCTCGCCGGAATCTCGACGCTCGCCTCCTCCTGTCCCACGTGACCCCGCGCCGCTTTTGCCCAGGCTGGCCCGCGTCCGGCTCAACGTCGGCTCAGGGCCTGCTGACCACATCGGGCGGTGGCCCAAAGGTCGTCCCTCCAGACTGTCAAGTTTTAACGAGGACCCAAAACGAGGCTCTAGGGGTGTTCCCTGGAGGTACACAGCGGCACGCTGCCTCCTCGACCCTGCGAAAATAAGTCAGTCTTTATAAGCGTGATAGTGTTACGGCTTGACCTTGGGCGGCCAGTCAGATTGTGGCACTGAAGGAAGGTCAAGTGGAGGCACTGCCTCGCTGGCAAGGCTGAAAACAAGTTACGTGATATGGACTTGTGGGTGGACCGAATAGCAGTAGGGCCCTGGCGTACCATTATAGTGATTAACCAGCTTCCTCCCTTTGGCCACGTTGAATGTTTGGAAATCTTCCAGCTCTTGTTCTGTCCATGGTATAGTGCCGTCAGTTTATGCCATCCATTTGCGGAGACGGAAGTGAATGTATATGTTGCACCAGTTGGAAGTCGAAAAGGTTGGTTCGTTGAATATCTAGCTGTGTACGTTGCGCACAAAGAGAGTGGTGCCGCAGTATCACACTAAACCTAGCTCCAGCAGTACCAAGTGTAGATTTAACAGTATACATATAGTCTCTTCTAATGTCACCACCACTTCTTGCGTTTTCCAAACTTATATATAACAAAGACAAGGCCTATTCCCGCAAAAACCGTAGACACGATCGTTGCGATCTCCGCTGGCAGCGTGAGTCCGTCGTGATTGTCAGCGGACTGAGGTGTAGACGTTGGAGTGGATGTGGACGTCGGAGTGGAGGTGGTCGTCGAGCTCGTCGAAGTAGTGAATGTGCTCGCGATGGAGTAGGTCGTGCTCTGCTCAGAAGTCGTAGATGCGGCCGAGCCCGAACTAGTATCTGGGCTCTCAGCGGAGACGACTTCGATGGCTGGTTCCGCACTACCGTCGTAGGTGACTATTTTGCAAAATCCTGGTGCCAGATAGATCGAATTAGAGCCAGTGCAACCAGGAGCACTGAACAGCGTTACTAGATAGGAATCGATTGTTATTATTTAGTAGCCTGTGCGCAGTCTGTTGGAAAACTAAACCTGTCGTGGCACTATCCCAATCAGTCAATAATGCGCTGCCTACGGCAGTTCCTTGCAACGGAAAAGCCTGGCACTGTACATCATTAAAGATAGACGGCGTTACGTTTGCGACCCTGGGGTCCTCTCGGCATGAATCATCAGTGTAGAAAGTGACACTCGTGGCCGCTAAGGCTGTCTGTTGGGCAAGGCTGAGAGTAAAGAGATATGAAAGGACCATTTCGCCCTGCGGGTGTGAGCGGTAGTGACAGTCTCAAGGTGCTGTCGACAACAACGGCGCGGGTTTTATAATAGGGTCGGCGACAGGGCGATTGAGCAACAAGAGTCTGGGTGCGAGGAGATCAGGCTGGCTTTGAGCTTGGGATATTAATAGCAGTCATTCGGCCAGAAGAGGTGCTGCATCGCGCCATTGACGGCGTGGCGTACTTGATACAAGGAAGTCGTGGCTAGAAGAGCCTGCCGGTGCCTTTCTGGTTACTTAGCGTTAGTGATAATTCCATGCAACTCTGTTCAATATACAGAGTGAGATTCAGTTTTGACTTGACGAAGCGGGATCCTGGGGAGTTGGCGTCGAGACGTTCTGAGCGAGGGGAAAGTCACGACCAGCCTCGTGGTTGTGGCCAACCCCTCTGCATATTTTATCGCTAGCATTCTGATTGTAACGCAGGCTGGTAATAATAGTGCTGAATCTTCTCCATCTCTTGTATGAATATCTAACTAAGGAGGAATCGAGAGGAAGAGGAGCTTAGGATGGTGGCCGGCCCCGCGCCTAGTGATTGGTCTCGTACCTCCCAAGTCACGTGCAGGCTTGGCCGAGACAAGTTTCTGGAGCTTAATGGCAAAATATAGGCGGGCGCCTCTGGCCCAGACATAGGCCTGATTGATCCATTGGTCAGGCTGAATTGATACTATACTAAGTCACGTGGGGCAGCACCTCAGGTTGAGGCCGGCGAGGCTCAGGCGTGTTCAGGTCCAAAGATGGAAACGGAAAGTGACAATGTCGAGATTCCGACGTCGAATTCCCTGTTTCACGTACAATCTTTCTTGGGTTGCGAATATCCTCCTCTCTGTGGTGTGTTCCAACGCCTCTGATACTGGCAGGATATTGTGTACGTCTTTCTCTCCGACACCACAGTATGGGTACTAGGGCTCTGCTGGTCCGTGGAAGGAAAAGGTGACACTGTCGGGTAAGGACCTCATGGAGATGAAATATCTCTATTCCGTATTGGCATCGTCCAAGCTGTCGAAACCAGATGATGCTGATACCCGTATGGAATCCCGTCGGCTTTTAGTCCTGTCAAGCCTGATCTTCCATCAGAAGGAAGGAGTGGGATATCCCAGATATCTAGAGTGTCGTGACTCTCTTTGGATCGGCGAGTTCCAAGTGTGCGCCAGCTGGCATGCTGCTTCCAGTACGGGTTGACATTTCAATGTCGCTACCCGAGATGTTGTTGTATCCTGAAAACTTCCGCAGTAGACTGCCCGAGCGAGTATGGCTGGTCTGGTTGTATGGACTATCGCGGAAGCCACTCTCAGTATAAGGAAGAGGCACCTCCGTGTCGAATCCTGCGCCATCGTTGACAAGGCCGTACTTGACTGGCTTGCCCCCAACCTGGTTCAGAAGTGCCTTCGCTGGGGCGCTGGAATCTGCCTCTTTCATGATGGGCGCATCAAACGCCTTTGCCGTCTCGAGAGGACTCATTGACACTTTCCTGCCGAGACGCCAGAAGCCATTGAACGTCAAGAGGACTGACAAAATGGCCAGGCCTGATGCCAGTGTGGCGAGTGCCAAAAATACATAGCTGGTTTTATAGACAGTGTGACTTCCTGAGGCTTGCGCGACGACGCTTTGGGTGTCGCTGCTGTTTGCTGTAGCGACTGCGGTGCGAAAAATCAACTCGCGCGCTCCCTGAAGAAAGTCGGCAAGCGGATCTGTGAACTGCGCTCAAGGAATATGAGTTAGCAGGCTGTCAGAAATCCGAATCATTGGATAAGAAGGGAGTCACTGTCTGACCACAACCTCAAACAACGAGTATTGTTGAACAACGTGTCTGGGTCAGTCTGAGTGTGCAATGTGTTTGTCCACAATCTGGAAACAGTATAGGGGCAACTTACATAGACATCACACGTAGGCTGACCGCCGACATCATGAGCATAGGCGATCGACGATTCACTTTGTGCACCAAAGAACTCCCAACCAATCGCTCCCCCAAATTGAAACTGTAGGTCGGTGTTGTATTGATTGGCAAGTGCCAGAAAAAGGCCCCCATAGGTCGTTGTTCCACTTAAATGAGTCTCAGTATCGAGCGCGTCAAGATTCCCTACGACGGTATCATCCCAGATCGTTGTTGCCGGGTCTAGGCTGACTGTCGAGGTAGAACCATCTATCACTACTGGATAGTTTACCGACCCTCCCTGCAGCGTGCAGTTGGTTACGGCCAAATTACCTGTACATCCGGCCTTGGGCTTGATTTGAACATCGAGATTGAACGTGGTTGGATTGTCAAAGACAGCATAATCGACCCACGCGCCAAATACCGTGGGGCTGTCGTAGCTGCCTCCAGACACGTTGTACGGCACTTCATATGACGAACAGTTGACATAAAAACCAGCTCCAAGTACATTGGCTTTGCAAGTTCCAGTGCAAGCGGAATCCAACTTGATCGGTGATCGGCTATAGTAATCTCGTGCAGTTGTCGAGAAGTTGCTGGTAAGCATGTTGACTGAATCGCTTCGGCTTGTTACAATTCCTGTGAAGCCTCGCGGCACGAATTTGTTGACCTGAAGGTCTAGTTGTTGCTGGCTCGTCACGGTCGCGTTGCTGATTGTTGAGGCACGTTGAAGCAGAGGACCATTGATTGGACATAGCGCAACAAAAATGCTTGCAATTGCAATCATGTTGATGTGTCGACCGCTGTCATGTCGTTAGCACCGAAAACCTCTATACTCAGAGCAAGTTCGAAGGGTTCATCCAACGATGCCTCAAGTTTTCGGCGACACTTACCAGAAAATAGCTGCCAGGACACTGTTGCCGAATGCCCAGATACGATGTAGGTCACCGATCACTGTTCCATCCTTCAATGCCTTGTGCCACCACGCAACATTGAGTCCCTCGAACAAGGCGTAGGCCACGGTAATATTCGTGACGGTGGAGGCAATCGAGATATAGACAGTAGGCTGAAACTTCCACGACCTTACATCATCGCCGTTTGACGCGAGCAAGATGGCCACCGAGACCACAACACCAGCCGAAGCAAGCAGCAACGCGCCAAATCCACTGTAGGGAAAATGTGTAGATGCTGGCTGCCACAGCGACCGTGTAGACCCTATCACTGAGTAGAAGGTGCTCGCAGCCTTTTTGAGAACCATGTTGACGGAGGACAACGGTCTCAACGAGGTATTCTGACCTGCTACTAGGGCAACGCGGTGATCATGAGGCTGAATGAGCTTTGGACCTCGGTGTTATGCCGCTGTTTGAAAACCAGACCTCTGAGAGATAAACATTGCTAAAGATTATACGGCGTACTCACCCAAGCATCACCAGGGAGGTTGAGGTTGTGGATGGTCGTTTGTTACTCACCCCGGTTGTACGACTAGTTCCACCGGCCCAAAGATCAAGAAGAGCGTCATACTTAACGAGAGTTTCGGACACTTTCAGAGACACGGCCATTGTAGCGCTTATTGAGCCAAAGTGATCTTGCTGCGCATCTGCAGGTGCCACCCAAATGGGGCCGAAACGTCTCATCTTTGAGCCAGCCGTCCTCCACTGTAAAAGGACAATGGGCAGGTGTAGCCCTTCGCACCAACCATGAAGCGAGGCTGCTACTATGCTCTAAGTTAGAGAGTTCGGCCCTATGGCCCCAATGGAAACGGTGGGCATACTATGGTACGTAGTCAGGACAAGGTTGTACTCCGTATTCCAAGAAAGGGGGTGATACAAGTGTCAGCTAAGACGGGGCTAATCTAATTCCTGGAAAAACTACAGTAACAACCGCCTGTGGTTTACTGCGCTACTCCGTAACTCGACAACGATCTCTGCTCCAGACTTTCAAGCCCCTAAAGTCTTCGTGTTTCAAGAGGCAAAATGTCAGGTGTTTCCATGGCTAATGGCCCCGCGAGAGCCTCCGAGCACCATTGCATTCGGCCAACTATAACTTAACATCTGGACCCATCGTGGCTTATGCACAACATTGATAGACTGAGTAAGTCTGTATCCGTACAGGTAACTACCCTGGACATTACATTTGTTCCCGCAAGTCTTGGGACATGCATGGTTCAGAGCAATTCGATACTAGCACTCTACTCCTCTAGCTTCAGCCGAAATAGGGTCGGCTCAGGTCCTTGAAGATACTTGGCTACTTCAGATGCCAAAATCAGTGAAAGGCCGGCATTCCACGAATCTATCTCTTTAATGGCAGCTCTGCTAGCCTGCCTCATGCTTGCTGGGCTCGATAGGGCACATGGAAGCGGTTTATTTGGGTCCTGGGATGGTGACCGCGAGCAGACACGAACACACCAGCTTTCCAGTCCACTTGCTTCTAGGACAACAGACTCAACCCAAATATCACTACAGATCACCGCAGCTCCTCATGAGCTACGGCTACGGCAAGACTATGAGGTCACTTATCTCCCTGGGGACTACACTGCCGTGGAGGAACCGGGTTCTCTTTGCGGCTACATAACATCTAATGTTCGTAAGTATCCACCTGTACTGCTGCTAAGCTGTCCAGTGAAGCTGATATTTCCATTCAGATGCCCCAATATATTGCGGCGAAGGCCTGTACTGCTTTACGGAGGCCAGTCATCTTCAATGCTGCTCAGCGACTTCGGCAAGTACGACCACCTCGGCGTATATCTACACCATAGTCAGTACAGGCAGGGAAGTCGGGACAACTACAGAGTTATCGACAGGAACGCCCATGGCCCTGACTTCCACCTACGGTTCGGACTGTGCGCCTCAAACTACAGCGTGCTACAATTACAATGACACCTCTAGCTGCACAGGTGATTGCACTGCTGCAGCGCTGTTGTGTACCAACTCCTACTTCCCTTATTGTGCTTCGCTATACGCGCCCTTCGAATATAGTACCATGCTTGGGTCAAGCGTTTCCTATGGCACGTCGCAAGCGGGAATCACCTACACTTGCGACACCGCGGCTTATGGGTTGGAATATGGACGAGCTGGATATGGGCCCTCAGTCACGAGTACAGTCACCCTCAGTACAGAGAGTGGCTCGAGCTCGACCTTCACGCCGACTGTGGTTCCATACAGCAAGACACAGGCTTCGCGACCTGCGTCAGCAGCAGCGATATCAACTCCAACTGCCACTTCAACTGGTCTGTCGATGTTGAGAAACGCTCCGCGGTCTCTGGTCTGGGTCATCTGGTTCTGGCTCGGTATGACACTGCTCAATATTGCGATGTTCTTCTTGTATGACTACATATATAAATCGTCCTGATGGTCGTGTAGGAGATGAGAATGCACACTAGCCTGCCTATCGTGTTATCCTCATGGATGTATGTGCCCGTTCGTATACTGCACTTCGACCGACTGATCACAGTGGATCTTGTAGTAGCTCGAGTTTCTCAATAAGACAATACCAAGTAGCCTCGTCTACCTGGGCTGCAAGGTCGATAGGTGACAAGGCTGTGAAGGCTGCGAAGGCTGCGTTGGCAAGGCTGCCGGCTCTATTCTTACCCGAGGATGCACCGGAAGCTACAGTCCTCGTACCACCCGCTCACGCGACATTCCACATCTGCCACTTAAGTATTGATGCCAGATCATGATATATCGGCGAATACACGAGGCAGACGCGAAGAAGGGGATGTGGAACTCTCAGAGATGCCCTCCATGCACGACGACACCGCAGCTAATGCCCCACTCATCAGCCAGGGAGAAGACGCCGACAATGTACACCATGTACCTGCGGTGACAGTACAACACTCGGGTAACACCTTTATCTGGGCTCTCACAATCTCGGCCTGTGTTTCCGGACTTCTGTTTGGCTACGACACCGGCGTCATATCTAGCACGCTCATCTCGATCGGTACAGACCTCTCCTCGCGGCCTCTGACCAACCTCGACAAGGGTTTCGTCACTTCATGTACAAGTTTCTTTGCCCTCGTGGCGAGTCCGATTGCTGGAGTGTTGGCAGACAAGATTGGGAGAAAGAATATCATCCTGTTCGCAGATGCTCTGTTTACGTTCGGTGCGCTGTGGCAGGCTTTCACAAGTTCAATCTGGGGCATGATTCTGGGCCGGAGTGTTGTCGGCCTTGCAATAGGCGGTGCAAGTCTTATTGTGCCTCTGTATATATCTGAGCTTGCTCCAAGCCATCTCAGAGGCAGACTTGTGACGGTGTCTCTGCTTTTCATCACGGGCGGTCAAGTGGTGGCATATCTAGTCGGATGGGCGTTCTCTACGATGCCCGGTGGCTGGAGATGGATGGTCGGGCTCGGCTCGGTGCCCGCGGTCGCACAGATTGTGATGCTCTTCTTCATGCCTGAGACGCCCAGATATCTGGCAAAGATAGAGAAGGAGTCCGAGGCTCGCGCCGTTCTTGCAAAGGTGTATCGAGGTATGGTACCAGATACCACCGACCTTGTGGACGAGACGATCCTGGCCATCAAGAAGGAGATCATGGATGAGGAAGAAGCGCATGTTCAGCTCAAGGGCTCCGATTCCGGATCCTGCGTGCCACCTACTCTACAATCCCTCCTGCTGCACCCACCACATGCGAGAGCGCTCGTGATTACATGCACCTTACAAGGTCTGCAACAGCTTTGCGGCTTCAACACTTTGCTCTATTTCTCCGCCACCATTTTCCAGAGACTACACTTCTCTTCGCCCACGTTGACGGCCCTGAGTGTTGCTGGCACCAATTTTCTGTTCACAATCGCCGCATTCAATTTGATCGACCGCGTCGGACGCAGACGGATATTACTGATCACAATCCCTATCATGGTCCTGGCGCTTCTACTCTGCGCCGGCGCCTTCGCCTACATACCAACCGCCCACCAGGGCCAACTCAAAGCACCAGCAAACGGTCCAGGCACTGGTTCGAGTAGTCCATTACCTGCTATTGGAATTCTGGTCGCCATACTTCTCTACGTCTCCTCCTACGCCACGGGTCTCGGACCGATCCCGTGGCAACAATCCGAATTATTCCCACTGAGCGTTCGGTCCCTGGGATCCAGCCTTGCAACTGCAACGAATTGGGGTTGCAATACGGTTGTCGGTCTGACCTTTCTGCCCATGATGGACCTGTTGAGCCCGCAATGGACATTCGTATCTTACGCTATCATATGCGCGTTGGGATACGTGGTAATATGGCATATATATCCAGAGACCATGGGGTTGAGCCTGGAACAGGTTGGAGATTTGCTCAAGGATGGCTGGGGAGTCCAGGAGAGTATGGATAGGTTGAGGCGTATGACATCTAGACGCACAATGGGATAGGTTATCGCTTTTATAGACATAGAGTAGAGGGGAGCAGCTCATCACAGATTGCAATTCTTCCGTGCTCGAATCTGCTTCTCATATACAAACATCCGTCACACCACGGCGGACAGTCTCGAAAGGACACCGCCGCGTCTTCCGGACTACCGTAAGGGCATCAAGAGGGTCAATCCTGGATTGCCTTTGTCTCACTCAGGCTCACATCCTCCATCCCTTCGGCAGCCCTCTTCCTGGCCATCCGTCGTTCATGCCGCGCCTCTCGTCGTTCCTTCTCCTTCAACTCCCTCTCCGCCACCACAACGTCCCACAGCCTCTTACCCAATTCCGTGTTCTTTCGCATTGTAGCCGCGAGCTTCTGCTCGAGCTGCGAATCGACTTCGCGCACCGTCTGCGCCCAGCCGAGTTCTTCTGCCTTGCTCAGGCCATGCTGTCGCCGGAGGATATCGTCCCACTCGTCCTCGCATGCAGCCAGAAGAGCTAGATCTTCCAGCGCGTGGTGTTGGTTGAACTTCTTAATTCCCCACTTGACTTTGTTCTTGATCACGCGGTTCAGTAGCACGGGCTGGGGGCCCGGGTACTTGAGCACGGGTATGCCCTGGGTGACGATTAGATTGGGTACCTTACGCACGCCGGACTTGATGGAGGGCAGGGGCGCCGGGTGTTCGAAGACACGCGGGTTCGATGGGTCGTGGGCATAGTTCGCGGGGTTTTTGATCTTTTTGAGGTGCTCCAGATGTTTGAGACGGTTTGCGGGAGGAGGTTTCCAGAGGGAAGCGAACTTCGCGCGCCTGGTTGCAGTTTCATCGGCCTGGATGGTCATTGATTCGAAGGTTCGAGTGAGACGCGCAAGGGATGGTCCTGATCCGGCGCTGCAAGAGCGCAGGAGATCGAGAAAGCCATAGCCGGCTGCGATGCCATTTGCTACTTGTGAGGGAGAGAGGAGGTTGCGGTCATTTTCGAAGCGGTAGCGGACAAGTGGTCGGAGGCTGTCCTTGATGCCATGAACCGTATCGATTCCGAGGTTCGTAGACAACCTTCCGCACTCTCTAAGGAGTACTCTGTACAAAGACAGGCCTGATATTGGTTCAGTTCCCTTCACTTGGGAGAGTGAGTCTCCACCTACATGCTAGGCGGTGCACTCCTGATTTATGAGGAGCAAATTGACGTGGCATCCGCACATCTCTCCTCTTGATGGCACGAAGGCAAGTTGAAAGACCAGACGAAGCGAGGCTACGAATTACCGCAAGGCATGAATCTAGCGGAGTTATTCATTCGGTCTGAGTAAGGTAGGTTAGCCGATCCCGACTGAAAGGTCACGTGACCGACGGCATCATTGGCGTGGATGAGGTCGTGGTTGACTCGCTGGAGAGGGCCCTTCCGGAGGACATGTAATTGACATTGGACAGTGATCTTGCTCTCTCTTCTCTAGACATGACCATTGCATCATCCATTGCCTCGTGTATGGAATCACCAATCTCCAGACGCCGGATCATGCATCATAAAGCCTCATCAATCATCGCTGTATTGCAAAACCCAACTCCACGATTTCATGCTGCATTCTCATTCTAGAAAGTCGTTCCTTCCGGAGGCTGTGGTAGTTTCTTATGCTGAGGGAGAGCCATGTATCTGGAGGTTCCATTCAGCCGCAGCCCAGCAGGGTCTATATTCAACGTACCTTCTCAGTTCAATGAGAATTGTTTCCATGGTATAATCTCGCTTCCAATTTGCCAGGCACGGTAGTTTTGAAGGGTCGACCTTGGGTGTCGATGTTAGCTCTTGTCTCCTCCATTGCAATGGTGTCCCTACTTTTCCTGTCTTTTGATCAACGCAGGGCAGGTTTATTCTCGAAACGAATTGGATAGTGGGTGGAACGTCAGGGTATTGTTCTCCGCAATGGAGGTTAACGCTGTAGATACGATTCTCATGAGCACTCTGTAAGTAGACAAGGATCAGTTTCGTCGTCGATGCAGTGCGCCGGTTTTCGATTCGCATACATGGGGAGGTCCAAGGATCGTGCCGTTCCAGTTCGTCATCATCAGGTCATCGCCATCTGCCAATCCATACGAGCATGCCTCTGTCATTCAAGTCAGCATCCGACGTTTCTATAGCCCGAGAGCGAAGCACAGGTGACGAACCTGCGCCGAGGCCTTTCTCGCCCTTCTCCAGCTCTTCCAAAAGTCGGAAGTTTCGTGGTACTTTGGCGCCCATTGTGCACTATGGAAATGGCCCGGTTCCTCAAGAGGATTATGTATCGACCGAGCAGTGTAGTAGGTGACTGAATGGGTAAAGAATAAATGTTGGAGAAAGGACTGGAGGGGTACAAGAGAGGAAGCGGGCACGCGCCGCAGCCTCGTGAGTCGTAGCGTCCTATTGACTTGACAGCCTTGGCATAGACTGCCTCGTCAGGACACTCTTTCGTTTGTAACTTCACTGAACCACCTGAAGTATGGACTCCCATACCAGCCATACGTCACATGCGCAATCATCGATGACGCTAAACTCCTGTTAAAGCTGTGGTGCTTGTGTCACCGTCATGAGATGGATTGGCCGGGATGACGCATGCATTTCTACAGTCAGAGTTGACAAGCCTGATATCGGATTCAAAGAGAAAGTACAACGATGTGCGTACTGCCGCTGAGCAGTCGCTCGCCGACCTCAAAGCCATCTCCGTAACATCGGAGACACAATTGGCCGGTGACCTCTTACGTCGGCCTCAGTTTATCGATCCTTTTGTTCTGGCTTGCAAGTCCAAGAATGCCAAATTGGCAACCAGTGCAACCGTTTGCCTGCAGCGTCTGACAGCAAGTAGCGCAGTCTCACGCGCAAGGCTCCCTGATATTTTGGACGCCTTTCACGATGGAGTCAACTCCGGTTACGAGCCGCAACTCAAGATATTACAAACGCTACCCTCTTTGCTCCAACTCTACGGAGATGACCTGCGTGGTGATCCCCTGGCGAGGACGCTAGAGATCTGTGCAGCTCTTCAATCCAGTAGGACTGCGATTGTAAGCCACACAGCTACTGCAACATTCCAACAACTCGTCTCAACTGTGTTCGAGCGCGCTGGACAGACTGGGGGAGCTCAAACCGCAGATGACGAGAAGGGAAATGTATCTGAGACTGGCAACGAGCCCTCAGAAGTGACGGAGGATGATGCAGTCCGCTTGTTCCGGGATTTTTCCTTGCTATTGGACCAGGAGCAGTCACAGTTTCTGAAGGTAGAGGCCCTGTCATCTGGTTTTCTTCTGGAAACGCTGCAGACAGTGTTTCTAAGTCATCCCACGTTCCTGATGTCGAACGTGGATCAGCTGCATGATTGTTGGGAACACCTCACGCATGGCCTGTCCAGGATTCTGGCTAAGAAGGACGACTTTGGCCAAGTTGTTCGAGCCTTCTCCATCATTTTCTTGATCCTTCAAGACTATGAAGACAGTCTACAAAGTCACTTGACGCGTCTGTTTCCCTCACTTCTAAGTACTCTCGAAAAGGAGGGTAATCCGCCCTGGAAGCGTGCGTTATGCCTGGAATTCTTTCGAGGCATCTGCTCGGATTTCACGGTTCTGAGAACCACTTTCGACTTGTTCGATCAAGCGAACAGCTCGGATAAGGTCATAGGTCCGTTCATGTCTGCAATGGTTCGCATTGCTGCGGAAGACCCATCATTAATCGGTCTCGGTCGCCAATCAACTATACCTGTGCAAAGGAGCAACGATGCCGAGAGCGAAGAGGCAGCATCTATAGAAGCCCAGGGTCTCGGCGGCGCTATCACCTCAGTATCTACGGGAGATTCCAGTACTACCGGTATCAGTATGAACTGGAGCGTACTACATGTACCGCTTATGGATCAACCTGAAAAACAGAACCCTCCTGCGGTACCCAGCACTTACCTATATTCGCTCGTGCTGGGCTGCATCGCATCCTTATGTGATGGCTTGTCTAAATTTGTCATGCCACTCAGTGTCCCGGGCCGGCCGACGCAACGGGAGAGTCTGGATGAGGCGCAAAGAAATGGTTCCAGTACGGATCTAGTCGAAGACGGAGGCCAACGCAAGCCGAGTCGAAGTGCAGCGTCAGCCAGCAAGTACCAGCGACTTGTCAACCCTTTGAGTCTGACCCAACATCCACTGCACCATGAAATTCAAGCTTGCTCTGCACTGATTGAATCGTGCTGGCCCGCAGCCCTTGCCACCTGCTCAACTTTTCTGAATTCGGCTTTGGACTCTGAGTTCTATCATATCTTGATTCGGTCGGTCCAGAAACTTGCTCAGGTGTCTGGAGTATTGGAGCTTTCGACGCCAAGGGATGCTCTTCTGACGACTCTGGCTAAAGCTTCCATTCCTACAAATGCTAACAATATCATAACGACTTCACAGAACGCGAGACCCCCAACTCGGTCTGGAGCCCCTGACCATGACAACGCGAATGGCGATATCAGGTCCCCTACTGAACCGCCTTCAAACCCGAGCAGGCAAAATGTTCCACAGCCCCTTAACGTTCGGCATCTACTCTGCCTTCGGGCTCTGCTGAATCTGGGGATTGCGCTTGGGCCCACGCTTGAACAGGATGCTTGGTTCATCCTTATTGAGACTCTGCAAACAGTTGAAGCCTTGATTGCGATACCCTCTGCAGTGTCAATGAGCTCATTGCTGAGCAGTCCCCGGATTGGCGTTTCGAGCAGTGAGGGACAAGCTACTCTCGCGGGTGAAATAGCTGCTGTGCAAGCCGCGACCAAAAGGATGTTGGAGAGTACCAAAAGTTACAGTCAAGAATCCTTTTCAATAGTAGTACGGTCAATGTTCCGCCTCTTAGGTCAAAGTGGCCTAGATGAGGACTCGCAGCAACCCGAAGAGAACATCACGTCTCCGCTTTCACCGACAAGACTTACACCTGGAAGACCGCCATATCGGACGTCTCGCAGCGTATCCGGATTGTGGACGAAGTCGAAAACACTGGATCTGGAGATAGGCTTTGTTCTTAACAAGATAAGTGAGATATCGCGCATCAATATTCACCGCTTCACCTCCACATCTGAGGGATCTTGCTCGTGGGGTTTGATAGCCAGGAGGCTCCTGAATATTTCGCAAGACACTGGGTTTTCAGGCAATTACCGCTTGCAGTCAGCCAGCGTACTCGACTTGATCTCCATGGAGACTATGAAACTGCTCGACGATCCTCGGCTTGACGCTGCGGAAGCGGAAGAGATCAGACTGCGATGCTTACAAGCCTTACTTGAGCAGCTAGAATCTCTCGACCAGAACGGGACCAACAGTTATGACAACATTCAATTCGAGGTGCACAAGAGACTGCTAGAAGCTCTGGAAAGCATATTAAGCCATAGCGGAGATTCTCTGGGCAGCGGTTGGCCGGTCGCCTTCAAAATTCTATTCAGGACAGTCTCAGAGTGTGTGGATGGACCTAAGCCCGATACCGTGTCGATTGAGGAAGAGCAAAATGATGAGCAGAACGCACAACTGCTGCGACTCTCGTTCAGGTCCATTCAGCTGATTACATCCGATTTCTTGGCCGCCCTCTCGGCAAAGTCACTGTCATCTTTGTCCCAATTGCTCCGTCAGTTTGGCTCGCAGTCTTACGATCTGAATGTTGCATTGACGAGTACAACTCTACTGTGGAGCCTGGCTTCGCAGATATTGACCAACATCGAGACCATCGAGCTCGAGACAATGCCAGCTGCGGATGTCCTTCCAAATGACGGTGACGTAAAATACACAGCGACGTCTGCTGCTCTTTGGAGCATTACCTTGCTGCAGTTGGTGGCATTGTCAAAGGACCCGCGACTGGATGTACGCAACGCGGCCATCAGAGTGCTTTTGAGGATGCTAGACGCTTCATGCGAGAGTCTCAGCCCCAGTGCCTGGGCCGTTGCTCTCACCACTGGCCCATTAAGTGCTATCGAATATGGTATCAGGCAATGCACCTCAGATACCGCAACTCAATCAGACTGGCTGGCATCAGCATCACAACTGGTTGATGGGAGCATTCAGCTTGTTTGTCACAACATAGCAACCATTGTCAAGCACTCGGGGTTCAAGCATACTTGGTCTGGGATAATGCAGGTGTTCGAAGCCTTCTTGAGCATGGGATCCCTGCCAGCTTCCTCGTTGGTTTTTTCGAATGTGTCAAGGTTGCTATCCACTCTTCGAACATCAGGAACGGTCGAAAAAGAGTTGCTAATGCCCATTCTGAAGCTGTGGGCTTTACATCATCCCAGTGACATTGATGGTGAGAGCATGCCAAATCAGCCGGCATTCACTGCGCACATGCATGCCGTTATTGAGGCACATGAGACAAGCAGCCAGGCCGTGACGGATTTCCAGCTTGACGACCGCGATATATCAGCTCTGTTGATGGATACCATCGAGCAGACTGTCTTGTTGTGCACACACCCTCCATACACCAGGGACGTGAAAAGCCTAGAAGCAGAGCAGAAGGAGGCTTGTCAAGGGTTGGTCATCCTGAAGCGTGTTCTCTGTGACGAGGCAGCAGAGTATTCCCAGTATCTACTCCGTCTTGTGAAACTCTGTCTGAACATTCAAGGCGGCAAAGTTGCTTTTCAGAATAATAAGTCTGCCATCCACAAGTCAGCGCAGAAACCAACCTTCATTGCTTTTGCCAGTGCATGTGTGGAGAATCTAAAGGTACTCGTGCTTGAGCAGGCAAACGATGACAACCTCATTCCGACTTTGGCTGTGCGGGAGTCTTTCGAAACCCTATCCGCCCTGATTGATACGAAATACACGGAGCTTCCCACAAACACTCAAACGCCCCTCTGGCGGACAGCGACCATCACGGCTGTTGTGCTGTTGGAAGCCTTGCAAAAGCACGTAAAGCTAAACAGAGATGCCAAAGACATTGCACGGCTCGGTCGGCTTCCGGACGCAATCATTGCCACGGCGTCGAGCATACTAGAGCCCGGCGGGCTTCGCAACCGGCCACTGAAGCAGAAGGAAGAAACCCTCCTGGATGATGAGACCTTTGACATCGAAACCTTTCGACACTTCCATGCTGCTTTGATCTCGATCTTTCAGCACGACGAGATCCGACAAGACGCCTGCCAGCAATACGCGATCACGCTTTTCAAAGCATCTCTCCTCGCTAAGCCATGGTTCTATGACCTGCCTGAAGACATTGCCAACGAGCCCCTGCAGGACCTATTGTCAGTAAGGCCGGGAAGTCTCCACCAATCGGTCTTTGTGGTCCGGAGGAGGACATGTTACACCGCTATGGACGCCTTATTCGAGCTCGTCCAGCGACCGGAACAAGACGGGTCAGACTCTGGGCTGTACAAACTCGCTCGCGCAGCGTCTCCTTACATGTTGCTGCGCGTAGTGCACCCACTCAAGACGTTCCTGGCGGACCAGCGCCTCCGCGGCATGACGCCACCACCCATGCCGCAGCAAGTGGAGTTGCAGACTATTCTTGCAAAGTTTGTCGAATTGCGCAGTCATGATCGTGCGCTACAGGACGTATCAGGAAAGGAGAAGCAGCACGCCGGTATGTGTGGTGGAGACGGCAAAGAGCATCTGCGGATATTATATGCATTCATGGTGCGCGTGCAGAGGTTCTGGCGAGATTTGCCTAGATTGAAAGGCCAGGGGGCGTGGCAGGCCGACGGGCCAGGAAGGGGCATTGACGAGGCCTTGGAACAGTGGAGTCGCATTGTAGGGGAAGACTGGGGTCTCAGATGAAGCTGGATGAGTTTGCGGGCGGTCATTTAAGGACGACCAACTCTGAAAGATCTACGAATGGATGATCTTCTGCACGAGGGAGGAGATGCTGATGACAATACGGATCGAGTGACTATGTGCGGAGAGTAAGGGAGAATCATAATGTTGTTTGCGTGACTGTCATAATTAACTATATGGGCTTGCCATCAATTTTGTGTTAGGCCGAAGGACATGCCTCTGCAAGGCAGGCTCCTGTATTCCTGTATGGACATATGCACTGTAGCAGAAGTCTTTGTCGCTTAAGGATGGCCTTTGGGATAGAGATTTAATGTCAGGTAGATTCTTTGAAGACCATGAGTACAGAGTGGCCTGCATGCCCACCGCAGGTGGAGGAGCGGATTGACAGAGTGATTGGAGTGCGGGTGTCGAGTGGTACCTCCCAAGCACCTTATCCGGGCACTAGCCATCCGGCCACAAGTACCGCTGAGACTGGAACCAATATGCCTTGAGCATGAAAATTGCCTTATGGAGCGAGGGTTCATCAGGAGCCGTAACGGTATAAAGAGTCGAGGAAGAGGAAACAACTTCCCCATTCGACGAATCAGGCAGGTGTCGGCATCGTGAGCATAGGTTGTTTTCCACCGACCCCCGGGTTATCGATGGCTAATTGAGGAGCTGATTCGGGTGCTTGTCGGAATAGCACGATCTCTGATTGCTTGAAATATCGGCGAGCATCTGTACACAAAGGTATTAGTACTTGTCAAGCGGAAAGGGCATGAGTTCCAGATATGCAGAGGGAGATAGTGGCCTTTCGGATTGGCCAGCGGCTACAGGACCTAACCCGAAATCTCAATAGCCGACAAATCTCCAAATGCGCCATATGCATCGAGACATTCGAGCGATAGAGGGTGTTTGCCGTCTCATAAGCGGATCCTTTGAGGTACAAGGCTATGAGCACAGATCGAACGTACCTTCGTCAATCAATACAAGGCTCAGGTAGTATCGGGTGGAGAATTTCTTGTTGACATCGCGGAACGTAGGCGTCAGGTCGAACCCTCCTAGGAATAATCGAATGGGTATTGTCTCTCCTGCTTTATTGTCAGCCTTACATGTGAAGGGTTCTGGTATTCGGAAAATCCGGCCTCGTATATGCCTAACTGGTGGCTTGATCGTAGGCAGAGTCCAGGGCAAACGTACCTCGCGAAGGAGAACCATCCATGATCTGCAGCCGTTAGCCATTCCAATCCTGGAAGTCTGGGATCTCAGCATACCTCGAAGCGGACCAGAGTTTCGCTCTCGTTGTACTGGTTTGGTGCGACTCCTGTGGTTTCCCTCCGAATAATGGACAATTCCATGTGCTTGATTTTCAATCTCACCAGCAAAAAGTATATTCGGCCAACAATGACATCCTTGAGATGGTATTTGCTTTTGGAGTATTCAAACTCTATGTGAAGACAGTCCTCAATACCGACATCCATCTTAATCGAGCTGTTCGTCTCGGGGGGTATCCGGTAAGAGTAGACCCAGATGTCTTTTTCTCGGATCACGTCCGCCATTCTTCTGGACACCGTGACTCGAATAAAGTACCGTAGCTTGACATTGATGCCATTGTATGATTCGTATTGCTTCTCGACGTTCTTGAAATTGAAGGGGAAAGTCTGCGGGTGTTGCAGTTCTCCCGGTGCTGCAAGCTCCTGACCGAGGGAGAGAAATTCGTAGTGATTTCCACGATCGAAGAACATTTCTGCATGAGAAGAAGTCAGCCGAACTGCGCCGCAGGCATCGCTACTAGTGTCGCGCTGATGAGTGAAGGCATACCAATCAGTCCAATGAACTGCACTTTGATGCCGGTGTGCTCTAAACGCTTCCCATCTTTTGGTCTGATTGTGACTGCGCCCTTCACCGACTCCCCATCGAGATACAGAGGTGCCTTCTCTCGCCTGTTCTTGTCAAGTTTGACGTCGACTGTTTGGCGGTCATCGGCGTCCTCGAGCACGATGTCAATGTCGACTGGGGTGGAAAAGAAGAATGAAGACATGATGATAGGTACAGAACGCACAAGAGGCTATGAAGAGAGGTATGTGTGGGTAGTATACAGGAGCAGTGAAGGCTCTGATGGGTATCTAGTCGTCGTCGTGTACGCAATGGTGATCTCGCCCGCTGTAAGTCGCCAGTGGCCGCGATGCTAGGCTCCTGCCGCTTTACAGCGCCAAGCCTGGAGCTTCGACATGCCATGGGGAACAGAAGCTAGCCGTGGCTAATAGTTTCCTCCGTAAGTCGGAAATTTGCGCCAATCACAAGTGATAGGGCCAAACCACGCGCGCCAGCGCGTGGCCGCGAGCAAAACGCGTTTTCATAGCAAAATGCCATTTTATAAAATAGCCATTGCAATGCGACATGATGCAACACCAACTAAACGTGTTCACTTGCAAGTATCTAGGCAGCCGGTAGAATAGCGTCATGCTTCCCTGCCAGCGGGTTTTGGTGCAATTCTAGCCCATGGCTGTTTAGCTATCTGCAATGGTACCTCGGGGTAAATAAATTGGGCACCACCCGCATGACTCTTTGTATGTTGCGCTCTTTTGATAGGCGTCGATTCCTTTGTAATCTCCTGTTGATAGAGGCTTAGAATAGCCTCCCCAACTGGCGTAATGGGTGTTTTGGCTATTCGGCGTATCTCTGTTGGTTGCGCGCCCTCTAAATCGTCATCGTCGCTGTCCCCGTATTGTGCGGGCTTGCGCCATGGGGTCTTTATCTGTCTCTGCCATCTTTTTATCTCGCTGTCGTTGCGCGCGCTCTACTTTTAATAGTTCTCTCTCGATTTGTTTGATCCTATGCTATCGATCCTTCTCTTCCTTATCTATCTAACGCTCTTGTACCTTGTACCTAGTATTGCTAACTATGATTGAGCCGCCTTTGAAGATATGACGCTTAGATTGGGGCCGCTTTACTTTTCTCTCTTGCGCGGCTCGAATTGATGCGAGATTAGTAATAGCTTATTGTCCCTCGAGTGCTAGAATTTTGCTCCCTTTGAGAAATGCCTAAAACTTGCGTTTTAGAGGACTTATTATTTACGTCTTGTTTATCTCTTTTTGTAGCTTATTACTTATATCCACTAATCTATTAACTTGATTTAGTGTTCGATGCGTCTCGTTTTTAGGCTCGGGGGTAGGAGTGCGGAGTCTCTCTGCGATTTCCTATACCTAATTAATAACAATGTTAGGGTTGTAAGGAACTAAACCTATTAGTCGTTAGGCTGATTTGATAGTATTTAATTTAAAGGTTTATTAACGGATCGACTAGATAGCCGCGAGGAAATTAAATCGATTAAATCTATCTACGAAATTCCTGATAGTTTTATTAACTGCCTTAGAATACCAATATTTATAGGGTTGAAAGTAGGCGATATCGAGTGGCTATAAGATATATATAGAATACGGAGGAAAACTAAATAATAAGATATTATTATCGGTCGCAAACTTAATAAAATTGAATTCTAGGTTACTCTTCTATCCGTTAAGGACGAGTAAGCGCTAGGCTCCTTCTCCAGCCTTTTTGCTATACTCGTCGAAGTGTTTAAGCTAATCGATGGCTTTATCGTCGTTAGAATAACCTAACTCTGTCGCTGCGAGTAAGATAGAGTTAGAAAGCTCTGGTATAAGATGTTTCTCTAGGATAATCTGTCCTTTTATTATAATCTATGGTGAGAGAATAGAGCCGTCGGCGTTAATAGTCTCTTAGACTATAACGAAGTCTCGATTGTCGAAGTCATTGTAGTAATTTTTTACTATCTTGCCTACGCTGATAATGACTTTTTTAGCCTTGCCAACGCCAACGCGAAAGCCTATTTGATCTATATTCTAAATATCCTTCTTACCAATACTATATTGCTCGATAACTCGGTGGAATTTTGAGTACTACTCCCGGAGACGACGGGGATCGTGGGACATCTTGCGCTCGATGGTAAGAGGTTTACTCTTTTTAATAACAATCCAATTACTTTAGCGTTATAGGAATCGAGTCCCCCAGCGCTCGCCAACAGTAGGAGGTTTTTCGTCCGTATCTATAGTTTTGGCTATCTATAAGTTAGCCAGCAACTTATTTACGAAACCATTGACTATAGAAGGTCTAGCGGGGATTCCCTATCTCTCATATCTCTTTAGAATGTTGTAAAGAGCCTCCTTTTACTCTTTAGAAAGAGCCTTATTGTGTCCACTATATGAGTATCTGTTATTTCGTTCTTTTCTGCGATTTCGAAGCCTGTTATAGCTAACGTTGAATTGTCGAGCCACCGGCTTGATTTTTTCATCTTTATGAGTGTCCAAATATACTAGGGCTTGCTCTATACGAGCCTCCTGGTCGTCATAGTTGTCAGGCATCGTGGTGGTGGTGGTGGGTAGAGATCAAGTTGGTGGCTATCAAAATGGCATTTTGCTATGAAAACGCGTTTTGCTCGCGGCCACGCGCTGGCGCGCGTGGTTTGGCCCTATCACTTGTGATTGGCGCAAATTTCCGACTTACGGAGGAAACTATTAGCCACGGCTACAGCTTCGTGAGCTTCACAGGAACCACGTCCACCTTTTGGACTAATAAGTGTGAATGGTGTGTGTATCGCAGACTCTACCGAAGTCGTGAGCTTAATTGTCACTTGTCTTTTATGGACTGCCGGCGCGAGTGACGCTGGATAGATCACGCGTGATTGCCCTAGATGTATCCCATCTGAGAGCACCATCAATCGCATCATGCATAAGGGAAGGGTACTCGTAAAACAAGGTAGGTTGTCAACGATCTCACGACACTTGATTTCACCGAGACCTCGGACTCGCTGCTGCCCATATCTCTCTCTTCACTGTACTGTATCAATAGGCTCGTCGGCTATTGCTGGGAAGCAGTCCGGTGGCAACACAGCTCGATTGCCGAAGTTTCCAGTCCCAAATGGCATCCGACCCTAAGGGTTCCCCGCGGGATGAGGCGCATCTTCCGGCAGTCTGGAACTTGCATATGACGCCCATCATCGCCTATCCTTGCGCCCCGTTCACCACAAAATTTCCTTTCTCGGGACTAACATTCGGTGCCTGGCTAGGATTGATTGGGCATGCTCCGCCCTGAAGCACGACGCCGGCATTGAGTGGTGACGAGTGTGGGGTTACAGGGCAACTGTCGCCCTGTTTCGAGAAATCCCATTCTCGTACGATCAACCGGTTCACTCGGTGCACCGCCGAACATTCTTTCGCTCTTCACAGTCCTTCTCAGTCCCTAAATAGTAGTTTCTGCAGCATATAATCTGCATCATCTATCGGTAAGTCTGCCTTATATACCGTCCGCGGCCTCCTTCATGTCTCCTCAATTCCTCAGCATTGTTATAAACACTTTTATATCATCAACCTCGCCTATCCTACGTCTGTTCACACTCTCACTCGTTCATTCGCCATTCCTTCTGTTCCTTACCGCCGTCTAAAAAGAAACGTCATCTTTCTCACCTCATATTCACCAACATGCTGTCCGCAGAACGAACAACAAGACCCCATCCTTTCCTCTACCCTAGCCGGCGCATCAAGTCCACCTTAGACGTCTCTGTACAAGCAATGCAGTCAGACAACGACCATATAGAGCACATATGGATCATCACCGGTCCCGCTGGCTGTGGAAAGACCACAGTGGCCCAGCATCTGGCCAGCGAATTGTCCTTACCTTATGTGGAGGGAGACGATGTACGTTTTATGCATGGTACCGCTCTGCTGGCTCCGCTAATGCAGGCTCACAGTTCCATCCTGCCGCCAACAAGCAGAAAATGGCCTCGGGCATTCCACTCACAGACGCCGACCGCTGGGACTGGTTGATCACTGTCAGAAATGAAGCCATCAAACGCCTGCAGCATTCGAATGGTGTTATTGTCACATGCTCCGCCCTCAAACACAAGTACCGAGACGTAATTCGAGTCGCAAACTACGAGCATCCTTCAGTTCAGATCCATTTCGTGTACCTCAAAGTTGACGAGTCCACTCTGCAGAAGCGGGTAGCCTCCCGAGTTGGTCATTATATGAAAGAGGGTATGGTGCATAGCCAGATGGCTGCACTGGAGGAGCCCGAAGAAGACCTAGAGTGGGATGTACTTCCGGTGGACGTTAGAGAGGACAAGGAGTCTGTCAAGAAACATGCCCTGGAAGTCGTCCAACAGAAGTTGAAGGAGTATGATGGGTTACCTAGACACCCCAATTGAGACATGCGTCGTTTTGGGGATACAGCGAGATTTATACATGGCGGCATCGACTTCAGCGTAGGCGCCAGGCGTTTGGCCTTTTGGTGAGCTCGGAGATATGAGTTGGCATCCGACTTACCAAATCTCACTGTACTGGTATAGAGCAATTGGTTAGACATCAAGATGCAAGTTGAAGACATTTGGAAACGGTGTCTTAGGATCGTTAGGGATGGTCCACGTGAATCTTTCGCCCAGCTGATCCTTTCAGGCGAGGTTGAAGTGGCAGATGTTTGGCCTGAATGCTGCCTTTCGGATTTTGTGCACTGACAACTCCTATCGGATTGGCCCTGCTGCAGGAAGAAGTGGAGGCCAAGATATTCTGTTTGATGCCGTCTTCAGACACAAATCTCATAGGACTGAATTCTCCTGATATCCCAGTTGGGCGGAGTGGCGCTGAAGTTGTAGTTGGAAGAAGCGAAGACACAACGAAACTAAGTTAAACTGTGACTTACCAAAAGCGTCTTTTGAACTCCCCTTCTCCTGCGGCAAGACGCACTCAATTCCCTTCCGATCGACGTGCCTGGTCCTTCATTATCGATGTAGGGCCTACAGATGGAGCACTCCCTTTCGATATACATGGCCGCGCTTTTCCAATGATGCAGTCGGCATCACCAGCAGGCACGCAGCGTCCGACCCAGTCACAGCGCCGACAACAGACCTCCGCAGACCAAATGCAAGCATCGGCTCCGGCCATGAACCCTCCGTTCAGTGAAGGATCCCAGGTGCGATCGTCTTCTGGATCAGGTCGCTCTCAACGGACCGCCAACGTGTGTACAGCCTCAAGCCATCAATGCCCATCTACTGACCTTGCAGCCCGACAAGCAGATCTCACAAATCGAGAAGAGTGTCACCCATCTCCTGGTCGCCACGAAACAACTCCTCGAGACTCTAACACAATGGTCGCGTGGACAAGCACAGGAAGAGGAGGTCTCGGATGTCTACGTTCGACTGGGATACGAGTTCAATCTGGCATGTCGTGCTTTCAATTCGATAGGTGTCGAGACCTCCGACCTGGGCCCGGTTCCGGACCTGCTACGAAGCATCTTGGAGGATACTCTAAGCCAACCAGCCTCTCCTCAAGCGCTGGACAACTACCTCCCCCGAATACGCGACATCATCATCAACTTGCTGCATGGACTGAAGAGGAAGCAAAGCAGATTACGCGGAAGGGCTACGAAGGACCCTACAGCTACACCCCAACCACGGCCACCTGTTGGTCAGGTAAGGCAAGCAAGTGTATCGACCACGGGGAGCAGTGAGACGGGTTTGACACATATGCTGGATGATGTCCCCAGTGCCACTTCGAGTATGCGTGGTCCGACTCCGCAACAGGACAATATCGCAGCAACTGAATATGCGCCCGCCAATGCGTCGGCTGCGAAGGCCTCGAAACCCTCTATAAACAGGCAGTCGCTTCGCAAGGATGCCACTCTTCAGCTACCACAGTCCGAGACATCTTCGACCATGTCCTCGAATACTGCTCAAAACTTGCCTGTGCTGCCTCCGTACCAAGATGCTGAACAAGCGCCTCCCGCTCCTCACATCAATTTCCCTCATCCTCCCCCACCTCCCCCGAAGCAGACGGATGCTCTGGCAAGATTACAACGTGGAGGAGATCTAGAGAGACGAGCATCAAGAAGATTCTCGGCGTACCAAATACAAAAGCATTTGGGTGCATCTCCCAATGGCGTTCCGGTCATCCCTGCGGCCCAGAATTCGCCAATACCAAACCGAGGGAAAGAGGTGCGCGAATCCTTGACTGCCGTCCGATCACGAAGTTCTTACAACCAGTCGAGGTCGAGGTCAGCACGGCAAGGAGATATCTCACCAAGTAGGAGCGGGACTGTCAGGGCACCACAACGGATCTCGGAGGAAAGAGAAGAAACACCGGTCTTGTCGCTGGAGTCGGCTCCTCAGATGAAGCCATCAGAAGGACCTGTGGACATCGACAGTCCAACTGTGAAGACGCCCGACGAGTATTTTAGGCACCCTCCCGACAGGCAGGGCACTGGAAGCTCAGACAAAGTCTCACTAGGGGCAACAGTCAATGGACCTCTAGAACCGCCACCTGAAGAACTGCAGGAAACAGCATCAATCGATTCACAGCCCGCCCCTCCACCTAGCGAGCACGAGGCTTCGGTCGATGAAGCGGCTGTAAGCAGTCCAGAGACTGTGCAGCACAAGACACGTACCAATGTCACGCCCACTCAGTCACAGGTCATGACCCTTGACTCGTCGCCTCCGCACGGGAAAGAACTAACGCTATTCCTGCAATACAGGAGCAAAATCAAGAAGTTCGTGCTGGCCGATGGATATGAGGAACTGACCATCCCACGGTTACAACTTGCGTTCATCGAGAAATTTGCCTGGAATACACAACATGATGGAGGAGAACTCCCCGAAATTTACGTCCAAGATCAAGTGTCCGGCGTTCGACATGAACTGGAAGATCTGTCGGACGTAAAAGACAGGAGCGTGCTCGTCCTTAATGTTGAACAGCTTGATGAAGTGAAAAAGCATATAGATGAAGGGCTTGGAGGGCTCCAGAAGAGTTTGGAGGGAGTCCGGGCCCTGCTTGAAGGACAAAGCACCATGATGCAGCGATTTTCGGATCGGCAACTGGAGACCTCAAAGGAAATGGCTCGAATGTCCGCGGTCCCAGCTTCTGCCTCGAGGACTCCGACCCTAACCCCTGGTACGTTTACCGCATCAGCAGCACCGACATCTTCAACTTTGCAGGAAATCCAGAACCTGCGCCGGGAAATTGCGGTGCTCCGACAGACATATTCTACGATGTCTTCAGATTTCACAGCTGCCATGAACGATATCAAGTCGAAAGCCGCAGGCGTCAAGGTTGCCGCTGCAGAAGCCGCCAATGCCGCCTATAAGGGCGATGCTGGACGTTCGCATATCAACCAAGGCAAGAAGACGTTATCGAATGACTCCGAGGCTCTTGTGAACCGCGTGGATGACCTCTCTGACATTGTCGAGGAGCTCCGCAAGGATGTTGTGACTCGAGGTGTCAGACCACTGCCGCGCCAACTCGAGGACATTAGCAAGGAGATTAGTGCCACAGCTAAGCAGTTGACCAAGGTCAAGGATTTCGTCAAACGAGAGAAGCCTGTTTGGACAAAGATATGGGAACAAGAATTGCAGATTGTGATGACAGAAAGGGACGACCTGACCCAACAAGACGAGTTGATGAATGATCTCGACGGCGATCTTGAGGATATCACCAATGTGTTTAAGCTTGTCGAGGAAGCCACGAAACAGCAGAATATTCAGAACACTACCACAGCCGGACGAAATCCCTCGAGGAGTCTAGCTTTTGACACGGAAGTTGACCCCCACGAAGCGAAAACTGGCATGTTGGACGAAGTGCGAGCATTACAGCCTAACCATGAAAGTCGGCTTGAAGCCATAGAGAGAGCTGAAAGGGTCCGCCAGCGAGAGTTGCAAACCCGAAAGGTCGGAGAATTCCAGCGTGAGGTCGAGAAATTCGTGGAAGAAGGCAAACTTAAGAAGACGGGCGGGATGGATGAGGTAGAACGACGTAGGAAAACGAGGGATGAGCAGGCTCGAAAAGAAAATTGGGAGCGTCAACAAGCCCGAGCAGCTGAGCTGGAGAAAAAGAGAGCGGAAGAAGCGGCGGCGGCAGCGGCGGCGGCAGCGTCTTCAAACCAAACCAACGGAACTACACAAGAATCGGAAAATGACACGTCTCAAGAGGGCGAGGCGGCTTTCCAAGACGCCAACGAAGAGAGCGTACTGTCTCCCGAAGAAGGCAGGTCGCCTGCTCCGCCTGCAGTACCTGCAAAGGACGAAATCGATGGTGGCGACCCTCCAGTGCCACAGTTACCAGAACTCAATGTCGACGAGGGCGAGAAGGGTCTTGGTATGTCATTTTCTTAAGATACGAATCTAATATATTCGGTGGACTTCTTCATCTTCATTCTTGCCCGAATGAGCAAGTGCTGATTCTGTATATGTTTTGCTTTGATAGTCCCTGCCCTGGCGGCTACTGAGCAGGCAAACGGAGATTCGAAGATGGACGGTACCCGAGCAGACCCGGAAGGAAACGGCCACGAGCAGCCAAAATCGGACGATAAGAAGGATAACAGAGGGAGCTGGTGGCAGCCTGCTGTCTTCTCGCCTTGAGATCCGCTCGGCAGGCTCGACTTCGAGTCCTACTTTACCTACCTTAGGTATTATCCAAGTCGATTTGGTCTCATTCTAGGATGTTGGGGGATATCCTTGCGATCTGTCGAAAAGGGGGGATTTGTTTCGCTTCAGCAATTGTGGTGTCATTGTGTTATGTTTGAACGTGAAGATCCTGGGGATTTCAACTCCTTCTTCTCATCCCGATTTGTCTGAGTACGTCCGGTTTGAATCATTCTGGCTGAGGAGTCAAGAGAGCTGTTTTGAAGCAAGCGAGTAGTTGGATTATTTTGCGACTGGAGGTTCAAGAGAAGAGAGCTGTTTCGAAGCGAGCGAGTACTCGGTAGTATGTTTTCGGCTTGGTCCAAAGCAAGCGAGGCGTTATCCTGTCCGTCTGTCTACATTTGCCGAGGGATGCATCTGGGTTTGGGTTTGGATTTGGATGTTGGAGTTCTTATCATGATGGACGGATCGTGTTTTGTTTTACCTTATATGGAGCGATCCATGATGATGTGTCTTCCTGGCCAGTATCGTTGTTTGCTGTATGTCAAGTCTTTTTTGGGGATGAGTGTTTCAGCATTTTAACATTCCAACATTCAACGTCGGAGCAGTGTAGCAATTCTATCTCTCATCCGTTACTGACGTTCTAAAGATGTCGTTGATTTATGCTTGTGCCGCTTGATGTCCGTAAGGTATTACCGTTGAGGATGAAATTGGTCACTTCCATTTTGTTCTGGGGGATGGCGACGTTGAAGACCCCGTTCCTGGCAGATGCTTGCACGGAGACGGTGATGTTCTGGCATTTCCACGCCGATGCCGACCCGAAGGCGTTAAGGAGCGCATGTCAAAAGGGCTGATTCAGCAGGACACAGGAGTATTGGGGGCTTTGTTGAGAGGGGATAAACGGAAGGGAGCAGCAGTGGCCTTGCTGGACAGGACTGTTCGTTATATACCGTCATATTCAACTGGTCCAGCTTCATCAAACAGCTTGCCCGCATCTCTGCTTGCATGAGACTGAAGCTTCAACCTCTTGAGCTCTCCATTGATGACCTCCTACAAATCATAACAGAAACGTGACGACAGGAACAACGGGTTGGTGGAGCCGTAAAAGCTCCAGTTCAGCTCCGGTTCATCCAATTGAATGACAGAGGGAGGTCAATATTTCTCCAGATCCGGATAAAAAGCGGTTCAGCGAGATAGAGATGATGTGTTCGAGCCGCTTTTCATGAAATTCCCTGGTGGGAAAATGACAAAGTTTGTTCTTCCAGTGGCAGCATGATCATTAATATATCGGATGTCGAAATGTCGGATGAGGCATGGTCAATCTGCAAGTGGAACCTCGAAATCGTCCTGACCATCATGTTTTCCCGTCGCTAATGCGGAGAGCTCCCATCATAAATGGATAACCCACGCTGATTTGGAATGTCCATAACAGGAATGGGATTCTCAAGAAGTCGATCCATCGTTTTGGAAAAGTCGAAGCCAAGGTCCAGCACATCCAGAGCTGCATGTCCGACTTCTCCGCGGTAGGTAGCGTCCCATTGTTCGAGCCGGCGCGGAGTGTACATGGCAGAAGGATATCCATATAGAGTTCTGGTTTGAAGTCATATTGCATCTTGACAGGTGGGAGTGGTAACGAGCTTTTCTCAATCGCAATCCCTGTCTATCGAATGCAGGTTCCCGCTCAGCTGTTGGCAATACCACTGGTGGAGAAAATAATGCTTTTGATCGTCGTCCTAATTTTAGCAGGGCTTGCCAATTGCTTTCTGCTTTTCCTCTGGGTCCGAATTCGAGCGTGCTGTGTAGTGCTTAGACCTGGCTTTGCAGTGGCAGTCGACATTCCGCCCAGTCAAGATGCAAACTGCTCTTGGAATGATTTCACTGCCTCCTTGGCTCTCATCTTCACGCCTTTGTGGGGAGCTTCCTTGCTCACTTTTTCCACCGGCGTCATGAATTTATTGGCGACATCGGTCAAAGCCGCATTTGGGCTCTCATTTTCCGTCTCGCCATTCTGAGAGTGACCTTTTTGTACGGCATCGACCTGGCCTGCCAGCTCGTCGACCCAGATATCAAGAACGTGGAGTCTCAAGCCATCCGGCACCTTACGTTCACGAGGACTGAGCGGCCAAGCCTCTAAGATGTGGACTTGGCTTGTGATGAATTTGGTCGAGTTCTCTTTCCCCTCGGAATCATTGTCCACCACGGATTGCAGCGACAGATGGAATACCTCTCGTAAATAGAATCGCACAAGCAGCAGGATTTTGTTCATGCGCCATTGATCGATCGAAGGCCATTCTCGACAAATTGTTTCCCAAAAGGCAACTGACCAGGTTTCTAGCCAAGAGTACGTCTGGCTGCCGGCATTTCGTACTTCGTCATCTTTCGAAGCCATCGTCTGCACCGTCCTGGCGAGTTCAGCTGCAAGATTCTGCACTGAAAGAGCATTTTTGCTGTCGTGCATGTAAAGCGCAACGTACAGACCGCGCCAGAGCGCGAGACACTGCGTTGATGTGATTGGGTTCGACGGTGACCGTTCATTGATGTGTGTGGTTATCGTCTTGAGACATGTTCGGCGAATTGAGGGTTCTGTAGGTTGGTGTCAGTCGAAATGGACCATGTAGAATATCTCTCGCTCAAGCATTAGATAACAACAAACATGTGTGGGACAGCGTGGAGCGTTGTTTAGGGATGACCTCGGTAGTTGGTATGCCAAATGGAATAAATGCTCTTCCTCAAAAAATGCCGCCACGCCTCCTTCTCATGTTGTTCCCAGAAGGACCCAAATTATTTGGACAGACCCAGTAAAGGGCTACTGCCGTGGACTAAAGCGTGATCGCCATGCTCTTCAGGTATGTGTAGAGTTGAAGATGAAATCAATTTGGCTGACCTACCAGAACTCGCAAGATCTTTAACCGAAGGTATCGGCTCGGTTTCGCCCTCGGTAGACATTGCTGCAAATCGCGCACGAATCCGTTGGTCGAGATATCAGTGTCCTGCTTCGATTGATGACTGACCCAAGAGATCTGATATGCACGTTGGAGTATGTTGAGCCAGAGTGGACATGGAAATAAAACTTCAAGGAACCCAGGAAAATGTTGTCCTGGAAAGAACCAATTAGATCGCTCTTCCGGCTTGGCGGTATCCCGACGAGGTTGAAGATGGCAAGGCTGAAGATGGCAAGGCTGAAGATGGCAAGGCTGAAGCCACACCCACAGACTTCACCATCTTCAAGTAGTAGCGCGGAGGACACAACAATACAAGCAGGATTTGCAGATCATCAAGGCGGACCGTTGCAACGCTCGGAGTTAAAGGTTGTTGGCAGAATAGATTGATACCACGCTATGCAGTATCTGGATCCCAATCACTTTACATGTAGCTATTGTGGCTTGTCCATCAACATGTAGACAGGAAAAATGCGGCACAGGCTGAAGAGGCCGACTTCCAAGCGCGAATGAAGACGTCTCTGCTTTCGATCTGGCGCTCCCCAAGTGTCTCAAATACCTCATTGGGAGGCGGGGGTCCTCCTGTTTGTCAAGGGATCGGTCCGTTATCATAGACACAGCTCTTCGAGGCGGACGCCCTCCCAATATCAGACTATACCGATTCTTCTGTCCGCCAGCTGTCCAGTTTATAGCGCTTCAATCCACACTGTACGGGGTTCTTACACAATCAACGTCGTCGAAATCATCTACATAGTCGTCTTGTGCCTCTTTCTCCGCGGCTTCAAGATACATCGACGAACGGACGCTCCCAGACATTGGACGTTTATATTCCGACGTATGTCGACTTCCTGGATGACTGATATAATCCATGTAGTGTGTGGCATTCACCTTGCTGGAATCGTTTCCGCTCGCTTCAGATCGTGACTGCGGAGGAGTCCGGTCCCAGTGTTCCGGGTGCTTTGCTCTTCTGGGAGTGTCTTCGTCGTCGGAGAAATCGTGAAAATGGTTCGACACTTCTTGGAAGCCGCTGTCCTTTGGTGAACCCGACTGCAGCCTCTCAATGTCAACCTTATCATTCGCCAACGACCGTACCAGAGCATTGTCAGGCTCTGACGTGGTTTGCGCCTTCGGTTCTCCGGCGCTATCCGGACGTACAACAACTCGGTCAGGTTTTTGCGACTCTCCAGGTGGCGATTTAGTCCTAACGAATTCATTATCTGATTCAGTCATGTTTTCAGCAGCCTGTCTCGTGGAGTTCAGCTCGTCCCCATTTTCGGGTTTCTGCCCTGCATCAGCAGACGCCATCTGAGTCGGCTTTTGGCCTTCAGTGGATTGAGTTCGATTCTGGTCTTTGCCAGCCTCATGCCTATCATCGTCATCCTCCTGAAGATCCGATTCGTTTGGTTGTTGCACGCGCTTAGTAGCCACTTCTGCTATGTCTTCCGCAAGCCTTTTTGGTTTAATCGGCATGTCCTCGTTTTGTTGATCTGGTTGCGGTGTGACCGGCGAACGAGATCTTTGTGCGATTCGGGAAGGGCTCCCCGCAGGAATGTCCAGCATCGCGAGACGTCGCTCTGTGAGAGGTTGTGATGAGCGATCACGCTCGTGAGGAGCCTCATTAACGGCCCTTCTTTCCTTTGGTACCTTGCTCTTCTCAACAATAACGACCATCCATACGCCAATTCTGTCATCACTACCGACCAATGGCGTCGCAGAAAGCCAACAGAGTCGATGATGTCCCAGACTGTCTGGCTTTGAGCCCACCGGGATCCTGGTCCCATCTCGACGCTCACCGGTCTTGAGCATGAAGTTGACTTTGGCGGAAACGGGAATACCAGTCCCCAAGCTCTCCTTGAGACCTGCCAACGTCGCTGACGATGCCGCGATGTGCGATAGGAAGGGATGTTGGACGATATTCCCAAGCCGTTGGCGCAATCTGGGGGACACAAAAACAATGCGAAGCGAGGGTGCCGCCCTGATTAGCATGTAGCTGTCATAAACTCCAGGAAGCTTGCCCGACAGACCGGACCGACCTGACTGAGCCAGCTTCCACATTTTGTCGTCGTTGTCACCTGAGTCTTCGTCTGTCTCTTCTGATGAGCCATCTTCGTCCCCGTAAACACGTCGAGATCTGCTTCCGATACTGTGTTCATCATCTTCCCTTGATCTTGACGTTGATCTGCTGTGGGATCGTACCGCAGCTGATTCTTCCAGGTCAAACATCTCACTAAGCTCTCGAAGTTTTCTAAGCGCCTGTGACTTCCTTGCAGTCTCTCCTTTGATGCGATTACCATTGATCTCCAGGTCCCTTTTCTCGATGTCTTGATTGACCAGGAAATGCTCGAAGCCATCCAGGCCTTTGCCGCGTTCGACCAAGCCAGTAACGTCAACCTGAGCACCGATCATGTATTTGACGTTTCCCTTGTCGTCGTGCAGGGGAGCGATCATGAGCAGATTGATGAATGGTCGGCCGTCTCGCCGGTAGTTCAGGAGTGTCTCGCAAATTTGTTCACCGTTTCTGATGGTGTCCCTCAATCGTGAAACAGACTCTCTTTTCGTCTTTGTTCCCTGTAAGAAACGGCAGTTGTGCCCAATAACATCATCGGAGCCATAACCCGTGAGGCGATAAAATTCTTCGCTGGCATAGATGATGGGATTGTCTTGCTGATTCGGATCGGTCAAGCAGAATACCTCGGATAATCCTCCAACAAGATCTCTCATAAGGGGCGTTTGCCTGCCTGTGATTTCATTGATCAAGCACTCTGTAACCACCTTGACCAAGTTGTAGGTGATGTACATTGGAAGCGCTGCATCAACCAAAGTTCGGAACGCAGAATTATTCCATTCTTCAAAGACTTTGTCCAGCAGGGCAGCATTCGTTGGCCTGTCAGTCGGTGTGGTCGTCGATTCAATGCCATGGGCAATCGCATTGGCGTATTCGACCGCCTTGATAGCTTTCTGCGTTTCTAAATACCTTAACAGGATCGGATAGTATTGAGGTCGATATCGCCCAAGGAAAGCCGTGAATCGTGCCAGATATTGTGGGTTATGAAGGAGAGCGTTCAAATGTCCGGTTGAGAACAGTGATTCTGATAGAGACTCAACAGAAGGCGGCTTGGGCCTAGGTGGAGGAGGGCGTAGATCGAAATCTAACTCATCCGATGTATCACTGGCCAGCTTAGTTTTTGTGTCGCTTTCCGACATGGTCCGTTGCAGCTGCGGGCCTTTCGCAGCATTCCTGGACGAGGGACCCCTATGCGGCTTCTCTATGCCTGATCGGCCATATCGAGCCCACTCTCCTGATGGTCTTGGGTCTGGATTGGCAGCTGTTGCAGCGTGAGGAAGGCCAGGGCGAGACTTCGCAGGGTTCACCGCATTGATGGGTGGGAGCGCTGTGTGAATATCCCAATTGCGCAATGATGGTTCCTCCTTTGTAGGGCTATATGTCTGCTTGGTTGGTTCAGGAGGCTTTTCGACACTGCCTTTGGCTTTTTCCTTCTGGTCGGATGCCTTCGCTTGAGCGACCGGAGTGGACTGTGTGGCAGATTTCTGACTTTTCTTTGATCTACCTGAGCGTATGCGAAGGTTCTGCTTTATCCTTTCCAGGTCCATGATGATCCCCAGTAGCTGGAGAGATGGGAGCACTTGTCCACCCAAAAGACCTGGAAAGTAGGAAAGTTCGTTAAATCAGAGGAGACAGGCGACGAAGAACTCAAGCTCAAGAACACATGTCGCCGGTTTGGACTCACCCGATCATGGCCGAAGGATTGCAGATAGATTTGTGTGGCCTGATAAAATGAGGTGAGGTGAGCTTTCAGGACATTCAGGCGATAGGACAGCCGTGGACAGGGACGGAAACCTGCCAATATGACAATTCGGAATGCACTACATCATCACACAGACAAAGTCCTGCAGGGTCAATCATCCCATGTCTAGCGAAGCCATATCGAATACGTCAGTGCTAAAACATTGGCATTCGGCTGTTGAATTCAGTACGAAGGTATTGTTTGCGCCGAGGATGGGAGTTCTGAGTGTCGCCGTCATGACTTGTGCCACAAGATCGGGGATGAGGAATATATTGGATGAAGAATAACCGTAGTACTCGTAGCAGTTTAATTGACCTCAAATGGGTTCGGGAGACAGGGGTGGCCCCAGAAGGTTTATACATGGTAACGGGCATTCCCGCCTAAAACGCGGCCTGGAGACACGCCTTCGGGCTTGCAAAACAAAAAGTCCGGAGTGCATTTTAGGCTCGGCGGCTTACACAGCGCCTACCATATTGTCGGGGATCCTAGCTCATCTGGCTAGTGAGTATGGCACTCATCTTCCACGCAAACATGACTTAACGGCACCAAGCAAGGCACATCCGAGAGAAAACACCACTCTTCCAGTCTTAAATGTCCGAAGCTAATAAAGGCCGTTCCTCACTGTTTTCATCATCTGCAAGCAAGGGGGCGTCCCTGCAGGGTCACCAGTCAGGTCGCTCAATCCGAGTAAGTTCAAAACGAATGCTCACCTTAGGTACCCAACGAATGTCACAAGCCAGAAGGAGCCCACATAGGTCAAGGCCCATTCCAGGCCGCCAGCAGTACGCATCCAGCCTTTGAAAAGGAAGACTATGAATGCAATGCCCAGTCCTATCTCAACGACGACCCAGGTATTACTCGCCAGACACCTGCATACTTATCAGTATTGTGCCATTCCTGCCGAAAGGCCATATCGGGTCAAAGAGGAAGAATATCACCATCTCCGAAGACCCTTCCACTGCGACTGCTCCCAGGTCTGGTCGAACCAAACAAGGGCAGTAAGCAACATCGCCAGACCAAGCCCGCCAAAGCAAGAAAATAGCAAGTACTGATGCCTTTCGTGGGCACGGTATGTATCAAAGATGGCGAGTAGCAAGAACGACACGGACGCCCACAATCCACAAAACAAAGCCAACATCGAAGTAGTTTTCTTCCATTTTGCGTCATCAGTGAGTCCGTAAGAATGGGCAGAGTACCGAGAGCAGTGAACAGCCCAGACAGTCAAAGCAAAAGTGATTGCAGTTGTCGTGCAACCAGCAATGAAGACTGGTTTGAACTCGAATGCGGCAATATCAGAGACAAAGCTGAATCGACTGTCAGGAACACCGGTGCAAATGGTGGTGGGTCTGCTCACGCGACATAAGGATTGCTCTGGCCAGGATATGTAGGTCGACCTACGGCAAGCCAATGGATGAGAAGAATAGAAAGAGTAAGGAACCATGAGGCTCCTGCAACAAGCGGCAACAGCCAGAGATATCGCAACCACAACCTCTTGAAATGATGAATTTCAGCCATGGGCCACCGTCAACGCAAAAGATCTGATTGTGAAGGATTGCAACATAGCTTTTATGAGGCTCGGTTAGGGTGTCGCGTGACTCCATCCTGAATTGGGTGCGGGTGATCATCCAGCCGACAGCAAAACTGAGGTTATCATGATGTTATTGCATGCATCAATGTCACTCTCGCGTGGGGTTAGTATCAACAAATGATGTGCGTCAGAATGTGTTACCCGACATTGGAGGATTCAAATTGCCTGCGACGTGCCTATGTCCAACTCCATAAAAGTCTTGCTGCATATGTTGGCAAGAGCGTCACAAGGCCAAATTTCGTCCAATATAGAACTCGGTTTGTTTTCTTCCTTCATCATCTTAGATCGTATCTTTGTCTTGCCTGGACTGCATCGACGTCCTTGATATGGTTACCACTGGCGTGCTTTGTTTGACCTGGAAAGACTGGACGACCTGAACCTGGGAGAGGCAAAAACTTCCCGACCTTCTGCTGGTATATCTTGTACTCCGGGTACTTCTGTGCAGATAACAGTTCGGTAAGCCAGGTGCTGGACTGGAAGAGCAGCAGATACGAGAGGGCGCCAATGCCGGTCCAATTGTACCATGTCCGCGTCGCTAGACAGGACCACAAGTAGAGCACCACCCAGACAGTCTGCTCAGCAGCAAAATTGGGGTGGCGAGAATAGGCAAACAATCCCTTGGTGAGGAAGCCGCGGTCTAAATCTTCCTGCTCATATCCAGCCGGTACCTTTGCATTTTGTCGATAAGCTGACTTGGCATTTTGGTAATTCCACTGTTGTTGATCGGCAATGAAAGATGTGGCTATTGCACTCAGCATGACAGCAGATGCGACAATGTCTTCGAAGCTGAAGTTCGATACGTTGGAACTGTAGGTAGCCAACCTTGAAGTAAGGAGTAGCACATAACTTGGACTGGTGACACTGGCCAAAAGAAGTGACTGGGCAAGAGAAATGAAGACAATGTTGAACAGGAAGAACACTCCTGGTCCAACTTGCTTCTTGACAATGGCCCAACGGTAGTCCTCGCTACCGATTGAGTAGCCGCCTTTGCGATAGTAATTGTAGGTCAACCTCGTCTGAGACACTATTAGCACGAACCTTGCAAAGTCAGAAGGGTGACTTACACTCCAGATTGCACTAATGACAGCAACAAGATTGAGCCTGGTCGTTTCAATCCCAGCCAGATGTGCATACACCGCATAATGAACGTTGTAGATTGTCGGTAGTATTGACCAGACGCGATCGACCTGCGAGTAGTTCTTGTTGATCTCTGAAATCACCAAAAAGATGGGAGAAATGGCTATGGAGAAAGCGATGGCGGAGATGAGAGGATTTGTATCGAGATAGAGTTGTTTCAAGGCGGCAATGTTGGCTGCAGATTGAAGGAATACCTGTGGCAAGGGCTGAAGCTGATATATGTATGGTGCTACCGTATTGTTGTACTCGGCGCACTCGATGAGGCTGCGAACCACAGGCAATGCCATCTTGAAGAAAGGGCTTAGAAAGGATCAAATCCTCGAGAGGCCTCTGAGCTGTAGGCGGGGGTCCGAGGAAGGAGAGTTGAAGAATGAATAAAAGCCTGGGAAGATGGTGATGGAAGTCTCCTGATGTGATGCCCAGATCAAAATGTGGTGACGCAATAATTCAAGCCCCCGACAACTCGAATCTCCAGCGATCCTCAGGCACCGCTCAAGCCCCGATCCAGACTGATGGAGCCTAATGGAGCCAAATAGATTCATCATGGGTGGGTGCATGCACGGTGCATGGTACCTAGGACGCCTAACTTAGGTAGGATATCCAATGGTCCCCATTCGATCGCCACAAAAAAGCGCGTCGATTGCCGTCAGTTGCCAAGATCGACGCGTCTCAACTTCACGTTCGCTTTTGGAGCCTCAAACTCACCACTCACCACTCACCACTGTACACCATCCTTCAAATCGCTCTAAACTGGCTGTCGTATCAAATCAGTAGGGCAGTTGACTATGATGCTTATGCAAAATGAATCATGCCCGGTCAAAAGATTCTCTGCGTCGCAGAAAAGCCTGCGATAGCCAAGGCAGTTGCCCAACATCTCGCTGGCGGCAGAGTCACCACGGTAGGCAGATATCGTGCTCACTCTTCTAGTCCACTTCTCATTTTTCGCAGCACTCTATACGAGGCAACCCGTATGTGAAGAACTATGAATTCGATTTCAACTTCCGACAATGGGGCAACTGCTCTGTGACCATGACCAGTGTGCTTGGCCACATGACAAGCCTGGATTTCGACCAGAAATACAAAAGCTGGAAATCCTGTCAACCCGGTCAGCTATTTGAGGCCGAGACCGTCACCACTGTCGACAAAGACAAGAAGGCTCTTGCGGACAATCTCAAACAACAAGCCCGATATGCCAGGATTCTGTTCATTTGGACCGATTGCGACCGTGAAGGTGAGCATATTGGTGGTGAAGTACGCGATCAGGCTAAGAAGGGCAATCCGAACATCATTGTCAAGCGAGCTAAATTCAGCAACACCGAAAGAGCGTGAGTTGGAGAGACCCCGTGGCGATTCCAGACACTAACAGCATTAGTCACGTTATACAAGCGGCGCATTCTCCCCTTGACATGGACGAGCGCCTGGTCAACGCCGTCACCGCCAGAATCGAGCTTGACCTGCGGATAGGCGCGTCTTTCACTAGACTCCAGACACTACAGCTGCAGTCTCTGAGTGAGAATCTGAGTCAAGCAGTAATTAGTTACGGATCGTGCCAATTCCCTACCCTTGGTTTCGTCGTCGACCGATATAATCGAGTGAGGAACTTCAAACCAGAAACCTTCTGGCTGATCAAGTTGATGCACATTCGTGACAGGATCAAAGTCAACTTCAACTGGAGAAGGGGCCATCTTTTCGACCGAGCCGCTGTCACTATTATTTTCGAGGCATGCCTTGACGAAAAGTATGCCACAGTCACAAAAGTACAAAAGAAACCCACTTCAAAATGGCGTCCACTACCCTTGACCACAGTGGAATTGCAGAAGCAAGGCAGTCGTTTTCTTCGCATGAGCAGTCAGCAAGTCATGTCGGCTGCTGAAAAGCTCTACCAGCAGGGGTTCATCAGCTACCCGCGTACCGAGACTGACCAATTTCCTCGAGAGTTTGGTTTTGACCCCATCATTCAGCGGCAGACACAGAACAACCAGTGGGGACAATTTGCGCAAGGTCTGTTGGATGGCGGATTCCGAACTCCTCGATCAGGAAGTCACAACGATCAAGCACATCCTCCCATTCACCCGGTCAATTATGCCGATGCATCCGCACTCCAACAAGATCAGAAGAAAGTATACGAGTTCGTCGTCCGGCGATTTCTTGCTTGTTGCTCGGAAGATGCGAAAGGAGAGGCCACGGACATCGAAGTGCAATGGGGTTCCGAGACATTCCACACTCATGGTCTCCTCGTACTTCAACGCAATTATCTTGATGTCTACGTCTATGACAAATGGGAAAGCAGTCAGCAATTACCGGCATATACTGCAGGCGAGACGTTCGAACCCGTCGAAGCGAACATGACGGATGGGAAAACAACGGCTCCAGGATACCTGACTGAGCCCGAACTGATAGCCTTGATGGATGCAAATGGAATCGGCACCGATGCCACGATGGCCGAGCATATTACCAAGATTCAGGAGCGGCTGTACGTTAATACAAGACCATCCACTGGAGGTGCGCGCAACCGAGTTCAGGAATTCATACCTACTACACTCGGGGTGGCCTTGATCGAAGGCTACGACAACGTTGGACTCGACGTCAGCGTCAGCAAACCGTTCCTTCGCAAAGAGATGGAACTCAAAATGAAGGCGATCTGCGAGGGACGGCGGAGTCGGTCAGATGTCGTGCAAGAGAGCTTGGACCAGTACCGCGAAGTGTTTATCAAGACTAGCCAGCAGATCAGTACTCTGAAGGACGCTGTGACGAAGTATGTGGTGAATGGCGGCAGATGATGAGAGCGAGCAACGTGGGACTTGCGTTTCTGCTCGCATCGTGCGACGGTCATCTGGCTTGATCAACCTCATTCAAGACTTACAACATATTACCTGAAATTTTGTGGAACCTGAGCCTTGGAAGAAGCTTACACCGGCACACCTACGTGGGTGCTACGAGCTAGCCATGCTCCCATCGTCTCCCCAGATCCGTCAAAAAGCACAAGGGACTCGATCGGCGAATGAGACAATTGGCGCCACACCCACTTCCAAGTCCTTGACCAGGGCCATGACGCAGCTTTTGACGCGACTGGGCAGGTGGTTGTGGCTGAGCTTTACACAATCCAATGATATCGTTTCAGCCACAGATCCTGGATCCCTCGTAGCTCACAAGCTCGGCCTTTCGACTGTCCTAATATCAAGGCACAACTGCCTATGACATATCGACCTGGATGTTTTCAAGCCTCAGCCGCTCTATGAGGCCCATGGACTCCACCTGTGATGCCATTGTGGAAAGTCTGTCAGCTTGATACCAGTACCTGGAGCAGATGGCTCGATCGCGGAGGGCAACGCTGCCCTAAATCTATATAACCCAGCAGGATCGCTCGCAAAGATCAGCCCTACACAGAAATCCAAGCTCACAGACATTCCACCTTATACTTACCTCTCATATAACATCTTGACCAAACAACCACTCATGTCGGGCCTTATCAACAAAGTAAAGGCTGCTCTGTCGAGCGACACCCCAGATTCTACCAATGCTGGACCGTGAGTATAACACCCAGAACATTCTTCCCATATCCAACTTACAACTTCTTCTAGGCACCATAGCAACGCGGCCAACTCGGTTGACCCCAGAGTCGATTCAGATCGCAGCCACGGTGGCTACGGGACCGGAGCTGGTCATACCAGCGGTGTTCCCACGGGCGTCGGCCATACCGGCGGCCACAGCGGTGCTGAATATGGCGCCGCCCCACAGAGCGGTGAATACGGATCGGGTGCTGCGACGATGGGATCGGGCAACACCATGCACTCCAGCCGAGGTGCAAACAAGCTCGATCCTCGTGTAGACAGCGACTTCGATCACAGAGCCAACCCGGGGAGCAACGTGGGCGGCTATGGGGCCACAGCGAATGCTCCTTCGACCACAACGGCTGGGCACCACGGCAACAACATGCACTCCAGCCAGCTTGAAAATAAGATTGATCCTCGTGTGGACAGCGACTTTGACCACAGGGGCAACCCTGGAAGCAAAGTGGGTGGCTATGGAAAGCAAGAGTCCGCCAGATACGGAGGTGCATCTGGTATGCCGTCAGACACGACAACCGGCCACAACCTCCAGTCAGGACATCACGGACATCATGGCCATCAGGGCCAAGGTATCACGGGTGTTCACGACCAGGTAACCACTGGAAACACCATGGGAACCTCGACTCATGGCCTTCACAACTCTGGTTCCCAGGTGGGATATCAAAACACTTCGGGAGCTTCAACTCATGCACCCCACAACTCGAATCTGCTCAATCGTGTGGATCCAAGAGTCAAACATGATACTGAAGGTAGACCTGTCTGAGGGATGCGTTGAGATCATGATCAGCTGCGCGGCTGTACAAGATCGAGCAATGGGGTAAATTGTCTGGTTCTGATTGTACGCTGGGTGTAGGAGGATTACGAGTATATTAATGCCATTTCATGTCTAAAACATTCTAGATTTCCCAAAATGCGCGACCATCCTCGAATGATGCAATTCCGGCTGATGTGTAACGCCCAACAGGGGGTCTGATGCTTGATGTGGTGATGATTCATGTACGCTAGACACTTTGGTGGCAAGTGTGTACTCGGCTGCATCTCATGTGGTAAGCTCGCACAAGTTCAAGAAGCTGGCACCTAGCTGGGAGAGTAAAAGGTGTGATTGGAGGCGTGGATGAGTAAGTCGACAGTAATCGACCCAAAGCCGCAAAGGGCTTGTGCAAGGCGCTACTTAGTCAGTGAGCAGGCGGAGACAAGGTGGAGGAGTTGGTCGTGGTTGGTGAGGAAGTCGTTGCTCATCTCAGCAGATCACAGATGCATTTGACCAGCTCCAGGATTCGGAACTGCCAAAGATCCATGCATTTGGCAGCGAGAGGGAATCCTGAGGCGCCATCATGCGCCCGGGATTGGATGTGGTGTGCGATCCATGCCCGCTAAGGCGCCCACTAAGATGCCCACTGGGTGCCCGTTTGGGGGCAGTGGAGACAGCCCCGACAGCCCCGACAGCCAAGTGACTTCCCTGCAGCAACTTTCCAGATAAATGTTGTCGTTGCGACGCCCACGGTGCTGCCCCAGTCTCGACTTCCTGCCTGCGCCTTCTCGCCCTCCTCTGATATCGTCGCCTGTGTATGATTCTCGACATCAGATAACAGCGACGTACCTCTTACGGCCTTCTAGGCACCCTGCCAACTCCGCCATTTTCACGTGCCAATCCCCTCATCAACATGGCCAACAGACCAATCGAAACAGAAGCCTTCCCAAACCTCGAAGATGAGACAGAGATACCCATTGACAGATCTCAAGATGGCGCGGTTCCCGACGTCGGTCGCAGAGGTTCCATTACCTCTCGACTATCGGCTCAGACTCGTACGCGGACTGGTTCCTTAATGCAGTCCTTCATCCAAAGCAACCCTCCTCTGGGAATGTGGCAGGCCACAGGCGAGGTCGGCTCCAAGATACCCACATTACCCGAGATACGAAACGGAGCATTTGCAAATGAGGGCTGGACACATGAAGGACAAATGGAACATCGAGGGACGAATCCCCATGAGATTCACCGACAGAGGATAGCCCGGACGAGTTCTGCTAGTACCAGGACGAGAAAAAGTTCGCGGTCGACAGGAGCGCCAGAGATAGTCACAGAGGAAAGACATGAGTTCTTTCCAAAGAGAACCCCGACATTGCTGCAGGAGACCTTACACGAGGAAAGCCCGGCCGTGCACTCTCGGGCAGAAGAAATTCAGCCAGCACAGAGGTAAGTCTCTTCCCACACTTTTCAATTAACGCCAGCCGATTAATACCTCATGATTAGCCCCGAAGAGAAACATTCAGCAGAGACAAAAGAGAAAGACGCGTCAATGGCTTCGTCACAGCAAGAGGACGCTCAAGCCGTGCGAATCCAGGGTGGTCCGGACGAGACAGGCACGTATCCCAACGGGTACCGCTTCCCCAGGAAACACAGTTGGACTCAATCCACCGTGATCGGACTAGGAGCTTTTTGGAAATTCTTCCTCACGCCCTTCGGCTTTCTCGTAACGATCTACGGCCTCAACGTGGTCGGTTGGGGTGCCATGATTTTCTTCGTCCTCCTCAATGCTGCACCAGCAATGTGTCATCCCACCTGCAACTCGGACGATAGCGCCCGTAAGAAATGGATCGAGATCGACTCGCAGGTTCTCAATGCGTTGTTCTGCGTGACAGGTTTTGGTCTCTTACCATGGCGGGCGCGCGACTTCTACTATGTCATGCGCTGGCGAGTGGGAGGCAATCAGAAATACCATCGTAAGCTCGCCGGCATTTACAGGGGTTGGTACCGTCTACCAGGCTCGGATCAGCTGGCGGAAGACGTTGGGCCGCCGCCGTCGTACACCAAGAAGAACCCACGCACACCGGAGTCACCTCCGTCTTATTCAGAAGAGGAAGTCGCCCGCTTAGAGGAAAACCCAGCTGTTCCCCTGCCAGCGACATCCATGCCTGAGCCACCTTTGACCGGCATCCGCGCTCGGCCGTCAAGGTCCTGGTCCATCGACTTCGTCGTCTACATGTACATGCTCAACACGGTCTTTCAAGTCCTCCTTTGTGTCTGGATGTGGCATTGGGACCGATTCACTCGGCCTTCGTGGGGGACGGGTGTATGGATCACTTTGGGATGTTTGAGCGGTATATTTGCTGGTGTGATGGTCTTCATCGAGGGGAGCAAGGTCAAGCGCGCCGAAGGTATCCCGGTCCAGGAATATGATGTTCTTGAGTCGGTGGAGGATTACCACGAGCGCAAAGCGAAGGAGGACAAGAAGGAGGCTAAGAAGATGGCACGAAACGAGGATCATCGCCATTTTAGACACAGTCATGCTGGAACTCACGAAGTCGTCCGTTCAGAGAAATTGAAGGGCCATCAGTGGTTCACACGGCACTAAGTACTTGTTGAGTTAGCGAAAGGGCTGTCAAATCGAGTTGCAGCGAGGCGTTATGGGTATCGGCTGGACGGTTTTGTATCATGGCGGCCTCTCAAAAGCCTGTCTGTCATAATCACTGTCTTTGGTATCCAATATGATAACCCTACAGACTTTTGTCGAAATCGAAATGTGAATCTGCTGGGAGCAATGCGTGATATCAAATCGTACTGTGTAGATTGGAAGTGGTTCTGCTGAGCGCCCATAGTCGGTGCCATCAGGTCCAGATTATTGGCGGCATCCACGGCCTCACCAGCCTCGGCGATTGAACAACAACTCACTTCAGACCTGCCTGTTCCCCTTCACTCTCTTCACTTCTCTTCGTTTTTGCTGCTCTTACCATCGTCTTTCGTTCATGCAATGATTCTCAATGAATTTCTTTGCCGGGAAGCTTTCAGGTTCGGCATGGCAATTCATTCCACAGACTTCCGATGCCAGGCGGAGTATGCAAGCATGTCCAGGAGCCTCATCCCCTCAAGCAAAACCCTATTCCAAGCTGCAAGAAGAATATGGATCTCATCCCTTGAGCAAGATTCCATCTCCACGCTGCAAAATGAATAGGGAGGGGGCTGGAGCGCCAGTATGGCTTGACTGCCGAGATGTTCACCCTTGTGTAGGGTGTACCTCACTTGACTTCTCGTGTGATGGCATTGCGAGACTGGAACATGAGCCTGGCTCGAACGAACATATCGGGTGTCCTGCAAGATCTCATGCTTGAATCGCAAGCTTCGAAGATTGTTGTGGGTCAAAGATTGAGAGAGTTGTTGGACTAATTAAGCAAGGTCATCTCCGAGCGAGGGACAACAGCCTTGGAAGAGGCAGACTTCGATGCCGAAAACAAGCTGTGTCGGCACGCTTGGGAATATGGAATTGAGGAATTCAACCGTTCTGTCGCGGCTTGACCTCCCCTTGCTGCATGATGTAGTAGACAACGGTGCCATCTCCGCCGCCACCTGTCTTGGCTCTCATACCTAGTAGCACTCGTTTCTGGTCATGATGCTCGTACGCTGTCGGCCTGCCGTGTAGACTGCCATTCGCATTGCCGCTTCCGTTACGTGACTGTCTGCCATTGTCGCTCGGAGCTTGCACGCTGACCACGACCACATCACGCTCCGGCAGTTGGTCAAATACCGCACAGAATCGACCAAGCGTCCACGTCTCGCTGAGGGACAATGGCAGCACAAACTCGCGGCGCACGGGGATGGAGCTCTCGTCGATGGAATGTCGGACAAGGTGATTTTGAAGATCTGGGTGCACATAGCTGTGGCGTGGAGGGAGGCCAGAAATCAGAGTCGCCGTCTCACCTGATGCAGAGGTGGAGGGTGTGGATGAGCCCGACGAGGAGGGTGAATGTTGATGTGGGTGTGGATGGCGCGCATGATCCGGACCAAGGCCGTCGACGGAGTCGGTAGGACTGGGAGTCGAGGTTGATGAGGTGTTTAGGCAGATGATATGGCGCTTCAAGTCGGTCCAATTGTGCTGATATTGCAGGTTGTGCAGAATTTCGAGGGGCAGTGACTCGGAGGCTGATTTGGCGCCTGACGAGGAGATCAGAGATGACAAGGCCGAGGGTTCGGGTGGTGGGTTGCTGGTCGCCATCGTCAAAGGAGTGAAAGGGTCGAGCGTCACGGTGGATAATTCGAATCGCGTCTCCCGTTAACGCTCGCACATCGAAGTTGTGGTGTCTTCGTTCAAGTCAACATAGTTACGACGACGAAGGAAGAACAGACTTCAGCAACATCGTCGAGACTCAGTCGTTCTTACAAGCTTGAGCCATTGTATACTTTGAGTCTTTACGTGAGTTTAATAGAAGAGTCACAAGAATCTGGAAAAAGTGAATGTTGCTTGGATGGTGGCAGGTTTGCCGAGGCATTTTGATATGCCACTTCAGATATTCGATAGACATACGACTATTTATTACCATTGTCCGCTGCAGCATATGTGTGGTGTCTTGGTCGGACAATCCCTCTATACCTAAAATACGTGTGTCATGTTCATAGATCTAATCTTTAATTCATGGGTAATGCTTCTCATCGCTGACAACATCCGAGCGATAGGCGGTAACATAGGAGGCGCCGAATTTGTTGCAGGCTGGCATCCATTGGCCGAACTCATCTGTCGACACGTTGCGGTTGCGTTAGACTCTTGTGCTAGACATGGGAGGGTTTCCTCTTTTTTCGACTTTGTTCGCTCGACTTAATTTCATTGTGGCCGTAAAAACAACAAGCATCGAATACTAAGGAGGAACCTGTATCAGTATCGATTCCCGAATCGGCACCTCAGAGGTCCCCGTGTACAATCGAAGGCTTGACGGATCTTCCCTCACTCTCGAGCGGGCGAAGCAATCGAGGAATCACCTTGTTGAAGAGAATCGGTACTAGTGTATCGAATTCTGGATTAATCCTCTGGTTTTCAGTTCTAGGTCTAGTATCCAGCGCATGCTCTTCGCAAAGTATGCCTCCCAGCTGTCCTCGCAGTCCTTCATTGAGTGATATGAAAGCCGAACTTACCAGTATGAGACTCGCTGTTCTTGTGCAGCAGGGCCAGTTGTACCGAGAAGTTCTCGGGATCAGGCATATCATCTGCCGTCTCACGGTATTCGCACAAGAAGAAGTGGGTGTCTGGATTGCTCTGATACGTGCCCCAGGCGTTCGGCTTTGGTACAAAGTCTAGCAGCAGGTTATAGATGGCTTTCATCAACTGGAATTCGCCTTGTAGCATGTTCCTGCCGATATCATCAGAGAGAACTTTGATGAAGAAGCAGTGATCAGTCTGCCCATCCGCCAATACGACACTAATACGAGGAGTGTTCGCCCAAAAGCTGACGCCATGTCCTTCAATTGAGAGAATCCGACAGCCATCGGACAGTTCCGCAACGACACTCGAATCGACACCGGAGTTCGTCCCTCCAAATTCCAATCCTTCTGCTCTTCGAAGTTCATGGAGCAAATGTGAAGTGCTTTCCTGGAAACACTTGCTGCGGATCCGCGAAAGCTTCAGTCAAAGGCGGCACGGAATCCTTTGCCACTTTTTCGGGTGAAGTCATGTAAGTACTTAACTATGAGTCGAGTTCCTCAAGCCGAAGGAGAGGTCATCTCGATCTGAAAGGAAAATTGTCTTGAGGCTTTTCTCTTCTCGTTGTGCTAACTAGCGCCTATTGATCATGTCCTGCAGTAGAGGCCTTGAATATCCGGTCTCGAAGCTCCTTGTCCTCGATCTGTCTGACCTCGACACCTGCCTCCTCACGTCGCTTTCTGCCTTCATTGAGACCAATAAATGTTCCAGGCTCTGTGATCCCCACGTAGACCAGTTTGATTGAGTCTTTGAGCCCGAGTATCCTCTCCACGCAAGTTCGATTACCACTCAAACGTTCGTTGCATGGTTCAATGGTCGTGTAGACGGTGTTTTTGGGTAATATTTGGCCGACACGATCATCTGGGACGTTATGTTTCTCGGCGACTTTGATGAGGCAGCATTGTTCAGCATGTGTCGAGCCTGGGTCTCCCGGCCTATCACCAGGTAGTTCCATTGAGTAGCCTGTCGAGAGAATCTTGCCACTCTCCCCATTGACAAGGACTGCTCCAACACAAAACTTTGTAGGTGCTGGGGGTGAGAGGCGTGCCTTCTCCAGAGCATATTCCATGTATGCTTGACGGTTGCCTGGATCATACACGGGGTAAGGCGATTCGCAGGCCATATTTGATGACTTGACTGTAAAGGTTGCGCGGAATCCAAAACCTGTTGGATAAAGTGGGCGGTCGAGAAGTCCTGTTGTTTTGGGCGTCAGTTGGTCTTCGCTTGACTGCTGAAAGGGTGACTAAAAGTGAGGCACCGCGCTTCCTAGTTAATATAGACGACTTCAATTCATTTATTGAATTCAAGAATAAGTCAACTTCTTTCTGCATTTGTCGTCACTTCTTCTTGAGGTTTGAAGGCAACTACTGTCCGACTCCCGACTTTGATGATCATCTTTCACGGCTGTCACCTCCCACAAATGGGACCTCGAATCATATCGCCAACGGGTGGAACGACTGCCCGCAGAATCTCAGAGACGAGCAAGCTGGAAAGAAGTCTGTATCATGCCTGGGACAGCATCACTCTAATATACCTATGCACCGATTCCAGATTCAAGGAACGAACGTTGCGCCAGTGTGAACTACCCACGTGAACCCGCGCTGCCGATGATTTCTTTCGGCTACTAACTTGGTACTAACGGGTCAATGGGCATTGTTCCGGGCGCCCTGGGCGCTATTGACCTGATTGGTGCTGCTCAACGTATCTGCGTCCGGTCGCTGTTGAGGAAGGTCGAGGACGCGTTGTCGGTCTTAACAGATCGGTGACGGTTGAAGACACGATCAAGGCAATGGGTCGGATGCCGTTTTCGACTCCGTGATGAAGACTCTGGAGCCATAACTTTGAGGTGGACTGACCAGGTGAGGATCCATGAGCTCTCGAGGAAGCTAATCAATCAGATTAGATAAAAATTTTCACGTCGGCTGCCGGTCCTCAGCGAATCAATCCTTGCAATATCTTCGCATCCCGGGCTCATTGCCTACTTGGCGTGCCGTGGGATCCGCCAAAAGGGCACCAAAAGGGTCGGTTTGGCTGCCGGTCTCGGGGGAGGATTGGTCACAGATTGATCTAATCTTATCGAGCGATGGAAAGATAACGCGCCGTAGGGGTCCCTGGGAAGACGATCTTGCAGTTTCCACTCTCACACGCTCGCTTCTCTACTCCTACGATTTCCCAACCCAGATGTTGCTCTTCTACCCGACATCGGATCGATGACCCTTACACATGTTTGCTGCGTCGGATCTGCCAACTACGGTGTATGGCCTGTCCCATGCGTGTTCCACGTAGCAGTGGGCCAAGCTAGGTTGTGGGCTCGCTTGACTGCACGCCATGTGGTGAGCTAATCTGCAAGTTTGGCCAGAGAGGTGGGATAAATGTAGACGGCTTCGCTTCTCGTCTTCCTCTTTCAGGATCTGTACCTTCCGTGCTCCCTTCACCTCCTTCAACATGGCCGTTCTACCCAAGTTCAGGCCCGGATTCCGTCGAACCACGACCGACGACGTGGCCGGCTCTGTTGCTATGAGCCCAATGACGGAGAATGAGAAGCACGCCGCTACCAGCAGTGCTGAGGGACCACGTACGAGCAATGGCGATGCAGAGGCGCCAGCAGCAGAACTTCCTACTGAGGATGCTCAGCGAGGTGTCCAGAACGTGGAAGCGATTACGCTGACGTGGTCAAAGAAGGCTCTTGTCGCAATCTTCATCAAGTACGAATCCACTCTTCGCCAACGCTGGCATACACCATCTTGTCACTAACGCGTGTCCGTCGCAGTATGTGGTTGCTTTACTTCGTCAATGCATTCCAGTCTTCAATCCTGTACAACCTGGTGCCCTTCGCTACCAGCGATTTCGAGACACATTCCCTACTGACGGTCATCTACATCGTTGCCAACGCCATGTCAGCGGCCGTGTACATCCCACTCGCCAAGATGCTCGATCTATGGGGTCGAGCTGAAGGGTTCCTTCTCATGATAGCTTTCGCTACTCTGGGGTTGATCCTGATGGCCTCATGTGGCAGTCTCTCGACGTTCTGTGCTGCGCAGGTACATCTCCATCCACCTAGTTTCGTATATTCAAGCACTGATCGCATGTCACAGGTATTCTACTCAATCGGCTTCGGAGGCATGACTTACAGCATCGATGTCATCACGGCTGACGCGTCCAAACTGAAGAATCGAGGGCTAGCATATGCTTTTACCTCGTCGCCATACATGATCACGGCGTTTGCCGGCGCCAAAGCATCAGAGGACTTCTACTATAACATCAGCTGGCGGTGGGGCTTTGGCTGCTTCGCAATCATCTTGCCCTTCGTGGCTGCACCGTTGTATCTCAACTTGAAGTACCACCTGCGCAAAGCCGAGAAACAAGGACTTCTCAAGCGGGCTAAGAGCGGCCGTACATTGACCCAGAACATTTGGCATTACACCCAAGAGTTCGACGGTATGTTTCTGCCCCTTCTCCCTGGACACATTGAGCACACCCGGTTGCTGACACTCCGAAGCTGCTGGTGTCTTCCTCTTCGCCAGCGGTCTGACAGTCTTCCTCCTTCCCTTCACTCTCGCAGACAGTGCTCCCAACGGCTGGTCGACAGGCTATATCATTGCGATGATCGTCGTGGGCTTTGTCGTCCTCGGTCTGTTCGGCTTGTATGAAGCCTTCGTCGCGCGCACCCCCTTTTTGAGCGTCAACCTCCTCGCCAACCGCACCGTCATTGGCGCCTGCCTTTTGGACTTCACATACCAGGTCAGCTACTACTGCTGGAACAGCTACTTCACGAGTTTCCTGCAGGTCGTTAACAACCTGTCGCTTGCCGAGGCTGGCTACGTGGGAAGCACATTCGACGTCGTCTCGGGCGTGGAGTTGCTGGCCGTTGGATTCTTGATTCGCAAAACGGGCTACTTCCGCTGGCTCCTCTTCGTCGCTGTCCCATTGTACCTCTTCGCGCAAGGATTGATGATCTACTTCCGCCGTCCGAACCAGAAGATCGGATACATTGTCATGTGCCAGATCTTCATCTCAATCGGCGGTGCGATCTTCATCATCGTCCAGCAGATCAGTATCCTCGCGGCGGCAGACCACCAGCACGTCGCCGCCGTCCTGGCCCTGTTGTATGTCGTTGGCAACGTTGGCGGGGCCGTCGGGAACACGATATCCGGCGCGATATGGACAAACACGTTCGAAAAGGCGTTGGAGAGGTATCTGCCGGCCGACGCCCAGAGCAGTATCGAGGATATCTATAACAGTCTCGACGTGCAGTTGAGCTATCCCGTCGGCAGTCCCGAGCGCTTGGGCATACAGGAGGCCTATGGGTATGCGCAGGCTCGAATGCTCGCGGTGGGCACGGGATTGATGGGTCTGAGTTTGATCTGGATGTTCATGATCCGGAACATCAACCTCAAGAAAGTAGACCAGGTCAAAGGTACCATCTTTTAAAGTAGGACCATGATGGAAGACTGGTGCGTGTCGCCGTTTCCGGAGGTGAAAAAGGTCTGAAATACTCGGCAATCCAACTTCGGATCCTGGCAAATACAGTCAGGTAATCGAGACGACGTATATTGAGAGTAATGTGGAAGGGGTTCAAAGGACAGGGACCATAAAGTGAATCAGGGCGGTGGTATAGTATCAGCGACGAGAATGATCCTTCTGCCAGCCTTCATCTGGGATAGAAGAAGACCAGACGAAAGATAAATTCATCGTTGAAATCTGATATAAAGAAAATTCTCCAGCTTGCTCAGCAATCTTGTCCAAAGGTTCTTGCAAGTGATCGTATGCTACTACGTAGTCATTCATACACATCAACCTCTGGACCAAGCAGAAAGCGAGATTAGCATTCAAAGGGGGAATGATGCAAAACAATAGGGCCATGGCCCTCAATTGAATCAACGTTGTCAGCCTTGACCTCTACAGTGCTTCAAAGGAAATTGCGAGATAGCCGTCACCAAGGAAAAAGAAAACACCCTCTTCGCATTCAGTATGGTATGTCCCGTAGCAAAATGAAATCCCAACCAAGCGACGCTCACAAAATCATAGCCCTACATAGAGACCCGACCACACTAGATCTCTTCTTGCCCTTCCTTCTTGACGCCGACATGGAAGCAACGACAAAAGCATCTAGTGACATCCCCATCTCTGTACATGTCCCATGAATTCAATTAGATATCCAGCGTGCAGGGTATTCCGGATCCGATATTGTAAATGTCGCTGGCAAGAGACAAAATATGGACCGCTGACTCTCCCACCAAAACTCCGGCCTGGGTCCGAATACGGTGCTCACAATGTACAAACTTCCCCATCAAATGAGGTGACGCCTGGGCCGGCCATTGAAAGCAATCCCCGGCCGCTATTCAAAAGTTCATGGGCTTCGAACAGTCCTCGTCAGATGATGCGAGAGCAGGACATCAAGGTAGCGCTCCCGCTAAACAGGCGATCATCGACGAGTATTAGGAGTAGTCGAAGGTAGTCATGTGGCAAATCTCCCAACAATCAGTGCCTGAACAACGTGCCCCTCTTTCCAGCCCTGCTCGGAAAGTGTGAGCTTGTCATCGAGAATCTTGCCGAGATACGCCACACGAATGCTCGCCAGTTTGGGAACCTGTATATCAAAGTCAGCGATCATCTCGCACCCGACCACAAGTCGACCCACCTCAGCCTCGTCTCTTATCCTCCAAGCAAGCGTTCCCACTCGTTCACTCTTCCCCAGCAGCACAACCACATCTGGTCCACCACGGTCACTGAGGCGACACCGGACTTTCACTGCATCTTTGTCGACAGCGGCCTTGCCCTTGGCTTCTTTCGTCTTCTCGGCATTCGACGGGTCTTTGCTCAAGTCCGAGTTCGAACCCTCCGCGGCTTCCAGTTTCGCAGCAAGAACATCGATGTCGCCGGTCCCAGTGACGGTCTGGCTGTCCATGTCGGCAATGTCTTCAACGACGTCTGTGGGGTCAGAAATGACCGCCTCCGGCATCTTGTATAGGTTTCCGTGTTCATCGTACGCGCCTTCCTCGAGACGGCCAGTTGGTAATGTCACGGCAAGAGCGTCAAGAATGCCCTGTGCATCTGCGAGATCACCTTCGCGCAGACATTCGATTGTTTGTTTAAGACCTTCCCAAACCTCGTGTCGTCCAGTCACGCGCGTCTCGAAGAACTCATATCTTTCTCGTCGTAGCTGGGTGCGTGTCCATGTTCTGTCCTTGCTTGTCCATGGCTTGGGGGGTTGGAGGGGGAGGTTGAAATGCTCTGCTAGTGAGAGTGGGCGGGTTGGACGTGATCGAGAGGAATTGTGCGCGGAGTGTCGGGGTGTCGAGAGGGCGGAGCGAGAAGTCTCGCTCTGTTGTATGGATAGGCCAGAGGGAGGGGCGAGGTTGCTGATATGGGCGTCCTGCGCTGCGCCGTTGATGGCGGTCTGAGAGGTTATCGCCTGAGGGGAATGTCGAACGGGAGGAGGGGCGGGTGTGCGCGCATGTTGAGCGGCATCAGAGTTGTCAGGTCTTGATGAACAGCAACCCTGGTGGAGGAAGAAGGTCAGTCGTGTTCGCATTCAATTTCGAAACAGTTGGACGACTGTATAGACCAGAGAAAACGTGGTACAATAAGTATCGCCAACGGGCCACATACCATGATTTAGCTCATATTGTGTTTCGCCTTGTCTGTACAGCTATGAATGTAGTAAGTGTCATAAAAGCATGTCGTCCGCAAGGCTCAAGTGAATGGAGCACTGGAGGAGAGGCAAACGAAGGCAGTGCCAGCAGAGGGCTGAAAGAGGGTGAATACAGAACCAACCCGCCCAACGAACGCTGATTGTTTAGATTCGCCCCATCGCAATGTGGTGGCGGCCAGGTTCGGGTCAACGAGAGTACGAGTAGTATGTATGTGAGGCGGAGAAGGGCACTTGTAGTGGACGTTGGACGATGGTGGATCATCAAACGAGGGTCGAGATCGAAGAGATCGTCAACGACTAAGCCTGGTCTCGGTAACAGAGCCTGACTGTCGTTCTGGGGCCCATCATGGCCTATTACTGTATGCCGCAGTCCTTCTTCTCCAGACTCCCAGACAGAGTGCGTCAACACTCGTCTCGCACTGGTAGATGAATTTGTCATGTTGCTCGGCATGTGCCTTTCGCGCGGGCTGAACTTGGCCCTCGATCCATCTCAGCTCGTCTGATCAAACCGCTTCCCGTCTACCCGTGATGACGAATCACTCTCTTAGCCGACATTTCTATCTTTGAAACGAGAATCATTATTCATTGTTCTGCCAGATCCATATCTGAGAATACGAGCCATGGACATCTATCCACGTAGAACCCTCGCTGTAAAAGCGCAACATGAGCAAAGAAGAAAGAAGCCATTCCCCCAATCATGTACAGAGCTATACATTAAGCACACAATATCCCCTTACTGTCCAGGATCATCGAAATTCAATCGATGGACACACGCCTTTTCCCCAAACGCCTTGCTGACCCTCATGCTTCAATTCGAGCTGTTGATACCTGTTTCTTCGCAGTTAGTCACGATGAGGTCGATACCAAGGCGGGTCGGTACTCACTTCTCGCTTTTGGAATGGAAGTAAATCCCACTCACTCTACCCTCGACTTGATTGAAACAGATATAATAGAAGCCTTCAAAGCTGGCTCCTTGGATGCTCTTCAGCTTGTAGTCCGGCACAAGGAAATGCTCCTTCCACCGCATGAAAATGTGTTCTTGCTGCCACCAATTTTCGTGGTTGAGGGGATACACGAAATTGATGTTGCGCTTCGCTTGAAGACTGAGCGGCCTCCATGGCGGGAACCTCGCCCAGTGAGTGAGATCAGTCTTATCACTAGCTCCCCAACCCGGGTCTCTAGTTCTGAAGCTGTATTTCTGATCTGGTCCGCCGATGATCTCGCCGGTGAAGAAAGTCGTCAATGTAGGGTGGTCCGGGGTGAGCCCACAAATTTGCAGGTAGCCAGACATGGTCGACTGTTCGATATCCACGGTCAGTATAGTCACTTCGACGTTGTAGATCTGCCGGTCTGACTGCTGCGTCCCCTTGAACTTGGAGTATGGCTGAAACGTCGCGGACGGATATTGAGGGCGTAGTCGTCGGCGGGAGAAATCCCATTCCTTCAAGTCACTTGTCCAGTCGAGTTTCTGGTCAATGGAGGGGACTCCAGCTCTGGCATCACGGATTCCTTGGATATGATCTTCCGGAGATGGCTCCGACGAGGGTGATGGTATGCCGGAGAAACTCTCCACGACCACCTTGGTTTCCTCGTCGACGTCTTTTCGCCTGGACGCTGGTCTACAGTTTGCGCTTTCAACAGAGTCCATTATTGGTCGGACATCATAACCACTTGTCCGTGTGTCTCCAGCCGCTTTGAAGTTCTGGTCGTCGCAGATAGCATCATTGTTCGGGACATCGAGCTCCATTGTACCACCAACTGCTTCCGTATGCATCTTCTCTTCATATAAGTCGGGAGATGTGTACATGCTCTCTTCTTGCATCAGTGACATGCCCGCAGCTGTATTGTCACTCTCGGGTTGCCGGCTGACTCCATCGTCGCCCACGAACCTCTGTTGACTGGTTGTTCGGCCTAACTCTTGATCGCCGTCGTTTTCTGGAGGCGGTGTTAATGGCGCAGGGCAAGCGACACTGGGTTGGTCTATATCAAGGTGGTGACGGCTAATGGGCGCATCCGATGCATGAGACGGCATTGAATTGCGACAAGGCGTGGAATTATCATGTGGATTGCGTGGCAGGGTGAGCAAGGTAGAATATCGGGGGCAACTGAAAGGGAGAATCGGCTATGAGGTATAGTATAGTGAAGAAAAGAGTTGGGGTTGTTGTCAGAGCAGAAGATGCGGCAGAGAGGAAGACAATGATGCGATGGTGAGGACGATGGAGAGAGTGATTCAGCGCTCATGCGTGATGCAAAGCCCGTCCTGGCGAATCGGCCCTTAAAACACACACTGGCCCGGCTTCGGACTCGACCTTTGCGGGGTAAACACCATTTAACCACATCACCCAAAGTCCTCTCCGACTGTGGTTGCTTGTCCATTCCTTGCTCCTGGCCAGCTGATATCGACCGCGAGGCATTTGCGGCTAGAAAATCTCCTACTACCGCCATGTCCATCCTCGCCATTGCCTCTGGCAGTGATCCATCATCCTTCTGACACTCCCCTGGCTACCAGTCGCCGCGACAGAGCTTCGGCCACTTTCAACCGCCCTCAATCTGTCTCTTCCGGCCTTAGACCATGTCTGATCATCTTCCCTGTGGCGGCGACGCGCCGAGTGGCAAATTGCTGTGTTTGGAATCGTTGAGCTTTGTATAGCTTCTCATATTTGGGCGTACAATCCTCGATTAAATTGGCTTGATCTAAAAGAAAATCTCGTTACCACTGTGACTCCCAACCCGACTTGCTGACATACCTTGAAATGAAGAGATATTAGAGAGAAGACCAGGGCCTTCAAGTCTTGCACCAAGTAATAGAACACTCTAAGTCCTTCTGGATCGGCCGAGTCGGTTACATCGCCCAACGAGCCAATCTTCGCTGTCTGTTCCCAAAAGGTCAATTACTGCAGCCATACTGACTCGAATACAACGCACCTCGAATTGGATGTGGTCACTTCCAAGCCTGATCTCCAGCTCCTGTCTTCCGTCTTTGTTCTTTTGTGGCCACCGCAAATCGTCTTCTTTGGTGATTTCGCTGTCCTTGATAATGCGCTTGATCTCGGAGATGAGGAGGGCGCTGACAGACACTGTTTCCACCAGTCAGTAGGCCGTTTTGGACAACATGACGAGAGCGAGACGCACTCTCTTTGCGAATGAGCGAGTCATTGCGGTAGTTGGAATTGTTGGCGTATCTTGCGATCGCGCTTCGACCGTCACCGATGACTCTGAAGTCAAATTCTTCCAAGTTGTTAGAATGGACTAAACCATTGTTTTGCTGGACATACCTAAAAATTCGTGGCCAAATCGACCCGAATGGCCGGAACTGCGCGTTGGTCAGTTATTTCTCTGACCAGTTTGGACGATGTTCCATACTAGTATCGCACGTAAAACGGCTCGCTGACATCTGCCTTTGACATGATGGCGAATGTCCCGGAAAACGGAAGCGATTCTGAAGAGGCACAAGAGCTAGGGTTGAAGTCGACCTCTCTTTGAATGAATTAATACTCCGTGCTCAAGGTGGCCGGCGGCGAGGCGGAGGAATCCAGCGCAGTTGACCGCCAAGGCTGTAGACCTTTGGCCGCTTTAGAGTAACCGAACTCGATAGCCTCTCGTCAAAGTCACTTCGCAGACAGCCTGGGGGTAATACCTCACTTTTTTAAGCAAGTGGCAATGACAGATCCTACAACATCTCTCCCCTTTCCCGCCTATCTACGTCTGAAGCTGCTCATAGAAGCTCACTGAGTTGATGAAGGCACACCTCTTCAGCAGCTGAGACTCTGCTCCGCCTTGAGCGGCCATGTTCCATTCATGTTGCCCTGCATCTGGTCCTCCAATGACCCTCACACTCACTGCTTGTACAGTCTGGCCTTTCACGGCCGCCTGTGTCTTGTTGTATGCCTGTGTCCAATTTGCCAAAGTAATTGAGACGTTGCCACTTGGGTTGCCTGTTGAGGCAAAATGTGCCCAACTACCAGACATCCTGGTCTGGACCACCTTTTGCGCAGTGGTGATGCCGAGCCCCAAGTTGGCATTATTGAACACAAAGGGCACATCAGAGACGTGGATCACACCTTCAAAGCCAGCGCCGGACAGCTGCAGCAAAGTACCGAAGGTCGTCTCATTGAGCTCGTAAAGATAGCTTTTGCCGCTGTACTGCGCAACGTGGTGCGCGACGTCGATTGCTGGACAGGCAAAGTTGACGTCTCGATATATCTGCGCTGCTTGAAGGTAGTATGGCGAGGTCTGACCAGCTGCTGCTGTTGCCAGGAAGTCGTTGACTGGATACAGAGATGTCAGGGTCTTCCTGGTTGTAGCGTTGAGATGTGGATATGAAGCCATGAGATAACCTTGCACTGCACTGGAGCTGTTCAAGAGAGGACTCGCGAAAATGCTGCCGTCGTTGTAGTTCCATCCAGCAATGATAGAGACGTTCCTGTGAAATCGTCCTGATCGGACAAGATTGGACGGCGCGGCGGGGAGGAAGTCTCCATCGACTGCTGGGAAGAAAATGTCTTGAGAGGTCTGATTGGCAGTTAGGTTCTCGTACTGCAACACAGCATCCAGCAGTTGGGTCATCGGTAGCCGACGAAGACAATCCAGGACAATTGTGCTATTTTTGCCGGTGCACCCAGCAAGCTGAGCCACAGTAGTTGTGCTGGTCACTGTGAAATTACCCAAAACTCCCGGATCTCCTGCTGGCGAGCCTGACTGCATAATGGCACGCTGGAAAGGAATGGAGCCTTTGCATAGCGATCAGTCATACTTATCTAGACTTGGCTACCAGGGAACGCACCTTTTCCGCCATAAGCAGTCATTTGCAATCCTATTCCAGTGCCGCCGTCGCTCTCGCCGAAAAGTGTCACTTCTTCAGGATCTCCTCCGAAAGCTGCAATATTCTTCTGAATCCATTCAAGTGCAAGCCGCTGGTCCAAAAGACCCGAATTTAGGGACTTCTCGGCACGGAGTGCTGGACTGTTGCCGAAGCCGAAAATGTTCATTCGGTAGTTCATCGCCACAAATACCAATGGAGTGCCCTTTGCTTGGGCTCCAAGAACGAGAGCAGTTGGATCATAGAGTGAATAGTTCGTAGACCCATACTCATCACCTCCACCATAGAACCACACTAGCACTGGCAATCTTGCATTCTGCTTGGTCCTGGCTGGTCTTGCGACCCTCAGAGTTAAACAGTCTTCAGACAGACTGTAGACACCTTCATTGACGGTCAGGCCAACGAACGATTGCAGAGTCTTTTGAGGGCAGGATGGACCAGCAGCTGTGGCTTGAACAGTGGTGCCACTCTGGTAAGTGAACGCTTGGGGGTGCTTAAAGCGATTCGCGCCAGAGGTGTCCTTGCCATATCGGATGGCTTGAAAATTCTCAACTCCGCTGTAGTTATAGCCTATATAAGTCAGATTACGCGTGCTGTCGTGGACAGTCACTGGAGACTGGGCGCCTGCGAGCGCAACAAGAACGAGGAGCCGACGCCAGAAAGCTAGCATTATGCCTTGTGCTGACGGAGTCTGCCTTTCAAAAGGCTTAATCCTCTTGCGCACACACCGTATTACTGATTTAGATAATTTGGCAAGATTGATACGGTTGTGAGGTTGGCAGGTGTTGAGGTGTTGAGGTGTTGTCAGTGGCGCCTAATGTGGCAGAGCTCAAAGCCGGAATAGAGCAAAGATCTTACTCGCTGCCTCGCGCATTAGAGCGGCTTGCAAATATGCCTTCCAATGGTCGGCTTGCCGATTGGAAAAAAGCCTGTACCAGACGGCTAGGTGGACGGTAACTGGGAAGGATCCAGCGTCTTCTCGTGTATCTCAAGCACATAATGTAGGAAGCAACTTGTGGACGGAGGCAGTGGCATTTAGATAAGGGCTTGGATACCGAGAGTCTTCGCAGCGGGAACCAGAATGAATGCCTGCTGCTTGATTCCTCTTCAAGCACGATGCTGGTGAAATATACATGATAACTTGCATACATTACGAATACAAGGAGTTGCAATGCAGTCTCAAGCGAGTACCTGACTTTACATTCTTGAATCCTAAGAAACAACCCTGGAGAAAAGGAGAGCAAGAGCCTCGCCGAGGAGTGGATTGAGCGGACAGCTATGGAGTAGCCTGCGAGCTGGCGTCGAATCATATCACGTGTCACTACTCGCTGCCAAGAGATTGATATTCTGGACACCGAGTCCCCTGGACACTGCGCATCCGTGAATTCTGGCATTGCTGTCCCGTTCGACAATAACCTTCCACAACACAATCCTCACCCTGCGGACGATCTTACCCTGACCTACCGGACAGGCCACGCACTGTACAATGCGTTGATCATCTCCTACCGCCTCCCATCCTCTGCAACCTACGAGAAGAGTACCATTCCCCTCGCGCGGCCAACGAGTTCCCCGGATTCTCCTCCGTTACAGGGGAATACGTTAGCAACCATGGCGAGTTTCCTGGACAACTCTTACAGTTTGGTCCATCTGGACAACACTGCAGATCAACCCAGTCAACAAGACCTCAAAACGCAGCTGGAAAAGGGCACAGATGAGACCAAGGTGGAAACAATGACGAGGATCCTGACCATAATGTTGAATGGCGATCCTATGCCCAACCTTCTCATGCATATCATTCGCTTCGTCATGCCCTCAAAGAGCAAGCCCTTGAAGAAATTATTATACTTCTATTATGAGTTATGCCCGAAACACGATGCCAATGGAAAGCTGAAGCAGGAAATGATCTTGGTCTGGTATGTTGCGGATGTATGAGAAGAAGGACAATTCTGACTCTGGCCAGTAATGGAATTCGAAACGACCTACAACACCCTAACGAGTTCGTACGGGGTAACACCCTGCGATTTCTTTCCAAACTTCGAGAGCCGGAGTTGATCGAGCCCTTACTGTCCGCCGCGCAAACCTGCCTCGACCACCGACACGCCTATGTGAGGAAGAACGCAGTGTGGGCTCTCGCGTCAGTCTACCAACATGCTCAAAACCTCATTCCGGACGCTCCAGAAATGCTTCACACATTTTTAGCTGGTGAAAGCGATACGACCTGTAAACGCAATGCATTCGCTGCTTTGATGAGCATAAGTCACGAAAAGGCGCTGGACTATCTGACTGGTGTTATGGATGGAGTACCCAATGCCGACGAGTTGTTGCAGTTGGTAGAACTTGAGTTTATCAGAAAGGACGCGGTGCTGAATCAGGCAAACAAGGCACGGTATCTGCGACTAATCTTCGACTTGCTGGAAGCGAACACAAGCACTGTCGTCTATGAGGCTGCTACTTCCCTCACAGCTCTCACCAGCAACCCGGTAGCTGTCAAGGCCGCAGCTGGAAAATTGATCGAATTGAGCATCAAGGAGGCCGACAACAACGTCAAACTTATTGTACTGGATCGAGTGGAGCAGCTCCGAAGACGAAATGAAGGTGTCCTTGATGACCTGACTATGGAAATCCTCCGTGTCCTATCTAGCCCCGACCTTGACGTCCGGCGAAAAGCGCTCAGCATTGCTTTGGAGATGGTCTCAAGCAAGAACGTGCAAGAAGTTGTCATGCTGTTGAAGAAGGAACTTAGCAAGACAGTTGTGGAGCAGTACGAAAAGAACTCGGAATATCGACAACTTTTGATTCAGTCAATTCACCAGTGCGCCATCAAGTTCTCCGAGATTGCTGCAAGTGTTGTCGACGTCCTGATGGACTTCATCGCCGACTTCAACAATAGCTCAGCGGTCGATGTCATTTCCTTCGTGAAGGAAGTGGTCGAGAAATTTCCCAAGCTCAGATCGTCGATTGTTGAAAGACTGGTCTCGACACTGGGCGAGGTACGTGCGGGCAAGGTCTATCGCGGCTCACTATGGGTCGTTGGCGAGTACTCCTTAAAAGAGAACGATATCAAAGAAGCTTGGAAACGCATACGAGCCAGTCTTGGAGAGATACCTATCCTGGCATCTGAACAACGACTACTTGACGAGCAATCGCACGAGGAGAACGGTGAACCAAAAGATCAGGTCAATGGACACACTACAAAGGCACCTGCAAGCGGATCAAGAAAGGTTCTGGCTGATGGCACGTATGCGACCGAATCAGCCTTGACCAGTGACTCAGCTGCTAAAGCTCGACTGGAAGCAGTCAAAGCGGCGCAAAAACCACCTCTGAGACAGCTAATCCTGGATGGTGACTATTACCTGGGTACTGTTCTGTCATCAACTCTCACGAAACTTGTCATGCGACATTCAGAAATCTCTTCCGACCAAGCTCGTACTAATGCGCTCCGTGCTGAGGCCATGTTGATCATGATCTCCATCATCCGGGTTGGACAATCACAATTTGTAAAGGCGCCTATTGATGAAGATTCAGTCGATCGTATCATGTCCTGTGTCCGGGCATTGGCAGAGTTTACAGAACGAAAGGAGCTTGAAGCCTCGTTCCTCGACGATACCAGAAAAGCATTCAGAGCAATGGTCCAGGTAGAGGAGAAGAAACGTGCGGCTAAGGAAGCGGTCGAGAAGGCAAAGACAGCAGTTCAGGTTGATGATGTTTTCTCGATACGTCAATTGGCCAAGAAAAGTGCCAGTGACGGAACAGACGATATGGAACTGGACCTGGAGAAAGCAACGGGTGGCGATGCTACTTTCGAAGACTTGTCCTCCAAACTCAACCGTGTTGTGCAATTGACTGGCTTCTCAGATCCGGTCTATGCCGAGGCATATGTCAAAGTACATCAGTTCGACATCATCCTGGATGTGCTACTCGTGAATCAGACGAGGGAAACACTGCAAAATCTGTCAGTGGAATTCGCTACATTAGGAGATTTGAAGGTGGTGGAGAGACCAACGACTCACAACCTTGGACCACAAGATTTCCTCAACGTCCAATCGACCATCAAAGTGTCCAGCACCGATACGGGGGTCATATTCGGTAATATTGTGTACGATTCACCATCGGGTACAGATACTCATGTGGTCATTTTGAACGACATCCACGCCGATATTATGGACTACATCCAACCGGCGACATGTACCGAGTCCGCTTTCCGAACTATGTGGACCGAGTTTGAATGGGAGAACAAGGTCAATATCAACAGCAAAGCGACGAACAAGACCCTTCGCGAGTTCCTGGATCAGTTGATGAAGAGCACAAATATGACCTGCTTGACTCCTGATGCTGGCTTGAAGGGTGACTGTCAGTTCCTTAGTGCCAATCTCTATGCACGGAGTGTCTTTGGTAAGCGAATCTTGTTCGCACGAATTTGACAAATGACTAATTGTGTTTAGGCGAGGATGCTCTGGCAAATCTGAGCATAGAAAAGACAGCAGACAATTCGATTGTTGGATTCATTCGTATTCGTTCACGCTCACAAGGGTTGGCGCTTAGCCTGGGATCTTTGAAAGGCTTGAAAGCAGGTACATATTAGAGGACTGGCCTGTCCTGGTCTTCACGGTAGTTGATAATACCTGGTTGCTTGGGGGGGGATTCAAACCCCTCGGTGCACAGTTTCGAGGTGATGATTTCCCTGCAGAAGAATCGAAAGCGTGTCGCATTATCTTGAAAAGGCTACGTGACAGCAGAGCTTGGAATTGAATTCAGAACATTTAAGTACTCACGGTACTGTGGGAGAGAGTAGGCGTGGAAGCCTGGCTCCCTGGCATTTCCAGTGGAATGGGCGGCATCATGTTGGAATCCACCAGTTAGAATGGATGAATCTCATCGAGTCCGCAAGTCCATACAAATTGTCTCCCAGCCATCCCATTCTGCCAACAAATTCCATCCCCAGACAACCAAGATGCGCAGCCATGTCTGTCTCTGGTGTCGAGTCCATTGTAGGTTTGGTATTGCAAGATAATTCTGCCTCACCTCTGTCTCTGCGCGGATGCTACTCCGTACATACACCTCCCTTCCTCGCATTCCCCTCTAATCTGCTTGAGCACGCAACCCTTCTCACCGAGTCTTGATACGTATACCTTGCCGAATCTCCAGTCCATGGCGCCATGGCTGCATCTAGCAGCGCTGCCATCCTCCCTCCTCGTCTTCATAGCCAGTTCCGCGCTACCCGCGTGCTCTCAGGACCTGGACTGGCCATACAGTCTCCCGCCCGATGTGAAATACTACCCGGAGGATGAATTTCTGGTCAAGCGAGACATGGACATCCAAAAGAAGCTACAAAGGCATGCGGTGACTGGAATAAGGAAGATGAGCCATGATCCAGGAGAAAAATTCTACCTCGCCTACTGGGGCATGGCGGAAGAAGGGCAAGCGACGACATGCTCCTCAACATGGTCGAACGCCAGTTTATGGACATCATTCGAGCAACCGATCCGAGTCCATTCACATCCCCAAACCCAGACTTCCGTGGCTGGATCCTGGCGACTACCTGGCTGGCACTTGTTATTCAAACGCGGCTTTCAATGTCCTTCCGGAACATCATCATGTACATCCATTGACCGGCCCAACAGCTGCTGCGCAACGGGTTCGACGTGTCAGATAGTCCAAGATACCGGCCTCGGCGACGTTGGCTGCTGCCCCAACGGACAGACCTGCGCGGACTCGCTCTCGACATGCGAATCGGGGTATACTTCTTGCCCGAACAATCCCGGTGGAGGATGTTGTATACCGGGCTACGCATGCTACGATGTCGGATGTGTGCAGACTTCGTACGCTACAGTTTCCACTCAGCCGGCGCCAACCCCGTCAACGACCACCGTCACATCCTACACAACCATCACGCCTCCTGTAACGAGTCCAACGACAACGTCGACGTCACGATCGAGCAGTTCCTCCTCCTCTCCCACCACCACTCTCGCCCCGGACATCTCAACCGTCACAAAAACCGTCACTGTAACATCAACACTGAACACCTTGACGTGCAGCTCAGGCTACCGCTCCTGCCCCGCCAGTCTAGGCGGCGGATGTTGCCCAACAGATCGATCCTGCGGATCGGCGAGCTGTCCTGCCTCTACTACGACGACCTCTGCAACAGCCGCTCCGCCCGTTCGTCCCACGACACTGACCACGACTGAGGAAACAACCACCACCACACTCTCTCCCAGTGGGCGATCGGCGACGACGTCTTCTCCAACTCGCACAAGCACAAGCACAAGCGCGAGCAGCAGTGTGAGTGTGACAGGCTGCCCGACAGGCTTCTACGCCTGCTCAGCTTACTATCTCGGCGGCTGCTGCCAGATCGGCCGGAACTGCGACACCACGAGTTGTCCCGCCAGTGTCTCGACAACGCTGGTCAGCGGGAGTACCTTGACCATCGTGGCGCCGAGCGGAAGCGGGATCACGGCGCCCGCAAGCGTCCTTACGGGTGCTTGTGCGAAGGGCTGGGCGACGTGCGCCGCCGATCTAGGCGGTGGGTGCTGTCCCAGTGGATATCAATGCGGCGAGGTGAGTTGTGCGGCTGTCGCGACGGGTGGGAGTAGTGTTGGGAAGATGCCGCCGAACGCTGCTCCAGCTTTGGCTGCGGATTTGTGGACGATGATAGCAGGCCTGGGGATGAGTCTGGCAGGTATGGTGGTTATGACGCTGTGAATAAGGTGCTGAGCGTATCTCGGTTCCGTATATACAAATATTTAATGACTGGATGACGAGCGTATTTGCACACCTGCTGCGCCCGTCGACTTCAAGCTGTCGAGGACGGCCATTGCGGAAGAGGATACAAATTCAGTGGTGACACCAGAGGATTGTCAACTTTGAATGCTTCCAGGCTGAAGAATCCTGACTGTCTGATGTCTGATACCTTTGACTATGACTGCGACAATGAACACTACCTTGCCGGCGCAATGCTTGCGAACCCAGGTTGACCACAGTACTTCTCTACCATCGCGAAAGATGACTTAATAGAAGTCATTGAGCCCTAGACACTTTTTCTCTGTGCTTACCCACAACTTATTTGCAGCGGTGGTCTTTGCGTATATGTCCTATCTCTTCCTCACAGAGCATCAGATTTCAGCGTACATATGTCGCGTCGTGTCACTGCACCAAATCACCCATCTCGCTTTTGATAATCTCAGCGACCCGCTCCGACAATTCAGCAGGCTTCTCCGCAAGCACCTTCTTCAATTGGCCCTTGTATTCCTGCAGCTTCTCATTCTTGGGCTCCAGACTCTGTATCGCAAGCAAACACTTCGCCGCGAGCAGGTACTTTTTCCTTCGCAAATAGATTTCGAAGCCCACACACTGTGCCTCCACCAGCTGCGGCGCGTACTCCAATAACGGGGTTAAGAACTTCATCGCATCCTTCAGCGGCTCCTTCGTCTCGACCAATGTCTTACCAAACGGATCGGGGTCCTCTTTCTTCGTATCTGGATCCTCGCTTTTGGGTGTCGGTTTCGCCGCCTTCATGGCTGCCTTTTTCTCCGCTTCGGCTTTCTCCATCTTCTCCTGCTCACGCTTCGCTTTCTTGAGCGCTTTCTTACGGTCTGCGGCGTTCATTTCGCTCGCATCTGTGCCGTTGAGATTGTCCATGATCGGACCGTGCATCAGGTCCGGGTTGTCGGACAGCAAAATGTAAGCTTTAACTGCGGCGACAGCCGAAGTCGAGAAGAATGGATGCTCTCGCAGTCGATCCTCCCAGCGTAGCATGTCGATGTACGCTCGGATCATACCTTTTCTTAGCGAGAAATTGTGAAAGTCGAATTGGTCTTCTTGCCAGACGTCGAAGATGGCGAGGACTTGATGGAACCGCTTCAGTGCAAGGCCGATTTTGCGTTGGCGCAGGTACGACTTCCCATCCTCCGTCAGGTACCATACACATTGCATGTCGATGAGGTCGCTGAGCGGACCGCCAGTCTTGTTTTGCGTGAACTTGCCGGCCGTTTCGAGAGCTTTGTCATTCTGATCGGCCCGTAACAGATACTTGGCGCATTTGGTGTTGATGGCTCGGTCCTTTTCGTCCAGCGCTCGTGCTTGATCCATAATTTCAGCTGCTTTAGCGACATCGCCCTTGTGCTTGTAACTTCGTGCCTTCACCGCGTGAAAGTCCACGGATTTGGGGTCCAGTTCTAGGCATTTGTCGGCGTACTTCAAAGCCTTGTCAAGATCCCGACTGAGCTTGTAGTTATAATGCTGTGCCAGGAAATACAGGACTGAGGATTCGAATCGTGCCTGATCTTTCCCGTCACCATTCGCAGCGCCGTTCGTTTGCGAACCTAGCTTTCCAGCAGCATAGCCCTTGACCAATTCCTGGATCATATCCCGTTTCGATTCGTCAGTGTACAAGTGCTTGATGTTTGCGAAGGTGGAAGGTACGCCTTTCCGCAGCATTTTCTGCAAGTATGGGTCTGCGGCGTGTTTGAAATCTTCTCCGGTCAGAACATCCAACGGTCTTCGCAGTGGGAGGTCTGCTTTTGGATATTTCGCAGCCAGTTCTTCGTAAGCCTTCTTGATTCCTGAAATCGGGCCGTCTTTCAGACCTTTGGCCTCTATCCACCCATCGTAGTAATTTGAGTCGTTGGGGTTCCGATCCAGAAGAGCGGCATACGCTGCCTCGGCCTCACTCTTTCGCCCTAATCGTGCCAGGTAGTCCGCTCTCATCTCCATTACTCCAAGAACATCAGGACTTTTCTTCCCAACGGCCTCCAGGTGATCAAGTGCCTTCTCCACCTCTCCAGACTCGGCAATGATGGTGTTTTTGTAGAGGACCGCCTCCCAATGCTCTAAGTCTGACCGGCTGGGTTTCACCTTGAGTGTCTCTTCGTAGGTGGTCAAAACATTCTCGGCGTCCTCGTAATTCCCGGCAAGATGGTGTGCTATGGCTACAGCTGTCCAGTTTTGCCTGAAACCTGGTTTCTGCTGAAGCATATTTTTGCGGCTCTGGATATAGCCTTCATAATCTCGCATTTGTATCTGAAGATGTGCCAGATCTCTTTGTATAGGTGCCGAGTCCGGCTCTAATCTCAACGCAAACTTGTATGCTTTGATGGCTTCTTCGAAATTCTTTTCTTGCCTGTACAGCAGACCGTACACGTGCCAGCATACATGCGACTTCATATTATTATTGAGGGCGGTTTTGGCTAGAGCGAACGCTTCTTCAGTGTGTCCTTGAGAGCCCAGTATCAGGGCTTTCATAGCTTGTGTGTCGGCATGATTAGGAGTTTTTCGCAGGATCTGTTCGGCCGACTTGAGCCCTGAGCAGAAAAGTCAGCTTTGTCACAAGACCATCAACGTAGGATGCACCTTTCTTATATTGTTTGTTCTCAAAATGGCGAACCACTTGTCGGAATAATGCGCCATCTTTATTGCTCAACTGCTGCTGAGCCTGCGCCATGTTGACGAGGCACAGATGTTCCGGAGAGAGACTGTCGTAAGAGGTGTCGAGAAAGTTCGGACAGTTGTACAGGCAGGAGAGAATGGATGGAAGTAAGGCTAAAACATGTCCAGAAGGAAGCGAAATATGCTAAAGACGACAACTCAACCAGTGAAGACCTCCCCAGCTACGAACAAGTATCGAGGTGTGCGGTGCCTGAGTCCTTCGTATACGGGTAGTAGATTCGGTCCTGTTTGACCGACAGCCAGCCCAGTGTAGCCTCGCAAAAGCTTGGCGGCTCAACTGCTGGGAGATGAAACCCATCTATCATGGAGGCCTCCTTGTTCCGTACTCGAGAGTGTCCAGATTTGAGGGAATCATCTTTTCCATGTAATTGATTCAATGCTAGTAATGCTATAGTACAGGGCCACAGTGATGAGTAGTGAAAAGTCTAGGATATCGGAAGTGCTCGTCCATGCTTGTTGAGTCCCTCAGGCCTGTTGCTGAGTCTGTTCAGCCTCGACGATGAGCTCTTTCAGCAGGTCGGCACTCTTATCCAGGAGATCTCGCTCCTCCTTGTTCAGAGGCATGCTGAGACTTCTGACGATGCCTTTTCGACCAAGGATGACCGGCAGACTCAAGCAGCAACCGAGATCATCGATCCAGTGAGAGATTGGCCGAACAATACGTTGGTCAAACAAAATTGACTTACAGATCGCAGCACTAAGCGCTCCGATGCCGTACGCGGTCGCTCCTTTGGCCTCAATGATCTTTGCTGCCTTGTCTTTTGTCTCCAGTGCGATAGCTTTGCGGTCGAGATCCGTCCCTGGCAGCAGGCATTGATGCAAGGGCATAGCACCCACGGTAACACAGGACCATGCCACCTATAACGTTCTTAGCATCATGAATAGCATGCAGTTGATCATATTTACCATCTGGCTTTCACCATGTTCTCCAAGCACGTAGGCATCCACGCTACTAGCATCCACTCCAACCTTTGCTGCCAGGATTCCTCTCAGTCTGGCAGTGTCGAGGAAGGTACCACTGCCAATGACCTGTTCTTGAGGCAAGCCAGAGAATTTCTGGCAGAAAAAGGTCAATATGTCGACAGGATTGGCCACGGTGAGGATGACGGTGTCCTTTCGGAACGGCTTCATGTCGTTCGTGGCCGACTTCAAGATTGCAAGGTTGCGACCCAGGAGGTCAGTTCGTGTCTCGCCTTGATCAGGTTAGAGTGAGGCCCATGGCTTAGCAAGACGGCCTTACCATGTCTCTGTTTTGCACCGGCGCTGATGACAACGATATCACACTGTCCAGCCTCCTTATGAGTTGCTGCTCGAACGCGGACTCCGCCACCACTGTAGATAGTGTTGGTCAAAGATCAGGCCACAGGATGTTTACCTTACCCCACAGTACCATGGTAGGTTGTAGCATCTTCAAGGTCTTTGACTTGGGCATCTCGTAACGCGGTATTCGGATCAACGAGGAGGACTTCGCTGGCAACCGGATTGAGAATGAGACAAAGGGCTATGGCACTTCCGACGCTGCCCGCGCCCAGAATGGCGATCTGAGATCTGGAGGTGGCCACTTCTGGATCCATTGGAGGAGGCTCCATTTGTACAGGTGGATGAACTAATGATTGTGTGTTGAGCAGGAGATAGAATTGTGATGCACGAATAGTCAGGTTATACGAGTCTAAGGTGAATGACTGGATGTAATGGGAACGGTGCAGTTCGAAAGAGATGCTCAGCAATGCCCGTTCTCTTTTCATCTGAGTAGCAAGAGCAGGCTGAAGCCAAGATCACGGCAGGAACTACCATGTCGGGTTCTGCATGGATCTTGGTGTTGGCGTTGGCAGTGCGTGGCAGTGGCACTCGCTGTCGTCTTCCGATATCAGTCTATCTCGTACTTTAATCAACCTGTCCTTATGAGATCACGAATGAATATGACTACGTTCCGATGATTGGCGCCGTCAGGTCCAGGGTCCAGGGCGCTGCTACCTACCTAGATACCTAGATTGATACGGGCAATTTCAAAACTCAGATGCACTCATGGGAGAAAGAGGTCTAAACTGCTATTGATCTCGACAGTTTTTGATACCTAGGTAAGCAGCTCGTCAAGAATGGTCCATGTCTGCCCACACTAAGGTACCTAGATAGTTAGCAATGCCTGCCTAACCTTAGGTAACCATTCCTCGCCATCGAGCCCATCCCCCCATCTCAGCTTCGGATCTCTCAAGCGGCCAATTCAACGGCACCATCATGCACCATCTGCGGTCGGTTCTCCCCGCATGTGCTGCTCCTAGCGACGGAATTCCATGGCGTGTTCCCACATCCGATGGGAATGACGTTCATGGCTGAGATGGAATTCTCGAGGTTCCACCACCATCTGCGCAGGTACCAGAGCTCCTTATACCAAACCAATTGGCATCGTCATGCGACCTCCTTCCTGGAAAGAGATGCTGTTCAGATTATAAATTCCACTTCTTGTGAGACACTTGCGATTATCTTCTAGCAGACTTCAATCTGAACACAATGCCCGAAGGATTTCTCGCGTCCTTCTTAGGTGCTGTGCAAGCATGTCTTTCCATTCTTCTCGTCATTTTCTACGGTGTACTCGCCACACAATTCAAACTTTTGGATGGACCTTCGGCGAAGAAGATTTCCAAAGTCTGCGTGCGAATGTTTCTGCCGGCCCTGCTAATCACAAAAGTCGGGAGTGAACTTCACGCGGACACAGGGACAAGATACATCCCTATCTTGAGTAGGTCCTCTTCCTCCCATTCATTCTAGAATTCATCGCTCATCTGCTAGTTTGGGCACTTTTTTACAACCTCGTCTCCATTGGTATTGGGCTCCTCGCCGTCAAATTTCTCAAGTTGCCAGCCTGGATTACACCTGCCCTCGCGTTCAACAACACCACAAGCCTACCGCTCCTTCTTATTGAGTCCCTCCAGTCCACAGGCATACTCGACAAATTGGTTTCGAAGAACGACGATGCGTCATCGGCTATAAGCAGAGCACAGTCCTACTTTTTGGTTTGCGCCATTGTATCGAATTGTCTGACCTTTGCGGTTGGGCCACGTTTGGTTGACGCTGAGAATGCGCCGGACAAGGAGGAAGACGATAAGGAAGACGACGGAGGAGAACATCAAGACCAGGAGGGACACAGTCACTCCGATGTTGAACAAGGACATGACAACAATGACGAGCTGACTTCGCTTCTCCCACAGCGTATCCATACTGGGCAAGATGAAGCCCAGAAGCGCGCATTCCACATGGGGAAAAAGCATTGGGCTAAGCTGTCTCCTCGCACTCAAAAAGTCTTACTCTTTGCCGCCGACTTTCTCAATGCTCCACTGATTGGAGCTGTCATCGGAGCCGTCATCGGTTTGGTCCCGCCTTTGCACAGAGTCTTCTTCAATGAGAGCATAGACGGAGGTATCTTCAATGCCTGGATCACCGAGTCGTTGAAAAAGATTGGACAGCTCTTCGTCACGTTGCAAGTCGTCGTGGTCGGCGTATCTTTATCGTCTTCCCTGAGGAAAATGAAAAGGGGTGAACAGAAAGCGCTTCCTTGGGAACCAACGGTACTCATTCTCGTGGTCAGGTTGCTCCTTTGGCCGATTCTGTCCATTGGCATTATCTGGGGCCTCTCTACCAAGACAAACGTCTTGTCCCAGGATCCAATTCTGTGGTTCGCCATGATGATGTAAGTGCCATTGAACCCCCGTGAAAGTGTTGCAGGAGCCTCTCATATTTTCTGTCTCCGGCTTTCCCAATACTCCATTTCCGTGCTGACGACGCGAATAGCATGCCGGCTGGTCCTCCAGCAATGAAACTGGTTGCCATGGCCGATGTCAGTGGAGCAGACGAGAATGACAAGATGACTATATCAAAGATTTTGACGGTGAGTCTTCTCTGATTCTTGTATTCTTGTCTCGGGACTGACTCCTTCCCAGCTTTCATATGCGGCTTCACCAATAATGGCACTTACTGTCGTTGGTGCTCTGTATGCCAGCCAAGACGCAATGTCGCGGTGATGGAAGTTATAGTGAAAGAATGGCGACGGCGACTTCTGGTCAGCCAGCGAACTACGTCTTTCAGCATCTTCTTGGATCCTTGCGGGAATATGACGTGCTTCGATACCACTGAGAAGGTCCTGGCAGCAGCAGATTTCACCCCAGATGTTCACATCAAAATGTGGCCATGCGATTGCGGGTGTCGGAGCCGACTAGACACGGCCTCACGTTCATACGAACAGGTTCTGAACATGTCCGACACTTCTGAGAACGCCGATGGTTAGGCAGACTTGGTCATTGATTGTGCGAAGACAATTTCCGTTTTCTCGGGGCCAGCTGCAAAATGTCTGGTCTGTACTCTTACCTACGGCGTGGATGTAAACCCCGGACCCAGTAACATGAATCGAGACTGTCACCACGGTGGCGAGCACGAGCAGCGGGTGACTTGATATGCAAAGTGCCATGAGAACGGCAAGTGGATATCCTAGCAACAAGCGAAGCACGGGGACCAGATTTTTCCAAGGTCACCACTCCTAGACACGACGATGACGAGATCTTATCTGGTTCTCATCAATCACAGTCGTCCACCATCGTTGCAGGACCGAGACAGTGGAACAGGTAGATCGATGGTGTGGGCGCGGAGTGAACCAAGGCGAGGTTAGTTTGTTAGTGATGGGACTAGCCCTGGAAGAGTGGGAAATTGATTGACAGGTTGTTGATGGAGACTAGGTCGGCCGATGACATGACATGCAACACCATCGAATGCTTCAGAGGGACAAAAAAAGCTTGGGAGAGGCTTGAAAGGGGAAGAATCAGGGGTAAGTTCTAGAGGGTCGTGTACAGAGTATTAATCATGTCCAGATGTTGCAACTTGCCAGTCATGGAAGATATCCAAATTCTCAGGACATGGTAGGATAATCAATGGAAGATGATGTTGGATGATTTAAGAGAGATTCGACATGCATAACACGTGCATCATACAGCCACAAGGCCATCCACAATTTCATCCTTTGATTCCTCCATTGGAGCTCAGGCGGAGACAGAAGCAAAAGGGATTGGCAGCCTTCAGTTGGTCTAATCTGGCAAAACAGCCAATCGACACCCCCAGATTCGAGCTTGGTGGCTGATTTCCAAAGGGCGCCAATTGAAGGAAAATGCAGGAGTTAGGCCTTGGGCTCTCACTAGCTGTGGCTAATCCAGTTCTTCTGGGCCTTCTCGTAGCCTGACCCCGGCACCCGCAGGTACCCTGGTAAACTCCGTGGTGCCGACCTTTGATTGTGTGTTTCTCCTTTGTGTTGCTTTCATCCATTGCTGCATCCTCAACCTGTCTGCTGGCTGCATTGAGCACACTACCTTTGCCGTCGTTGCTTTCTGTCTCTCTTTGTCACTCTTTCCAAGTCACTCTTTTGAATACCTACCCAAGTCGTTCATTAACGCCGAGTGTGGAAGCGTTTCCACGTCCATTCCTTTACGCAGTCTGGACCGTCACCACAGAACCCATTGACCACCTACCGCCAAACCCCAGCCTCGAGAGTCGACGACCTCTGATCTTGACTCACCATGTCTTATTAGACTACTGCTAAACAATAATACCCTGTTTCTGACCACAGAAACGCCTGTCACGACTGTACACCCAGCTACACAATGTCCGACGCAATTCTTCTGGAGAATGAGCCTCAGATACAACCACGGAACCCCTACCCCTTCGCTCGACCTGGCCCGATTCCAGACCTCAGATTAGAAGGACTATTTGTTGAAAAGCCGGTGCCAGTTTCATTGGTGGCAAGAAGCGAGACCTCGAGCTCCGGCTCGTCCAGTTCAGGTGGTGGAGGAGGATCAAGCGACACGTTACCTATCGTCTTGGGCGTGGTCATCCCGCTTGGCATCGCGGTTTGCATATTGATATATCTACATCGGCGCCATGTGAAGAAATTAAGGTTAGAAGATGCAGAAGACAAGCACAAGTCACTGGATTTCGGGCTGCATGCTACCCCGGAAAAGCCCGGCAAAAATGGCCCTCAGATGTCCATGACCGAAAACAAAGGGATGGGACGGAAGGGTCGTGGCTTGTCTATGGACCTGGGTATGCACAACCCATATCTTCTACCTCCTGAGGTCCACCAGTCTCGAGAATCTCTGCACTCCCTCTCTCGATTGAACACGGGCGATGACAAATATCGAGCAACTACCTTCATTCCGGATGATGGTTCTATACGGCCCTCGTCAAGCAGCAGAAGTCCCATCGATGACTCCTCGAGCTACACAGGGTCTAGCCTCCGCTACCAATACGACTCCAAGCAGAACTTATTGCGCAGCGGACAGGACAATCCCATGGGAGGACGAAATGGATCGCTAGACACCATGTCGAACAACCCAAAGTCGGCTAGCTCCAACCTCCTTGCTCCAGCCCCGGCAGATGCAGGACGAGAGTCGTACGTGAGCACCACGAGCAGCACTGGAGCCATCACTGCACTGAGAGCCAGCAACAACTATCTGGGACAATTCATCAGTGGGGGAAGCGGCCGGCCAGAAGAAGACCTGTATAAGAAAGAGGGCACGACCACTGTGGCTGAAATTCGAGTGGAGCCTCCTGCTGGGGAGGTTCGAGCTCCTCCACCTGCCCTCGTGAAGGAGCCTCGTTATGATGGTCTCGAGGTTGCTCCCGCATCAGCCTCCTCACATCAACCTAAGCCCTCGGATGCACCTAGTATTACAGTCAGCCAAGCAGAAGAGCGCCAGCCTCGCCTGCCCCAGCTCAGTTTCATTGATTCGCAAGGGATCAAGCAGAACTCCATTGACTCTACGACGAACCACCAGTCACCCACGCCATTAGCCAATAATACGCCTCAACATTCTAATGCTCCTTCGACCGATTTCAACCACCAAGCCGAAACTGCCCAAGACCTACCAGCCAGCCATGACCATCAAGAGGAATATGTTGATGACTACTATGATGACTATGATGCGAATGTGACTGGAGAATACCAGGAATATCTAGAGTATCAGGAGTACCTCGGCTACGATCCGCGGCGATCAACCATGGGCACGCGACCTCTTCCTCCTGAGGATCCGACTGACAACCCTGAGCAACGAGCGAACCGCATCCGGTCTTTCTACAAGGAATACTTCGATGAAACCAAACCACAACCAGCCGGTCAGTACTACGACGGGTCAGAAGGGCATTATGACAATTACGGACACGGAGGGTACGATGATCAATCATACTACGAGCCTCCCCGTCAGCCGTACGGAAGACATCGTGCAACGGTGTCCAACGGCAGCTACAGGTCCAGTCCAAGAGCATACTCGTCTGCATCAGGACGCTTTGGTCCTCCGTCTCATATGCGACCCAAGAAGAAGCTACCTCCCCCCAAGCCTCTCAATGTATTGCCGACTCCTCACCTCCTCAACGACGACAACTTTTTGCCCGCTGACTTTGCGCCGCCCAAGAAATTTCAAAACCAAAGGGCCGGTACCCCTGAAAGTCCTCGAGGTGGAATGAGGCAGTACAAGATGCCGCTTCGCCCACATGTTCCGCTGGCTTCGTCCTTTGACGACCTAGCGGTGATACCTAGCCCGTAAGTCTTGTTTTCCCTTGGCAGTGGAACATTGTGCTAAAACTTGTGACAGTCATGCATTGAGAAGGTCAGGGACGTTTACAGCATTGGATTTTGCTCCACCAGGTCGACTACCGGGAGCCGACTCTACGATGAGCGAGACGGGCAGCATTCGAAGCAATCGGTCCGGCATTTCTGCCATGCATGCGCATAACATCCGTACAGGAGCGTACCGGGTCAGCCGTATTCCCAAGGAAGTGGCTGGAACCAAAGACGAACTGTTTGCGGCTCTGAAACCGCAATGGAATTTGAACCGGTGATCTACTTTCCGCCTTGACGTACTCGAAATGTGTATAGAGCTCTGGACCACGCGTTTTATTCTGGCGTATAAAGCGTGCAGCACAATGAGCATAGCGGCAGGAGTTTCATGGGTGGTATTGAGCATGTGATTGTTCTCTGGGACGCTTAATGTGGTGGCTGTCGTACTACCACTCCAAAAGTCAAATGTATAATATGTTGGATGCGACCGGTACTACCGCAAATAAAGACCAAGTCAAGCGACTTCCTGCGAGTCAAATGCAAGCCGTTGCCCAAAAGGGTGCAACAGCGAATTCTATAAGCACATTATGCTCAATACTCAAGCAGGAGCCCGGTGTATTCCTTCTCTTTCTATCTTCCTATCTTTCTTTCTCCTTCATGTACAACCCTCCCTGCCTGACTGGTCCAGTGTTCAGCAGCACCACTCACAGCGATCAGAAGTAATCGGCAGCATCAATGTCCCTATATCGCCTCCTTTGAGCCATCTCGGCGTGAGACTCCGCCGAGCTGGGTGTTTTGCTGTTTCCATCGTACCATCCCTCCAGGAATGGTTTCTCGACTCGTGGAGCGCCTCGACCGCGCTCAAACACGTCGACGTGCAGAGCACCCTCATAATCAGTACTCTGTCTCCAGCCATACGCGACATCTGGATTCGCGAGCAGCTCGACGATCTGATCCCCTCGAAGCAGACATCCTCTCTCGCCCAATAGGCCGATAAGTGTGTAGTATACTTTTGCAATGGCAAGATGGCTATCGTCCTTGATGATTGCTTTGTTTGCCCACTTGATAACCAACACCAGCGTGCAGAAGTGAATGAAAGGGATCAACCCAAGGATGCTGCCTGCGTACTTCCACGTCACTTTCAGTATCTGGGCAGGAATCGGCTGTCTTCCGTCGGCGACGTCCTTTCTGTAATCCAAATCTGCCGAGGCGTCCAAGGTCGCAATCGTGCCCATTGTGAAGCTGGAGATCACGTCGGCCATGGTTGGCGCATCCGGCTCGCCGCCTGCGCCGTTGAAACCAATGGATGTGATGTTCTGATAGATTTGATATTGCTCCTGCCTGCCGTCAGGCAATATTGTGGGCGGAGTTTTGTCCCATCCGATCGCTCCAGCAAGCATGCTTGCCACCACATCGGAAACCAAGTAGTCCGAGGTGAGTTTGTTTCGAGTATCGATAGCCTGTGAAACGGTGTTGTTGCACGTGAAATACACGGCTTGGTAAATGGACCAGTAGTCCGAAAGCGCTTGGAAGCCTTCAATGTCGACGCATCGTTTACCGCACGTCGAATTCATCTGGGAGATGGTGATCAGACTTCCATATCCAGGAACAGTCGGCAGTGAACGGTTGACTTCCTTCTCTCCGTCCTTGTAGACGACGTACGAGAGATTTCCGTACTGGCCGTGGGTCACGTCGAAAGCTGTGCACCTGGCTTGAGATTCTATATGTCTCGTGGATATGGCAACTTCGGACAGGTCTTCGCTGTTTAGGTCTTGGAAATAGTAGACAGTATGTCCCGCGAAGTCTCCAAAGTAGTCTCCTTCGGCGCCATCGAATTCTTCGGTAATATAGGATGAGAAGTCGTCCTCTAACTTGGTCAAGTTATATTCGTAGCCATTGGCGCCGGCGAGTCCCTTGAGGTGGATGTCGTAGAGGTCCGTAAGGTCAGCTGCGCCGCCCTGCTCACGCCACAGAGAGTTTAGGTCCAAGATATTCACACTTCCTTTTCGGATGAGGACCTGGTACGGAGAAGTCTCGAGGTTGTAGTTCAGACCAATGATACCAACCAGAACCGTGACAGCGAGATGGACCAACAACCACAGAACGCAAAAGATTTGTGTCCTTGACGGCAGGTGTTTGTACCGCTGGTTCTTCGCTTTGTAGAGGAGTTTGAAGACGTTGATCAAGCTGTCGCAACCCATCACAAGGTCAAAAGTCTCGAGTGGTCGATAGCATGCCGCCAACATTCGCCACCGGAGCAGTTTTGCATAACTCCGTAGCGACGCTGCGAGGTTGACACCAAGCACGAGTGAGACGCCTGTTGTGAGCGCATTGAACTCCCTCCGCTGAGGCACGCTGATAGCCTGTCTGTGGGAATAGGCATACAGGATGCTGAAGTAGATTGCGCACAGTGCAAGCGTGTTGAACCATTCGCCGATGGTTAATCGTAAAAGACGCCTGCGCTGGGTCTTGTATCGATATTCCCGGGACGTGGCGTTCTCCGGAGTATCCTTTTCGAGCAAATTGTGTAGCGAGGGCGTAATCGAGCCATGCACACGCTCCTTGAGTGTACTGAAGGAGGAATGTCTGCGCTCATCCTTTAATTTCTCGACAGTAGGACGGCTACCGGTTGCTTTTGACTTGGTTAGAGACACCTAGTAGCGTGGAGGGCGACTTACGTCTTGGTGAAAGAGGTTGAGTGACAGACTCGTCGTTGTCGGATTCGCTAGTTGAACCATGAGGAGCTTCGTGAGGCGAATCATGGCCAGATCCCTCACGTTCGAGAGACAGGTGCGGCCTCTCTTCTGAGGGCGTAATTTGGATTGCTGGAAATGGCGAAGTTTCCACGCGGGTCAACTCATGCACATTTTCCACACGGTCATCGTCGCTTGTGGGGACTCGTGAGTAATCCAGAGCCGAATCTGTCGCCATGTCGTGCAGACATGAACAAAGACTTGAAGGCCTTCCTCGCACGTTGGGATTTGGCGCAGGATTGTGCAGGAAGCATTGAAAGGTTTCCAAACAGACTTGAGAAAGATATCGAGCCGCATCTGGCACAGGGAGTCCATTTTGTTGACTTTGCAGACATGCTTGCGCCTGTGGCAAAGTGTTTCACAGAAATTGGGGGCCATCTGCGAATGTATTGCGACTAATAAGCGAGCAAGGGTGTCGACAATCTGCTCGACATTGACCGGACACGGACCCGGTCGACAAAATGGCCAGGGCCAACGTGGCCAGCACGCTTGAATTTTGACTTACCCTGATTGTATATCGCAGCGACGAGTGAGGGCACTATCTGGTTAGTCAGGACGGTGAATGTTTCAAAAGTCGTACGACGGACATGGGAGGCCTGAGGAATTGACGAAGAAGTAATTGCCTATTTCGAGATGACTCCGGTATCTCGCCGCCAACCGCCAGGATAACCAGGATATTTGTGATGCGATGATTTTGCTGGCCATACTCCGTACGAAGTACTGAATACTAGGTAGTACTTTTAAGGTGTCATCATGATGCCCAAGGTTGTTGAGCGGTGAAAGCTTATGCCGTAATGGCTCTGGCGACCACAAGCGAAGGCCTAGACTGATGCTGAAGAACTCAGTGGTGGAAATATCGTGGGACGAATTATCAGCCCCTTTTTACGCCTCGTGTGCCTCTGGCTCGAGATCTTATGAGACGCTGGGATCGAGAGCCCAATTCCCCCCTCGCCAAACAGCTGTAAAATATTCCGTACAGTACAGCTTTATCTCACGGGCGGCGATGCATGCCTCTCCCCAGGGCCCGAAGCGAGGAAACATGGTTTTACTGTGTATTGTCAGACAGCAGCGCACCATATCTTGTGGAAGTTCCGTGTGAATCTAGTGGTTTTCGTACTTCGAGGCGATGTCCACATGATACTGTATGTACTGAGGGGACTTCCCTTGATAACAACGTCCACCAGAATCTCGAATGAATAGACGCCATTAATTGATGCTTTTGGACTTCCGAAAGCCACTTGAATAAGACCTGTTGTCCATGGTCTTCGCCTCGGTCACACCACGTTCTTTCCATGCGTAGGCTCCGGCGTTGCCTGGTTCAACAAGCAATCATGAGGTGCTTTGTCGAACATCAGCAACCTTCTGCAATCTCCAGATGGGAAAACCAGCTTTTCATGCCATGGCTCGGGCAGGTCGAGTGCCTCTCTATTCGTCAAGCCATAGCGTAGGGTTTAGCAGCCACAATGACCGCCCATTCCCCGTCTGATCAGCCCAACATCCACAGGTTGAAGAATCACGAAATCCGTCATCGCACCAATGCTGCAAGCACGTCACTTGTCGCCACTGCTTCGTATGCTAGATCCCACGTTCATACGGAGATCAAGCTCGGCGGTGGCGTGAGGCTGCAATAAGACGATGTGATATGCACCCAGCCTCTGTCGTGCACCGGAAACAGCCTTGAGCGCCCTGCCTCCTAAGACAGAATCACTCGGTTGTGCAGTGCACGGAAAGCCAAAGCTCAATGGCATCTTCCCATTATCGGGCAACTGACACGGAGCTTGCACATATGAGAGACAGTGGACCAGGAGCAATTGACGAAAGCCGTAGCCTTCCAGGAACCCTAACTTGTTTCATCGTGACTGCCGACATGCGAGCTCGACAAGTGAGACGAGTCAGGTCTCCCATCATTGTCGCTTTTGTTTCTTTTCTCAGCTCTTCTGTATCCCGTCGGAATCACCGCCCATCTTTCCATCTCCCTGCCCTTGCGCCGACTTGTCAAGATCCAGGCCCAGGTTGGACCACTCGTCTTTAGCCATCAAACCCTTGTCCATACGACAATTCAAATAGTCTCTTGCTAGTATTCTGCACTCTTCGTTGTTTCTACCGGGAGGATTCTGTCTTCTCAGACATCGCAGGTAGGAGGAAATGAGGTGCTTGCATTCTGCATCGTGGTCTAGCGGAAACGAGCCTCTTTCCGGAGGCGTTGGCTTGATGTTGACGGCACCGCCGCCTGGAGATCCAAAACCCGACATTGTGATCGCGCGGCCGACGCAGGACTTCTTCAAGCTTGAAGAATACTCAAGCTTACTGGGTGGGAAAGCTCGAATCTTGGTGGGTGCACTGATTGAAAGCGAATCTCCGTACTTGGTGGAATGATCACAACGATGGATTAATTGGAGAAAAATAAATCAACCTTGGAGTAGCAGAACGGCCTACACGTGATTGCTTATTGTCTGAACTGACAATGACAGCGGGCTCGCTGGAGGTAAACGGAAAGGGAGGCCTTGTTCTTTTAGGACAAATGGTCTACGAGGTTGATTTGATTCACAATTGTCATTATGTGCGAGATCCGATGCGGAAACTTGATGACTCCTGCCCAGATCGTAAACTGCATCTAAACCCATCTATACCTGCTGCAGACAAGCCAACACCCTGACCATATGGCTTGAGCCTGCCAAATATCGAATAACACAAATCCGTCGATTGAATGAAGCGATCAAAGGCGAGTATACTAAAGAAGTATTAGGACTGGTTACCCTGAGTGACGGACAAATAGGAGAAGGAGCGGAACAGTGCATATCAGTTCTCCAAGGTGATGTATGTTCGACATGAAAGATTCCGTAAGAACACAGCGAATACATGAGATCATCAGAAGTAACAGCAGGCAATGAAAAGACAGACACATACCTTTCGCCACAGGACCAGCGGTAGATAACGGCTCACCTAGGAAATAGCCGTCAGTGAACATGCTTCCAGACCTAGACGATATAACATGTGCAGAAGAAAAAGGCATCTGTATCAGGCTGTCAGCAATGGTCAGCAAAGGAAGACAGCGGTGAGCATAGGGACGTACCTCATTAAATCAGAATTTTCAGTGTAATACGTTCATGCCCAAGCGATTGCTCGGTTCAAACAGTGTGAATAGTGTTCATCATAAGATGCCAGCAGGGTTTCGGAACGAGGGCAGATATTTGTACCTGGAGGAAAACACAGTCAGCAAATGTGCGCGTCTTCAATTCGTATGCGAAGCCATCTTCTTAAGATTCCCTATCAGCTGACGAAATCTCAACAAGTGTCACAACTTCTCACACATCCACAAGATTTGTACGTCTTGCTTTGATGGATGGATGGAGCTGTGCACGCAGTCTGTCCGCCCGTTCGTTCAAGTATTCGTCATAGGATGGATGGTGCGGGTGGGCATGTAGGATAAAGTACCTGTTCGAGATTCAAGTCAACATTCTGCTGCAACATCGCAACGAGAAACATTCTGGGAAGTAGTGCAGGAGTCAGACAAGGCTGAAACTTGTAGTAGACAGATTCCACATGGGTATTAAGTCTGAGGAATGCCATTCGTGTCGTGGGGTCATCACAGAAGGAAGAGAGTAAGAGAGCAGGGCGTTCAGTCGTACCTTTTTCATGAAACATCGAGGCGAGTCGTGCACATCAAGTGCGGAAGCATTGTCAACGGTACTAGAAATCTTCGCATGATTAGCTTCCACAGCTGCATACATGCCAGAATCGAGAAAGCAGCACAGGAGACGATCAGCGTAATTCTAGAGTTGTTATGTTCCTCACTGAACGTAGAGTTCTTGGAGTTGGATTGTGTAAACTCATCATTCGAAAAGGAGAGTGAAAGGCTCGTACTTACCACACTATACGAATGAAAGAAGAGGTAGAGAAATGAAACGCTCTCAACAGCCATGAAAACTGAAAAGCAGTCGCAGTTGAAGCTGCAGAAAGAAATGAACTCGAAACTTTTGGTTTCGGGAGAAATTCTGCCAAGCCCCTCGGCTGACTTTCCATGTATCGTCGACTATGAGAGACAGGACCTCGAGGACAAGGAGGAGTACCTTAGTTACTGAGGGATTGGTACATTCGAAAGATGCCACTCTATCTATTGACCGAGTATTCTCCACCTTGAATTATTTGTTGCCTTCAAGATATGTATAACCATTCTGTTCTTCGTTTCCCTATGTGCCCTGACTTGGAGCGTGGTACCGTAGCTAGGATTCTCCCATATGCTTCATCATATGGCCCGAAAATCCAGCACCTCCATTAGCAATGCTCCTCCAAAATTCCAGTATCTTTACTACAGAGCCTGCGTTGGTTCGGAGACCAGGTCTCATCCCGCTCGGCAACATGGAGTCTGCGTTCACGTTGCTCGAGTCTCTATCCTTTCTCCTGCTGAGCAGGCCTTCCATTCGTATGGTGGATTCCTGGCTGCTCGTACAGATGCAGAGGTAAGTGACACTTCGTTTGTGCATTCGACCGTGGCAATACTTGAACATGTAATGGTTTGCTTCTGAATCGTCGGCCAGAATCGCCCTCTTTTTGCCTAAGTAGTCTGGTGCAGACCACGAGCTCCCGCTCCTGGTGCGACCAGCTCAGCGCAAATTCCCTCAGGCAAAGAGCGAGGAGAAGAAATCCCGCTCCATATCAGTCACCAAAAGGTGATCGAAGACAGGTTGAAAGAGACTGTGGTTGTATGACTCTGTCGTATGGGCTCGAGGGACTCCTATGGTCGACATAGCCGGAGACGCTTTCGTTCCAGGCCAATTGCTCCTACTGGGAGAGGAAGCCTTGTTGGACTTCGGTTTCAAATTTGATTTGTTAATCCTAGGTCGCCCTCGCTTCCACTCTCCTTGAGCACGATGAATGTCACCAGATAGGATGTTGTCCGGTGTTATTTCCACAAAACGTAGTGGCATATCTGGCGCTTTTGGAGCTTTTTGGATTGGTTCTGGGGGTTCACTCGCTGGGGGAGTCGCCAGACTGTCTGGAACTTGATAATTGTGCCGGCGCTTCTTGTGAGAGAAGCTGTTTTCGGCGCTCCCAACATGAATGTTATTGAAGTCGAACGACCGCCTCGGCAGGCGCGAAGAGTTCCTGATCCATTCTGGTGTGGCGTCCCAGCTGCTCAGATCTATGACTGGCTCTGGTAAGCATGGATTCCAGCTGGGAAATAGAGCGGAGATATCGGAGGACGGTGTAATGGGCGAGCTCGCCGTCGAGACTGTTTTGTCGTCATCAGGATGATCTGAAGGAGAATAAAAGTCACTATAGTAGGCTGGGTCGAAGTCCAGTGGCATTACAAGTCCGTCAGAGAATAGCGGCTTGCCGTCCATGTCGGGTTTCTGACCGAGTGTTGAACTCAACATCCTGGCTGGCAATGAGCAATAGGATGCGCTTTTGGGCAAGTCGGTGGGCTTCACACGGTTCAGGACTGTTACTTGTGAAAATGGCCTGGATGGGGGAACAGAAACATGTTGTTGTGAAGACTCGTGGGTCGGCTAAGGTGGACGAACGTGGTAGGATATACGATCCAGGGCGCAAGGCTTTCCTTCCACCGGGTACGGTGTTCCAAGGGCATGGACTCCCAGCAGATCTGCGAGTGTTTAGACTTTAACTCGTCCTAGATCTGGTCAGTCGCTTTGGTACCGTCGAGCCGTCTACGAGGGAGTACTATGTATGGCCCGATCTCTTCTTGAAGCCACAGCTGCCTCCCAAGAGCTGTCATTGCCCCATACAGTACGTCGAGCCATCCTTTAGAAAGCCTGGTCTGCGAAAACCTCCACCGGATGCACTAACATAGATAGTCCCCACAAAGTCTCAACGCACGATGACCTGGGGAGACACGATGAAGAAATGCGGAGTAGGTAGGGCATCCGGCCTTATGGGGGAATCCATCATCATGGAGCATGAAAGCAGATGACCCATGATAACCCTTCGCTTCGTCTGGAAGTTCAGCACGACCATGTGCGATACCATTCCGGGTTGTAGACGAACCTTCAACAATCACACCAAAGACTTGACAGGGGATGCTTTATCATTGCAGCAGCGCAAGAGGCAGTAAGCAATTCGCAAGAGTTGCCCAGGGGCCGTTGGAAGGTCTGCGAGTGGTGGAGCGGTCGGGATGATGGATAACAATGGAGTCCTTGTGCTTGCCCTTCGTGAACCGTCCGGGGACGTACTAAAAGGGGGCGCAGATTCCAGGCGAGTACGAAGGTAGCAAGTCATAGAATTAGTGAATATTGGTGTCTGGCACTCGTAAAAGGTTTGTCGAGGAACGTGATTCTATGAAGCTAAAGGAGTTGACAGGAGCAGTTTAGATCTTCCACCGGAGCCTCCACCGGGGCCGGAGTAAGTCATAGGAAAATCTGCTACTTTCCCGCTCCCCATTTCTGCGCTTCGAGCCCGATGAATGCCTTATCAACTCCCGGTCGAATGGCAAATGCCTTTGAGTCGGATACTCGAAGGACAGGATGCAATAATGCTATTGTTTCAGACAAATGAAGTGACATTACCCCGTGCATCTCATGGCAACGTCGGGCTAATGTACTACAGTCTCATGGGTAAATCGTTGGTGATCGTGTACAATGAAAGTCACTTAACCGGGTTGCCAAACAGCTGCCGCTTGAATGGTCGAAGCGGCAGTTGGGCCTCACATTGAACCAGGGCACCGCTTACCACGCATATTGTCCTGGACCTCGTCTTGGACAGGAGGCCTGCCTATCCTATAAACTGTCCTCGCTACTGTTCGTCGAATAATAGCATGTCTTCCACCGGACGTGTGACTCAAGCCTGTGCACGCTGCAGACGGCAGAAGCTGAAATGCGATGCGCTTCGGCCTTGCATTCTTTGCGTGCGTGCAGGAGTGGAGTGTGAGCCTCGTAATAGCTCTTCCCGGGCTACCAGCGACCGAGCATCTCCCGCACGTCGGCGACGGTCTACTCACCAAAAGAATCGTGCAACAACTTTGGATCGTTCCGGATCATCTGGGTCGGCACCAAACATACCCTCACTGCAGCGGTGTGGTACAATCTCCAATGGCCAGACATCATCGGCACCCGGGCAGCATCAATCTCCCCGCGTAGAGGTCTCAGAGGACCAGAGTCCTAATGAGAGTCAGCAATTTGGCGCGAACACTTCAGTCATTGGCTTTGCCAAAAATGTCTTCAGGCATAATGATCTGCTTTCACCGAGTATCACCTCGACTATTCCTGGAGACCCAGGCGTCTTCCGCCAGCCCAGTTCGAGATGGGCTCTTCAAAACATGATCATGCCTCCGCCTGCTGTCATGCACCTCTTGTTGGACGCCTATTTCGACCGTGTCCATTGGTTCATCTTCCTTTTCCACCAACCCAGCTTCGTGATCCGGGCTGATACATTGTTGACCAGCACTACCTGGACGCGGCAGGACATGCCAGCAATAATGGCCGTATTGATGACCTCAGCAATGGCCCTCAAGTGTGTCATGAATGACACCGCATGGGAAGGGCATTCTGTCTTGGGTTCTTATGCCTTAGACGCGAAATCACTCCTGTCGAACCTCATTGCCGAAATTCGTCTACACCTGCTTGATCTGCTGGACGATTCCCAGATTGAAACCGTTCAGGTATGCACGCTTCTGGGCACGTACTACATATATCATGGCTCTCCCAGTCTTGCATGGAGCATCCTAGGTATGGCAGTAAGGAACGCATACGCACTGGCCTTGCATTGTGATGATACGGAAGAACAACAGCAGATTGCAACTCAGGTTCGCCATCGGTCCTGGAACCACGTCACGATCGCGGACACATTTTCTGCCATGATATATGGGCGCCCGGCGGGCTTGGACGCGGCGTTTGCGCAATTGCAGCCGCTGTGCGAGATGGATGATACTGTGGTTGCTATTTCGGATGCTCATCAGGACGATACCACCAATTTCAGGTCTGGACTGTCAAAGCTGCCTTTCCATGTGCTCAAATATCGGTTATACACTATCACTCGACGAGCTCTGGATGCATTTCGACTTCTACGTCTGAAAGATCCGCTCTCTCCTGAAGATCAACAAGCCTTGATTGGGGCCGTCTCGCATATCGAGTCTCTGCTTGTATCATGGCAGAAAGAGGTCCCCCCACACCTCTCCGGCGATGATTGGCAAAACGTGGAGCCGAGCGGACCGTTCCCTTCCAAATTGCAGTGCCTGACCCATGTAGAGGAAGACAAGGCGAGAACGTTCTTTTTACAGGCAATGGTCCTCCAGTTGACATACGACAGCACCCTGATTCTGATACATCGGCCACTACTCGAGCACAAAATGGCACTTGGAAGTATATCAGCGTCCAGCCAGAATTTTGTCCAAAGGTCACTGGAAGTAGCAGTCGATGCAGCTTTGCGGATTTCTCGGGTACCTATGCTCCAGTTCAACCACCATTTATCTCTTTCTTTTGCATTCATGCATTTCTTCACTGCCGGAGTCATCCTATGCATCCCGCCGGCCAGGCAACCTTTTAGCACCCTTGCACAAGAGGCCAAAGCTGGGATCATGCGGATTATTCTAGCTTGCAGAGATGTTGGAAGCAGCAGTCAGATAGCACGGCACATCGACCAGTTACTTACAGCTTTGTTGAGGGTTACAGTGTTGCGAGAGATGGACAATGCTCTACAAAATCAAACCACTGGTCCGGTGCTGCTCGAGCAGACCGAGACTGGTTTCGAGAGAGATGATACTTCTACACAAGCTGCTGACAGCCTACCACACCAGGCTGATCATGGGAACTTATACTCTAGTCATTTGTACTCCGCTTCCATGCCATCAGGACTAGGCGGATCGTTGCCCACCAATCTGACGGGACAAGGGGATGCACAACTCTCCTTTGACCTTGGCTCGTTGCATGACAATGCGGGAATTGAGTTCGACACTCAGTTGGACGAGGCTTTTGGTACTTTTGGACAGAGTAAGTCCTCCTGAAATGCGTACAATCCTCCTTGGACTGCCGAAGTACATGTTGGACGGCACAAGTTGCTAATTGACACTTGCTAGTGATGTTCAATGTTCAACCAGACGATCGATATACGCCTTGGAATTGGGGTAGCCGCTCACGATGAACTGAACGATCTGAGGCACGATCCTCAATAATCTCGGGAAAGTTCTCAATGGCTCGACGCGCTTCGTGAACGGAGACTGACCGAGGAACTGTGACCGGGCTGGTCGTGCAGCCTGACACTGAGGCGGCCTTTCAACAAGGTATTCTGACGTCCTCCACTGGCGCCGGTGATCTACCTATAAAGGCTGTCTGGACTAGTGCCTTTGGAGAAGCCGGCAGCTCCTGCATGGTTGCTTCCAACGTTGATTGTCAGGAGCGGACCAACTCACATAGCGACTGCCTGCTGTGGCTCAATGGCACGAAACTGCTTCTACGCTGCTGTTCCATGATACGACCTCACTTCTATCGAGGCCTCCAAATACCCTTATCAACGACATCGACGGCATCTTCGAATTCCCGCAAACTCAAATATCGTTATCCCTATTACTATCGGCTTCCTCCGGGCCTACCATGGCTTCCAACTCCCAGGTAGCGGCGCAAAACTGGCTTCCCGGTGCGGGTGAAGGCTGCCACCGGTGTTGGTGAATGCAACAACATATACTTGGGAGATAAAAGAGACAGGGAGCTACCAATTGACCGCATGGCGCTTTCCAAAAGATATCAAGCCCGGTGAGAGACACTCTCAACGTCGGCACTGCAGAATTCTGACGGTATTTAGGGACAAATGCTTCGGTATTTGTCGAATTCAAACAGAGCCTAGGCACGACTCGATCCGACACCAGTGGTCATTGCACTTTTGCACTGAAAGGTACTGAAGGTTGTGCTATCCGGATTGAAGCCAAGGATGATCCGTCATGCATCCAAGTTCATTACTGAACATTGACACCCCGAACAACCCAAGTGGCAGCTGTATTCAACTGGGGTGGCAGCATGATGGGGCGATCCATTTCGTTCTCTCTGGCAAGCAAGGCTGCTTTTCCTCCAGTAATCCGCCCCGTGACTGGATGCAACAAAACCTGCGCACACTCGGTGCTAGACCATTTCATAAAATTTGCATGCTTGGTACTCACGATGCTGGGATGGGAATCTTGTCGTATACCAACGTCATTCCGAAAGACCTCATGGCGCTCTTCACTCGGACCGAGTCATTAAAGATCCTGAGACAGCTAGAGATGGGTTCGCGGTATTTCGACATCCGACCGCTCATCTCAGGTGGCGTATACTGGACTGGGCACTACTCGGAGAAGCTTGGAGCTCGAGGTTAGAAGATGTCTTCGATTATCAACGACATCAATCACTTCACGGAAAAGTGCGCGGAATTGATCATTCTCAACATGTCACATAGCTTGCAATCCGACAAGGGTTGGCGGGAGTTCACGCAGTCCGAATGGAACTCTCTCTTCGCAGAACTCATGCTTCTCAAGCACCGATTCGTTGTCACCGAACCAGAGGCGGACAATCTCAGTCTTCTCCATCTTTCGCGATTCATTGGCTCTGGGACGGCCGCCGTGTTGATCGTGGTTGAAGCTCCAAGCCATATCACTCTGGGCAATTACGGAGACAAGGGATTCTATCTACCTTCACAGCTCAATGTTTACAACGAGCATTCCAACACCAATGACTGCGTGGGGATGGTTCAAGACCAAGTGCAAAAGATGCAGAAGTTCATGCGCACGAGCGACAAGCGCTTGTTTTTGATATCCTGGACCCTGACCCAACAGCCACCCGAATTCACACACGAGGATTTCTTGCCTCCGAATACGCTGAAGGGGTTCGATAAGCTCAACGATTGGCAACAACGCAACAAGACCATCCGGCAGCTGGCATACTCGGCCAATAAGGCATTATGGAAGGATCTGCTGCCGAACACAAGTCACGTCGCTTTCCCAAATATCATGTACATTGACTTCATGGAGAGCAGAAACTTCGTTGCGTTGGCGATGGCAATCAACGACAAGCTTTTGGGGGACACAGTATGACAATGCTGGAATGGGAAGTTGACAATGCCGGCGTGATTCGAGTGGTATCCGTATAGTTGATGGAGTGAGTCTGTACTGGCCCACTTGTAGGTGGAGGAGTACTAGTAGCAGCGTTTAGCACTCGGTGTTCCCATCCAAGATACTTTTACAAGATCCGGATATTAAGGGAAACGTCCTTCTAAAAGGCATAATGGAGCATGAAGGCACATGCATCCTTGTTTTTCTTCGCAGTCGGGATATTTCGCCTACTGAGTGAGTATCTTGAGAAAATGGAGTACGCAAGCACTTGTATCTCGCTTATTTCAAGGATTCTTTCGAGTCCGGGGTCCCCAAGCTAGCGCCAGACATCGTCTGAGCTGGCAGGCTGGACATAATTCGCTGTTGACGTTGGAAAACTCCTCAAACAGGAACATCGTGATTGACTGCAAACAGGAAATATCATTATAATATTGTCATCGCTAGTATGAGCAGTGTCTCTGTACACCGCGCTCGCACTCTGCAAGGACGGCCCCTTCGCCTCATCAACCACCTTACAAGACTGCCCCTAAAAAAGCACGCGGTTCCGATCAACGTATGTTCCCGGTCTTTTCACGCCTGAACACGTCTTTGCCTGCATAACCTCACAGACGCAGTTCAGGGCGTGGCACACGGTCGAGTACATCGCTAATGTGATTCAATAAGAATGGATTCCAATGCAACCAAACCCCATGCTAACCATCAAAATCATACTATGATTGTGCAGGGTTCGTGACCGCCGTCTCGGTCGCGTCTCCTCTATCCGGGAGCCCAGCACCGGTGACGTCTCTTCGGCCGGCTTCGAGATCACTTCTCTTCTGCGCATTCCTCCCTGCAGTCTCCCATCCTTCGTCGCCGACGTAATTCGCACGCCCGATGCCCAGCCAGAACGCCCGGCCCCGACTCCTGGCGCCCCACGCCCATCCACTGCCTCCTCGAATGGGCAGGTGGTACCACCTGAATCCGAACCAGGCCGTGAATATGCCAATCAGCGAGCCGGAGATGATATCGAACCCGTGGTGTCGGTAGTCGAACCAGCGTGAGACGGAGATGAAAAATGCCACGCCGATGGGGACGAATGCTATGATGAGCAAATATATGGGTGGCGCAGCGGCTTCATTGCGTGGAGGATGCGTGTGTCTAGGTGAGGATAAGGATGTATCCGACCGCAAATTCTTGGACGAGTGGTCTTCCTCATGTGGTATGTCATTCTCCTCGTCGAACGTCGAGATATATCTCCGGCTGTCTTGAGAGGCAGGTGTCGGCGGCAAGAAAGGAATTTGAACAGCGAACTTCGCGCAGATGAACAGGCTGAGGTACAGCATGCCGGCCCAGCTGAAACTCGCGTGACCCGAGGGCCAACTTGCAAACGCATCGCGCATTTGGCTGACGTCTGTGTTCCGGCAGATATGCCAGTCCACAACGATGGGGACCGCAGAATCGATGGATGTGCCCAGCCCGCCGACCTGGTGTTGCCGGATTGAGGCTGGGGACGTGTCTGGGTTACACACAGCCAGCATATGGGGTCGAGGCTTGCCGGAAAGGTCTTTCAGGCCTTCGGTGATGAGGAAGGCAGCGGCTAGGGCCAGACCCAGCCCCATCCAAGCCGTATTCCATTCCCAAATCTTTCTTCGCCAGATGAGTGCTTTGGGCGTCGAGTGCGGAATCGTGGGGCCTGGAACGAAGAGTAGGGAGATTAGGGCGGTAATAACACCCGGTGCGACAACCGAAACGACAATGAGTACGCCAACGGAGACGGTGTCGCCATGGTCAGGGAAGGAGATGGAGGGGTCTTGAAGCGAAAAGTCGTGTCTGGCGCCATCGATTTTGGAGAATGCGCCGCCAACGGCTGCGGTGCCACTGGGATGGTGTTAGTCCGGGTGCGAAACAAAAAACCAGAAGAAAGGCCAAGAGGAACATACAGGATCAGGACCCAGTCTAGGATGTATGAAGCCAGAAGACGCTTAGATAGATATCTGGCGCCGACAGCGAGGTTGCTGACGGTTTTGGTGGTAGCGACCATTGCGGGTTCGCGAATGGGGAAATTGAGCACGCGACACTCAAGTGGACAGCCTCCCTGCGAGCAAGGGCACTTTATGAGGCTTTCAGCGAAGGGTTCTGTATCAACAGGCCCAAGACTGCAGAGTGACCTTGAAAGGATGGAGGCAAGAACATAGAGAGATCTTGGACGGTATTTAGAGAGGTTTGTGGCAGGTGTTGCGATCCACCGACTGGGGAAACATTGGTAATACCCGCAGGTGGCACTCGAGGCACGACTGGTAGCATCATACAAAGAAAATCGGATCGATCGACACTTGGCGTCATTATTTTATCGAGGCACCAATGCAAGGGCGAGAGTGACGCTTTTTTCTTTGTTTGTAATTTCCTCACGTACCAGCGAGCCAGGTATGTGGCAGTGCAAACACACGACTCCCGCACTCGAGGGCTGCGTCGTCATTCCAGAGATTTCCGTAACGCTACAGACCGAGGCCTTCGAATGAGAATCGTCGAGAGTGTCATTGCCATCTATGTACTTGGGTAGTAGGATATGACAATCAGGTATCGTCTCACGCGCCTGTACGACAGCCAAAACCAAGTTCTACTTGTTCCTCATAATCCAAGAAGGAGCATTAACTCAGCATCCTAGTTAGTCTTACAGCAGACCCTTTGCAAATTTATTTTTGCTTGCCATCCAAATCAGCGTAGAAATTCCAGCCGAAATTCTGCGAAGGATCGTTGAACCTCAACTTTCTGTCAAGCGTGTCAATCTTCTGCACATCCTCGGCATCCAACTTGAAGTCGCCCTCGAAGTTCGCCTGAATGCGTGAAGGAGTCTTCGACTTTGGAATCACGCTGTTACCCTTGGCAATGCCCCATGCCAGAGCTACTTGCGCGCCGTTCTTGCCATATTTTCTTCCAATGTCGGTGAGAAGAGGGTCGTCGATCATTTTTCCAATATTCTGGCCCTTGTCATAGACAGGGTTGGCATTACCGAACGGTGAGTATTGTGTGACATGGATGCCTTTCGATCTGTGCCATTCAATAAAGCTGGGCTGTTGCAGGTAGGGATGCAGTTCCATTTGATGAGCTGCAGGGACGATGGACGTTTCCTTGATGAGCCGTTCCATTTCGGCCTTGGAAAAGTTACTGACGCCAATGGCCTTGCATTTGCCGTTTGCCACGAGCTTCTCGATAGCCTTATAGGTATCGACGTAGTCGGTGTCGCCCGTTTGGATCTTGTCGTCCTTCTTTGGCATGAGTTTGTCTCCCCGAGCGAAAGGGCTTGGCCAATGCATGAGGTATAGGTCGAGATAGTCGGTCTGAAGGTCTTTCAATGAAGCATCGCAAGCCTTCTCAACGTCATCGGGATGGTGGGAGTTGTTCCATAGCTTTGTAGTGATGAAGATGTCACTCCGAGGCACACCGCTCTTCTTGATGCCTTTGGCAACGCCAGGCTCGGTGCCGTATCTGGACAGATGTCAGATCGAAAAGTATAAGAGCAGCGCGTACTCACATTCTCGCCGTATCAATGTGTCTGTATCCGACCTTCAATGCCTCATACACGGCATCCTCCTGAGCCTCTTTGTCCTGTGCCGCAATGTGAATATCGTGGTTGGTCACAGGGGAGGGATCTCACCTGCCACGTCCCAAACCCAATGGCTGGAATTTCTGCGCCGGTGTTCAGCTGGAATTTGGTTTTGCTATACCCTGCCATTGTTCTCGCCTGGCCGGAAACCTGCCGTGATAATTGTGATAATCGAGACGAAGCTCGCTTCTCGAGCCGGGACAACATGATCGCAATATATTTCCGAGAACAGTGAAGGTTCCTCGGCGCCACAAGGAAGTTTGAATTCACATCGACTGACGAGAGCGACTAGGTATTGAGGACCTTGCTTGTCAATAATGACGACGGCCTTTGCGATGTTGAAAACATGGGGAAGAGGTTGGGTCCTGATGTCAGTGGCAATCGGAGAATCGGAGCTGCAGATGGATTTCATTTCCGAGAAGTTTTGGACTTATCTCGATCTCGTCTTCACCCTGGCAGTCTTTCTTGGAACATCAACTACCACCGGCGCAAAAAAGCTTGGTTTGGGCTCAGAAGCTGTGGCCTCGTCCATTGCGGATGATCAATATTTAGATGTAGCTACCGAGGTATTCATGAACGGTTCCCGCTTGTTCAGCGTGTGTCACCTCCCACCTTCTCTAGTATCGTATAATGAATGCGCTTAGGAGCTTCGCCGGAGCTATAGCTGGCGTGAATAATTGTCTCGAGGCAGTCGGCTCGCTGGGTTCTAGTAGCGAGACAATGGGAACATGGAAAAATAAGGTGGTGTCGGGTGGTATATATTCTAGTGGTCGATTCTCGAAAGATGCGAAAGGCTTTCACCGAGCATGGACGATCTTCGTGAAGGCGTTCATCATGCGTTACAGCAAGTCAAAAGGATTTGGAAAACCTTTTCCGTAGTATATATATTATTTCAAGATGTTTACTTTCGCAATCGACCATAGAACATGGAGAACAGGGCTTCCCGTCCGCTCAGCCGTACTCAAGCCATGTGTCGACGAGTTAGTAGTTGCGTCGGTGACGAGCAGCGAATCTTCGTTGTTGATTGTTTTTCTTGTTTTTGGGAGAATTCATGATGAATATTGATGAAGGGGAGGTTCTAACGGACTACGTTTTTTTTGGCACAAACACGGGACCCTGGTCGTGGTTGCCTTATGGCCCCAAGGCGCCTACCACTTATCACGATGGTGCAGGTCGAAGCTGACCCTTATTGGAGAGCTCAAACTCAACACAACTATCACACGTCCCACCCCATCCTTGAGAGGCAACGTTGTGTACTCCGTACTTAATCTAGCCGACTCTATCATCGCTAGACGGAGATATTTTACACACTTCGAGCGATCCATGATTGGTATCCCATCAAAACGCCAGCGCCTTCTAAATGACCTTCATAGTTTCGAGGCGAGAACCTTACGGAAACGGCTTGGCAAGTGAAGACAAAGCCTTTGTTCATTCGGATTTTGGGAGCTGTGAGGACTAATCGCAACGCTGACAATCCATCCCTTGCATGGCGAGGCTGTTCTCCTCAAGCCACCTGATTCTGCATTCCTTTGTACGTTGTCCCGGAGAAGTCAAGTCTTGACTGTTCGCAGATTGTCACACGCTTCGGTCAGATAAAGACAATCACCATGGATAAGCGCATTACTACCCGTCGCCTTCGTGCTCTCTTCCCTCCACATTGGCCTTCTCGAAGGTCTCCGTTGAAGTGATGGTTGATCTCACCGTCGAAGAACCACCACGTCCTATCTCCCGGTTTTCCACGTCCACTTCGCTGAGAATGTCTACGACTGTCGACATGCAGGTCGTCCCCATGCCTCGCTGGTCCACGGCTGTAGGCTGTGCAAAAGTTGCTCTGGCCGTGGTGGTTCTTGCCTTGACAGCTGCGGCTGCCTCCATCTGGGGAGGTTACGATGCATTCGCTGTCACTCTGTTCACAGTAAGTTAATTATTACTGCCAGAGTCAACCGCAAAGCTGACCGTCACAAAGGCATCGGCTAGCCTCGTCATCTTCGTCTACTACTTCGTCGCTCTGTCTCGTCGGCCCGCTCTCTACCATCCGTGGGTAGTTCTGGCGCTCGAGGCCTTCGGCGTGATCTTTTGGCTGACAAGTTTCGCCATGATGGCACAATGGACAAGCGTTTACAATGGCTGGTGGTATGGCGAAGGAGACAGCTACGGGTTCTGGGATGCACCTTTTCGTCCTGAAGATCTGGGCCTGGCGAAGAGAACCATTGTCAGAAGAAGTACCAACAAGTACCACGCCGGGGTTGCGCTGGCTGGCACTGCTGCAGGATTGAGTGCAGTGGAATTGTACGTGCAGAATCCTGAAGTGCAGCGAACGAGCCGGATACTGACATCCAGCCTAGCATACTCTACACCCTGACTCTGACCGTTTTCGGAATGTCCATGCATCAACAGCGAATGGAGGCTGCACGCACAAGCATTGCAGCCGCACCCACGACGACTCCCGCGGCTGACGTCGAAGCTGGCACAGAAGACAAGGCAGCGGAGACAGAGCATGAGCCAAAACCTGTCACTGTTTGAACTGACGAGGCCACCATGTAGCGTGCAAGGAGTGCCAGTGCCCTTGAGACCGGAGGATAAAGGTGGAGGAGGAAGCGCGGTACCGGACTTGGCCGGAGAAGAATGGACGGTGATTCGGACGCCAAGGTTGCTTACATCGTGCCATGGAGACGACTTTTGCAGCAAAGACCCCCTATCTTTCCAGCTTCAATTACACCCGCCGTCATGACCTGTCCCGTGCCTTCATCTTATTTGTCCAGGCGTGTGTATCCGACACGCCATGGGGCTAGCGGACCGTGAAGATGGTCTTTTCCGAGTCTCTTATCCCAATCGGTGTGTACTTATTATTTCACATCTTTACTCATGTGTCTAGGCGAAGGAATTGGCTTTTGACATTCTCCTTTATCGCATTTCTTATATATCTTCTGTTGTCCGAGAGTGGAAATGTACTTGCATATCTACACACCTTCTCTTTGATCGGGTCTCCAGTGAGACGACATGGCCCTTCAAATGCTAGGTGACCATACCACTGCCACCGCAGGAAATCCCCAAGATGTCGCCACACAATCCTTGAACCCTTCTTCGAACGAAAACAGCAATATGGACTCATCATGCCCCGAGAAAGTCCAGATAGAGGCAGACGTCGAAGAGTCAATGGAGGTTCGGATTGAGCGACTAGGACGCGAGCGTCCATCGACTTTCAAGTCGATATGGGCTGAAGTCGGCTTTATCTTTTCTGTCCTCATGTCCCAGATCCTGACTGAATACTTCGTCTCGGGCTTCAACATCATTCTCCCCACACTCATCGAGGCGTTGGACATCCCTCAAGCGTCTAGCGTGTGGCCGGCTACGGCATTCTCCTTGGTCATCGCAGCTACATTGCTCGTGTTTGGCAGATTAGGCGATATGTACGGTGGATACCCTGTCTATCTCATAGGTCTGGCCTGGCTTGTGGTCTGGAGTATCGTATGCGGCTTCGCAGTCAATCCGTTGATGATGGACCTGTGTCGAGCACTACAGGGATTGGGACCAGCTGCATTCCTACCAACGGGTGTCATGCTCATCGGCACCGCATACCGACCTGGTCCACGCAAGAACCTGGTCTTCGCGCTCTACGGCACCGCCGCCGTGATAGGATTCTACTTTGGCATTTTCTGCGCCGGGATCGTTGGCCAATTTATTCGCTGGGGATGGTATTTCTGGATCGGCGCCGTCTTGACGTTCACCACGCTCATCACGTCGGTCCTTTTTGTACCCGACGACAGCAAAGAGCGCCGCAGGAACGGGATTAAAATGGACTGGCTCGGCGCTGGGGCTACTGTCTCCGGTATAGTCCTCGTCGTCTTCGCTATCACCGAGTCGGCACATGCAAAGCAAGGCTGGCGTACGCCCTATATCCCCACGTTGTTGTGCGTCGGGTGTATCCTGCTCCTGGTTGCTGTGTACATCGAGGGTTGGGTGGCCGAAATGCCGTTACTGCCTGCCGACATCTTCACAACACCCTGTATGACCCAACTCACCGTTGCACTGATGTTGCTGTACGGCAATTGCGGCATCTACTTGCTCTACGGGACACTATATTTCCAGAATATTATGGGCGCCACACCGCTGCAGGTGGTGGCTTGGTTCACGCCGGTGGCGGTTGGTGGGATTGTTTTAAACATCCTGGAGGGCTATATCCTGCATCTCGTGTCGGGCCACTTCCTTCTCATTGTTGCTGGAGCGGCAGCGGTCGGGTCTCCCATGCTCCTTGCTTTTGTGCCTGAGGGTGGGAGTTATTGGGCGTGGATCTTCCCATCCTGTATTTTCACCACGATGAGCATCGACCTCTCGTACACGGTGATCTGCGTGTTCATCACGACAAAGTTGCCAGCGGCAAGGCAGGGTCTGGCTGGCGGGCTGATCAATAGCGTTTTGCAACTCGGAATGGCGCTCGTCCTTGGATTGAGCGACATTATACAGTCATACACATTGGACGAAGTGGGGTTGAGGAAGAGCTATCAGAACGTGTTCTGGTTAGCCGTGGCTGCCGGTGCTGCGAGTCTCATCATGATGGTCATCTGGGGCAAAATCGGCAAAGCCGCGAGCGACCTCACTGCGGACGAGAAGTTGGAGCTAGAGCGTGAAGCAGTCAGACTCTCTTCGCCGAGAGCAGAAACAGGTGGCAATTGAACGTGCGTTCACGGTTTTATACCGGGTTTGGCATATAAGCGGCGGCGTCTGGATATTTGCATCATGCTTCAAGAACACTAGAAGAATACATTGTGTGTATATAGACTTCTCAAGACTTCAAAGGTGTAAATCTCATTCGATTGCTGAAGGCGGTTCACAAGCTTAACTCGATGGGAAACAGTTAAGAGACTTCCTAATCCTCAGCCCTCTTTGGCCACCACAACATGTATGTATATATCCGCGAATGGCCAGCCAGATCTCGGTGACAGTGCGTCAAGCAGCTAGAATGGAAGCATAGCCCAACAGAATCGATTGGCGTCGGCATTTAACATACCCAGCCTCCATCGGCGTTCCAGATTGCTCCTGTCACAAAGGAAGCTTCGTCACTCAACAAGAATGCAACGACTGCAGCGATCTCCTCTGGCTTTCCTTTCCTGTCGAAAGCTTGCGCACTGAGGTCCGCCTGTTTGATATTGTTCGCCGCTTCCAAGGCAGCCACCATTGGGCTGTCGATAAAGCCAGGTGCCACTCCGTTGATCCAGCTCCAAGGTAGTTTGATGGTCTGAATATCCTATGCCTCTCGAGTAAGTGCCCATGTTGATAACAACCTCAATCGAAAGAGAAATGCTGAGACGAGCAAATGCAGATTCGTTTTCCGGCGACGTCTAGACGAACCAATCAAAATTGACCCGCAATCTGCCCGGAGTCATGCCTTGCTTAGGTACGTCGTCCTCCCCTGCCTACGCTAGAGTCTTTGACCACAAAGCTCGATCCTCTTGACTCTAACGCTCAGTGTCTCATATTTCTCGAACATTGATTGCAATCACGAACACGTGGTAGCCGCAACGGACAAACTCCACGAAACGGTCTTTCCCCTCCTACGGCAACGGCTCTGCTGACCAGATCTCGCAGCTGAGGGACAGTATCTCAGCCACCCCTCAGTCCATTCATTTGACCTTATTGCGAGCGGGTAATTCGGCTACGTGGGTGGTTGACTTGCTCGGGAACGGAAGACGAGTTAATTGTTTGAAGACCGTCGACCGTCGACCGTGCGTCACTCATCGCTCTCGCGGATATTGATCGGAGACATCCATCCCCGGCCGAAGGCTATAATCTAGCACCACAATGTCTCAGCTCTTACAATATGAGCCCCTGCACCAGTCACAAGTCCTTTTGGCATGTTACACCTGTCGCAAGCGCAAGGTCAAATGTGGGCGAGAACTGCCTTGTTGTACAATATGTCGAGAGACCTCACAGCAGTGCGCCTATCCGCCAAAAGCAAGGAGACCAGGTCCGAAAATAGGCACCACCCGTGCCAGCTCTTACAGGAGACTGTGTGAGTCTCAATAGCCATTGCGTCTAAGTCGCAAGCTTGCTGACAATTGCTCTCAAGTGGGAAGGAAAGACCGCGGAAGAAGCCCGGTAGAGCAGCGAAATGGCGAGATCCGGCAACACACTCAGCAGGATAGAGTAGCATCCAATACTAGAGACGGCAGAAGATCAGAATCATCGGCTCCTCCACTGGCCTCGCAAAACTCCCTGGCACCAACCGACATGCTAAACCTTGCATACATTATTCACCCTTGTTTCGAGAACTGTTCACCGACCCCTGGAAATGCTGTTGAAGGCGTCGACGAATCAAATGACCATTACCTCGACGAACTCATGATGAGTTGCGACTGCTTGGGACTGACATTGGGCCAATTGAACATCCTGTAAGCTACTTTTGATCAGAGCACCTATCGCTATTCTTCCCGTCTGTGTACGTTTAACTGCAGAAGACCAACACATAGGCAGGCTTCCCCGGTATTTTGAAGTATACACCGCCTTCCAACTGTTTCGACTTCCAGAAATTCAAACAAAATTGCGGCAAATCCCCACAGTAGCTCAAAGAACGGCTCTGTTGGCATCTATGCTCGCATTTGCACTCAAGGACCTCGATCATCACGATGTGAACAATATGACACAAGAGCATGTCTTAACCCACTCGACGGGCGTTCCAAGCATCCATTTTCGTGCTCTGGCGATCAAATACATGGAGCAAGCGATGACTGAGCTCGGAGACGAAGCAGTGACCTTACCTCTCCTTCAGGCGATGATTTTGAACACACATTGTATCCTCGTCCAAGGGGTACGGGGGAGGCCTTGGCGGTATTTGGGAACTTGTATCAGAAGTGCTTACGAGCTGAACCTGCACCTTATCGACGCCGGCAAGCCTCATGGCCAGGCTCTTTCTACAAATGCAGAGCAATGGTGCATCGAGGAAGAATGGCGTCGAGCGTGGTGGGCAATCTGGGAAATGGATGTGTTCGCCAGCTTCATTCGCCGCTGCCCGACTGGAATTGACTGGTCTCAAAATGAAACATTTCTGCCAGCTGAAGACGAAAGATGGTATCGTGGGGAACCTCAAGCAAGCTGTTTGTTGGGACTTTCCCTTGTCAATCGATGGAAATCGCTAGTCGCTACCCAAAACCAATCACCCAAGGCTTGGTTCATTCTCATCAATTCATTGATGAAAGATGCACAAAACGTCTCCAGTCCAACCAGCATTGACAAGTTCCATTTGTCACATCGTGACCCCACTCAAGATGTTGAGCAAGCTGTTGCACAAGACGTGCGAAGACGTCAACAGCAGAAGAAGACCTCGGACATCAATAGACTTGATACCGTGTTGAATTGTCTACATTGTACAGTCGCGGCTTTACCAAAAAGGCTCAAGTATCACGGTCAGTATCTGAACTTTGGAGGAATTGATACAAAGCGTCCCGGCGCCATAACACAAAGACTGACAGACAGTTTTGTCTACGGAATCTACCTCATGACTCAACTGACGAAAATGATGGTGCTGAAGTACCACGTCTTCCGCACAGGAGCGAAATGGACAATGGCGAGGAACACGGACTCGGCAGACAATGTCGCTACTGCAAACGAAGCAGGTACACTCACGGATCATCATGCCATTCTGTCTCCATCAAAAGCCGAATCACAACATCTGGCTCAATATTTCGAAGCGGCAGACAATGTTGTAAACATCGTCCGGTGCTGTCCCGAAGACCATTACAAGCACCTCAATCCCTTTCTTGCTAGTACTACATGGCTATCGGGAGCTATCCAACTCCTGCACCGCAGTCTTCTGGCAAATGGTTGCTCGGACAGAGAGTTGATCGATTCGAAATTTGAGTTGGTGTCCATGACTTACCTTAAGGCTGTGGGATTTTGGAACATGTCCCAGGTACCATTACGAAATTGGGAGACTATTGCAAATGGCTTGGAGAACGTCAAGGTTGGTCCGAGCACGGAGGACCATGATCAGCATCAAACGCCCTGGGTTTTCACCGGAGGGAACGTGAGCCATGTTCCCATTACGGAGCAAGCAAACATATCATCCTCGACAGCACTGTCCAATGCGAACAGCAAAAGTGGTGTGATCGACCAGTGCTTCAGATACCTTATCGACGACAGTAAGCAGAGGACCGGCATGGCTCCAGATCCTGCTCCCACAGATCTCGCTCTCGCGTCAACCATGCAAGCACAACAGCACCTGCCGTACACCCCACTCTCGAACAATACATACGCCCCAGAGCATTTACTCACACAGACTCAGCAGAGTCTCGGTATCATGTCTTCAGAATATGATGCAGAGACAGTACGAATGCCTTCATTCGGTGGCACCGAAGCTCACCCTACCTTCTCGCCCCAGTTTCTGGACTGTATGCCCTTTGCAACGGACCGGGCCATGAACATGGACTTTTCAAACTATCTTGACGAGATATTGTCGGGCTCATATGTGCCCTGAAAGATTCAATACAGGCTTCCGTCGGCCAACCCCCCGGATGTCATGTCCTCGTGGTGATCACACATAGCTTGGTTGGTAGTCGCACAACCGGCGCGACCAATACTCCGTACTTGGATGATGCGGTTTACGTGGTTTGGCTGGAACACCGGGCACTGATTTGGTAAAATTGGCACAACTGTAATAGTACTCAATATATGAGGGTAGCCGCCCCATTGTGCAGTCATGATGTTTGTCAAAACACACTGTGTAGGGCAATTCCATTGTCAATTTATTCAGGATTTTGCCAAAACCGCAAAGCTGTTGCTACCGGGGACCTGCACCAATCTAGAACTTCCTTTTGTGAGGCCACCAAGCAGAAGCTGATCAACACCAGACCTTCCCACCCTTGAGGCTCGCCACTTCGAGTAATCCTCCACTTATCCAATGGCTGATGTGGTTGCTGATTGTGTTCGAGCAGCTGGCAAATCATTTTCCATCGTCACGCGCTTGGCTGCCATGATTTCCTTTGGCGACGAATTCGTCCTCTTGAAAGGTGCTGTTGGACACGTCTTTTACCCGCTCAACCATGCCATAGGTGGCGGCTTCGACGTTTGCTTGGTGGCTGACAGCGGGAGTGAGCTTCATGAAAACGGCATCGATCTCTTCCAAAGTCTTGCCGCCGGCTGTGACAAGGCATATCAGAATCAAATCATACTTATCACCAAGGCGGAGAGAGATGGATGGTACTCACTTTCTGGACAGCAGAAGTAGACGTAACCGACCGAGACGAAACCTGAAAGGCCATCCCAAGTCAGCTTGGGGGGAGCTTCATCAACATTGCGGTTTGTGTATTGCCCAAGACTTACAGAAGACCAAGAACCAGACCCAGAGGATCGGTCCGACTCTCTGTAATGCGATGCCTCCCGCGAAAACGGTGAGGAAAGTACCACTCCATTCTCCTGTGGCGCCAAATGATCCACCTAAGTGCCTGTATCGAAGCGGTGCAATCGAGGAGTGAGTCGCATTAGCGCCTCTATCATATCGAACCCCCTATGAATCTAGCTGGGTGAATTTTTATTGAATGACGAGGGTCACTTACTTCTGGTCCATAAAGCCATGCAATTCCAACCCAGCCATAGCCGAAGAAGAAGATGTAAACCACGACTGAGGCAACGGCCGTCCATTGCGTGGCGAGGTTCTTTTTGTGGCCAAGATTGATCATGACAACGAAGACAAGCATGAAGATGGACAGCATTATGGCTGTCCAGAACATGATGCCGCGTCGACCGCCCCTTTCGATTGTCCAGGGCGTAAACCAGGTGCCCATGGCAAACAGGGTGTTCATCACCGCTGCCAGCAGGGAGGATAGAAATGGGGACAAGCCCACCTGAGAGAAGATGATGGTGCTGTAGTAAATGAGTAGATTGATTCCTGCCGATATCACATGTCAGATGGAGGGGCTTCCACAAGAATCATTGCAGTGGTGTATGCTATTTCCAGGCTACTGACCCATCAACTGCTGCAGGAACAGGATCATGAACGCGGTTCTCAAACGACGGCCCGCTTGAAGCTCTGTGTTTTAAACGAGTCAGCACACATTCGTACCTTCAACTGAGGCGAGAATAGGGAGGTTTGGCATGCCAGTGTTATCCCAAATCAGTGTCACGAGGCTGAATGGCTTCTGGGAGTTTTCGATCTCGATGGCCTCGAAGATATCCCTCCTCTGTGCCTGGACGTGTAGGTCATCGAGAGGAAGGCCATGCCGCGCAGACAGCACGCCATCACCTTCTTCAACACGGCCCTTGACGTAGTACCTGATTATTTGACTTAGCAGATATGGAGCAGACAGGCCTGGCTGCTCCTCGAGTTCGAGAGAGATCCGACTTACCAGCGCGGTGTGTCGGGCAAGAAAACCATACCAGTGGCAGAAAAAACGGCTAAGAAGGTCTGGAACGCGATGGGGAACCTCTGAACATATCCGGGTAATCAGCTCGATTTATTTCGACGGACGCCTGTGACAAGATGTTGCCTTGGTACTCACCCAAGAAACTTGGTTCGTCATGCGAGTGAAAGCAAAATCAACCCAGCCCGAGAATGCAACTACAGTACAAGCCTGGTGTCAGCGCCAATACTTGTATACTGTAGATTGAAAGAAAAGCTGTCTCTCACCCCCGGAAACGGTCACAGCCAACTGGAAACAGACTGCCGGACCGTGATCATTTGCCTTTGTGCTCATTTCGGCCTGCGAGAAGAGAAGGATGAGTGAGTAGCTACTCTATCTGAAAGGAGGTAACAATGCCATCATGAGTTCGAAGGTTGAAACAAACCATGTAAGTAGGCACGGTTGACGATATGAATCCGATGCCGAATCCCTGGCGAACCCCAGATATTAGCAGATGGGACGGGAAGTTGGAATCTGGACGGAACGGAAAAAGCTCAAATGGAAGTCTTACACATAACACTCGCCCGACAATGATTTGCGCGACCGAGAAGGAAGATGCTTGGAGCGCCCCTCCACAGATGACCAGGATGTTCCCGTACAAGATGCAATTTCGGCGGCCCATCGGTGATCCAATGCTACGATTTTCCCGCCAGGTTAGTTAGTGCTCAAGTCAAGTCAAGACTGTCAAGTCATCGCCCGGCTCGGCTTTGCGAGAGTAGTAGAATTCTAATAAGGTACTAGGTAGCTTACAAGCTAATCATCATCGACATGACCCAAGCCCCCAGCGTGTAAGACGAAGCCACCATCGGTATGATGATTGTGGAATGTCTTTCTGGATGGCCAATGGCGTGAAGGAATGGTTCTGTGTTCTGCACGCCGGCAAGGACACCGGCGTCGTAGCCGAACATCATGAATGCCTGCGATGAGCCCGGAGCCTGTCAGTACTACTGGTAACAGTCATCTTCCAAAAGGAAGAGCAGAGCAGAGCATAAATCACGGGAGGGCGGGGAGAGACATACTATGGCGCAGACAGTACTCATAGTATTGTAGAGGGCCTTTCCTCGAAGGTTGGTGAGCGGCATGGTTTCCAGGCTTGTTGTTCCAAGTAGTTGCTACCTAGGTAGTATCTCTTTTTTGCTTTTTTGAATGCACGTTCGAGAATCCGACGCAGAACGAAGATTATCAAGATAGACTGGGTGCTGTTAGCTCTTTATACTTGCCTGGCAATGACGACTACTACTAGGAGCTGCCAGCCATGGAATGAGATGCTAGACAGGCTCCGTACCATCTCGTCTAAGAGATACTCCACGATTCGGGGGTCGTGTGGGGTTTAGTGAGCGTGTAGACTATAGCTGGAGCTCAGGTACTTGCGGGATTGGTGCAACACTCCTCGTATAGCTAGGCACTGATCCCAGCATTTTGGAAGCATGGATTTTAGCCTGGGGTATTTCCAGATACGAGAGGGGCCCGGAAGGAGAAAGAAAGGGGGCCTTGAGGAATCGCGGTCGGGTCGAATATTGCTCCCAGTAGGCGGACGGTCCTCGGTATGATATTATCGGAGCTACTGTAGACCAGAAGTCTCGAACGCTCGTTTACCCCGCGAGAACACCTAAGGGAGTCAAGAATTCGTAAGCCATGAGCCCGTCGAGAGCGTCAGGCAAGCTCCTTCAGTGTTGAGGAGCAACACAGGGGGTTTTGAGCAGTGGTAATAGCGCGTTCTATGACTGCGGACAAGTCTTTAGCGCTGTCAAAGTCTCGAATCAGGCTTGCCGGATCATATGCGATACCCAAGAATGACGGCTCTGGATCGTGACTTTCATCAGTGTCATACATGCTGTCCTCAAGTAGCAAAGGCAGCAGGTGACCAGAAAGTTGAAATCCGGATCGGCGAACAAAGACGGGCCTCCGTTTGGCACATTATAGCACTACAGGGCTTCTTCCATGCTGAATCCGATCCTGTCTAGAGACGCAATGCGTAGTTGAGATATCAAGGGTGTAGAAATCACAGAGCTCACTCCCGAGGGAGACAAGACGTCGGGGGCATGGAGAGAGTTGGGTGATCTTCGGCAAGAATGTGCAGGGGGGCGAAAAGCCACAGTTTGTGTGGCTGTGAAGGTTGTGGCGGAGGAGTTATCTAAGCATCTCACGTGACATCTATTTGTAGCTTAGCTTGGGGCGCTGGCTTGGCTTTCGTCACTGCGCGGCCTCTGACTGTACCGTGATAAATTCAACCAAGGAAGATTTCACCTCGGTGTCTTCAAGCGTGACTTCTACCGTGACTTCTACCGTGTCTTCTACGGAGCCTTTGAAAGTTATGTGAGAGAAGTATCTAAAGTGCCCCATGTATGGGTCTATTGAGTACCGAGGTAGGTAGTCCAGCCAATCGACCCTTTTCATCAAGAGCCAAGCTCGAACCATCGTCATCGCATTGAATTTTTGAGCGCCAAGCGTCGTTGGTTTGCTGGGCTGACTTCACACCACAAACCCAGCCATGAGCTATATGAATTTTCCCCTTGGACTACAACTTGTATGGGAAGATGTTTTGACTATCATGCGCTATCTAAAAGCCGGGGGCATATTTGCTCATCTTACTGTGTACGAGCTAGGTTCCTGGCTCTGAGATTGCTCAAATATGCGTATGCCGGTTGGCAGCTATGATCGCTTTGGCATTTGCTTCTCTTGTGGGGACAAGTCAAGCTCGGGACATATGGTCTTGTCAAAGTTTATGCTACACTGCTGAGGACCAGCCAGAGATCAGGTAAGGAACTTTGACCCATCGACAAGCCCTTGGCAGCTCCAGCGAACCGAGAGTGTCGAGAGTGGGAATGTTCCTGTTGTTCTCTTTTGAAGAAGCCGATTACCACGTTCTGCAGAACCTCTCCCTTCTCGACCAGAAACCCGGGACTCATTGTGACTTTGCTTCACACTCTCAAGTTGACTGAGCCCATTTTCAACGCCTTGCTGCCGCCCACGTTAGTCGATCGTTGATCCTGTGCGGCAAGACTTCTTTGAACACCCACATGCGACCATATTCCCTGGAGAAGCCAAAAGCGACATCTGCCAGCCCTCTCGACCTCGAAGTCCACGTTTCATTCGGTCGCGTACCTTCGCCATGGCACCCAACGCCGGCGTCCTTGGTCATGAAGCCAGTGTTCGCCACAGAGATGTAAAAAGGGAGAAGCGCGAGCACAGCGCAGAGCACAGCTCTACAGAAGCAGTGGTAGCCGATGAGCTGCTGGCCGTTCTGGGATACAAACCCGAGTTATCCCGCAATCGCTCGACATGGCAGGTCTCCTTTATGTCATTTGTACTCGCATCGGTGCCGTACGGGCTGTCGTTGACGCTTTATTATCCGGTCATTGGCGGCGGTCCGGTGGCCATCATCTGGGGCTGGTTGCTTGTAGGGCTGATTATGACTTGCGTCGCCATATCCCTTGGCGAGATCACGTCGGCGTTTCCGACCGCTGGTGGAGTTTACTACCAGACCTTCATGGTGTGTCCGCCGTGGTGCCGTACCGTCACCGCTTGGATCTGTGGTTGGGCATACACCATGGGAGTTGTTTCAATAACGCTCTCGGTCAATTTTGGAACTGCTCAGTTTTTCGTCGCGTGCATCAACATCTTCACAGACGCCGAAGGCAACCCAATCTGGGCTGCGGAAACGTACCAGGTCTTCTTGTTGTTCCTTGCTATCACGTTTCTGTGCAATGCAGTTTCATCTCTGGCGAATAGATGGCTCCCAATCCTGGATGTATGTATATTTTGCACCATGAGTACTACCCTTCATGAAAAGTTAATGCGCTTTGCAGACCTTTGCGATCTTCTGGACCTTTGCCGGTCTCATGGCCATTGTCATCTGCACTCTTGCGCTAGCCAAGGGTGGACGAAACAGTGCCGACTATGTTTTCACCGGATTTGAGACGAACTCTGGATGGACTCCTGGGTGGTCATATTTCATTGGCTTGCTGCAAGGCGCCTACGTGACCTCGGCAACTGGCATGATCATTTCGTAAGTCAAAGACTCTGATGGGCTACCAGCAAACCAGAACCTAACGAGTTGTAGCATGTGCGAAGAGGTGCAACAACCCGCCACTCAGGTCCCGAAAGCCATGGTCTTCACTGTTATTCTGAATGTTATCTGCGGTTTGTTCTTCTTGATTCCTATGGTTTTCGTCCTCCCTCCAATTGCCGACGTCGCTGCTCAAGCCTCTCCTATACCCTACATTCTGAGCGTTGCCGTCGGCAATCAAGGCGGAGCCTTTGCCCTTACCATCCCCATACTGGTCCTTGGGCTTCTCTGTGGGACCAGCTGTACAACCGCTTCTTCTCGAACTATCTGGTCGTTTGCCCGGGATGGAGCCATTCCTGGCTCGCGGTGGTGGAAAAAGATCAACCTCAAACTGGATGTACCATTCAACGCCATGATGCTCAGTATGGTGATCCAGTGTCTTCTGGGCATCATTTATTTTGGATCTACAGCAGCATTCAATGCCTTCAGTGGCGTCGGGGTCGTTTTCTTGGTGCGTAAGACTTCAGCGGGCCGCAATGAACCCGGGGCGGACGCTGTCAGACTTCCTTGGTCATGAATAGCCGCTAATTGTGTCTAGACTATTGCCTATACGATACCGATCGCCAGCTCTCTCTTCACCGGGCGGAAAACCCTGAAGCAAGGACACTACGATTTTGGAATATTTGGCGTAACCTGCAACATCATCTCAATCTGTACGTTTGAAGAAGGACCCTTTTCCCGACAAATGTATGCTTTTTCTCAAGATAGTAGTACTGACCCAAACTTTGCTTTGCCAGGTTGGTGTTTCTTGGTCACACCGTTGTATTGTATGCCAGCATACTTGCCCACCACGGCAACAACCATGAACTATGCATCTGTAGTATTCGTGGCCGGAGTGGCTGTTTCAGCCATGTGGTATCTCGTTTGGGGTCGCAAGAACTACAAAGGCCCTCCAGTCAGCGAGGAGGAAGTCATCGCACACCGTGTTTCCATCATTGGAGCATAAGGAATGTCTTGATGAAAGAGGTCCCAGATCTCGTCCATTAGAAGTTGAGGCCTTCCTTGTAGCCATTTAGAACCGAATAAAGTCCTTAACCGCGACTCCCATCCTTAAGGCATGCGCTTTACTACTAAACGTTACTTTTTCTCGTTCTCCTCCATACCCTGTCTGATCCAGTCTTCGTTCGTTTTGAGGTGCTTTTTGAAAGCCTGCGGGTCCTTTGCCAACGCCTCCAAGTCGATCTTCTTTGGAGTGTTGTATCCCCTTTGTACTGCTGGTCGCGAAGCCATGCGGTTTTGCCATGTCCGAACGTGCGGGAATTCGTTGATATCTACACCACTGAAGTCTATGCGCAAACCTCGTCGTTGGTCAACCGGCTGATTCATCCTCATATGGTACTAGTATCAAAGGGGGAACACGTACCAAGGATATTGGTCCAGGAAGAGATGGCTATGTCAGCAATGGTGGGCCTGTCTCCCACCAGATACTCGGATTTGGAGTCTTGAAAATGCTTGTCGAGGGTGCGATATAGCCGTCGGGTCTCATTGACATATCTATCCTTCGAATACTGCTCCGGCTCGGACGAGAGACGATATCGGACGTAATGATTGGCTTGGCCTTGCATGGGACCGATACCCGCATTCATGAAGAAAAGCTACTCGCACATCGGTCAGGACTCACATTCCGTTCGTTTCCTTTGTGCGAGTTTGAGCAGCGGGCTCGGGAGAATGCACATACCCAGTTGTTGGTCTGATAATACTCTTTGGTGCCCCGGGGGTACGATATCTTATGGTCAGTATCGAATCTGTCGACTAGATATTGTTGAATACTTCCCGATTCGAATAACTTGATCTCCGTGCCGTCTTCCAGTTTGTCTGTTAATGCAGGGATACGACCATTTGGATTGATGGCCAGGAACCACGGCTCTTTATGTTGAATAGACGGTAAATTCACGTGCACCATATCGTAGGGGAGCCCGAGTTCTTCGAGGGTAATCGCGATTTTGTGGCCATTGGGCGAGAAGGCGGTATAGTAGATGATGTTTGCTTCCTTGGCCATGCTGGGTCCACTTCGAGTCTTTGCTGTTGGAGAGGAAAATTGGATTCCCAGCTTTGTCGTGCAAGGCTTGCACTCTTCTTTGTTAACTAGCTGAATCAATCACATCCGTTCCCATCCCTCGCTATTTGTCAGCCGCTTGATTTGCGAGTCTCAGCCCAGTTCATAGAGCCGGGAACATTATGAAGCATCCTCATGCGGGCTATTTCCGGGTCGATCTCGGACAACCCCCATTCAATCTTTATACATAACGGCAATAGAGGAGGTAACGGAGGTAGGCAAGGACCACTAGACCAAGAAAATGAAGCCCAAGGGCTTGATTTAAGATGAGAACACACCTAGGTAGGTATTCGATGCCCTGGTCAATACTCGAATTGGATCCTGTGAGTGTAGCAGCTGTTCGGGAAATTTTGTTGCTATGTCGACCTTAATCAAACTACATTTGTGCCTATTGATCCCTTGTAAGAAGGGATTGACCGAGGCCGAGTGTCACCGCCACTGGGCAAACATTCATGGGCCATTGGTAGTTGATTGGTAGGTGTCGGCGTTACAGAGCGAAGTCTGTGACAGAATACCTCACGGCTGATCTGGAACCTAGGTTGATCAGATATGGTGTTTCGAAGTATATACAGGTATTGAATCCCTCAGGATGTCGAGCAAGGAGGATTTTTGGATTAACAAGCCTGTCGCCAGTTTCACAGAGTCCAACACAAAGACGAGGCGATCGGCGTAGCACCCCAGTACGATGGAATCGCGGGACTGACTTTCGACCGGTATATTGGGGGCTCTACGATTCCATTTCCCCCACGTACCTGGACGCGGCTGACAAAGTAGATAGGTATGGAGACATGGAGGCCGCGTACAAGGATCAGGTGTACCTAGAACAAATCCGACCGGATGAGTTGAAGTTCATCGACATTGACAACATCGTTTTCAGTATTGGTAAAGACTTGAAAATCATTGACGATGGGAAGGACGTGTTTCCAAGCGAGACGGGCTATGAATGCTACGAACGTTAGGACTTGTATCATGTCTAACAAGAGAGACCTCACATAGGGATAGCACCTTCGCCCTGACAACCAATGCTCTCTGCTCTCCATGTTCCCTCTTGGCAGTACTATTGACAAGACCGCTCACTCAGCCCAGAATTGTGTTATTGGTGATTGGTGACTGGGTCCTTCTTGATTCTCATCGTATGGCATGGACATGCTAGACTCAATTCGTCTCCTTTGTGGGAGCTCGGCGTCTATTTCCTTGTATAGTAAGTCAAAAGACCTGAGTGCCCGCCAGGTTCATCCACGAAGTCTTCAACCTCGTTATCAAGGAGGAACTTGCATGAAGACCGGGGTTTTAGAGTGCCCGTCAAATTCGAAATTGTTCTCTGCATTGAAGCCGAGTCGTTTGCGTGGCTCATCATCAGTCAACCTCGTCATCTTCGTCACCGTCGAATCTGTGCTCGGTCCGGGTCAATTCTTGCTCTCCATCTTCAACTTCAACAGGTTGAACTTGCTCGACTTCCTCATTGAAAGAGACATGCTTAATCTCAAGTGGAGCCGACGGATGATAACTTCCAAAGGTATATCGTTGAAACGATTGAGGAGGTGTGCGTCCGTGGCTGCTATAGCTGGATGCTGGATCGGACATTGATGCCCTTCGCTGTTCGAAGACCGAAGTCTCCTCCTTCGCCTTAAGAAGCGCGGCCTGTTGCAAGAGCGAACGTTGTGATTGCGACCTTTCCAAGATTGCGGCCGAGGAGGACTTCCATTTCAAGATAGAGTTCTTATGAGCTGATGGCAAAGAGCCTAACGAGACTGGAGATGCCCTGGTGCTACCCTCTTCAGCACTGCGAGATTCTGTTTGCAATGGGCCATAAAGCCATGTGATGTCGCAACATTTCAACCAGTTCAAAGATTCAGGGCTCACGGTCTTCAAGGCATCTCGTTTCTGCGCCCAGAAGCGCCATGCAGCATTCTCGAGTCTCCACGAAGTTGCCATTAGCTGCCGTCTTTTCGTGACATATCGCCAGGAAAGTACTAATTCTCTTTCGTCCCAGTCATGGCTGAGGTAATCGACATGGCGAGTTGGTTCGCCGGCGATGGAGATGTCATCACGCGCGGTAAGTGGCTGTTGTTCGGCTTCATCTTCTTCCCTCAGACCCGGCTGGCCAGTTGTAGATGGGAAATCTGTGTCTTCTTCTGGTGGTAGTCGTTCGGACCACTCTTCCGACGAAGCTTCGCTGGCATTTGCAATTGTCGAGAGATGATCATCGTCTATTTTTCTGTCTCGTGGCAACATAGGTCTGAGAGGAGTAACTTGCGGAACAATGCGAATAGTCATATTTTTGAACAGCTTCAACTCCAGCTTGAGTATCGAGTCAGGCTTCTGTTTCGCCGTAGGGCTCGATTTTAGTGGTGTTTCAGTTGCGGTTTCAACATTCCTCGTATGAGGTTTGTTGCTGGCAATGACCTCCTGAGTCGGGGCCTTAACTGCCTGGCCTGAGTTGCTCTGCGACGTCATGTTACTTGCCGGCTCCAGCGGTGAAGCAGCGATCTCTACTTCGTGAGATTCGGCGGGATCGCGGAGAGGTAAATCCAGCTGCTCCGTTTCACTGATCTGGTAGTCGATTGCTCTCGGTGAAATAGATCTCTGGTTGTGGGCTGTCGGGCTTTCGACACTATACTCCTGATTGCAAGCAAAGCTAAGCACGGTCAGTCAAAGGAACCACAGATCAACAATTTTACCACTTACCAGATGCGGATCTGGCCTTTGCTACAAGGCTCAAGCTCTCCAAGGCATTTCGCACATTGGCTCTGGGCGGAGAGCAGCAGCATAGCCATAGTCAGGCGTGTTTTCGGTCTGACCATCTGAGTCCAGGTCGAGCGCTCAACTAGCTGGCCGCGAGCATTGCCTAAAAGCAGTCGATATCGCTTCTGCATGACCCGCTGGAGACCAGGTCTCTGTCGAAAGTGATATTCAAGAAAGCCGTGAAAGAACTCGAATTGCTCGCACTGTCGGTACGGCACACGGATTTCGATGCCGAAAACATCCTCAAATGTAATGCTGTTGTCAGACAACAGCGAGATATGCTTTGGGACATGAAGCAGACTTCGCTGAACTAACACAACACACATCAGACAAAGTAAGGCAAGGACCGGGTCAGCTTGTACGCGCATCCACAATCGACCAGCTAGCTTTCGTGATTGCGGATTGGCATAGAGCACTGTTAGTAGCAATGCCCAGAATGCACGGCTGGCGTCCGCCATGGAGCAACACGTATCAATCCTGGGATGGGACACTGAGGTGCTCGCTATCGAAGTGCATGAGACTCCGGAACACAAATCATCGACGGGAAAAGAGCCAGGTAGCAGAGAATGAGAAGGGGCAGACCGTTTCTGCTTGCTCCATGACTGGTTCTTGCGGACTCGCTTTCTGCACCTATGATACTGAAGCTGTCTTTTCGGTCCCGCTGTGGAGGTTATTGGATATGTCATCGTATCGTGCAGCGCTTTCGCGATGTTCCGCTCCTGAGCTTGGCTCATGGAGCGTAGAATAGCCATCAGTCCCTGCGTCTGTCTCTTATTTTCTGTCAGTATCTCATCGGCCAGATTGCTAGCATGATCAGCTAGACTTCCGATATTTGTTTGCATTCTGGTGACAGCGGTCTCTGTGGTAGTTAAGACATGACTTTTGATTGCAGCATGATCTCTTTCTTCGATGTCGTTCTGTACCCTACGGAACAAGTCAGACTTTTTCGCTGTATGGCGTCCAACTCACTGGAGAGTCTGCAGAATTGCAGCATCTACAGCAAGTCTGCTCCTCGCATCGGAGTCTCGTAGCTCCTTGTCTTCCTGAAAAGCCCACTGCAATTTCCGTCGTATGCCCTTTCTTTTCTGCGGAGACGACCCCTCACCTAGGGCCGCTTCATACTTCAGTGTATGTTTCTCCTGCTGCTCATGTTTCTCCAGGAGATGCTTGAGGGATTGGGCCAACTCGGTAGAGCTTGGTACGTCGAACGACGAGCAGGCTTCGAAGAGTGCTTTGGCCGCAGCGTGGAGATCATCGTGGCTTTGTTTGATTGCCTGATACTGAACTTGCGCCCCATTCCTGGTTCTGAGTGCGTCGACGGCCTTGTTTGCAACTCGCACACCTCCTACGATGTCGCTAGGTGAAATGCCTATCACTGACATGCTGATGAATGTAGGTTAGCAGCAGCCATCATTGTCAGTATGTTCAACAGATTGAAGAGGACGAAAAGAAGGTCAGTGTGGCATCGTCAGGCTGGCTTAGCCGGGCGCACGAGATGCAAGCACAGCACAGCCACCGAAGCCACTGCGGCCCAGCACCTGTTCGAGTAGCTGCATGAAGATAGCAGACAACGCAGCTCGTAAGGAGCCACTAGGGGGGTCTCTTCGTCCCATGCATCCATGACTGCCAGAGAACTTACCATCCACCCCCTCGAAAGACATGATTCATTCTCGGTGCCTTGGAGCTTTCGAGATATCGATAAGATGTCAGGGCAAATTTGGGTCAGTCACTGAAAATCCGATGCGGATTGGGGAGGGCATCAGCTCCCCCACCAACACCAAGTTCTCGTACAGGCGAGCGCCTGTGTCTTTGCCGGAGTAGTGTGCAGGGACCGCATGAGGTAGACTGAACAGATTTTCAGAAAACGACTGTATCTAGTCTTGAATCGCTAAGACACATATTGTATACACAGTTGGTAGCGCACCACAATAATGACATTCAATTGCGAAGCACGTCACAGCTTCGCTTTCACGACCACCCTGCTCTTCTCCTTCTTGCTATACTGTTCATTCTCCTTCTTCAAACGCCCAGCTTCATGCCCAACCTGTTCCTCGTTCTGATCCCATTCCGGCCTTCCAGAACTGTCACTCTTCTTTGGCGCGCTTCTATAGCCGTCCTTCAAATTCTCCTCATTCACAACCCGTCCGCCCACATCCCTCTGGATCCCAAGCTCCAACAGTTTCGCAAACACAGCAGCAAAATCACGGAAGAACAACTCCTTATCTTCAGCAAACTTGTCCACCCAGACACGAAAGCTCGGATCCTCAAGGAGGGCCATGTCAGTAGGAAGCATCATCAGTGTCTCCTCCTCTGCCAGCTCCGGATCCTCGTCCTTCAAATCCTCGTCCACATAAACATATTGCTCCAGCCCGTTCGCGAGGACCTTGTTCTTCCAGTCGTGCATCTTGAGCAATTTGAAGTACGTATTCGAAAACCGCGTGGGGTTATTCACCCATTTCCCCTCGAAGCCCGAGCGGTCACTGTGGCATCGTCCAAGATTATGCGCCCCACTCAACGCAACAATCTCCCTGTCATCAAAGCCCATCCGGTAGAATATCCAACGCAAATGATCAGCACCCTTTGACCCATCGGGCAGTCGTCCGCGCGGCGGCACACGAGAATCGTCAGTGAAATCCGTCCGGCCACCTTGCCAGGGGATATTGGGCCCGCCCATCTCGCTGACCGCGACGACAGCGGCTAACGTCCATAGATCAGAGTACGTTATCCAAGGAGATGCTTTCTTAATGGGCTCGAGAAACGTCCGGGCGTGTTGGAGTCCCGCGTTCGCCGGGTCGCCGCCTTCCTTCTCGTAACGCATGCCTGCGCCGTTGGACCCGCCGGTGTTGGTCGCGGCGCAGTATGTCCCCGCTGCGTGCCAGGCCAGGCGGACGAGGACGGGACCTGCGGAGCCATCGTCATAGTCGGGTTGGTGGAGGAGGGATTTGATCGCTTGCTTGACTTCGTCGAGTTGGGACGCAGAGGGTGAGGATGGAAGGGAGGTGTGTTCCGGGTTGATGGACATCCTGTCTAGTCACGACGAGTAGTGGCAACAGATACGCAGCCGCAAAATCGAAGCGTGCTTGGGACCAGTGTGGCGGCAAACAAGGTGGTTGATATACCTTTATGGAGCACGCGTGGATGAGGCAAAAGGATGAGATGGCGCTTGAGATGGGTCTCACGAGAAGCTCAGTTACGCGTGATTGAGGTTGAGATTGAGAAGAACAGAGAACGCAACGCCGAATAATGTACAGACAGGGAAACAAGGACGATAGACATAGCAGACAGCAGAAACATGAGACACGAACAGGGCAGCCTCGGCAGGATGTCAATCTGACCTTACCAGAATCATCGGTGAGATTTCGACATGCGCTTGAGTGATTTCATTTTGAGTGGGTCGGCGATAAAAGGTGTAGAATTTTTCGAGCACAGGGAAAGACTTGAGGTTGTTGAAGACATGACAGGACAGAAGGCCGATAAGAGGCTGTGGCGGCGAGGCTGAATGATCCGGACCGCCGGAGAAGAGTGAAACCGAAAATATCTGGACGCCATTCCTGATCCGTATTAGATCGGATTTGCTCGGGAGCCGAGGTGAACTGATAAGATAAGAATGACTAAGCGACATCTTTCCGCGACGCCGCTTGTGACCAAGTTCCGCATGCAAACAATCAAATCCTCTCAACGCAACCTAGAAATACATGGTTGAGACACTGACATCAGCTGCTTGCAACCTACGATGCGCGGACACCCCGCCGGATACCACTCCAGCAAGTTCCGCGGACTCAGTACCCTGGAGCCATATTGGCTACTTGATCTTCTGGGATCTCCTCTTTGTCCAATACATCGGGATCGTTTCTGAATTCCTCGCTCTCCAATACGGGTACAATCTTTTTGACGTCCCTCTCGATCACAGTGACCCCTGCTGGAAGTCGTTCTAGACGCGACCTCTCCACGACCAGACATCGCGCAAGATAGCGCAGCACGGCGGCAACAGCCTTAAGCTTCTCCTCGTCTTGACCGCTCACAGTATTACCAACAGCCTTGGTCAACATCGCCGGGATATATGTCGTCTGGACAGCTGGCTCTTCGACTGTGCCATCCAAATTGAGACCGTGTACCAGGCTCTGTCTTGCCGCTTCTGGTATTCGTTCCGTGAAGGCGGTAAAGTACATTTCCGCATTCTGCGCATTCGAAGTGTTACCAAGACAAAAAAGCCTCATCAGCGCACGATCGCTGGGGTTCTGTATGTCGAAGTCGCGCTGGTATCCCGCCCGGTGCAGAAGGTCCAGTTTTCGGGTCAAAATGATGTCGTAGCCTTCTCTCAAGCTCGTTTTCCCGCTGATTATGGCATGTGCAACATCGTACACATTTCGATAGGATTGGAAAATCGGCTCGATCATTTTCTTTGCACAAGTCCAATCTTCATGTCCCGAGGCTCCTGCGAGATCGAGCACTTGTTCCATGAACCGAACCTCGAAGGCGCGATCGTGACCATTCATGTCTGCTAAGCCTGCTAGAGAGGCTGGGGCATTCTCGGCTTGCGCAAGCTGACCAAAGTTGAAATCAGAACCAAGTTTGATACCAAGAAGAAGACATGCTTTGTTCTCCTCGGTCAATCGATCCAAGGCTGGCACCATTCGAGCCTTTACTGCGTGGTACAGAATCATGTCGTGGTTGACCTTGGAAATGTCCAGGCCTTCCTTTTGTGCGTAATCCATAGCAAGATTGGGGTCCTTCCCCAAATCATTGATGACCATGGAAGTGATAAGGGTGTAGATGTCCTCGGGATTCGCCAAGCCCTTCAGGTAAATTTCTCTCAGCCAGGCAAATGACTCCCGGCGTAACACGACTGGCGCCGGACTTTGACGGCCGACGAACGTCTCATAATCATTGTTCCAAAGCCATCGCAAAGCTAGTACACCCACCAGGGTACGGTTGACCTCTGCGTAGTCTTCGCCATAGAGTATTACCGAGATCGATGGACCTTCTGGGCCTGGCGCCTTTGAATCCCGGACAAACGTTGCGTTGTGGAGGCGCTGAAGCTCGGATGGAAATTCTGATTTGATTAGTGTGAGGAATTCTCGGTCCGGCATTGTCCAAAAGGAATTGTCTGCGATGACCTCTCGGAGACCACGCTGCTGGTTATTGTTGTGCTCGGACATACTGGAGGACATCGAGACGTGATCTCTAAGATCAGGCACTAGACGATGGTGCCGCACCTGTTGCAATCTGGAATCACCGGCAGTATCTGGGCTCGGACGCTTCCTGCCCTCATATGAGCGACGGAAGGAACAACATGCTGTGAGAATCCTGGGGGATATATTGCATTGTTGCTGGCTGTTTCCTTTGTTTTGGTCATCCATTTCCGCAACCGTCAACGGGCTGTACGTTTGCGGCAATCGCCAAGCAAGGCTCTTTTTGCATGATTGAAACGTCGAGAGAAGGTATCCAGAAGCCGGAGACTCGTTATGCGACTAGTAGGAAATGGCAGACAAGTGTTTGGGCTGCAAGGCCGGATGTCAAGGGACGACCGTCGATATGAGGCAGAGATTTTAATGTCAATTTGAATAGCTAAAGACTTGCGTCAGTGTTTGGTAAGCCTTGCTGAATCTTCAAGTACTGTCAGAAGACAAGTTGGCGTCTAATCCTGTGAAGTAAAGCCAGTTTATTGACTGGGTCACCGGTTTTAAGCTGAGTAGAGTCTCCTCGTCCGCGGTCTAGGCCTGACGTTCAACCAAAATATCGCTTGTCATGCAATCTAGCACTGCGGCTGGGATGCAAGCTGTGGCTGGTGATCGGTAACAACCGCAGATCCACGAGAGTAGAATGCCTACAGCAGTTTCTCGATGAAGGCACCCAGATAGAGACATCGAACTTCAGGCAAGATACCTGGTAGGTAATGGAAGTTGTGGCTGAGTTACACAAAGCACCGCCACTGCGGTGTTCTGATTGGACGGATGGCGGCACTAATCCGAAAGGACGCGCGGCAGTTACCAAGGCCAGTGAGGCTGACTAGCTCACCTGGCACTCTCAGCACCGAGCAGGTACTTTTGATGTGTTTGATAAATCCTACATGGAGGAGGAGGAGGAGGAGGAGGAGGAGGGAAAAAGTCTCAACCCGGGTAGCTAGCACGTCTACCTATCTTAGTCGACTATGTAATACCGATCATCGCAACTACTGTTACCTAGCTACCTTCCTCCGCCCAATTCGGCACTGTTCTCGCCCTCTCCACCGCCGCCTGAGTGGCCTCATCAAGATCCTCCTTCGGCAGTCCCAGCACCCCGTTCAAGGTGCCCTTGTTATGCTCCGTGTCGCCGCATCCGTCGGGATAGAAGACTCTGGTTGCCATCATCTTCGCGAAGCCAATGCGCTTGCCGTCCTTGATCTGTTCCACACCACTGGCGTACCGCTCGTGAGACGGCTCTTTAGTAATGGTCCAGTCATCAAGTTTTGTGCCAGTCACTCGACAAGCCGACTCGAGCATGTCAATTTGGCTCACGGTGAATGAATTGACGTAGACGACTTGATCTTTGTAGTGCTGCAGGCAAGCACTTCCGTGGCTGGAGATGGGCAGACTCAGAAGAGCGGCTACCACACGCCCGACCTTGGCAAAACTCAGTCTGTAGGTCATAGCCTCAATTTGCAGGATGACATCAGGAGACGTACCTGCGGCAACGTCGAGACAGAGACCTTCGTCTGGCCTTCGTCGAAGAGAACGACAGTGCGTTTGGCAAAGTCGATGCCAAATGTTGCTGGGATAGCAAGCATGTACTCGTACCAGAAGCCGGTCGACACGGCAATGTAGGAGCTCTTTCCGAGATCCGAGATGGCTTTGCGGATGCTCACTGTCCTCACAGGTCTGTGGTCAGCCACACATGTGTCTAAGACCCGCAAGACCCGAGAGACACCTCACCCTTGGACTGGAAAATAAACACGTCGTTGACCAGTGCTTCATTCGCAGTGTCGGGAGCCCATTCACTGGGCAGAATCCATGGCACGCCTACCTCGCCGGCGGCATTGATGAGCTTCATCTCAGTATCTGGGGGAGCGTTACCGGCCAGAGTAATTACCATTGCATCCTGACCGCTGAGGGCATCGACGAGCGTATTTGTCTTGTCGTAGTCGACCCGCTTGACGAGCACGCCTTCTGGCAACTTCGTCTGGCTGTCGACACGAGTAATAGCTGTAACAATATGCTTGCCCGTCTTGAGGAGGGCTTCAGTCATCACACGTCCGCTGTTGCCCCCAGCCTAGGTAGTTGTCGTCAGTCCGACATTCCCTAACATGAACCCAGACTCCTACCCCGACTATAGCAACGTTGCTGATATGGTTTGAAGCTGCCATCGCAGAAGACTTGTACAAATGGCCTTGAGATCAATCGCTCCCAAGCATGTAATCCTGTTCTTCAGTCTCGATATCAGATGGAAAAAGCTTCGGTAATTGTATAGATACTGCTGTTTATAGGATCTTGTAATGCGGACACGAAGACAAAGCGCATCCGGGTTTAAGCTCGGTGTTTGACAGTATTTGTCTGCACATGCAGGATGGTGATTCATCGGATCAAAGCGGGTTCGAACCTGGAGAGGGGCCATTGTTGACGACTCGAGAAATATGTTGTACAAAAATGCCCGCTAGATCCTGGATAAGCGGGAGCGACATGATAGAAGTGGAACGGCAGGGAATGTGACAATGATGGTGGTACTCGTAGAGGGACGGGGAAACAGACCCCTGGGGATTGATAGCTAGTGCAAAGGCTAAATGCGAACCTGAGTATGGAGCTGCGCAACTCAATGGAAGGATGATAACGACAAGGGTACGTCGAATGTACATACTCTCAGGCCCAGAACTGCATTGTGCCGGCCTCTGTCCGATAAATCTCTGCTGTTGAAGATCAGCAGTCCCTCGTGTTGCCTCTACCAATGTCGTATTGTCACCAGAGCCTTTTTATTCTCACCTTTGTCGTCCTCAACGCCACCATCAAAATCTAGTCCCATTTTTGCAAGCATATCCCATACAAACTTTCTCTTCAGTCCTTCACGAACAGGAATCTTTTCAAGCGCTTCATGACCAGTAAAATACTTGACCAAGACCGGCCAGTATCGCCGAAGCTCGGCCGTTTCCGGATCGTGACTGGATATGGGCGATGCCGACAGGTCTGTTGGTGAAGGATTACGAGAGGGCACCAGTGTGGAAGCAATATGGTCAAGCCAACGAGACTCTTCTGGTGACGCCCGCTGAGGGGACAACACCAGGCTTGCCGCTTTCGGGTTGTGCTTGAATTGCTGTCCACGACTGCTGGTGTGGTCTGTCGATACTGATTGTCTTCCGTCACTGGATGGACGGCTCACCATGCTGGGACGCTGCTTAAACGTGGAGACCATACTGCTTGCAACAGTTGTTGGCGTTCCACTTCCAAAACTCCTCGCTACATCAGGTGAGTTTTTGAATTCTTTCTCAACAGGCGTTTTAGATCCCTTTTCTTCCCGTTCCTTCTCGCGCACAGCTTTTTTGACTTCAGGGTCAACACGAACGAAAGCGAACGTTCGCAGCTGTGTTACCCATCCATCTCGCATGAGCCATGCTAAGACGCGGTAATATTCTTCTTTGTGGTCATTGCTGGGAATCAGCGTGCCGTATGGAGCAGGAGTCCCGCTCAAGGCACTGAGCATCTTGGGTAAAGATGGCATCATGGGGAATGTCGCCTCATAGGTCATACACGACGCTACCAATTTCTGCATGTTCGCGTTCGGAGAAACGATATAGGTATCTCGCTGATGCAATGGTGGAATTGCTATCGCACGTCGCCAGAACACGAGATGACGAGCAAGGTGCTGAATGTCGGGCAATGGGATACCGGAGACGACTGAAATCTTGTAGAAGGACTTGGTCGGTTGGGCCTTAGTGATAAAGTTGGTCAACGGCATCGCCAGTGGCCCGCCAGCAGCTTGGACGTCTTTGATGATCTTTTGAGGACTAGCCTTTAGAAGAAGGGTGAAGTTTTTAGAGAGCTGGAGGGCGCCCGTACTCGAGACCGCATCCATGTCAGATTCCGTTGAAGCAGGATCGGTGGCAGTTGTAAGCCAAAGGCCTGGTTCAAGAGGAGGTTCTGTGAGAGAAGGTAGGTAGGAAGTCGAGGTGACCGGCGGGATTTGTAGAGACACTGACAGCTTAGAACTGAGAGTGATCGCAGCTATCTTCGACGCCGAAATGTTGTCAAACACCTTGGCAATAGCTGTTGCCAACGAAGAGCGCCGAAGCATTTCCGTATACAACACTCTAGGCGGCGACTGCTGCTGCAGATGGGTTGATTTGATAGATTGCAACAGTTCTGATTGTTCCCAAACATAATCATGATGAGTCTGTTCCCATTTCAGAACTTTTGAGAATTTCTTGACGACATGATCATACATCTCCTTGACTCTGAGGGCATGTTCTAATGGAGGAGGATCCATCACAAACACCACATGAAACATAGTAAGCTGTGTCTTTGTGAATTCTTTGGAAGTCTTCTGCTTCTTCTTGGAGACATGTTGGCTTGACGAGCTGTCCACAATGTTGCTTTCATCGTCATTCCCACCGTCACTGACTGCGGTTTCGGAGGACTGCTGTGCGGTTTCTTCATCAGCAGATTTCTGATCGCGAGCTCTCTGTTCTCGCCAGTATCCTTCTTCATGGACATAGACTGGTCTTCCCAGGAAGGTCAAATCATTGATCCCCAGCTCAAATCTGCGCTTGTGCCAGGCGCGTCCCGGAGTCAACAGGCTCACAAGGCCATCCTGCCCTAGCCCAAGGAGTGGTTCCCATGGTGGCCTCCAGTCTCCATTGTCTGCAGTCCGTTTCTTTAGCTGATAATCATCCTCGTCTCCGTCTTCATCTGACTTCTGTGACCGACCATCAACGCTGGGAGCTACCGCAGGATTGAGCCTCTTCGTGAACAACTCAAAGTCGTCGTCCGAAGAAGATTGCTCAGAGTCACTGCTAGAGCTTTCTCCTTCCTCGTCTTCCGCTGAAGATGTAGCTTCTGCTGTCCGAGCTGCTGTCAAAGGGTCTGGAGGATAGTGGAAGACAAGCTGAGCACCTGACCCAGTCCGACCTTGGGCGACAAGAAGTATTGCAAGCAAGGAGGGATTTCTCGATGTAGCCGTGGTCGACATATGACTTCAGCTTCTTCAAGGGACGACTAGGAGCATTTGACGCGTGAAAGGCACGCGTTTGTACTCCGCTCGCCCGTTTTCGTTGTAGTCTCTGGGGTTCACAAAGTCAGGTGTTTGATTGTCACTGACTTAAGCGGCCAGCCTGAGCCTCGGAACATTGGGTGGTTTCGACCATACTAAATCTGGAGGAGGAGCGGGGAGATGTCCAGGTGAAGGTGGCTTGGGGCTGTTTGCTGACAATTGAGGACGTTCGGGCGCTAAATCGTATCGAAGGAGGAAGGATACGTGGAGCCATGCAGCGTGAGCAGGATGAGGAGTATGAGGAGGACGCGTGACGGTGACTGTTCGTGGGTGTCGGCAGCTAGACTGGCAGGGTGCGGATAATCAAGGGAACAAACAGGCGTTAGGTAGACACGAGGACACTGACAAGTCAATGCAATGCAATGCTCAGGTGGAGAGGGGTTTTCTGCGCGTCTGCGAGTCTGAGTCTTCATCTGCTAATAGGCACCCACGGCACCTAATAAGAGGACGGAGTCAGCCATAGGCGGTGTTTTGTCAGTGGTTCCTCCTGAGGTCCTCGTTCGCTGTTTGCTGGCTGTTCGGAAGGGACATGACGGGACCATCCACCCATCCTCTCAAAATGCCGCTAGGAAATCGAGAATTCATTCCTTGAGCTTTTGCAAGAAAAAAAGACTTGCACACATTCTCTCCAATCCCTCACTCTCTCCTCACCTTTCCTTCCAACTTTACGCGCACCTTTCTTTGTTGCTGTCGAGCCTCCTCGCTGGCCCTTGCGCTTCCGGCGCAGGAAAAGTGTTTCGACGCTAAGACTCGCACTCAAAAGTTTTTGGCGTCTTCCATCACCTCATCCTCTCCGAAACCACAACGAGCCTGCCCACGACCGTCTGCGCCTCTCGCACTGGCTCTTTGTCTCTCGGCTCATGGTAGTCTAAGGTGAAACCCTCTGCTCGTCCAAGAGTCGACTGCTCAAATTCTTGACCATCTCGGCCCTAGAAGCAGATCCACCGAAGACTGCCTCATTGTGCTCAATTGACGACTCACTTCTTACCCGACCCGGCAATTCGGATTGGCTCAATACCTCGAACCCTCATCGGTGTTTCACAACTTGGACATAGCAAGGACTGTTCTCCCAAGGCTGTAAGGTCGACACTATTCAGACTACGGTTCAAGAGACGTGGATCGGGCATTTTCAGATTTGCCTTGACAGTCAAACATCAGGACATTGCACCTTGCAAGCAGAGTGCGTGACGTTACATACATCAAGGACCGATATCCTTACCCGTCAACGCTCACTACAAACAGAAAATCACCAGCCTCCTCTGGTGAAGGACTCCATTTCTAGGACACAGAATATCATAAGATTGGGAGACTTCGACCCTACCCATCCTCTCTTGCCGAGACTGCAGCTCCAGCCTATACTGGTCTCTTTACACTGCAACCAGCTTGTTGCTGGTGAGGGGTCAGGTAGTGGAATAGTGAGGTGTGCCCACAGTCGACTCGGTCGAGAAAGATGACTACACCTTCAGGCCCTGCGGCGCCAGTGTTCTCCTATGCACAGGCTGCCAAGGGATTCACACCATCGATATCCAGTCAGCCTACGCCTCGCAACGAAAGTCCTGCTGCGTCCGAAAAGCATGTCCGAGACCGCCCAGCGCCCGAATCCAATAGTGCTGCGTTGGCACTTAAGTCTCCGCGGGAGAAGACTGACTCCGAGGTTAAAGTCGCATCAGACGTCGGAGCTCGAACACCGACTTTTGAAGATTCTGCAGGAAAGGAGAATGTCTCTAACACGCAAAATTTATCTGTTGCTCCAGAAGGGTTGTCTGAACAGGCCAATACCTCCAGCACCGAACCCTCGCAGGATTCTCGAAAAGACGAAGCTAGACCACAATTGTTGAATGGACGAACGTACTCTTCTGAGCAGGCTTCCGAGGTTTCCGGTCCAGGTGCTGCCGACAGAAAATCCAAAGACGCGGAAGAAGATTGGGAAAAGGTCTCGGTCCCTTCGATGACAGCCGAGAAAGAGCTGAAAGCAGCCCCCATTCCAGTTGTCAATGTTTGGCAGCAGCGAAGAGAGGCCCAGGCTGCAAAAGCGAAAGAAGTTGTTGGACCCCAGCGAAACCCAACTTCAAATGCCACAAACGCATCCAGACCATTGGCTGGCGACGAAGATGCCAAGCGCAGGTCCACGAGTCGGGATCTTGATAGCCACGAACGAAATGGCAAGTCTGTGGACATTGCTCGTGCTAATAGCCGAAAGGAGGCAGCATCCACTCGTTCTTCGAGAGACAGGGTTGATGTTGAAGCGCCACCATCTGTTGCTGATGCACAAGCGTGGCCGACTCCTGATAACTCGCAGGTGGAAGAGCGACGTAAGTCGACCACGTATGAAAAGGCCGAGCAAAAAGGAAATTCTCAGACGAAATGGAAGACTATGCCATTCGTCCCGACCGCCAAATTTGAAACCCAGCTTCCGCCTTCTGCCGCACGCCGAGGTGGTAGAGGTGGTGGCCGTGGAAGAGATTCTACTGGTCGAGGCGGCCATACTGGCACAGCTGGTGAGAAGCAGGACTTGTCAGGATCCATGGGCCCACCCCCATTGCCGAAGCAGTCAAGCGAACAAGATCGTGGTCGTCGATCTGAGGGCCAGCGCGGTCCACGTGGTGGCTCCGTTCCTACTACCAGCATCCGGCCCGAGAATGGTGAAGACAACACGCCCGTTTTCCGCAAGCCTTCTGCACCTTTCACCAAGGAACCCAGCAGCACTGATCGCGGGGAGCATCGGCCTCCGAAGACAGAGCAGAGTTCCAGGTCTTCTTCACGACACACCGGGCGAGTGGCCGATCGTGTTGTCAATGGAGACACGAGCACTTCCGCAGACCAGACTCCTGGCGTATTTGGACAGTCGAGTGAGCAGCATGCTCGCTATCCGTTTTCTTTTGACAGATTCAAGGGTGCAGGGAATGGAAGTTCTCGCGGCAGTGGAGAATTTGCTCGGGAACGCGGTTCTGGGCGAAACCGGGACTGGTCGAGGGATAAACCTGAATCCGCACGAGAGAAGGTTGAATCCTGGCGTGACCGTGAATCTTCAGGCGACCAAACCACGCGACGTGAATCTCGAAATGAGCGTGGCCGAGGTAGCTACCGTGGCAGGGGCAACCACAGCTACAATCCACCTTACAACTCGTCTCATGCATACACAGCCCCCCTGCCTCAGAACGGCTTTGAACCCAGCAGATCTAGCTCGAATGTAGAGAGCAGATCAAGGCAAGCTTCTCAGCCCTTCCAACCAACACAGACACCGAACAACTCACGCAACAACCCACGGTCGCAATCTATTCCTGTTGGCATGATGTTCCCCGGATACTACCCAGGCATGCCACAAGGAGTTCCTGCCTTGCAGACCGACATGCAAATGTACGGCTACCCGCAACAAATGCAGATGCAGCCTGGAATCATGAGTGCTATGCCTTACAATGACCCTCTGAATTCATATGCTCTCTTGTCGATGGTCATGACTCAAGTGTAAGTCTGTTCCTTGCCGCTACTTCGGCGCTAACGCTATATCAGAGAGTATTATTTCTCCATTGACAACCTCTGCAAAGATTTGTTCCTACGAAAACACATGGACGGGCAAGGCTATGTGCCACTCAGCATCATCGCAAATTTCAAGCGAATCAAGACTCTGACTGAGGATAACATGACCTTGGACACCCTTCGCTATGTCTGCCAACAAGTGAAGAGCGTGGAATTTCTTCCTGGGCCTGACGGAGATGATCGTCTTCGCCGTCGGGAAGGCTGGCATGATTTCATTCTTCCGGAGGATGAACGATTCGATTCCGCTCGCAACGACGGCCCTGAACATAACGTGGACCAATACATCCGGTCACCTCACTACGGTCAACCAGCTCATTTTGACCAGTCCTTTGGGGTGGGCCAAGTACGCAGCCCTCCATTGAACGTCCCAACGAATGGGATATTCCACCCTGCTTCTCCAATGTCGTATCTTCCAGGACCTCAGGTCGACGGTCATGGGGCTTTCGTTGCTCCTTTCGAGGACATTGCTTCAGAGGACGTAGCAAGAGCTCCTTACCATTCAATACCGACGCCTGTGAGATCTCCTCCGAGCCAAGGTGGTGAAACTATGAGCAGCCTTGTCAATGGTCACCACCGTCAGGGTTCACGAGCTGATATCGAGGAGAATGTGTTCCCAGATGAGAACATTCCCAACATCAACATTCGCATGCAACCTCGTCCTACACCAGACCAGGTCGATTCGGCTGTCGACGCTGCCAATGCTTCTGCTGCCATCGGGATCGAAGCTGGTAATGGTGACCTCAACGAAGGACCGTCCAACGTTCCCAGTCTGAGTCTGCGCGGAGGTGCAGCTAGCCCGCAGCAGTGAGTCGGCTCCGAATCTGACCATTCGAAACGCATCACTAACAACGCGATCAGACTCGATCAATTCCACAATCTGTCATTTGGGTCAGTCGCTACTATACCAGTGGCTGACTCTGTCATCTACGTCACCAAGGATGGCCATGAGACTCAGCTTCCACCACCACAACTTGGACAGTATGACCAGAGTTATCAGTCGCTCCATGACATGGCTTTTCGACAGCGACAACTAGGAATCGATGATGCTCTCGAACCGTTGTATTCCTTCTGGAGCGATTTTCTTGTCGACAAATTCAATGTTGGCATGTATCAGGAATTCAAATCGACTGCTGTTAATGACTTCCAAGAAGGCAGTAGCAGCGGCATGAAGCACCTTGTCCGCTATTATGGCAAAGTCTTGGGTGGACCTGTTCCGGTCAGCGAGCGGCTTGCTACAGACATGGTTACCCTCTCTCGCGAAGACAAGGACGGTGACCGTTCTTTGTTCCATACTTTGAGAGCTGCGTGGCGCAACGGAGCCACACACATGAAAACTATCAAGAGACTAGGTGATGTCCTCACCATTGAGGAGAAAGCCGAGCTCGACAAGAGTGGCTGAGCATAGACATGCAGTTGATCTTTGCCATTGCCACTCACCATGCAACGTCATTTTGTTCAACAACATGTTCTGTCCATCTTCGAATGCAGAATGATGTACTATGTCGTTAGTTATACCAGAAAAGGGCACAAGATTTGATCAATGCTCAACAGTGTTGAAGCAAATCTACACTACTTCCATCTCGAAGGGGGTTGCAGAGTGCTATGTTTGTTTTTCCTGAGCTACCAGCATAAGCAATCTTCGTTCGAGCTAGAGGCCAGGATCGAAATCGACTGTACTTGACTATGTTTTATCACTTGCATGGCATCAAAGTTCAAGGAAATATGCTCCGCATCGGATGATCATGCCATTCCTTCACACTATCCTGATAGCGCGCATGGCCAGGAATGATTCAGCAGGCTGAGATGAACCTTGACCGAAAACGACCCAACTACACTGCCGCGCACGGCGCATTTGTTATCACAACATACGGCCGGTCATGATGGGGATATCAACATACCCCTGCGATGCTGGCTTCACATTGTTATCGCACAAACGCACATTTATTTCTTTTCCGTTCCGTTCTTGCATAGAACATCTCATCTGTTGTCGGGCAGGCTGAGAGGTTGGGTGGGCAGGCTCGGGCCGGGTTTCAGGAGGTATGCAATTTGAGGAAGTCACCAGCCGCGGAACAGTAAAGATCCAAGTCGAGAGACCGACAGTCGAAGTTCAGAACACGAGAACCTCTAAGACCATTGCCCGCAGTATGAGCATGAAATGGGAAGCAGTCAGGGTGCCTGGTCACGATTACGTCGAGCTCTCCTCCACGAAGGATCGTGTGTGATTCTTCTTCCTTTATTCACATTTTCAAAGCGTCAAACAACCATGGCATGCGACGGAGAAAGACAAAAGTTTGTACACAGTTATCATGAGAGCCTCTCAATCAAGTCGAAGGAGGTGATTGTACCAATCTTGTAAAGTTCTCTTGAATCCGTCGACGAAATCTGTCCCTTGTTGGTGGTCCTCTCTGAGTCTTTGGACGTTTCTATTGTTGACAGAGATTTGTCACTATAAAATTCGTTCCAACACTATGAGTCGGCGGCTTTCTTTAGCATACGGGACCGTTTGACCCATAGATTCTCGTCCTTCGGCCCGCCTTTGAGCAACACCCGCTGTGCTGCAAAAGGATCCAAATATTCAGCCAGCATCAGTCATCAGTCAGCGTCCTTGGACCAGCAACTTAGCTGTCCGCTTTCCCCGAGCAGAGATGCCTTGGAGAAGTCTTTCGGCTGCTTTCTTGCCAAATGGTTCCAAAACCCTGGGCTCGTTCATACCGCAGACGGACGGGATCTTGCTTCTCCTTTTTTTGTGCTCCGCTTCGTACCACAGCGGCAGGAATCGACCTGTGCCTTCTTCGAAAGGTGCTGCTCTCTGCTAGGCTTAGCCATTTTCTTCTTGGTTCCCCATGCACAGCGATGCCCCGGCCCCTAAATGTTGACTGGAGTTGCATTGCTCTACGTTCAGCTCAAATCCATCTTCCACAGCCCATCGCCGAGATAGTGGCCCGCGCTCATGGCCACACCCTTTTTGGCTTTCTTCATCTCCTCCGTGCCCATCTCCAACTGTCCGATGAGACAGACCTCGCTCTTTCCCTCGGCCGCGATCGCGACGATGTCGCCTGCCTTTGCCTCGTCAGAGGCGTCGGGGAGTCTACCGCCCGCGGATGTCAAACCCGGAACCATCAGCGTCGCGCCGGACAGGACGAAGCGGATGGCGCCGCGGTCGATCCGGATCGTCTTGAAGGCCTGCGGGTACTGATGGACGATCTTGAGGTGGGGGATGATCGGGTCGTCCATGTGCTGGTAGAAGAGGGCGCGGTCGTCGAGGACGTAGAGGGAGACACGGTCGGGACTAGGGCGAGGATAGCGGGCTATGTCAGTACAGGCTTTGGCGGTGAAGCGATGAGGTGGGTAGGTGGGCATGATACGCTCTCTCTTCGGGGACGAGATGAAGTAGGCCCGTAAGGAAGACAGGCTACGTAAGAGAGATGTTTTCTTACAGCTTCACTAGATCCAATTGACTCTTCTTGGGCATAATCTCGTCAATGTGCGGCTCGAGGTTGGGGTATGTCTCGAGGACTTTGGCACGGATGCCCCGCTGCACGGAGGATTTGACCTTGGACTTGGCCCCCGCGACGAGACTATAGACATTTGTGAGTGACTCATGTATCTTTGACGACAGCGAGAGGTACGCACTCCTTCTTGAACATGGTGGGGGAACTAAGGGGTGCAATGGCGGGTTGTTGACGAGGATGTTGTCTGTACCACAGTCCGGAGCACATCAGGTACAAATGATGGCAAGACGTCTGCCAAGCGGCGCGACAGAGGGATGCTTACATAAGTCAGTACGGCGAAACGCAAGCCTTCAGCGTAGCCTTGGCCATCATCCTCACTCTGCGAGGCTGGGACATGTTCCATTTCTTCATCTACCTGCTGTGTTTCTGATTATTTTAACATGTCGTAAAAGGGGTGTGCCTCTCTAACCCTGCGCCTCGGCCTTCCGCAACTCTTGGGAATCGTCCAATACCTACGTCGGCAGTGGAAGATGAGCTTCTCAACTCGGAAAATCCCCAGTGCTCGACATACAGGGTCCTTCGAGAACAACCAAGTTTCGCGACCATGAAATAAGCGATTGGTGAGGAACGTCGACCACGTCGACTCGCCACCATGGTACGTTTTCTCCTCAATGATGTAAGGAAATTGCCGTGCCATGTTCTATCTGCCCAGGACGTCACATCCTTTCATTTCTTGCAGTGGCAAAGATACCATTTCTGCCTCTCTCCCCGTCTGCCACATCAGTCTACCCCGTCAGGCGATGCAGCGCACACCCGCTAGAATGCGCTCAATACGATGAGTGATCCGAACGCCTTCATTAGCAATGGAACGTGCTATACTGCGCGAGGGGAGAAGTTGGACGACAGCTTTATCCCATGCGGCAACGATGCTTTTGGCCATCAGGCCTGCTGTGGAGCAGGAGACAACTGTCTCGCTGACAACGCCTGCTTCGGTGTCCACGGCTCTGGCTATGGTAGCTATTTGACATACTGGGCCGGGTGTACCGACCCGAATTACGAAGACGCAACTTGTCCGAAGAAAGAAGTTGGTGAGTAAGTCCCAGCAAGCCCCCGAGTCTGATAAAAATGCGTTGACTAACTTAACCCTCCGTAGACCAGCCATGGGTTGCTCTTACACGTTGCAATGACAAAGATGATGAATGGGCCATCTGCTCCCAAGAGGGAAACCCCACGACTCTTCAGCCCGGCGCATACTGCAGCTGCACCATTGCAGCTTCGGCCACAATTGCATTCACCGACTCAAACACCCTTACCAGCATATGTTCGCTACCGAAGAGTACCGGCCAGAGCATACAATTTTTCGTCGGCCATTTCCCTAGTTCTTCACTCGCTTCTGCTTCTGGATCGGCCGCGCCATCACAGAACTCTGCTTCTACCAGTGCCAGTGCAGGCGAAAGCTCCTCTGGTGCATCGAGCTCTCCTGGGTCGCCAAGCTCCTCTGCTGCTGCGTCGAACTCAGCTACGACTACTTCCGGTCCAAATTCCACGAAAGCAACTTCTACGTCCGGCCCTACTTCGGCAAGCGCAACTTCCGCAGAAGCTAGCGGTGGATCAGAAGCTAGCAGTGGCTCAGTCACGGTCTTCACATCAAGCGGCACAACATTTACATCGACCGTCACGCCCTCGACAACCTCTCCGGCCGGCGTGGCAGGCGGGGCTGGTGGCGGTGGTAGCGGCGGCACTCATTCAGGGCTCAGCTCCGGAGCCAAAATTGGCATTGGAGTCGGCGCAGGCATCGGCGCACTAATCCTGCTCGCTTTGATATCAGCTTTCTTCCTGCTCCGCCGTAAGCGTCGACGGCGCCCCCGGTCAAAAGTCGAGAGCGGCGATCATGACAACGCTCCAGATCTCTCCAAGCCGCCCCCAGCCGATGAACCTCCCAAGTCTGAAATGGTTCCCGCCTCTGTGCCTACGCCATACGACACAAACGGGCAGATGATGTCCGAAGCTGACGGGCGGGCTGCCTGGCCTTGGACTCTGCGGAGTGAGCTTGAGGGCAGCCGTCCGACAAGGAAAGGAGAGCCTTTCCCTATCGCTGAGTTACCGGGGAGTGAGAATTTCCCGGGTGAGCATGGACCAGGCGATACTACGTTGGTCGGAGAGGCGAATCGCCAAATCGGTCCTGGATGGCAGAAAGGGTCATCGTTGAAGCTGCTGAACAGTAGCGCTGGGAAGGAGTACTTGCAGGCTTCTAGCTAGCATCTCTCTATATACTTTGTTCTGTTGTATATACGTGTACATAATGAAGGCGAGTCACGCCCAAGGAGAGGACGGTGCAACATGGTCTGGAGCATAAAAGGAGGCCAGAAGTGTTCGGCGACGGCGGCGTAACTCACCGCAGACAGGATCATCGATGATACCCAATAAGCACACATATCAAGTTATGGCTACCCTCTGCAGCATCATGGATAGAAACTGTAGTTCTACAACGCAGCATCTGTATTTCGCATCCGGTGGAAGCGGGCCAATGCTGCGGCAGTCCTTTTGGTGCCTGCTGTAGCAGCAGCCGAAGATTTAGGCGTCAGAATACTTTTCCGTTGCTCCAGCATTCGCAAGAAACCGCTACGACAAAGTGTCACTCTGCCACTATGGTCTTCCAAGACATCTACTTACCACTGGACCACGGGCTTCTCCAGATCAGCACTACTCACTTCTTGATAACAGCTTGGCCTGGGACATCTCCTGGAAGGAGCACGCAGCGAAGAGAGCATGATGGCCATCGACACCCGGCTCCCAGGGAAGATCGACCGCGACCAGCTCTCGTTGGTAACCACCAGCGGTTTGCGGCCTTCTCTGGACAGCTGATACCGTCCCGACTGCACCTGTAATGCACCCGGGGTGTCGACGAACTTTGATTTGAGAAACGATTGTAGGACCTGGGCTCCGTCAGCACGATTATGGAGCTCAATGCGGCGCAATGACCGTATATTCCGAGAAGAACTCATATGGAAGAGAAAAGCTTCTGTCGAGAGCATCTACGAGGTTGATACACGAAGCAGGCTGTGCTGGAGGTATTCTGGCCATATCATGTTGTATCTTCACCAACCGCTCGGCATTATCCATGACCGACTGGACCATTTGCTGGTGATACAAGCGTGTAGTAGCTGAGAAATCGCGAACCTTGCTGGCAAGACTTGTGGCAATCTGCTTGACATCGTCCATCACGTATTGATGCTGCTGGGACGACAGTCTAGCTGAGGCAACATCGTCCAAAACCTTCTGATGGAACGTTTGCGTTTCTCCGCGAATCGCTCGTGCGTTAGTATCGATACTGTCAATCGATGTCTGCTGATGGGACAACGAATTGACTAGCTGTTCGTGCTGAAGCTGCCGTTTCGACTCTTTGACGTCGCCGACTTTGCTACAGAAGTTTTAATGAGCACGACTGACACAATGTGGCGCGACGACAACCTTACCGTTCTCTAAGCTGCATTAGCAAGCTTATACTCAACACGTGCCCGGAGAGACATGCTCGGAGCTTGTCCACCTCGTCTTCGACAAGCACGCCCCATTTGACTGCTCTCACCGCCCTCCCGGCGAGCTTTGTCCGGTGCGTTGGATTTAGTGCCGGATCATACTTCTGGAGCTTCTCGAGAAAACCATTCAGCGGATATTGGGCGGCAAACGCCGCAGCGCGAACAGCATTGACGAACTCGGCATCGTCCTGGCTAGGCTCCAGCGCCCGTAGCTGGTCCAGTAGGCCTCTGAGATTCTCAAGTTGATTCAAAATCTGGATGTATTTGGAGGAGGCTCCGTGCGTCGTGCGGAGGGCCTTGATCACCGTCGAGATGAGTTCTAGTTATGAGCTTTGATAGTGATGTTGCGAGGAGTCGACCTTACCGATGGTAGCCACGAAATCACCTACCGAAAATCCAAAGGCAGGCGCGGCCATGTCATGATTGCTTCAGCAACTACTCCGTACACTCGCCATTCATTTGAGCGAAGGAGATTAGGCGAGGTCTTCGAAGCCGACTCTTATGTAGAGTAGGCATCAGCTACCTTAGTGATTACGCTAATCGAATTGCAGACTAGCAGAAGCCACTCGCCGTACGAGTAGCAGTTGCCTTCTTCAGCCTCACTGACCGGCTGAACCTCTCCTCTTCTCTTCTTCTCTTGCTTTCCTCTGGGCGACGTCCGGGCGGGTCATACTTTGCCTAGCCGGAGATCTGGCTAACACAATCATGATCGTATATCTTGAGGACGACGGCAGAGAACTGGTTTGTACCATTTTCAACCGAAATCTAGCGAACCGTCCGCACTAGGGGTCCTGTCAGCAAAGATTCATGGATCGGGGAAGATCCCCTCGACTAATCAATCTGCCCCCGCCACCCAGTCCGCCGCCCGAAGAGATCTATTACTCCTCTGCACGACTGTCTCGAAGTAGAGCATCTTCAGTTGCATCATTCCTGTCAAGCGTGAACAGCTCGTTGCGCGGTGATGACCACTTCGATCCCGAATATCAACGGTCCCGACCTCGCAGACCAACAGTGGACTCAGAGATATCCTATCACATTGAGGAACCTGAGCCGACTTTTCCACCATTACCTGAATCCAAAGTTTCGTCATTCGGGTACCTATGCGATATTTGTGGCTGCAAGATTGTAATCACTCGGAAACGTGATTGGCAGTGAGTAGTCCTCTTGAAGATAGCCTTCCAGCAGACCAGTTGACTTCGTTTGGGCCAGGCGTCATGTCCTAGAAGACCTCGAGCCGTATGTCTGTCTGGAACTTGTTTGCACATCAAGTGATACACTATTCGCATCTGAGCAAGCGCTTCGGCAGCACTATGAGGAAAAACACCCAAACTCGAAGATCATGACCGTGGAGCATGCTGACTGTCATTTTTGTGACGACAGCTTACCCTCTGACTTGGCACGTCGCTTCACCCATATAGCACGGCATCTTGAGGATGTTGCTTTTGCTGTTCTCCCTCAAGTCACCGAGAGCTGGGCATTCTACAGCCATCGCTCTCAGAGCAGCAAAAACCTACCAACGGCTCCATGGGTGCTTAGTCCTCCAGGCGCCAGTTCACGAGGCGATTTTTATCGCTGCCCCTGGAACCTCCGAGGTACTTATAATCGCTGCGTTGGTTCCTTCACTGAGCTGCAAGATCTTGCCCAGCATGAAGATCTTTTCCATGATGCCTGGAACCAAAAGTTCCATTGTCACCTGTGCAACGAAAGAAGAATCTTTGCGGCTGATATCGACTTGATAAGGCACATGCATATTGTGCATTCTGACGCGGTCCTATCAAGCAAGAGCATCAGTGATGTCTGTGTGTTTCGACCATTGAATGTCTTGGTCTGCGTAGCAGACGTACTGAATCGAGTGCGGATGGAACATTTTCTTGATGATCTACGATGTCACACCAAGGCTGTTGCGAGCGGCACAGATGTTCTTCGGCTGGCGGTGGGCCAAATACGATTCGACATCATCTTTGTGGACTTCAAATTGCTGTCAATGGAAGCCAGTGATTTCGTGCGTACACTTCGATCTACCAGCGGTGTTAATTCAACGACACCGCTTGTGTCTGTGAACTCGCCTGTTGATACTGATGCGGCTTTACAGCATTTCGATGCAGCCCTGGAAAGGCACGTAGATCGACAGTCTCTGGCAGATATATTTCGCTGGCATTGCTCGTGGAAGTCGCCACCTGAATATCCCACACCTTGGGAGTCATACACCTTCTATGATAACGAACCATTGCGAAGACGTCGGAATAGTTGGAGCTGATCCACTTGAAGATCATTTTGACGGAACGCTGCTGGATTCCTGGCCCATGAATGGATCTTTCCTTTATCTGGGAAGTTAGTAGGTCCATACTTCTTTCCGTTGAAGGGCAATGGCATCGACATTTCAAGAAAATATACATATTTCAGGTCTGGCTGTACGACATTCGTGGAAGAACTTCTACTCTACCTTCTTCGGCGAGAACAGTCGAAAGAAGGTATTGTCAGTACTTATGCAGGAGCATATCTTCGTATTTTGGCGATATGACAGATGAATAAGTAGTATATTCAGATGTAAACAGCAACAAAGTAAGGACCAGCATGAACTATACCCATCTAACCAGTCGTCAATTCTTAAAGCATAGGCTGAAACTCCCCACGCTTTAGATAACAGCGTCATCAGGGTCACCGCCCACTCGTCCAGATTTCTCATATTCCACAATCCCTGTAGCAGCTTCGCTCGTTTGCATGCATATGAAAATCCCTCCCCGCACGTATTTTCAGAGTAACTCGTCAATGTCAATGTTTGATCTTCAGTTCGAATGTAGCGGGGTTGAGATTGGCTGCCACGTAGCAATGTTCAAGGTATGGGCTCATAAGAACCACCAGTCTTATGAGCTGCGCGGTTGGAGAAGAGGAAGTAGAGGATCATGCCGACAAGAGGGAAAAGGAGGGTGACAAGGATCCAGAGGACCTTGTGAGAGACTGGCCGGTTGGATTGCAATACTTCGACTGTTTTGACGTACAGGATTAGTATCAGGATGCTCGCTAACGTGTCGTTGCAGGGGTGTAGAAGTAAAGAAAACAATTGGGGGAGACGAACTGATAACGATGATATCCAGGATCAGGATAATGAGCCCTGCAATGCCTCCGCCAGTACCATAACCGATATTGTTACCAGCAGTTGTAATCGGCTCGTCTGAGATGGGAGCGGCCGAGGCAATTGCGGCTAGAAAGAGCCAGATGGCAGGGACAAGTGTGTTCTGAAGCATTTTGGATGATTGTTGTTATAGATGGGCGTGGCCGAGAGTAGAAGAGTTGTCGAGGTAGGAGAAGAGAGAACTGTTTTATGAGGGAAGAGGAATTGAGGTACTGATAACGAGGTACTTGTAGAAGGGAACGGAATGGTGAGAGAGACGTGAGACAAGTTGGATACTGCAAGGTCACGCGAGTGCAAAGCTGGCTGCCTACAATTTCCCCGCATGACGTCAAGTCACGTCGACGCCGAAGCAGCTTGGCGACGAGGCGAATTTGTCCGAACAAGCCAGAGGCTTTCACTATCTCACTGGACCTTTTCATCAAAGTACTGTCAAAGCTGTGTTACTTCCAGCACCCTGACGCCATGGATTCTACGACTACTGTGTACCCTACGGTGGACGACGATATAGTTTCAACACCCCAGCACCTCGCACCATTCGCTTTCAATCAGATTTATCTTGTTTTGCAGCCCATCGGACGGTTGCAATGAAGTGCCCACCGAAGCCAGGGGTTCCTGTTGCTGCTCTTCCCAACTCAGTAACCCGGCATGCAACTGCGTTTGATTGACCGCGTGTCCTGTCTTCAAAGCGTCCAGATACGCATCGGTGAATATCTGCCAGCGAGGGAGATAGTACCCTCCTACCAGACCAGCCCATTGTCGCGATGCATAGTCTGATATCTCGCCCATCGGGCCCCAGAGCGTGACTTGGTTAATGGCGTTGTACGCGTAAAAGTCCGAGATGGTGGCGTTACCGTCCGCCCAAGAGCGGGCTGTTGAGATCCAGGCGGGCAGAGAGGATTCAGGTGACTTGCTCGGCGTGAATTGAACGAGTGTGTCGATCGTGGTCAGAAGAGAGAGCATTTGCGACTGTGTTTGGGTTGCAGCCGCGATCGAAGCATTACGCGTGGACTTGTTGGTGGTATCCAGATTGGTAAGATTCGTCTGGGCGATGAAAGCTGAGTACAAGGGATTGAACTTGTTCGCCAAAACTTGACGACTTATATCTATCAGGTCAAATTGATATGCTTTGTTGGACCACAATGCAGGGGTGGAATTACTGGCAGAGATGAACGTTTGCCACGCTTCCACCAGGGTAGAGGGATCGTAGGTGATGGTGGTTGGGTGGTGACCAGTCCTGTTGAAAAGGCCGGTTGCGTTTGGCGCAAGCTCGAATATGGACTTGGTGACCGCCTGCGCCGAGGTCAAGTTGGTGTTGTTATAAACGGTGCGAAGGAGGATCTCCCATGTTTCATATATTTGCGCTGGCAAGGGCCCGCTTGTTGTATTTGAGTCCGAATAGCGGATCGTCGCCCAGTCGTGGAAATAGGCTTCGAGATCAATGGGTGAGGCGGACCATGCTTGGTCAAGCATTCTGATACTATGTTAGTCACCGAGGACCGTCTGAATGACACAAATGGTACCTACAAGTCATACATGATTTCATTGCCTTCCTGGCCCTCCATGGTCAAGCCGAACCCGACGAGCGACGAAGAGTTGGCAAGCGCCTCGATCGGGTTGACTGTAATATTCATCACCTGTCCATAGAGCCCTTGGTTGCCGCCGTAATCATGCAATTGGCACCAGATCCAGGGTTTGCCGTAGTACGAGTCCAGACGTTGCCACTGTGGCTGGGTCTCGGAGAACAAGTCCAAGATCAACATATCAGTATGTCTCGTCACACCGCCGAGGAATGCTTCTACTCGTTCGTCGGTCCAAAATTCCGCGTTGCTGAAAAAAAGCCATCCTTGTAGCATCCAGATTGCATTCGGGTCGGCATCCTTGAGACTTTGCCAAACAGTGGAGGAAAGCTGCCTCAAGGCGTCCAAATCGCCCGAGATAGGGTCGTTTTCGTTGAATTGGTCTAGAGTGTAGATGCTGGAAATATTGCCGTAATATGTCTGCTGCTTCACGATGAAGCTCTTCTGTAACTGAGCGAACAGTGGGTCGGTGGGCTCAAGGAAAGTGTCGTTTGTATATTGGGAGCTGAAACCGTTCCATTGCGAGATATTGACAACACTGGCGTCAGGGAACACCTCTGAAAACGCTCGAGGAACGAAGCCCGTGAAGGCTGGTAGGACTGGGGTCATCCCGAGCTCGACCATGCGCTTGACAATTTTCTGCTGCAGGTCGAATTGCTTGTCGATCCACGACATGGGAAGCTGTCCGCCCCATGAGCCTTGAATATTGCCAAAGCGGTTCCATGCTTGAAAGGCCGGACCGGAAAGAAAGTCCAGGATTTCTGGTTGAGACAGTCCGACTTCATGGAACACCTCGACCAAAAGCTTCTCCATACCCACCCATGCAAGAGGTAGATTAACACCTCTGAGTGCAAGCCAGTCGAGCTCGTCCTCCCAGTCTTCCCAAGTCCAGAAGGCCGTTGTGTAGGAGAATGTGACTGCGAGCATTGAGTTAGGTGCAATTGCTTGCTCGCCGAACGCTTACCTGTATTGAAATGATATCTCCAAGGGACAACGCTTGAGCCGTTGATTGCTGTGCAGCTGGGCAAAGCTTCGACTTGCTCTAACTGACTGCCGATGAACCAGTAGAAGTCGACATGCGATCGATCGGCCAGATAGCGGCGGAGCCTACATGACGCTCAGCTTGACGAAGTTGAGAACGGTGCTTTTCTGGCGTCTTACCCTGATGCAAGAGCGATGAGCGAATTGCCTTGTATTGTCACAGTCCCCTTGTCACAGCTGACAACATAGTGATCATTCGTGACTCCAGGAGTATGATTTTCGGTGACGAGCTCAAAGGAGAAGTTGTCAACATGGTTTGGAAGGCGTCGCCTGACGAGGTCAGTCAGGCCATCGGTTGAGTGACAACTGGTCAATGCAATTAAGGAACATAGCAAAGACAAATGCAAGTACCACCGCATCCTTTTGTGATGGTAGGGCTGCTGGAAGGAGATATTCAAGCGTGGTCTATGAAGTACTGTGCCCTGATACAATCAGCGAGAACGACGATTCATGCAGACGCATAACCCAAGTTCAGTGTGGCATGGAAGCGCCTCATAATGGCTGCGTCGGCGAGGAGGGCGTAACACTTCATCAGTGCAACGATCTCGAGTGACGCTGTTGTCGATCAGGATTGTCGAAATGGCCCGCCAACTGCTGTAACGGACTTTTCCATCAGCGCGTGGACTTGAGCTACCTCATCATTGGACTGAGGATTGAGGACTGAGACCCCGACTCGCCCAAGAACGAATTCCTGGTTTACGCAACCTTGGGCTCCCGTGGCTCCTTAGGCTCATCTTAGGTAAACGGGCAAATGGGCGTATTTGTCTCTATTGACCTTGTTCATTTATCGCTTAGATGGCACTGCCAATGCTTTGTCAGTGACCGAACTTCTCCTTCGAAGAATCGGTCGCCGGGTGTCCAATCGAAAAATAGTAGTTTGTCAGACCAAATGATTGGCAAAAATGTAGTTGCCAGAAATTTTTTGTGTGGAATTTGGAGATAATTCTTCTGTCATGACCAGGGAATTACGGAGGTCTCGAGGTAGGCACCTGATGCAGTTTGTAAAGGCGGCATGCTTCTACTTGCTTGAGGCGCCAGGTACTCGCCCGTACAATATCTATACCATAGTACGGCACGTTGTTCTGCTCCTCGCTCCCGGCCTCCCTCGTTGGCGGAAATTGCGTTGATTGCTCATTATCAATCATTCTCCCAGCCAGTCTTTCATCGTCTTGCACTTCAGATGGCAAAGCCCGCAAAGGTATGAGGCTGTTGCAGTGCTCTCAGATCCATTTGAAGCTCCTCGAGAGGTGATTCGCACTCGTGGTCGCTGAATGCGCTGAGCGGAGACTCGCCGGGACATTTGCTCGGAATGATGACTCCGACACGTCCCTCATGCGGGGAGCATTGAGGCGGCCATCATGCCGTCGGCTATGTGGTTCGATGGCTGAGTGAGGTTGAAAGGACATATTTCGAGAGATTCTCGGCCTGGCAGTACTCACGAGCTCTTCTTTGACAGAGTGAGAATGAGATGCAGGATGCAGGATCTTAATGTCTTGGTGGTCGGCGCAGGCATCGGAGGCCTTCAGACGGCTCTTGCTCTCGCCAAGAACGGCCATAAAATAACGGTCTTCGAATCCGTCAAAGAATTTCTCGAGGTATGTTCATTTGGCCATCGTAGGTCCTGCAGCTTTCTCACCGTCTAGGTCGGTGCTGGGATACGGGTTCCTCCCAACTCGTCACGCCTCGGGCTGGCATGGGGCGTAGACTTCGACTCGATCAAGAAACAGATTTCTCTCGGCAATCGGTTCGTCGACTGGAAAGACAAAATCCTTCTCGACATACCGTTTGACGATGTTGAAGATCGCTATGGCGCGCCCTATTACTTTGTTCACCGGGCAGACTTAATCAATGCCCTGGCTCGGGCAGTTGACAAGCACCCAAATATCACCTTGAAAATGAACACCAAGGTGATTGAGTACGACTTCGAATCTCCCGCTCTGAAGACAGCCGACGGTCAGTGGCACAAGGGTGACCTCATAATATGCGCAGATGGCATCAAGTCTGCAGTCCGAAATGAAATCAACGGGTCTCCCATTGAGCCGGTGGACACAGGGGATGTCGCTTATCGTATCCTTGTTCCAGCAAAACCCCTTCTCGACGACCCTCAAACTCGCTCGCTTGTCACCAATCCATGGGCCGTGCATTGGATGGGTCCTGAAGGGCATGCAGTCGGCTACCCTTTACGCGACGGAGAGCTCTAGTGAGTCCCTTGCGCAAGAGTGTAGCAGCCCTGCGCACCACAACTTGCATGCTTTGTTTGTCACCGACCGAGCGTTCTGACCATATGCAGTAACATTATCATCGATATAACTCACTCGACTGACCTTGGCACACCTGTTGGCGATGATGAATGGAAATCTCAAGCCGATAACACAGAGCTTGTTCGAAGATTTGCGGATTGGTGTTATCCAGTCCGGAAGCTCTGTGGGCTGACAGGACAGTACTTGAAGTGGAAATTGGCCGACTTTGATCAACTGCAGCATTGGGTTCATCCAAGCGGAAAGGTGGCTCTGCTGGGAGATTGTTCTCACCCAATGATGCCGTACCTTGCGCAAGGAGCGGCACAAGCCACTGAAGACGCTGCTACTCTGCAAGCAGCACTTGCGCACTTCGACAATATACCCGACGCCCTTCACGCGTATGAAAGACAACGAAAACCTAGAGCAGCCTATGCCGCTCGCAACACTCGAGTCCTTCAGGAGTGGTTGCACCTCTATGATGGTCCGGAACGGGAACGACGCGACGAGCTGATGAAGCACGATAACTCACAAAATCCAATTTTTTGGGCCGACACAAACCGAAAAGACTGGCTCTTTGGGCATAATGCTTGCCAACTCGTTCAAGACGATGACATGATTATACCTGATCTACCTCCCTACCCTGCTGCCGAAGCATCCGTTTATACTGGCAAGGATCGAAAGCCAGTAGCAGAAAAGAAGCCCAACACTGCCCAAAAATGCTCCGAGAATGGATCTGTCAAGTAACAAGGCATGCAACCACTCCTGGAAAGAAGAGACAGCACATTCTGACAATACTGATGCCAGCTGTCTGCGTTTCCACGAGGAGCAATTGCTCTTCTGACGCAGAAGAGGAAGGTCAAATTCGTCAGAGTCACAGTCAAGTTGGACGGTCTGGTCAATGCCAATCAGGTCAGACAGAGCTTGACTTGCGAAGGTAGGAGTTCTCCAAGGTAGATGGCGCCACGTTATTTGTCCACAGGCTGCCGAATAGAAATGAGCCGACAACCATTCTTTGTCCATAACACCTCCCTGAATCTATCATGCGTGTATCCGCTATACTAGTCCTGACGCCGGATGATGCAGTGATGAGTTCCCAGCAGCTCATTCCACCATCGCACTTACCATTCTAACATGTGCGGAAAGCTCGACTTTCTGGAGCATTTCTCCAGAGATGGACCGTCACTTGTTCCGTCAAGAGCATCACATACAGCTTCTGCCTCCGCATCGATCTCGGCTGTTCCTGTGATTCTGATTGCCGGTTGCAGCTTCTTGTTCGCCATCTTCTCATTACGTTGGTGCTGGGCGAGGATTGCAAATAGGTCGATGGTCCGGCCTGCCCACAATTAGCTTCAGACTCGAAGCCAACCGCACTACTACTTACCTCCGCATTTGTATGCGAAATATGACCCTTTCGACACTTTGGTATCGTCGGGATTTGGCAAATGGATGAGCTCCTTCTCCAGCATCCATTTCCATTTTGCCGCTGTGTTCGTTGGGACTTGATGCCCTTCCTTTGCATAGAGGTCGCATCTGACAACAACCTCGGAGGAAGAGCACGGCAGGAGAGTCATAGTGCACCACAGATTTGGATCTAACTCCTTGACTATGCTAAGAGGTCCCAAAAGGCTGACCATCTTGGGCCGGCGGAAGCCAGAGAACCACCCAAACGGGTTCTGTGACCATTGAGCCTGGCTCGAAAAATTGTTTGCTGAGCAGAAGTGAGCGATTGAGTCGCCGGCAGCACGAACCACTTACCAAGATCTTTCCAGTTGGCCGCACATGTCACGTTCATCCCATCGATCCAGGAGCGACTTTCCATCTGAATGTGAGACTTGACATTGTTGAAAGGCAGATCCATGGTGCTGGCATCGAAGTTGACGAAGACCAAACCCTCTCTCGTGACGATCAACTTCACCTCCCACAATCCATTCTCTTCAGGCACGAAACCCGGCGATTCATCGAACTTGGGCGCTTTCACTAGCCGGCCTGCGTCGTCATATTGCCAACCGTGGTATTTGCAAGAGAATCGCGTGGAGGTTCCGCAGGGCTTCCGAACCACGGTGTAAGCGCGGTGTCTGCAGATATTGTGGAAAGCACGGAGCTTCATATCCTTGCCCAGAACGACAAAGAACGAAATCCCGGCCACTTCAAAGGCATGGTAATCTCCGACTTTGTCGAACCTGCTGCGGTGCGTGACGTACAACCACGTCTTGAGATATCAGCTCAATTGGACTCGATAGCAACTTCGACCAAACCTACTTTGCTGAAGAATGCTCTTTTTTCCAACTGGAAGACTTCGTCCTCAGACATATCAACCGGTCTCTTCAGACTTCCCTTCTCTGCCTGATCCAGCCCTGAACCTCGATGGGGGACTTTCTCTCCATCTCCTGCGGAGATGAAAGAACCAACGAAGTTCAGGAGCCGACGTCCCAAAAGATACGCTAAGCATGAGAAGACGAAAACATACACAGGGAATGGGAAGCCTTGCCACGAAATGTGGCTAGAGAGGATGCTCAATGCCATACTTCACGGGCCCTTGTTCAAGGCGTCAGGTCTGGAAGCCTACGGAACTCCTGAAGGTATGTATATGAGCCAGGAGGGGGTGCTGGCCTTATCAGAAGCAAAGCCATCGACTCTGGAGAAGACAGGCACAATGAGCCGAAGTCGAATCCCTTGGACACGCTCTTCCAATCACATTGTAAGCTTTGGGCAATTGTATGAGCCATGTCGTTCGGATCCGATGACCATGACACCTTAATTCTGGGTTATCCGCCCATGATATCAAGGCTGACGCGCCCTTTTGTGACAAAATGGAGTTGGCCGACATCTCGATTTGGCAATGCGATCCCGCAACATGTGCGGATTTTGTTCCAACATCCAATCGAGATGCCCTTCACACTTGCACCTGTCGCGTATTAGCACATGGGATTCCATGATCCTTGATCATAGGATCAACAGGTCCCTTGTGCACAGGCTATATGTCGCTAATAGGAACTGCTGCCGTGCATACGAGCACATCATCCTAGACCAGTAGGTATTTGGATACCTGTTTTGGCATTGACTGGTGCAGGTCATCTATATTAGTACCCAACACCTACTCCGTACTGTTGATGATATATCGGGCTGGCATATTTATTAGCTGGCAGTGCTACGTTGTGACGTGGTCCATCAGTGTCAAGCCAATTCAAGTCCCCAGGGAAACAACCATGGACGCCACCAAGACATTGCCAGCTTCGTGGTATACCTCACAGAATCTGTACCATCTTGAACAACGCGCCGTCTTCTACAAGTCATGGTACCTCGTCGGCGCCGTACCCCGATTCGCGGTCGACCATGAAGTCGACTTCGAGTTCGCCGGCGTCACCGTCGTCGTCCGCCACGATGGCAATGAAAACTTCACCGTGACCAGGAAATCTGATGTATGCTTCTGACCTTTCCATTCTTCATCAAATCACAGGTATGAACTTTTAGTAATTCATGGCGGGCGCACAGGGTCTCGAGCTCGACCACTACCTCACACCCACGGGCCTACTTTTCACCACCGTCGACCCCTCCGCCCCGTCTTTCTCGCAATGGTTCCCGGCATCGCTTCTCGAATTGCTCTCGGGCTACAACTTCCGCCGCCTTCCGCACCGCCGCACCATCAAATACCCCGGCCGCTTCAACTGGAAGACCATGGTCGACGGGTACCAAGAGTGTCTGCACTGCCAGTACACTCATCGGTCGTTTAGCGTGAAATACCCGCCGACGTTTTACGAGGTGCACAACCACAACACCTACAGCCGGCACATCGCTGACCCAGCGAATCCAAACGACGGCCTCTTCTTGTTCTTCTATCCCATCTGCACGCTGAACTTGTACGGCGGTGGGATGAGCAGTTTCCGTGTGTGTCCCGGCGAAAAGGTCGGCGATACGCGCATGGAGTTTGATTATTACTTTGATGATGGCAAGGGTGGGACGGAAGGGTTCGAGGAGTATTTCAAGTTCGTGCGCAAGGTTGCCCTGGAAGATTACGAGTTGTGCGAGGTCGCGCAGAGTAATCTCGAAAGAGGGATTTATTCGCAAGGGGTGTTGAATCAGAAGAAGGAGAGTGGTGTTCTTCGTAAGTGTTCCATTCATTCATTCCCCCCCCCCCCCTTCTTTGTTATATAGCCGAACCGGAAGGGATGGCATGCTGACATTATTTTGTGATGGTGCAGATTACCAGCAATTGACGAGGAAGATGGTCGTCGAGAAGTTCAAGGAGGAAGAGGCCGAGAAGAATGCGCTGACGCCAGCGAGTAGTAGAGCGAGTGTAGGGTATGTGAGTGGGCAAGACGATGTGTCGGTCTCGGCATGAGATGATGGTGGTTGATTTAGCGGTTCTATCAGACATCATGGCTGGCAGTGGCCGTGGTGCATACTATACCATACAGTGCAGATCCAACGCGGTTCTTAGAAGGTGACTTGCTCGAAGGTGTCGAAGCAGAGTCTGAGGTATTCGGATTGACGAAAGACGCTGGCCTTTACTTGCCAGCATTGTTGGCAGATAGTATCTGTCTCCATACGTTGTCGCCATGCATGTCCATTTCGCGTCGATCATTAGGTAGCATCTGTCTCCATGTGCTGTCGCTATCCGCATCCATTTCGCATCGGTGGTCGGGATGGGCCACCTGGAACGAGAAGAACCTTGCTGATCTCCAGGAGTTCGGTCACTTGTTGGTGTCTCTAAAGGCCGCCAGATCCAACTTCGTCTTTGGTATTGAACGATTGTCATCGCTGCCTCCTGCTCAGCAAGTAAGCTCAAACCTCATCTTGTGCTTGGGCATTGTCAGCCTCGTGTTCTCTCTTTCCCTCGCTCTCATCTTTTGCCTTTTCGTTCGGTCCTTCTTGCTTCTTCTTCTTCTCTTTCTCCTTCTTCTGCTCCTTCTCCTTCTCCTCTTCCTCTGCCTTGTCAATCTGCTTCAAGATAAACGCGATGGTCGCATCCCGCGCTTTATCCAATTGTCGCAACCTCTGCAACGGCATCTCACTATAGTCCATCTTCTTGGCCGGCGACCCCGGACTATTAGTACTAGCAGTCGCCTGCGTTGGTGTCCCCTGATTCGCCAGTGTACCGTCTTGTAGCATATCTGTCTCGTGTTTGGCCGTCTTCTCAGCCAACAACCCGCGCAGGACAACGATACTATTATCTCTCTCGGCGAGCTGTCGTGCAAGTCTTGTCCGTTCGGCCACAAGTTGCGCTTCTTCATCGCCGCCGCCGGCCATCTTCTGTCGCTTCGCTTGCCCCTCGGCCTGGCTCTGCCTCGCCTTCCACTTCCCAATCGCCTCTCTCGCGACATTCTCGATGTGCGTGAACCGGACCGGGCCGAGTAATATCCCGCCATACCAACGCGCCACGACGATCGTTCCTTGGACGTCGAGGTCAATCAACACCCGCTCGAGCCGCTTACCAGCATACTTTTCGCCGTCATCGTCCGAGCCAGTCGTGCATATTGTCTTGCCGACTCCAGCGGCAGCCGGACCGAGCCCCAGCGTCCGTTGATTGGAGGGCCGGCGCCATGCGACCATGCGATGGTCTGCGGCAGCAAAATCCGGATGCGTCTGGAACGCTTTGACAGTGGATGTTAGAGACTTGCTCTTGGCTGTTTGGCCGGTGGAGGATGCCTGTGGACTTGTGAGTGGGTGGAAGTGAGCGGTAAAGGTTGACGAGCGGTCCAGGATCGGAGCGGAAATGAAGACCTCGTTGCCGTTGCCGTTGCCGCTGTCGTTCTCATTCTCATTCTCATTGTCGTCCTGATGCTCTGCAAATGGACGCTTTTGAGGCGTCGACATTGGGGCCTGTTGTTTCGATTATGCACCGAGGCAGCGTTCGTGACATCTCAATTCGTGTCAAGTCCTGACAGTCCCGCGACGACCCAACAGTCCAATTCGATGCGCTTGCTAGTACATCGTTTTAGTAAGGAGCTTAGTCTGTGGACATCTACCGCGGCTTACTCGCGGACTAGAGTTGATCTAAAGATGACAGTGCAGAGTGCGACATCGAAGGAGCCAGCACGATACTAGTAATGGGCTAATTGCCGTAGAGAATTGGGCGGTTTTAGGTAATCTTCGTCGATTAGCCTAGCACACCAGACTTGGTTAAGTTAGTGTCCAGGTTAGTCATGATATATTCGTGACGAATATACCTTAATCCAACCGGGCTGCCTTACTCTTCTCCGACACGGTGCACATCGGATATACTTGATACGAGTACTACCAAGGTAACAAACTACTTGACTAGTAATGAATCACTTACTTCGAGATGTTCATCTATGAGGACAAGCATACCCTATGCTGCTACTGCCTATTTCAACATCAAGCTCAAAGTGCATCGCAGAGCTATTATGCTGTATCATTGTACATGAGTCCGAAAGTCAGCTTTTCAGCATATTTCCATCTCCTACTTCAGGCGCCTCTGTGCAACCGCTTTGTACCCTCTTTCGGCACTCGTCATGCTGGCTTTTGATCCGAATCCCAATCCGACGACTTTGGCAGCATGGGTCTGTCCGTCAAGCATGGCCCACTGGTGAGCCTGTCTTCGGTCTTAGCGCTAGTCAAAGACTCTGGGCCAGTGTGTTACCGTTACCCGTTGCTCCGTTGGCAACGGTTGGGTGCCGAAGGACGGGTGCCGAAAGATGGTCCATGTTAACGTAAAAAGCCGACTTATGACCATGAGCGCATTAGTGCTGTCATCGTCAAACCGAGACGTGGATGATTCGCATTTGATTAAGTATTAGAAACTCCAAGTCCGAGACCGCCCATTGAAATCACTCCTATGGGCTGCTGTTGTTAAGGGGTTTAGATCCCGTAAAGTCGTGTCTTCCTGAACAAAGTCCATCGTCGACATGATGTCTTCATCATCAAGCTGTCTTGCTTGAAGTGGTGGGTCCTGACTTGGTATCCACAGCGTCCGAGGTGATTGTGACAATCGTACAGACAGTCCCCGATCTTCTTCTTCCGGAGTCTACTGGGATTGGCATCAGATTCAGGAGGTTTTCAGCAGAGGCGATTTCCCTAGAAACGGCAAAACCATTCGACTTGCCCTGAACCTGACCGGGAGATGGGCTGAGCCTGTCGGCTGACTCTCCCTGGCTAATGCTCTCAGCCTTTTGGTGTGTGGAGGATTCCATTTTGCCACCTTCGGACTCTGTGGTCGGATCTGTGACACGGACATTCTGACTTGGGGCATGTGTGATCGACCGTTGATTTTCTGAAGCCTCGTGGTCTCCAGATGCCTTCTGGTGGCTTCCCAAATGCGCCCGATCGAGAGGCTCCTGACAGTCTGACCTCTCCTGGTCCGAACTCCTTCTTGGGACATGAAAGCGAACATTGCTCACCCGGTTGGAAGCTTTGATGGTCTTTGACCTGTCAAGTGGAGGTCTTCGCGAGTTGGACGCCCTCGACTTCGGCCTCTCTTGAGAAATTGTTCGCTGGCGAGTCAAGGTCGGCTTGACATTGGCCTTGCTTTTCGATGATGATGTGCGCTGATGAAGGCGCTTGGAGAGATTGCTGGCGCCACCGCCGAGCTCAAGCATATCGTTCCATGCGAATTCCTCGTCTTCGTCTGAAGCGACCGCGCTTTCATTGTTGGCATTTCCATAAAACCTGCATGCCTTTTCCATCTTTCGCTGGGGGTTCGCGGCCATCTCCTGCAATTCGCTGATGACAGCCAGCGGGCTAATCGATGCCGTGCTGGCATGGCGAGAGAATGGTGCGCGACTCGATGGACGAATGGATTTGGTGTCTCCATCGCTGCTTGGGCTTGTCATGCTGGTCTTGGACAAGTTTGAGTCCCTTCGATGTTGGCTTGCCGGGTCTTTGAAAGAGCTTGCTGCACTGGAAGTGGTTGAGGCGCAGAAGCCGCGGCTTATTTTGGTGCCGGTAGTCTCCTCCACTGAACTCGAGCTGACTGAACTCGCAATGCTACTACTCCGCGAGTGCTGCGCTTTGAAGCCGCGCCAGATGTCTGCGTCCATACCAGCAGGAGGGCAATCTCCGAGATGACTGAAAACAAAGGTTTTCATTTCATGGAGGCTGCGCTCAGCACGTTCTAGTTGCCAGTCCCTTGATGCATTCACGGCTCTTCGATATCTTCCAAAGCCTGTCATCTCTGGTAGAGGGATAGTGGGCTGGTCTTTGAGCTTCCATTCACCGTCACAACTGTAGTTTCTCTTCACTTCCTCCTTGCTCAGGTCGTATGTTGGTATGTATGGAGAGAGGTTGGGAAGTTTTTCGGCGAGAGAAGGGACGGCAGGGGTGGAGATGGACCTTGTGCATCCCAGTCTTGGAGCAGAGATGAGAGACTCGTTACGGGGTTTGCGTCGATTCGGATCGGGGCTCCCGTAGATCGATGGTGGCGCTGTCGCTGTCGCTCTCGCGATTGCTTAGCCCTAAGACCTGGAGAGTGGCAGATGGGGACGTGTACTTACAGCTCGCAGCTGGCAGGGTCGGCTCATTCGCCACCTCCTGCACGAGTCTGAGCGACTCTCCGACTGTTTTATACTGGCGCTCGAGCTTCTTCTGATCGCTCTTCTCGGCCACACCTATCCCAGATCCGCGTCAGTTTGAGAGGTAGAGGACCCAGTCGACAGAAAATGCACCCACCGCGACCGACAATCCATCTAGTTACTTGGTCCCAATTTACCATGTTTGCAATATCGTGATTGAAGGCGAGGTTGAGAGGAAGAGTAGTTGGCGTGGTGGTAGTTCGACAACGATGGCGACGGTCGCTGCTCATGAGAAGGCGGTTTTCGATAGAGGCAGGAGAGCTCGGAGAAGAGGCAGTCGATCTGATTGTCGTCGACGGCTCTGATTGCAGTGGAAAGGGTACAGTGAAGGAACATTACAAGGTAAGAAGACTCCCGAGTAATGCAGACAGTAAATGGGTGACTCGTATGCATGCCAAAGCTACAACAAACAGGCAGTGAAACGAGTGTGAATAGTATCAGGAAGAGGGTGAGGCAGTGGGTGAGGCAGAGTTTGCAATTCAACCTCACGCCCTCATCCATTGATGGTTGTTTTCGCAGTTGCAGCTCGAGCTTCGGTGGAAGACTTCCTGCCGCTTCTTCTTGTCTCTTGTCTCGACCGCTCTCTGCTCGCAGCAAGGGCGACTTCAAGTGCACAACGAAGAGATCTAGAACGTCTGCCGGCGTCTCAGAAGTCAGACAAGTCTCGCTCAGCCAGGAACGCCGACGACCATCATCATTACACCGTTGTAAAGCCCTACAGTGTTCAGTGGCTGCCAGGTGTGTGTGTCTGGCTTCACACATCTACCAGAGTCGTCGAGCAACGAACAGCAAACTTTGGACACCACCACTCTGACTGTCGGCAAGACACAGTAAAAGAAAATCATTTTAAAAAGGAAAAGACCCGAAGGTGCAATACCTATCCTCTGAGTACCCCAACAGTCTCTGATTCTACCTTACAAGCTGGTATTTGCCAGTGGGTGGAACATGTTGCACAAGTCCCGTTGCAAGGTGTGAGTCGTACGCATCTGTTCTTTGTTTGACACAAGCGAACGACATATCATACCGTCTACACCCACCTTTCGTTTACAGTTTGATTCTCAATGTTGTCATCTTTAACGACACAAAGCCATGGGATTGTGGCTGTCATCCATCAGTAACAGCAGGTCACACACCGACTTCTCATGAGACACGTACCAGACTTTGTTCAAGCAAACGCTAGGCGGCGTCGAAGGCCAACACTAACCTTGAATGTTTCCTGAGAAGATCAGAGCCGACACGTCCCTAAATCTGGCCATAGACTGGCTGATTGACCTCGGCTAACCATGTTCGAATGTTTGTCCTACCTTGCCCGTATTCGCACCGAAGATCGCCCCAGCAAAGAAGGTGACAAGACTTTTCTCTCTTTTCCGCTGAGCCACTGCGAAGAGAGTGATTCGCCTGTTGGGACATTGATATCCGCATGATCCAATCCAGGGTGTCCTGTGACAAGCCAGAAGACGATATCAATCCTACTCGTGTAGCAAGCAGAGCGACAGAGGATCCGAGGCTTCATCAGCATGTTGACCAACTGCACCTGGAAGCGTCAAGAATATGGCACCAGAATGATGAATCACCAATGGCGATCACACCTGCCGCGTCAATCCTGGTCAAAGACGCGTTCGAATCTGGGAACTGGGAGAAACCCCCAGATTCAGTGTCTAGCTACTGCAGAGCTGAAGCCATTTTGGGCAATACGGGACGCAACCAGCCGTCGGACTTCGCTTCCGACACACCCCGGTGGTCCTTTGAGCCATCCAATGCTTGGTCGACAACGATCAGCCTGGCAAACGGACAGTGACAGGTATGACAGGTGTCGAAGAATACCACGCATTCTGGAGTTTGACAGGGTTTGGGGATGTCCACTATTGCAGTTTGTCCAACAGGGAGAGACAAGAATATCAAAAGCAGACAGCAGGCCGTCGGGTCAGCTAGCACCTTTACGCCTGTCTTCGTTTTACGTCAGCTAGGTGTCACCAAGTGCCATAAATACTGGAATTAAATCGACTAAAACATGTCTCATAAGACACATGCAGAGAAGGTGTATGTATCCTCATCCTGGCCCCAAACTAGCCAGTCCGATTCAGAGGATGACTTACCGTGCACAGACCACAAGCAAACCAACTCTGCTCAGAGCACCCAAGATCGATCCTTGCACTACTGCACAAGCATGGTGGACTTCGCATCATTTCTCGATGCAAGCTGCTCTAGTGCCATGCTTCTGGCAATGGCTCTTGGATCTTGGTTTTCCCCTACCACGACGTCGCTTCTCACGCCAAATCCTTCCCAATTGGTTCCGGTCACCACATTAACAGGCCTCCTATCTGGGATACCGACATGCCACCACCGACCTCCAAATTCTTCTTCACAGATAATGCTAGGTCCGGTGACTAGATTTGCGGCTCCAGCCGTGGTTTCATCCTCTCCAACGATGGCCGTGGCTCGTTTCCGGGCTTGGAGATTGTATGACATGTCCTCACCACCGGAGACGGTTCTCTTACTGGTGAGGAGGAACAGAGGTCTCGATTCACCGAATGGGTGAGTGCCTTTTGGAAGTTCGCTTGTAGGAAGGGTCGAGTATGTAGATTTCACAACACCGTCCCAATCCACAAAATCATGTAAATGAACGGGACCCTCGGGCAGGAAATACGACAGGACGAAAGCGACCGTTGAGGGATGACCACCACCATTCCTGCGCAGATCGAGCACTAATGCGTCTGTGTCGGCAACTTGAGAGACGATATCGCCAATTGCCTTTTGGATCTTCTCGTATTCTCTGGTCACTTCTGGTGTCGTTGGTACAAAGCCGTCGATTGGCAGGAAGCCGATTCTGTGATTTTCGATTACCTCCACAGAAGGTTCACCGAGGCCGAAATTCATACCTTTGAGCCGATCGAAGAGGTCGGGTGGTTCTCTCAGGTTGTCGCCGTCTCCGCCGTGGACTCCTGGCGGGGGTTCGGCAAATATGACTCGAATATGCTGGTCGTTACTCACCGCGAGCATGTCTTCGGTCAATCGACGGGCCCAGATGTCAGATTCGGCGTAGTGATCGTATTCTCCGCTCGCTTCTCTTGCTTGAAGGTCCTTGATCATCTTGTCTCCAATGTCTGGGAAGATGTACCTCTTCCGCACGACGTCTGCGATTTCGTCCAGCACCATGTGCCTCCGCTCCGTTGTCAATGGTGCCAGAGCCTTTCTGTAGTACTCTTTTTTGTCCTCTGGAGCATATTTGATTGGGGTAGGAATAGGATGGATCTCGAATTTGGACACAGGATAGTCCTTCTTGGACAAGTCTACCTTCATGGACGCCCGAGCAAACTGTGGTCGCTTCTTCTCACGAAGCAGGACGTTCACGGTCTCCTCGCCTTCTTTGGTACGCTCCTCCGGCACTTGCTGGATCTGCATGACATGGAAACCGCCAGTGTGCGTTGAGAATACCATCTCTCGTTCGATGCCGGCGAGATCCTCGCTAGCGACACCATATGGGAAATTGTCTACATGGTAGCTGAGCAGAGCGTCACGGTCGCCGATATTGAACACTTTGAGCCAGGCGTTGAACTGCTTGGCGGCCGGAGTACGGGCTGACGCCCAAAGCATCCGATCAGGCATGATTTTTGAGACTTCGATACCGCTGAGTGGCCCTTGGAGCAGGTAGTAGAGGCTTAGAGCGACGGCAAAGGGCATAATGTATGAAACGAGAGCCATGGCTGTCGTAGGTCATGGCTGGTCTTCATGATTTGACCACAGTCCTCGAGGAATAGTCAACACAGGCCTTATATACATTGAGAAGGCCATATCTACGATTGTTGCCTGGACCCTAACGGCATTTTCCACCTACGGAAGGAGTTGTTGGTGGTCGCTGCCAGGCAGGATGCTGCTGCGGGGTGTGCATGAATAGACGGTTTCGGCATAGCTTTTCGCGCGTACTCGTATCGGGCAGACCTTCCACGACCATTCACTATCACGGTGATGCATTTTGTGTCCAGCTGTGTCAGGTCGACTTCGGCGAAGATTGTCTGATAGTCAAGAGGGTTGAGCAATCTGAAAAGCAAGTCGCTGAGCACCGATGTTATTGTGCGGTAATGACAATCGCAACGTGGGCATCACAGTTGGAATCTGTGCCAAGTATCCCGTCAGACCAGACCAATTATTAGGTTCCCTCGCTCCCAAAGTGCGACGAGCTGGAGAGAGCTCGCAATTCCAACTGGCGTTTCCTCTACCATCTTATCTATTATTGACAAGATTGAATCCAAGCATTCCTCCTCACAGGATCAAATATTTCTCTGCCTGGATAGGAACAAAATAAGTTTGTCACTGGCTGAGAGAGTCCGGAGCTAGTGCCAGCTCTCTCACCGTAATTTTCGCCGAGTCTGGCTCGGCAAAGTTGCACCAAACCAGAATTTCTGTGGCTCCTCAATAAGAAGCACGCCATTGCATCGACACGTCTCTAAAAAAAAACCTTGATAGAGCGGCTCAAGACCTGAAGAAGGAGAAGACTACTAGTTAGTGCTGCCGGGTCCTGTTCATTTTCATTCGATAGATCCAGCTTGTTCACCATCACCCCGAACGGACAAACAAATCATGGCAACGTAAGTCACACCTTCACTGCTCTGGATCAGCGTGAGGCAGGACAGCTTTGTCTCAAAGGGGGGAGAATCAATGCTGTCAGGCCAGGTGGCATTGCTATGCTTGCAAGGCTCCTTGATACCGCCCTATGTTTGGTCTATACTTTCACCCTCTGCACAAGAACAGATCGTCCTCTCATCCCTCAGTTACTCCATCCATCTTCATCACGTGTAAGAATCAACCAAGCATATACTTACAAACGTCCCAGCAACATCCACTACCACCCGACGCCGCTGACGGCCGATATTCGCGCCGGTCTCCGCCAACAAAAGGGCCTGACAATCTGGCTGACAGGTCTCTCTGCGAGCGGCAAATCCACCATTGCCGTGGCTCTCGAACAAGCCTTGCTTCGCAAACCCTACGGCAAAGCCGCCTACCGCCTGGACGGCGACAACATCCGGTTCGGTCTGAACAAGGATCTCGGCTTCTCGCCCAAAGACCGCGAGGAGAACATCCGCCGCATCGCCGAGGTGGCCAAATTGTTCGCGGACTCCTGCACGATCGCCATCACAAGCTTCATCAGCCCCTACCGCGCAGACCGAGATCTTGCGCGCAAATTGCACGAGGCCGAACGTCCCGGCGGTGAGCCCGGCTTGCCATTCGTCGAGGTCTGGATCGACGTCCCCGTGGAAGTCGCCGAGCAGCGTGACCCCAAGGGACTTTACAAGAAGGCGCGCGAGGGCAAGATCCCCGAGTTCACCGGTATCAGCGCACCGTATGAGGAGCCTTTGAAGCCCGAGATTCATATCCATTCGGATAAGACCAGCGTGGAGGACGCGGTCAAGATCATCGTTAAGTATCTTGAGGACAAGGGCTATTTGAGCGCGCCGCCGGCGGTGGACGACGAGTCTTGAACTGGTCCATTATCGTGATTTTCAGAATCCGAAGATGCCAATCTGGCTTGGTTGTGGACGGGCCATGGACGACGGACTAGAGACAAGAAAAACATCATGAGGTACAATATTAGAGAACCAATTTCGGGAATATAAAGGTATCTGGGTGCGACCCATTGATCTCCGAATATACTGTAGACAGTTCTTTGCCCATCTACAGTAGTTCATAACATCTAAATGCACTGGTGGCCACTTCGGTCTGACCCACATTTGCAACGATACTCGTTACTTCTTCCACTTCCTCTCCTTGCTGGACTCATTTTTGGGCTCATTGCGCTTATCCGTGAATGCATCGACCCCTTTGCCCCAGTCACCAGCCTTCCTTCCCCATCTCATCATTCCCCAAGCATGTTGCCAGCCAAACTTAGGTGGAGGCGAAGCCGAGTTCCGAAACGGCGACGCACCATGTCTAAACAACGAATCCGTCTTTGGATCGCTCCCGTCTGCTGCTCTCGTCGTCTTTGAGAATAAATTACTCTCCGCTGCTTGTTCTTCTCCTTCTTCCCTGGCGAGTCTTTCCGCCTCGTCCACGAATCTTTCCCACGTCCGCCCTTCTTTCCCGATGGGCCTCCACCAGCCCATGTCATCGTGCATCACGTCCACGTTCGCGACAGGCACTCTCTCATCCCACCACCTTCGTCCGCACATTTCCCAAAGCCGACTCCTTGCTCTCTTATACGCAAACCGTTCATCCTCCCCAGTCAAGGCACTCGTCGAAGTAAAATCAGGCCCCTCGCCCACTTCATGTCTTTGCACAGCTTCTCCGACACTACTCGCCCTCGAGATGCCCCTGCCGCGACCATTTCCGTAGGTCGGTCCGAAATCCGCATCTTCATCTGCCAACACGCTCCGCCTGGACGGATCATGCAGGCTCGCCGTAAAACTTGGCTCTGACTCTGGTTCAAAGACTCTTACGTTTCCCTCCGTGTACACCGACACGTTCGGCCGAAACGGCGCCGTCGAGTCCTGGTAGATCTCCGAGAACGCTTCGGACGTTATGCTATCGCTCTGCTCAGCCTCGACAGTTCCGGCTCTTCTCGCGCCCCTGGTTTCCGGGAAGAACAGTTTATCAGGCGGTGCAGCGGCCTCGATAAGTAGCCGACACCGAGCCTCGTACAAGGCGTCGAGAAGCGTGATGAATCGTCTCGCTTCGTTCTTCTGGGTCAGTGTCAGGACTGGCACGTCTGTCAGAATGAGCGTGTGGAACGTCGAGCATAGAGATACATAGTCTGCTGGGCCCAGGTATGTGGTGCACAGGGCGGAGAATGTCGATTTGAGAATCCCGTTGTAAGTGCTCGGCAGGTTCAATTGCCTTGCGTAAATAGTGAGTGTTGTGGGCGTCCACTCGTCACTCGGGTTCAGCGTGCGTAGGTCAGTCTCGAATGACGACGAGGGAGTCGAGGGGATCGCGACGTGGTAATGTGGTGGTGCATCTGCCGACAGTGCAGCGTCACCTGCTACCGCCAATGTCGAGCCCGTCGTAAGTGACCCTCCATCCCCGTCCACACCAGTCGTCGCCGCAGTTTCGCCTACGAGTCCTTCGACCCCATCTTCATCCGCATCCACACTGACAAGCTCATCATCCCCTTCTCTCCTCCAGTCCTTTTCCCCCTCCATCTCCCAGACCTCACACCTCGCCCTCAACACCTCCAGAAACAAGCCAAAATCCGTCTTCGCGCTCCTCTCGCCTTCACTCTCCCTGCCCAGTCCCCATCCAAGCCCCCAAATCCCACCTCCACCACCTCGTGACCTCTGCAACCCGCCAAACTCGATCCCCGCCGCCTTACTAAGTTCCTCGGGCATCCGATTACTACTTGCCACCAACACCCCGCCCAAGTGGAAGAAGCTCGTGAGAAAAGATCCGACAAGCTTACTCGCCGTCCGGTCCGGCATCTGGAATTCATCCAGGAATAATATCGGACTGTCACAGATGGTGTCCCTCGCCAACGACAATATCACATGCTCGTGATCGTAAATCGTTTGTTGTTGTTGGCTGCGGCCGAATAATGACCAACCAGTACTAGTACTACCAGGTCTTGTGTCGTAGTGACGTTGCCCACTCGACTCCCGTGCAGAGCGTTCCAGACGGGCAAGTTCAATGCGCCGGTAGAGGTCGAGCATGAAGGTATTAAAGTGCCAGCGGCACTTCTTGCGCGACGGGAGCGATGTGTAAAGGAGGTCGAGGAGCATGGACTTGCCCCGGCCGACTTCGCCGTAGAGCAGGAGGCCGAGCGGCGAGTCGATTTGCAGAGCCGAGGTGTGCAGCGGTGTCGTTGTCGTCAGGGCGAGCGTGGACGTGTCAAAACGGGTGGAGGACAGGAGCGTGGACAAGACACTTCCTCTCGACCTTGACGAAGACGGAGACGGAGACGGAGACGTGCGGTGTTCTGAGGACCGCGCAGACCTCTGCTGGGAGCCATGGTCTTGGTTTTGGTCCTGCTCTGCGTTCTTTCGCAAGCTGCTAGTAGCAGTGGAAGAAGGTGAAGTTGAAGGTGAAGTCGAATTCCGCCGACCAACGCTCCGGCCGATCTTCTCAAGGCGATATCGATACTCAACTTCGGGAGAGTAGTCTTTGAGTCGGAAGTAGAGCTTTTGTAACTGTAATGCCAGTCTATGCTGTGCTGGGTCGGGTTTGATTTTCTTGGTCGCGACCAGCGCGCGGTACAGGACAAGTGGGTTTGTTATACTTAGACTGAGATTCGCGGGTGGTCGGCGAGGAGATGGCATTGATTGACCTTGATATCGCTTCTATGACACCCAATCTCTCAGAGGGGTTTAATAGATCAGAGAAGAGTAGGCTTGAGAAGGGCGTCTCAATATATATTACGAGAAGAAAAGGAAAAGCCCGTCTACTACTCGTAGGGAGGAGAGCATAGAAATCCAACGTGGATTGCACAGTAAGTGCTTCCTAAATGATATCATTTCCATACTAGTATCTCAAAATGAGCGTCCAAGGCAGATATGCTCCCCCGAAATCCGTCGTCGGCCAGCAAGCTGGGCCACACATAACACTACCGCGGCGTCGTATTTTCCGCTTTCGACTGAGACTGAGACTGAGACCGATACTGCAAGTACCTGGGAGGAAAAACCAAGAAGAGCACCCGACGCTCGATTGAGACTGAGACCGAGCAAGTAAGCCGCAAAGAAATCAAGAGACAAGTGACCCGAAAAAAGAGCACACGATCGCTCGATGTGTTCTGCCAAACCATAGCAAAGAAGTTCAACTCCCACGTTGCCGCACCGCCGAGTGCTTCATCCACCAGCTCAAGATAGTCCAGACTTTGGCTCGCGTCCCTTCACTCGGAGACTCAAAGGCGTATTTGGTGTCTTTCCTAACCTGCCCTTCGCCCCAGTCTTCTTCTTCGGCCGACCGCCTCCGTCAGCCGCGCTGGGGGGCGGGGCTCCCTCGATCCATCGGGCAATAGCTGGTGCTCGAGTCTTGTCGAAGAATATGAGGCCGTTCTCAGCGAACTTGACCCGACACAGCTCTTTCATCGCTGCCTCCTCCTCCTCAAGGGAATATGTTTTCTGTGGGGCTTGCAGTCTGTCCTTGAGAATCTCCTCACTCATACGTTGCTCTTCATTCGCGGTTAGCTGGGCGATCTCTCCTCCTTTGACCGGTCGCTGCTCCAGTTTTACGACATCCTTTGGCTGCCGCGGCTTCGAATCAAGATTGTGCCCTGAAAGCGGTGCACGAGTACATAGGTCTTCCCAGCTGGCAGACAATCCAAGCCAGTTTCTCGACCGTCGCAAGATTTCGACCCAGTCAGCTTTAGCAGTAGACCGAGAAGGCAGAAGCACGGGAGAGCTATCACAGACTCCAACGATTCTGGCGGCCATGTACGCGTGGCGTAGCAGTTCCTTGGTCGAGGTCTGAATCAAGCAGTGGCACATGAGAATTAAATGAACAACGTCCGGCAGAAAAGGATGGTAAGTGACAGCTTCAGTAAACTCAGGGAGCGAGAATTCTCCCGGCTTTGCAGGGGTCCCCTGCTCGGGAGGGTATGGAGGCAGATCCGCTGGGTAGACTGCCGCGAAAAGGGTGTTCAGCGCGTAACACGGGGGTTTAGGTATTGGCGGCAAGGGCTTCTTCTTCTGTTGATCTTGCTGGTCCTCGTACTTGAGGATTGCCTCTGCAAGGCCCGAGTCGGGGGTATTATCGATGTCAAAGACTCGTTCGCTGCGGGATCGCCTGCCATTACCAAGACTGGCCGAGCTTATCCTCGCCAAAAATGCTTCCGTATGCTCCGCTGGCAGCCCGGGAGTATATTCCAGGTGTGCCAGGAAGGAGGTGTAGTCTCGCAAGGCTCGTTTAGCGTACGTCCGGACGAGTTTTCGTGCCTCGGAGCGAGCCCTTGCCTGCTTCTTCTCTTCGTCCGGGACGTTCTCTGTCTCGCCCTTCAACTGCGTATTGACTGGAGATGTGCTGCTCTGAAGCGCGGGCTCGACGTTGTCGCAAGCAAGGGTCAAGTACGCACTAGCACGGTGAAAGAACAACTGAGGTTCCAGGCTGCTGGGTTGATCCTTCTCCTCCACTTGACCTTTCGACCGATCTCGCGTGAACATCGCAGCCTCTCTGGCTAAAACCACTTCCCTCTCCTCAGTCGGGTGTGAGTGGTATAGTCTGTACACTGCTAAGCCTTCCGTACAATCTCGTGCTGCACCCTCGACGTCGTCTAGGAACATTCGAGCGACGGCCCTAGTCCTGAAGGCTGTCGCCTCGGTGGGTTTCTGCCGAACCACCTCATTCAGCGGGTCGAGACTTGTGTACTGTGCCATGGCCTGAGACGGCATCTTTTCGTGGAAGAAGTGGACGTATTGGGCATCCGGATCCTGCGGGTTCTTCTCCAAAACGTACTTGGCTACATCTTCCAACGCCGACGCTCCCTGCATCATAGCCACGCTCGAGGCGACTTCGTCCAGACTATATGCTTGGGCCAATCTCTGTGTGGCTTGCTCGCGCATGCGGTGTTTTCGTTCCCGACTCAGCTTTGCACTGCCGCCTCCTCTTGATAAACCTATACCCAGTAATTCTGCGTCTGCTCCATTCAGGATTCCATTGGTCGCATTCACGGAGGACTGTAGAGAGGAGGAGGTGGTGCCGTTGGCGGCTCGGACAGCCAGGCTCGTAGCATCCTCAATGAGTCTTTTGATCTTGACGAGGTCGAAGAATACAGCTGGGTCGATTGGCCTGGGACGTGGGGTGTGGAAGTTGTTGACTGCGAGACCTTCGAGAACATCTAGGGGCATGCTATGCCATGGCCCATGGTAGGAGGATATGTATCGCAAGTGTCTGCAGGATCCATTAGCCCTGGTGACGGTTGCGAGACTCTCAATTTGGAGTCATCGATCATGGATTTACTTGTTGCGACATATCAGCAAGGGAGGAAGCCCTTGCGAGTCCAGCGGAAGTTCGCTGGTACCGGATTCTTGTGCTGGGGAGACCTTTGGTTTGTGGGTCTCGACAATTGGTGTCTGCGTGCTGACGTCCCCATTGGGCTGCACAGCACCTTTGGGGTTCTTTTTCGCCATGATCGGTGTAGCAGACTAAAATGAGTTTGTCCCAACGTTACCTCGCAGGGTGTGTCGTCTCGGACACGAAAGGACATCGGTATGTATAAGGAGCCGAAGTTCAACCTCACGCCAATCGGAAAATATGCGACTCTTTCAACAGATACGAGTCTATAATTGAATGGAGAGTAGCTGAAGATGGAAACAGTGAATGTGGACGTATCAGGACATGGTCATCAGCGTAAACTGCTCGTACTAAGGATGGCGAGAGGTTTCCACCGAGACCTCTTGAAGCTGGACCAGGGCCTATCCGCTCCAGTGATGACCATCATATTACTTGGTTATCTCACTTATGTTCAACTCGCGCCAGCCTGACATTCATGTAGGGGCAGGGCTCGATGGGAAAATAACCTGATACCCGGTATCCAAAGCCCAAGCAATACTATTGAACTCGAGATTGACCTGGACAATTTGACTGGCCGGAGTGATGGTGAACAGGTTGAACCCCTTGATCTCATACTGCTGACTACCAATGCCAGTGAACAACCAATACCACAAGATTTTGTTGCAGCCGGCGACGTCGATCTCGAGGGTGTTGATTCCCGTCACACCAGGCGAATTGAGGACCCCTGCGATGTACAACTGTTTTCCGACGAAGGTTGCGGTGCCGAGCTGTAACCAATGTCAGTCGATGGCCGGCAGCTATCGACCGAGCAAGAATGACATGACTTACTGGCTGCCCTTCAAGAGACAAGATCGAGTCACTGATCTCAGTGTAGTTCTCGTCGAGGAGTGCTTGAGCCGTCGCATTGGCAGTTGCGACATCCGTATGAGTCAGGATTGAGGCGTACTGGCTCACGATCGACTCGGCTTCGCTTTGTGACAGACAGCCACCATCCCCACGCTTTGGGAGAGCAGAAGCTGCGACACTGGCAGCAAGCGCAAGAGGCGCCAGAATAAAGAAGAGCTTCATCTTGCGGAGATCGGGCCGGGTAGAAGTCCACGATGGTCAGAGACGATCAAAGAGCTCCGAAGTGTTCAGAGCGATTGTTGCAGCAACAAGCACAAGGGAAGTTTGCACCTTCAGGCGACCTGTGGACATTTTTATAGCTCACCAGGTCAGGCTGTAAGCTGCAAGAGACGGCCTGAGCAGTCGTGAAGAGCTACCTGGGTCGCCATATTTCCCCTCATCTCGGGAGGCGATTGTATGCAAGGCACATACAACCATGTCAGTCGTAGTGCGGGCTGCCTGACAGCCAGGCTGAGATTGGTCCAAAATACCATGTCGTTTGCCTTTTTCGCATGCGGAAGGAAATGAGCTAGGAAAGCGACGAGTGGTGATCCTCTCGTGCAGAAAGTCTAAACGCATTTTGGCAAGCGAGTGAGTCTGTTGTGCCGCTTCTTGCAACGATCCAGCGGCGTCTGGACTGATGTCGATGCAATTGCTGAGGGTTTGATGGACATACACGGCTCACTCATTGCGGCTGCGGGATGACCGCCATCATGCTCAAGCAAAGCCTAGTCGACACGAAGCAGTCTGACCAAATACTCGCATATATCAAGTGCCCGGCTGCAGTCATCCTCGAAATCAGACCATCAACCAGCGTCGAGCCAAGGCCAAGTCTGAGGTAAGCCAGAAATGACTTGCGATAAAAGCGGTTTGGAGCTGCATGAGCCGAACAAAAGGCTAGACCTGAACCGACAAATGTGGTAAGGTCGAGCACCGTGGAGGTGCCAACCCGGCTGTCAGCAAATCTTCCTTGATGTCATGACTTTTCCTTGCAGGGTGCGGAGTGAACGAATCTGGGAGGTGAAGGTGGTGAAAATGATCCACGTAATTGGACGCGGAGCGGGACATTGCAACAACGTGGCTGTGAGGTTCGTAAAGGTGTGCGGAAGATCAGCGAATAGTTCCTGTCGCTGAATCAAGCAACCTCATCAAGTTTCATTGGCAGGCCGTGATGGAGGGCAAGTCGGAGTGTGCTGCTACCAAGCAGCCCGCACCATCCGCCAACGTGCGCCTGAGCAAGGCTTGTCTTGATGACAACTCTTCTGTCGACTCAATCCCGCCATGTCTCACGGCCAGCTTCCTCATTTGCTGGATACGTGCACGTCTATGCATCTCCTTATGTATCTCGTGCGGGTGTTAGCCTGAAAGATTACCAGCTGCCTCTTCCATTGGTAGGTCCTATTACAGTGTACGCATTCGGTGTCGAATAGCGTGGTGGTTAGACGTATGATTCGAGCGCAAGAGATCCATACACTGCTTCTCTCCTCGGGAAGGTGGAACGGACGTTTCAACGTCCTGCTAATTTCATCCTGTTGAGGGAGTCTCGCAACACGGTGCCTCAATGGAAAGCCGATTGAGTATCCGGGCCGAGAGTAGAGGTTGGCGAGTCCAAATATTTATTCACGCCTCAAGCTAGGCACTTCATCCAGTCGCAAACGGATCAAAGGCTTTCTCACAGAGGTGGTGACCAGCCATGGGAGGCGATTTTGTGGAATTGGTGTTATAGAATAGATTAGCTGCACAAAGCTGAGGAGGCCGCCATAATATATTATATTGTAGTAGCAGGGAATTTCGATAGGTAAATAAGGTGACTGAAGCGGCTGGCTCAACGATGGTTTGGCTGTGCTCAATGTTTCGGCCCACAGCTTGTTTCCGAAGAAGCTTTCCGAGAGCCTTAGGGACAAATTCAATATCTCTCCGTGTCGATTGGATTGGAAACAGGGGAATGGAAGGCGAGTGTTCTCTCCTAGACCAGTCGGGAGTCGCAGAAACCATGACAGTTTGACCTGTACATATCATAACTCATCCAGCTGAGGATGCTCTTGAGTTTCCGACACGCGACAATGTCGGTAGCTAATCAAGCGCTACTTAAAAACCAAGATCATTCTATCGTCGTATGTCCGTTATTTTCACATGTGATGCTGTGCGTGAAACCTTTTTGTCTTGGATGAGGTATTTTTATACTAGGCCACCAATCGCGCCAAACACAGCTCCAGCTCCTGCAGCATAAAGCATTCCTGGACAAGCAGTTTGTCGTGGGCCGTCATTCCCGACCTGGACAAAACCGTTCGAAGATGTCGCGGTAGTGCCTGCAGAGCCGCTGCCGAAGATGCTGCATTGTGTTTCTCGCAGATTGTAGCATCCTTGAGCGCTCAGTGAGCTGCAGATGGTGCTTGCCGAGTTCAAGACTGTTCCAGTAGTTCCCTGTTGTGTTATCCCTCCCCCAAGCCCTGACACCGTCACTCCGTTGGCCCCGGCCAGCGAGGCAAAACAAGAAGTCGATTGGGCTTGACACATGGAATATGCGCTTGTGCACAAATCGGCATTGGCGTACGAGGTTGGGATGTAGATAAAGGGGTAGAAATTGTTGGGGACAGTAGAGCCGCCGCCGGCTACGCCGGTTGTAAAGGAGGTAATCCCGGGAGAAGTTGTGATGGGGGTGCTCGAGGTCGTGGTGCCTCCTAGCACAAATCCCGAAGAGCTTGATGTAACGGTCTGTGACCCAGTCGCTGTCCCAGCTATTGTACCGGTGCACTCTGCACCTGAAGGGCAGCATGCAATGTTCCCTGCATCATCCAGAGCACAATTGGCATTCTGTGGACAGCATGCAGAACCCGCCCCAAGGCTCGAGCATGAATTGTAACCTGACTGGCAGTTGTTCTGTCTCTTGACTAGGGGTCCATTGTTCGAAAGACCGAGGACGGGGTTGTGAAACGGCGAGTAGCCACCGTTATTTACGGCATGCGCTGCAGAAAAGAGGAAGGTGACGAGGATGGGCGCTATGGAGCGCATGGCAAGTACTTGTAGTCGGTCGGAGGAGCCCGAGTTCTCGCACGGACGGGAGCTGTGGGTGTTCACCTCGGAGGCATTGGCAGGGACGGTATCGCTTTCCCCGTGTGAGGTGTATCTTTGCTCTGAATTATTTCTGAACTTAATTGCTCGCACACATGAACTGGCAATCTTTAATAGCTGGCACGCACGAGAAGTGGCATGAGAAAAAAGCGTACCTGGAACCAGGAACCAAGTCACCGATGACGAGGTTGCGAACTTTTGTGCTGGCATGGCAACGGGGCAACCACAAAGTCACTACTAAGCCACACGAGACATTTTCCTCTTTTCTGCCCACCTCGGTTTTCGATTTCTCCTCTTCGGGGGCTCTCTATCAAGCTTCGTAGCCCCTCTCGAATTGATGCATTGTCGAGTTATGAGTGCAGGGCAGGGAGTCAGTCCATGCTACGTGTTGGCCTCATTATGTTCCTATGAGCAGTATGTCTTGCCCGTGTCGCTCGTCCTCTGAAATGATGATTGAAAAAGTGAATTCTGCAATTCTGAATGGCCATCAATTTGACAGCCTGAATGCGGACAAACGCTACACTTGATCTGATCATGCTGATAATGCACACTTCTCGCTCCGGCCATCATAGAAAGGAAGTTGTTACTGACGCACATTCGTTCACAGATTCTCAACCACTGCTTGCATCTCAGCTATCAATCCTTGGTGATGGACTAACTGAACCTCGCGTCGCTAGACACCAACGACGAGGTTGTCTAAGAAGGAGCTTGACAAGTAGAGGCTTTGTATTATACACACAAGCATCACCGAGTATTGAATAGCACGGAATAATCATCTATTATGGGCGTAGGCAGCGTGCTTTGAAGAGGTGGCCGCCTGGGTCAGACCGTGCCAGCTTCTCGCTTCTCGCTTCTCGCTTCTCGCGCGAGGAGGGTCCATGCACTGCGAGGACTGGTGTCGAGTGGCTTGTGCACCGCGTGCTCTTCGATACAGCACTTGTACTTGTGAAGGGGTGTTTGCAATTGCCGATTGATTTCTCACCACCCTGACTCGATAGTCGAGATAGCACCTGCAGTAGGGCGAAAAATCCAAGGAAGAAGGCTTTCTTGGCCCTTGCAAGAAGAATGCGAGAGATGCGACCTTGACAGCCGCTCCTTTCCTCTGAAGAGTCCTATTTTGGCGAGACTGGCCCTCCTGGTAGCGAGCGATCAGGAACCAAGCAGAAAATGACCAGGATTCGGCCTGTAGTTTTCACCTACACTTTTGACTTCACTTGTCACCAACGGCACGGCTCTTTCCTCTCTCAACTTCGCATGTGCTCCAAAGTCTCCTGAACGGGATTTGCAACCCGTTACTACCTAGCTCGCTAGGTATGTACTCCTCGGCCTCAGGTTCTCAACTTGCCAAAGGTTCCGCTGAGCACGAGCCAAGTCAACACCTCAGCAAAAGGCCTGAACCCCCGCCCATGTACAGTACTCTGGTCGCTTCTTACGACCCATCATTTACCGGTCTAATCGCGACCATTGACAGGGAGCATCTGGGGTCGCTTGGCAATTCTCTGGTAGATTGCCACGTTCCCGTCCCACGTTTCTTGTGGCATGCTACCATAGTATTCCAGCCTGACGAGCCCCGTGGCTTGCCGAGCCAGTCACTAGAAGGAAAGACACCCGGGCTCCCCCCGCGAGTCCAAAGACCAATCTGCAGCCATGATTGGCAGATGTTCGACGGTTCCTGGACGTCCAGAAGAACTTCCCACGGAAGGCTTGACTATAACTGATTCGTGAAACGAGCCATTGCTTCTCAGACCACCTCCGGCCACACAGGACGTGTGAAAGTTCAGCTGCGCGATGGATAGCCACAATTGTGGTCAACAACCAAGCACCAAGTTATGCTGAAGAACATGTCAAGGAGCTTCTACCGTTTCTGGGAATTGTCCGTCTATCCGGAGCCTCTCCATGTTGCCAGGATAGCATGGTAAAAGGCACATATAGGTAGGCATCCTTTTCTGGCTGGTCGTACCTCACGTCTGTCGTGAGAACTCCACACCTCTGACCTGGTGAGCGCCGCAATGACATCCAATTCATCTGTGTCACTCTCTACAACCCTCGACCCGTTGCCGCCTGTTTTACAACGTGGCCTTGTAGCGGTGGCATTCTTTGGCATTCTTTCACTTGTAACCAGCCTGGGCCTCTTCACCTTCTTGACCTATCGCTTGTGTGTCTGGAAAGTCAAGGGTCAACTCCAAGATGGCCCCAATCAGTTTCTCATCCTCATATACAACCTCGTCCTGGCAGATATTCAGCAAGCCATATCTTTCTCCTTGACGTCCGCATACCTTGCTGCGGGCAAGATCGAGGTGGGAACCACAACATGTTGGGCGAACGGCTGGTTCGTGTCAGTCGGAGACCTGGCGTCGGGCGTATTCATCTTCGCGATTGCGTTGCATACGTTCTTTGCTGTGGTCAAGTCTCGACGACCGAGTAGTAGAGTGTTTTACTCCTGCATTGGAGGCGCATGGATCTTCGTTTATGCTATGGCTATCATCGGAGTCGGGATAGACGCCAAACTCTATGTGAGAGCTGGCGCATGGGTATGTTTGTCCTTCCCCTAGGCTTGCAATGCTAAACCCATCGACAGTGCTGGATCTCACATGACCACGATGCTGAAAGATTGTGGCTGCACTACTTCTGGATTTTCATCTGCATGTTCGGCACTGTCTTCGTTTATGCACTGATATTGCTCTCAATCCAGACAAGATCCCGAATATGGTCACACCAGAGAACACCAACGCAAGAGAGCGATCCTGCTGTTCTGAAGCGAGCAGCAAAATATATGATCATATATCCTGTCGTGTACGTGATTTGTACATTGCCGCTTGCAGGCGCACGTATGGCGTCAATGCGAGGCATGGTAGTGCCGTACTGGTGGTTTTGTCTGGCAGGTTCAGCAATTACATCGTGCGGTTGGTTGGATGTTCTGCTATATGCGATGACTCGGCGCGTGCTGATTTTCAATCACGACCCGCCGCCGCCGGATGATATTGGCCTCGACACTATTGGTTGGAAACATTCTGGAGAAGGGTTCTGGGGTACGACAACTACCATCACTGGACCTGTTGGACCTCACAATGTTCGAAGACGCGACAAACGACGTGGGTTGGGCCGCCTTACACCAAAACTCCGTCACAGACACTCGGATGAGGACCATCTCGCGAATCATCCAGAAGGGGTCATAGCAGCGAAGACTACGGTGGAGATCCAGACATGCAGTGTCCCCCAATATGCCGAGTCCACGGAGCTTAGTGTGATGGACGGGGATGATAAGATTGAGCGTGCTCATAGCCGTTGAACTCTGGAACGGTTCCAAGGCTGGTGAGGCTGAGGGAAGAAAGGGGAGCCGGGAGATATGCGTCCATTAAAGTTTTCGCTTTCGGTGATGACGCCGGCTGAATTAATTAAGTGACCGTCCTCGCCGTTTCTACTACGTTATGGTGCTGCGTTCCACCTTTGACATCTTCCACCCATCTTGCATCTTCTAGGGCTGAGATAGTTGGAAGATCGTCTTTTCACTTCATACCGTTCCTCAGTCTACTGTCGCGCCACAGTTGATGACTGCCTCTACTCGTAATCCCTTCAGCCCAATTCTTCCTGCGCCCCAGCACCCTCCATGAGCAAGGTACCAGACGCCTGGGAGGACGATTGGTCCAATGCAGTAGATGTATGTCCAGCACTGTTGAAGCCCTATCTATAAAGAGAAGAACTGACAACCATGTCCAGGAACAACCGACTCCTCCCAACGACCCTACCGAAACGAAGAAGGCCTCGTCGAAAGTGAGCAAAGCCCAGCGCCGGGCGCAGCAGGCCGAGTTCAACAGACAAATCTGGACTGAAGCGTATGAAGACTCCTCCGAGAGGTACAAATGACCTGGGTGCTGACAGTCGGAACGCAGAGAAGGACCTCGAGAAACCAATTACTTCCTGGAGTCTCGCAATGTCGTACCCCTCCGTTCCGAGTTCAAACCTCCACCGATCTTGTTGTCAAGGAAAGGTCCTATAATTCACTCGCCCAAACCACACATTGGAGCACTTGCAGATCTGAACTTGAACGACAGGAATGCCGAATCCTCCGAAGACGAGGATGAGGTCAAAGAGCGTGAGTTGTCGCTTGCCGAACGCCAGGCTCAGGCCGCCAAGGACAGAGAAGAGAAGCAGCGCAAATATGAAGAACGGAGGCTGGAATTGTTTGGCCCAAACAGCAGTAGCTCCAATACCCAGCACGTCAGCAAGTCTGGTAATTCCAGTCCCTCGAGCCTAACTCCGCCGGGTTCAAGGTCAGCGACGCCAAACCGAGGACGGGGGAAAGGCGGACGACGTGGTGGTGCGGTTGCAAACACGAGAAATCAATCAAGAACATCGCAGCAACGCGAACTGTACGATTCTTCGTACCTGCCAAAGCCGGATTCGGGGTACACTCAGCGGCGTGAGAATGGAATACCTAGCTGTCGAACTCCAGAGATTCAACCCATTCGAGCGCCTCGAGGGCCGGATGGAACTGGTAGAGGTGGCTTTGGCTTCGCTCATCCTCGAAGCACGCGTGAAAACAGCGACCTTGCACTGGATGCTACGGTTGACACGACGAATATTTGAGGTTGCGTCCTCTCACTCATATGGAACCGATCCGTCGCCGGTCAAGTTGGGGCGGACGATGACGACGTGCATTGTTACCAGCAGTTCTTACAACTGAAGCCATCCTCGAGATCATTCACCATGCATAGCACGTTTCACAATACTTCCCCAAAAGGTCAGAATTCGAGAGCATGTCCGAATGATTCCATTATTCTAGGACGACCGTCCCGGGCACAAAGTCAAAGGTTCCCGGAGCTTCTCTATGGGCTTGGATCCGACTGTTTCGCGGAAGAGACGTCGAAAGAACACCCTTCCTCGGGATCGAGATATTCGACACCATGCCGTGACAGTCCGGGGAGCACATAATCGCCGCAAGGAGCGCTGTTGAGCTTGAATGCTTATGCTCGCAGAAGCAAAGACTGCACGCTTGCCAGAAGGCAGACGGCGATTCCGTAGTACGCATCAAGAGACCGTCTACGGAGTATCCGAATCTGAGCTGGCAACTTCCACCTCAGCTGACCACGGCAGCTTTCGGGGTCAGCCGACCCTTACGATGTCATGAAGAATTCTAGAAGGATCGTGGTTTGGAACTCCCCCGCAAGCGCCTGCCGCCATGAGAGCTTGGGGCTGGCTGGATTCATCGAAAAGTACGGATACAAGCTTTTGCGATGGAAGAATAGCGTACATAACGTACGAGCCGAAAGACATGGACTGTCTGCTTCTTTTCGAGAATGGTTGCCATCGGTTGCCACTAAATCGAAATCCCGAACCCACTAGGAGCAGAAGCAAAAGTGGTCGATTTGCGAGACGAGATTATCGTCGAGAACACAAAGAAACTTCAGAAGGGCGTGGGGAGGGAGCCAAATCACACGTAACATGCACACACAATACATATCTGTGCAGTATGGTCCCTCCCTCCACTCACCGTACAGTGGGGATGAAACGCACATGAGAGGCTAACTGCTTGATTCAGTCCCGTTTTACCACAGACAAACGGGCAGATAATATCACCGGGAGGAATACACTGCCTGCTACCGAGATGGGAAGGCAGCAGATTCCCATACATCTACCGTAGGTAGCGAGCAGTCCAATTCAGCACCCAATTCACAGGCCCAAAATCAAGAACAGAGACAAATCAAACATATTCTTCGGCAGGTGCCTGCACAGCTTCAGGCGAGTTATTCGCGTTCATGCTAGCAAGATAGTCCTACGAACTTGATCGTGATAACATGTAATGGGACAGCCCCGTTAGCTCATCCTACCTTAGGTCGTCGAGGGTGCACTCTGCTTCAGGAACCACACCTTCCTAAGGCACGTCCTAACCCAGGTATTGGACCTGGCACGTTCCTTCTCTGTTTCGAAAATGAAGACGTGGACAAATCAGTCGTCACCATCACTCAACATGATGTTCTTACGCCACCTCCTCAACGTTCATACTGCGCTGCGCCTGCACGGCATCTTCTTCACGCAATCGGCCCCAGACATCACCACCGAGACCAAACCCCTCCTGCGCAACGACACGCTTCGCATACGCGACCTCGGCTATCGTCTTTCTCGGTCCATGCCCGTCCTTGGCACATAATGAATCCCACCCATCCTCGCCAACGCCGCGGTATACACCATGATACGAGTTCTCATCCGAGATTGTCCGTTTAATGCGCTCGTCAGCTTCGATCGCGTCGACCCATTGACGCCAGCGCGTTCCGACTTCAGGGCGGGGAAAGTTGCGGTAATAGCCCAAGACCCGGGACAGGCGTATGATCCACGGCGCGAACATGACATCCACGAAGCCAATCTCGTTGCCGAGGAAGAATGGACCAGTCGCATGTGACGCGTTGACCAGCGAGGTAATGTTCCTCTGCAATGTGGAGATGAGCATCTCGTGCTGTGCGGCGCTCGCAGCCTGGGCTTGGGATTGGCCATCCATGTCCATATCTCCGTTCAGATCGGATCGAGGCTGATGATGTTGTGGTGGGGGGGTTAGCAGTAGACTGTAGAAACTCGGCAGGATCTTGCGGTTGATGTGGTCTGTCCAGAGTCGGCAGTGAGCCCGGAGTTGCGGATTGCCCGGCGGCAGCAGGCTCTGTCCCATGGCCAAATCTTCGAGATACTCCAGCACCACGTTGCTTTCCCAAATCGCCCAGTTGCCATGACGTAGGCACGGGATATGGCCTTCGGGATTGACTTCGAGCAATTCTGGTGGACGATAGGAGTCGATATGTGCAGGTAGAACCTCGACCATCTGGTAGGGCACGCCTCGGATCTCAAGGGCGATCCATATGCGTTGCGCGAAGGGACAGAAACTGTTGGCATAAAAGATGATTGACGAAGGAGTAGGTCTGGAGTGGTCACGCGCTGTGAAGAAAGCCATACCACTAGCGCGGAAAGTGGGAGACGTAGAGTCGCCGCTCGTCGATGTTGGAACTGTTGCTGTTGGTGTGGGGAGTTTCTACAAAAGTGTAAGTATCGTGCAGCGAAAGGACTCAAGTCCGGCGTGACGGCAGGAGCGTTAGCAACGCAGCGTGGCCGTGAGATCAGGGTCAAACTCACGCTTAATCGTTTCTTTTCCTTTTCCTCCTTCAACAACCATCTCTGCACAGTGTTTTTTTTGATGCGGTCACTCTCTTCTAGAGTGTGCTTGTGGTCATGATCCAGATTAGGGTCCAGGAATGCAGAGTCGTCTTCCTCAGCGACATCTCCTAGTCCGTCCGCATTACTTTCACGCTTGTCCTTGACAGCACCCCCTCCTGGATTGCCTCGCACGCGTTGTATGGTGAACCATCTCTTACCATCAGCACCAGGATGACCTTTCGGCAGGCGTCGGGGCAGTTCAAGAAGGCCGAAGTTCGGGTCGCTTGGATTGTTAGATGAGCCATTTCCGTTGACACCGTCCTCGAGCACAATGGTCAATTGGCTTGTGTCTCCAGTCAGCGCAGGGTCGGTTGGAATGTTGGTTGATCCGTTCATGCCGCTAATCCCGTTTCCAGACATGCCCATTTCTTGCACCTGATCAGCACCGAAGTACTCGGTCACCTTAATTTTGACATCGCACAGATCTCGTTCGCGAGCCTGCCGCTTGCGCTTCTTCTTATTCGGATCGGTGCTCTTCGGAGTGCCGCTCGGTCTGCCTTTTAAACGACAGTCCCAGTAATGGCTGACAAATGGTTTCCGCTTGTATTTTTGCGTAGACCGGTGCGAATAGACATTGTCTATGTGTGGAAAGTAGGTCAAATATTCCGCTTCTGACAATACAAGCGGCTCAGTGATGTTGAACAACTTCTCGCGCCAGGCCTCGAGGTCAGGTGGATTGGGTATCAAGGGAAAAGTGTCACTGAAGGGGTTGGCTGCGATGGCAGGGTCGACGTCTTGGTCATTGTTTGAAGTAGGTGTGTTGTACTGCGCAGGTGCGTGAAAATGTGCAGCCCACGGATCCGAGTGGACCAGGCCCTGCGGAGTAGAGTAAACTGAGCCTTGTTTCACCTGCGACCGAGTATTCTGGTTGGGTGTGCCATTAGGAAAAGCAGATGAAGCGTTCTTCCACACGTATTCATTCTGAGGCTGTGGTGGTGGGTAGTTTTCGTGGGGTGGGAGATGGTTTCTTTCAGGAGGAGCAGCGTCGTTCATCGCGATCTGTGATTCAGTGTCCACGCTTTGGGAGGCCCTAGTCGTACGCGTCGGCTGTGGACTGCGTGGCGTCTGACCATCATCATGCCGATCTTGTGTTTGTATCGGAGACGCATCATTTTGCACGTCTGCAGTCACGTCGTAGGCCGAGATGTTCGGATCGATCGAGTCCGCAGGAGCGTAACCCGCAGCGGCGGCGGCGACCTCTTGGGCAGATCGGGGAGCGTTTGACTCATCGTAGGTAGGGAATTGGAGAGGTTGTGCGGACGCAGCCAGGTTTCTCAGAGCCTCTGCATCCATGGCTGGACCCTGCGGCGAATTTGATTATCGCAGCAATGCGCAGGTACCGCGAACGCGATTCTGGTGGAGCGGCGATTGGAAACTGTGAAAAGCAGCAAGATGGAAGTGGCTTTGGGGAGAAGCGAAGGAATTAACGGCATGAAACGGACGAGTCTTGGCACGTGAGCGAGAACTTGAGGAACCTCACTGCTTGCACCATTTGCTGAGATGGACACCTTTCACACGCTGTCACTACTAATCAAAGAATTGTTTCAAGCTGTATGCTATCGATGCATGTCTTCTTCACAGAGTCCCAGAAGCCCCCACCAACACTACTTGAAACCACTCTACACCTCTGAAAGCTGAGGGTAAAAACGGCTGCAAGACCATCAACCCAGCTTCCTGTCTTTCTTCTTGTTGTATGCACTCGCGTTCTTGAATGGGAAGCCTGTCATGCGTTTATCGGCACCTGTCCGCTTCGACATCCTCCCAGGCGACGTCCCGAATATAATGCACCACAAACCAAAACTGGCCATGGCCCCGTACCCAATAGCTCCAAGCAAGTACGCAGTCTGGCGATAGTTGACCCAACGTATGTAGCAGTATACCATGCTCAATCCATGGAAGAACGTCGTGATCCGTAAGATCGGCAGGGCATAGGGCGCTTTGGGGTCGTTGTCTTCTAGACTAACAGGCTCACTGATACTTGATGATAGTGGCATTGATCCCGTAAAGAACATGACGATTAGGGCAATCAGTACAAGGGCCAGTCCCAGCGAGCGACCAAAGTAGATCTCAATATCTGGGCAGGTTTCCATGAGTTAACAGTGGCCGTACGAAAGATGCTCGACGCACTACCACCCGGATCTACACTCACCTGTTGTATGGTGCATATCAGTGCTGGCCAGCAGTGTGATAATCAGCTTTGGCATGACTATGAGTGGCACGGCCTGGATTCCCAACCAGCCTGCCGTCCCATAGGTATAAGCGTGGAAAGCCTGGCAAATACCTCGTAAGCAATGCAGACATCGTGTTGGAGGTCCAGACTTACGTCCATGTTGCCTGATCATTCAAATCTGGATGTAGCGGCCACTGAAGTGAGGAATGATGGGCTTGCAGGAGACGTCTATAGCGAATACAGTTGGTGTCAATTGTTGGGAACAGAATCTGTGTATTTGATGGGCTTGAGGGGCTTGAGAAAAGCACAGGCTTGGAGGGTGACACCGGCAGTGACGTCAGCCGCAACGGAGGTTCTTCACATTGTCACAGGAAAACACAAGCACCCACGAGGTACAGGCTCTTCATTTATCATTATTTCCCATTCAACTGGTGTGTTGCTCGCAACATACCATTGCAATAAAGGAGGGCATTCATAGCACAACTCTGATAGACCAATGCAACCCGTCAATGGGTCTGTAAATGTGCTAATAGCCCATCAAAATGCTTTCCGTCTCACCATGCGACCAGCACTCTCAACCCCAGCCATAGAAGACCTTTTTCCAGCCACCAGGCGACATCTTGTGAATGCTTCTGCGTCCAACACACTCTTAAGACGAGCCTGTCACCAAGAGATCATCCGCCATAGAGTCCGTCCATGTTTGAACCTGACCATTCTTCCTGCTCTTGCACATCGGCCAGCTCCGGTGCTTCACGAGTTCTGGAATGCATTGAAGGCCTTGTAGGTATATCCAATGAACGGCAGACTCATTTCCGCATCCTGCTCTGGCAAGACTTGCTTGGCATGCGCGCGATGCATGGCAGTGTTGTCCTCTTGTGGAATTTCATCAATCGGGAAGTAGCTGACGTCTATGTTAGATGACAATTTCGGCTCGAATGGTGCTCGGATTTTTCGCAGTTGATCCCAGACGACTCCCCGGAAGAAGGGATGCTTCTTGATCTGCGACGCTCCATCATGGGCTCCACCATCTTTGCCCAACCGGTCGTTGGCGTCACACAGGAAGCTACATTTTCTTAGCATTGAGCCTTCAAATCAAATGGCAGCTTACCTTCGGATCATGTCCTCAGCGTCACGGCCTAGGACCAGCTCGTCAGGGAAGTAAAGAGATTCGCGCCAATTGACAATCTTGCGGTACGTGTCATGGGTGTCTTCGGCACAAAACGGAGGCCAGCCAACAAGACATTCAAACATGATAGCTCCGACTGACCACCAATCGCAAAGGTATGTGTAGCCTTGGCCAAGGAAAATTTCTGGTGCAATGTAATCCGGGGTACCGACGGTCGAATAGGCCATGTGCCGTCTGGATTTTCTCCAGGTATTGACCAGTCCACGGTTGCTGACCGTCAAATTGATCTGCTCGTTGAGAGCCATCGAATTCCGGTTTCCGGACTTGTCGTTTGCATTCGACTTGAGAAGTGCTTGATAGTACGAATTTTCGTGCTGCTTACGACCACCAGTGGAGAGACCGAAATCAGTCAACTTAATGTGACCACCTCTGTCCAAGAGAATGTTGTCCGGCTTAATGTCACTATTTAAGGTTAGCATTGTATCGAAGTGACATCCCAGCGTGCATACCGATGGAGGAAACCAAGCTTGTGTACTGCCTCAATAGCCATCACGATTTCAGCCATATAGAATCTGGTGATGTCCTCTGAGAAGATCTCGTACTTGATCAACATCGTCATCAAATCACCACCAGGCAGGAATTCCATCAACATGTAGAGGAATGCCGAGTCCTGGAACGAAGCATGCAGTTTGACCAACCACGGGTTGTCTTTGGAGTCGGCAAGAATATCACGCTCTGCTCGGACATGGGCCAATTGGTCCTTTTTGAACATCTCCGACTTTATCAGAGACTTCAATGCGTAGATCTTTCCGTCGGTCTTTCGTTGCACAAGTCGAACCTCCCCGAACGCTCCTTTGCCAATGACTTTGATGGTGGAGAAGTTCTGTGGAGTTTCTCTTGTCCGGATGAATCGCAAAAAGCGTGCTTCTTTCTGTGCCAAAATGTTGATCTCCTTCTGCTTCTCAATGTCCGAGATACTGGGGTTCTTGAGGATAGCATCCAACTCCTTTGCACGACTATTTCGATCTCTTGCTCTCTCAATGTTCTCCTGGAAGAAACTGTTCACCAGCTGCTTAGCAGCAGTACCTCGCTTGACGATGTTGTCAGAGTATTTGCGTGGGTTGGGTTGTTCCTCCTCCTCTGGCTTGGGCGAGGGTCGGGGCATGGGAGGCGCAAGATGGCTCTGGTAGGGGTTCTGAGCTTGTCTGGCATCGCCAGCAGTCCGTGGGCGCGAAGTCGCAGGGGACGGCGTCCGATTGATATTGGTACTTCGTGGAGTCGCGCTCAGGTCCTGGTTCGAGAATTGTTGAATCAGACCGCTGGTCCCATCATTGTTGTTGTTGACCATGTAAGGTCTGGAATTGCCCTGGTAGGCAGGTTGAGGAGACTGAAGTCCACCCTGTGTATGATACTGGTATTGCTGCTGATACTGAGCCTGCTGTGACGGTGGGGAGAAGGTCTGGTTCATGAAATAGCCATTGTTCGTGGTAGGGTTCGGAGACAACAGACCACCGGGGTATTCCTGCTGTTGACCACCGTAGATCGGCTGCGGGAAGGTGGACGGAGTGGTGGGATACATGCGAGCATTGGCAGCGTCAAAGTTGTGCTGGGTATCGAATTGGAAGTTCAGACGCAGACGATTATTGTGGTCGGGGTCCATGATTGAAAACGCCCTGACGACAGGGAGGAGATCCTGGTCACTGACCGCGCTTCAATCGATCGTGGTGCAGATATTGTTCCAAGCCTTGCAGGAATTGCAGAGTCTGGGGAGATCGGCTGCAGTCTCTTACGCTGCGTCCTCGTGCAAGGGGGGCTTTGAGATCGGTAAAGAGCGGTGGCTCGCCTCCTCTTCCCGAAGAGTTGAGGGCAAGATCGGCCGGGATCTTTGGGACAGAACAAGAATGGACGACACCAAGGAGGAGATAACGTGAATGCCTGTCGATCTGAAGCGATTGAGAACAAGAGCACGCGAAGAAAGAACGTGTCGGAGACGGGAAAGAGCGCAGGCTCAAGAAAAAGGGTGCGCAGGGGTTGCGAGTTTTGGTGTGGAGGCAGGTCACGACGATGTAAGGGACACGATAAGTTACAGTTTAGCATCCAGGGGAGCGCCCGGGCACTAAACCGTTGGTCAACAAGCTTAACGGGACTCCCTGAAACCCCTCTCAGGAACATCCAGGCTGCTATTGGTTCTCATATTGCTACATGGCGACGCCTCCCACAGCCTTCACACGGATTCTGCCACCTCTAGGCGACCCGGTGAACACCACATGTTTTCACATTGTTACTCACATGCTCATTTGCCTCGCACAGCTTTGGCGGCAATTGGTCAATCCCGCTGTCAAAAGGAACAAAGACCATAGCACAAGCCTACCAAGACAGACCTCAAAATTTTCATAGAGCTCCCTAGACTTTGAGTGTCTGGCAAGCAACGTGCATTTGAATAATAAGGTGGTCGATTCATTTTATTACAAGCCCTTTCGATTGTCGGGCGACACTTCTGATGAGTCTGCCCTTGAAAGGAGCTCACCCCGCATTTACAGAGATTAACACGTCCCAAACGCTAAGGGCCAGCACGGGCCAGGTAACGTGCTATATTTCTGTCGGGCAAGTGTACCGACTGTGACCTTCATTTTTTTCCCGGGTGAGCTGCGCCAAACCACGATGAGCATGTGCCCATGAGCATGAACTCGAATTGTACGATTGCTTGAAGTGTAACACCATACGGTGGTACCGAGGACAAAATGGCTGAACCTTCGAAACCAGATGGTTTACCAAGTGGCGGTCAGTATGAAGCACCAAAACCACCGCCTAAACAGAACCCAGTATTCCGCATGATGGGTAAGTTGCATCAATGCTCGTCGAGTCTGCCCGTTGTTGAACCCGCCTAGGTCTGCCCAATTTTCGGTTTAGACTACCCTCGCGGAACTGGTTGATCTTCCTTACCATTACCGGTGGTTGGACTGCAGCTGTGGTCTACGACAAGCGGGAAAAGAAGAAGGTTCAGAAGAAATGGTGCGATCTCGTAGCGCACATAGCACAGGAGCCGTTGCCCGTCAATCAGTTGCGCAGAAAGCTGACAGTCTTCCTGTCCGCCCCTCCCGGAGATGGAATAAGCCCCTCGAGGACATACTTCAAGGAATATGTGAAACCAGTATTAGTCGCCGCCGCAATGGACTATGACGTGATCGAAGGTCGCAAAGAAGGTGACGTACGATACGGAACAGCAGAACAGATACGCAGACTCCGGCGGAAAAAGGGCGAGAAGGCACTTGCACAAGAGAAAGAGGAGGAGGAGGAGATGGACACGGAGAGGGCCATCGAAATGATTCGAGAGAAGATGAACGTTGGCCCAGAGCCTGGAGTTCGAGGCGATTTAGTCCTTGGAAGGCATACCTGGAAAGAATATATCCGAGGCTTGCACGAAGGCTGGCTCGGTCCTGTGGACGAACCCATTCCTCCTCCTGAGGTGGAACCGACACCATCACCCATCCACCTTCCCACCGAAGCTCGAACGGACGATCCGGCAGCGACCACGGAAAGCCCAGAACCCGAAAAGAAGGTCGAGGAAGAGAAGGAAAAGAAGAAGCCATCCCCACCCCCAGCATACATATCCACCGACAAATACTCCTCCGCTTCATTATCACCAAAGACACCTAGCACCTTTGAACCATCACAACCCATCTACCAGCAGCACCTGTTAGGTTTTCTCAAAACACCTCAAAGAATATACAACTTCCTCAACCGCCGTCATCTAGCCGATCAAATTGGTCGCGACACAGCAGCAATTGTGCTTGCAAACTACAGACCATACCATCAAGGCTCCATGTTCCCGTCAACAGCTGCGTCTGAAGACCTAGATGCTGTTCCCGTAGCGACAAAAGCGCCCGAAATCGATGCCTCAGCCTCAGCCTCAGCCTCGTTCAGTCAAGGATGGGAGCAACTGTCAGTGCTCGAAGTCGAAGAACCATACTGGCACAAGTCCATCCATAAACCTCGGAAAGAAGGTGACGATTCGGAACAGATATGGCTCAAGGATGCCGTAATCGACCCTCGAATTGGCGAGCGCATGAGGAGGTTCGAGCTCACTGCAGAAGAGGAGGAGAGAGCGCGTCGGATCGCCAGCGGATCCGAAAAGACTCGTGCTATACCCGTGCAGGACCTGAGAAGTGAGAAGGTCAAGCTCGGGAATGCTGATGAGGCATAGGCATGAGCATGCCTTTGCGTCGACCTGTACCTGTATATTCTCTTTCAACGTCTCGTCTGCTATGATGTGCAGACAAAGATACCCTGCTCGGCATAGTCGAATTGCTCTTATGTACACTGTAGTAAATGTGAATCGAAACATTCTTCACTTCTCATCCCCAGCTCTGGACCTCTCCTTGCTTTCTCGGTGTGACAACACTGCTCTCCATTGAGCCCTTTTCTGTTGTGCTTGTTCTGGCACTGTCCCAGCGGCAGGCGAGTCATTGCACTCTCGATCATGGTGCGTGCCACAGCGGTGGGCGCCTTCGCATGATCTACGGCAATGATTTTCGTCCCAGGTCACCTGTTGTTATATGGCTCAATCCGAACCCTAGTGTCCCTCCTCCTCGATCCGTCCGAGGTCGTCAAGTCCAAGAAGTCGCCCCACCCACGCATCCCATCCAGGATCTCTGTCTCACGCTTCTTGAACCGCTGGCCTTCGCGGGTGATGTACATCGGGTCACTACCGTCCTTTCGCACCTCATCACGCCCGACCAGACCATCCACATCCACATCCTCATGCCCGTGGTCGTGGTCGTGGTCGTCATTGTCAATATCATCAACGTCCCAATCTCCCCAGGCGTCCCAATCATCTTCCCCGCTTCCATCCCATCTGGTCGTCCGCGAGATCGGCTCTACCGGATCATACTCGTGAGACTCGTACACCAAACGGAAATGTAGCGGTGGCAGATTGAACTGCTTCGCAATGAGTGATTTGAGTCTGTACACAGATACTGTCGTCGGGAGTAATCTTTGGAATCTCTGCTCGTTCCGACTCGCTGCCTCGGATGCGCTGGCTGTTGAGCTCGGCATGTAGAAGTACGCATCAACAAGCCTCGAGCCCAGCGTCCCTGGCGCATAGCCATCCAGCCCAGACCTTTCTGTTGTCTTCTTGTTGTCGTCTTGATTTCGCACCTGCCTGGTCTCGTCGAGAAACCGAGCGATGATATCCTCGCGCTCATACTTTGCGCAGAGGCTCGTATACAAGGGATGACTTTTCCTCGCTTGCGCGGCTCTCTGCTCAATATTCTCTGTTCCCTCTGCGCCTGTCTCGAGTAGAGTCTTGATCTCTCGTTCGGCAACAGAAAGATAATAGATCTCGCCCTCCTCCCTATCCCTGCTCGTAATCGTCGTATAGTTCAACGACTTCAAGCCTGGTATCCTCGCGAGTGTAAGATAGTAACTCGTCGAGTCTGCGGCGCTTGTCGCTTGCCGTCTCGCCTCATCTCCCTGGCCGTCACCTTGTGTGCTTTCGTACAGCGGATTGCGGGATATCCGTAACGACGTCAAATTGGGGAACAATCCTGGCAAGGTGTCGATGAACGTGTAGCTTCCGATCTTATTGCCAGCGAGGTTGAGTGTCTCGAGATTGTCAAACCGAAGAGATTCTGGGAATCGTAGTCCGTCCAGGCCGATTTCAGATACCATATTGCCCTGTAGTGACAAGGACGTAGTATTCGGAAACAAGGATACCAGATTCGACAGCGACGACAGATCCTTGAATTTATTATTATCCAGCACGAGGGTCGTGACAGAGGGGCATCTCGGCTCTTCTTTCTTTCTGACATTGCCAAAGAAGTGCAACTCATTCAACGACAGTGTCAGCGTCTTGAGCGACGGAAAACCACATGTCCCGCCCGGTGAGAGGATCTGCACAGTCTGCTCAGGTGTGATGAGGCATTCGTTCAAGTGCAGCTCGTCGACGTTTGGAAAAGGGTTGTCCTCGCCTTCCGACAATTTGGCTTTGAAATTTCGTAGTCGCAGCCCGCTTGCCTTTAGGATTTTGAGTTTCTTCAACGGCTGGCATATATCCGCGACGTCTTGCGATGTCTCAACCACGTTCCAGCCTATATCCAGCTCGACGATGTTTGGGCACCTCTGCGCAAGCTCGGCCTGTGCTTGTCGTATCTCATCTCGCGACGCGCCACGACGCGCCACACCCGAGACCACGAGTTCGTCGACCAGAACGATCTTCAAGTCCGTCAAGACGGAGAGTTGCTTTTGGATCCGCTCAAAGCCGACTTCCTCGACGACTTTGCCGGATATTTCGATCGTTTGGTCCATGACATTGTTGGCGTTTGGCACTGTGGTCGGAGCATATTTGAATTTGATTGCCTCGAGCAGCGTCCGCTCGGGGTCGGGCTTCCTTGACGGTCGCACGAATGAAGCAGCTGTTGGAGATGACGAGAGACACTCGAACACTTGATATCCTTCGTGTGAGCCGCTGTGCTTACCACGGGTAGGATCGTCCCATTCAACGCCTAGCCATTCACCCTTCAGGGAGGGGAGAGAACCCTGGTACCGGATTGTGCAGAGCGCGCCGGCGTAGGAGCGGCGCTGGCCGATGTAGACCCCATTTGATGCCATCGTATTCGTCAAGCCGCCTCCGAAGGTGGACGGCATCTTAATAAGGGTCGCTGCCGGCTTCCCCCCCTTTAGTATTGTGCTTGCTGGTTTAGCCCGACATCATTCGACGGGTGCACAGTGTGATTATGTTCGGAAGTCAAACCTTCGGTATCGCCAGTAGGACTCGTAGGCTCTGTCGGCTGCAAAACATGTTGTTACAGGAAAATAATGCAATGCATACTCTGCAGTTCAAAGTCAAGGCCAAGCACTAACTCAGTCAATAGAGCATTGCCAAGATTTCAGCCTTATTCGCAAGGCTGTACAACAGCCTTGTCAGACTTGAATGCTGAACCCAGGCAGCCACAACACCTCGGCCTCAAGGTGGGCAGAGGCAAAAGAGGTGGAAAGTTTCTGAGAAAGGTCAGGTTCTAGAGGATTGAACCGACGGTTAGTTTAAAAACGGAAGGCCGGCGCGAAAACCTTTCTATCATACCATCTTCCCGATACTAAAGTGACGCGAGTAGCGCATAGTATCAAGTCAAAATACTTAATTAGGTGTCGAATACTGAAAGAGACCCCAGAGACGTGTTAGTCATCGCTGGGGAGGAGTTTAGTTTCCAAAATTTTATACGTTCGTTCTAGGTCTTTTGCCTTTCTAAGAATAGTGTTAAGCGGCAACGCCTCAGTAAGCCGTCTACCTAGGTATGTTGGCAAGGTGCAGTTTTGGAAAGAGCCTTGCTTCAAGATGTCGATGCTTTTCCAAGCTCCCCATAAACAATACAAGACGAAGCCCGGCTCCCAACCGTCTTTCAATGTCATACAGCCGCCTGGGTATCTTTTTATTCAACCGTTTTTCCAAAACGCCGCCTTGCTGCTGTCAAATGATTCAGAGAAACCTATGCTCCGACATCCTCAAAGGGGTCGTCATCGTCGTCGTCGTCCAAGCCAGATTTATCCATGTCAGAGTCCTCCACTTTAGGCGCCACAACACCCATCGGGTTCTGCAGCGCAGGGTCACTCTTGTATTCATCCTTGAGCTCCCATTTGCCGTTGAAGTCTCCTGCCTTCCACATGAACGCAATTTCATCCAGCGTTTGCCGTAGATATGCCTCGGGTTGATTGACCTTCGCCTTGAGATCACGTAGACCCCAAATGCGATGCTGCCTGAAGAGCTCGAGAAGTTTGTCGATGAGGACGTGTTTGTCGACACGAGCAGCGCGGTTCTCCTTCTGCGCTTGTTTTCGAGCTTGCGCATTCTAACAGGGGTTAGCTAGAGCTGAACATTAGGGATAGGACAGATTTTACCTTGATCGCATTAGCCCTGTCGCTCATGCTCATCAGCGGCACGTGCTGCCTTGACGGATCTCTCTTTGGATCGAACACGGCCGTTTCTCGTTCCGGTGGCTTGAGCATCTGTGAAGCCTGTTTGTTCTCGAGCACGAAATATTCCTCGTTCTTGACTGGCACGGCTTCGAACTCTCTTGCCACAGTCCCCGCAATGGCAGTTTGCTTTGGTATCGGGCGGCGTGCGTAAGGGACGAAACGGCCCTTGTTCTCTTTCTTCTTCAGCTCGCGCTTGTGTCTCTCGTACAGAAACGAGCGGCCTTGTCCTGGATTTCCCTCTTCGTCAATGTCGTCCCAGGCGAATGCTCGAGGCTTGTAGCCTGGTAGATCTTTCTCCGAGAAGACAAACGCTTGACCAGGTCTTCGAACTCGTAGTCTCTCAGTCGGTGGACGGTATAGATTGTATTCTTTCGGCTCGTTCGCAAATTCCGGTATTGATTTGAGCAGCATACTGACCTAAAGCGATTATCAGCTTGTCATTCTTCAAAGGTGGTGGGTGCGTTGACGTACTCTTGACGGGTTAGTCTCTGAGCCCTCAACTCGTATGGTCCCGATCTCTATTTCGTCATCGTCTTGAAGTTTGGATAGTGCTTCCCACAGTGTCTTCGGAATGTGACTAAGCCATAGTTGTTGTTGTGCTTGCGAAAAATCCAGGTCGGCAGTGTCCTCGTCGTACATTTCCTCATCCTCATCAACGTAGGGCGACGGCGTGTCGTCCATAGGTTCTGGTTTGATGTTGGCATCTGGAAGCGACTCCAGTTTCACCCTTGGGATTCCTGATCCCTGAAGGGTCGCCATCTTGAAAGAATTGGACGGTGATAATGGGCGCTGTAAAGGAAATGGGTTGTTTCCCAGGTGAATGCGGAGATCAAATACTATGACATACAAAAGAACAGTGTGGAGATGGAAATCCTTGCTTCACCGTACTACTGTGCGTGTCACAGCAACTAACGCCGTTTTGAAAGAGCCTTGGGAAGTTCAAGCAGATCTGCCGACATGGATGCAGATTGAAAGTCCACTTGCCCTGCCCTGCCCTGCACGCTTCTGTAATTACGTGGTATCTCATTACTAACATGGATCATGTATCTTGCAAGACAACAGTATTGCGTAAACACAAGATCATCACCCCGGATCCTCCCTTAACACACCACCGACCAAGATTCCATCCAGCGATACAGTAAAGCGGAAGGATGCCCCTTAAAGGAAAACCAGTGGCTGTCGCCGGAATCCATCGCCGATGTGAGAAATAGCAAGATCGACCGCCCCTTTCTGTGTAGCCATTGGATACTCCGAACGCTGAAGCATTTTCAGAGGAATCACCAGCTGCATGGCTGCCACGACGTTAATTTCTTGAAAGCCCCGTCGTGGGTTCCGCGCTGATACCGAAGAATGAAAACCTCCGGTAGGGGTCACGTCGCCCAGAGCATAAGCAGTCAATCCAATGAGTTCCGAAGCAGTCATCTGTATTATGGTCTGATATTTCGAGATTTTCAGGTTCGTGGCGGCAGACGGAGTGCGACGGCCCGTTGAGTCCTCGGTCAGGGCTCTCTGCAACTCGATCAGACCCTCATATAGCTTTACCCGAGCTGAGAGGAAGCGTATCCAATAAAGGTAAACCCAGAAACTGTAGAAGTGGTAGAGTGCATGGGAAGGATAAAGCGCCCACATAGTGCCCGCTGTTCCGCAGCGCACTCTCATGATATCCCAGCCGGGCTCGTCTTTGCTCCATCCGGTCATTGCTTCATCCAGTGACTCGCCGTAGTGGAGCAACTCTTCGGCTGCGGCCATTCTTTTGGCTAGATCGTCAGTCTTTTGCGCCAGGAGGTATCTGATCTTTTCTAGTAGTCGTGCGACGCGATGAAAGTAAGCCGTGGCTTTGTTGGCTGTCTGACTTGGTACGAATTCGTGTTCCTCCTTGAACACATCGATTTCCAGGTCGTCAAAGTCCTTGTATGTTACAGGAGTCAAAATGAACAGACGCATTTGCTAAGAGACTGTCAGGTGGCACAGGCAGAGGGATGACACCCGCTTACAATTGCTGCTTTGAAGATGCGGAATATCTTTTCCGAACGAGGACTGGTAAATTGTGACATTCCCCGAAGGTGCAAAAGATGCATGGCACCTCGAACATGAGACAAATGCGAGTGCCATTCTTCCTCTGGGGTCTTGGATTCTGCGGTTCTCCGACCATGTGTCAAAAGAACGCTGATGTGCTATTTGAGCCATCAGTAAGCTTGAATGTCCAACAACAATAATGACTGACCTCGTACAGGCCGAGTAGCCACACAGCTAGCACAGTCTCATCTTGTATGCTAGCCGCACTATCACGGATCGTCGCGTTAGTCAAGGCCAAAGCCTGACCATACTCTCGACCGGTCTGTAGCCTGACGTCTTTTCCACTGTACTGATCGGCCAATGTCAACCGTGAGACCGCCATTGCTGCTTGATGTATACTCGAAGAAGGATCGGCCTTTTGCAGCACATCCGGCAAGAAATCAAGAACGGGGAACGAATAAAGTCGGCCTGCTTGGAAGCAGAACAAGTTGAGGAAGAAGCAAAGTGACTGATGGTGGACATCATACCGCGGAGCTGGGGAAATTGAACGTTGAGCCTGTGCTGGCGTGGACGAACTCGGCTGCGAGGAGAGGCGCTCAGTCTTGATTTTGTCCTGCTCTTCTTCGTCTTCAGTATCCGACGGGCGGCTAGCACTGTAAGTTCGAACCGGCGGTAAAGTCGGGCCGACCGCATGCACTCTCCCACTAGAGTCTCGAACTGGAAACGCGAAGTCGGAACGAAACTGCAATTGGATTTGAGGATAGCCTGGACAAGTCTTGCGTGCCTGCGCGCATCGCTTACAGCCTGGCTTGCCTTCGTCGCACTGGCAGCTGGTCAACCTACAGCAAGACAAGCTGATGGAGAGATAATCACCTTGACCTTGCGCTTGCGACATAAGGCACAGCCAGTACTGGACCTGCCGATGTTGCCCATAGCAGGTTTCAACACGCGAAAGGCATACCTGCCAGTAGTGGAGGTCTGGCTAACAGGAAACGTGAGATCACGATAACGGATTTGGGGGCGAGACTATGAGGCGAGTCTTCGAAACATCCCTTAGCAAGCATGTCATGTCGGTGGTGAGTATCGCCGAGTCCAGGAGTCGCAGCCTTCGAGGCTATCAAATCCGGCACCAGCCCACTTCTCTTGTTCTATACGGTGGTGGAACCAAGAGTATGCAACCTTGCTTGGGACCGTCCCAGCGTGCTCCTTTTGAGCCAGGCGGCCGTCGAACGTCGAGGAAGACGACAGAGATTGAAAGTGCAGTCAAGAAGTAGGCAGACTATATTGAGAGGACAGGGAGATCAATCGAACCACAAATCTCCGTACTGGCCTCGAGGGTAGCAACGATGTGTAAACGGGGCGTGACGGGGTCGATCCTTGCACGCAAACGGGCCGGGGTGATCGGGCTGATACAGCGCCGTTCCAAAGGAGGGGAATCCTTGAGAACCATCATGAGCCTAGGCAAAAAGCCCAATACCTGACCAGAATCGGCCCACATCTTGGCGTGGCATTTGCAGTCGAAATCCTGGCACTATCAAGAGGCACTGGCATGAGATCCTCCAGACTTGTCAAGGGAGTTGAGGCGAAAAGAGGCGAAGAGTCATCTTATGTGGCATTTTTTGATCCAAATCCATGGAGAAGAGCATCTGCCTGCTGAAAATGTCCAGTTCGACATACCTTATTTGTCGTCTCGTTCTGTAACGCCGGCAGTGAGTTTGTACAGTATTGACCTTCTCTGGGCTTCCTTGTTTTGTGCCGCCTCTGCTTTGAGGAATGAGTTGTAGTCGTACTTCAGAAGCTTTTCACAAGGCCACAAAGAGGATGCTCTTAATAACATCTCAGTACTCCGTACATCTTGTAGAAAGCCAGCCAACGTCATGACAGAATGTTCTCGCTTAGCCTTCCTGTCAGGGAGACTCCTTTGTGGCTGCGCCATTCACCTGCCATACCAATGCGACGGGCGACCAGCGACTCGCATGCCACATGGAATTGTCCATGCCAAATCACGACCGTCTTGCTCAGCCGCTGAACATGCAATTCTCGTGTTAGGAGATTTTCGAATCAGAAGAGGCATGGCCTCGCGCTTAGTCTTGGTCATCGGTGACCTCTTCATCCCAGATCGAGCACCAGTAAGCAGTCGCTGTTGTAAACAGCAATGTCCGACAGAGAGCATACTGACCGGAAGGACAGGAAATCCCTGCAAAGGTTAGTCGTCAAGAAAGACTGCCACGAATCGTCCCTGACTTTGCTCGTCCCAGTTCCGAAAGCTCCTTACTCCAGGAAAGATTGGCCAGGTAGTCTGCCTAGGCAACCTGACAGACAAAGAGACATATGATTTCCTACGCCAGATAGCACCAGACTTGCACATTGTCAAGGGTGACTACGACACTGAGGCCTCCACTCTGGCCCTATCAAAAGTCGTCCAACATGGCAGCCTTCGGATAGGGTTCACACATGGACATACTATTATTCCGCATGGGGACGCGGATGCTCTCTTGATTGCCGCACGGCAGATGGATGTGGATGTCTTGCTGTGGGGTGGAACGCACAAATTCGAAGCATATGAATTGGAAGGGAAGTTCTTTATAAACCCAGGCAGCGCAACCGGCGCATTCAGCACAAGCTGGCAGGCAATTGACGAGGAACCGACGCCCAGCTTCTGCTTGATGGACGTATGTACCTGAGATACCCTTTGCTTGCATGTGTTATCGACTAACGCCTTGCAGATCCAAGGCGATGTACTTGTGCTGTATGTTTATCAATTACGGACCGATGCGAATGGGAACGAGAACGTCGCGGTGGAAAAGGTGTCTTTCAGAAAACCGGCATCGACAGAAGCGTGAGAGCACCATTAGCAACACCAGCAGGTATTGGTACTGTGGACGTTGGGAATGCTCCTAAGTCGACGCATGCTTTCCAGAGTCGGGCTGGGGGCGAGAAGTTGAATGCTGGCGGCCATGTGCGGTCAGCCTCGCAACATTTGCATAGGTGGATGTTTCGTGCATCAAGCACGTCGACGCAATCCACTAGCATCTGTCACGGAGATCGTATTGGCATTGCTACCTATAGCAAGGATGTTGAGTAGTGACATCGTTGGGCCTGGAAGATGTTTTGGGACGTTGGTCACAAGCAAACCGAACAAGCATTGTGCCCCTTGCTAGACGACGCCATCGAGATGGTGGCTGGAAATTGGTACAAATGAATAGGTCATTATCCGAGTGCTTGACATCAACTACCGGATACAGTTTACATAATAACATGCCTCATAAGTCGCCACTGTCTCCTTTTTGACACCGACTCCGTCCTACCAAATAATAAGACATATAGCTACCGGCGCAGAAAAGAGCCCATTTCAACAACGCAGGCTATTAACCCTGCAGGGTGATCGCAACCTCAACCGTCTTGATGTGCCTCAGGCGAGCCTCGGGCACATCATCCTCTGCGTACATCGGTCTCTTCCTCTTCTTCCTCTTTGCGCGTATGCTCTTTTTGACCTGCCCATCGTCGACGTCCACGTCATCTTCCTCATTCTCCTTGTCCTGCCCGGTATCCCCACTAGACTGCAGTCGCTCGGCCGAACTCGTTGCGACGTGGCCGATGATTTCCAACGTCGTATCTCCATACTCTATCTTTGTATCCTCTTTCTCTGCGTCCTCGCCCTCGCCCATCCTTTGCCCTTCTTCGTCCTGGGGAGGCACTTCCACAATGTCATCGACAACACTTGCACTGCCCGTCCTCACTTGCACATCACAAAGGAACTCTTTCTCCTTGTTTCGAAACCACTCGCCCACGCGCAGCGCCTGGCTCATCGCTCTCCCGCTCGCTTTAACCAGGACTTCCTCTTTGTTCTTCACAAGTGTCTCGTTTGCCGCCTTGATTCTGTGCCTCCGATCCTTCGCACCCATCGTCACACCCGCCTGCTGCATTGCGCGCTTCTCAATGTGCGCCAGGATCTTCTTGACGCGCTTGACCGCTGCCATCAGAGGCGTCTGCTGCGAGACGTAGACTACCTTCGGCACGGCCGCGCCGGCGTGGATGTTCGCGACAGGCGCATGGTTCAGCGGACGGCGCTGGACGGTGTAGTTCGGGGGCAGACGATGCAGGTTGTGGTTCTTCTTCTCGTGTTGGAGTGTGGCGAGTTCGGCAGAGAGGTTGAAGAGTTTGTCGGTGGTGCTGTTGGTGTTGGTAATTGCGCTGGTGCTGGCCACGGCGCCCGTGGCAGTCGCACTGGAAGCGTTGGAGGACATGGTGCTGGTGTAGATAGATGGCCGAGAAGAAAGTACCTTAGTGCGGATGGTTGTTGCACCTAGTCTTCTAGATTTTGCATTTCTCGGCCTCTTAGTAACCTCTAGAGCGTGCAACTTCGGCCGATTACGTTGGACGAGCAGGGGCAGGTTGTGTCGTGTCTGCGAATCTTCGAAAACATTCATCTACTCGAAGCATGCGGAGAAATATTTAGAAGTTGTGTTGCACCGTATATCTTGCCATGTAAGGGGTGAATCACAGAGACGTCTGCGCAGCTTTCTCGAAGCAAGACACGGCTTGCTGCTGGAATTGTCCATTTTATTATGTCCGACGTTGGGCACTGCAGACAGATTATGAGATATTTCAGTTCTGCATTCAGCCCCGCGGGCAGAGTTATTTGGGCGATTCAAGATATAACATTCCATCGTGCACATCATCATAAATCGTTAGAAAGTCTTATAACCAGCTTACAGTCGTCTCGCTTCCACCTCCGGGAAAAGCCGTGGTTCTCCTCGTTGGAGTGGGATCCTGACCAGCGTGTGCATAGTCGTAAGGTTGACGGGGTCCCGGCCAGACCGAGTTCGGGTTGCTCGCTGCTGCTAAATTGTGCCAGAAGGCTATGGACGCGAGTATGTCCCATGCTTTGATGATTGGCATATCTAGCCAATTGCTGGGCTGACGTGGAACCGTGAGCTGCACTCCAGGTATTGCTTCTAGGAAAAGTGGTCTGATGGTCATAGACCACACGCAATAGTTGCTCTCCGTGGCTGCTGAAGTGACTCGGATCTTGTGAAGCAGATGACCGTATCATGCACAAAAGTCTCAAACAGGGTCATTTTCATGTAATGTGGCCAACGTCGAGAATCGGCTTCGGTATTCTACCGGGGATGATGAAGGCTCCTCGTCCGATGAGAGGCTTCCTTGTTTGCAATCGAGCCGTATAGTCTCTGGTGATGAGGAATAGTCGCGCTTGTATTCGAGCTGGTCTTCGTAGGTCTTCCCTGACATGCCGCTGTCCGCTCGATGTCGGGAATGTTGTCTTCCCTCGCAGTCGCAAGGCACCTCCCGTTCAAAAAGCAACATAGTTCTGGGGGTTTTATCTCGTCGTTGGACGGGCACTATCCTTTGGCTTCCGTCCTCTATCAGGCAAACGAAACGCCTAGCTTGAACGTCAGTCCGGCCCCAACAAGCTTCTCGTAGAGTCCTTACCATCCTTTCGATCCTTTTATTCGCGAGTTCTTGCGAAGCTGTGAACTGACAAACTTGCTCACAATCTCGCCACAATGGTCGGCGTCGGTCAACCTGAATGACCTGAGGTCTTCATCCGGATCAAAATCGACGTCGTCCACATAGGTGAAACACCAGCCGTCATTCGACGCCCGAGCATGAAATCCCCAATCACAGAATACGATCTTTCGTTCTTTGAAAGATACAGGGCATTGTGGCCCCGTTGGCCGTCTCGATTGCCGTTTGAAAAGGCCAAACATGATGTCGCTGCTTGTTAAGGTCGACGTATCTTTGGAAATCTGGTTTTATGTAGAAAAGCAAAAGCATAATTTGGTAGAGATAGCATGTTCAGCGTTACCCAAGGTTGAAGAACCCTGACTTTGGACATTGAAGTCAAAGCGTCGAGTTCAAGGTCAGTGCACGAAAGCCTCCTCGTAACAGACAAACCACATCAAGGCTTTCATAAACCCATTTTGAACCAGCAGCAACCGTCAATGGTGCAGTCGACCGAGGCCAGCCGCTTTCATTAGCCGCTTGCGTTCGTCCATCCACCAGCAGCTTCAGTAGACTGAAGGTGACAGGCCAGAATGACGTTCGAGGAAAGTGCACAGACACCCAACGGCTCAGTGCTGACTTGGCACGGTGCCCGATCAACAAAACTCAATATCATCACCCGTAACTATTGGGGTAAAGAACCACACTTTGGCTCTGGTAGCATTGGTATAGCTCGCACGGTCCAATTCTACCTAAACTGAAAATGCACTCGTTAGATGTGGTACAGGCAAGTTTCCTGAGATAAGGGGCTTCTTTAAAGGTGTAAGTTTACTTACCAGATAACCCGTCAAGGCTGTCACTCTGGAAGCTAGTTATGTCGACTTAGGTCCCGGCCTTTTTGCGTCGTTGAAAGAAGATCTCCCCATTCTCGTCAACTCGAGCTGCAAGGTTCACAGTCAGCGAACATGGGCGACGTATGGCCATTATCGCGTTCCTTGTTGGAGGCACTGAGCATGCATTCCCCCCACGGTGGCCGACCAGCGTGCTGTGGTATACCTTCGCATTCAAGACCTCGGCAGGAACAATGGCTTCTCCGAGGAGATGATAGTCACGCCTCGTCTGAGTCGAGAGTATCGCTGAGCTTCGCTCAGAGACCGGCGCGAACCATCCGAAAATGTCATCATTTGTACCATTAAAATGATCTGCGTCCTTGTCTGGTACTGTAGCTCAACCCAAGGCCAAAGTGTGCAAGTTGACGTTTCATATCGCATGTGAACCTGAGCCTGTGGTCCAAGCGTGACAGGTCGGAGGTTCCTGAAGGTCCTGCTTGCGAATTGGACCATCTCTCCGCAAGTCTAGGCATAGATTCAGAAGAAATACGACGACGCTCCGACGTAATCCTCGCCATTCCAGGTTTAAATAGTGGCGACGTGAAGGTTGAAGTATTGATTATCCCGATGTTGGCGCGACAATCCATCCTAAGCGCAAGTCTCGCCCTTGGGGGAAAATTTCAAGGCTTAGAGCATGAACGGAGGTCAGGCTTACGTTTCTGAAGACGGTAATGGTCCACCAGGCTGCCATGTTGTTGCTTCCCAAAGTGACTCAGAGGTGCATGCGGCCATACTGAACCGTGTTGATATGTACTTTGGTCCATGATCAGGTCCCAGGGCGGTTTGTTGCTTGTCCATCAGCAGCAGGCAGGAACCAGTTCTCATCAACCGCGTCTGCGACAAGCCAATCGTCGAACTCGCTCGTAGGATGGGCCACTTCTGTTGTATTCATCTGTCCTGCGGTTGTTGCTGATATTGGTCCCATCACGTTAGCGGGGAAAGTTGTATCAAGTGTACGTTGGAGGCAGCTTTCGGATGAAGCACCATGATTTAAATCTCTGACTGGGTTGGGTATATCGCCTTGGGACCATGTTGAGAGGTTATGAGGAGCCTCTGGCTGTGTGATGGGGATATTCCACTCGTTCAGTAGAGCCTGAATTTCTGCAGCATTTCGACGTAGGTCAACCTCATCCAGATTAACAGTATCCTCCTGAGATGCTGTCCGCCGGGGCATCCTCTTGAGGTCTTCGACTCCGATCCCGAGATCTTTCAATATATCTGATAATGCTGCCGAATTACTGGAGGCCCCTTTCTCATATATAGTCCTTAAGGCGTTCAACAAGGCATCTCGTTGTGATTCGACGAGATGTACATATTCTGCGTTCAACGGTTTGGCATTAGGATCTCTCTTCGACTCCCTATTTGTGGTACATATGACGCCGTCGCGTTTGCATTTCTCGCAAATCCTTCCCCCAGAACAGCGTGCCTTTTTCAGGCGACATCGGTCACAACTTTTCTGGTTGCGCTTGGGATAGTAACCAGCGACATCTTCGGCGTTGGGCGAGAGGCGCTGTCGCTTCTGGTTATGAGGTGGAGAGGACGATGTGTCTGAAGCGGTAATAGACTCGACGTCTGGGCCTTTGCGATCTGGTACAATGAAGAACATGTTGGGAGTAGTGATGTGTCGGCCGGAGGGCGAGTGCAGGAAAGGGTCTCAATTCGTAAGTCGACACATCCGAGAGAAGAAGCAGCTCGACTACCAGGTGGTCAGCGGACAAACAAACGGGTTAGTAGCAACTTCTCGAGCATCCGATGTCACATCAATCCGCTGTGTAGAAGCGGACTCGTATCCCCATGGGTGCGATAAGACGTGACCTTGACCATTTGAGGCAGATTCACCCAAATGCAAACATAACACAGTACTGTCATATGTGCGATGCGATTCGACCACTCCGCGCATGTCCGCCTTCGTCATCTGATCCGCCGTTGTGGCTTTCGGAGAAACATTTATACTCCTTGAGCCAACAGTTCTGGTTGTCCTGCCCAAGGTCGTCCAATCTCCTTCCTACCACGGTTGAATTGATACCGTGACCGATGGCTGAACTCCTGTCTTCCAGCGCTCAGTCAACAAGCGCACGATAACAGAGCGGGGCGTTGCAGCATGCCGAACGCCTCATGGGAAAGTCGCGCTGCAGCGAAACGAGCAAATATTCTCAGCGCCATACCGCCAGAATGGCGAATACCAATGCATCAAATTCCGTCGGCGGAAGCATGCCCCCGTGTTACTGAATTTGCACGACAGTATCTCTCTGAAGAGGAGCTCGTCATCACTGAGACGCCCCCGATGGACACGCTGGTCCACATCCACGCCGGGATCTGGTCCGCTGAAGCGGTAGTTCGCGCTTACTGTCATCGGGCAGCCATCGCGCATCAACTCGTCAATTGCCTAACGGATGCTTTCTTCGACGTGGCGATCAGCACTGCGATGCAATTAGATCAGTATCATCGTGACACGGGCACTTTGAAGGGACCGCTCCATGGACTACCAGTAAGCTTCATGGATCGATTTCGAATCACTGGGAGGGAGACAGCAGCGGGATACGTAGCATGGCTTGGACGGATCGAGAGCGACGCCACGGAGTCTCTCATTGTTCGTCACATGCGCTCTCTCGGCGCGATACCTTTCTGCAAAACTGCTACTCCCCAAAGCATGATGTTGGCAGAGACGACAAATAACATTCATGGTAGCACGCACAATCCCCATAATCGATTACTGTCAAGTGGTGGCGCTGCAGGAGGTACGCTTCTCGACTACAGAAGGACGTTTCTTGTCTAAACTAAGGTCTACAGGAGAAGGTGCGCTGTTGGCGATGAGAGGGTCACCTGTCGGTTGGGGAACAGAATTTGCTGGCTCCACGCGAATCCCGGCGGTGTTCAACGGACTCTACAGCCTCAAAGTGTCTTGCGGTCGACTTCCAATGCGTGGGGTTGCTAATGTTCGAACCAGCCTTCCCTCTCACAATTCCACGATAGCCATGATTTCGTCGGATTTTGCCTTTCTTCAGCACATAGCCAAGCTGTCGCTGGGCATTTCCAACCGAGAAGAAGATCCTGCATGGCTCGATATGCCATGGAGACAATCCAAGATCAGGGAACTAAGCATGCGACGCCCGGTATATGCGGCGCTGGAATTTGATGGACATGTCCAACCTCAACCACCTGTCCGCCGCGCGTTGAGATCTATCATTCAGCATCTGCGAGGTGCGGGTTACCAGGTCATTGATTGGAATCCTCCAGCACACGCACTGGCAGTTGAAACCTACTTCAAAATCATCGGCGCCGATGGTGCTCAGTCGACACGGGATCAAATTAAAGCTAGTGGAGAACCACCGGTTCCAAGACTGAAGGACTGGTATTACAACCAGGCTCCACAGCCGCTCCCGTTGCCAGACTATCTAGCCCTCCTAGGATCTCAGGAAGCCTACCGCGCAGAGTACCAAACCTACTGGAAGTCGACCGCGAATCTCACCGTCAGTAAGCTCCCCGTTGATGGAGTTATTTTGCCTGTCTGTGCCAATGCAGCATGTTTCGAAAACACATTGAGCTATTTTGGTCTGTTGCAACGTCTAGCCGTCTTGTTCGCGTGCTAATAAATTCTCAGGATACAGCGCCATTGTCAATCTTCTGGACTTCACCGCAGTAACGTTTCCTGTGGGTTTGATCGACAAGGATATGGACCCGAAACTAGACTCGTTGTTCGCTCCAGTCAGCAAAGAAGACGAAGCTACACACCAATCCTGTACGTATAGGTATGTCGTCCTCATCGGTTTGCAAACTACTAACATGGTATTCTTCCTTTTGCAGATGATCCCAAGGCATTCCACGGTGCACCCGTGGGTCTACAGCTGATGTGCCGAAGAACGGAAGAAGAGACTGCCCTTAAACTTGTTGAAATGATTCTTCAAGCTCAAGCGCAGACTCCAACCTTTTTTGGTTGAAGAGACCCCGCCGACATCCCACGAACAACTCCGGCCTAACGCCAGACATACTGAACCAACGTGCGAGGGCCAGTGCTCTCCACGGGAGTACGGCGGCATATGCTTGCTCAGGCTCTGGACATCAACCGCTCAAGCCACGAAGCATGTCCTTTGTCGTTTGCTGATCAGATGTCTCTTGGGTCACGAAGTTCTATCTTGTGCCAGGCATTGGTCAGGTTGCCACGGAAGTTGTACTGTGCCTCGTATGACTCCGGCTGCGAGTTATAGCTCTCGTCGACAGCTTTAACCACGAAAGCCTTGCCAGCTTGACTTTTGGGTACAACCCATTCCCACCTCTTCCACGACCAACTTTTGCGGCCTTGAGTCACATCTGGATGAATCTTGGCTTGGGCCCAGCTTTTCCCGCCATCTGCACTGATGTCGACTCGAATGATATCTCTTCCGCCCCCACTGATGGCATACCCTTCTAGTCTTATGGCATCTTCTTCTAAGCCGTACTTCCTCAGCTCAGTGCGACCATGATGACTGGTTCGGGATATGGACCTCACAGCAGTAATGGCGCTCTGAACGGGAGTTTCTTGGATTGCTGGCGCAGACGCGAAGTCCACATCTTTTGGTGTCTGATTCGGACCGAAGCACTTATAATCGCGTTGCTGCCACTGAGATTGGCACTCCTCTTCGGCAAGAACGATCTTTTCGAGCCACTTGACACTTCTGGCGGCCGTGTGGCCTGGAACGAGCGCTCTCAACGGATAGCCGTGGTCGCGGGGCAGTGGTTTACCGCCCATCTCATATGCCAGCATCACATCACCACGTGGATCCACTGCTTTTGCAATGGGTATGGACCCGCTGTACGCCTCGGCACCAACCATATGGACATGCTTGGCTTCATCGGATTCCGAGTCGTTGACAGGGTAGCCTGCATCCTCCAGCACGTCCCTTAGTCGAACGCCAGTCCATTTTGCATTTGAGATGGCACCCACATCCCAGGGGAGGCCACTGGCAGGCTTAGCATTCTCGGACATCTGCTTCCGACGATTCCCAGTGCACTGCAGTGTCGCGGTTATGCTGAATGGCTTGAATTTGGACTTGAGGTCTGACAAGGTGTATGCCTTTTCTGTCCCATCTGGCAGCTCGACATTCAAGACGTGTGTCTTCTCGTCCGCTTGCGGCACCCACAAGTGGTTGCGGACATAAAAGACTTCATTTGGTGTGATGAAAGTATCTAAGCATGCAGGCGGAGTTTCTGCATTACAAGGCTTGCATGTGTGCTGCAGTAAGCGAAGGTCTCTCTTTGGATCCAACACAAACGGGTCCTGGATATTGTCATCCGGCACTTTTCCGTCAATCAGGTCTCTCGGATCGATATCGCCAATGAAATAGCCCTCAAGAATATCATACACATCCTGCTTTTTGTGGATAGTGAAGATATCCCAGTATGGATCGATGCAGCCGCCGACCGCTTGGAGAATTACTGGTCCTCCTGGATGAGCGGCAATCCATTCTGTGATGTCGAAGACTCTGTTCCCCTTTGTCACCCATTTTCTGTCGGAGTTCCTTCCATGTTGCTTGACCTCACTCGAGCGGATATATGTCTTGCTTCCTTCTACCGGAGGAGCCTCAGCATGCGCTACCTTCCAGTGAAACACCGAAGCGGCGATTACCGTGTTTCCGGCTATTGCAAGTCCAACGTATCCCCGTGTCGATATCGAGGGGGTTCTCTTCGGCACGCTACTGGTTGAGCTGATTGACCGAAATGGGACGAGTGAGGCTGATTTGACGACGCCACAAAATCGCCTACTGGAGTTCAACGTCATTGGCGATGAATAAGCCCAGGACGACAGGCCACACACCCGGTTGAACATTGACATTTTGAGGAAAAGTCGAGTCAACGAATATCCGGATTAGGATTGTGCAGTTCTTGGACCAGAAGCTGCGCATATATGGACCTCAGTAGGCCATGCATCCTTTGAGAGGCCAACGCTCGCAAGAATCCTGGAAACTACCCCTGCTGCCTTTGGGGAGGTTGGATTGACGCCTCTTCGTATAGAATTGGATGCGGAATCCTCAATGTGTTAGCGTGATGTATCGGATCTGACCCAAGAAGGGGAAATGAGTTCCTTATGTGTCGTGGCTCAAACCATCCGCCTCATCCAAAGCGGAAGCACGGGAATGCGGGGTGTCTTCGGTGACACAGCCTCGTCGGCGACTCGGGGACCATTTTCAATTTGGACTGACGCGGACGCAGGTGTGGACAGACCGTACCGACTCTGGACCAGATGTGTTCGACAGGTACATGACACTACGACAGTACTATCATAAGTATTTGTCCCCCAGGGATCCGACATCATCCAGATCAAGCATTGTGGGATCACTTCTTGAGGCAGCCTCGTCAAGACCAGCGTTCATTTTGATTGGTCGGCCATACTCCGCTTCAGCCTCGCCACAATTGACTTGCACTCCGGAAGAGCGGCGAATGATGTTGGCTGATCGAGGGATTTTGCTGAGCAATGCATAACCTGCTCCCTGTAAGGGGCTGTATTTTCAGCCGGTCATCTCGACGATCACGACTATACTTTACTCGCTCTTTGCCCGCCTCTTACGCGAACTGATCTAAGCCCTTCGCATGTTCAGTGCGTTTGGTGATTGGCCAAACCTTCAGCCGGTTGTTTTGGGCGCCCGGTCCACATCTACAAGTACAAACAAAGTACGCAGTATAAGAGCCCCCACGACTTATCGCCAGACCGCCCTTGAGTTTCATACAATCATCCAACTTGACCATGGACCCCTCAGGAACCTATGCCAACTGTCAAGTGGCTCGCACGACCTCCCTCCACCATGAATGTCAGGATGGAATCGCACAGACAGCCAAAGACGAACTCGAGTCGAGATTCTCCGCAAAGAACAACAAAGGATGGAGACGGGTAGTGTTGAACTTCACGCCGTCTTGGTTCGCAGCTACCATGGGCACGGGCATCACTTCAATCCTACTGCACAACCTACCGTACAATGGTGACTGGCTATACTGGCTGTCGGTCATCGTCTTCTGTCTCAACATCGGCCTGTTTTGCGTGTTTCTGTTAATCTCGACCCTTCGGTACATCATGTTCCCTGGCCTGTTCATGGCAATGATCAGACATCCGGTTCAGTCGCTGTTTGTTGGCACATTCCCTATGGGCCTTGCCACGATTATCAACATGATCGTCTTCGTGTGCGTGCCCGCATGGGGCCAGTGGGCAGCGACATTAGCCTGGACATTGTGGTGGATCGACGTGGTTATTTCAGTGGCTTCGTGCATGTGGTTGCCATTTATCATCATGCACATCCACGAAAGCGAGCTGTCCAAGATGACGGCGGTATGGCTCCTGCCTATCGTGGCCACCATCGTCGCAGCGGCTTCGGGAGGTATTGTTGCTGAAGTCCTACCAAATCCTCAACATCAGGTCTGGACGGTCGTCACATCCTACGTCCTCTGGGGCACCGGCTTCCCGCTGGCAATGGTTGTGCTGGTCATGTATTTCCACCGCCTCACCATTCATCGACTCCCTCCAAGGGAAGTGATCGTCTCCGTCTTTCTCCCGCTCGGACCTCTCGGACAAGGTAGCTTCGGCCTGATGCAGCTCGGCAAAGTATGTGCGGAAGTCTTTCCCAACACCCACAACTTCGGGCCCGAGAGCGGCAGGGTCATTTACAGCTTCAGTACTGTGTGCGCCTTGGTAATCTGGGGATATGGCTGTGTATGGCTGTTCTTTGCCCTTGCCAGTATAACGCGAAGCAAATTCCCCTTCAATATGGGCTGGTGGGGGTTCACTTTCCCGATCGGTGTCTTTGCAGTGTCGACGTGCACCCTGGCCAAGGAAATCCCGAGTCGGTTCTTCAAAGTGCTCGGCACGATATTTTCTGTTGCTGTCATCTTGTTGTGGTTGATTGTCGGACTGGCAACATTGAAAGGGGCCATCTCTGGCACGATTTTCTTCGCGCCTTGCGTTGCACAATACGAGCAGCAAGTGGTGCAGGCACAGAAGCGAAAAGAGAGGAAGCAGCGGCGGGCGTGGTACAGCAACTTGCATAAGAAGAAGGAGATGGAGGAGGGGAAGGCAAGGGAAGATGGAGATAGACAAGAAGTGTAAAAATTGGTTCTGGACTGGATGGGAGGCTGTATAAATCATAGATGATTCCCACAAGGCAATAGCATGGCGCTCACTTTCCGAACCGGTCGCGAAGCTGGCTCCCCTTCGGTTGTTTGTTCCTGGAATTGGGACCATCTGCAGTGTGCATGATCACGTATCAACAACCCTGTCGAACGACAAAAACTCCCCAATGATTGTTGGTGGTGGCGGCTACGCCGAGCATTTAGCCTTGCATGCAGCCTCGCATGCAGCCTAGTCCTTTGTGTAACGTTCTTAGACCTCTTCTTCTTGCCGTCGCTGATTCCTGCTACTGTACAAAGTAACATGTGATCACGAAATGCCGTTGACAAAGACATCTTGCCGAACACGAGGTGGCCCAGAACCGCCCAGATGGAGTCAGTGCAGCACATGCCGAGGCAAGCTGAGTGCACACCAAGAAACAATACGGAGTACCGAAGACTTCGGATCAGCATCACAGCCAGTGAGGAGCTGAAGCAAGTCGACGGGCCTCGCTAAATAGCCTTCGAGTACGGAGAGTGTCCCCACGAAGAGCACGTTTTCAAGAAGTCACTTGTAGAACCAGCAGACAAAGTTTACCTAGGCTCCTTACCCGTCCTCCGGATCCAGGATCTCATGGCTTACCTGCTAAGTTAGTTGGGTTGAAGGTGAAGCTGAACGCCGATGTTCCCACTTCCCAGAGCGGGGCATCATGGAGTCATGGGGTACTTAAAGGTGGTGAAAATAACACTACCTCAACGGGATCGATCTCTGTTTCTTTGAGAGGTCAAGGTCTCATTCTATCCCTGTACTCGTATTCATCAGCGACTTGCCGTCAGATCCAACTGACAGTGTGCAGTGCTAGCCAGAAGCTGTGCGCATGCTACAGACCTGAGAAGAGAAAGCCAGAGAGGGGAGCGACAACATGGCGACCACTCTCGATTGTCTGATGGACTACCTCTTTCCCGTACCCTTCCTTACCATCAGTATTTTCTGTGAGTTCCATTTGCTCTCCTCGTCCCTCCAACGCACTTATGGGTTCTCCCACAGCCCAGACAAGTGTAACGCCCTCCAGGACTTGCCAACCTCACTGATTTTCCTCCATGTTAATGTGGTTTTTCGCCGTCAGATTTCGCCCTCGCCTTCCTCAAACACCCACTCCTCCCGCTCACCAACTTCGAATCCTTCAAGGAAAAGGCGTTCGCGGGTCTGTGGCTCCAATTCGGCGCGGCCTTCGCTGAGCAAACCCCCCCTCAGATATCGACCCTCCTCGCGCAGAGCAAAGGCGTGATTCTCGACGTCGGGCCCGGTTCGGGCGAACAGCTCCACCGCTTCAGTCAACCCCAAAACATCACCGCCATTTACGGCGTCGAGCCGGGCGTCACGTTGCACGACAAACTCCGTGAATCGGCTGGAGAGGTCGGCCTGGGCGACAAGTACCATGTCATCTCGGCCACGGCAGATCTGGACTCGATCCTGCCGGGCCTTGTCAAGGCCGGTCTACTGAAATCGAATGAGGTGTCGGCACCCGAGGATTTGCAATTGTTCGACGAGATTGTCTGCATCCGCGTCTTGTGTGGCGTGCCCGATCTACGGTCCAGTGTGGCCGATCTATACGGCCTACTCAAGCCCGGCGGACGGTTCGTCGTGTGCGAGCATGTGATGAACAGTAAATCCACCGCGGCGAATCTGGTGCAGAGGTTCTGGATGCTGGTGGGATGGAAGAGGTTGATGGGCGGGTGCGAGCTCACGAGAGATACGCTGCAGGCGATGCTCGAGGTCGCGAATGAGAAGGATGGTGGGTTTGCAAAGGTCGAAATAAAGCAGGTCGATGAGCACAGTATGATCACCCACATTGTGGGTGTTTTGACCAAGAAGTGAAAGCAAGAAAGAAAGTTGATATTGTGTACGGGTCACACGGAGTGGGCTATCTGATATTCATGCTGGTTTTGTGTGTGGTGTGTGTGTGTGTGTGTCCTCTCTCATTCCCTCCAGTTAACTTAAAGTGCCGGCTGTGCAAGGCTTCTGCATCCACTTCAAATCTCTTCCGTGTTCGATTCGGTCTCGCTCCCATCTTCGGTGTCATCGTCTTCTGAAGTAGACCCTTCGGATTCAGAGCCAGTGATTGGAGGTTGTGCATCGACGGGCTTCGGCTCTTCCTTGACCACTTCCACCTCCGCTTGTCCTTGCGCTTGCGCTTGCTCTGGACCTGCGGCTGGGGATAGGCAAGGCTTCTCCTTTGGTAGGTCTTCAATGATTGGTGCTGGTCTGGCTTCAATGTCCGGCTCAGCAGCCGTTTCGCCTACTTCTACCGTGGCCGCCTCGGCAGTGATGACCCAAGACTTCTGGAACACGATCCCGGGGAACGCCGTGGTGACAGAAGGCTTCATGGACCTGTCAATAGCACAAACGCGCGGGAAGACGACCGCGAGGACTGGATCAGCTCCAAAGCCGCTTGAACTCACAGTCTCCAATGCGACAGTCTTGTCCTCCATCAGTCGGAGTGTCAACCAGTCACGATTGGCACGGCTAGCGTCAGTGCTGACTTCGAAATGGCTTTCGCATCGCTGCACTGGCTCCCAAGCTGTGACAACATCGCACAGTGTCTCGGCAAGAGAGGACTTGGCTTTTTCACAGAGCGCTTCAGAGAGCAGACTTTGTATAGGTTGAATGACCCCATTCAGCGCGCTCTCGACCCTGAAGGCTTTGACCTTCTCCATTTCTTCTTTGACGTCTTCTCCCTCGCATGTGGACAGCAGCAGGCTTCTCAGCCGGTTCTTCTTCTTGGTATCCGTCATCCTACTGAGGATGAATCGGACCTCGTCATCGTCCTCGAAGAGGTAATTTGGCGTCAAGATGTAATCCTCCAACGATTTCGCTAGTAGGGCCATGACGAGCATTGTTCGAGAGCTTTTATCCGACGCCTCAAGAGGAAATGCTGTCACGCCGGGCATTTTGCCTTCGAGATCTGGCCAATTGACCACGCTCCAGTCCGATAGGAACTAGACGTAGATATGAGAGAGGCCTCCTGTGAAAAATGGAAAGTCTGGTCCATGCCGACTTACTTCTTCCGGATCTTCCGCCTCCATAACGCCTTGGACCGCGATAAAGCAAGTTTCCCATATCTCCTTGATTTTATGGAAGCTGCTCAGGGTTAGGTTTTGGTGTCAAGGTAATACCAATCGGGGGCAAAAGGTCACTGACGTTACGTCTGGATCATCCGCTGTAAGCCTCCATTCCTCGTCGTGATTGGCGTCTCGAGCAGTTTCAGAGCGCTCTGCTGCTGTTTCCAGGGCCTTGAGTCCTTCTCTGACCCTTTTCAACTCGGCTCTGAGCTTGGAGATTTCCTCCTCTCTCTGAGCCACTTCATCACGATGCACATCTAGGAACGCTCTTGCCGCACGCTTGAAGTTTTCGTCACTGTCTGGTGAATCTAGTCCGGCCGCTTGTGCTGGTGCCTGATCAACCACAGGAGTATCACCAAGTTCTGCCGGAGCTTGTGAGGTGACACCCACGCCGTCGGACGCTTGGTCTATCGGTTCCTCTTGCTCTGTATCCTCTGTGGCTACATGGTCCTCCTCTTGATCCTCTCTTTGCCCAACTGCTAAGTTCTTCTCCTGACCAGTCCCATGGGTCTCGGAAGTGGCAGGTGCCTCGATAGTCACGGTCTCAGACATGGGAACGGTCTGTAGGAGAAAGCCAACAAACAGCGATCTTTTCTGATGATCGAACAGAATGATGGAGCTTTCCTTGACGAGTTGCAGGAAGATTATGAGGTGTGAGTGCGACCTCAGGGCAGTCAGACGATTATACCGAGGGTCTCTTCTTTGCTTCCTGCACGCGGCAATGGGCTTCTGCGAGGCGTTCCCCAATCAGCGAGATGCAACAGCGATGAAGTAGTGGTGTCTGCATCCGCATCCTGGAATGATTCCGTAGCTAAGCGGTGCGTCCAATCCTTCTTCGCGAGAGTTTGGGCACTATCAGACCATCGAAGCAGGAGCTTCCTGTGCCCAAGCCGAACGAACTGCTGTCTGCTGCCAGATTTGCATCACTGCCGGGGAAACACGACATATTCCTTTTTACCCGAAGCATCAGAGACGCTTCCGACATGCGAACACCCATTGAAGGGTTGCATTAGCACGCTATTGAGCTCCAGGCCTTTGTGGCTTCGATATGGGCAGTCGCTCCGTGTCCGACTCTGATTGGCCACAAACTCCAGGGATAGGCAAGCCGCCTCACTATCTGTGAGCCAGAAATCTTTCTGCACTACAAGTTAGGCACAAACCGCTGAAGAAGATCGCCTGATTGCTGGCACGAAAGGGATCACCCAAGTGCAATCTCAAGCGAACCACGTCTCGAACAGGTGTTCGTCAAGTGAAGCACTATTCGCGTACGGGTTGAGGTTCCGCGGGACCCGTACGATATGATCCGCATTCACATGGTGGTGACTGCGAAGGGTGGTTTGCTTGTTGTAGCTCATGCTCTGGGGGGCACGGCATACGCGATAAGCAGGAGGTCGACAGAGATATGCCTTTGGGTAGACCTTGCCGGGAGATATTTCCCTGCGGCTATAAGGCAGGAGCGGACAATTTTCCAGCATTTTCGGGAGTCACAGAACCCCTCATAGTCGATCCTTTGCACCTTGAAATGGCATACCATTGAGGATACACCTCAACTACAATTCGGCTGTAGCGCTATTTTCTTTTGAGGCCTGCTGTTCAATTTTGGTTATATCCGTTTCTTAGCAGCTGCGACGAGCGCTTAGAATTCGGTCAAGTTTTTTGGATCTCGTCTGCACCCAGGTCAACGCTGGTTGACATGGCTTCTTCGGGATTTCGGCAGTCTTACCCAAGAGGTGTAGTGCTAGACTTTCCATGCGCCTTTCTTCGTTCCGCCGTTTCCCTTGGAGTTGTCGCTCACTTCAGCTTCCCGCTTTTCACTGAAGCTCACCACCCACTGTTCCTTTATACATCGCCTCATATCTTCCACTAGTACGGCGGCATCATCGTCGTCTAGGTCGTCTCGCATTCCGCGTCCAAACAGGATCATCGTTCGTTTGTGTCCGGATGGTTGAGCATTGGGCGGATACTGCTTCCTTTTCGACGCTGACGGCGCCCTTGGAGGCGTGACATAGTTCAAAGGTGGCCGCGGCACAATGTGAAAATGCACATGTGGGACGACCTGGGCCGCTCCAGGACCTTGAGATGAAGTGAGAGATTGTCATCAGAGACGATCACAGGGTGTTGGCACGACAAAAGGAAGCAGACAAGCATTATGCCAGGGCTTACCGTTATTCTGAACAACATTGTAATCGGCCTCTTCGTGTGGTATATCTGGCATGACTGCTTTCATTACTGAGCGTGCTAACACGGGAAGAACACGCCCGATCTGGTGCTTATCAGCATCCTTCAGGGCCGATGATTGTAACAAGCGGTTTGATAGGCTTAATCAACCCACTCATCACGCACAAAGCTGGGTTTCAGTGAGCGACATACCTCAGCCCCTTCATCTGGACTCAAGTCACCGACCTTGACTCGATGCTTCCGAGGTGCAACAAGCACATGGCCCCTCGTCAGGGGCATGATATCCAAGAACGCTATGACATGTGCCGATGAGTAGAGGACGAACGATGGCGGCTCGAGCTTGTCGGGATCTAGCTCCAGGCTGTCTTCCGCCGCGGCTAACGGCGATATGGGACTGTATGTGCGTGCTATAACACAGAAAGGACACGATGGAGAGAAGTCATGCTGTGAACGAGGCGAAGATTGATGCGACGTTTCGGGGACGAGGCGGGGCAGATCGGACATGTTGAACAGGCTAGGGAGCCCCTGAGGCGGTGACGATCTAAAACGCGACGGTCTGAAACTATAGATATAAGCAAGCAGTCTATAAAAACGAAGAAGAAAACAAAGATGCAGAGAAGAATGATGAGAATGCTGAAGAGATGGAAGATGTACTGCCTTCTCCAGTCGTACAAAGTACTTCATTCCTCGGCTCGCTGCATGACGTTGATCACGTGCAGCTTCTGTGGCTTTGCCAAGGCTGCAACGAGGCTGAGACAAGGCTGAGATCCTCCGGGCAGTACCACGCCCACACACGCCCCTGCTTCGAGGCACTTTTCACACAAGGCCCAGCACGCAATCGCTACACGATGCCTAGGAGGAGAAGTTTTGTATATCTGACTTTGCGATTTCCATCTATGGCCTCATGCTAGCAATGGTGGTTGATCATGCCAATGTCAACGCCTTCTATCATTCAACGCGCTTCGAATCTATCGGCCGAGAAAGAGTCAAACGGCCGAGATGGAAGTCTTAACAAAGTGTCTCCAGACAAGTGGACCTCGAGTTTCCCCTATTGATATTCGGTCGCAGAAACCATCCACTCCAGTATCCAATAGCAATAGCGCGTGAAATGGATGCAATATCAACTGTGAAAATGATATATCTGCCACAGGGTGACCTGTCTGGCGGCAGTGCTTGTCCAAGAAGCCTTTTTCGTCGGACTTTATTCTGCAGAGCTTCATTGTCATCTGCTACATCTATAGCTCTGCTAGGTGTGACCTTACCTTGGTCGTAAGATGGCGCAGAGTTCGAACCAGAAGAATATCGTCATCCTCGGCGGTTCATATGGGGGTATCTCAACCGCCCACTATCTCCTCAAGCATGTGGTACCCAAACTCCCGGACAGCCTGTTGTACCGGGTCATCCTAGCCAGCGCTTCGGACCACGCAATGTGCCGACCTGCTTGCCCTCGGGCAATGATATCAGACGATTTATTGCCACAAGAGAAGCTCTTCGTCAGCATTGCTCGAGCTTTTGAGCAGTATCCCAAGGACAACTTTCGCTTCATTCAAGCGACAGCAACAGACCTGGACCACAGCAAACGGACAGTCACTATACAGCTCCCGGATGGGAGCACCGAGAGCATCGACTTTCATGCTCTTGTCATCGCTACTGGGGCATCCACTCCTTCGCCGCTGCTTGGTCTAAATCGAGACGTCGATTTCTTGCGCAGCAGTTGGGCGTCGTTCCGTAAAGCGCTGTCATCCGCGAAGAGTATCGTCATCTCGGGTGGCGGGCCCGCAGGTGTCGAGACAGCTGGCGAGCTTGGAGAATACCTCAATGGACGAGCTGGGTGGTTCCGCTCGGGCCTGGCCAACCCGAGAGTTCAGATCACTGTTGTTACAGCCGGGCCCCAAATTCTCCCAGCGCTCCGGCCAGCCATTGCGAAACAAGCCGAGATATATCTCGCCAAAGTTGGTGTGGCTGTGGTCAAGAATGTCCGCGTGACTGCCGTCAGACCACCAGATGCCGGAACAGAGAATGTAGCAACCAAGGCAACAGTAACACTTGAAAATGGAAAGACGTTGGAGGCGGACCTGTACATTCCAACCACAGGCACGACCCCCAATACCGGCTTCGTCGACAAATTGCTTCTTGGAGCCGATGGCCGGGTCGAAACCAACCCTTCGACCTTACGTGTCAAAAAAACCGGAACACGCATTTATGCCATTGGTGATGCAGCCTCATTTGCAAGACCTGCGATTCATCTCATCCTCAACGCCGTCCCGGTACTTTGCACAAATATGGAGCATGACCTGCTGCTTGCTGCTGGGAAGGAAAGTAGTTCTGTTGGCAAGGACAGAATCTACACTGAGGATACGCGCGAGACTCAGATGGTACCGATCGGTCGGGGCAAAGGTGTTGGTGCTGCAATGGGATATAAAATGCCTAGCCTTATGGTCTGGCTGATCAAAGGCCGCGATTATTGGTTGTGGACCACGGGTGGCCTTTGGAGTGGCAAGCAATGGGCCAAGAGATCGTAGGACACGGCCGCATCTCCTGTTCTCGTGGAGTGATGGTCGGGCTAGGCGGATCTTGGTTGTATTGCTCGAAAGGTGTGTCGCGAAAGATCTTCAAGTTTTACTGATTTCTGCCTGTGACCCAAGCTTGGGGACGATGTCAGTTTGAAGCTGTGTAGTTCAAATCTGTAATCTGAAGGCTTGTCTTATGATTTTCAACATGTGGGAGTTTTCCATCGAGAACCCAACCGACTACGAATGTGTTCTTCAGGGCTGGCTCGACAACTGAGACTTGCCACCGCACCAGGATACAGAAGCCGCCACCCTCGCCGAACGAAGTCGCGGGAGAGGACCAGCGCCAAGGTAGAAGCTGTGGTCTTGTATTGGACGTCATCTCGGCGTTCCGGAATCGACTTGAGCCTCAACAGAGCCACCTCCAAAGCCTTGTGGGAGCAACTCAACGAAGTATCCGTCCTTTGTCTTCTTTTAGCAAGGGTTCTCCGTGGAGCGCGAGTTTCGTGCTGACAACAACTCACAGGATCTTGAACGTAGGCGAAGTTGGCAAATATTTGCTTGAAGCCTGGGTGCATCTCACTCTCAGTGCCTTTGATTTCGACACCAATACCCCGTTCGTTCTCCCAATCAGTGATAGGTATGCTCTGTCGAGTCGATACGCCCATATCCTTGATGATCGGAACGCCATTCTCTTTGAGTCTCTCCAATGTCCTTGGTAGATCCGGTACACTGAAACCTAGATGACAGAAACCCAGATTTGGGGGCTGATTGCCAGAGTTATAGAAGCCTTCTGGTTGGTTTTCGGATCCATGGATATGAAAGAGCTCCAAAAGGCCCACTGTGTCGGGTATAGAGGTCTCCTTGCCGAACTCGTCGAGGTGCTCGCGGTGTCGATCCGTTGAAGGATAACCCAGGAAGTAGACTGTCATAGGTCCGGTGTTGGTGACAAAGACGGTGCGCATGCCCATGAGGTTGATGTAAAAGTGCAGCGACTTTTCCGGGTCGCGCACACGAAGACAGAGATGATTGAGCTTAAATCCTATGGTCGGGGCATCTGCTGGTAAGGGAGGATCCGTGTTAAGTCCATTGGGTAGCGGAACGCCATGTGGGAAGCGAGACATCGTGATCGAGCTTCAGGTTGGTAGATTTTGGAGGCGGTCGGTAGATGCACCAGGTAATGAGTGTCCAGAAATAGGCAGTCGGCTCAAGTTGAAGCATTCAAGGCTTTGGTTTCCTTTGGAAGTGGAAGCATTTATGGAAAAGGGGACGGTAGCAAACTCGGTCCCAATTTGTTCCTTTTCCCGGCCTGGCCATCCTACCGTTGGTAGATGCTTTGTAAGAACTCGGACTACTCGAGGACTTACCCGGGACCATTTCTTCATGGGCATCTGAACCGCTGTCGCGCTTTGAAGCTGACTCATGCTCTCTTAGTGCATTAGGAACGAAGAGTTCATATTAGCCGGTGGGACGTGGGACCTTATTAGGTGGATAGCCTGATCGACGTCGTTTCTGGTTCTTGTTATTGATCTCCTTCTCATGCTCAGCTCGATCTTTCTCCTACGCACCTGATCGACGTGTATCGCTGAGCACGGTCTAGGGTCTCGTGTATGAGATGGCTGGTTGGCAAATTGGGTTCCTTCCCAGAGCGTCCAGGAATGAGCTGAATTCTGCCTACCGGCATGCAACCTGATGCACAAGAACCTGTAGCCAAGGCTTCATGCATACTCAGCCGGCGGTCAACGAACTAGGGATAAGATTGGACTCAAGCCCTAAGGGCCATATGTACGACAAAGTCCACAACACTCCTCACCGTCTCGAATCGATGGGTTGACCGGTATAAGGTGGTAGAATCGGACGTCGAATTGTCCATTCAGCGAGTAAGACTGCGGTATTCCGATATACCTGTGGACGATCCGGCCCTTCGCGCAAATCTTGCAGCACAGCCGCCCGTACCAGCGCGTTAACTACACGGGAGCTTCAGTTGACGTTCGAGGTTCGCGTCAAATCAGAATACTTGCCAGCGGGTTCCCCAGCTCTCGCTTAATTCATATCACAGTCCGTCAAGACGGACAGTGGGAGTATTCTCGGCCCGGACTATGCCTCTGGTTGAAGGACAGCGCATCCTTGCATGATGATTGCATGAGGTCAGACAGCAGCTGGCAGCTTCTAGCGCCATGGCTTGCATAACCCAGACAGTGATAGGTTCGTTTACGTCGCTGGTGGTCTGCTCGCAGTTCGGTAGCAAGCATCTCAGTAACCTTTACATGAATTCGCATGGAGAATTACCCGTTTGAACATTTCGCATGAACTACGTGTTCATCACCACAAGAAGCCATCAGAGGGCACGCATATCCGATCATAGAACCTCGATGCAGCCTCATGCAGAGCGGGTGTTAACAAAGCCTAGAGCCGGACTTCAATCCTTCAGTCACCGTCTGACACGTAGGAGCAACCTTTACCAAGTTGACTCACCAGGACCTTGTCGGTGCGAGAGGAGGAGGTGTGTAAAATAGTACAACGGACGAGACTGGGCAAAATGAGGACGACTTACCCAATACCACCTACGCTTGTCGTGATTTTTGTCATTTCTCATACAGACCTCAAAGTCTGCTCAATGTTTCATAGAAGTCACAACCTTGTGTTTTCTGTCTCGAAAAATCGTGAAATCTCACGCACAGAGGCTTGCGTAAATAAACTACTGCATTCAGTGTTATCGATCAAAAGCAAGAGACGAAGAGGACCGGTATGTAATCAGGTTATGGTTCTGTGTCAGGAAATCATGCTCAGGATGATTGCCTTCATATTTAGGCGGGCACAGTCGCCATGTCCCTACCAGCTGTTAGTCAATCACAAACAGACACCAGAATCGGGGATGTTCCTGGTAGGGCCTCGAATGGAGGTGACAACAATGGCCGGGCGAGCAGTCCCGTTGACACCACGCACTTCGGTCTATTCAATGACGAGGTTCAAGAAGAGATGCAGCTGCTGCGAGACAGCATATTTGAGGCTGACAATGCAATGAATGCTTTGTCGAAGACTTTTGGTAGATACGGAAAAATCGTCAAAACCGTAGGAGAACGTTATGGCAATGACCAGATGCTCGAGGAAAAGGTCCAGGAATTGGTGGCTGCAAATAGCAGGATATGGAGGGATATGAAAGAGCAGAAGGATTCTCACAAGGAGCAGGTAATTGAGCTGAAGAGAAGACATGAGGAGCAACTCGCTGGACTACGAAAGCAGGCGGACGCCGGGCAACAGGAGAAGAGAAGGTACGAGGACATGGGACAGAGGCTGAAAGATCAACACGAGAAAGCCAAACAAAAAATGGCAAAAGACCTGAAGAGCAAAGAGCTGCAATTGGAAAGTGACAATGCAGAGAAAATTGCGACTTTGCAGAGTGACAAGACGGCGGTGGAGAATGCGAACAGCAAGCTTAAACAGGATCTAGAAAAAAGGACCCTGGAGCGTGACCATGAGAGGGAAGCTCATGAAGCGATGCAGTACAAGGCAAGGACGGACCTGAAGAAGCTGGAACAAGCCCTGGCCGACATCAAGGGCAAATATGAAATGGATCTGCGACCGTCACGCTTTTAGTAAGATATCTTCCACACCTCCCTACACTTCTCTCGGTAAGTATAAGGGGTTGCCAACTGACCATCACCAGCGTGGAACGGTTTAACAGCCTTTTCGATCGGGTGGGCCAAATTGCCTCGTCGTACTTCACAGAGCTTCCCGAAAAAGCGCTGGATGTAAGTGCAACAGCTCATTGCAGACTTCTGGTGCCATATGAGATCATGGTGATGTTTGATATCTTTCTCACTCTTTGATCGGACAGGACCCAGTCAATACCTCTGTCAGATTAGCAAAGCCCGACCACAGCAGATTTTCCCAGGTCCCAATTGCTGATTCTGAGTGTTCACGAGTCCTTCGACTGGCCAACGTTCAGCACGTCATCTTTAAGGCTATTTTTGCCTCGGTGTGGAAACCATTTTTCTCTGTGTATCTGAGGAAGCAGAAACGAGACGACTCAACCCTCCCGGAGATACATGAGCGTCTACTTACGGATGGCCACGAGGTCCAGCGACATTGGAAAGTATCCACGCTCAAAGCCTTGGATCGGCTCGATGCTGACGCAGATGTGGGACATCTTACTGAGGGAGTGATTGATCAGGAAATTGTTGCTCGACTGCAACCTTTGCTGGACGACAACCAGGTCGATCGATTTATGACCGAAATGAAGAGCGTTTTCTGCACTGCGACCCAGCTCGGTAAGATAGCACGGAATGATCAATCACCAGTGTGTCTTGAAACGAGTCCTTTCGTGAGCGATCGTGATGGTTGGAAGGAATATTGGACGGAGCTGGATCAGATCACAGATACGATCGACCAGTCTCCCACTTCTACAACCACAGATATACGTCTGGAGCCACTCTTCGTGAGTCCTAAGATATACCGTCATCGTGGGAAGACTGGGCAAACAGCGACAGCGACCGAGACAACGACAATCGCAGCAGGAGTTGGCGAGTCGGAGGTAGAGATCATCCAGCCAGGATGTGCTCTTTTTCCTGACACAGGAATCTTCCAGTTAGGAGCCTCGGACTGGCAGAAAATCCGAGACAGGGTCAAGGAAGTCGCCAGGAATATCAACGGTCCAGCGAGACGGCCAAGCAAGAGCATTAGTGTGACGGGCACCGGGACCGCGCCAACATCGCCGATAGCGCCGTCGAAGAAGTGGACTCGTGAAGGGATTCCCGACCTCGACTAGGACAGATCAAGAGACTGTAGCAAAAGACCGCGCTGGTCGAGAATGTGAGATGGGTGTAATTGAGCTTCATGAGGACGAGGAGGACATACAGGAATCAGTTCAAGGGGGAGTGGTGGACTCGTGGGAAATTGAGATCGGACAAACGATTTTCCATCTTGGCGGTTCTTTGGAAGTGAGAAGCAATTTTGGGACTGAACTCGGGCCAGATTCTCGAGGTTTTCAAAATCATAGTGGCAGTGACAATCTGGAGATGCCCGCGACACATTTCTTCGAGGCTCCTCGTTTGCCCAGACTCGTTTCTTTCAGAGCATGAGTCCCGAAGTGCTAAGGTAGGGCCCCCTGCCAAAATCTCGTCGCTGATGTTTGGAACCTGGGGCCAACAACCAGGGGCTGTGCAAGCTGTGCCACGCTCATGAACCACGAAAGGTAGAGTACATGTGTGATTTGCATTCCTTGACAATGCCCTACGTTTAAGAGATTGCAAATCCTAAACTATCGGACCTGAGAATCACAGATGGAGTGAGCGGGATTCGGCATTCGAAGCGTGCTTTTACCGCTGGCTGATTCAGACGTTGGACACGCGCAGCGTACTCGAACGAGGAACAGACAGATCCCATATGCCACACACAGGATACACGTCGCTTGGTCGACAGAAGCGCGCAAGATCCGAGACAACTATGGAGGATACACACCATTCGAGCCCGGTCGTGAAAAGCGCTCACCAGACGGATGTGGAAACACGCATACCATGGGTCCAACAATCCGATTCAGGATCATCACAAGCTACCAAGCAGACTCTGGAAGTGATAGATCCAGGGGTTTGGACATTCAGGACTTCTGCCTTCGGACTTGCCCTGATGTGGCTCACAGGAGCCGGTGTCATTGTGTACGGTGCTGTCGTGCAGTCGAGCACAGACAAGTCAGCGAACGGGTACGGGCCCTCATTCATCCACAATAAGGCCGTTGGCCCGTTCGTGCAACTGGGGGTAGCGTTTTGGGTCACAGTATTGTCAGACACGGCTGGATTGATTCATGCCACCAGCCTGCGCTTCACTCTCCTTGCATCTCGCAGATTGACGTTCAATTCTAATCTGCGCCTCTTCACGAGTTGTTCCAACTCCCGCATACATTGGTGGCCGGTCAACCTCATATGGGCGTGGTCTTTGATTTCATGCTACGCTTGTGGCTCCATGGTCATTGTCGAGTCGGTATACCAATATTCTGAGGATCTTCACACTCTTGAGGTCGTCTCAGGCTATGCCCTCATCTTTCTGGGTTTGGGCTTGTTTGGGCAAGCTTCAATCGCAACGTGGGCTTTGAAGGCCAACACGTTTCCGACATGGTCCACGAATCCCATCCACACAGCGAAGCTCTGTCGGGATCAAGGATGGCTGACACCACTATCTCACCGAACGATGTTGAGCGTTCACGACGCGCAGAATCTTGAAATACGCGACACACCCACTCGGCCAAAAGCGAGGCAAGGCCCTTTGCTGAAGGCTCATTTCCGAATTCGCCGGGCGCTCATCTTTGTCTGGACGGTCACACTTTTTGCCTTTCTGTGGTTCATCTCGATTACTGTGGCCTATCAGGTTGGAGGCGGGCCTTCTATGGGCCCGTCATGGGCCAGCTTCAGTCGATCGTATACGAATGACTGGAGTCTCATCCCGGACTGGGTCGGTGTCACTGCTTTTCTTGGAATCTCCACATCGCTGGGCCAGAGTTTCTATACATTTGGCCCCTGGTTTCTTTGCAAAGTACCTGTTGACCTGTGCCTTCATCGGCGGCATCACCATCGATCTCCATGTCGTCGAATTACTCGTACAGTGCTCCCGCGACGAAAGCCTGTGGCGACAGACGGCATCCAGTCGTGGTCTTGGCCCCAGTAAGCATGGTGCCTTCCACGTAGCATTTACAACCTGGGAGACGATATGCCTGTTCGTTTTCAAGACCCTCATCCACTGGGTCTTCAGTCTTGCATTTGGACCTTATTGGGAAGGCATTGAGATCCGCATACCACAGGTCTGCTACACCGCAGTCACACTATTCTTGCTTTCACTTTTGGCGACTTACCTCGCTTTGTGGCGTCCAAAAGGCCCGCAGCCTGCTACATTCGGGCACCTACCGACCTTGGTCGACCTGATCGACGTGTGGCCCTGTCGCATGCCAGATACACGGAACGAAGAGACCGTGGATGGGACGAATGAGACGGACAGTTTGTATGCGAGGGAAACAGTGAAACTGTACTGGGGTGATAAAGGCGAGATTGACAATGGTATTCGCCGCGCTGGTACAGCCCACGTGCCTCTGAAGCCCATCATAATGACAGCTATGTATCTATAGATAACCTTCGTATATCAGTGGTTCCATTAAAGTCCTTTTCCAGACAGAATACCGAGTAGAGGACGGGGAGTCACTTCTTCGAACAACTTACTTAACAAGCCAGCCCCTTCCCCTGTTAAAGCGGCAGTCATTTACAGAAAGAACCATCTTCTCCACGTCTAGAGCCGAGTATGCGCAACTGAAAACCCGCACAACGTCTGCACCTGTCATTGGCAACATTGACTCCGTTGCAGGCGCTGACTCCATCAAAGTCTCCTGCGTGCGAGGGTAATTGCAAGATGGGTATTGAAGAGCAGAAAGAAGAGCGAGAAGTCCTCGACTCCATCTTTCCAGACGAAATTACAGGTTTGCAGGCCGCAAAACGATCTCTCCGAACCTTCATGTTCTGATGACCTAGTTTTACAGATCTTTCAGATACATCCTACCGGATAACTATAGCGCTCGACGTTCCCGACGCACACGAACAAGAAGCACCTGAACCACCAGTTATACTCCTTAGTGTCACGTATCCAGAAGCATATCCAGATGTCGGACCACATTTGGACATTACGGCTCCGCCGAATGCAGCAAAACACCCTCAACTCGACATCCAAGAAGACAAAGCTCAGCTATTAGATGCGTTACAGCCCACGGTTGAGGACAGCCTGGGCATGGCAATGGTCTTCACACTGGTGACCACTTTGAAAGAGGCTGCAGAAACCCTGATATCGGACAGGCTCCGGCAAGCACAAGCTGCAAGAGATGTAGTAGCAGCGGCAAAAGAGGAGGAAGAAAACAGAAAGTTCCACGGCACCATAGTGACGAGGGAGCGCTTCCTCGAGTGGAGGGAGAAGTTCCGAAAAGAGATGGAGGAGAAGGAAAGGAGGCAGAGGGAGGAGGATGAGGCAGAAGACAAGAAGAAGAGAGGCGGAAAGGTCGAGGAGAAGAAATTGACTGGCCGGCAACTTTGGGAGAGAGGTCTTGTCGGTAAGGTCGACGAAGAGGACGTTGACGGCGACGATGCCGTGCCTGCCATCGAGAAACTCAAGGTTGAAGCCTAAAAGGGCACACACAAGCCTACTCACCTCGCCATCCTACATGCTGGTCACGCGGATATTGCGCGGGAGTCCGAACTTCGCAGTCTATGAAACCATTGTCGGCGAATGCTAGCTGCCATTTCGACCTACAAACGCCTCAAAATATCTCTTACGGAACGGATTCAGCTCATCAGCTGTCTGGAGCGTTCCGGCCATTTCCGCCACACCACGCCGAACCATTTCGACTTCTAACTCTGAGTCTCCGGAACCGGGAATCCTCTCGTAGACCAACAGCCTTCGACTCCATTTGTTGAACCTCTGCACGCATTCGTGCTTGAGTTCCAGAGATGGATGGGTGGGTATGACGGTCACTTCCTCCTCTCCCAACTCATTTTCATTCGCACTAGGCATCCAAAAGGCGAGTCGACCACCATCGAGCAACGTCCTGGCAGCGAAGTCTAGAATGTCGTCAAGCATCCGCGAGAAGGAATAGGGCTTCTTGGGCGCAATATACCCCGGACGTGTGTGAGCAGGGACGCCGTCGATGAGATGTACGGCTGGCGGAGTGGTTGTCTCCGAGCCATCGCTCACATTATCAGTTGATGAGAAAGCAGCAGCTTTCCTCGTTCCCAGCACCTTCAAGCCTTCTCGGACCCCATATGGAGGGTCACATATGATGCCGTCTAGCCATCTGACGCCGGTGGATTGCTGTGTCTTGGTCGGACTGCGAAAAGGAGTGTTGGTCAGATCTGAAGTAATGCAATCTGCGAAGAGATGTGAAAGGCCATATTTCTTGAAATTGGCTCCGACTCCCTTGTCTAAACCGAGGCCCTTGCCACGGAAACTCCGACCATCGATATCCGAGCCGAGGACCACAGCACCCAGCTCAGCTGCAGCGACCGTGAAGCCTCCCGTCCCAACGAAGGGATCGAGAAATATTTTGCCAGGACTAGCCAGCGCCATGTTGGCAGTCAGTAGCGCCAATTCCGCGTCCATTGACGTGGTGGATATGTAAGGCCTCTTCTTGAGGTCATGTTTCTCTCTTAACCAGCGCCGCGACCCTCCGATCTTACGACCCAGGGAGACCTTTCTGAGAGTTGTGCCTGTCACAGTGTCTATAGCTGCACCAACAGCCGAGCCAGCCGTCTCTCCCCGAGATGGGAAGTCAAGTGGCAGCCACTCCTCCAAGACCGCAAATTCAATCTCGGGGTTCTTCATCCTGATTCTGCCCTTGAATTCGAGATAGCTGAACGAGTCGATGATCTGCCGCTGCTTTGCCGGATCATGTGTTGTCCCGTAGCTGTCGACCGAGAATTTGAATGAGACCTGCTGGAATCTGTGCCAGAGATGCCGGCTCCGGGCCTTGACGTCTGCGTGTAGTTCGTCATAGTCTCGTCCCTGACCCCAGATCTCGTAGATGCATTTCGACAGAATGGCGCGCGACTCGAAGTCCCGGACCACCTGGTCGACATCGTCGAGAGCCTCTAACGATGTCGATTTGCCGGGTAGATCGTGGAAACGAACGTGACAGAATGGTGAATCTTCAGAGTAAGAAATAACCTCGCAACGGATGCCTGCGAGCCTGGCCAGCGCTTCGAGCTCGGGCAATCGAAAGCTCTCGTGTGCCTGGGCGAGGCGGATCAGATAATCCATGGGTCTCTGCTGTACATGGGCACGTTGAGCGTAGCATAGAGATGAGAAAATCCGTCGATTTCAAACGGTTCGATGTTCCGTGCTGCTGCTTGGACCTTTGGGGGTTCTGTCCTTTCGCTGAGAGTGGTTAAGATGATTATATTTGGCAATATGCCGTCGTGAGAGTCTGTTTGTTTCAATTCAATTACAGAGTGGCATGCACGAGGCAAGAGTTGGATCTGGTCGAACATTCAAAATCTACCTAGAGACCAAAGACAGGAAATATTTCTTTCTTGGCGTAGCCTCGCCGGTTGTGCTGGGTCCAACAGTCCCGTCCATTACAATGCGTCACTGACTACATATTACTTAATCCTATGAATTGTACACCACATTTAGAGTCCCGGGCTCACTCCTAGTATCTAACCTTGTTCTTGCCACTTGCTTCTGCAAGGCGTAAAACTTTGGCACATAGATGTCTGAGAATTCTTATTCTCCTACGTGTATATACAATTCTGTCTGACAGAGGGTCGTTTTCGGAAATTCGGCAGGGAAGTCGCCAAGAATATCTTGTCAGACAACGCCAATTTTCTGGGTCCTCCTTTGCTCTCGCACTTGACTTCGCTACCAGGTACCTACCTAGGTACCTTATGCTTCCTCATGTCATTGGCCAAAACTCGCTGCCGGTCAAGCATCGCACACCAGATTCTCAGTGTGCATGGTCATCCACAGATGTGGCTTTACGTCGCTGATATCGACGGGGGCGGGGACTCTCAATGTTAAAGGACTCTGGATCGTCATGAGGCTGTGATGTTTCCAGCCCCATTACTCATACGCAGCCTTAGCCACAACATAATGGGAAAGTCACGGGCTGAAAACAGCGACGTCTAGTGAAGTTAAAGTGAGATATCCTGGTGAGAATAAAGCCAGAATAAGCGGCGGTAGAATCCTGGAAAGAACCTCACCTCGCATGATATCGAAAGTGAGCATCGTGAACCGAGCAAGAAAAGAAGAAAAGAACATGCAAGTTGAAAAAGAAAATGAGTTGTGTAGGAATCGCACCCACGACACCAAGTTAGGAGCCGACCCATCACCGTCATCGACGGATCAGAGTCATCGCCCTATATTCCCTTGTTACTCTACCAGCTGAGTTAACAACTCTCTCTGCGTCCATGCTGCTTTTCGAACCAGAAATTGTCGTACCTCAAGAGAAGTATCTTGAAGGTCTGGTAACCACCAACATTCGCCAGCTAGTCCCTCCAACCGTCATTCTACTCAGAGAACCTCTCTCACCCATCATGGCGTCGCATCAAACACCCTGTAACACGCTTTCCATCGCCTGCTTGAATGACTTTGTCGGCAGCTCCAACAAGTTGTTTGCAAACTCGTCCCTCTTCTCCCACTCACTCCCAGGCAGCACGGAGCCGAACGTCAATTTGGACAGAGCACTATCATCACCATCCCTGGCCCGTTCCTTCGCCTCTTCCAACCACTTCTCGTACGACACATTCTCCACGTTCCACTTTCCGGTCTTCTCTTCGATCGCCTCCAGAATCTCCTTTTGACTCGTTCTGAAGTCCTGGATCAGCAATAACTTGTTCCTGGTGGCTTCGTCCTTTTCGATGGCCTTGACCACCGCCAAGGCGACGGTATCCAACGTCGTGGCCACCCATTTCGTCTCCCCACCGTCGATCAGCACCGCCTTCTTGTCCGGCCAGAAGAATTGGAAGAAGCCGGACTTGACGCCCATCTCGAAGAAGACGTTGCAGATGATGCAGGTCCAGTCTAGGCCTTCTTTCTCCTTGGAGACCAAATAGTCTCGCACGTCGTGCTTGATCCGGAACATCGGTCTCAACTCGACGAGCCAGTCGGGCAGATCGTCAAGGCCATACTCCGTTGGGATGTAACGTTTGACCTTCGCTGCCACACACGCGTCAATGAACTTGTACTGCTCGTGCATGCCCATCATGGAAATGGCCGAGATCACCACATCGATGCCTTTGAAAGCTTCGACGAGCTGTGCCGGTGGGTAGTCGTCGGCGACCTTGGACACGGTCACCGTGGATGGAAACTTGGACGTCGACGATTCTCGAGTCAAGACCGTGACATTGAACTTGGATGGGGAGGAAAGGAGGTACTTGAGAATGAGGCTCCCTAGGTTGCCTGCTGCACCTATGAGGAGTACGCGATTGAGTGCCATTGTAAAGGACGATCCAGACAAATCAAGGATGGCAGGGGGATTTTCGAATCTTGTTGTACTAGTTCCCCCGGGGTTTGGGGCTTTATGACAAGGTCTCGACTCTTTAGATATCGATGATTTGGTTGCTGTTGGAGAAGCGAACGAGTGGGACAATGTCGCCATCCAATGCTCTACACAGTAATAGTGGGGTGATTACCGGCAACAGTACCCCATTGATAGATTTCACTAACTGCCGATGCTGCCCCACGGGCGCGCACGGTAGTAATTGTCCGGGCAAGTCAGAGGTCAGATGTGGCACATATCAAGGGTGCAGGCCTTGGACGACATGAAATATTTCTTGCTACTATGTATATCCAAAGCGCCATAGCTAGAACCAGCCGCTGCAGCCACGCCCTCGCATGTGTACAGCAACAGAACAAATGATGAATTCCTCCCAATCGATGGCCGGTGCAGGCACGGCTCCCGCAACCTCGTCTAGTCACCACCTTGGAAGAAGTCGACAATTGCTTGTGCTCCCTTTGGTCCTAGGCCCCGGGGAGGGTAGCAAAGGTACAGCGCGTCGTCCAGAGTGTTGAACTTCGCCCGAAAGCCGGTCTTTCTGTCCAGATTGAACCGAGCCGCCAGCGTCTGATACAGTGAGTTCAAGGTGGCCTCCTTCGCCCCTCCTACATTATGACCACTGCTCAGTTTCGCGGTCGCGCCAGCTCCGAAAGTACACGACTTGTAGCCGGCATCTGCCGCGGCCTTCAGCGCGGTCAGAACCGTCGATTCGATACTTCCATTGGCCGCACCAGGAAAATCCAGAGCCCATTTGACTTGTACTCCGTACCTGGGTGCCAATTGTGCAAGCACCACCAGGGAATGGACCTTGCCATCGCCGTCCTGGGCGACGAAATATTGACGATGCGACGCATCTGTGAAAGGAGTAATCTCACTTAAATGGACTTGTGGGCCCTGCCGGCTGCTTTGCCATTCTTTGATGCGTTCTTCCACCTTGTGGCGCAACTCATCAGGCACTTCACTGCCATAGTCGGTCACCTTGACCCCTTCCTTTGTGGCATGTCTAATCTTTCGATCCACATCAGCGTCGACGTTCAAGTGCTCGTTATTGGCCAGGTTGACCCGCTGTTCTGCCACGTTCGTGAAGCTTCTCCATCCCAGGCTGTCGCCAAGAACATCTTCAACCTCTTTGCTGACGAGAACAAAGAGAGGTCGGAGACGGGTCTCGCGGCGAAGCCAAGTAAGAAACGCACTGATGACGTCTTCCAGCTGACGCGCATCGCAAAGGGGGTTTCCAGGACAAATGGCTCGATCGTGGGTTGGAACATATGCGATGGCGGCACCTGTCTTCTCATCCCGCCAAATCTGGAACCTCTCATCCATCCAGGATGTGTTTGTAGCATCGCCGTAGTTTGCAACCAGATTCTCGAGCGGTGGAAGGCGACCTTTTGGTCTGTGTAACGTATTATCATCGGGATGTCGTAAGTTGGGTTCTGGTTTTGCTGGGAAGCTCTTTGGATCTCGAGGAAATAGCGTTGCATATCGTAAGTTTCCAAGGCCCAAGATCAGAGACACCAAACGCTCAAGACCGATGCCGCAACCTGCGTGAGGTGGTGCGACCCACTCGAAGGCCTGCATATACTCCTTGAGGTCGTTTGGATCCATGCCCTGAGCCTCCATCCGTTCTTTCAGAAGCTTGTAATCGTGAACCCGCTGCCCGCCTGACAGTATTTCTTGTCCTCGGACCATAAAGTCGAAAGAGTTTGTGACCTTGTCATTGTTGGGATCAAGCATGGTGTAGAAGGGTCGGGCAGCTGTTGGAAATTTGTCGAGAATATAGTAGTCAGTGTGGTACTTCTCCTTGACCAGTTCTCCTAGCCTCCGCTCACCTCGGGTCGGCAGATCGTCATACTCAGACTGCTGACTTCCGTCGTCATTAGTCCATCCTGACTCGTTGAGCAGTTTGACGCCTTCTGCGAAGGTAAGTCGTGGTGTCTCGTCGAGCCAGATCAGATCGTCGTGTGGGAAGTGCTGCTTTAGCCGATCGATGTCGTTTCTATTGCGATCATACAGAGTCTTGAAAATTTCTTTCAAGGTTGCATCGATCAGCCACATTGCTTCGTGATAATGACGGTCAATAGCCATCTCCAAGTCCAAGCCAGTGTATTCCGTCATATGTCTCGGAGTGTTTGAGTTCTCTGCGCGGAAGACAGGACCAACCTCGAACACTTTTCCAAAATCGGCCGAAATGCACATCTGTTTGGCAAGTTGTGGGCTTTGAGCAAGGAAAGCCGGTCGGCCAAAGTAATTGAGCTTGAACACGTCCGCTCCACCTTCAGTTGCACCGCCTTGCAATTTTGGGGTGTGTATTTCCAAAAACCCGTGATCTTCAAGGTAGTTTCGGAAGGTTCTGCATACGCTCGACTGGACTCTGAAGATTGCTTGCGCGGAGGGGGTGCGCAGATCTAATACTCGGTTCGACAACCTGATTCGGTCCGCTATCGAATGGCCATCAGTTGCAGCATCCGCTTCATAGACGCTGAAAGGGACCGGGGTTTCTCGAGCAGAGACAACGTGCATTGCGTGAATATCAAGTTCAGCATGGTGAGTGCTTGTGCTCTTGACCGTCTGTTCAGGCTCCTTGACTGTGGCTTTGACCGTCACAATCGAACCTGTTCGAATATGCTCTGCCCATCGCACCATGTTCTCGGAGATGCCACCTTCAACTGCCCGAAGGACACCTTGTATCGTAGTTGTCTGTTCTCGAAAGATGACAAAGGCGAGCTTTGCACTCATATGCCGAACTACGTGGACTCGGGCGCGAAAAGCGATCTCCTTGCCAATGTAGCTGGTATCCACGGCTGTTAAGGGAGTCCACTGAGTGTGCCATATGTCGTTGGCAGGGCCTTCATCTTGTGATTGCATCAAGGGTAATTTGCCGTAGCGTTGCTTGACTTCTGGAGGGTCATCGTTGTCCAGGAATTCATCCAGACTTTTCGCCGTTTGGCCATGGTGAGGGAAGTCCGTCGCGTCCTCCTCGCTGCTGGACCAGTCCTGTTCTTCCCCAATTATCCGGGCAACATCCTTCTCTGAACCGCCCCGATAATTCTTCTCGCCGTTTCGTGAGAGTGATTGAGTAAGTTCATGCTTATGAGTAGATATTTTGTCGCGCAAGTTCGAGAGAACGGTCTTGACCTGGGACATGTTGAAGGTTGTACGAGTGAGGCTTGAATCGCAAGAGCCTGAGCAGCAGAATGCCCAACAAATAGATGAGTTGGTGGTCGACTTGTCATGGTGACGGCTCACACGGAAGAAAAGTCAATCCGGCGCCATTGAAGGCACTCACCGGCACCCTCGTTGATGGGCCTGAAGCAGGCCAAACAATGACAGAGGTCTTACGTCACTTGTACTATAGGCATGGATTTCTAAGGATTCGCTAAAGGCAGATCACGGATAGACGCAGAGTCTTTACCTGAATTAGAATCGCAGCCTCGGAGACCAGGTCTTGTTTGGGCACTGCGTCTCACAAACTTGGCTGCTCACCGTGGTCAAGGACAAGCCTGCTGGACGGGAGCTTGTCTCACAGTCGTCTGAAGGATGCACAGGATGAAACAGATCAGCACGGCAAAGTTGGAATTTCCCCATGACGAAAGAAGGCCTTCTTCACTTCTTTGATTTTAAGTTGGATAAGGTGTGGCGCCGGATACAAGGTCCGGCTGCACCAGGCTTCGAGTTTTCCTCCAGTGGTGCGGACTATGTCTCCGTACCAAGACGGAACGCTCACGTCTGTCGGGACGACGCGGCATCTACGGGCACTCACGGGCAGCCCAGAATTGGGGATGCAGAGCCTCTGGCACGTGATCAGGCGTGATTCGCTGTACTTGCCTCATTGAGTTGAGGCTTCAGATGTCGGCTGGAAATTTCGTGACCGAGAATTGAGTTGTAGCAGACATCTCTATACCTACCGTAGGTACTTAGTCTCTGACTAACGGGAGCTATAACTTCAAGCGCTTCTTCTTTGTGTGCTTCGTAATTACTTGCAGTGCCTGCCAAAATGGCCAAAACAAAGACGAAATCCCACTCAAAAGGAAAAGACATCCTCCGCTCGACAACCACGCCGCTAGTGAAATCCCTACCAAAATCCTCCCAGCGATCGACCGAAGACCTTCTCACCGAAGCTGCCGAACTTCTCGAGAAGTCACAAGCCGAACTCGCCCTCCCCCTCGCCGAACAAGCTCTCCAACAACTGGAAACCGAGCGACAATCCCAGAGCGAGACCAACGACATTGATACACTTCTCCAACTCGCCGCACAAGGCAAACCTACACTACCGGAGGCGTTAGTCCTCGAAGCAGAAATCCAACTTGCCCTGGGCGACGCAGATTCCGCAAGACGAAGTTTCTCCCGCGCCGTGCAAATCGATCAACATGGAGCACTGGTGAGTGCAGAGCCGTGGCTGTGGCTAGCGCAGCTATGCGAGGAAGGTGGTAGAGAGAGCGTGTCATATTTTGAGAAAGCGACGGAAGTTCTTCGCAATGAGATCGATGTCCTCGAGGACGACGATGCGCAAGAAATGAATCAGACCATTGCAATACTGGAAGAAAAGCGGGCCAAACTTGCAGACGCTCTGTGTGCCATGGCGGAGGTATACATGACGGACTTAAGCTGGGAGGAAGATGCAGAACAGCGCTGCGAGACGCTTGTAACAGAAGCTGTCGCTGTATGTCCCGAGCAACGGAGTGCTGGAGTACTACAGACCCTGGCCAGTGTACGGATCAGCCAAGAGCGGATGGAGGATGCCAGACAGGCTCTCCGCCGAAGTATGGGGATATGGAAGGATATTCCTGCAGATGTGGAGTCTGACTCGCGGCCTGATTTCGCTACACGGGTCAGTCTGAGCAGATTGCTGATGGAAGTCGAGGCCGAGCCGGAGGCCATGACTGTCCTTGAGGGCCTGATTCGTGAAGACGATCAGAGTGTCGAGTCTTGGTATTTGGGTGGTTGGTGCCAGGTTCTGATCTCACAAAAGCCTGAGACGGCTTCAGAAAGTCTGAGTAAGAGCCAAGAGCTGGCGAAAACGTGGTTGGACAATTGCCTGAGACTGTACCGTGTGCAGGACTACGAGGATGATAGGTTGCGTGAGCATGCGCTCGAGCTTGTTCAACAGTTAAATAAATCTCTCGGTGTGGATGATCAGATGGACGATGACGATGTATGGGAAGACGAAGAGGAGGGAGACGGCGATGAGAACAGAGAGGTCGAGGTTGAGGTGAACGGACACGAAGGTCACGAAGATCACGATGTTGAGATGACCTAGGCTAGACTCTCGTGACATGGCTGGACGACCCTGCGACATTTCGTCGAGAAATAAGGAAACGATCCCACACATACCGCTTCCAGGTGCATACACAAGGACTATACTGGTAGTTTCCAGTACGGTCCTTTGAATTCTTGAATCCGTCCCATCAACCTTCTTACGGACTCTCCTGCTTGACTGACATACCCGCGTGGTGGTATTGGCTACAAGACCGATACCGGTTTCGGAATGCGGACGTCGTGGTGCCCTCGCTAGCAGCTCTGCCGTAGAAACTCGGTTCTCTCGGTAGTAGCGCGTGTTCTGGATCTTGTATTGTGTTTGTCGGCTGTCATTCCGACGCAGTGTAGTGTTGGAAGGCGGCCATCGCAGCTCCGAAACTATATGGCCGCGTCGACCGTCCATTGAAAACTCCGAGGTGCTGTATCAGAGATTGCCCTCCGTTGGCTTGTCAGCTTCCGAAATGATCAGAGATCAACTTGCTCTCGAAGCTAATGAAGCTTTTCTTGGGTCAGAACCTTCCTGTTCCAGAGGCAGGGAAGCCGACGGATTCACTGAGACCGTCAATAGGCGGACGGGCCTGGCAGAACTGGTCCACTTGACAAATAGGGTGCTCTTTCTTACACCGAGTTTCAGTCCTCTTGCCAGGCACTCTTTTTGACAACCTCCTGGGATCTGCTGCTTCCAACACCAACCTTCACGTTCGACCAGTCTCGTCCCATGAGATGATCTCCCTCTTTCACATCCTTCCTCGTACTTTCTAGATAAAACCGGCCACCTTCGTAGCATCCAAGGTAGAGGCCGCTGCCAAGGGCCGTCCAGCAGCCTCGAAGTAGAGCTCCTCTGAACAACCCTCGGACGCCTTCCGTATTCAGGATCTCTTTGGCAACCGCAAGACCACTTTTCCTCGAGCCTTGAATGCCGTGCATGAGAAAACTGGAAGGCTTGCCCTTCACCTCCTGTTTAGGAGGAGGATCATCCACAGATGCAGCAAGCATTATCCTCGTCTTCACCACGTCTATGGGCGTAGTGACCCAAGCTGCACCACTACCAGCAATACCGGCACTCATGGCCGTGATACTAGCACGCTCCAGTATACCATCCACTGGCGCGCCTTTCCGAGCCTTTCGCCTTGCCATGAAATAGGTCTTCAGTGACTCGAACGCAGGAAATTGTAATCCAGTAAAAGGCAAATTCCGTGCCGCCAACGCCGTGTAGCCTCTCCAGAGTCTTGCTGGTTGCTTTCGGAAAGTCTTGAACACTTCAAGAGAGGTTGACCCTCGCTTCCCAGAACTCAGCATCTGAGCATTTTGCTTCAGGACTTCTGCCGGTGTCAAGATTGCGCAGCTAACAAGTTCCGCACCACCGCTTGCGACCGCGTGTATGGCAGGCTGGGGAAGGTAGATACTCGAGTTCGGAGGAACAAGCCCGTCGAGGCCATGTTTCAAGGCTTCGTATGTTGTGAAAAATGCGCCGGAGGAAGGAATTGTGATTAGGATGATAGAGCCCACTCCCTGATATAATCCACGAAATAAAGAACGGTTCGCCGAGCCGTTGGTATTCTTGTACAGTTTTTCATAATTTTGTGATTGCAGACGTGTCTTGAGCGTGTCTAGAGGATAAACAAGTAGATCGACCGTGAAAGCAGCAAATGCCCCAGCCTGTGCCGCAGTTAGTACAACATCTCGGACTGAAGGGGCGCTCAACTCGCCAACCAGATATCCAAATTAGTATTGGAAGACATTGAAAGCCTCCCGGCGAAACGAGCACAATGAAGAAACAACCTTATGTACAGGTCTATGTGCGAACGAAGGGCGGTTCCATGAAGGTCAATGATGCGGACAAGAAAATATGTTGTCGATCGTCATATGCTTCCCACCGTGACACTGCCGAATATTAGCCGCGCATTGATAAAGACCATTTGCTTTTCAGCACATAGTATAGCTTCTCCCAGCCTAGAGGCATATCAATAGCAAGATGCCTATATGCCTACTCCTACTTCATCGCTCTCCCTGCCCTTTGCTCAGTGACCAAGGTCTTGAGACTGTGCCTCACGCTCTGAACATATGATAAGACGATAGAGCATGATATCCTGGTGACCTTGCCAGTCATCTCAGGATAATGTCCCTTTTGTGATGGATGTGTCACAATGATATCAATAGCAGTAGCGGGAGGACATCAGTTCAAGTTGAGCGCCATGTGCTTCGTCTTCATTTTCAACGCGTTCCCACAGCCTGTATTCTCTTGGCACGTGATATGTCTCTCCTCGCTATGCCTTCCTCGCTTTTTTAGTTCGGCAAACCTTCCATTCTCACAAGTCCTCCGCAAAAATGTCCGCACCCACAAAGGCCGATGGCCATGGCCATGATGAACCAACCTTCATCAGATACTCAGCAAACATGGCTGCCACTATGGAGTAAGTTCTTTTTGTGTCAAACGCTGGTATTCAAGTATGCTGACAGACTCGCAGGAAAGACACGCCGCCTCTCAAGGCAGTCCAGCTCGAGTCGCTGGTAAGGACACCCTCAAAATCCTCCATTCCCCCCCACTCACAAAGGCGACAGGTCGTCATGAAAGTGATCAAGCACTGTGCCACGCGCTTCCCTACCGTCGCGACAGGCTCTCTCGTTGGTATGGACAACAATGGAACCCTCGAAGTCACCAATTCTTTCCCATTCCCCGTCGTCGACTTGCCGCCAGAGGCGCAGTACGAGCAACAGCACTTCAATAGCGCTGCTGCTGCTCCTCGCGCAAAGTCAAACACTCAATACCAAACCGAGATGATCAAAATGCTTCGCGAAGTGAACGTCGATGCAAACAATGTGGGATGGTACACGAGCGCCAATCTGGGTAATTTCGTCACCACGAATTTCATCGAGAACCAGTTCCACTACCAGAAAGAGTTGAATGAGAAGACCGTCGCGCTTGTCCACGATGTCAGTCGCAGCTCGCAGGGCATTCTGAGCATCCGCGCGTTCAGACTCTCCCCCCAGTTCATGACCGCCTACAAGGAGAACAAGTTCACCACCGAGAAGTATGGACTCACATCAAAATCACTTTACCCATCACTTGCTAACAATTCACATAGCCTCCTCAAATCTGGACTGAAGTACACTGATATTCTTGTGGAACTTCCGGTCACCGTTCACAATTCTCACCTCGTCACCACCTTCCTTCAACAGATCCCCAAGATGATCGCGAGTGGCATCATGAGGCCCCCGACCTCCGTCGCTGAGATCGAGAACAACCCAGCCTTCAAGAACGACACTCTCGCTCCTAACTTCGAGAACCTCTCCATCTCCATCGATCCGTACTTGTCCCAGACTGCCGACAACCTTCTCGACTCGGTCGAAACCCACCATGTCGAATCCAACAACTTCTCCTACTACCAACGTGCCATGGCTCGAGAGCAGGCTAAGATTCAGCAATGGCAGACTAAGCGCAAGGCCGAGAATGCAGCACGAGCTCTCTCAAAGCAGCCACCATTGCCGGAGGACGAGTACCTGAGACTTTTCAAGTTGCCTACGGAACCAAGTCGCTTGGAGAGCATGCTGAACAGCCGACAAGTCGAACAGTATGCGCGCCAGGTTGACGGCTTTGTCGCTGGTACAACTGGAAAGATGTTTGCTGTCCGTGGCAATCTGCTTCCGAACGAAGGAAAAGAGGAATGAACTCGAGATGAATGATTCTGATTGAGCACGAAGTGGAGTGAACAGCGGAATGATCAAAGTCGATGCACAGTGAGATGGACTTACCTCGACACTGTAATTAGCATGACATACCATAGCATAGCGTCAGGCGTTTTGGCGTTTGGCCTGGAGGACACCACGTCCAAACAGAGATACGGCTGGGTCATGTGTCTCAAAGGGCACTTTTCGACGAGGCATCAAAAGTTCTAGGATAGAAATGGCGGTTTCCTCAGATATGGAAGTCTCAGAGCTCCGGTGGTTGACTGTCATAAGACGGAAAATGAAGCATCAAAGATCTCTTTATTTGTCTTGCTTTACATCCTACATTCTCGCAGAGCTGTGCACTTTTTGTTTATTTCCAGCACGATCCTGGTCTTTTTCTGCTCGAGGTCGTATTCCCGTTACCGTAGCGTCTTTCGCGTTTCGAGCCTACCCGTGCGTGATGTTCCCCAAGCCAGATGTGCCCTTCTTTGGCGATGGGTTCCTCCGATGCGCGCTCTCTCTGTCCACTATCTCTTCGTCATCCATGGCTCTGGCTCGAACCCGCAAGACATAGAATGGGGCAAAAGGGAACCCAAATTTGCGCCGAGACAGAGAGGTCGGGCCGCGCCACAAGGCAGATGAGCTTGATTTGACTGCGGTGAGGCCCTTTCCAGTGACGGATAAATGCTGGAAGCTGCTGGTGCGAGGCTGTGGTGTTTTCTTTGATCTTGAATATCATCTTTCTGTAGTGCTTTAGTGCTTCGTCTGAAGGACGCTCGTACGCTCTTGATGACTGAGGAGGAGGGAGATCTGTTCTTGCTGCCGGAGAGGACTGCTTGCAGCCTCATCTCATCTCCTCTTTCTGACAGTAAGCTCTGCGCTTATCAACGCTTGCCTACTCAACACTTGGCTGTTAGACTTCGGAGGCGTGTATCATGAAGAATAGGGTTGTGGAGAGGACGAAGGCGTAGACCGGGAGACAGAGGCTGCGAGGGCAGATTAAAGATATCAGCGTCGAGAAAAGTCATAGATTAAAAGGTGTCGAAATGTCGTACCTGATGATCAAATAGACGCCGGAATGAAGGTGTTGACACGCACTCGCAGATTGCTGAAGAACTAAGAGCCCGCCTCTCGATGGAGCACAATGACCACTGGCATGACCTGTAGCAGATAGTACTAGAATGAATGTTGCTGAGATGCTTGCACCAGTTCAAAACATGAAGATAGAAAGGACAGCGGAAGCGCAGAGGTACATCGTAAGTGCAAGAAGAACGACAGGCCAAGGGCTCGTGGACTGGGGTGTCCTTCCAGGCCTCTTCTTGTGGTCTTGGGCAGGGAACATGGGCGTTCCTACTTCCGCAATCAAGGCGTTTGACTGCTCGTCATCTCACATTCAGGCGCTTCTGGGCTTTCCCTGCTCGAAGCACCGCTGCCGATGCACCCTTAAGGTCTGTGTGCAGGCTCTCTTTCCAGTCGTGCCGAAGCCTCAACAACGAGCGTTCTCCTGGGGATTTTGTGGTTGTTCCACGTTCTCACCTTCCTTGAGATCACTACACATATCCAGCTCGGACCACGGCAGCGAAGAGAATGTTGGAACATGGCAGACCAATACCAAGATACTCATCGTGGTCAAGAGCGGTACTCTGTATCCATTTCGCGCTTGATGCATGCTCATGATCCAATTCACACACCTGCTTCCCCCTTTCCTGATAGTGCGTGACCACCAATACTCCTGCGGTACTGAAATACCGGGATACTCCACTACCACCGCCAATAAACGCATTCATAAATTCGTCGTCGATGAGCCACCGTATTCTCGGCCTAGCTCGAATTCAAAGTCTTGATGGGTCCGGATCCGAACTTGATACTTTCGGAAGGACTCTGTGGCGCGGGTGTGGATGTCCGTTACAAGCTCTGTTCATCATCCGCGCCAGTACTTGACACATTCTGGAAAACTCCACGAAAAACATGAGTGTTACTGGGCTCTTCTGATCATCGGACAGACAACGGAAGAAGCGCTTGGAATCCGACATCCATACACGACAGGCGGCTCAATTCCAGTTCCGGGCCTGTGCGCCCTCGTCAGCGTCTCGAGCCCGACGCTCTGCTTCGGAGCCAGCGTTCAACAGCTGATTTTGAGTCTGCTTTTTCTGACTCGTTAATTGAGCCGAGAGCTTGCCCCCGGACTTGTTGGCCCTTGCAGCTCGCTCCTGTATGGCCGGAGTCAGTCACCCGTCAACCGCTATAGCTCTCAGACAGACAACCCTGGCGAGGCTATGGACCCTGCCCAAAGAGCACCGTGCTGGGATCAAGATGCTTACCTCGGCGGCTTTGGCTGCCGCACTGCGGGCGTCATCAGAACTTGAGGCTCCCTCGCTGCCTCCAAGAGTGCGACCAGGTGTGCTCGCAATGACTTTCTGCGGGACCGGTGCAGAGCTCGGCTTTGCTGTTGAGTTCGAGCCTAGTGTCCGACCAGGAGCAGAGAAGCTGTCCGGCTGATTGGCGGATTTGGAACAGAGATTCCCCATGTTTCAGCGGTCGTCACAGTGCAAAAGTTATGATGCCCCGATGATGACGGCTGGAGATGGGTCTTGAGGTGTGAATGTGGATTTGGCACACTGGGTAAGGAGTAGTAGTTGATAAAATTGCCATTGCAAGGAGCCAAACCCCCCACGCCGCGAGAGACACTCGACTGGTGGTTGCGCTTGGCGAATGCGCGGCATTGCAATACTGCATGTTGCGTTGTTGTGCTTCGCCCAAGTATTCACAACTGTGGGACACACGGGGCGTTACTGGTCGAGTACTATGTAATTTTGCAATACTACTACGTATGTAATGGGAGATCTTTTCCCACTGCAAGATCCACACACTTTTCTAGAAGCAATTGTTACCGCCATTATTATTACCGTAATTTTTCTCCTTGCATGCAAAAACCGATCGTGGGGAAGTTTTCCAGGTTATTGGAGATCGGCCACTTCCGCACTTCCGCAGCCTTGTGCATGCAAGGCTGCGTCCCGTACAGGAAACCGAAATACCTAATTTGGACCTCAGTATTGTTTTTTCCTTCAACGAAAACACCTTCACAACACCGAATTTGCTCGCACACATTCACGAGCGATCCGCCGGTTGAAATCAACCGTGGCAAAAGCCCTGAATACCTTACAACCATTGAAATATCTTTCCTTAGAGCAGACTTCAATAATTCACTTCTCTAGCGGCCAGACAAAGATGGAGATCCAATTGCACTGCCAGGTCCGTAACATACATACCCTGCCCTCGAACGTCAAGTCAGTGTGCGTTCCTCGAGGAGGAAAGGTGTTGCAAATGGGAAAAAATAGCGAATTCAGCCGAGCTGGTAGCCAATCTCATTGGTAGCGACCATTGTCCGGCCCGGCTTTTCAGCAGTCAGTTGCCTCTCATTTTCTTTACGGTCACGTACTGGGTACTTTGCAGCAGGTAAAGCTTTTCCTTACAGTCCGCGTCAGCAGGGGGCCATCCTCCTGAATTCCGCCTTCTGGTCGATTCTGCGACTCCGGCCGTCTCTTCCAGTCCGTAGCTTGAGCCTGCGTAGCTCTCTCGGACAAGGGAGGGCAAGAGTCACACGAACCTTACCGTCTCCTCAACCTGCATGGCACCTTGTCGTTGGTCCGGGGGCCCATACTGCTGACGACGTTCTATTGAAAAACTTGAGTATGGTACTAAGCCACGATTCACGCAAGCTCAAGGACTAGCAATCGTCGAGCTTGAGAGGCTGAACCAAGATCTTTTCTCATGAGGACCCCGTGGAGCTTCTCGTCAAGCCCAATCAGCTTCCTGTATGTAAGTAGAGGAGCGTTTATGCTCTGGCTCTGGTGAGTCAAGTCACAAACTTCGACGGAAAGCATTCATGGCCTTTCCTGAGGCCAGTCAAGCGCAAAGCTTCGAGTACTGAAGGTTTGGCGGCACCAGGCTGGTGAGATCCCATTTCAATAAAACCGTCCTTGTCCCTTTCTCTGTGTCTTCTTTTTTTCTTTTTTTTCCTGTAGTCCGTCTGTACACACACCAGAGTTCGATAGATCTTCACACGACATCCATCAACACCATTCACACATCTATCGAACACTTACAGCACGGACGACCACCCTTCCAGACACTCACACCCAGACATTCGTTTCCAATACACTCGTTTCCAGGAGCAGGCACTCCTTGACAACAGCAACACCAGGACCATAGGTAGGTCTCTTCTGGGCTCCCATGTTGAACAACAACTAAGTGACAATTGAAATAGCACCCTCCCCACCTTCACTTCCCTCTTTTTAAAACCACGGCCACCTTCAACATGGTCCGCAACAACAACAACCAGAAGCCCTTTGCTTGCCAGGAGTGCCCAAGCAGATTCTCGGCCAATTCCACCCTCCTCAGCCATGTGAGAGGCGTGCATGAGGGCAAGACGTTTCAGTGTGAAAACTGCAATCGCCAGCCCTTCACAGACCGTTCCAACTACAAGAGGCATGTAGCCCAATGCCAAGGGAGTGGGCTCTGGTATCATTGCCCATGGGACACCTGTAACCATTGCCAACTCCGCAGGGACAACGCCATACGGCACAGAGGCACTTGTAGGGTGGGTGTCCGTCTCGGCTCCAGAGCGTGGCGAGGAGCTCTCCCGGAGGTCTTGATTCTCGATCTGAAGATGAAGACCGATATCGAAGCCGGGAGGGTCGACGTCAGGGCCTTCCAGACGAGGGAACCGTCTGGAGAGGCTCCCAACCCCGAAGTTCCACAGCAGGCTCCTGGCCAACAGGCCCAACTCCAGGTCACAGACGAGGACCCGGCCCAACACGACGCCGCCGCCCTTGGCCAAGGCGGCTACCAGCCGGCAGCTAACGTCAGTCTCGACGACGTCGACGACCAGTTCGAAGACAACTCAAACTTTGACCAACAGTTAGCCCTGTCAGCATTGCGTCTGGCCAACGACAACGACCTCCAGGTACAAGATAACCTGGCCCACAATGGTCAAGACTTCAACCTGGGGATGGATCCCCAAGAACTCAACATCGACAATGTCGACCTCCAGGCACAAGTCAACCTGGGCCAAAATGGTCAAGACTTCACGATCAATCCCCAGCAACTCCACTGGGACAATGGCCAAGGCTGGAACCAGGAGCAGAACTACCTGGTTCCTAACTTCAACAATACCGGCTACCTGCCACAGGGTGCCTTGGCTTACAACGGCCAGGACTGGAATCAGGAGCCAATGCTCCAGAATCCAACCTTCGACAACGCCGGCCATTGGGCACAGGGTCAACAGGGCGCCCTGGGAGATGACATGTTCCTGGGCCAAGCCCAGTATCAAGTTTACAACAACGTCGGCCTTCAAGGTCAATTTGATCAGGGCAACCAGACGGCCTGGGGCTCAAGGCCGCAACAACAATTTGTCGGCAACCAGGCCCAGGACATGGTCTTCCTGCCTACCATGAATCAAAACGTCCAGGAAGATTTCTGGGATGCTGCCGTCTTCTAGGGACAAGAAAACTCTAGCCAGCCGACAACGGACGGCCAGCACCAACCTAAGGATTTTGATTCGTGGATGGCCATGCAAGATGCCATGGATCTCATGTGGTGTACACCTCACTCAAACAACGACAATTCCAGTGAGAGTTGCCCAAGGGGTCTTCAGTGGAGAATCAGCAGGAGAATCAGCAGGAGAACTTGACGACAATGCCTTCCCTATACTCAAAACGACGAGTGGAAGCCTGTTCTGCATGACTCCACAATGCACTCCCAGATCTGAGTCCATGGCATCCCCTGGCAGGAGGTACGACGTTGTCTACGGATTGATACGTGGAGGAAGCCCTTTACAACGGGCAAGAGAAAATGGAGGATTGGACTTGGAGGAATTTTTGGGATTGTACAACATGGGAATTTGATTGGGAAGGACTTGTCGACAAGGGCATACGATTGCTCCGTCGTGATTTTGGGGGATTTGGATTTGGGAATTTGGGATTGGAGGACGGGAACAAGCCCACGACAAGGGCTCTACGACTGCTTTTTGCACAGCATGGTGTTCAGGACTCGGGAGCAAGCTCTTGATAAGGGCTCTACAACTGCTCATGGATTTTTTTGAAAGCATGGAGTTTGGATCTGGGAAGCAAGCCTACGACAAGGGCTCAACAAGGGCTCTACAACTGCCCTCGATTGTACATTGTTCAACATTGTGGGATTTTTGTGGATTTGGAATTTGGTATGGGACTTTTTGTACACCAGCAGCGACGGCGTCCAGGAACCAAGGGAAAAGGACAACAGAACAATTTGAAGGGAAATGGGAATGGGAAAGCACAATCAGAAAGAGGAGGATGCTCTGCGCAGGAGAGACACCTTCACGCGGTGCAGAGTGTGAGTAGCAGCCACTGATGCCTTCGTCGGTGGCTGCGAAACCAAGATCTCTCCAAAACTTCAGGTGTTGCAGGGGGGCGGAGGACATGGGCAGGGCATGGGCATGGCTGCAGGGCCAGGCATGGGAGGCAGCGCCCCAGGGGGGGGAAACTTGGGCAGGGCAGGGCGGCACGGCCAGGCGTGGAAGGCACTGGCCTTCAGGGGACATCGAGGCACAAGCTGTGCACAGGTATCTCAGATCTGGGCTTTTTCGGGGGGGAGGCAGGCACAGGCGGATTTCCCAGAGCTGGGCCTTTTTCCCTATTCGAGCAAGTGTGGCAACAATGGCAATGATTCCACACCTTCTGGCACTCCCACATTTTTACCTTTTCTTCCGGACTCCCATCCCCCAGGTCCTCAGACCAGTGGGCCAAAGGCTTTGACTCATGTCTCTGGTACTTTCTTGGTTCTGGTGGGACCTTTGGCTGTGGACACTTTGTTAGTAGGTACCGTGGATTTTCTCCGGTACTGTGGCGGTGCCTGCACTGGTGGTGGTGGTGGGTACGAACTCAGAACTCAGAACTCAGATCTCAGATTCTCGTGGCCGGATAACCTGATCCGCAAATTTCTGGAACTCTTCCAAAAATAGCTCGGAGTTCCTTACTTTACATGTGGAGAACGATAAAATACATACCTACCTGACCATGAGGACCCACTAGCTCGTAAGACTCTGTGCGGGTAGAGTCCTCGTTCTAAACCTTGGAACTCATTTGGTGAGTCAGTAAGGTAGGTTAGGTAGTCCCCAGTACTCACCTCAGGACGACCGGTCCAACTCTCGGCCTAGTGAGGCCGACTTCGCCTCCGCCCCAAATTCGTTCTGTACTCTGGGTCCGGCATACTTGCATACTTCCAGCCGCGAATTGAGGCCTCGACAGTGCAGTTGCTAATGTCCGTTCTGAACTGGAAGGTATTCCCACGATCGAGTTGCGAGGATGAGGATGAAAGACAAGGCATTCGGGACCATATCGCATTTACAGGTGGCATATAACACGAAAAGCTCCCCGTATTGAATCTCCATCAGTGGCAGCGAGGACAGGGAATCAATGAAAAGGTATCTCGTGCGGCTTCACGTTCGCATTCAAACATCTACAGACCAAAAACTGTGTTAGGTGCTTCCTAAACAACAGAGTATCGTCCACCAGTTCGCTCAGAAGCATCTGCCGCGCTCATCGTGCCCTCCTTCAACAACCGCATCAGCTCTCTCATGGCATCATGGACGACAACTTCCGTATCTCCCTCCACAAGAATGTACAACTTCGGATTGTCGTTTGGCCCAGGCTCTTTTCCAGCCGCGTAAAATGAGCCTTTCGTCGTAATCGACGTGCCCGTTGCCTCGAGGATCTTTGCGACGTTCGTCCGATTGGTGACGGCCCAGCGTGCCTTTTCTGTAAAATCTGTTAGTTCGTGGTCGAGAAAGAAAGGGCAAGAACAACTTACGAGGGAAATCGTTGATTTCGAGTGTAGCATGGAAAGCGCCAGCATCGGGTCCTTTGTTGTCGATAGGCACTCCAGAGCGCATGATACCCGCCTTTGAGAGCTTCTCATTGATCGCACCGACCGCTGCGGCGACTCTGTCCATTTGGTTCTTCGGTCCGGTCGCTGCAGGTTCGCGCTCCGTTCGGTGGACGGTGATCTTGCCATCCAGATCAATGCCCTTCGGCACGCCAGGGAGACTGCTTGAAGGAGGCGCATCCGAGGCCTTCACGCCTGAGGCGGCTTTGGCGAAGATCTCGTCGCCAACCGTGACGTCCCTGCCTTCTTCTTTGTCTTCTTGCTCGTCTCCTTCGTCACCAGTCTTGAAGGTCTTGCGCTCACGAGCCTTAGCAGCATCGCGCTCCTGGTCAAGTCGTTCAAGCCCCTTGCCACCAAATCCTGAGGCTCCCGCCCTCTCCTTACCAGCTTTCACTTTCTCCATGAAGGTGTCGACAAGCTTCTGCACAGACTCTGGCACGGGCTGGCCGCTCTGTTTTAGTGCCTTGGCGATGTCGACGGCGTATCGGTCCTGTTCTTCTGTCAGAAAGGTCACAGCAGTCCCCGTGTTTCCTGCTCTGCCTGTCCGACCAGCGCGGTGTACGTAATCTTCGAGATGGTTCGGTGCATCGTAGTTGACCACTAGCTTTAACTGCTTGACATCGAGACCACGGGCTGCAACCGAGGTAGCAATCAGAATCGGGACCACGCCAGCTTTGAAGTCGTCAATGGTCGAGTCTCGATCGATCTGATCTTTTCCGCCGTGAATTGACATGCATGGGTAGCCCTTCTTCATCAGATCTCTGAGCAGACCGTCGGCAGATTCTTGTCGATCAACGAAAATGAGGGCTCGGTCATCTTCGTTCTTGTCATCTTCGTATAACTTGCCAAGCAGTTCAAGCAGCCGGACAAATTTTGTGTTCTCCTCACGGACTTCGACAACTTGGGTGATCTCGGGAGCAACAACGCTGCGACCGCCGACCACAATCTCAATGGGTTTGCTAAGAGTCTTTCTCGCAAGCGCTTCCATCTGGCGTGGGAAAGTTGCCGAGAACAAAACCGTCTGACGATCAGGTCGGATGTTGGCTAGAATTTTCATGACTTGAGGTTCAAAACCCATGTCAAACATTCGATCAGCCTCATCGAGCACAACATAGGTGACTCGCTTCAGATTGGTCACCCGCCCACTGTTCGCGGCAAGTAAATCGATCATTCGACCAGGCGTGCAGACAACTATTTCTGCTCCTCGCTTTAAATCAGCAATTTGATCCTTGATGGGAGCACCACCGTAGGCACAGACCGCCCGAAGGCCAAGTGCCCTCAAGAAAGGCTTACACTCTTTGTGTATCTGAGTAGCAAGCTCTCGAGTCGGGCTAAGTACAAGCCCAATGGGTCCATCCAAGGGGTCCAACGGACGTTGATCCTTGATATGTCGGAACATGGGAAGAAGAAAAGCAATAGTTTTGCCAGATCCAGTTTTTGCGACACCGATAACGTCTCGGCCTGACATGATCGCCGGAACAGCTTGAGACTGAATACTTGTCGGTGCTTCGTATCCCAGCTTCTGGATGACCTCCAGAACTTGAACACCAAGACCACATTGCGCCCATTTTTGCACGGGCTTGGGAACATCAACACCTCTGACCTTGATATTGTCAAGTTCCATTCTCAGGTTGGCAACTTCTTCCTCTGTCCAGTCTGCCATATCCACAGGCTCGGAGTAGAAATTACGCCTGAAGGGTTGATATTGGACCTTGGCATGATTCACGGCGGGAATATCCTTTTTCTTCTTTTTGGCGGCAGTGGAGGCTAGTGACAGAATACTGTCGGGGTTTTCATCGTCAACGGCAGTGAGGTCGATTCCATCATCTCCAAATAGAGCTTCCGGCTCTTGTTGCCGGGCTTTCGACATCGATTTCATGGCAAATGACCTGGTAGCCTGCACAGGCTGAAGATCTTGCATAAAGGCGTCAAGTGGGTCGATCTCTTCCTCTTCTTCTTCTTGACCGTTTGCGTTGGCCACAGCAGCAGAGGCAGCAACGTCAGCCATGGCGGTATCTTCGCCACGTTCAGCTTGACTTCGCAGTTCCGCAGCTGCACGAGCGGCAGCCATGCTCTCCTCTGACCCTTCATCCTGCATATCCGCATCCTCATCGCCTTCGTCCTCAGCGGGGCCGGCTTGCGCATCGTTGGTGCCAGTGTCTTCGAGAGCGAGGTTAGGGAGTTTCTCCAATTTTTTCTTGGTGCCTTCATCGTCTTCAAAATCCAACGCTCTTTTTGACACGTCGGTTTCGAGGCCGGCTTTGGTTCCAAGCCCGAATTTTCCCAGAGTACCCTTCGCTTTGAGTGACTTAGAGGCTGAGACACCATTCGCAGGAGATCTCGGTGAGGCCTCGGCCATTGGCACATGGCCGTTGACGATGGCTGGTGCAGCAACGTCGCCACCCAGGACTTTGTTTGCTGACGACGTGTGGTGTGCTTTCTTCACGATAGCCTTTGGGTCAAATTTGCCGGTATAGGGGATGGCAGCGGAAGACGGGGAAGCTGGTGTCGCTGGTGTCACCGGTGATCGTGGCGAAATAACTGCTGGCGAAAACCCTGCTCTTCTGTCAATTTCGTTCAGAATACTGCGTGCACCACCCGCGGCCTCGAGCTCTTTCTGTTTCTTGGCTTGTTCTTCGGCCTGCTTCTTTTTCCATTGTTCCAGTTTGGCAAGTCGAGCTGCTTTCTGTTCTTCGGCGGATTGCGCAATAGGTGTTGAGGGTTTAGAATTCTGTAAAGGTTGATGAGCGCTGTATGAAATACGAATCCGGCCAGAACTCACCTCTCTAGACACATCTTTGGACTCTTTGCGAGCATGTCTGTCCCGACTGTCCTCCCGCTTTCGTTTTCGGGACTCGGTAGATTCGTCTCTAGGCCGGCGATCTCTGTCGCGAGAGTCGTCCCGCCTGGGACGTGTATCTCTATCTCGGCTTCGACGACGGTCTTCACCGCCTCTTGAGCGTCTGCGGTCTCGAGACTTGTCCCGTCTTGAATAGTAGTAGTCATCATCTCGTCGGCCGTCGTAGCGGCGGTCTATTGAGCGGTCTCTTCGTCGGTAACCCTCACGGTCTCGATCTCTGTCTCGATCGCGATGTCGTCGCTGTAAGATCTGGTCAGCGAGTCTGGTCACGTGGAAGGACGAATGGTTAACATACATCAGGACTCCGAGATCTTGAATGCCTCCGGCGGTGACCACGGTCATCGTCTCGCCGACTCCTCTCGTATCGATCCTCATCTCTCCGGCTTCGTTTTGACGAGGAAAATGAACTGCCTGCAGGTGATGGTGAGCGAGTGTCCCCGTGCCTAGCCATCCTGTGGCTGCAGATAAGTGAGCTTTACTGCTAGAACCGCAACCAGGACCAGGCTCGAAATGGAGAATCTGAGGCTATGGCGGAAAGTCGGGTTGTCAAGATGTATCTCGATGAAAATCAATCGAGAGCGATCAAGCCGCTCGGTCTAGGTCCGTGTGGGATGAGGGACCGCCATTGATATTGTTGATGTTCGTCTTCTTCAATCTTTTTCCCATCGGACGGGATCACAGCCTAGTTTGCAACTATGGCGCGGCAGTGTCCCCGCATTTTTGCCTGCGTAGTCGGCACTACGTTATTCCGGGCCCGGGGGCCACATCACGTGTGCGGGTTGGTGCACTGCCGATTAACGCTCCTGCAGGTTGCAGCATTCGCGTGTCGGAAGTCAATGCGACAAACCCCAGCCACCGAGTGCTTCGACAACGGATATCATCCACCATCTCAATGCGCCATCCCTTACGTTGATAACTTCCACCAAACCCCCACATTCCTCTCACCTCAAAGCCGCCGTCATGGTGGTGCTTCTGTCTTCGCGACCGCTGGCTTCCAGGCTGCTGGCCAGGTCAACGCGAACGTTCACGCGACCTTCAGCTGTCAACCCCATTCCACGCGTTTCCTGCCATTGTTCAGGCAACAAGGAACAAACCAACAATGGGGGTACCTGGTTAGACCTCGCAGCATTCTCTAAGCACGCTAGAACATACGCGACAGCCTCACCAAAGCCAGCTAGCCGACCGAAAGCCCATACCGGACGCACGCCTGCCAAGCGCACCGCTACAACCAAGACGACCACCTCTACTAAGAAGAAAACCGCGAAACCTTCCAAGAAGAAGGCAGCAAAGAACTCCAAACCGAAAACAAGAGCCAAGAAGGCACCAAGCAAGACAGCTATTGCACAAAAAGCGCGAAAGGCACAATTAGACCTGCGCGCAAAAGCCCTGCTAGACGAGCCCAAACAGCTTCCTTCGACAGCTTACATGCTGGTATTGGTTGAAGAATCCAAAAATGGTGGACCCGTTAAGAGCAGGTCAGCTTCTGCGTCGCAGAGATACAAGAGCCTAAGCCCGGAAGAGCGCGAGGTCTGCGACAGCCTACCCGTATGTAATGCTATTACTGACTAGCTGTAGCGATACAACCATCAAGCGAACGAGAACAGGGAGAAGAACACCATTGCTTACAAGAAATGGGTCCAAACCCACACTCCCCTCGAAGTCAAGCAAGCAAACATTGCTCGACGACAACTGCGCAGAAAAGCTCAGGCAGCCGGGAAAAAGACGAGGTTCACCCCTATCCACGATGATCGCACCGTGAAATCTCGGCGTAATGCATACTCTTTCTTCTTTGCAGAGCGTCACTCGTCTGGTGATCTGAGAGGCATGACCGTCGCAGAGTCTGGTAAATTGCTAGGCAGGGAATGGAAGAATATGTCGGCTTCTGAGAAGAAGGTAGGTGTCCATGCAGCACCTGTTCTGCATCATCAACTGACTTTGTGTAGCCATACAACGACAAGGCCGAAGCTGATAAGACACGATACATTGAGGAGTACCGCACCGTCTATGGCCTTGAACCGTCAGCTCCACGCAAACGATCGACCGAGGCACTATAAGCCAATGCATATGTGAGAGGTCGTCGCCGGAAGTTCGCTTATGTTGTACAAGCGGAGAACATGTCCTGGTCAACGTTGTTCCGGCCTGATCTAGGTTGAACACACCGAGACCGTATCGTGTCATGTACGATTGCGATTGGGAGCGGAGTTAGTTTGAGTCTCGCAATGTCAATAATCTTTGTACGGACCACTAAAGACGGTTGTGCGGTTGCCCGGCGCTTCCTTTTTGGTCGGATGGTTGGGACTGAAGCGGGTGCATAGGTGCGAGCAGTCGCTTCTAAGCCGGTGATAAACGACTGTTTCTTGTTATGTACAGAAGGACCAATTTTCTGTTGAATACAATTCCAAACATACCTACGTTGGTATTGTTACATCTGGGAGCAGCCTTGCGGTCGACGGCCTCTAACCCATGAAGATCTGATGTTGCATGAGCAATGAGGTCGCTTTTCACTTGGCATATGATTTCAAGGGCGCGAGTCGTAACATCAGCACATGGCGGAAGCCACTAGACAGCGCTTTTGCCATCAGTTTCACCCCGTCTTCTCCTCGCTGGGCTTACCGTCCTCCTCAAGCATGTTCCTCCGACTCTCCAACGTGAACCACAGACTCCTGCTTGCGCTCTCCAGTGTCGTAGTGATACCGGCACCAAATCCTTGTAGTATAGCCACCAACTGTGCACGCAAACCATCAATCCCCCCATCAATACTTCCCACCCACCTCGTGCCTTCCATATCAAATATCTGTCCATCGATCCTGGCTCCTAGCAGGAGCAACTTCTTGATGCCATCCTGCACCGGTGGATCATAATATGTGGGCACGGCTCGCCTTGTTGGTGCTGGGAACGCAGGAGCTTGCGGCGAGAGAATCGAGAACGCGGCCTTCAAGTGCACAGGGGAGACAGCCGGCAATGTCAGAATCGCAGCTGCACCCTGCAACACCGGCGTCAGAGCATGCTCACCCTCATGTGCTTTAGCAGCTTTGAACGCAGCCTCGGAAAGCGCATGCGTTAATGAGGGATCCTCCTTTTCTGACGATATCCCTGACAAGCCTCCCATGGGCTCCGGTGGCAGGTCGCCTGGCTTAAAGTACTCGGCAATTCGCAGCGCGGGCTCGAAGATGTTCGTCTTGATAACCTGCAGCTTGATGTATTCACCAATTAGCGCCTCCGGCGGCGCCCCTTGTGCTGCAAGCTGCGCGTCAACTTTCTGAAGCGCCGATGTCAACTCGCGTCTCAACCCGACCCATTCTGTGGATTTGAGGTTGCTGTGTTGGAAGAAAACGATCAGAGGAGTCGTTTTGATGAGAGAAACATATGATCGGAGAAGCTGGGATTTTCGATAGGCCGGATTTCGGAAGGAGGGTGGATTAGCGGGCGGGTAACGTGTTAATGAGGGTATCGAGGCTTGTATTTGAGCGTCTGAGGGTGCTGGAGTGGTGGCTACAGCCGTTGCATATTGGCATCGGCCGCAGATGTATGTGTATTTGGAAGAGGTTCGCTCGACTCGGAGCTCTGCCAGCTGCGCCAGAGAGCGCAGGCGTAGTCGTGGTGGCATTTGGAATGACTACGGTGGCAGTCAAGGTGTGAAGGAGTCACGGCCCTGTCTACGACTCCCGTTTTCCAAGCTTTGATCCAGAGACTTCTGCTTTCGAAACGGTGCCTTCGGTTTGGAAATTTGGAAGTCCAATGCCTGATTGGGATACAATTGGCGCGCCGCTTTTAGAGCCGCTGTACCTTCCGGTTGTAGTCGCTGGGTCGCCAACATAATTTCAGATACTTCGGGTCTCTCGACTCCCACTTGCTGATCGGATACTACTGTAACTGACTCGGGGACATGCCCCAGTGTTTCTCACGAGCAAAAGAACAGACTCTGCTATTGCCTACCATGCATTGACAATCCGACGCTAGAAAGCCTTTCAGTGCGTATGCCGGAACATCGTCGAAGCGGTGATGGTACCATTAGCTCACATGCCGACCATGTTCTCAAAGAACTGACAGGATGTGACCACAGCTACATTGCTCTCACATAGTATAATGATGAATCCAATTTCTCTTCAATACCACCTGGGAGTATACGTCGGCCACCTACTCAGCTCACCCCTATACTTCTCGAGTACCTTGCTCTTCGAATCAAAATCAACTCCTGCGCTTTTGAGCTTCTTATAATCGACTTCTCCATCCACATACTCAGCATCGTATTGAATCTCTTCTTTCCACGCCTCCACCATCTCTTTCACATCCTGCGGCAACAAGATCTTAGTTCTTCCCTGCCACCACACCGGACTCGCTACAAAGGCAAGCATCACCCTCGGCTCGTCTGTCAAGTTTGGCATGCCCGCGTGCCATAATCTGAGGTCCCTGATCACAAGACTTCCTCGCTTCGTATTCACCTGAACCGGCGGGCTATGCTTCCTCCGCTCCTCCACCAATACGGGCTTGATCGAGAGTATTTGTTCATCGTCGCTTCCGGGACTATGTGCTTCATGCGTAGAGACATGATGACTCCCAACCCACACTTCCGTCCCCCCGTTCTCGGGCGTGACATCCACCAGGCTGATATTGATCACGTACGCGAACGGGAAATAGGCGGGGTGTGCGAATTCACAATCCGAATGCACAGGCTGCCTGCCGTGCGGAGGCGCTCTTAGTGCAGTGTTTCCGTTGGCATAATGGACCACAGGCCGAGGGCCAAGGACCGCTGCCAGGATCGCGGCCGCGAACGGATTGCACCAGATGTCCTTGAACATCAGCTCTTTCGTTGGCGGAGGGGCTTGGTCCATATTGCGCGTCTGCTTGCCAAAGTTGAAATGGTGACCAGGGTCGGCGGCGATCTCGAGTGCTTCGGGAGATAGTTTGGCATTCAGAGTGTCGACGTGCGCAGTGTCGATGGCATTGTCCAGCACGATGATGCCATCCTTGTGTAGGAAGGCGGCGCCCTCGGCGATGAGTTCCAGGCTGGCGTTGCCGGATTGCCTGACATCCTCGGTGATGTGGATGGTGTGGATGTCTTGGTCGTAGACTGGTGTGTAGGAGCCCATGTTGATGAGATGGTGTCCTTACCTTCAGGCGATGTCACAGACAATATATGTGCTCACATTTATGGAAGGGAAGCAAATTCTATCATTGATCCAGAGACGACGTCGCGATATATAATCCAGAAGAACGAGTATCGAATCATAGTGGGAATCAAGCGAGGACAATGTCCCGACCAGAAAGCTTCCACGTAGCTTATCTTCTCGATTGCTAGCGTTGCATCGTGCATCATGGAGGGTGAGGGGTCAAGCCAGTCGTAGGGCAACTGTTATTTCTTCTCAGATGGGAAGCAGCTTTTGGAGTCGTTGCACGCAAGGACGCGTGGAGATGACCGTTCGCCGTTGAGGTTGCAAGTCAGGCATCGGGGCATTTGGCTCTCAAGTGCAGAATGCTCTGTGGAGCACAAGGTATACAAGCGCTGCATGTCACGTGGGATGACGTTTCGTTCAAAAGAATCTTGGAAACAACAAATCTGGCACTGGCATCGCACCCTCCTTTTCCACACTCCCACGAAAGGCGCTTTGTTGCAGTACTCGTCGTTTCTTCGTTTCTCCTAGGTGTCGTTTTCTGCGCATATTATTTGACGCGTATCGATTTCGCTCCAGAAGCTCAAGATGGTCTACATCCGACAGCGCAACCTCCCAAAGTTGCGCGAGTACAAGTACGCCGGCGTCGATAAATCCTTAGTATCCAAGTATATCCTCAAGCCATTCTACACCAATGTCGCCATCAAATGCTTCCCAATGTCTATGGCGTGAGTATGTCTACACTCTTGTAGTCGATCATCTTGTTGACTTGTGTTGCAGGCCGAATCTTGTATGTACTTTAGGTGTCGACAGTCTACAAGTGCTAATCCCCCGGACAGATCACCCTCACCGGCTTTAGTTTTGTGGTTGTCAATGTCTTGACCATGCTTTGGTACAATCCTAGCCTCGACACCGACTGTCCTCCGTGGGTCTATTTGTCTTGGGCTATCGGCCTCTTCCTTTACCAGACCTTCGATGCCGTGGATGGATCGCAGGCACGGAGGACACATCAAAGCGGACCTCTGGGAGAGCTCTTCGACCACGGTTGGTCTCATAGCCAGGCAAGGAGGTGGATGAGAAGCTGACATGTTGCAGGAGTCGACGCTTGTAATACCGGCCTCGAAGTCCTCCTTTTCGCAGCTGCGATGAACCTGGGCCAGTCTTGGAAGACAGTCCTTACACTCTTTGGCACAGTCTTCACCTTCTACATCCAGACCTGGGATGAGTACCATACCCACACTTTGACCTTGGGGATCATTTCTGGGCCAGTGGAAGGGGTGCTTACTTTGGTTGTGGTCTACTTCCTCACATATTTGAAGGGAGGGGCAAGTTACTGGCAGCAACCTATGCTTCCAAGTCTTGGCATTCCGAAGTACGGCCTTGTCCCAGACAATCTGTACCAGCTAGCATGGAACGAGTGGTATATGGTGTACGGGGGCGTGGTCCTGGTGTTTAATACCATCAGCAGTGCTCGGACTGTGATCAACGTCCGACGAGAAAGGGGCCAGGATCCGTACAAAGCCTTGCTAGGGTTATTGCCTATCACCGTCACCTGGACTCTGATACCGGTATACCTATGGTTGAACCCGGTGATCCTGCATCATCATCTCATCCCATTCGTCCTATTCGCCAGCATGGTCAACGCTTATTCCGTGGGACAAATGATTGTTGCACACCTGGTCAAGGACAAATTCCCCTATCAAAATGTGCTCATCATTCCACTTGCCTGGGCTGTTGTCGACAGCCTAGGCCCAAAGTTGGGGCTGTGGCCAAGTGCTCTAGGAGATGACATCTACCAGGTGGCGTTCATCTTTCTCGCCCTGGGCCTCGCCCTAGGCGTGTACGGAAGCTTCGTTCACGATGTCATCACCACCATTTGTGATTACTTGGATATCTGGTGTTTGACTATCAAGCATCCTTATGTGGAAGGCAAGGTGAATGCCGAGGTCAGTCACGACACCGTCAGACATCCATGGGTGGAAGGAAATCAGAACGGAGAGGCCAAGAAGTCTCAGTGAATCGGTCGACAGAATGGTTGATTTGACGGCTGGACGTTTGTATTCATCCCCTGACAGGACTTGGTTTGAAATAATGACTTCGATGCTGGTGACGAGCTCTCTTTCAAACGGCGGGCTTATGCTGTGCCGTCATTGCTCCTCAGTATCTCGAGCAACTTGATGTCTTGGTTATAATTAGTGCATTCTCCCCTATCTCCTTCATATTTTCCCTCTCTTCCCAAACGTGTTCTCATGTACCGGCCTTCGCCTTCGCTGCACAGGGCCAGAAATCATGCCATCCGAAAAACACGAAACCCCGTTCAAGGGCGGACAGACTAATTCCGGGTCCAACAAAGACAGTATTGGTACGTCGTGATTCTGCGTCCCTATGAGTTCCCGAACAGCAAGTTGCTAACAGAATCAAGCGCAAGTGGGAAGTCCATCGGGTGTAACGAAAACCAAAATGTTGCATATCGGTGAGATCAGGCATGTCGGCCAAGTCTCCGGATACGACCAGCACCCCCTTCCATTCCACGCTCCGAATCCCTTCCTTCGGCAGGCAAATCCTTGTGTCACTCAGTCGAACTCTGCGCAGGGAGATTCGAGCGGAAACGGCGGTTTCATGAAAATCTACGGTACGGAGACAGTCACACGGAGGCATGGCGTGCAGACATTCATGAAGCCGGAGGACTTCTTGAAGCTCTCTGACGACGGACGAAGAGCACTTGTCACTGCTGGACGGGCCGACAACCAGAACGGCGTTCACACTCCACCGCCGCCTCCTCCAGTGCTACTTCAAATTCCTCCTCCACCTCCGCCGCCTCCAACAATTCGATTTCCTCCTCCAGCACCTGCGCCTACGATCCACGTCGCCCCAGCACCGCCTCCGACATTGGCTCATATACCACCGCTCCCACCTCCGCCTACTCACAAAGTGGGATTCGTCTCGCTAGAGGGCAAGCACACCGCTGCACCGAGCCAAGCACCGACTCTGACACCGTCGGATTCGATCTCAAACAGGTCGGCTAGGACCAAACCTGCAACAGTCAAGGCTACGTTGGCGAAGGCAGCTTCTGCCATCAAGCATGCCAAGGGCGACAAAAGGTGCCAGCTTTGCCGTGAACCTTCGCAGGCACCAGAAATCGATGGCGTTCGAATATGCTCTGGTTGCGTTCAGTCGCATCGCTACCTGGCCTTGCAGAGTTCAGCCAAACGAAAATCCTCCAGGTGATGTAAGAAACTGATCAAGTTACTGGAGAATGCAGCGCAAGCGTGGAGGACGTGTCTACTTTGGGTGACAATTCCTCTTGGAGGCCGCCTGAGCGGTATCAGATCCGGGGCTCTTATGGGGAAGAAACTGACGGGATAGGGATGGGGTGTAGCCATGTGCCTTTTGCGGAATATGACTATAGCTGGTGAGCGAGGCCTCAACCGGTCTTGTGCAGGGCTTTGCTCTGACGAGGAGATCATGCACTGTGAACCAGCGAAGTGCTGAGAGAACATGGCATGCCACATAGCCAGGACCCTCTAGTGTAGCAGCTGGGCTTTACCCGAGCGCGTGGACAATCGACTTACCTTGTGTAGGTATCGGCGAGGCCAAGGGTCAGAGCGAGATGAGTACAGAAGAATGGCAGACTTCACATGAATTACAACTGAACACCGGTTGGCTTTTTTTGGCGGATTTCATCATTTTGTCTCCTGCTTACTGCTGGACGTAGCTGAAGCACTTTCAAGCCACATATTTCCCAACCAGAAAAGGCAAGATACCGTTATTGGCAGATATGTTTTTTGTCTGAATCACCGTCACTCCCCATGCATAACGGCTCCCTTGCCTGGTGGCATTCTATTTTCCGCGCACCAGAATACGACTGACTGCCGCAACGGTCAAGAATTGAGATTGCATTTAGCATGTCCGGTCCGACCGCATGTGAAAACATGGTCGATTAACAACACCACATAGCGCACCATCTTCCCTCCACTGAACTCATAATTCGATTTTCGTGGTCTGTCGAGACATTCCCCAATCACGTACGACCTTATTCGACGGAAAATACCAGTCGGAGATGGATCATAAGTGAGCCGCAGGAACAAAGTCTGGATTTGAATGCATCTAGTAGCCCAAAGCGGCCAACTTCTCTTTCGTCTTGGAATCGCTGGATGTCTTCTGTGCCTCGGCGAGTTGTCTTCTGGCGACCTTCTTTCTCTCGTAGTATGCGTGGCCCTTGACCTTTCTTCTCTCCTCGAGTCTATTTCATACACGTTAGCGGTCCGTTCTTTGCCCGCATACCGACCGAAATCAACTGGAACAGGGATGGAAAAGACATACCTAGCAACAACATCCTGGTATTTCCAGCCCACCTCGTGCGCCAACCGGCCGACGGTGCAGTACTTGCGGCCGGGCTTTAATCTGAGCACCCTCAGGGCCTGGGGCACAACCATGCGCTGCTTCTTGTCGTATGGGGGAGGAATGCCCTCGAAAACCTTCAGTCTCTCCATGGCGGCGGCGCCTCGGGCGGTCTTGTGTGGGATCATGCCTCGGACGGTCTTGTAGAAGATACGGGCTGGCGCGCGGAAATGGAAGGGACCACCACGAGTAGGGTTGTATCGGGTGATCTTGCGGAGGTAGGCATGGTACTTCACTGTTCATCTGCGTTAGTCGTGCTTGTGTGGAGAGTTGTTGCGGTGTAATGTCAGACGTACGCTTAGCACGGAAGAATTCGCCAGAGATGTTGAGAGCCTCGCATCGGACCACGACGATCTTCTGGCCGTTCAAGAGCTGCTTTGCGACGGTACTGGCGAGACGACCGAGGAGATGGCCCTTGCCGTCAATGACAACCTGCGTGGTGAGATTCAATGTTAGCCTTTGTCCGAACTCAAAGTGCGCAGATGGATTTTGTCGGCGGCGGACGTGTAGTCTTCGGACTGGTGGGAGGACTTACGACAGGCTCGAATGTCGACATCTTGCCCTCCGAATTATGGGATAATGATCGCAAGTTGGCGAGGTGTTGAAATTGGTCGTTGGTCGAACTTCAAGTTTCGAGACTCAATCCATCACCCGAGAGTGCGAAGCAGTTGTGTGCCAAGCCCCGGCGAGAATTCGTTCTTGGCAGGAATGATCACGTGCAATAGTGGAGATTTGCAGATCGGAGGCGGAACTCCAACACCTTGAAACATTTTCATGAAAAAGTCTCGTAGAGCCTCAAAGGTACGACACGAGCAATGCTGCCAGTCAATTAGTGGCAGGTCGAGTATGCTGCATTGACTTTGACAATGCTTACTGAGAGCTTTGTTGCAGCTTCTCTGACTACCAATAAGCCCGTCGCCCATGCCAGCGCCTCCCTGAAAGATGTAGGCATTTTCCTGCACGAGTTCCAGCCACAGAGTGCCTATCGCCATGGGTATAAGAAGAGCTCAAGCAGACCGGGCTGTGTCTCTATCAGCGACTCCCACATCTTTGCTGCGCAAGCTGATAAAGCAGTGGTGAATGTGTATAGCAGAGACCGCGGCAATCAAGAAGCCACGGTTCCCTTCCCCGAGAGAATACTCAGCCTTGCATATGCTCAAGGAGCCGCAATACTTGTGCTCGGGACCGAGGGTGGGAAGTTGATACTTTGGGAAGTTGCTACGGGAAGATTGACCAACTCATCCGCTTCGCATCTTCAAGCTGTCTCCTCACTATGCATCACTCCTAAGAATGAGTACATCCTTTCAGGCTCAGCTGACTCAAGTATCCACGTCTGGTCTCTGCTGAAACTTGTCTCGTTCCTGCAACCCACAGGTACTTTTGGATCTGAAGAGCCGTCGCATTCACCTGTACAGACCTTTTCCGGGCACAGAGGAGCCATTACCGCCCTTTCGTGCGGCCATTCGAGAATCAACACGAATTATGCTGTATCCACATCCGATGACGGGACTTGCTACCTGTGGAATATCGACTCATGTCAGATCCTTCGAACCCTTCTTCTTCCGTCTTTGGCCGTCTCGGTCACTATCGATCCAGCAGACCGGGCCGTCTACTTCGGTTGCAATGACGGCCGCATTCAGTCCTTCGAACTCTTCCGGCATACAGTCAATGATAAGGTCTCATTATTCACGTCGTCGCATATCCCACCTATCCAACTGCTCGCCAAAGACAGCTGGGTCGCATCTTCAGAGGAAATCGGTGCTGCGAACTGTTTGACACTATCTTACGATGGAACGTCACTCATATCAGGCCATCAAAATGGGGTCATCGTACGCTGGGATGTTGCAAAGCACCGGATATCGAACGAGATCACTAATCTTGGCCAACCTGTTACAAACATTGAAATGCTCGAGCCAGAAGGGTTCCCAAATAGGTCGAAGCCCAGATACACCATAACAAACGTCGTCAAGCCAAATCTTGAGCTCACTTCATCGAGAGACAAGGGCACCTGCGGCATTCCAGCGAAATACAACCTCCACATGAAGATCGACGCGCTAAGACCAAGCGAAGAAGACAATCTCTTCAGTCAGGCTATCTTGGGCCACGGCTTTCCAACAAGTTTGCTAGACGATGCTTTACGCTCCCTTGCTGTCGGGAATCAAGGAACTGCCCCTTCGTTGGACGGCAGCCAGCTTGGCAAGGTGGAAAGGCTCGAGGATGAGGTCTTCCAATTGAAGCAGCAGATTGCCGTGTTACGCAACGCCGAACACAAACGAAAAGATCACAAGCTGGCGAAAATGAAAGTGCAAGATGAAATTGACCTGGAGAAGAGGAAAGCATACTTTGAAGCCAAACGGAATGGAGATGATGGGGATCTGGCGATGAAGAAATTCGAAGAGAAAAAGGCTCTGCTGGACATCGAGAGTGAAGAAGACGACGTGGAGGTACAGATGGATGTGACCTGAAGCGCAGAAGGATTCGAGGAAGAATCTCAGTTGGAACTGAGACCATATCTTCTGTAAGATGTCGATGTCTCGCCACCTCAGTCATCAACGGCTTCAACTCTGCCCCTGGACAATGGTCTCAGCATATCAAGAAGGATGGCTCTGTGCCTCGAATGCTTCGATTTCAGGCTACCTCAGAATTCGCCGAGCAGACCTGACGACTCAGTGCGTCAGATTACAGGGAGCCGTAGACTAGAATTCTGGATCCCGCAAAGCTTACAAAACCTACTCCACTGCATGCAGCGCCGACGAGGATCCGAAACTGAGCTTACGGAGACCTAAACCTCAGATACCGCCCCTGTTCGGTGAGCTCCTTGGCTTTTGACGACAATTTTTCAGAATCTGCATTCAAGCTTGACGGATTCACTTGCATCTTCTTGGCCTCGATATCCAAAGAATGCTCTATCAAGAACCTCAACATCCATCCATCCAGTTTATGTGTTCCTGACTCTGTCGACAGAAGACACATGTCTTGGAAGACCAGTAGGCGTTCAATCTGTGTGTTCGTTAGCAGCGGAGCGCGCGGAGTGTAAATCCAAACACTTGGCCATTCTGATACGTACCATAGCAGATATGGCGGGCCAATATTGTGAGAGTTCCATAAGTGCCTCGAAATTTGTGTTGAGCTCCCGGCTGGCTGTTTCAAGTTGATCCAGGTCACCGAAGAGGAGGGTATGGACCAAAACTGACGAGGAAACTGTCGCCATGTGGCCAAGATTAGGATATACCACGTCACAACCTTTCAAATGCCGAGACTGGTACAACAAGGAGCGAAGGATGAAGCATTAGCCCTACAGCGTGTGATGTATGTACGATCGCTCGCAGATCTTGGCAGCTGGACTTCGAGATATCGAAAATAGAGAAGTGTCGCATAGTGATGATATGCCAGGTGTATTGAGATCAAAAGCCCACCTAGGCCTCTTTTCTGTTGTCGACGGAGATTTTCATGATTCATCTGAGCATCAATCGGCAGCTTCTGTTTCCAATCTTCCAGATTCCCGGCAAGTTGCTCGACCTGTTGGTCCAAGTTGATGGTATGAGTTTCACCATTAGCGGCAAGGCGGTTGATATTGTGAATCGGTCCAAAAAGCGGGACAAGTGTTATCATCTGGGCCCATATTCCATGGTCTAGCGGATCAACGATGGCGAGTTGCTCAGAATGTAACGACATAAATGTCCTGTCGTTGATGGGGAGCTCTATCTTCGCTTTGACACCCTTCAATTGGCTGTGGAGTCCCTGCCCGGAGATGCACCACATGTCAGTCATATATAGTGACCACCAAACCCGTCGCCTTATCTCACGATCGATGACAGAGCCTTCTGGAAAAGGAGAGTTCAGGCTCATGATCTCAGCCAGGGCGGTGGCGATACCTGACACGAGCCATTAGCAGCTGATGCATCCAACATCCATCCCCTCGGCAATGGGCCAACGGTTTAGGAACGTACGGAAGAATAGTGCTTCCGATGCACTATCGCCGTGGCCAACACTCAACATCGCAACCAAGATGCAAGCCTGGATGTTCTCGAGACAAATGTTCGAGATATCCGCCTGCAGCAGCCGCTTCGATTCCGCTGCCCAGCTAGAGCCTTGACCACGGATATAGGGATTTCCTGAGAATTTGCACCCGATGGCACAGACGGCGTACAACAAAGCTTCATTGAGGCTGCCGTTGCGTACCTGTGACCGAAGAGTAGCCTGGTGGAAGATGCTATGGGGTCTACCACAGAACTTGTCCAAGTAGTGGTCAACAAGCTCAATGGCCGTCCCGTGGGATAGATCTGATTTGGGTTTTACCTGACGTTCAGGTGGCTGTGAGAACTGTCTGCAAGTGCCCACGGTAGCAGATGGTCGAGGAACTAGGGGTCGCTCGCCCACAAGCTGAATCTGCATTCCTTCGCAAATCAGTTGTCTTTGGTTGCACGAAGCACAAGCTTCACTGGCATCGTGGCGGGTACATCGGCGTTTTGCTCGTCGGCATTGAGCGCATGCCGTTGGATTCCTCATCCTCTGATCAACAGCTGCATGAGGATGAGAGGAAGTGAGATGGGATAAGTCTTAGGACGTCAGAATGAGAGCCCCATTGTTAATCTCACTCGGTTCACGTTCGCTTCCGCGGCATTCGGGTCTCCGGGAATGGCGCGATAGGATTGGCTTATACTCCGCAGGATATTATTCCACTGTGGTACCTACGGCCTCATGGGTAAATCGTGTAGTTTAGCGCTACGGTACCATTCGACTACAACAGCAGCGAGGACATTTGTGTGACAGGAGGGCCTCCTGTTCAAGGGGAGCCCAACTGCTGCTCGACGATTCAAGCGGCAGTTGTTTGGCAACCGGGTAGAGCGGGTTTCATTACACGACTTACCCATGATACCATAGTAGTAAGGCACCCTAATGTGGAATACTGGCTTCCTATATAAATGCAACAATATTTCGAACTGTGGTCAATGTCAGATCTTTCTGTCCATCTCTTCCTTATCCAGTAGTTGCTTCAAACGTACGAGAGTGCTGCCAGTGCACTCACTTTCCCTTGCCATGTCCAGCCTCCTTGAGCCAGCGATCATTGAAAAAGGCCTGACGTTGCGAAATCGAGTCGCTATGGCCTCAATGACTCGAAACCGATGTGTTGACTCTTTCAAACCTGGTCCAGCTCAAGTTAGGTATTATGCCGATAGAGCTCGAGATGGTCCTGGCATCATTGTGAGCGAAGGCATCTTCGTCGACTGGGCCGGCACAGACTGGAAGCATGCGCCTGTCATGGCCTCCAATGAACATGCCCAAGCGTGGCGTGCAGTTGTCGATGCCGTCCACAACGAAGGAGCATACATGTTCTTTCAGGCATGGCACGCAGGTATGTGGCTACCCAAGCTTAACGCAACTTGGATCCGGTATAATATCGGTCGTTACAGGGCGATGCCAGAATGACCAGATGCCTATAATGAAAAGTACAGGCCGCCCTGTGCTTGCACCATCTTCTGTCCCCGCTGAGGATGGTAAATACCACGACTTACCTGGCATTCCCGTTCGAGATCCTTTCTCGCAGCAGGGGCTCCACTGACCGAGAGACTTAGGGTCACACCAAGAATGCAAAGGCTATCGAGAACCCCCGAGATGTTATTGAAACGTATCGACGGTCGATTTTGCTAGCCAAAATGGCTGGCTTCGACGGCGTTGAGCTTCTCTGTCAAGGGTATGACACTCTGAACTTCACCATCCGAGTACATTGCCCATGCTGACTTCGTCGATAGCGGCTACCTGCCACACCAGTTCATGAATTCGTAAGGAAGATGTTGTCGTGGGTAAATCCTTTCCTCGGAACGCTGATACTCTCGTCGTAGGCGCGCCAACAAACGAACTGACGCCTATGGTGGCTCTGTAGAGAACCGTTGTCGCTTCACGTTGGAACTAGTCGACGCCATCAGCAAAGAATTTGGTGGACCTGAATTCATTTGCGTCAAAATTAGCCCTACCGACGTCCTCAACGACTCGGTTGTCACGTTCGACGAAATGCAGGAGACGTACACCTATTTGATCAAAGAATTGGTTGGGCGAAAAGTGGGCATCATAAATATCTGTCGACGCGGCGCCAACATTGGTGCTGAATCTGCTAACCCTGAGGGTTATTTGAGTTATTTTCCGCGACCAGAAGGATATCCATTGCCGTCAAATTATGATCCGGTCCTGGATTTTGGCGGTTTGGTCAAGTGTCCAGGCAGCGCTTCCACGCTTATGGCTAACCAGGACTATGATGTTGAAGAAGCTAACCGGCTGGTCAAAGAGGGCAAAATCGATCTGGTTATGATCGGAAGACCGTTCATTTACAACCCAGTACGTCACGACCTTCACAAACAGTGAGACATTGACTGATGAGTTGACAGGACGTAGTCAACCGCATCAACAAGGGAGTTTCGTTCGCAAAGAACGATCGAGGGCATTCTGTTTATTATGGGCCATACCTTGAGCCAGATGAGAACTATAATGATTGGCCCGTCGCTGCTGCCTGACTGCTTCTTGTACGCCGTGAAGGTGAAGTTTGAGCGTAGAGAGAGCTTTGTTGTATCGGAGCCCATGTATCTAGACAGGCAGGTTCACTGAAGTTCAGTGCCTAATACATACACAAGGTCTCTCTACACTCAAGGCATCGCCATCAGCCCTGACATCGACACTATCAATTGGCCGGCAGGACCCAACCACGACAGAGTCCGAAACCTACATTTCCAAGACCATCTTTGGTCCGAATCTGTGCGCTGAACTCAACGATATCACCATCTTCGAGGTAGCTTCTGCGTATCTGGCACCCGGACGACCCTTCTGCGGTCATCTCGTAAGGGTTTTCGCCGTAGGGCCGAGAAAGTTCCAGAAAGCAGCCTTCTTCTGACTTGCTCGGTCCGGACATCGTTCCGGTCGCCATGATGTCTCCTGGTCGCAACGGACACCCGCCGCGCGTGTGATGGGCGATCATTTGAGCAAACGAGAACACCATACACTTGGTGTTGCAGTCAGCCACGATATACCTGGTAGAGTCGACTACGCCGCCTGATCAGCAAAGAGAATTAATAATAACAAACTGGCTCACATGCCTTCTAGTGTTGCTCGAATCGGTACTTCGAAAATCGACTTGGTATCTTTCTGCACTAAGTAGTCTGACAATGGACGCTGCTTACCGTCAGTGACCTTTAGCATGGATAACTTGGAAGCAGAAAGACTTACATTCGCTTTAATAGGCGACGCACGATAGGGCTGCAAGGCCTCAAACGGGACGATCCACGGCGATATCGAAGTGGCAAAGTTTTTACAAGTAAAAGGTGCAGCAGGCTCATTCTTTTGAAAATCCCGTGCAGACCAGTCGTTCAGCAACACGAACCCAAAGATATGGTCCTCGGCTTGATCGACTCCTACGGCTGTTCCCATTTGACTTGCCCGGCCAATGACCATGGCAAATTCGACCTCAAAATCCAGGGTTTGGCAAGCCCCAGAGACGGCCTTTCCATCCACACGGGTCTGGCCCTTGGGCCTGTGTATAGGAGTGCCTGAGACAACGACTGACGACGAACGACCGTGAAAGCCCGAGGGTACATCCCAAAAGCTCGGTAATACCTGGGTGATGTCTGCTCCTGGCTTCAGAAAATCTGCGCACTTTGCACTTGGTCAGCTTTCCTGTATCCCCAGTTGAGCATTGCCCGCTACCCACATTGTTTGCGTGGTGGAGGCCAACAAAGAAGTCTGTAAAGTCTCCAACCGTTACAGGCAAGTGCATGATGACGTCTTTCATTGGGAGCAGACACTTTTGGCGGCGTTCTTGATTGTCTCGGAGGAGATGGTGCAGCTGGGAATCTTCCGCCAGCAACTCTTGCAGCCTCCCCCGGATTTCGCCATGGACGTTTTGTCCAAATCCGGCATATGTATTGAGGGTTGTTTCGCCCAGAGCGCTTGCATCAAACTTGATGTCGCTGAAAATTTGTTCCTGAGCTAGAGCCTTGAGATCCAGCACATGATTGCCTATGGCAACGCCAATGCGTGGGATTGGGTCGGCGGTCGTGCTAAAGACACCGTACGGCAAGTTTTGTAGCGAGAAGTCTGAGTCGACCGGGATCGGCACCCAAGAAGTCATTGTGACTATTTGGCACGTTCTTCTTTGAGAAAATGAGTTGATGAGTATCAGTTGGCGGTATATGTACGGTTTGTTGCTCGTTTGCCAGTATACAGAATTCGCCTGACACTAAGGTACCCAGACATTCGCGGCAGAAAGGTCAAATTTCACCCAAGCAGATACCAACCATGCCGACCAACTTCCGAGGCTGTGAATTGCACGAGAAACTGGTCACACATACACTGGATCTTCATTGTTAGGACAGACTTACCACTCGGTCGGGAAATCAGACCGTACGAGCGTTTTACTGTTTGCCTACGGAAAAGGACCCACTCAAGGTTTGCCGTAATGGAGCTGGCCTAGACCAGAGACACCCCGCTGGACTTTGTGGTGTGGAGAGCATTATGCCCATGGGGAGGACCTTGCCTCGACGATAGTCAACATTTAGAATACGGCTGGTGGAATTTGACTCCAGTACCAGCTGTCCGTTACAAGATCGAAATAAATGGTCACCACTCCTGAGGGCAGCAAAAGCTGCTCTACGCTGTCCTGGAACTATATCAGTCCACCTATCGTCCTCACATGCTTCGTCCAGCTTATTACAGATCTGATCTCGCCGCAACATTCGTTCGAGCCTTTACAAACATACTCTCTGAGCCGTTGATCACCATGTCGGACACCGTGACGGGCACAGACAACACTAAGCAAACGGTTGAGCACCTTGCTCTCGAGCATCTAGAGAAGGTCGACTCGAAAGATTCTCTCCACCGTAACGAATTAGGTCAAGATGCAGCGAACCTCCAAAGCTATTGGTCTTCGCCGCGACTGTTAGGTTCGATCTTGGCCTCATTCCTCCTCGCCAACAGCATCTACATTGGCTATGCCTTGCCTGTCAGCATTCTTTCGGTCATCAACGCTGATATTGGACCATCCCCGAATATCTATCTGGTCTCGTTAGTCTATACTCTCTTCACCGGAGTTCTACACCTATTCTTTGCCCGCCTTTCGGATATCTTGGGCAGACGATACTTCCTCGTGGGAGGCCAAACATTCGGCGTAGTTGGATCCGTTATCTGCGCTACCGGCAACAATGTCAACGTCCTCATCGGCGGTAGTGTCTTGGCTGGTATCGGTGGTGCCGCTGGGCTGCTGTATCCTGTGGTCATCCATGAGCTGATTCCCAATAAGCATCGTCACTGGGGTCAAGCCGCTATTACTCTCTCTGTCCTGCCCACCTTGGGCTTCGGCCCAGCCATTGCCAGGACTATGATAGCTCAGACTGCAGTGGGATGGAGAGGAGTTTATTGGTTGAACGTGGCAGTATCAGGAGCATCCGTTGTTCTCTTCGCCACCTGTTACTTTCCGCCCAACTTCCATATGATCAACAGCGAATTGACCAAATGGCAAGAAGTAAAGGCGCTCGACTATGGCGTAAGAAACTGCCAGTTGCCTATCAACAATTTCAACGCATGCTAATAGACATCCAGGGCCTTATCCTCTACTTCGCGGGTCTCATCCTAGTCCTACTCGGATTCACGTGGGCTCAAGGGACGTATGCATGGCAGAGTGCACACGTTCTTGCTTCCCTGATTGTGGGCGCCGTGACTTTGGTTGCCTTTGGGATATACGAGACCTACATGCCACTGAAGCAACCGCTGCTCCCGGTCCGACTCTTCAAGATTCCAAACATCACAGCATGTGTCTTCGTCGGGTCTACCATGCAAATGGTCTGGTTGGCACTCAACGTATTCTGGCCCATCCAGATTAGTGTACTTTTCACAACGAACGAAGTTACGATCGGTTTGATGTCTTGCACCACGGGGATCGCCTTGGTTGCAGGAGAGCTCATCTTCGCTCCTATCTTTAGGACCGTAGGGTACCTAAAGTGGCAGATGGTGGTGGCAAGTATAATGACCGCCGTCTTTGGAACTGCAATGGCCGCGGTAACGTACGAAACGGAGAGCATGGGTATCGCGTTCACGATTCTAGCTGGACTCGCAATTGGATGGATTGAGATGGTCACCATTGTTGTTACTGGACTTGTGGCTCCGCCGAACGATATTGGTGTCGCTCAGGGGTTTTTTGGCTCGACAAGGCTGACCTTCGGTACTGTCGCTGGTAAGCCTTCTCTAATTATGTGGAAATTCGGTCAAATTTCACTGATCTATCTGGTGTAGTCAGCATCTACCTGGCCATCTACAGCGATCGTTTGACAGCCTTTCTACCTCAGGAGATCGTTCCCGCCGTCGAGGATGCTGGTTTGCCCGCAAGTAGTATTCCTGACCTCTTTGTCGCCGTTACAAATGGTACCGCCGCAGCCCTGGAGATGGTTCCTGGAATGAGCAATGGAGTGTTGGACGCCCTTGCACTGGCCACAAAGCACGCACAAGCCCATGCATTCAAAGTTGTCTATCTGGCGACATTGGCCTTTACAGGCATTGGCCTGATTGCAGCCTTCTTTATCACCGACGTGAGTGCCTACCTTACTAATTACGTCAACAAGACGATACATAAGCCTAAGATCGGAGATTCGGCGGCGGCTGAAGTCTGAGTACCCGCGCCAATTGTGCGGTTCCCGTGGTTATGGATAGCTACTACGGACTATTTTGGCTACAGTGATGTTGGGAAATCGCAAACAACAGATGGAAAGTATAGCAAGTACTAGTACCCTCAGAGAGATAATTTCATTTACTGGCCTTCTACACCTTGTCGACAAATCATACTAAGTAACACATTATGATCTTCGTGGGATTGTAGAGTATATTTTGCGTAGTGGTAGTCCTCTCTTTTCTACCATAGCATAGAGATGCTATCGAAACTCATCGGAGACATGTATCAAGTTGTATACTCTCGATTGTTTGTACTCTGTTCTCTCTATAGCGTACCTGCCATCTTACTCGTGATCATTAGCACTCTCGGGCACATGGCCATTCGCGGCACCAAGGTCCTCTTTGAATCTCTTGCCTCCCACATAGAGTGGCTCACAGTGCTGCAAGACGAACAAGACTCTTGCCCACTCGGTCGGGTTCGGGTTGCTCCACGCATGAACAGTGGCCCGCTGAATGGCCACATCACCCTTGGTCATGTGCGTCTCGCTCCCATCGTCAAGTTCCAAAACCACTTCTCCCTCCATGACGATGCCGTAGTCGAGACTTTGGGTGCGATGCATGAAGCCTTTGCCGTTGGGTTCGAAGTCCACGAAGCGGCAGACGGTGCCCTGGGGCAACACGGCAGGGACAACTCCTCGGGAAACCACTTCCTTAAAGCTCTTAATATCGGCGTCGTCGTTGAGGTCGGGCGGCATGGCAGTGGTCGTATACAGAGACGCCGAGGCGAACTTCAAGTCTGTGAAGGCCGTCCATTTCGCCTGCTCTGAACTGTGGAGTGTTGCTTGACCCGAAGCATTGTGCGTGGTGATATGGATGGTTGACGGGGCCAATGGGGAGGGCTGCTTATTGATGCCGTTGGTCGTCATATTGTCAAACCACTATCTTGTACTGTCTTGCGCTTTGATATCGCTTGAAAATGCAAATGAAAGACTGTGTTTAGGTCTTCGCCGTGCAGAGATAAACAAAAGCAGGGAGCAGATCAGATGCACCTTGGGCTCTTACTTCTACCACTGCAGCGAAGTGGATCGACGAGACAGCGGACATGATACTACATTCGATAGAGCCGACGCCGCAAGGCTCCGAGAAGCATTTGGAATTCATCAGCCAGAGCATTGTACGGCAAACACGCAACCTCGAGGATCCATGTGCCATTGTCGGCAAAGTCGTTTGAGGATACGGTGTATTCCAACCGCATTTGGAGGAAGACTTTCTGACCCCACCACATCACTATTGGTGTGGGACGTCTTGGGATGACCACTCTGCAAAGATCCGAGCAGCCTCTCCCCCCTCTTCTCTCCTCCTTTTCCGCTCCGGCAAATATGGCGACTTCGGATCGACAAGCCTGGCTCAGCAGTTTTCCATTCACTTCAGACGGAAGATCCAGAAGTGATGCTTCCAGAGTCCCTGCATCTGACAACACGGAGGCTTGCAAGTGACATGCTTTGAGAATTCGGCATCAGGTGATGACAAATATTGTATCTCAACCTTCCCTCTCTCTGATAGTATTAGGGTCAGTCGCTGCCGCCTTGCGATTACGACCGCGACATTTGCACAAAATATCCCCTGGATTTGGCCACGATCGTGATGTCTTCCAGCCAGGTCAACGTCTTTCAATCAACTGCGCTGTTGGCTTTGGCCGTGGCAGTAATCTCGATGACAATATGGGTAAGTTCCATGCCCTCAAAATGACTTCTGGCTCCAGATATGAACCATTATCCAGGTCGTTTCCAAAGCAATTTCTGGCCCGCTTTCAGCGGTGCCAGGGCCATGGCATACCAGATTCACCAGCGCTGTGACGAAGTTTAAGATCTTGGCCGGGCAACGCATCTTCTATGTGCATGAGCTACACCAGAAGTACGGACCGGTGGTCAGGGTCGAACCGCGAGAAGTCGTCGTCTCGGATCTGGACGCCTTCCGAGAAGTTCACCGCATTGGCAGCGGATTCGTCAAGTCCGACTGGTACAAAAGATCCACGCCAGGAATCGAAGACAACATCTTTGCAATGACGAACGTCCAGGAGCATGCCGCTCGGAGAAGGCTGCTTGCGCGCCCGTTTAGCAGATCGTCGCTCTTGGCGAATTTCCAGGATCTGGTCTCGGAGCGCGCACGACTGGCTGTCTCCAAGATGAAAGAGGAGACTAGTCGAGGAGATTGCGACGTGATGAAGTGGTGGACATTAATGGCTACCGATGTCATTTCACAAGTGGCGTTCGGAGATGAATCTCGTCTTCTCGAAGCCGGGCAAGTAAGTCTGTCACGGCTGAACAGCCTAAGCTCGCCTCATCATTCGAGCTCTGTTCGTCTCATATGGTCCAAAGCCAGCAGCTGACATGAATTCAAGAAAAGTAGCTACATCAAGGATCTCGAGCTGGCTACCATGATCTTCGGGATTCAAGGAGAGGTCCCATGGCTATATCGGCTTATGCGCCTGGTCGCACCTGGATTTACACGAAAGTGCGATGCAGCTCTTCAGAATGTGATTGACTATGGGCTGTTGGCGGCGAGCCGGGCCAAGGAAGCCTCTCTGTCGCGACACAACATCATCAAGGGTCTACTCGACGCAAGCAAAACCGAAGGAACCACCTTGACGGACTTCAGCCTGGGCTCGCAAGCCTCTGCCCTAATCGTAGCCGGGTCCGGCACGACCGCAGTCACCCTCACCTATGCTGTCTGGGCCATCCTCAGGCACCCGACCGTGCGGCAAAAGTTGGAAGAAGAGGTGAAGCATCTGCCAGACGACTACGATGACACAGCTTTGGAGAAGCTGCCGTACTTGGAGGCCGTCATCACTGAAACTTTGAGGCTCTACGGATCCGCCCCAGGGGCACTACCTCGCACCGCACCCGCCAAAGGTATCGAAGTAAATGGCATGTACATTCCGCCGGGGGTCACTCTGACTACACAAAGCTATACCATGCACCGCGATCCTTCGATTTTTAAGAACCCAGAAATGTAAGTATAAAATCCCGGAGATCCTCTCTGTACACCATTTCCAAAGTCCGGCCCCCTGGTAACGTTCGAGTTCAACCCGTAGGTTCGATCCCGATCGATTCTATCTGAAACCTGTTCAGGGTGCGCAGAAATATGCGTTTGCACCTTTCGGAGGTGGGACACGGATTTGTCTGGGCATCCATCTGGCCCAAATGGAGCTGCGGCACGGGCTGGCAGAGTTCTTCCGTGAATGTCGCGATTTCGAGCTCTCGGAAGCGACCACGCCCAGTTCGATGGCGATGGAGAACTACTTTTTGATCAATCCGGTCAGCAAGCGCTGTATGGTCAAAAGAACAACACCCTCAGATAGTTAGTTAATCGCTGGTTTTGAACTCATAATAGCGAATAAAAAGAGCATAGGGACGCATTTTACCGGACCAGAAATACGAAGACAGCAACATAAGCGGTGCAGAAGCCAAAAATTTCCATTGGCCTGGAGGTGGTGACGATGAAGCAACGAATGATTCGAGGACTCGGAAATCTCTCCTTCTCCTGCGCTTTCAGGCTGCGTAGTATGCCGAGTCGACCGGGAAAAGGGTGGGGTTCTGTGGCTTGTGGAAGTCTTGGGTCCAACATGGTTCCAAACTGGGGTACGCAGTCGCAAAGCTTTTGTTGGTAGCTTTGCCTCTTGCTTCGTTTGCCTCCGAACCTCGAGCTTCTCCGCGAGAAGTTGATTCCAAATCAAGCAAATGTCATGCGAAGACTCTCGTGATGGAGCGAAGATCTCGAACACAATTTCTTTGACCACTTCAAGAAACTGGGTTCCGATCCGAGATGATGATGCTCCCTACCAATCTACTTGCTATTCTTCACCTGGATCAATTGAGCCAGTGTTCCAGCCCTCGAGCTCGAAAAAATCTAGGCTGCCCAGATCTGCGTCAAGTTGTGAGAGATCAGGGATCTCGCCGTTGGGAAACAGGTCGAGCATTGTTTGGTCAAAGAATGGATAGTATGGATTAAGTGTCAGCCCTTGTGTGATATCTTGGTTTGGTGCTTGTATCGAATGTGCCAATCCTGGATCTGTTTGGCTGTGCTGATGCCACAGCTGTTCCTGTCGTTGATGTTGCCGTTCGTCAATATTGACCTGCTGTGAGGTGTGGTTGATATCTCGATTCGGTTCTTGCATGTAGCCGCGTCTTTGAATAACATCCGGATACACAGCAGCAGGGCTGTTTTCTTGCGGTTGCTGTCGACTTAGGTCAGTCTGCAGGCGGTCTATGCCCTCATCCGAAACAGGCCGCCTCATTTGCGACTGGCCCTCCTGTGCCAGTGGTTGAGTCCCAAGATCTTGAATCTCGTCTCCTGAGTCCACAAACCCGCTTCCTGTAGGCCGCAGAATGTCGATGAATCCAAGGATTGATGCGTGAGCATAAGAGGCATTGACTTTGAAATCAACCAATTTCCTGATCTCAATGTTCCTAGGCTCATCCTCCAGTACAGTCGGATGCCTTCGGTGAATTTCGTATAAGCAACTTACGTGGATTTGCTAGAGATAGAGTAATCAGCAAAATTCCCGACTGAAATAGAGAGGAGACGTCCGTACAAGCAGAGCGGCAAATTTCCAATACACAGCCACCGTCTTGATCATTTCAATGTTGGCCTTGACATTGGCATGGATGCGGCTCTGCACCATTGAATTGGAGCACCACATGAACGGCATCTGAATTGCACATCCGAAGTATGCTGCGTATGCAACGAAGGTCGATATTGCACTGGGTCGAGTGTTGTTCGAGATCACTGCTTTGATCAGTTCTGAGAATGAGCATGCCTGTTCGAAAGCCACTTGAGCCGAACACTGCCGAGCAACCAGCCAACCACTGTCAGCCTGACTCCAAGAGAATAGAGGCACGATGGATGCATGTAATGCACCGAGGGATTGGTAGTATACGGCGTTGAGTAGCAAGACCCTGGTGAAGAAGTGCGTTTGGTTTGCCATTTCCGCAACCTTGGATGTTGTTAGTTTGAAATCGGGCGTCACTTGTTGCCACCATTTCGATATCTTCTCATCTAGCTGATGGATGCCTGCGACTCTCTCGCTGGCCTCCATGTCCCGACACTTGGTAAGGGAATGTACCGAGCACCTATCGACGGTCAATGCCTGCACGTGAAAGATCAGGTAGAGCTGCTTTCACCACAGTGTCAACGCTTTAATAACTTCAGCATAGAGACTTCGGCCGATGGTCCCATTGCTCCGGGCTGGATTGAGACAGTCAGGAGGACATCGAGAAACGCCGGCTTCAAAGTCCTCTTCGGACCATGGCAAGTTCAAATTTGCCAAATCGGCGATTGGCTCGAAGAACGACAGGTTATCGGCGGACTGACATTGCATGAGATAGCAGGCCCACAAGCGCCGACGTCGTATCTCAGCTTCGAACGCGTTGTCCCCACGTGAGAGTCCGATGACCTGTAACAGTTGACATGCAACTCCTGTGCTGAAGTTAAAATGCGCAGCAAGACTTGCAGAGCGATGTTGATACCCTTGTAGAATTGACTGACCCTCCAGGAGCCTTGACTGTACCAGAACAGACCCAGAATAACCAACGTTACGATCTTCTCCTCGTGAAGGTCCTCAGGTTGTTGAAAGACGAGTCTTCCAGCCTTTCTAGCCCATTCAACCATGAAGCCGTGGTCTTTCAAGGTTGCTTCGCCATGTTGGTCTCTGTAAGAACTGAAAACCATTGAATTGACCTCAATGCATGATCCAGATTGGTTGCACTTACTTTGCGGCCCAGGCACAGACACTCAAGACGACATGGGGGGAGGTCCTTCCTTGTTCGAGCGACTCGAGAAATAGTCTTTTATGCAACAAGAGAGTAGCATTGTATGCGTCCTCAAAAAATACTTCTACTAAGAGTGACATCAAGGACTTTGGTATCCCGAGATCATAGTGGTCGATTCCGGAGTAGTTCGGTAGTGTTGAAGACGTGGGAACAGGTCGACGTCCGTCTGATCTTGTCGTGCCATCGGCGGTGCTTTTACTCTTCTGTCCTTTTGGACTTGACGTTATGGGTCTGTTGATGCTCGCCGGAACGAAGACGTGGTGCTTCCTCGAGGGAGCGGAAGTGCCACTGTAAGAACATGTCTGTTTCAGCCTCGAACAGCGTTTGCATATTGGCCGCTCTCCTGTGCAACGTATCTTTGGCCGACGATGTTTAGCAGTGCACAGCGTGGAGCAATGAGGTATTGGTGGAAGTGTCGGGCGCATTACCTTCAGGCTATGACATGTACCGCAAGCTGTTCTCGGCCGTCCGATAGAGCTCCACATTTTGGCGAACGACTGAGGTGGTGGTCTGAAAGTTGAAGAGGTCCTGAAATGGAGGTTCCCTCATATGGTAGCTCGAAAGAGGATGTAGGGGTTGAACCAATGTGGGGAGCCACCTAGTATAAGTAGGTGAAGTAGGTAGGGCACCTACCGAGCCTAAAGTAGACGAAGGATGCCTAATGCACTCTACTTAAAGTTAAGTCCAACGCGCCTACGCCATAGACATCCGTGCCTCAGATATCTGGCTAGGATACTCCGTACCTCCCGTATCAATAGGTACCTGTACACCCCTTCCATGCGCGGCATGGCCAAGTTCTTCAACAACTGTTGGCTTTCGAGTTACCGTAGCTGAGACCAAGAAACAATTCATGTCCTGGCTGAAACTCAACACACGATAGATTCCAAAATCACAAGCGTGACCCGGCTCGCGCAAGCTGGGGGTGAAGCACAGGGCGGCATCACCCACATCCCAATTCGGGATGAGGCCCTGATCGCTGCTTTTACTATTCTTGGCAGTCACGCAGTCGAGGTCTCGCAGCCGGTGGAAAAAGTCTGGCGCTCAAGGAAAGCCTCACACTCATTATTCCCACTACCTTACATTTGCGCGTTCCTCAATCGCTAGGATCTCGAGCGTTTCGAGCTCGAGACTGCGATCACTACTGCCTTTCGTCACGGTGCCTTCTATCTTGTCCACGAAAATCTTCATTTCTCCCCTCCGTATTTCAATCTTCGCAGCCGGATCTGCATTTGAGCCTTGCTCGAAGCCGGCTATTTGGCGAAGCACTCCGCTCCTCCTCACATTTGCCTCACAGAAGCGCGGCTACGCTAAAAGAAAGATGCCTCCTAAGAAGGCAGTTAAGGAAGAGAAGATCCTGCTGGGCAGACCGGGCAACAGCCTGAAAAGTGGTATCGTATGTAGGGACTGCCCTCCTCAAGCTCGAGACCGAGGCTGATATCCTGCCGTCTAGGTCGGCCTTGCTAATGTCGGCAAATCTACACTGTTCCAAGCTATCACAAAATGTTCTCTGGGCAACCCAGCAAACTTTCCCTACGCAACCATAGATCCTGAAGAGGCCCGAGTCATTGTGCCGGACGCTCGTTACGACTGGCTGTGCGAACACTACAAGCCCAAGTCACAAGTCCCCGCCAACTTGACAGTCTACGACATTGCCGGTCTGACTCGAGGATCTTCAACTGGTGCCGGTCTTGGAAATGCTTTCTTGTCACATATTAGAGCCGTAGATGCTATTTTCCAAGTCGTTCGGTGTTTTGACGATGCCGAGATCATTCACGTCGAAGGAGATGTCAATCCGACGCGAGATCTGGACATCATCTCAGAGGAGTTAAGGTTAAAAGATATTGAGTTCGTCGAGAAAGCAAAAGAAAATCTATCAAAACAGACGAGAAGAGGCGGTCAAAGTCTGGAGATGAAGAAGTTGAAAGAAGAAGAGGCTACAGTCGACAAGATCCTGGCATGGCTTAAAGACGGTAAAGATGTCAGAAAGGGTGATTGGAGTCCCAAAGAGGTAAGCTGATTCCGGTCATTTGCTCTCCTTCAGTCTATCATGATGAACAAGAGCCATGTGCTCGAAATAATCCCAGCTCGTCGACAGCAGTCTCGCTTTATATCTCACGTTAGAGACTGCTATGAGAGAAAGTCCAACCCTGATTTTAGTCCCTACCAGCCCCATCTACTTCGCAATTCTCGTTGGGTCCGTGACTGACCTTCTTTGAACAGGTCGAAGTGATCAACCCATTATTCCTGCTCACTGCCAAACCGGTTGTCTACCTGATCAACCTGTCAGAAAAGGACTACCTCCGACAAAAGAACAAATACCTTCCTAAGGTCATGGAATGGATCAAGACGAATGCCGCGGGTGACCCGGTCCTGCCTATCTCTGTTTCCTTCGAGGAGCGTCTCGCCAGCATGACCGATGAGGAGGCAGCCGAAGAATGCAAAAAACTTGGCGCGAAATCCGCCCTTCCTAAGGTGATTGTGACTATGCGTACGGCTCTCAATCTAGCCAGCTTTTTCACAACCGGTACAGATGAGGTCCGGCAGTGGACAATACGGAAGGGCATCAAGGCTCCCCAGGCTGCAGGTGTGATTCATACGGATTTCGAGAAGACCTTCATTCAGTGTATCGTATACAATTATGATACGTTGAAAGAGTATGGAGACGAAAACGCCGTGAAAGCGGCAGGTAAAATCATGACCAAGGGCAAGGAATATGGTAAGCATGCACAATTATTGCGGATTTCTCGTTGATCATCGACGCTAACGGCTTGACAGTTGTCGAAGACGGCGATATCCTCCTGATCAAAGCTGGTGCTGCCAAAGCTTAGGTTAGCAACGCCTCTCACGATACAAACCGACAAAGACTACAATGCTCAGCGGGGGAAAGAGTACGACTTATTGACTTTTGCCAGAACAGCCAATGCCTCCTGTGTCTCGATCTGTAGCATGGTCGGCGCCATTTCGTTCAAGTCTTTTAAGCCTTTTACGGATGCGAAGGACAATATCAAAACGCAGTGACTGTTTGCTCAGATCAAGGATAGAGATTTTGTTGATACCCACATCACGCAATGACAGTAATTGGCTTGAACGGAACTTCCTCCTTCACTCGGGTATATTGTCCTCGCTTCATGACCGCAGTCGTATGCATTACATTGGATTCCTGCCATACTATCTTGCAATCATTCAATCCACTGCAGTGTGCCCGGTGCCCAGTGCGCTGTGCGGCAGCCATGCCATGCCATGCAGCGGTTCAAGTACTGTCCACAGCCCTACAATCATCTTGCCATGCGACAAGGTGAGTGATTCTACCCACCGCACACCCTGGCACAATCCGCACTGCAACTCAACTTAGTCCAGCCGACCGTACACCTCACAAACGAAACACCACCTCAGTCTCGATGATCTCCAAGCCAGGGGCGACCGCGAGACGTTGGCCACGTTTTAACATTACATGCCATCAAGAACGTATCCTCCATACCCATCCCCTCCAAACGCCCGTTCGACATCCTGCTGCCACCCGTCTTTCTTGCTCAACCACTCTCCGCCGAGCCACAACCGGATACACGTATCCCCGGGCTTGACCTGCGGACTCTCCATCGGGACCAGCTTGTAGAAGTTCTCGTCTAGACTGGTGGGTTCGCACGAGCACACTGCCACTCCCACTCCCACTCCCGCATCCTCGCTATGTCCTGCACTTGCGTGTGCTTGTGCTCCCTCTGTGCCTACTTTTGTCCAGGCTTTCGTCCACCATGGTTTTCCGGTTTCGTGTCGGGCTCGCCTCGCGTCTTCTGCCGCCTCTGCTGCTCGTAGAGCTCCTGCTCCGGCGTGATGTCGTCTGTTCGTACCTCTAGGTCCACCAGCCGCCTCCTCTTGTGCTCGTTCTCCAGCTCCTGTTCCTGCATCCGACAGTGTCACACTCGCACCAGCGGGTGGACAATGCCTCGCAATATCGTGCTGATAGCCTACATCCCTAAAGAACCAGACTTGGTCCTTTCTCGCAAACATGGCCAGCGCCAACGTGTGCACGGGGGCGTCACCGAAGCGCTCATAAAAGAAGCCGCCGTTCTTGTCCAGATGGTCGAAGTACGCGCTCGGTCCCTCACTTCTCCAAAAGTCCAGCGAGCCGATCTCGAAATTGCTGAAGAACTGGCAGTTGTTGTACTCGCCTCCATTGCTTGCATCAAGTAACCAATCGAGGTCCGCGTCCGGGTGTATGAGCTCGGAATTGGCGGCGATGAAGTCCCGTGTTACAGACCACAAGGAGGTGAAAGAGCGCGCGTCGTCGAGGATGGCCATGTTGAAGCCGTAGACCAGATCGTTTTCGGCGAGGAAGGAGAATGGGTCGTAGGGGATAGGACAGAAGAAGTGCACGTCTGGCTCGACGCGCCAGTAGTAGGTATAGGAGGACAGGGCGGGGTGGTGGTAGAAGAAGCCGGACTGCCAACGGATCATCTGGTAGGGGACCTGTGAGCAGATTGCAATCGCACGCAGCAGAGGCAAGAAATCAACAGCAGAATAGACGATTCGGGGCGGATTGCAGGAGGTATATGGTCCGAGGGGAAAAGGACCTGTAAGGGTAACGTAGGATGTGAGAAGGAAGCGATGAGGAGCAAGCAACTAACATACGCTGTGGTAACTCAGCATATGGCCCTTTCCAACGCCAATCGTGCCAAGGTAGTCGAGAGCATCCATGTACCGGGTTTGATCAATCCAGGATGGCGTACTCCAGTGCTCGCGCGGGACGACATGGTATTCCGTATGGGCATCAGTTGCATTGGACGTTGCAGCCTAAAGTGCCACAGCAAGCATGGTTAGCACCCGTCTCGTACAACACTGATGGAGTCGGGTTGGTTGGGTGGTAGGGGCTCGTATGATAATGTAACAGATACTCCCAGCAAGGGTTTGGAGAAAGCGATGCGACAGATGACCTATGAACCAAGACATATTCTCCGGATAGAAAGAAGTAGGGCCAAATGTAAAAGGGAGTAGACCGACCTTGAACTCCTCGCTGAAAGGCTTCTCATTGAAGAAGATCCATGGATATCTGTACCTCCTGTTCCAATGATACTCGAGGTGTCGGATACTCTGCAGAATGCCATCAAGCTCTTCGTTGCGGACGAGACTGATGAGGGCAGCACGGGGCCGGGCGGTGTATGAGTTGGGAAATTGACTGTCGAAGGAGGAGTGGTCCTTCAGCCACTTTAAAGGATCATGTTTCTTTCTCTTGGATTTGCTTTCACGGATGTCCGGTTGCAGGATGGAGCTTAGAGTCTTGTCATTGCGCCATTCAGCCGGTAGCCTTGACAGAAGGTCATGCCGTGCTAGGCTGCGATAGAGGTGGAAGGTGAGGACGAAGATGGTGATGATGAGGATCCAGCGGCGCCAGATACTGGGATCTCGAAGGTGAAGCCTGCTGTAGACCCGTCGAAGTGAGACTGGTCCTTTTCCCGACGATTTCCATCGCGGTGCTGAGGAGGGTGTGCTGGCTGGGTTGGGAGCGAATGATGGCGCAGGGGCTCCGCTCGGGGTGACGGCACGGCGGTTTGAGGAGGAGGGCAGATCGACATGGTCAGATAACAGAGGAGGCGGTGTGGACTGGTGTGATGAGCCCATGACAAAGAACAACAGAGTCGGTCGAGAAGATTGAAACTGTTGTCAAGCGAGAAGTAGACAATTGAGTGCCTGAGTGAAAAAGGGGGGAGGCTGGTGAAGACTTCAAAATCTTTCATAGAAATTGGTGAAGTGACTTACTCATTCCGTACCGTTTCATCTTTCTCTGCCGTCGTCAATAAGGGCGACTGTGTTTAAAATAGCCCACCGCAAGTCGTGGCATTGGAGCGCTTCCCTAGCAATACCCTGAAGTGCCGCCAATTCCAAGACCTCCTACGCCGCCAGCTATGTCGCAATGTTCATACAAGGAATCCTGTCATCAAACACTCAGCCAGGCCCAAGAGTCGCCTTCTCCAGACTGAAACACGCTGATTCCCTGAGTTCAGCACAATCACGAAGCCATCGTGTCCTGATCCTCGACTTCACCAGCCACAATATGCAGCATCCTCGAAAAAGGCACAATGATCCGCTGCAGATCGCGGTGTTTCCCAAGTATCAAGACAACATCTCGTAGGAGTTCTTCTCTCGGCCACCCACAGATCGTCTTGGAGTCCTCTTGCCAGTTCCGACCTTCCACAACATTCATCTTGGCTGCAGCACTCTCGCCATTCTGATCCGGCTGCTCCACAATACCCCCAATGAGTGTCCGCAGGAGCTCCTCAACTTTCAGTCTCAACCCTTCCGCGCCTAGTCGCTTCGCATACATCAGCAGGTATATCCTGAACTCGTCCTTTGCGCCTAGCATTAGCGCCGCAGCTATGCGATTTTCAAGATGTGCTATTGACACTCCAGACTCGAAACTCTCGAACCCTTCTCTGGACAATAGCACCTTGATTAGCCGCTGTAGGAAGTATGCCCGTCCGCGTAACAACGTTTCTGAAGTCGTATTCTTTTCCAGCCATGGAACAATACCTGCAGACACATCGACAGACCTCTCGACATCATTCTGTGCTTTTGACGGGTGGACATTGCCAACGGATGAATCGGTAGTGTTCCAATACTGACTTCCGACCGCCCACCATACTTCCGACAGTCGCTGCCAACAGTACATCTGGGGTGAATACGCGTAGCCGTCTCCGTTCGACAAGCTGATGATCACTCGACCCTCGGAGTTTAGCCGAGCTTGTGTGATTGCGGGTGCCCCTGTGGGATGCGCTGCCAGAGAATGGATGGCCGCATCAAGAACAGGCGCCAGCGATACTGGCGGATGAGGTGACGACATGGTCTTGACATTCCACACATAGCACATTCCAACTGCTGTGATGCAGAGCAACCAGGAGTCGTACGACGCCAGGATAACAGGCTGCGCTTCCATGACCAGAGCACTGTTTAGCCGTCGGCCATGCGGCGTCCAAAGATAGATGGCGCCTGTTTCGTCTCCCGCGGCCCAAAAGTTCTGATTTCCGGTCACTAAGAGAACAGGGCGAGGTAGGAAATCTTGCCATAGTGGCTGATCCTTCCGTGTGAGTGTGATGCGGCTAGGTTCTCGGTCTTGGGCTCGGGGTGTTAGGGATGGGCCGGAAGGATTTCGAGCTTCGAAGACGAACTCTGGTCTCTTGCTAGCATCGCCACCAGCATCAGCAGGCTTGCCGGAGGAATCGATGCCTTGGACAATATGTGACCTGACTTTCGGGACTGCAAGACGAAGCTGGCTGACACTCAGTGCCGGATTGATTACTGCGGGTCGGATGAATTCTGGAGCGACCTGTTGTCCCGTCACTGGTGGTTGAGGTTGTGCTGGAAGCAAACCATCGGCGCCATTAACGACAATTGGTGTAGCGCCTTTTTGACTTGAAGCGACAACTCGTTTCTCAGTGGTCCCTTCCTCCTCGCCCTCTATCTGCGCGTACTTTCGCTTGTTCCCCAGAAGCAGGGCTGTTAGGCCTCCCTTGGGGAGACCATCGAATGGCTTCGAAAGATCGAGAATCGACTGCGGCGCATCCACAGTTCCCTGAATATTTGCAGTTGCGCTAACAAGCTTCGTCTGCGGCAAAGACGACTCGGCTCCGCCAGCCCCAGACACCAATAAGGGTCGTATTCTTTTCTTGCCATCCTTAGTGATTTCGACCCGGTTCTTCAGTCTTTCGAGCTTCGCCTGATTCTGTTCGTCCTGCTTTGCTGCTGAATGACCGTTGACGGCAGGTTCAGATCCGTTGGGCAGATTTTCTGTGATGGTGGTACCGTTTGTCGTTGGTATTGTCGTAGCTGCTGCAGGTTGAGATGAGTGTGAGTCACCCATCAGCGCACCCATTCGTCCTTCGACGCCTTTCAACTCGCCGGCCTTGCTCATCTCTTCTAGGAGTAAAGCGTCGGTCGTTTCTGGAAACCCAAGACCCTTTCTCGAAGTACCAAACTTACTAAGCGATCGGTCATTCTCTTCAACCGGTCTCGGATAACCTAGTTCTCCTGGTTCGAACATGACAGTCAAGATTGTGCCATCCAAAGCGGTGGCAAACAGGGTTTGGCCATCCGGACTCCAAACGATATCAGAGATTGCTTTTCCTGCCACATCTTGCTGCACGACGAGTGGTCGGGGGCTACTCGTAGTCCAAATGCTCAGACATTTGTCCGCTCCTCCACAGGCAATAACTGTGGTGTGCGGAGCTACATGGCCCTCGGGTAGGGCTCGACCCACTGGTTCTGCACCATACAGTCGAGGTGAAAAGGCACAAACTTCCACCGGTCCCTCGTGACCAATCAATGTGGTATCACCGTCCCATGTTCCTCGATTGATGATAGCGATCGCGCTCACGGGTCCGTTGACCGCATTGGCGGCTGCAATGTGTTGACCATCAGGTGCCCATGAACACCTCCGAAAGTAAGTGGTTAGCGGGGAATTGACAAATGGAGCAGAAATAGTCTGTTCGAGGATAAAGTTGTTCATAGCATCGTGAGTTGTGTAGTTCTGAGTGGGAGAAGTGAATCGGAAGATTCGGATCGTTCGGTCATCACTGGCTGTGGCAAAGTACTTGTTCGCCGGATCGAAAGTGATACCTTTGACATGGCTGGAATGGTTTGGCAAAGTCTTGAGCTTTTCGAAGGTAAAGCCCGACCATACAACCACCTTGGAGTCCAGACCGACCGATACCAATATCGTCCCATCGTATGACCACCCTAGATCTTGCACGTCATTGTCGTGACCGATCAGTCTGCGAAATATGCGCCAGTTTTCCACCGGAGGTGTCTCATTTGAACCTGTATGAATTCTCAGCACAAGGTCCATCGTAATGTGGTAAGACTCAGCAAACCGAATGCAGCATGACTCGGCGGACTTGGGTCGAGTGTATATATGCAAACAATCTTGTCGTCCGCCCCAGAAGCCAGGAATTTGCCCCCGGGTGAAAAGCGCACTGTGTGGATTGTGCCAGAGTGGTAACTCATCGACGCAAGCTGTTTCGGCTTGTCATATTTTGCATTTGTGGCGTTGTAGATTGCTTCGGTCGACCAGATTCGTACGTAGCCATCTGGATGGGATAATCAGGCATTATACTCGTATGCGCATTGTCTCAGACGTACCTCCGGCTGCGGTGACCAAACGTTGGCCATCCGGGGAGACATGGCAACTGTAGACCTCGAAGTCCTTCTTCTCGCCTATTTTCATCCATTGTCAGCATCTTGTCCCTCTGTAAAGCGATATGCGACAGAATTGACGCGCTTCAGGACGCGTTGAGAGTTTCTGTAAGGGATGCGCAGTACCTCCATGGGTCAGCCAGATCGGCTTGATGATGTGCATGGTTAGACTATCTCTGAGGTCTTCGTCGAATATGCATTGCGAAGGAACGACTCAGTGCTTGGGAGGAAGAAAGAAGCGATAGAGAATCAGTCTTGGATGAGAATGATCGGTGTCGAGCGTTTGATCAGAAAATGAAGAGAGGTTTGCTGGCGCCGTTCCGCAGGCATGTGGCAGATGGGGGCGTGCAAGTTTGGGGAATAATACGTGCCCACTGGCAGTTCTATAACCAACAAGGCTGGCGAGTTCGCTACGAGGCACAAGGCTTCGGGGTAATCGATTAAAGGCCAGTCATACTCATAATGCCTTATATTGTTACCGACTTTTGAATCCCTTTGGCTGATGATACATGCAAGTACTAGTGCTGGATTGTGAATGAGTTGACATTTCCTCCCTTCTGCCGTAATAACCACGCAGTCCACTCACAGATTCTTGTGATATCTCACTTTCGCTGTCTCGTCGCCTCAAATCCTTCGAGGACGGTTTCTGCAACATCTTTGGCGTCACCATGTTGGGCAGCCTCGAGTACTCGCTGTCCGACGTCCTTTGACTCTTCTTTAGATTCATGCGCAATCGTCTTGGCGGCGTTACTCCTGGCCTGACTCTCATTCACCTTACCATAGACTGCCATTGCACTGGCAATCATACCGCCCATATCTCCGACATTGCCCGGGACGATGACTGCAGTACCTTCCTTGGCCAGCCTGCCGAATGCCTCGACATATTTCTCAGCTACGCTCAAGCTCACGGCATTCTGGGCGCTTCCTTCACCCTGTTTGATGGCATTGGCGACAGCATCGATACCGCGTGCAGTCGCCTCCGCCTTTAATAGAATAGCTTCGGCCTCACCGGATGCCATGTTGATCTGTTCGGCTTTCAGAGCTTCTGAGGCCAAGATGACAGACTGTTTTCGACCTTCTGCAATATTGATAGCACTCTGCCTTTGACCCTCGGACTCCAAAATCTCTGCTCGCTTCGACCGTTCGGCCGTGACTTGTCTGTGCATGGCTGCCACAACTCCCTCCGGCGCATGGATATCTCTGATCTCGTATCTTAGGCATACAACTCCCCATTCCTGAGCGGCTTCATTGATAGCTTGTGTTATATTCTGGTTGAGGTTCGCTCTTTCTTTTAGGACATGATCTAGGGTGAGTTGACCGATCTCGGACCGCATCGTCGTCTGCGCCAATTGCGAAATGGCGTATTCAGCATCTTCGACGCCGTAGCTGAGATGTATGTAAGCCGGACGCACTTTCTATCGCCATATTGCAGCTTACCTCGCTTTGTATGCATCAAAGACCCTCGTATACAGCACACCATCCAGCTCTAGCGTGACGTTGTCTGCGGTGATGGCACTTTGACTCGGAATCTCGATGGCCGATTCTTTTAGAGATTGGACGTATGCGATGCGCTGTCTCCACTGTCAGCTCTGGAATTCCAACTCTCAAGTACAAGAAGACGCATACGTCGATGACTGGCATTAGAATTGCCAGCCCAGGTTGCAGTATACGATTGAACTTTCCCATGCGCTCCACGATCCAAGCAGTCTGTTGAGGTACGAAGCGGATTATTGTATTAGCAGGTAAGCTCGTCTGTCGCTGGAAATAGGTTGGTGGTGATGATGAACCGCCCATGCCGAGTCCTGGAGGGCCAGGCAAGTATCGTCTTGAACTGCTTGTGAACTGTCTTCGACTCCATATTGCCATGGGCGAGCATACAAGAGCGGCGGCGAGGTCGTCATGTCGGGCGGCGGGTGAGAATCCGCGATAGCGACGAGGAAGGCTCCGGATTGCTGACTTTGACAGCTCCATGAGGTCAACTACTGCTCCAGAATGCGCCGGCCGCAGGAGAGAACAAATGGAAGGAAACGAGGCACGCGGGCAAGTCAAGAGTCGCAGACACTCTGATTCTTTTCGGCGCAGGGCAGTTTAGGCAATTGAGGCAATGACTAGGCTACCATCATCTGCCCAATCAAATGACGCGGCTCTCGACCCTTCAACACCAGATTCTCTGTACTCCGTATGGTTCTTGAGACTCAATCCGACTTTTCGCGATAAACTACCATACTCCGTACTTCAGAGCGTAAGTGATGCTACGAAGATGCTAGGCCAATATCTGTCCGATTGCATCCTACTGGAGTCCAGTCGATTCAATACGAAGATCTGTTTTGCCAACGTCGTCATGAGCTTCCAGTCGTGTCTGGCTCGCCGCCTTCCTTTCCAGCTCTACGACACCCCAACGTCAGGTGGTGGGCTGAGACTGATCTGAGGAGTTCCTCTAGAACTCATCCATTGCCTGCATTGCTGTGACCATGACGAAGGCTGGATACTTCTTTGATCCGTCGTGGTTTTCCCCTATGCCCAGTGCAATGTGTCTGCTTGTTCTGGATGATCTTCGGCTCAAAATGCTTCCCGCTTCATGCATTCCTCGATGGTATCATGTGCTTACTCTTACTGTGCAAAACTTCAACCAGATCCATCACTCTTACTATTCCTTCTGTCCTGTCATCAATACTAACTCTTAACATTGGTAATCTGCAAGGTCAACATGCCTAGAGGCAAACAAGATTCTTCTGGAGATGTACCAACATTAAAAAGAACTGCACTTGCTAGCCAGAGCGCCGCAGACAGCCAACACTCGAGACCCAGGAAAAAGAGGAATCGTTACACTCCCCACGCATGCAATCGCTGCAAGGCAGCCAAGGTCCGTTGCGACGGAAGACTTCCATGCTCTTACTGCTCCACCCGCGATGCTACAACATGCCATTACACTGCGCGGCCGTTGCCTACCTTCCAACTTGGTGACGGACCTACAGAGTAAGTTGGTTATGGAGCCAAAATTTCATTCAGAGTCGCTGAAGCTTGATAGGAATGACGAAGGTCAATTCGAGCAGAGGCTGTCAACCCTTCTTCGTCAGCAGAATGAGAAGCTGGACCTCTTAATCAAGCGGACCGAGAGACTCGACGCGACAAATGCCTTCTCTATCAGTGGACAATTTGAAAGTGCCTCTTCTCCACCAAGGGTAAAGAAGCCATTGCCATTGTTTCAGAGCCCTACGAGCGCTTTCTGTTGTATCAATATTATCGGAGCTCAAATCGAAGGGCATGGTTCCGGCAATTTCAGTAATGCAGCACTCCTTACCGCAGTCCCGGTATGCTCGAAATCATCCTTCTCCATCATACAAGGTCAAATCCTAGAAGGAGAAACGAGCGACCTAGCCAGTAGGAATTCCCCAGATCCTCCTGGCAACCCGTCTCCAGGAAGCTGCACCTTAGTCGGAACGTCTTTTGCCCCACTTCAACCACTTGATGAGATGGAAGACCATGAAATACTGCAAATGCTGAACGACTTTGAATGTATGGCTGGAATCACTTATCCCATACTCGACATGGTCGAACTCAGGCTGAAGACGCAGAACAGCTTGCAAGCTCGACAAACATCTGGTTTCAAGTACTCATCAGGCAATCCTCCGGACACACTTGAGCATTGTGATGCTACCATGCTCAAATTGGTCGTCGCCATCAGTCTGTTAGCGGAGGGCGATGTGCACAAGGATTTGGCATCCAGACTATTCCAAAGCACCCAGTCCGATGTGCAAGCCAAGGTTTGGGACGCTGTGGTGGATTTGAAAGACTTGGGCTTGCTGATCCTCGTGGTACTTCTCCCGAGCCATTCTCCATTGCAAGGCTGACTTCGTTCATTACAGGTCTTCTACCACTTGCATCGTGGTACTTGGCGTGTCGGTTGGAGGTTCCTAGGCAATATCAGTCGTATCATCTTCGAGCTAGGTTTAACCAGGGAGATTGTGCTTGCTCGAGTATTTCCCGATTCGAAAGACCGTGTGCGGGCTATCAACACGATCTGGACAGTATTCATCTTAGAGCAGCACCTGAGTTATGCTCTCGGACTACCCAATGCCATGCAAGGCTTGCGCCTCGATTCTACGTTCCCACCGCCGGTATGTAGTGTATTTTCAGATGACGTTGACTCCACGATTGACTAAACCCTACCTCCAGGTCAACGCCCCATTTTTGAAAGCCATGATTGAGTATGCACGTATTGGCAGAGAAGCTTGCAGCGCGCTCCTAGGCGACAATATCATGGCAAGGGAGAATCACAATGTCTGGCAAAACAGCTACACATCTTTTCAATGCCGGATCGACCGCTGGGCCCTGGATACCACCATCGATTTCCACTCTGCCCCCACGAACCATGCGACCGAGTCTGCTCGCCAGTACCTGGAAACATTGATCAATCTACGGGCGAATCACATGCGGACTCTTGTTGCTCGAGCGTTCCTTTGTACGGAGCTCCGTACGACAGCGCCGGTCGACATATGGTCGGCCTCTGTTGATAATGCCGCCGATACCGTTCATGTTTTGTCTCGGCTGGACACTTCGAGCAAGGAGTATCGCTTTCACAGACCTCAACTCAACCACTTCTTAATATCAGCGCTAGATCTGCTGCTTTTCGCATGCACATCGGATCCGTCGCGCTCGGCACCGAAGAGCGCGATATCATTATCCGATGCCACATGTTTCAAGGCTCGCCAAAGCTCTATGGTTGCTCTGAACCTCCTGCGTACCCTGGCCGAAGTTTCCGATCATTCGAAGAATCTGTGGGAGAAAACGAGAGGTGTTGCTTCTCGCCTCAATCTAACAGATTACCTTGTTCCGGACCAATCAGCGCCTGGACAGGCTTCCGCATTTTCTCTTGTCCCTGATCCCCCCGAATTCGACGATGCAAACCCTCAGATCGAACAGATGCCGGAGATTTTACATCAATTCTATGCCGACTATTCTACCCTCAGCGGCTCTGGCATACTTCCCGTCCCACTGCGAGATAATCTCCACAGTGCTCTGAACAACGCAGCCGAATTTCCAGAGTCCGACTTCTTCCCGAGCTCCTTTTCATCTCTAGAATGAGACATGGCATATATATCGCAACAACGACAAGAACGCAGAACACGGTCTAAAGGTCAACATTATCCGTAACATCAACAACGAATGAATCGACATGTGGTCATCATTCCACAAGTCACCCTACTTCGGCCGCCTGCTTTTGTCGTTCATGAGTGGCTTCAGGGCTCCCTCCGGCAGTTCCTCCTACTTGGTCGCCGTCGAGCGGCGCAACTACCCCGTCAAGGCTGCCGCAACGAATTATCCAAGACTCTACGATGCCAGGGACTGTTCTCTGGAAGTTGTATTATTTCCTGTTCCAGGTTTCTGTCCAAGCCTCATACCAACAATTTGGCTTCAGTGAGGCATTCGGTTCACTTCCCAGTATGAAGTCTAGAAAAGCAAGGGCGACCTTCTCACATCGTCGCCATAACGAAGTGACGACTCCCACGCTCTTCTTGGCTGGTTGTTTCCCTTACGACAAAGCTGACCGGCTTTGTGATGCGAGATCATCAAACGTGCTCAGCCACAGCAGTTCCTTGTGGGGTCTTCTCTGCAGATACCTGAATCTGCTCTACTGTAAATGTCTCAACCTTCCCAAATTTTCGGAGGGAAACCCCTGATGCGAAAAGCTGGTCGACCTCTTCGAGACTGCGCCCCTTCAGCTCTGGGACGAACAGATAAGCCAATACCACCATCGCGCAGCAGATGGAGCCGTAAAGGAATCCCACTTTGGCACCCAGAGCGGCATAAGGGGCCTTGAGCAGATACGGCAGGGTAAACGAGGTCAAAAAGGTCGTGGAGATGGAGATGACGCAGGCAATGAGATTGGTCTTTTCCTTGACTCGAGAAGACGCTGCTTCACTGACAACAACGTAGGAGCTGCGCGTGGGAGATAGGTAAGTCAGGGTCCTTTGATCCGATCAGGGCTTTGGTATCAAACTCACCATGGCGCCCAGGATACGTTGTAGGCACAAGTAAACAGGATGAAAGCGGCAACCTGTCATGAGATCGTCAGTACCACAGATTTCCGTGCGAGGAAGGGAACGTGGGCGTACCAGGGTGTTCTTTTGACTGGCGGTAGGATCATTCACGACTCCGATGCCTCCCACAATGAACAAGAAGATGGCCATACCGAGTCCACCGACCATTAGCATGGGTCTTCGGCCTACCTGGTCGACAATGAGCCAAGTGATGATCAAACAGACGAGTCCCGAGACATTCGCCAGGATGTTGAAGAGGAAAGCTTCACTCTTGAAACCCTGTGACTGATAGAAGATGACAGAATACTGGCTGGAGAATGCTTGACCTGTAATCTGTTGTCCGAACATGACGAGGATGGCGACCCATGTTCGCCTTCTGTTGTCTTTGTTGAATACTTCCGACCAGTTTCCTTTATCTTCCACAGACCGAGCATGGCGAAGAGCCTCGATTTCGAGATCGACGTCGGCTCTATCGGCGCCTTTTCGAAGTTTGAACAGTGACTTTTTGGCATCCTCGACTCGGTCGCGGGATAGAAGCCTGTTTTGAGGTAGTCCAGTTAGTTTCTCAAGCCAACAGGATGTTTCGGAAGAGAGGGAACGCTAACCATCTGGGTGACTCAGGGACAAGTGGTAGAAGTACAACAATTATTGACGGCGCAATAAATTGAAGGCCGACGGGGATTTGCCAGGCTGCATTTGACGAGATGCCTTTTGTTCCATATGTGACCAGAGCAGCCACCAGTTGGCCAGCAGTGATCATCAGCTGGAGAGTCGAACCCATCATACCTCGCAAGGACCTGGGCGCAACCTCGCCTTGGTAGATTGGGACCACGACGATGGTCATCCCAGTCATGGCAAAACTGATGAATCGTCCAATTGTGAACTGAGCCGCCGTTGTCGCTGTGGTCTGGAGCAGGACACCACTTGAAAGCACAGTGTCAGCAATCTGAGGTGTACAGTCAGGGGGATGGTGCGATAGTACTGACATGAATGACAGTATAGCAAGCACGAGGACGGCTGTCTTGCGACCAAATCTTTCAGCAATGGGACCGCAGGCTATGGCTCCCATGGCCTTTCCCAAGAATGGGAGCGATGTCATGAGTGACGATAACCAGGCTGGCAGAGCGCAAGTCCCCGTGGTGTCATTGCATTCACCAAATCTTTTCCCAAAGCTCTGCATGCCCTGAACGGCTCCAAAATTACCGACGTCGTATCCGAAGTTGAAGGCGCAACTTCCCATGTACCTAGACGGAGCGTCTGTTAGCAGATACGTCTCCGGCCTGGCCTTCCTTGCTGGTATGAGCAGCACTTACAGCATGACAAACACCAGCGTGAGATTGAATTCACGCATACGGTGGACAAGCGACAGCTGGGGGCCGTCAAGGCCGGTTTCGCCGTGCATGTCGACTGTTGTCCTTATCCGGCGGCTCTCACAAGACTGCTGGTAAGGTAAACGACTTCTTTCTTACGGCATGAGACTCTGATCGCAGCCACCAGGGGAAGAGGGACGGAGGTGCCATGGGGCTATATACCACGACCAACGTCAAAATGGCGCAATAGGTCTGCCTTCCGCTCTATGGTTCAGTCTGAATGCTTTGCCTTGGAAGGTCCACGCTAGACCACCCGCTTGTACCACTTGTCATTTTGATGTACGCGGACAACCTTAGTTCAGGATCCTTAGATGACTCCGCACTGCGGGATGCTATGGGGAGCTTCGGCATGGAGAGGCGCCACCGGACTTCGGCCGCAAAGGTCCACCGCCGACTTCCGTCAAATATCTGGCCGAGAGCCGGTATTCTCTCGAAGAGGGTGATGCGGGAGCCGTAGCTCGCAGCTGTGCGCAATACACTTCTCATTGGGAGGATTGGTGGCCAAAGGAGACAGAGAACAAATCGAGGTCATCATTCGACTCCGTCACGGTTCTGCTCGTGACATTTTGTGGGAAGAGTTCGTGGGAAGACAACGAGACGTCCTTTTTCTTTTTCCCGTGGCCTTTGTATCGCCCTCTGTGTGTCTCTGATTTCTCCATAAACCAGAGAACTATTCTGTCCTGAGACTACTCCGTATACACAGAAGTATATCGAGAATGGGTGAAGCCATGAGTGAACAACAACAACCCAAAAGGCCCAACATCCTCATCATCGTCGCCGACGACCTTGGCTTCAGCGACTGCGGATGTTATGGCTCGGAGATATCTACTCCATCCATTGACTCGCTCGCCAGCGATAGCGGTTCAATTCGCTTCACGGAATACCACGTCGCCGCCGCTTGCAGTCCGACACGGTCGATGCTGATGACCGGGACGGACCACCACATCGCCGGCCTCGGTCAGCTGTACGAGTTTATCCGCAGTTCACCAGCACACAAGGGCCAGCCGGGCCACGAAGGATATCTGAACAGCAAGGTCGTCGCCCTCCCCGAGCTGCTCTCAGAAGGCGGCTATCTCACCTTGATGAGCGGGAAATGGCATCTGGGCGTCAAGCCGGAGCATCATCCTCTGCGGCGTGGCTTCAAGAAAAGTTTCGCTCTGCTACCTGGATGCGCCAACCATTATGGTGAGTCTCGTCTCGTCTCTGTTTTGCTCTTTGTTATGTTATAAGGCCGCCGAAAGACAGCAAAATGCCAAAAGGCGAAATAAACAAGCCACACTCCCCGAACGTTCTTTTCACTCGCTGAATGCTTACTACTCTGGGTGAAAAATATAGCCTACGAGCCAGTGTACCTGGACCCTTCGACAGAGCCAGGCAAATTCTTCGAGACTGCCACGCGCGCTCTGCACGTCGAAGACGACCGTTTCCTTAACGAGTATGATTTCGGGCCCGAATGGTACTCATCGGACGGATACGCGGACAAGATGCTATCGTACCTGCAAACCCGCACGGACGAGGAAAAGGAGCAACCATTCTTCGCTTATCTCCCATTTTCGGCTCCACACTGGCCCCTGCAAGCGCCCAAAGACGTCTGCGACAAGTACGAAGGCCTGTACCGCGACGGACCCGAAGCGCTCCGTCAGCGAAGGATAGCCAAGCTGAAAGAGCTCGGCCTCGTCGACAAGAATGTTGTGCCTCACCCTGTGGTGGCCGCCCCCGGCGAACAGGCCGAGTGGGAGAGTCTGGACGAGACCTCACGCGCGGCGTCTGCACGGGCGATGGAAGTCTATGCCGGCATGGTGGACCGGATGGACTGGAATATCGGTCGAGTACTGGACCACTTAAAGGAGACAGGTGAATACGACGACACGTTCATTCTGTTCATGAGCGACAACGGCGCCGAGGGGGCCAGCTACGAAGCCAGCCCCCTCGTCGGGACGAGCATCTTGGAGCACATTGACAAATATTACGACAACTCGCTCGACAACATCGGCCGGGGGAACTCGTTCGTGTGGTACGGCACCAGGTGGGCGCAAGCAGCGACTGCACCGTCCAGATTGTACAAAATGTTCTCCACCGAGGGCGGCTGCAGGGTACCTTTGGTGGTCAAACCGCCGGCCAGCCTGGCGCGCAAATGTTCTAAGAACAAAAAAAGAAGTCATGGTTTTGACGGCATGATCACCGACGCCTTCTGCACCGTCATGGACATTGTGCCCACCGTGCTCGACCTGGCCGGTCTGAAGCACCCGGGTAAAGAATACCACGGACGACCGATCGCCACGCTCCGGGGTCGCAGTTGGAAAGCATTCCTCAGTGCACTGTCCGGAGACGAGGAAGGAAGCCAATGCTTGACCAGTCGGCAGACGCCGATCCACGCGCCCGACTACGTGGCAGGATTCGAGATTGCTGGCTCGGGCGCCCTGCGCCGTGGTGAGTGGAAGATCACGTTCGTGCCGGCGCCCAAGGGACCGCAGCGCTGGGAGCTGTTCAACATCAAGAGCGACCCGGGCGAGACGACCGACTTGCGCGATCGTGAACCTCAGGTCTTTGCCGAATTGCTCGCGTTATGGGAAGACTACAGAAAGGACGTGGGTGTGGTCGGACTGGCTGGCGAGTACCCCAAGGCAGTGCAGGGCGCCCAGCAGACGACATTGAAGGATGAAATGGAAGACCCGTACGCGTGGATCAAGTTCATCGGTAGAAAGCATCTGGCACCGGCGGAGATGGCTAATGTTTTGCCGGCATAACTTACAGTGTCATGCGACGAAAGAGTAAACGTGTACGAATATGCGCACCAGAAGCCAAGGTTGTTGATTCATGTAATGATCAATTCAGCCACTGCTAGAGAACATTAGACGAATAGACTTTGTCTGTCGCTTCCGAGCCTTCCAGCTAGAATTGGACCGGGTCCAGAGTCTCTAAGCCATCCCACGTAAGATAGTTGGACATTTCTCCCGCGAGTTGGATATACTCCTCGACCGAAAACATCGACTGGTCATCCAATGGACCAACACCAGGAAACGTAGCAGCCACGGACTCGTTGTGGTCGAGATACTGGGACCCAGTACGAGCGCCATAGCCTGTGGTGCCGTGCTCTGCAGGGGCGAACTGATCCGCTCGGCCCTCTGGGCCACGTACATCCCATTGACTGGGCTCGTAGGTGACTGGAGGCGGAAAGGGTGGTTGCGTAACATTTTCCACGGGCGAGAGCGTGGACACCTCTCGTCGTCGGTGTTCCGTGCGAACTGCGGCCTGCGCAAGGCGAAATGCTGCCGCGTTGCTCAGGTAGCTAGCTTCCGGTGGCCCGGTCACTTCGCCAGTATCCCCGTTCCCATGTCTACACAACCGTATGTCAGCGTCGAAACAGGCGGATTGATTGTCGGCATGGACGTACTGTGCCTGTCTCGAGAAAGATGGGAACTCGGCCAGGAGCTCGTGAAACCCAAATCTCGCCAATAAAGGTACGAGGCTTTGCTAGTTGTTTGTCAGTTGATAGTCCAGGAAAACCAGTACGCAAAGAGAAATGACCGCGCTCACAAACGGGTTTGATCTGTCCCTTTTCAGCATGTTCAATAGCTTAATATTGAACCGGACATTGTCCGTAGTCTTCTTTCGTTCTTCGGCGCTGTTAGACGTGACAGTAGACGTGTGGACGATCTGGATCTTGGCCGACTCAAATGCAGCCACGGCGCAATGAAAGTCGTCGAAGGCTCTTGTTCCATGGACAAGACCCTTCTGAATTAATTGAGAAACTTGGTCCGCATGGAAACGACATCTCTGTTGACATTGCTTTCGAAAGCTGTTTGGTGCTGTCCGAAGCGCGGACGAAAGAGGGAAGTCAAATCCCGGTAGCGCAACTCTCGTCAGGTCGGCCACAATTGAATGGTAAAGAAGGTGCAGCATGAATACCGCCCCAATGATATTCGTCTCGGTTTGCACATAGAGATTCAAGTCTGTCAGTTGGAATTGCTCCGGCAGGCCGTCGTACCAAATCTCAAGGTCTTCTATGATCTTCAGGAAGGAAGACTCTGGGGACCAGATGTGTCTCTGTCCTTCTTTGTGCCGGATGACCCTTTCTCGGTTCAGCAGACGGTCAAGCAATGGGATTGGAGGCTCCTTCACACTTACCTAAGGACTTTCGTCCTGACGAACGCCAGGTAGACGACTTGAGCCCTGATATCCAGTTGACGCAGCCCAGTTGGCGATATGAAGAGATCAAAGGCGGGGACTTCTTGTCCTGTAAACGCTATTTGTGAGACGAACATGTGGTCGGGACACGGTAAAGGCACGCGGGGGACTTCGTCGTGCCAGTGTAGGTTCTCATCAACCCCGGAACCAATCACACTGTCCAGTATAAAACACGACCACAGCGCCCTGCGCTCTGCTTCTCTTTGTGTAAGATCAGGTGTCGTTCTGCTTGGGGAGTCCAGGCCCAGCAAGCGCAATATCTGGTAGCAGATGCCCCAAATAACGAAAGCAAGAGCGTTGTCGCCTGTCCTGAGGCAGTATTCGCAGATGAGAATCATGGACTACTCACTTTCTTAGCGGCGAGGCCTCAGCCAGCGTGGAGACTTGAACAAACCATCAACGTCTTCAGCGAAGGTCGTGAAATTTCTCGCAACGCCATTTCTCTGGCCTTCTCCACCCACAAGGAGCCAGGAGCGGCATCAGAGTATGAGTCAAATTGCTGGATATTGTCTTGCACATAGATCCTGAAAATGTTGATTGGCACCTGTTCCAAATGTGGAATTGAGCAACTTACTTTGCTCCTAGAGCGCAGATAGTGTATAGCAACGCTTCTCCGTACTTCTCTAGGACCAACCCGCGATCAAAGGCTTGCAAGAAAGAAGGCTTGTGTATGAATCCCAGGCACCGCAGGGTCGAAACGCGATCAAAGTAAAGATTAACAAGTAATAATTGCAGTTTCCGATCTGTTGGGATCGTGTCGGCGAAGAGCCTCGGGTTCGTCAGTCTTCTCAGGTCATGAATAACAGGGAAAAAAGTAGTGCCTTACCATTGAACACCGTCAGACCCATAAGCAGTGACAGTTGTCTGGCTGGAAATGGATGAACGGTCCAACATTGAATGACTGCTCTCTGGGCCCGCCAACGGGGAGGAAATGCCCCTTTCGGCTTGAATGTGCTGATTGCTTCCAGATATATACGTGCATGTCTGAGATCGACGAATGCACTGGCGACACTGGGGGCGACTTCGACAGCATCTCCTCTTGGCTTTCCGGCAATCCTCGCAAGAACCTACTCTTCTTTTCTCTATACCAGAGGTGCGGTACACAGTCTCCACGGACGAGAGGACGTCTGCTGAGGATGGACGATTATGTTCTTCGTATCCAGGGCATTGTACTCCCAGACGCCCGCAATTATGACAAGCTGGGACTGATTTGTCGCATTTCACCTGATGGCAGCAATAAGTTATGGAGACTTTTTGGGCTCTGCAGGCGCAGGAATGAATCTATAGCTTCGTACCTTGCGTGAGCGACACACTAGACAACCTGTGACGAATCAGACTCTGCGAGAAGTAGAACAGCATGGGTACTTTACAGGCAAGCAAAAGAGCGAGCTGCAGAAGTCTCCGCGAAGGTGCTTCAAAAAGTCAATGACAGAAGTGACGGACCTCGTGTACTCTTTGATGTGGGCATCGCATTAGATGTGTCTGCGGAATCCATGCTACTCGATGACTTGAGCATGGCCTCATTCTGCGTTCGGGCCCAACAATCCTGAGTAAGAACACTTCAGTTGAACAGATATAACAAGACTCCTTCCGGAAGCTCTGGAGAAACTGTGACCACGCCAAATGAAGACGTTCGTGGAATCAGAGGGTCTGAACTGTGGAAATGCAAGACGTAGTTTAAAAGAGAGTGCTGAGAAAAAGCCGGAAGGGTATCGTGCCTCTAGTATTATTGAGTGCTGTTGCCATTCTCAACGCTAAGCCTGGTGAGCCGACTTCAAGTTTCAACAATGCCTGATTTGTTTACACTCTCCAGAAAACGGAATCGCTAACAGCAAAACCGATATATGTACAAGCAGTTCGGCGAGATTGGTCTTCCTGTAGACATGTCGTCTTGTCTGCCCAGAGCGGTGCTGCATTCCACCTCCACTGACCTATGCAGTAGTACGCGTCGAATCCAAGTGGTCGTAGAGCCAAAACCACGCCTAGAATTCCTCCCCACGGGGCGGGGGAGCAATACTCCTGTGCCGAACGTGCAAGGGCCCTAACTTAGGCCATAGATCAGGAAGTCCTATTTCACAGTCACTCCACTGGCGCCGGCTCTCGCTGGTGCTGATCCAGTCCGGCGGTGCGGTACCGGACTAGAGTGCTGCTGGTCTCGCCAGGACATAGGAAATTGCCTCGACGTCGACGACTTCCGATGGGATACAGCATGATCAAAATTTCTGCAGCTGAGGCAAGAGTCTTCACTGTGACTGGGGAATGAAACCATGAGGACTAGTCCTGATCATGCAACCGCAGCCCCGATACTCGATACTCTACTTATTGGGCACAGACACGGGCACGATTAGCCTCCTGCCTCCTGCAATACCTTGCGCTTGCTCCGTTCTGACCGAAGCTTTCCCGACAGGATACATGAAGGGACGATTTCACTCTGTCGGCGCCCGGTCTCTGCGTGATTGAGTTTAGCATTGGCGCGCTGGAAAAAAAAGATAGGTCAGGTTATGAAAAACCGACACCACAAACATAGCCGCGGAGCGAAACAAGACATCAGGAAGCCAACGTCCTTGTCATTTCTGTACGTATTTCATGCAGTACGAATAAGTCGAGCAGGGTATGATGTCTCCTGCAATACAAACGCCGCGCACAGCAAAATCGAAGTGCTGATCAACAATCGCCCTTGGAATCTACTTCCTGTACCACAGTCTCGTGATTCTGGTATGTCTCACTGCAAAGCACGTCAGCTAAGGATTCACTCATGAACGAGAGGATCGGGTGGTGGTACGCACTCTTCTTCTGCAGCTGGAAAATGCCGTACATCAAAGCTTCGCTCGTAGGCGGGCATCCAGGCACGTAGATATCCACTGGGACGATTCTGTCACACCCTCTCACCACGGAATAACTGTAGTGATAATAGCCGCCGCCATTCGCGCAGCTGCCCATGCTGATCACCCATCTCGGTTCAGGCATCTGGTCGTACACCTGTCTCAGCGCAGGAGCCATCTTGTTGGTCAGCGTGCCGGCTACAATCATGACATCGCTCTGTCGTGGGGACGCTCGGAAAATAATGCCCAATCTGTCCTGGTCGTAACGCGGTGTGGAAAGATGCATCATCTCTACAGCGCAGCAGGCGAGGCCGAAGGTCAGTGGCCAGAGAGACCCTTGCCGGGCCCAGTTGGCAATTTGGTCGAGTGTCGTGAGAGCGTATTGCATCGCTCCTTGTTTCTTCTCTTGCGAGGGCAAAGGCACTTCGCGGCGCAGGCCGCCTGTCACCGGGAGCCGTGAAGGATCGCTAGAACTGGACACGGGCGTGATCGAGGTGGCAGATTTCTTGGAGGATGAGGATATGGAAGCAGCGGATGCGGGTGCGGCGCGGAGGACTGAGAAGGGGACTGTTGTTGTAGCTGTGCACATGGTTAACAGGTTGTGGCGAGTTTTGCGAATTCGTGCGTACCTCTTAGAGCTCGAGGAGCCATGGTTCGTGAAAGGGACATCATCTTGCCTGAAGATGTGATGGCAGTAGGAGAGGAGAGAGAAGAAGAAAAGGAAATGAATCGGAATGAGGATGAGGGAAGCGTCGACGAGGAAGAGGCGAAATATGAAGACAATGAAGACGAACTGCTGGTCTATGATGTGCATTGAACGGAACTCCACCGTCAAAATCCCTTTACAAGCTCGTTGATTGGCTGAATAAATCATCCGGCATTTCTCTCCTGTGCCTCGCCTACTGGTGTTACTCCAACTGCCCTGCGCTTTCAAGATATACGGTGAGGACACTACGAGGTATCAACCTCAATGCCTGGGGCTGATGGCACTCAACTCCAGTCCTGCCATCGCATGTATTGGCATCATCGGCAAACATGTACTAGCATTCCTCCCTGACCCAATAGCCTTCATGCTCACAGTTCACAGGACAATCCTCTACACATCTCCCTCTTCCCACCACACGAGGATGAAGACCTAGACATGCAATTCCTCCTCAACTCGTGCCTCGACATCTTCGACATCCGCTCCAAGACCAAAACACTTGATCAGGACCTTGGTCTCTTACAAGCCATCGACGAACGCCTCGCTGCCTACGGTTGGCTGACAAACACGGGTGTCAAGTTCATCATCGTAGTCGACATGATGGGCCGCCCGCCCGCTCCAGACGAGGACAAACGAAAATTCCCGCCTGCCGTGGGCTTACGTGATGCCGAGCTCAAATCTGCCTTCCGCGCCGTGCAGACAGCATACATCCAGCTCATGCTGAACCCATTCTATGCTCCAGAAGACCGGACGCCATTGCAAATTGCCAACTACGGCGGGAACAGCCCAGAGATCACGAGCAAGAGGTTCACCAATGAGCTGCAAAGGATAGGCAGAGCATGGACACCAGGGATCGCGAGTATATGAAGATGGAGAGGCCGAGATCATGCTATATTGCCTATAATTTCACGGCGCGCAAGAACACATGCGGACAAGCAGCTGCTCCCAGGCCAACTTTTCGATATAATATCCTCAAAGAGTGATATCACGGCTTAAGAAGTCCGCCATTGGCCGCTCCCTCGTCCAACTTGGCGGCACTCTCACCAACCTCTGCTGCCGTCGATGCCGCCTGCTGCTCCTCAGGCGTTGGCGTCTTGGCCAGCGGCATCTCATCCATCTTCGTGTCCGGATCAGCTAGCTTCGCCGCCTCCTCCGTCGCAACAGCACTTTCGGCTGGTGGAGCAGCCACAGCGGCTGGCGCACCCGTCTCAGTCATCCCTTGAGTCTTGACATATTCGAGCACAGCGTCCAATGTTTTCGCGGGGCCTGCTTGTTCCCAGACACGAACGACGCCCTGTTTGTCGATTACGACGACGCCCCGGGTAGTGGATTTACCGGGACCGGGCTTCTTCATGCCGATGGCTGATGTCAGTGTTGCATTTGGATCGCACTGCGCGGAATCCATTCGTCAGTGGCTCGATTTTCAAGTCGAGGTTTTGCCTGGACGACAAGTTGGATCTGACTTACCAGAAGGGCATACTGTAACTTCTGCTTTGTCGCGAACGTGCTATTGGCCTTGGGACTGTCCGTGCTGAGTCCATAGATTGATAGCGATGCGCCCGTAATTGGAGCGTAATTGTCCCGGAAGAGACATGCTTGTGTGGTGCCTGTACCATGACATTAGTCTCTGATACTCAAAGTCGCCGAAAGGCACGATTGTATGATCAATATGAAAACCAGTAGCCTAGCCTTGTGGATATGATCCAAGGAAAACAAGACTCTTCTTTCACGTGGGAGCATTGAGTGAGAGATCATTTCCTGCCTCATTTAAAGCGGAGTTCTGTAGCAGAGCAGAAGATTCTCGAGCTCGTCATCGACGATGATAGCACCAGTCTCTCAATAATATTTCACGGGGTTAGATAGCAAGAGCTGATGCGGCAAGAGGCTTCTCTTCCGTCGAGATTCCACAAGATGTATGACACAGGCCTCAGGCCGGTCCACCGAGACGACGTCGAGGTAGTTGGGCGGCCGGGGAGAATGGGACACAACAAGCATTGTCGGAAAGAGTGATACCAAACATAGGCACAGAAAAGGGTTGACTTACAACCCGGCGTGCTCGCTCTCGGATACGTGAAGATCACAACCCCTGCGAGACTTTTGTCCAGAAGCTCCTTGAGCGTAACGTCCTGTCCGTCATTCGTCTGTAGGGTCCCGCCGAAGCCGTCTAGGGTGATCTTTTCGCCGACACCTGTAGTGCCGTTGGTCTTAGGCTCAGCGGCCGCCGTGGTAGGTGCTTCAGCTGCTGTCTGCACCGAGTCATCCTTCGTGGGCTTACTTGTGACAGCAGCCTTCGCTTTCTCGGCGAGTTTCTTCGCCGTATTGCCGGCGCCACTACCTCGTTTCGTAGGAGGAGGAGCAGTTGCGGGCTCTTTGGGCGCTGGACGTTTGCGGAGTTCGACTGGCATTTTGGCTGATTCTCTCTGTTAGAATATTGGGAGTAATATTGCTTTTGAGCTAGGGTGCAGCAGTCGACACTCCTTTATATGCCGATAAGGGATGTCAAGATGTGAGCTGGTCTTTGACAATTGCTTCGATGTTGTAATGCTGGCAAGACTTAGGGTCAGCAAGGTAGTCAAGCTTCGCAAGCTTTCGGAATTGAACAGGGTAGTCTCGTAGACTCGCATGTCCAATGTGAGAAGGCCCCTCCTCAGTGTGACCATCGAAAGCAGAAATCAATCAGCGAGACGATTCTCGCCGAGGCCGGTAAGCGACGGGGCTGGGATGGACGTGAGAAGACGAGCTATCTCGCATCTTGCACCAGTCCGGGGCCACTACCGTGACAAAAGCAGGTTTTCTCCTTTTCTGGGAAGAGACATTGAGATTTCCCAAAAGTTGGGAGAAGAACGAAACAATAGAGACTTACCCAGTGCTTGGTGGTCTCTTTTCGTACCTCCTAGCCGAGGCTTTCCAACAGCAACACCGTGGACGTAAGACGAAGAAATCGACTCACTGAGTAGCAATATCCGCCTCTCGTGGTTAAATAGTTGATAGAGCAGTCGTAGTCCAAAGTGTCCCTAAACCACTGCCTTCGACGTTACCTATCCAGGTGGCTTGCACTGTGGGACAGACTTTAGTCAGCAAACAGGGGCCTTGTTCGTGGTATGGAGGATGTCGCAGAACGAACCTCGTTCCAACCTTTTGAGGAATCTTTCCAGTACTTCTGCGCGGTCTTTCGGATGTCGAGTCTGTAATGGAGACAAATTGCCGGAGCAGATGGGAGGTCAGCGGTGTAGAGAGCACAGGAAGCTTTAGTGGTGTGTAGTCGAAGGGGAACGGCTTCAGCAGATGCAGGTCACGCCTTCTATCATGCTAGTTTCAACGCCAAATCGGCCCCGATCAACGTCCATCGAGCTCTCATGCACTACTCTTATTGGTAAGCGAAGGGGAGGAGGCCGTAGCGGCGCTGCGATTTGAGGAGTAGCCAAGGGCTATCATGAAATCGGAGCTGCAATTCGTCTCTCCGTTTGGTTCTGACAGCCAACTGCTTCATGCAAGCACTGACTAGCTGGCTAACCCCTGAAAGCAGCACTGTCCTCCTCAACCTGGGTCTCAGAGTGTGGCCTTAACCATCTCGAATCCGAGGCTGGGACAATGCAGAACCGCATAAGTGGCGTACCTGACAGGTCCACTTGCAAAAGCGACGAGCAAATCACTTAGGATCCAGGGATTTTTAGCACATTGATATCATTTTGGACTAGCTAGTCAGAGTCAAAAAGACTCCCTTTGCCTTTGTCGCTAATTATGTTGCTTCACCAAAGCAATCGAGTAACTGGCCATAAACCTCCCCGGAAGCTGCCCCTAACAAATCCATCGCCATGTATCCCTGTGCACTTCTGCCCTTCACTTCATTCACACTCGGGCATTTCACGTCGAGGCAATGTGGCCGAGGTCCGAGCTAGAAGCTTTCACTTCATTCTTCTCCTCTGCAAATGAACCAGTACTCTTTGTTTCTGCGTATGTTGGAAGCCAATACAGGAAATAGGAAAACGTGCTGAGATGATTAGGATCGGTCGGTGGTGAGTCGATAGCCCAGAGGTCCAGATGGACCTTGAGGGTGGAGCAGGTTGACGTTGTTCAGAGTCATTTTCTGCGTTAATGGGCAGCACTGGTGATGCTGTACTGTCGTATGTCGCTAAAACTTCGTTCATGTCCGATGTCGCATGCAAAAGATTGCTCTTGAAGCGTCGATGTTATCCCATGAGTCGTTGGTCATCGCTGATGTAATTGCATGTCGTATTGATCAGAGTGGCCATTCAGATAAGAAAGTCCGCATGTCACATAGACTCGTTACGGATTTGCCATGTGCTAGAGCAAACCCCGCGCCGGATCCGACATACCCATTGTTGTTGGAAGACCGAAGTCTTCAGAGGTTTGGATGAGAGGTTCAGTGTCGAGCAACACTAAGCCGTCATTCCGTTTCAACGATAATCGCCGTTGCCAGTGGTTATCCTCGTACCAGAACGAAGCCTAACGTCGAAGACTAGAGCATTAGTCAGATGCTATTGTAAACCTCCACGCAACCGAAGCAAATCGCAGAGGAGATCCCTTACACGGAACCATAAGGTATTCAAGTACTCACATCCTGTCACTTCCTCCCTGGTCGTTGCCGCTAGTGCCGCGTTCGATAACCTTGCGTCGGGAGCTGGAGATGGCTGCTGGTTTGCCTTGAGTCGAAGTGTGCTGTGGGGTGGGAACACCAGTGGCTGCTGCAGTGCCGGTATGGCCACGTCGTGGTTTCTCCTCTTCCTCCTGAGCGGGTTGGTTGCCTGCTGCTTGAGCAATGGCCTGAGCATTCTTCTGATACTTGTACACAGTCCAATCGAAGACGTAGTCATACTGGAATGATTCACGAACGAACAGATCACGGAAGATCTTTCGGAGGTAGGAGTAGTCCGGCTTGTCGTCGAAGCGGAGGGAACGGGTGTAGTTGAGGTAGATGGCGAACTCGTTCGGGAAACCTCGGCAGAGAACCTCGGTTGGAGTGGTCATCTTCTTCTCCATGATACGGTCGTACTTTTGCTTCTTAGTAGCAGCCTTGAGACCTTGCCATGGGAGAGAGCCACGACAGAAGTAGAGCATAACATAGCCGAGAGACTCCATGTCATCACGGCGAGATTGTTCGACACCCAAGTGAGTGTTGATGGAGGCGTAGCGGGCCGTTCCAGTCAAGTTCTTGTTCTCACGATATGGGATGTGAAAATGAGTCTTGGGGTCCCGGTATTTCTTTGCCAAACCAAAATCGATGACATTGACCTGATTGCCTCTCTTGCCAATACCCATGAGGAAGTTGTCCGGCTTGATATCACGGTGGATGAAGGACTTGGCGTGGATGTACTCGATTCGAGAGATGAGCTGGTCGGCCAGCAGGAGGACGGTCTTGAGGGAGAACTTGCGGTTGCAGAAGTTGAACAGATCTTCCAAGCTGGGGCCGAGGAGGTCAAGAACCATGGCGTTGTAGTCACATTCTGTGCCGAACCAGCGGACGAAAGGAATGCCGACACCACCGGCAAGAGACTTGTAGACACGGGCCTCGTACTCGAGTTGAGGGTGTTTAGCCTTGACCGATTCGAGTTTGATAGCAATCTCTTCACCAGAGATGATGTTGGTGCCCAAGTAAATGTCACCGAAACTGCCACTACCGATCTTTCGTCCAATGCGGTACTTGTTACCGACACGCAGATCCTGTCAACAAACCATTAGTATGGGGGGTCCTAAATTCTTCTTTTTTGCAGTCATCACAAAAGAGAAGTGTGCTGTTACGGCTCTGACCATCCTCCTTGAGGCTCGACGCCGAACACTACACGTTGTCACGTACCATTGTCGTCATTTTGACTTGGGAGGGCAGCAACTAGGCTGCAAGATGTGGGAGTCTGGTAAAAATGATCGAATAAGAGGGTTGCAGTTGCAGGGAGGAGATGTTGTCGTCGGCGTTGTTGGATTTGGAAACTGAATCGATCTCGGCCTGTTTTCGATTCGACGTCAGTAGGAAGGCGTTGAGAGCGGTGAAAAACGATGTGAGATCGAGAACAAAACAAAGGTGAATGCCTGGCTGTGACGTGCCTCACGCCAGACAGTAAAAGTCGATTGTGATAATGATGGAAGAAGATGGGACGTGAAGAAGCGTAGGCCGCAGGCTGAGGTTGAGGTTGGACCGGTGTGGGCTGGGCAGATTGGCGTGATATTGGGCAGCGTAGCAGAAGGATGACTAACCTGGTGCAGGAAGAGGTCAAACGGAAGGCAAACCGTTGGCCTGATGACAAGTGAGTCGGATGCTCACAAGTCTTCAAGCTGGTCAATGAGACCGAGAGAGTTGTCGGAAGATTGCAGATGGAGAGATGAGGGAGAGTGAGGGAGAGAGAAGGACCAAGAGAAGGTCAGGTTTCAAGGTCACGCAGAGATGAGCGAGGTCGCAGTGCCAGGTTTAGCGTGGGCAAAGTGAAGGGGGGGCCACTTTCGCTTCGGCCGCAGCTGCCCGCCCTGTGAATTCACACCCGTGACTGCAAAAGTGGCTCATTTTGGCCATCCATGGGCCCATTTCTTGGCCCGTTGAATCTCTCTCGAGGCATTCTTCACTGTTTGCCTCGTTTGTCGCCTATGCGAACCACCAAACCCTGCCGTCGGCGGTCGCTTCCCGGGCATGCTCTAGGCTTGAACAGCAACTTCTGGGCTCTTTTTAGGCCGGTGAGGCTCGCGCCTGAAGGCCTGATTTGCTGCTATCTACCTACTCTACACGGCGGAAGTTTTGTTTGCTTCACTCGTTGGGCAGCACTCCCAATCCCCAACTATCTCAAATCCCATGTTGCATGCCTTGTCCAATTGGCTAGGTCTTTTGTGATTTATCTGCCAATCGAGCGAGTGATCATAACTCTTTCGATCACGAGAGGACGTTTTCGCAGATTCAAGGATCGGCCGGAAGGGTGAATAGCAACACTTCCTCATACCAACCGTACAAACAGGCCAATCTTGGATACACTGCTCGATTGCAATCAGGAGATCCGTTTGTGATGCTGACTATTCTGCGTCAAACCACGACTGATTTACAAACGGATCGTTATCCGTGTTAATCCAATAATGCCTTTTCCTTTGGGCTAACCAATAGTACCCCCAAAGTGCCCTTTAGAACACCTGGCTCAGAGATTCAATTATGTTGATCTCTCAATAATCGGGCCAGGATGACGGTCCAGAACCTGCAGTTGTCGGATTCGGCATACTACGTAGTAGACGTCTCACCGTTCTTGAGATCGTTGCCGGCGTTCCAGACTTTTCAAAAGGCGAAGACGTTGGGTGGATATGAACTCTATTGGGATCGCCGTAATACCAGGGGCAACCCGGTAGGTCGTACAGTATGAAGCCGATTAGCAGCGTTCGTAAGATGAAGTTCTCTACAAGTCCGTGAAGGCAGCCTTGAACACGGAATGTACGGCTTACTATTAGGCTCTATTACATGTCTGATCATCATCAGTAAGTCATATTGATGTCGGGCAGTTGTGGCTGGTGACGTTTTGACTTCCCACGCTCAACACCTCAAGCCACCGCTAATGAAATCAATCGTCATCACAGAAACCCACGAGGAGAAAATATCAATTCAAAAGCCTCGTAGTCCGCCAAACTGGACATGTATCCTTTGTTTGCCTCGGAGTGCTGAAGACGAAGAGCGTGAGAGAATTGGTGCGAGGAAGCCTCGTTCTGTGCAGGACACGAACGATCTGAAACATGGCCTGGCCTCAGATCGAACCCAGCACCTCTCATCTGACCTACCTCCTTCTCTCTTTCTTCCTGATTCTGTACGCCTTGTTCTCGGAGCTCATCCGCAACCGAGCTCACCTTTCTGAACCTCCCCTCGCAACTCTCACGGGCATCGTCTTTGGTCCCAAAGGAGCCCCAATCCTCGATCCGATCGACAAATGGGGTTGGGAAGACAATATCACTCAAGAGCTCACTAGAATCATCACAGGGGTACAATGCTTCGCGGTGGGCATCCAACTGCCAGCCGGCTATGTCAAGCGGCATTGGAGGAGTGTCGGTCTTCTTCTGGGTCCAAACATGATAGCTGGCTGGATCATCTCCACGATTGCCATACACTTTATCCTCAAGACTACCTGGAACACAGCGCTCATCATTGCAGCTTGCTTGACCCCGACAGATCCGGTCCTTTCAGCCAGCGTGATCGCTGAAGCAAAGTTTGCCCAAAGAATACCTCTCCGAGTCCGCCATCTACTGGCAGCAGAGTCCGGGTGCAATGATGGAACCGCTTTTCCTTTCTTGTATGCCGCACTGTATGCTACATTGGCGAATTCTGCGGGTAAAGCCGTTCGGGAGTGGTTGACCAATTTGCTTCTCTGGCAATGTGTGACCGGCATCATGATTGGGGTGGCTCTCGGGATTTTGGCAAACAAGGTCCTCCGCTTCAGTGAATCGCGCGGATTTATTCAGGAATCCACGCTGTTCGTTTTCTACTTCCTCATGGCCATTCTCTGCATTGGGGTGGGTAGCACCCTAGGGCTGGATGACTTTCTGGTCTGCTTCTGCGCCGGCGCTGCCTTCTGTTGGGACGGATGGTTTTCAACAAGAACAGCAAGGATGAAACTACCAGATATCCTGGACCTGATGCTGAATTCGACAATGTTCGTCTACTTTGGGTCCATCATACCATGGGGGTTGTACAAACACAACCTCGCCCCCGGACGCATGATCCTCTGCGTCCTAGTGATTCTTCTCCTTCGGCGGCTGCCAGCGATCCTCATACTCAAGAGACTGATCCCCGATATCCGAACGTGGCATGAGGCATTTTTTGTCGGGCACTTCGGGCCCATGGGAGTTGGAGCGCTCTTCCTAGCTATCGAGGCTCGAGCTCGGCTGGAGACCGGCACGTCAGAACCACTTCCTCATCCCCCGGTGGACGCGCCTCACCAGGACGCCCTCGGCACGGTTTGGCCTGTAATTTGTTTTGTGGTACTCTGTTCGATCATGGTTCATGGACTCTCACCCTTGTTCATGAGCTTAGCAAGCTCCTTTTTGCGAGAGCCGAAGGAGAGGGCACCTCTGCTGGGTGGCGAGGAAGAAAGACTGTATGGGATGGCATCCCACGAAAACGAAGTACCTGCGGATGAGCACAGAAGAGAGGAGATAGAGGAAAATGCAAACGAAGAGATGTGATGTAGCGATGTAGAATACAAAACGGTCAGTCTTGATGATGTGGCACATCTGGCATGAGCAAGGGATCGTGCTGTTGACCGTGGGTGTGGTACTCCATACCTACCTGTATTCATAGCCTCTTCATACAGCTTGGGACGTGCCTCGGCCAGATCTGGCGGAACGTGTCCGCCTCTCTCTCATCGGGGGAAAATGTATTTCCGAGGGACATCAACACCTACCAATTTCCGTCCATTCTTCCCTCCCTCATCATGCCGATAGCCGGAGCGGAGAGATACCTCTTATTATCAAATGAATAAAGCTCTCTCCGGTCTCTCTCCGCCTTCGAGAATACACACATGATTGACGGGGGACACGTGTAGAGGGCACTACCGACTAATCCTTCTTCACCTTCGCAACGACACGACCACCATAGGATTGCCAGATTCGACCCCACCACAATGCGTCCCGTCCAATACACAAGTCATCCCTACATCTTCAAGACGCCCCGAGGCAGTCTCCAAGGAGTCGAGCAACGCACAGCCTCAGGCGAGCCCATACTCTACCGCTTCACAAAGGTCCCGTATGCCCTTCCGCCGGTAGGCTCACGACGATGGCGCCGTCCACACCCACTGCCATCGGACTTCTCCTTTGACAGCAGCTCTGGCTCCGGCCAACCAGGCGACTATACACAGTTCGGCCCCATCTGTCCACAGCCTCACTACGCGCACGATGGAGTATACGTGGACAATCCCGCCGCCGCTCCGCCCATCGACAACGTCCAGGACGAAGACTGTTTGTACCTCAACATCTGGGTTCCAGCAGGCCCTGCCCCGAAGCAGGGCTGGCCGGTTCAAGTCTACATCCATGGCGGATGGCTCCAAATCGGCAACGCAATGCAAGACCACACCCATGACCCGTTCGACTTGGTCAAGGACGTGACGCCTAGGATCATTGTCTCGCCGACCTACCGACTCAACCTCTTTGGCTTCCTCGCCGGCGAAGAGCTCGCCTCTCTGCACGAAGAGCCGGCCCCGTCAAACTTCGGCCTTTGGGACCAGCGATGTGCACTTGAATGGGTCGCCAAATACATCGGCCTTTTTGGCGGCAATGCCGATAACATCACGGTCGGCGGCCTCTCCGCTGGCGCGAACTCGACATTCTTCCAGCTCAACTACGACAGTATGCTTCCATCCTCCCAAAGACTCATCAAGCGCGTCTACCTGTGGTCCAACGCTGTCGCCATCCAGCCGAATCCCACCGGCGCCCCAGTCTTGACCTCTCAGTTCAACGAGCTGTGCTCGCTCTTCAACATCCCCGCCTCCTCGACTCCAGCCGAGAAGCTCTCCCGCCTCCGTGCCATTCCATTCCGAGACCTCGTCACCGCCAACACCAAGATGAAGATGCACACCTTCCGTTCCAGCACCGACAACGCTTTCATCCTCCCGACCTTTCTCTCGTCACTGCACAGCGGGTCATTCACCACCCGCCTCGCTCAGAACGGCACCTCCGTCCTGCTTGGCGAAGTCAGTGACGAGAAGGAGCTCTACAAGTTTGTCAATCCGCCGTCGGACTATCCGGGCCTCCTACTCCAACTGGCCAATTACTATCCGAAACCTGTCCTCGAGGCTCTCCTGAAAATCTACGACCTACCAACTCAAAACTCGACCGACGCCAATGCCTGGGCCGAGGTGTTCAGCCAGATAGTCGCAGACAATCAAGTTCACGCCTCGATTCGAGGCTTGACGCATCTCCTGCTCAACCCACCATCCCATCCGAACGTCACGCCGCTCCCGCAGAGCCGCGTCCAACGGTACCGCATTGCCTGGCGAGCAAAGAGCCAGGACAACTGGGTCAAGCCGGAAGTCGGAGTCTGTCATGGCGGCGATATGCCCTTGTGGTGGGCGTCGGCGTGGCGACAAGACTTCCAAGAGACGGACAAAGAAGCGACTAAGAAGTTCCTCGAGCCTTTCGCACAGTTCCTGCGTGGCGAGGAGGTGAGTTGGGGCTGTACTAGCGAGGATCGGTTGCGGTTGTTGGATAAAGATGGATCGGTCAAAGAAAACGTGAAAGATGAGCTTTGGGAACGAGGAATTCAGGTGTTCAACACGGTCTGGGAAGCGCAGAAAGGGACCGTGGTGAAGGACACTTCATTGGACAGTCGCCTGTAGATTAACAGGATCTGTATGAAAAATAACCCCAGAAACTACGTAGCACAGAAATAAAGCTTCGACTTCGTCGAAAAGCTGCAAGGACTGCACAAGTAGCCAGCACTTAACCTTGGAGAAATGCTGCTTGGTCTCACATCTTTGCTCTACTGGAAGACCATCCATGTCCTAGCATAGTTCCATCGTAAGCTCTTTCGTCATGCCTGCTAATATTGAGGCGCTGAAGCCCTTTCATACCTATGCGCTTGACTGTATCCTCCCTTTATGAACGTACTGTAGTCTCCCTGCGGCGTCGACTGTGCTTATGGCCATGATCGTTGCCATTGACCGTGCCGAAACCCAGCAGCTGGGCTTGCTTCGAGAGCAGCATGTTGTGCTTTGGAGCCATCATCAGCGACGACTCCAGTCGGTGTCCCCGTGCGCTTGTCGCTCTTGACCTCCCACCCAATCCTCTCACCACATATGCTGTCAGGTCTGAGACTCCTCCGTGTAGCTCCTCTGGTATATGTTGTGTCACCTGTCCCAAGTGGCTAGATGATGTGGAAACTCTCCAGAAACTCCCCCTGCTCATCGAACCGGAATGTCTCAGCACTCTGCTGTCGTTCTGGATTTGGTCCGATTGGTTCAGGAAAGATCGTGCACCCGAGGGGCAACCAGTTGGGAGTCAATGTGTTCCTTCTGCGATCTTCCACCGCAAAGTATCCAATCCGCGTATAAGTGGCAGATGCACCACCACTAGCCGGATCGATACACGCCGCAAGAACAATTCCTTGAGCTGCAAGAATAACTTTGCGAGCCGAACCAGGATGCGAATCGATGAGTCGGTATGCGCTCGTTCGTATGATAATGGCAAGGGCGCGTCTTGTTGAGCTGAGATCTTCAGTCGAATCGAGGCGCACAACAACACCTGGAACTTTGGATATCGTCCACACGCCGTATTGGTCGACTGACAAATCCAAGCTGGGCGCTTGAAGATGGAGCATAGCCGAGATGACCATCCCAAATTCACTGCCATCAGACGTAGTGCAGCTTACCTCTAGCGCTCTAGCCACGATCCAGGAGTTACTAGCAGGCTCTGCATGCACCACATACCCATCCTTGGACGCCCAAGACCATGACGGGGCACGATATTCGGTGGGAGGAACAGACTTCGAGTTTGGTCGGATGTACCACAGCAGGCCGTGCATGAGATGCTTGCGCCAGAGTCCGGCGAGAAACTGATCTTTCATGACCACACCGAACAGTTTTGAGACACCCGCCACGGCTAGAATCTTGTCAGCTTGGAATGACAGGTGGCGAAGAGAATAGTGTCCAACAAAGCTCGTCCAAACAGTGAAAAGCGTCGACTGAAATGGATGAAGCTCGAATCTTTGATCGCCCCCTGCCCGTCTAGAAGCCTCAAGCACCGAAGCGATTGGTCCTATTTCTTCGTCATGCAGGAAGTAGCGATCCTTGTCAACATCGGGTAGGATCTCAACAGGCCTTTTGTGTTGCATGGTTGGATAAGTCTCACAAGCTCGAAAGCCTGAGCATTCCCAAAGAACTTGCCGAGCACCGAAGTAGACAGTACGAGGGGCAAGGATTTCCTCTTGAAGCACCCAGCCACGGGTTGTCAGAGGCATATGAATGAGCTCTCCTCTCCATAATTGTAGGTCGTTGATGAGGTACGACTTCGAGAGCTCATGATCCTCTGCGTCCAGACGTACACTGTCGCTGCTAACCACTTCGGGGTCCCGTGTATTAAACAGACCGTCTTGCCTTCCTGACAGGGCCGAGATATTACACAAGGCGTTGCCAAAAACTTCTGCCATGCCGACTGCCTCTTGCTGAATGTCTTTCAATTCATCTTGACGTATACCTTGGAGCAAGATTAGCTGAGAGGAGACATTCAGGTTTTCAGCATACATAACGAGTCGATCCAGAGATAGCGAACGCCTAGATGTCTGGCCACTAGAATGGCGTCCTGATATGTGTCAGGAAGGACAGACAAAGGCATCCCACGAAGCATAGCTTCCTGAGTATCTTGCTCAAGTTTGAGCATATCTTGCCCCCATCTGTGACTTAAAGTGATATATGGGCCTGACAACTCTTCGCGCGCAACAATCGCCAACCTCCAAAAGTCATCATGTCCGCCGCTAGCACCTACGTCGATCAAGCGGCTAGGGTAGATCATCGGCTGTTGTAGTTGCTGCAGGCATTCCGGATGGGAGGCCGACCAGACGCAGTGTTCAAGCCAGTGTCGAATCAGGTCAAGCACTCTGGAATCTGAGGTAGAGGCTGCATTCTTGACTGCAGTAATGACAGGAACATTTGGTGGTCTTCATCCGGTCCTCTATCAGACAACTTCCAGGCCAAAGTGAAGACAGGAAGTGAGAATGATGCAGTAAACGCGAAGGGAAAAAAGCCCACCTTGAGGTTTGAGGGGCAACAGTGACTTGAAGGTAACCGTATGAGTAACCCTTTCCCTCAGTGGGTAAACCATTAAGATCATGGCCGACGATCGGGGTCAATTTGCATCCTAACCTGACAAGACTGAAATTAGGTGCAGCAGTAAGCGACTTGTCGAAGGCGATCAAGTTGTCCTTTGGTAGGTCCGAGAGGATGTGCGTCCACTTCCCATCTCCAAGTTGAATACGCAGCCTTGTGCACAAGTAGCATTTCGCCTTGATGGCGGCCTCGAACTCGGTGGTCGTGACTTCACGCGTAACCTGCCCGTCAGGTGAGAGCAGCTCAGATTGTTGTATCAGCTGTCGACAGTCGTCGCATAGCATGTCGGGCGGCGATGAACATTCTAAGAGTAACACCTTTGAACTGCAGAGATAGACTGTAGACGTTGACGTGCTGAGAGAACCGGTGAGGACGGAAGTCTTTACCGTCAGATATGTCTTTTAGGGAGAATTATGAAAAGAAACACGAAGAAAGTGGCCATCTCGAGGGAAACAACACAGTCAGACATTCCATTTATTCCCTCTACAAAAGATCCCCATAATGTGCCGATATACTCCATGTTTGCCCTGTTTGCTCATTGATGCCCCAAATCACGCAATTGCCCATGGCACCCACATGGCCCCTAAACAGCCTCATCAGCACCACCCCAAGCGCCTAAACATAGCTCCCAGACGCTCCCCATCATCTCCCAAACTCCCACTGTCTCACTTCCTGCTTACCAATGGCCCTTCCCTAACGTCGTACGCCATTTGTTTTATACCAACCCACTCACGCCTCTCCACGGACGGCTTCGGACTAATGTTAGTGACCACATTCCCATAATCATTGAGCAAGTTTCCCGCAACCACAACCGTCTCCGATCGTCACCCTCGTTACGAAGCACGTTTCCTGTTGCTTCTGTGGACCGTGTCCCCGTTTGTTCCTTGCATTGCATACCCAAACTGCGCACAAGTGCCTCATCTCGCCAATACTAATACTAGTACTCCGTCGTTCCCACCACCTCACTCTCAACAACACATACAACACTTTTGTAGCGCTCCAAATATCCAAGACTCACTTCTCTCCAGTTCTCGTCTACACACCAACAAACATGTCTGACCATCACTACAAATTCAATGTGACCATGACCTGTGGCGGCTGTTCTGGCGCCATTGAGCGCGTGCTCAAGAAACTTGATGGTATGTTGACTCTCTACCCACCCGTTTCTACCACTTCCTGACATCTCCCCGGAACAGGTATCAAAGATTACAACGTCTCTCTCGACACCCAGACCGCAGACATCACCACCGCTGACTCGGTGTCCTACGAGACCGTGCTCGAGAAGATTAAGAAGACCGGCAAGACGGTCAACTCAGGAGAGGCCGATGGAGTTGTTATGGCTGTATAAACGAGGACAATGACTGCTTATGTTGGATTGCATGGGCTGTCGTGGCTGGCTATGTCTGCTGCCGGATAAATGGGTTCACTTGGGCGCACGGTGTTGGCATGGTTGGAGGACATAAACAACACAGCAAGCGCAAGACCAATCGATTCAATGTCAACAGACTTTGTATTCATTCTACTGTCTGCACTCTGCGGTCACCTATTTCTCTGCAACCAAAATCTGTACAGCTTTCGGTGACATTGACCACCAAGCGGGAATCCAATCCTCTCATCTCTCACAGTCAAGTAGCAAAACCGCTGCCACTATTGCACAAGTACTCTCATGCCATACATCATCCTTCGTGGACTGGGTATCATTAAACAAATGCCAGGACATCGGAAATGCACCGGCTGCCGCCCGAAGACACTCACGAAGTGTCATATTGTGTTGGAACTCCATTGCAATGCAAGCGGTATGCCGCTCTTACTCATGCTGATCAGGGAAGGACGAGAACGCACCCATCATTGCGCGAGCCTTTGACATAGATAGGTCGGCCGGGTTTCCAGGGTCGTTGATTCAAAGTGTCGTGGAAAGGAGGAGAATGGTCTCCTCGAACCTCAAACTCGTGAGGAGCCGGTCCCTAAGCCAAGTGTGTTATTAGTACCCGAAGTGTATCCTTTTTCCTGAATGGGTTGTGTTTTCAGCTCGATATGCTTTCAATCTTACCTAGGTACCGTGTGACGTTTGAGATTTGAAAAAGTCCACCCCAAGTATGTAACAGTTGAATTGCCGAAAACAATAATCTGAGCTGAAATCATCGAGCGACATGAACATATGAACGAGCATTGCCTGCCGCTCTGTCATCATATTCATACACACGTTGAGATGATTGCACATGTGGTTCAAGGGCAGCCATGTTGCGATCCATAACGACTCGACCATCTTGGATCCGACGGTCGTCAAGAGGTTCATAAACGCGACTCATAACAGTCGAAGAATAGTTTTCGATGTCTCGTCGATGCATACTCATCTGAACTTCTGAAAAGCGGTTGGAACCTTGAACATGTAGAGGAAGGCGTGGCTGCATCCTTGCGGGCTCCTGGAGGTCATACGGTGCATCTAGACCTCGATGCAAGGGCGTGCCTGGATGCGACGCACCATTGACATCGGGAAGGTGCTGCACATATCTTCTGGCCTCTGTAGCAGATACGGCTGGTCGCAATATAGGACTCGCACGCGGCTCACCATAATCAATGGGGCGAGTAGTGGCATAAACACGGTCTGGGTGTGGCACATATACACGCTCTTGATACCTGATAGGTGATTCTCTCCTCACAGATCGATGCTCGGGCAGTGCTGGTGGCTCCTCCAACCGCCGTCGCTTCGCGAATTGAGGGCCACCATCTGCAAGCTCAAAAACAGGGGGCTCCCTGTAGTTGACACCGTTCTCTCGAGCTAGGTTAGTGTCACGAAGTGCAGGATGTCTCTCGAAAGGATTTTGTCGTACGGAGTGCGACAGGTGTGCTCCATCATGGCCTTCGATTGATGGAAGGATAGTACCATCACCACCGTCGAATTCGTCATCTTTGCGACGGATTGAATAGTTCGGTCCATTAGGGGACGGTGGCCGAGTTCTTATCCGATGTTCTATGGCAGGTATGGCTCGTGGAGCGCAATCAATCGGACGGTGTGCTTCGTAGGTTTCCCGCGGTCGCGGATCGAATCGTTCATATAGCGTGCCGTCAGCACCTCTTATATACGTTCGTGGACTTTGTTGGCGAGCGTAACGAGGCTAGACGAAGTTAGCGATACAATGAACGGTTGGGAATAGGGCCGTTGAGATAAGTATTTCAGCTGCCACCCAGGAACCACTCCTACCTCGTAATCGAAACTGCTCATCGTAGCAGGGGGCGCCCGGGAATAAACGACCTGCGTAGGTGTAGCAGCAGGAGGATCAAGCGGGACAAGAACGCGAGTCGAAGGGGGATCTTCCGGCTCGTATCTTCTTTCCAGCACGGCGACTGGCTGTCGCATCACACCAGCACGATAGTCACGTCTAGCTTGATCCCACACAGCGTATCGACTGCGATCGCGTTGAGCAATCGCATCATCCTTGGGCTTGTACCGCGGGACGACCCGTGGCAGGTCCTGATAATAGTGACCTGCTGCTTGACCATATTTATCATGTCGAGGAGAAGCGGGTCTGCCTGGGCCTGCACCATAGGCAGTACTTGGAAGCTCCTCAACTCTGACGTTGTCTTGGACGATTTGGACATCGTCGGTGTCAGTCTCGTTGTCGTCCTCGTCAGAGATCACGATAACCTCTCTGAGGAGATCGTCAGCTGCCCGCTGTGTGGCTTCGTCCACAGCTTCGTTGTCGCCGCGCCATTCAATCAACTTGGCGAGGGTATCTTGCTCCACAGCATGCCGAGCCTCATTGTATGGGCATCTCCTTAGCAGTTTGTCATAGTCCGTGTACACATGTCGGATGTGAGCGACAACAGACAGCTGGGCTCTGCGGACGAGAGGAATTTCGTCCGCAGTACCAACCTTGTTGTCACCCAGTTGAAAGGCTGTCTTGATGATCTGAAACAGGTCGTTATCCGGAATCTTGGGAAATAAGTCCTTGATGGTTTGTTTGGCTTCTGTATTGATGGTGACTTGATCTTTTGGATCGTCTTTAGGGCGTTGACCATTTTGATAAACCTTCTCAAAGAGCTTGTCATCTTTGGAATCATCGATGACCTTTCCTCCCGTGGTAAGGCGAATACCATAATGTGCACAAACTTGGGCGACGACGCTGGTGGGGAAATGAAAGCCAATACGATGTACTTCCCTGGAGAGTTCATGCCGGGCAGCATGAGGTGTTGTCTAGATCGTCAGCAAGAATTGTCGGTTGATATCTGGGTACCTTACAGTCACGGCAAAGATTTTGTGGTCTCCACGACGGGCAAATTCCTTCAGAGCAGCCGTGAGCTCCGGATTCCCAGCGGGAATGAATGTGTATCCTTGGGGAGGGTCCGCACGAAAGGTGACCTGGCGGTTTCGGTAAGTAATACCTCGGGCGAGATATTTTGTCGGTCTTACCACACTCCGTAATTGCTTCTGCTCTTTCGAGGTGCCTTGAACGACCACTTTGTGTTTGTTTCTTTCTTTTGCAACGTGAGCGCCTCGAGTCGACGTCCCTCCTGCGGAGCCAACTTTTCGCGCCTTCTGTTTGACCCTCACCATCGTGCCGGCTTATGCAAACTACATAGACAAAACCAAGGACAAGGGTAAAAGCATCGGGAAAGGGGAATGATACAGGCGACTGAAAAGCCTAGGTATTAGTTGAACAGGAAAGAGATCGCACACGGCAAGTCGAAGTCCAGGCTTGTAGGCAGCGGCTACTGTAAGAAGGTCCCAAGTCAAGGGCAGCTGGGAGAACCGCTTGGTGTCTCGTGGCAAAATCTCAGGCGAGATCTAGCTTGACTGATGATGACAGATAGTCAGGGCTCCGAGAAGCGACACGCGCATGCCTGCCTTTGATATGTCGAAGGTAAGAGTTGGGATGACGAGAAGGAAAAGAAGGAAGAAAGGAACCATGGGCCGGCCTGCGTTCTGGAAAAGCAAGAACCTGCCACGACTGCGCCAGCGCCTCAAGGGCTTGGCGGCGCTAAAAAGTTCAGCCTGATGCAGCCTTGTGATTCCGCCTGCAATGAATGGCATGTGAGTTTCCTTTTCCTGCAACTGAAGGCTTCACCTGCACTTGCGTTGTATCTCTTGTTCGACAAACACTGCATGCGCTCGTCCACATGACCACGTCCGAAATCCTTCGGGCCTACCGCCACCTCTACCGTAGCGGACTGCGAGCCACTCATTACTCGTCTCCAGCACGCTTCGCGATCCGCGATATTTTGAGGGATTGTTTCCGCTCGCAGCCATCCGCGACCTTCAGTGCTCGCCGGATCGCAAACACGCTGAGGTTTTTGGAGAAGGCCGGCGAATACAATGGCACCGAGCACAAAATTTTGAAGAACCTGCTGCGCATAAAATACTGGAAGAATATGGGACTCAATAACCATTTGTACGAAGGAGTGGCCTAAACTATATTGCGGTGAACATACTGATAACATGAACAGAGTCAGGAAATCGAACAGCGCTTATGGAACCGAGATCCGACGTAACGTCTGGCGACAGTATCAAGCTACTCTGACTATGCTAAATGAGAGCTTGGATATTTGCCTACAACTGGGAGCTGAAAAGTTTGATGCTACGTGATATGAAGGACTGCGTTCTTAGTGATGACTGCCCCCCATACATTGGGTGCTGGGGCCCAAAAGCCACCACAACTCGTGTAGAGGTTTTGTGGCTCGATCCCAGATAGATACCGGTAGGCCGTGACAGAACAGACTTGGTGAACTTGGAAAGCTGGGCGGGGCGCCTTACGATGCCCAAACGATCAACAACTCGAATGAGCCTGGAACAGAAACACCTTTTCGCTCGAATCTTTCCCAACTATCCCATAAACCAGGCGCTCGCAAAATCAGTCATGGACGCGGCACGAGAAAAGACGCTCCGGGAACACTTCGCCTCATCAGCGGCCAATATCCGACCCATTATGACTTCCCTCAATGGCGACAATTCTTGGCTCCTGTCCTTCCCCCGCTCACAGTCTGAGCGTGCAACAACATGCAAGGCGTACTACCACATCATTTTTGAACCATGGCTCAACGGCCCGACCAGTCAATTGACCTCGTGGGTCATCCACCTCAGGCAGTCGACGACACCGGCAGTCACCACTGCAGAAGGCGTCGCAATGCTGGCACGTCAGATCGAGGCTGCAGCCGCAACAGCCGTGGGCATCGACAAGAACGCATTCAATGGAGATGCACAGCAGACCCGAGACATTGATGCGATTTTCCTCGGCTTCCACTATCTCGACCATGTACACGAGCCTACACTCCGGCTCTTCGACCCCGACATCCCGGTCCTCGCGACTCCTGAGGTCCAAGCAATGATCAAGCCATGGAATCACTTCTCAAATATCTTGACCATCTCCAGTCTCGACGCCTCTGCTAAATCCTGGCGCACCCCAAACCTTCATCCGGGAGATCCCTTTCCCTCGTGGCTAACGCCCATCCGACTGCTGGGCCACCATGAGCTCAATTATGTGACGGTTCTCATCTGGACACATGCGGATAGAAACAACAATGAGATTCATGAAGCCATCCTGCAAACCCCACACGGCACGAAGCTGGACGTTGGTCCACTGCAGGCGTTTCTGGACTCAGAGCCTAAAACAGAAAAGCTGGCACTCTTGCACGGACTCAAGGAGAGTCGCGCAATGGGCAAGATGAACACCTATGGCGCCGCCGGTGGCCTCGCGCTGTACCGTAGGATTGGAGGTGCAAAGTACTGGGTGCTGACTCACCATTCGAAGCTGTGGTATTCGGGGATCCTCTTGAGGCTTTTGTGGGTACATGATACGGTACGGACACTGCAGTGGGCTTTGGACGAGGAGGCGAACATTGATGGCAAGGGGTTGGAGCTCCCAGGCGGGACACCCGACCTCATCGAAGTCGAGAATGGCCATTGCTTTGTGTTGCTATAGCGTTTCAGGTGATGAATGATCAGCAGAGTATGAACTGAGGGAAATAACAGGAAAGGAGCCCTTATTGGACTCCGTTCGAGGACCATGCGATCTGACCGCGAGGTATCTCACATGATGTTCTTCTGCACGTCGATACGACAGAGGCGGCCCAATCACCTCTCATCTTCCAGACGACAGTGCAGCCCAAAGTCATGGAGGCTTCACAAGCCATCTGTCTATAGCACGTGCCCGTAAGGCAGGCTAATGCCTACGACTTCGAATGCAGGGAGAGAATGTGTGAATGCACCGCTGTACACTCCGAAATGGCTTTGCTGAGAAGCCAAAAGCAATGCTTCATTAATCATCTATCATGCTTGAATACGCTGCAGACAACCACAGTCATTCCATCATTCGCAACGCCATGCAAAGAAGTCAAGGCAACCTAAGCCTGTTTGGTATCGCCGATTGCTAATGCACCAAAGAATAGATAGAATAGCCGCCATAGAACTTCGCACCAGGTCATCCTCGCCGAAGTTCATCTCTCATGTGGACATAGTAAAGTCGTCGTCGATTGCGTCCTGAGGGTACACTCGTGATCCAGCGGCCACGCTCGAAATAACGCCAGCGCTATGCAATTGTAGCAGCACGTTGAAAAGATCCAGGTCCGAACCTGGGCGTCCGATTAAGCTGATCGACACTGGGAGATGTTCGGTCTTGTTGGTCACCGTCGAGTGATAGGGGACTTCTGCAACAGGTATGGTGTAGTCCGGGCATCCGACCAGGTAGCCGAAAGAGTAGATACTGAAAGTATCGTTGAAAAGCTCTTTCCGATCGGGGACATCGTGACGGTAATCTGGACGACCACAAGACTGAGGGAAGATCAAGAGAGTTGTCGCGTCCTGATCATACGACCCAAAGAGCGTGGTTTCAGTCCAATCTCTGAAAGCTTGCATGGCCTCAAGGGCGTCAGCCAGCTTCTGGGGTGGCAGAGCGCGCCCATATTCAAGACGACGACTAACAACTTCGGAGATCTTGGGAAACCTGCCCCCATTTGCAGCCACATAATCTTGGATGAACTTATCAAGTCCTCCGTGGAAAGCCGATGCCGTTGTGATGGCTGAGTAGATGTGCCCGACTGCTTCGTCGAGAGAGCGAGGCTGACCAATTGGCGGAGTCGCCCGCCAAAGCTCATTGATGTTGAATGCTATTCTCTCACAGTTGAGCTGTACTTCCAGATCCCGGACCACTCCTTCGATCCTCTTCTCGGCTTCGGACCAGAAAGAAAAGTCCACGGACGGATGAGGAAACCACCGATGCTGGCCATGGTGATGCTGATCCGGGTTGTCGATCTGCGGTGCTCGGGTTGGGTAGAGCAGGTTATACTTGCGGCCTGTGGTGACGGCAAGCGGTCGTTCAATCATGGGGTCGACGAAATAAGACCCAACCCGAGCAAATATTTCCACATTTCTCGCAAAGATACCAACGGTATTGAATAGATCCGTCGCACCTAGGACACCGTCTAGACTGATCAAGCCATGAGAGGGTCGTTGCCCATACAGTCCTTGGACACCGGCTGGGTGACGGATTGAACCACCAGTGTCTGTACCGACGGTGAAGTCCAACCAGTTATATGCAGCAGCTGCCGCGGCACTTCCAGTGCTAGAAGAGGATGGCTTCTGATGCCCATCGCCTCTCGGATTGTACGGGCATATATCGTCAAGCCACTCGCAAGGATCTGTGCCTTCGGCAAACTCGGTTGTCTTGAGTTTACCAATCAAGACCGCACCTGCATCAAGGAGTACTTTGATGGCTGGAGCGGTTCTCTTTTCAGGAGAGCAAGTTTCGAACCAAGCTCGATTGCCATATCCTGTCTTAGTTCCCTTGAGTGCGATCGTATCCTTGACGGCAAAGCGCAAACCTGCCAGGGGTCTGTCGTCATGACCATGATACAATCTAGAAGGCACTGGTAGACCATTTGCCACCTAGTCTTCGGTCAGTCGAAACAGACTAATAGTGGCCAAGGGACACCTTACTGTCAGCTCCTGTGAAATTGACGACGAGGCTGTCTTTTGAATGATGCCGCTCACGAAAGCTTTGTGAGTATCATCAAGAATCCGGAAAACAGGGAAAACATGGCCGGTCGACTTTGAAACCACATACGGACCCTCTGTCAATCTGTGCTTTGACTTGTCAAGTGCCAATACCCGCTTGCTTTTGATGCCACATCTAAGATCACTTGGTTGCAACAGGATAATAACTGAGGGAAAAAGTGCATTGTCAACATGATGCCTAAGTAGAATGGTCATTGCAGGTGATCTGACTTACGCGACAAGAAGCTCTTCGACCACACGTCATCCGCGTTGTTGAATCTCTCGCAAGCCGATTCAAGATCAGAAGGTGTGAAGTCTGGGTCGGTCCATTCTACGGCAGTACACGAGATGAAGTCGTCTTCGAAACGAGCAAGCTTCTTGGTGAGCAGGGATGGAAGGCTGGCGAGCTTCTGCTCCAACGCGATATAGTATGTTTGGTTGCCTATTGAGAGATAACGAGAGGGCTCCTGAGCCATGTCACGGTCACGTTAGAGAGAGCTGGGCGTAAAAATACAGGTAAGAGAAAGAGGCTGAATCAAGGGAAGAGGTGTTATGTGATCGATGGCCTTGCATGATAAGAAATTGCTCTGTGACAGCAGGTACGGCGGATCTCAGATCTGGCGGGCAGCCTACCGGCATTGTTCCTCCAAACAAAGGGAGATCAGATACCCGTACATAGATTATCAAAGGGAATGTCAATCAACGGCCCAGACGCGTCGATTTGGGATGCATACGGAGTACTTCAGGTACTGCTGGGTGACTGCCATGTTACATCTGAAGTGTAATGGGAAGTGTGTAAAGGATGATAAGGAAGGAGTCCTTGGCATTGATAAGGCCCGGCCAGGAGGCAAGCCAACTGTTGGTCAAAGAAATTCGTGACACCTACCTAGGTAGCCGTCAACAAGGCTGGCACCGGGACGGCTTATGGATGGTCATCATCGACAATAGAGTAATAACGCCAGAATTTACACATACAACATCTGGTGTGAACTCAGGTCATTATTTCGTCATGATCTATTCATCCCCATCTCTCTGTGACACGCCATTCCTGCCCATACGTTGCCCTAGTGTCATATCGCCAGCTTTCTTATGAAAGCTATTGACGAAATCGGCACGTCCACCGTGTTTGGCGTTTCGCATTCGGGCAGCATGCTCGCGCTCACGCTCAGCTCTCTCCCGTTCCGCAATCTCAGCTAGCCGCTGTTCTCTCTGTTGATCGAGGACTGTGGCATCCTGTTGCATGGCAGCCAATCTTGCGGCCTTGTCGTCCTCACATGGCTTGTCTCGCCCACGATCCCCTACTGGCGATGGCGAACGCTGCCGCCCCGGCCTTGATGAATGCCAGCTTTGCATTTTCCTGACTCCATTGCTAAGCCCATTCCGCCGGGGTGGGGTATAAGAACGTGAACGCGACCGTGATCGTGGTCGCCGTCGTTCTTCGGATGGATATGAAGATCGTTTCCGATATGGAGAACGAGAACGCGACCTCTCTGATCGTCGAGGAGGCGACCGCGAACGTGATTCTGAAGGCGTGCGTGACCTCCGTCGGTGGTGTCTGCTTCGTCCTTGGCGATCCTGATCGTCATCTCTGTATGTACGAGACTTCTCATGGCTGTTCCGTTCATCGCGATGTCGATGATGATGCCTGTGTTTTCTCCGCTTGTGTTCTCGCTCTGCGTCAGGCTCATCCCTGCCTGCAGCCTTCAGTAACAATCTGCGCTTGACTGGATCGTTCATCATCGCCTCGTATGCCGCTTGCTCCTGCTTCTTGATTGCTAGCATGGGATCTTCTCGGATTTTCGCAGCGGTGTCTCTTAGAGTATTTGCATTTTGGACAGCCATGAGAGAATCTGGTGTGGCGGTCTTCTGGAGTTTCTCATTGTCTGTTCCCTTGATGAGGCCGTCTATTCTTCTCTTGCCCAGCAAGTATCCTTCCATTTCCTCTGTAGTCCCTGCTTGACCACTAGATGGGCCTGAGTACATCCAGTCGACACGTTGCTGTCTCTTCTTCCCGCCTGCGGCCTCTTGTAGTTCTTCGAGCTCCTGTATTTGTCTCTCTTCTGCGCGCTCTTTCATAATCTGATCAATCTTTTTCCGCTCCTCGAGCGCTTTCTGTTCTTCCTCCCATACCTTCTTCTGGTTTGTCATAAGCGAAGGGTGCCATGATTTCTTGAGGTTGAGATCGCCACCCATCTTGACCACAGTCTTAGTATCAACAAGGGCGTAACAATGGAAAGGCGAAATGCAGGTAGAAGAAAAGTCGAGATGTGGCGTAAAATCTGTAGAGCACGCGCAGCTCCGCAAATCCGTATGATGCCGTGGTAGCCCAAGCCTAAGCCTGGTGAGCCTAAGTTAGTATGGGCGGCCCGCAGCAACAGATTTGTTTAGGCGAGGCTACCAGGCTCGCAGGCTACGACTTGCTTGTGCTTCTCCGCATTTCACATCACTACCGATCTGCCTGCGCCAGCTGCACATTACGATCACAGACTACCTCAATCATTACTTCACTTGTCGAGCCTTTATTTCTGCGTTGTCTTCTAAATCGCACGACATACCTATTTGTGCTATCGCGGGGCAGTCAACCACATCACAGTCTCCAACTGCGACCCAAAACGAACGCGCCTCTTACCAGTCCATTCCCCTCGCTCAACCAACGTTAACCGCTATCTACCACCCCCAAAATGTCCGACGATGATGACTTCATGCAAGATTCGGACGCTGAACAGTGTGTCTCCCCAAAAACATTGACGACCAGTCCCTTGACAGAGTCTCATTAACGGCGAGTAGGTATGACTTCGAATACGAAGACGACGATGACCTCTCCGGCTCCGGCGACGTCGACATTGAGAACAAATACTACAATGCCAAACAACTCAAGGCCGACTCGCTCGAAGAAGCCGTGACCGAATTCCTGGGCGTGCCTGAGTTAGAACCGGAAAAGGGCGACTGGGGCTTCAAGGGCCTCAAGCAAGCCATCAAGCTCGAATTCGCACTGCGCCGCTATGACGATGCCATCAAGCACTACAAGCAACTCCTCACCTACGTCAAGTCCGCAGTCACTAGAAACTACTCCGAAAAGTCTATCAACAACATGCTCGACTACATCGAGAAAGTGGCCGCCGGCACCGACCAGTCGGCCTACCGGTGCATGGAGGAGTTCTACTCCCTCACACTCGAGACTTTCCAGGCTACGAACAACGAGAGACTGGCCTTGAAAACGAATGTGAAGCTTGCGAAATTGTATCTAGACAAGAAAGACTATACACAACTCACGAACAAGGTGCGCGAGATCCACAAGGCCTGCCAGAAGGAAGATGGCACCGACGATCCTGGTAAAGGAACCTACTCGCTCGAAGCATACGCCCTGGAAATCCAGATGTACGCAGAGATGAAGAACAACAAGCGTCTGAAGTCTCTGTATCAGAAGGCTTTGACGGTCCGCTCAGCCGTACCACATCCCAAAGTGCAAGGAATCATCCGCGAATGCGGCGGTAAAATGCACATGAGCGAGGAGAACTGGAAGGAAGCACAGTCCGACTTCTTCGAGTCGTTCAAGAACTACGACGAAGCCGGATCGATGCAGCGAATCCAAGTGCTCAAGTACCTGGTGCTCACGACCATGCTAATGCAGTCAGACATCAATCCATTCGACTCGCAAGAGACAAAACCCTACCGGAACGATCCCCGCATCTCAGCCATGACCGACCTGGTCGATGCATACCAGCGCGACGACATTCACCACTACGAATCGATTCTGAAAGACAACCAAGACTTGCTGGCAGATCCATTTATTGCCGAAAACATTGACGAAGTTAGCCGCAACATGCGTACCAAGGCCGTGTTGAAGCTGATTGCCCCGTACACCCGCTTTACTCTGCAATTCATCTCGAAGCATATCAAGATCCCGGTCAGTGAGGTCCAAGACATACTGGGTGTGTTGATTGTCGACAAGAAGCTGCAAGCGAAGATGAACCAGGAGAATGGCATCGTTCATGTGGAGACAGGCGCAGAGGACACGGAACATCTAACCAAGCTGCGCGACTGGACCTCGGCCGCCGACAACTTGTGGTCGTCAGTTCTCCATGAGGGTGAGGGTTTCAAGGCGGACGAAGCACAAGGAGCGGGGTCGTTTGGAGGACTTATGAATTTCCCCCTGAGTGGTCTGGAGACTGGAAATGCTATCCCTAGTCGTGGTTCGGCTCGCCATGCTGGCCGTCGCGGAGGCCGAGGAGGTGGGAAGGGACTTGTGCCACCAGTATGATGAGAGCGAGAGGCTCTGAGATTGCGGATGTACTGTAGCATACGCGAAGGCACGGATAGGCTAGGCACGGCTAGGGCAGCTCGACTTGGCAGCTGGGGCCCACCAGCCGCTAACGTTACTGGCATATCTTGTCTTGTGTAACAACACATGCAGCTTGCGGACGATAGGGCGACAACAAGTCCTGGGCCTTGCACAAAGGGGTGCGTTTTTATGTCAAAACAAGCATGGCATGATTGGCAGGCTATCTCAGGACCTGCAGTACCCATGATCGAGGCTTGAGATGGTCGCATCGAGTGGGGTTCTCATACAGCACAAAGGATCAAGTATTTGGAAAAGGTGAATCGGAAAGCTAACCTCACAAAGCGATCCGATTCCTGGATGCGGCGGCCATGACTCAGAGAGAGCACGCTGTGCAGCGGGCGGGGCTCGGCTGTAGCAGGCATGATGGAGGCGCATGCGAACTGCGGATAGGCAAAAGCCACATACAGCGTGGCAGCTGTTGAGTCGACAGCAATAATGAATTGAGATGAGCGGTGTCAAAAACGGCCCTAGCCGACCAAAAGGACAGGGTTGAACTGGTCGAATGCGGAGATGGCATTGTGTTGAAGCTGTTTGTCATGCCTGCATTCCTTCGTATCCTACCAGCATCACCACATTAGCTTCATGATGGCTTGATCCCGAACCGCCAAGTTGTCTCGTAGAAATCAGCCATGGTTGGATCGACGCGTTGGAAGTTGTACCCCTGGCCAAAGTGACGCTCACAATAGGTGAAATGCGAAGCTCATTGGCGCATCTTCGATTAGTTGACTGCCAAAAATCTGATATATTATTTTTGTGCCGCATCTGCCTCAACGCCGGACGCACGCCACGGCGCTTTTGGAGTAGGATCAGCGATGTGCAGCGCAAGCGCGCTTCTCCCTGTTGAATTGAGTGCGAACAGGGTGAAGATGTTTTCCCTCTCCGTCCATCCTTGTGTCGCGATAGAGCTTTCTGCGCTCGTGCAATTTGCCGTACGAGATTCCCCGTCATTGGCTGGGACTCAAAATCCGTGGTGGCTCATGCGCGGTCAAACACTTTCTGCTTTTGCCCAGAAGGATACAAGACACCGTTGATAGGAGAAAGCTGGAAGGGCCGGCACAATTTCTGATCCATATCTGCCGTGGTGTTTCGGTCCAATAACGCAACGCCCCTGACAAGCAATGTTGATACTCGTAGAGGCTAAGGAAAATGCGGGAGTCCGTAGCGGGGTACGCTCAACAGGAGGCTTGCCATGAGATGGACGGCGGAGGGAAGAACAACGTGAGCCTTGTCGCATGTGGCGAATCTCACCGGAGCTGAGAATGACCTAGCTTCGAACGGAATTGTGGACCTTAGGGCAGGAAACAAAACCCGACGTTGAGAGTGGAAGTATAAACACGCAACAGGGGTTTGGAACTAGGGTTGAGGACGGTGAATAATGTTGTACTTGTACCAGGTACGTAAGGGTGGCGATCTGAGGTTCACCCACGATCGAAAGCTTGGTCGCTGACTGAGGCATCTCAAAGGTCAGGAGAGGCAGGGGATTCCTGTGAGGTGCAAGCCTAAGGAGAGAGAGCCATGGGTGTGTCGGCAGGGTCTCGTCAGTCTGTTCAATGCGAAGGTCTGCCCTCGGTGCCTCGACACCATTTACCCTCGACCTTGTCTCTCTGCCAAGTTGGGCTTGGGGATGGTCGGAACTAATGATGTTGCCCACATCAGCTGCGAGGAACGATGCCACCTGCTGTTTAGGGGGTGAGCCATGGGGCGGTCGGTCCAATCAAACCCTTAACAGTAGCGAGAATCCCCTGTAGGGACTCTTATCCTGTTGTTGGTTCCTTGCTTGCTGCTTGTGCCGCTGCCGTAGTGTTGAGGTAATGTTGAGCTTGGTCGTTGTTGGAAGATCAGGCTAGCGGTATGCCGGTTGAAAGTGCCATCGGAACAAGAGCATGATATCCAATATGGAGCGCAGGCAGGGTCGCACAGCAGATGGCAGTGGGGTCTCCATCAGACATGAGCAATGCAGGATGCATAGAGGCCATTGGATAGGGGGAGTTGCATCGTTCTCTTCCGCGGACTCGGACGGCGATTAAGCGAAAATGGCGGCGGCCATGGAAGCCTCGCGCAGGAGGGTGAGCACCCATGAGGTGAAGCGGAGAGGCGTCTTTTTTCGGATTCAGCTCTTCTTTAACGAAAAAGGGCCGAGATCATTTAGGCGAGAGTGAGCGACGGAGTCACCCAGGTGAGGGTGAGAGTGGACAGATAAGACATGAAAGACCTGGCACCCGTGGGTTTGAGCATGACAATACAGTACTAGTAATAAAGAGAGGAGATCCAACTTGAAAGATCTAAAGATCCAAAGCATGATTATTACAGCCAACCTGGAAGTCACTGTGGACAGTACAGTTACTGCCAACACGTTGCAGACAGCATTCTTTCCCCAATTATTGGCCATCCATCATCCATCCCCTCCATCCCTCCATCCATCACCGAACACAGACCTTCATCATTCCTTCATCTCTTCATCCCTCTCACGTCCTCCCCGGCCATATCCCATCCCTCCCACCTCCATCGGCAGAATTCTCCTTCATCAGAATCTCCGGCTTCTAGCTCGCCTTCGCCAAAGCTCATGACGGCTTTCGGGCTGACCTGTCAACCGATTGGGCGTGAACGAAGCTGTTGATCTTCCGCCGTTTGATCACCATCATTTGATCCACTGTTGACATCGCTGTCCGCATCCGAGGCACACTCAGGCCGGGCAGTGACCAGGGATATAGCAAGCCCTAGCAACCTTCGCTTGAAGTTCTGACGACAATCATCCTCCATATTGCCCATCTTTGGGCCTGCATTCTCCCTATCACCTTGAGCGGCGTTGTTAGTTGCGGATCTTGCCTTGTCTGGCCTTTCTTAGCGGAACCATCGAACCACTTTGGCCCGTAGACGAAGACAGCTGGCTGCCACGAGTGCCTCTTTATCTATCAAGCCGCATAAGGCATCAAAAGTCGACACTGCCAGATTCCTCACCAGAATGATTCACTTACATTGAGTCAGGCAGCTTTGCAGGTCATTCGCCATCTCGGTTCGAATTCAACAACAATCTGTCGCTGATATTGCTTTGCCGGTGTCCATTGTAACAACTCTCAGTACCACGGCCACACACACGGCCCACAGTGCTCACCTTCTGAAAACTTAGCTGGAAACGAACAGACGGTACTGGGAGATGCTATTTGGGTCGTATTTGCCTCCACTCCACGGTCGCAGTCATCACGGTTCTCATCCTACACTTCCTGGTTGGCCCGTTCAAAGCCAGCCCAACTACCATCTTTCATACGACCACCTCACAAACGAGAAACCTGCATACCTCTACGCTAATTACGGATACCATACCCCGCCTCCGTCCACGCACACAGCTTCCAACATGGCTACTCCAGATGCCGACGAGATGGAACAATTCCAACGGCTATCCGACCAATACCAAGCTGATCTACCAGCAAGTCTACTTTTGAAATCACACGAGCCCTCACTAATAGACCTGTAGGGGCCACTTGTCGGAGAGAAGAGACCTCTATCGGACCTGGTCACTGAATATGCCCAGGCCGACCAGGCCTATGTGTTGAAGACGACGGTATACATTTATTTTCCGTCTGCCTATATTCATTATATGCTAATGGCGTCTCAGGCGCTAGCTGTCACTCACACTGCATATCGCTCCATCAAAGGTGATGGGCAATGTGGTTGGCGAGGTATGGATCTTCCCACTCTCCAGGTAGTGAACGAGCTGACGATTGCCGTTCACAGGTGCCGTGTTTGGCTATTTCGAGATTCTTTTACGATCTGGAGATCTCGCCCTCATCACTCAAGAGAAGGTCCGCCTTCTGAGCTTCGAGCAGATAATGCGTGCAGTCGGTATCGACTACGACATCATCATTGATATGTTCGACTATACATGGGAATTGTTCGATGCCATCAAAACGGCGGTTGGACGAGGAGACAAAAGTGACACTGTCCTTTTGGAAGCCATGAATGAACAAGGCAAATCGGATTCCATCGTCTACCATTTCAAGGTCTGTCGGCCTCAGTCTTGGTTGGCGTATGCTTACTGACCCAATCCACCAGATGATGACGAGTTCGTTCATGCAGGTTCAGTCTGAACGCTACGAGCCCTTCATGGACATGCCAGTCACGCAATATTGTCTGACCAGAATTGACCCTGCCAACCAAGAGATCGAGCACATTGGTCTGCAAGCATTGAATGACGCTGTCATTGCTCCGGCGTATATTGCACTCGAGGTCTTGTATCTGGACAGAAGTGCCGGCGACGAAGTCACTCCGCATAGGTTTGTCGACGATTCTGAGCACTGGCCTACCCTCCGTTTGATCTACAGACCGTAAGTTTCCCACCAGAGCATATGAAATGCTTGACTTGGTTCTAATGGGTGCGACAGCGGTCATTATGATATCATCTACAAGGATGACAAGCCGATTCAAGTCCTCCTTCAAGCCGAACCGCCCCAATATGCGCTACCTTTCAGAGAAGATGTCTTCCGAGGGGACTCTACGGACTTGCACTCTTTCATGTTTCCTGGTGCCAACATCGTTGCTTCCCAACCATTGCCGAACACGTCGCCAGCTACATCGATCAACCCATACCCCTTGTCCTTTCCACAGCCTCAACCCATGGTGCCTGAAGACACGACGCTCCTGCCCCGAACACCGTACTTTCCTCCTGCTACAGTGTCTGGCCCACAACGTCAGCGAGTTTATCAGCCTCCCGCGCACCCTATCAGATCGCTTTCTCTTCCAGATCGAAGCTGCTCTTCTTCGATGATTCCGTCACATTCAGAAACTTCCTTATCAAGCCTGTCATGTCCATCACCATCTCCGCTCACGCCATATCCAATGGGTAACATTCCCAAGCCTCAAGAATATCAAATCCGATATAACGGAGCCTGCTTTAAGTACAAACTTCAGGGACAGCAAAGCCTTCCTCTAGACCCCGGATCATTTGGCAGGTATGCCTCACACTCCAGACTGCTCTTAAGCTGCCCGTGCTCTTAATTGACTTTTAACCTGCTGACACATTTGATATAGTTCTGCTCAAAACGCTGCTCACTTTGCACATGCTGACTTTCAACCTTCAATATGGAATGCAAAAGAAGAATATGGCAAGCGTGACGGAAAATCGCCAACGGCGGACGGTGGTGCTGGTCACTTGAACCTGAACAAGCATCACACCGGGTGATAGAAGTCGGAGGTAGGGCCCTAGGGCACAAAAATAAGACTGAAAAAAGTTCGCAACCAGACGGACTCAAATACACCCCTGAGGTTTTCATGCGTCATACGGTGTCATGGAAAATACGCTTCGCCTTGGTTGCTAGCTGCGGCGCATGGAAGGGAAGCTCGTCTGCAGGAATGGGCTTTGGAGGGACATGGGGCAGCTGGACGGGTCGTCAACGTTATTACTGCCTTCTTAACATTTCCTATTTGATGTGGTGTCGTCAGTCGCTACCACAATTCCAGCTATCACGATGAGTATGATGGAAGCAGGGGGAGGGGGAAAAGCCATCAATATCTAACCCGTCACTGTCGTGCTCGCGGACGGACGTATATGGTGCTATCTTGGAGCAAATGTCTCTTGACGGAGGCAGGTACTGCCAATTGGTGACGAAACCCCCAGATGTGAGAGGAAGAAGCGTCAAAATTTCAATTCAATCCATTCAATTCAAATTTCTCAGACCATGGTACATGGACCATGGTGTTTCATCTCCATCCCGTACGAATAAGGTACCAACCTCTAGTTTCGAGCTTACCTGGTGGGGGCCTTGTCGTTTTGTCATCTGGGCCGGACCGAAGCGATCCTTTTTCCAGGCGCCTTGATTAAGGTACATCCAAGTACTACCCGTAGTAACCAAGGTAGGCAGTAATAGGATGGGTCTGATGGTACACGTAGAAGTGTTGTCAGATGAGACGGCGAGGCCAAATTAGCCGTCCTCGCCGTCTTTCCATCTTCGTATCCCGCTACCGAGTACGGAGTACGGTGTCTCCCTGCTGACTCGATCGGAGGAATCTCGCTGTAGGATCGGTGATGTACAAAGCCCATTGGGGTCTCCACGGGCAGGTTTCGCTTGGAACTTTGACGTTATCTCGTTTCTGCGGCACCTTTCTTTCTACTCTTTGTGGCGGCGAGGCCTGCAGCAGGATACGATGTATGTGTCCCAACGTTATGCGACGATCACGAGATTATTCCGCGCGTTTTTGACTGATGGCGCCGTACGAGCAGTACTATGTAGTCGAAGCTTCAGCTCGCTTAGGCGGGTTTGTGGATGTTGGTCGCCCGATGCGGGAGATGCTAGTGAGGATGATACGAGTATCCCTTGCCAGCAAGTCATTTTCGTCGATCGCGTGCGAAGACAGACAAGTCGAGTCGGTCGAGGTCCAGGTCCTGGCGAGTTTCAAGTCAAGTCGTGGCTGAACCCATCTACTACGAGTAACGATCAGGCTATATTCGCATTCACTATTTGGCAGCTTTGCTCGTATCAGTACGCCTCCGAACGTAGACAACAAACGAGGAGGAGACCACGGTTTGATATTCGTGTCAACGAGTGGATACGGGGATGCTATCCATTGCATGCGGTACGATACATGGCTGTCCCGTTCTACAGCTCCGAGAAGGAAAAGAATGGCATGACTGGGATGAGAATGAGGATGAGAATCCTGGTACCGGGACCGGTCTGGGCTGGTCTGGTCTGGTCTGGGTCCCCTTCGTATTCATTGCTGCCATGCCTGTCTACGGAAATTGTCGACCAGCGCCCTGATTCGCGCAATAGAGCATATGTAGAGAGGACTCGGTAGGATGTAAAATGTCCCTAGCCAGGCCTGCATACTGGGCCTTCATGCTGCGGCGGGGTACGATGCATCTGGGGCCTAGCTTGCCCTGTCGTGTCTCAGTTACCGCAGAAGGCTCTTACTTCGATGTTGGAGTTCCGTTGTTCGTTTCATTGCGCCATCAGACGTGATGGCCTGACTCCCGCGTAAGGTCATGAGACTGTATGCTTCAAGGGGTCTCTTTGTCTTCGCACTTGCGCCTGCGCCTTTCCGGTCGTACGGAAGCAAGTTAGACCTTCGGTGTAGTCTCTGGTGGTGACCGGACAATAGCAGCAAGCCGGGCGCTGAGAGAAACGGACGTAAAACTCGTCGGTCAAGGCAGAAGATCAAGATCTCTTCTCACTTTGGTCTTTAGAGGACTGTTCAGGGGCCGGTTCCGTATGATCTCCGAACCTCATTAAATCGCTCCTGAAGACCGGTCAATTCGTCGAGAGGAGGAAGAAGTCTCTCTCTTCAATGCGATACACATCTTCGACAGTCTCTTTTCCCTGACCTCTCATATCATTTAGCCCGCGCACGACTTCTCTCGCGAAGACATCGGCAACATCCTCCAGTGAAAAATCGAAGGGTGCCGAATCTCTCGCTGTCCTGGCGTTAGCGTCATGCCGCGAACGTTCACGGTCAAGCCAAGTCACGCTCTTCCCTTCCAACCCGCATGCGACGATCCTGCTGAATCCCCAGGACAAGTATCCCTTCGTGCGCGGATCGTAAGTTGGCGAGCGCGTCTGCGCGGGTGTGAAGTCATATCGGCCCTTCAATGAGACGGGAAACAGAGCGTCGAATACGTTCAACCCAATGCCGTGGGACGTGATACCGCGCGATACCTGCACGCCTATTGCGCAAATTTTGCGAGTGCTTTTGCTTCTGTCGCTCTCTCCTTCGTCGTGCGGCAGCGACTGCTCCCTTCCTTCTGCGAGCTGGTCCGAGCCAGGGGCCATTTGCGAGGGGCTAGTTTTAATCCAAACGCCTGGATCTTCCGTCCGCATTGTCTGCACGCCCCAGTATGAACACGTACGCATGACGCTCTCTTCCAGTAGCTTCACCCAGCATCGCGGTGTGATGCCATGCTGGCGCAGGTCTGCGACGATGTATCCCGTCAACTGGCCTGGTGCATGGTATGTGAGCAGGCCACCTCGTGGGGAGGCGTGGAAGGTCGCGAGACCCTCGGCGGTCAAGAAGGCTTGTTGGGATTTCGAGATGGGATTCGCCAGGAGATGGCGCCGGCCGACGGTGTAGGTTGGGTGGGTGGAGAATGTCAGGAGCGTAGGATCTGGTGGTGAGGACGACGTAGGGTGTCCATTTCTGGCTCGTGCAGCTGCGGTTGAGCCTGCGTCAGCGCCTGCGTCCAGCGTCCAGGAGAACTGTTCAGAGGGTCTCGAGGTAGCCGTCGCCTTGCCGGGTCCAACTGCACCATGCTCCGTAATGTTATCGACGTCGTGGGCGCCTTTCACCAGGCTCACGCCACGGAGCGCGTCCTTGTAGCTGAAGTGTCTTTCCAGCAGCGCATGTTGCAAGGCCAGCGAATGGCTGTATGGTATCAGACGCGGTATATGCAGGTGGGCGAGGCGCATGGCATCATCGGGTTGCTGATAATATTGACATTGGTGGCGAGGCTGGATGATCACGGCCGAGGTATTGATGAGGAATCAGTTGCAGTTGGTGATAGTACCGAGCAGCCACCGACGGATGTGCGGGCCCGTTCATGTGCTGTCGAACTCTGATTCCTGAGCTTTCGTGTCAGTCTCGTGCATAAGGAACCCGATTTACTGTATCTTTTTGTCGTGGAAGCGCCATATCCAGGTTGATGTAGACATCAGAAGATGGTGTACGGAGTACTAATCAGAAAATCCGTGGTGGGAGGTGATTCGAAGGGTACGAAATACGAGGAATGTGATTGGGGTTGCGCCTGTCCCAGCCTGCGTGTGAGTGAGCTTATAGGCCGCATCTAACCCCGGAATCCCAGTCATTGATTATGACGGCAAGCAGGCAGTGCCTAAAACTTGGGTTGACTAGGCGCGAGCTTTTCTACCACGTCCAGTCCCAGGCCGCACAGGCACAGGCCATTTCTTCATTAGGGGTTTGTACGTAGGTCACGCATATGCAAGGCACGACGTGCCTGGTTCATACACTTCTCACTTAGATGCCGATTCACAATGTCCTCGGCTACTACGGCCGCTCTCTCCCAAGATCCCAAGTAATCAAGCACGATGCTCGGCGAGTCTCCAGCTCCTTATCTTGCAGATTCAAGCAGGGAGTGACCTTTCCCATTCGAGGGGGTTAAGTAAGTCCACGGTTCACAACAAAGGGGGTTGAATGTCAAATGTCAAAGAAGCCTCATTCATGAATAAATCCTCGGAGGCTGCTGCTGCTCATGGCTTGTCGACCATGTACCCCTTTCACGGGTCCGAGATATCGAAGAACCTCCACTTAAACCGGCAGATAGCCACCAACAGTTTGGGCGACGACTATCTCGTGGCCGACCCTAACCATACCTCGAACGGCATTACCCCCTTGCTTCCCAGCTCCCAGGAACGGCAGCATGGGAGGGTCTCAAGATCCCCCAGAAGACGGCACTGGCCCATCTAAAGACGACAAGACACCATCGGACTCCAAGCCAGTTGCCCTTGACGGGTCTCGAATTGGAAGTCAGTCCCAGAAGCCTACCAAGGTTGCGCTAACAGAGGTAAGTGAATCCCTCCTGAATCGCCGTCAGAGGTCATACCGCCTCGTTTCCAAGCGGCTATGCGGAGGCTGGTGCTCTCTGTGCTGCCGTGCTGACGAAAGAGGCTTCATGCTTCGTAATATCTAGTACTGCAGATATCTCAGTCAATACCTCGACGACGCATGTGACGACTTTGGAGGCCAAGTTGGATCCGAAAGTCGGGGCTCTCGGGAAGAAAACAGACGCGGTTCCTAAGGCTCGGGCTGTGTGATTGTCATCTGCTCAATCTAGGCCTAGAGTCGTCGAGAAACTCGCTTTTCCAGTCTCCAGCTAAAATCGTTCTATAGCGGCAGGGAACGGTGATGACGGGACCATGAGGCATCAATAGCTGTCCAGTGCGACATAACCCTACGCCTAAGGCTTGGTGGGAGAGAACGTGGTTGAGATTTGTCTTCGGATTCCGAGTCAGAAGATGATGCGCTCGAAACTATGGGGCAAAGATTTGGCAAGAGGATACCTCAAATGCGTCTGATGCAGCCATACCTTAGGCATGGGATACTGGGGGGAATGCCGTGAATGTTGGCAATGACAGAGACTCGGGTGCTAGGGACAGGCCGTCTTTCCCCAGCTCAACAACATCTCCATCTGTGCATCCGTTAGCGGCGTGGTTGCTTATTTCCGTAGGCTTGACAACAACCCATGAAATCCAGGTAATCGGTTTTTCCGTTTGCCGGAGTTTGCAGTGTCAGTGTGTCGGCTACTAGGACCCGAGTTTTGAGGCGGTGGTTCAGATCCGGCATCCAAGATACCATGCCTCTTCTTCGCCACCGGCGCGCAAGCAGCTCGAACCGCTCAATCTGCCCTGTTGAGCTCGCGAAGTATCTTCGAAGGACGTCGCGTGCTGTTCCCCTTGAACCCAGTGAGACGCCATAGTCCGCGCCATACTCGAGAAACGTCTCACATATTTCTGCCACATTTCCAGCCCCAGGCTTAGAGGTCAGGCGGTCGACCTCGATGGCCCAAACGCTGCGTTGGCGTTGGCTTCGATGCAGCATAAAGTTGATCGCGTGGATGTCTTGGGTGTCGCACATGACTGCGTTTGGGTCTGCACCGTGCTCAAGTAGTATACGAAGCATGCGTGCATGCATGCGATCCGGAACACTTTGGGTAAGACGGAAGTCGACTTCGAGGAGGACGTATTTCATCGCATAAGTGGCGTCGAAGTCGAACAAAGACATGTCACGAAATCGCGTGTCGATGTATGCGTAGAGGCCGCGACAGAGCGTTTCATTGATGAAGTCTAGATTGGATATCCCGCTCCGGACAAGGAAGGCTCTGGTCTCGTCAACCAGCCATCGTAAGATGTTCCCACGTCTTCTAGTTTCGAGGCGTTGGAGAGAAGTATCTCCACAACCGGATGCCGGATGTGAAAACGACCTTCTGGTCTCGTTCTTAGGTATCGGCCGAACATTCGCAGAGCGCTCAGAAGGGTTGTAAGATTTTGGAACTCGACCTTGCAACTTCGATCGTACTGACGGGCTGCGAAGATAATCGTTAACTGTACGATGGAGAAAGTCAATTCTTTCAAAGCGAACCGCAGGCATGCTCATCTGAGAATCCATCCCTACATTCATCAAATCACCGCAATACGCTTTTAGTCGAGCGCGTAACTTCCTAGACGAGTGAGTATGAGCAGAGCTGACCACTTGCTCCTCAGTGGGCATGATGTGTGCCACCAGAACTAAAGGTAGGAGCTCATCACTCTCCATTGCTGACAGAAATATGCTGGACGACGGCTCGTGATATCTCTCTGGAATATTATCGAGCATTCGTTCGAAATACCCCTCCAGTTCGGTGGGAAAATCGTTAACAATCTGCTCCAAGTCCTCGACGGTATCTTCGTTCGGAAGGGTTTCTGTCAAATTGCGGACGACTAGAAAAACCCGAAGGAAGACTCCCTTTGCCTTCTCAACAATCTTGTGGAGAAATCTCTGATACCGGTCGTCTTCGGCTTTCAGTTGCTGGAAGAGTTTGTGCTTGCCAATCATCTCGTGCACGTAAAGTCGTATGTCCTCCATGGTATGTTCATGAAGCCGGAGCAACGAATTGGTATCAGAACCGAAGGCTGCTTCAAATGTATTCCAGGGACGGCTCGCCACGCAGACTTTGATATTCGGGGTCGCGCTAAGGTCAAGCACCGTTTGTGCGATCTCATGTGACAGCCCATCGTATTCATCCAAGCCGTCGATGAAAAAGCAGAATTTGATAGGACGAACCTTCTGGCTGCCGATGATTCTGAAGGCCGATTGGAGTTCTTCATCAGTCCATAGTTGATCGAGAATCCATTCATCCCATCGGCGTCCTAAAACTTCAGGCATTATCTCCGGTATTTGGCGCAGTACTTCGTAGAGCAAAGCACGCAGAAGACCGCTTTGTGAACGTTCCAATTCTGCACCAGAGTTCCAAAAGAAAAAGTCGGCCTTGATAAGTTCACTTGCTGAGGTATTGCGAGCCCATTTTTCAAGATGGCATTTGGTCCTTGGATCCAGATAAATGAACTTCATCATAGTTGACTTTCCCGATCCAGCATTACCTGTGATCCAGTAGTAGCCTTGACCCTTCTCAAGCCAATCACGGAAGTAAAGGGCTTGTTCCTCATGTCTTTGATCGTAGATCCAATCGAGGGTGGTCCCATGTCTTTCGACAACATGCTCCCGGCGAACTGTCGTCCGGTTGAATCTCAACGCACACAGCATGTCTCCAGCAATAAAGACTTCTTGGCCTTCCGCATACAGCGCTTCCAACTTGTCGCATAATTCCACAGTCGTTGGGTGAACGGCTCTAGATTGGAAAAGCTGAAGCGCCCTTAAGATATTGAACTCGAGCCAACATTTTGTCTGATTTTAAGCCTATGAGTCATTGCTTTATTTCAGGTTGTCGATTGATCGCTGGATGAATGATTGCTGATCATACAATGCTTTGCTGAGTAGTGACTGTAAATCGTTCTTGCACATGTTGAGTTTTTTGACTGTCTCCTCGACTTTAGGCTGCTCCCAAACGGATTGCAACGCTTTCCATACGCCCGAGCTTCGGCTATGGGGTGTCGCAGCAAGTTTATCCAGAGCATTTGCCAAATCCCTTCCGATTGTATTGCACGCCACAGCGGTTTTGACAATTTGGGCCTCATCTTCGTCACGAGGAATGACGACCAGTCTCCGAAATGGTTTGGACAGGGCATCTAGTCTCTCAATCGAGGCTCGAAGGTCGGTATGGACGGCAGTGGCTCCAACAGCCGATCTGTATATCTCTACGCCTTGGCCAACTAACGTGGGGATGGAGTCCACGAACTGGAGAATATTGCCAGCGAGCCCAATAGCCGATAAAGGATCCATTTCATATTTGCCAAAAGTGAAATCTTAGTAGGAGTCTGTACGGAGTAAGCTGGAACTCAAAGTAGCTGTCGCTGCCGACGTGACGGTCGTCCCAATTGAGGGACCATCAGGCTGAACAGCTGGACCGAGAAGGCAGTCGTCACCTGATCGTTGGGGGGGGCATCAAAGGGACGCCTACCTACCTAGCGAACTAGGTACCTTATGCACCTTATGCTGACCATAGCACTTTCAAAGGACAAGGGTTTCGGCTATGGACCAGTGAGGCATGGACCAGTGAGGCAGCGCAACCCATAAGTACGGGTAGGCTTAACATCACCGGAAAGAGCCTTTCAAAAGCGGCGGTAAAGACCTCCGTTTTGGAAAGCGATTTGTCCGTCAACCCTCGTTGATATCATGACCTCGATAATGCGTAGATAAATGGATCGTACGAAGTAATGCGAGGGACTATGCAGGGCCTAGGGCGCTCACGAGGTGCACACTCGGCAGAGTTGCCTATCCTGGCAACTGCTCCATAGGTCACATGCATAGGCAAGCGTGACAGTTTAGGAGTAACGAAAAGGCTCGTCCAGATCATCGGACGTGACCTGGAAAGCCGTGGGTGTGAGCTTGCGAGGTGCGTCCGGAGATGCAGCCGGGTACCTGCGGTGTGACTGGGCACTGGGCAGTGGTTGAATGCAGTCTTATAACCCTAATGCTGACGGTCTCATATGGGCGAAATCTGACATCTGGGCATGTCTAATCTTGGGCCGCACAGAGCGGAGCCCCCAGGTGTCACTCCGGAACCCAGCGTGCCAGCCCGGCGCATGCCAAAATCCCAGCCATGGCCAACCCTGGTTTTGGCGCAGTTCGTGTATCACAAGCAGAAAGGCGGCCTTTGTGGCAGCCGAAGTCTCATGTAATCGGGACCAGAGAGGGAAACTTCTGGTAGCACAAGCAGAGTCGCTTCTGCACCGAGCCGCACCAAGGTCTCTCGATTCGGGGTTGACGCAACACTTCTGTCGATGATCATGGTCTCCCAATGGAGAGGCACTGACCGGATATCTGGAAGACGCGCTGCTGATTTGATGGATGTCTTATTGTAGCTCGTAAATGGGTGAAGACACTGGTGGACACTCGATCAGGCTTTGAGATTTCGGAGCTACTTGTGCTCGTAAAAGGGCTAGCAGCCTAGCACCGACTGTAGCACCCAGGCTAGTGGTCACGCATGGCGAGATGTCCCGGAGCGAGCTGCAAGAAAGGGCCATGATCCTCGACTCTTTGGCTGTTCAGTGCCGTACGTGCCATACCAAGAAAAAGCGTCGGCCGGTGCCAATTAATTTCACTCATCACTCATCAATCATCATCCCCTACTGCGCCCTGTCCACTTTACCTCTGCTCCGCCCACAACACCAGCAATTTCTCTCGCTTTTGCTCGACTCGGTTATTCTACGACTCTCTCTATACACGTCGACCTGCACCAATATACGATCCATCATCTATGCTAGGCGACTGAGACCAAGCTTTCAAGCTTCCCTAGCACACACTCATTTTGGAGATCCAGATCCGTTTACAAGGATCCCCTCGCCGCTCACCCGTGCTCTGACATCCGTCCACTCTCCGAAGTTGCCTGCGCGATTGAACAGCTACAGCTCACTCTCTACTCCGTACATCATAACAGACGCTCTCTCAGACCTCGTTCTCCAATTGACCGCCTGTAGAGTCTTTTGGAGACTTCCTTCAGCCTTGTTGAATCGATTCCAACCCTGTTCTACCGCTTGCTGCGGCAGGCCTGCTCTGGTCCTCGACACGCGAGAAAAGAGCTACAGCAGCCATGTCGACAACAGGTATTTATTAGAAAATCCCATATCATACGGTGCCTAACGCTGTCAGATACGGCAAGTTTAAGTTCGTCGACCGACTCGGTCATTGTCACCACTCTTACCACAACCTCGACCAGCTTAACCACATCGCCGACCACGACAGTCATAGTCACAGATACCTCAACCTCAACACCTGACACAACATCCACGACTACGATTCCCACCACCACGAGCGTCTCCTCCATCTCCATTCCTCCCTCGACGACTGTGATCGAAACAACACCCACCACTACCGCGTCCCCCAGCGTAGTTGAAGTCACATCTACAATAACTCAAACTCCTCCAACGACAGATAATAGTACTCCCACACCTTCAGTAATCGTGGTCACCTCGACATACTCTCCAGATACGCCCACAACAGACACTGCGACAGTGCGTCAGACATCAACATCCTCCTCGTCAAGCGCCACACCTTCAGCTTTAAGTGCCTCCGGATCAGGTTCCAGTTCCTCAAGTGGTCTCGGTTCCGGTGCCAAGATCGCCATCGCCGTCGTAATACCGATTGTAGTTATTGCTGCGGCCTTTTTGATAGGATTTTTCTTGTGGCGGAAGAGAAAGGCTCGAAAGAATGCCGAAGAACAGCGAAAGAACGAAATGGCCGAATATGGATTCAATCCGAATAGCGACCCTACACTAGTGGCAGGCGTAGGCGCGTACACGGACAATCAGTCAGAAGCTCAAGACGACGTCAGCGGCTATCGTGGATGGGGAGCAACTTCGTCAAATCGCAAGGCTTCCACTACACTGGGATCCAATGGTCGTGGGCCCAACGGTCCGGCAATGTCAGAAAGCAGCAGTCAGCCTGGAGGTTATGGCTTCAACAACTCACCCAATGGCGCCTCAGATGCTTACTCTGCAGACCCTTTGATGAACGGTCATCCAGAGGGTGGTGATGGCGTTGCGGCTCTCGCTGCTGGTGGCCTTGCCCGAAATCGCAGTAATGCTGCTGCGGACATTCGTCGGGGACCGTCAAATGCCTCATCGGCGTATTCTGCAGGTCATCAGTCGGAAGAATCCTCCGACACACCTAACATGCCTGGGCCATATTACCAAGAAGAAGTTCCTTACAACATTTATAACGATGCGGCACCGAGTCATGGACCCTACGGTGATGGTTCGTACGGTGGTTCAGGAGGTCAGCCTGTCATACGCGATGTCCAGGCCCGACGAAACACTCGTATCGAACGAGCACCTACGTTTCCTCAGACCCAAGGAGGAATTGCCCAGAACTTCTAGCAGCAGTTGTAATCTATCACAGGTACCAGCTTACGGCCGTCTTACTTTCATTGCCATGTGTCGTTGAGTCTGTAAAGGGAGTTCTCCGCATTCGGTGCATGAAAAGTTTGCTAGGATATCTTTATCCTATTTGTTTGGTTGCCTCCATCTATACCCCGGAGTTTGCGCTTTTGCTCATTGGAATTTTGACGAATTTCATATCATCAGCTATTCGATCACGGCATTTGCAAGTCATTGGGAGGAACATTTCTTGTACAGAGATTCAGGGATATAAGTACTGTTGCTCGAACATTTGAGCAGTTGACCTAATTAGTGGCTGGATGTGCTTGTCGGAAGCTGAGTAGGAATGCAGACTGGATGATGAGGAGTACCTACATCGAGTGGCTCACGTAGCCTCGTATCTATAAGAAGCGATCTATGTGAAGTTTGACTACTTATCCTACTAATATCATTGTCGGATCGGACTTGCTCGTAAGCTGCTTCAATCGATGTTGCGCACACAAATAGAATGTAAGAACAGCCTTGCGTCATGTTCATGGAAATATCAAAATCGAACTTTAAACATGGTTCACATTCGATACGAGGCTTGACCTCATCCTCTTTCGCAACAAGCGTTGCAGACGTTGGCTTCCATCTCACCACCTTCGCTGTCGTTGTAGTAGATACGGTATCAGCATCCCCGGCCGTGGAAGAGTTAATCCATCTGCATTGGAGGAAATAAGTCACCAGACTCCTCGGATTCCACAAAGGCAAACACTTGGATCATCATTCCGCCTCAGCACAAGAAATTATCTCTACCAGGCCGAATCCTTTGCCGGATTCCGTACGTCTGTTGACCGCGACAGTCGCCTCACCAGGCTCGAGGATTCTTGCATTGTGAGTCATTAAGCATCGGGCAGCAGTAGAAGGCCGCGAGATTCGCCTGTTCACTTGAAATTGAGACACTCACTGTACTTTGGTGACTCTCACCGAGTAGCCTCAGTTTCGGAAGCTGCACGGTCCTCTACCTTTCAAGGTATTGCCCTGGATCACAGACTGGGTTGTCTACCTGAAGGTCGAAATACCCGTTCGAAGCACTACGGCTTGGTCGTTCCACTCGGAAGCATCATCCAAGGCTTCACCAAAGCTTTTGAACAAGGCAATATCAACTACGACGGTCTTGCTTCCACGTATCTCAGTCCTCAAACGTCATCAACCCATCGTCTCTATTCACCGGACTGGCAACAACACTACGATTCAAGTCCAGGCCTACCACCTGCACCCGCCGCTTCCTCGCACCAGGCTACCCTCTCGTCCCGTCCTTGACCCTTTCTCCAACCACACCACAACTATGTCCAACTCAGATCGCGCTGGTCACCGCGGTGGCGGTCGAGGTGGCCGCGCAGGTGGAGGAAATCGACGACACGACTCCCAGCCTCGCTCGGTGCTCGTATCAAAAGCTCTATCTCGCCTACTCCGCCACGCCGCCGTGCAAGAACGCATCCCCATCGACACACACGGCTATGTGAGAATGGACCACCTCCTGGCGTGGCAAAAACTGCGCAGTATGAAGCCACCCGTCACGTTTGACGAGGTCGTCGAGGTCGTGCAGAGCAATGAGAAGAAAAGGTTCGCTTTGAAATTTGTGGGTGCAGTGAAGGCAGAGGTGGCTGAGAGGGGCGACGCTCCCACGACGACGCCTATGCAGACGCAGACTGAGGAAGAAGGAGTGGATGACCGGTCTGCAGCGGAAAAGGTCGCTGAATCAGAAACCCAGCGCGCACTGTCGTTGTATGAATTCCTCAAAGCCGACGACATGCTCGACGAGACGAAAGTCATCAATGACTTCTTCATCCGCGCCACACAGGGCCACAGCATGAAAGATGTCGAAGCCGAGAATCTGTTGACGCCAATCACACTCGACGATCCAACGAGTATACCGGACACGGTAGTCCATGGAACATTTTACGGCGCGTGGGACGCGATTCTAGCCAGTGGCGGACTGAAGAAGATGAACAGGAATCACGTCCATTTCGCGACGGGGCCGAAACTTGAAGACGTCCTTCAGAGAATCGGCGGAAGAGAGCAGGATGGAAATACAGACACTGCCAAAAAGGCAACCACCGGATTAGGGCAGGTCCTAGGTGAGAATAAAGTGATATCAGGTATGCGCTCCGACGCCCAGATCCTGGTGTACATCGACATGCGGCGCGCCCTGGAAGAAACCAAAGGACAGATGAAGTGGTGGAGGAGTGAGAATGGGGTCGTGCTCACGGATGGTATCGCTGGACAGCACACTGGGGACGAAGAAGACGGAGGGGACAAGATAGTTCCCACGAAATTCTTCAAAGCGGCCGTCGAGGTCAAAGAAGGGCTTGGACTTCTCTGGGAGCATGGCAGGGGCGTGGTGCAGGTGTTGCCTGAGCGCTTGAAAGCGAGGGGCGTGCCTAGGGGGAAGGGGGGACGGGGCGGTGGTGGAGGTGGAGGTGGAAGAGGGAGAGGACGCGGGTAAGAAAAGGAGATCGAATTTGATTCGTGATAGTAAAGATGATGAGATAGAGATCGATCACGAGCAAGCGTGGAGAGCACGGTAGAGGTGCATGGGCAGGAGCACAAAGGCGAACCCCTTCACGTTTATGCTAGTAGCGGAGGAATGAAGCAGAAATGCGAGATGTCAGGAATGAATATATTTGATTCGACGACGTACCAATTCTGGTCCTGATACCTGGTATGTCTGCTGCGGCTCTATGCTATCGAAGCAGGTCAAAAACAAGCATGTCGTTCCGCCTGTGAAAGGGGGTTTGGTGGTCCAGCAACGGACCGCGAAGAGAGCTGTTTCTCCTACCGATCGCGGCCCTTCAATGTCAGTGGCTTCGAGTGAGAGATCCTCAGATCTGCAGATCGATGCTCAATCTGCTGTTCCAAGCATAGCCCAGTGGCCATAACTGTCGACACTCGTATGTAAGCGAAGGCGCTCACGTACTCGGAGCACATCAGTATTGAACAGCCCCATTGGAGCTCATCGAACTGGGTGATCGTGTCCATAACAAGTCATAGCGCGTGTGGCCATAATTCGTCTGCACCTCGAGAGCGCTGGCAAAGCTCTTAATCATGCATTGCTGTCTTGGGTCATATATCGACCACTTAAGATGATGCAGTCCGATCTCGTACCTCTCCCGATCGCAATGTGATTTTAGCGAATGCCGCCGACCCTTAGGCTAGGCATCAGAGGCTGATGGCGCAGCTTGCGTGTAATCTCAGCTGGCGATAATGACGAGCTAATGACGAGCCTCTCCAGAGTTGATATCCTCATCAATCAGCCTGCTTTCCCTCATGTTTTTGGCGCCGGAGGAGGGCCCATATTCGTCTTCTTTGCAGGTGGTAACGAAGGCATCTTGAAACCACTTCCACTCTTGCCCGCATTAGCCTGTGTGAACGTGCCACTGGAGAAGTAACCGGCATTTTCTGCCTCCCGTTTCCTCTTGAGCTCGGCTTGCACTTTCGGATCCACCAACTCAAGACCCTGAACGGGTGTGAAAGCTATAGAACTGGCTGTGCCGGCTCCCGCTCCCACGCCACTAGTCCGAAGACCTGACGCTCGAAGTGAGGTCGAGTGGCCCCCCATACCAAACCCTCTCAGTGAAGTGTTCATGCCACTGTTTAAGCTAGTGGCTGTGCCAGAGCCACCCCATCCGGGATTCTTCTTACTCAGCTTCGCCATAGTTCGTCGGTCGACTTGCGTGGCACGAATTCGTCCGTCGTTGTTTTGTCCAATCATACCTAATCCTACAGTATCCTCGCCCATACCGTAGCCGGCTTCTTTCTCTTCACTGCCAAAAACCATTCTATTCTGTTGTTTTCTCAGTTCTGTCATGGCTGTGGCTTCTTTAGCTTTGCGTGCTCTTCTGCCACCTCGTTTTCGGCTCGGTTTATCGTCAGGAGCAGGCAGAGCCCGAGGCCCTCGGTTGGGAGGTGGTTCAGTCAACTTGTCCAGTCGTCGTAGACAGTCGTCGCGAAGTTGTTCGCCGGTCGAACCGTCCGGTGCTTGGTGCACACTGTCCACTCGAGCTGCAAGGACGAGCTTGGCCGACACAATGCGCATGGCTTGGATTTTCAGGTCGTTTGGAATACTTTGAATCAGAGGTGAGTGGTATAGAAATCCTTGTTGTCGAATGCCGACGTTCGTAGCCAAACCGCTTTGCTTCTGTTTTCTGGAGCCCATGGCAGGAATGTTGCGGTCTGGGACCTTTGCCAAAGCTTTGATACCACCAGCAAAGTTCAGCAGCTGAGCAGCTGTAAGAGACCCGATAATGGCAGTCAAGTTCGGGGCAAAGATGTTCATCCTTGACTGGACGTATTCTGTGAGGACCTTCTTTGCCTTGTCCAACTCCATAACCATCTGACATGCGCGTAGGGTTGCCTCTAGCTCCGCTTCGCTCAGTGGCTGACCTTTGGTTGTCGTGCCCTCCACGGTCACAACCATAAGCGTAGGCCCGTCGAGGACGGATCTGAGGGACGCCCCGACGATATTCTTCGCAGAGTCTGCCAGCGCTTTGATGTTTTCAAGAGGTCCATTCCTAATAATGGCGACTGTCTTCGCATAGTCCAACGGATTTTGCACCAAGGTCTCGAGCTCGGGAAAGCGGGCGGAATAGTGGTCTCGGATGAATTTGTGGACAAGGATGATCTCGTTGTCGATCTGGGTAGATAGAGAATTTGACTGCGTCAAGAGATGATACTCGGGGTCGTCTTCGACAGTTCCTACCGTCGCAGTTCGTAGGTTCGGAGGCAGATTCTGGTAGTGCGAGATTTTCTAAGGTTGGGGCATACGGTCAGGACTAGACCACACAGATGTAAACCACAGAGGAGCAGCCACGGGGTAGGGGGACTTACATCTAGTACTGGTTGTAGAACCTTCATCAGACCTGCTACACTCCTCACATCACGCACAGCTCCCAGGTGCATCTTTTCGACTTTGGCCTTGGTTTCGTCCTCATCCTCCACTATGTCTTCTCGATCGGCGTCTTCATTTTCTTCGGCATCTTCCATTGTCTCGTCATTTTCAGCGCCGACCGGAGAGCCGGCTTCGTCGTGCTCGTGGGTTTGGCCATTTGTACCATTACCATTTGCCTGGTCGTCATCTTGAAGTCCGCGATCCTCATTCTCGTCGCCAGAATCTTCAAAGTCATTGAGTAGCTCGTCTGCTATGGTCGACATGATGCTGGAAGGCCTTCGCGGCCACAGGAAGTTCAAGAGTGAATGTCAACTCGATCAAAGCAAACTGGTGGAAGTCTGAAAAACAGGCGGAGGGAACATGACTCGTGCTTTGGCGGCTCAAGAGGGAATCCTGACTCTTGGCGGAAGGCATGTCCGCCGCTGGCTTAACGACCTAACCCCCTTCACGACTCGCGATGATAATTCTAGTTCTCGGTGACTTGCCAGATTCCTTATGTATTTTATCATCAAACTCGTTTAGTCTTGCTACCTCATGAGTTCGAAGTGCGATACATTTCTCCTTTCTCCTTGCAAGTATAGCTTAAAATGGATCTATGGTACGGAGTACTGCTATCAATATTTCAGCCTACTGGACGCTGAAAGCCATCAAGCCCGACAGGGTGACTGTCATCGAACGCGCGGTTGAGCTCAAGAATAGCCGCCCATGACCCAGAGAGAGTGACTGGCAAGGCTGGGGTATTGGAGCATTCAAAAGGAGGCCGAGGTGGAACTGAGTGAGGTTTCATGGTCCATGCTCGGTATCGACGAAACTTGTGCATAATCGTTGTTCAGGGGCCGATGACTCAGTCTTGTTCATGCTGCATGAATACCTTGAGACGAGATGCCGGTTCCATTCTCGAATAACAAGCAAATAGTCAGGGCCGTAAACTTGCAAGCAGCCGTCAGTACCACGCTGACACACACCCAGACCACCAGTTCTGGCACAGTGACAGCCATGATGGAAGTGTATACCAAAGTCCCAGCCACGTAGTAGATGGCCCAAAATAGCTGAACAATCCACCATTCATCTTGCCCTTGGACAGCTGAGAGCATGCTCGAAACGGGACTGTTCTGATCTGTGAGTCTAAGATCTTTTCGATCCTTTTTGGGATGGGCGAGTCTGTATCTTGCGCAAAGGACGTGGAAAGTTGACGGAAGAAGAGCGACGAAGTAGAATGTAACCACAAATACCGGGTATGGGCACCCGAGAGCGGATCGTTTCGAGTAGATCTCCGTCAGCGCAGTGAAGACAAGACTCACAAGCATAGCGAGCAGGCAGACCACTACTATGCCTCGAGGATATTTTTGGGCCCATTTGAAGATGAAGAAGCTCTTCCACCATGGCATGACATCGACTTTTCGTGGCTCTCCGACGTCGATCGGCTCCAGTCCCAGTGCTCGCACGAGGATTTCGCGAGGCACATCTAGCCTCTTTCTCAAGAACACGATGCGACGATTTGGCCACGCAATGTCTTTCAGCGTCAGTGGAATGAGACCCATGACCAATCCCGTCGCCTCGAATTGCTGTTTGCGCACTTCTTGAGCCCTCTGATACACGCATCCTGCCCAATTCCAGCAATTTTGCGGGTTGTGAGCGTAGAACGGAAACCAGAAGTAGGGTTTGAAAGGCGAGAACTGGATTGCTTCCTGTGACAGCACAGTAGTGGTGTTGTCTCGAACGTAGGTGTAGTTACAGGTCCCTAAATGATAGTACCAGGCTACATCGTCGTAGCAAAACCAACCCTCACCCTCAACACATGAGGCTGACGTGAGGGAGATAACTTCAAGGAGGAATGGTAAGCACCAAAAAAGGGGTCGCATTTTTGGCGTCCTTCGCGATACAGAAATGCAAGTGGAGGTGAAGATTGGGCTATTCTGAGGTCGGCAGCAGGAAGTAGAAGAGTTTTAGTCCTAGAAAACATCAAGACTTCGAAGGTCTTCTGCATCAAGCTGAGGGGAAAAAGAGAGAAAACAGCACCATACTTCCGGACATCTTATATAGGAAGATACAGCCTCATACGCTTTGAGAGATCGGCAGATTGCGAGAGCTCATACGAGAAGCTGTTTGGCCGGCACGCCTTAAAGCACTCGCGCTGCTGTTTGCGTATGGCAATCCCTGCAGCCACATTGGGGGCTATTACCGCTACTCCAATCATTGCCTGGTCATGCAGCTGCATGTCTGGACTGGGGTCTTGTCTTTGAGGCAGCCATAGGAACTGAAGCCTTTGAGGCTTTTGAAGGCGAAGACGCTCAGCCGTTCCGCGAATTTGTCGGTCATTGCGTGGAGAACGAGGGCAGAATCCTGGATGCGTACCTGGAGAGAACGTACCTAGGTAGATCGTGGTAGGTAAAGGTTTCAGCCTCGTTGTCAAGTCTTGAGGTGGGGAAGGAAATTCGTCCTTGGCACAATTCTCCGCAGTCAGGCTGCGAAAGAAAGTCCAGCACAAAATCTATCTCAGTATCACGTTTTCACCATCACTTTCGCCCTGTCAAGGGGAGCGTTCGGCTGCTTTGTTACTTGCTATAAGACTTCTTGCCCTCGCATCTGAACCCATCTTTCGCCGCCGTAAGCCGCCTCGAGCGCCTGCGGCCAACCTCATCGCAAAGATGGATTCCTCAAGAGGGCCCCCAAGGGTCAAGAATAAGGCAGCGGCGCCTATACAGATCTCAGCCGAACAATTGCTCCGTGAAGCCGTCGACCGACAGGAACCTGGACTCCAAGCGCCTACGCAGAGATTTGCCGACCTCGAAGAGCTCCATGAATTTCAAGGTCGCAAACGCAAGGAATTTGAGGACTATGTTCGCCGCAACCGAATTAATATGAATAACTGGATGCGATATGCACAATGGGAACTTGAACAAAAGGAATTCAGACGGGCGAGGTCAATCTTCGAGCGAGCGTTGGACGTGGACAGCACGAGTGTCCAATTATGGATCCGATACATCGAGGCTGAGATGAAGACGAGGAACATCAATCATGCTCGGAATCTGTTGGACAGAGCTGTCACCATTCTTCCGAGAATTGATAAGTTGTGGTACAAATATGTCTATATGGAAGAAACGCTGGGTAACGTGCCTGGCACAAGACAAGTCTTCGAGCGATGGATGAGCTGGGAGCCAGATGAGACAGCTTGGCTGTCATACATTAAGTTGGAGAAGAGATATGGCGAATATGATCGAGCCCGGGCGATCTTTCAACGTTTTACTGTCGTTCATCCCGAGCCACGGAATTGGATCAGATGGGCCAAATTTGAGGAAGAGAATGGTACGAGCCAGCTGGTGCGTGATGTCTTTGGGGTCGCTATCGAAACACTGGGCGATGACTTCATGGACGAGAAGCTCTTCATCGCCTATGCACGATATGAGGCGAAGCTGAAAGAGTATGAGAGAGCTCGGGCAATCTACAAGTACGCTCTGGACCGATTACCACGCTCGCAGTCGGTGGCGCTTCACAAAGCTTACACACAATTCGAAAAGCAATTTGGCAACCGTGAAGGGGTCGAAGATGTGATTCTTGCGAAGCGGCGAGTACAATATGAGGAGCAGCTGAAGACTAACCCGCGAAACTACGATGTGTGGTTCGACCTTGCAAGGCTAGAAGAAGCTGGAGGCGACGTTGACCGGATACGGGATGTCTACGAGAGAGCAATTGCCCAAGTGCCTCCCTCTCAGGAGAAGCGGCACTGGAGAAGATATATTTATCTGTGGATCTTCTATGCTTTGTGGGAGGAAATGACCAACAAAGACGTGGACCGAGCAAGACAAGTCTACCAGGAGTGCTTGAAGCTAATCCCGCACAAGAAATGGACGTTTGCCAAGATCTGGCTGCTGAAGGCACAATTTGAGATCCGGCAGATGCAACTGCAGGCAGCGAGAAAGACCCTTGGACAAGCCATCGGCATGTGCCCGAAGGACAAGCTCTTTCGAGGATATATTGAGCTCGAGAAGCAGCTATTCGAATTTCTCCGATGCCGAACACTGTTTGAGAAACAGATTGAATGGAATCCGTCCAACGGGCAATCGTGGATTCAATTTGCTGAGCTTGAACGTGGGCTTGATGACTTGGAGCGAGCGAGGGCAATCTATGAGCTGGCGATCGAACAACCTACTCTCGACATGCCGGAGCTGGTATGGAAGGCATACATCGACTTTGAGGAGTATGAAGAGGAATATGATCGAGCTAGGGCATTATATGAACGACTCCTGCGCAAGACGGATCATGTCAAAGTTTGGATCAACTATGCAAGGTTTGAAATCAATGTGCCGGATGCAGAAGAGGCAGAGGTTGAAGGTGAACAATCGACCGTCAGTGAAGAGGCTAAGGCACGAGCTCGGAAAATCTTTGAGCGAGCTCATGACCTTTTCAAGTCCAAAGAGATGAAGGAGGAGCGAGTGGACTTGTTGAATGCATGGAAATCCTTTGAGCAGACTCATGGATCACCTGAAGACATTGAGAAGATTGAAAACCAAATGCCACGGAAGGTCAAGAAGAGGAGAAGAATTGAGGAGGATCGGTTTGAGGAGTACATTGACTATGTGTTCCCAGCTGACGACGAAAGTGCAGCCAAGATGTCGAAACTGTTGCAGATGGCACATCAATGGAAGGCGAGACAGCAGACCAACGGATCAGCAGAATAGTTTTGCGATACTTACCTGGTAACAATAATGATCAGCGATGGACTATGGAGTATTTGCAATTCTAATTGTTTCCCTTCCTCCCACCCACCTCCCACGTGGTGTCTGTAACGAGTACTCCGTACACAGTATTGGTCGATTAGCTGCTGTATGACATAATCAGACGCCGGGCGCTGGGTGGCTGGCAAGAAGATTGCCCCTGATTTTCGGCGTCACCCGGGCGTCATCCATGTCTTGTACCTGCGCAAGCCCAAGCGTCAAGTGGCTCTTTGGGTTGACTGCATTGGTTCTAATCAGTCTAGGGAGTAGTAGCCCACGGATTCTCGGATTAGGGTCAGTCCCGCGTCGTCGGCAAACAGTTTGAAACACCTGGGAGCTGCTTGTATGCCACCCACGGCTTCCCTCCGTCACCTTTACATTCTGCGCTCTCATGATGACCTCTAGCTGCCGGTGCAAAGAGGGAATGCCTGAAGATGTCTAGATAAAGAAGACTTGACGAATACATAGTACCACTCTAGTTACATGTCTTGTGAGAGAAGACGTAATCGCGCAGGAACTTTCTGCAGCCATTTTACAGAAGACGCCCACGACGCCTTCGCTCCTCTTGTAGTCTTCTCTTCTCTTCTAGCCTAAGCGACCTGCTCGCCCAGAGTCACACCTCCTCTTCTTCCCGCATTTGCTGCCATTCCGGAACCAACCCAATCCCACCTCTTCTTCTCTCAGTCCATTTCTTCTTGCAACTTTTCTTCTCTTTTGCCAAACAAGACGAGGAAAGACAGGAGAATCGTATTCAATTACGTTTTGCTGTGAGCCCCAAAATTTTGATATTCACACGCTGATCCCAAACGCTCATCTCGACCCACATAACATTGACAGGATCAATCCAAGAACGGACTCCGCGTCACTATTGGTAAACTCCACCAAGCAATCACACTCGTCGCCAACTGAAGTCCAGCAGCCCCTTCAAGAAAACAATTAGCTTACGCCGTCACCAGTGATTGTCAATTGATTCGCACCTCTTGGGAGGCTTCACTGACCTTCACACTGCTATTGTTCAAGCCACCTTTGGCAGACTCACCGCAATTCCTCACTGCCTAAGCTCAGCGCGCCCGCACTTTTCACTTCAGCGTTCATTGCTCGAGTCGAACTCGAAGCTACCGACCGTCGGTCTCTCTTCACATTGCAAATTCCGTATCTGGAGAAGATCCTGCGAGCCTCAACCTATCATTCATTTGCTTTCTCGGCGCACCTTCACCATAAAGTGCTGGCCCTAGCTCCAGTCACGTCAACGTCAAACGACCCTTTTTTGTCGCTAGAGAAACATCCCACCTGATCGTTGCGCGAACAACTGGGTCGAAGCGCTCGTCCAATATTCGCCCGACTTTATCGACTCTAGACCCTATCGTGGCTTTGCCTGCACGGCAACCGGTCCATTCGCTTCGCAAGAAAAATTCACCTTTGTCGCTCCTGCAACACCTGAGCAACCTGCGGCGCAGGACTTTTCTATTCCAAAAGATTGCAGTCTCAGTTTTTGGGACGACTATGCATATACAAGTTTGACAAACATCCTGTGATAAGAGACGGGTGGACCGAGGCAGGCCTGGACATGTCAGCTCCAAAACCTCCTGTGGCTCTCAAGAATCATTGCTCCATCATCCATGATGGGATTATCTACGTTTACTCGCCCGGTGCCTTTCAGACTTTGGAATTGAAAGAGGGGGCACAATGGAAGGAAGAGACAAATGGGGTTTCTGTGACGGGCGCGACTTGCGTTAAGGGTGGTGTGGATGGAGACAACACCAAACCAGCACTCTACGTCGTGGGAGGTGCTGCAAATGCGTCTTCCTCAGACTATCCTGGCTTGCAGCGCTTTTCGATCGCGGACAAGTCATGGAAGACCATCACCCCCGTCGTCCAGGTCACGCAAAATCGCCATAACCATGGAGCTGCCTACATGAACGCCTCGTCGTCAATCGTGGTGTATGGTGGATCGCAAGTGACCGGGTACGAGGGACTGTCTTCAGAAACATTCTTGCTTGAAATGTACCCACCGTACCGAGTATTGGCTTATAGCTCGACGGCACCTCCAACAGCGAAACCTATCATGCTGCCCTGGAGTGAGGATAGGGCTTTGATGGTAGGAGGCAGCTCCACCAACGTGAACGTCTTCACTTTCGGCCCCGCAGACGGATGGCAAGACCTTGGGCTGTCTCTACCTAATCCACTTCCTGATTCTTCTGCTGCGCAGAGCGCACTCTTCACGCTGGACGACAACAGCAAGATATTGCAAACCTTCAACCTGGGCCAGACAGTGCCCAATGTCACAACGAACGTGTTATTGAACCCTGGAGGTCAGCCCGCGGTATTTGGTGAAACAGCCGGAGGCAGCGCCTCAACAGCCAGTCCTACGCCATCACCAACCTCCGCATCCAAAACCAAAAGATCGGTCTTTCTCAACAACTATCCCATTTACAACAATAGCCTGGCGCCCTCTGATTCTCGGACGGACTTTGACCTGGTTCAAGGCGACAATGGCCTGGTAGCTTTCCTTGGTGGCAACTCCAATGACCCGCTAGTATTCTTCAACCAGTCGGGCAACAGCTGGATTTCGACGACTTCGTTACTTGGCAAGCAACAGGCATCCTCAAGCACGCCTTCAACTACACAGTCTGCTGCAACTTCAACTTCCACAGCATCCAACGCGGCCAGCTCATCGTCCTCTCACAAGGGTCATGGTTTGGCCATTCTGGGTGGAGTACTGGGTGGTATCTGTGGTCTTGCCGCAATTCTTATCATCCTTCTGCTCTGGCTCAGATCGGTCCGCAGAAAGAGAGAGCAGGCAGAGAAGCAGAATGATTACGGCGATGACAAGAAAAGGAGTGGGGAGTATAACTACGAAGAAAGGGGCCTGAAACCTCTAGCTAGGCAGGGCCAGCCAATGGGCAGAAGTCCCGTACCTTCAGCTGTGATCACGGAAGCAGACAGCACAGCCATGGTTGGAAATAAAGCTGATCCGAAGTATCTGATCCGGCGAGTATCTTCCGATCGAGCGCAGCCCGGGTTTCGAGGCTCAGGGATCGCATTCGGGCAGGCGCTGTTCAAGCGTGACAAGGCTCCTTTGTCTATCTCCAAACCTATGAACCCCATTCTGGGCGACTACCAACAAAGGCCTAGCATCGAGCTCGGTCGCGCCACGCCTGTTGTTGAACCTGCCGTAGCCGAAGCCGCCCCAACAAGGAAGGCTTCGCAGCGCAAGACCGACGAAGGATGGGGCAAGTACTTTCAGAGCGAGGCACAGACGGGCAACAGGACAACGTTTTTCACCCGAAGCTCAGGCGCAAGTCGAGGCAAGAGTGGATTTTGGCCAGGCTCTGGGGTGCCGGACAGCTCAAACAGGTCGAATGCAGCCAGACCGTCCAAGATCGTCATACGGGACAGTAATGGCAATCCCCTGCAAGCGCATACGGTTGCTGGAGGGAGTCCTACATTCGCACATGGACCTGCAGATGCTCAGTCCAGGGGACTCCAGGTGGCGCAAGGAATTCCTGCTCGCATCTCTCGTGCCAGCTCCCTCGCGACCGACTCCGACGACGATTATGAAGATGAGCATATTTCAGGCGCCTTCTCAAGCGGTATTCCTGCCAGTGTGCACGATATGCCATGGGCACCGGTAGGAAATACTTGGTCGGGTCCAGCGCAGCGCCCGCTGCGACCTCCAAGTAGTTATCTCCAGTCTCAGGAGCGCCCTGTGCAGACAGCCTCATCCGCTGAGACGAGCGGCTCTGGGACCCAGAGCTCCTCAATACCTTCATTCCCGATGCCGAATTCCGTACGGAATATCCAACCAAGCAGAGGGAATGTCAGCACAGCCACCGCGCCTTCGGCAGGAGATACATATGACACCCGTGAAGCTCGTGATTACTTTACGCACACGCGAGCAAGAAGTGGTACCCCCGACAACAACGACATGTCGTGGTTGAATCTGGGCACGCCCCGGTGACTCTCGAACCGGTTCTCACGGGTCCTCTACCAGTTTTTGCTTGATGATGTTGCACGAAAACCACCTGGCAGCCAGATGCCTGTCAACACGGTGGGCTCCGCTGAGAGCCAAGGGAGTGCTGATGCGAAGAAACAGGGTCTGTTTCGAACCCGGTCGACTCCACGGAAGACAACAGCGTTTCACTATCCGATGCAATCGGCCAAGCGTGAAACATGGGAGGACGACGTAATAACTGAATCACCAACAGTACCTAGTCCCACGGTTGCAAGACCTGGCGTGGATTTGCAATCTCGCGACAGTAGGAGGTTGACGATGTGAATTGAGACGAAAGCATATTTGGACGATCCTCTGACGACCACTTATGGCTATGACGTGCCGGATATCTTCTCATTTCTTCAAGCGATCTCATTTATTTTCTTTAATGTGCTGGAGGCCATCTTGTCAATGATGATAATGATTGATGTCATCAACGGAATGTGCATCAATGTAGTATAGCTGGAGGAGGTGATAATGTAATGATCTGGTCGTGTAGAGTTGGGGCTAGTCATCGAATCCAAGACGTGAGCCATCCGTGGCCATCTCCATCTCCATTTCCAGTCCGTATGTCCGTGCGAAAAATGCCACTTGTGCAAGGAGATTATTGGGCCCATCTTATTTACTTCATACTCGTTATTAGCAGAATAATTCTCGAGGAGCATGGTGAATTGGAAGAGTGCTGTTGGCTCTGGCATTCCAAGCGTGCGTGGTTGAGGTGAGGTCTTCAGCACGAATCATGGACCCAGAAGAAGGCTCGTGTCGTCTTAGGGCAAGCGACTCCGCACTTGGAACGCGCACACACAAAGGAACGGGGATGGAAATTGAAAAATAAATGAAGTTATTGACAGGAACTGACAAGTTCTTCGTCGGTGGTGGAGATACTTCCTATGCAATGGCAAGCGCTGGAGGTTTGAAGGTTGCGAGGAACGGTTCCCCAGTGACGCACGTGCGAACTTGACAAGCCGACGAAGCCTTGGGACTTGCCTTGCTTTCCGTCCGGTATGGAGCAAGATGATCAGCTGAGATGGTCGATCGGAACACAAGAATATTGATTTGCATCAATTTTTATGGGTAGGAGAATTGAGAGCAGACGAAATCGAGCAGGGCGAGTCAACACCCATTAGACACGAGAGAGAGTGTGTGTGTGTGTCGAAGCATGCGCCTCGTCTAATCTGGGCCCCCTTCACATCACGAGGCGAGTACGTGTACTGGAGGTATACGAGACGAAGATACTGTGGTACTCGTGGCCTGGCACGCCATGGCTGATGGAGGGGCGAAGAGTGACACAAGGATCAGCTGAAGATCTCTCTCTTCAGCCTTGGATCGTCCTGAACCGCCAGGGAATAATATAGCTATGTAGGGTGATAGGGCAGCCCGGCCAATATTTTCAGCCGCTCCTAAATGCTCCGGCTTGAAGGTGTGCCACACCTCCGCAAACATCCGTGACGCGCACAAATGGTCATGGCAAAGCCATCTGCGGACTTTTGTTATCAATTGTGGGCTTCTGGTGCCCGTGCCGGTGTTGGTGTTGAGGGCTGTTGCTCGATTCTCCGAGATAAGAAACTCGTCGACAAGCTCTACAGCGACAACAGCACAGCAACGTGTAGATTAGGCTTTTCACGGGCATCAATAGTACTGAGTGCGCATTATCTAGCGTCGTCGCGGCACAGAGATCATTCCCATGTCACTTGGGGGGAAATGTGTTGTGCGTGACTTTAGGAGTATGGCGGGCTCCAGTACTCCGTACTCTCAACATTCGAATGGGGCCAAACGACAATGCCATGTGTCGATGGCAGGCACCGGCTATTGGAGGACCTCGAGAGCAAAGAGTTCAAGTGGACTCGTGATGCCAACACCGGAGCCCTAGCCACTGAACCAGACACCTACCAGAGGTTGCATGAACCGGCATGACGCCTGGAGAGTGCGTGAGAGTACGAGTAGCAGTTCCCGATGCTCCGGGGTTCTGCCCTCCTTCTTTGACAGTCCAAGTTTCCCAGACTAAGGACTCACTGATCCTGGGTGAGCCTGCTTTAGGCACTGGCTGCCTCCCAAAGGTAGTGGGCTTTCACCCGGAGCTGGGTCTTGCACCCCCTTTCAAGTCTGCGCACTGTTCTCCCATCCCCCAATCTGCACAAGGTCTTGCTTCTGCATACAAACCATCACCATCTGCCAATCATTCCACCCACCTGCATCCAACAACTCGCCAACTTGTGAATCATCCACAAACGCAACTGCCATCCCCCCGCTCTTGTTTATCAGAACGTCCATTCGCTTCCTTCTTTCTTCTTCCTTCCACATCTTCCTCATCAAAGGGAAGATATCACTGCATCGAGACCGCCGTCAAGGTCGTCTCTTATCGCCACTTACACGTCGACTCACGCACCTACGTCGCAACCTGCACGACTTTGATCACTCGACCTACCTGCGCAACCACTTACTTGCCTTGCAGCCCAACCACAGACAAAGCGCTGTCGTTGCTTCTTCTGTCCAAGTATATCGTGTGGTGAGTCACCTTCCCAAAATCCATCCATATTGTCCTCCAGGACGCGTCGTCATCTGTCCTCGACCCCGGCTGACTCATAACCTGCGCACCCCAGATCTTACACTCGATTCTTATCGCAGAACATGGCTCCCGCAACCGTGTCGGCCCTTGGTATGGCCCTCAACGGCAAGTCCGCGTCTGTCGACATTCCAAAGCCACGCGATGCGATCATGGGCCGGGACAACTTCATTGCTGCACCGGCCTCCTCGAAGAAACACTCGGGCATGTTGCCTACTCCTCCCAACTCCATCTCTCCAAACCTCCCTCCTCACGGTCGTCGAGACAACCGTCATCATGGCCAAATGTCTCCAAAGAGCACGGCTGTCGATTCCGACATTGACTTGCGCGATGCCGGCGATGACCCGCAACTCACCACCCTGAGCGCTGAGGCTCTCGATAGTCTGGGTGATTTGGACAGTGCTGGAGCTATTACCCCCAGCATGCTGGCCAAGCACCATCTGCCAGATATCCTGTTGTCTCACGGTCCTCTGGCCATCAGACACATCATGGGTTATCTGACCACTACCGTGCCGGGCTTTTCGCGCATCACTTCGGCCAAAGCCCGTCGCTTGGTTGTAGCCGCGCTCGAAGGCAAGGGTGGTAATATCGAGCGGGATGGCGAGGTCATCTTCGACAAGGTGGGCTGGGGAAGATGGGATGCTCGTATCAAAGGGCAACCTCCTCGTGAGCGTCAGGGCACTGCCATGACACCTCCAGGCAGTCTACCATCGTCGTACTCTCAGCCTGGTCTGCAGGTTACGGGTCAGCGATCCTGGCGTACGGGATCTCAAGACCTAGGCACCAGCTACACAGGCAACTCCGCCGTCTTCTCTCACTCCGAGATGGAGTACGAGGACCAGGATATGTTGGAGCACGAGGCCGACAAGATGTCCTTGGATGGGGATGATGATGGCTACGTGTCATCGATCGCTCCAGAACCCCTCGATGAGGACCTCGGAGATGGTGAGATCACGGATGAGGAAGATTGGGGCAGCATTGGAGCGGAAGCACTTCGCGCGAGGTCTCTTCCCAACAATGCGAGGTCGGTTTCTGGCCCTGGTCGGCTTTATCAACCTATCGCAACCTACTCTTATCAGCCAAGGCAGAGGTCAAAGACTCCGGCTGACATCGCTAGCACTCTCCCGACGAAAGCAGTGCCTATCAACCAAGCAAACCCATTCTCTTTTTCAAACAGCGCTGGCGTTAACGACTCCCAAGAAAGAGCTGCGATCGAAGCACTCTTGAGTCTTGGTTCCATGTAATACTATAATGACTTTGGGGGTTCGACCCGGTTTGGCTGGTCGAACTCTGGTGGGGATTGGGCAACATGATGTGTCGGCACTCGCACATGACACTCTCTACGAGGATGCACGGCACTCGCTCCAGTCCTTGGGACCTTTCTGGCGTTCTGGGATACTTTATTACGACATTCCTCCACTGATGATGACCTCAAGACCTGGAGCCGCACGGGCTACGCTGGCTCGGTTTTCGTGGATACCTTACTCTGTTTATGTTTTTGCAGCTGTGGAAGTTGTCACTCGACTGGCCCTCCACTTCGATTCTTGTCTCTACAACGGCCTCTACTCAAAGGGCTCGTTCTCTACGGAAGAGACTATCTTACGACACTATGTCTTTTATAATGCACATTTTGGTTCAGTGCTGCACCGTAACCCAATGAATTTGGGAAGCAGTACATCGACAAGTCTAAGCAGCAGGAATGGATAGATGAGCAGATGCTCGTTGCGCAGAGCGTTGTCGACTGGTCGTCTTCATTGATCGTACTGGAAATATCGTTCTGCAACTCTGTCATGTTTACTCATTGCACGGAGAAGTGAGTTTTATGCTTAACAGAAATATTCACCGTCTGGTATATGGTGCATCGCCTTGATCAGAAGGTGCAGGTGAAGGAGAAAAACAGGTATAGCTAGTGCTGTACCTTCAACACATTTCATTTGTTCGTGTGTGAGGCGGAGGCGCGAATGAGGGCTTGCAATCTGAATGAGCTTGGTCCAAGTCGATGTGAGAGATCGATTGTGAGGGCTAGCTGTCCAGGAAGGGAGGAGGTCCAGCAGTCGAAGCGAAGAAACAGCAGGAAGAAACATCTTGGGGAGACAAGGAGGTGAACCTGAGACGGCACTGAGGACAGGTATCTTCCCAAGAAGCGTTTCTCTTGTCTATTCTCTTACCATTGTATTGTGGATTCCCGAGCATTTCTCTTCGCCTACTATGGTGTGAGAGCTGAGTGAAGCTGGAAGAATGGGGGAAGGGGAGAAGGGGAGCGTGGCGAAGGAAAATTGATAGTCGAGAACAGAATATCAATTTCCAATTCGAAAAATTCGTGTTCGTGCTTCTAACACGCATGTTAGTGGTCTTTGGCGGCTGATCGCGACTCTCGATTCTTTGACTGCCGTTGTAATATCATATCGCGCCAACACGTTGTCCGCAAGAGTCCTTTAGCACGATGTTCCTCGGAAGCAAAGGCTGAAGAAAGAAACTGACGTCGCAGCGTACTGCAGCGTTATTGCTGGTTATTTCGAATTATACATGCTGAAGCTTGGCCAGCGAACAGCGAGGGTTTGTGGCACTGTGAACACGAGCGACATAGAGCATGTGAGGTCAAATGTCAGCTATTCTGCTACTGGCGGTGGCTGTTGGCCCCATGTCTATTCTGTATAAGTAGCTGCTCTCTTGCATTTGACTTGATCCTCCAACATCTCCCAGTACAACGCCAGTCCTGCGTGTGGATCTTCCGGTTATTTTGGCGTTTTAGTAGAGTCTGTGTCAACACCACACTGCATTCGCTGGCGGCGATCACCTAGCTTGACCCGGACCTCTTCTCTTTTGACGTTGGCTCATCATCGTATTAGCGATATGTCGGGTGAATGTGAACATCCCGACCAATGAACGGACACGATACCAAGCACATCAATAAGCATCAGAGGCGCAGGAGGTCAACCACCGCCTGTAGCGTCGTCGTCCTCTTCGTCGGCGCTGTCCGCCTCGTCCTCCTCATCGCTGAATAGGACTCCACATCGGCGCTTCTTCGCACTTTTACCCGTGCTCTTCAGACACGAGGCTGCGGCGCCGGTAGTTGGCGTGGACTCGTGGTATTTTTGGTCGTGATTCATGCCATCGTGACGCTGGTACTTTTCATGGCGATCATACCGATGATCGTTATCATGCTTGTAGTTGCCTTTCGCGAATTAGATATTTCAACTCTCGTCCTCCAGGAAGAAGTAGTTGCCGGCCAACTTCTGCTCCTGGTCCATTTGAGACTGGTACTTGTTGATACGTGGTCGATAGGAGTTGGGGTCCCGGCGGAACGTGACGTCCAGGTTCTTCAAGAACTTGTTGCAACCGGTAAGCAAGCTTTCCGGAGTATTGGCCCGGGCGTCAACGGATGGCTTGCCGTCAAAGACGATGACACGGTCGGCGAGATAGGTGGCCATGATGAAATCGTGCTCGACGATGAACGCTGTCTTCTTGCTGTGCATGATGAATCGTTTGATGACTCGGGCGGCAATGATACGTTGCTCGGAGTCGAGGTACGCCGACGGCTCATCAATGAGGTAGATATCTGCCGGGAGACCGAGTGCAAGAACGATAGCCACACGTTGAAGTTCACCACCAGAGAGGTTCTGAACTTCCTGGTCAATGAAGTCGTCAAGCTTCAGTGGCTTGTAGACGTCGGTCTGGAACTGAGGATTCAAGAACGAAGCCTTGATACGCTTGAAAAAGAGCTGACGCACAGTGCCCTGAAATTTGGGCGTGATCTTCTGAGGCTTCATGGAGATGTTCATGGCTGGCACTTTCTGCGTACCATCTGGTTTCTCGATACCAGCGAGCATCTTACAGAAGGTGGTCTTGCCGGTTCCGTTTTCACCCATCATGACAATGATTTCGGAGTCTGTGAAGGTGCCGCTGTTGATCTTGAGGTGGAAGTTGCCCAGAGTCTTTTCCATAGATGGGTACTCGAATCCACGAGCCTTATCCAGCAAGTATTCTTCGCCTGCCTCGGCAATACGGAATGTCAAACTTTCCTCACGGAAACGCAAGTTCTCTGTGGGGATGTGGCCGTCAAGGAAGATGTTGATACCTTCGCGAACCGAGGCTGGAAGAGTGACAACACCATAGACTGCAGGCCTTCCGTAAAGGACGCAGATGAAGTCGGAGAGATAGTCCAGAACTGACAAATCGTGTTCAACGACAATCACATAGTCGTCCGGTCGCAGAAGCTCTCGAATCGTCTTGGCGGCACTCAGGCGCTGTTTGACATCCAGATACGAAGAAGGCTCGTCAAACATGTAGACATCTGCTTTCTGAACACAGACGAGGGCAATGGCGAATCTTTGCAGTTCTCCGCCCGAAAGAAGGCTAATCTCACGATCCTGAACGGCGTTGAGTTCTAGCCCAATGTTAGTGCATTTGCCATCTGTTTGTAGACGGCTAGTCTTACCAAGAACATCCATAATGTGCTTCAAATTGCCCATTTCAGACTTGGCCTCAATGAGAGGTTTCACAGTCTTGACCGGACCTTTAATGGCTCGTGGGAGTTGGTCCACGTATTGTGGCTTGACAATGGCCTTGAGGTCATCTTCCAAAACCTTGGTGAAGTAGTCTGCTCAAGGTCAACGGCCACCTCTCATGCCGCGTGGTGAATTTGACTCACTCTGCAATTCTGAACCGCGAAAATATTTCAAAATCTCTTCCCAGTCTGGCGGGTTGTCATATCTTCCCAAATTTGGTTTTAATTTGCCGCTGAGAATCTTCAAGGCGGTACTCTTTCCAATACCGTTCGTCCCAACCAAACCCAAGACTTGACCAGGTCGGGGCATAGGAAGTCTGTGTAACTTGAAACTGTTTGCCGAGTATCGGTGAGTGACCTGAGTCTCCAGGTTGGTAGGCAAGTTGATGATGTGAATTGCCCCAAAAGGACATTTCTTTGGGCAGATACCACAACCGATACACAAACGCTCGGAGATGTAGGCAATTTTGGACTCGGGCGTGACCTCAATACAGAGCTTTCCCGTCCGGACGACGGGGCAAGATTTCTTGCATTCTTGACGGCATTTCTGTCATAATCAGGCTTGTTTCTATGTTGGAGCTTCTGTTTTCACACACCTTTGGTTTGCACTGCGGGGCAGAAAAATGAATCGTCAACAATATTCCAGATTTCAATTCAGCGTTTGGGACCAACCTTGTCGCTATTGACAATAGCAATTCTAAAATAGCCATCAGCCAGTGTTTCCTTATTCTTGCCTGTCCCAAGAATTTACCTTGTCAATTTGTCCGCCATCTTGATCGTCTCCTAGGGCCCGAACAGGCGGAGTGCAAACCGGTAGTGTGCAGAGGGTCACAGTCAGTTCGGGAGGAGGCAGAAGACAGAATGCTTTGCTGAGCGTTACTCTCACAATCTGAAGGAGTGTGAGTCACTGCCAACAATGAGACACTTGGAGGAGGGTGCGGTGTATGAATTGAAATAGCGATGAGGCAGTGAATACGCACGAAAATCAAAATTCATGCCATTGTGATTGGTCGTGGGGCTCACTAGGCGGGAATGACGGGCACCATTCTGCCAAATGATGCCTAACAGAGTCACCCACAAGAGAAAGCGCAGGCGAATCCGGCCTTAGGCTTGGCATTTGGCTGCGCTGACCGGTCGACCTTCCATTACAGGCAAAGGGAGCAATAGGTCCTCGCTGGAGTTCGGTTTGCCTTTGCCAACAGCCTCGTCTCGTGCCCCAGACTTTCCTCTCTTCCGCACCCGACTCTAGTTTCCTCTCCCACTTTCACCATTCCACCCTCTACGCACAACTACTGAATGCAACTATATTAAAAAGCCTCAAGGGCTCTATCTACTTATGATGGAGTGTGAGTGGCCCTTTTTGCTGCAATCCCCTCATTTTGTCACCCAGGAATCCATTTCTCTTGTCGGCGGCTGCTCGGCCTTGTATTCACAACTCGGCGCAAGCCAGGTGTGGAATAGCATATACACCTCTAGGAATCTTCCTGAGACGATGCATACGCCATATCTCACTTCCCTGAGCGCGCGGATGTCACATTATGTTCAGGATTTTGCGTGGGCTAGCCTGCCAAAGCACACTCGGAGTCCTCCTCTTGTCTCCATCTCGTCGTCCATCCTCGATCATCGATCCCATCTTATATTGTCCATTGTTCATCTCGGAGAACCTTTTCATGCTTGCACTTTATGTTTTCTGGGTCGCAGAATCTCATTTTATGGGGTCGTTGTCTTGTTTTGCCGCCGGAGCTCTCTTGTAGCACACCATGCTGACGCTTTCTCCCACAGCCACCGGCGTTCTCGCCCAACCACCACCGCCTTCAATACCTGATCCTTCTCTCCCACCAGAAGACGCCAATGCACCTCCTGAACCCGTTCTACAGAACGGTACCAAGTATTTCGATAGTGAAAGTGAACTCTCCGAACCTGCAGAACCTATCGCGCCCAGAGCCTCGCCGCCACGCGTCAAAGTCGACGATGATGACGATGAAAACATGCAAGATGTTGATGAACCCAGCTCAGATGAACCAGACGCGGAAGGTGATGCCGATTACGAGATGGATACCTCGATGCAAGTAAAGAACATAAGATCTGAAGAAGATGCCTCTTCCTCCGACGAATCTATCAGACCAGCCAAGAGAAAGGCACCTGCAGCTGATGAAGATGACGATATCAGGAACAATCCGGAGCTGTACGGCTTGAGACGAAGTGGCAGGGCTCGCCATGTCTATAATATGGCAGAGTCCGATGCCGAGCAAGACTCTGATTCAGACATTGCTCCTCGTCCCCGGAAGCGTTTGCGACACGTCTCTCAGCGTTCCTCCAAGCAGGCAACCCCAGTCATTGACACTCCCTCCCTGTCCGATGGCGATTCTGACGCGTACGGCGGCAAGCGTGCGAAGCTCACTAAGAAGCAGCGTCGAAGACTACTCCAGTCTGCCGAGAACCTTACACCTGCACACGCTGAAATCCGATTCTCCACCCGTCGTGCTGCGAAGGTATCTTCTTATAATGAGGATGAGGATGATGATATATTCGCTGAAGAAGACGCTGATACACTGACGCCGAACTATTGGGTCAACGAGCAAGAAGACAACTCCCCAGCTATTGACGCCGTGTTGAACCACCGTCTCAAGGCTGATGTCACAACCCTATCACATACGAAGGACGACTATGAATTTCTCATAAAGTGGCAGCAGAAGTCTCACTATCACGCAACATGGGAAACTATCGAGTCTTTGAAAGATGTGAGAAGCTTTAAGCGTCTGGACAACTACATCAAGAAACATTTGATGGAAGATATCCGAATCGCCAGCGACCCTGAAATTGGGCCAGAGGATAAGGAGAAGTGGCTGCTGTACCGAGAAGAAGTGGCTGAAGGTCTAGAAGAGCACAAGAAAGTCGAGAGAGTCATCGGCGATCGCGAAGGTGAAGACGGCACTGAGTACTTTGTCAAGTGGAAGGGTCTCCTGTACAACGATGCAAGCTGGGAACCATCAAGTTTAGTCAGCGAGATTGCACAAACCGAGATTGATCGCTATCTTGCTCGTATTCGAGAAGATTTCAGATCGAATACGACGGAAACCAACCCTGGAAGTCGACGAGCTTTTGTACCCATGCGAGAACAACCACCATACATCCAGAACGGCACTCTCAAGGACTTCCAGTTGCAAGGTTTGAATTTCCTTGCGTTCAACTGGTCGCGTGCAAAGAACGTCGTCCTTGCAGACGAGATGGGTCTCGGAAAGACCGTCCAAACCGTCGCCTTCATGAGTTGGCTGAGACACGATCGTGGCCAACAGGGTCCTTTCATCGTCGCCGTTCCTCTCTCGACAATGCCTGCTTGGGCCGATACTTTTGATCATTGGACACCGGACATTAATTATGTGGTCTATAATGGACCTACTTCCGCCCGGAACATCATCAAGGACTATGAGTTGTTCCCTGATGGAAATGTTCGTCACCCTCGCTTCCATGTCCTTCTCACGACATATGAGTTTGTCCTGCAGGATGCTCCATTTTTAAGTCAGATCAAATGGCAGTTTATGGCAGTTGATGAAGCTCATCGTCTGAAGAACCGCGAGTCTCAGCTGTACGATCGCTTGCGAGAGTTCAAAGCGCCAGCACGGCTTTTGATCACTGGTACTCCGGTTCAGAACAACCTTGGGGAGTTGTCTGCGCTCTTCGACTTCCTCAATCCTGGTGTCATCAACATTGACGAGAACATGGATTTAATTACAGAGGAAGCCAGCGCAAAAATAGCTCAACTCACCGAGGATATCAAACCCTACATGCTTCGACGCACCAAGAATAAAGTCGAAAAGGACCTCCCTCCCAAGACCGAAAAGATCATCCGTGTCGAACTGTCAGATATTCAGCTGGAGTACTACAAGAACATCTTGACGAAGAACTATGCAGCCCTTAATCAAGGCGCCAAGGGGCAGAAGCAATCACTCCTCAATATTATGATGGAGCTGAAGAAGGCAAGCAACCACCCATTCATGTTTCCGAGTGCAGAAGAGCGTCTTGTTCCTGAAGGTGCTCGACGAGATGAGGTTCTCCGTGCTCTCATAACCAGCAGTGGTAAGATGATGTTGCTCGATCAGCTCCTTACCAAACTCAAGCGCGACGGCCATCGTGTCTTGATATTCAGTCAAATGGTCAGGATGCTCGATATCCTCGGCGACTACATGGACTATCGAGGCCATGCTTATCAGCGCCTTGATGGCACTATCGCTGCGGCTCCCCGTCGCATTGCCATCGACCACTTCAATGCTCCAGAGAGCACTGATTTCTGCTTCTTGCTCTCCACCAGAGCAGGTGGTCTGGGCATTAACCTAATGACCGCCGATACAGTCATCATCTTCGATTCAGATTGGAATCCACAAGCTGATTTGCAAGCTATGGCTCGAGCTCACCGAATTGGACAAGTCAAGCCCGTCAGCGTTTATCGCTTGGTCTCTAAGGAGACTGTTGAGGAAGAAATTCTCGAGCGTGCCCGCAACAAGTTGATGCTTGAGTTCTTGACCATCCAACGTGGCGTTACCGACAAAGAAACCCAAGCTCGACGCACGGCGTTGGTTGGGGAACCTGGCAGCTCAAGCGAGATTTCGAGAATCTTGAAGAAGCGCGGCCAGAAAATGTTCGAACAAACCGACAACCAGAAGAAACTTGAGGAGCTTGACCTCGACGCCGTGCTCAACAATGCTGAAGATTACAAAGTTGAGCAACCTGACGGCACTGACGCTGATGGTGGTGAAGACTTCCTACGGAGCTTTGATTTTGTTGATGTCAAGGTGGACGAAATGTCTTGGGACGATATCATCCCCCGAGAGCAACTTGAGGAGATAAGAGCCGAAGAACAACGAAAAGCGGATGAGAAGTACCTTGCCGAAGTCATCGAGCAGAATCAGCCTCGAGTGCGAAATCGTGACGCCGAAGATCGTGATGCTCGGAAGGCTCGACGACACGAGCAACGGCAGAAGGAAGTGGATTCGGACAGTGAGTCTGAAGAAAACCCTAAAGCTGATCCAGCTCGACCACTCAGTCAGCGCGAATACCGATATCTTATCAAAGGTCATCTCCGCTATGGCTCCATGGAAGACCGTCAGGAAGAGTTTTTGACAGAAGCTCGTCTTCGAGGGAGAGACCTTGGAGTTGTAAGAGCCGCCATGAAGGAAGTTTGGGACAAGTCCGCAGAGCTCTACAAGGCGGAGCAAGCACGCATGGCTGAACTGGAGCGCACAGCCAACCGCCCAATCACGAAGAAGGATCGCAAGGCTGTCCTATTTGAATTGCATGGCGTCAAGCGAATTAACGCCGAAACCATCCTTGAGCGCCCTGGTGAGATGAGACTGCTTCAAGAAGTCACTTCGAAGGACCCGGACTTCAAATCATTCCGCATTCCCGAAGCTACCAAGGCGGCTGGGTATACTTGCGCCTGGGGCGCCAGAGAAGACGGCATGCTCTGTGTTGGCATTACCCGCCACGGCTATGGTGCTTGGGAGAAGATTCGTGATGACCCCGACCTTGGTTTGCAGGACAAATTCTTCCTAGAAGAGCATCGTGTCGACAAGAAAGCAGAGCGCGAGAGGTTGGATGACAGGAACGCAAAGTCTCCAGGCGCCGTACACCTTGTCCGACGTGCTGATTATTTGATCTCAGTATTGAAGAGCAAGTACGTTGATGATCCGGTCGCCAAGAGAGCGGTCGAGAATCATCATCGCAACAACAAGAAACAACAAGCTGAGAAGGCTGGTAACGTCGGATCCCCTGCTCCAGGACCGGGGTCGCATCGTAAGGCACATCGAGATTCGGAGAAACCACGTCACCGACCCAGCCAAGGGCATCGTGACAGTTCTGAACGATTTGGTACCCCCAGAGCGGACAGCCGTCACGGTCATAATCGGCATGACAGCGAGCGCAGAGACGATAGAGACCGCCGAGATGACAGAGATCGCAGACATCGTGATGAGCATGGGCATAGTTCCCTCCACAATCGGCACGGTAGCGAACACCGCCGTAATGAGAACCCTGCTGGGGCCTCCACATCCGACGTTGATCCTCTCATGCAGGTGCTATTCAAACCTGTCAGGGAGAGCTTGAAGAAGATCAAGGCAACGACCAAAAGCGCCATTCCCGATTCGCAACAACGGGCGAATGAGTTGAGAGTTCTTTTGAAGCAGATTGGTAACTTCATCACTGAACAAGTCGCTGACCTCGATGACAACCACGAGTCTGTGGAAAAACGCTTCTGGTGAGTTTGCTAACCGCATACGATGTGAATTTTGACTAATACTGGTCAGGGACTATGCTGCCACGTATTGGCCGAACAAAGGTATCAAGGGTCAGGAACTTCAGAACATACACGGCAAGATCGTTGCTTCAGATAATAAGCTTGCTGGTGAAGGTTCGCCAAATGACGAGGCGAACAATGTTGACGGTCGAGCCAACGGTTCATATCATACCTCGCCGCCACATTGAGCGAAGAGACATCGGAAACTATTGCTTTTCGCCTTCTCGGGCTTGGAAATCTCCAGGTCTATCGTGTGCTGGTGTTTTGTTGTGCGACATTTATATCCCAGACTGGAGGTGACTCGGGAGTTTCAGTGTATGATTCGAAAGGTTCGAAAGATTCTCTGCGGGCCACATCATTTTCACGACATCAAAACAACTCTCAGCTTATTCAAATTGTCAACACTTAGCGACTGCATTAAAGGTTAGATTTCACAGTTTCGAGCATGCGATTCGAGCTGTCAGTCCGAAAGACCATGACGAGCAGACGCAACATGCTAACGGTGTCTGATGATTCTTATTCGTATTTCGGCTACGTGGAGGTTGGATTGGGCCATTACTATCATGACAGGAAGAGCGTGGAGTCTTGAGCGCGGATTGTCTGTGGGATGGAAGTGGCTCAAATTTGGAGAGGGAGGGATGATGGGTGTGCACCGGTTGGCATCATCGAAGTGGATGTCTGCATGGTATTGTTGGTGCGGACTTTTCGAAACTGGACATTGACACGGGACATTCAAAAGCAATCAGAGCCAGGAATCCATGGGAAGGGGAGGCATTAAGCAGTCTCGAGGGAATTGAGCATGATATGAGGGATAGAAAATATGTCCTGCTTGTCAATCTCTCATCTGGGGGTGCACGGGGGTGCTAAAATACCTAGTATTCTTGACTTCTATCCATAATAAATGGTATAAAATTATTTCAACCACATAGGCGGCATTTATTTCCGCACTGTCCTCGAGGATTTGAAGCAGTCCTGTGTCCCTGATCGTGAAAAGGCCTGCGTGCAGAAGTTGTAGGCCCTCTTGCAGGTCCTGTGTCACACCTCCTTAGCCGACTGGCGAGTGTTCATAGCCTAGACCAAGATTTCGGAACGACCTGCCTTGTGGTTTTTCCCATGTTTCGGCTTCAGCCTTATCGCATCATGCGACCCAGCGAAGGCACCAAAATGTCCATTTGTCCTGACCAGGAGCACGCGAAACTCATAGGAATTAGTTCCCCTGGATTGCAACCGAGACGTACCCGAGATGTAGGGAGCAGACTGGGCGTAATACATCCATGTCCACCGTAACATCAATTCACTTGGCGGACGCTCATCCACATTTTGTACCTCTGGGAGCTCGATCGAGTACGTTATTGGCGCTGAGTTCCGCCGCGGCTAGACTCTGCCAGATATTCGTGAACGGAATGGAAAAAGGTTCTCTGAGCTGAAGGTGGATCAATTCTTGTAGTCGCTGCCTGCGAGGTACTCCTCGTATCGGAGGTGACTCTGCATCTCAAAGTACAGGGTCTCCGGATCACTGTTCCATTTGAAATTGTATGCCGCCTCTTCATCGCCAATCAGCTGCTTCTGCACCCTTCCGCCGGCCACAGCAGCTTCAATGAGCAATTGTGCCTTGCAACTTCTCTCTAGTACCAAGTATAGGAAGGCGGCTTCATCCACGGTTTGGCCGACGGTCAGCAAGCCATGGTTCATCAGGATGCAGGCTTTGCCGGTGCCCAGGGCTTCTGCGATGTTTTCGCCTTCCTCTCCAGAAAGTGCAACACCGCCATAGGTCTCGTATACGGAATGAGCGTTGTAAAAATTGCAGACATCCTGGTTGAGCATCTCGAGAGGCTTCCCGAAGGCTGAGTACGCCCTGCCATATATCGAGTGTGCGTGGCAGACGGCGTGGACATCTGGCCGACGTTTGTGTGCGGCACTGTGAATCGAGACGCCAGCGGCGTTTGCCGGGATCTCCTACAGCAGAGTCAGAGGCGGCGTACTTCTTGGACAAATCTGAACTGTGTTACTGACGGTGTTTCCTCCAACGACCTGGCCGGTCATGAAATTGACGCAGATCATATCGCTCGCTTTCATCATGCCATAATGGACGCCTAGTGGGTTGATCCAGAGCCTGTCTTCGAATTCGGGATCTCGTACACTAATATGTCCGCTTATCCCTTCCGCATAGCCCTCACGAGCCCAGACTCTGAAGGCCCCAGCCATGTGTTCTAACTGCCATTGTCGTTTCTCTTCGAATGTGTTGAAGGTGGGGATATTGAGGAGCGGCTTGCTGTTCTCTTGATGTGCGAGTGCCTCCAATGGCGTGAGCTCTTTCTTCTCAGAGGTTGCAGAGCCCTTGGTTGGTTGAGCCGTAGCAACGCTCTGTTCGTACAACGCGATCGGAGCCATCTTTGTTGTGAGCTTGTGACGAGGTAAGTCAAGCAGACTGCCAAGTAGAGTTTTGTCTGATCTTCTTTTCTTCCGCTCACTGAAATATTAGAACAATTGTCGAGAGGCTTACCTCGACGGCGGAGATGAGAGTCGTGCTTTCTGATAACACATGAGCCCTCCACCCAGCAATTGCGGATAAGAGCGCAGGGCAGCGCTAGCGACGGTCAGTCCGAAGAGGAAACGCGGTCCGATGAACCACTACACGCAAAGTCGATTGTCAAAGATTGGGAATGAAGATCTCATAGGCTAGGCGGCAGCTGATGATTCACGGCCTGATACTTCCGACCACTTCTGACAGGTTGGTCGCTCACACCATGTGTTCATGGCGAACAGCGGATTTACCCAGTCAGTTGCAGTTGGGAGATTCTCACCACGCTCGCCCTCTGAGCAGTCATCAAAGGCCGATAATCGTAGTCATAGAAACACCAGCCTTCAGTCGCAGAAATGGGCCATGCCAGCCACGGAAGGATCGAGTTGGAGCTGCTTGTATGTTCAGAGCTTTGTCAGTCCTCAGTCGTGCCAACTCCAGCTCCGCTTCTCACGGGAAGGAGCCGAAAGCTCCTTGACAAGCTGGAGTTGAGAGCCTCATATATATTGCAGAAGATTAAACTGGAAGGACGTCGGTGAAGAAGGGCAATATGCAAGCAAGTCGTCGTGGTTGACCAGCAAGCGCTAGTACAGAAGTGGTTAGTTTCTTTTCTTCTTCACCTCGTCAACGGATCGCCAGCTGGTGGGTGCATAGGTGGCCGGCCCTTAAGAGTAAAGGCCAACATCATCAACCCCAGATACAGTCGAGGGATGGAGAACCCGCTACGCGATGTCGAGGATAGCGGAAGACGGATGCGCTATCCTCTACATCTAAATCATAGGCCGACTACCTCGAAATGTCGAGAAGCGATCAACACCGACACTAGGCACTAAGGTAGGGAAATTTGAACCCGATCTGGTAACCATTCATGTGTTGATTTACGAGATATGGTGGATAGTGCCGCTACAACGTCGAGGCCGTGAGGGCGACTCTGAGAGGCTCCTTATCATGGACGTAATGGGACTCCCAGTGCGCTCGAATCTGCCTTATCATCGCTCATCTCGCTGCTTGCACTCTCCCATCGCGATCAAGGTCGCTATTGAAGTCATCATTGCAAGAGCACATCAGACTTTGAAGTTCACCTCTCAAGTTCTGCTTTACACCTATTGACATTCTAATCGTTGCAATATGATGATCTCTCTACTTGAAGAAGGAACCGAGGATGTTTTTGACCCCCGTGTATGTCGATCCCCCAGAGATATGTTCGAAACTCCTTCCTTGATGCTAACCTGCCTTGCAGATCCACTTGGCTTTCGCACCTCCTTCGAAGAAGTTCACCTTTGAAGATCTAAGTTTGCAACCTTCAGCAACGAGCACCAAGATCGCGGCTACCTTGCCCTTTCCCATATTGTCTTCCGAGGGTGTACGAGCTTACCGACGTTCCTTGTTCTCCTCGAAGGTCCTCCACAATTGTGCTGGTATCCCCTTCCCTCGGACACTGACCCTTCGAAATGCTGCTGAACATTCGTCGTTCATCAAAGCGCTTTGGAACCACCCGGAGACCATGCGGGTCTTGTCCGAAGCTGCTGGAGTACCACTTCGAATCGTGATGCAGACCGAGATTGGCCATACCAATATCCAGACAAGCGGCAGCACCCTTGAGGAGATGGTTTCGGAGCTCAGCGTTGAGCCGCAGACCACAAAGGTGCCTTTGACAGAGGAAGAGCGCGCCTACGATCCGCTGAAGTCGTCTTCTATCATTCCATGGCAGTACGTCCTCTGTCCTGATGCTGACATAGCAGAAGTCTCACTATATGCTGCGTAGTTACGACTCCTATCCCTATGTATGCGTGATTATGTTGAGTGATACGGATGGTATGCTCGGAGGAGAAACTTACATCAAGACCGGAGACGGCGTACCAATGAAGGTGAGGACCAGTGCCTTTGTGTCAACCACCCTTCTCATCTGCGTTGCAGGTCGAAGGACCAAGCCTTGGCTACGGCGTGATTCTGCAAGGTGGAGAAGTCGAACACCTCGCCGCTCGATGCATGGGCGTGAAGGAGCGGATATCTACCATCACATCCTTCTGCGCAGATGTCCCCGGTGCCTACGACTCTAGCCACATCACCAATGTCCGATACTATAGCGACCGGCCCACATTGTACAAGCAATGGACAGAATTCCGGCTCGAGAAGATGAAGCGAGAAATTGATTCCCTGCTGGATGAGATTGCCGCATCGCCAACTTTATACGACGTGCGCCGCGTCCAGAGATTCGCGCAGGATCAGATCGCCTACTTGAAACGGACGTCGCACCAGCTGGTCCCACATGAGGACATGGAGTCGGTCATTGAGAAGCTCGGCGGCGACGCCATCCGGGACGCGCGGAAGCTGTGGGCAAAAGCAGAAATGTTGGAAGACTTCAATGAGCGAGTGGCATCTGTCACGCCGAGCGATTGGATGCCGGGAAGTGAACTATGGATCGACCTCGTCATGACGCAGATGGCTATACAGGCGAGGAAGACAATCGAGTCTCAGCGTGGACGGTTTCAATGGACGAAAGACCGGCCATTTTGTATGGGTGATGAATTGCTAAGGCAAGGCTTGCCCGAGGTCTTTTTGTCATGGCTCGATGCATCGGGTTTACTGGCTGTAGTTAAGTCGTAGTGGAAACAGGATTCGATCACTCTTCTAGGTAATGTGCTCAATCCATGCCAATCTGCATACCAAGAATCCTCTACGGTCTCAAAAGTCGAGCACTCAATTCTGGCAGGAAGCTTGATTCTGACATCAAGGCGGCCAGAGCCATGGAACAGAAAAAGGTTTCCCCAAGCATACCATAGAGGGACAGCATCGTCTTGAAGAGAATTGTATATTGGTACAAGATCCGGTCTACGTTTATGCATAACCTCTCCGCCGTTTCCCTTGGTTCCTGGGCCGTGGCGTAACAACCATAGCATTGATCTTGTTCTTCGGTCTCGTCTTGTAGCCGGATTTCGCCTATACAACTGTCAGTAAAACGAAGGAGTTTTGGGAGCAGTGGGATGTGACTGACCGGAATACCCCAAGGACTCATAGGGATACGGTTACCCTTGGACTTGCCTCGACCACCACCGTGAGGATGATCGGATGCGTTCATAGCCAGACCTCTCACAGTTGGCCGAATACCAAGCCAGCGAGACCGACCAGCTTTTCCCAGTGACCTGTACTTGAAGTTGACATTGCTCGCGACACCGATTGTAGCAACGGCTTCTTTGTCGATCAGGCGGACTTCACCACTCGAAAGCCGAACGGTAACGTAGTTTGCGGCCTTTTCGAACCTCTTCAGCTGATCCGGGGTCAACGAGGACATGTCCAGGCTGCCGCTGTCGCCAATGAGTTTGATCATTTCTTTTTGTACACTGTCTTCGCCCTTGCCGATGATGATTCCATGCGTGCCAGCGCTGCGACAGATTTTCCCTATTGAATCTTTTGTTGGAGCAATGTTGAAAATGGGAGTTCCGACCGGGATCATTCCAAGCTTCAAGCAGTTGCCTTTCCACGCCGTCTTGGATGCAATGACACCCTGATCCAGTGTACCACCCATTTCCTTGATCAGGCGTTCTGGTAGACCACTTCGATAACTCTCGACAGTATCACCAGGCCGTAGACCTTCGGCTGCAAGGATATAGGTCCGTTCATTTGTTTCCAGATTCCTCACCAGGGCAATATGGGCTGACCGGCCAGGATCATGCTCGATACGCTCCACGAAATGTTTTCCACCTTGTTGCCGCATAAAATCCACAGTTCGTATCCTCCTCTTGTGACCACCGCCACGGTGTCGAACCACAACATGACCAGTATTGTTTCGACCTCCTCTTGCATGGCCCTTTTTGGGGATTGTAAGCGGATACCAGGGACGACCTCTCCACAAATGATCATTTACGGGTCTGATCAAATGACGGATACCTGGAGTTCGTGGAGTGTATCGGCGAAGTCTAACTTCCCCTTTCGCAGGCCCGACGCGGTCTTCGGGTTCAGCCAAGGGAGGGTTGGCATGAGCTGTGTCTAGAACTGAGGTGCTTGGGTGGACTGGGTCGATGACTTGAGCGTAAGACCTGCGCCAGACAGGCGTCGCACTTTGGCAACCCCTACAAAAGGCCCGGAAAGGTATTCGTGGTTGTAGCATTTTCTCGGTCGAAACCGTCAGGGGGAGAAATCAGGGAACAGGGAGATCCGAGCTTATATACTGCTCATGCATGCAGATACTGCAGCATTCGCTGACAAGAAAGATCCCAGGTCAAGGTCAGTGGCAGAGAGTGTCGTTACAGTACTTCACCTGCGAAGCTCCAAATTTCGCAGTCTATGTATATTGGAAGGAGAATTGACCAATCGGTTAAGTTGCCTCCGACAGGTCAAGACGGAGGAACTAGCAAGCCTTGTGTCTGTTAATTGAGCCCCGCGTGCGACCTCGCGGGTTTACAACGCGTAATTTCTTCTTTCACTTTCACATCACATCCCTTAGATATGGCTCATCGTTGACTCATATCAGCTAGACCGTCATCGTCATCATTCTACCGCGACAGGCTCCGCACGGACGGATGCTGTAGAACCACCTCAGAGTGCGTTCACCCTTTGTCCCATGGGTCTACTGGCCTGTCTGACATATCTGAATTCTTAGATTGAAACGCGACATCCACCACGACAGTGACAATCCCAGATGAGTCTTCCCGGGACTAATGCCCATAGGAATGCGATGCCTAGGCGTACCTCTGTCCAACGACATCAGCGCATTCCTTATGCGCAAAGCATCGCCCCATATCCGCAATCATCCGTTGCAATGTTCAGCAGAGCGTCAAACGCAGTTATGGAATCTCTCTCATGGCCACAGAAACAGTTTCTCAAATGGGTCCGAACCGATGTCGTCAAAGCAGCCACTGCAGCAGAGGATCACCTCAACTTATCGGACCACAACTCTCAGGAACCGATATGGCCGCAGGCACCACCGTCACGCGAACCGAGCAAAGCAGTCATTTCGTCCCTAGATCGCTCCAGTTTCAATCCCGTCCTTGATACCTTGGAGCGTAGCACCATCAATGGTATGTTGAGATATCTAGGTCAATTGAGCACTCTCAAGTCGTTGCAGATCAGCTGTCGTCACCACAGTCTCCATCATCAATCGGCCAAGATCCGGGGCACAAGCCAGTGTCTCTCAGTTACTCTCAGGAGCAGGCCAACAAGACCCTGTGTCAGCGGTACAGCTCAACTGGTACTGGAATCACCTCTCGGGCTAGCGATACGTCGTCGACATTCGGAATACTAACCGTGCACTGCTTAGGTTCATGCCCCTTTGGTCCCAAGGGTAATAGCGGCGCTCACGATGCTAACAAAACTGCACTATGTCCTTCGGTACTGCGCCGAGTTCAGTGCGTTGCAGGCAATCATTGTGATCTAAGTCATGTTGCTTCGCCAGAAAGAGTGCCGACATGCATTTTCCACCTCAGAGGAAGATGTACTCGCCCCGAGTGTTTGTACAGTCATGATGCCGTTGATCCAGATGCACTTGTCTGCAGTGACTTTGCTCATGCTGGTTATTGTGAAAGTGGTGCGTCATGTCAATTTCGGCACCTTCGACAGTGCCCAGACTACTCGAATTCAGGTGATTGCCCAAGAGCACGATGCCGTCTACCACATGTCGATGAAGCGAGCCAGCAGAGAAAGCAAGCCTCGATTCCTTATTCGTATAGTGCAACGGCGGCCAGCGCCGCTGTGAGTGATCAGGAAGTGTTCAGTCAACAGCAGGACTACATTCCGTTTTAGGGTCAATCACGGTTCCGCTGGTGTCAAGCCTATGGACGGAAAACACAGGTTGACCAAGGTGAAATGCCCCCATCAACAGTACCTTTTCAAGGTGGCTTTGAGAGGTACCAGTGATGAAATCTTGTCGCCCGTCTACTTAATATTTAGGTGGCCGTTGATGTGATTCGTCAAGTCTGCTTCTTGTCTCTGAAGCAGACACCAGCTCCAGCGGTGAAGCCCAAGGGGGGCGGCCCAGTAAGACTACAATGGCATGTGTTCTGGCCACGGGCCGCTGTAATGAAATCTCTTTGGCCCCTCTCTCTGCGGCTGCAGGCAGTTCGGGTTGTGGAAGTGGCTGGATTGGTGAAGACGCTCAAGGCACATGAGAAACGAAGGGAGCATCGGGAGCAAGGGGGAGAATGAAGCTTTGATTACCGGAGTTGATAGTGTATGATACCCTTCACTTTGCTTAGCAAGAGATCCAGTGCCTCAATGGCTTGTTTCATGAATCACTTATGGCACTTGACAAATTGTTTCCAATGACCTTGAGGTCGAGTGAGCGAGGCAGCCTCACCTGTTGGGCAGCGAGGGGCCGGCTAAGTTTCAGGTGGCCGGGAGGCATACGTACTGTGCGATCGAGGCCGACGTACGGGATACTCCGTAGCCCACCCCGAAACCAGCCACCAGAAAGCCACAGCTGTGCCCAGGGCCCTCCACGGCTCAAGCTGCATTGAAGTTGGTATTTTACATCGCTTGTGATCAATAATTTCCCTGCGTGGAACAAATGAAACATGCAGCATGCAACAGATCAAAGAGCAAGTCCAGTAAGTCGGGCAGAAGACAATACTACGGAAGGTCTGCCACTCAATGAGATCTGTGAAGATCAGACGATCGCATCACCCGATGGGGTGCATGATGTAGTGACTGGGCTGACCCTTGGTGAGCATGTTGCGGGACACGATCAGCGTAGACAGCCTGTTTAGAGCGACCACATGGAGATGATGGCCATAGAATAGCGTGTAAGTCAGTGGATAGAGCCATGATGAGCTCTTTGCTTGAAGCATCCCAGTTCGATAGGCGAAGGTGTTTAAGCTAATTTCAGAGGGCGATGTGCAAAGAAACAGAGTCTTAGGGACGGAGTCAAGGCCCGGGCCGCACAATCCAGCCTAAGGCGTAAACAGTGTGGAATTTTGTTTACTGTGTAGGTTTCCTTTCCTCGTGGAGGATCAAAGATCGCGGTCGTCATCTTCAATGTACTTCTAACCCGCGATCCAGACAACGGCAGATTTGTCTATTCAAGTTCCTCTTACGGTCACTGGATCTTGTGGCCCAAGTCCTCTGACCTTCGCCTTGTTCTTGTGCCTGACGTCTGCCGTGACGAAGACCACATGAGACTACCCGACCATCGCAGCAGCCACACACGATCTCACCTTCGCTCCGGAGGAAGGAGAACATAGGGCAACGGCAATTATTTGCGTGATTCGCGTCCGATGAGCAGTGTCCGCTCTTGTGGACGAGAAGGAGGTTGCAGGCCGCTAAGGAGCAGGTCGCATAACGAGTGACCGCTGGGAGGAGTCACTGACAGCCAGTGTCATCGCTCGACGCGAGCAAACTTTGTGCAGGTTGGAATCCACTGCTGCAGACCTGCCCAAGGAGCAAAGCTCTTCCAATTGACGCGACGGCAGGCTCTCTCGTTCTTTCCCGAGCGAAGGAGGAATCAGTCTCTGAACAATAGAGCGTCCAATCCCACCCTGACTCGCTGCCACCCGCCAACCACCATGCCTGGAGGCTTTTTGTTTCTCTACACAGTATCGGGCACCTGCTGCTTTTGCTCCTGGATGCTCAATGACCTTTGGGGGTTCAGAGGGACCGAGTCTTGCAATCAGTCAATCAGACTCTTCTCAGGCCTCTCCACATCCACACACGAGGAAACCTGCCCCTCGGTCAAACGTCTTCCCACTCCTCTCCTCCTGCTCCTCTTCCCAAGTTCCCATCATCCTCCAGACCCGTCCGCCGACCGGGAAACGGGCCTTGGCCTTAGGTTCTCTCCTCTTGAGGCTCCTTGTTTCTGATCTTGATCCTCCCGTACACGAGTTGGTCGGTCGGTACGGTATTGTATCATGACCACCTGCTCGCCTCCTCTCCATACCCAGTACTAAAGCCGGCTCCATCTCCCTCCTCCTCTTGTTCTATCAACCCATATCATCTACTTCCATCATTCAGGCTATCTCTTCTATACCTTTGCACAGTTGTGCTCACTCTTTCTTCTCATCCGCTCATCTTTGCTTGAAGGCCCAACACTTTTCGGAAAGGGTCCATTACTCGACCACCACTGTCTTCCCCACCTTTCCTCACCGCTACTTGTCCAGATTTCCGACGCACAACACAAACCAATTGGCTTTTCCGACAATTCTTTTCGTCCCATGGCGATGCAATATTCCCAGCAAGGCTTTTTTGTCTTTGGACAACCACAGTGGCCTGAAGATGTGAAGCCTGCCCTCACTGAAGACGATTCCTCAGTCCTTGATGACAGCGTCCTTGATTCCTCCACCCCCGCCGACATGACAGCGGCCGATCCCACTGACAGTCGACGTCCTTCAATGACCAAATTCGAGGACGACTTCTCTGCCTCTACGCCTGTGTGGCAGGAGCGGCCCCAAGGTTTCATGCCTACCCGTCCTTACTCACAGACATCACTTCCCTTATCCGGTGTCAATGGCTCATACTTCGGTCAACCCACTCCTGCGCATCGCGGCTCCGGATTTATACAGACACCATCTTGGCCTCTCGCTGCGAGCTCGGGAGTCAGTACCCCTACGCCCTTCTTTACTGCGGTACAAGAGCCTTTCAGCCAACAGCTCCAATATAATGGTGGGCCTGTCACCTTCTCTGGATTTACGGAGCAAGACCCTGTGTCGGCGATAGCCATGTCGCCACAGTCAAGTCAAGGCGGATGGGCCTCGACCACCTCCTCCGATGCTACGAGTACTGGCCGCGGGGTAAGGCATGCCAGATATCGGAAGCCGTCACCGGGGTTAGTGGTTCGAACAGATGGCGTCAGGAAGAAGAACGCGAAGTTTGAGATTCCCAAGGAGAGAAACTTGCACAATATTGATAATCTCATCGCTTCATGCATGAACGATGAAGAGAAGAAGGAACTCAAACAACAGAAGCGCCTTCTCCGCAATCGCCAAGCAGCGTAAGTGCTTTTCATCCTCCTCATCACTGATCCAAATGCTAACTGCCACCCGCACAGGCTTGATTCCCGTCAGCGCAAGAAGACCCACACTGAAAGGTTGGAGGCAGAAAAGAAATCCTTCCAGGATCAGAAGAACGATATGGAGAACACCATTGCTCAGCTTGAGGCCACCCTCCACAACGAAAGAGAGCAATGGCTGCATCAACGTCAACAATATGAACATTATGTCCAGCAGCTGCAATACGACCGAGACGAAGCCATCCGGACCAAGACCCTCGACACCGCTGAACTTCGACGTATGAACAACATGTTGAAGGACACCGTCAGGGATTTGGAGAGGCAACAGGCTCGGACGTTCACATCAAATGCCTCAGATGCGTTCTCCAGCGACTTCACCACCTTTAGAGCACTTGACCTGGAAGACACCTGGGAGGATGCGTTCAGTCTCATCGACAACGATGATTTGAAGATGGAGGAACCTGACTCGCCTCAAAGGCAAGCCACACCACGACCGGCAACCTCTTCCACGGCCCCAACGGCACCGAATAACTTGCTCGATGTCAAGGTCGATGCTGGTTTCAGCTGGAACACCTTCTACATGTGCTTGTTAGCTGGAGCCTTCATTGTGTCCCAAACCGGCTCACACTCCGGTGGCGCGGCAACATCTGCCGCTGTCATCACATCCACCATGCCAGCTCTTGCTGAAGATTATCGTGCCGAGGCTGGCAATGTCCTCAACGCAGTCCTTGCTTCGGGTCCGGGAGCATCGCACGAAGTGCTTCCATCGCGCCCCGCGCCAGCATTGGAGCGCGGCAACTTGCAACCATCCACACTTGCACCGTCCGAAATGATGCGGTCTACGCAACAGGCCAGCGAGACCTCTCTGGACGCTTTGCACTCAACACTCACAACCCCATCGCGTCATCAGCAAGCAAGCGCGGCGTTCTCTCTTTCTGCCGCTTCCTACAACCATATCGCCAACGCCGACGGCCTCTTTGATGATGATGACAACGACGACGAAGCCGTCGAAGTGAAACCCACTCGGCTACAGCAATTGTTTGCCGACATGCAAGCTGAAAAAGACGGCATCGACAAGATGACCGGTATGAGCAGTAAGGCCCGCGAGAGGAGCGTCCTGCTTGACCGGGTACCAGAAAAGGTGCTTCGTGATTTCAGGGAGATGATCGCTCGGGTTGAATAAAACACAACTCCAGAATTCGGCTCTAACTCCTACCCGACGGCTGTCACTTACAACGAGTTTCTCAACAACATTATTATCCGCTTCGGATTACCATGCAAAGACTGCAATATCTCCTGGTATAAGTTCTCCAGCTTTCGGACATCATTTTGAAAAGATTGATTGAAATATTCCCAACGAAACATATGCAACTACAAGATCACCAGCTTCAGGGCACGATTTCATTATTTTCCTGTTATGTTCCAGTTCGGTATGTTTGAATAACTATATGAAATGGATATCTTACGACTTTTTTTACGAATGTTTTCGCACTCTTCACGGAGCTCAAGGGGGTTGGTTCATGGGTGCGGCTGGGTTGCATATAGTTCTAAGGGATGAATGACATGGAGAGCAGTCCAAACTATGTCGCAGAAACAGTGGCGCGCGATGATCACAGACGAGAGACAATTAAGGGAAACATGGATAGGACGCACAGGATTTCCGATGTTGATGACAACCCCCCTCCATGCCCACACCGCAGTACAGATTTTCTTTTTTCCTTGACAAATACGAGTACCAGATACAGAAATTTCTTCCCCCAGGTACGCAGAGTGCAAAACGAATGCAAATATCAGACTACGATACGACCGAATATGATGATGATGATGATCATGATGAAGTTTCAGGGAAAAAAGGCGGGGACAAAAGGGAGCGAGCGAGCCAGAGGTGCCGGTCCAAGTTCGCCCCTGGAACGATATGAATGGATGAATGGATGGATTCACGAGAAATGGGTCAGCCCTGGCCACCGCTATCGAGTCTCTTTACGCACGCGTGGCACGCCCTCTGAAATGGGAGGTGAGAGCCTGAGCTGAAGCGAGCTACGGACGGGAGCTATCTACGGGAAATAGAATTACGAGTAGGACATGACGAGACCAATGAACCACGCATCAATGACCACGAATCAATGAGAAGAAGTAATAGTATTTTGTTGATTGTGACGATCTGCCGCAGAATGTCTCTTGTCGCTGCTCGTCTTTTCCTCCTTTTCTTTGCTCAGGGGGTGTCCCATGGACCTTGATTTTGAACTGTGATACGAAGGCCAAGGGCCCACCCCCGGGGCGTCACGGTCGTCGGACGATCAGCTCGATGGGGCGTCGTAGATACCATATCGAGCATACGAGTACCTACTACCTACTACCCGGGGCACGGTTCGTCTGTCGATGTGGATATTGGATGGGGACGGGAAGGAGAGGGCGTTAAGGCCAGCGGGCCCCAGACGGTACGGGACGTTCTCCGGCTGGGAGGAGTGGAGAGACAGGCATGAGCATGGGCATGGGCATGAGCATGAGCATAACAGGAAATAAACGGCCGGCTGGCCGCTCTTGATGGTAGCAAGTACGAAGCAAGTAGTTGGCATCAGCGATCGTCAGGGAGCAATGACCGGGCAGCAGACCAATATCCAGGTAGAAGGCATCCTACGTTGCGTGATAGCCACAGCCACAGCCAGACCATGACCAAGTCCAAGCAGAAACAGCGACCACAACGACGCCGGAAAAGTGAAGGGGCTCCATCAAGGCCATCGCTAATCCCAACTCTAAGGAGAGCAAGCAATAGTCACCATGGCATAAGGAGCCATGGACCCCTGCGCTATGCAGACAAATGCATGAAAGCCCCAACCAGAACCGCGACTGTGGCCATCAGAAGACCGACGGATGAAGAGGCCCATTCGCTTGTTGGCTCAGAGAGTGAGCGTCACCATCATTTGACATCCAAGACTCTTCGATCTCATGAGCGAAAAAGCGAAGCCCAAATCAAGGCTGCCAGAAACAGTCGCCGTCACCGCCTCGTTTGAAGCCCAAACTTTGTTGCCTAGGCAGAAGGCCCGACCTGGAAACGCTGCTTGAGAGAAGCGTACATCAACATGGATCCCAGTCAGTTGGACGGCTGGGGCTTGCGGCCATTTCCCGGCTCGCCTCGCTTGGAAAGACATCCGGCGACGAACTGCTCACTGCTTTGACGAGGACAGGCCTCACTTCGGTGGATCGTACTTCTCTTTCCAAATCCTAATGTTCATAAAAGAGATGTCAGCAAACGCGCACGCATCAACCTCATAGTCTGGTAAACCGATGAAACAAGCAGACCGGCCGGCCGGCCATGACTCTGTCGCTCTTGCTTCCTGGGTCACGGATGGCCTGCGACCCAAAAGTCAGGTGCGGGTGGTGGGTGCGGACCTGGTCGCACAAGAGGCCGCATAAAAGTCGGTCTCCAAGTTTATCGACGAATCAGGCCGAGCTTGGCATGTACATTCCTGACACTGCCATCTTTTCGACCCAATTGAGCGAAAAACAGGGAGTGACAAATGTTGGACCGGGGACAGGTGATGATGCAGGTCTGGGACAATGAAAGACATGGGAAGGAAAGGATGACAAGGGATAATCAGAGGGTGGGCAGACTTACCAGGAATTCCCCAGTGTCTTTGCGCCATTGTTCTCCGCCAATCTGAGAAGCTGTGCCGCTTTAAACTAAGATCGCAAGATCCATGGGTCAGCACCACTGTATTTCTCCGAAGCAATGGTGCATTCTGATTCGCAGCAAGGGTGTGACTCGGGGCTAATGCAAGGTACGACGACAAGAAACCAGTAGAGAGGCCGTTGAGTGGAAAGATGACTTCTGCATTGCTGCCCAAAGTGATGCAGCGATAGAGAGGTTGCTGTATTTGGCCGTTTTGCGTATTTGGGGTCCGTGTTTGGTCAACTGGTGTCAGCGTCGGGATGGTGGCTTTGCTAGTGTTTGTCCGGACCGGGAACACAGGAATTGTATTGTGCAACAGCTGAGGTCGTTTACACTCGCGTAGGTTGATGAGGCTCAACTGGCTTGCTGCTGTCGGTCGTCACGTGTAAAAGTAGGAAGCATTGCGGCACAGGAGTACACGAGCACATGTCTCGAGAATCCAAGGAATACGAGGGAGACTCACCTTGTCCTTTTTGCCCCCAAATCCTTCCAAGTAGCACCAAGCTGCTTCATTCATTGCATCGGTGTCTCCAAGATTTGCGGCTGTTTCGTAGTATTGCCTTGCTGCAACTTTGTCGACCGGAATTCCCCATCCATGTCTGAAGCAGTTCGCTAATTCGAAGATGGCAAGCACCAGTTCTCCTTTAGCTGCACCTCCTTTCTTCATGCCTGCTTTCAAAGCGTCTGATTCGATGGTGGCCGAGTTGGTTGCAGCTGCTGACAGATAGGTAACCGCCCGTGCAGGATCAGGCTGACAACCCCAACCATGCCGCAGAGAAAGTCCATAGAGGACCTGAGATAAAACATTGCCTGACTCGGCCAGTTTCCTGAACATTTCTGTGGCCTCTGATAAATCACCCGACTCGTGCAGCTGGATTGCTTTTTGTATGTCGATATCGCTCTCAGGGTCATTAATGCTCCGTGGCCGACCTGGTGACTGTCCACCAGCTTCCAGGTCGAGGTTTTCCATTTCCGCAGTTGGAGGTCTGGGTGCAATGTTGGGGCTTTTACTTGCTAACATGGTGGCACGTTCTTCCCATTTCGCTTCTCTGTCTTGTCGGTCGATGGACTCATTGTATGCGTCTTGAATATCGGGAAGGTCTGAAGGCAGATTGACCGAGCCGGTACTAGCTGAACGGTCTCGATTGAGGTGGAGGCGCTCAGAGAGTCTCTTGCGTTCTTTTCTTTCCTTCTCTGGGGACGGACTATCCGATGCGCTGGGGCTCACGCTCTTTCGAAAGCGGCCGAATGATCTTCTCGTAGCGGAAGTGGTCCTTGGCTCAGGCCCAACTCGCTCGTCGTCAAAAGCAGGAGGGTTGATGTATTCTTCCGTGTGTGTATCTGTGCGCATGAATGTGAACTCGTTGGCCTGCGGCAGGGAAGGCGGTATTGGTCTGTCATCTTCAATTTTGTCCTTCTTCTTGAGCAGACCCTTCAGGGGCATGGTTTCGATCCTTATTGAACGGCCTTTGAGTGGCTTTTGGAAGGGGTTTCGGTGGGAATCGGTAGGTGTGCTGGAGGGTGCGACAGTAGAAGGTCAGGAAACGCTTCGATACTGGCGATATCTCTTGATCTGGAGGCAGGAGCGAGACATATCAAGCCTGAAAAAGCCTTGGAATGCGTTGCGTTGCGGCTGTGCCAGCGGTTATTGGGTGAGATTGGACAAATGCGATGAAGAGGAACGATCCCTTGGCTGCAGGGCATCGACGTGGGGGCCAGTTTTGGCTCCTGCTCGAGTGCTCGACGTCGCTCCGCCTCACTCATATATTCGAATTTGGCGACAGAGGTTTTTCTCTCGCTGTATCATTGTCGAGCTGTTGCGGCATCATGAAGCAGCAAGCCAGCATTCCAGTCATGATGCCCTGTCCGGAGAAGGTTCAGCATAGTGAGCCTTCACTGGTCGCCCAGCTTCAGCTGCAGCTGCTTATCTCCGGTAAGGTTCTGGCGAGAGGGGTTCCCCATATGCTGGATATGTCTCATCCATTTCATGGTTCCTACGAGTAAGCCTTCAACATCTTCTTCACAACCATCAACTTCGTCCATTACATTCATCAAACATCAAAGATCAAACGACGGTCTGTGTCACTACATTTCCACCCTGCGCAGTCCTCAGGCGACACAACCCCCCTTGAGGGCATCTTCGAGTGCCAGCCATGCAAATCCTCCAGCTTCCCCAGGAACTCCTGGCCCACACTCTATCTTTCCTCCATCCTGAAGTCATCATGCGCTTCGGTCGAACCTGCAAACAAGCCCATGCATTCGTCAATCCTCAAAACCAGATCCTCTGGCGGTCCGCATTCTTGCACATATTCGATGATCCAAATGACGCTTGGTCCATGATGCCCGGGTCGGATGCTGTCCGCGTTTACAGCAACGACTGGGATTGGCACCACGAACTCGTCCGTAGGCTCTCCGCCCTCCGAGAAATTCGCTCGAAATGGTGTGCCCACGACGAAGCAGCACGCGCTGCAGAGCACCTCGACACTCTGCTGAGCATTCTTGACACCGCCAAATTCAGTCCTACTGCACGCGATATCGCCAACGGCCGGCTCCCTGTCGAAGACGACAGATACCTATCCCTCAACATGCTAATCCTCGCCGACGTCGACCACTACCGTGCTGGCCTCGAGAACTTGATCCACGACTCCGGCACGGTGCGGTACATGCGTTACGCCGGCTCCGATGGCAATCCCTGGGACTCACCGAGACGACCCGTCACGCGGTCCATGACCTGGAACGAGATGGAGAAGAACCGACCAGAATCCGCCTCCCGATTGCACGTCATGTTCGGCCTGACCGTCCGCGAGCGCATCGAAAACATGGCCCGGGGCGCCGCGAGACGGAAAGTCTACGACTGGAGTCTCAGTGGGCCGGACAACGACTACGGCCCGTTCAAGCGCGACGGCAGTGGCCAAGTCGACTGGAGTTTTCTCGAGGGCATACACAGCGTCATAGCACGCAACTTTGCCATGTGCGTCGAGGGTCACATCTCAATGCCCCAGGGGTTCTGCTATTCTATTCCTCACCGCACGTTGAAAGATCCCACCGTGCCGAATGACTGGGCGAGGGTCACCGGCCCGTGGCTGGGCACTTACGCATTCATGGACTACGCCGACTTCTTCGCATACAACACATGGGACGGCCAGAGCGGCGCACGACCAACCCTGGACGACGAACCCGAAGCTTGCGGCGATCTGATGAAGTTGGAGCTCCAACTCGACGAGACCCTTGCCGATGACCCGAAATTGCACACTGCACTGCCTATCTCCAAGGATCTACCTCCGCTGTATTTCCAGGGACTCTCGCGTGCTCATGCGGGTCTTCACAGGCCAGCCATCGGCGTGCGCGGGTCCGTCAGCCTCGTTCCAGGAAACAGGGAAGTCAGATGGCGATTCATCATCACCTATAGCGGTCAAGACCAGTGGCAATTGGAAGGCATCCAACCCGGCGGTATCAGGTCCGGTGGCATTTTTGGTCTCTGGTCGCAGTGCGATCACGAAGAGAGCGGACCGGTCGGACCGTTCTGCTACTTCCCCATGGAATTGTGCAAGCCGACCAGTATTGTGTTAGCCGCTGCTTGATAAGGTCTGAAGGGCAAGTCCATGATGACTTGACTACAACACAAACACGTGTTACGGTCTTCCGGTCTTCTGCACCGTGCTACTCCTTACTATGCTAATATTCGGTTTATCGCATGATCAGGAATATCGTTCTAGCTGTTTGAAGGTCGGAATGATAAACGAAGAAGATCAGGACTGAGACTTAGGAGGCATGTTGAGCTGTATGTAGACAGTAAAGATGGAATCAAGTAATCAAAAGGAGAGTACTCCATAATCGTCGACCGCTCTGCTGATCCAAAGACATTGACCATATCCATCTACGTACGATATACTCCGTAGATAGGGTATTGATCATGTACACGCTAGTCATGTGAAGCCTACCCCGCCTCGCATTCGGTAGCTAGGTAGCTAAGATATTCTACAAAGCCACCCACATGTTCTTAGGGAGCAGGTGGGAGCGGGTACGAACTCAGCATACCGAATCCTCTATCGCCTAGTAAGACACGATGAGTGAAGAGCAGTTGTACTATATTTGGATACACAATGTATATATATATAGAGAGAGAGAGAGCGCATCCATCGTCTGACTCTGGTGATCATCTCAGTGAGACAGAGACTATAAACTATCGCTGTTCAGGCACAGGAGTGAGAGATCCTGTTTCAATTCAATGACACCACTTTTGACATTCGAATCCTCCCTCCCTCTCTCTCGCGCTCGCTCTTCATTCGCACAGCGCCCAATAAAAGTCAAGACAAGCTCGTCACGCTGCATTTGCGCAGCGGGTGTCGTAAATAATTGAACTTCCCACTGTGCACCTTATGCCATGCACTACTATGTAAGGTATTCAGGCAAGAGCATTCATATTCGTGTTCGTATTCGTGTCTTGTCGTAAATCAACATCCCCAGCATCCTGATTCCGGTGGTATGCTGCAGGACAATGTCTTCCCTTCCTAGGTGTGCTCGAAGAGCAAGACCCCAGTTAGTCGACCGAAAGTCCCGCAGATTCTCGGCAGGAGTCGTGTAGTCAGCTGCGAACTGCGTACTCGGTGGCCCCCAAAAATGTCGGTCGCTGTGGGACGAGGCAGCATCGATTGCGCGATCTCGCCGGAAAATAAATCTCCAGGGCCGTTTGGTCGGAGTCATGATTTCGGTTGTTGAGCCATCTGGACGGGGACGTTGGAAGATTCGGGGCCAGTTGGCCAAGAATCATAAGCGAATTCGGGGGGTGTGTCGCAGCAGACATGCAGGAAATCTTTCAGCATGAGTCGGCTATGCTTCATCGGCGTTTTGGAATTCAAATGGCCCGATGCTTCAGCATACGCCAACCGAGCTGCTCCCAGGGGGCCCCCGTCGTCTCTGGAAAGCAAAGCGCTATGCAGCGTCGTGTCATTCGTGAATGGTGGAAAGAGTTCTTTGTAAATCATTTCTTCAACTTTTGGAAGGATAATGAATCGTCCCAGCACAACGAGTGGCCCGGGTCGTGCTTGATGCAGACAGAAAGACTTTTTGTTTGGGGTTGGGGTTTGGGTTGGTCATCAATAGAGTCTTCATGCACTGGGAGCTGCATAGTGGATTTTGGCGCCAGGAAGACCGTTGGCAATGACTTGATATGTGGAGGCTGAGGCTGCTGGAGGTGACGAAAGATCGTCCGAGACTGAACTGTCCTTGGCGGCGGCGGCCGTCAATTGCGGCCGCATGGTTGAGGGTTCGTTGAAAAAGCCGTCGTCGGAAACCTGGGCGGACAAAAGGCCCGTACTGAAGAGCAGGTGCATCAGTTGTTTGATCATGGTTGCAGCAAGTGGAATAGCGGTGACTCGGAGGAGTAGGAGGAGGAGGAAACAGGAGGGAACGACAGAAGAACTTACAAGACGAAGCCGAGCAGGTATGCGGCCATAGTTATAGCGCTTCGGCTGGCGGGTCGAGGGTTGACGTCGACGTCGCCTGACGGTCTACGGTGGGTGGATGTTCGAGAAGCCGGTCACAGTGACACGTCTAGGCCCCGAGGGCCTAGCTGTGGTATGGTGTGTGCTGCGTCCTCCCTATGGTGCAATGGGCTCACCAAGCGACGACAGCTCGGTTAGTCAAATGTGCGGGGTCTGATAGGCCGAATGAGTCTGGTTCCTTGTTTGAGTGTGACGCGGCCTTGGAGTTGGAAATTCAAGTGGCTGGTTGGCGATGTCGTTGGAAAAGGGAAATGTCAACGACGTTCAAGCTGTCTGTATATGTAGACGTAGGTATGTAGACGTAGGTATGTACAAAGTACTCCGGATGCTGTGCCGCAACCAAGAAGCGAGGATGACGCCTTCGAGGCTTGTGCTCATGTCAGAATCCTGGAGGCTTGAAGGCTTGATGCAGGACTGGTTGAAAGCATATACAGTACGAAGTCTACAGTGTTCCTGCAAGCATCTAATGGATAACAAGTCATTTATGGAAACACCACCAACCTTGTAGCTCGTAGCAGGATCGAGATCCAAGACACCTAACAATAATCACATCATTCTGGTCTCAAAGCTCGCCATTATTATCCTTGTCTCAGACTCCATTTCCACCCTCATTATTGTTCTGGCGGAAATCCTCGTAAAAACAAGGCCTCGATCGCAGCCACCATTTCAGGCTGCGAGTCTAGGCGATGTGGGCGACGCCTCAGTCCACCAAACCCAAAGCCGGATCCAGGACAAAAGTGGTAGAAGATGTGGTGCCAGAACCCACCAAAGTAAATGTATTTCGAACTGAATCGGACGCTGACGAAGATCAGGCGATCCGCCTACGCGTACTCCGGACAAGTACAAGCAAACTGAGTACCGATCATGATGTAGGCACTGACATTAAGCGTGCACCAGCGCCTGTTTTGGGAGTTTGGGGGTTCTTAAGCGCCAGAAGGTGCCCCGTGGTCCCCCGACCGTTCAAACTTCACGCATCCCTGGACCCCGACAAAGTCCTAATTCTTCGTTGGCTGACCGCCAAAATCGATGGAGCCATTTCAGATCGAGGTTCAGGGTCATCATGGATCTTGCCCTGGTCAACACTAGCAACTCAGGTAGGCTTGGTCTGGCCTTTGCCGTCCGCAAGCTTTCAATTCGGGACGCCGTGGACAGTTGGCGATCATATTAGGACTCCCGAGGCGGTGTGAATGGTCACACTCGCTCCGATGATGGAGTCGCAGAGAAAGCAAGCCTCTGGAGCTTGACTTGGTAACTTCGAGCCACCTCCCTGTGCACAAATGCATGCCTACGGTCCTAGTAGTAGCGAAACAATTTGTGTAAAGCACGAGGCAGTACGAGTAACGACAAAGTTTGTGCGGTCAGGCTCGACTTGTGGATCGATGGCTTTTCACCCAGACGCCGTCTCGGGGTGCCATGGTGATTCCGATTCCGAATGTTGTTGTCCCATCCGCCATATCGTATCGAGTCTGTTCACTGGGCCAGTACGCTCGGTCTTTTCGACGCACTATTGATTCTGGTGCATCAGTCAGTTCTAGGTGATCGAGGCTTTGCAATAGTCGGACGGTCAGATATGACACTGTCATCATGGCCATGGTTTCTGTGTAGTACTTTTGTTAGCCTTGTCCGCCCACTGACACTTCACACTTACTGCCGAGACAGACTCGTGGCCCGAGAATGAAAGGCACAAATGCCCCTTCGAAATCGCCTGTCGGGTCTCCTTCCCAGCGTTCTGGTCGGAACTTGTCTGCATCCTCACCAAAAATGTCCCGTCGGTGCTGCAAGGCGTAAATGTTGAAGCCTACTATGGTGCCCTTGGGTACCAATAACGGACTCTCTCCGCCGCGGCCACCTCCCTCGGGCAGAATCGTGTCAACTCTGGCGGTTCTGCCGTTCAGGGGTACTACCGGAAAAATCCTCATTGTCTCATTCAAGACGTGGCGTAGGTAAATCGAACCTGATATATCAGCCATAGTGGGTAGTTTACCATGTGGTAGATGAGTCTCGATTACGCCACGAAGCTTGGCCATCACCTGAGGATACTTGAGCAAAGCGTAAATCACCCAGCTTGCAAATGAGGCTGTCGTATCTCGACTCGCCAAGAGCAATGACAGGAGCTGGTCTCCCATCACACTGGTCGGAACGGTCTCCTTCGCAACAAGAGAATGCATGAATGAAATTGCAGTTGTGCCCGATCCTTTCGACGCCTCGGAATTTTGTGACAGCGACTCGGCCAGATATTTGTTGACGAAAGCCCGACAGCGGCGACACGATCTTCGAAATTGCAATGAGTCCCGAAGCCAGTAGAAGTTGAGTAGCTGTCCTCTTTGGCCCAACATGTAAAGTGCATGACCGAGAGCCGTAGAGAATTCTCCAGCACTTCCTTTGTCTTGTTCTCCCGACCAATGTTTCGTATCGAGCAGCAGAGAATCGGTCGAGTGGCCGAAGACGGTCTGGGTTGCAAAGTCGGTGCTCAACTTGAGGAGCAAATCAGCAATGTCAATCGCGTTATCACGACTGCGGGACGCCTTCAGCCTGCAGAGCAGATGCTGAACATGAACCTCAAGTTGAAGGAAGTCCTGATCGAGATTTCGATTGAAATGCGGTCTGCAGCATGCTCAGTCAGCTCAACAGAGGCAAGTACAAACGGTCCTGGGGAGAGCGTCCATACCTGAGCATGGCTCGAGACCTCGTCCATTCCCGCCCATCCAGGGCGAGTACGCCATGGCCGATCAGGGGCCTAAAGTTGCCTGCACGATCAGCTCCAAGCTCATAATCTGGCAGTCTGATCAGCCTCGATCTCTGTCGGATATGTAGCTTTCAGATTGCGCTACCTTTGAAGCGTTGCTTGCAGATGGTATGAACATTAGCCGGGGACCTCGTTAGAACAACAAGTTGGCCGTTCACTTTCTGACTGTAAGTGTGTCCATGTTTCTCAAATTCTTGCAGCATGAAAGGAGGTAGCCGGCCCGCTCGTTCAGCCTTCAGAGTTGGAAACATTCTATTCCAGTCAGTGATACATCGTCACCTGGATAGAGCATACCTACTTGTCTAGTCCTAAAGGAGGCCACCATGGATTGTGTAGGTGTTTCTGAGACGGTTCGCAGCCATTGGCTGCAGCAATGGCGGCAAGCTCCTGTAGACATTGTATTAACAACTGGCCGCAGTCATCCTCGAAAGGGGAGTGTCTGGAACTCCCAGATATTTTCGAACGAGTGTGTTTCCATGAGGGCTATTTACCTTTGCTCTTTTCACGTGCCGTGTCCAATATGTTGTGCCTAGGACGGCCAAGCACAGGAGGAGTGCGTAGAGCACGTTCATTATCGGAACAGATGAATTTGACTACAATTGTCCTGGCATTCCCCGGCTTGCGTGCTCTTCGGACCTCTACCAAATACAAATTGATGCCACAAACTTCACGTAGCGACATCTCCCTGCAGAGGACAACTAATGTAACTCTTTCGTGCGTGCCTCTCCCAAGGCAACTGAGTCGACTAAGAAGCGAGGCTTAGACTGGGAGTGCACTACGTAGCATCAAAGGCGGTGTCGTGATTAACGGGGCAAAGTCCTCGAAGCTGTGAGATAAGTGATTGGTAGATGTTGGACAATGGTCGACGGACTGGTTTTAAGCCCTGGGAAGCACCCAGACGAGGCCAATAACTGGCAGCTGGTTCCCACTGAGCTCCTGGACCGAGGCACGCTTAGGGCTCCCTCGCTCCCTACGCTTGACAAAGCCACATGCCAACAAGAACAAAGGCATCACTATCATAAGCTCATCAAACATGCTTTTCACTTCAAAACTATCAAAGCTGTTTTCTATTCAACGTCTAACAATATTCAATACCGGAACGCCCAACTCCGCGCCCTGTAGTTCTATCCGGATAGCCAACATCATATCATCTCGTCAAGTCGTCAAGACTCATTATATGTGAGGAACCCATTTTCCCCAGTCAACCTGCTCGTAGGTTGACAACGGCATCCATCGCAGAGCCAGAAACGACTCTATGAGCACATACATTCGGCAAAGGCCATACGCAAAGGCAACTGCAATGGATGCCGGCACCCTCCACCAAGGAATTAACGCGTCTTGGTCGACTATCCCCTGTCTCTGCTTCTTGCGGATCGAATATTCTTGGATATGGTCCATGCCAAACCAGGCAACGCAGCAACCCAACATGACAACGGACGAAATCCGCCACAACAGCTGCTCGACGTGCGTGGCGAGAGGTATGTTCCAGGCAGCTGCATGGAGTCCTGCGTAGCCAAAAGTCACGAACCCGGCCACTAAAGTGACTTCCTTCTCCAGAAGAGGTAGGCGATCGTTCCGGATTCTGTTCGGGTCGCGCGGCTTGCGGCCCCAAAGAGGACCATACCGATCAGTGAAGTTCGTCGTGAAGGTCGGTTCACCATCGTCAATGATGTCAAGCCTGGTGTATGGCGGAAGGAGTCGCCCTGAGGCATCGACGACATGAGCGTTCGGATGGGTTGCCTGGTACTCCTCCAGCAGATTTCGGTGTTGCCCCTTGTCCAGGAACGTCAGATCGATATCACTGACTGTGTGGTGATTTTTCAACTCTAGGACTGTGAACGTCTGCACATCGTATGGCTTTCGATACCATGCGATGAAGCTACCCATAGTGCAGACGACGAACGATAGTGTGGTAATTTCGAGGGTAGTTGTTTCCAGCTTCTGTATGGCTCTAGCGACAACCTGCACCGCAAGCCAACCAACTTGCATGATCGCAAGGAATTTGGCCAGGCTATCAGATTTGGACCGATCGTTGATTTCGAGAGTCGTTATCATCGGCAAGTCTATGTACCCTTTGCGGACGAGGTGGTTGATGTGTTTCGCGTTGATGATGTAGGGTTTCGGATTACCTTGTTCCTTGAGACGGAAGCCACCCATATTCGCAAAAAAGGCTGCCTTTCTTCAGCAAATGTTCCGAGTCTTTTGAGGAGGTGGCCTTACCATGCCGCAATGTCCAACGTTCATCATCTGTTCTTTGTTGCCGTTGCTCAAACGTCTCGGAGCGCTGCATCTTTGGTCGACTCATCTCAATCATTTGTATCTCCTCGACATCATTTCCTGCAGACGGGGTCGCATCGCCACTGATGCTGACGACAGGTGTGGTGGACGACTTCGCAAGAGGGTTGTCACCGGTCTCTATCATGAGTTGCTCGTCCTGTTCGGCGAGAATGTCTCTCATTTCGCGCCAACAAACACGAGCGAATGACCATTGCCCAGCAGCCAACAGCATCACGATTTCGGGCACCATGCAGCAATTACCAACTGGAAGGCCATCAGCATCAAGCAACACGTCGCAGCGTCAGAAGAGATCTTACCCCATTTGACCCTTCTCAGCCACAAGTCGATAGTGCTATCAGTTCCGGGTGGTGCAGGTACGTTGAGATGCACCGCAGTCCACACGCAGATAAAGACGGTGAACTAGTAACTGTCAGAATCGTGCCATGATGCGACCAGGCCAAAATACCCAGCAATGAAGGGGTTCAGCACTCGGTGCAAGGGACGACTTACAAGGCACGACCAGATTATGTCCATTGTCCCCCTTCCATTTGGGGACTCCTGCCAGGAGACGAAACCTTGAGTACGGTTATTGTTGTCTTGAGCATGGCTTGGTGGGAGAAGCAGGAGAGCCCAGAACGCGGTCCATGCCAGTGTCATGGTGCGAGGCACCTGTGTTGCGTAAAGTCGTGTTGATGCCGGTCAACGACATATGGGCGGGTGGGAAGTACAATATATGAGTTTCAGATGTGCCGTGGTTGATGATGTGCCAGAATGCTCTCTGCTTGCATACTTCGTAGGTAGCTACTCCGCCAGCGGTCGCTGGAATACCGCCTGATACAAGTTTTGTAGGCCCCCAAAAAGCCACTAGTTGGTCAGCACCTCGAAATGCTGGGCGATTCTTCACCTTCTTTTCATCAGACTGGGTAGACCTACAACTGGTAAGTAGGTGTACTGAATAGCCTCAGCAAAACAGTCACTTTCCTGCTGGCGCAATGGTATGGACGGCACGTCGTCAGGGGAGAAAAAAGGAAAGCAAGTGTGAAACAGACTGGGGTGGCCGGAACTGAGCCTCACTAGCCGCAAATTCGTCGTCGACACCAGCCGCCGTCAGTTACCTAGGTACCTTTTGACCAAATACGTTCTAGGCGTGATGTTTGCACGACCATGATGGTACGCCTTATCACCCATTGCTAGGCCAAATAAGCTGGATGGTTGGCTTATCTGAACAAGCGAGCCGGACTTGCGCACATCTCTGAGACAATCCAGCAAAGGTACCGTGTCACCTAGGTGCGTGTAAAGAATACCTAGACGGGATAGGCTGGTGAGGCTCATCATGTGCCATAGAAATATTCCTAGCTAGACATTGTGCTCATTTGCGACTCAACTCGCTGTCTCCTCGGCTCTCTTGACGTCAACACCCACCTGGTTATTCCGCGACAGTCTGGTATCAATGCAAGTTCCAGACAGTCAGAAGTTCTGCCCTCCAATTTCACCTTGTTGGCTGTTCGGCGACTACGAGTACGAAACAGATGATGTCGACGGTACAATAGCTGGCCCATGCGTGCCCATGACACCCTGAAGGTTCGGCTGGGCCGAGCCGCCTTCCCAGTCCGTGCCAGTCCGTGCCAGCCCTACTCCGTATCGCGATCCGGGTTGAACTTCACTCGATGCCTTCCGACGAGCCGAGAATAATACCATGGTTCTGCTCCGTACTCCGTACAAAGAAAAGAGATTCTGCCCGATACTGGCCACCCGAGCTTTGACACTCACAGTACTAGTATGAGACAACCTTAACATCACGCCCGCCTGGGATAGTCGACTTGATCGGCAAGTCTCGACAGAGCTGAAAAAGTCCGGGTTCAACCTTCAACGGCAGACAGCCGGTCAGATGTGGGGGCCAAGAGATGTAGTACTGTGTAGACGTCGAGGCGTGTCCTGAAGCTGCCACATTCTCATTGTTGAAACGGCCAAAGTCCACGCAACACTCCCAAATGGCGCAAATCATCGGTTGGTCCGGAAATGCACCAAGTCAGGAGTAGCAGCGTATCTCGATGAAAAGTCCAAGGTATGGCAGCAGCACCTCCGGACTTCGTAGGGTTTCATTCGACGACCTTCCCAATTGAGGAGATGAGGCAGTACAGATGTGCATGCGTACTAGTACTAGTGAGTGAAGGCCTTTGTGAATGCTTGCATGTTCGTCTCGATACATTCGATACACCTACAACAGGAATGTAAAGCACGTATCTCGTACCATCATATATCCCGCGTTCTACGCCTGATGGCTTGCAGGGGCGGATAAATCTGACACTGTCGCTACACAACTGTCCAGGCAAGCATATTCTTTGAGAGATTACTCAAACGCCATACCTCCGGTTTCCTGAGGTCTGCTGCCTCGAGCTCATTTGCGCCATCGCCGTTCGTGCCCTGCCGTTCTGTTGTTGCGTCCGCCTGCTCGGTTGCGCTTTTCGACTCAACGAGAAGCCTCTGCCGCCTTGAACGCCTTTCCATTTGTCTCTGTCGCGCGGCTTTCCATTCCAGCTCGCCCACTTTCCAACCCCTAGCTATCCAGATACATAACCCAGCGCCGATGTACATGCAGGCGGTGAATATCTGGGGCGGAAGATAGATCCAGCTGTCAGTGTTCTGGCGCCGCAACTCCAAAGCTATTGCTTCAGCGCATGTTGTTGGTGGTACCATCAACACCCACGTCAGACTAAGACCAGCCGGAAGGTCCTGCAGACCGAGGATTTCTGCGGCAACAGGGGCAATTGTGGTCCAGAAGACACCAGCTAGGCCGCCGCCAATCACTGCAAAGAAGCACAGCAAGGCCATTGGCGCCGACACCAATTCAGCAGGAATCCAGAACGCAAAGCAGACAATGCCACAGAGGAAGGACAATGAGGTAGCGAGATTCAAGCGACCCCAGCGGTCAGAGCTTAGGCCTATTAGAGGTCGACCTACCATTTGTCCAACGTTGAACACAGCACTGAGGATCGACCCTTGGCTGGCCGTAAGCCCTATGGAGCGGGCATAGGCAGGAAGAGAAAAAATCAAGATGGTGTAGCCTAACATTGAGAACCATGACCAGGCCTGGACGAAGAGGAATTCTGGTCGACGAAGGATCTCTGTGTCGATTGCCTTGTGACGGGAGCCAGTCTGTTTATTCCGGTCGCGTAGGAGATTCACTGCTGTCAAGTTGACTGCAAAGGTGATGATTCCGAGGATTCGAAACGTCCAGCCCAGACCCAAGTTGTCAATCAGTGCTTGGGTGACCAAGCTGTAGATCAATCCGCCAGCGCCAGAGCCAGCGGCAGCGATGGAATTGGCAAGGCTGCGTTTCTTGTCGAACCATTGAGGAATGATGCCCACTGAACCGACAAAGAGAAAGCCCATACCCCAGCCGAAGCAGACACCTTGGGCTAGGATGATCTGATATTTCTGATGCGCGAAGCTGGCGCCAATGAGAGAGACGGTCTCGAAGAGGACACCGAGATGCAAGCAAACTTTGGTGCCGTATAGGTGGATGATGTGTGTGGCCAGGGGTGCGATAAGGACGGCTTGAGATATAGACAAGCCGCCAATAAAGCTATAAGCAAGTGGGGAGGTATTTGGGAAGTAGTTGTTGTTGAGATAATATGCAAGAAATACGCCGTAAGAGGAGTTGATGCCCCAAGTATGCCCTGTCATTGGTGATTAGCCTCTTCGTTCTTGCATGATGTGATAGCAGGGGCGATTGCGTGATGATGCTAAGAGATAGCCGCAAGCGGCTGGATATGCACCCCAGATCTGATTGACCATGCTATTGGGCACGGGCAATTGGGTTCTTTTGTATACATACCGTTTATAAAGGCGTTGCAGCCGACACAGACCCATCCGTAGCCGCCGTCTGGACATGGATCGTCGGGTTTGGGTAAGGTAGGAGGTGTATTTTCGACGTGAACAGTCCTCTCGGATTCAGAGTCATTTCGGACAACATCCTGGCCATGACCCCTTGAACGTATCATGTCGATGGGGATATCGTCGGCCATTGTGTAATGGTCTCTTTATTCTATGCATGATTCATAGAAGACCTGGGAGAAGAAGAGACCGAAAAAAAGAACGTATAAGAAGAGCCAAGTCGGACAAGTCGGCGACGCTTCCTGGCACCATATCTGCAGATCTAGAAGAAATAGCCAGCAAAATTGAGGTGGAAAGCCGCCGACTGGAGAAGCGACGGCAGAGTCCGATTGGCATGGTGGTAGCTGTTAGGTAACTCGACTCTTGTCAGTGTGTGTGGATGTGTACATAAAGGGCGCAGACCCTCAGCGGATGCTCAAATGCTCAGTGCTCAGTGCTTCGGATGTGAAAATGTCGAGATGCGGGGAAGAGGTGGTCATGTTATGGGGAAGAAATCTGCCATTTTCTGCCGAGGCAAGCACTGTCATGAAGAAGATGGCATGGGATTCATGATCAATGCAATTTTCGACTCATGGCCGAAAGTGCATCAGTATAACTACCATGCTATGCATCAGCGAAGGCTTGGAGCATGACGGTGAGGTGAAGACGGCAATTACTAGGCACCTAAGCAGCACACCCACCAGAATCATGTTCTTGGTTCCCCCATCACCCATGATGACCCCTTTTCCACCTGGTTGGGTGCCTGGTACCCTTGTAGGTTTCCGGTTGGCCTCGCAACCGGCCGCAGCCAAACAAAAAGTTCCAGCTGCGCGCCACGCTGCTCGCTGCAGGCTGCTAATGAGGTGAGGCCACGATGACTCTAGCAATTCATTATTATCACCAAGGCTTTCTCACTTCTTATCCGTCCAGTATCATCACCTCATCGGTTCCTCCTGTCTACCTTATTTTTTATTGCTCTGTAGATCCATCTGCTTCCTGATACCGTGCGTTCTTCCACATTGGAACGTCCTCCGCGTCACCCGTCACATCGCACGACATCATATTGCATATGCTGTGAATGAAATTTACCTGCGTTCAAAACTCAGCGATCCAGCATGTTTCACAAAAGAAATAGTTTGGGTGGCAGAAAAGTGTCTCCGCCTCAACCAACATGTATGACTGCCGAACAAAAATGTAAGTCGTGTTTCTTGCACAACTCATCTCCCCAGCAATGCCTCCGCGAGACCCTCCTTTCAGCTCAAAATACTCACATGCCTTTTCAGCAACCTATCTCGACAGCCTGCGGAGTTATCGTCCTGCAAGACCTACCGGTTCACGTCCTCCTCCATTCAGTCCTAGAACTCAAACCATCACCTCCGAGATTTCTCTGACACGCTCCGATTCTGCACCTACTGCCGGCCTTCCCAAGCATGATCCTCAAGATGTGCAGCCACAAATGATACAGAAATCAACTTCATTCCCGTCCGCTGCTTCTCTTGTCAAAGGTCGCCCTCTAGCACAGCCGCCAGGAAGCGAACGGCCAACCTTACGAGGAAGAAAGGTGTCACCTACTGCCACAGTTCAAATTCCGCGTCCAGCAGAAGATGACGTCTATGTTGAGTCAGTCAGCAGAAGAATGGAAAAAGAGGAAGCTCAGATACTCCGAGAGGCTTTGGAATACATTGACCAGAAGGACGAGGAGACAAAAATCTACTCGGCAGCACAAGAGGAAGCCGCGGACTTGGTCTGGAAGCATCGACATCCCAAAGCTGCAGAGCAGGAGGAAACGGCGGCTTATCGAAATCCAGATCTGAGATTGAACGATAAGAGACGAACTAGCGGTCAACGCAAAGCTAGTGGTACACGCAAAGTTTCATTTCCCACCCCAGAGTCGCAAATCTATGAAGAGCCAGGACAAAAGGAAGACTTGCCAGAAAGACCTATCAAGGCACCAAGCGTTGGGTTACCTCTGAGGGTCAAGTCTACCAACACGCTTCCGTGGCTAAGGAAAAAGGCCGTCGACAAGCCAGATTTACCGGCAATGGCAGACAACAAAGTACTCAACCGTGTTGAGATCCACAGGAACCCTCCCACTCGGTCAAGAAATGCAGAATACACGGCCAACACGCCTCCTCGACCTACAACGATTGAGACAATCGAGGAAATCGAGACACCTAAGTCGTCAAATAGCACTGTGGAGATCAGAAGCGAGGACATCCGTGCAGCCACGACCATGAAGAGAAAAGATCGCAGCCCCAACCTCCCCACGCCGACTGCTGTGAGTGATCAATGTGGCCGGCCTATCGTCAGCTTCGATCCCTTATGGAAGCCTCCCAGTGATTCTCCAAGGACTAGCCAAGACATCGACAGGCCGGTCATCAAGCTTACAGAGTCTCCAACAGTGGAGAAGTCCAGTGAGAGACCTTTACCAAGACCGGCACAGACAATGCCAGAGGTCACTGTATCTGCTCCAGTGGTTCCTACCATAAGTTTCCCAGACGAGGAGCCGTCCTCAGCGTCGATCACTGCCCTACCGACCATCAATCTCCCAGAGGGAGTTTCGCCGACACCAACAATAGACGTGAAGGGGGAGAGCGACACTTCAGTCCCGGCCATCAACTTACCTGTTGAGGCGAAACAGCCCCCTCGTCCTTTGCCACGACATGCAGCTACAACACCTTCTGCCTCCACGTCTTCCATGAACAAAGCTCCATCGTCTCGACTACCATGGCTCCACCGCCACTCGATGCCAGCAGTATCCTGTTCAAGCTGTGCGCTCCCCATATCTGGCCGAATTGTCACCGCCTCCGGTTCCAGCACGACTAGCCTTAAAGCTCGCTTTCACCCGGAATGCTTTACATGTTACCACTGCGCCACGCCACTTGAATGTATCTCTTTCTACCCTGAGCCCGACGAGAAACGCCTGACGCGCCTGGAGAGCATGGGCTTCGATTCTGCGTCTCCCGAAGCGGCCAACGATCCGCTCCGCTTCTACTGCCACCTTGATTTTCATGAGTTCTTTTCGCCTCGCTGCCGTTCCTGCAAAACACCTATCGAGGGCGAGGTCATTGTTGCAGCTGGAGCGGAATGGCATGTCGGCCATTTCTTCTGTGCCGAGTGTGGTGACCCATTCGACAGCACTACTCCTTTCGTTGAGCGCGACAACTACGCATACTGTGTCTCGTGCCACACAAAACGAACGTCCGCGCGGTGTCGAGCGTGTAAGCTGCAGATCTTGGACGAGTTGACAGTCGAAGCTCTTGGTGGTAAGTATCACGAGAAATGTTTCGTCTGCTTTGAGTGTGGAGGCGGCTTTGGCGACGAGGGACGCTTTTTCGTGCGTGACGTCGATGTCGAGCCGACCGACAAGGAAAGGAGGAAGGGCATCACACGCAAGGTCGAAGAGAAGGCGGTTTGTGGGCCGTGCGAGGAGAGGAGGTTGAAGGCCTGATTATCGGGGTAATCGTTGAAAGACTACACAAGGGCGTTCCAGTTCTAGGGCAGTCTTTGCGACTTTCCAGCTGGTGTTAAATGTCTGATGACCCTTTGGAAGAGTACCTTGGAGTTTCAGGCGTTGGTGTTAGATTGGAGAATCGTTGGTCATCATCAACGGCATAGTGTGAAACAGGTGGAAAGGAAATGATTGATATACGAATCCTAACAATGATGACTGATATTACTGGATGTCCTGCTGACACCTGTGCATAGATAACATAGGACCGGCCACCTAAGTTAGTTGCATAGATGATTTTGACCTGGCCCAGGTGATAAATAATACCTCTCACAACCAAGACCACCATAGGGAATGAATATAGACGTAGAAAGACCCAAGTCCTGGTGTTGTTCCCTTTCGTGCCTTTCGAAACTGCGGAAAGCGCTTCGCCGGATGGTTGTGCTACTGCGGAGTAGTAGGAACATGGCGAACGCAGCGCTCGCTGTGGTTGAGGTTTGATTTTCATAGACGTTGTCTAACTAACATGTAACGTACCTTTGGATCATGCGGCAAAATTGTTATCTCTTAATTAAGACTTCCCACGATGCCGAAATCCAAGAAGGCAAAGACGAAGCACAATAGCTCCAAAGCTAATGGCGATTCCAGCCAGGCCGAAATCTGGGACGACTCGGCACTGATCAGGTCATGGAATGATGCTGTCGCTGAATATGAGGTATGTCGAATTTTGTGGGAAACAGCACATTTGAAGCGCTTTAACTGTTCCTTCCAAATAGCAAAGTCACCGCTTGCCCATTGACATCCGCTTTCTCGAGCCGTGGGGAATCCATGTCCTTTTCTCGCGTTAGACGCTGTGTTCGGAGACTTTTTCACTGATCGATACTGCAACAGTATTATCACAGCATCCACGCCCGAGGCGAAGACGTTGAAGAGGTTCTGCGCCAGGCGGAGGAGGATGAAGTGCGCGATGCAATCACCACTGGACTCGACGAGTGGCTCGATGTAAAGGCGGATCGCGAGCTCCCAGCAACGGCCGGTGCCGGTGCTGGTGCCGAAGATGTCGAGGACGGTGAGATCGAAGACGGCGAAGTCGATGAAGCACTTGCTGCAGCCAAAGCAGCTTTGAGTCAGCAAGGCAGGTCTCACCCCCATGCCCGTGAAGGTAGAAGATATTGACAGTGCGTGACCTTAGTCCAGGGAAATACTCCAGACCAGACTGTGCGCCGTGCCAAATCAGCAACCACAGCAGAAGCCAGCACCCAGGCTAGTGCTCAGCAACATCACACTTCTTCCCAGGCACCATTGCCTACCATTGGGCCTATATTGCCCGCGACAAGCGAACAAGGTACATATTTCCCTCCAATTCAGCATCGTCCCAAATCCACCACTTGTGCTGTATTCTCTGCTCTGCTCTGCTTCGCCTTCCCTCCTCCACGAGCACGCTCTCTTTCTGACTGAATGAACATACTAATCCGTTGCTCCAGGCCCGTCTTCAGATCAAACCCTCGAGAATATCAAGATGGCATACTACTGGGCAGGCTACTATTCCGGCCTCTATGACGGCCAACGTCAAGCGCAGCAGCAAGCAGCAGGGAATGGGCAAACGGCAAAACCCGGTCAAGATCCAGAGCAGACTCAAACTCTAGGACTCAAATGGGGGTGAGATCCCTAATTGGCCGCGCAAATCCTCATGGAATACGACGACCCTTTTCGGCCAGTCCAATACTGAGATTCCCACGAAATGGCCAACAGAAGCACCCGGCCCGCTCGGGTTACACGACTCGCCGTTGCTCAAGGCTTATATCTGGCTACATGCTCACCTAATCACGTCGACGTAGTCAAGCTATAACCTGTCCGCTTAAATATGGTTTTAGGGGTTATTGTTTCTCGGCAAAGGGACAAACGCAACGACGCACAGCACAGGAAGGCCGCCCCGACGGTGCGTGTCTTGCCCGGATCGTGGGTTTTCGACCCTTTGAGATCCGCCAGGTCGGACGATCATCGAAGGAGGAAAATTATGCTTTCGGCACCTTAACAGAGAACAGAGAGCGCCGAAGCCCACGCCCAGACCTGGTAATTATCTGATCTCTCTAGGTCTTCCGCCACGTGTGAGATCATATGCAGACGATCACTTCTCGCCGGCCAGGGGGGCTCCTAGGTTTCGACGAAGCCGGGCTCGGCAGCACTGAGACGACGTCTGCAAGGACCCTTTCTTGTGAGCCAACAGCCGACAATATTACGATAATCATCATTGTCGACTGGCGGTTCAGACAAATTGGGTGAATAGCGTGTGTGCTAGGTTGGCAGAGTCAATTGGAAAACAGCGAGCGAATTGGAAAAAAGCCAGGGGCGGAGTAAGATCAGAGAGCTCGAACAATTGAAAATAGCCTTGCGTCTGAAGCAGTAGACGACAAAGTGGTGTCGTTACTCGTTGATCACTCAAAGTCTTGTCTACGAGAGAGCCGACGCCATGCCGTTGTTCAGGCTGAATCAAATTGTGACCTTCGTCTCACGTCTCCCGTCTCCTGTCTCACAGGACCTTCTGGAGAGTTCCCGGTCATCTTGATTCCCAGGCCGACAATGTTCTGAGGACCAAACCCAATAGTCTGTGATAGTGAGGCGAGCAGCCTGCATTCTCAAGGCCGCGAAGCCGCGGATCCACTTGCTTCTCAACTCAATTCGGCTTGCACCCGCCTGTAGTCTCGCTCAAGGCCTTTATTTTCATGTTACAAAACAGCCGCTCAATCGACATCAATAACATAACAAACGTAAGCCGAATAATCGTTCTGGTCACCACCAGTCACGAGGTCAGTTCCTGACATGCCTTCATCCTTCTTCGGCCGACCTTTGCTGTCTCTGCCGAAAGCATTGCCCGCTAAGTACGAGTATTCAGAGTCGAGGCCTTGTCGAGCTTTCTTTTCTCGCTTCGAGTCGGTCTAGGTGCACCGAGTTAGTACCTCTGTCAGCTTAGGGTGCTGGACGGAAACATACCTTTATCAAGACAGCGACGTAATCCAACGGCAGTCCGTATCTCAGGACTGTCTCGACAAACACTCTCAAGACCACCACATGCACAAGACACATGACACCTTCACTCCAGCCCGTCCGGCCTAGCCGTAGTGTTTCGCCCCATACTTTTTTCTCCTCGGCCTCAACTCGCCTAACTTCCTTCTGCTCCTCCTCTTTGCCGCCCTCTTTGAACTTATAGTCCCGAGGCACCCATTTCCGCTCTCGGACTTTATGTAGAAAGTCGTGGCTGTGTTTCCTGAACATCGTCACAGCATATAGGGTGAATTCGTCGTCTGAAGCAACAAAGTAGGCTGATCGAGGTACGACCATTGGTGCGAGGGTTTCGTAACATCGCATGAATTCCTTCACATTTGAGTTCGGGATGGCGATCAGGTGGGTTTCAAGGTGTTCGGAGTCGGTGACAAGGACCTCGGGATTGACGATGCTCACTAGCGATTTAGTTGAGAGGTTTCCGGTCTGTTTGCGTTGGAGGGTCTGGAGATTCGTCCTTACGGAGTTGTATTGGTTATATTTTGACCGGACGTCGTTGTCAATGGAATTGGCTTCCTATTCAAAGGCATCAGACAACGTTCACTCCATCTCGACGCAGGAAACTGCGCACCTTTTGCAGTAGATCAATCAATTCTGACAGTGGTCTATCTGCTCGATATTTGACCTTGTTCCACGAGAAGCTCCGTAGGTATTGTTCGAGAGGTTCTGGTTGAGGTAATCAGTCTCTTGTCCGTCTCTGGCTGCAGCATTCGCCCGCGCATACATACTGTCGTTGACATTCTTGTGCATGGAAATCTTCTCTTCGTCTCCGTCCAGTACATTCTTGAGTGTATCTCCAACTTTGGCTACCACGGAATTGCACAGGCTTTCTAGCTTGCTCAATTCGTCCGACTGTTGTAGTAAGCCATCCAGTGTGCCGACCTTGAATTCTGGGATGTTGAAGTTTGATACTTCGCCGTAAGACGGGTTCACAGCCTTCTGTAAGGCGCTGATCGCATCGTCTTTGTGACCAGAGGGTGTTATTGAGGATGGTACGGACACGGCAAGGTATTTCACGGACATGGTGACTTCACGAGAGACAGGAGAAGGTGCTACGAGCGCGATTCAGCGCTGTTCAAGAGGACTAGCAGGTAGAATGCATACAAAGCCTCAACACTCACAGGTTGTCTCCAATTCAACTATCGTAGAGAGAGCTATCGGCCTGGCACCCTCACTGCAGCTGCGTAGGCCAAGATAACAAAAGCGGCATTCTCTTTTATCCCTATGTTTGATATACTAGTTGCCGCCCTATCGTTCACCGGCTCCTTTTTCATGGCAGCCTTTCTTGTCCCCGCATACGCTTGTTCCAACGTCGACACTACTCAATTTGCATCTCCCGTACACTTCACCGACGACGTTTGCCTACGACCATATCGACCGACCAGTAGCGCTCCTGCTGCATGCCAGCTCCACCGACGTCCGACCCTGATGGTGCTCCGTCCTCATTGCCGTTGTTTGCTTGACGCCGGCCTCGAATGACAAGTGGACGATCGAGATTGGCCTCGGATAGACCAGCATCTGCACCATCGTCATCGGATGCTTCGCTCGAGTTGGATCCAGAGGCCTGCCGAGCCTTATGAGCGGTGTTCGACTCTAGCTCCTCGTCATCCTGGTCTTCCCACTCGTCATCGTTGCCGACGGGACGACCATCCTCTTCGTCAACGTTCATGGTATCCTGAGCACCGTCGTCTGTACGAGCTCGCTTGCTTCGGCGACCACGCATCTTCTTATATTTGGTGGGGCGATGCTTGCCCCGTCGTCTCTTGCCCCGCCCAACGCGTAGCGGCAACCAGTCATGGGTGCTTGGAGCCTCCTCATAGTATTTGGCATTGCAGCACTTGTCGATAATTGCCTCCCTAATCTCATCAAGACGGACGTCCTCGAAGCGGCGAGACCCCGACACTGGTCCACCAAGCATTGTTCTCTGGCCTTGGACCTGCTTTTTGAGTTGTCGATAAGGAGAGGTGAGACGACGTGCATGCCCCATGTTGCCCTTGCCCATCTCTTGCAACTCCTCCAGATAATTCCCTTGTCCCTCAGCAGTAACACCGTCTTCGGCCTCTCCAACAAGGACGTGTACCTCGACCTTGGCAGTCTTTGCTGTGCCGTCCTGGACATTGCGGGCATACCAATTTCCATATTCGGCTGAATCAGTCCTAGCGACCACTGTCCATCGCTTCTCATTACGCATGCCCTCCGTCTCTTGCAGAAGAATGTGCCAATCGAATTTCGGTTTCTCCTGACGGAATGCTTCAGCACCAGGCACAGTCTGGTAGATGATGTCTAAAAGTTGACCAATCTTGCGACATCGAGCTGATGAGGTGAGGAAGGATTGGGTTGCTGCGCAACTGAAGAAGACCAGCCTGATCTCCAATGTTGGGTCTTGCAGAGCTCTGCTGCTCGTTGTCAGTTTTGATGCGGCAACGGAGCGAAGTCGGACTTACAGTGGTCATGATCGTCATCGACTGGCCGGGTTCTTCTCCCCTTGCACCCATGGTGTCGTTTGGTTTGCATGAAGATGAAGAAGCCATGCTGGTAAGAAGATGAGATGGAGACAACCAAGACGATCCTTGGCATGAATAAATGCTCCCTGTGGTATGTTTATAAGTCAAATCCCCCATTATTTTACTCAATCAGCAGCCTTGACGGCTTCTGTGGTGCAAGTGTTTGGCTTCGGCTTCCGACGCAAAGTCGCTCAACTACTTCGACCGGGACGTCGCTAAACTAATGCTTAAACCTTCTCGTGTCCCTGTGTTGTTGAACCCTGTTGCTCCGAGGGGCCATGATACCAGGGGACGCGAGTCGTACGTAGAACTAAACTAAACATCGGAGCACAAGCAGACCGAATCGGAACAACCACCTATCGTCGACTAGGGAGTTTTAGCTCCCCACCAAGGTCTAAGGAACGGGTTCCTTAGACCGTGGTGAGAAGAGTTTTTGCCGGTTTTGATACGCCTATCCAGCGACAAAACCTATATATGCTGGAGGTCAAGATGGTTGAACAAAACACTATCACTGACCTAGGGAGTCAAACCAATTTCCTCAAGGAGAGAGAATTCAAAGAACAAGCAGACTCGAATGGGACTTTGCTACTCTTTACACAACAACTACCCGAGCGTCCCGCGGGACGAATCCTTCGAGACCTAGGTCAACCACCAAATGTTGTCCAAATCCAGGCCAATTTCGCCGCACGAGATGTCGAGTTCACCAAAGAAATGCTGAGAAATGAATATCGCTTCTAGGTCGATGAGTACAAATTCCAGCTCCCAGCATCGTGAGAAACGGGTTCCTTAGATCGTAATGGATAAGTATTTACCATTTTTGATATAAGGTATTCACTTTACTAGCTTAGCGGAAGTCCTTCACCCAACGACTAACTTATTTTCGCAGGGTTATATTTTAAAGAGGTGAAAATGGATATCAAATTAAGCAGCCACCTTCTCCTCGTGGCGGTGTGAGTACAGCCCCAGCGTTTTGTTGACCATATGTATCCGAAGGCCGCTGGTGGTGGGGTTCTGACCGGTGTGGTGTTCGATCGGCATTACCGACCCGGGGGACCAGACTCCATAGCAATGCGAGTAACAAGGTGTCTTAAGACTTGATTCCTTTTTGCTGTTTGATCCTCTGGGTTCAGATCCAACCCGGGTCGGACTTTGTTGCTGGTTTCTTCTCGCAGGTTATCACCGGACTGTGTGACATCGACAGTCAGAGCAGGCATGCGGTGATTCACTTTTGGTATGCCAAGCAGCAGACGGTGAGCTGGGAGAGCTCTCCAGAGTCAAGCCCAGAGAAAGCGCCCATGCTACCTATTTGTCACATTGCACAAGGTCACAGTGTTCAGCAATATCAATATACAACCTTAATGCGCTCTGGACTGTTTGATGAAGCGTTACTATCCATGATATCAAGAGAAATGGACGAACACTCAGCCTGACCTAGTCCAATGTATTATTTATACCTCGATGCTCCATCCTCGAGTCAAAATGTCCTGTCCTAACATATCCTTGGCCATCATAGCTATACTCATTCGCCATCCCGACAGTCAAAAGGTGTTTTCCCGAGCACTCCAGCGATGTGTAAAAAGTTCTATCTTGTCCCGCACACTCCGTAATGCAAGTCTTTCTCAAAGCAAAGAGCTCAAAACACCAACTCGGATCACAGGGACACAAGCCCGGCTACCCTTACAAGGTCTCTCACTCAGTAACTCGGTAAAGCGACTTCAAAATCTGCATCACCAACGTCAGCATCTGGTCTCTTGCCGGGCACAAACAGCTCGCCTATGTGGTGACTTACATTCGCATGCTTAGGCTCGACAAACAACGCACTGGCCTCTACCAGTTTGGCCGGCTCCTCTCCCTCCGGGACCTCGAGACTCTCGATCCATCCTTCCGCCCAAGCTTTTCTTCCTTCGACCTTGACCGTCTTCGCTTTTAGAACCAAGAACTGCCCGGCCATCGTCGGCTTGAGGTAATTTATCTGTAAATTCGCGGTAACACCAACTTTATTCGGCATCGCAGGAAAGGCGCACCGCGCCAACCCCTCGTCCAGCATCGTCGCCAGGAACCCGCCGTGCACGATGCCCGGGTGTCCTGAACAATCAGGGCCGACGTAGAATATCTGGACCATGCTCTTCCCGTCCTTCTCGTTAAAATAGTACGGCGGCACAACTATCATGCCCGGTCCTGCTAGCGTTCCTGCCGTCAAACTGTGCTGCCGCACTTCCGGGGGGATCTTCAAATGTGGCCGCGACTCCCTGAAGTCGGGATGTTCTCGTAACTCGACAGCCAGCGCGCAATTCTTGATATGTTCGTCAATCTCGCGTGAGAAGTCATCGGGCGGCTCATAGATCGAGAGGCTCTCGACATCAGAAGGCATCGACCCCATGATGAGCGGGACGAGGATAGGCGGAGCGTAACTGAGGGCGAGGTAGCCGCCAACAATGAGGGAGACGGTGCTGATGGTCAGGAAACTGATCGTGCGCCGAACGCGGGCTTGCCCTTTGTTGTGGACGACAACTACGCAATTGTGAGTTGCCTTCGCCCAGCATACGGTATCTCGTCCTGCTCACCTGTAGACTGCGGCCTCCTGAGAGCAGGTGGTATATTCTTCCAACGCTGAAAAGCCCTCCGCAAAACAAATGATTGGGCCGCCGAAAGTGAAATCCCAGATATGGAACGACGAGAGGACGGAGGAAGGAGCGAGTGGCGGAGAGGACTGAGTGAGGGTGGTGTCAATATACTCGGGCTCTGAAAGGATCGAGAGGAGGATAGAAAGATATTTATTGACCGCCCAGGAGCCATGGTCAGAGATAGAAAACCAAGCGGCCCACGGGCGCGCCGGTTCGAAGAGCAGGAGGTGAGCGTAACTGATGAGGTATGATGCACCGACAATCGGAAAGGACAGAAAAATTGGGCCTTTAGCGAGAGATAGGCAGAGCGAGAAAGCAACGATTGGTGATGAGGATTCAGGTTCACGCAGTGACAGAATTTGTGCCTCGGCTCAGCCTCACGGAGTCCTTTCGGGGGCCATCATGATGGGCGAGATGGGGGCAAAACAAAACGTGAAAGTTGCCTGGCACTCATGAGCCCAGTCTTTACTTAGAATATAAGCCTAGTAGCCTAGTGAGCCCCTGGTAGACGGCGGACAGGAGATAAGGTAGGGTGCTCACGAGTGCTCTTTTCTGCGTTGTTGATATTCAGCATGTCTGAATTAATTGCTACGGTGAGAAGTGCTTCTGCTTCTTCTTCCCGGTGATTTGCTTGGTTCCTGTCTTTACACTGTATTGCATATCCCGACCACCGTCGAATCTGACGAGGCTGCCGTACCTCGTATCCGTCCCATCCATTTTTACGGCCGATTTCTGAAAGTCTGCAAAAAGTATGGACTCCCCTTTATGATCCAGCCTTGGCCTCAATCCACCTATTCTGCTCAGCCATCGCATTTCCTTATTTTTTCCCTCTTGCCACGAATACGGCCGCACGCTGATCCTCGACCTCAGTCATCTCGGGTGCGAGGTTTAACGTATGATTTGGCAACAACTCAGCTGTAACAAGCTTGTGTCCGTGGGCTGCTTTCGCGCCCGCAGTGTTGCTGCTTGCAGGTGGCCTTGACCTGGCCGAGTGTAGAGTGGCTTCAATCCACAAGTGTTTTCCTCATGTTCTTCTCATCACCCGTGCGTAATCGACGAGGTTGATCGCGAGTGTGAGCTCTTCGTTCGGCCTGGCGAGCTGTGCGGCGGCGCATGGTCGAAATGCGGTGCCAGATTTGGCAGTTGGCTTGGCGGCACACCATTCCTTGGAATGTTCTCTGCAAAGACTGGATCATCCACTGAAGTAGCTGGGTGAATTTCCATTCCAGGAGTCCCTTCCACACCTGAGTGAGAGCGAGCTCGTTGGAAGTGAATAGTCTCGGGTTCTTCATTGCGCCTCTCGACAGGAGACCAGCCGCCGGCCACACTGCCGGCGATAATTCCAGCCATCGCTGCAGCAGGCCCGAAGACGGAATTCGATGTCGATCTTGCTCTTTTCTTGTACTTCTCTGGAGTCGAAGGAGAAGCAGGAGCCATCTCCGGCGAAGATCCATCAGCCTCCGGGGTTTGGGGTAGGTCACTATTGGACCGAGATCGAGATGGACTTCGTGATCGTGGCATGAAGGCATCTCGAGGATGTTGCAATTTATACGCCAACTCGGACATCCGTCCGCCTCGAATCTTCTTGAGAAACGTAAGCTCCTCTCGGATCTCCTCCAGAGCCGGGTTCCACTGCCGGAGTTGTTCATCATCTTCAAGGGTAAACTGAGGTGCGCGTTTCTTCCGGAGGCTGACACTGGGGATCATCTTCGCGAAGATCTCGTCCGGCAGTAATCTGATAATCACTGCAACAGGCATAGAGAGTGCTCCGAGCACTATCGAGTATCCCCATTGCGCCCCGTTGATCCGGTTGATGGAAAATGCTTGCCCTCCAACGAACATAATCAGGCATTGGCCGCCAATGATAATGAGCTGAATGCCCAGAAACCAGTAGTTTTTGAAGACTCCTTCGAAAATGTTGAAATTGTTGTCCAGTCGTCGTGAGTTGTACTGATTGAATATTTGCATCCACACGAAAGTGTTGAAGATGGTACTTTGAAGTCGATCCTTCTCATGTTGGGTCTGGTAAGAAAGTATGCCAGCTCCTGCAAAGTACAGGACGAGTGTGACCACAAGTTGATAGATTGACTGCCCGATGATCATCTTCCACATTGTGACGGTGATCAATGGTGCCGACTTAGGTTCAGGTCGTCGTTTCAGGATCGAGTGCGTGGGGGGATCGGTAGCCAAAGCGAGTGCAGCAAACGTGTCCATGATTAAGTTGACCCAGAGCAGTTGCACGGCTGTCAAGACAGATGTTTCGTCGTCATTGGCAACAGCAGAGATAAATGTAAGGATAACAGCTGTGATGTTCACTGTGACTTGGAACTGTGGGCTCGTTAGTTGATGAGTGGCGAACATCGAACAAAGGACCATACCTGTAAGAACTTCTTGACGGCGTCGTTGACAGTCCTGCCCCAAGAGATGGCTTTCACAATCGACGCAAAATTGTCGTCCATCAGAATAATGGCAGATGCCTCTTTCGCGACCTCGGTACCGGCGATACCCATGGAGAAACCTACATCTGCAGTCTTGAGTGCTGGTGCATCATTGGTACCGTCACCAGTAACCGCCACCGTCTCTCCAAGCTTCTTCAAATGGCCCACGAGCAGCTTTTTGTCTTCCGGGCTTGATCTGGCAAGGACTTGTAGACGAGGAATGACCTGAGTCAGCTGTTTAGAGCTCAATTTTCTGAAGACCGGGCCCTCCATGGCGATACCACCAGGCGTGAAGATGCCACATTCAGTAGCTATGGCCTTGGCGGTCATAATATTGTCGCCAGTAACCATACGGACAAAGACTCCAGCAACTTGACAGTCGTGAACAGCTTTCTCTACACCGGGTCGCAGTGGATCTTGAATGCCAACCACGCCAAAGAAAGTCATGTCTTTGAAGACTTTGTCGAAATCTGCTTGCTTCTTGTCGTCTGGCGACACAGCACCGCGTGGCGGCCACTCGGAGAAGTCGCGAAACAAGAGTGCAATCGTCCGTAGTGATCGAGAGGCATAATTACTGACAATACCGTTCAAAGTCTCGATTTGGTCGGCAGTTATAGGAGCATCGGCGATCCCTGTGGTAGGGTCGCTGACTAGTCTCGAACACTTGCCGATCAAGATTTCCGACGCTCCTTTCACCAGCATGCGGTATTTGCCATTGGCCAGTCTGATGACCACAGCCATGCATTTGCGTCCCGAGTCGAAAGGTACCATTTGAACAACGTCTGCGTTCGATCTTTCTTCACTGATAGATTCGACCGCAAGATGATCCGTAACAAAAGAAAGCAAGGCGGTCTCGGTTTTTGAGCCAATGAACGTCTTTTGGCCCCCTTCCTCGGCCTCGAATGCTGTGGAATTGAGAATGACCGAGTCTTTGAGCAGGCTTTTGGTCTCTCCTGAAAGAGTCGCAATGAATTCATTGGAAGAAACGTCGCCTGGACTGGTCTCAGGGGCCGGCAGTTTGCCATCGTCTGTCACCTTAGCATTGACTGGTGGTGGCTTGTCGCCGAATCTAGAAGCAGTGGAAAGTGTTCCGGCCACAACAGTCATTTTATTCTGCGTCAATGTTCCAGTCTTGTCCGAACAAACAGTGGTTGCATTGCCCATGGTTTCACAGGCACGTAGAAGCCGTACCAAGTTGTTGTCTTTGAGCATTCGAGTCGTTGCGAAGGCAAGCGCCAAAGTGACAGCCAAGGGTAAACCTTCTGGTACAGCGACCACGATGATGGTGACTGCCACGATGAAGATCTGGAGGAAGCGCTGACCCTTTTGTTGGGCCCCACCGTCGATGTTCTTCAGCTCGACAAGGAATTTGATGAAGAGAACGACAAAGAGCAACAAGCCCGCAGCCAAACCAAGCTTCGCAATGTACTCAGCCAGAACGTTCAATTTTGACTGCAAAGGTGTAGATTGAGTCTCATCTTGCAGAGACATCAATGTTTTACCGTAGCTTGAGTTGATCCCAACAGAAGTGACGAGGAACGTGCCAACACCTTCCGAGACTTTGCCTCCTGAGAGAATGAAAGGATCCATTTTCTTCAGGTTTTGGTGGTTCTCGATAGCGTGATACACCTCGTCGGCTGGCGTTTTTCGAATTATGTCAGATTCGCCCGTGGCAGAAGATTCGTCGCATCGGACATTATGGCCCTCGATGAAGACGCCATCGACCGGTATCAAATCACCTGGCTCCAGGTGCATAACATCTCCGACCAAAACATCATAGACTGAAATTTCCCTAGACTTCCCGGAGCGAATGACTTTGACATATCTTTCTTCCTTCTTACGGTTCAATTTTATGAACTGACGTTCTTTTTGGTAATCGTTCAATGCACCGACGAATGTGACAACGATGATTGCGACCATGATGGCCACACCTTCGACCCATTCAACTCGAGCTTCGTGCGCCTCGGACGGGGCCGGTTCGACCGTTTGGTAGATACCGAGAGCTAATGAGATCACAGCAGCGACTGAAAGCAGAATCAGCACCTTGTCGTTGTAGGCTATCCACGCAAGCTGCCAAAAGGTTTTCGCTTTCTTCTCTGGTAGCCGGTTGTCCTTGAAAATGCGCTTGCGGTCGGCAAAGGAATTATCAGACGTGTTCGCGGCAGCGCCCAGCGAATGGCTGGTCGTGGTTCTCTTTACGGTCCCGTAACGCTCTTCCTCTTCAGCTCCTGCTTTCACAGCTTCTTCAAAATCGACCGTACCGTCCAGGCCGAGCTCGTCCATGCTGAGCCCACTGTGTCGATTTGTTCGCAGGCCTTTCTCCAAGCCTGCAAGACCGCCCAACGCATGGAAAGCCGCCAGACTCTTTGGATTGATCATCTTGTTTAGTTGGCCGGGACTGAATGCAAACCTATTGTCTTCCACCTTGAAGTCTTCTTCTTTGCCCGGGTCCGGCTTGAGAGCGTCCTGATCGTTGATAATCTCATCATTATTGCTGAAAGAGTTCTTTCTCTGATCATCCAGGCCCGACGTGCTTGATTCTATCTGTGTCTCTCCGCCAAACTCTGATGTAGGTGAAATGTCGGACTCCATTGAGGCCGCCCTCGGCCTGAAGCCTGGTACCGAGAGGAAATTTTGGGTAGAGGCCCCATCGAGGAATCTTGGAGAAGAGACATTGTGAGGAGACGTAGGTCGAGACTCTCTTGTGTCTGTGGATGCGCGGACATCGGTTGGGGACCCCGATAGGGGCGATGCTAGGACAGGTCCAGTGTCAAGGTTCTTGGTCTGTATCCTAGGTAAAGGACCAGGTTTATCGGAGGAAGCGCTGGGAGGCTCTTCTGAAGGTTGATTTACGGCGGAGTCGTCGATACTTATCGTCGGAGCCCGATGCCGTTGGTGTGATGGTTTTGGTGTCTCCGGTTCTGGGTCTTGCCCATCCGGCGAAAGAGGCATTGCAGGCCTCTCAACAAAAGCGCCCGATCCTGATATACCGCAGACAGACCGCCCTATCCTCTTGCAGTTCTCTTGAGCCAAATAATCAGGTAAGGAAAGGAGAGAAAGTCGTCTGGGACGTCAAAGGAGAGACAAGATATGCTACATTTGCCCAACGTTGGACCAAGGGTAGATCTCTAGGTTCGTGGGGGTTGGTCGTCAAAGGACTGGTAGAATGAACCTGTCAGAGAATGTGTCTGCACGACGAGGAAACTGGGATGCAGGAGCGTACAAAGAGATGAGGGTGTGCAAAGCAGAACACCGAGGCAGCCGGTATTGCGAAGCGTTCGATTCCGTGTCTCGTTGCGAATCAGGCGAGATGGTGGCTGAGTCCGTGGCAAAAAAAGATGCTCGTGGTGAGGTGTAAATACTGCGCGAAGAATGCCATACATGGGGCGATGATCAACAATACAACTGCAAAGCGGTGCCAAACGGTCAGCCCGACGATTGGAAGCGGAAAGGTGACAAGAGACTTGTTGAGAAGGAAAGAACTAGTCGGAGACAAGTGTATTCAAGGCACACTTCAGGCCATCTGCTACGTACAGTAGTAAAGGGAAGACTGCTACATTTTGAAAGAGCAGGAGAAGGTGACTTTCCTGCGCCGGCGTTCAATTCCTGGCCCAAACGAGATGGAGAGCGAGCAAGCGAGACGCATGGGATTCATTGGGATGATCGTGGATGGCTTTGGACCCGCGGGCCAATGAAAGCTTAGGTGGCCTTGGTCCTGTCCATCCAACTCCATTCTCATTGCCAAGCTCCCTATGGCTCTTGGGTCTAGCCCTTTTGAGTGACATCGGAGATTCCAAGTCCCGATCTATCATCCTGTTTGATTTCTCACATAAGGGACGTCCATGTTCATTGTCAACCCAAGCAATCCTTCCCGCAAAACAATCAACGAAAAATCCTTGACTGTGTACGGAGTAGGTCAGCTGCTACCGGTCTGACAAGATACAGAACAGAAAAGCCCTCATTCAGCGCCCCGCTTCTCGTTTGCATGCCGCTCTCTGCAAGAAGTGGCCCTCTCATCCAATCGTCGTTGGTTAGAGCGTTTGCACTGCCACCATGCTAGCTTCCGCAGGTCAGGCAGCCTTCCCTGTCCGAAGCGACCTCATTCACTTTCGGGGACTGAAATTGTGAATTCATAATACACTTTCCACGACCAGGACAGCCATGCTGCGCCCGTTGACGATGAAATCACCTACTATGTAATCATGGTCAGATCCGATTCGCCACTTCTTGTCCTGTTTTACTTATGTCCGATGTAGCTTATGGAGTCACTCGAGTAACCTATGCTGAAAGATACTAGATTACGCTGAGGTCTACCTACAGTATTTCTTGGTTCATGCTTGACTTCGATCTTCCTTGGCTGGTTGCCAACAAACAAATCACCCAAGCTTTGCCAAATAGGACCCGTCGTTTGCTCGAGCCACGACCTTGGCGTATAACAATACCAAGCCAACTGTGGATCGTGAGCTCATGCTTCTGGGCTTGGAAGTACCTCCGAAGCCTCCTAAGAGCTACGGGACCTCGACATGCAACACCTTGATACTTGGAGGAAATGGTGGCGGAAGGACAGATCCGGTGATTGACGTTGTCAAAGTGAAGCGGCCATCCGATACGATCCGTTTTCATGGCCACTGCTTGACAGTCCAACAAACTGCCGCAATTGGCTATTTCTCAGGGTGCTCAAGACATAGTCTCACCATGTTGGGCAGCTCCTGACTTGTCTGACATTCCATAGGAAAACATCATCCCGGTTCGACGCAACCCAGCGCTCCAGATTACCTCCAAGGGGGACTTCTCCTTTCGAACGCAGATATCTTGACGTGGACCAGGACGTTTATACTGACTCTTAGCATCACGAGCGATCTTGTTGATATATCAATCCCAAAATTCAAGTGGACACTCACCATTCTGTACGATCGCTCTCATCATCACCTGTCCAGAACTCTCACACTACTCGTCTCACGACCACAAATCATGCTACCGCTCCAGCAATTTGCGCTTTACGCCGAGCAATGCCCAGGAACAATCTGAACGCCTCCCTTGGCCGCGCGCAAAGAGCAAAGGCGGAAAAGGTCATAAATGAACGTCTCCATGATATAGATAACACCACAGCAGCGGAGTGCTAGTAGCTGTCTCGAACTCGGTTAGCTTATAGTAATCGCTCTACGACACGGTGATTCTGTCCCCGAGTCTACGTCTCTCAACGTTGCGCCAGGTATTCGTGACCTATGAGAGGAATCCGTTGACCACGGCTACGTTAAGGCAACCTCAACATCAAGGCCTAGTCGATAGTACGAGTGGGTTTCTATAGCTTTCTAAGCTTCACCGATAGGGGAGGCTAGAAGCGACCTTCCCGGTAGAGTTCGCGATGACGGGTGTTACCGAGATCTTGAAATATCTACAACTAACACGGCTGGTGTAGTTTTTTGGTACCAAAGAGTTTGCTCACAGGCACCTTGAAGTATGATTCGTAGTAGGATGCTCCATAGAAAGTAACAAGCATCTCTCATGAAATCCCAAACACAGCATATGATACCCAGGGAACACACTCAGACTGCTCGCGCAAGATGGAAACTGTTCTGTTTCTGTTTTATAGACGAAGCTCTCTGCAGAGTCAAAAGGTCCATGATACTAGTATCCATCAATCGAAACCCCCCATAACGCCGCCCTTCTGTCCATTCTTCTCGATCCTCTCTTCGAACCCTTCGATCCTGCTAACCATAGCGTAAGGCTTGACACTCAACTCCCGTTTGAGCGTGCTCTTGAAACATCCACTCCACCCCGGTCGCGGATACTCACGCACCACATTCTCAATCGTCTGCCTATGCACCAACTCCACGCCGGCACCGATATTGTCCAACAAGGTCCCCAGATGAATCAGCCTCGTCATCAGGGTGATACTCCCCTTGTCCTGTATGTCCTGATGTCTGATGATCGCTTCCGTCACGCTCTCGGCCTGTTCCCGCGGCGCCACCCCTTCACCTTCACCCTCACCCCGACCCTTACCATGACCCTTCGGATCGGAATCTGAATCCGGCCCACCCGTCACGCTGGCATCTTGCAGGATCTTCAACGCATGATACCCGCCCCAAAACTCGAAACTCAGCCTCGTCGCCGTCAGAAACTCCTGGCTGGTGCCAATGTCGTGCAACATCGCCGTGAGAAACCACGTCTCCTCGGGCGCCGAGCCCGGAGCCAGCTCGAACTCCGGGAAACACTGCCTCGCGATCGCGCAGCCGTAACTGTACACGCGCAGACTGTGCCGGTACGTGTCTGCGTCGAGCTTCGATTTCGCGTACGCGGCGACGCGCGTTGCCAATGCTGTCTGCGGTACTTGGAGCGCTGAGATCTCCACCGGTGCCGGTTTGCTCGTAGCGGGTTTCTGTCTCGACTGATCTGCCGGCACCGCGGTCAGGCCGTAAAGCTTGGTTGTATCAGTCGTTGTCATTGTCTGGCGTACCGCGTATGTTCGAGGTACTGGTACGGATATCGCGTTGCGTATGCTACTGCAAGGCTGTGCTGTGCCGTGTGGAGACGAATACCTTCACAGTAGTTATAAAACAAAAGTCGTCGTAATGCAATCAATCACCAGACAGAGAAATCTCGTTGCCGCACAGTTCTGCCTTCGAGTTGTACAACGAACCGTGAGCCTGCTTGGTTCTTCGGAAGCAATATATATGGTAGACATTGCCCACGATTACATCATGAACTATATAGGACATGTCAATCTCAAGGCGGAACTGGCATTAGGTAGGTAAGTATTCGTATGGATTACTAACTACTATGTCCACCCGTGGATTCCGCCCTGCATTTGACTCGAATGTTGTGTAAGCTAGCCTTTCCCTTTGCGAGGCAGACCTCGCTCGGAATGACCACGTCGGGTATATCATGCCGACGACATCTATTAAATGCTTCAATCAAAAGCGACTACGGCTTGTGCCGGACAACATACGATTATAACTTATAGGATACATTCCACGGAATGTACTACTACAGTAGTACCTTGTCATTCGTCGCCGTATTTCGACAAGCCCGTAGAAGCGATATCTTCTGATTTGCCTCTACGAAGAGACTTGCAGCCTTGGATCTAGCTTGCGTTCAAGAGCGCCAGATTCAAGAGTGCATACTATCATGATAGCGTCCTGTGTTGCAACGTCTTGACGTGCGAGCGTGTCGACACCTACAGGCGAATACCATCAGTAGGTGCTCCTCTAGGCTCTCGCTCAATCCATTGCCTCGAGATCAATCTCGTCTTGCTCCTTCCAACTGACTTTCCAAATATCACTGTTCCCTCTGTCGGTCTTCATCTTCTTGGCCTTCGGCCCACTCTGCTCAGTTGCTTGCAACAATGCCTCACTGTCCACGGCGAAAGCTCTCACCAATTCCTTCATCCTTCCACCATCAACAAATGCATTCGTCAACATGGGGGTTTCAGCCACTCTCTGTGCGAGTTCCATGCACTCAACCAACCAGGCCCGTGATATAAAATGCCCTGCAAACCACAAAGCACTGTTGTATGCGAGGATACATTCAGGGATGTAATGGTTGCGAATAGCAGTCAGCTGCACGCCTTCCTGCTCATCTTGAGGTTGGCAGAGAAAGTCGTTGTCAAGCAAGGGTACAATGTTGGAGCGTACATCGTCAAGTGCCTTTTTCAAATCGCGCTTGTACGTCCTCAGAAGCGATGGGTTTGATCGATTCCTGATCAGTGTTAGCAGGTTCTGATACCATTGTGGGAGCACTTACGCCTCGAGATTGTCAGCAGTTTCTTGGAACATGTCCAAAGCATCAATGGCCATGGTCAGCTGCTCCAGCTGTCTCCAGATGAGAGATTTAAAAGCTAGTGTCTCACGATCGTTACCACGTCTCGTCAAGGGGTGTTCAGCAATTGGATCTCTCCGTCTCCGGCTGGGGCTGATGGGGTTAACTCGATCTTCGTCCATATCCTCGTCGTCGGTACCGTCATTCTGCGCAGGCGGCTCTCCATCGGCAAAGTTGAGGTTCATCCCAACAGCTGCAAGCGAGATCTCAGACAGACTGACACGGTCCATCAATTGGCGTAGTGCAACAAAGTTACCATCCGCGAGGAAAATCTTGTACAATGCGCCGAAAGCCCAAGCAGCACTGCCCCAATTCTCGGCATCGATATAGCGGAACCATTCAACACTTCGAAGGGCTCTTTCGTCTGCGTCGGTGACGTTGCCCGTCATCAGCGAAGATCGTACTCTGAGGACTGCAAACTTGGAAGTTCCGCCTGGCACTGTCATTGTAGGCGGGCTGCACTGAGTCATCTTCTGAAGCTTTTGCAGATCGTCATAGTTGGCCAGAGAGAAAATGCCGTAGATGACTTCGGCAACATTGATCTTTTCGTGCTTCATCAGTCTAACCATCGTGTCGCGTTCCCTCGAATTTGTGACATTGATTAAAATAGTGCCCAAAACATGCTGTGCCCGCGTCGCTGACAATTTTGCTGCGTAGGTCGGTATGAGCTGGTATCTTCCAATACTTTGTAGGAAGCTGATGTAGCTCGCGATGTTGTTCTCCATTTCGTACTCGTGTTGTGCATAGGCGGAGTCCAGGAAACCAAGAGCACGCAGGATCAGCTGAAGATGGACGGCCATTCGAACGGCGTCTTGGTCCTGGGCATTGACTTGCGAGATCTCGTTGCCGTGAGCTTTGTTACTCTCAATGAGATCATCTCCTTGACCGGTTGTGTGTGCCACATAGGCAGCAGCTTGGCCCATGTTCACGAAGAATGCCTCGTAGTCTTTGGAAACGACAGTCAACTCAAACAGCTTGTGCGGCAGATGAGTCTGGCTTTTCATCGCCGGGTCTGAATGAACCTTGGTTGTATACTGTCGGATCTGCTCTGTCGACGGCGGCTGAGGTCGGTACGTGATGGCGCCCGCTTCGCCCAATCTTTCCCGGTAAGTTTGGATGTAGTGTAGATATCGGTCCATCAAAAGAGCATTGAAAAGCGCGAACAGATGATCATCAATGGACTTGCCTGCTGATCTGGCCGCTGCATTGTCCCCACAAAGAATGCCGTAAACAGCCTTTTGGTAGCGGTCCACGATGGCTGGATTGTGAGCAAGAGCCTTACAGCGTGCCAACCACTCCGGATTGGTTGCGAGGTTCAGTATGCGCAACCAGGGCGAATCGGCCATCTCGGCTGGACTTGCTCCGCAGCCTCGAAGGACCTCATATCGCCAAACTTCTTTCCGCTCTGCCCACCACGACTTGATGTCTGCCGCAGTCTGACCACGACGCAACATCTCCCAACAAGTCTGCCAGGCAGCCTCCTCATGGTACTCATCTTGCTCTTGAAGCACCGCCGACTCTCGAGTTCTGGAATCAGGGTCCAGTTGCGTCACAAGTGGTTTGTTGTCGGAGTTGCGAACGTGGGTACGGTTCAGACCGGGATTAGAAGGCTCGAGCGGCTTTGACCAGACTCTGGTTCGCTTTTGTTGCTTGATGGCGGTTTGGGTGTATATCGGCCCAGCGCTCCATACACCGTCGCCTCGTTCTGACTTCTCGGCCAAGTCACGCAACAGATCTTCGACAGATCCAGATGTTTCCGCAGCTCTTTCTTGTAGCCAACTCAAAATGCATTCGTACTCTTGAGCAACAGCATCGGAGTCAAGGAAAGCCGACCACAGTTCGGCGTTGCTCGAATATCGGTGAAGCCCCCCTAGTCGAGAATCTTGGGCGATTTGCGCATTGTTGATAGTCTCGGGGGAGCTGCAGGCTAGCAGGTTCCGGACTAGCACCCACAGGTCGTTCTCGAGTTGTATTTTCTGGACCTGTGCCTCCGAGTCGTCGGCAGCCGTCTTTTGTCTTCGGTTGTGGGCAATCCTGCTAAACCGCTCTAGCAGTAACAGGGCGTCCTCCCATAGAGACTGGTCCGTTGGCTCTCGATTGACGACAAATTTGTCAAGTGCTTTTGCGAACTCTTCCGCTTGTTTGCTCACACGATCGGCCGTATCTTGTAGAGGTCGTAGGATGTCTTGCGCAGAAGACTGGTAGGGCGATTGGGCGTCTGTAGTACTGATCAGCATTTTGCAGTTTGGCAGGGTTGGCAAGCGTGGTGGTTTTCCAAGAGTAGGAAATTCTAGGACAAGCATACCTTCCTCATGATCGTACTCGTCTGTCATTTCCTCGTCTTCATGGTCACTCGGCGGCGGTGAATCCAGCTGCCTGGGACCGGACTCCATTGATGTCAACGATTTGATATTGGGAGTTGGGTAAAACAGCACTTACGTCGGTTGCTCTTCCATGCACTGAAGACCGAGTTATGGGTGCCATGGTCAAGTTCAAGGCAGGCAGTGGTTCTGCCAAAATGAAGGAGTTCCTGCCCGGGATTGCTTTAGTACATTGACGAATATCGCCCTCGGGTTTCTTCACGGACTCGGTCTTTACGCGACGCGCAGGGGTGAACGGAGTCGATCACGTGACACGTCTAAATTCTTGAGACGAGAAAACTTCACCGAGCAGTTCTTCCTTTTCTTTTTCTTCCCTCAATGTCATACAGGCAGTCATTAGAGTCTCGGAACAGACCTTATCTTTGTCAATGTTTGTTCAGATCCTACAAGGGTCTCTTGCGTGCTCACGATTGCCTCAGAGCATAGTTTCTGCATTCGCTGTTCAGCTGACCAGACCTCAACTTGAAGGGACGATGGCTCAGGTAGAAAAAATCGATATGCTACATATTTTCTCGCTCGGAATCGATGGACTATGTACACGTTCATTGTGAGCATCAGGAGTAGTGCCAGAGTCGATAGCATGCCCCTGGTTATTGCTTTTGTCCACGCTGCTCCAGCTTCAACCTCAGCAACTTGGGTTTCGGGCAGGAAACTGTGCTGGCATTATCTCCTTTTTCCTTGTAGAAAGCATTGCAGCATTCATATAGTGCGTCGACTGCAGACTGGCACCGCTCCTCCTTGTAGTTGTTCTTTTGCAAACAGTCTGTAGCACCCGGTTATCTACCGCCATCTGATATCTGCCTGACAGAATGCTCACCTTGAATAGCGCACTGATGAGACGGGTGTCAATATCATTCACGTTCCCCAGGATAAGGGCACGCTTACCGCTCGAGGATGGCATGGAGGATCGTGCTTTAGGTCATCCTCTAGTTTTCCCTATATACCAGTTAGCCTCCGACCTCCACGGCTGACAATATGGAAGGCATTCGAAATCCTGACTGACCATGATGATCGTCCAGTCCCGGAAGTGCAATCTTTTCTTGCAAAGAAGAGGCGATCTAGCCTGTAGTAAATCAACGAATATGTGCGAGACTTCGAAGAATCAAGATGCTTTCGAACCCGGCGGGTGTCGGTGTTGTGCTGCTATGTGACGTATGGTTTTCTAGAATAATTCAGATCGATCAACACACAACGTACAGCATTCTCCGCCTTCCGCTCTTCGTTATATCAATCGCTTCAAGCCGAGAGGAATGCGATGTCACAAGACGGTCAACTCGCAAAGGCTCTCTTGGAGCTTGAGGAATGCATCACGTTGCATGTTTGCTGGAAAGATAATTACTGACAATGTGACATTGTTCTTTCATTCGATTAAAATCTGACGCTCAAGACTAAAGCAGTTGAGAATTGCGCCATGCCTGCCTGACACTAACATCATCCCTGGTCATAGTCCTCGTCTTTCAACTCCTGCTGTGCTGTACTTCGCTTTGGAGAAGTAAAGAAGAGGATGCTTGGCTAAACAAAACCAATAGTGGTCCATAGCTGGAGCACATACCACGAACCAGACTCATCTCCACGGAGGATTCCCTTGGAATCAATTTGATTCATTTACACTTCCTCTTCCAAAGGAGCTTCCTCCTCACCGTACTCTTCCTCGCCCTCTGAGATGCTGGCATCCTGGTATTGTTGATATTCAGAGACAAGGTCGTTCATGTTGGACTCGGCCTCGGTGAACTCCATCTCGTCCATACCTTCACCAGTGTACCAATGCAAGAAAGCCTTTCGTCGGAACATGGCGGTGAATTGGTCACCAACACGCTTGAAGAGCTCTTGAATCGAGGTAGAGTTGCCGACGAAAGTCGATGACATCTTAAGACCGCGCGGAGGAATTGAGCAGAGAGCAGTCTGGACATTGTTGGGGATCCACTCGACGAAGTAGCTGTTGTTCTTGTTCTGAACATTGCGCATCTGGTCCTCGACCTCCTTCATGCTGACCTTGCCACGGAAAATAGCAGAGCATGTCAGGTAGCGGCCGTTTCTGAAGTCGGAAGCAGCCATCATGTTCTTAGGGTCGAACATCTGTTGAGTGAGTTCTGGCACACTGACGGCACGGAAAGAGTATGCACCGCGGCTGGTCAAAGGTGCGAAGCCGACCATGAAGAAATGGAGACGCGGGAAAGGAACCATGTTTACGGCGAGTTTTCGAAGGTCGGAGTTGAGTTGACCAGGGAATCGCAAGCAAGTAGTGACACCGGACATGACGGCGGAGACGAGGTGGTTCAAGTCGCCGTATGAGGGGTTGGAGAGCTTGAGAGTGCGCATGCAGATGTCGTAGAGAGCCTAAGAGTATTAATTGACTGATAATAGCTAATGCATCGAATTTAGACGTACCTCGTTGTCAATGCAGAAGGTCTCGTCAGAGTTCTCAACCAATTGGTGGACTGAGAGGGTAGCGTTGTACGGTTCAACGACGGTGTCCGAAACTTTGGGAGAGGGCACGACGGAGAAGGTAGCCATCATTCGGTCTGGGAATTCCTCTCTGATCTTGGAGATCAACAAGGTACCCATACCCGCACCAGTACCGCCACCAAGGGAGTGGGTGATCTGGAAACCCTGCAGGCAGTCGCAGCTCTCGGCTTCACGTCGAACAACATCGAGAACTTGGTCAACAAGCTCAGCACCCTCAGTGTAATGACCCTTGGCCCAGTTGTTGCCTACATAGTATTAACTCCTGCTCCTGAGTTTACCTGGGGGTATAACTTACCAGCACCACTCTGGCCAAAGACGAAGTTGTCGGGACGGAAGAGTGCACCGAAAGGCCCAGCTCGAACCGCGTCCATGGTACCGGGTTCGAGATCGACAAGGACGGCACGTGGGACATATTTGTTTCCGGATGCCTGAGGCAGGAATTAGTATACGGTCTCATGAGCTCTTGCTAGGATAAATACCTCGTTGAAGTAGACGTTCATACGTTCGAGCTGAAGGTCGGATGTGCCATTGTACCTGATATTCGTCAATCATATGCCCAAGTTCAATCTTCAGATGTACGTACACTCCTGAACCATCAAGTCCATGTTCTCCAGAGATTTGTTGCCTGCGATCGAGTTAGACGGGAAGAATTCGTCGCGTCGCGGGACTGCGCACCAGAAGGCAGCACCAATTTGATTGCCCTGAGAACTATTAGCAAATGAGAGGGCAAGAAGTATGAGGATACGTACACATTGGCCAGTCTGCAAGTGAACCTGTATTGATGAATGTCTTGTCAGTTGATGATTCTTCAAGGCACAGATGCATGGTGGGGTCAAAGCAGAGCGAGGTCAAAGGGGTAAACAGGGTACGAAGACGCGTAGCGCAGTTTTGAGACTCACGATTTCACGCATGTTGACGGTTGCGAAATGGACAAGAATAGGTCAAGAAGGTATCAAGTTGACAACAAAGATGAGCTTCACGAAAGGACGAAGCTGATGAGGAAGTGGAAGTGGTGAGAGAGATGGTCGTCGTTGTGGATGCCCAGGCAGGGAGAGATTATTTGGTGCTTGAAGGTCAATCAACAAACTGAAAACGCCAAGGATCTGCAGGCGCGATATCCAGGCGGTGAACGAGACGCTAAACCCGAATTGATTTCCGGTGTTAAGACGGCGAGACCAACTGCCTAAACCTGATTAGATTGCAAGACGCGCCGTTGTCAACAAGGTGAGGTCGAGGAGTCAGTCTCAGAATTGAGATACCCTTTTCACAAGCAGTGAAGTTCTACGATGTCGGCTGTTGCAGACAGTAATATGACGAAAATTGACAATTCAAATATCCTGTGCTGGTCATTGGAGATTCATGTGTTCGTGGCTGAAGACATTGGTCACCTATGTCCATGAAATCTACAGCTCGCTCATACAATCGCCTTTGAGCATCCTGGGTCGATTCAAGACCTCCAGCATATCGTCTGACGTTTTGCTGCACGGATCAATGCTGTACTGCACACAAGGCTGATAACCATTGTCCTTTTCATGGCAATGTCAAATGTTAGCAATGGTACAAGCAGTTTGACCAGAGTCTGTCTTCTGCCTGAACAACATGTCACTGGCTGGAAGGCATGTTGCCTCAAGCCATTGCCCATAGACGCTGCTGGATGGCTTTCCGGCGCTTGACTCAGCCGACGACCATTTGACAGAGTTAAGTCTCATTCTAACGGACCCTTTCAAGGGCAGCACATGCCGAAAGCTGTTGTATGCTTGGTAATGTTGTTTTCCTTCCTTCCTCCACAAGGTGTAGGGATGAGCTCGCCTTGACGTTGCAATCAATAATTTATCACAGGCTGTCCAACGAGGCGTTTGGGCCGATCATAGGTTTCCGTATCCGGCGAGCTCTGTGCAACCATTTTGGCTGATGGTGTGACGTCCTGGACCAACGGGCAAGTATGGGCATCTGGACTTCGAGTGTCGAGCTTTGGCATTGTCCAGAATTTCCAGTTGTAGGTACCAAGAGGCCCGCCACGTTTGGCATCTTTTATAGCCCAGTTCAATTCTGTCTTCGGTCGAAGAATTTTGCTCCACGAGTATCATCCTCAATACCCAACATTTCCCAAGTCATCGACTCCTTGTTCGAAGAAGTTCCACAAACAACGCCTCGCGAACGAGATTGAAGCTGTCGGATGCCGTTTCAGTAAACGAGCGGCGCCTTGCTCGCGATGCATTTCCAGGACTGGAAGAAATGGTTGCTTTTGTGTTCGGGGTAAAAGGACACAGAGTTCGCCATCCTGGTTATCATGTTTCGTTGTCTTTGACGCTCAGTGACTCCAGCTATCTGGAAACAATCTACCTGCTTTTCTCCGCCGTTTTCTTTTGGACTGGACACATGAATCTTACGCTTATCCCAGCGATTTGAGCTGATCCGCATCACTGCTACGGCCGCGGGACCGGTTTCAGAAGGCCCTCCGAACGACGTTGCGCAAGTGGCAAGGTCAGCACAGGAGGTTGATCAGACGAGCCTAGCATTATTATCGTTCTTCGAAGGATCGAGACTATCCTAACAGGACATACCTCGGCCTCCAAGTCCTCTGAGAGCGGCACGCAGACAATTGCTCTTGAAGGCCAGTTTTTCTCCTCGCTGCTCGCTCAAGCAGAGCATTGGTTGTCACGCTGCCGGCCTTGCTTGCGTGCATATGGCGACTGCTGGTGAAGACACGTCTCAAAATGTCGCCGCATTGGCTATACACTACAAGCGGCTTACAATTGAGCCCTCCAGAGTCACGGAACGGTCCTTGAATAAAGCCTCTCCATCCCGGCGACCAGTTGCTTTGCCGTCACCTTCATGTATTCACTTCGGCCATAACATACTGTCTCCTATCACTGGCATTCGGGCATCTGCTCACTGCCATCACTAACAATAACAAGCATTGACATGAGAGCAGTCACTGCAAAGCGAAGTCACTCACCATATCAGATAAAGTCGTTCGTTTCGACCTTCTGCATTCATCCATCATGGATCCCAAACCTCATCGTCGTCCCCGTCCTCATCAGCCCTCTACACTACAGCGATTCCGTCGCAAACACTGCTACCGGCGTCCGACGAGCCCGCACTCTCCAGACATCCACCGCGTCCTCGATGCCACAATGGGCAACTCACAATCGCATGGCTACTCCGAGTTCGTCTCCTCCGACAACCACCGCCGGGGCCGGTCCTCCCACCGTCGCCGCCGCTCAGGATCTCACTCCATCCCTCCTGCGGCGCCCTCTCCACCACCAGCATACCACGAATACCCCGTGCCTCGCAGCCCACCTCGCACGACCCGCACCACGCCAGGAGGCTATACATATACCACGCGCGACCTATCGCCGATCCGCGAGCGTCGTCCTAGCCCCATCCGACGAACATCTCTGCCTCCATCGCGCCGCGAGCCACGACGGATCTACGTTACCCGCACGCGAGACGATCCAGATGTCTTCATGACCGGCGCTCGTCTGCCATCCAGCTCTCCACCACCGGGAAGACGAGCTGGAGCCGCAAGCCCTTCTCGGCGAAGAGTCTATGTCGACGACCCTTTCGAAGGCCCATCATCCCGCGCTGGAGGCCCCTCCACATTCTATGACCGCCCCGACACTAATAGTTTCCGTCCTCGGCGTGATTTCGACACCGGTTTTGGTATTGGTGCCGGACCATCGTACACCCGCAGCGGCGGTGGAGGTCTACACGAACGTCCTCGACGTACGTTCTCCTCCTCTGGCCCTAGCTACAGCTACAGCTACAGCGCTGGGCCCAGTAACCGGTACAGAGACCAGCATTACCCCGGCTCAGGGTACAGACCGGACCGTGGATCATGGTACGCGCACCTTTTTCAGGTTCTCCTGCATCATCTCCCACCCCATTTTGCGTGCGAGTTCCCAGTATGACTAAGATGGCTAATCCAATGAATGACTTGGTAGGCGCTAGATGGCAGGAACACGACCTGCGAGTATGCTGGCCACAGGGCAAGCTGGGTCGCCATAGCCCTCGCGCCTGGATTTTTCAGGGATGGAGAACTGATATTACATAGCACTGAAGCCAGGCATCGCCCTCTTTGGGCGAGATGGCCCACCTGCATATCGGTGCCCGCTGCAGGGGTCTGCATCTGGCTTGAGCATATAGTCCTGATCCCAGAGCCGAACCTGGACCTGCACCTTGCAGGTTCGTGCCCCGGTCCCGGCCCTCTCCAGCCTCAGAGGTCAACGACAAGTTGAGCTTAGGCTCTTTGTGTGGCATTGAAGGATAGGGCTGCTGATGACTGAAATGAAGACGCACCGCCTAAGCACAGTCTAACGATGTTTCTCAGCTAATTTCCAGAATTTGAGGCCCAGAAACTTTATGCGCCGATTCGGACTTGTTCGTATCCGCTCCGGGAGGGCTATCACCCCCAGCATTGTCAACGGGTCGAAGATGGATGGCTGTCATGGGTGGCAGACCGTCAATGCAAGATGGCCCAATCTGAGCTGGGAAAGAGAATCTGGCAAATACCAAAATGCGTGAAAGGACTTGGTCAGAGAATATCAAGACCAAACGCAGAACCTAGGGTTACAACACAAATTCTAGCAGCTAACAGAGATGAAAGCAGGATCCTCATTTCATTAATCATTCATTCTCATTTCGTGTCTTATTTCAGCCAAATGCATCACACAATCATTAGCAGTCATCATAATGTCGTAGCCAATTGCTTGGCTTGCAAGCGAAAACGCCACCTTCCGCAACCGAATGCTAGTATGCAAGGTATTGAAGGTCAGTCGTGATTTAGGATTCGTGCGCAGGTAAGGGGTGTCGTTGGCGCCAAAACAGCTGCTCAATGCTCGGAAATTCCAGCTTGCTCTTTAACGGATTGGATAGTTCGTCCCAATAGGCGGAACACCTATCGGCGGAGGAGGAAAACCAGTGGGTTGTGGAGGAGGAGGAGCGGGAGCATAGTGAGCTGCTGTCTGTGATATTGCTCCATAGGGATTGTCATCGGTATAGTGTGGAACGTCCGTTGCAGAAGCGAAGGGAGGCGCGCCATTGGGATGATAGACATCTTGACCGTAAGTGGCAAGATTGGGCATACTGCCGGTGAAATTGCTGTTGGCGTAGTCGTGGGTTGCGAGCATGCTCATCTTTCGTCTTCGGGCCTCTCGTTTCTGTTTGTGTCGTTCGATTTTCTCCGCCTGCTCCCGCCTTGCTTGATTGAATTCCTTCATCTCCCTCCATTCACTGTAAGCCCCTTTGAGACCCAACGCCGCAATGCCGATACTAGCAACATCTTGTAATCTCGCCTTGTTTTTCTCTGCTTTTGCTTCCTGTCGACTAATATCACCCTCACGTAACGCCTTTCGTCGCGCCTCTCTTTTCTCCATGCTCTGATAGACGTTGTGGGCTGCATGGATAGTTGCCACGGTAGCAAGACCTCCCGTGACAAACATCTTCTTTTTCCCCTTCTTCATCTGTTTCTCATCGTCTGAACTGGAGCCGAGGTCAGAATCGGAGTCTGTGTCTGGGTCACCGGTATGACGCGGTCCGTAATCCAGCTCGTAACCAGGAGGATGCCCTCGGGGCAGGCTCATGGAACGGGGACCGCCATTTGGATGACCTGGTTGGGGGTGAGTGGTACCTACATCTCTGGAATCATTATAATATCCTCCATTGCGACTCGATCGTCCATCATCATAGTAGTCGTCATAATGACGAGAAGAAGCGCGACGTTCAGGGTCGACCTTGTCTGCGGCGTCCTTTAAGCCCAGGGCTGCAAGGCCTTTGGCGGCAACGCGAGAGACGCTACGACTTCTCTTTTGACGTGGAGGGCTATCGTAGCGGCTGTCGTATGAAGAGCTTCGAGAGCGAGCACGACCACGGGAGCGAGACCTCATCGAATCATAGACTTTTTTTGCAGTAGCCGCAACAACACCGCCGGCAGCGAGGTCACCGATGCCTCCGCGGGACTGGCTTCGACCGCGGCGGTCGTCGCTACCACCTCTGCCGCGGGATTTGGAGCGAGGACCGTTGACGATGCGGTTGGTAGCCAAACCGGCAATGGCCGAACCCACAATATCACGCTTGTTGTGGTGATGAGGGTCGTCCTTGTTCGAGATCAAGCCGTCAACGCCTCCGGCAGCGAGAGCGGCAGTCAAGATTCGTTTGCCTTTGTCACCACCCCAGCTACCTGGTTCCTTGCGAGAGCGAAAGGCTTCACCAGCACCAGCCAGCACGGCTGCTTTGATAGCTTGGGAGACTTGTTCATTTCTGATCTTGCCGCGGCTCTTGCTTCGACGTTTTGATGTGTCGGACGATGAATGACGACGACCGCCTGCCCTGCTTCGGCTTCGATGACGACTACGCTCGCTGGACCTCGATCGATCTCGGTTCTTTCCCAGGACTGCTCCTGCGAGACCACCGAGACCTAAGGAACCTAGCACCTCTTCGGTTGTAGATTTTCTGCGCTCTTTCTTTGGCGGCGTGCGGCTGCGCGAAGAGTAAGAGTCATACGAATCGTCACGGCGTCTGGAGCGGCCTGTATTGAACAGATTAGCAGAGGATATCGAAGTAAGGAACATCGCACTCACGTCTTTTGTCATAGTCTCGATCTTTGCGACTGCGACCGGTAGCAACGGTATAGTCATCGTCGCGCCGTCTTCGAGAGACGTAGGTAGAATCATCGTAGCGATCGTCGAACCAACGGTCATCATCTGATTTTGTACGAATCGGACGATGGCCGCTCTTGCGCACGGTTGTCTCGCGGTAATAACCGCCGCCTGGTTCAAAGTCTCTGTTGACTTCCTCGACTGATGAGACACTGTCATCCCGGCGTTTGATAATGCGGGTATCTCGGACGTTCTCGTCGTAGACTGTGCCATCATTGTCATCTCTTCGTGATCGCTCCCGTGTGCTCCTCGCTCGTCGAGGTCTGTCGTCGCCGCCGTAGTAAGACATGGTCTGTGTCGATTGCGGGGGTCACAAGGGAAAAACGAAGCCAAATGATGAGGTGTTTGTGGCCCAGCGGAGAACCGGAACCACGGCAAAGGGTCGGGTCGTAGCGATTCTTAAATCGCGGTCAGATCAATTCGGGGTTTCGAGATAGAAAGAATTGTCGGAAGCCGATCAAGAATCGAGTTGCGAAAAGGACTTTTAATGAGGGTAGTTACGGAGCAGGCGATGAATCCTTAGGCAGCTTGGCAAGTTGCAAGGCGTCGAAAGTGGGCGCAGATGGATGAAAAAGAGTTGAGATAATCGTTGTAGGTGGCTGGTAAACCCGTGATGGAGACAGTGTGGTGAGCGATGAGGGGGTGAAAAGAAGGCAGCCCAGGCGGGTTCCAAGTCGGTTGGCTACGTAATCGCTGGACTTTTCGCACCGAAACCAAAGATCCCCAGGCAGCAACGACGCCCAATTGGCAAGGACAAGGGTCGTGGACGGGCAATGCAAGGGGCCAGTGATGTTCAGTTATCACGAGAAATGTGGGTGGCATTAACAACCTTAGGCGCCGGGATAGAAGTGAAGGACTTTCAGAAAGTGGCGGTGGCTGGTGATGGAAGTGCAGATTGTGAGAGGGCACTGGAGGCACTGAGAGGGCAAATGTGTGGCTATGTCGTGCAAAAACCAATGGGCAGGCAGAACTCCGTCCTTACCGCTTGTTCACTGCCACGTCAGAGGACGAGACGGATCAGAGCAGCTGACTGGTGGGACGTAGGGATTGTGTTGCCAATCGATTGTTGGCATGGGAGGATTGTTGACCGGTCAGCCTTGCTGAGGCATTTGGTGTGAACAAGAAGGGTACAGATGTCGTCGGAGTTCGCGCAGCCTTCCTTTTCGTACTCTGTGCGCCTCCGACTTCAGTGCTACGGGAAGAGATATCTTCAGGGACATCTGCTTGGCAGGGCACGCAGGGGCACACAGGGTAGTCTTTGGGATTGACACACGAGACAGGGTCTTAGTCATCCGGCTGGTGAGCTGTCAAGACTCGACCCTGCATCAAATTAACACGCACGTCAAGCAAGTGCCGGACGGAAGAATCCAGCGTCCCGGGCTGATGCAAGTATACAAGACCCTGATTGTCGCTCTGATCGTCCACCATCACACGTGGGAAAAGGTTAGGAGACGTCGATACTCGTACAAGGGGCTTTCAATCTTAAATCTCATGCTGCGAAAGATGGGTTGTCAATAATCTCTACCGGCATATTTTAGGTAGGAGAAAGGAGAAAGCAGTGATCAAGTGGTATGTGCTTGCTCTAGACCAGGCGATATGGACGTATCCGGTGGTATGGTTGAAGCCTAGCCAGCTGTCAAAGGCATGGTCGGGGAAGGGAGCAAGCGTGAAATGGGCTTCATCGAGTACGAGTATTCATTTACGTCGGTCGCAGCAAGCTTGGGTTATGCATCTTTTATTTCAGTACCTTTTCAATTTCGTGACAAGCCAGGTGTGAAGCGAGACCTCCATTGTATCGGGTAGAATGATGCGCCGCGGTACTCTGCACTTAACGGAAGATCCACGCTCCCGCCGGAGACACGGGACGGTTGAGGAAGCAAGGTCGTCAACAACAATTAGTACCCAGCAGGTACTCCGTACTGTGTTACTTCTCTCGTGTTTAGGGAAGCCACCGGAAACCAGGCGCCTCTCCAAGGAATTGGTTCAATAGTAATAATAATGGGCAGAATCCACGAGCCGTGTCTGGGAAATCGATATTTGGCGGGGATCGAGAATTGGCCTGGATCGTTCTCTCTCCTCAAACCTTCCTTTGCTGTGATGTCATGGGCCCTGTGACGTTGGAGGCTCATAGTCGAATGGGATTGAGCGGGGCCGCCCAAGAGATCGGAGAAGAGAGCCGGGGATTTACTTGTTGCCCTGCGTGCCTTCTTCCAGCTGGTGTCGCTTGAGGGTCTTCTGGCGGCTACTGTGTATTGCTATAGACCAAATCAACGCGTACTCTCAGCAGTGATAACAGCCTTACTGTGATCATCTCTTTGCGAGAGGAATAATGTACTGCGTCTCCGTACTATTACGAGTAATTCCCTAATGCACCCCTGCCGTTAGACCAACGCATGTCCTAGCGCTAGAAGAGGGTCACCCCTTCTGCAGGCCCAAGCACCCCCTTCTGGCAGCATGTCTGGATCGTGATCTTGTTCGTGTATCGGTCGATCCCGCCTCCTATACGAGAGTAGAGGCCAGCAACGCCTTGCGCTGATGGATTGCTTTGATGGACCTCCATGCCCAGTTTTGCTGCAGATCTCGGGCCTTACTAGTAATTGTCTGATTTTCTCTACCGCAGTGGCTTTGCCCATTTGCGGTGGACGGCCTTCCAGCTGGATGACGGCGATACTCGAGGTCACTTCATGTGTTGGAGACTCAAGATGCTGTACACAGCACAAGCCCTATAGCTGCTGTTGACCAGCCGAAATAGCACTCTCTACCACAGTAGTCCGTACTGTGATATACATTTCCGTCAGGGTCTACGGTCAGCTTGTGGCTGCAAAACATCGATGACAAGCCTGTGCAAAAGCCCCCGGAATCATGGTCCCTGTGGCTTCAAATCGGCGATGTTGGGTGTCTTGGTAATCTGCCTTTGACAGGCCCAAAACCTTTTCTTGTTGGCTGTCCACCACTCAGATGCTTGGGATGCTTTCTAGCTTGACCGCCGCTGACTGCAAGCCGCCTTCTCCCACGAGACGTTCGTTCCCTTACCGCGTGTGGAGCTTCTCCATCGTCGAAACCGTTCCAGCGTGCATCTTGTCAAGCTCATGCCCTGGTCTGCACACGCGCTGGGTCCCATCAATGCCATTCTGAACATTTCCATACTCGATCTTCGATCCACATCCACCCACGGCATCGACTCAAACATCACTTTTCTCGCTCTCCCGTCCCTTTTCATAGACCCTTTTTTTCCCTCCTCTCACCACCAATGCTGTGTTCCTACTGTATACATTGAGCTTCTCTACCAAAAAGACCCTGTGTTTCCAAGGGTCTGGCTATCTTGCCGAACACAAATCCCCAGATATTCATTCGATACATCCGTCGGTACCGCTGATCACTGTGACTACTCGTCCACTTGCTCGCGCAGCTATACACAATATACTGGAACAAGTCATATCCCGACCGCAGAAACTATACCGGGACCAATCTAGGCGTCGACCCTGACTATCTCCTCCGCAAGCACCTGCGCTGTCTCCTTCACTTGCAAGAGAGAGAAACGCTCCCCCATCTACTCATCATTGTCCAAGGCCAACCACAGCATTTGTGAACCTTGAGCTTTTGATCAGTCCACGAGCCCTTTCTCAGGCGTATGTATCTTGGGAACCAGTCCAGTAGAGAGCATGTCCTAATACTGTGTGCAGTCGTCTCCAATAATTCATTTTGGGACCAGCGGCCAGTCCGTTGGGCGAGTGAGAGTTGCGTCAAACAATGGATGTTCAGACGCAACAACGAGGACCACGTATCTTCTCGATCCTGAACGACAACGACTGTCCTTCGTTTGTTATCCGTCACCAGCAACCGTCTTCTCCTGCTTCTGCGAAGGCCTCACCCTCGATATCCCTGCGACAGAGGGTCGAGAGGCCTCACCTCCCTCGCCAGGCCGGCTACACCCGTGCCTCTTCCTTCTCCTCCACCGGATCCACGCCTCCTCTTCTGCGACAATCCTCTTCCGAGTCCAGCTCGAGCATGGACTCTTCGCCATCACCCATCACGCCGGCATACAGCTATGTTGACAATACCGTGCTACCTTATGATCCGCTACTGCGCCAAGACCTGACGGGCTACCTACCTTCTCCATCCACCATCACTCCATTTCTGGAACAACAACTGATGATCGCTCCGAACATGACTGATCCTCATTACCCTGGCAAGGCCACCATTATTCCGCCGCTCACCCTTGCTCAATATCCCATCGTCCCTACGTCCGTCCACCCTAGCCTTCCGCCTCTGGCTGTTCCTTCTCCGGCCACCCTACACACACCACCCACGTCCGCACCTGCGCCGTCCAATCAGCCCACGACCTCACCAACCACGAACGCCGCCCCTCCTCCGAAGAAGAACAAATACCCCTGCCCTTATTCCCAGTCACATAATTGTCAGGCTACATTCACCACCTCGGGCCACGCTGCGCGTCATGGAAAGAAGCACACTGGCGAGAAGGGGGTCCATTGCCCCGTCTGCAACAAAGCCTTTACGCGCAAGGACAACATGAAACAGCATGAGCGCACACACAAGGGGTCTCAGTCCGGTAGCAACAGTGACGATTCTGCGCGTCGAAGCAAGGCTGCCATCACCAAAGACGCGCAGAAAGCCAAGCAAGCCAAGAAGCACGACTCCATGACCTCAGAGGCCAGCCGTCGATCCAGCCTGATCCATTCTCCTCTTTCCGAGGTCACCTCTCTTGCACCTACAGCTGTTGAGACGCCTGTCCTACTTACTGACGAGTCGACTTTTTATCCCGAGCCTCCTCAAATGCTCATGCCTATACAGACCATCCCAGAAGGCGTGTCTCCAAATTCTCTCTATCCCGCTCTGGGCGATGATACCTTACTCAACGGTGGTTCAATGCTCCAACAGCCAAGCATGAACAAGTCCGCCGAGAATGGCCTGGCTGCCCACGGTCTCATGCCACCGACTCTGATCCGAGGATTCTCAGACCTGGATACTCTCGCGCAGGCCGCAGAGAGCTTTGACCCTTATTATCCACAATCACAAGGCCTGTAATACCACCATAATCCACCTCAATTCTCCTTCTAATGAAAGATGACGACGACTATCTTGGGCGGCTAATTGCTTTAATACTCTATAAACAGCGCTGGCGTTTCTACGGATATTGCACACGAAAATACAGGTGTCCATGCCTTTAATGAAAACGACTTTCTTTCAGTGGTTTCTTCGAGTAGGACAGACCTGATGATAGCAAGACGTCAATCTTGGTCTTGTGTTATCATACTCTGCTGTGAGGAACCGCAGAGGAAGATGGGTCCCATGCCACCATTCTGTCACAATCAAAGATACCCGCGAGTTTCATGGTTTTCAATGTATTTCTGTGATCTGTATCGATTGCAATTTCTGTCTAGGAGAACGGGTGGTGAATCAAAGAAACAAGCACGATTCACAACTTGGAGCTTTTCTAATGGGACGGGAAAGGAGGTCTCTGCGAAGAGAAAGGAATATGTGCCAGGAATGAGCGGATAGCTATATTCGTTGCATGCAATGCAAAGACCAGTGCAAAGCAATACTCTGCCTCGTGTCCAGACGTTTACTGAGTGCACTTCCTTCATCCTTCATCTTTCCAAGTACCTCGCAACCCGTTTAGGACTGAGTCGGATTGATCTTGGGTATTTGTAGACGATTCTAGACTCAGATATGCAGGTACGAGTACATGAATTCATGATAACCAGCCACGCAGTATATCTGTCGAAACTCTCTACCAAGAGGATAGTGCCCTGGTCGCCCAGTCCTGATTTTCTCCCTCTGCTAGGGTCTGCTGTGCCCTGCCCTGCGCTCCACTCCAAGTTGCCAGTCGTACCGATATCTGGACTGCTGCCCTTGTGATTTCTTTAACACGAGAAATTTTTTGTATGAAGGGAAAGGTGGACTCAGACCTGGGATGAGGTACAGAGTATACGGACGCCCCGGTACAAGGTGTCCGGTTGGTAGACTCCCCAACGAGCGCGAAGTAAGAAAGAAGCCTTGGAACTGATCAACTTGCGGCAAGAAACCTTGGGAACTGAAGCGCGAAATAACAAAGAAAACCTTGGGAACTGATCAAACTACACAGGTAGGGGTTCTTGGATAGTTCTACGAGTTTATTTTTGACGTTGATAGTATTGGGAGATTGGATGAATGGGAAACATTCTCACATTCTCACATTCTCTTCATCTTTCCAACTGGGAACACCCGACTGGACCGTACCGGACCTTCAGAAGTTCTCTCCGTTCAATTCGCGTCCCTGTTCCTGAAAGACCACTGTTTCTCTCCCTTGCCCCTGGGTACTGGATCTCTCTCACATACACATACACACATACACACATACACACATACACACATACACACATACACACATACACACATACACACATACACACGACACTTGTGACAAACGTTGTAGAACTCGAGATCGATATGCCGGCGGCGAAAGGGTTGTTCATCGACTTCCATTTGGCAGTTGACGTTTGAGTGGCAACAAAGGCACCATCATCTCATCTCACCTGATCTCACATCACATCACCTCACCTCACCTCGCAGCGCAGCGCAGCAAAGCACAGCAACATCACTTGCAGCCAGCGGGGCGGAAGCTGAGTCCCTCAAGCGCCAAGTTAGACTTGACCCTTGTCCTTGTCGATCGCCACGACGGTCTTGTCCTCGGTGATTGCGAGGGTATGCTGTTGAACGGAGTACTTGACAGGGTTCCTGGCCTCGAAGATCTTGTCGAGTTCCTCGAGCTGTATTGTTTTGATATGCATGCGTCAGCCCCCTTGTGATCATCCCACTGCTCGCGCCATCTCACATAGATGACGGACATGGTTCCTTGACTTGCACGCGCTCCTTGTAGGGTGAAAGAGAAAGACAGAGGAGAGCAAGACGTGGGCAAAAGAAAAGGAAAAGGAAAAACAAAAGTAAACTTACAGTCCTCTTCCTGGTCTCGGGGAAGAAAAAGTACGCCAGAACACCCTGGATGAACGTCCAGACCACAAAGATGATGTACGTCTTCCACTGGATCTCCTTGATTGCAATCGGCCAGGCGAACTGGTTGAGCAGGCCCGCGGCGTTGACGAAGAAGGACTGGAAGGCCATGCCCTTTGCGCGGATCTCGAACGAGATGCATTCGACCGGGTAGAGGGCCTGCCATTTGCCGTTTGCTTGTGAGTCTTTGGCATAGCGGGGGGGACATAATAAATGGGAGCCGGGGTGTGTGATAAGGCGGGACAGAGACAACTGGGGACCCCCTCAAGGGGAGGGAGGGCGACTCACCTGCAAGGGCGTAATGTTGAAAGAGTACACGGCGCCGAAGATGAAAATAAAGGCGAGCACCGCATTGCCGGCGTTCTCGTTGGTGAAGACGGCGTCGCTGTCGTCGACGCTGCCGGACACGAGAGACTGCGCAAGCGTGCCGGCCGATGCGGTCATGCACACCCACACGACAGAGACGCCGAAGAAGCCGGCCAGCATCATCCTACGACGGCCGATCTTTTCGACGAAATGTGCTCCGATCACGGCGAAGATGAACTGTTCGACGCTGTAGCCAAGCTGGACGTTGGCCTTGCCGATGGACCCGTTGACGCCTGCGGTATCGAGTACGGCGGACATGAACTGCTAGAGCGTCAGACACCCCTGTACTAAGGAAGACAGGAGGCGAAAGTAAAGGACATGTGCTTGCACGGTCCAGTCTCTCAGGGGGAGGAGAATACGTACGTAGGACAAGACACCGTTTCCACACCCTATTGGGGGGAAGAATGATGTTAGCTCTGGCAAACCGCTGAGACAGACAGAACGGAGGAGTTGACGATGATCTTACATTGTGAGAAAGCCGAGAACCAACAAGCCACAGACACACGGATAAGGCTCGATCGCTTGTTGAACAGCGCACGGTAGTCCCAGAAGCGCTTGTCCTACACGGAAGAAAACATTAGCTCGCTGTTTCTCCAAGCCTTTGAACAACAAGACAACTGCTAACTAGTTAGAACACTTACAGAACCATCCATCTCCAAGTACTCTTCATACTCGGCAAGCTGGAGCTTGACCCATTGTGACTCTCTGTTTCCATGGCCGTGCCACTTGGTCAGGGTATTGACTGCAGACTCGCGCTTTCCGCGAGTATACAGCCATCTCGGGCTTTCGGGGATCCAAAAGCTGAAGAGACAGATCAAGACGGGGAAGAACATCTGGAACCAGACGGGGAGCAGCCACGAAGTGTCGCTTTTGATGTTCAAGCCGCCGCGGGTGATGCCAGATGACAAGATGGAGCCCGCGAGCCAGGTGGTGTTGCACAATCCCGTCATGATGGAGCGGTATTTGGGATGAGCCGTTTCCACGACCCAGATAGGTCCGGCAGCCGCGGCGATGGAGACGCCGAAGCCCAGGACGAATCGGCCACCCATCATTTGTCCTTCGGAAGCATTGGCGGACGTGAGACCTTGGACGATGGTGCCGATGATGATACAAAAGCTGCCGATGAACATGCCAGGGCGACGGCCCCATTGGTCAATGCAGGGTCCGACGAAGGGCAAGGCGCAGACTCCGCCGATCTGGTACATGGAGGTGATGAGGCCGGCCCAGATACCTTTGTTCTCGCCGTTGAAATGCTTGAGGAAGTATTCTTTGTTGTTGAGGAGACCGCCGAACAACATGGTGTCGTACCCGTTCATGGTCTGGCAGAAGAAGCCGGGCAAAAGGATGAGAAACAACAGCAATGAGCGAGGATGGTTCCACGAAACGGGCTCTTGGATGAGAGCCTCGTTGTAGGCTTCGCTGCCGCTGACTTGTTTGACTTCGACGACCTAAGCGACAGAGTAAGCGTCAATGGCCTGAGCACTTTGAGAAGTGCAAGTGGGTATGGCATGATGTTGGTGAATGGCATTGACTTACATCCTTGTGTTTGTCAATCGTGTTGACTTGCTCAAGGGTATGATGCTCAGCAGAAACCTTTTCCTGCATCGACATCCTGGCGGTGCTATTTCTTGTATGGATTCACCTTGGAGATGAGATGCTGAAGATGGTCCCGATAGAGGATCGAAGAGGACAAGCTCTCTTTAATAGTTGTTGCATACTATGCCCAGGTGGAGGGCACGCGGACCTCAGACTTCTCATACTGTTTCTAGCTCGTATTAATCCCGTAGGCTGGCTAGTATACTGAATGGAATGTATCTCCTGACTGCAACTTAAGGAGGATCGAAGGGCAAGCCACCCGACGAGGAGCCGACGAAGGAGGGCGAATTCATCTGAGGACTGGCAATTGATTTTGGAGCTACTCCGTAAGTATCTCCAGACTTAGACAGGCCGTGCTTTGGCGCCACGAACTAGCCTCGTTGAATCCGGGGGTCAAGTTGGCCGGATGTTCCAGAAGACGAGCTTGTGCGGAGGAAGGCTGTTCCTCAGCCGTCTCCTAGCATGGAGGTTGGCTGGCGTGTGCTGTCGTTTATCACGAGCTGCAAGGTTCACAACAAGGGTGGATGATGGTGGTTTCTTGGTAGAGATCCAACTTCGCTTAGCCTAGTGAGCCATGCACGACAATGTCGACAAGGGCGGGAAACGAGGTGTTTCATTCGCTCGTTCTTCCTCGGGACAAGACACGAACAATTGCACCAGCAAGACTCCCTCTGGGCCCTTCGGACGTTTGTCCCAATGTTGTGGCATGTTGTCAGGATCGAGGGAAGCCGAAGATCAGCCTTGAAGGACGATGATGTTGAGATTGGCATCTACTTGATCTGCTCAAGTGGTCTGGAGGCTCGTCGACAGAGTCTCCCGTGTCATGAATGCTTCCGAAGTTCTAAATAGCTCCCATCAGCTCCCCATCCTTGACCGAAGTTCTTGCGCGACCAAGCTGGCGAGCTCAGCGAATAGCGAGCATGAGAAAGTCTAGAGGTCGGACGCCACAGACACCCAACAGAGACGCTTTCAGAACAGGCTTCGACCGCGTGATTGATATACTGCCTACATACCAGTAACATGAGCAACCGGAACCCGCAAGTTGGTCGACAGTCCACCTGGCGTGCCATTCTCGTTTATCAGTACGAGGTGACTTAGCGGAGGCGGACCGAATCGAGTATACAGACCTGACTAACGACTCCTCCTTTACCTTGTATCTCCTCCTCTTAACAATATCCCCTTCACCCACAGCAGCGAAGACGAACAACAAGACTGAATGCGGCTCATCTTCGGCTCTGTCGCAGGTGTGAAGCTGCCCGCAATGCGCTTTCAGACTCTCGAACACACTGGCGTTGTTGTCTCGTCTTGAGGTCATGCACCTTCGACCTGTCCGGTGCGCCATGGCTTGGGAAGGATAATCGTCGGGGGCTCGTGCCTGCTGGTGCTGGTGCTGGCGCTGATGAATATTGAGATTGACACTCGAATGCATATCCCCTGAGGAGGTGATTTTTTCTCATTGCTATACCTCCCGTCCATGAAGGAGCCTACATGGTGTTTCTTAGGGCTTACTCGACATGGTCCAAGATTTACTTCGAAGTACATTCTGGACATGAAGTCCTGCCCCTACTGACACTGCCCGGTATCCTTGATTCGCGTCTCATATTTTCCGTTTGCATTTCGTTAGCCCTCCACCAAATGCATCGCAAACTTGGGATACCTATCCCCCTTGACAGGATTACTCTTCAACACGTCCGCAATCTCGTCCATCTCCTCATCCGTCAGCTCCACTAGTTTCGAGTTCTCCTTGATCCTCTCGACCTTGGTCGCGCCCGGGATCGGTATAACCGTTCCCAACGTGACCTTCTCCCCGTCCATGTCGATCGTGCGGCCGGTCAACTGCCTCACCCAAGCAATTGCAATCTGCGACTTCGTCACGCCTTTACGCTCCGCCAGCTTCGCCACCTCGTCCACCATCCGGTTGTTCTGTTCGAGCACGTCGTCCTGGAACCGGGGCATGGCTTTGCGAAAATCACCCTCCGGTATATCCGCGTTCCTGCGCACTCCGTCACCCGCCAACGCACCCCGTCCAAGCGGACTGTACGCGACGATCGGGATGCCCAATTTGGCGCACGTCTTGGCGACGCCGTTCTTCAGGATATCCAGGGCGCCGAAAAGACTCACTTCAACTTCCACCGCGGCAATCGGGTGCACTGCGTGGGCCCTTTCGATCGTGCTGGCTTTGACCTCCGACAACCCGATGCCGCCGATTTTCCCCTCCCTGACGAGCTCGGCAAGGGCTTTGATGGTGTCTTCGATGGCTGTGTTGGGATCCACGCGTGCGCACTGGAAGATGTCGATCTTCTTCGTCCCATCGAGTATCTTTAAGCAGTCTTCCACGCTACGGCGGACGTTCGCGGGTGACCCATCGGGCTCGAGACTTCCAGGTTTGCAGCCTCCTTTGATACTGAGCACGACTTTATCCGCGTGGTCAGGGTATAGAGTGAAGTACTCCTTGAGTAAATGGCATGAGTGCCGGTCGGGGGTACCGTAGATCTCGCCGCCGTTCCAGAAGTTCGCACCAAGAGAGAGCGCGGTGGACATGGCTTCGTAGCTCTCCGAGGCCGGCTGGGGGTTTGGCCGCCAGGTCAGGCCCATCAACCCATAGCCAATGGGACCGACCGGCTTGGAGACTAGTGTCGGTTGGGATGACATTTTGGCAGATGGCTTCCACTTCGATTTGCTTGGGAAGAGGTGGCGGAGGTGAGGTGAGGATCTGTGTCTGGCTTTTTTCTTGTTTTTGAGATCCGAGATCCCCAACCGGATTGTTCTTGACAAGTCTGGGCTTGCCGGGTGCTGGCGAGGCTAGGTGTACGCAGTACTAACCCCAAGCCTCTTCACCACCCCTATCCAAGATAGAATGATCTCGAAGAATGCAGTTTTATATGTCGAAGAGTGGGGGTCCAGAGCCCGGAGATAACTAGATTAGCTCTGCCTTATGTCCTGTTCGTACAGTCAGTGGGGACCAGAGCTGCTCGGGAGCATGGTTGATATTGATACTGAATCCAGATGACCTCACCTCAAAAAGGTACTGGTTAACTTCACGGAGCAGGAGTGAGAGGCCGGCGATATTGTGAGGAGGAAGCGTACAATGGGACCAAGTACGGAGTATGCAGTACGAGGGAAGAGGGAGGAGTTACGAGTAGGAAGTAGATCAGGAGAAGTCTCGGATCATGATGTCAATATGCGACCAATGACGGTGTCAGAGTGTTACGGCAGTTGTTGGATGATGATGGGGGTTTGCGGTATGAAGCAGATCAAGTACCAAATCAAGAACAAATGGATCGCTGTACAGCCTCGTGAACACGTGGTATATCGTGTATGTCAAATAGAGCTAGCATGTCGCTAATCTACAATGATACGACGGCACTGATGGAATGGCATATGAACAAGTTTCCACTTGACTTGAGTTCTCTTGAGTGAATGAATATGCTATGTTTCTCAATTGTGTTTGTGCAAGATATGAAGAAAAGGACAAAATTCTTCGTGTTATGAAGTACATGATACATTGTCGCAAATAACAGTCAACAGCTTCAAAGGCCCAAAGGAATAACAACGAGTGACGTTCATCACCACCATCTTGTCGTCGGTGGACTCGTTCCGTGAAGCCAGTGTCCTCGCCAGTGAGCCAGACATCCCCAAAGCTGTAAGTTCTCTTGATCGTGAAGGGCTGACCCCGTTGTGTACCCTCAAGAGTGGCGAATTTTTGATCAACGCGGATACGTCGATGGCGCCTCTCGTCCTGAACGCGCGAGGATTGTGACTTTCCTTCCGTATGACTGCGCGATCCATTGTGATAGACCTGTGTCGCGACATCCAAAACGATCAGCCTCGTGCCAGCCTGGTAGGCTGAGGCTAGAGAATCACGATCTTGTAAAATTTGTTTGCCTCCAAACATTAGAACAAATGGCAATCACCAAAGCAGAAAACAGCACCAATAAAGAACTTTTCTCTCCCAACTCCCAACCAATTTCAGGTGCTAACCCCATGCATGCCTCTTGTTACATTTTTCTGGTAAGCAAGTCTCTTCTCCGCTCAATGGTGGTAGGATGACCATAAGGAAATGATGTGAGGAGGTTAATGGCTCGACTAGCGAAGCCATCCCACGGGGTATCTAATCTCTATGCTGATTCGAGGTAGCATCCCACGTTGCGCAGAGAAGGAAAACCTGCAAGTACTCCAATTTCCTGAATTCATGTTATGCCTTCTCTGTCGTTAATCGCCGCTCGCAATGCTGAAAAGAAAAAGATTCGTCACTGTCTTGAAGGGTATCATGTCGTATCTTCGCAAAGCAGATCAATTTGAGCCCAGTCAAGCACGACTCGGGGCTTCACTCGAACTGGTCGTTCTGGGTATCGCTGACTGTGTCGCTGAGATTGATGAGAAGCTGAGCCAGACAGCGCTTGGTGGCAGCATCATCTCGAAGCACATTGGAAAATGTGGCGTCGCGCAGTGGTTCCGGAAGACATTGTCGCAACGCTTGACGAGCTCGATTGTTGTCACTCAAACTAGATTGCGTGTCAGCCATCAATCGAATCTTGGGCGAGACCATCAGCTTACCGGAGGAAGCATCTAACAACATGCTTTAAGAGACGTACTGTTTGTGTCTCGACGAGGCCAATCACCATGTTGCTCAGAACAGTACCGACAGCATAGAATCTCTCATAGGTGGCACAGATGTATCCAAGACCAGTGTCGTCAAGCAGGATCTTTTGGACGATGAAGATAGCAACTGTCTTTGAGAGTTCGCTGCCAGTTTCCATGATTCGAAGGCATAGCGGGATGATCTCAGTGGTCAAGAGAAACGTGATTGTTGGAGAAGAATTGTTGGTATTTCCTGGGGTTCCGTTGGGATTGATGGACACGCTGGCGGACGGTTCGTTCTTGACTAGGGCACCGATCACGCCCAAAGAAGTGAGTCTCAGATATTCGAAGGGCCTGGATTTGGAGGTGGTATTCAGAAAAGGATAGAGGAATAGCGGAATATGTGCTGCCGATCTTCTTAGTACCGATCTTAGCTGCAAAACGACAGAAGCTTACCATTCAAGAATAGGCCTCGAGTCTCGTTGTGACTTGCAACACACTGCAGCAGGGCCAACGCGTTACAGACACGATTGCTGGCGGCAGCAGTGAGTTGACTTGGATTCAAGAGAGGATAAACTGATATGATCTCCTGAAGCAAACTGGTCATGACGCCAAAGCTGTGCCAGAGAACCAAAGCAAGCTCTGGAACTTGCTCTCTCTTCTTGCTGAGTTCCATCAGAGCACCTTCTCGTCGGAGCGGATCCATCAATTCTGAAACCCATTGTAAGACTTTGCGATTTTCATCATCGTGGCCAGGCGAACCTCGTTCATGTATGAGTGAAGCACCCAAGGAGTTCTGCGCGTTGTCGCCCGAGGTCTGTCGGTTGCTGGCTTGAGCTTGAGACGAGTTGTGGTTCTGGTTCATGGCGATGCGAGAGTAGTGTTGCTGTTGAGCAGCAGCCGCCGCAGCTGCAGCCGCCTGGGCTTGAGCTTGCTGAGAGCCATGACTCATGCCTTGCTGCGGACCACCATGCTGCCATGGGGATTGCTCATGCTGGCTGTACTGCTGTTGATGCGAGTAAAGATGCTGTGTCTGAATCATCGTGGCTGTAGATCTGTCCGTCGGTCGGTTGTTGTCAGGTAACAGTCATCGTCGAGTCGAAGGGAGTATGAGGAGAAGGAGACGATCTGCAGAAGGCGAGAATCTGTGCAGAGGACGATCCAGCGGCAACGATGACGGCGAGGTGAAATGGGTTGAGATCGAGGGTGCGCAAGTTAAGACTCGATAATATGAGGAGTGATGAAGCGGGGAGGAGTTCGAAGAGTTGGCCCCCTGCGATGGAAATGAAGAAAACGGTGGATCTGCCGACTTGGCGGTGAAGGGCGGCGAGGCTCACTAGGCTCACTAGGCTTTGGGTTGCCGCCTATAGGCTGCGATAGATCTGAGAGATGACAAGAGGTGCCGGTGAGGGAAGACGTCAATAGGGCTGCAGTTAGCTCTATTGGATTGTGCGATGATTGAGTGAGAGATTCATAAAGTGAAGAAAACGAAGTGTAATTTGAAGAGTGATGAACCAGTGGGCATTTTTATTATTATCAGCTCGTAAGCCCTATTGATCAAGCCTGGATATCCGAGCATCAGTGCGCCTGTGCACGTCCACCCACCAACTCTTCAAAGCAAATCAAGAATACCAGCTATGTATCTTCATTTCCCCTTAACTGTACATCCAATGATTGGTGGTCCAACCAGATTCATTTCCTGCTCCTGAATGAACAGCTCTTCAACATGTCCCCATGCTAGGTATACACATCAATGGCTCGAGAGGTCTCCTCTCGCAAATATGTCCAATCATCAATGACCCAGTCCTTGAAATGCATGCTCGCTAATGTCATCAGAAAAATGCAACAACATCGCTTCAACGTCACCGTCTGGACCTGGATCGAGAGGCAGATCGACCAGTCCGCCGCGTTCGTCCATCTGAGGAGCTTTCTGCGCCTGCGAATAAGTCAGCATGGGATCGGCAGCTCAAGGGACCTGGAGTTACTCACTCGAATACATATAGTCAGTGTAGTAAGCGCTGTCGTAGCTTACGTCGCTCTTGTCGTCTCTCCGGTTCCGTCTCTTCAGACCAAGCCAGAGGGCGAGAGTGCCTAGGCCTGCAGCGACCCAGCCGGCTGTTCCGATGCCGCTCCTTCTCTTCTCGTCGACGACCTCGGTTCTTGCAGGTCTTTGACCAAACCATGTTCTTCTACCTCGTCGATCTCGATCTGACCGGTGTGAGTGCCTCTCGACATAAACTTCTTCCGTAGTTCGTCTTCGCCGGGGCCCGAGACCGAAGATGCCGAGCAGACCATCAATCAATCCTTTGGCGCACCAACAGGCGCAAATGAGCAGCAGGATGATTATACCAACGATGACACCAATGACGATACCAGCGATGGCTCCACCGCTCAATCCGCCTCCAGAGCTTGTTGACTGGCCGTAGATGATGCTTCCACCGGTACCCACTGGTGTGAGGAATGGCTGAGTGGTCGTAGCAGTTCCAGTGACTGTCACAAGAGTATTGCTCGTCGGCCGGAGTGGCGCACTGGCGGTATTGGTGACGACTGTGGTGACCGTGTACAGACTGCTGTAGTACCCAGAACTACCTCCACCCACTGCTACGCAGGAGCCGGAAGACTGGCAGTACTGGCCAGACAAACAACACACATCCCCGCAAGGCGTCTCTCCCAGTGAATATGAGCAGCTTTTCGTGGACTCCGGAACATATGAGCTGTATGTTTGAGTCACCGTCTTCAAGTCTGTCTGCACGTAGGTGGTGGTGTAGTATTGCCATGCTCCTGCTGCAGTGGTCGTGGTCGCTCCGCCTGCGCCGCACTGAGCTTGGTCGTTTGCATCCGTGTAGCAGACTTCACCGGATGCGCAACACAATTGACCGTAGTAGCCGCAAGGATTCGAGCAACGCTTGCGAACATCTTGGAGGTCTTCGAAGCTTCGCAGGAGGTCGGGGATGAAGGAAGCGGTGACGGTCCGAGTGAGGAGGAGACCAGCGACGAGAGCGCTTAGAGGAGAGGGTATATCGTGGAGCCGCATCTTCGGCAGCGTAGGGTTCAGTAAACAGTCAGTGCAATAACCCGTCCGAGCGTTATCTTTGCATTGGAGATTGTCTTGTGTTTGAAAGATCGAGTCGCTCGGATGTCTGCAGTCGATGCACTGACACACTCCACCACCACAACCGGATACTTTTCGACAAGGGCTCTGGAATCTGGATAGTAATGACCGACAGGATGGTACAGAGAAGGAACAGGAAATGGATGAGGACGGAATTGGATGTTGGGCAGAAAGGTGATGGCTTTTTTGCCTCGGGCGGGTTCGGTGTTTACCAACCTCCTCCTGCCACCGGATTTCTCAGACGCGGGCAAATGAGATCAGCAACGAAGTCGCAGGAGCGTTTTTCTTGGAATAGAAGGCTGGGAGACAGCAATCTAAGCAACAAAATAGTCATGCATTCACTGTGTGAGAAAATCTAGGTTGATTCTCTTGAGATCCGGAAGGGAGCGGTGACTCTGGCTTCGCTTGTGGTTGCGAGGGAGCTGGCAGCTGCAAGTGCGGAATGATTGGACTACTCATTCTGCCATCCATGATCTCGGTTTCTATGCGTCATCATCTGTCCATCACACAAGTTGTCTGGATTCTGAAGATGGGCGCAATGCCTTGAGAGGTTCTTAAAGACATTGCATTCTCAGGTTCAATAAGATTCGTGCCATGATCAGCAGCAGTGGAAGTCTGCACCTTCTGAAAGATGTCCAGCCCCCTCTCAGGTACCTCACATTCCACCAATCGGCAAACCTGCCTGAAGGAAGCTGCATCTGCTAGCAGGCCCTTGGCAGATAAGTCAGCAAGTCAGCCCAAGAAAGACTCGCTTCATCACCGCTTTCACTTTGTCCCAAATTTGAAGCCATCTTCTGGCAGAACTCCTGACTGTGTGAATCAGTGGCGTGGCCTGATATCTTGTCGCTCATTATCAGCGATCGGCTGATTGGCTGATTTGGTCCACGAGAATTGCAGATGATCGCAGGAGGACGGGTGTGCACGCAATCAGGAATTACACTGAAAGCATTCGGCTCAAAGGGCTTTTGATGGACCTTTTACCGCATTTCAGCTCCGAGCAGGGGCATAGATCGCTGGATCCGACTAGATCTTGCGAAGGTAGGAAGCGCCCTTGGACCTAATACTGGAATCGACAGCATGAGAGTTCTGTCTTGGAGTAAAGACCAGCTACGCTATGATCCTATCAACCAGTCCTTATTCTTGAAACCGACGCCTCACCACGGTAGGTACAAAAGCTTTCGAACAGAGGTCTGCTTCAGTCAAGTGTCTTGCGAGCAACACTGTACGAATCCTGGGTATGTAAGGCTCTCATGTTCTCATGATCCGCCAGTGGGAGAAAACGATTTGCATGTCATTTGTTCAAAAGAACCAATACGCACATTGCTGCAACATACGCTGGCTTTAGGCGGAGATTCTCCCGTGGATAGGTGACTTAGGGCCTTGATCCCGTACCCGTCTCGTCCCGAGAAGACAGCCAGTCAATATGTGGATTCGAGAAGAACCATGGAAGTCATACTGTACTACTAGATTATCAGCTACTGTTGCTATCATCACCACCGCGAATCGCTGGGGAATAAGAATGTGTCTGAAAAACCCTGCGCTATGGTCAGCATGGTAATGGCTCCTGCTTGTGACAGGCCACTGCATTCCTTCGAAACAATCCCCAGTATTGTGAGGCTAAGGTGTGTTATTCGACGACGGAACTCGTTTCTACGGAACAACACCGATCGACGCAGTCTACCGATCAGCCCCTCGTTCATTCGGCTGCCTCCGAAAGAACAACAATAGGCAGATTCACCCCCGAGATGTTACTATGGAAGGCTGATCGGCCATTCCAGGACAGGAGTAACGCTTTTGAAATCTGTGCAACTCACTGAGGGCCCTGGTAATGATTTCTGATACACCACTTCAGAGATACAGTCCTATCACATTCAAACTCTTTATCCCAAAAGAAAGTCAATGAAAAGAGTACTCGTCCGTGGATGACTAAAACTATGGCTTGCGCAGCCTAAATGAGAACCAATGAAGCGAGATACGAGGCTCGATTGCGAACGCCTTCATATCAATTATCCAGTTGTTCGATCGCTCGAAGCGGAGTGTCCCACCAGCATAGGCGCCCACTCGAAGCGGACCAAGTCTAAGGTACTCTGGGTTATGGCGAAGTTGTACCGACCTGCCACGTACATGTACATGCAAGCTTTGAGGAAGCAACCTTCAGCACGATGACGACACTTTACATGGCGAAGTACCTCTGCTAAATGTTACCTTCCACCCATGGTTATGTTGAGCCGAGAAATGTTCCACCCGTCCTGTACATGTGCAGACGGACGCGTACCCTTGCTTGTGACGCTCGGCTCAAAGATCACGAATCCGCGACTCCCACCGCCAAAGCTCATGAATTCATGAGCGGCGAGGCCTTTTCCTCATACTCAGTGCCAATCCGCCACAACAGTGGTCATCTTCAACATGCTCGTTGAAGGTTACACCGTTCGTGTCCAAATCTATCAGTTACAAGATGTGACGAGAAATCAAGAGTCGGATCATATGCAAAACGCGGGTAGATCACCTACCTCCCTGGCTGCAGTAGCCGCTTCAGCCACTTTGTGCCTCTCTAGGAAGGTGCCGGACAGTGAGTAAGGACGCATGAAAGCATCCAAGCCCGGCTGACTGATAGACGTTGATATCCAAACGGCCCCAACCTGCACAGTGAGCAAAGACACTAGCAGGGGCCTTTCTGTGCCGACAGGAGGTCGTGCATCTCTAGTGCGCCTTCTGCTTCCGGTATGGCTCCAAGCGTGGTGAATCGTCCTCCGGGTTCATTCGACGGCCTGGATACACAGGATTACTATCTCGAATTCGTTGCATTCTTCGAATCAGTGGCTCGTATCCGAATCAGTGGCTCGTGTTCGAACCATTTCATTTTGCCAGAGATGAAGCAGACCATTCTCATCTCTCCACTCATACCAGCATCGTGCTCCTCTGTTATGGTATAAGAGAAGCCACCTTCCCCCTTCCAAGATTGTTCCACAGCCACTCCATACTTTCAAGTTGTAAACAACAGAGCCCCGCATTCATAAGAAGCACAATAGCTTCCACAAACAAGACCAACATCATCACTACAGATTGCACGATGACCGATTTCTCCATCAACAGCTGGGTCCAGCCAACTGGAGCCTTCTCACCTGTCGACCCTGCCTTTCAATGGGACTTCACCGGCATGCAATCACCAAAAGCCGTGGTCAACCACTACAATGATGTAAGCTTGCTCCAAAATCGCCTTCTAGCAGGTCATCGCGCTGATAACCCACTACAGCTTTTACAACGAGCAGCCGATTTTTATGCCACCCTCGACACTTCTTACGACAGCATGTCCGCGTCGGGTTCAGACACTTCCTACCGTTCAACGCCTGAACGTCGTGTATCATCTGCCACCAGCATCCTTGCGCAAGTGAAGGGCTCAATTCCCGACAAGCTCGAGGTGAGTCACACTGGTCTGGCAACACATATGAAATAGCAACTGACAATTCACAGAGAAGGCGAGAGCAAAACAGATCTTCTCAGCGTGCTTACCGTGAGCGCAAAGAACGCCATCAAAAGGAGCTCGAGGAGCAAATCACTCAATGGCAACAAAAGCACCAGACCTTGTCGCGCTCTTACTCTCAGCAATCGGAGGAAATCACTCGTCTCAAAGCACAGATCGAACAACTCAACTGTGAGATTTCCAATCTTCAAGTTGATATACCAACTCTTTGCGGCTCCCTTTGTCATTCACCTCAGGAGTTCGACCTAGTACCCTTCTTCAGCACAGAGGCCCTGAGCCCTATGACGACCCCTCGGCCATCAAATGCTGTGCCCTCGAGAAGAGGATCATGAACTTCTTGATCGCATGTAGGCGGTTAAGTTGCCACCGATTGTGTTCTTTTGCATAGCGCAAGGCTGGGCTGATGGCGGAGTTGTGGAGAACTCTTTGCGTGGCAGCGATCTGATATTCACGTTGCGGCAAACATACTCTCATTTGGATGATGGCATTGGAATTGCCTTTCGTCTCAATATGGCTCGCGCCAAAAATGAAAGCTATCAGTCTCTGAGGCTTTTTGACAACTACTTCGTTGTAGAGGCCAGCCTCCGAACTGAAATTGTCACATCGATTGTACGTTGAAACTGAGAAACCACACCACCGACCGAAGGCTCAGGCGATTCGCAATCACACCGACAATCTGTGCTTGTGTCAACCACTGGCGATTGAAGTCGCTCAAGTCCGGCATTATGACCAGGATTAGACTGATCAGGAGAAAGGGGATTGGGGGACTTTGGACAAGTCCAACAGTCTGCGCTCCAAACATGAGCTCAGCATCCGGCTATGGGTAAAGCGTATGGGCTGCTACGCAACCGACAGCCTGCAGCCTGAAACGGCCGTTCCAGTCTTGGCAACTTCCTAATCCTATGGATGTCGAGGTGGGAGAAGGAGTCAGAGGATCAAATCCTTGTATTTCCTTCGGGCAATTCGTTCCTCGATTAGGCCCAAGTAAAGGACGAAAAGCCGGTAGCTATGTTCGTGCTAGTATGCAATTGTCGTATACAATGCAAGTTGTAACATATGCTTACCGTCCAGCATGCCTATATCTTGATGATCCGTCATTAGAAGGCGTACTCCACTCGCTTGCATACTTCGCGTATTCCACCAGCACTACGCCAGAAAAGGCTCGAGTACAAGATCTTGGTTCAACCTTCGCGACCAGGTCCGGAGTTTGTCGAGGTTCCAAGCCTTTGCCTGCTTTGTCGCTACACCGTTGTCGGTATGTGCACTAGGGCTCGTGCTGCATGTGTGGGGGGAGGCGCTGGCTTAGCTGTTTCTTTATCCCGTATGGACAACATCGTCTTCAAGCCCTTGAAGACGTCTCCACTTGCGCATCTAGCATGGCTTTGTGGTTGGCAACATATACCTAGGTCGCCGAATGAGCAAGCTCCGATGGTATGCCTGCCCTCTCCAGACGCCGACCGTTGTTCAACCGGCGTGATAGTTGTGGACGTGTCACCACGGGTTGAGTGGAGTGGATTTTCTGATACCCGAGTACCTGATCGTTACCTCGGGGGAGTGGCGCTGACTGACTCCGGGTGAAGTGGAAGATCCTGCAGTGATCGATTCAGGGTTTCGGGACGTTGAAGACATTCTCGAAACTCTTAACAACATCCAGGGAATACCGGGTAGATCGATCGGCGTGATGGTCTAGCCAAGGGGCGTGCTTCTTACTCCCGTGTGCCTTTCTGGGTCCGCGAAGAGGTGTTCTTTTTCTTTTCGAAAGAGGTCGTACATCCGGTGGTTTGATTTATCACATCAATGCGTTTTCTTTTGATGTTACATGTCGGGCGCAACGTCAATCAAGGACCCATCCCAGTTGTTCGTTCGATTGGTGTTTAGCTCTTTCTCAAAAGGGGATGTTTTTGAGGACGAAGGATCTCCGAGCACGAATGCGAGCGCCAGAACGAAAAATCACCGAACGAGATGCGAAAGTCCCGAGTACGAAGTCTGCCAAATTGCCCAATGTATCTTGAAAGGATAGAAACATGACCAAGTCGAAGCCCGTCTGCAACTGCTATTGGTCAGGAGCCACTTCCATAACAGATCATTCCACCCCCCTGGGAGGCTGCATGCCCGAGCTGCGCTGACTAAAGAGCCGTTCCAAAATCTCGTATAGCAGGGGTCCGGACTTCGCGAGAGACTCGAAATCGTCAAATGCGGCTGGCGTCGACCCAGAATGGGAAAAGGTAGGGTTCAGTCTTCGGTCTTCCTGTTAGATGCGCATGCTGACATTATACAGGCGATTTTGGGGGCGCCACATGGCTCGCCGGGGGAGCTGGAGCTTAGTCAGTAAGCAAAGCACGTGTTGCTGAGGGCAGGGTATGCCCGTTTCTGCTCTCGTGCGTCTAACATAGTACAGTACGGAGTTGTTCATGGAGGGTATGGTTCAGTCTGGATGTACTCCCGGAAAGATTGCCAACTGGTGGTGGCATGATCGAGGTGGACGACATGGCAGGAATACAATACAGCTGTTTGCAACGACCGGCCACTGTCATATCAATACTATCGCGATCATACTGTGAGTGGCACGGACACTCTATGGCTCTCCAATGACGTCTTGAAATGTGGAAGCCGAAGGCATTGTCAAAAAGACGATCAATTCTAGTATGCTTCTTCATTTATCTCTTGCTCTCAATTACTCTGGGGGAGGGCCTCGATCTACCTCAGCATGTGGCTGAAGGCGTCTCCGATCCCTTCTAGGGTCTCGTTCATGTACTCTGCGTACTTCATCTCGTTCATATACTCTCTCTCGTTGATGTACTCTCACTCGGTCATGCTCTCTCTGTCGTGCATCCCCTCCACCTAATACTATGGGGGGTGGCCGAGGTGGCCGAACACGTCCGTGGTCTGGACGCTGTACAGGAGGGGCTTCTTGGGGGCCGTTAGCTTAACCATTCCCAGTTGCTATCTGAGCGAAGCGGACGATCTCACCTAAATCATCAGAGGATGTTGCCTCGCCGACATCATATACTGCTGATACTCCACGTCCGAGGTTTCTCGCGTTCAAAATCCAATAGGTGAGCAAGGCGAAAATAAACACCAGAACGACGATGATGATTGCGATGGTAACGTTCGCCTGCGCCATACAGCGCGACTTTGTCTGCACTTATGCAGTATTATGTGCATATAGCATCCGCAGGAAGGTTATTTTCATGTTCAACATATAGTATAGTATTCCTATAACATTGTTACGTTCCCACGCAAATGTCAAGCAACATTATTATCGGTACGGAGTACTGTCTCCGTATCCTTTGATGACTGGCGAGGCTGGGACTTGTGGCGGCACCAGCCTTTCAATCCCTGTAACTTGAAGGAGAGTCAACACCCTGGCACTTGCGTGCGTTTCCATGGCAAAGGAACTTGCACCTACCGCGGAGCATAACAATTCGGATTGCAGTACGAAGTACTCCGCACTTATCTGCTCCCTTCTTGATCATCTTCCTACACCTGCAGCCTCTTCGGCTTCGATGCCTCGTCCACCGAAAGACTTCGCCGTCTCTTCCGCGAGTCGCCATTTGATGGTACTTCTTTCAAATCAGGCCGGGACTCTCTTTCTTGCCTGCCGGCACCGGCCGTGGAAGCAAAGAACGAATCGAATCCGGAAGAAGACGGCTGAGGAATACTCGCAGCCTTCATGGTCTCCTCAAGCCGTTTCAATCTTTTGAAACACCAGTGATCAAGATTCGCACCACCTAGGCTCCGGTTTTGCTTGCAGGCTTCGTCGTACAGGAGCCAGGCCTCTTCGTGCTTGCTGCAACGTTCCAAGATATAAGCCAGACGGCAAACAACATCCAAAGTCGTTGGCTTTTCAATTCCCAACTGCGATATCAGGCCGCCCAATGCCGTTCGGATCATCTCCTCGGCTTCTACGTATCTCTCCTTGAATTGGAGTGTCCAACCGAGATCGGCGAGGCTCCATAGTGTGCTGTGATGGTCGCATCCGAGCGTCTTTTGATAACCCGCCAATGCCCGCTTACCAGCGTCTTCGGCTTCTGTGTATCTCTTCTGTTCACGCAGTGCCACAATGAGGTTTCCCAAACAGGCCAGTGCTTCCGGATGATGTTGTTGTTTGGTTTCTTCCCAGACTGCGAGTGTCTTTTCATACATGTCCAGCGCATCCTTGAATTTCTGCCGGGATCTAAGATTGATGGCAAGGTTCGACTGAGCAACAAGGATATAAGGATGGCTTTCTTTGAGGTGCTTCCGGTAGCCAACTAATGCCAATCTGAGCATCTCTTCTGCTTTAGCAAAGTCCCCCTGCTGCCGAACTGCTGCCGCAAGGTCACAGTAGCTTGTCATGGTGTCGGGGTGTTCCGGTCCAAGAACCTTCCGTCTGCTTTCCAGAACTTCTCGGTACATCCTCTCAGCTTCTCCATCATGGCCAGCCTCCAACATCACCGATGCCAAGTCGCCCTTGCTCGCAAGAGTGTCAGGATGCTCCTTTCCCAGAGTTTTCTCCCTTCTTTTATACGCCTGGCGGCTCCTTTCTTCCGCAAGTTCCCACTTTCCCTGGTAACCCAATATCCGTGCCAGATTACTGAGGCTTTCTATTGTATCAGGATGCTCCTTTGTCAGGACTTCCTCTCTCAAAGCCAGCACTTTCCCGCACACGACCGCTGCCATATCATACTTTCCTTGCTTCTGAAGTATCAGCGCTCGGGTGTTCATCGCAGCCATGGTCTCAAGGGATTTGCTTCCTAGCATACGCCTGCATTTCTTCTCAAGGCTCTCGCTCATTCTTCTTGCTTCCTCATACTCTCCTTGCCCTTGGAGGGCAAGAACCAATGAGCTCAGGCTGTCCAAGCTGTCCCGGTGATCCTCGCCGATGGACTCCTTTCTTCCTTGATACGCTTGTTGAGCCATCTCTGCAGCCTTTGTAAAATGACCACGCTCCCTTAGTACGGAACTGAGTTTGTGGACAAGCGTCAGCCTGTGTATAGGGTCCTTCCATATCCATATAGTGTCCAAAAACAACAGTGACTTCTTGTACATACGCTCCGCCATCGCAGAGTTGCCGCCATCTGACGACACAAGGGCATACTTTTCTGCCATACGAACCTGATCAGTGCTTGAAACGGCGAAAAGTGATCCGTCTGGCCCCACAATGCAATTGACGTGAGGGTATAGCCGCCTTCGAAGCTGATAATCAGAAGCATCTTGGCCGGATGGGATTGAATCCGCCAAGGTCAATGATGCCATTGTCCTTGCCCGCTGCTTGTCCAGTCCTTCTAGGCGGTCTCGAGCCCATGAATGAACTAGTCTGTGGAATGTAAAGGTCCTGTTTTCTTCGTTGAGATCGATCAGAGAGTAGCGAGCCAACAAAGAGACTGCCTCAGAGATTCGCTTCTTTGTTCGCTGAGTTGCCGAATGATCTGAGACCGGAGCTTCCCTATAGTCTTGGTTGGAGCCTCTAGAAAACGTCTTATGGAAGGATAAAAACCTTGCAAACCCCCAGTATTGAGAAGCAGCCTTGCTATGCGGACCTTGCTCAAGCAGAATTGATGCGTGGTCAAAAATATGCCATGGCACATCTTCTGGATGCAGGAAAGCTGACACGTTCAACAACTCTCGCGCAACTGATGACTCCGGACAGTTCTGTTCTTCCATCATTCGAAGAGAAACCTCCCAGGCCGTGTAGACCGTATACTTGTATCCATCGGCGCCCTGGCCTGGATGGGTTTCCAGGAGTCTGCGGTGGTCTTGGTCGTACTCATCCAGATAGGTTTGTAGTTTGCAGCGGCCTTGCCTAATGGCAGCACCTGCTTGCATGAGGGCCAATGGTAGACAGTCTAACTTCAAGGCAATCTGTTCCGCCCAGTAGCGACACTGCTTATCATCACGATCGGCTCCAGTAGTCTTTAAGATCAGCGCCATTCCATCCTCGAGTTCCATGTCTTCGAGCTTATGACACATTTCCGGCATGGTCGCGTAGATGCCACAGTCGGCATTCCGACTGGTGACCAAGAGAGCGCCACTGTTTCCGGAAGGGAAGAATTGGGCAATGTCGACAGAGGGATCATCGGCATTGTCCAAGATCAAAAGCCAGTCCAGCTGTTGATTCGAAAGCCAGAGTTTTCCGTCCTTGACGCCCATGGCATTTCCAATGTCGGCGTATGAACGATCCGCTGCTTCCACGCTACTAGCGTCGATCCAGAATACTCCCCAGAATCTACGAACGAGGATCAGTCTTTTGCAGTGGGCATCAAGCTGGCCGGCTTACTTCCGACGGTATGTCTCTGCAAACCTCAGACTGATCTGAGTCTTACCCACACCCCCAAGCCCGTGCAAGACGAAGATCCTTCGCTTTGCGATCTTCTCTGGAGAAGATGAGGCCACGAGGGATCGTTCGAGTCTTTCCAATACTCCCAAACGTCCTGTGAATTTATTGCTGCAGGCGTGGGGAACAAGATATTGCTTGTTCATCCTGTGATCCCGGTGACTGAGCATCCCAGGCTCGTCCGCTCCGTCATCTGGAAGGTACTCTAATCGTCGTGTAGCTTGTTCAAGAGTGAGTTTGAAAGGAACAGAAATAGCATTGGAAGAAGAGTAGCAGCGACATACTTCCAGGCGGGGTCGGTGCCGACGACGACTGCTGGGCCTTCGCCGCTATGCCTCGGACCACTCCCGCCGCTATCTTATAATCGACCTCCTCTGGTCGTGCGAACTTGTTCATGTTGAAATGTGTACGTTCCAGAGGATACTTCGACACTCGATCGGACAAGTCTAAACATCCCGAACGCTCATTGACCGCAAACGTCTGGGAAATGTCAGCACGAATCGAAGTCAATCGGGCCCCTTCTTACCTTACGTCTCTGCTTTCCAACGATGGCTCCAATTTCGCTCGCTTGGAGTTCGTAGAAACATGCGATCCGCGTCTGCAGCATTTGTGGCCACACCCTCTTCTGAAAAGCATCAACCAGATCCTGGAGCAACTCATTATCTGGGGCGAGGATCTCGAGAGGCCTGGCCTCAATGTCTTGTTCGTCATATTCGCGGGCCGCCGCCTCTACCATTTCACTGTGGGTCATCCCATCGGCGCCTCGAAATGGTGTTCCGAAAAAGACCAGTCCTCGCACCGCATCGAAAATACCAGGCCATTCGTCTCGGTCATGGTACGCCTCACATACAGCCTATCCTTGCTGTTAAGTTAATGTCTTGACCGTGAATCTGTAAAACTGACCTTCAGGACGACCAACCCTCCAAAGCTATGCGCGATGAATATCAATGGTCGATCGACACAGCTCTTCTCCAGTCAGTCCAATATCTCTTCCTGAACATCGATTCTTCCTACCTCTCGTTCTTGTTTCAGGACGGTGAGTAGCCTGTCCGCCACTGTTCGAGGAGAGTGCCTGATGGTATCCGGCCCGAACCAATTTGACTTGTATCCGAACCGCATGATCCGTGCATTTGGCACCGCCGCCGGCAACATTTCCTCCTCTTGTAACCAATTCATCCACTGAGGTTCATCTTTGGTCCCGCGGTTCTTCGTCCAGGTGTCGTCCGGGTGGGCTCCGAGGCCGTGGACAGCGACGATACTGCCGACTGTCAGTCACACAAGGAAGCCTTGCTGGAAGATCCTACAACTCACTCGATGGTCTCTTTTCCATCTTTGTTCCCCGAGCCCAGCGTCGGCCACAGCACCTTCAGGCCCGTATGCTCGTCCGTCAGCCGAAGCACCTGAGGCTGAGGTCAGTGACTCGAATGAACCAACATGAAGAGGACGAATATCACCATGACAGGTCTACCACCTAAGATGCTTTATACTCGAGTCAGTGGAGTGATTGTATACTACAGGACGCCTTGTTGCTGAACATCGTGTCTGAAAGAGTCCCCAATGAAGGCACCTTCGCAGCCAGCCGTGAGGCTGAATGCGAACCACGAGGGGTCGCATTCGTGCCTGTGATACGGTGCCTCGATAAGGAAAAGGCCACGATGGGCCATTTCCGATGCATGACTTGGCAGCCCATCACAACTGGCCCTTTTCACACACAATTGTGCCGCAATATTGGATCCTACATCCCTTCCATATAACGCACAGCTTGACCGAAGTTGCACAACCTGCTATGACCACACATGTACCCTTTTTGCACGGCCATCAACTTTGCCCTGACCTCGATGTTCCCAGCTCTGGGGGAGTGACCCAGCATATCCCCGGTCATCCAAGCATTTCCTTGACTGATTCCAATGCCCTTGCGAGGTTTCTACGCAAGGAATTCTGGGCGGCTGACCTGGAAGCCGTGGCTTCGAAATTGTGGATTTTAACAACACCATCAAGCGCGAATGTCCATCCGCTCCACAGACAGAAGGTCCAGGGAAGGGAGATCGTCGTGACGGAAGACCCACGTCTCCACCTGTTATGGATCAACAATCGTATCTTCATCAAGCCACTACCGATCTATCTTGTGTCCCACTCTTTCTGGATATTTCTATCCCAAGATTCTTCGTTTGCTGAGCGGGCCCAGATTCGTCGTGCGGCAATGGGCTTCTTGCGGACATATCGCTATCTCATCCAACATGAGTCCGATCTAGTGATTGCACAGCAAGACCACCTCCGGCTGGTGCCAACCAATATCAACTGGACGGAGTTGTCGATTTTCTTGGCCGATCTTGAGCAGATGGAAGAAATGCAGGCTTCGGCTCGATATCACTATGGGGAACTCCGCCTATCCCGGCTCAACATCTACGCTCCCCTTTTGTTTGGTCGCTTTTACTATGAACATATTCCCATGCAATATGGCGAGTACTTTGCACGCCTCTATGGACCCATTCTGTTCATTTTTGCCGTGGTGACGACCATCTTAAATTCCATGCAGGTGGCTCTGGCAGCGAATCCGGGCCAGGAGTCCTCTGGCTACTACCTGTGGGATATCTTCTACTGGTTCGCGATCGTCACACTGCTGATAACGGTCGTTGTCGGGTCCTCTTTGGTACTACTTTGGCTCGGAATGATCGTGAACGAGTGGAACTTTACGCTGAGGAATCGACACAAGGCCCAGGAACAAAGCATGAGCTGATACCAGCGAAGGTCTTACCACTAGACGAAGCCTGGAACTGTTAGAGTCGACGCTTAACATATTAGGCCATTCAGAAGTGTTTCAACTCACATTAGCCGGCTTCATCCGTGGCTCATGCAGACATGCCGAGCGTTCATTGACCGCAAACTCCTACTGTATTCAATATCAGCGCGAATCGAAGATCAATCTGGGCCCTTCCTTACCCTACGTCTCTGCTTTCCAACGATCGCTCCGACTTCACTCGCTTGGACAACTCGGAATGGCTTAGTCATGTCTCAGGTCAAATGGAAATGGACTTTGGAGAGGTCAAGAATCGCCGCTGAGTAAATTGGTATCCACCGTCTAATGGTCGAGGTGCAACACTTTCGAATGGGTGCCTTCTGTTCCTGCTCGGTGTTCAATGTGTATAGCTGCGAGCGATTTCCTGAGTCAAGGCTGTGACCGTGCCGACCAAGAATCATTTTGTTAAGTTTTGGGACCACTGTCGACGCCACGCTCTAAGAGGGCATTTGACCCGTCGCCATTCAGGCATACCTAAGGTTCCGTGTCGACTTGGAGCTCGAATCTTGGCAATCGAAGGACTCATATCTGATGGATTGAAACATGTCGAGAGGAGCTCCCGCCCTAAGTGTCCCGGTGCGTTTCTATTGACGCTAGGCCAAGTTCGCGGAACCAGCATCCTGGGGAAACGCGTCTGCCCTTAGCGAGTACGCTCCTAGTAACTCTCTCGTACACTAGTAAGCGAGCCCCTATTTCTACAACGATTAATGCGTAATAGGAAGACAGAGCCAGAGGTCATATAAAGGTATGGCAAACTTGCAATCCAGACTGGGAGTAATGCTTGGGACATGAACAAGGTCGCAGGCTCAAAAAATTGATTTTGGATCAACAGCCCCGGTCTCTCAGCGCCAACAAGATGGCGGCATTATGGCGCCTCCTCGGAGCGCCTCCCGCAAGAAGTCCACCGCCGGCGGTTGAGAGTGACGAGGTCTACCCGGTTCACATGCTAGACGACACACAGACACTCCGGGACATCGTCGTCACATGGACGCTGTGCTTTAACGACGTACTGGACGCGGACAACTTGTACATGTCGTTATCGAAACTGCTGGAAATTGGAGACTGGAGGAAGCTTGGTGGTCGGCTGAGGTTGAAGGTTAGCTTCTCATTTTGATCATGTTCGACCGATCAATTGCTGCTGACTCACGCTCGCCAGGAGAATGGGCAGCTGGAGATTCACGTACCACGGCCTTTCACGTCGGAACGTCCTGCCGTGTCCTATACCCACCAATCCCTAGCCATGGACATTCAAGACCACCCGCTGGCAAAGACCCTCCCCAAAGCCACCGAAGCCCCGTCCATCCAACGTGGGCCACAGGCCTTTCGAGACTTTGCGGCTCGGGAAGACGCGTCGGCGACGCTCGAGGATTTCGTCTACCAGGACATCCCCCAGCTATCGCTACATATCACTTCGTTTAATGACGCAACGCTCGTGGCTCTCTCATGGCCACATACACTTATGGATGTCATGGGCCAGCAAGCCCTCCTGCGCGGCTGGTCTCTGGTGCTAGCCGGCCGGGAGGTGGAAGTGCCCCCCATGCTCGGTGCGCGAGAGGACGCATTGTGTGCAGCCGCAGATGCGCCCGTGGAAAACGAAGAAGAGTTCAGGCTGGGGGAGAAGCGGCTGAGGGGATGGGCCATGCTCATGTTCGGATTGCGATTTGCATGGGATCTGCTGTGGAACCGGCTCGTCGAGACACGCACCATCTTCTTACCTAAGAGGATAGTGACCGAGTTGCGACGTCAGGCGCAGGGCGATCTGGCTGCACAGGATGATAGCGGAGGGGAGAAGCCATTCATCAGCGAGGGGGACGTGCTGACAGCGTGGGCATTGCGTGCGGTGGTTTCCTCCCTACCGCAGCCACGGTCAGTGTCGGTGCTTCACGCGCTCAACGCGCGGTTCCGACTCTCTTCGCTAGCTCAGGCTTCGGGTGTTTATGTCCAGAATATGGCGGTGGCCGCCTTCACCTTCCTTTCTTGCGAGATTGCCACAGGCGCTCTAGGGCCGATAGCCCTGGAGAACCGCCGCCAATTGATGGAGCAATCGACCGAGGCACAGGTGCTTGCCTGCCTGCGCGAACTGCGGCGGGAATCCAAGTCGGGCAGAAGCGACCCGCGTATGGTGTGCGCTGAGTCGTCCGACGCCCTGCTGATGCCTTTCACCAACTGGACCCGGGCAGGCTTCTTCGAGACGGCCGACTTCAGCCCCGCTCTTGTGCGCGCCGGCGAGACGGGGCAGTCAAGGAGCAACCCGCCCGGCACCATGGTGTTCCACCAAGCGCAATCAATGCGACAGGGCCCGGCGGTCAGGAACGTGATCGTGGTGTTGGGCAAAGACCACGGCGACAACTACTGGCTGACCGGGATTCTGCTCCCCGCAGCCTGGGCCAAGGTTGAAGAGGACATAGATAGGATGTCACAATGGCAATAATAAGATAGAAAACGGGGACGTCCGATATAGATCCTCGACAGCTGCTGTGGCGAATTTCATTTATCAAAGACAGAATATAAGATAGATGAAAGGAATGAGCGAGCACTCTACTATGTAGGGGTGGTAGGGGCAGCACTGGGCATTTAGTATAATTGTCACTAAAATTGTCGTGGGGCTCGGGTAACCTTCCCTAAGTTGACCTGCACCCGGGGCACCACATCACGTGCTCTTTTTTCTTCGGCTCCGCGGGGAAGTTCGCGTCCGATCTTCCTTCATTCCCAACCAACAACGGTCAACACCTTCAACCTTTTTTCCGACAGCAGCCTTGCAATTCGGTATCGGCTTCTCGCAGTCTGTGCATCATATCGAGCTCGACATACAGATTATAATTGTTCAGAAAACAATCAGACTGAGCACCCTGCCAGTACCGCGAGTATCGCTAAGTTGGCCTTCGTCATCTGGACGGACGGGAGGCCCAAAGTTGAATATGCCTACAACGAGGCATGAATACTAGCTCCGAGGTCGATCAAGATGCTGCATCGAATTCAGCTCACAACAAGCAAGCGGCATGCCTCGAATGTCGGCGAAGCAAAGTGAAATGTACTCGAGACGCGAATGCCGCGGTCTGTCGGAAATGTCAACAAGCTGGCTTACAATGTGTTACGCCCGAGTATCATGTAGGAAGATACAAAGGTGTCAAGAAGTATGTTGTAGTGGTCAGACGCTTCTATTGTGTACTGACAATTTCAAGTAAACGGACGGGTTTGGAGAAGGCAATTTATCAGGTCGAACAGGCAATCAAGCGCTCCAAAGATGGATCCACGGGTCTCGGTCTTGATGTCGAAGCGGATCTACGTCACTTGATCTCTTCTCCTCAGCCTTCTCCTCTGCGAAGACAGTCTAGCTCGAACACCCCCAGTACTGGCAACCCACAACCATTTGTACACCCACGCGCAAACTTGTTCACAGGAAAGGAAGATGGCCCCTCACCAACCACTCATGAAGTGTCACCAGCGGCTATGGGTGAAAAGCCCGACGAGCTTGCCCTCAACAATGCTGATAACCCACTCCAGCTGCTGGCGATGGCCTCCGTGCTGCCTGGTCAATCGCCTTCCACGAACATGTCCACATCTCCCGCCGGCGCACTGGCACATCAAGCAACCAACGAGTCCAACTTAGGAGATGCCGACTTGCAACAGTTTTTTGGATCGCTTATGTCCAATCTGGACAACTCGTCAGACCTCGACCCAATCGAGCTGGGTCTGGTGACGGCAGAGGAAGCAGATACTCTATTCACGTATTTCTATGAAAGGCTGTCGCACACGAGATGGGGCCTGGATCCGACACTTCATACGGCTGCATTTGTGCGCTCAAGGTCGGCATTCCTATTCACGTCCATTTTGGCCGCGTCTGCATTGTTCCTGCCGAAAGCAGAAGCATTGTCAAAAAGGCTATCTAACCACAGAAATCATCTTGTACAGACGATTATCCATAACAGATACAGATCAGTGGAGATTGTTCTTGCGTTCATGGTCAACATTCCCTGGATGACACCTGCAAAACACTGGGCTGATGACGAGACATGCGCATACTTGTCCGCAGCACTTACCCTGGCTTTGGATCTATCATTGAACAAGATTGTGGTACCGTCTCCAACAATTCGACCTGCAGGCTTCCTGGACCGAATTGCCAAGGCCGATTGTATCGATTCTGCAAGAGCTCTTCAAATCGATGGGTTTCCGAATGTTGATCCATCATCAGCTTGGGGACGGCGCCTTCTGAGGACTCGGGAGCGAGTGTATCTGGCCTTGTTCGTACTTGACCGAGGGTACGGCTTGTCCTCGTTTTGGTACATACTTGACCCGACTAACGTTTGACCTTTAGCGTCTGCCTGGCGAGAGGACGACCGTACGCCGTGCCCATTGGACCCTTGATCGAAAGTTGCGACACCTGGCATATCTCGGACATAGCAGATCGGTGGGATGGAAGTGTCATCTCCGCCGCCGTGCTGAGACGTGATCTGGTAGGCGTTGGCTAGGAACTTGGCCGGTGACAATGCTGACGGTGCATAGGTCGGCCTCATCACTAGTGTCCGAGAGTTCTGCGATGGAAGTCAAGGTGTCAATGGTGGCTCGACAGCGGTGAAATTGTAGGTCATACTTATTCGAGATTGTGGACTTTTAAGCTAATTTTTGGCGCAGTCTCAAGGACAAAATTGACCGGTTCTTCGAGCAATGGTTCGCAGTTTGGTCGCGCCAGATCACACAAGGAGATGGTAGAGCGAAACAGCACTACAAATTGTCGAGGCTATACTAATGTTTGTGGCAGGGCAATTACCACCTTACGTTGAGATCTTGGCTTCGCATACGAAACTGTCCACTTACTGCAACGTTGTCAACCATCCCACCGCATCAAATGATGTGAAGCAGTTTTTCCGTGCAGCGGGCCTTACTTCAGCTATGAACGTCATGCGTGCTGCGGTGCAAGGCGAGAATCGACTCAAATCTATGCCAAACAATACTGTCATCATGGTGTCTTTTGCAGCATGTTTTGCCTTGGCACTGGGTACCACCACCCTTGGGAACCGAGCAATCCTGGCTCCCAATTCAAGGTCTCTCATCGAGGAAACGACTCAGGTGCTTGAGCGGATTGGCAGTACACCGAGGCATCGCAAGGGATTGTCCGTCCTCTTCGCCAGGCATATCCGCCGAATCCTGCAAAGTTCGCTCCTCCAGCCCACGGAGGAGAATCAAGCAAATGTGGCTGCAGTGCATGAGCAAATGGCGCAACAGGACCCAAATATCGACTATACGTCTACCAATGCCACAGCAATGGGCATGCCGAATGTTCCTGCAGAGCCTTATGTTTTTGACATGACTGACGATCAAATCTTGGAAGCCATCAACAATGCCAGTGCATCTCAAGAATTGTTCCAGCTCGACGAAACAATGTTCATGGATTGGCTGGACTGGCCCAATGTCACTTGACCAGCTGGTGGGTATGTTGCAGGCATAATCTTATCACAGCCAGTTAGGCTTCCTGAGCAGAGGCGGCCACAGGCAGGGTCTCCGCAGAATTCATTCCCCTTGACAGGTCAACAAGCTTTTGAAGCTGTTCGAGGAAGACAAAGGTGAGGACGGTATTCGGCCTGGAGCCTGTCAGTATTGCACCAGATGCAGTGCAAGTCGATACTTACGCCAACCTCAGCCAGGCAGGAGTCCAGCCTTTGAAGAGGAAACGCGGCCCTTCAGTGCGCAACGATTCCGAGATGATCTTGCTCACACTCTACACATTGGGTCAGTTTTCGCTTGCAATACCGGGAGATATATGTCTTACTGGTTTTACGCCGTCAACTGTCACAGCGTTCTGTATCCTGCTCTTCAAAACGTCTGCAGGGGCACAGGCGGTGGTGGCAACCGTGCCTGCGAGGAGAGAGGCCATGAAGTGTGTAGGCATCCCATCTTTCAGGCCGAGGGAATCGTTGGACAGTAAGGCGCGTTTTGCGGCGGAATAACTGGAAGGATATGAGCGTCGAACGATTTCGAGAGATTTTGCAACTCACGTGGCGATCTGCGACACGTTCATTATAACGCTGCGAACCACATTCGGACCTAGACCTCTAGTAAAGGTCCGGACACCCTCGTCCCTACCGATTCTAACCAGAGCGTCGAAAGCGTGCGCATATCCGAATCTTTGCGCGGGAGATTTTGCGCCATCAGCACACATTCTGACAAGGGCAACCTGGAGACGAACGTTAACGACTAAGGGGATTCAAAGACATTACAACACAAACCTCAGTGGGATTCCCAATAAGTCCAGCAAGTCCGCCCGCCGCACCGGCACATGCGATCTCCATCGGACTAGAAAGGCGTTGTTGTCCTGTCCGTCGTCGAGCCTCACGCGCGAAATAGTTGTACAGGCCAAACCTTGCGGTCGAATACGTTGATTGTCGGAGGACGGAAGCTGAAATTCCCCACCACAACGATGGTATTCCTGTAGACGTTAGGTCTATGACGAAGCTGGTCTGGGAATGAAAACCCATACCATCACGACTTGCGAACTGGATCATTGTTCTCAGCATGTTTTGTCTGGCTGCGATGACCTGCATTCGACTGCGAGAAAAGTCAGGCTTGAGAATGAGCCAAGAGCGAAGCATACTCACTATTTTGTCTGGTCTAGTGGATGAGCTGGACTTTTGTCAGTGTTGTCCGATCTGGAAGCGCAAAAACAGGGAGTCATACTGCAACAAGCCGCCATCGCACCCGCAGCACCACTATTCATTGTCAGTACGTTCCATGGTACAGCATTCGAAACATAGACTCACCCGAGCCAAAATGGTTGTCCTTGAGAACCAGATTTTGCCATTGTGGGAGTAAATGCTCTGCAAGCAAAGAAACCCCTGGACTTTGCTCTTGACTTTGAAGCCCTTATGGGTATATTTGGGTCAACAACCGCGCCGATTCGGCCATAAGGTGTACAGTTGCTACCACGGCTATATCATACGATGGACCAAAGGATGAATACCGATACTAGCAGTCCCAAGTGAACATTCTTGGTTTGCAAGGCTATTTCGACCGGCTGGCAGCCACAGGCTCATCTACCTACTCGTCATATGTATATACGTTGATATAAGGCTCTTCAAGAATATTGGTCCCACATCGTCTTCGTTTGGCACATGCCAGCATAGGACATTGACCTCGTCGGCAATATCCCATATCCCATATCTCCGTATCCCATATCTCTAACCCCACAAACAAGCAGATGAAGGCTCGGCCTCAGAAATATCACCGATGGGTCAAGAGCCGGTCACGTGTGGTTCGGATGAGGGTCATATCCACGAAGGTCCAGAGCTGTCCGACCCTCGCCGACCTCTATCCGATTTCGCTCAATTTGCCTCCGACTCTGAGCTTTTGCTTTGATCTCGTGAATATATCTAGATTACATTGTGCTTCGCGGGCATATCATACATCATTTATACAGCCAGTCACGCCCAAGTCGACCACAATGGCGACGAGAAGGACCTTACTGCTTTGCGTCAACGACATCAAGACGGCTTCATGCTCCAACGTCAACACTCTCCTTCCCCGCAGACTATTGGTCCGCCAATCAAACATCAGGCCTTGTGTTTCCAGACAACGAGATGTTCGATATTTCTCCTCTTCGCGCCTTAGATGGCACGAAGCTGGCGATCAGCCTGTCATCGACCGAACAAGATCAAAGGTCTTCAAAGATGCGGACGAGGCTGTTGCGGACCTGAAGTCAGGCTCGACCCTTTTTAGCGCCGGTTTTGGTCTTTGCGGTACAGCTGGTACGCGATCTATTCTCCTCAACGGCACGATTGTTCTTAATACTGACGGGCCTTGTCAGAAACGATTATTGCAGCTATCCACAGGCGTGGGGTTGATTCACTGAACAACCTCACTGCTGTTTCGAACAACGCCGGCGCTGCAGGTGCAGGTGGACTTTCGCCCCTGACACAGTCTGGTCAGATCACCCGTTGCATCTTGTCTTATCTGGGAAGCAACAAGAAGCTAGAGCAGAAGTATCTGACCGGTAAAATCGCCATCGAACTATGCCCTCAAGGGACGCTGGCAGAGCGGATTCGTGCTGGCGGCTCGGGCATTCCTGCGTTTTATACCCCAACGGGAGTTCGTAAGTATTGACCACTCCTTTGGCGGTCGATCACCGTTGACAACCCATAAAAGATACTCTTATTCAAACCGGCGAGATCCCTACACGCCTGGGACCGGCTGATTCCGAAACCAAGAAATCGGTTGTCCTGGAAGGAGGAAAGCCGAGAGAGACAAGGATTTTCAATGGCCGGACGTATGTCATGGAGACCGCGCTGACAGGCGATGTTGCCATTATTCGTGCTTGGAAAGTCGACGAGGCTGGCAATTGTCAATTCAGGTGAGCAAGAAGGTCTCTTGCTACGAGATGTACGGCTGATGTGTGGCTAGATACACCACCAAAGCCTTCGGGCCTATCATGGCAAAGGCCGCCCGCCTTACAATTGTGGAGGCCGAAAACATTGTGCCTATCGGCTCTATCGATCCTAACGACGTCCATCTTCCCGGCATTTTCGTCGATCGCATCGTTCCAGCGACCGTCGAGAAGAAACTCGAAATCAAAAAGACCCGACCTAGCGGTAATGACAGCGGCTACGAATCCGAGGCATCTGCATCGTCGAAATCCGATGCCAAACCCGAGGCTCTTGTCCGACGGGACCGCATTGCCCGCCGCGCGGCCAAGGAACTCAAACACGGCATGTACGTGAACCTGGGCGTGGGAATGCCTACACTCGCGCCATCTTTCCTGCCGTCGGACGTCAAAGTCTGGATCCAATCGGAGAACGGCATCTTGGGAATGGGCGCCTACCCGACCGAGGAAGAAGTCGACCCGGACATCATCAACGCCGGCAAAGAGACGGTCACTTTGGTGCCGGGGGCGTCGACGTTCGATAGTTCCGAGTCCTTCGGCATGATCCGCGGCGGACACGTGGATGTCTCGATCCTGGGCGCCCTGCAAGTCAGCGCGGCAGGTGATCTGGCCAACTATATGATTCCGGGCAAGGTGTTCAAGGGCATGGGCGGCGCGATGGATTTGGTGTCGAACCCGGACCAGACCAAGATCGTGGTCACGACGGACCATGTCGACAAGTATGGCAAGAGCAAGATCGTGGAGAATTGCTCGTTGCCCTTGACCGGGGCACGCGTCGTGAGCACCATCATCACCGATCTGTGTGTGTTCCAGGTCGATAGGGCCATGGGCACGTTGACCTTGACGGAGCTCGCGCCCGGTGTGACGGTCGACGAGATCAAGGAGAAGACGGATGCGAATTTCGCCGTCGCTGAGAACTTGGCGAAGATGGAGTAAGCCTTACGTGGGCTAGCTAGCTAGATCCTCAGTACTAGTACTAGTGCTCTGAAGAGTGTGTGTATGAGCTGGAAGGGACTCTTGGATGAGGTTACGACATGGTTGGTGGCAGTGGGATGGCGCTAGGTGCGTAAGGCGCGTGTGGGAACTTTTTCTTGCCGCAGATGTGAGGCGTTTGAACTCTGGAGGTTTGATCGGACCAATCGAGTCAAGGACAAATGTTGGAAAAGCGTACATCGGTAGACGAGAGCTCTGATATATACTAGCTAGCATGGCGAGCATAAATGCACATATGGGACAAGATTGTAGCATCTGCGATACTTTTCCTCTCAAATGCGGAATATGTGCGAATACCATTTTTCTAAGGCACAGGTCATGACGGGGATGGTTTCGTGTAAATGTCCTAAGTTGACGCTCCCCATCTATGTTAGATTCTTTTTATCCTTTCGGTATAGCTTAGCTTGCCACCCGCGATGCGACGCGGCCTTTGAGACTCTTGACCACGACCCCTCGACTACAGGTGCCTACGGTAGGTAGGGCCTCTCACAGCTTGGCCTGCAGCTTGGCACCCATGCCCGGCGCGAAGGTGGTGCCGCGTCCTTCCGTCAAGCCCTGGACGATCTCATCGATGGCGTTTAGAATCCACTGGTTGCCCTCGTCAGTCGCGAGCCATTCGCCGCCTTCGATGTCCTTTTCGGCCGAGCCGTCGGCGTACGCTTTCCGTAGGCCAAAGATGTGGCTCGTGACCTGTGGGCCAACACCGGTCTGGGCGCGCAGGCAGGCAATGGCGACGAGCGAGGTGAGGACGCGGCCGACCTTGATGGGCGAGTCGCTCGGTGGGTCCGACAGCAAGTTGGAGTAGTGTCCGTTGATGATGTGCACGGGCAGGTTGGGATGGCTCTGGGCGAGCTTGTCGAGTAACTTGCCCTCAAAGGGTTTGTAGACGCTGTCCCAAAGCGCGCGGCCGCGGGAGATGGAGTCGCGGAGGGTGTCTGGTTCGAGTTGGCGCGACGGTTGGGCCGGGATGCTGTCGAAGACGTCCTTGGGCATGCCCTCGCGAAAGGCACCCAGGCAGTTGATGGTGCGCGGGATGCCGTTGAACGAGATGCATTTCAGACCGACTTCGCGCATCAGGCCGGCCGTTACGGCGGGTGGAGGTGGTGACGGGAGTGATTGCGTGAGATGATATAGTTCGACCATGGCGCCGGGGGAGTTCATGGTCATGGTCGTCGCCGTGGCCATGGTCAGCCAGGCTGGGATGCCGATGCCATGGTCTCGGGCGCTGTTGGCTACGCGGGAGTACGTCGAGCGGATCGATGATGGTGCTTTGAGATAGCCCGGGAGAGCGTGGGTGGCGTTGATGAGCTGTTTTAAAGGGTCGGATAGCTTGGACATATTGTTGTTGTCGTCGGCGGACTGGTGGTGCCGCTTGCTGCTGGGTTTCTTGTTGATGCGAAGGGCTAGCCGAGGAGCTGTTTGCTCGGTGTTGTCGTCAGATAAGAAGGCCAGACCAGATAAACAAACCGAAGGATGGATGTTTTCGTGATATGTGGGGTGGTGGGAAAGGAATGGATGGAATGGAGGTATGGATTAACTTAGCGTACTATTCGTACTACACGTACAGGTCTGGGCAAGCGATACTGGTAGCTCTCTGGACAGGGACCGGCTTGATGGGGAAGGGGAAGACGGCTTTTCTCCCGACGACGCCTTGCCACCGGACTTGTCACTCATACAGTAGAACGAGAACCTCGGCGGTACTGATTGGGCGAGACGATGCTGCAAGGCTGTGCTGAAGAAAGACCCGACCGGCTACACCAATATGTCCTGGGATAGGAATCAGCTGAGTAAAGGGATCGAGGAGTGAGGTACGACTATGGACTCAGGTATGGAGAAGGATGAAGTCAACAACCTCGGTAAAAAGAAAGACCGGCCGCCGGAGCCAAGAACAACGACCGCCAGATGGAAATCAAAGCAGAATCGGCCATTCTTCTACTCCCGCCCAATCAAACACTCGACACCCAAGAGGAGGCCGCTCGTGCTCGCTCTTTGGGCCGGTCGATCTGCCGCTGTCTTTGGCGGAGTTTCGATCAAGCCGCTCATCGACACCGATCTTACTATATCTGGCCCAACACCTTCGTTGATGTAACGCCATTCCACGCCTTGCGTCGCATGAACACCGGCGGTCCCCCGAGCGGTCCCCCGAGCGGTCTACAGTGATTGATGCTTGCAAATGTTGAGACGCAGGTATGATTTGACGGCCAAGAAATGATCCCATCCCACGGGGTACAAGAACAAAGAGGGGTCCCCTACATGGTGAGATGGATGGTAAATTTCTCGAGTCCCTTCTATGCCAGCTTGTCGATTGTCTGGTTTCTGTTGAGAATACGACGAGCCGCGTAGAATCGCAGTCCACCCTATCCGTTGTCTTGATATTGGACGACGCATCTGCCTGACCAGCGTCGCACGTTTGACGACCATGGTTACTGCTACAGAGAACGATCATGATGGGGGTATGGAAAAGGTCGACTCGCAGCCTGCCATTGAGAAGCCAGAAGACGTCCAGAATGAATTCGAGGCGACCAGAGGGCTCAGCGATGTTGAACACACAAAGAAGCTGACCAAAAGCCTCTTGTGGAAGCTGGATACGAGGTACACCTTCTCCTCCTGGTTCCAGTCCGTTATCAGGCTGATTCTTTTGGTCTAGAATTCTCCCAGTCCTTGCCATTCTCTTTCTATGCTCTTTCCTTGATCGTACCAACGTCGGCAACGCCAAGATCCTCGGCCTCGAAGACGATCTCGGCCTGAACAACGGTCAATATGCTAATGGTCTCGCCATCTTCTTCGCATTCTATATTGCAGCCGAACTACCATCCAATCTCGTACTGAAGAAGGCCAGTCCAAGGCTCTGGCTGGCCTTTTTGACGGCAGCATGGGGAATCATTGGAATGTGTCTTGGATTCGTTCAGAACTATGCAGGATTTCTGATCGTTCGCGCATTTCTGGGTATAGCTGAAGGTGGATTACTGCCCGGAATGGTCCTATACCTTTCTGGAATGTACACCAGAGGCGAAATGGCCCTTCGAATTGGCTTGTTTTATACCAGCGCATCTCTGGCTGGCGCGTTCGGAGGCCTTCTAGCCCGCGGCTTGTCAGCAATTGGTTCAAACGCAGGCCTCGATGCGGGCTGGCGTTGGATCTTGGTGATCGAAGGGCTCTTGACCTTCGTTGCAGGGGTCGCATCATATTTCTTACTACCGAACACCGTTGCCACTGCTTGGTTTCTCAAACCGGAAGAGCGAGAGCTTGCTCAGAGGAGATTGCACAACGACACTTCAGCACATTTGCCAAATGGCCGAGAAGGCGAAGGAGCTGAAAAGTTCCGCTGGTCAGAAGTCAGGCGTGGCCTTCTCAACATCCAACTCTGGCTGAGTGCCACGGCATATTTCTCCATCCTGTCCGGATTGTATTCCTTCGGATTGTTTCTGCCAACCATTATCAAGGGTCTGGGCTATACGGCCAACGAAGCCCAACTATGGTCGGTCATTCCTTATGCTGTTGCCGCAGTAATCACTGTGGTGGTGGCATTCTTATCCGATCGTCTCAAGCTGAGAGGAGTTGTCATGCTCTGCGTCTTGCCTCTGGCTATCATTGGTTATGCGGCCATCGGCAATGTCGGCGAACACGACAACAAGACGAAGTACGGCATGACATTCTTGATGGCGACAGGACTGTATGCCAGTGTTCCGCCCGTGCTGGTATGGAATAGCAACAACTCAGCTGGTCATTATAAGCGCGCGACCACATCCGGTAAGTTTGACCCCATTATCTAGAGATTCATCGGTGCAGGGCTCAAGAATGAACACTAAGGCTCGCGCAGGGCTTCAATTAGCTATAGCTAACTGTGGCGGTTTCGTTTCTGGTAGGTGTTCCTGCGCGAAGGAGCTGGCAGAATACATACTCACCCTGGTACAGCGTTCACTTATCCATCGACTCAAGCACCTCAATACCACAAATCGCACACCATCATCTTGGGTTTGTTGGTCTATGCGTGGTTTGCGTAGGTTGTTTTGGTCTTGACCACGTCGATTGTTACTAACCAGTCATGCAGGATTTTGTTGAATGTCTTGTGGTGCGCGAAGATCAACCGGGACAAGGCTGCAGGGAAATATAACAAGTATATTGGCTATGGCGACGACAGGGATCCCGAGTACAAGATGGTTTTGTAGGGTGACAATGCATACTAGTACCTCTGGACGGATGATTGACGAGATATACTGGGACATCAAGATTGCTGGGTTTGGATTACCATAGATGGCGAGATAGCGCCGACGTGGTGTACGATGAGGCTTCGTAGTCGACGAAAGACTTCCTATACGTTAGATTCTTGACAAGACATCCGCAATCACGGTGCTATGTACATGTCGTTGTAAGACTCCGGCAAACCGCACAGCCGATTAGACTCATAGTGTGAGACGTGCTGTCCTCGGTCAAGAATAGAACAATTGCACAATCAGCATTCTCACTCTCTTCTTGCCAAACAACAAGATTCGATGCCACACAAGACATCATCCTTCACGTCCAAACCATAGTGCCGACACTCACGCTCAAGATGTCTTCGTCTCGTCCTCCAAACCCAAATCAGCTGGCCACCTCACTGCCCGGTTTGACAACCCATGTAAGTTCCCTCGAGGTTGCTGCTGTTTCATCGCTCCTTGGACCGACGCTGACGCTGTTACCGGGATGACTGCAGATCACGGGTCACGATCCAAAGACTGGCAAAGCGATTGTGCAGGACTCACGCCCTGGTAAATGGAGTCAGTACGACGATAAACTCATGGCCTTCAACGTGGTCTACACCACCTCACAATTTCCTGCCGATCTGAACAGTGACAAAGACCTCACAACCCACGACCAAGTCATATCGAGTGGTAAGCTAGGTCTTGTGAACCCTGGTGGCACAGTATGCCGTGTGGTCGACTTCGCACCAGGCTTCGAATGCATGATGCACCGCACGCAGAGTTTGGACTATGGTATCGTCCTGGAGGGGACCATTGAGATGGTGTTGGACAGCGGAGACCGTAGAGTCATGCAGAGAGGGGATGTTGCGGTTCAGCGAGCCACCATGCATGCGTGGAAGAACGTCAGTGTGACCGAATGGGCAAGGATGATTTTCGTCTTGCAGGACTGTCGGAGACTCGAGGTTGGTGGGCAGGAGTTGAAGGAGGATTTGGGCAGAGGTGTTGATGGATTGCCTCCGAGCGGAAATGATGCTTAGATTGTCAATGACAAGCGAGAGGGTGCATGACAATGACGGCGAGTCTCAGAAGAGAGTGGTCAGAAGGGAGTGATCTCGACAAGCATCATCAGAACCAGGACGGGCATTCTAGAACAAGGTTGTAGCTCCTACAGCTCGTCGAGGCCGAAGTGTTTGTTTATCGAGCAGCTGCAGCCTAGCAATGGGAGATTCTCGATGGTCTGACACAGTTCTCACTGCAGTCCACTGGGCGCGTCTATTGAATCCCCCAACAAGGAATGGTGATAATGAACAAGACCTGTTAATAAGGTAAAAAGGTCAAGGCTGCGAATCTCACAAAGCAGTACTGTCAGACGGAAAAAGATTGGATTTATAGCTACACAACTTCACGGTCATTACAAAAGATTCTTCGAGACACCGTGCTTGCCGTAATCCCGGGCGTGGAGAGAGAAGGTGCAATATCTGATTGGTGCTGGCATCATTAGTGAGCCTGAGCTTGACGGTGGCTCGAGTCGAACACCCACAGGTGACACCGGGCCGCGATCGATGGGAGACTTCCAAGTATTGACGGACGGGGCCATTGAGATTTGGCGATAAGAGAACGACTTCAACTTCCACCAACAAACCAACCACTGTACATTTCCTGGTCTGTACAGCACCCGTTCTGTTGTACATATTTCATTGTACATATATTGTTGTCTGCCTGTACCTACTCACTGCGCCTTTCCACCATTGCAAGCGCCTATGGTCGTGTGACGCGAACGAGATCCTGCTCCCCGACCGAGGCCAAGCCTACGATCCTCCGTGCTCTTGCACCCTAGTCGCAGTCCAACAGCCGTCCATAACGCAGACTGCAGTATTTTTGGGCAGAAGCGACGAGAGTTGCCTGGCTGCACAGGCGAGGTTCAAGAGCTTGAGCTGCCTTACAATGTGCTGTGGCCGCGGCCACCAGTTTTGCGACAATGGTATGGCCGCGAAGCTCGTCACTGGGAATAGACAACGCAACATCTATGGCACGAATACGAAGTCGGGGCGACTCCGATGTCGAGAAGGAGGCCTTCTCTCGGTCACGACTGAGCAGCGACGATGACCATGAAGCAGTCATGGACGAGGACGATCCTTCTTTCGCAACTTCTCGATCGACTTCCTCCTCCTACAAGCCAATGCTGATAAACAATGCCTATGCCTCGAAGAGGTCTTCCTCACCTCCATACCTGGGTAGAATGCCCAGGTCGGTCATGCGATGGGTATGTTTAGGCGTGGCGGCTGGTCTGTTGGTCTTCATATTTTCCCTGGTCCGGATGAGTTGGAATGCCGACAAGGAGGTTCAAGTGGCCATCCAAGAAGAGAAGATAAAACCGAAGCCTCCGCCGTGGGAGAGTTTTCCTTTTTTGGAGAGATATTATGGCGGTGTGCGCTCCTTGGTACCTTCAACTTCCAATGTGCCAGAGTATCCGCAGAAGGAGGACGAGGTGCCGATGGAAAAGCTGGATCTACCTGAAGAGCCGCCGTTGGATCCACCAGAGACTTCAAACAAGAAGAAAAGGGCAATTCCACCCAGCAAAATATTCAATCCTTACCCCAATTACACCTCTCCTGAATACATTGCCCAACACGGTGAAAAGGTGGACTGCTTCTTGGATGACAAGAATACGATATCAATCCCGCAGGTACGAATTTACGAAGGTGTTCCTCGAGGCTTTCCCGACGCGGTCATGGGCTCTGCGGAGTTGCTTGGTCTGCGGACAGACATTTGCTACGATCGGTTTGGGCGGCTGGGGCCATATGGGCTTGGATACAGCATTAATCGGGGCGGCAGTGGCGCGCAACAGGAAGGTGAAAGAGAGGGAGCTGATGCAGTGTGGGAGGAGACGCCCGAAGTGGATTTCAGGAACGTTAAATGGGCAGATGCTCAAAACAGATGTGTTCTTGCTAACAAGCATCGATTTACCGAATTACCCAAGCCTCGAATTGACAAGTTCAGAGCCATGCAAGTGGGCAGTATGCAAAAGAGAGGTGAGCCGTTCGACTTTTCGGCTATGCCGACAAAAGGGTCGGTCAACGTCAGAGCCGGACCAGAGAAACTGCCTCGAATAGCTGTTGTGATTCGGACCTGGTGGGATTACCCATATACCCCCGAAGACAAGATCTACATACGATCGCTCATATCAGAGTTGAGCATGCTTAGTGGAGGAGAATATGTTGTCCATTTTCTCATTCAGGTCAAAAGCAATGATGTGCCCATCTTCTCCGACGACGAGACTTATGAACGTGTCCTTCGAGACGCACTACCCGAAGAGTTTCGCGGCATGGGCACTCTTTGGACAGAAACACAGATGCTGCTGATGTACGGTGGCCTGGAAGAAACCTGGATGCGAGATCTACCCGTACATGGTGTCTACCGCAGCACATTCATGCCCATGCAATACTTTGCGTATCAGCATCCCGAGTATGACTTCTTCTGGAATTGGGAAATGGACATTCGTACCACCCACCATTGGTACCATCTTTTTGACAGTGTCTCGAAATGGGCAAAAGCGCAGCCACGGAAGCTGCTGTGGGAACGCGATAGCAGGTTCTTCGTGCCTTCGGAGCACGGCGAGTGGGATGACTTCAGCCATACAGTTCGAGTGCAGACAGAACAAGGCACAAACAGTGCCAACAATCTGTGGAGCAGCCTCAATCGTGCCAAAGACGCCAGCGTCCCAGGCGCGGTGAAGCAACAAGGCGACAAGCCAATATGGGGCCCAGAACGGCCGCTGGATGACGACGTAGCTTTCGACAGCGACCCGACTCCCCCGACCTCATTTGATAAAGACAAATACACCTGGGGTGTGGGCGAGGATGCAGATCTCATCACCTTCAACCCACTCTTCGACCCGGACGGTACCACTTGGCTTCTCGCAGATGACACAACAGGATACAATATCACTCGCGGTCGCCCTCCCCGGCGGACGGCCATCATCACGGCAAGTCGACTTAGTCGAAGGCTTCTCACCACGATGCATCGAGAGACGGCTGTCAAGAAACACACAATGTTTAGCGAAATGTGGCCGGCCAGTTGCGCTTTACATCACGGACTGAAAGTTGTCTACGCACCACACCCAGAGTACATTGACCGCAAATGGCCAACAAATTATCTCCAGGCCGTCTTCAATGGAGGGCGTAATGGCGCCACTGGTGGTTCGCGTACCAGCGTATTTGGTGATCGAGAACACAATTTTCGCGGCACGACTTGGTATTACAATGCTGGGTTCCCAGAGGTGCTTTGGCATCGATGGCTAGGGATGCGATTCAACAATGAGGGTGGTGAGCAGGCGGAGCTGGCAGGGGAGGGCAGGATGTGTCTGCCTGGCATGCTACTGCATCCCGTCAAAAGGGTTGAATTGGTCCTGGAGGGGAGAAGAGCGGACCAGAATCCTTGATGGGAAGTTGTGCTGTACTCGTACTCGTATATATTGGGCGTATTTTATTGACTGAGTGATTACCTATGTATAATTGAGTGTTTCGATTCAATTTTTGTCATCGTTTCGTGGCAGGATACTCGTACCAAGGCCTGCAACTGGGATAACTACACCATCGGGCAAGCCATCGATGATGTTGTCGGTTGTGTATTAAAGTAATGCGTGAATCTAAGAGATGTGCGATGGTTCTCGAGTCGTTCATGGTCATCGAGTACGAGTAATGAATGTGGTGCGTGGTTGAGCCATATGTGGATGAAGCCGAGGCGACTCTTATGTGGGTGAAATGCTTTGATGTCTCTTGACGTCTTTTACATGGGGATGGATCAAGTCCCGTCCAGCATGGTAGGGTCTTGCTCGAGTAAGTACTACTAGTCAGGTGCTAGTATGATTGACTGACCCGATCGTACGGATTACGCCAAAAAGCCTATTCAGCCGGGAAATGCAAGAGACGGCATCGCTAGAGCTGGCGGGTTGAACATGGCGTCTTCGAGCTGGAACCCAAAACGCCAATCGCTCAATCGACTCGACTCCAGATCTGTGCAGAAACGCCTGCCCAATACAAAGCCCCTTTTACTGATTCAGTAATCTTAGTCTAGCAGCGCATGTCGAACTTCGGTGTCCTATCCGACGTGAACGAACCCCAATACTTTTCACTCGCTTTCTGACCATTATCGCCAATGGCATCGGGCTTGCTCGGTTCATCGAACGCCTCGAACCAGAAGAGGTCGACACCCCAATCCAGAAGACCACAGACAGCGGATTGCCAGTAGGTCTTCATGTTGTCGTCACCTGCCTTGGCGGCGCCTGCGTCTGTCCCACCAGTGCCAGGCCATCCTGTCTCTGCGGGATCTTGTTAGTGATTGTTTTAAAGAGTAGCGGGAACGTGTCGTCCTGTCTTACCGCCGTTCATAAAGTGGATTTTGTCGAGGCTGCCGGTGACTTCTTGGACGTGACCTAGAGCTTGAGCCATATCATCGAAATATGTCTTTGTGGCATTGGAGATGTCCTGATATTGCCAGTAGGCAAAGCCGTTGGCAAGGCTGAGTAACTATTTGTTAGCACATGCTTGTGGAGGAATCGTTGAAGGTTCGCTTACATCAAATCGACGCTGTTGATGATCGAGTCCATGGTGCCGTTGGCCCAGCAATTCCAACTGTCGGCACTTCCGATGCTGACACCAGGGTAGCTATTCTTCATGTCCTTGACCCAGCCCACAAGATCATTGGCGTTGTATGTGCCACGGTACATTCCTTCGGATCCGACTGTGATCCCGTAGAGGGTGTCGCCGTATTGGGTCGGGTTCGCAGCATCGATTGCTGCCTTTTCTTTCTGGTATGCGCCGCCGTCAGGCCTTGTACCAATAACCGTTAGACCAATGTGCTTCTTCCCAATCGTGCATCGCTGTTGTAACTCACCACATGCCCAGCAAGACTTGGATACCAGCTGATTTTGCGGCGGGTAGGATCTGTGAGGGAGTGTTGCATGGATTCGCGTACTGGTCGGAGGCGGAGTAGGTGCGGACAATCTTTGCGTCGGTGTTGGACTGTATGGCCTTGAAGTCGGCCTCGAAATCGCTCTGCTTCTTGCAGGATCCATCGGCATTCGTGTTTCCAACGGCGAAACCGAGAGTTCCGGCTGCGGACACCGCCAGCGGTGACGCGAGAAGAGCTGTCGAAAGCAGGGTGTGTAGTTGCATGTTGGAATTTCGCGGTAGGTTGTATTCCTGGGGAGTACGGTATGGTTCACGGTGTTGGACTAGGAGGAATCCGACGGGTACTTTTTAAAGGAAGCAGTGGTCACAAACGGACAAGGAGAGACGCTCGCAAACAAGAAGTGATTTGAAGGAGTGACTGAGAGAGTGACTGGGTTGCAAAACGAGAATAGACGTAGAAGACGTGTTGAAGACGGGGCGCAGGTGAATTGCAAGGTGAAGTTGAGCCAAGTAGCCTCGTGTAGCCCCATGTAAAGTAAACCCCTGACTTCCTTCCTAGAGCAATGACGCGCCAAGCTCCAGGTGTTACCCCGGATTTCCGCCTCAATGCAAATCATGAATAACTTCTTGTATCTGACGTGCTCTTGGATGCAATTTGTCACCTCTCGAACCACCTAGTCCTGGATGCAAGAATGCCGGATCTCACTGAAATGGCGATGCTCGAGGCGCGAGTCGCCCTGTCTGCTTTATGGGCTACCTCTCCTGATTGCGCAGGCAAAGTCGAGATCCCACCAGAACGCTTTCTCATTCAAACATCTGAAAACCTCACTTCCCTCGAAAAGATAATCTCTGGGCAAGGCTGAAGACGGCCAACGAGCCTGTCCCGACAGAAAACCCAGTATCAAGTCTCCGCGTCGCAATGCCAGTACCCAGTCCGAGCGCAGTGGACAGAAATAGGTTCAGGAACATATATATCTGTTTGAGTTGGAGCCGGAACCTGTGCGCTGGCGTCGCTCCGGAAGAGAATGCAGTGACTGGATGTGGACGGGTTGGGAAGGTAGGTTCAGCGGAAAGGCTGAGATCGAGCCGTCTACACGGGTTTTAGTCAAGAGGCTAAGATGACATTATAAGAGCTGCAAGGAAGTCTTGACTTACGGCGACATGGTGGCAGTGTCAAAATTCCTGAAGAGGTCCTGGAGGTAAACGGCAAGCTCGCCGTCCTCTTGCCGACCTAGCCGCCGCAGCAACAGCTCCTCGGTCGTGGACATTAACCAAAGTCGAAGAGACTTGTGCTTGGGTTTCAGTAGGTTCGCCAGACTCGACAGGTAGAAGACGATCATCAGAATGACCATATGATGCCTTTTTTTGTTCTAGATATGCTTCCCCTTATGATGCCCTATTTTGACAAGGAACTGCTCAGGATGGCAGTACTTCTTTCTAGCCCACTCAGTTGACTTGGACTTTTTCGCTGTTGAATGCTGCTTGTTCACAGCACAACGAGTACGAAATGTGTTGCACCAGCGACACGACGTACTTGATACTTCTGTGCTCATGCGAGATCCTCCACACCCACCTTGCTGGGTGTATATCAGGAGCTGACTTCTATTTCTCGGCGCCACAACTAGCAGCAAATGAGCGCCGAGTGCCTGCGCCTCGAAACGCACGATCGCGAGAAGAGCACAAATGTGCTCTCGAGGTTCGGCATGCTTAGCCAAAAATTGTGGACATGCGCGGTTTCATCAACACCTCCAACTTCCTTCTCAAGGTCATGTATGCGTATCTTTTCGTTAACGATGAATCCTGTTGGCTTCTGTGGACTGATTTTACTTGCGTAGTACGGTCATACATGTTTGAGGGCCATCCTTTGCTAGGCCCAATTATCGAGAAATGCCTGTTTTTTCCCATCCCCCCGGATCTCATGGGATCGACCCTGCCGGGAGGGCCCAAAAATCCAAGAGGGATCGGTCGGCTCGGTCCCATAGAGAGTCTGTTGCTGATACCACTCAATTCCAACTTCAAACCCGTGCTTCTCTGGAGAAATCGATAATAGGAACACCCAGTCCAGCAGCCTCACCCGGGGAGTCTCCGACCCATGGCGACGGCAATAGCCTCCACGCATCTCCTCCAGGCCCGGGAAAGATCGTCACCAACAGCACTCGGAGCAGCGCCATCTATTTCGTCGATGATACTGGCGCGTTCCCAGTTGTGCCACTCGATTCACAGCCGAAACTGGAAGATACGCAAGGTGTCACTTCCTCCGGTCCAGGCCAGTGTGATTCTCTCTCATCCGTCGCAGGCTCCATCTGTGCAATCAAATCAAGCTTGTCACGTTACCAGATGCTAGATACTCTGAGAGATGTGGCCAGAACAGACCCAATTGAAGAGATAGTGATTCATGCTGGTGGACGATTCATGAAAGCCTGGCACGAACCGTATGCTTCGCGACTGGATCCTGTCTTGACTGGACTCGACTCCAGAGAGTCCGAAATCTGTTTGAGGGATGACACCAGGCAAGATGCTAAGAAGCCAGCGGAACCACAATTCGATTCGCCGCGGACCATGACCGTACCTGAAACTGCGCGGATGGATATTGAGGAGTCTATGGAGTCTATCGAGAGAAGGGCCAGAAACGAGGAAGATGCCCTGAAGAGGAGCGATTGGGGGACCAAGGATGTCAAGGTATTCAGAAGAAACAGTGTCCTCCCAAGCTCGAAAAGAATCGTCGTCTCTGGCTGGCGTGTCCGTTTTGCAAGAAAGATCCGCATCGATATAGATCCTGTTACAGACACCGGCTCACCAAGATCTCGTACGTCAAACAGCATCTGTCGAGGCAACATCGACTCCCCATCTATTGCGTGGTTTGCATGGAGACCTTCAACACTGAGGAGGTTCGCGATGTCCATTTAAGAGCCCGGTCCTGCGAGCAGCGCCCAATGCGCGAATGGGAAGGTATCTCCGAGGCTCAGAAGAGACAACTGCAACAAAGAGTGCCCCCAAAAATGACCGAAGACGAGCAATGGTATACTATTTTCGGCATCCCTCTTTCCAGGACTCCCTCGACCACAATCTCCTTACATTGATTTCGAGCTGTCGGAAGACTTGTCATCGTTCCAAGACTTCGCCACCAGTCAGGGGCCCGCAGTTCTCAGAGAGTTCTTGAGGTCCCATGGGCATGGAGTCTTCGCAGGAAATCAGGAAGCTGACTTGGCGGCTTTTTGTGAAAGGACGCTCGCTAGTGGTATTCAGGCCTTCTTTGAGCGATATCACGAGGCTCGGCGATCACGTCCACCGCATGAGAATGACTTGACTCCACCCGAGCCTTCCGAGAGTCTCGTAGACTGTCGGTACGGGCCATCTTCATCGACAACCCTGGGCGGAGATCAGACCTCGCATGAGTCCATGCAGAAAGCGGGTGCGAGCAGTCCCACAAGCGCTGTCATAGGAGGTCCCGAAGGTATGGCTGAGGAACGCACAGAGAATCCAAGCCACCCCGTTCCTGATAAGAATACCACACACGCTGGCCCTGAGTTGGGGTATGGTGGACAGTTATCCCAAGATCGGCCAGCCTTGTATCAATTTGATCCATCAGAGTCTCTCTTGAACGATGACTTAGACGAAGGATTTGTTAATTGGGACGATGACCCCTGGCGAGAGCTTCTGAGACCAGCCGATGATGGATTGCGCTGAAACATGATTGCATTTGCTAGGCTCCAAAGGTTGCTGCTATCTCTGAAAAGTCCCTCGCATGAGTCTCTCGCGGGAGTCTCTTGAGTGACTATGAACAAAGTCCCAGAACATCATCCGGTAGTGTCCAAGTGGTCATGATGTCGCTTCTCGATTGAAATTGCATCAACAATCCAGCCTCCATATGCCAGCTGATATGGCAGTGAAAGGCCCATAGTCCCGGATTGTCTGCCACAAACCGGATCAGCACCCAGCCATAAGCATCAATGACTATTGTGTCCCGCCTCAAAACACTTGGCAGAGTCGCGTTGAGGCTGTGATACGTTGACCAATCAAAGTATTGCTCGGGTGAGGAGGCAAGTACCCAAAATTGGTGGCCGTGGAGATGAAAGGGGTGGCCGCCATCATCATAATTCGTGACCAGCAGGTCCACAACAGCATACTCTGGGATATTGACGACGTACTGGCTCGAGCTGAAGCCCGAAGCTACTCCGGCCGTGCTGAACGAAGTGTTCGATGCCTTGAGACCGGCAACAGCCTGGTTCAGCGTCGGGTCCTGAGCGTCCATTACCCAAGATGTGCCGTTCATATAGCCCCTGTCCAGGGCGTAGTCTCCGATCTGAAAATTTGATTGGATTGAGTACATCGTTGTCGCGGGAGGAGCAGGAGATTTGAATGTTGGGGTCAGCAGCGACGCGTTGAGACCGATGCAGGTCACGTCAAGCGCGTCTTTCCAATCAACAGACTTGGTCGGCCCGTTGGTGCTGTTGGTGTACGTCACCAGTGCGCGGACGTCGGCGTCGAGAACGGGATTGTCATCAGCGAAGCAATATGTGTTCATTTGCGCCCGCATCCAGTAGGTTGAACTCGAGGACTGGTTGGCGGTCAAGATGACAGAGTACCGCTGGGCCACGGCGATGTCGAGACGATGCACTGAGAGGAGCTCGGTAGCTGTGCCGTCGGCCTCGATGATCGAAAGAGGATGATTGTCCACGGAGAACTCGAATGTTGCGAATGCGCCGGTATTGATGAGCCGGTAGCGGTAGCGTTTGCCGTGCTCAACGGTGAAGAGGGCACGCGAGGAGTTGTCGCTGCATGGATATCCGCCGTCTGCGTCTAGAGAAGAGCAGTTGAAGTAGTTCGTTCCTTGGATCAGGCCGTTATCTGGGACGGGCTCGGCATTCTCGTTGTCGCTTGCGAGATACCCAGGGATTAATGCTTCACTGTAGTCGTGATACCAGTCCTGTAAGAGCACGACTTGGTCTACGTCGTAGTGCTTCTGTAGCTCGACTTCCTCTGGTGCATGAATGATGAGTGGTCCGACAGGGCCGTCACCGTTTGCTGTGGAATAGTGGGTGTGGTACCAGTACGTGCCGAACTGGTTGTCGACGGTGAAATTGTACGAGAAACTCTTGCCTGGCGCAATGGGACACTGCGTGACTCCTGAAGTCCCATCCATCCAGTTTGTTCCGTTTTGGAAGATCCCATGCCAGTGAAAAGATGTGGCATTCGTCATGTTATTCTGCACGTTGATTAGGAGTCGATCGCCTCTGTTGGCGCGGATCAAGGGCCCTGGGAACCGGCCGTTGATGGCGAGTACCGTACGCGAAACGCCATCTGGTGCGATATGAGCCTCGCCGATGGTAAAGTTATACGTGCGAGTCGCAGGTGGCGCATTGAAATCCCACCCAGTGATGTTGAGGGTGTAGTCCTCAACGTTCGAGCGCCATGGCGGAATTGAGAAGGATGCCTGCGACGACGGAGCCGCGTTTGAGCTCACATTGTTGGATGACGAGTTACTGGAGGGCGGGGAGGAGCTGGATGAGGCGCTTGAAGATGTTTTGTGATGGTGTCGCAAACCCAGTCCAAGACCTAACCCCAGCGCCAGTGCCAGGACGGCGATCACGGTAGCAATGGCCAGGATAAACGTCCTTGTCCGGCTCGTCGAGCGTCGATGCTGAGTCTCATCGTCCGCATGTAGGCCACCCCGACTCGGATGGCTCGCCGGCGCGACCTGGTTGACGGTGGCAGCCTTGCGTTTCTCCATGGCCTTCGGCAGTGGACGCCGAGATTTCGTCCTCAAGACTTCGAGACGACACTGGAATCAATCGAGGAGGCTGGGAATATCCACGGCGGGTCTTCAGAGAAGAGGACAAGACAGGAATGAGACGATATCAATTCCACAGAGGAGACATGCTCACATCGACGATGTGCACGTGCTCGCTTGTACCTCGATGTTGGCCGGGTACGAGCATGCAGCCCGGCTTTTTGGTGGCAATTGCCGAGTGCGAGATCCTTCCAGTGCCGTTCCATTGAGAAGCGAGGCGTGATGAGCTCCATTGCAACGCTGCATGGGCAGGCTCAATCCAGGATTTGCAAGGCCAGTCCCTCCGCTGTGTCATATTGCTTTGCCGTTCGACCCGTAGCCGGTGGCACTCAGGATTTCGGCCAGGCTGCGACTCTGAAGCCCCACGGGTACCAAGCATCCTATCATGCAGAGTCTTTTGTTCAGCAGCTTGCTTTTGCGCAGAAACCGGTCGGAACAGTTTGCCTGATGGTCGGCGACGTTGAAGCTCCAACTGATACACGTGCCTCAAAGTAAGCTTCTAGTGGTCGAAGCTTGGCGACCCCGCAGCCTAATGCTTTAGCCGACACTAGTTGCCACTAATTCTGCTAATTCTGCCGGACGGGTTCCAGCGAAAGCCTTTGCTCCGCCTTTAAACCCTGAACCTTGTCTGCCGCGCTAGAAGCTTGAGCTGCAAACTTTAGTTGAGGTTCGTGTCTTGGCCATATCCATTTCTTAACCCATACCTTCTCGAATAAGCTGGTCATCAGCACAGCATGACCATGTCGTGCGACATCTACTGGCTCGCAACGAAGTGACTGCCTCGTACGTGGCTTGAAATGCGGAACGACGGAGACCTGGAAAGAAAGAAAAACCGACCATGTGCCATTTCCTGTTACGGTTCTCTTGAAGCATAAGAGGAAGACCACCCTGGACTCGTGTGCCGTCTCATTTGCATCACTCTCAAGCATAACCAGGTACCTCTGCGCAGTGTTCTGTGTCTCTGTTCCAAAATGCTCACATCTGCTGTCTTGCTTTTGGCCGCAGGCCACCTCGCCGCGGCTGTGCCTGCTGCCTCCTCATCCTATGCTTCTCGTCCTCCGGTTTCGACTGTTGAGCCTTCCACGGCTGCAATCCAGTCCGCCGAGGCCACAGTGAAGCCTCTGTCTCCAAAGAGCAATGTCAAGGGCCTTGCATTTGACCGGTTCTACCAGGTCTGGCTCGAGAACACTGACTACTCGGCTTCGGCTGGTGACGTCAACATGGAATGGCTTGCCTCGCAAGGTATCACTTTGACCAACTACTATGCGGTCACACATCCTTCGGAGCCAAACTACTGCGCTGCAGCGGGCGGCGACCACTTCGGGATGGACAATGACGACTTCCTCAGGGTCCCAGAAAACATTGCCACTGTTGTCGACTTGCTCGACACCAAGCACATCTCATGGGGCGAATACCAAGAGGATCTCCCGTATGCCGGATTCCAGGGCTTCAACTACTCGAACCAGAAGACCTTTGCGAATGACTACGTGCGCAAGCACAACCCTCTGATCCTCTATGATTCCATCACCAACAACGACACCCGCATCAGACAGATCAAGAGTTTCGTCGACTTCCAAAACGACATCAAGAACAAGGCTCTTCCGCAGTGGTCGTTCATAACACCCAACATGACCTCTGACGCTCATGATACCAACATCACCTACTCCGCCAACTGGCTGCGTAACTACTTTGAGCCTCTTCTCAAAAACGAGTACTTCATGAACAACAGCCTTATCCTGTTGACTTTCGACGAGAACGAGACCTACGGCATTGCCAACAAGGTCTTCTCGATCCTTATTGGAGGTGCCATCCCCGCTCACTTGAAGGGTACCACCGACAGCACCTTCTACAACCATTACTCCACCATCGCCTCGGTCTCTCAGAACTGGGGTCTGCCATCCCTCGGCCGATGGGACTGCCACGCCAACGTCTTCGAGCTGGTCGCCAACAAGACCGGCTACAAGAATGCCAAGCTGAACAACAACGACTTGGGCCTGTACTTCAACGAGTCGTACCCCGGCCCATTGTCGGATGATAAGTATGTCTCCACCTGGCCAGTGCCTACCAACGCCTCCACCTGTGCGAACGGAAAGGGTGTCTTGCCGGCCGTCGTCAAGCAGATCAAGGGACAGGCCGCCACCTACAACTACACCAACCCATACCCCTATGATGCGTTGACCGGAAACAACGTGCAAGGCCCGCCAGCTTAGGCGCTTCCAGTGAGGAGACTTTGGGCAGGGTTTGCAGTAGATGCTATGAGGAAGAAGGAGATGCAGGCCTCAGCATTATGGAACAGTCAGAATAATCATGTACCTAGTTAGTTAACCACGGCGGCAACTGAATAGTTAAGAAGGAGATGTCTCAGATTTCAGATCCTTCTTGACCCAGTGCACTCGTGCTAGAGTATGCAAGCTTTGATATTGTGATCTAGTACAACTACGGTCTCATGGGTAAATCGTGTAATTTGGCGCCAGGGTGCCATTCGACGACAAACAGCGGCGAGGACAGCTTATGGGATAGCCAGGCCTCCTGCTCAAGGCGAGGTCCAGGCAATTTGCGTAGCAGAAGGGCCTCCTATTCAAGGCGAGCCCTGCCGCTGCTTCGACGGTTCGAGCGGCAGCTGCTTTGCACCTCGCTGATTACACGTTTTACCCAGGAGACCGCAGTAGTATATGTCACACGTTGCCGATGCTCACGGTCAGTTGTGCGACTTGTACCGTGCATCTGAGTCCATACGGTGTCGTAGGGCGTTACGCTTGGAATCGATGAGGAAGCTTGATGAACCATTTTGGAACAGGCACTGGTTATTCATTGTCTGTACTATCACTGAACGCTAGAGAGCTGTTTTGCCCGATTCCCCCGCGGAATTCACCCTATGCCAAACTCCTGCTAGATGCTAGATTCGACATATTATCTCTTTTTCGTCAAAACTCAACCGAGTTGAACATTCTCACTACAGCCATGGCGCACCCTGCGGCGGCACCTCCCACAATGACCATCTGCCCGCCTCCCTTGAGGCCGCGGCGCACGCACCTCCAACCTCTGAAACCATCAGTCATGCCCGTCTTGACGTATCCGAATACGAAGAGGGCTAGGATCATGACGCTGATGCTCCAAATGAGGCCTTGTGTGACATTTGAGGCAAAGAAGTATGGGAGAAGAGGCACAAAGCCTCCGAGAAAATAGCCGGTCGCGATCGTCAAGGCGCAGATGACCGCCCGGCTGGCCGCTGGCTCAGGAGTGCCCTGCTGGAAGCGCATCAGGAAGTCAACCACCATTTCCGGGTTGTTTGAGGTGATGAGCTGATGTGTAAAGTCCTTCAGTGTTGATGGGGGGAGATGGTAAGGTGCGAAAACGGAGGTGATCTCGGACGCCAGGTTGCTGTTGGGATCGAGGACTCTGGACTGCGTTGACCGCAGCGTGGCTTTGTATGAGTCCTCTTCGCTCTTCGCTCCCAGGTAACCTCCCAGCCCCATTGAGATGGCTCCGGCAATAAGCTCGGCCAGGCCGCCGAAGACGACCACCTTGGTGTCTCCCAGTGCGGACAGGCCTGCGGTGAGCGCAAAGGGCACTGTCAGCCCGTCTGAGAGCCCGATAATGGCGTCTGAGATGATGCGAGCCCTCACAGGGCTATGTTCGTTTTCTGCTGCAGGCAGTCCAACCTCGCAAACAGTCTCTGCTGAAGTCTCGCTGCCCGTTTCCGAGCCTGACTCTTCCGAGATTGAGGAGAGTGCTTTGCTCTGTGCCTCTTTCTCGGGGTCCCGGGGTAGTGATGCATATTTGCTGGGTCTGAAGAAGTTGACCATGGCAGCCATGGCGTTGGCGTCTTCGAAGCTGTCCGTGAACATGCTGTTGGTCTTGGAGAAGCGGACCTTCTTCAATGGTCTCGTGCTTGCAGTGCTTAGGTGGTCAATGTCTAAGAAGATTTCACTCATTGGAAGATTTTGAGAAGCAGGAAATGAGGACCATCAGAGGGATAACGACTTGCCGAAGCAGAGGCATAGCTTTCAAGAACTTCTTGAGCCGGCTACCCGTGCCTTGCACGTCACTTTCCTACCAAAGACAAACTCGCTTCCATTGAAAAGGCAAAAACTCTGAGAAATGAGGCCCCAGAAGCCGTGGTACGACCCTGCAGCTCACTAGACTCAACGGCCCTGCACCGGCAGGGCGCCGCAAGGATGAAGAGCTTCGAGAATGCAACATTGCCAGCTTTCAATCACCGTCTGTAGATGGACAACGTGCACGGCATGGCAAAGCAGGAATACGGCAGAAAAAAAAATTGGGTTGGAGAGTTAGCGTGGTGAAGCTCAAAAAGAGGAAGGAGGATGATATGCAGAGTGACGATCAGAGTGTTTGCCCCGCCTGGGAATATGCAGGTCGTCTGCAGCTCGAGCGCACGTGTGGGAGTAAGTCGAATTGTATAGAGGATGATTGGAAGGGAGGGTCAAGCTTCCCAAGCCTAAACAAGCATGCCTAAGCATCCACCGAGTAAGCCCCAGTTCCTGGTGCATTGCGCTAACATTTTAGCCGGGTTTTAGTGTACATTAGTGACTATTAGTGGCTATTAGTCTAGGCCCTGCACTAAAGTGTCTACACAGGATCCACAGAAGCTGCCGACTTTTTCTGGGAACGCTCCATCATCGATAGCTGGACAGAACTTCCCACGCTTCCTTCATCCACGTGAAGCTGCTGTGCAAGTATCGTCAGCTGTATAGACCCTCTTGGGCCACTTAGGCGCATGGGTCATGTTATTCGGAGGAAGTCGCCAGGATGATCTCTCCTGCTCTGTTTGTCTCGCTTGGAATCCCGCAACAACGTGTTGGGAGAGCTGCAAAAGATTGGCTGCGAGGCTTGCGAAGCGACTTGCCGTTTCTTCTCATGAACATGTACAATCTACGATGAGATGCACAGCCGGCACAAACACCGCAAGGCGAGAAGCCGACCTTGGGAAGCATATAATGTAAGTGGTTGCGATAACTTCGGATGCCCTTTCTCGTGTCGGACCAGGAAGAGACAACAGCTCGTCGCTCGTCAATACTTTCCAAGATGGCTCCAATTATCAGATTGTCCGTGGCCCTGGCCATCATCTCCTCTGCTGTCGCCGTACCAATCAAGCCTCGTAGCGCGACATGGTCGGGTCTCAGCTCAAAGATCAAGCACGGTGTGTACCAAGGGCAGGGACGTAATCAACGCAAGCTGATGATTTGACCCCAGTGGTTTACTTAATGATGGAGAATCATAGCTTCGACAACATCGCCGGCTACTGGGATTACCGTGATGACATCGATGGTCTCCGAAACATCAACTATTGCAATGAGTTCACCAACCCCAACTGGACCATTTATGGTGAACCCATCATGATCTGTGCGGGCCCGTATGAAGACGAGGTCCCTCTCGTCGACCCGGACCACAACTTTGCTGGCACGAGCTATGAGATCTACCGCAAATGGCAACCCACAAGCAGTGACACTCCTGACATGTCTGGCTTCATCGAGCGCCAATCGGACAAGTACAACGCCACTCCCGGAGACAGCTCCTTTGTCATCAAGGCTTACGACCCGAAAAAGGGCAACACCCTCATGACCTTGGCCCAGAACTATGCCATGTGGGATACCTACCATGCGGAGCACCCAGGGCCGACCAACCCTAACCGCATGTTTGCCACTTCGGGCTCGACGTGCGGCTATGTCGACAATACGGCCACCCAGTCCACCGGTTGGTTCGCCAACGTTACAGGACAATCGTGTGCAACGTCCATCTTCGAGGCCTTGGACAAGAAGAACATCTCCTGGAAGAACTACTACGAGTCCGACATCATTGACTCGTTCATCTACAAATGGGTCCAGGACAACTCGATGGACAAGATCGTGCACGCCGACCAATTCTACGCCGACCTCGCCAACGGCACTCTTCCTCAGTTCTCATACATCAACCCAGAATGCTGCACAGTCGATTCCATGCACCCAACCAGCAACATGGCTGCCGGTGAGCTCATGATCAAGCATCTATACGACTCGATCCGAAACTCTCCGTACTGGGAGAACACGTAAGTTTTGACCTCTTCCCGACATTTGGGACTTACCCACTGACTTTCCGCCTCTTCTAGCCTCCTGATCATCAACTTCGATGAGCACGGAGGGTTCGCCGACCACGTCCCTCCACCAACAGGAATCCCCGCTCCCGAGGACGGCAAGACCTTCTCCGGCCTCTCGGATGGCCACAACGTCACCTACGACTTCACCCGTCTTGGTGTCCGTGTGCCGTCCTTCCTGATCTCGCCTTGGATCCCGGCAAACACTCTGATCCACGACGAGGGAACCATGTACGCCGAAAACTCTGCGTACACGCACACTTCATTCCTGCATTTCCTCCAGGAACTCTGGGGTCTCGAGGGCTTCAACAACCGCGTCCAATGGGCCAAGACTTTCGAGTACGTCTTCTCGGACACGATGCAGCCCAACGGCGGCATCCAGAACTTGCCCAGCCCCGTCTGGCACGGAGGTTCAGGACAGCCCGAGCCGGACGCTTTCCCACTCCTGAACCAGGATTACAGCTACTATGAGTCCTTGGACGATTAAGAGATCGTCCATAGCTCGTAGGAGATCAGGCCCAAAAATGGTGGGTGACGCGAGGAGGTAATTCTTGGCAGGAACACACTACCTAGGTAGTGTGAAGATGTGTTCCTGCAGAGCCGAGAGGGCGACCAACAGGGGAGGGGAAACAATCAATCGACGACAGCGACGCTAACTAGCAATATCATGGGATTTAATGTGCGTTACGACTACGAGCTACTGTACATGGGCTCGGGCCGAAATACCCCGGCCAGCAACGATGGACGGCGTATAGTCATTGGATAGACTGATGGCCACGTGAAAATTGAAAGAATGAAAAACGAAAAGTTTCTTGCATGATGCAATTCTGAAAACGGCGGCTAAATTAGCCCTTGCTTCGGGGGTCTCGTGCTTGCGACTGCGCCTGTGCTTCTCGTGATCTGCTCCCAAACCCTGATGAAGTTGGATTCAGGGCTACACCGCAAAGCATAGCCAGTACTCGGCACAGGGATGCTATCTTGTGCCTACTCGGAGGTCTTTCTTGCGAGGCCGGAGCCTAAGGCTAGAGTAGAGCACAGCAAACGACTGTCTGCACGCGTATCCAGACATGTGGCAGGGATCAGGACCTTGACAATTCTTCTTGGTCGGCAATGGGGGAAGTATGTATGACGTGCGTACCCAGCGTGGGACTCGCGGTGCCAGGGGTCAGGTCAGGTCGTAGGTAACTTAGAACCCATCAGAGCCTAACTGGAGGAGGGGGTTTTCGCGCCGGTGGAAGAGGCAGCGTGCCCTGGCACCACCAGCATGCGACTGGCTGCGCCCTGAGATAGTGTGCATACACAACGGCGCCGCTGCCCTACCGATGCCTATTACCCTGGACAGCTGCATTGCATATTCTCCAAGGGGGCCACACAGCACGCCCATGCTGCTCTCGTTAGGCATTAGGTCGATTTAGGGCCCGCGTCGACCATCAGGTGCAAGGTGTTCGGGGGTTTGGCATGCGATTCCTTGTCCTGCCCCAAGTCCCTTCCTTTGCACTTGTCTTTTCATGGAAGTGGTCAAGGATTGACGCGTGCCCAAATATCCGATCCGCCGAGCACAGCGCTGATCGAGCCGGCAATACCGACTGGCACTGGGCCAAGCGGCATCCAACCAACAATGTCACCGGGGATGAGCATGTCGCATACATCTGCCACAATGCCCTTGAGTATAGCCTGTCGCCTGCTGGCTCGACTCGGACCCTGAGGTACGGTCTTTGTTGTTTCGACCAATGTGGATCTTTCCTTCTTGCCGTCGGCCTTGACAGTGACTTTGACCTGCTGGGTCTTCTCGCTCATCGGGGTCTGCGCCGTCGCCGCCGGGCCGAAATCGAGTAAGAACAACTCGTAAAGGCCCAGCAAGGCAGATGCGGCGAGAGACCAGAACCAGAATTTGAGCGACTCGATCTGCAATGTCGGCGCCCAGCTGTTGTGCGTGATGTGCATTGCGTCGGCCTAGCCGTCATTGGCGGTGCCGGTTAGTGTCAATTTGAATACGATCCAGGTAGCCCGTACATAACACAGACATCCTAGGGACGCAGAGATGGTGGCGATTTGGAGAAGGGTAGTAGTGCTTACAATGCAGAACATCTCCATGAACAAGAAAATGCCCAGGAGCGAGAGCTTTGCGATCGTGAGTAAAACTCTGACGGAATCACCGTCGGCTTCCCTTCGCGTTTGTTCTATGGTCCTCCCTTTATCATCTCTGGCAATTTGCTTGGGTCCTGTGTATGCTTGGAATAGATTGTAAGACGTCGTCCAGCAGTCGATCCATTTGAACAATCGGAAGAAACGGCGGGCTGCGGGATTCCAGGTCAGCCAACGCCCTCACTCCTCCATGCCCGCGTTAGACCACGAAGAGACCAAGGCGAAAACAGGCAATGTAACAATCCAAAGGGATTTACCAGAACAACGACGAGAGGTATCGCCGGTAAAGGGAGCGTGGACTTACCGATATTTGCTTGGTCTTTGGCAGTCGCCCACTGCGCGACTTCTTTGGGTGTCGAGGCAACAATGACTTCGGCGACTTGAGAAAAGGACTGGACGAGTTTCAAGGCCTTCTCAATGCCAGCTGTACAGGTCGACAACATGGAAGATCAGTAAATTGGAGGTCCAGGTCTGAGCTTTCGCTACACGCGCTGAAGAACTCGGCCTTGGGGAGCCGTGTTGGAGAGGTGCGAAATACCTGCATCATTGGTGTACCTCGCTACCGATTGAAACATCCTAAATGATTTTCGTGCTTTGAGCAGTGGAAGGGAGCCGGGAAAATGTGCTTATAGTACTAGTATTGGCAATTGGTCTTGTGCCTCGACCGCGTCCGAGTTCGAGTTCAAGATCGGACTTTTTGCTTACGTGAGAAATGTCGTGATGCTTTGTGCTTTTTCACCCACTTTTGATACCCACTCGCGGAAGTCCGCAACAGCAGCAGCAACGCCAACAGTCGGTATCGGCGACAGTTGCCATCCCTCGAAGATCAAGGTTTCATTGATGTTATTCATTGTTACAGGCCTAACTAAATGATATACTGACATAGGAAGTTGTTTCTAGCCCATAAGAAGATCTAGTAGCAGTCTGATTTACACGAGGTTAGAAAAAATGAGATAAAATGTCCGGGGAATCCTAAGAGAAAACTTACATCGGAAGTTGTGGTTCTCTATATCTGTCAGATCGGTGATGGCGTCGCCAGCCTCAGCGACCGGAGGGCCATATGTTTCATCACGCCTCTTATTCTGTAGAAAGAAGAAAAACAGTCAGTCAATACTATATCAGGAACTAGGTTAGCGCAGGGGATTTTTTTCGATATTTACCTCTCGCATATAGCACCACTTCAGAATCTGCAACAGAATGATTTGGATAACGAAGCAGACCAAATCGCATACGTAGCCGGTAAGGTAGCGCGGGGTTTGGCCTTCATAGAAGACGTGGGGACCAACAATGTTTCCGAGCGATGAGCCCAGGAAACCCAAGCTGGTCAGGGTGGTTCGCTTGGTGAAGCCGCCTGCGTTTTGGGCGGGGAGCTGGAAGGTCAGCGCAAAGGTCGCACAGAAGCCGAGTGACAAGCACACGCCGATGGTCTTTGCAACGCGGCCCTCTCCTCGGGGATAGCAATCTGGAGTAGAAAGCCGATAAATGCGGGCACAAGGGCCAGTTGGCACATGAGGATGCGGACGTTCTTGAACTTCAGGGTGAACGCGCCAGCGCCGACCATCCAGAAGATCTGAGAGAAACCGACGGGGATACCCAATACGGAGCTCATGAGCTGCGTGTATCCCAGCTGGTTCAGGGTGAGGGAGAAGAAAATGCCGAAGCCGCCGTTGACGAATTCATTGAAGAACATGATCCAGAAGATGAGCCAACCTTGGGGGTCCTTGCGCGGGCCGATGGCCTCGATGATCTGATACTTTTTGATCTTGGGTTCCTTGGTTCCGGTCTTGTTGGTTGCCAGACGAGCGACGGCGCATTTCTTTTCCTCGGCCGTGAAGAATTTGGCGGTTTGCGGCGACATGGGGAAGACCCAGAAGAGGACGACGCCCCAGAGGACGGTAAGAGATCCTTCAATGATATAGACTGTGAAAGGGGAAGGCATCAGCGTACACGGTTTTCCATAAAGACCCAGATCTGCTCTCACGGTAGAGAACTGGGGAAAGAAAGGTAGACTCACTCCACTTCCAAGACGAGATATTGTTGACTTCGATGTAACCACAGCAGAAAGAAATGATGCCACCTACGGCAAGGGACAAGCCGTTCATACTCCACCAGAACATGACGCGGAAGGCTTGCTCTTCTCGGCGGTAGAAGATTGAGGTGATCAGAACCCAGGCCGGGGAGGTCACACTCATCAAACCCCCCAATATGAATCGAACACTCACCAAGCCCGCGAAGTTTTGAGTGATGGAGGTGCCCATCAACGTCAACCCCCAAAAGAAGACGACAACGCCGACCACGCGACCGGTGTGAAAACGTTGCGCCACAAAGCTCACCCACTTTGAGGGTGCCGGCCATCCCCGAGCAATGTCTTGAGCCACACAGCCATATCTCGAGCAGTGCTCGACATTCTTCCTGCTCCCAAGCATGCCACGGTGCCGTCTCTCAGACCCATGGGAAGTTCGATAGATCGGCCGGGGGACTCCGGCGTCTCGTAGTGGTGCCAGTAGCCCTTGGCGAAATTATTGGATTCCAGCATCGAGCTTACCAGGACTGAGCTTGAAAGCATTCCCAGCGGCTCGAGGATTTTCTCACGGACGTAGGAGGGGTAGTCCTGATCGGTGATCTTCTCGACAACGAGGGCGATCAGATCGTAATGCCTATTGGGTCAAGGGTCAGAAACACGCAGTCACAGCCCAGTGTGTTCAGTTTCCTTGTTCTCACCGGATTGTGATATTGAGTAGCCTCTCTAAGACCAAGAGATAATTTCATACCACCTATCAGTCGCAGCTAACACGACCATTAGCCATAGACGGGGTAGTAGTTATGGCAGTGCCATACGGACCTGGTCGTCCAACGTTGAAGCCTCATGAGTGGTGTAGATATCATGCCTTGGAAGGCCAGTGAGATGAGCAAAGGCGTCCTCAAAAGTCACCGCCTCTGTTATACAGGGATTTTGAAGGCGATATTCGGGAACGACATCCTTGGTTCGAGTCTTGAATCCTTTCAGGTACCCAGCATTCTCCAATGCGATGCCCGTAGCCAAGACACAGAACAACTTCGAATTGGATGCGATGAAGAATCGCGTCTGCTCCGGGAGATATTCCTGTCAACGTTCATTCTTTTCCCACCTTTGCTGCTGGTGTCACTCGCTAATGACGGTATACATGTGGGTTTTTGGTTGCTTACATCTGCGTCGACTTGATCTCCTTCGTCGTTACGCTCTCCAAAAGTCAAAATTTCGTCAGTCCATTTGCCGTCACCATCTTGCTGCACGATGACTGTCGAGCATCCCTTGATAGACCATTTTCCGCAAATATCGTCCATCTCAAAATCCCGAAGAAGGGTGAACGACCGAGTTGCGCCAGGTCGTCCGCACGCCCAAGTGAAGATAGATTAAGATGGATATTTGCTATCAAGTACGACATAACGGAGTATTCCAAATCTTGCACCCTTTCGATAGAGCTGTCAATGATTTTCTTTGCAATCGGAGAAAAGTCCGGTCCTGTATATATAGGCGTCGCGATAAGGATGCGACGAAGACTTTCGCCTAGATCGGCATTGATCGTAAGTCTTATACAGGATGGACGCCGCCAATGACCGACGAGTACCAGCATCCTCGACCATGACAGCCTGAGAATGGTCCCGTAGTACAGACTCACAGCTGGTAACCTGGACGTATGATTGACACTTTTTTCAAGACGCTCTACGAGTATTCCGTTACTGTTTAGCCATAAAAAACAACAAGCCCAAACACACCTAAGAAAGCAAATATTTTGTTTTGCATTGAGATGTAGTGGGCTGGATTTGATGTCCCTTTGTTATTGACCTACTATGTATTGGAGTCGGATAGCCATGCTCGGGGCTTCACTATTCCTATCCGCTACCCTCGGGCCCAGTGCGCTCGCATATCCCGATCCTTACTATGAGCAGGCTGTTAAACTGATGGAAGGGAGCCCTCTGATAGACACACATATCGACCTTCTTCAGGTCATCCGGTCTTTGAGTAGAATTCCCTCCCCATCTGACTGCTGCGGGCGAGATCGTCGATTCTAACTCGTCTATCCAGATCGCAAGCCATTGGATGGAATTCCACAGCTTGCTGAATCCCTCCCGGGCCATGTAGACATTCCCAGAATGCGAGAAGGAAGGCTCGGAGGCGCATTTTGGACCGTATGGGCTCCATGTCCTGACACCCAGGGAGAAGAAACAGGGGCCGATTTCAACGTGCCGACTAGTAGCCTCCGAGACTCGTTGGAAATGCTGGATCTGATCCAAAACATGATCCAGAGACATCCTCAACATATGCAGTATGCACACTCGTCAGCGGACATCAAGGGAGCTTTTTCCGCCGGCAAGATCGCTTCGCTCCTAGGCATGGAAGGGACTCACCTGCTAGGCAACTCTTTGGGCGTTTTGCGCATGTTCGCACAGCTGGGTGTTCGCTATCTGACTCTGACACATAGCTGTCAAAGCTCCTTTGCTTCATCGGCTGGGTACGGACACCCAGGCCTTGTGCCTGTACATGCCGACAATGGGTTGACGGATCTGGGACGCGAATTGATTAAAGAGCTGAATCGACTAGGTATTATGGTGGACCTCTCCCACACCACAGCCGAGACGATGAAGCAAGTTCTTGCCATCACCAAGGCGCCGGTTGTCTGGACACATGCAGGGGCTCGACAGCTGTGCGATCATCCGCGTAACGTGCCGGATGAAGTTCTTCGAATGATTGGGGACGGGCCGGAAAAGAACCACGGCGTCATCCAATCTGTCTTCTATCCACACTTTATCAGTACCGGCCCGTCAGCTAACATGAGTGGCGTGGCAGACCATATCGAATACATTGCTTCTATTGCAGGGAAGAAGCACGTCGGTATTGCCTCGGATTTTGATGGAATGTACACCTCGGTCGAGGGCCAGGAAGATGCCAGCAAGTATCCCCACCTTGTAAGTTTGGATGCCGTCTTTTGCTTTCTGCATGAGCTCACAGGCCCCACTCAGGTGGCAGAACTTCTTTCACGAGGTTGGACCGAAGACGAGATGCGGGATGTCATGGGAGGAAATCTCATGCGAGTCATGGACGAGGTCGATGCCTTGAAAGAACGGTTGAAAGACGAGCTCCCCTCATCTGCCGTGTGGGAGAAGAGAACCGATTTACCCGCAACGGGCTGGGGAATGGTCGGAAATATATCGTTCTTCCCTATTGAGGTTAAGAAAGTGATTGATAACGCATACCCGAGGCATGATGAGTTATGAGTGGTAGTAACAGTGGGCAATTTGCTTCTTCTGCTGCTATACCAAGGAGCTCAGCGGCTAGTCATCTTGAACAAGGCGCACCTAATAGCTTGAATTGTAGTGGTCATTTCTGGATAGACCCGAGGTTGACTTTGGCCGTTTGGAATGCTTCAAGGACATGAGGTTCTACCCTGAAGACTTTGCTAATACTCTTCCAAAATATGGAGCCGATTCGTAATGATGCAAATCGGAGTGGTTTTACCAGCCTTGACTTGGATCTCAATTGCTGATAGGCTCTCTGAAAGTCGTTAACCCACTCGAGCGACTCCTCGGGCGTCTTCGATGTGAGCACCATCAGTAGCAGAAAATGATAGATGGAGGAAATGGTATGCTGACTTCAGATCGGACAGAAGATGTTGGCATGGTCCAGATCTAGAGTTTCAATAAACTCGACAGCTTCTCTGACGGCTGTCCGAGCCTGAACTCGCGCATGTTTGTATTCATCCGCGGTCCCGTTCTGGTCCTCTTGGGTTTCGGCCGCAGTCAGATATGGACGAATGGTGGCGCGGGAAATCTGAATCATTATACAAGCATAACCCAGTTCGCAGGCAGTCTTCAAGGCCAGCGTTTCCTTGCGCTGACCTGTAGCATCCTGGGCAGATGGCAGGTGGGCTCGACAGGCAACGGGTTCTGTGAGAACTTCCTGTGCCAATGCACTTGTCGCAGAAGGTTCGGATATCAGCAAGCCCAATGCCCGCAGGGAGCTAGACTGTAAGCAGGTATGGAAAGACTCAGGGAGATTTGACTTACAAGAGCTTTTGCAGACTTTTGGAAAGGATTGATGTCAGGCAGGAAAATGATAAGAGGTAGGACAACTCTTCAGGGCTGATTCCGGCATCGAAACTGTCACAGTTGGACAAAGAATCGACAAGCCAATTGTTCGGATGCAGTAGTGGCGGCTTGCCAAACGCACAAGCAAGCCATTTATCAGTTGCATAAAGCGTCCAGGATATTCTTCGTCTTTGCGAGATTTGCCATCCTGGGATATGCCATGTCTTGGGATTTTGGTGCAGTCCAAGCGTCTGTGCCGCGGCGACCAAGGTGCCGAACAGATTCCATTTCCAGGCTGCCTCCGACAGATGGTCGGTCGTCGGTGGGCGTACCACGATCAATAGCAGAGCTTGAATGACAGGAATGCTAGGAGCATGTAGTTCGGCAAACAGTTCTCTCCAAACAATCCTGGATAGCTGTGCATAAGGAGGTGTGTCATAGGCACGCTCAATGAATAGTATATCGTCGAGTTGAACAAATGGCTGTACAATGGAATATACCGCTGCGAGGAGGTATGGTGGAGATTTTCTCGTGTCGAGTGGATTGGACAGGGCAAATATTGGATACTGTGGTGCAACGTACTCTTTGTATAGGGCCAGGAGTCGTTGGCCTGTTTCGATTGAGAAAAGAGATTCCAAAGTGTGTTGGGCCGAATCTCCGAGAGCAAGATCCATACCGACTTCTTCTCGACTGTCCCGGAAAACTGATGGCTGAGCCAAGCTAAAATGGACCGGCACTTTCTCTTGGCTAACTGACTGCGTGGTCAGCTTGTTGAATCCAAACTTCCTTTCACTGTTGAATTGAAACATTGACAGCAGGAAGGGATCGATATCGGCTGTCATTCCACTAGCCTGTGCCGTTGTTGGGCCGTCAGTATCCAATAGGTGTGCCGGACGTGATGATTCTTGATGAGGCGGTGAATTTCGTTCGGCACTGTTGGCAGCACCAGAGGGGCTTGAGCCTTGGCTCATATTAGGACCCAGGACAGGATCAAGATTAAGTTCATCTATTTATTGCCAAGTAGTCGTCAAACGAGCTCCACATGTTGTACACCGAGTCCCCCAAGCCATCATCGTGGCCGGATTGCTGGTACACAAAAGGGGGCGCCGGTGCCGTGAAGGGCGCCGTATCCATGATACCGGCATACTCAGCATCCAGAGACGCATGACCCATGGCAGGTGCATATGGTTGGAGGAGTATCCCAGGAGCAGAAGGGACTTGTCCACCAGGAGAAGCGAGTGCTGTTGAGATTTCGGATGTTGTTTCTCTGTTTTGGGCTGGCCTTCCTCGCGAGGAAGTTTGTTGAAGAAATGTACAGTCGCGGGCATGCAGTTAGCAAAGTCTGCAAGGCGGGCTATTCTTGATGAGACAGGCAGACTTGCGTGAGCGACAGAAGTCGCATGGCCGTTGCCTCTTGCTCATGTATTTTCAAGGACCTCCATGGTACGCTGGTCGTTCGCTCGGTTGTGATAAGCGGAGCAGACTGGGCGTGAGGCTCCCTTCCGATTCTTATCGGGTGCCAAAATATCAAGCGCCCAAGTAGTCTACTTGTGTAGAGTTTTGTAGAGACTTAAAACAATATAAGGAAGACATGAACAATGCGAGATGTATCCATGTTGTTGAGTGAGGCACATTATTGGTCAGTCAATTGTGCTTATCGTCTGTCTTTATGCGGCCATCTCCTGCCCTTGCCGCGCACCCCGACTCGCGCGAACCGGGGGGTTGAGTACAGGGCGCAGTGAGGGCGGTATCACCCTCGTCCTGAAGCATGCAGGGTGAGTTCGCGGCAGATTTTACTTCTCTTGGCACCGTTTGGGTCAGTTGCAACTTGCAACTTCAATGCACCAGGTGCTTTTCCCTCCTACCACGCAAATTGTCCTCGCTGCTGTTTGTCGTCGGATGGCACCCTAGCTACACAATTTACCCATGAGACCGTAGTGGTCTCGTAGTGTAGACTAAAAGCAGCAACTGCTGTCCATAAGAGCGGCGATGTGTGTCCACCTCCCGACAATTAACCGGCGCTTTCTTCGCCTCGCCCGTTCGAACAGGGTGACAGGCTGTGTTTGCCATATCATCAGCATCGCAACGATCGAGCTCAGCACTCACCATGCCCTTTCTCTCTCAGCTCCTCGTCCTTGTGGGCGTCTTGTCGCTATTCCATGCGTAAGTAACGGATATAGACTTGACCAAGAGTTTCGCTGATGTGTGCAGGGCTTATTCTGCTCACGAATTTTCGACTCTATCAACCAAACTCCACAAACCTGCTCCCTTACCCCTTGACATCAAGCTGGAGACTCTTGTTTCAGTATTTATGGCATGCTTCGGTCTCATACTCGGATCAGACCCATTGAAACCCGTCAGCTGGAGTGCTTGGGCAGGCAAGATAGAAAGAGAAGGCCAGCCAAATCCTTTCCGGGGCCTTGAGGAACGAGTGGGCTTTATGGACATCAGGGCTCAGCGAAGCGAATTCTCAAAATGGGCTCGTCAGCAAGGCAATCCCTCGAAGAGTTGAAGAGCCAGCAAACAACAGGTCCTTATCGTATACTTATGCCGTTTCCCGATAGACACCGCACGCCTCGCGCGCGATTCCGCGGTGACAAAGGTCAAAAACACTGCTCAAAGTGCTTCAGAACATGATAACAGAGCGCTTTCTTATTTGTCCATGGTCTGCTGGAGTCTCGTTGAAGATTTGTGCCTTTTCCAGTGTGATGTACGTACCGGCTCATGGATGGAGAAGTCGAGATGCTCGCTCACGGGTTGGTTTCATGGAAGGAAGTTTGCGACCCTCAGACTCTTTGGCAGGACCTGTTTCTGGCCGAGGATCTCAAACACACCATACCGCACGTCCCCGACCTTGCTGGCGGTGCGTGTGTCAACGTCAACGACATGACACTCTCCGGACGACAGACAATCGAACTCTGCGACCGAACATCGTGACAGAACACCACATGACTGTGTATGCTGAGTACACCGCCATCTCGGACAGAGCTAGACAAGACCCGAATCTGGAAGAAGGGAGCAGATGAGAAAGAGCTATCTCGATGTTTGAATCGGTTCATTTCAACCCTAAGCCTGGCAGTTTCTATCTCATACACTAAAAGCACTATCAGCCGGAGCACTTCCGAGCATGATATGATAACAATGATTCCTCCATCGGCACAAGTCCTGCTTTTGCTTTCGGCAGCCAGCTAAACATCATTGTATCGTCCATTCGTTTTAACTCCTTGCTTCGCTAATGCCCACATTGTCCGATCGTAATAAAACAAATTTCATTCATGCCTTCGAGGCACAGGAAAAAACACAGCTCCCGGTCCGAGACTCTCAATCTCAATCTCAATCTCAATCTCAATCTCATTACCGCGAAGACGGAACGCTCAGAGCAACGAGAATCCCAAACCCAGCACGACCAGCCCAATGCCGGCGCCGGCTACTTGATTCGACACGGCACCACCGGTGGCCTGCGCAAGTGTCGGCGACGCATTCGTGGCACCACTCTCACTCGCGACGACGGTGCTGGTAGCTAGCGTGGTCCCGGATACCGAGGCCGTCGATGTCAGAGTTGATGCTACCGTTGAGCCGGATGCTGATGCTGGTGACGTGGAGACGCCGGCGCCAGTGGTGGTGTTCGCATACACGTATCCCGAATAGCTCGGCAGGGTGGGCGACGCGGGCTGGCTGGTGACGGCGGAGGGCTGGGATGTCCAGACGGAGGGCATGCCGGTGATGACGCCGAGAGAGTTGGTCTGCGTGGTGTAGATTGTGAACGGGTTCTCGTATGATGATGCTGACGATGAAGAAGGCCACAGAGAAGAATCGGTGCTGGAGTCGGTCGGTGCTTGGACCTGGCCGTCTGGGATCTGCGATATGGCGGTCATGGTTGAGGTTGAGTCTTGAGGGACGGGAGCTGGGTTGGCCGTGGTGGTTGTTGAGTGGATGAGCAGGAGGATTGAGAGCAAGAGGGATGAGAGGGATAGTTGTGATGAATGCATTTTGAAGGTAATTTGTCTGGTGCTGATGTCCGTCTGTCTTGTAGGGTTGGTTGCGAGGATGAGATGATCGTGGTGATAGTGGAAGTCTGTTTGAGTACGGAGTATCCGATACAGCGTGGGTGGTTTGTTCGGTGATGAGGATGAATTGAGTGAAGAGCGAACAGTGCACTCCAAAAGACGTGATGTTTGACAGTCCTATATACGAATACTCCGTAACGCTTTCTCACATCGCAACCATCGACATACTTTCATGCCAACCCCCTTCTGGCCACCCTTCTTTTGGCGGCGGGGGAGAAAAATGTCGGCGAGGGTGGAATTCTCTCAATGGTTGCAGCCGATCAAAAAAATGCATGGAACGCGCGGAGCAACCAGGGGGCGAGACTTCTGAGTGGCTGGACAACTTGTAGCCCTTGTTTGGTGTGGAATTAGGCGAGGCTGGGCCTGTTGGGAGCCACTGGGGACAGCGAGGAATCGACGGATGGCTGGTCTGTGCCCCTGGTTTCAGAGGGATAAACAGGCACGACAGGCACCGACAGGTCAACTACTCGTACCAGAGTACAGGGGTTGCCCCTTGCATGAACTTGCATGAACCGCATGAACTGCCATGTTGCGAGGGGCAGTGGCTCGAGGTTTGAATGTTCGGTGACATGAACATTTCTATCCATATCACGGTATGGAGTACTAGTACTATGGTATTGTGGTACTGTGGTAGCATTTTTGCCTTGTCAGCTAGCCACAGTTGTTTGCTTCTACCATGGTATACTTGTTTATGTGGAAGCCCAAACAAGCAATTCCAGACCTTACAACAACTCCGACTTCTCCACTGGTTGTCGCGATCAAGGAAAACTTCAAAATCATAAGTCATATTTATTATTCATTAGGTGAGAACCAGATCTTCTCTTCATCCTCGAGCGAAACAGCCCGGCGCTGCTATACAATGCAATGCAATGAACAAACCCTCAGACCCATGTAGCGATATCCGGAAGGGCATCCCCACAAGTAAAATCACATCGACTTCAATATGTTTGCACAACGCCTCGTCCGAAACCACGGGTAAAATGCAAATGCTGGCGACTCCTTCAGGTAGTGTATGCAAATGCCCGTGTTCACCACCGCTCGTTTGTCGCACTCCATTAATGCATTCTTGATGCTTGACTGTTGTTCAAAATGTGTACTGTACTGCCGCAAACCCTTTTCCCGCCGCGTCGTATCCAAAAAGTAAAAGACATAATTTTGTATCTCTTGCGCCCGATCTTGAATGGCTGCTCAATCAAGACCTCTTGGCCAGGTATTGCTCATACTGCTCCGCAAAGTTCTCGAACCATGCTTCGCCGTGGCCCTTGCAAGCCGAGTGCGACTGCGACTGCGACTGTTGTGACGCCTTCTTGAGCTCTTTTTGCTGGAAGTACTCGACGGTCGAGGTGGCTTGCCTCTCAAACCAGCTGTCGCCGAAGTTGCGCATTTCGTCAATCGGTGTCGTGCACAACGAGCTGACAGTCATGATGGATGAGCTGGTGTCAGTTCGGGCGGCTCCTGGTCTTGTGAGGGCGGGCGTGGCGAGGTATTGCTGGGTGTTGTTGGATGCCATTTTCTTGTGAGCACGAATGAAGGTTTGGGATATCAAGGTTATCCTAATAACGACTTTTTGGAATCACTCAAGCTTGGTGTAAGGACCCGATCACTCGGGCAGTGCGCTCTGCGCAGGCTCATATACTTATACCACCCACCTACAGGTAGCCACCCACTGTCTTACGAGCCACCGCCTCGCCGGATAGTGCTCGAGACGGGAATGGGTACCCAAAGTGAAACTGACACCTCGGCTTTGGTGCATTTGCCGGGCTTGGGAATATTTTTTTCAGCGCACGATGTGAACTCAAAATCTGGTCACGCTCCCCAGTCTTCAGCCTAGATCGTCCTGACGCTCCGCCATGGAACTGGGTCTGGGGGAATTACTGTGTATCCATTTGATAAAGGACCCATTTGCGTAACGAAAATGGAAGGCGGACCGCGGGAAGGGTTCGTGTCCAGAACACTAGTGAAATATTCTTCCTCGAATCCAGGGGTTCTTTCGGCAATAACCTCACCAAGCACTGGAGATAGGCGAGCACGCCATCGTGATGAAAGATGAAGTCCCACTCTCTGGCAGATGCCCCAACGTTGAAAGGATACAGCAAATTTCAAGCTATTTGGCTTGTGGAGATCTTGTAAGATGAATGCCGCATGTCTACGCGAGCCGAGGGCTGCCTTATGACATTCGGTAAATAATATCATTCGCTTAAACGCAGACTGAAGAGACAAATTATGGCAAGACCCGACATCGTACAGTCTCAGACTGTTATAATCTGCGAATACCCACTCTTGGTTGTCCCCCTCTCCTTCCACCACCAACATTCGAGATCTTCCGTAACGTGGTAGGTCTCGGCATGACTGTTGCCTGCCTGCACGTCTTGTCAGGCACGGAACAAACGTTTTCCTTGTCATCCTCCTGGACGCTTTCGTCCTGCCACACCGGCGTCGAAGTTTTGTCGGCTTGTTCCAAGGTTCCGCGCAGCATTTTGGGAGACTTTCTGGACGGTCCTGCGCTGGCGGGCGGTAGTTCTCCATCCAACGAGCTGTAGATGTCCGATTCAGGCGCTTCTGACAATGGACGCTTTAGTCTTCCACTCAACCTTGAGCCGAGAGAGGCTGATTGGGTTGGATCGTTCTCTTTGGTATTGTCCTCGACCGGCTGGCCTTCCACAACTCGTGTAACGCCTGTGGTCGGACTCTGAGATATCTGCTCGTCTTGATCTTCTTCGCCTCGTCGCTTTGCTTCCTGTACAGCCATGGCGAGATGTCCAGGAATGGGCGCATGGATTCTTGTCATTAGCCGCGCCTGCGTTGCAAACCCTTCATAATCTTCTTGTATTAAGGCTCCGGCCGCTGCATTGAGTGCCGAATCAGGATTTGGCTGAATTAACAGACAGGAGATCGTAATCAGGATGTCTTTGAGCGTCAAGTTGCTTTCCCAGTCACGTTTTAGTGTCTCCAGACACACAGCGCCGGTAGATTCCTCAATATTGGGATGGTAGATCCGAGTTTTGAATGTTGCTTTAGGAGGGTTCTTAGGGTAGTCGTGGGGCATTTTGAGGTGCAGACGCCATAATCCTTGTGAATATGGCGTGCCCTCTGCTCCGGTGATGAGCACATTCAATTGCGTCAAGTCGTCAGGAAGGGATCCAGCATCATCGGAGTCGGGAAAGAGGTAGTTTGGGGGTAAGGCGCATTGTAATTGGGCGTGATCTTTCGCGAGGCGCCGGAATGAAGAAGCCTGGAGAGATGAGAGTCATGCTTGTAATCCTTGCGGACGTCGAGCCAAAAGGACTTACCATAATGCATACGGTTCTATATGTCTTCAATGATGTTGCTAACGGTCTCACGGTACCACGTATGTTTTGATGAACCTGCGCAGTAATTTTGTTTGTAGCGATGCGCGCTTTGACCGCGTCGCAGTTTCCTCCACTGCGGGTCAGATTCCCCACGTGCAAGGCTGAGCTCGCAAGGCTGTCGAAGATTCAACAATAATTATAGTCATTCATACTGCTTCGACCTGAGTCGTCTTCGAATCATTGTTCATGTTCTCCTATCATCATTTCCTTACGGAGATGCTCTGACTATTGTGCTCATTACCGATCACAGTCTCGAGACACCTAGAATCGTCTGCAATTAACGTGTTACTCGGGCAAACCCGAGCCTCGGCCCACCGTCAACACAATACGCTGATTCCGGCATACTTATTTGCATGCTTGTGCCATAGATACAGGGCATCGACCCATACGAGCGCAATCTATATACGAGGCTTGAGCGATCGACACTCCATTCTTGGTAGCTTCTCGAATGATAGCTGTGAAGCGAACCAGCCGCATGTCGAGCGTATCTGCAGCCGCGGCAGCTTCCTGTTTTCGACTGAAACCAGTCAAGATGAGCAGATGGAGAGAAAAGCTGACGCTCTTGTCCGACACTCAAAGCATGATCTCTTGAACTCTGACTTGTTACGAGTACCAGGCGGACTGACAGATGCACAGCCTTGATTGTCTGTTACGAACGAGCCAATGAATCCCCTGTTCATGTTGCCGTGTATCGGCATCTCCATCAGGCTTAGCGACTTTCTCGCACAAATTGCTGACTAGGAATCGAAGGCTCACACAGCCACTTTCCGCTCAAGGCGCTTGAACTGCTTCTTCCAACTGCACAGCTTGTCCTTTTGCTCAGGCTCGCTTCGAAACCTCGGTGCTTCCGCCCAAATCCTACGTCGACACACTCGATCCTCATTCCAAGCATACCAGTCCCGGGACTTTGGTCCTTTACTTCCCCCACTATCCGCTCGCACTGGCATTTGACAGCTTCGGCGCCCGCGATCATCCCCGCCTAAAGCTTCGGCATTCAAGCCAGTGCCAGGCCTGTTGACAACCCATCATCGACCGCCATTAGGCAGTTGATGCAGGCAACATTCGCCCGCCGAGGCTCTTACCTCAGCCTGGTCGGCAGCTGAAGGCTCGTCCACCGTTGAAGCAGGCTCTGTATGGTAGGAGGTACTTTGACCTTAACAAAAGACCTTCAGAAGTTCGGCCTTGACGTTTACGGCCACGCACCCACAGTACTGGTATATACGTACAATAATCGCCTCGACACTGGGCCCTTCGTAACAGTTCCTGCTTCACGTCTTCCCACATCAATCCAACTCTGTTCCTGCATACTCTCAGACCGAGCAACTGTCCGGCCTCTCACTAGGACCCGACCAGCGCTGATCCTCTTTTTGACGCTTGGACGTTTCCGGTACTGGGCCTCGACTCGAAAGAACCGCTCGTACTTTTGACACAGTTCATTCGCCACCAGCTTCAGTCCGATGGCCATGTGGCCGCCAGGTCGGCCTTTTACAGTTCCCATCCACACAGGGCCTGTCGGTCCACCTTATTATGTGCATGATTCAATTGAGCCTGCTGCCAGCATTCTAGCCACAAATATCACGAACCCTACCAATGGCCGGCTTCCGTACCATGATACACCGTCCTCGAACTCGCCTGTCTTGGCACGTCGGAAGCGGGCTAGCAAACCAAAAGTACGAACGGGCTGCAAAACATGTAAAGTAAGTTCAAGATGGCCTGCCTCCACCCAGACATACGCCTCCACTCGCAAGGAATCCCAATTCTCGTTTGGCGACAGCCACAACCTCTAAAAGGGTTGTGGATAGCTGAACTGGCCCCGACATTCCATTTTGACCCGCATGTCTGACTTAATCTGCAGATACGGCGCATCAAATGCGATGAAACCAAACCAAGCTGTAAGTCGAGACATCGGACTCTTGTCAATATGTACGTGGGATGCTCACGTGTCTCGCAGGTAAGCGATGTACCTCGACGGGCCGCAAGTGTGATGGGTACGAGTTCCCCAAGGAGACATCAGGGAAATCAGCCTCTTCGTCCACATTGTCGCCACCACAGCGTCCATATGTGACTGTCCGGCACCTATTTCAACCCGACTCCATCTCCAAGCCGATTCAAGGCAACACCCAAGAGCGTCGCATATTCCACCGCTTCCAATACTGTACGGTGCCGGCATTTGCCGGTGGCTCTGAATCCGGTTTCTGGACCAAGCTCGTGCTGAAGGTGGGCCAGGAAGAGCCTGTTGTCCGCAACGCCATCATCGCATTGGGAACGCTACACGAGGACTATCAGGATCGGTGTGGCAAGTACTCGCCCCAGTTGATCGAGGACGATAGCCACCGGCACGCCTTATCCCTCTACAGCGGAGCCCTCCGTCAACTTAACCAGCGACTGAACGAGCCAACGAAGACCAACGCCAAGCTCGCCATCATCGCGAGTATATTATTCGCGTGCTTTGAAGTTCTTCGTCGCAATAACATGGCTGCGGTCATTCACTATCAACAAGGAATGAGAGAATTGATCCGCCAGATGAACCTTCCCGACGGCGACGAAAGCTCACTGGCGTCATCGGGTTCTCAAGCGACTTTCCGTGAGATCCCGGAGAACGAAATGGACGAGCTGTTGCGCGTTTTCGCTCGCTATGACATCCAAGCTTGCACCTTTTCGAAAGACCGCGCCGAGCGGTTAGCAACCCACCTGACCTTACCTCGAGTACTCCCCACCGATCTCACGTTGTCACAAGTCCGCAACCACCTTGACAATCTGTTGGTGTCCGTGTATCAGTTGGTCAAGTCTGACCTCCGAATGTACCGATACTGGGATGCAGACCTCGTACCTTTGGAATGGCGTACTCAGACGCAAGAGGCAATCACGACTTTCGATGCTTGGATGACGGCTCTGGAAAATTTCTTCGCGTCCAATGCAGAGCACCTAGTCAACGCTGACATCAAGAGCCTCCTGGGAATGAGGTTACAGATCAAGACTGCTGTTATAATGCTCAAGATGTGCATCGACAGCGGGCCGGAAAGTACCTTTGATGAGTTCAAGGGTGACTTCGAAGACATGGTGTCCAAGGTCGAACAGATGACCACGGCTCTCAGCATGGCTGAAGCTATGCCTTTGGAGATTGAGTTTACACCTTTTACCATGGAGCTTGGGATCGTGCATCCCCTGTTCTTTGTCGCCTGCAAGTGTCGTGACTGGCAGATCCGGCGTCGAGCAATTGCCCAGCTGAAGCGAGCTGGCAAAGAGGGGGTCTGGGAGGGGCCAATCATGGCCGTCCTAGCGAGAAGGATAATGGAACTGGAGGAAGAAGGCTTGTCACAGGAAGAGGTAGTCCCCGAAGCGCAAAGATTTCATGAGATCAAGAAGAATGTGGACTACGAAAACCGGCAGATCATGATGGAAGCCACAAAGGCACTGGACGCGACGTGGAAGAATTTTACGTTCCATCGGGAGGCTGTCCCGTTTTGAAGCGTTTGGTCTCGACGATTAGCATGGCGCTTTGATACAGTACGGATAGTAGAGACCCTCTGGCGTCTGGAGCATGCTCAGCATGGGATACTGTACATACTGTGGTAGTGGCACAGTGGGCACTCAGGATCGGAGAATTTTTTAGTTTTGGGGACCATCACGGGTAGTCTCTAGGCTTGTGCGCACCGCTTGGGTGCCGTTCCTCGGCAGCTAAGTTAATCATGGCCATATCCAATCACATCCCGCCAAACCCCCTTTGGCGTGTCGCGTCGCTGGCTGATTTCCCAATCTTGGTTTCCACCAAATCAGTCAATCAATCAAGTCTCGGAATTTTGACACCTTGGTTCTCAGGGCCTACACACGCTTCAATTCCTTCATCTCATCCCAAGACTCGGTCAATGGCGCTGCAGCTGGATCGTGAAGGCTTGTCTGTCACCGTCGACCTCGAGGCTGCCGTATCCATTCCAGCCATCCGCGCTCCGACATCTCACAGCTCCCAGCGGTCACCGTTAAATGAACCTCGACCAGCTCGCACTTGAGACTCTCCCTTCTCGTCCTCGCAGGCACGACCCTATCGATCCCTCACAGGACGAGGGAACCCCTCTACATTCTTTGAAAGCTCCGAGTCTTTCGTCCACTCCTTCAGAAGGCGACTGGGGCCCATCTTTTACTCTTCCTCCTTTACCGAGCCTCCGTCGCGACCGCGATCCATTGGGAAAGCCTCACTCCCCAGAGTTCCAACGTCAGCGAGCGGAGAGTGGTGCATACTACGCCGCTGCTTGGGGCTCGCCTTACGCTACACCGAGTCCTCGTAGAAGCCCTCGTCCGGCGGATTGGTCTGCGCAGCCAAGTGGAATCCAAGACACTCCTCGAGCGACTTCAGCCGTGCGACATTCGAGCCCTCTCTCCATACGAGCGTCCGCCGAGAGTCCCGAACCTCATAATCGACACCCTACCTCTTCGGAAAAGAAACTGCGGTTGAAGACGAAGGTGCTGAATCCGCTTTCCGAAAAACCCATCTGGCTGAGCGACTCGGAGGACACGGGCTCGGAGATTACTGCGAAAGAGGAGGACAAAACGCCAACTCGTCGAGCATATCTTGACAATTGGGGTATCTCGCCTGACGACGCTGTGACTCGACGTTCCCGCAGACGTCAGCTTAGCGCAAGCCTTGCGACACTCACTCCGGGTACCTTCCATGACGCCAACCCTGCGGTAGGCGGATCAGGCTATCGACCCCAACCGCTATCTCCTGCGGCAGAGAACATCATGGCCGAGCAGGAGTCGGAAGCTGCCGCGACAGCGTCGAAGCCTCTGCCAGATCTCCCGTCTCGGGACCCTGCGGCGGATGAGAACCTGAAAGCAACAGACAGCCCGGTTTCGGAGCAGCGCCCTCGGGTGACATCCATGCAGTCTTATCAACGACCTAAAAAGAAGGTGATTTGGAAGGGCAAGGCTTGCATCATCGCGCTGCCACTCACTGACCGAGAAGCTGCGGGGCTACCGCCTCTTGTCACGCCCCAGGATATCAAAGAGCGCATAGAAGCATGGACCAAAGCTGGCTACAACACTAATGGTTTCGAGCTCACGGATTCTGCAAGTGGCGTGCCTCTGGGTGGGGGCGGGCAGAGCCGGCCAGTCTACCCCGATCCCACAGAGATGCAGGCTGAACGAACGCTGCGCCGTTATCAGGTCCATATTCCAAACCAAGCGGAATGGGACGCGTGGGTCAATCACCTTAAGGAGGAGAAACTTCGCGCATTGGGTGTAAGTCCAAGTAACTCGGAGGCACCACCATCGACGAAGTCACCATTCTCAACCTCGTTAAGTCGTGTCTCGTCGGGATATCCTGGCCTTGCAGCTTCACCTCCAGTTGCCTCGTCGTCGTCAGCGAGCAATCCACTTCGGGCGACGAGCAACCCCTTTTCACCTTCTCTGATGTCGTCCGGAGGAATCAGCCCGCAATCAATATCTATGACATCCCCTCAGTTCAACGGTATGCCAAGACCGCTGCAAGGACATGGGTACAAGCAATCTGTCGCGCATCCGAACTCTTATGGCCGAATTACATCACCATTTGACGGGTCTGTCTCCCAGGCAAGCTCCCTTGGTTATGGAGCTCGACCAAATATACCACCTCTATCTTCACGGCAAAGCAGCTTCTCCCCCAATCATCCTATACAATTGCCTAATCTAGGCGAAGTCCTGTCCCCGCAACTAAAGCCGCGTGGTCCTGGCCAGAATGTGAACCTCTTACCCGAACAGAAGCGATACGGTCAAGGACAATCGGAGGATCATTTAGTGTCTAGCCATCGACATCCACCGGGGCTCAGTCCTGCTCTCTCACAACATGCTGACTCCAACTTGCGGACACCAGATCCACGTGGACCGTCACCCCCATCGATTGAGATTGCACATCCCACACCAAAGAGCCATCGACAAAACCTCAGTATGGCTCTACAGCGGGGCATTGACGAAGCAGAGGCCGCATCTCGAGAGCGACACGCGGGAACCGATGGTGACGAGCCGCAGAGTGCGCAGATATCGTCCAGGAAGAACTCAATGATGGATGAAGAACCTCCCATCCTCAGAAGACCAGAGACGATGTCAACGGCAGATGAGAGATCAGAGATTGAGACCAATCCGAGCATTGCAGCGACCCCGCTGCTTATGGACGACAAGAACCCTTTCATGAACTGGCAGGCACTGAGCGATGCGGCCAAAGCAGAATCGAAACCCGCCACTGAGACCAATCTGTCGACCACCAAGCTTAATGTGCAGGCGAAAGAATTCGACCCTCAGGCCGGGTTCTCAAGCTCGAACTTTACATTCGGAGCAAACAACGACACCGCTCCGTTCGCTTTCTCCCAGCCATCACAGGCTCCAGTGTCACGAAAATCCTCTGCCAAGAACCGACTGTCACTCAACGCAGATGCTCCAGCTTTCACACCCTCCTTCATCTCTCAGAGTACGCCCAAGGAAACAGCTTTCAAATTTACTTCTGCAACTTTCAACGTGGAAGCACCGGTCTTCAATCCTTCCAAATCGGCAGCGACGAACTTGCTGGGAAATGTGGGTTCGTCTGGTTCACCAGAACCCAATGCCACCAACAGCATATTTGGCACCGTGGTCATCGACCCTAGTTCCAAAGTATGGAGAAGACCGGCCAAACCTATTCCTATTCAGCCACCGAATCCCAAAGAAATGGGAGAGAAAAGCTCGGCTTCAAGTGAAGACGAGGACGACTCGGATTCCGGCCGACCAATGGCACCGACTGATAGGCAGAAGCGTGCTCGACGAACAGATAGCGATGGCGATAGAACTCCAGTATATGCTGACTCGGCGCCGTTCCGCCACGAACGGATTCTGTCCGAGATTGTGGACGATATTGACCAGAACGGTCCACCACCGGAAAGCCCGAAGAAGTCCCTCGACGGCTGGTCTTATATTCCTGCTGATGAAGAACCCTTGGAAAGTTTGCCTGAACCACCGTCGGCGGAGAAGGATGACGATGCGACACATGAGAGTGATAAGGAGTTTACCATGAAGAACCAGGATGATGTTGCCAAATTCAACGAAGCTCGGCCGCCCTTCGACGCCCCACCCGTGTCCTCTACTGAAAAGGACGCTCAAGACGAAGCGATAGAAGAGCCGTCCACGTCTCCAAAAACAGAACAGATGCTGAGAGCACAAGTTCGGAAGCCCAAATCATCCTTGTCGGCGCTTGCGAAGCCATTCGAGTTCAAGACCCTTTCGTCCAGCCCACACCCATCATCTTCAGCAAAGACACCTGCCCTACGTCAAGGACTAGAAGCATCGAGATATGCGGCATCTTCAAGCCCACCACAATCCTCGGCTGATCTTACGGCTAGTCTTTCTTCTCCTCCGGCAGATTTGTACCACTATGTTGAGAAACACACTCAGTCTGTCAGCGACGAAGACGATGTCGTCGAGGTCATCGAAGAACCGTCGACTGAGGAAGACGCAGAGCACCAAGAAGTGGCCGCAACGGTAGATGATCATCCAGAAATGCTTGAAAGCCAAATGCAGGCCGATCACGAAGTGCCCGAGGTGCAAGGACAACCGCATCAAGACGAAGTTGAGCTCGACATGCCACGACTGCCATTGCGCCATCAAGATGACCCTCTGCCTTCCTTCGAAGAGATTGATGCTGTGATGAAGCAGTTCGAAGTGCATCCCGAACTTGGTATTGAGCGCAATGATACGCCTATCCAGTCTACCCCCCTGGTTGACATGCATCTGGGTGGAAACTTTCGCAGCGATGCGCCCAGCCCCAGCCCACCACGGCCTCGAGGTCGGGACGGTCATGGGGATTTATCATATCCTCCATCGATTGGTCTGGGCATTGGAGTTCACAACCTCAACACAGGCAAAGCAAACGTCAGTGATTGGGATGATACACTGCCGGCCGCGGAAGCGGCCAAAGTGCAACTTCGGTCGCAATTCTTCGATGGACATGTTAACGACTTGGTGGATGGCATACTAGAGAACCGTCTGGGCCCACTTGAGCGGACGCTTCAGACCATCCAACATTCTTTGGCTCTCATGGCGACAGGCTCGAGGCCTAAGAGTAGTGGTCGTAGTATGTCCACTGACGTCAAGAACTCAGATGCCGACGACGAGGACGACTACGACGCTTTCGAAGGGTTTGCTTCATACAGGGCGAGATCTCCGAATGCAAGAAGGAATGGACGAAAACAAGACAAGATCCGTGCCGCCGTTGCCGAGGCTCTTGCTGCATATCAACCTCCTCAGGCAGCACAATCTTCGATTGATGTGACGGAGTTCAGTGCGATTGTGCAGGAAATGAGAGAGTTGGCGCAGCAAGCAGGATCTAAGAATACCCAAAACCAGCTCAAAACGATTGTCGAAGATGTCATTTCTCATCATCCTCGATTACGTGGTTCGCGTGTGCAACAGGAGCATGAGTCTGCAGAACAGAAGTACAAGCCTCAAATTGATGGGCTAGAAAGTATGTTGAAGATTTCCAAAGAGCACGCCGCAGAGGAAGTTCAACTTCGCAGGAAGGCGGAGGCAGAAGTGACTGAGCTGAGACTTCGCCTGCGTATGGCAGAGGAAGAAGCTGCACAGCACCGCGAATCATCCGAGGAAGCTCAGCAAACTCTGGTGGCCTTTGTCGAAGAGAAGAAGTCATATGAGAAAGTCCGAAGTGAAGTTGAAGCTCTGAATCTCAAGAATGCAGCATTGGAGAGCACCCTCGAGGAATACCGAGTATCGAGTGATGAATGGCGTGAAGACATCCGTGCTGAACGCGAGAAGAACAAGGAGCTCAAGAGCGCGTTGCAAGACCTTCAACAGCACTTCGAAGATCAGTCCCATTCCCGACAATCTCTTCGGAATAAGGTTGAACGCCTGCAGACGCAAATGACTCGAGCTGTTCAAGACTTGCACGCGGAGCAAGCCGACTGGCGCCACAAGGAGCACGATTTGCTGCACAAGCTTGCTCAGCTACAACATGAACTCGATCGTGAGCAACAATATCGCCAAAAGACCGAAGAAGAACTTCATTCTCTGGAAGAAGAGCATAAGGCCAATCTGCCGGTCAAAGCTCATCTGGAGCATGCTCAGGCTGACGTGTCAAGATTGAACGAGCTCGTTGCATCTCTCCGCGAACAAAACCGGGATCTTGATACGAAAGCCTTCAACCTCGATCGAGAATTGGCTCATACCATCAACACCAAGGAAGCAGAACTCGCAACCGCCACTGCCAAATTGCAAGCTGAATTGGATAGCGCGAGAGGGCAGCTACACAGCATCAAAACCGACTCTGAAGCTCAAATCTCCCGGTTGCAGAGTCGTCTTGACCATGCGGAGCTGGACATCGAAGATCAAAAGGCCAAGCATGACGCTTTGTTGTCAGAAGCCATCGAGGCACACAAGGAAGCAATTCGTGAAGCGAACGAGCGGAGAGAAAGCGCGCTTGAAGATCAACATCAAGTTCATGAGAAGAAATTGAACGACCTTCGCGATCGCCATACTCGAGAATTGCACAACTCTTTCGACAACAGAACCCGACTTGAGCATCATTTGAATGAGAAACTCAGCTTGAGTGACGATAAGGTGAAACATCTGGAGAGTAAGATCGCAGATCTTGAAGAAAGGCTGGAAATCACCAAGTCTGCTGCCAGAGCTGCCGTGGAAGCAGCGACTGCCAAGGGCGTCAACCTGCCAACTCCGGCCTCTTCTGTGGTAGCATCACCTCCACAACGTGCTACTAGCGCCTCCATCTCGTTCGTCAGAGGCACAGAGATTCCGGAGAAGATCTCACCGCAAGCCCTCCGTGAATCGATTATGGTTCTGCAGGATCAATTGCAGAACCGCGAGCAGAAGATCGAAAAGTTGGAGGCCGAGCTTGCAGCGATCGACAAGGACGCGCCGAACAAACTTAAAGACCGTGATACTGAGGTTGGTTGGCTCCGGGAGCTGTTGAGTGTGCGTGTGGACGACCTGGAAGAAATCATCAACACGACGTCGCAGCCAGATTTCGACAGAGAGACTGTCAAAGATGCTGCAATCAGACTCCGGGCGAACTTGCAGATGGAACAACAGCTCAGAGAACGTGTGGCAGATGGGTTGACAAGCTCGTTCCCTTCGATATCGACCTTGACCAGTTATGCGCAGTCACCGCGAGCACTACCAATGGCCGCCGCAGCAGCGTGGGGGAATTGGCGAAGAGCAAGAGATACATCTATTGGTGCACTGTCCGATCTGGCGACCAATCTAGGTAACCAAACACCTTCCAAGTCAACCATTGGAAGTCCGGCGAGTTTTCTCTCGGGCATTATGACACCGCCTGGAACGACGCAAAAGGTTCCTGGATCCGCCGAGATGCCAGCACCTCCGCCAAGTATGAGACCACTCGCTGCAGCTGCCGCGGCTCGAAAGAGCAGTTCTGAGGCACGGCCACTGAGGGCATATAGCTCACAGCCAAGAGCATTATCGAGTAAACAGGCAGAGAAGCGACCACAGAGTTCGCAGTCGGAGCCTCGACCACTCAGACCCGAGTCGCCACATACACCTATGCAAGCCAATCGGCCCACCCTGGATCTAGCGGAGGACGTCGACGATGACGCCTCACCGTTGGATGGAAAAGATGTCTCTGCGCGGAGACTGGAGTACGTCGAGCCGATTACTGACTGACCTTGACGTGCCGTCACAGCCGCACGCTATGATATTTTGGATGAGATGCGGTGTACTCCGTATGGGTTCTTGATATCAAGAATTCGTGAATTGGTCCGTCATTATCCCTATCAATCATGGTTGACTTTCATTTTTGTCGGAGGAAGAAATAGCCCCCACGAAAAGCATGAGTGTGGGAAAGGACAAGGAGAGGCAGAGAGGGAAAAGAAAGGAGGTGGAGATAAAAGAATAAAGTGGGAAAGATTGTTGTTTTGCATGAGCGTGGGCAAGCGTTGTCACATAATACCCCCCCCTATCGTCGGTCTTTTTTTTTGTCTGGGTTATATTAGCCTTCTATTTTCCTGTTGTCAATGTGTTGAGTCTCGGCTACTCCTCTTCTACTTTATTTTTCTTGTATAGACGAATCGAATCGAATCATATTGCTGTGTATTAGACAGGTTTGAAAAATGTCAATGCACATGGCCAAGGAGAATTGAAAATCGGGAGTGTGTGGGCTCTCTCTACTCTACTTCTCTACTCTACTCTTTTCTCTTTTCTACTCCCTTTCATTCCTGGGCGGACAGTAAGCCTTCGTTTGACGACGGGTTTACAAGTAAACCCCAAGTTACTACATGGTACTACTAGTATAGGTATCATCACGGTGAGCAAGTTGAACTCGCTAGCGCTGATCTTCCAGATACCGGGTCACCCAAGCATCTTGCATGAGAAGCATTTTCTGTCAATACTACTCCGTAGTATCAGTGTGTCCATACTCCGTATTAGTTGTCAATATCAGTCATCAATTATCACCGATTGGTTTACTAAGTATCAGTAGACCCTCGCATTCTCCGCACGCTTGTCCAACGGCAGCTTCTCCCGGCGACCCGTCACCAGGGTGCGAGACTGCTTGCCCGCGGCGCGGGCCCACGCGTAGGCGACGTTCAGGCCTCTCCGTCTCTTGCCAGCGCCCGCGCCGAGCTTGCCGCCCCATTTCCTCATGCGGAAGGTGTAGTACAGCAGGGGGATCATGGCGAGGTCGAAGGCGATGTAAGCCCAGAGTAGGCCGAAGTTGCGCCAGCGCAGCGACCACGAGATGCCGCGGGGACTCAGGTACTGGTCCGCCAGGGAGAGGGCGCAGTACTCGCATTTTGCCGTGGCGTTGGCGTTGTACAGCGTGCCGGGCGCCTGGCGGAGGTACGGCGCCAGATATTGGCCGCAGGTCGTGTTCGGCGGTGGGTTGAAGATGCTCAATTCGTGGGCGGCGCATACGACTCGGCGGCCGTGTAGGGCTGTCGCCACGATGCCGTCGATGATGTATGTGAACGGGCTGACGCGGTACATGAAGATCCAGAAGCCCGGCAACGCGTCGGGGGGTTGGAGGACGCTAGACGCAGGAAGAAGGCGGAGGTTAGCCTTTTAGCTCTTGGCTTGCTCGGTTGGCTCGGCTGGGAGTTGCGAGATTGAAGGAGAAAACAAAAGGGGACAGCTGCTGGAGGCGCCCCCAAGGGAATTCGAATTGAGTTGGGCTTGAACTTACCCATTGAAGATGACGCACATGGCGAACATCAGCGTCGAGATGATGCCGGCGGTCTCTGCATCAGGGAGAGCGGCGATGATCATCTGGGAAAATGTGCTGGCATACACAAAGATCTGGATGCAGAAAAGCAAGACAAGGCCTTGCCGCTCGGAAGATTGGATGCTTTGGAGAACAGACCGTCGTTAGCAGGAGCAACATTGTTAAACACATTCAGAGATGTCTTTCTGAGTACGACTCGGAGTAGAACTCGGACTTACCCAAAGACGGAGTAGAAGTAAGACGCATACACCATGATACCGAGTAAAATCTGGTAAGGGATCTCGACAATGACATTGGCCAGGAGGAAGGCGACGTAGGAATATGCTTTGGACGGGCGCTCGCGGACCTCGTACAGCGATCGCTGAATAACAAACCGAGGAATAATCTGCTGGATCAAGGCCGTGAACATGGCCGTGAGCATGAAAACGCTGAACAAGACGTTCTGCAATCCTTGCTGAGAGCTGTCCGACTGCCAGAAGGAAAACCCGATAAACCTAGGTTGAAAGAAGCAGGGTCAGCGAAAAATATTGTCCACCAAGCTGTTGGGAAAGTAAAGACAGGTACTACTAACAGAGCTGACGCAACACCAAGAGCTAACTTGTGCCAGACGTATCCGGGAGTCCTCCAGTACTGTTGAAAGGCTCGGGTCGTCGTATAATAGGTCTGGGTGTAGAGCGGCATGGCGAACTGGCTTTGGTCTTTGTCGGCGTCTTGCTCTGCACCTGCACGAGTACCGCTAGCGTTTGTTTCCCGATTGATGCGGTCCAACTCTGCGAGCATCGTCTTGTTTTCTTCACTGGATCTCCAGATCTCGACCCAGTCACGGTTGGCTTGAGCACTGGTCTCGGGGTTGACGATCTCCAAGATATATTCGGCCACATTCTCCGAGTCAGTACAGTGCCGGGCTCCATGCCCTTCGAAATAGCTGATGAGCGTCTGCGAGTTGGGGCCGATATCTCCGAAGTAAACGGTCCGACCCCCGTTTGTGAGGAAAAGTAGTCGATCGAACTCCTGGAACAGCATTGCGCTAGGTTGGTGGATAGTGGATAGCACGGCCTGCCCGTGATCGGCCAGCTTCCGAAGGAAACTAAGGATAGACCAGGAGCTCTGTGAATCCAGGCCACTGGTGGGTTCATCGAGGAAGAACAGTAGAGTGGGCTTTGCGGCGAGCTCAACCCCGATTGTCAGGAGTTTTCGTTGCTCGACATTGAGACCTTCTCCCAACACACCAACGACGGCCTCGGCGAAGTCTTCCATATTGAGCATCTGCAACAACATAAGCACGACAGCGAGCTCGAGGAGAACGTGATGAAACCAACCTTGATCACTTCTTCCACGTAATCGTATTTTTCCTTCTTCGACACAGACCGTGGCTGACGGAGCATGGCGCTGAAACGCAATGCCTCACGGACAGTAGATGTCTCCAGATGAAGATCTTGCTGTTGAACATAGCCTGTCACGTTTAGTACGGGACCGGCGTCAGATCAAGCGCGCAAATGCGTACCTGTTTTCCTTTGGAAGCTGGAGTCCAATGGCTTGCCGTTCACAAATATGTCACCACTAACAACCCCGATCGATGTGCGCTGAGCCAATGTATCCAACAGTGTTGTCTTGCCAGCGCCGCTTATGCCCATTAGCGCCGTGAGTGTTCCGGGCTTGACCCATCCTGACACTTGTTCAAGCAATCTGCGAGTGCCGTCCTCGACTGGAATATCATAAGTGACGTCGCGCCACGTGAATACCGCCTTTTGTGGAGGGATTGCCTGGATGTCTTCATCTTGACTCTGTCGTCTCTCGGCTATCGCTACAGGAGCTCCAGGAGATGCTTGGTCTGCATGTTTCAAGCCGTCTTCGATGTATCGGGGCACATGTCCATGTCGGAACAGCAAGACTTCTCCCTTGCCTGAGGGCTTTGAGTTGATCTCCGTCACTCCCAGATAGCTGAACATGAAGAAACCCAAAAAGCCGATGATTATGCCAAGGTTTCGCCATAGGTGGTCGTACCTGTATTGGAAGGACGTCTCGAGGTATCTATCACCAGACACGGTAGTTTGACCGACTATGGACCCAGGAACGGAGCAAATGAATGTATCCCCGAGTCTGTCCGGGTATGCGGGAATATAGCTGTGGCTGTCATCAGCAATGTGCTTGCCCACGACCAACGCAACGCAACGCCTTACCTGCCACATGGGAACTGCCTTCCATGGAACTCGTTCACTATCAGCGCTTCGAATGAGTAAGCAACGGGGTTGCACCATGAAACCCATTTGAGCCAGGGGTGCATATTAGGTCGAGGGATCGTGAAGCCGGTGTAAATCACAATGGCCAGGACCAAGACGGCAGCGATGGCTAGCGCCTGAGAGATTGTTTTGGTTGCTGCACCGATCGTCCTGAAAAGGCCAGTCATTGCCAGTCTCGTCAGAAAAGCGAAAAGGAAGAATATGAAGAATTGTGCGGCTTCCTTCCTGAGGCCTCCCAGAAAATATAGGATGATGTTGAAGACGACAGCCGTCAATACTTGAACGGGTAGATCGGCTATCACAGTAGCTAGTGCCTCGGTGAATGGGTGATAGAAGCTATTGCAAGGTCAGCATGGAGTATTAGGAGCGAGGCAACAGGGCTAGGAAGGAGGGATGCTGATTGAGGAGGTGCTTACGCGTAGGAGACTTGCTTTTCGACGATTGGCCTCTGATCGTACAGTCGATTGATCTCTGTTACGGCGACAAGAGCATTCAGTAAGACTGCGTTGAAGATGACAGACCCTTTGGCGAAAAAGCTGTTGGTGTCGTCTATCATTCCGTAGAACGCGGACCCGATGATGAGAGCCATGCTGCCTTGTCCGATAACCAAGGTAAGTCGGATCACTTTCTCATTCCATAGGCGCTGAAACCCTCGCTTGGTACAAATTTGAATTTGCATTGGGATCGAGACCGTGTACGGGGAGCTTGGAGGGACGTGGTGTGCTTGTACAGCGCGGCGTGCGGCTTTGAATTCATCCGCAGCAGAAGAACTCGATACTTCCTCCTCGTGATTCATGATATCCTGTTGTAGCAATCTGCGGAGTTCCGATCCCCTCCAATGTCCTTCAAATTCAATGGGTGTTCGAGGCACCTTCGCCTCGAATCCTGGTCGCGGTCTTCTTTCCTGTACATTTGTGACCGAGGTCAGGAAATCAGGGGTCGTCTGGCGAGGCGGACAAAGCCAGCCCATATCTTGGAAGTAGTTCCTTGCAAATGTCGTTGGTCCAAAGTAAATCTCTCTGCCCTCGTAGAGAACCACGACTTTGTCGAAAACGTCGTACATGGCTTGGGATGCTTGATAAGCCGCGACCGCATGAGCAGATCCCGTGATATCGGCACTCAGCCTGAGCGTGCGGACGAACGAGAGCGCAGATGAGGCGTCCAGGCCCCTAGTACTGTTGTCCCAACAGCCTATTGGAGAAAATGATAGCATCATTTCGGCAATACTAACTCGCTTTCGAAGAAATTTAGTAAACACTTCTCTCCTGCAGAATGGAGGCTCACCTTTCTCTCTCCCCCAGATGCGCCTCGTACATACGCGCTTCCCACTTTCGTATTTCGAACATGTGTCAATCCGCAGACTGCCATCGCTACAGCGGTCATTCTTTGCACATGCTCGGTCCTCGATGTTCCTAATATTGGATTCGCCGGGGTACGCATGGCGGCTGCGAATTCCAGAGTCTGTCGGACGGTCAAATGGGGAAAATGTTGGTCGACTTCTGCGTTGTAGGCAATCTCGCCCTTAAAGCTCTTGATCATCTCGTGCTGAGGTATTCCTGTCCGAAGGTTAGGGTACACCAGAATCTTGTTCAGAGTAGGGGAGTGATACCGCTGTAATGGATTACCGAGTCATGACCCAGCTTTAAGCCACGTAGCTCTCCTGCTAAAGTCTTCAACAGCGTCGAGCATCCACTTCCAGGACGCCCAAGGACCAGGAGCGTCTCCCCTGGCTTCACGTGGCCTTCAAAGCCTGTGAGGATCTTCCTCTGCGGCTTCTTGGCGAGGCGGAGCCATTCATGTAACCGGAAAGCACCAAGAAGATAAGAAGCCACTGTCGGTTGGAGATTCATGGCAATCCCAGAACCAGAGATGTCCAGGTTCTTGAAGGTAATTGAGGCCCGTCTTAGCTTGATGTTTGCGTCTTCTGCTGCGTGCATGACCACCTTGGTCCACTTGTATACGTCGAAGGTAGGACTGTAAGGATCCAACGCTGGATCATGAACTTCCCCTCGCTAGTCATCGTGTTCAGTTGTAACGGACCAAGATGCGAGATCGCATTGATTGTGGAGGGTGGCCTACCTTTACTTCGCTTGCAACTCGGGTAAGCTCAGCACGGTCAGTAGCTTCAATTGCCTCGTAGTCACTGCGACTTGACATTGATTCGGATGTCTGAAGCTCTTCACTCATGTGCGACTCGCTGCTGGTATGAGACTCCCGGGAATCCTCTTGGCATCTTGACTCGGCAGCATGATTGTTGTCGCTTTCAGGTCCTCTTTGTCCTTCTAAGCTCGATGCCATGGAGACTGTAGCAATGAAAAGTTCTATTCTGGCAAAGAAATCGCCAACATGACTGTGAAAGAAGAAGGGCCAAGGACGACACAGTGCCGCATAAATGCACCTAGGCTCCGGTCCGCCAAATCCCGCAGCAGCAGGAAGATATGGGCTGGATCCCGTGCCTCGGTGTTCGATGCTTCGTGCATGGCTCACGTGTATCTGTGTCGTCTGATATTGGAAGGCCTGTGGGTTGAGCTGAATGGTTGGCACCTCAGCATCGTATGATGTGGTCGGATTTGATTTGGCTGAATCGAGTCTAGCGTCCAATTAATTACTCTCGCTCGGGGCAACATGCTGCCGGTGTCCGGAGCCGAGCGATTACTACATAGTACTACCTATATGTACCTGAGGTATCCTCGGTATGTACAGTGGACAAGCACATAACTGACCGGCCCGCTATACGTGTCCGCCGTACTTCGTATGTGGAAGCGACCAGATTGGGTATATCCACGGAGCAGACTCCTAACCGCCGCACGAGGGGAGGAAGACAAGCTGGGTATTTTTGCCTGCCAAGGAGGAGGGAGCCTCACTTTCTTGTACTATACAATGTTATACATCTCCTTGGTGTCACAACTCAGCGGCTTTGCCGGCTTCCTTCATGACCTTCAAAGACCCCGTCTCCCACCTGCAGGTCTTCCAACCCGAGGAACCTTTCCAATCCTCCTCGGACGACCTTTTTGCCCATCAGGAGCGAATTTGGAATATGTGCGCACCCCCCTGGTCCTACCGCCACTGTCCTCAACCGAAGAAAGCTCCCTCTCCCATTCTTCGAGAATTGCCAGATCTTCGTCCGTGAGGTTCTCGTCATCGTTTGCCGCCCCCTTTGCCTTGACTGGTGCGTTGGCAGACGCCTTCAGAGCCGGTTTTCCCACAGAGCGAGGTTGTGTTGGCGGCACAGGATTCATCTCATCCTCGTTAATATCGCGAAAAGAGAACGTCTCGATCCTTTCGAACGGTTCACTTGACGCCGCCGCTACCGCTGATTTCACCTTCGCGGCCTTGGCTCTTTGACTCTTTCTTGCCCTCCCCGTCACCGGTTCATCGTCATCGTCAAACATTCTGGCTAGCTCCCTCTCCTCCTCCAGCTCCTCCAACTTCTCCTGTTCCATTCGCTCCATCAACTCTTCTGCCTGGTTGCTAATCCTCTCCGCCCGGCTTCTTGCCCGCCTGGCCTCCTTAGTATCCGGGCCACCGAGTCTCAAACCCCTCGGAATCCGCGTCTTCGCGCCCAGAGCCCACAAGTCTCCCCATTGCGATTTCCTCGCGTCGTGGTATGCTTGCTTGCCAAACGACCTCGGCACGGTCCATCGCTCAATCTGCCCCGCAGGCGTACACACATCCAAGATGATATGCCCGCGTCGCTTCATGGGTGGGAACACAAGGCGGGGCAAGTTCCAGGGTGCAGGAAGTGACGACCGTGCTTTACCGTCAGTGAAAGATGTAGACTCGGTTAGAGTAGTATTGGGATCAATGTCGTCGAAACCCGACTGACAAAGCTGCATCCAGGTCTCATAGTCTTCACCCAGGAGTTTCGGGTCAGGGTGAGCAGGTGCCGAAAGGCCATCCTCGATACCTTGCCAGGAGCCGACCTGTCGTCGGCGGAGATCATCCCCGCGCATGACAGAGATGTAGGAAAAGTCCACATCATCATGATTACGGTCTTTGGCACCGAGCACTCGCTGCAGGTAGTTGGGTCGAGTATACCTCTGCTGGAAACTGCAGAAATCCTTCCGCCCTTGCGACGGTCCTGGGATATGGTACATTGGACATTTCTCGTGGTTAGTGCAAGGTGCGATGATCATGCCTGGCTCCTCATTGTAGACGTCGTCGGTGTTGTGCTTATCACTGTAAGTAGTCCTTCTGCCTTCGGGAGCGGCAATATGTCGTTCCAGAAGTAGTTCTCGAGCTCCTGCAATGGCTTCAAATCCACGAGGGACACCCTTCTCGATCAAAATCAATACACCACCTTCAGGACTAAGCATAGACCACAAGTTCTGGACGTGCTGTTTCCTCATGAAGTCTTCCTGCAGTCCGAAGAGCGTGTGTGTGGCAATGATCACATCAAACTGCTTGCGTGACTGCGCTGGACGATCGTCCTCCAGCGTCGGTGTATCGCGTGTATGCACATAGTCTGGCAACCGAGGGACAAATGTGGTGTTCTCGAGAAGGGCAGCAGCTCTACGTCGGAGTGGGTCTGATCCCGTCAGAACAACGGACTTCGACGCCGGCGGAGGTGGCGGATCTCGATCAGAGTCATGCATTGCATCCCAGTGAGCTTTGATGACCTCACGCCAGGCGAGAATGCCTGCCCCTCCTGCGCCGGCATCTAGAATGCGCGGACCACCCTCTTTGGCGAAGAGCTTGTTGAGCCATGTTGCTCCCAGTCGCTTGCGTGTTTCGACTAGCACTGACATGACGGCGGCGTATGTGGGAGGCATGACCGTGGTGAGAAACGCATTCGCTTCCATCTCGCCCATACTATGCTGGGAAGCATGGATCGGAAGGGGTAGTTGTGCTCGCGATCGTCCAGACCTAGGCGTCAACGGCGAGTCCGGTAACCCTGGACCACCGAACGTCTTCTCGCACATGTCCTTCAAATGCTTGTTGGAGAAATTGCTCATGATCTTGTTGACGGGACGCACAAATTCCTCGTGGGAGAGGAGGACGTTGCCTGGGTTGGTTGCAAACTTTCCGAGGCGGGTGAACGGGTGCATCCTCCTACTTGAATCTTCCTTGTCCAGTTCCTCTTGCTCCATGTCGTCGAGCACCTCAGCACTCAGGGAGCGTGCAACCTCCTTAGCCCGTTCGGCAGGGGAGGTCAGGAGACTGGGGTCCATTGCGCCGCCATCTACGAAGGCAATCGCCCTCTGAACAGGTTGTGGGGGTTCGGGCACAGGGCCTGCTTCTTTCTGGAGATTCACAAGCGGAGTATCAGAGGATACCTCATAGTCAACCAGCTCGCCCTCTTGGTCATAGAGTTGATTCAGTGTCTCGGCATCCACATTGGTGGCTTCATCCTCATCCAAAAACTCCTCGTAGGACATGGAGATCGGGTCGCCGTACAGACGTTTGTAAATCTTAAGCTCCTCTTCATTCAACGCAGTGGTAGGCAGTCTGTCACCGTATGTCTTTCGTGCTTCTTGTACCACCTCTTCCTGCGAAGCGCCAGTGCTTCTCAAATCAGCCAAGAGAACCCCTGTACCTGCAATGGCAACTTCGACGTGTTCATCCAGTGCGAGTTCGGGATTTAAAGATGCGTCGTGTAAGCCCTGAGCCAGGGCACGGTCTTCCTCAATGGCTTCCTCGATAGGCCGGCCCAGTGCTTTCTCCAGCTCTTCCAATGTTTCGATTTGATCTCGAGCAGCATCGGCTTCGGAGCCTGTCTCGGCATCCAATCTCATCTTTTCATGCTCGGGATCTGCAGGAGGGTGATTTAGCCGTACGGTGCCCTTGGTAAACGATCTCAATTGCAGGCGTGGTTGGGGCTTTTGCCGCCATTTGAGAGGCGGAGCGCGACTCCTCGGGTTGACGACGGGTCCGCAGAATCCTCTTTCCAGAAGTAGTTGAAGATCCTGTCGACAGCCAGGGCACAAGGCCGACGTCCTCGCTCGAGATAACATCTTTGTCTCCTCGATAAAGCGGTCTGCCGCCTGTTGGTGGATTGAAGAAATATTTCAAGACAAATGAACAAAAAGTCGTTGGCGCAGTTCTGCGACCCACAATTATGCTGCATCGATTCCGTCCAATGATCACTCTTCAACTTCGGGATTTGTAAAGGGAGCACGAGGGAGGTCCAGCGAGCAGAATGGTGGCAAGTAGACAAAATACCATAGTAGAGAACATGATCATGGGTGTCCTGCTATGTTTCAAGACTGACTTGAACTCTTCTATGGAGGACACTCCATTTGAGCACCAAGAGTGGTGGAATTATCTATTGACTTAGCATTGACAGCATCAATGGCTGCGAGCTAGTTATCACACTCCCGCGCACGGCTGTCTTAGTATGAGCAACAGAGAGCATAGGCCCAGACCACGATCTCCCAGACGCTCCTCGATGTCGGTTTGTTGTGGACCACAGAGCACGATGGCATTCCTCAACGCCCTCCAATTTTCAGGCAAGCTCACAGCCCGTAGAAAGTGCCAAACTAATCCAGTCCCTCAGCCCACCGGACTCCAAGGCATGGGAATGAGGATCTTGCTCCTCATCGTCTGGATCAGCGGCACCGTCTTATGCACTGTATCCGCCCAGCCCTCGACTCCCCATGACTGCTCACGTCGTAATTTTCGCTCCTCAAGATCCGCAAACTGCCACAGATGGTGCACGGTGTTTAGATCCCCAATTTGCACGAACCAAGCCCCCACACCCTCCATGACTTCTCGCCTCGCTTTCAGTCCGTTTCGCCAGTGCGTCTCCCACTCCAGGAGATTACCTGGGTGGAGAGTGTACGACCGCAGCTCGAACAGTCCTCCAAGCTTTCGCGGTGGCGTAGTCGGCCAGAACGAGAATTCCTGCATGAGCGAGACTTTCTTAGAATAGATCAGACTCTTCAGTTTCTTGTCGAATGCCGGAAAGTCGGGATGGTGCGAGATACTGTGTAAAGAGGCGTGATATCCTGTGTAGCGTTGATATTCCCAGATGTGCACTACACTTTGCGTTAGTCTTATAGTCGCACGATGTAGAGGTCGATAGACTCACCAAAGGTGTCGCAGTCGCCTACTTCCGTCCTCCAGCTGCCTACGAGATGAACCTTGTTCTCAGGCATATTCGCCATCTTGGGATACCAACTGCCGACAAGTTCGACATACTCATCGACCTTGTCGGGCTTGACGTCGTGAAAGACGATTGAATGGACGTATTTGCCTCGAGCCAGGACCTGTGAGAACGAGCGTTCCATCTCTTTGTCCAGCTGCTGACCCTCGGGTGTGCCATAGATCAGACTCGAAAGCTTTCCCGATCGCTTGGTGGAAGTGTCTGTTTCAGCTTGCCTGGCTTCTTCTGCACGGGGAGCGGTAGAAAGTGAGCCCAAGCCCAGGGATTCAAAGACGCCGGAAGCACTATCAGACGCAGATGCAGCAGGGGGTGAAGGTGAGATAGTGAAGGAAGACTGACTTTCAGCTTGGTCCTTTCTCTTTTTGGCAGCTTCCAGGCCATCGCGGAATTCTTTCTGTCGGGTATTAAAAGCCTCGGTACCGTTGGGTGTGACGTCGCCCAAACCGGGAGAGCGAGCAGGTTCTCGACATAGGGTAGAGGTAGTAAAGGCGCGAACGAGAGAGGAAGCTTGGGGAGAGGAGAGGGGTAACCGGCGGGCGAGCATGATTGTAGCTGTAGAATAGAGAAGCCGTATGCTGGGTGGTACAAGAGACAGGTGGGAACGACAGACGGTGCAACGAGCAGGTGTCTGCGATTTGGAACTCGCTCGAGTGTTAGTTGTTTAAGGTGTCAAGGTATGCGAGGTCTTCGAGGTACACGCGCGGACAGAGAGGTGACTGGGTAGTAATAAAGCTGGGGAAGTTCCCCAATGGTCGAAGCTGCGGGTTGTCCTTTCAGGCAGACCAGGGTTGTGGTGGTTGTGATTGAACGAAGGAGGAGTCAGGACGCATCGACGTCAGCGAAAACAGTTGCTTCTCCTCAATATTTAGTGCCTGATGGTGCCCCTACACTATGACTCCCCTACTACTGTTTGGTTGGTTGCTAGCTAAGATATAGCGACCCCCGGGGATAGAAAGAATTGCACGGTCAGACCGAGTTGGAAGAAATCACTTGAAGCGTACCATCACCACAGAAAAGCTCATGGTCAGACAACCCATCTTTCTGTCCAGTCGTGCCAGGTAGCCCGATTGGCTTTGCGGGGCATAACCCAGCTCTTGTCATGCGTCTTTCACCATCGATCATCCCACAAGTACAACAATTATCTGGACAGCTACTCCATATAAACGCACCCAATGCATTAATCATCCTCTTCGGATCTCGAGCACCGATTCTCCTGTTGCAATTCTATAGAGACCGTCATTAAGAAACTATCCCATCCTCGCCATTCCTCCATTTCAACCTTCAAATCTACCAAGCCACCGGCACCACCTTTTTGTCACCTTGACCCGGTCGATACCACAACCACTGCTCATCAAAGGCGACCAAAAATGTCGGAATCCCATAATCCTCCACTGACCTACGAACCCTCCGCTTCCACACATCCTATCCGCTCCTCGACCCTCCCTCCCGAAGTCTCGCAATGCCTTAAGAATGCACGCTTCCTGCATCTAGGAACCATATCCTTTGATCCAGTCTCCTCCCAACCAACACCACACGTCAGTCTCATGAACTACACCTTCCTCCCCAACTATCTCGACCACGGCCCTGTAATCATAATGACCACATCTGCCCAGTCTATCAAAACGCGCAACCTGACTTCGAACCCGAAAGTCTCCCTACTAGTACACGACTGGGTTAGTCACCGCCCACCAACCGCCTCCTCAGTCTCTGCGACAAGCGACCGCTCAGGCTCACCACCTGCAGCAGCGACTCGGTCCAGCCTGGCCAGTCTACTTCTCAACCTGAACACATCAGCTCTAAGTTCCATATCGACAACTATCACTGGTGAAGCTCGGTTTCTCGAACAAGGGAGCGACGAGGAGAAGTGGTGCAAGGAGACGCATCTCGCGAACAATACGTTCGGCGACCAGGCGAGGGAAGAGATTGGCCTATTTGGCGCACAGCAACAGTCGAATGCGAACCCGGACGAGCCTGGTAGTTGTTACATGGGGGCGGACGATGTGAGGGTTGTCATCGTGCCGATTCGGGAGGGACGCATAGCAGACTGGAAGGGCAGTGTTAAGGATTGGGTCCTGGTCAACGAGGATGCGCCATCGATAGGTGAAGATGTCAGTACGAGAGGGCGAAGTAATGGGCTGCCCTTGGTCAACGGAATCATGGATTGATGTCGTCGGCTTGGTCTTAACTGCAACTTCCGCCCAGAGCGGACGCCCAAAAATCGACGCCGAGCCCAAACCACATATGCAGAGTGGAACACATATCGTGTGGCACTCTCACCGATCTCAGGGCCATCAGGTCTTCGGCCTACCTTCAGGACTGAATATTTCGAACTATTGCGGATTGCCACTTTCGTCAGAATTCTAGGGAAGCACCAATACCGAGCGACGGACGCCAAAATGGAGTCAGATTGCGCGCCACAGATCTACCAAGGCGTGATATTTGCAGCTTATTTCCCATCATTAGCCTATTCTGGCCATGTACTCACGCTCTAAATCCGAGCCTCAAAAAACGCCTTTCATCAATACCTCTTGCTTTTCCAAAACGAGGCTATAACTCAAAACAATGCTAAAATCAGAACCTGCTCGGACAGAAATGGGAATGAAATCAGGCAAGGCGAGGACAGGGTATGTACATCAGAGGAGTCGGCGGGTGGAGGAGAAGGGCCTGGATTTAGCGACAGGCGAGAGATGAGAACCGGCAGTGGCATTTCCTCACATGACGGTACATTTCGAGTCGTCTTTCGACTTGGCCGGCTTAACCTGGAGAGCGACTCTCGCAGCTTCTGTAAAAGCTTCATTGACTCCGCGATTTCGCATTGCTGAGCACTCTACACCACAGTTAGCTTGATCCTAGCAAAACTTGTAAACAAACAAGTCGAATCATGGCCGAACATACCGAGATATCGTAAGGCGCCAATTTGCCTGGCTACTTCTAATCCTTCATTGTACTGAATCATCGGCCGTGGCGGAGCACGCGGTTCATCGTCCTCTTTCTCGTGTTCTTCTCGCAGATCGCACTTCAACGCGCACAACACTATCTTGACGCCTGGGCAATGCTCGTTGATCTCGGCGATCCATTTCGTACCGACGTTCTCTAGGGATCCTCGATTATCGACCTGCGCAGCACACATTAGCTTTACATTCGGTTCTCCTCGGCGATGACGTGTAGAGCAAAGACGGGTTTGGAACCGTACGCTGAAGCACAACATTATCGCCTGTGTGTCGTCGTAGGACAATGACCGCAGTCTATCGAACTCTTCCTGTCCCGCGGTGTCCCATAAGGATAGTTCCATGTGTATCCCATCGACGAAGATATCGTGGACATAATTCTCGAAAACCGTGGGTTCGTAGACCGTCTGCGAGTTGTCAAGTGTGTTAGCAAGCATGTACGGATAGCCGGCGGATGCGGGAGCGCAAGGATGACGAACAGGAAAGAATCCTCTTGTAAAGACATTGAGTAAACTTGTTTTTCCGCAGGCGCCGTCTCCGAGAAGGACCAACTTGCGCTGGACGACTTTGTTGCCGCCGCAGAGAGGCATGGCTGTGCGAGGCTATTTTTGTTTATCGATGTGGTAGGTGGAGATAGCGTGTGCCTCGGCCGGGAGTATGCGCAGGTGAAAAGTAAACAAACGAGCGGTTGCTGTAGAAATTGTTGATAGGAGTAATAATAAGGACGGTGGAATTGGAAGGGAGTGGAGGGAAGCGAAAGTCGAGGTGAATCCTGTGTAAAAGGTCAAGATGATCGAGAGATAGTCGAGTGTAGATCGACCAGGAAATCCGGAGGAGTCGTTGACGCAGGCGAGATGGAGGAAACAGTGGCACCGGCAGGTCTTTTGCTTGGTTGACTGTGCTTTTGCCCTTTGCATTGGGCATGTGGTTTGTTGGAAAGCGGAGACCCAAGCAAGAAGTGGAGTGACAGGCCTTGTTGGACCCTCAGCAAACATTTCATTCCTGCTGCGGCTTGAGGGATGCGTTTACAGGACACCCTCCAAGCCGTCTTAACCCAAGTGTGAGCATGTGCCGACAGCTATTATGAGTCTGGCCAGCATCGCAAAACAGCAGAAGCTGAATGAACAGTTCGCCGATTGGTTTTAAGCGAATGCCTTACTCACCATGGTTCTCGTGCTACGAAGTCAAGTAATAGGTATTTACTTACCAGTCATAGGCGCTCTCTGTAATTAGGACATAGTACAGGGCGTTAGCCACACTGAGGTGGGATGTTAGTCGCAGCAATTGCATGAGTTGCAGCTGTGCATCAGGCAAGTCAGGTTTCATCGTTCAGGCAAACAGGTTATGTGAGATGTGAGCAGGCAAGCATAAGGTAATCGTAAGCCTGCTGTCAAACTCCGCCCCGAGATCCTCTGCGTGATCCTTCATGCACAAGAACCGGATATCGGGCTGCAGTTTATATGCGAGGCAAGTCAGGCCGTCAAGACATCAACATCTTTGCTCCCATCATCAATCCTCTACACAGCCACAATACTGCCCTTCCTTGCTCAACACACGAGATCCTCCGTCAGCCACAGCCACTATCTGCGACTGCCTACCTAAAGCCAGATGGGTCTCTTAGACCTGGACATCATTTCCTCTCACATGGCCGGTAGGAGCATATGTCCAGAGTCGGAGACACGTGGGAAACACAGGACGAGATTCGAAAGTCAGGTTCAATTGTCAAAAACGAAGCGTGGCCAAAGCAATGTCCTACGTAAACCGCTTCACCTCCAGCCTGGATGGAAAGAAATCTCGCAAATGCCATCGAACGATTAGCAGGATGACGAGGAGATCTGGGGTCGACCCAGTCCCCATCAAGCGAGGCAAGGCTTGAACAGTGGAATGATAACGAGACCATGGCTTTGTCGTAACAGTTCAATCGATGAATTTGAGAACTTTGTCTTTTGCACATTCAACCCTTCCGCTGGATTTCAACGGCTTGCTCTGGAGAAACCTAGGCTGCATCGAGCTGCACTTGAGCATATTTCCCCTTTGATGACGCCCTCTTTCATGCATTCAAAATATCTCCATCGTTCATCGTCCAACTCCCATCTACTCTTCAGCAATGTTGCCCCGCTCGCTCACGTACAGACCGTCCAAGAACTTTCGAATATCCTTGTTTCGTACTCTGCAGATTTGTTGGACATCGGCTGCTGATTGTGAGACGTCCTCAAGAGAATTTCCGGTCAGCTCAATTTGATCCTTGACACCTTTGGATGCCTCGACTGTGACGCCTTCGCGCATCGTGACATGTCGAACGATCTTCTCGCCCAAGAAGTTTCTGCAAAAACAAGCATCAGCATTTGTCCGCTCAGTATTGTCTTCTGACCATCGTCCTAGACTCGTGTTGGACATACCTGATCTCAAGGTGAGCCAAACCCTCCTCGTTCTTCTCAATGTTGACGTTGATGGGAAAGTGAGCATAGACATATCGCATCTTGTATTTGAAGCCTTTTGTGACACCAGTAACCAAGTTTTGGATGATGGACTTCACAGTTCGGAGGGTAGCGACGTTCTTTCTCGAGCCATGGTGGATTTCGATCTGGACGATTTGCTGACCTTTCTTGGCCGGGGGCAGACTGAAGGTGACAGCAATGTGTGAAAGGTCCTTTGTGAGTTTTCCTGCAGAAGCCATTGTCAGCCAACGCTCTTCGTCCTATATGTGCCTGCACTCTGCGGATTGGAAAAAGTGTCTGGAGCTTTTGTACCTCGTGGGCCCTCAACGCTGACGATCCGTGATCGGATATGGATCTTGACGTTGTCTGGAATGACCAGCTGCTCTTGCGAAAAGATGTACTTCATCTTGAGCAGCGGTGTTGGGTTGTTGTTGGCAAAGTGATCAATGTGTCGAGTACGAAGTGCAACATGCTTGTAGCGCAGAGAAATTCGAGTTCTGTGGGCAAGTCTGGTCTTGGCATGGACCCTGATTGTGATTGGATGGCTGGTGAGGCCCTTTCAGCCTTGCCGCCGCTTTTTGTTAGGTATGGCTCGCCCATCCGCAAATCCGCAAATCCGCCAAATCAAGCCCGCAGACTGAAAGCCACTGATCAGATTTTAGTATTCGATGTAATGAATGCAGCGTGCATCCGCAAGCTGTGAGTTTATGAAGCATACCATATCTACGGTGATGATTTGGTCATATATGTGCGAGTGGTTGCACATGTCTCCTATCAACATGGAGATGTAAGAAAGAACTGTTTTGAGTAGGTCAAGCTGGAGTTCATGACGCGCTGATCTCGACAAAGGCATCTGAAGGATAGATAACTGATTCCTTTCTGTTTTCTTGGAGGTTCAGCACATACGCTTACATCCTCTTGCTATTGAAGCCTACTGATCTCAGAACCAGTCATCCATAGCCGCTGACTGTAGCTTTGAAATATATTTACCTGCCTCTATACGGTATCACATAGCGGCTTTGTTGTCACCGCCTCGGAAGGTGACAGATCTATCTCGCTCACAAAACCGGCTCGCTATGGTACATCCCTTTAGCATTAGCTCAGCAGCATCAGCAACTCTACGAACGCATTGACTCCGCCTGCGCTAATTTCATGTTCGCAAAAGGTGGATAAGGCCTAGCCACCTTCTTGTGTCGTGAAGACCGGAGAGCTGCTAATACGTGGTAACCTTCCATGACCGTTGGGCGGAGACCATGTCGAACGCATGAAGGAGATCGGGAAGGATCGACACAGCTTTGGTGCAGCTCCTTGACAACTGCTATCCGAGGCTGGCATCTCATTGGTGACAAAGTTAGCTCGATCAGCGACAGCGTATCGGACAGCATGGGACAAGATGTTTTGCTCCAGTAGGACATGCCCGTGGCTGCAAGGAAGGGTGTTGATGGTGCTTATGGTGCTTTCAGATATCAGAGCCAGTTCGCAGCGGATGTGGGGACGGAGCTCTCTTGGCATCAATAGCTACCTTATGGCAAAATCTACTTTCCCTCCATACACAGTCATGCTCCGGATCAAAAAAAAATACTACAATTAAAGCAGGCAAAAAAGAATTGCATAGCAACGATTGGCTGAAGGTATGTTAGCGATATGCTCATGGTCAGGTGAATATCCTACTCACTTTCGATCCAACGTCCTCCGGGTTATGAGCCCGGCGCGCTTCCGCTGCGCCACGTTGCTGGCGGCTCGAGAGAGCGTGAGAAGCTCTGTGCTCGATTTCATGGTCAAAATTCAGGTAGTTAAATTTATAATGTGATATTTTTTATGGACCGGGGCATCTCCGGTTGCGAAAATGCTTGGCTAACTTAGGTCAGTCATTTGGCACCCAGCACGCAGCTTGCCAGCTAGCCAGCCTCTCGGGCAAATCCCGTTGTATTCCCTTTGTCAAATCGACATGAAGGTCAGGAAGCCTTTTCAACCCATTTCATATCTCCAAGCCACAGGTTTCAAGTACAGTTGCAACCTTCCTGGATGCGAACTCCTTACTAGCCATCCTTCGTCACGGACAAAATCCTTGAGTCTTTCGTCGTACTACCGACAGAAAGCTGGGCCTTCACGAGGAACTTACTGACATTCCAACGTTCCTCGGGACTGCCAGTACAGTTTCTAGGTTGTCCCATCAAAGCGACTCCACCACGAGGGTCCAAGAGGCCCTTCAGGCTATACACATACTACGTTTATCGATGTCGCGCCTCTACCTATCTTCGTGTTCGGATCTTTGCAGAGATAACTAATGTGGAGCACGTGATCTCCGTTGTTAGCGTACCGGCCTTGCTGACGAGCCGGCAGATGCACGTTCTTACGTCTTGAAGGCAGACAATAGTATCGACGCCGCACCTGGAATCAGTGTGGCTCCCAGGTTACACGCACACTCTGGCTACGAAACGATACTCTCTTAGTGCTCCAATGGAAGCTTTCTAATGCTACTATTTCAGGACTCCTTGGGCAACCACGGTCGTGAAAGCTCAGAGCCTGACGCTCGAACCACTAGGACGACAGTGTCCTGCCACTAGAGGCTCGGGACCTCTTAAGATCCGACTATTTGTGCTAACAATTACTGCACTGCCATTTCTGGTAAGAATGCGCAGCAACATAGGTATGTACTGTCGAGAAGAAGGATTTGATATCGCGTGAATTGCTCTTATTCTCGGTGGGTAGCGCCCATCGCAAGGTGAGTATCAAAGGAATCGACAGCTAGAGAACGTCAGCGGGATTGAGCATTGCAAGCTCTGTGGGTACTAATAATGCATGCCTCGACGACAGCATCGAGACTGGCAGTCTACTCTGGACAACGCAATGACCATCGCTTGTAGGATGCGCCGACCGCACTATTCGACGCCCTCGAAGATGAAGCGAACTGCAGTATTGGGCTCAGCTCAACACCAAGAATCAGAAACTGTTCTATATATACCCGCTTCAACGCCATGGCTCACCAGCTACAACCTTTTGCTGACGGCTGCATTGTGAGTGGTTTTGGCCATGCATTCTCTGCTTCTACTCGGGCTTCTGGGCCTTGCCGAGGCTCTCAAAGCGACTCCGGTCAGAAGGTACTTCACAAGACGACAAGATGATCAGTCTGAAGAGCCAATTATTCCCACTTACAATTTCTCCATCCCTGTTGATCATTTCAACAAAGATGATAGCAGAACATACAGCAACCGCTTCTGGATGAACGACACGTACTACGAAAGCGGAGGGCCGGTCTTCTTTTTTGACTTCGGCGAGCAAGGAGTCGATGCTTTAGATATCAGCGCTGTGCTAGCCGAAGCATATGGGCTTCAAGCAATCATGCAACTTGCGAAGACATACCATGGCATGGCTATCGCCTGGGAGCATCGATACTATGGGCTTTCAATGCCTATACCTTTTGTGCTAGAGAACGGCACAACGGTAGATCCCGTCACATGTGCTAGCCTACCGAATAAGTGCACCAACGAACCACTGGGTGGTGCCGATGGCTACAAATATCACACGGTTGAGCAGGCATTGGAAGACGTTGTCTACTTTGCGCAAAATGTGGCCTTGCCCGGCTACTCTGCTGAGGAGAACGACCTTCTCTCAGCAAGGAATACGCCGTGGATTTTCATGGGCGGCAGCTGTAAGTTGTTTCACCCTTCCTAGACCTGTCCCGGGTTACTTGAATCGTGAGACGTCTGGTGGTCCTGATACAATCTCTGACCCTTTTCTAGACCCTGGCTGCCGCGCTGCTTGGGTCCGCGCCCGAAACCCTGAGACTTTCTATGCAAGCTGGGCTTCCAGTGGCCCAGTAGAAGCCATGTACGACGGTTCACCATACACCGATGCCATTTATCGGGCACTGTCACCGACTTGTGCAGCCGACGTCACCGCTGTTATTGGCTACGTGGACGAGGTTCTTGACGGCAAGCATGGAAGCGATGCTCTGCAGCATCTTCAGGAGCTCACCTTCGTCCTCAGTGCTACATTGTCCGATTTGCAGGCTTCGTATAATATTAGTGAAGCTATCGAACTGAGCCCTTTCCAAGTTGGCGAAGTGTTGAACCAGCCTCTGGTTGCGCATTTTCAAAACAAACCTCCGAAATATACAACCGATCTGTTCTGCAAGTATATGCAATCATACAACCCCAACGGCAAGGCGACAAACACTACGAATGTTGCAATGGGCGTTCTGACCAGGGCGGGGAACCAGACCCTATCGAGTCAAGGTGTTGTCGGCAAATATGGGGTTCTCGAAGGACTGAACGCTTACACCTACGCTTCCAGCACGTATCTCCGAAAATATCCTGAAGTTGGTGGTGACAATTCAACGTTGATTCCGAACGCACTTGCAGATATCAAGTCGTGGGAATGGCAAGCCCTGAACCAATTCGGCTATATCCAGGGTTCAAACCCAGACAACGTCACTATTGTGAGCAAATATTACAATTACACTGCGGTCTATGCGGAAGAGAAGACCGAAACCTTCACGTTCGGCCCCAAATTTCTTGCTGATCAGCCAGACGTCGGCTCTCTGAACAAGTACGGTGGCTGGAACATGAAGGTCAGCAATGTCATGTGGACGAACGGTCAATACGATCCCTGGCGCCAATTTGGAGTCATGAGTCAGCAAGTTGATTTCGGTGCTCCGACAAGGAACATAACGCAGAAGGTTCCAGCCTGCAATAAGGTCTCGGACAGTACTGATGTCTTCGGCCTACTGTATCCAGGGGCAGTGCACTGCCCTGATCTCAACCAAAGTCCTTATTATCCAATGAATGGTAGCGCACCGGTACAGCTCGGACTGGCATTGTTCGAACAGGCTTTGGATGCGTGGCTTCCCTGCTTCAACAGTTCGAAACAGCATTGGAGAGATTGGCAATGAACGAATCGACACCACTTTGGCTTGCTTAGCTAGCGGTAGAAGACGTTGAAGAAGGATCGAGGAACACCAGGTGATAGCAGGATGTAATTGTTGATGAAGTCGTCTAATCGAAAACAAAGGTGGCCTGTTGAAATCATGGAGGGGGCCAATGTTGAGCTCGATGACAAGCATAGAACGCAGTACTAGGCTTGGCCTGCGATATCAATACGGTATATCTTACATAATATATGCCATGCTGACTGATTTTGTGATTACCGTCTTCAATCCCAACAAGACTCTGCATCTAAACGGGTGATAGGAGACTCTCCGCTGGTTCATAGCAAATGTTCCCCTTGCGAGAGATTGGTCTTAAGTTACTCCCAAGTCCTCTCGCGCGCGCGAAGTCACTACTAGTCGTCCGCTCTCTCGGCGGACGACTACCTTGAGTCTTGCGTCGTACTACCACGAATATTCCATCTGCATATCGTACGACTGGCGCAGGTCTCATGATAATATTGCAGTGGCGAGGATGAAATACGAGATGCCGTTGCATCCTTCAGCATCGTTTCTCCACCTACCTATTCGATCAAATAGCGTCCGTAACGCCACGTTATGAATCCCTGAGATATTATCATTGAGCTCTACAAGCGTTTCAATCCTGGGTCCGCTGGGCTTTGTGTTAGGATGCATCAGCTGCAGCATGCCCGTTGTGGTGTGCGACTACTAGGGGAATTGTGTATATATTCTCTACTTATTCCCAGCTCTTTGCGTTCAGCCTTCGATATCGCTCTTCTCTGCCTGGCTTGTAAGTATCGCAGCGTATAGCAACAAGTATGTCTTCTCCCCTTCACGCCCTCGTCTTTGGCGCCTCAGGCATTTCTGGATGGGCGCTTGTCAAGGAAGCCTTGAGCTATCCGACTCCAACCACGTTTACCGACGTCACAGCATTGACAAATCGTCCTCTGTCTGCAAGTGATGCACGCTGGCCAAGTGATTCGAGGCTACAGCTGGCCAGTGGTATTGATCTTACCGGCTCTGTCAACTCAGTTGTCGAGGCACTCAAGCAGAAAGTCCAGAACATCGACACCGTGACTCATGTGTTCTTACTTGCCTATGTTGATCCGGGCAAAGACAAGATGACCCTTAAGGAGGTCAATACCAATCTCGTCAAAACAGCTGTGGAGGCAGTGCAAAGGCTTTCCCCACAGATCAAGAGCTTCATCTTGCAAACAGGAGGCAAAGCATATGGTCTAGGTATGTCTAGACCCGAGAAGGAACTGAGTCCTGGTGTATCTCCTGAACAGGTTCATTGACCGATCTTCCAGAACGTCCAGATGTGGTCGAGATCATTCCACCCCTCAAAGAATCCTACCATCGGGTGCCTAAGCCGATAGCAGACGATATCTTCTACTATTCACAATATGATGTCCTTGCTGAAATGTCCAAGGGTGCCACATGGACTTTCACGGAGATTCGGCCTGATGTCATGATCGGATTTGTCCCTGGCACAAATGTCATGAATATTGCTCAAGGTCTGGGTCTTTACCTGACTTTGTACCGGGAAGTCCGCGGGCCCGGAGCGAAAGTACCATATCCTGGCGTGGAGCATGGCTACCGACACAAGCATACCGACGCCTTCCAGGATATTGCGGCGAAGATGGAAATCTATGCTGCACTGAACACAGAAAGATGCGGCTCTGGCAGGACCTTCAATATTACGAACGGCGATGTCGTAACTTGGGCAGACAAGTGGCCTGGTATTTGTGCTTACTTTGGTCTTGAAGGGCTTGGGCCACAGGGCACCTTCGAACCTCCAGCAGACTTTGTTGGAAAGCACTCAGCGGCCTGGGTCAAGCTGGTTGAGAGGGAAGGTTTGAAAGGTGGCCGTATCGAATCCTTCTACTGGCCTTTCCTAGATGTCATCATGGACAAGGCTTTCTTCGACCGCCAGTACGACCAGAGTGCCGCCCGGGCTGTTGGCTTTCAGGAGAGCATCAGCACGGTGAAAGCTTATACCATCGCTTTTGACCGGATGAGAGCTGCAAGGATCATCCCATAGACACTGAGTAGTTTAGCTAGTGTTCACCAAGTTGGGGACGAAGCCGCCAGCTAATGGCAGCTTGCCAGGGCGCATAGCCAAATCATGGGAGATTTCGTCTTGTGTGCTGAGAAACCACCAGCTGCTGGTGGCTACTTTAAATGGCCTTTGCCGTATCCGAGGGATGCCATTTCCATAGCTGGCCATTTAATATTCCCTCCATAATTCCTGTGATGTACTGTTAAGTATCCATCTTGAAAGTCCTGGCTGGACCATTTTAATTTAAGGGTCTCGTGTGAAGGACCGGGGACAATCGCGATGTGGCTTAGATCTCCATTGGGCGGTATCCGGTGTGTACGGAACTTGACCAAGCCCCCATTCTGCCTGGTGAGCCCCCAAGGCCATGCCTAAAATGAAGCGAATTCGCGCGATTGGCGCTTGGAGCGAAGGGCCCCTCCCTAAACATCACCTAAACCCTTCTGGATTTTCAGGGGTCCATCATCGTCCTTTCTGAGCTGAACTCGCAGGGTTTGGCGACATCATCGACAACAAGCTCAGCTGAAGCTGCAGCTGTGCTAGCCCTCCTGTGCCCTTCCCGTCTTGAATCAAGCCTCTTATTGCGTCCCATGCGCCGCCGATGAGTTTCTTTTCCATCCTTCAGCAAAAGTCTCCTCCCAAAATGGCCCCTCCTGTTACCATCCGAAACATCAGCAACAATCCCTTGACTCTGGTCCTGGTCGAGCATTTCGACCCTGCTCCAGATGAGGGGTTTCAGATGCAAAATGTCACCATGTCCTTGGCCTCGGTGACGAACAGTCTCGGGCTGACCAACAGCACCACGAGAAGAGCAGTGCCACAGATCGACGGTGATGCCAGGCCATTTGCGACCCGAGAGGTGTCGATAAAATTACCACCATTTACAATTGTGCCTACCGATATCAAGGCAGTCATCAACAAACCGCAGGAGCGGCTTCGATTGACATTCCAGACCGAACTAGGAGGCAAGCACCAGATGTACTGTCCGGTGCCGACAACAGAGACACCAACTTTGGTGGCTTTGGCACCGAACCCCAAGATTCGTTTCACTGGCATCTATCTGCCTGACACATCCTTCGTGGCGCTCTACAACACGTCCCATCTCGATTCATGGATGAAGGATATGCCAGACAAGACTCCTCTTGGGGCGCTATCAATTCCAGGCACTCACAATTCTCCGACTCACCACAATGCACCTCCTTCCGTACGATGCCAGGCTGTATCGCCGAAGGAGCAACTGGACAACGGTGTACGCTTCTTTGACATCCGAGTCCAAGTGCCTGAGCCGTATGACGTCAATTCCGACAAACTGCATCTTGTTCACGCCGCCTTCCCTATATCTCTGGGAGGGACGAAGTACTTTCGAGATCTCTACAACACGATCCTTCAGTATCTGAAAGACCATCCTAGTGAGACGCTGATTCTTTCCCTGAAACGAGAGGGCACTGGCAAGGGTACCGACGAGCAATTGTCACGCATTCTGAAGAATCATTACACCAACCCGCGAGAGTGGTACACTGAGCCTCGAGTGCCGACTTTAGGCGAAGTGCGTGGCCGCATTGTCTTGCTCCGTCGCTTCGTGCTCGAAGAGCCGCTTCGCCACGAATGGAACGGCCGTGGTTGGGGTATTGATGCTCACGTATGGGCTGATAATACGCCTAATGCGATGTGCCCTTCGGGTGATGTCTGCGTGCAAGACTTCTATGAGGTGCTCGAAAGACCCACAGTTGAGAAGAAGATCCAATACGCCCGCGATCACCTCGAGCGCAGCGGCTGTTGCAACTTCGATCCCGAGAACATGCAAGCTCAAGGAGGCAAGAAGTACCCGCTCTACGTCAACTTTCTGAGCGCCAGCAATTTCTGGAAAGTCGGCACCTGGCCCGAGAAGATCGCAGCTGAGGTCAATCCTGCTGTTACTGCACACTTGTGCCAGAGACATATGTTGGGAGACAACGGCAAGGTCAAAGAGGGAGACTGGTCGACTGGAATAGTGGTGATGGACTGGGTTGGCTTGGGCGGTGATTGGGATATTGCGCGTTGCATCGTTGGTATGAATTCGAAGTTGATCCGCTAGATGCTGTACAGCTGGAACCATTTAGATATGTTCTTGGGCAATTGAATGGATGAACATGGCTGACTCAGCCAACACACCGTGGGCGATGCTTCGGTTACAACTGGGCTCCAAGCCGGTATCGGGTTTATCTCACTCAGCGCGGTTATTCACGGCTGCCCTTGTCCATCCTTCAGAGTACCACACTGCCCTCAAATACTCTGGCTAGCACAATGTAGCCCTCCATATTTTGCTGTTCCACAGGATATACTCCTCTAGATGCTCGGTATGAAGTATATACCCTCACCACAAGCCCTCCGGCTCTTGTCAGGTCTTGTGCGAGGCCAGAACCCCGCCTTCAAACCTCGAACCTCTGCCCCCTTCCTTCGCATGAGCCAACACTTCCATACCGCGACACGACTCGACCGAATAGAGACACATATACTTTCAGACATTGGCGAAGGTGTGAAAGAAGTCCAGATCATCCAGTGGTTCGTGGAAGAAGGGGCGCCCATCGAAGAATGGAGTCCGCTCTGTGAAGTCCAGAGCGACAAGGCTTCGGTCGAGATCACCTCCAAGTACACTGGCGTAATAAGGAAGCTCCACTTCGGTCAGGATGCTGTCGTCCAGGTCGGCGACCCTCTCCTCGACATTGAAGTGGAAGGCGGTTCCGAACCTCAAGAAACTGGGGAGCAGGAAACAAGAGACGATTCCGGGGCCGTGGCAGACGCCGAGCCTGCCGCCGCAGGTGATCAGGCGGCTTTGCAGAACGAAACTGGACAGTCAGAACAAGCGACGCCTGAACGTGACGAGCCTCGTACGCCAGGCAAACATGCTTCTCTCGCAACTCCCGCGGTAAGAGGCCTACTGAAAGAACACGGCGTGGCGATCGAAGATATCACGGGCACCGGCAAGGATGGACGCGTCCTCAAGGAGGATGTCTACATGTATCTCAAACAGGGCGCCGTACAACCCTCTGCACCGGTGTCGGTATTCTCTAGACCGACCGTGGACGCGACACAAACTGAGACAGCGCAGAAATTGACCCCCGTCCAGTCCGCCATGTTCAAAAGCATGACCGGGTCATTATCGATCCCGCACTTTTTGTTCTCCGACACCATCGACATCACCACCTTGGCTTCCATGCGGACACGGCTGAACGCTACAAGAAACCCCGAGACGCCAAAACTGACGTACATGCCATTTATCATCAAAGCTGTCTCTCTGGCGCTCAATCAGTATCCCCTGCTCAACGCGCGGTTAGATCTAAGCAGTGATCCAAAGAAGCCCCAACTCATGATGCGGAGTGTCCATAATATTGGTGTTGCGATGGATACGCCGAACGGATTGATCGTGCCGGTGGTGAAGAACGTCAATGCGCGGTCGATCACGAGCATTGCGCAAGAGGTCCAGCGGCTCGCGGCGCTCGGGCAGGCCGGAAAACTGAGTGGTAATGATCTTTCTGGAGGTACGATCACCGTGAGTAATATCGGCAATATCGGTGGGGAGGTTGTGGCGCCGGTGATTGTGGAGGGCCAGTTGGCGATTATGGGCGTGGGCAAGATAAAGACTGTGCCCGTGTTTGCCGACGACGGCGTGAGTGTACGTCCGGCGCAGATGGCCAGTGTGAGTTGGAGTGCGGATCATAGGGTCGTGGATGGGGCCACCATGGCGAGGATGGCGACGGTCGTGCAGAGATATCTGGAGGAGCCGGCCAGTATGGTTATCGACATGAGTTGAAAGAACTTAGGTGTCACCTGGGTGTTTGGACAAGTGGCTTGTGATGCTGACTTACGACTAAAACATAAGTTCACGTCGAGGCGGGCAGTTACTCTGCGGAGCAACGCTCGCGTGTCTCGACCGGCAATGAGGTCAGAAGCTATTCACGCTGCCGACACGAGGACTCGACGGACTTCTTGCAGCAATGCTGGCGTGACTGGAGTTGTTCCGAACGCCGATTCTGGAAGGCAAGAGGCTGCGAAGGATGACAGGCTTGGCTACAGATCAAATATGCCAATGGGCGTCAACTAGAGAGCTTCAAGGCTGAAGCTGACCCGCTAGATGTTGCTATAGGTTCAGATGATTGTGACGAGGAGACGAACGAATGGAGTCATATAGTTCGAGGCGATGTAGACGGAAAGAGCATGACTTAAGAGATCTGGGCGCCAATTCCAGATATATATGACAGCGTTATTCTCGAATGGATCTTTTATGCCTCACGTCTCCTCTCCCTCTAAGCACTGCCTTCGGTGAGGATCCTGGTCCAGTCGAATTTCCTCCAGGCCTTCCTGAACACATCGACCCGCTTGTCGTGTCCCCGATGCCACTTTCCCTGGCGCTTGATAACATCCGGCTCGAGACCGAGCATTCCGCCAATGATCTCTCTGGCAAACAAATCTCCACGAGGCCACCTCTCGGCATCTTCGACAACATGTCCGATACCACCGTCCAGTTCGAACCAGACGTGGAAGTAGGGCATCTCTTTGGCCAGACTGCGGCGAAACGCCAACCTTCCGAAGCCGGCCTGCTTCGACTTGGCCAGCGTGTCGATGATCTTCTTATGCTGACTCCACTCGTCTTCCGTCGTGAGGAAGGCTTCTTTGAAAAACGCCGGCGCCGTCTCGCCGAGATCGTACGGCAGTGGCACGACGCTCAGCGCGGCGTGCGGCTTGCGCGAAGGAAAGGCCGCGTTCTCGTAGAATATCACGTCCCTGCCTTGGTCATGGTACATGCGTGTCAATGATTTCATGAAATTCCGGATTTCTTCCCACTCGTCGTCGTCGCACTCGAGGAGGTTGGTGTGGTGCTGCGTCGGCACGATGATCGCGCTCTGTGATGATAACTCTGGCTCGGTGGGGAGCGTGAGGAACGTCCTGGTCGCGAGACTCACCACGGGCGCGATCGGCGGCGTGTCTGTGTCCTCGTGGAAGCATAACGGACAGTTCTCGAGGATCCTTTGCACTTTTTGATACTCATTGATCGCGACATTGCGCAGGTTGATGTCTGACTTGTGCACGCGCTTGGCGAGCTTCGTGGCGTTCTCGTCGAGATAGTCAAGGTCGTTGTCAAATTTGGCGTCTTTGGCAATACGTTCAGCGAAGCGCTGGCCCTCACCACCGGTCTGACCGCGCGTACGACGTTCCTCGCGAACCATGTCTTCGATGCTCATGTCCTCGTTCTCTTCAACTTGGCCGCGATCGGCGCCGCGGCGGTTTTGGACCGCTTTGACTTCGTTGCGTGGTGCGGACGACAGCATGCGGTTGTCCATCGCCGACAGAGTGATGACGCTGGGATCTTGCGCCGAAAATGCAGCGGCAGCTTCATTGTATTCGCGCTCGAGGTCTGCGGCTTTCGGATCCTTGCGGAGCTGGGCTCTCATGAGTTGTGCCTTGAGCTTGTTCAGAGCTGTTTGGTCGACCTTTGGACCGAGCGTGGCGGTCTCGGAAGTCGCAACGGGCATTCGTTCGACGACTCTGTCAGGGCTGGTCTCGGTATTGGGTGGATGAGGTCTTCGCACGCCTGCGTCGAGTTTACGCTCTTGGAAGAGTTCGCCGCTAGGCTTTTCCTTGCCGACGTAGCTTTCTCCGTACGTCTGGCGTCGCTCGAGTTCGATCTCTTCTTCTCGTGCATCGTCAAATTCGCGGAGGGAGTCGTATCTTTCCACAGCGACATCTTCGACCTTGCGACCGGACTCCTGCGCTTGTCGGTAGACGGCTTTGAGTCTGGTCATTCGCCATTGTGATCCAGCGTCTCCGAATATATAGTCAACTTCATGTGCAGCAGGTTCATCTTCCAGCTCTTCGACCTTCTTTCCGCTCTGCAAATCTCGCAGATGGTGATTGAGCTCCTTCTCATGAATTTTCAACTCGAAGTTAGCGCCTAAGCTGGCAGTCTTGGGAGGGGAAGGTTCGGGTCGTTTTCTTTGTACGTAGTCAACGTCCAGAGCCGAAGGTGCTTCCATCCAGGAATCGCGCTTCAATGCACCAGGATCGGGTCGTGATGATCGTGGCTTCTCGTCTTCGTCTCGATCCCCCTCGCCTCGACTCCGCCGGCGATGTCTGTGCCTATGTCTGCTCTCGGAAGTGTCTTCATCTCTTGAATGTCTAGATCTTTTTGACCGGTGGCCGTCATCATCGTCCTGAGAATCATGGTGCCTCGAACTTCGATGATGGTGGTGATGCTTGTGGTGTCGATGCTCTGACGACTTTTCGTGGTCTCTGCGTCGTTCTATCCTTCTCTCAGTCTCCCTCTGCTCTGCCAACTCCTTTTCGAAACCTTCCAGTGGCATTTTGAAGACAGTGCCAATTCGTGGTGCAGTGGGAAGTCTTTCTTGTCGTGGTGTGAGAGAACATTTACAGGCTGCTGCGTCATTGCTCCCCTCCAAGATTTCTCCACACCCAAAACTGCCCTCTCACGACTCTTCACTCTTCATAATCCTCGCACTCCTACACAACAACCTTTGTACGTACTCAAGATCTTCTTAACATCATGGCGACATCACCAGTCGCCGTTGTGTGCGTCGGAATGGCCGGTATGCATCTCTACGTCCCTGCTCCCTCTTACCAAGCCGAACGCTAACTCTTCACGCAGGCTCAGGCAAGACTACCTTCATGCAACGGATAAACAACTACCTCCATGTGAACAAAACGAAACCTTACGTTCTGAATCTCGACCCTGCCGTGCTCACCGTCCCTTTTCAACCAAACATCGACATTCGCGATAGCATCAACTACAAAGAAGTGATGAAACAGTACAATCTGGGCCCGAACGGCGGCATCCTCACATCGCTTAACCTCTTTGCAACCAAGATCGACCAGATCATTACACTGCTGGAGAAGCGCGCAAACCCGGCGCCAGACAGCAAAGTCGCACCTCCGAAGCACTTCTTAGTCGACACACCAGGACAGATAGAGGTGTTTGTCTGGTCGGCATCAGGCAGTATCTTGCTCGAATCTCTCGCCTCCTCATTCCCGACGGTCATCGCATACATCATCGACACACCCCGGACTTCTTCCACGTCGACGTTCATGTCCAACATGCTCTACGCATGCTCGATACTGTACAAGACCAAACTACCCATGATTCTGGTGTTCAACAAGACAGACGTCCAGGACGCCGAGTTTGCACGAGAATGGATGACGGACTTTGAAAAATTTCAGGAGGCGCTCCACGAGGAAGAAAACAAGGGCGTCTTCGGTGGCGAGGGCTTCGGTGGGAGTGGATACATGGGTAGCCTGCTGAACAGCATGAGCATGATGCTCGAGGAATTCTATTCGCACTTGAGCATGGTAGCAGTTTCAAGCATGACTGGCGATGGTATCGACGACTTCTTTGCTGCTGTGGAAGAGAAGCGGAAAGAGTTCGAACGGGACTATAGACCGGAACTGGACAAGAGACGCAAAGAAAGAGAGGCCGAGAGCGCCACAAAACGAGAACAGGAACTTACGAAAGTGATGAGAGATATGAATGTGAACGCGCGGCCGAAGGCACCAGAAAAATCGGTGGCGAAGGAAGAGTCTTCTGACGAGGAGGATGATGACGACGCGAACGACCCAGATAATTATCCAGATGCAGAGCGGGATGACGAGGATGAGGAAGGTCTGAAGCGGAGATACACTAATGCTTTGCGTGAGCAAGGTATTGTGGTCGACGTTGACGACCCTACCGTGGCCCAAATGATGGCGCAGATCCAACGATCAGTACGATGAGTGAGGAGGTGGATTCGATTTTCAAGCATGAGATACCCAGCGCTGGAGTTTAGGCAATTGAAGGCTTTTCAACGACGACTTTCATTCGACACGATAGTGACCAGGTCAACCGGGCTGCGAAAGTCACAGCGCATCAAAAACCCATCGAGAGCGGGCGAAAAGTCAAATGCAATGCTGACGACTCCTGGATGATCTTGTTGGACGGGCTCGCCATGCCTGAGCCTTCATATCCAGATTGCTCCGGCCTAAGAGTACTTCCAAGCTCCAGTTCTCTGTCACTCATCATCCTCTGGTCGTTCTTAGGACTCCTCTCGACTGTGAGAACCAACTTGATATGGAAATCAAAGGTCGGGGTCACAGTCAACATATTCATTGGTGGTATACATGACGCCTGCTGGCCCACAGCAGCGGCGTGTATATTTCGGTTGGACTCTTCGAATATGCATGATGACAATTCCTATCATGGTCCCAAGCAAAGAGGCAGAGATTTGGCCGCCAACGCGCAGGGTGTCGTCGCCATCTTCGAAGCGGCTGCAATGCATTCGGGCCGCACTATCATCAGAATGGATGGCACAACGGACGACCCATTTGACTATACTGGAAGTGCTTTGGTGGGCTAGGAAGAGGCTGGTGCTGGTGTCACCGAGCTCTCACGAAGAGGGACAAGAACAACTCGGAACATGGACACGGTCTCAATGTGATACTCCTTTGTTGGGAGCAGGGCAGAGCGAGTGTTAGGCAGCCAGGACGACAAGCTGAGCAGTGACGTGCAACTCGACATAAGAATTGCCCTTTAGGAAGCTGTCCATCTTTTCCAGGTTCTGATCCTTCAACCGCACTATTATCTCTGTCCCCAGACTGAGAATACACGGCTTTCTTATCTCATCCTGGACCCATGGCTATAGTTTAGTTCTTGTTTTTCCAGCCTGCTTTTTGAAGTTCTTGACCAGTTGGCGGATCGCCAGGTCTAACATGACATCCTCACTACCACCAGGGATCCTCGCCCCCATAACATCGCGATAGATCTTTTCCACCAACTCTCCCTGGCCCGTCCTCGTATAGCCATTGCCACCGAATATCAGGACGGCAGTCTGCGCACACTCATTGAACACCATGCCCGCTTTTGCTTTCAGTAGCGCCGTCGGTCCGCCCAGCTTCTCATCCGCCTCAGCCTTACTCAAATGGTTGAGCTGGTACACAAACTCGAATATCAAGGCCTGCAACGTTTCCAACTCGGCGCCGGCTTTTGCTATCCGGTGCCGCACAACGGGCTGGTCCATCAAAGTTTTGCCGAATGCTTCGCGCTTCATGGCGTATTCCACAGCCGTCGAGAGGGCGACTCTCGCCTGCCTTGTGACGCCGATACTAATCAACATACGCTCGTGGTTGAAGTTTGTCATGATATACTTCATCCCTTCGCCTTCCTTGCCCACGAGGTTCTCGACGGGGACTCGGACGTCGTCAAGTTCAATGTACGTCGTCCCGCCGGCTTGCTGGCCCATTACATGCAGTCGCCGCATCTTGACACCGGGGTGGTTCTTCAGCGGGACGACGATCAGGCTGATACCTGCTGGGCCAGGGCCGCCCGTCCGAACCGCCATGGGGGCATAGTCTGCCCATATCCCGTTTGTTATCCATTTCTGTTCTTTGTCAGTGATATTGTTTTGGTATTGAGATAACGAGTCCCCGGGAAAAATTAACGTGCTACAGGATTACTCAAAGCTAGGGGGACCTCCCGACCCGACATCTCAATCGCGAAAGCCGGCTTGAGAGCTGTGACGGTCACTCTGACGCCATTGCTCGAAGTCACGACGGTTTCAACAAGCTGTGCTCTTGCACACAACAGGTCCTTTCCTATTACAGCTTTTCCCTGGGACCCCGACAGGAAGCAAGAATGGTCAAAACCGTGGTAGAAGGGTTAAATTAAGAAGACACTAACCTTCTCGCCATTGATCACATATTCCTTCCCATCGCTCGACTTCACCGCCGTCGTCTGTATCCCCGCTACATCACTCCCGGCTTGGGGTTCGGTGATGGCGATGCACGTCCGCGCCTTGCCGGTGAGCAGATCGGGCAGGAACTTCTCCTTCAACACATCCGAACCAAAGTTTAAGATCGGCGGGATGCCGTACGCGAAGCCTGGCGACAGACTCGACCCGGGCCCCGAGATGCCCGTGCGCGCGCGCTCGTCGACCCAGATCGCCGTGTGCAGGTAGTCCCACTCCTGCACGGGGACGCCGAGGATGTCGCGGATATTCAAGCGGTGCAGCCAGGACACTGGCAGCGGGGAATTGAGGTTGGGAACGAGCATGTTGGCCGCGTTGAATGTGTGCCAGACGTGCGCCGGCACGGTGCCGGCCGTCTCCCATTCGAGCGCGTGTGGTAGGAAATGCTCGGCAAACCAGGCGCGGCAACGGCGTTGGAAGGCCAGATGCGTGGGTTGGAAGTACGGACTGGGCAGGCCGCGGAGGTAGCTGGGTTCGGCGAAGGGGATGGTGCTGATTTCAGCCTTTGTGTTGCTGCTCATCTTGTATGTATACTACTATAGTAAATAGGTAACCTAATGGTTTTGGCTAGTTGGTAATCAACCTGTGATATACTGTAGCCCGAGGCGAGATATCAAGAACTTGGGATGTCTTTTGCGACACCACAGAGATTCGTACGGGCAGGATCGAGGTGACGGGTGTGAATCAGGCCAGGGCTCAAAAAGTGTGTGTGGATCGTACAGTAGATCAACTGCACTGGCACACCGAGGACCGAGGGCACGTCTGAGTCTACATGAAAGGCTGGCAGCCATGTTCTTATGCATGCATATGGATACTAAGACCTCGTCTCTCGCTTCGTTGAAAGCCGGCCACCCAGGGAAGTGCCGAGGTTCCTGATACTGTGCGGAGTAAGGCTACGAGGCTGCAGCCTTGTCTGAATAGGTAGGACTAACTTCGTGAAAGATACTCCGTAGCATTCCAAGGTTATCACGCCAGACACTTTCATCCTTGCCAGCTCAATTCCTCCTTCACCGTGACCTCCCAAATCTGGTCCACGGCGAGTACCACGATTCTATTCCCAGCGAGAGCGAAATTCGCAATTGGGACATCCGTCTGATCCAACATCTTAGCATTGATCAACCCGAGCACCCTTCCATTCGCATCCCGGCACACTATTCCCTCTGTCTCGGCCGTCCAAACTCTGCCCTTTCTGTCAACTTTGATACCATCCGGCACCCCCGTCCTCGCAAGTGAGAACATGCGTTTGTTCACGGGCGTTGTTGTCTCGTCAAGATCCCAAACAAATACGGCCGCGGAGCCCGTGGTGTTTCCGGGACCGTGGCCCTGTAGATTCGACACAGGCGAGTCTGTGACGTACAGTCTTTTTCCGTCCGGCGACACAGCAATACCGTTGGGTGAGTTGATCTCCGCACGCGATATCACGGGCTGGAGAGAGTTCAATGTTGGATCGAAACGCCAGATAGCATTGGGAAGCTGCGCGGGGCCGGTGAAGTTGAGCTGAGCGCTGTAGTCGACATCCGAGAAAAACATTACGGCGTCTGATTCATTGTTTGGGCCAGAGGTCCAAGCCACGTCGTCTGGACCGTTAAGGCGCAGGCCAAAATATGAGTTGATCACCGTCGTGGTCTTGCCTGTCCTGGGATCAATGGCCAAGATCCCGCCGGCGTACGTATAGTTTCCCCAATGGCATATGTAGACCATGTCATTGTGGTAGGTTCCGCCGTTGGCAACTAGCACGGGCTCCGTGAGGTTGGGCACAGAAACTTCATGGCTGGTGAGGTTGATGTTCAGCACGATACGGGGTGACTGAAACGATGTTAAGCTGGTCTCCGTGGGATCAGAACCGGTGAACCACACACTGTTAAGCTCTGGCACGTAGACACCCGCTTCGTAAGCGAATTCCGCCTCGAGGGGTCCAGCGATGCGGCGAACTGAAGGGGAGGATCCAAGGATGTTCAGGAAGGCCTGCGAGTAGGAGATGAAGGTGGCGTTGTCCGCATGAGCCAAGAGACTATTGACGGAAGACGAAGGCGGCAAGACAGTATCGACGAAAGAGAGGGAGTAGTTGCTTGAGAAAGTGGGCGGAAGTACAACAGTGTCGCTCGGTGGGATGGACACAATGAGGTTGTTGGCCGTTCCGTTCGAAGCTCGAGAGACAGTAGTGCTGGCAAAGAAGCTCGTCAGAACGAGAAGCTGGTTGATGCGGCTGTTCATCTTTATGAAGGGCAGGAGGGTTTTCTTCCTCAGCCGTGCTTCCAGGGTGGAATTGAAAGGCGACCCTTCAGAGCTCCATGCCCTGGTTGTCTGGTATTTCAACGCGCCGTCTGCTCGAGGCTTCCCCAACCGACCCCACATAATAGCCCGCCCTGCCCACAAAGCTGGAATGCGGCAGAGCTGAAAGACTGTGTCATGGCCTTTCCCTCAATCGACCTTTCAGTTCCGTGGTGTGCAGATTGAGGGAAGTTCCATGCGTATACCCCAACATTAGGCTACCTGGCTGCCCCATTGAAGGCAAAACCAGCGTCGTCTGACGCGAGAATCCGATTTCAAGCCCGGAATTTCTGCGTTGCAAAGCCAGTGCTGGCCAAAGGGCAAGAGGCGACATCTGCATCACAAGCCGGACGTATTGGAGAAGCGCTTCCCTGTTGCATAGTGAGGTGACTTAACGATATCTGCCGGCATAATGAGAACCTGGGACACCGGTTTCCCATGTTGCAGCCTCGTTTGCTTGTGGCTCTACCATTTTGTTTCGAAGTGTCGTCGAGACTGGAGCGCTTCCGACAGCCTGGGAGAGAGGCATCAAGAGGGGTTGCGGAGGTAGCGATGTTAGCCACGACCGATCCCTCAAAAGTAACGGGATGATTTGTGCAGGGAAGATCTTGGTGCAACGAGGCCGTCATGTTTGGCCCCCTGCTTTACCGTATATTTTCGACCTTTGGACCGAGTCAATGCAAGTTATCCTGGAAGCGCCTCGCTTCATGAGCCCATCTACCCTGTTCTTCCTGTGGATGGCTACGGCTAGATCTCCATGAGGTTCTCGCGACTCCCGTGACAGAACGGAGGAGAAGAATCGCCGTGATACTGTTGATCGTCAATTGTTATGTGATCTACCAACCAAAGTCTCTCTTGACCCATATATTCATGCCCACCTTCTGGCCCTGCTCAACAGGAAGTCCAGCATGTCTAACCCGCTCGTCGCCGTAGCCGATGGGCAACAAATTGACCCAGAAAACACCAGAGCCTTTCCTGGGCTTGAATGATATACCTGATGCACTTTTGTCTTCCGTTGTCTCATGCTTGTTGGGCTTGTTCGAGAAATCAATCCTTTGATTCCAAAATTCTTCCGACTTTAGTCTGTCTTGTTCAGCCGCCGATACAACTGCAAAGTCTAAATCTGGAAACTCTGTTTCTCCACCACGACAGTCATCTTGAAGGTATATAAAGAAACTTGCAACACGGTTATAGTAACGACCACGGCCTCTTCCTGCTTCACCCTTGCCTGGAAGATCGTCCCGGATTAGGGTGTCGAACCAGTCCATGTGATGGTGGTAATACTCGCTGGGGAGATATTTCACCAGTTGTATCTTCTCAAGGCCATAGTATGACAGAGGTTCAGACATGCGAGGAGCATGCGGAGGACCGGTATTGGCTATGTTGGCCAAAAATTGCAGGGCTCGGGCAGAGACCACGGATGCCAAAGGATTCTCGGCAGGAAGAAGGCAGGAAGAGGAGGTCCGGTGCTTCGGAGCCGTATCATCTGGGCTGTACACCTGTGAAGGAACGAACAGGGGCGAGCTGAGCAAAAGTCAGTCAGCAACAGCAACCGCGGAGGAAGGCATCCGTACCTAACATTCAAAATCTCGTCGATCTCTGCCGCCGAGAGAAAATCGTCAATGTAAATTAGCGGAGGATCATCGAGGACAGTGGTATATGTATAGTTCTGCGCTGAAGCAAGTGCTTCGATGCGCCGCTGCTCCTCAGAGATCTCTTGCGGACCTAGGAATGGCAGAGCTGAACGCAAAGAAGGAAAGAATGTAAAGAGAACAGCTGCCAAAGCCACCAAAATGGAGAGGACGCTCCAGCTTTTGACCATTTCCAAAGATGCCGACTTACATTTCCCCCATAATGAAAATATAATGAAGGGACGGGGTGGTAATGACCCCTTTAGCCCAGGGAGCCATTCCTAAGTTTACTGCTCGCTGGGTCTCTTGTGCTTGGAGTCACGAGTGGCCGGAGAACCGCATCGGAGAAGTTTCCATGTCCGCCAATCAAAAACTGTAACCTTGGTCCGGCTTGGCATCGGCCAATCCTTGACACGTGACCGTTCCCACCTCGAGTTTCTCTTCTCAATGCAATTTCCTCGACCTTGAGGTGTAGACGATTGTTGATGTCAATACTGAATACACAGCTTCCGCCTGCCTCGACCCTTTCTGCCGCTCTGCTGCTGCAAGGTCACCAGCTCGGGCCCCACTGAAAATGCATTCTTCCAACACGCATCGTCTACAGCAACCCGTCAAATTCTGTCCGAATGGCTAACACTGAGCGCGCACGGCGCCTACGACATGCGCATGAAACGAATACGCTGAGTTATGGTCATTTTGGCACGCCTAAGTACGATAATGAGGCCCATATTTGGTCCTTCCTACGGCAGAATCGAATCCCACCGCGAGACGAAGGTGGCTCGATCAAAGTGAACTCGACTGGCTTTCAACTTCTACACGAACGAATAAAGAGGCTGTCTCCAGGCCCCACTTTGCCGCCTCTTGATATCGACGATTCATATCCTCAGTCAGGGAAAAATGCGCTGCTCAAGCAGTTGCCCGATGTGGCTCTTTTGTCCAAGTGTCTGCCCACCACGCATGTGGGTGCTCATGCTGACCGGAGCGTGCCCGTCCTCGGAAATCTGTTAACGTTTGGGAGCGCGAAAGTATCGTCGCAACTACGGCAGCGACAGAACGACCCGCCAACTCGCCCCATCGCCGCATTGGCAGCAGGTCGGTGCAACGAGGAGCTCCAGCTAATTGAACTCGGCGCAGAAGATATCTCTTCGCAGAATGACATCGTGCATGATGAAAAGTGCTCGCTTCCCTGCGTCCTCTCAGGCACGTCTGCCAGTTGGAGCAACTCGGCAGAAAGGATACGTCACGTCTCTTCTGCTGGAATCTCGAGTCAACGATTTCTGGTTGTGAGGGCAAGCGGAACTAGTATACTGGCGCCCATTATCATGAGCTCTTGCCTGGCTGCTCAAAAATCAGATGGCGTCTCAACTGCCAATCAGTCCTTTGTTGATCCGTCGTTGGTATTAACCATACCGTCCTCTAGGACCGGAGAGAGTCCCCATGCTCACGCTGCTTTGAATCCCACCGATCCAAGCCTGGTCGCAATCGTGGATGTCAATGGTCAATGGAGCATATGGAAAATTCTTGGCAGAAGAGCGTGGACTGCTCGCGTGCTATACCGTGCACTTCTTAAAGGCTCGAATGACCTGACTCCCTCCAGTGGTGTGGCTGTCTCCCGAAGTGACCCGTCTAATCTTGACGACTGGCACCGGGTGTGTTGGCTGAGGGACTCTGAAAAATCCAGTGAGCGTGTCCTAGTCTGCAACCGACGCCTCGCTGTCGTTTTTGACATACGCGGCAGCATCGACGGCCAAGTGGACGTGCGACTAGGACCGCACTCGGATGGAAACCAAATCCTCGATATCAGGAACAGTGAGAGCCAGCCGTTTCTGGTCTTGGTTCTCACGACTTCACGGTTGCTGCTTTTCAGCTCGCAGGAAGTCAATGAGAAAGGGAGAAGTGGATATGATCCGTTGAGATTGGTCTGCTCTTGGAATCACTTTCGAGGTCGCAGTGACCTGAATCTGAGGATGAGCACTCTTGAGCTTGCTCGTGGTACGTACTGGCTCCCACAATTTCGACGACACGCTAAATGTTCCAGATATATTCATACTGCTTTACTCGTTAAACAGTAACCTTGCTGTACTCTATCGTTTTGGGCATGAAATACCTGGCTCGCATGCCGTTTCGCTGCACGACCCTTCAATTTTCGACATGCCACCGGAGCTCCAGAAGCGAATGAGTAGCATGATTGACCTCACCCTCTATGCGGTCGATTTCGTTGTTCACGATAATTCTCCAGATGAGGCGAATTATGGCTTAGTGAAGATGATTGCTTGCACTACTGATGGGACTATTCTTGAAGCAGTATACAAACATCCCTTTAAGCAGTCGCGTCCGGCAACAAAGAGCTTTGGGCTTGTCCCAAGGCTACGTCTACCTAACAAACCGGCTAGATCTGTCCTGAGCACAAAACTTGTGGCTGACTCGGATGATTCCTCGACGGATGCTTTGGGGGATGTCAATGACATTGACGATTTTGTGGTGGCCGACCGCACCGAAGATCAAGAACCTCACAGTATCGAGAATCTAAACCCAAAGACCACGTCGCCTTTGTCCGAGTATCATCCATATCTTCGCAACTGGCAACGTCTTCTGGACTATGATCGCTTCCGGCTTGCAGAATACCAGGCACCACCCCTGCGTATCGCGTTGAAGACTGCGCTTCGTCGCTTTAGGGGGCTGCAATTGCGAGACGACCCTGGACCAATGCAGCTCGTGGCACAACTTGTCAGTGAGCACCAGATCACAGATGTTGAACGGGAGTCTGAGGCTGTCATGGCGCTGCTAGGAACGATACAACACCGAGCAGACCTGGAAATTCAGTCAGCTGGCTTGGGCGAAGACATTCCCGCCTTATCAGCTGGGCAAACCCTGCTTCAGCTGTATGAGCTGGCCTCTCATTCTTATGTGCAATCATTTGGCGAGAACATGATGGATCGCAATCGAGTCAATCGAGAAAGACTTGTTCGTCAGGTGGCTGCAGAAGTCTTTTTGGGGGATCTGATTATAAAATCCAGCAAGAAACCTGACACTCCAAATACGCCGAATCCGAACATCCCAGTGGAATCAGGTACAGAGTTGCCGTCTTCGCCACCTGAAGCACAATCCGACGCTTCGCGGGCAGCAGCCTCTCAACCTTCGACCTCTCAAAGCCCTGCGGTAGAAGAGGAACCGGCAGTGACTCGCCTTCGAGGCTACGCTTCATTTCGAGAACGTGGACCACCTCTCAGGCTTTCCCGTCAAGCCAGCACTTCTAATATTTTGTATCATCTTCCAGACAGCATTGATGAGGATCCTGCCGAATATTCCTATCACAGCACGAATCACCGACTCAAGCTGGCGCAACAGGAGGCGGCCGCACAGTCTTTAGACCCACGAGAAAGACGAAACGCTGCGAGGCAAGCAGCTCGGTTACAGAAAAAGCTAGACAAAACTGCAAAGATTGGTCAAGAGGCGATGATGCAGCAGAGAGTGGTACCTGGCATTGCGAGTCTTGGAAGAGGCATGGGTTTACCTGGAAGAGAAGTACAAAGCAGCCAGGTTGCTGTCCCCGGTTCTAGTCAAGGTCCAGGTCAGAGTCAGGTAATCCCTGGACTCACAATGACACAACCCGAAAGAGGAGCTTTCGGTACCAGGCCGATGAAGGCGAAGGCTAAGGACAAGGGGACGAAGCGAAGAGCTGGCTTCTGATCTGTCTCCTGTTTTAGAGTACTTGGGTACCTAGCGAGCTAGGTAAGGTACTTAGCAGAAGCTAAGGTACTGCTGCCAAGGATACCCCGGATTTTCGATTCTCCAGAAGCCGAAAATTGCCGGACAGTAAGGGGCGCGGAAAGACAATTCCTATTGGTGGTTGAGTGCGGGGAAAGCACCTGACGATTGCTCAGCTTTGTCGCGTGAGGTGCGGTGGTGTGGGTGCTCACTCGTCAGTTCTCAGTGCTCAGTGCTCAGAGCTTCGGTGATGGTCACCCGCTGCGCGAATTGAATCACTTGTCCCTCTCTCCATCACTGTTGGTCAGTTGACTTGGTTGCCTCGTACCTGACACGTTACCCCTCAATTGCTTCTCACTCTCTGCCCATCTCACCCTTCTTCTTTTCCTATCTTTCCTCTCTCCCACCAATCTGCTGCTCTTGGTTCGTTCCCAAGTCTCACACACCCTGTTCTAGACAACTCCCGTGATTGCAGAACAGCTACTGGCCCCTGGTAAGCGTTCACTTGCAGCCTCATCTCCTTGGTCCTCAACTCATCCTACCTCACTACATACATAGTACAGTATCTGACTTGAATTAGATTCGATTCAATTCACTCCTGAAACACCTTTAGTCCCCATCTCAATCCAGTCATCATGTCTGCCGACACCTCAGATCTCACAAAGGTCGATTCCGCCATTGGTGGTATGGCCACTTCTCCTCCCAAAGAGACAAAGCGAAGAACAACCTCTTCTGCACCAGGAGTCATGAACATCAACGATCTAGGTACGCCATCTTCTGGTCCTACAGTTCGTTCATTCTAACAAGAATACCAGAGAAAGAAGGTACAAAGATTGCTGTCGCCGTGGAGACGCAAAAAACCGGCTGGTAAGTACCCAACATTCAACTCGCTTGATCTTCGACTCCTAATGTCGCCCAGGAAACTCAACACCTCACCAAGTACCGTCGAAGATCCTTCCATCCTCAAAAAGATGCTCACCGAGCCCCCTCTCAAGAAGATCGACCTCCATTTCCCCCTAGGTCTTGAAGTCACCGCTCGAAACCTCAAGGGTGTCACGATAAAGGATGCCCTCGATGCCATTCACAAGCAATTCAAGAAGAAGGTAGGAGCTATATCCTCAACGTACCTTTCGTCAGATGCTGACATTTGTTTCTCAGGCGGATGACGAGTTGGAGGAACCATACCTCAAAGGCTTCGAATGGGATCCTGAGGAATCATGGACAAGATTGAAGGTTCACACCCAGAAAGAGGGCCTGCCGGTAGGCAAGAAGTCCAAGAAGAAGGGGGGTGAGGAATAGTCCAATCACCAACGGTGATACATATGCAATCAGCCTCTGGCTGAATCAACAGACCAACTCTATACTGCTACACAGAACAAGATCCTGACGCAGCTTATGGTGCTATTCAAAATCAGCTATGGAATGCTTGACATGGTGCTTGCGGGCTCTCGGTAACTTTTGCTCAATATCAAGGCGCATAGCCAGATGGGATTGAACGTGCTAGGTTAGACCAGAATAACATTACCTGGAACTGATATTGCCCATATTGCGCTGCCTCACTTGAAGAGGTCGCTACAGTACAGCTCCGATGCTATTATCTGATCAGATTGAAGGTTAAAGCGACAGAAGACGTCGCCAATTGAGGCAGAGGGAGCTAGGTAGGCAACAAGTTCCAGTCAACATCGAGGAACAAACCTTCTGTCCTTGATGTGATGCGATAGCTCTTACAGTGGCAAACACTCATCCTCTTCCAGTTCGTGGTATGGAGAAGTTCGCATGTGGTACTCAGATGCGTCAATCGCCGGTTCGATCAGGCCAACCAGGGTCCACGCAGATCACCGCGCAAACCCGTGAGACTCTTATGAACTGATTCAGCCTACAGGATACTATCGGCGAGATGAGTTTGTAAAGCGTTCCATTCTCAAATATCCCACATTGGTCCGCCACATTCTGAATTACCATGGGATCGATCTCGGAGCCAGCGTCGGCTCATGCTTCCCCTGCCAACATACCCATCGTTGATCTCCGGTCATTCTCATCACCGGACAGTACTACAGAGGACCGCCGCACGGCAGCGGAAGAATTGGTCAAAGCATGCAGAGAGGTCGGATTTGTCTACATTCAGAATCATGGCGTGCCTCAAGAAGAGCTTAATCGAGCGTTTGAAGTATCGAAGAAGTTCTACGATCTTCCCACAGAGGCAAAGCTGAAGGCACCTCATCCTCCAGGTTGGGCTGTACACAGAGGCTATTCTTGGCCAGGATTGGAAAAGGTCTCCAACGTACTTAGCAAGACTGACGATGAAGAGTCCGTCAAGCAATTACGAGAAACCCAAGATTTCAAAGTTTGCACGCCCTGGAGAAGGGTTGATCGAGTCTGGCTGACTGGGTGGTAGGAAAGCTACGAAGTAGGCTCAGAGAACAACCCAAATCAACCGAACGTATGGCCTCCGGATGACGTGATGCCCGAATGGCGTCCCTTCATGACCTCCTTCTACTGGACGTGCTTCGAAGCGGCAAAGAGAATCCTGCGAGCCCTTGCCTTGGGCATCGGACTCGAAGAAGACCATCTGTTGAGATATCACAGCGGAGACTATAATCAACTCCGCCTGCTTCATTATCCGCCCGTCCCAGCACAAGCCATTGAAGGGGGAAAGCTCGCTCGCATGCCGGCTCATACAGATTGGAGTACCATGACCATGCTGTTCCAAGATGACTGTGGCGGGCTGCAAGTCGAGGACCCCAAAAGGCCGGGAGACTTCATTGATGTTGCGCCTATTCCAGGCACGCTGGTTATGAATGTGGGAGATTTGCTGATGCGATGGAGCAACGGTACGTCTAGGAGACTCCGTGGCAAGGTCACTCATTCATTGATGATCTAGACTACCTCAAATCGACACTTCACCGAGTGCAACTTCCACCTCGACAGGACAGATTTTCGGGCGATGAAAGGATGACGAGGGCTCGATACTCGATACCGTACTTTATCACCACGGATCCAGATAGGTTGATCGAATGCCTTCGGTTTGACGACGAGCACCCGCCGAAATATGACCCGATCACGCAGCGGGAGTACTCGGCCATGAGGGCTAGGATGCAGTACTAGGTACTCGCTGGTAAAGTGACTGTTCTGACAAGCTAGTATGTGTCGATGCTTGTCTATTACGTCTACGTTGTATATCAATGTTTTCGCCCTTGAGCGGAGAATCTTTCAGCGACATTGATGGCAATGAGCATCTGCGTCCCTTACTGGCTCTGCGGGGGTGAAAGGAGATCAAGCGAAATCCCTGTCAATTTCGATGATGTCAAATCGGATTCGTATTTCCCACCCAGACTGACTGCCACCCAACTGCTGCTTCCGGAGTATGCTCCTCAGCCTCCTCTCCCTCACCACTTCCCCGTGCGCGTCATATGTCCTACTGTGCACATCTCATGGAACAGCTCAAGCTCGACTACTCTCCTGCTCTATTGCAGTGCTTCGGACTGTCGTGGATTGATCTTGGTAAGCCCTGGGTGAGCCCCGCATAAACATTTACGTCTTCACCGATTGACTTGACGGGCCTGTTGCTCTTTCCTGAACATCCTTGCTTGAAGCCTGCGCATGCCCCAATGTCACCTCATACCTGAGTGCATGATCTATGGAAGCAACTTACAAAAGCCACTCTGAACTAGCCATCTTCATTCCTACTCGTCCTCTTTACTCCTTGCTCGGAACATACCTCAGACTCTGTCCATTTGGAGCCTTGTCAAGATGTTATCATTATGCTTCCTTCCATGTATCACCCTCCCCTTGACTGTCGCCGCTTCGAGTCTTCAAGCACGACAAGATGACCTCTCGACGTTCATCGCCGAGGAGCGTCCTATTGCACTCGCAGGCGCCCTCGCCAACATTGGTGGCCTCAACTCCAGCTGGGTCGAAGGAGCCAGTCCCGGTATCGTCGTCGCCTCTCCGTCCACAGTCAATCCAAACTACTTTTACACATGGACCCGCGACTCGGCATTGACATACACAATGCTCATCGACGAACTCATCTTCGGCAACATCAGTCTACGGAAAACCATCGAAGATTATACGACTGCCCAAGCGATTCTGCAAACCGTCACCAATCCGTCCGGCTCCCTCTGGCCGGCAGGCGACGGCCTTGGTGAGCCAAAATTCTACACCAACATGACCCGCTTCGACGGAACGTGGGGAAGGCCACAGCGGGATGGTCCAGCCTTAAGAGCGACAACATTCATGAACCTCGCGCCTGTGCTGTTCAACCTGAATGAAACAGAGACGTTCTTGGAGATCTACTGGCCTCTGATCTTGAACGATCTGAAATACGTCGGACAGTACTGGAATCAGGTAATTCCCATCTCCCTTACAGGACTTCTTACCACTTTCGTGAGCTGACCCTTCACCTCCAGACGGGCTTTGACCTATGGGAAGAAGTCCACGGCTCATCCTTTTTCACCGTCGCCGCACAACACCGCGCTCTCGTGCAGGGTGGCCTCCTCGCTCAGAAACTCAACACGACATGTACCCCGTGCAAGCAGGCTTCTCAGATCCTATGTTTCCTGCAACACAATTTTTGGAACACCTCTGGCAACTATCTCACCGCCGACGTCAACGCCAACCAGGTCACCCGCAGCGGTATCAACAGCGATCCGATCCTAGCGAGCATTCACGTATTTGATGCAAATGCCTCTTGCAACACTGGCTGTACGTAACCTTTTGCTTTTTCCGCCGTGCTTAGCAATGGGGGCTGACACAGGCACACAGCATTCCAACCATGCAACTCGAAAATGTTCGCCACGCACAAAACTCTTGTCGACAGTTTCCGCAACCTGTCGTGGCCGGTCAATGACAAGGCCGCCGCAGGCCAAGCGATCCTCGTGGGCCGATATCCCGAAGACACATACTACGACGGCGGAGCGTGGCCATTGTGCACATTCGCCTGCGCCGAGATGCTCTACGACGCCGTCGCGCAGATCAAGCGCGCTGGGATACTTAGCGTCGACAGCATCAGCCTGCCCTTCTTCCAGGATCTCAGTCCGGACGTGAAAGTCGGGAACTACACAGACCAGGAAATGCACGCCATCTTGGCCAACATGTCGACTTATGCCGATGGCTTTGTACGGGCCGTCCAGGTAAGCTTTTTGCCTCTTTTCCTCCCTTCCTACCGCCGTTTGATTACCGAACATCAGACATTGTCCGCCGTGCGACGTAATGTGCCAACCTGACACCGTTTTACTTTTAGCAATACCTCCCCAAAAACGGCAGCATCAGCGAGCAATTGAACCACACCACCGGCTCGTCGACCTCGGCGTCCAAATTGACATGGTCGTTTGCGTCGTTCATCACCATGTCCCGCCGGCGCGCCTCGCAGTTCCCACCATCCTGGGGCGCCGACACTGCCCAGGCGAACACGAACCTCACAGCAGTACAATGCAAACCCTCGTCGTACAATGGCACAGGGACATACGCTCCCGCCCTGGCCGCGGGGGCGCCGAACATCGCAATGCCATGCGAAGTCGAGGTTTTGTTCGTGGTCAACGCGACGACCCAGTTCGGTCAGAATGTATATATTGCCGGCAACGTGACGAAACTCGGTGGGGCCCTGAACGATCCGGGGAGTGTGATTCTACCGCTCAATCCGGGAAACTACACGAGTGAACGGCCGGAGGGGTATGTGGACATCTTCCTCCAGGCGGATCAGACGGTGCGGTATCAGTACGTATTACAGAATGGGGATGAGTTCGTATTCGAGAGTGGCCAGAACCAAGACAGGATGGTGAAGGTGCCGGAGTGTGGAGGGGAGATGGTCAGGACGGATGATGCGGCGAGTTTCTCGTGATTGTCACTTTTCTGTTCGTGTATACATTCATCTTGTGAGGGCTGATGGACACGTAAACTGTTGTGACTGCTCCTCGATCCGGGCGTAGCATTGCTATTGTGGCCTCTGTAAAGCCGATGAGCTTCGTCAAGCAGGTTGGTTTGGACATTCTCGCCTACCTACGGCTCTACCTGCCTTGCTAGCTCTACCTTTCTTGCTAGCTCTATTTGCCTTGCTTGCTATTTAGTACTTTGTATACCTTTTTTGGCCATTCGCCTCATTCGTCGCCGTCCGATCCATTGACGTGGTGCTTAGTGCCCGCCCGGATTCTCACGAGTGGCCCACAATAACCCTTTGCTATTGCACATGATGGCACAGTATCGCACCATTCGCCGGAGTAGTTCAGCTTCACTCGAACCGAACCGAACCGACCGCCGAACCGAACCACGTGCCGGATTCTCACGAGTGTCCCACAATAGCCTTTGGCCGGTACGGTTCCTCGAGGTACTTCATCTCCTCGTCGGTCAGGGTCTTCCCGTTGACGGCGACGGCCTCCTCCAGACGGCCGAGATTGCTGAACCCGACGATGGGGATTGTGCCCTTCTGGATGATCCAGGCGAGCGCGACGTGGCTCATTTTCCAGCCGTGTTTGTCGGCGAGTTCCTGGACGCGCTTGATGATGTTGGCGTCCTGTTCGTCGACGCCGCCGAACATGGGGTTGCCCTTCATGCTCTCCTCGCGGGCCGTCGAAGCGGAGCCCAAAGGCCGGGCCAGCAGGCCGCGGTACAGGGGCGCCCAGGGGATCAGGCCGACGCCGGTCTCGTGGCAGAAGGCGTTCATCTCGCGCTCCTCTTCGCGGTAGCAGAGCGAGTAGTGGTTCTGCATGGAGACGAACTTGGTCCAGCCGTGGATCTCGGCGACGTGCTGCATCTGCGCGAATTGGTACGCCCACATTGAACTGGCACCTAGAGTTACCGGGCCGTGGCCCACAAGTCAGACTAAATTCTCTTCATCCCGAACCGTCCTTACAGCTCCACAGAAAATAAGGAAAATAGAGGCTCGAGGGAGAAGAAGGACAGGGGGGAAAATAGGAAATAAGAACAGTGTCCTTACCAATATATCTAACCTTCCCACTCTGCACCAGATCGTGCAGTGCCTTCATCGTCTCCTCGACCGGCACCGTCTTGTCGAATCTGTGAATCTGCAACAGATCCAGATAGGTCGTGCCCAAGCGCTCGAGGCTGGCGTCGACGGCATTGAAAATGGCAGCGCGGCTCAACCCGCCCTGGTTGACGTAGTCCTTGCTGCGCTTGATTTGTTCGGGGTACTTGATGTGCACGACGCCGGGCTCCTCGCCGACCGTGCCAAAGCATTTGGACAGCAGAACCAGCTTGTGCCGAGGGATCTTGTGCTTCTTGATCGTCTCGCCGATCATCTGCTCGGACACGCCGTTCGAGTACACGTTCGCCGTGTCCCAGGTGTTCAGGCCGCGGTCGTACGCGCCCTTGAGGAGTTTGTCCACTTCCGAGGGGTCGTCAATCACCCAGGGTTGCCAATCTTTATGGCCTGTCATACAAAAATGTCAACGGATGTGACTCTCCTGGAAAGGAAAGGAAAGGAAAGGAAAGCCTCAGGTACTCGAGCCCTCCTCGAGCTCAAGAAAAGAAAACAAATAGGGCACAACATAACATACCGAAAGACATGGCGCCCAGGATCGGAATCGACACCCGAAGGCCCGACTTGCCCAGCTGGGCATACGAGACTTTTGTGTTGTCCAGGCTCTCCTGGAGCGATCGTGGGAGGCCGGCGTCACCCATTTTCTTTTCGCCTCTATCGGTATCGAGTACTGTACGGTTATGGAAGTGTGGCCTTTCTGTGTCGGGTACCGGTCACTGGTACTGACGTTAGTACGTACTGTGCTCGTATTTGTAAGCCGTCGTTGAACCCAGCCGTGCCAGCCCCAATTATCAGTAGAACGGTGAAACGGTAAACCCGGCACTTACATCCAAATCAGGAAGGTGTTTTGAGATATGAGATCTTGCTGCGGTGAGTCCCTCCAGGCAAAAAGGGATGTATGTACCTTTAACTTTGAAACGGGAAGAAGAGTCTAATCAAAAACCGACAGGACGGACGGGACGGACAGTCCTGTAGCCTTTTTATACGTCGAGCGTGGTCGAGATATCAAGACAAGGGCCTTCTCTTTGAGGGCATGACCAAAACCCCACCAAGTCAGTGTCACTCAAGCGGCAAACTGCCGGAGCGGTTTCAAACACGCAACACGTCCAGAGCATGATGAGAGGTACAGGGAAAGCCGCCCGTCGTCACCATTGACCGCCTCACGCAACCATCATTCGTGGGAAGGACGGTTGTCGATGCTAGCTTTCCCCGCAGCATGCATGTCTGCCAGTGACACAACCCGGCATCATGAGCGGGCTGCAGGGTATTTGGAGAAGGGGACTTCATGGGTGGATGAAGACACCATAGGGGGGGCGTGGATGATGGAAGAGACAAGCGAATGGATGAAGATGAATCGTGATTCGGTAATAGCGGAGTTTAGTTGCTATAAAATCCATCGACTGGTCAGCGTCTGATGGTGTCTCGAAGAAGATGGACATTGGACCTTGAACCTTGAACCGAAGAAGTGATTTGATCTGTACTGTACACACAGTAGACTCATCTACAGCCAGCCATCAGCCGCTGTACTGCTGGTACTTACTCGAGCACAACTGAGTACAGGCTTGTTGAACAATCTACAAAGTACCCCGTACCCCGTACACACGTCAAAATGTATTCATGTTTACCTACCTAGGCACTGTTGTACAGAAGAATAAACACCCCTTTTATACCAATCCCAACCCGAATCCTTCAATGCTGCTGTACTCGAACAAGTACAATGAAACCCTTGATGCCATCTCATTCATAATCAATCCTTCGTGTCTGGGCACTCACACCACAATGTTGCTGATCCCAGTGCCGGTCCTAGCACTGTCCCACCCTTCCACCTCGTTATCTATGTCCGATCAGATCCATAGCATCCTCGTCTTCCTCATCTCCGTCATCCTCATCTTCCATCATGTTGTCACCACTACTCTCACTGTCGGATTCGGACGCACCCTCGGCCTCCTCATGCTGACGCGGTGAACTCGGTCGGCCCCAGAAATCGAGGTCATCGTCATCTTCAAGCGGTGTAGCTCCTCGCCTAGGCGGCTCAAATGATTCCATCGCTCGCTGGCCGGTACCAAAATAACTTCCAATAACCGGCGACGGGGATCGTGCAGATCGTGCCGTCGGCGAATGCGGCAGTAACCAAGACGATCTGCTAGGAGGAGACTGCGCATCTATCGCCATATCAGTGGGCCGTGGAGGCGTAGCAGCAATCGACCTGGCAACGTCCACCGGCTGTACCAATTGCTCCGTTGGAGTATGGCTTTGACTGGCAGTTATAGCTGCCTCACTGATCCCGGCTTGCTGAGCCCGTTCCTGCTCTTGTACCAGCCTAGGAATTTGTTCAGCGCCCAATAGTTCCAATTGTGTGGTGTTGTATGATTCGCAGATGGCGCACTTCAATCCCAGCCAATGATATTTGGTTATACTGCGGCTGTTGCAGTCATTGCAGAAGATATAGGCTCGGTTGTCTCGGTACTCTTCAGGCATGGGCTGTTCTTCAATGTGTCGGTCCAGCCTCCGAAATTGGCTCTCCATGTTTGCAATGCTTTTCGAGCATATAGGACACTTGTAGCTTGCATTGCACCACTCGGCGAAGCAAGACTCGTGGATACTGTGGCCGCACCGCATAAACGCTACCGGTTTGTTGGAGGTGAACATGTACTCGCCACAAATCGGACAGTCGCATTTCGTACTCCTTTCGATGCATTTGTGGGTGCTTTCGGCCTGGATCGACATGCAAGCCGCACAGGTTTTGCAGTGGAAAAAGTCCTTGCCTAGACCCTGCCCAATTCGGCAGATACCACAATCATCACAATGATAGATTGGCTTGTTCGGATCGTCGCTCCATAACTTGCAGATGGGGCAGAAGTAGCTTGCTGCCTGGACTTGACAGGCTTCGCAGAATTGGCCAACTGGTTGAGGGGTCTTACATAGCATGCAGAGCATATGTTTGGTCTCTCGGCGGGGCAGAATATGATCCTCGGCTTCGTCATGGCATAACCGACAGGTATACCACCTTTGACAAGTATTGCATTGCATCTTGACATTGCGCTTATAGTGGACACACCCCAGATCCGGCTTGGAAGCTTCACCCACCGGATCGAAGTCGTCCTGGACCGTCTCGGCGTCCATTGGCGCGTAGGTGGGTATTAGGTCTTCAGGCGCCACATTGTACAGGATCTCGCGACGACTGATACCGGACATCATGGACATGGGGGAATCGGTACCTCGAGGAACATCCCGTGGTTTACTCGAAGGCAGTATCGGAGACCGAAGAGCCTGGACAGTCTGGTACCGCTCCATCATCAAGGCGTGTACCAACCGCGACTTCTCAGCGGGTGTACCAGGTCCGGCCCATACGGCACTGATCTTGTGTCTGAGAAAGCCCATCCCGTCGTCTTCAGGTAGCGTTCCTGATCCATCTCTTCGCCGGTACCCATTCTCGCCATATTCTTCTCGTCTAGTGTGCGAATCTCCCGGCCTCGGTGAGTCCGTGTGACCAGCTGAAAGTGGATCAGACAGGGAATGAGGTCTTGTGCTGTCTTGGTGGACTCTCGACCTGTACGACAGTTCTTGAGCGGGATTGAGCGACGTCTCGCTACTGGTACGTTGTTCCTCGCGCAGCACGGGGCGGGGAGGCTGCACGGCGTCTAGATCTAGCAGCGGAAACTCTGCTGTAGCCATCTCTTGCCTGGAGGCGTCTGGTGCGGAATCGTCATCCATTGGCTCTAGGGAAGGGGAAGGGATCTGATCGAAAGCGTTCAACTGGTTTGCCCATAATTGTATGGTTCTCGTGATGGACTGCACGGTGGTCTCCTTGTTTTCCGGCTCTGGCTCTTCGAGCGACGGAGGCGGAGAGGTACTCCAGAACCGAGAGGGATTCCAGCGTTGGAAATCAGGAACAGGAGGCAGGAAACCGGGCGAGGGCGAGTCTTCGGCAGTGCTGAGTCGCGAGAATCGCCGTGCTTGGCGAAGGACTGGTTCGACGATGAACGAGGGGAGATAATCACTCATTGAAATCGCTGGGTATGCATACTATGAGAGTGAGGATGGCAGTGCTTGTCGCGTGAGTTGTTCTCGAATGAAGACAGTAATAAGCGGCTGAGGGATGTGGACAAGACAAGGCAGGGAACAGCACATGGGGAAAGGGAGAGTAGGAAAGGCGCGGGCTGACGTCGTTACTCTAGAGTCTACGGTGTACGGAGTACCTAACTGCGTGTTACTGTCACCCAGAATGTGGTACTCCGTACTCGTACTGTTCAGGACAGACACGCCGCTTCGTACATGTGAGTACAGTACTCGTAGTACTCCATAATGCATGTGAAATCAGCCGGAGTCCCCAGCGCCACGACTTTCCACATATCTATCCATCTCATCTATTCCTCAGCAAGGCTGTTATTTGAGTCGGCGGCAACGCCAGACAATGGAGCATAGATAATACAAAGGCGGATGATACGTTTTTAGGTATATCATGGGGATTGAAGGCTTGGTTGACAGTGGCTTGGATTTGGCAATCCACAGCCTCGTAGCCACCTGCACGGTAGCAATACATTTTCAACCCGATAAACAATCAATTACCGAGTACTGTCTATATTACACTCTCGTAGCTTCTGATCAGAATACCAATTCCAGCACCAACCACGCCACCTGACGCACTCTCGTCCAAACAACTTAGTAGCTCCAGCCAACTGCCGCACTTCTCGACTCTCAGTTCATCTAGCTTGGCGACAATATACTGAGCGCACGATTCGGAAACCCACAAAGGGAGAGTCAATCCAAATGACAAAAACTCTTCCCACCAGCGTGTCGATAACGCTGGTGGGAAGAGAAACCCCGGGAGGGGTTTTTTCCCATTCGATGCAATCCGGGTTCGCAGGATCTGCATTGTCGCATATTTCGATGGGAGGATGCAAGCCGGGTTCGCAGACTCTGCACTGTCGAATATCTCGGTGGAAGTTGACTCGACGCGGATTTGAACCTGTGATTTCTCCTGCTCGCCTAGCAACAGGCCGCCTTCCACATTGGACCATCTGGTTTGACCTGAACCCGCTGCTAGGGGTCTTTGTGTTGAGAGCACTTTCTGGCGAATTCAATTATATTCTTCCAATTTTCGCAAGTATCGTCACATGGCACGTTCCTCAGATATAGTATAGCCGGGGTCCTCAGGCGACTGCAGCCATACATCGCATGGCACGGTCCTCAGATATTGTAAGCCAGGGTCCTCACGAGACTGCGGCCCAATGCATCACATGCCTTGTCATTTTGGCCTGCGTTCGTGGTCATTTCGCCTTCTTCTTGACATCATTGTTGGCATTGATGTACATTCAGTCGCAGCTTGCTTGGCTTTTGATATGTTCTCACCACGCCTGACGCAGGTCTTAGCCTTCCATCGTCTCGCGCTATTGCCTCTCAACATGGCTTTCCTTGCCCGACCCTGTAGGGATGCCAGCTGATCTGTCTCAAGGCATATCACTCATGGTCTTCTTTCGCCGTGGCTTCTAGCTCCCGAAGTGCCTCCTCTATCTCTGATGGTTCAGTGATCGACCAGACACCACCTCCCTTGGTGGACGATCGACCGACCTCTTTCGAAACGAGGTTACGTCCAACCTTCCCTGGACCAACACCTAGCCATCGACGCGTTCCAGCCTGTTTATCCAGGTACTTGATTGAGTCCCACCACAATATTGTACCGACGGCTTGCTGGGAAAGGTTCTGGATCAAGTCGTCCTTGGATTGGAACGGGCGAGCTGTTACATTGCTGATACACGGACAGCGTCCGGGAAAGGTTACTTTGTCCGGAGTCAAGGCCTTCTTCATGAACTCATACGCAGGCATCATTATAGGACTGTGAAATGCTGATCGAGATTTCAGTTCTACCGCGCGAGGGTCGTGTCCACCGAATTCTCGGATATGGACGAGGAGATTCCGGATGCGCTGAAAGCTCCCGCTGAGGACTATTTGGTTCTTGGAATTGATATTGGCAATGGACACCTGTTGGATCGCAGGAAGAGCGCTGGAGTCGTCTTTGGTGCCTTCAGTCCCATGGCTCAAGAATTCTCTGACACTTGCTACCAGAGAATCCATTTGGCCAGGCTCGCAGACCAATGCGATCATGCCGAAGTCTTCACCGGATTCTTCTTTGGCTTTTCGTGTGCATTCACCCATGACATCTCCTCTCCTTCGGACGAGATCGAGTGCATACTCGTATTCCAGGTTACCGGCTGCGACAAGTGCTGCATACTCTCCCAAGCTGTGGCCCAAGGTGACGTCGATCAGTTTGTCCGTGTTGAAGCCAAAGTCCTTTTCGAGGACTCTCAGGATCATGATGGAGGAGGCCATTATGGCCGGCTGCGCATTCTCCGTCCTGTCAAGATCGATTATCGGTCCTTCATCGATGAGGGTTGAAAGCTTGCATTTGAGTATCTCATCCATCTCTTCCAGGAATGGTTTACATGTTTGGGGAAATGCTTCGATCCATGGCCTTGTCATGCCTTTTCTCTGAACTCCGTGACCGGGAAAGAAGAGGGCGGTACGAAGAGTGGGCTCTGAGGAGGTGGCATACGTTCTCGAGGACCGAGCGAGGCATTCCCGGAGGCCGCAAATGGCCCTATGTGGAAGCCTGTACATGGTGGAGCTGACAATGAAACCGATGAGAATACTCGTTGGCAATGAGGACGATGCTACAGCATCATTATGACCCGAAGGTTGTCTCGAGCGGGAACACAAGGCATGCGGATGCTCTCAATGATATGGACGACTGGGTACTGTAGAGAAGGATGAATGATGTGGAAGCTCGATTGATTTCCATGCATCCGATATGGAACAGAAAGCGTGGGGAGTGGGAGCTTCATGCGGAGACGGTGGTCGTCAAATGTCGGGACGAAGTCAGCCGAAAGTGGCTCCTGCCGCTTTTATCTCGCCGCAAGTCATACTATCCCATTCGGGCGCCAATGACCCTTGAAACTCTTGCTTCCTACTCCTTGGAAAGCGTTGCAAAGAAGGTCATGGTAAGGACCGCCGCTGGGAAGATCTGTCCACCCCTGTTGTGTCCAAATAGCCCACTTCATGAATGGGCGTGAGAGATCTGGTTCATAGCATACAATATGTCCCGACTTTACACAAATGCCCCCAGAGACATCCACCAGGCTGGTGATCATACGGCGTCATTCCTTTGCTTTTCCAAGGTTGGTACATCTATTCCAGTCTCACCTTGATTTTCAGCAGGTCCGCAGCGTTCTTGTATGCTATGCTTTCCAGCACATCATCAGCTACTATATCTTGCGACTTCAATTCCTTGAGAAACGCCAGGCCAGCCTCGTTACTGCCAAACGGGTAGTCGACGCTATAAATGATCCGATCATGTTTGCATTGCTTCAAGACCATCGCCATTGGCGCCAGGTAGAACATGCCAGAGGTCGTCACCCAGACATTCTCGTCCCAGAGCTGACGTAAATGCCTTTCAAGCTTGACGCCTAATTGCGGCCACAAGCGTGAGGAAATGCTCTCTACTCGGTCCAGCATGAAAGGTAGCATTTCTCCAAGGTGCCCCAACATCAGCTGGAGTTTGGGATAACGGTCGAATAGTCCGGCAGCAAACAAGCGGAGGAAATGTACCGCCCGTCTCGTTGTGCCAGCCCCAGACGTACTGACTCAACGTCTCTGCCACAGAAGTCGGGTAGTTGCCGTCGTACAGAAGAGGCTTGGTGTGCTCGTTGGCAGAGGGGTGGAGATAGACCAGCACATCAAGCTCCTCAGCTGCTTGAAACACGGGCCAGTAATATGAGTCGTCGTAGAATCTCCCTTCACAGTTGCTGTCGATCAGAGTTCCGACGAAGCCTAGGTCCTGTACACATCGGCGTAACTCACTACTTGCGGCTTCTGGATCGGCCATCGGAAGTGTCGCGAACCCGGCGAAACGACCAGGCTTCTCGCGGATCAGGCCATAAAGCTCGTCGTTCACCTTGATGCAGGTTGCAAGGTCCAAAGCGAGAGTATTGGGTGCATGACTGACGACTTGTACAGTAACGCCGTTCTCATTCATTGACTGGAATCGCTTCTCTCGAAAGTCCATAAGACTCGGGGTGAGCTTGCCTATGAGACCGCTTTCGCCATATGGGTCCGGGGCACCCTTGGCAGCATAGAAGTCCCTGACAGATTGGGAGAGCCAGTGCTCCTCAACCGTGATGGTTGGGTATGGGAAGGCCATGAAAGTCTCCGTGATCGAGACTGGTCCACTGCTTCTTGAACTGGATGGATACTATGGGTAAGTTGAGTGCGAAGTAAGTTCAATGAAACAACTGAGTGTCGTTTCCCTGCTCGAGACCTCTCTGCCAATACCGAGACCTGTCGAGTGCTGGCCACAAGGAAGTATTGTACCGCCTTGTTGTGAGAATCCAAGTGCCACGCTGTAGAACATTTCAGTCAGAGGCTCGAGGAACAAAGCTGGATTATTATATGCTCTTCTCTTACTTCGCAAGCAAGGGTCGGATATCATTGTTACAGAGTCTGGTGGAGTGAAAGGCGGCATTAGTGTCGAATCTCTAAAATCCGGAATGACCGAAGAGCCCATCAGAGTCTCACCAGCATATCCTGATATACAACACCCAGCACAAGCTTCTGCCTAAACTACTTTGTTCTTGCTTAATTGCTTGGGTTCCGGACTTGATAGTTCCACGCGGTTCTCAACAGACGAGGATACATCGCCAGGACCTGTCCGCCCAATTGCTGGCGATCCTCATCCTGATACATGCTCCAAGGGCATACTGCTAGGATGAATGTTGACGGATTTAACGTGTATAACACCCGACACAACAGCGAAATGACGGCCTGAGCATGGCTTGATGCACAATGATAGGCTTTTGCCATGCATCATGGTGGGTACGGGTTTCGAATTTAGGCAGCAGTGACCGGCTGCCGCCAAATGAGAGGTACCGGTCGAGGGACGTGTTAGGCATCGAGTATGCGACGAGCTTGGGAGACTCAGTGAGTGACGCGGCTGAATCTTGGTGAAGATAAGATGTTGATCCCCGTCAATCAAGGCGATAGCACCTAGAGGTCTTCCGCAGGTGTAGTACACTGCTGTTATGTGGCGCAGGCGAAGCTTTGAGGAGACTCTGTACGCGGAGGCACCTGGGTATGTATGAAGACTCAGGGCCGCAATCATTTGTCCAGCACCGTCGCCACCTGATTCGGCCATCCCTTCGCCAATTTTGAGGGCCGGAGGGGGAACAGACCTCAGAGACTGTTATACCTTCGACCGCTATGCATCACTCCTGACCTTATGCTTCTGCTTGCGCAGCCTGGCATGTCGATCCGGAAAGTAATACATTACTCTTCAATAGTTCACACCCGCGGCCTAGAAAATGTCGACGGAGCCTCCTCTTTCTTCCTCTTCTCCTTTCCCTTTGCAATCTTCTCCCACTCCTCCCACTCCTTCGCAATCTCGCCCAGAACCGTAGCCATTGCCGAAGCCGACGCCATCAGCCCATGACCCTCTGAATCCAAAACCCTCAACTCGCAACGCTTCATCACACTCTGCAACCAGCGCACATTATCGAGCGGAACTCTTGTATCCTTGGCGCCATGATGAATCACCACGGATCTCGTGACTTCAGGGTATCTGAATCCAATCGGCTTCCTTCGCTCGAGACAGACAACTAAATCAATGGCCGGATTTGCATTATGCGTGGCAAGAGCCCAGATACGATGCGTGAGAGTCTGATTATACAACGTCTGACGAGCCTCTGGAGTCAAGCGGGGTGAAAATGGCGTGGGATTTGGGCTTTGCACTTTTGACGAGGATTGGGTTTGTCGACGAGAATGTGGGCGCGGCGAGGCGTTATGTCCGGCTGCAAGGTCTTGGGACTCGTTGTTGGCTTGGTAACACGACACGCTCCTGACTCTACCCGGGTTCGCCGTCTGAGGTCTCCCTGCCTCCATGTCTGGCAAGGGGTTAATGAAAGGATTTTCCATGTCATCGAGAGCATAATCCCAAGATGCCTCGATATTTTCAAATCCCTTGTTCTTCCTGGCCTTGAGAGGCTTTGTGTCAACAGACGCACTTGTCGCGGTCAAAAACCGAGAGTTCGCCACTTTCAATATTTGTGCCGGCAGAACGCTAAGGATCTTGTGTGAGAAGGGCAAGTTGGCAATCGGCTGAGAATCCGGTCCCAGTGCTGCTCCTTTGGGCATCTGCGACGGTGGAATCCACGGTGCCAAGAGATGTATTCGTCCTCGTACATATTGAGGCATCTTCAAGGCAGCAGCGAGAGCATAAATAGCACCAGCCGAATGCGCAAGGAGAGAAAATCTGGTGATGCCCAAAGAACTGCAAATGACAGCCACATCGTCGACCCAATTCAGGGGCGTACAAGACGCCTCCGGGACAGCCGAGCTTTCACCAACACCCGGCCGATCTGGTGTGATCAATCGTAGCCTCAACGTCCTTGCAAGCTCGTCATAGAAGGCTGTCAGGTAGCGCGTGAGTCCCATCCCGACGCAGCACAAGACCACGAATCCATGGGGATCTCCAACTTCCGAAAATGCGATCGTCCGGCCTGTGCGTGGGTGTCTGATCTTCTGTGTAAACCGAGGCGCCCCAAGGAACGTGTCCACTTCATCTGAGATCGACCTGAGCTCTGCCAATGGGGGTTCTTGTTTGACGGCACCATTCGTGGAGTTGCGCTTTGTCTGAGTAGCCGGACTCCGATACGTGCTGTTCACTCTGGACGGAGCGGCACTATTTGGACTGGAGGCTGCGGGTGATGTGCCCTTGTATGGGGTGAGCATTTCGCCATTAGGGCCAGCAGGGACTAATGCTGGCATATTAGCGAGATCGGATGCGTTGACAGTGGCTGATAACGCAAGGGGACTTTCCACTTCTGGCGACTCGACCACGACCTCAGTAACAGAGAGCCTCGAACTCTGATATGAACTGGTTCGTTGAGACGACATTTTGGGCGCAGCAATTGTGTGTCTTTTGGCGGCTCGTTCAGACTTTCGAGCCTCATTCCGCCATTCCTTCTGGCGCTTTTCTCGAGCTTCTTGTAGTTCGCGAATTCTCCTGACCGTGGAATTATCGCCGTCGATCAACTCCGAATCAATGTTGAGCTCCTTCAGATTCCGGACAGGCGATGAGATACGATTGGAATCATGTGTCGTCTCCGACAGTCCCGTGACACTGCGTCTGAGAGATGACCGGCGGGAAGGAATCAAATGGTTACCCAGGTCACCTCTACTGAAGCGATTCAGTGTGCTCACAGGCGGACTCTCGCCGTTCAAAGGATCTTGTTGCATCGCACCTGGAGAGTACCCATCTATTGAGGATGATCGTTTGGGGAATCTGTTCTCCTTCTCATGCTCCATACTGTAGAGCGACTCGGTCTTTTTTCGCCTGCCCGATGACGAGATCCGCATCGGAGGAATTGGCCTCGTTGTAGCATTGTCTCGAATTGATTCGGCGGTCGGCCTTCGCCGTAGGGCACTCATGCCGCTGATTATAGAAAACGTTGAGCTAGCGCTCGAGCCATGCCGTCTCTCGATGCTGGGAACTCCCACGGACTCGGTCTCTGCGAGCGACTTGAGACTCTGGGATGAGGTTCGAGGACCCAAACCTGATTGAGTCATGTTGAGCGAGTAGAGCCTCGACTTGCTTGATCTTTTTGATAATGGTGGCGGTCTCCTCGCGTAACGAATTACTGGCGCGGCTGCGACTTCTCCATCACTGCGATCGTCCGCAATGGGGTCGTTCAGGTTGCGGTCTAGCTCATCAGCATCTTGTACGGGAGGTGACGCAGGAGGATCGTAGTCGTCTTCAAAACGGTGTATGTCCTGCTTCTCTTCTTGCGCTGGAGCACCGGGTATTGCGCTTAAGGAGTCGATCAGCGAAGAGATGACATGTACTGATTGCGGCGAGCGTAGAGGATCATTGGGTAGGTGCGAGGTTTGGGACAGGTCGAGGGTTTGGGAACGAACGACGGGATCGATTTTCAGAGCGCTGTCGTGAGGATTCTGGACAGACGCAATGCTGTTCACATCCATGCCTTGCGTCGGATGCTGGGTGCAAGGAGCGCATACGCAGTTGAGCGACGACCGAAGCGCTGGACAGGGGAGTAACAGTCGGCTGAGCCAATCGGAAAGGAGACTCGGGAAATTTGCTGATGGGATTGTCTCTGGCCAATGGTGGCCACAGGGCGGTAGGATCAAATATTAAGTGGTGATGGTGGCTGCAGTAGACATGTTGGCCATGGATTGAGGCCTTGTCGGTCGCCACGGAATATGCAGTCAATGAAAACGGCATTGCAATCGAAGCGTCAGCGGAACGTTTGTGAAATGCGACAGCGACATGATTGGGGGAGAACTGAGTTTCATGCAAGATGCTACTCGGTCAGAAAGGACCTCAGAGGATATGATCGACCGGGTTTGCAGAAAGTGGAATGGTCTGAGTACCAGTCACTCGTCTTCAACTTGTGGATGATGTTTGTAAGTGAAGCTTTTGTCTATGCAGGAGCAGCCATGCCGCCTCAAAAGGGGAACTGGGTGGACACCACAATTTGCGGGAAACGAATCAACGCAGGCTCGTTTCGAGTAAATCCTCCGATCACTCTTAGCGGCATACCTGGTACTGTGGTAGAGGTTCGCCGGTCCTGTTTTGTATGGTAATGCCGGGCAAGAGTCAAGCGTAGGTGAATATCGAAGCCACTCGACGGAGCATAAGATCAGAATGTAGAGGCATCAAAAGCACAAGTATCAGTGACCGAAAAGAAGTTTCTTGCCTTCTTCAGACCCTGAGGTCAGACCCTACCTCCTTCTAATAGTCTAGAAATAGTGTAGTATGTATGCGTGATCATCTCGCATACCTCGTCGTCTCCATGCCCAAAACCATGCAATATGAAGACACTGCCTTCGAGTTCTCTGGATAGTCATCACTCGGTACGCCACGCTGAAGACCAACCAATCCGTTGCCTAACTTTTTCTGCCCGCGCCCAAAAGCAATGCTCGAAGCCAATTACACTCCTGCACATTGAAAAAGACCACTCCAAGTGCTCTATCTATGTCTCGCTGAATGACGTTCGTGAGTCGTAATATGCTGAAATGAGAGGTGTGATGTAGCCAGCCCAATTCTCTTTCCTATACAGTGACGGCCTGTCCCATCCGCAGCTTCTCCCGCTCTTCAGCAAACAGTCTCCGCGACATCTGAAGGACCATTTCGAAACCTTCTCGTCCCCGAGCCGCATTCTCTCGGAACCTTTCCACGCTCGCCTCTTCGATCTTTGTGCGTATCTTTTGCCAACCGCCACAAAGCGCAATGATTTTAGCTTCTTGTCTGAAGTCCGTTTTGCCCTTGTTGTCGTTCGAGGATGATTGGTACACCACTGTCTCCCGGCACTGCAGCAGATTCGACCAGGTCATGTTCGTACTGCACATGGTGACTTTCTTCGACGTAGGATCCACGTAAGATACCTCGTAGACGTGGCTTGTGGTCTCGCCGCCTAGGATGGTCAGAATCCATTGCGGTGCATTTTGTCTGCACGTTATGAGACGTTCTGTGCGAAGGATCCCGGTCGAAGAATCGACGTGGCGGGAGATGGTGTCAACGGCCAACACATGCGAGGCCTTGTCGTTCCATGGGCAGTATTTCCGCCAATTGTTTGTGCTGACTTCTTCCCATGAGTAATCAAAGGTGTACGTTGATGAGAAAATCTTCATTGTGAAGGGAGATGGAGAAGAGGAGGTTTGAGGAAGTGCGTGAGCTGGATTGAGGTGATCTCTATCGGAGTCGATGTTTCGTGTCTACTCGTCCGGATGATGATACACAGAGAGCAACTGGTGACTCTCGTCTATGACAATCTTAAGGAAACCGCAATTCACAAAAAAGAAGGTCGGATCGATGGAATCCAGGCGTGAAGGAGAGGTTTGATGTGTGGGCGTGGAAGAGAAAAAGTTCAGAAGTCTGAAGCAGAATCGGCCTTTCTTTTTCTTTCGAAGATGTGGACGGAGCAGGTCGGAACTCTAAGCATTCCTGGAGCATCGATTGGCTCGGTTGTTTCTCCATTCGGGTCGGCTTCTTTGTTTTTCCAGGGAGTGGCGGCGAGGCGGACCAGCCTATCGCTCTCATTCGACTCTTCCTTCTTATGCCTCATCATTGCCTGCGCCCATTCGCCCGATATCGCGAATCTCCAAGGTCTCTTCACTACGTCGTAGTACTCCAACAAATGTCAGCCAGACTATGACATAGCCACCTGCGAATTCCTCGCTCAGTAAATCCCGCTTTTCCACAATGTCGGAATATTGGAAGTCCACGGTAAGTCTCTCACCAAAACAACGGTATCCTGTAGTCAACAAGGTAGCGTATACTGATGTCCAGTTCTAGCCCAAATACTGGTGCAAACACTGCAGCGTCTATGTCAAAGACACGCCATTCGAGCGCAAACAGCATGAGATCACGGCAAAGCACGAGAACAATCTCAAACGATTTCTTCGCGATATCCAGAACAGCCATGAAAAAGGCGAGCGGGATAGAGAGCGAGCCAGGTCAGAGGTCGAGAGGTTGAGCAGGATAGGCGGGCCTGGCGCACAGCAATCATCGTCTGCCACTGCCGATGCAGCCTCAAAATCTACGACCACTCCTACAGCACGCAAGCCCACGGCGGCTCCTCTGACGCAAGCAGATCAGAAGAGGCAATGGGCGCAATTGGCCGAGATGGGAATCACAGTACCAGAACAATTTCGGTCGGAGATGGCCATGGCTGGAGATTGGAAAGTAGTGTCACGGAGGATGGCTGACGAGCCAACGCCTGAAGATCCTCTCAGCATCGGAATCAAGAAGCGTAAATTTGAGGGCCAGGAAGAAGAGGAGGAAGCCGGAGAGACAGTGGCTCGGCGTGGCTGGGGAACGACAACCAGGAGGTATCCTGGTAAAGAGACTGCAGATTTGGATGATCTGTTGTCTGGAACTGTTTCTTTGAAGAAAGAGAAACCTGCTTCGTCGTTGAAGGAAGAAACCAAGGAGACAGACAGCAGCTCTGTCAAGCAAGAGTACAACCCGACAGACGACCAGAATCAAGACAGGGACTTAAATCCACCTCCAATCAAAGATGACGGACGGGACGAGACCGACCCAAAAGCCGAGAGTTTCCTGGTGAAGAACGAGAGTCAGGATGATCAGTTACGCAGTGCTTTGGACAAGATCCCAGACGAGACACCGATCCCTGTTTTCAAGAAGAAGCGCAAAGCTAAAGCGTCCTGAAACACCCAACGTCATCTTCGTGCCGAAGTTTTGTGTCTCGACCAGCACAAGCGAACCGAGCAACCCAGATAAGCGAGATCATGAGGAAACAGGCGTCGAGAACTCCTTCCAAAACGATACTTCCCTCTGGTCTCAAGTTAAACCCACGCGGCGGTCGAAACTATATGTTGAGACGACTGATCGATTGAGCGACCCGGTTGTCGCACGGGATGGTGGCCACGTGCAGGTACCACTGCGCCCGCTGTACGACGCTACTGACAGGTCCATCCTCGTTTGAAAGATATATGCGGAGTCCTGTTGTCGCGATCTGTCCTGTACCATAGTACAAGGACCGGGGCGTGTCCGATGTAACGAATGTCGAGTTCGCGTCTGGCCGAATGCATCAGGAGATGCGAAGCTGGCTCATTGTGTAACCAAATCGCCGGAGGTTATGCTTCTCAGGATGATGTAGGCTGCAATAATGCCTACCTCGCCTACTGGTAGCCTCCGGGGTAATATCCAGGGTAGGTGCGATCAGGAAATTGAGCAAGCCGAGTCCTTGGGCAAAAAAACTTTCGAGTTCATGGCCTGTCGCACGTGAGAGACTCCTGCCGCGTAGGACAGACGAGTACTCCGTACTCACCTCAACATTATTCCTCCCTGGCCCTAAAGGCAATCGCTCTTCCGTTTCGCAATATGATATTGTGGTACGGGAGAGAGAACTTCCAGGCATCAAGCCAATGGGAGACATGACAGTTTGCGTGGAGCCGTATCGACTACGAGGCGTATTGCCCAGGCCTTATCCTAGTCTTCGGCTAATACACGATTATGCAGCTACTCTTGGAAGTCTCCTAGCCAAAGCTCATGCGCCCAGCCGCCAGACAGGATAAGCGGTACAAGTCAATCCACGCCCTGAGGGACTCGGTCGCCTCTGGAGTCTGCATCTGCCTCTTCCTTTGGTGGATATCCGGAGATGGAGAAGGGTTTTGTTCGGAGAATTGCTGCTGAGCCCCAACCACAGATTCCCCTGACAGGTCAATCATCCGTTGGGTAGCGCTTTGCTTCCACCAGCTATCCAGTATCCACCGCTATGCTTCAGTGTCCGGGTTTTTTCGTAGAAATTCTGGGCTGGCTGCATGAGACCACCGGAGGTATTGGCTGTGGAATGGAGAACAATTGCCTAGCGTACATGACCCCTGCCTGATTGTCCGGCTTTGTCAATCGGTTGTTGTCTCAGGGTACAATTTCTTGCATTCTTGGTATTGAACAAGCGGCCTCATGTGACACAAAAGGCTTCTACGAGGGGTGAGGGTGGTGACAAATGGTACTCGGTACCTGGTCGGGTTGCGGATCAGCTGCAGGCCAGTCATGCATGGTGGCTGGGGCGATCATGACGGATGGGAGAGCTCATGGTGTATATTCGAAAGGTAGAACTAGATGAAGGACGCGAAGAAAGAGGCGTCCTCGGAACGAGAGAAGCTGGTCTCGCTTCGAAGCCTACATAAGCTCGAGCTTCGGATTGGTCTTGTCTCGGAGATTTTTTCTATAGACTGGTAACTGCATTATTGGTGGTGAAGCTGCAAAAAGTGTTTGGACGGGCCCGGTTCTTTTCGTCTTTCGAACAAGTGTTTCAGTTGGGTAGCGTGACAAGGATCGTGGTGATCAAACGGTCGCTTCAGAGCCCATCACCTACCAATTTGTCCATCTTCCTCTCCAACCTCTCCAACCTCTCCAATAGTGTCGAGGGCGGACACTGATAGGCAAGTGGTGGCGCGGTATTACGGGGAACCAGGGAAGAATAGGCTAGCTGTGGGAAGCTAGCGACGACGAGGTAGGAGCAAATTGGGTAACGCAGGAGAGGTTGTCCTCACCGTTCTGGAGACTCGATAGGGATGGACGAGTCCAAAGCTGACATGGTGGCATCAGGGAGGATACGACTTCGGCGAACGCAAAGTGGATTGGGCCATAACAAGAGAAGAGAGGAGGTGGATTCTTTCCGCGAACCACTCCCGTCGTCGAGTTGACTGATACGACTCCGTATCTCGAAAGTCAGCTAGCAGGGTTCTAGAGCCACTTGGCAACGGTCAAGCAGCACTGTGACAGGAATTCAATTGCTGATTTGGAAAGAGAACAGAGGAAAGTGACTGACCAGGGGGTCTGGAGGAAAAAGGTGTAGGGGGAGGGAAGAGGGATACGGGAAGTCTCCAACAAGGTACGTGTTCGCTGGATTTCTCTACTTTTTGGTGTCTGATTTTCTGCTTCCTATCCGTACCTTGGGGATTGTTTGCGTACGCTGTGATGGACTACGTAAACCATGTACCGGCCACTGTGTTGTTGCCTTGCCTTGGAACTTGCATGATCTGGATCGATTTCTCCCCGGCTTTGTGAACGGAGGGACGCACTTGCTCCGTTCATGTGATGTACCGTGACGCCCAGTATCGGTGTTTCTCTAATTTCTCTCTTTTTGTCTTTTGTCTTTGCGTCGTTGGATTGTTACTCTGTGTAGCTAGCAGCCCCGATGCACCGTCAAATGCACCAGACCTAGGATGGGAGCGCTAGGAGCTGGCGATGCACTTATCCTGGCACGTCTAAGCTGCATAGACTCGGGCCTAATGTCGTTTGGCGCCGGGAGATGCCCTAAGCGAGAAGCCTTTTGACAAGGAGCCAGGGGGTTTGAGCACACCTCGAGCATGACCTTCTGATCATCAAGCGGAACGGGGTTTCTCTGGTGAGGAGCCACTTGGGCTGGAGGTAGCCTCCAGTACGGAGTGCGATTGCCAGAACGTCCCTAGTAGTCTCATCCACAGACCGAGCTACTGTTGGAACTGCTCCAGTTGTCGCTGGTGGTTCAAGGAAAAGGCTTGTCGTCCTCTAGGGCGGCTGAGCGAGTCGAAGCGATCCCAAGCGAGGCTCGTTCCAATTTCGCCATCCATCTGATTCATGCTCACTGCGCTTCGGCATTTGGGGCGTCCGCGACACCTTGAGCAAGGTGTGCATCCATATGGACCACTTGCGAGACGTTTCAAGTGGCCTGAATGGGCGGACTCCAGTCTCGTCTCCAGTACCCTGGTCCCTCTTTCCGGTCATGTCATGCCCACCTTCATCGACGTACATTTTACTATGGTGCAGGCACCACCAACACCTTGCTTCTTAACTTATTCGCTTGTCTTTGGTTCCGGTTTCAATCCTGGTTTCTTCCAGCGTTCTGTTTCTTTTCTTTCGCCTGTTTTTCGCTCCTTAGCATCGCTTGCTTGTTTGTTTGCATCTTGCTGCATGGCTTTTTCGGATCTATCTGCAGAAAGTGAGTGAGGAGACTATTCACCGGGCTAGTGAGACCGACTCGGGGACCTATGCTGACCAGCTAGTCTTCAGCAATGAGCATACTCTCCGGCATCTGACTATTGAGGAGACAGAGAAGATCAAGCCCGCGCATTCGCAAGAACAAGCCAACCCAGAAATTCCGGCCGCCCAACGTCCATCCACGATACAACGAAGTGTGCGCTTGGCCCTCTGCATCTCGCTCGTCTGGGCCTACCCGCTGGACAGCAGCAGGAGGCAGAAGCAGTTGACCTGATGAACTATTCAAACATGACCACCGCGGCTCTACACCCTTCTACGGCATCGATCAGTCTTCCTCCGATCAGCAGTATCGAATTTCAGTCACAGATCGCGCATCACCGGTCGTCACCAGAAGTCGTACAACCGCTGCCACCACCTCCACCTGCAGCGCCACGTGTACTACCGCCCCTTCCATATCCTTCCTACGGACCACGACCTTCAATGGTACCTCCTCCTCCACCGCCGCCGCCTCCTATATCGCACGGGTATATCGACACGAGGCCTCTGTATCCCGGCATACCATCATCTTACCAACCCATGCCTGGGCGCATGCCATTACCTTCCTCGGCGGATCCCAGTCTCATTGTTCATCCTCCGCGACACAAGGCCAAGGAGGTAAAGAGACGGACTAAAACAGGGTGTCTTACATGCCGAAAACGGCGCATAAAAGTGAGTCCGGCGGTTCCGTAAATTGCTGTTTACCCCTTCAAGCCTTGTCCCATTCAGAATGGAAGCCTTCATACCCCCTCCACGGCGTGTGATCAAAGGCACGAGCCGAGCAGTGTCGGCGCGACGGTCGCAAAAGTCAACAAAGGTCAAAATCGGGGGTGGGCAGGTTTAGACGGAGCTCCACTCGGGGACTCGTGGTGGCTTGCAGCCACGAAAAGGAAGCCTAGTGACCCCCAAGTCACCCACAGGCCACCGGCCTGTTCCTCCCTAAAAGCCTGTCATCGGCGCTGCAAATTCCGCCGTCACACAAACCCCAAACACCACCACAAACCACAACTCAAGCCTTGCCTCTAATCAATTTTGAAATCACTTACCTTGTCCGCGCTCCATAACTATACGAGCGCGTGTCGTCGCCTGATGCTGTTCTCTGTCATATTGCCCTTTCTGACGACGGCACAACTTTCTCTTCCGCTTCCTCCTGCCTTACCCTCCATCGCTTAGAGCAAATTCTCCTGGTGCCTTGGGTCAAGCTAACAATTCACTTTCACTTCAGTGTGATGAAGGTCGACCAGAGTGCAGAAATTGCATGAAGAGCAAACGCCATTGTCAAGGATACGATCCGGTCTTTCAGTCACAAGGCCCGCATGCACTCCATCCTGCTCCAGCTACCTCCAATTCCGCAAATCCTTCGACAACGTCGACGGTGAACAGCCAGCCACAAAGATATACCTCAAGTCCATCTATTACTGGACCAAATTCGACGATTGTACCGAGCACACCTCACAACCACACAGAATATCCGTACCCACGACCACCTGAGCAAGTGCTACCTCACCTCAACCAACCATATCATATGGAGGGCCATCCCCACTCCGGTGTACCTTCCTATTCACATCCCCAATCAGGACGTCGTAAGTTATGGTGAGCCGAGCGTGACTTTTCCAGGCCTAACGTATCATCAGTGCAATAATGGCAGACGCCAACGCTCCTACCGCCAGGAGAAGTATCGAAGCTATTTGTACAATTGCTGGTACAAAGGTCCCAAGTATCCCACCCATTCCCCCAGACTCTGTACCCAACCTTGAATCTATTCGCAAAGTCTACGACATTGCATTCGCTCCAGGGCTCGACAAGTTGCTGGAGTCGAGCTCCTCCAGATGGTTCGCACGGGAAGGGTTTGCGTTGTTGTGTCACGATCGAACCCAGCTTGGACGAATGCTGGCGTATCTTACCTTGGTTAGCAACCATCCCGATGCATCGAATGCGAGCCCCACGCTGGCAAGTCAAGAGGCACGTGTTACATGGGCATTGCTCGAATTGTGTATCCGACCAGAGCACGACGGGGGCGAAGAAGCAGATAAATTAGCTCGTCGCTGTCGAGCTTTGACTACCATCTTGACCGGCGAGCCATTTTCCAGTCCGACCACTTCGATTGCCGATTTTGTACATCAAGACGAAGTGGAGCCAGAGCCCAAGACGAGTGCTCTAGAGAAGCAGCTTGCAAGAAGATCAGATGAATTCTGGAAACTTGTCGAGATGGCAGCCGCAAGTCAAGGTCCCAGTGGAGAAGGGGTTTCTCCTGCAGCGGTCAAACAGTGTCGACCTCTGCTCGATGGCATGGAAAATCGAGATATCGTTTACAGTATCATGTTATTGGGATCAAGAACGAACGGGCATGGAGATCTCACTTCGGAGAGAGAACTGGCGAAAAGATACCTGGAGTCTCAGGCAAATGGACGTGCTACGAATCAGGTTTTTGCTACTATTTCAGGCATGGCGTTGAGGGTGTTTACGACATGAGCATCTACCGTGATTTACGGAAGGATCTCTCGACCTTTTTTCTTCGTTCACTTCAAATCTCGGTCTGGCGAATATTGCGAGGAACATGCACCAATACCCCCTGTCGTTGACGGATTCCTTTATGTGTGAAAGAAGATTGGATAAAAATTTCATTTCCACCCCAGATGGCTTTATTAGTCATTGATGTTATGTTATGTTCATGATGGAGCCCGCGAGGACGGAGAGAGAGACACGGAGAGTCTTTTTGACAGGATATTTTCAGAAGATTGTATACCCTTGGTGAGGCCAGCAGGGCCAGGGGAGTAGCCTCATGGGCGATGACATGCAAAATTGGATTTATTACTCTGAAGGAACACGAACAGTGTCAACTCTCCATCTGCCACGCTCTATGTCTCCTTGTGAGTTTGTGTCGCCACCACTTTTGGATATCTATGACAGCTTCACAAGTCTAAGCGAGCCAAGCTATTGCGCTTTGACGTCTATCAGGATCCCAAAACGGAGGGTAATCGAACGACAGCGTTTTATGGAGTGACGGAGTCCTCGTACCGCCCTTCTTAGCCGCAGGAGGAACGGCTCGCTTAGCCGGGGGGCGTCATGACACGTCAGGCGGAAGTGTATGCATGCACGGTGACATGGACCGGAACATCTGTCTCACAGTATACGAGTCGATTGCGTAGAAGTCGTCGAACAGAAGGTGGAGAGAGAAGGCCCCAGAGATGAGACACGAGGCGAAGGGAGGCGAGGCGAGGCTGAAGCTCCGAGCACAGCACAACAAAGATGGTAACGGCTTCCGAGAAGACAACCGTCCAGAACCAGATGAGCCTGGCTCCAACATGCAGGGTCCTGCAGTGCATATGTAATCACACGAGGTCTCAGAGACTAAGAAACGCCATCGAAATCTACAAGGCTATAAGCGAGGGGGTGGAAGTGAAGTGGAGAGGAAGAGTGTCTGGGTTCATTGTCGAATCGCTACAAATTTCCCTCTGTCCTCGAACTTCTCCCCCTCCTCCTCCTTTCTCGATGCCTTCGTTTATCATCATGCTCCATAATGGTATCTTTTTTTCACCATCCAGTGCACCCCACAACACACCCGGGCCTTCTAGCTTCTTCGGCTTTTTGCAGCTGTCATGGCCCATTTGCGGACCTGCATGTTCTGGATACTGGACACGCCCAGATGGCCGAGGACAGGCGAACCGAAGCGAACCGAAGCGAAACGACCCTTGCCGTACCGCATCGCATCGCATCGCATCGCATCGCAGACGCCGTCTCTTTGCGTGGATTACTAGTACTAGTACGCAGTATGTACACCGGTGAGCACCCAGTGGGTACCTTATTCATACGGAGGCAAATAGCCTATCTACTGTACCTAAGGTAGGTAGGTTTGACTGGCAGGATATTCTCCCTCTGCTTGCCTTGCCAGGGGCTTCATGCATCGTCCATGGGGGGATGGAAACCCGGAGTAAGGTAGACGTACCAATGTGGATTTAACTCGTGTCATTGGGTGCGTGTCGTACGGCATGGGGCTCCTTTGTCGTCGTGATGGTGGTAATGGTGGTGGTGGTGGCGTTGAAACTGACATCTGCATTACGAGTACATGGCCATCACCATCAGGACGACGGATTCTCCAGCGCGTGGTAAGGTAACTAATGCAGGTAAAGCCGCGTGGCTGCCACTTTGCATGGTAGGATACCTCTGGTAGTAGCACCGTTGGGGACGTTGCACGGACATGTCAAAAAAACGTACTCCGTATTGACATATGCATGTTTCTAACATGCACAGTTGACCCATGCAGTGGCCATGCAACCGGAGAAGCCTCTCACACTGGCTTGCTCCTCCCAGGCTCCTTACTTGTCCCTCGTATGTCGCATGGATTCTTGAAGGCCATTGGGACCGGGACCGAGACTGGAACTGTCCACTGTCACTGTCACTGACGTATGCAATGCCTCCCAACGACAGGTGCGTGGGCGTGGGTGTGGCGTGGCATGGCATGGTGCATGGGTAAGTGCTCGAGTCAAAGTCCAGTGATGTGATCATCCCAAGTTACTCTACCTAGGGTATCAAGGAGCAGCACCGGATCAGAAGCCACGATATGCGAACAAGTTTGACATACGCCAGGTGGGCAGCCATGCGCTGCGTGGCCTTTGCAAAAACTTACGAATCCATGTTTGCCGTTGCCGTTGCCGTTGCCATTGCCGTTGCATTGGATAATGGATTTGGACCTGGCTGTGCATGCCTTTCGTGGGCGCCACGCCATGTGCACACCACATGCGCGCGTCGACCCGAGCAAGCGTGCATGAACAAAAACACAACCGGTCCGATGCAGGTTCAGCTTTGCAGGGGACCTAGAGATCGGGGTGATTTGGTGGTGGGTCGTCGATGCCAAGGGTATACAGAGGTGACGGGTTTGGATCCGGACGAAGAAAAAAAAAATCCAGAAAGACCTATCTTTGTTTCCTAGATCTGCGTGACTTTCGCAAATGTCGGCGATGCATGACCCAGCCACGCGCGCAATTACGTCGAACGACGAGACGAGTTACAGGAGAGAGGCCGAGACAATGAAAGTGACGTGAGGCAGCCGTGCTGCTAGGACAGTCGGACCGAAAGACGGAAGCAAGGCGTACTGTACACATGGTTCAGGCAGGAGTGGCACCCTAAAAACATGCTGTGCTACTTGTATCTTCGGATCTGTCATTAGGATCATGGTTGCAGTATTGCCACACACATGGGGATGAAGCCGCAATACGACACCCTCCTTGTAGAACCGAAAGATAGATTAAGGCCAAAAGGCAAGAGAGAACAGAATCATATCCAGGTATACAATTATGTCCCTGGCTAAGCAGGGTGCCAAAGGGGGTTGGTATATGTCATTGACAAGGTGAATTCGCAGCCACAAGCCAGACTTTATGTATACACTCGAAGCGACAACGCTTTCGTATCCATCCATGGCCCAGTCCCTGCTCTATCCGATCTCGTTCCTCCAGCCGCGCAACAGGTTTGGCTGAATTACCCCTTACTGGGTTTGAAGAGGCAGAGCTATTGGTTGAGTCATGATTGCCAGAAATCTCTGATGGTTGAGAAATGCTCGATTGCATCCGATCCCAGGCCGGATTTTATACCAACAATCAGATCCAACATTATTCGTGCGCTCGGTCAAACCACTCCTCGGCTCAGTTGGTCCGAAGATCTTCTCGCACTTGCAAAGCTGAAACCCATCTCAAGGCCTTTTCCTCTTCTCAAGCAGCGACCAATGTGCCCACATGGAGCAAGTGTTGCAGCAAATACCCGGTGCAATGGGCTGCCATGTGGCAACCTCGGAAACTTTCATGAGGTCCATCGAGCCATACCAAAGCCAAAGCCAGCAGAGAGTGATTCATCCGAAGAGCGCCATTCGGTGGTTCTGCACTTCCTTGTGCCGGTAGCTCTTGTCTAGGTTGCTGATTGGTTTCTTCGGTCATTTGCGAATGCATATTGAGTCCTCGTCGATTCTCAGCAGAAATGTGTTGTACCTTCTCTGGTAGTAGAGCCTAACTCTCGCCCTTATGGTTTCTTTCCACGCTGACAATCCTCTTCCCACCCATCTTTTTGATCTCGTCTATTAGTGTGCCTTGGGCATCCATACTCGCAATATCATCACCGCCACCTAAGCTGTGCGCATTGATCATGATGTTTGGAACCGTCCTACGGCCGGTCAAGGACGCAAGGAGGTCTTGCAATTTTCGACCAAGCGTAGGTGCCGGTATATCCTCGTCTTCATCGCCAACGTGTGGTTTTGGAACAGGCTTCGTCATCAGGTCAAGCTCGACCACGTACGGCGCGGGCGAGATGGTGTAGGTCTCAAGGAGAAGTGCTTTGGCGCGTCTCGAGTAGGGACAGTAGGATTTGGAAAATATGATGACTACTTCAGTTAGCATAGACTTCACCAAAATGCCCATAGAGGAGCGTACTAGGACTTTTCTTCAGGATACTGTGAAACTCTTCCCTTGCCATCTCTTCACCATCATCCACGACCTTGTCTTCCTTGCCTCCCTTCAAGTCGGGATTCTCTACCTTTGCGCTTGAACCGGCCGCACTGCTCTCGAGGGGGTACTTGGGCTTCTCTTTGTCCTTAGGTGATGGTATACTCCCAATAACATCTGCTTCGCTCCCGGAACTCGCGATTGTCGCGTCCTTCTGCTTGTCCAGAATCATTTGTAGTTGTTGATTCGTCGCGAAAGTCAGATCTGCGTCTGACAGAGAACCTCTCAGTACGCCGCGGCGACGGGATAAGGATGCTTCGGTGACTTTGCGAAAGTCGGTGCTCTCGGAACCAGAGAAGAAAAGCAGGTAGATGAGCACGATGGCCATCGCCAGACCTAGGGCATGCGTGCGACGTAGACCGGCCATCTCGCAGGTCTCGTTTCGAAGGATTGCCGGAGTTTGCGAACGGGGGTGACGGGCTACGTCCTCGACTCCGTGGGAGAGTCTTCGAGATCGTCAATAGACTCGCAATAGAGTTGTGAAAGAAGTTGCTGGTTGGCCGCAACAGGCTGGCGTTTCAATTGCGAGCCTTTCTCGACGGTCAGTGACAAACAACTTCAGGTAAAGGGTCCAGAATCAGTGGGAGGAAGAGCATACGAAAATGAGAGAAGAATCGTAAGGGGTTGATGGTGCAGACGCGGAAAATGATGTCTGATGATGTCTAGAACAGGGGCAATAGTGGACAAGTAGCCCTAGCCAGGCACCGTCAAAGCGCGATTTGTTCATCTTTCTGGGGAAGCCACAGCCGAAAGAGTTCGCATGATAGGCTTCGCCAACGGCCCGTGGAAGCAGGGATCCGAGCCCAGTTATAGGGGGCCACGCTTTCGAGAGTAGTCAACTTAGTGGGGCCTGCACCTGTACGCAGTAAGGGATTCTGGGACGATCTGAGGTGCCTCTGGACGAGTCGGTCAGAAATCTATATTGTCGTCTCAATGTAGGCCGAACTGTCCACCTTTCTTGTCATGTCCGATGCAGGCGCCGCTCATTGCTTTAGGGCCTATGTCGAGTTTTGTAACACATTCCAATCCAGAACGCCTTGTTGGCAATTGCAGAGGTGCGACCACGGGCATTGAAGGCAAAACAGACAAGAGGAAGACACAGATAGATCAACAGGTTATACTACAAAAGATGGTATCGAGATAGGAGGCACTGCCAATCTGTCATGTCACAGCCTCGTCCACATATTTTCACACACGAGCTTGTTGTACAGCTCTTCAAGAGTCCATCCGCTAACCGTCACAAATCCCAATCATTCAGCCCTTAGGTCTTCCAACGCCTTACTATTCAAACATGATCGTAGATTGTCAAACGAGGCAATCTTGTCGCTTCAAGCCATGAGTCCACCCAAGACCACCTTCTGCAACCCCATCATTTCTCGCTTCACGTTTTCTCGTGAAGCATTCTCAAATTCTCGCACAATTGAGGAAACCATGACTTTTCGTATCCGTCCATCGACTTTAGTGAACAGATCGCTGATCATAGGTGTACAAGCCGACGGGCCGGTTAATATTTGCAGCAGCCTCTGATACGTGTCAATCAGTGTGTCGCACAGAGTCGCAAAAACAGTGAAAAAGTCTGGTGTGAACGGTAGTGGGGGTGTCTGAAGGTGCGTGTAAGGACCTTCGTTCGGTAGCAAGGTCGAGTTCGGCGCATCAAACGGCGCAGGAGCTGGAAAGGAAGAAGTGCCAGGAAAATTGGCTGAAGGTAATGGTGCTGAAGGAGATGATGTGGTCAACGTGCTTGCTGATGAAATGAATGATGCGCCGCTTGTGGCCGCGTCTATAGAAGGCTGTGAGCCGTGATGTCCGCCTTCTGAGAGACTTGGTGGTGACGAAGTGGGAGGGAGCATAGGAAGTCCAATATCTGTGACAGGGCCACTTGACTTTCGCGGTCTCGACGTCGTTGCCGCTCTCTTGAACATCTGAGGTATTCGGGCTCGACTGAGGGAACTCGCTGTACTACCGTCTGGCGGATGCAATTGTTGAAAAGACTCGAATTCAGTGAGAAGCGTGTTCAGGCTTTTCAGGTAGTCTTGCGCAACGGCCGCACTTGCGGTAGAGGCATTTTGGGGTGGGTGAAGGTCGAGCACGGTGGGAAGTGACATCCCCAGGATCATGTAGTTCACGGCCCGCCGTGATAGTCGGTTCGGTGTGTAGGAAGGTAATTTGGCAATATCTCCCTCGGTGAATTGGACCGTGTTGAACCAGAAGGATCGTCCTTCATGCGCCTTGCGCAGGTAATCTAACGTTGCTATTCTCTTATTTGCCAACTCTTGTATGTGTGAATAGAGTGCGCTTGTATTTGTACCACCCGAGACTGCGCTTGCCGAGAGCATGCCATTGAGTGCCAACGTAGAGGCGACGTCCACTTCTGGCTTTGCTGTTGCAGTTGGTTCGTTCGTGGTATAATTGCTGGTGACTCTTTGAAGGGGTGCTCGACCGTTGGTTGAGCCATTTGTTAGGAGGGGCACCGGTAGCGGAAGAGCCATATTGTCGCTCGTTGTAGGGTTGGTAACATCGCTATTTGTTCGAGACACAATATCGGCCTTGATTGAATTCAATGTGATGGGCGCCGCGGGCGCAGTTGTCGTCCGTTGATATCCCGGTCGGGGCTGTCCTGGGCGTGGAGGGGAAAGGGTTGCATCAATCGAACTGTTGGATCCTAGAGGCTTGTGTCTGCGTGAGGGCGATCTCGTGATCTTGGAAAGGAATCCTGCTGCTCCTCCTCCTCCTCCTGAAGTAGCCGAGCTGATAGAGCCATCGCGAGGAGAAGGCTCTGTCATACTAATAGGACTTCTGTTGCACCAGCCCGAAGCACTTGGCCGAATTCAAATCGAGCCTAGAGTGATTTGTGGTCCGTCCTAAATTGAAGTGTGAGTGGTGCACGGAAGTCTGTTACACTGTGGCCATGGCATGGATCGAAAAAGGGCGCGGGAAGTCTGTGTACCTGCAGACGATACGGAATAGTGCAAGAGAATTGCGCATGGGGTGGGCGCAGATGATGCAGGGGTTTTGTGAGTGTGGGGTGAGCGCCTCGGAGCCATCTTTTCTAGAGGGTCCATAGCCTAAAGTTCCTCCAGAGTAGGGAGCGTGGGAGCATCTCTTCACGTAAAGCAAAGGCAGAGGTTTCAGGTTGATTGAGCAAATCATCGCAACAGATACTCTCCACACCTGGTATCCGTACAACCAGCACAAACCAAATACCTTGGTTCCGGGACTTGCTCAGTTGTCCGACCGCTATCAGCCTCCAAGATGGATGTTCCTAAGCCGGGCGAGTGGCCAGTTGATCCTCAAGAAGATCAGGAGATACGAAAAGACAGAATTTGGGTAGACGGATGCTTTGACTTTGCTCATCACGGTAGGTCTGATTGAGACCTTAGGCAAGCGCTGTCTAACAAGTGCTCCAGGCCACGCTGGCGCACTGCGACAAGCTCGTCAGCTGGGCAAAGAGCTGTATGTCGGCCTCCATTCAGATGAAGATATCCTGTTGAATAAGGGTCCCACGGTCATGACCTTGGATGAGCGGTGTGTTCACCGACAGCGCGCGGAGTACTTGAACTGATTCTACCAGAGTTGCTGCTGTTGACGCGTGCCGCTGGGTGACCAAATCTGTTTCACATGCCCCTTATGTGACATCCTTGCCCTGGATTTCTCATTATGGCTGTTGGTACGTTGTTCACGGAGACGACATCACTTCTGATGCGGGCGGTGAGGACTGTTATCGATTTGTCAAAGCTGCTGGGCGATTCCTGGTCGTGAAGAGAACGCCTGGCATTTCCACCACGGATCTTGTTGGCAGAATGCTGTTGTGCACCAAGACGCACTTTATCAAGTCGCTAACAGATGAAATCGAGAGCAAGCCTGATGGTCGAACTGACCCGAAGCGAGTCGCGGCCGGGGCCGAAATGCTTCAGAGAATAAAAGATTATGCCACTGATGAGACTGCACTGCAGCCGGGTTCAGAAGTCTACACGTGGGCTGGTAGTCAATACGACAAGTCCGGCGTTCATGCGACTGATGCTGGTTCTTTTACAAAAATAGTTCCTGGCAAGGGGCCAAAGCCTGGCCAACGGATTGTTTACGTCGATGGCGGCTTCGACCTATTCTCTTCCGGTCACATCGAGTTCCTCAAGCGTGTCGATAGGGCAGAGAAAGGAGGGGCTTATGTTGTGGCCGGTGTACACAACGATGATGTGATCAATCACTGGAAGGGATTGAATTACCCGATCATGAACATCTTCGAGCGTGGTCTTTGCGTTTTACAATGCAGGTACATCCACGCGGTAGTCTTTGGCGCCCCGTTTGTCCCATCAAAGCCATATCTGGAGTCAATGCCAACTGGTAAGGTTGATGCCGTATATCACGGTCCAACTGCATACCTGACCTCGACATTCGACCCATACACGGATGCGAAAGGAATGGGTATCCTTCACCAGATCGAGAATCATGGCTATGCCCATGTCAACGCTGAGGAGATCGTGGGGCGTATCCTGAAAGGCCGAGAAGCATTCGAAGAACGACAGCGGAGGAAAGGCGAGAAGGCGATTGGAGAGGAGGCTGCACGGCAAAAAGAAGCCCTGGAACAACAACGAACAGCAACTGGCTGAATCAGGAGTGGCACGACCTGATATGAGTTTCCATTCTTGGATCATGCTTTCCAGGGCGTAGACTATATACAGTTGCCCAACTAATCACAACGAGAGTTAGACAAAGCTTCGGCAAGGATATCTGTGAGCGTGGTCAGTAAATTCTGCATGTCAGGTCCACAATGAGCAACGTACGTTTCCTCGTAGCTTGCTGGTCCAACTTCATATTTCACTTGTTTCTTTTGACCGAAGGTGACTGGCATAGGTGGCAGACCATTCTCGCCCAATACTGCTGTAGCTTTCTCCGATTCGAAGTATGTGGCCAGGCCTCTCTCTCCCTCTTGCTGAACAGCAACTAGTTGCTTTTGCCCCTCTTCACCAGCCAACAGCTTCGGACTAGGGTTCGCCGCGCTTCCCATCGTCAACAGACCAACAGTGTCTCTTTGCGTGACCGTGCTTAACTTCGGGTATGCTCTTCGGACATCTCTTCTCCAGTATGGGTTATCTGCAATGTCCGCGGCTGGTGTAGTCACGGCTTCATCGTATAATTTGGGATCGAGGCCTCCAGGTGGCGGGTTCCGGAAGTGCTTCACGGGCACACCGTTGCTTCGATCTGGATCAACTGCGAAAAGTCTGCGTATCGTCTCCCAGATGCCGGTACTCTGCTGGGTATATTTCTAATCTGGTTAGAATCAGCTCGCAAAGTCGGTGGAAGCAGAGGTACCTTCGCAACTCCGACGACGTCCTTCAGAGGTTTGGCGGCCATTGTGGCCACAATTTGAGGGGCTTCTCTCGACCCGGTAACAGTAGCGAGTGGTACGGGACCGGTCGCAGTGAGTCGTCGAAGATGGTGCGCAGGAGTTCAACGTGGAGCGATTCGATTCAAGTGCTGAACTCACCACGGATATCGCAATTGATGTCGACCCTGAGCTCAATTCAAGCAGACCCACCATTGCTTGGCCATTCACGTGCGCCGATCTTTGTCGCCGCTCTAACCCACCCTACTTCACCATGTTCACCCGCAGTTTGTTGAACAGCTCATTAATTCCGTTGTCCCCAGTACACATCCCATGGCATTTTTGGTTTGCTATCAGCTATCGTTCACTCTGTGTTCTTACAGTCGCGCGTGCAGCTTCGCAACCGATCCCTATAAGCCTCGCCTTCGCGCCTGCACTTCATGCTCGTAGTGAACGTGCCCTGACCTGAGCCAGCTTTTGGCTCTTCTGTTTCACAACTGGAATCTCGACGCCCGTCCAACCTTCTGGCCCACGTGACCTGGCGCTGTTTTTGCTCAGGCTGGCTCGCGTCCGGCTCAACGTCGGCTCAGGCTCGGCTGGGGAAAGTGGCCCAAAAGTCGTCCCTCTTCCAGACTGTCAAGTTTTAACGAGGGCCCCTAAACGAGGCTCTAGGGGGGGTTTCCCTAGAGACGCAACACGGCAGGTTGCCTCCTCCACCCTACGAGAACGAGCCGGTCTTCATGAGTCCAGCTCTGTCTAGCTCTGTTGTCTCTGTGGACGGAGCCAACAGCTAGAGCCTTATCACGTGACTTAGTCTAGCGCCGCCCCTAAAACCATCGCCCCGCGCCCGGCATAGCAGCTTCTTTCTGTCCGTACCCTGGCCGTGTTAGAGGTCAGGTTGTAATACTTTCCATGTTTACATCTATTATGCTCTACGGTGCTCTTTTTAGAGTCCGGCCTTTAGCACTATCTAGAAGACATCTATAGTACTCCTATGCCGCACCGCGTAGAAAGGCGTCAATCCAGCCATGGACTCACGTCTTTAAAATATTTGAAAAAGAATATTCATTTCGTCGTCATAAGCCTAATGGCAAGTCACATTATTGCTTCTGACGTGTGTTGGGCGGGCTCTCTGTTAAGCTTGCGTCCTCCTGGAAAACATAGCTATAGCTGATATTCAAACCTAAGACGCTATGCCGGCAAGCGAGCACAAGGCCTCCAATACCCGAGGAGCCATCTGAGGGAAGTCTGTACTGTCCATCAATGCGGGGCTTCCGTCTTCGAATTTCAGTACGCGGCGTGGGTTAGCGCCACCAACTTCAACCAAGACGCGGCACATTTCCAAGTCACCGTACCTCGCTGCCATCCGGAGCGGATCGTCCCAGCTACCAGGCTCTTCCATAGAGCCTTTCTCCACGTCCGCATGCCCCTCCGTCAACAAGATAACTGCTGCCTCTAGCCGTTGCGGATGGCGATTGAAGACGACTAGGTGCAACGGTTGAGTGCCATCGTCATTGCTTTCGTTCACACCCTCCGGGAAGACTGAAATCAAGAGAGAAATCACCTCTGGGTTGCAGCAGAACGCAGCCCAGTGCAGGACGTTGTATCCTTTGGAGTCGCGATGCCGCAGATGGCCCTCTATGCCTTCTTGGTCAAGCAGGTAACGAAGAACATCGACACTGTCGTACCTGACCGCTTCCCCAACAGACTGGTGATAGTCCGGTGGCCTAACGTCTCTTCGTACTTCTCGCAAGATTTCGTCCCTGAGGGCCGGGTTGCGAGCTGCTGCTTCGAAGAGTCTCTCGACGACTGGAAGGCAGCCACACCTCGCGGCAAGACATAAGAGTTCGTTGCCCTGTTTTTCTTTCACTAGCACATCATCGCAGATGTTAAATACGAGGTCGAAGCAGCTTGCCCATGGCCTTAATTGCTTCTCCGACTGCTGCGCCCAGCGAATCATCATTCGAAGAAAGGTTCCGATGTGGCGAATCTGTGGTCCGACTCGTGCATCGTGAAAGAATATTATCAGTCGAGAGAGGTCACCCTCATAAATAATTCGCTGGGTAGCTTCTTCAACAGTGCCACTCAGGAATTCGTTGCCACGGAGACTGATCGCATCGTCTTGCAGGAGTCTTTTCAGCGTCGTTTCGGGCCCGTGCAATGACACAACAGTGAGAGGATCGTGGAGGTAGTTATCCGTAAACTTCGGGGTGATGGTGCAGTCTGGTCGATACTTCTGTCTAATCCAATTCTTTAGTCGCCGTTCTGAGCTGGCGCTGCAGAGCTTGACAATATCCACCATGTCGGGTAGATGATCCGGATCGCTCATCGTGAAGTGGCCGACCCAGAAGCAAGATGCATACACGTAAAATTCACCAAATCCACGTTCTGCGGGATCGTAGTAGATGTTTTTGGCGTCTTCTTCGTTGTCAAGGCCTTGACCTGCCCCAGTGGAGTCTGGTTCCTGGGCAAGGTCAAATGAATCATCACACGCCCCGAATCCGGGCAGCGCTTCGAAGGTGATAATTCCTTCTTGTTCTTCCGACAGTAGGTCGATCTGATCAATTTCATCTAAAAGAAGGTATTTGACGCAGGTGCATAAGAGAGCTGCTTCCAGTCTAAGCATTCGCTGTTGAGTGCTTCGCTTGTTGATGTCCGAGTCCTTGGCAGGATTTTGAGATTGACTCCAATCGGATGGCGCAGCCAGCTGAACTAGCTCCGTCAAAGACGCATGCACTAGTCTTACCTGTCTCTTTTGGGCGTCCTCAAAGTCGAGCTGGAATAGAAACGGTTGTAGCAGGCTCAAGACTCTCTCGGAATCCACATAGTCCTTGAGCCCTTCCACGGTCGAGACTGTTGTGGACGAATCGCGCAACGCCATAGCCCACGCCAACTCCAGTATGCTGAGGTCTCTCCGAGCGACTGCTAGAATCTCCAGTGCGTTGGTGACGAGCTCCTCGTTGTCAGGGTCACCCCCAGTTTGCTTGTTGAACAACTCTGCATAAAGCTTCCAGAGTTCAGCCGGAGATGGAGTATGTTCAAGGAAATTCCTCACCGGACCCATTGCTTTTATCCTCCGCGTATAGATAAGGTCAATTGTCAATTTGACCCAAATGGCGCTTCCTCGTGCCATCTCAGAAAGCCTCTCGGTCACAAGCAGCTGAACATTGGCAGAAAGTCCGCTTAGACTCTTCTTTCACTCTGTGTTTCACGATTTTCGCGTCACGTTCCCGACTCGGAGACCACGGATCGCGGTCACTTCGGGCAGAAGATCTTCGATCCCGTTCTGAGGGCGAGATGAGATGAAGACTTTGAATCTTTGCGTCTGCTTTGATAGACTGCCGAGCAGAGCGAGAATCTCGTTCTGTGACCCACCGTCACACTCGTCAAGGGCGTCAATGACGATAAACAGTTCTCTATCGAGAGACTCCACGCAGGCTGATATGAACTTGCCGAGATCTACGGAAGACTGTGCAGGATCTAAGCGCCCAGCTTCCCTCGTTCTCTCATACCACTTATCGAATTCAACCTTGAGGCGTCTTTGCTGATCGAGCAGCTGCAAGATGAGACTTGAAAAGACGTAGAGTGCTGTTCCTCTTTCATTCTTCAAGCAGTAATGGTAGCATATGAAGGGATGAGGGAACTGGGTGTTCGCTCTGACGGATCAGTTCCTCAATGACATGTGCTGTGACGACTGTTTTGCCGCAACCCATATAGCCAAACAGGATCAGTTGCTTCGAGGATGGGCTATCGTACCATTCGCGGAACTTGAAATAGAGATGATCCATTCGCAAGCATCACTGACACGAAGATCACGAAGGTCAGCGTGGAATTTGCTGCGTTGCTCGTCTTTGTCAACACCTAGTAACTTTTGGACTCGAGGCACGTCAGTTCGATTCCCGAGGCGAGATCTTCCATCCATAGACAACTTACTCTTATTATCCTGGAGCAATTTTTGGATATCTGCTACCAGCAACGATGTCGCCGTTTGAATGGTGTCGCGCAGGAGGCCGGCATGCGTTACAAAGTCCTCGACAATCTTCGGCAGCCGATCCATGAGCTTCTCACAAATTAGAGCGAGCCTAAACGCATCACTTGTCAAGATATGATGCGCCGCGACGTAAAAGTTCAAGAGATCCTTGTAGACTGGGACAAGCGCCTGCAAGGTTGATCAGTCCCGAACAAACCAGCTGAGCTGATAGAGAGACATGTACGGACCCTGTGAATTCCGTTCTCCGTGTCTACTTTCTGACCCAAGGTATCACAGTCGTCGATGATCGGGATGCGCTCCAGAACGCTAATGATACCAGACTTGAACGAGTCTTCAGCTGCGCAAATGCCAATAGCAATCTGTCACGGTCAGTCACTTTGAAGCCATGAATTTCCTACGGCATCCTGAAAGATCAACTCACTGCAGTGACGCAGCTGACAATCCCAACAGCTGTTGATGCGGCGGGCTGGATACTGGCGAGCGGACTGGCCAAATCCAATGCCAACTTGAAGTTCTTCAGTGGTGTCTGCAATCTTCGCACGCCGCGCCAGAAGATAGAGTCACCGACGGCCTCGTCGCTAGCCCTTTCCAAGTTGCGCAAGAGCGTCTCGATGTTTTCGCCTTTCAATATAACACCCTCTACCTCTTCTCCAAGATCCAGGACGGCTTCATGGTAAGCGGCACTCGACATATCTGTAAATCCAATTTGATCCAAGTTGCGCTTGGCAACACTTCCATCGGGTCGAGCGTTTTCGTCAACTTTGGGTGTTTTCGATACGACAGGTAGATTTAATTCAGTGACAGCTGACGTGATAACAGTGCGCTCTACGCCTGCGGACGTGGTATCCGTGAACGTGGACGACACCACGATAGATGCATGCTTATTCTGCACGAAAGCAGTGACGTTTCTTCCAATGTCAGGTCCAAGCGGGAGGCAAAGGCTGTGGGCAACACTAACTGCTCTGGCGACTTGGACGTAGAATCTTGTTCGGGCTGGAGTCGGTGTCGAGATGGCTCTCTCGACTTGAAATGCCACTTCGACGTCAACTTCTCAACGAAAGAGCTGCTTCTCCCTCTCTGGTCATTTGACGCATCAAGAAGCTTGGAAGACATTATAGGCGTGGTAGTGTGAGTTCTGGCTTAACGGGTTGAATGAAGACTGCTCGGGTTTCTTTTCGAAGCGTACTGCACGACATAGGAGTCTGTAAGCAAGAAGTTGGGCGAGGTCTGGCTTGCCGATCAGGCTGAAAATTTGGCCCAGCCATACTTGGTTACACAAGCCCTATTTACCCCGCCATGCATATGTCCTATTTCTGTCTGCGTGGGCGCTTGCTGCGATGCTGGAGGTGTGACAATTGCGCGCCTCGACCAATAGCAAGCGGAGGCTGCCACTACTATTCGCCAAGTTTGGTCCAGTTGTGAGAATGACACGTGCCAGTTCGGGGGTCGGGCTTCGGATGGCGTATGATGATTGGCTTGGCGAGTTCACCAACTTCAAGTTTGTCTCAATCTGCTGCTGCCTACGCTTCCTCGCTTCCATCAAACGAAAATTTCGAACCTTGTTATTTCAAGACCACAATGTCGGAGGCCGAGTCCAAGCGGTTAGCTCATTCTGAATACTGGAACGAGCGCTATGCCGAAGTCGGCCCTGATGAACAAGTCCATGAGTGGTTCAGGTCTTTCAACGTCCTCGAGTCATTTCTGGGCCGCAATCTGTTCCAAGTCCGAGCACCAGAGACGGCTCCGCAAATCCTTCACCTCGGATCTGGAGACAGCGTACGTAGTGTCTTTCCATGGCGAGTGGCAATATGACAAGGGCTAAAATACCCACTCAGACGATACCCGAAGACCTTTGGAAGAAAGGTTATAAGAATCAAGTTTGCGTTGACTTCTCCACGGTCGTCGTGAACAACATGTCCAAACAACACAGCCATTTTGAGGGCATTACCTGGATGCACGCCGATGTGCGCCAGCTGGATCAGATCCCCTCCGAATCCGTGGATGTTGCCTTTGACAAAGGGACGTTAGATGCCATGATACATGGGAGCCCTTGGGACCCCCCCGATGAGGTTCGGGACAACACTGGTCGTTATATCCGGGAGGTACGTTCGATGCTTCGCTACAAATTGCACTACCATGCGAGTTAACTTCTTCTGCCTGCTAGGTCTTTCGTGTCCTCAAGCCCGACTCTACTTTTCTTTATGTGACATACCGCCAGCCTCACTTCATAACGCCTCTCCTCAACTGTGAAGGAGTCGATTGGGTCATCGCGGTGAACGTACTAGGTGGTTCGGACAGCTCCTTTGACTATCACGGGTTTGTTCTGAAAAAGGCACCGCTGTCGACGCCCGGGTCGACGACTACCGGGACAGACGACAAAATAACAGCGCAAGCGCCAACAGGCCCGAGTAATGAAGCACTTTGACTCGATGTCCTCGTGGCGATGCGGAACTACAGGGGGAGGTAGGATAATGGTGAAGCTTAACCTAGACTAACTAATTTAGAGGAAGGGAACTTTTGTAACTATTACGTTAACCTGAATCGGGTGCTAAGTTATAGGTACTATAGGCTAGGGTAGAGGCGATAAATTAGTAACTATAGGCGGGTGCCGGGAACGGGGCCCCCTAGCCCAGATTGTGGGCACGATTTATCCGTTGCTTAGGCCGACTACCACCATACTTGGTCACGTGCAGGAGTATCTCAGGTCAAAGCAGCGAGGCTCAGGACCACGCTCAGGTCCAGAGATGGAATGGAATATCTCTCGTGTCGAGATTCCGACCTCGAAATCCCTGTTTCAGGATGCTCTTACGACGATTATCTCTTGCCCCATTTTATGTTCGGTCGCAAGTCCATTTCGGAACCGTCTTTCTTGCTCGCTCGGTTCATTCAGCCACTACTTGGTAGGTAAAGACTCCACTGCAGCAGGGTCTCACCAGGCCACGAGAGATAACGGTCGTCACGTTGGGATTCAGCCTCGCGGCACACTCCGTGCTGCCGAGGCCTTCGAGCACTTTAGCCAGGACCAGCTTCACCCTAGATCAGTGATCTCATTCATGAAGACTTCGGCGGTGTCTTGATACACAGGTTCATACAAGCGCAACAGTGGCACAAGCTGATCGTCATCGACCCCGTATCCTCTGAATTTCCGCAGTCGTCTCCGACAGTGTGCTTCTCTCTACCATGCCCAAATTCGAACCAGTCCCGAGTTCTTTTAGCAATCCGGAGGGCAAAGTGGTGGTACTCACCGGTAAGTCGGACTTACATGACCAACACCCTAGGTTCTAGCTGCTATATTGGCTGATCTTTACTATCTGCTGACCGAGTCTTGCTTGGTTGCGTAGGAGGTGCACATGGTGTTGGCGAGGCAGTTATTCGCTATCTGTGTGCCACTGGAGCACACACGTTCTTTGGGGACATCGACAAGCAAGCTTGTCAAGCACTCGTGGATGGCCTCGAGGCCGAGAGATTCTCTTCGGGAAGTTTGGATTACCTTCATGTCGATGTTTCCAAGTATGAGGATAATCTGGCTCTTTTCAAACTAGCATATGAGAGGCATGGTAGAGTTGACCATGCTTTTTCGATAGCTGGAGTTACTGAAAGACAGAACTGGTTCGAACCAAGCCTGGATCTGAAGAGCGTGGAAATTGCACCTTCCACCACCGTGTTGGACGTCAACCTCACGGGGCTATGTTACTTTGCTCGCATTGCTACGGTATATCTACGCCAAGGGAACGATGGTCACAAACAGGACAAATCGATTTGCCTATCAGGTTCTATTGCCTCCTTCAAGGAACAGGCAGGGTTGTTCATTTATCAACCCAGCAAGCATGGTGTGATTGGCCTCATGCGCTCGACTCGAAAAATGCTATACCATGAGTATGGCATCAGGATTAACACCATATGTCCCTCTCTGATCAATACCGGGATGGCATCGCACATGTACGATCTCTGGACAGGACGAGGGCTACCGGTTAACGAAGCTTGCGAGGTCGCAGAGTATGTCCTGACTTGGCAAGCATCCCTTAAAGACCCTTTGTCGGATCCTTGATGGGACTAGCAATCTACGTCGAAGGCGGCAAAGGCTGGGAAATCGAGAAGGATCTAGACAATGCGGAAGTTCATTGGCTAGGTGAGGAGAATGCCAAAATCGAAGAAGCGCTTGGGCTTGAGCTGGACAGCAAACAAATGACAGCCACGCGATGTCTTTCGAGCCTGTGACGAGGTCATTGCTTGTTTGTTCTGTTCACTGCGCTTCGAGGTCAACGTTCTGGTACCATGGCCGCCATACAAACATCGATCAGTGGAGAGCAAGATAGATTATCCTCCAGACATCGGGAATACAACCGACAACGGCCGGAGTTCGCGTACATTCCACGTGGATGAATGGAGGTGTAAAGCTACAGGAACCCCATCCCTATCTTTGAAGGCTGGTCCTGAGATTATTGAAATCGATTATTGCAACAATGGACAAATCCAAATTCTTGAAGTGTGTCAAAACAGCAATGCATTGATACAGATCACCTAGTTGGCTGGTAAGTCGACCTTATCAAACTCCAAGCTATATCCCGAGCTAACGGTCAGGTCTGCCACCCAAACGCCAGATGCATGGCTATCGTAGCCTGACGGAGGACACCGCTTCTGTCCAGTGTACCCAGCCACTGGTACCATCCATCCCGGCTGCTGAATCAACACACCCTGCAGAATATCGTCCGAGTTTCAATACGAGTAGGACTCTGGAATTGAGCCTGTCGTTCTGCCCAACATCCAACTACTGCCGTCTCCGATAAATCCCCCTATCAATAGGTTCTGCTCCTGCCGCTACCAAATTTTCCGGACTCAAGGACAGTGCCATCAAATTCAAGGTGGTAGTTGGCACATCTAGGAGGCGCTAGAGCTGGTCAGCATTCTCGGTATGCAAGATCGACAATCAATACCGACTTTTCAGCAATCTGGTCTGCAAGAGACAGACTCGACTGACCGACTCCACAAGACCGAATGCTTGTGCTGAACTGCCACCTGCCGACGAACGATCTAGGGATCGTGCACTTACCGTATTTCCACGAGACTGGCCAAGCGGCGCCAGTGCCCCATGGATCTCTCACGAATACTAGCGCTTCTTGGTCCAGACAAAACTTGTCTGCAACAAGCAGGAGCTTGAACCCAGATTAATTCTGTTATCTCCTGAGAATGGTCGATTTCTCACCTCCCCAGTCACCTTCCCCATCGCTAATTCGTCGGAGACTCCCTTATCTCTGGGGGTCCAGATCCCGGCGACCTCGCGCGGAGTACTCCTCTGCTTGGCATCCGCTGCCGAGTGCTGCTTGTTAACGAGGCTTATGATAACGGAAGAGGCTTAACTCGTATATATACAGTTGATGGTTGTGCTTGCGAACTGCACTCGTCGTCTAGGATTTCGCTTTCAGAAGTCTAGGGAGTTCCGTTACCTTACCAGTCTTTCACAATGACTTCCGAGTACGAATCGAAAGAAATCAAACTCACCGTCGATGCTGCTGGTGACAGCGCGGCCGGTGACCTGAGCGAGAAGTCCTTCTGGTACAAGAGCCGAAAATGGATCCGCAGCATCGGTGCAGAAGAGCTGGGTATCGAGCGTATCCCAGAGGAAATTCGAACGAACCAAAACCCTCGAGATCTCTTCACCGTTTTCTTCAGCGCCAACTGCAATACTGCGACACTGGCACTGGGCTTTCTCGGACCTACCCTGTTCGGCCTCGGATGGTGGGACTCCTTTTGCTGCCTCCTCTTCTTCAACCTATTCGGCGCTATATTCCCAGCGCTAGTCGCACGCTTTGGCCCCAAACTAGGGTTGAGAACCATGATTATCCCCCGATACAGCTTCGGCTGGTGGCCAGCAAAAATCCTCGCGATTCTCAACTGCATCAATCAGATTGGTTGGGCCATGGTCAACGCCATCAGCGGAGCCTCAGTGTTGTATGACGTTGGTGATGGCGACCTGCCACTCGCTGTGGCCGTTCTCATCGTCGGCGTCCTCGCCATTGCCATGGGTCTCCTCGGATACAAAGTCCTCCATATCTACGACCGATACTCCTGGATCGTTATGTTGATCTGCTTCATCATCGTGGCCGGATTTGGCGCCAAGAATTATGTGAACGTGCCAATGGGCTCTGGCTCACTTGAGGCCTCGAATGTCTTATCTTTCAGCACCGCCATCATCGGCTTCGAAATCGCTTGGCTGCCTGTTGCGGCAGATTATGGCGTCTACATGCGTGAGACGACGAAGGATCGCAAATCGTTCTGGTGGGCATATGGTGGTTTCCTGACGAGCCAGCTGTTTATCGAACTTCTCGGCGCCGCTGTGGGCACTCTCAGCCTCAGTACAAACACCTACTTCACTGACGCCTACGACGCACGCGGAATCGGAGGCCTCATTGGCGCATCTTTCGGCGTGTATGGCAAAGGCGCTCGAGGATTTGGCAAACTCATTGAAGTCCTTCTCGGTCTGTCTTGCGTGGCGGTTATCACTACCAACATCTACTCTCTCGGTCTGAGCGTCCAAATGGTCTCGCAGAAACTCCTGGTCGTTCCTCGCCTGGTCTGGTCGCTCATCGGGTCCGTCATCTTCTTGGCCGCAGCAATGGCTGGTCGCGACCACCTCGAAGTAGCCATGGAGAACTTCTTGCTGATCTGCGCCTACTGGATCGTGCCATTCTCGACGATCGTCCTCGTAGAGCATTTCATTTGGAGACGCGGATACAAATATGATCTTACTGCTTGGAACAACCGCACCAAGTTGCCGTACGGGGTCGCCGCTTCAGTTGCTTGGGTCGTGGGTACAGTTCTGTCCCTGCTCACGATGAGTCAGGCGTGGTGGGTCGGCCCGATTGCTGGCGGCATTGGAAGTAGTCCTTACGGCACGGATATCAGCTGGATCTTGGGCTTTGCTGCCACGGCTGTAGTGTATGTTCCTTTGAGAATGTGGGAGCAGAAGCAGTGGCATCTCTTTTAGGGTACGTCCTAGCATTCGGCTAAGAACCTGAATTGTGCCGAGTCTTTCTTCACTAGTATAAATAAGTATACACTCATCGTCTAGTTCGTATTCTAAGTCAATCCTCCCAAGTGGCATCTCTTCGACTTATGAATGGATGCTGCCTTCTCCTCATCCTTAAGCCCTACCACTTCGGTACTCTACTCATTGTCATGTCATTCGCAAAATCCGGAAACAGCCACCAACCTTTGCTCTTCCGACAGCTGCTGCGTATATCAAAATCAAGGCTGCCTCGCCAGAACCTCCTCACTTGGCACAGGCGGATAATCGACCTTGTCGAGATAGAAGCTCAAATCCCCTCTCTCCTTATCCGCCACCGTCCATCCGTTTCCCAGCCACTCAAGCAGATCATGCCCCGGCACCTGCTCATACTCAAAATCCTCCCACCGCGGATTCTCCAGCGTCGCGCGTGCGTGCAGACTACTCCCCGGCCACAAGCCCGTGATCTTGCCGTTGACTTTATACCAGCTGGAGCAGTCGTCGACGTGCACCGTGCGCGGGAAGTATGCTTCCAGATAAGCATTCCAGCTCGCCAACGCGGACGCTTTGACTTGGATGCTGCGCAGGCGTTCGCGGGAGAGTTTCTGCACGGCCTTGACCACGTAGCCGATGATGCTTTCGAAGATGATCAAGAGACTCCCGCCGCCGGTCGCCGAGTTCGGTCCGCCGACGAAGAAGTAGTTTGGAAAGTCCGGGACGGAATGCGACATGTACGCCGACGCGTGGTGGGACCAGATGTCGCTGATGCGTGCGCTGTCGCGGCCGACGATCGGAAATGCAGGCATGAAGGACGTGTCGAAGCCCGTCGCGCAGGCGATGGCGTCGACCTGGTATTCTTGGCCGTCAGACGTGAGGACGGACTGATGTGTGTAACAGATTATGTCAGTGATCCAGACCCCATCGTCGCATCAATCCATGAAAGAGAAACTTACGTTCTTCGTCACCTTCTCAATTGGGGTATTGATAAAGTTGACATTCTCCTGCGTCAGCGCCTCCAGGTATCCAGGTCCGGGAGTCAATCTTCTACAGCCAGGTACGAATTTTGGCTTGAGGGCTTCATACACTTCGGGCTTACTGGCGAGTTTGGTCTTCATGTTCGACGTTATAGCCTGGGTGCCGGCGATTTCTTCAGGTGAGCCGGGGAAAAGACAGGGGTAGTCCATGTTGATAAAGCGCTCCATAGCTTTGCGGAAGTCCTTGTAGTATTGCGTGTCGTGGGCGAATTTGTGTAGTTCCTCTGCTGTGTATGAGTAGTTACCTGGCTCACCGCTCTTTGCAATGGTATCGGTTGTAAACGACCCGCCGAACGGCTGGCTGATCCAGGTTCCGCCGCGTACAAAGTTGTGTACCACAGCGGCTTTTGCTTGGAGTCTGGGAAGCATCTGAATGGCCGATGAGCCGCACCCGATCAGCGCGACTTTTTGATTCGTCCAGTCCCTGTGCCGATTAGCATGATCAGTCGAGCAAGATAGGGAATAAGGCAGTATGTGGCTACCATGAGCAGTCCCAATTCGCAGAATGAAGTAGCTTGCCTTCGAAGTCGGCTAGGCCAGGAATATTGGGCCATTTCCATTTGTTCAGCAACCCTGTTGCGCTGATGACCACTTCAGCTTCGAGCCTTTCGTGCGCATGGTCACCCTCAGAGCTCGTTGTTTCCACATCCACAGCCCATATGCCAGCGTCGCTGTCCCATGTCGCACCAATGACTTTGGTGTTGTATCGGACCTTCTGGTCGGCTTTGTATTTCTTGGCTACTCCCTTGATGTACTCCTGGATCTCAGCGCCAGGTGAGAAGTACTTGGACCATTGAGTATTCGGCTCAAATGTATATTGATAAACGTGGCTGGGAATCTATTGGCGCCGTTAAGCACTGGAATGCTGTAGCCGGACACAGGCAATCTTCAAAGGGTCCTGCCGACCCTGCTTATAGGTATTTCGGAAGACTTACGTCGCAAGCAACCCCTGGATACCGGTTCTCCCACCAAGTGCCGCCCAGAGAAGGGTTCTTCTCCAGAATAGTGATTTTGATGTTGGGGACGTACTGCAGTAGACGAATGTACGTGCATATCCCAGAGACCCCGGCCCCAATGATCAGAACCCGCGTTTCCCGACCTTGATCGACAGGTCGATCTTGGAACTGAAACTCAGGTCGTCCATCCATGGCCATAATCGCCCCTAAAAGCCCTCGAACAGGAATACCAGCTGTTCAGCGTGGATGTCAAATTGCTTGCTGGATCAGTGGGTGTCGATTTCCATGTCAATATGCAATGGGCATGCAACGTGGTATAGCAATAGACGGCAGACAACGGCAGATAAATAATGCTCGCTCACCTGTAGCAAGTCACTTTCTTCATGGAGTACGCACTGTCTCGCTAATAACCGCACCATGAACACACCTACCGTTCCGAGACCAGTCCTAGCGGGTGCCGTTGGTGGGGTCCCCTCAATAAGCCTCCGTGGGCACAGCACGACGCGGGCTGACGAGGCGTTCACCGTCGAGAGACGGTCGGTTCAGAAGCCTGGGAGACAATGGCGGAGGCGCCGACTAGCATCTTAGTTCATTTCTCGTTATCAGACACACGTCGGAGATGTGCGGACAACGTGCCATGCTCGACAGCCTCAGGTTAGTGGTGGGTTAGAGTTCGTAAGGGAGATGACAAACGTCTCAATCTCACGCCTTCTGTGTGACAAGATCTGTGGAGGGGATTTCAAATACTAAGAGCCGAGGAAGAACGGGTCCCTTGCGGATGGTCCTTCGTGCTTGAAGTTGGAAGCAAAGAAGAAAAGAAGAGCACGAGAGGTGGACGAGGCTTTACTAGTCGAGAATCAGCAAGACCAGACGCCGCTTTAACTGACATAGTCCCACAGTGAGTGCAAAACCGATATCATATGTGTCGATGCATAGTAGTCCGTCGCGCATGCTAGTCCAGAAAAGCCCATCTGCTTGTTTGAGCTCAGTATATCCCAAGATCCGTCGAGTCGAAATCAGCATCCATATCCATGATCATGTCCGTTTCATCCATCATATTCACATCCATATTCTCCTTTCCCACTTGTTCATTGCCCTGGAGATCATGTACCACGTCTCTAAGCACAGGGTTCTTATCCACCAGCCTCTGTACGTCGCCGACGATCGCGCTCCCACGCACAATTTTGTCGGCTTTTCTGAAAGTGCTTCGCTTATTCGGACTGTGGTTCCCAGCACTTTTCATCATCCATTGCTTTCTCTTTGCAGGCGCGGATGATTTGTCGTGGGATCTCTCGGCATCACAATAACCTGCTGTACTCTTCTGAGTAGCAATGTTCATGCTCTCAAACGAGTGCGACTCCACAGCACCGGCAGGTAAGTCAAGTACCCAACCTTTGTCATCCATGATTTTCGTCAGGCCCTCAAGGATGGGCACTCCACTGCCCTTCAAGGTACGTTTACTACCGAGGACCAGTAGCTTGCTCCTGGCACGGGTCACGGCCACATTGACTCTTCGCCAGTCTTTGAGCAGATCTCCCACATGACTGTTCTCGTTACTTCTGACACAACTGAGAATCACGATCTCCTTGTCTCGACCTTGGTACTTGTCCGCCGTGTGCGCTTCCACTTTATCTGCAGCGATAGATCCTGCTGCCGCTTTGATGTCTGACCTTATCAGGGCGAGTTGCGAGCGATAGAAGGTGATGACGCCAACAGAGCGAGGAGCAATTCCCGAGTGTATAAGGGTAGTGACAAGCTGAGCCGTCAGTTTCGACTCGCAGCTATTAGTTATTCGTGCCCCCGAGACAGCTTCCCGTCCGGATACTCCTGAGACGATCGTATCAGTGTTCAGAAACAGACAGCGGGAGCTGGGCAAAAGTGCACGCCGAAGCCAGCAGCCAGTATCACCGACACAGACTGATTGACTTGATTTTGGTAACGTCGACGCAGTGTAGTGGTGCATAGCCAGTCCGGCTTCGACGTTGGGAATTTGCAGCGTTCGAGTTGCGACAGCGTCGTTGCCACACTTGATCCGTCCAATGTAGACCAGCTCTTTTGACAACAGCATAATATCTTCCGCCATTCGATATTGGTGTTCTAGGTTTACAACTGAATCTGGCTGGGCATCAGAGAGTAGTTTGAAAAGACTGACATCGAGTCCACCTTCCAAAGCTTGCTTGTTCTGTACCAGTGGCGGCAATTGATAATGATCGCCGACAAGGATGAAAGTGCGTGCCATTCGGATAGGGCCAAGGCATACCGGCAGAGTGATCTGAGAAGCCTCGTCTACAATGCAGTAGTCAAATGTGCGAGCATTGAAGATGCCATGATTGACTCCAAGGCAGGTTGTTGCCACCACTTTCGTGCTGTGCCAGGAGTCGTGTAGCTCCTCCGTTGTGCGTTTGGGAATTCCTGAAATATGCGCAAAGGACTGAATGTCAGGATGCACCTTATTGACAGCGCCAATGCGTAAGATAGGTATCTTGTCATCCTTGATCTTCAGGAGAATGTTGTCGACAGCAGTATGTGTGTAGGATGCCAACAGAACCGACTTGCCTTGTGATACCAGAGCACGGATAATATGAGCTATCGTCGTCGTCTTGCCCGTGCCCGGCATGCCCAGAACAAGGGCGTAGTCTTTCGCACTCATCACCTTCTCGATAGCTCTCCGCTGATCAACGTTAAGATTGGTCTGAGAAGCTGGGCCGGTCAATGTGGACATCGTGGACGTGACCTTGAACTCGGGAGGCTTGTTCTCAATGATCAGTTGTCGAAGTTCCCTTGCCCGCCAGAGATCCTTTTCCATCATGCGAAGGATGTTGTTGCGAGCTGTCGCCATTCCGTTGGCGAATTCGTCCTTGTCAATGCGATAAAGGATCGGACAGTCAGTCTCAGACGTCACATTGGGCCCGGGAGCTATGACGCCTGAGAAGATTTGGTTCTCAACTGGGTCAAATCCCTGCATCGTGCGGTGTGCATGTTGCAGCCTTCGATCCACAGCTACCACCACTTGGGTTGGCCGTACGTTCGTAACGAAGCCTGCAGCGAAGTTGAAATGACCTTTCTCGTCGGAGATTACAATCGGTTCTCCTATCGTGATCTGAGAATCCATAAAAGAAAAGCCAGAAGGTGGCTTTTGCTTGATGAAGGTATATTCGAATCTGTTGATCTTGGAGCTTTCGGGATTCTCAAAGGCGGATCCTGGCTGTATGATGACTTCTGAGAAGCATCGACCAAGAGCTTCGCGATCTACGCTCAACATCGTCCATAACTCTCGGCGGAATCTCATCGTGTCACGTTCTTCTTGGGTCAAAAGATGGTCCCATTTGCTGAAGAATACCTGGTGGGTTGGAGACAGATGGTCAACGACCTCGTTGAATTTCTCCCCTAGTCCACTGGTGGCGGCATCACCGCCCTCGGACAGCTTGTGATAGATGAAACATGCCGGCTTGGAATAGCAGTTCTTGCAGATATGCTCTCTTTTGATCATTGGAGGTAATGCAAGCTTGTCGTGCACGTAACAAGCCAGCTCGTTTCGCTCAATGACCATGTGTCGGATCTCATGTCTGACGCCTTCAACGCGGAATGTCTTCGAAGTTTCCATGTAGTATAATACGCCACATGTGACATTGATGTCGTATCGGTCGGATAAGAGAAGCGTGTACAAAGCTGTTTGGACCCGATGCTGTTCGACATTGTCTCTCTTGCCCGTCTTCAGCTCGAATGGCACCAGCAGAGTCTTAGGCGATGGATCATTTGGGAGCTTCATCTGAGCTTGTACGGTTGCATCGATGTTCCCTTTTAGGCCATACTTTGGCGACCAGATATGCTCTTCGAGCTCCAACAGTTTGTTGATCGTGGTGGGAACAAGCACACCATGCCGGTCCCGAGCCACAGCATCTGGCGACAAAGTGTCACCCACGAAGACGCTTGCCCACGCGGTTAATTCAGGAACTTTCCCCAGTAGATATTCCGTAGCATCTGGTACCCGGACTCCTATCTCATAGAGTGATTCGAGATAGGATGGCAGGACATTGGCGATGATACCTCTGAAGGTCTCAATGTCCCATTTGTTAATACGTAACGCTTGTCCAAAAACTTCATGCAGGATGTGGCCGTAGACTTGTGGTTGAGTAGCTGCACCAGTGGCCTTCACTCTGTCTTGAAGCACAGCGCGTCGCATACAGGTAAAAGAATCCCCAACGACTGTCGACGAGATGAGATGATCCGGATGAAGGATTATCATGTTATCGGCGTCGTCGATAATACACTGCCCAGTACGATCGAACTTCCCGATGACGTGGACATAGGAACCTTTGGTGCATCGAGTATCGTACCAAGATTCTCGCAGGTAGACGATGTACAGCATGCCGGTCTTTTCATCCTTGACGGAGAGCATCTACCACTGATCAGACGTTGGGGCGCTCACGAGAGGAGGATATCATACTTTTTCAGGTCGTTTGCGGCCAGGCTTGTACTCATATAAACTTTCCAGCACATCAATGATCAGGTAACGTTTGATGGCTCTGTTATCGACTGAGTTCTATATACCCTATCAGCATATCATTCATTAGATGAGATTCGGTCGAGAACGCACAGAATCCGTTGTGTCCATTTCTCCTGCCTTGACCGAGGTCGCGTCTGCAATAACCTCCCATAGTTCATAGTCATCCTCAAAAGCATCGTCAAATTCATCAAGTGTCTTCAGTTTATTGAACTGAGCCTTTTCTTCTGAAGTTGGCTTCCCAGTCGGAGTCTGCCTCTTGTTGGGCGACTTGCGCTGCGAGTCGTACTGAGCAGCAAGATCGATCATCGCAGTCATAAGTTCCTCGTCATCATCGTCAAATTCATCAGCAAAATCTGCTGGCGCCTCGGAAGCCGCTGGTAGTGCTTCCCCATGATCCGAAGAGTGATTAAATTCTGTATGCGCCTCCGAATCAAGGATCGGTTGCTGTGAGACCGCGAGACCGTTGGATCGAGAAGGAATACCGGTGGCGGCTACGTCCCGATTGTTCTTCGCGGCGCCGGCGCCCCCGCCTGTTTCCGCCGCTTGCTCAAGAAGTGCCTGTTCCAAACTCTCGAAAGCTTCCATATCAAGACCATCGTCATCAAACTCCGAGGAGAAAGACTTATTTTGGTAGGTTGCCGCTTTTGGAGCCGCAACTGGTGCAGGATGAAGGCCATCCGGCGTTTGCGTAGCGTGCTCCAAGCGACTTCTGCTCTGGGGTCGCGTTGGCGATATGACTGCCTGCGAGCGTCTGTCTGGGAGTGGCGAGGAGCTTGATGGACTCTCGTCTGCCGCTATGGCCTTCTTGGTCAGACTTTCCTGTATCTTCTCGAGGAGCAGGCCCACCCGAGTGTTGTTGGAAAGATCACGACGGAGGATATCTTTACGAGAAGCCGCAAAAAGCTCTTTTGTGCGGCCATGCTGAGCATTTGTCTCAATTCTGCGCCGCTTCGCTTTTGATGTGGGCCACTCAACTCCACAACTATGCGTCCGGCGCAACCCACTGTCTTTGCCGGTGGTGCTAGGTGTTTGAGGTGAAGACGGAAGGAGCAGGGCGTAGTTGGGCAAAGTCGGCTCGCCTTGGGTGCCTTTCAGAGCATTTGCCGTCGTGTATCGGTTCCAGAGATCTTGGGTAGGATCATTGTTGGGAGTTCGCAGTGATCTATTCAACGTCTCGAGATTCAGGGCATCCTTTTGCGCCGAAAACTGTTGTGAAGAAGCGGGTGAGGAGCTCTGAGCGCGTTTTCTGTTTCGTTGCGTCGCGGTCGCAGCTCCAGAGACGTCAGAGCTATGAGGATCCCACAACACATGATCCTTTGGTGTCGCTAGAGGTGGAGCGCAGTTGAAGGCGTCTTCGGTATTTGCAATGAGGTCTTCAAATGGAATTCGAACCGCAGGTGTGTGAGGGACATTGCGATCGGGGAAATCTTTGATACCAGGGGTCTCCCCCGCGTCACTCCCATCTCTTGTGTCTGTCTCTGCCACAGTGTGGTTTTCCTTGTCCTCCTGTGCTGCAATCAATTTCTCGTCGAAAGCGAAACTCTTGAGCTTCTTTCGTGATTGCGAGGAGATGGCAAGAGGGGCTAACGGCATAATTTCAGAGAGCTCTTTCGTCGGTGTCGCATGGTCCAGGACGGTTGATTCAGAACGAAGTGTGGTGACTGAGTGGAAGTCGATGCAAACCACAAATGTTTTGGTGCCGAATGGAAGGCCAACCCATGATTCGACGTCGACGCGCTTGGGAACTCGCGACGCGTCAAAGATGAAGTATGCGCAGTCACGTGATATCACGTGACATCACGTTGATATGATGTCATCTACGAGCTCCTGAAAATGCTCAGCCTCCAGGAGCGACTCGGCGGGCAAAAACACGAAAAGTCGTTTTCGTTCAGCTCATGGTCAAATCCCGCATCTTACAGATTACGAATCCTATTTCCTCCATGTCTCTCGCCCATTACCAGCTGCATTGCCATATCGTCTGGAGATGCCCGCGTACCTGAAGTTGGATATGAATCGGCTTCAAATAGTGTCCTCGCTCTCATACCACCGAGCCCCTCATGAAAGGAAATCGAATTATGAGTTTTGAGACCTTCAGCCTTATGCTCCTGATATGATAGACCACTATGCGAAGAGTACATTCTATCCGCCTCTATCGTTTTGAATTTGCAGTTTCGGACTTACAGCTACTCTTTCTGCACAACCCTTTCAATCCGGCCTGTTCCAAGGCAGTCTTTCCAACTTACCACGATGGCGTACTCGGCACCACATTCGCCTGCTCGCCACCGTGATTCCGATGCCGACTCGAATGATTCAGCCTCCAGGACTTCTCCTAACAAGTTGCTGCGCCTCCTCGAACTGAGCGCGGAACGGGCTTCGTCGCTACCGCCTCGACGACTATCTTCCCCTGTGAAGAAGGCTCCACAAGTCCGACCCCGTCTGAATCAGTTCTATACATTCGACCACGCTGTCCAACTCTTCAAAAGGTCGAAGAATATCATCGTCCTGACTGGAGCAGGGATCTCGACTTCTCTAGGTGTCCCGGACTTCCGCTCCACCAATGGTGTTTACAATCTTCTGGTGGACTCGAAATACGACGATCCCCAAGAGCTCTTCCACATCGACAATTTCAAAACAGATCCTGGCGAATTCTTCAAGCAGGCTGCAAAGGTCTTTCCTAGGATGCAAGGTCTGGTGCCGGCGGATGGGGCGGGAAACGAGGGCATATCACCTGATGTTCCTTTGGTTCCGAGATACAGCGCTACTCATGCGTTCCTTGCGTTGCTACAGGCCAAGGGCAAGTTACTCACCAATTATACGCAGAACATCGACAGCCTAGAGACTGCGGCCGGTGTCTCGAGTGCTAAGCTAATACAATGTCATGGTACACTGTCCACTGCGACATGCATGAGCTGTGGCAAGAGGATATCTGCCAGAAAATACATGCCTGTTGTTCGAGAAGGCAATACCCCGTTTTGCAAGTGCTCACGCGAAACAGATAAGAAGGTTGGAAAACAGCGAGGGCGAGGCGGAAAGAGAAAAAGGAAGCGAGACGAACTCGAAGATTCGGACTCTGACCTCGAAGAGAGCCGCAAGCCTTTCCCGAAGGGACTGCTCAAACCCGATATGACTTTCTTCGGCGAACACATCTCGTATTCTTATGCTCCTCGCCTAGAGGTCGACAAGGCGAAAGTGGATCTGCTTGTTATTATCGGCACTTCTCTAAAGGTTGCCCCTGTAAATGATATGCTCCTTGCCGTCCCTTCTACGGTGCCTCAAATATGGATTAGCAAAGACCGATGTCAGCGCGAAGGGGTCAAGGTCGACATTGAACTTCTGGGAGAGTGTGATCTCATCATCGAAGAGATAGCTCGACGAGCCGGGTGGACTGCTGCCTTGGAGGAGCGCCTGTGGACGGCTCAAAAGACAAGAGATGTACAGGCCCCTGTGGTGAAGCCCAAGCTATCTGAAGAGCACGCGGGGCAGCCGAATGAACCCTCAGTGACGGCGGAGAGTCATCTGGAAATCCGACCAAAGCAAGAGCAATCGCCAAGCAACATCCTTCGATCTACCAACAGGCCTGTCATCAAGATCAATGATGAAGTGGTTACCGATTTCGAACTTGATGCTGGTCAGGAGGGCCCGAACGACAAAGATAAAGCTGGGGAGAAGTCAGTGGAGCTTTCTTTTACCCAAGGAGTCTCAACCTTACCAGAGCTGGCGTCTGACGACAAGGTCTTTGAGAAACCGAAGAAACCGAAACTTCCACCTTCGAAGGTTTCTATCGAGCTCGAGTTAGGGCAAAGGTCGAGGTGGTTCGTTCGAAGAGCGAAGTGATCAACTCAGCCCCTTGACACTTAACCTGAGACCAACCATGTCTACCATTTGATTTCCTTTCATGATGTCTTATCTGTCACTATTGTTTCGGTCGACATTCTCCAGCCGGGAGTTGGTTTTGTGTCGGACGCTGTTGCACATGCGTTGGTAGAGTTGGCTCTGTAGCCTACCTCGGTCGAGGGAGGCGTATGTTGGTCTCCGACTGGGGTTGGTTTGGAGCATGGATTTGGACAATAATCAATGATAGGGACTACGAGTAGCTGCACAAAGTGTAAAATCGAATTGTTGTACCATTACAGAGTACACGTGTCCATGATGCTCGCGACGTGTTCATTAAGGCCTAGTTCTCTATTCCCTTCGCTTGAAAGTGCACTCTATTTCTTAAATTGCCCAGCACTTTATCTTTTGCGGCAGGGTACGACCCATATGCACAGATTCCCCGACCAATCTAGCTCTTTCTCTTGTCTGGTGCCCGATCAGTACTCTTCGAGGTAGAGTACAAGTCGACCGGTCGAAATGGTCATACTCAGCATCGATCGTGTCGGGCCCTGACCATTCCATGCAGAATTGGATACTGGATCCGACCTTCTTCGAAGCTGAACCGCAATATCACGTCCCGTTCCGTGGCTCTGTCGCCTGCAGATCACAACCCTCAACTTCTGTCACCATCTTGCCGTGGAGAGCCCATCGCCCCTCTCAACTCAGATCGGTTGCGCGCCCATCTTCCTGAACCAATCAATGACACCGGTATACACGACGAGCAACACACCACCACCAGGACCCAGCCGCAACACCTTGGGCAAGAAGCCCTTGTACAAGGCGGCGAATCCTTCCTCTTTCATGATTGTGCCCAAGCCAGGCCATGCCCAGTTGTACTTGGGCACCGAGCCCGCAATCTTTGGACTATTCTGGATCCTCGACTTGACCACGTCCATGGGGGTGTTGAGTATCGTGCCGACGGTGCCTCCGATCGACCCACTCAAAAAGTCCGTCATCATCGCCTTGCCCCTCTCCTTTTTCGGATCGACCTTGGGCATCAGCGCCTTGACCTGGAAGATGCACCCAAAGTAGCCCGCGTTCCAGAGTATGTGGCGCCACAGGGTGCTTTCCAATCCGTTGTACAGCGCCAGGGGGCCCTCGCTCTTGACCGTCTTGACCACGCAGTCTACTATGCCGTTGTACTTGCCCGCACTCGCGCGGTCTTGGAGACGGATCTTGACCAGCTCGAAGGGGACGACGACGAACGCTTCGGTCGCACCAGCAGTCGCACCGGTGAGAATGGCGAGTGGCTGCGTCGGTTTCTCGACGTTGAATAGGCGCCGGTAGAACACGCCCCAGGAGTCGTTGGCGGCGAACTTTGTAGCGCGCTTGGGTGCTTCCATCATTATCGGTGCGGCAATGCCACGGTACAGGCGCGAAGGTCCCTCATTGCGCACAATCTTCTTGAAACAGTCGAGCATGCCGGTATAGTAGTCTTGGCCGGGGATGGGTTTGCCTTGGAGTTGTCTAAAGAGGCATTGTCAGCTATGTCGACCATACCAGGTCGTCTGGATGGTCTGGGTTGCAGAGCTTCTGACGGTGAACGAGAAGGAAGAAAATGGAGGGGTGTACTGACACTCTCGTCTTGATCACATCGAGCGGATACCTGCACGCAAAACATTATCAGCCATCAACTCCTTCCTTTACTCCACGCGCGCACAGTGAGTCTGCTCATGTCGCGTCGGCTCGTCTCGTCCGCAGGGGGTTAGGCAAGTAAAGTCAAGCGGCGGCTCACATCATCAGAATCTGCGACAAGATAGCGATTAGCTTAGGACAAGCACGATACGATAGCTGCTGATATCTGCGCCTGGCTGCGACAGGGGACGAGGAGGACATACTTCAGACACGCCGGCCACAGCGCCAGCGGCGAACTGGTAGACGAAAGGGAGCGGTTTCTCCGCCATCTTGGACCGGTTGTGTCGTGTGCTTTATCCGATGTAGAGGGAAGTTCCCAAGTTCGAGAACGAGCGACCGAGCGATCAAAGAGTGGACAGTCTCTAACCGCACACCTGCAAGGGAAGCTACTTAGGCTGTAGCTAGACTCCTGTGACTCCTTGCAAGAATGCGAACAATGGGGAATTTGACTGACTGCTGCTGGAAAGGAATAAAGAGAAGAAATTACGAAGAAGAGATGCAGTGCAGGGTGCGGACGGGACGATATCGGCACAACCTCCGCCCAAGCTCGTGGTAGCTTGTAGACAGCGGCTGGTGCAGGCTGTTGACAGGGCCACTCAGGGCGTAGGGCGTAAGGGCCGCTGGCTGGAGAAAGTTGGAGAATCAGGGGCGTTCGGCTGCTCGCCCGATCGCCCACTCTTGCTTTCAACCCTGGACAACCAGAGGCACCCGAGAGGCACCTCCACCCTACTTGGTAAAGACTACAGAGAGATTATGAGACCATGTCTTTAGATGGTGGAAGAAATGTATTCCACCTCGATGCCATTACTTGCGGTACTCTCTACCTACAATACAAGCCCCTGTGTCTGTGGTGCACACTGCAATCACCATGGAAGAAGAAGGGAATAGAGGAGATGGTCGAAACGAAGGGGTATCAAAAACCGAACCAGAGTATCCATCAACAGAAATTCACCTCCAGCGCCGATGAAACACAACAAAAAGAACGACATCGACTCAAAAAGTGTCCCACCCTCATATACTTCTCAGCCTCCACCGCCGAGTTGCAATGCAACGATTAACTGTGCCTGCGTTATATTCGTGTCTCGCCTCTACCCCAGCTCATCTCGTGTTTGTGGGAATGGCTCACTTCCCTCATCAATTCATATCCATGAATTCATCTTCTTCCTTAAAGCTGATGCCTCCATGTCCGGCGCTGTGCCAGTATTGTGTTTGCCCGGGATTGCTGCCACTGCCAGTGCCACTACCCCCACTGTGAAAGCCTGGACTGAGCTCAAAATTGCTCTGCGGGCTCAAACTGGAATTGGCCTGGATCTTATCTCCAGTCATATTGGTGTGTCGTGGGACACGTAGCCCACTTCCATCTCCCCTCGAGTATGCAAAGGTACTCGAGTCGTTCTTCTCCATCGCATCCAAGACTTCGGACCGCATGCGCTTTTCATCCTCCGTGACCTGGAACGGCCATTGCCCTCCCAGTGAGGTGATGTATTGAGCCAATTCATCTTCTTGTTGATATTTCAAATGGAGCGCCCACATAAGATCTCGCGTCCAGCTCACTGAACCATTGAGGATGTCGCCCTTGTTCGGGCCTTTCTCCTTTTCTTCAATCGGCAGACCAATGGTGATGTTTCCCGCTGTGCTCGCAGCACGACGACCAGCTGCTCCCGCTAGTAAAGAGGTGGCCGTGTTGTTAGCATTCGGCGGACTCATGCTGGTGGCACCGACTGATGGCGACAGTGGACCATTGCTCTGGAGTTGCTTTTTGACCTTGTCATCGTCCAGGCGATGCTGTGGGACCAGGTGTGACAGATCTTGTATACGCTCGTTGATGTTGTCTCGACGCCTCCGTTCGACGGCGTTGTGAGATGCTCGCCGCCGGCGCTTCTTGGCTTCAATGGTCTCTGCACTCGTTACTCCATTCTCAACCTTGGCAGGCAGAGACGCATGTTGACCAGAGCCAATGGTTTCCGAGATGCCAGCATGGTGCATACCTGCACCAGGCGAGGACAAGGGAGAGTCAAGGTAGGACTGAAGACTTCCCGGAGTACTATCATACTGACCGGACAGGGTCTTAGCGTGTCGATTCTGTAAATTGGGTGCTCTGATTGGTCGTCCGTTGGCTATGTTGCCCGATTCTGGAGTGCCTATGTGAAGTGCTGCCATAGCCGATGTTCGTGGGGTCAGAGGAGATCTCTGGTCGGATGATGATTTTCGGTTCGCTGAGTGTAGGCTTGGGCGTTTGCCGAATTGTCCACTCTGTAGAGGTGACATGTGTTGCGGCAATGAACCCATAGGCCGGAACTGATTGTAGTCAAAGGTGCCCAAGAAAGGGCTCTGGATGGGTGGTCCGTCTGGTGTACTTGAGTAGATGTTGGACATCTGGTTTTGTTGGCTCATAGGAATAGCGGCTGAACTTCTGTTATTGCTGCCGCTCTGTTGGTTGAGGGTAGTGAAATCATCCAGCATGCCTTGGCCGTTATTGGAAAAGTCGAGACTGTCCAGCAATTCACTGTCATCATAACCAGAGTTGCCCATGTTAAAGCTCGAGGACATGTTGCCGCCAAAGTTGTATTGCATTCCACCGAAGTTGGACAGGTCGGAAGGATTGATGTTCCCGTTGTCTTGGTTGTTGTTAAATTGATTGCCGAAGTGCTGTGATGTGCCATAGTTTGAGGCAGACATGAAGTGATTGGGATTGTTCCCGAAGTCATCGGGCTCGGTCTTAATGTACGGCATCCCGCCAGAAGAGTGAGTCATGGTCTAGAGAAAAGGTGCGAGCTGCGCTTGGGGTTCTTTAATGTTGTTGGTGATATAAGCTGGTGTCGTGATCGTAGACTCTCTTGCCAAATCCGGATATCACACAGCCTTAGCCATCGCAAAGCTGTTATCAGGGAGGGATGGCGCTTGTCGAGATAGCTGAGTCGCCGGGTATCGAAGGAAAGACCCGTCCCGAAGGTGTGGAAAATAGTCCAAACGGATATGACCAAGACCGTTTGGTATCAGGGATCGATGGTGTATGACGTGAATCTCAGTCGTATAGAGGATAAGGCTGACTGCAGTATGCGCTGTAAGCAGAATGTCAACCTCGTCCGGGCGTATTCCGGCCTATAACCGCAAAGGTAATTGAGAATCTTATGGAGTTGTAAAGTGTGGCGTTATGTATAGTACTGAATTGAGTGAAGGTAATTGTAATCAGGTTCGGTTTGTGAAGAGGGTGTATGACAGAGGTGTTTGGCTCGAATCGCTTAACACCGCCTCTTGGATGGATCGACTCTAAACTATTCGGCGGCGCAAGTGAATGGCAGGGCGGCCGCAGAGAGACGGAACGTGCGCTCGAGGTTCGAGACGGTGAGACAGATGGACGATGTTGTTTGAAGCACACCGACAAGTTGAAAGGTGGGAATGTGGTTCGAAGGAGGGGCGGTTTGGAGAGAGGTGAAGGGATGCGGCTCGGGGATTTCTGGGCAAGTGATGCCGCAGTCGATGTAGTGCGCCAATGGAACTTTCTCAGGCAGAAGGCACAGCGCGGTCGAGCCGGCGAGGTTGAGGTGACGAACAGAGTGGTAATGTTGGTCAAAAGGACGAAGTAGTAGCAGGGAGTTGTGAGTGCGCAATGGCCGGCAATGGAGGGAGACCGACAGACGCACACGCCGCCTGGCTGGTTCGAGTTTGGAAACGGAAAGGGAAAGACTGGCGCCACTGCCAATGGAAGGAAACTCGGCCTGGTGGCCTTTACAGGCGACCTTGCGAACTTGGTGTCAATTCGGCCTTGGCACCGGAAAGCGGCCTTGGCTGGCTGGCCGAGGGTCGAATGGTCGATGGTCGAGGCTTGGAGGGTCGATGGGGGTGTCTGACTCAATGCTGTCAGGAATTGATTGGTTTCGAGGTGCTGCTAGAAGATGACAGTTGATAGGTGCACAGAAGTTGGCTATCGTATACTGCGCTGACTGCGTAAAAGAAAAGTTCAGTTGGCTCCAGATCCCCGGAATTGGCGGGGGAATCACCGTCAACCAAACTGGAATCACTCCAATGACTTCGAGTCTTATCTAGGAACGAAACGGAGGAGAGATTTCCTCGCTACGTCGGTCAGGGTCACTCGGCACTCCTTTATATATCCCATATGCAAGGCTAGCAACCGCAGCATCCAGTTTCCAGCTTCTGCCATTTGGAGCGTCATCCTTCCATCTTGGTTTGCGTGTGCACTTCCCAAGATGCCATCCTCGAGGCGCAGCCACATGCGCGGAGAGCACCGGCAAACCAATCGTTTGCCTACCTGTCCTTGGCCAGGACCCTGGAATGAGCGACATTTTGGCACTCTAACCTGGTGAGGGTGTGCTCAGAAGGCAATGCGAAAGGCGGCACGCACGGAATGTTCGTGAGTCGAATATATGCTTGCCTAGAGTCAACGCTGTCTCGGATGCCAGAATAGGAGGGGTCATGTTGTTTTCCTGCACACGAAGTCCGCCCACATGGCCTTGTACCAATACACCCTTTTCTCAACCAATCCTCCGTCAAAGCTCAGCATGACTTGGATATCGACTAGTCATGATCCCAGTGGGAGATCATCCGGGTTAGGGCGGATGCAGGTCAAGTGGTCTTGCCAGATCATTTGTCAAGATCAAAGTACCAGCCACACCATCCGTAAGACCCCGCGCGTCAAGGCTGTGAAGTACGTGTGGGTTTCCAGAAGGGCATGCGAACGTGCTATCAGGAAATGCTAATGTTGTCCATTCATTGGTTCTTGGAAAACGCTTCAACACTCATTGCAACATGATCGGGGTTGGTAGGGGGGATTCCTTTCTCAACCGGATGCCGTGCGACCTTGCACAAACATGTGTCTATCAAGTCAACGATTCCCCAGCACAGTGTTCATGCTTTTGATGGCCCTTAGGTAACATTGCACAGTTTGCTTTAGACTTGTGTAGTACGTCAGAAGCACTCCGCAGTGTCATAAAAGCAACCTTGTGGGCAGTACAATTGAGACAAGCTTGAGCCTTTCGGCTGCTTCGTCCCGATGGCTTCTGGCGACTGGCTCTTAGCTTCCTGCGGTCTGTCCGCCACAGACAGGTTAGCTCCGGACATGCATGAACCTCGTATTGGTGGTTCAGTCCAGACTTGAATGGAAGACTCGTGAAGAATGCTTGTTAGGCGCTGGGTGACAGTCGTGACCAGGGTCATGATGGTCAGTATGCGAGTGATAGATACATGAAGGAGTAAGAGTGCCGGTTGTGATTGGAAGCCTCCGCACTGACACATTCGCGCACTAGCCTGTCTGGTATTAGCCAACGGTGGCACCTTGGATCTACAGCCCGATTGTCTGCTTGCTCAACTCTACCTTCTCAACGCAGCCTGCTGCTCGACGCCTCGATTGAATCCTCTTGCCCTTGAAGGTGGTCTGTTCACTGCCGCTATCTCTGCATCAAGACCTCAATTGATCAGTCTGGACCCCGTATCTGCCCTTTGGGATTTCGGTCGACTCCGCTTCGACAAAGACAAACGAACCTCCCTCAGACATTCTGCAGGCAGCCGCCCTCCTACCTACACAAGCGTTCAATCCGGCCACTTCGCTGTTTGCCCGTGGCCAACTTCTTCTTGACTTGTTGCTCTAGCTCCAAATACATCCAAGGGCAGCCTTGTCGCCGATCAGATTGCGAATGTGACGCTAGCTCCAGCAGAGACCCTCCGGATCATCTTTCCCTTGTTTACGCTCGGCTTGGTTTTTGACGCATTCAGCGCACTGTGGGAAAGACGTTGCTATTCCACAAACAGGCAGGGACAGAAATAGGGTGTTGTCTACTTGAGGAAACAGATTCCGTGCGTCTGTCACAAGTCTTTAGGGGGGAAGACACAACTTGAAGTGGGTGGAGTGACCGGTCAAGATGACTTCGACAGCATTTCGGGATTCATTGAATTCGTTGGGGTGGTCGAGAAGAGATCCCGACTTGCCGGCCAATACATCTTCAACCCCCATCATCTCCAGGCTGTCGTCGTTGAACCCTTTTGGTGGTAGAGGCTATGTCCAGTTACCCACCCACGAGGCTCCCGGTGCGCCGCTGCCTGCGCCTACAAGGAGAGAGGAGGAAGAAGGGTGGTTTGCCTGTAAGTTGGCGACGCAGATGCTTCTGAGTCATTTTCTATCGATCTTTTAACGACATTCTGATGGCCAACATGTGCTGACACCACTGCTTCTACAGTAAGCCGATGGGACCGACTTCTTATTTTTGGTGGATGCAATCTTGCCGCTTTGGCATGCTTTGTTATCTGTTTTGCACTGTTCCCAGTGCTCTCACTCAAGCCTCGAAAGTTTGCTATTCTGTAAGTGTTTCTACCTTTTCCTTTCTTGGGTTGTGGCTGCACACCATTTCGGTCCAAGTCAACAGGCCATGTGACAACGCGTAACCCCATGATGATGTCAGCTTCTTCCATTACAAGAATGAGGGTTCATGCTGGAGATCATACCCTGGGCGTTCGACTCTCGCTTGTCGTCCTGTTGGGCAATCGGGATCTTGGGTTTATGCATCCGTATGCATGGAGATGTCTGTGTGGCTGACGCGTCGCGATAGGTGGTCCGTCGGTTCCATGCTGTTCCTCGCATCTTGGGCATTCTTGATGGGCCCTTACCAATATGCCGTTCACCTCATGTCCGGTCCTCGACTGCCTTTCACCGCAGCCTACTTTGGCTCCATTGTCATGACCATTTACTTCGCCGTCGGCGTACGTATTGACTGCCGCCTTGTTCATCAAATATCGTTGCTGACCTGACCTGAAGCTCCATTCCACCATCCTGACCCTGGTTTCGTCCATTGTCCAGCTCGTCGCGTTGGTGTGGTACCTGGTCAGCTATTTCCCAATGGGAAGCACGGGTCTGCGCTTTGCAGCAAGGATAGGAGGTGGGCGAGTTGCTGCATGGGTACATTTTCCCCACGAAAGACTGTGCTATCCAAGCATGTGTCTTTGGCCTTTCTCTCGCCAATACCGGTACAGCTTGCTGACAATTGGCAGATGAACGACTGAGCACACACCAGCCCTCTGCACATATCCTCAGATACCCTGTAGTATATCTGATGCGAAGATTTCGTGCCTGTTCCAACACCTCTCATTCGCCCGTACTGATTCAAGAAACTCGCCACCTTTTCGTGATCTTTTCCTATTCTAAGCTGGACCCATTTCAGACGATCATCCGAGTCGTCTCCGAACGTCTCTTTCCTCGCTCCCGACACCTCTGACGGCATCCGTGATCAGCTCGCGCAACTCTCTCTGGCCTTCGTCGGTGTGGAAATTCTCCCTGGCCGCTAGCTCTTCGATCCTCCTCCTAAACTCCGGGTCAGGTTCCTGGTCCATGCTGCTACCCGTCGCACTTGGTGCAGTGTCGATGTTGAAGGTTACGTTTGGTGGGAGAGGTGGGGGATGCTGGATGCCATTTGAAACGGGTCCAGCTCGACTCGATGCCGCATCTGCAGTCGTGTTTTGAGCAGCGTGGGGCTGAAGATATTCTGCGATTTCTGGGTATTCTTGCTCGGACTCGAATTTCTCCGCTGCTGTCATGCCCTCATCATTCCGAACGCCTAGATCAACGTGCAATTCTTCGACTAGACATTTCGCAACCTCTACAGTCTCGGCGACAAACAGGCAGGTCTCGCCGTCCTCATCTTTGAGGTTCACATCGACATTGAACTCGTGAACCAGTGACCGCAGGAGTTCCACATGGTTGTAGGAAGATGCAGCATGTAGCAGAGAATAGCCATGAGCATCTTGGGCAGAAGCGAGTTCGGGTTTCGCTCGAAGGAGTGGCAGCAGGCGAGAATCTGGGTCGGGAGTGAGAGCGGCGAGGAGGAATGGATTGAGATCCGATATAGACATGCTGAGACGGAGAGATGTGTTAAGTCGTGAATCTTGTAGGCCTCATATCAGTCTTCATGGGCGCGAGGTTATCCAATGTCAATGACGGACGCAGGTGAATCGCAGGGAAAAATTTCCCTGGGAAGCCGACGTGACAAGGTACCCAATTATTGAGTCATTGCGGGGATCTGCAACTTTTCTTTATGGTCGATCCTTCAACTGAAAAACGGAGGCAAGGCTGTCCACGCGAGAGAGGCCACAATCCTTCCGCTTACAGGGCTCACTCAAACAGTTGAAGACTGCAGTATTCACTCTGTGGCTCTGTGACTCATTGTTGCCTAGCACTATTCCAGTCACATTGCGGCGACTTGGTCAAGTCTCATTGAGGAGTCGAGGGTCCCTGCCATGATATAATTCAGCCAGGTTGTGCTTTCTATTCACGGTTGGCTTAACTTTCAACCTGTCGTTCTTTCAACCAAAGTACATCTCAAAGCAGAAAAAGCATCGTTGGTATTGCACTGTCCTTTACTCGCACTGGCCTTCCATTCGTGCTCAATCAGATCCGGCTCCAACATGTCTCAGGATCCGCATGAAGTGGCGGAACTCGTGAAAACCCTCGAAGCCAACAAAGGAAAAGGCAGAGGGGGCCGCAAGGGGTTCTCTTGCAAGAAGACCACTTTTGCGGTCGAAGGCTCAGACGCCACCGTCGACTCGTGGCGCTTCAACGACTGGGATTACAAACGAGATGACCTGCCAACCTATGCCCGAGGCCTATTTACGACTAAGAGATCTGATGGCACGCCAGAAATCGCCATTCGAGGATATGACAAATTCTTCAATGTTGACGAAGTCCCGAGCACAAAGTGGGAGAACATTGAAAATGACACTACCGGCCCATATGAGCTCAGCGTCAAGGAGAATGGCTGCATCATCTTCATGTCGGGTCTTGAGGATGGTACACTTCTTGTCTGCAGCAAGCACTCAACAGGTGCACGTTCAGACGTCGCCCAGAGTCATGCAGTGGTCGGGGAAAAGTGGGTTAAAAAGCACTTGGAAAGTGTGGGCAAGACGACTCGTGAGTTGGCACTGGCACTGAGAAAGATGAATGTCACAGCTGTCGCTGAGTTGTGCGATGACGAGTTCGAAGAACACGTTCTCGAATATCCCCCTGACACCGCTGGCCTCTATCTTCATGGCATCAACTTCAACCTTCCTGATTTTGCCACTTTGTCTGGTCCCGAAGTACATGAGTTTGCCGACACTTGGGGTTTTAAGAAAGCACAGTATGTCATCATTCAGACTCTTGACGAGGTCAAACAATTCTTGGCAAGGTGTGCCGAGACAGGTTCATGGGAGGGAAGGGACACCGAGGGGTTCGTCGTCAGATGCAAGTTGAGAAGCAAAGAGTCGGCACATGCTGTGGATTGGTTCTTCAAGTACAAATTTGAGGAACCTTATCTGATGTATCGACAATGGCGAGAGTGCACCAAAGCCGTCATTGCTGGCAAACCTCCGAAGATCAGAAAGCACAAGAAAATCACCGAAGAGTATCTGACCTACGCACGACGCCAGCTGGCCAAGGATCCTGCAATCGGCAAACTCTATAACCAAAATCATGGCATAATCAAGATGAGGGACGGATTCCTTGCCAATATAGGACAGAAGGGTTCTGACATTATTGCACTCGAGAAGGCGCAAGGAGTCGACACGAGCGGGCAGGGGCAAATCTCACATGTTGTGTTGGTTCCTATTGCAACTATCGGTTGCGGTAAGACCACCGTGGCGACTGCGTTGGTCAAGCTCTTCAACTTTGGTCACATCCAGAACGACAACATTGAGGGGAGAAAAGATCGAGCCCAGCGGTTTGCATACGCTGTGACCAACTCCATGGGGACCCACAGAGTAGTCATCGCCGACCGGAATAATCATCAGAAACGAGAACGAGAACAGATCATCAACGACGTCAGCAAAGTGCTGCCCGAGACACGATTTGTGGCGTTGCATTATGTTCATGAGCCGAAGAACCGTATGCTTGACGACATTCGCAGAGTTACACGTGAGAGAGTGCTGGAGCGGGGAGACAACCACCAGACTATTCAAGCTGGAAGCAAAAGCCCAGATGAAATCATCTCAATTATGGAGGGCTTCTTGCAGCGATTTCAGGGGTGTGACCCAAATTCACCACCGGACAATGACTTTGACGAAGTGATCGATCTGGATGTGTCTGCATCGTCGCTGGAGAACTTGGAGACTGTCATTACTCACTTGTACAATTCGTACCCAGGCCTGCTTCCAGAAGAGATGCCTGGCGACAAAGAGATGCAAGAAGCCATTGAATTTGCCATGCAGCATGAAGTCACCACCAAGCATGATCTTTCCTTCAACAACAGGCCAGGAAATCAGGGAAAGAACCAGAAGAATGCGCAGCAGAATGGTCCCGTACAGGGAAAGTCATTAACGCCAGACCAGTTGATGGGCAAGCTCGAGTACTTCAGTGTCCCTGTCTCTCCCACTCAAATCAATTCCCTCCTGGGGAAGATGTTCGACTCGGCCCCTGCCGACGAGGCACGCACGTATCGGATGCTGAAGCAGTCACGTCGAATCCAAGGCGAGTTCCATGTGACGTTGATTCATCGTGCATCAGCGAGCCAGCGTCCAGATATGTGGCAGATGTACACAGAAGCCTACAGGAACGCAATCGCCAACATTGATCTCCGGGAAAAGGACAAGCTGACGCCCAGTCTTGGAAGTGCACGAGTCAAGCTGGAGAGGGTGGTCTGGGATGATCGCATCATGGTTTTCGTTGTGCGCATCTATCCCGGTGATGGAGCTAAGACCTGGCCGACTGCCAACCCTATTGCGCACATCACTGTTGGCACGGCACGAGCGGAGATCAAACCTGTTGAGAGCAATCAGCTCCTAAGCCGCTGGGAGGGGGGCGAGGCTGAAGCAAGTCCGATTCATGACAAGGAGATTCCGGGAAGTGTCATCTTGGAGGGGAACGTGAAACCAGTCTTTCAGCGCCATGCTCTAGGCAAGTAGGATGAGGAAGGAAGAATAGAAGGTAGGGTTTCCACCGCATAAGAGAAACGACAATGCGCAGGACTCTGTACAGTAGTACCACCTCATGAGGACGATGACCTTTTTCACGCCGCATGACTACCGAAACGACGAAGTATGTAATAGATACCTATGAGCTGGGCTAAGCAAGAGCATGGATTCTAAATCGAGATGAAGGCAATTCTTGAAGCATCATGCATTATTGTGAAGCATTTGTGATTGGTGATGATGGCGAGGTTGGTTGCCTGGTAACAGGTGGTTAGCGTATTAAGCCGGCACTGACAACAACGCCAGGCGCGCCCCCAACGTGCTGCTGCCCATTCAGTTTCCAGCAAAAGGCGTGAAAAGTGCCCCATCACTTACCTACCTTGGGTGCCCAGGTATTCATCCCATCACCTTTCCAGAATTTCATCTCCTCACTTCTCTTCCACCCGTCCTTCTGTCCTCGTTGTCCGACACTGCATCTCTTGCTGGCACAACTGCAACATAATTCAATCAATTATCATACCACTCTCTGCAGCTCTACAGCAGCATCTTGTACCAACGAAGCTTCTGCGGGACGATCTTTGAAAGGCTCTCAGCTGAAGCTTGGACTGGTCAGTGACTGGTTTCTCTCTGCGGCGCGCCTCGAAGCAACGCCGGTTGCCAAGGAAAAACAACCGGCCAACAGCTCCACCATCTTGCTACCAACTGAACCAACTGAACTGCACCTCGCCTGCTGCCGCATCAAACATCACAATCGACCCAGTCAGTATCTGTTGTCTTGCACTTCAGACCTCCTTCCACCTCCAAAACTCCTCCTCGAAGCCTTCTAGACGTCGACCACGGTCTTTCTGAGCATCTTCCATCTGGTCACCTTGCATTTTGGCCTTTGCCTTTCCGTGTTCCACCATACACGTCTGACCTTCGACCGCTCTGAATTCCACCGTACCAAGAACGCGCCGCAACAATACTCGTGTTGACTGCGTACTCCAGCAAGAACAGAAAGACGCGAGAGCCTCACGGTTATACGGCTTCAGATCTTCTCAATCAACCTTGACGTCCTCGCAATCTTGAGGTCAATCTCCAGCAACCCGCGTCTGAGAAGCTCGTGCGTCATTCCCCAATCAGATTGAATTCCTTGCACAAGTCAATGCTGACTGGGTCTCGAACACAGCTACTTGACCTCTTGTTCTTCTTCTCCTACCTAACTCGAACACTTCTTCGTCCTCTCGACACCTCATCCGCCACAACGGCGTCTCATATTCAAGATGCCTGTCGTAAGTAGACCTCACGTCCCCCTCACGCCCTCCACTCTACGCGTCTCTTGGACACGCACTGACCCACCTACAGTCTCGCACTCGACAGCGAGTAGTTAACAACGAAAACGATGAGAACACCGCCATTCAGTCCACACGTTTGACGCGTGCCAAAGCCGCTGGCCTTTCCAATAATGAGGATACCTCGCTGGCAAAGAAACCTCTCCCGACCAAGAAGACCTCGACCACAGCAAATGGTACCCAGAGAAGACGTGCGTTGGGAGACGTGACCAATGCCGCCAAAGGTGTCGAGGTAGTCCAGGAAGGAAAGAAGGCAGTTGCCAGCAAGGCCGGGCTTCCATCAAAGGTTGCACAACCCTCAGCTGGTGGTGTTCAGAAGCTGTCAAGAACAAACTCGTCAAGAGCTGCCTTGGGTGTCAAGGACAACAATGTCAAGCCCAAGTCTGGGTCGGACGCAAAGAAGCCGGGCAGTGGTTCAGGTGTCATGGGTGCCAAGAGACGGACACAGACATCAACATCAACTGTCCCTTCATCCAAAGATGCTACCCCAGATGTTGAACAGCCACCACGGAAGAAGTCTTGCATCGAGGAAGCCGTTGAAGAAGCTGCTCAGGGGGAAGAAACCTACGACATTGTTGCCGACCTTGATGCCGAAGACCTCGACGACCCATCCATGTGTGCCGAATACGTACGCGAAATCTTTGAATACTACAGCGCTCTGGAAGATGTCACGCAACCAAACCCTAACTACATGGACCACCAAGACGATCTCGAATGGAAGATGAGAGGCATTCTCGTCGACTGGCTGATCGAGGTGCACACTCGATTTCGGTTGTTGCCTGAAACCTTGTTCCTGGCCGTCAACATCGTCGATAGGTTCCTGTCCCAGAAGGTTGTGCCCCTCGATAAACTTCAACTGGTCGGCATCACCGCAATGTTCATCGCCTCCAAGTACGAAGAAGTCCTGTCACCACACGTGGGCAACTTCGTCCATGTCGCGGATGATGGCTTCACTGTCGATGAAGTGCTCAGCGCCGAACGATACACCCTGTCGACTCTCAAGTACGATCTCAGCTATCCCAACCCTATGAACTTCCTGCGAAGAATTTCCAAGGCAGACAACTACGACATCCAAACCCGCACTCTTGGAAAGTACTTCATGGAGCTCAGCCTTGTCGACCATCGTTTCCTCGAGTACAAACAGAGCCATATCGCGGCGGCGGCTATGTACCTCGCCCGCATGATACTTGAACGCGGTGCATGGGTATGTGACTAAATCCGTCTCTCGTGTGACGACACTGACATCCACAGGACGCAACATTGACCAAGTTCGCCGGCTATTCTGAGGACGAGATCCTGCCAGTCTTCGATCTGATGGTGGACTATCTTCAGGCTCCTGTTGCCCACGAAGCATTATTCAAGAAATATGCCAGCAAAAAGTTCCTCAAGGGCAAGTGCCACGTTTCACCTAGCCATCGTCCCCAACGCTAACCTCTTAATAGCATCAATCATGTCGCGAAAGTGGGCCAAGGACTATGGTGCAAGCCATATGAACGGCGGTGTCTCGGTTGCCGATGTCAAGCTCGTACAATAGCTGCTGGCATTACAACCCGACACAAGATCACACTTACCTGCACGGACGACGGAGCACTTCTCCAGCTTCATCTGAAAGCACGTATGACATGTCCGATCACATCAGCCTTTTTAGGAAAGGTCATCCTTCATGTCTGCACCATTCTTTTCTCACGATTGAAAATGATATCCCACATAGAATAGCATCAGCATCGTTACCACCATATCGATAACACCGGCATCGACTCCCAAGACACAGAACACGCCAGGTTTACTTCGGATATTCCCCTGAATCCGATGATCAGCTCAGATACTGGTCCGGGCTGCGACCACCTTACGGGCATGCAAATTGCAACTGGTTTTTTTTATTGCTAAATAGCAACGGCGTTTGGAAAAAAGAGTGAGGACTGCGGCTTACCTCACATTGCAAATGGGATGTTTATGGTTATGGCAAAAAACGGCGTCATGACAAATGGGCATTGCTGGAATCTGCCTGAGTACATGGGCTTTGTTTGACTCCAACCCTTGAAGGTGCTCGGTGGCGGTGAAAGGGCCAGGCGCCAGGGCAATGCATATGCTGCGGAATGGAACATGGAAGGGATTGAGATTGAGCTCATTGGATTCAGAGCAACGGTATTAGTGCCTGCGCATGGTTTCGGTGTGTTGCATTCATCAGTTATCCTTCCAGCTGCGGAAACGTACGTTAGCTTTGCCGTTTTATCAGCGAGTTTCTGCTACTGGGCGTTGTGTAAGCCTTCATTCATTGTTTGGGAAATTGCTTCTTCTGCATAGCCAAATGGGTAGGCGAGACTCATGTTTTCTGTAAGAAATCGGTGCAAATCCAGTGCATAGGTAGCATGTTCTATCTACATTAATACCGTCTTTTGACTGTTGTGTGTGTATGTTGGTCTCTTGAACACAGAGTCGAGTATGCGAATGCGCTCTCTTTTCGTCTAGTAAGACGAAAATAGACTCGATGAGCTGTACATACCATACAATCCGTGAGCCGAGAGAAGAGAACTAAGTTAGCACAGTAGGATTTCGAACCAGACCCATTCTGCATGCGATTTCTACTGTCGTATTGGCACAAGAGAATATTATAACTTTGTTGACTGCTATGCTACCTTACTGTCCCTAACTAAGTATGCGAAAGCGAACCGACAGGGCTTTTGTCTAACTGCGCCATTGCGAATTCCATTCTCATTATTCATCACCAACAAGGCGTTCGCGTGAGTAAACAGTAAACATGAAACATAATTTTTATCCACCACAATAGTACTCGGGACAATCAGACGTCGTTGGAAGGATATTCGACCTTTGAGATCGGCAGCGTCTCCTCCTTCATCGACCTCATACTCACAAAACGCGATAGGATGGCGGCTGATCCGGCCTTGTCGTTTGTGCCAGAAGATCTAGCACCGCCAAAAGGTTGTTGCCCGACAACAGCTCCTGCACACACACGACTAAGTTAGCACAATTGGAAATCTCCCAAATGTGGAAGGGGGCGTGGGTGACAAGGGTGACTGACCTGTACACTTGCAATTGATGTAATAATTGCCCGCGGCATTTCTCAGCGCCTCTTCGGCATACCGTACCGCAGCGCGGTCCTGTGCGAACACCGCGCCTGTGAGACCGTAGTCTGAGGTGCTGTCCACGAGTTCGCAGACGCGTTCGAAGGCATCGGGTTTAGAGTCGTCGTAAACATGCACCGTCAGGATCGGTCCGAAGAATTCGGTCGTGAAGTTCTTGTGCATAGGGTCCTTTGAAAGATAGATGGTTGGATGGATGAAATAACCTGTCGAGTTGTCGTACTTGCCGCCAGTGAGAAGTTCAAGACTTGAGTCGTCCTTCGCGGCGTCGATGACGCCCGACAGCTTCTTGAAACTGGCTTCGTGGATCACTGGGCCGATGAAATTGCCGAATTCCTCGGGTGGTCCGACCTTGAGCTTTTCTGTCTCGGCCACGAGTTTGGATTTGAACTCGGACCAGATGGAGGAAGGGACGTATAGTCTTGAACAGGCACTGCATTTCTGGCCTTGGTACTCGAAAGCGCCGCGGACGGTCTGTGCCACCGCGTTGTCGACGTCTGCGCTGTTGTGGATCAAGTGGAAGTTCTTGCCGCCCGTTTCTCCCACGATTCTTGGATACCCCTTGTATCGTCCCTCGGCGATTCCCTGGCCGATTTGACTGTAGAGTTTCCGGAACACAGCCGTCGAGCCTGTGTAGTGTAGAGCGGCGAACTGCTTATGCGAGAGGATGGCTTTGGTGACTTCCTCCGCATCACCGGGAACGAATTGTATGACACCCGCCGGTAGACCGGCCTCCATCAAGATTTGGTGGACGAGGTAGTTTGAGGCGATCGCAGAAGGACTCGGTTTCCAAAGCACCACGTTGCCCATCAGCGCAGGAGCACCGGGCAGATTACCACCGATGGCAGTGAAGTTGAAGGGTGAAATGGCGTAGACAAAGCCCTCCAACGGCCTGTATTCGACTCGGTTCCACACCCCAGGCGAGTTATATGGAGGTTGTTGTGCGTACAGCTCTTCTGCATAACGGACGTTGAACCTCAGGAAGTCAATCAACTCGGCCGCCGCATCGATCTCTGCTTGCCATGCGTTCTTCCCCTGTCCTAGCATTGTCGCGGCCATGATCTCGTATCTATATTTTGTGCTGATCAAGTCTGCTGCTTTGAGGAAGATGGCGGCTCGGTCGGCGAAGGGCAGAGATTCCCATGCCGGTTTGGCCGCCAGAGCGCCATCGATGGCATTCTGGACATCCTCGGTCGAGGCGTTCGAGTACTTTGCGATCGACGTTGAGTGGGAAGAAGGGTTGTTCTGGGTGAGGATCGAGGACGTCTTGACAGACTTGCCGGAGACGACGAGGGGGACTTCGAGGGGGATCTTGGATTTCAATGCCTCGAGGGCGGAGGTGAGGCCTTCTCGATCGGGCGAGCTTTGAGCGTAGTGCTTGTTTGGCTCGTTCGTAATGTTGGGGAGTCTGAATGCGGCCAGGGTCGACATGCTGGATGGCGAAGAATGGAACTTGCGGATGAACTGCGTTGCTGAAGAAGATACTGAACGTTGGGGGAAAGAGAACAAACGTCTACCAGAAGAAGCAGCCATTTTGAACCTCGTGAACAGTAAGAAGCGAAGGAACCATACAAACACCCTGCCTGCAGCTTTACGAGGAATACCACCAGTAAAGCAAACACCCCCGCGCCTCGGCCGGCATTTTGAAGCCTTTAAGAGCTTGTGACAACATACCTGGATATCATCGGCTGCTGTCGGTTTGTGGGTGTTATGGAGAAGCCCGCTCCACGCCCTGTAAGGCCTTGATAGGTACTGGCATCACATTCTGAGCCGACCATCCTCGCTGTTGAGCCGAACTTCGGGACCTGTCAGGCCCCATGGCCTTGTCGGCAATCAGCGCATACCTTGGGAAGCGGCTCCCCGCCGTAACTTTCATCGGATCTCATCGGATGCCCACTGCAAATTCGCCAGGCCTTTGACAGCGCTGATTATCTGGACATATACTGTATGATACCCGTACAGTGGTGCACGACACAGGGCAAGATCGCGATCGCGCCCAAGAAAGAATACTCTAGATATCCAAGAATGATTCGAGATTTTCTCGCCTACATCAAGATCTTTTCACAAGCCAAGCTACCTTATCAGTTTCTCATCACAAATGGACATCCACCTGTCCTCTCCTTCCTCAACCTCTCCTTCGTAATCTCCATTTCCTTCTCGCCCTTCCCAGCAAACACCGATGGCCCCGTAGCCTTGATCTGGAAGCCTTCAGGATAGGTGTCCTTGTCTCCCGGCCTTGGGATGCCGAGAAGCATCCCAGTGAACGCTCCTGGTCCCCACCGATTCCACAGCGTCGGCTTCACATATGTCGGCGTGGTATCCCACTTCAGGATATAACGTCTTCCATTCTTATCTGGCTCTTTCGTTTGGAACGGATTCTTCATGAACCACGGTCTCGGTAGCGAGAGGTAACGCAACAGGAACCTCCTTAGCTCCATGAATCCGTTGAAGAACTTGGTATAACTTGCGGGCGCCTTCTCGAACAGAATGGCCTCCCTCAGTCTTTCATCTAGTGTTGAGCTCATCGCCTTGGTCATGACGCCTTTCATAAAGGATGGATACGTGTTGATCAGAAGCTGCCGTGTCTGGACGGCCGTGTCGTAGTTATCCTTGTGAGGGACCATGTACTTGCGCTCATACTCCTTGGCCCAGGTATCCAATTCGCGGTAGAACTGCAGCCCATCCTTCCATCCCGTGGAATATGACGGCAGCGGCTCAAATGAAATTCCCATCCCATCGCCCATGGCCTTGTGGAACACGCCCATAGCGCATTTCTCAAGGTCGGTCAGCTGCCGCCATTCATATTTATTGATCCATTCGACCGGCTGATTCATGAACAGCGACAAGGTATACAGCATATCGTTATTGCTGATCTTGCCCTGTTTGATGTAGTGACCGTGTAGGTAGTTCAGCCTGGCGTATGCCTCGTAACATTTCTCGCTCTCCGGTTCCGGCGCGTACATGTCGACCAACAGCACGCCCGTGTCTGCGTAACGCTTGCCGACGTTTTTGCTCGTGGACAACTGAGTTGTCTTGACGAGGAGTTCGCTGATGGTTGGGATGCCGTAGGTCCTGAAGAGAGCAAATTGCAACCCTTTTTCGAACAGTGCCGGAAATTCTAGGTCACTGACTGCCTCGATGATGTCGTGGGCCTCCTTGACCGTCATGCCTTCGTACGATGGGTGTTCACGAGTGCCATATTTGTATTTCGCTTGGAGAGCCTTCAGCCGGCGAAAGCGTAAGAGTGAGCATAGAAAAGGGTACGCCACAATGGCGGGTATGAGGTATCTTGACCAGAGCCATGATAGATTGGATAGGTGTTGTGCTGAAGCGGCAGAGAGCTTCGCAAGAGACTCTGTGGAGAAGTTCGAAGTCATGGCGGCTTCTTGCTGTCCCCGATTCCCTGGGAAGATAGCAGTGTCACTTCGGTGCCTCAACTTTGGAAAGGATTTGACTTCTCCCTTTTAGGACCTTGTCGCCTTCAGGGAGGAGGAAAACGCAAAGGAGGAGGTCAACAATGATAGACCCCGAGAAGAGTGAGAACGACGACAAGTTGACAACAGCCGAACGGCGGGCACGGCTGGCTGAAGTAGTCGAGGACTGGGGTAAGGCGGCTGGACCGCGGAATCAAGGTCCAGAAGCCGCCATCTGGTTCACTCGGGGGCCTTAGCTCGTATAGAGTGGACTGCTCGTTTATGAAGCCTGCCTCTTTTCATGCACAGTCATGAGGTGGGCAGCAGTAGTCATGCCCACGGCTCGAAACCCTGCATATGCATAAAACCTGTTCAAGGGTCCGTATGCACGAAGGTTTCTCTCATAAGCTATTCAGAGACGCGGATATATATCTTCATTTACTCTTTCCGTCCGTGTACGTAAGCTGGCTCCATCAAGTACCGATCGCGACAGTCCATCCTGATACATGGAGCATACGAGGTAGCGAATGTTCTGCAGGCTAAAGTGACGCCCACCGCATAGTCTGCCACTTCCCACAGTCCCAGGTCTGCCATGTGTGGGAGCAGCGGTGTCCGCAACAAGCCGGTAGAGGCATCTCTACAGTACGTCCCCATCGAGTCAGCGCGTCGACGTCGGTCCCTGGGGCGAGTCAGCAGCATCGTATCAGGCAAGAGTTGATGCGAACGGCCCAGCACAAGCATCTGAAATGCTTAGACTCTGTCAGCGTGTTAGAACCTCTGCAGCGATCACAAAGGAGACCGCCACGACGGCTTCCAAGTACACGGCCCTTTCCAACTTCAGAAGCACACATGGTCCAACATGGCGGTATGCACATTTTGTCCACGACCACCTCGAACCTCTGCGTCTATTTACGTCCCTCTCATCCAAGCACGTATGGCACATCTCATCCTGAAAGTCTATCTGCATGTCCATCTGGAACCGGGCCTTCCGCCACAAACAGGGTAAAAGACAATCCCACGGAAAGCATGAAGATATTCCAAGCGCCGTCATCCCATCCAACACAGCCTCCAAGGTGCGCTCCAAGTGATGCAAAAATGCTGTGAAGCTTTTGAGAACGCCAGATGTACCACCTAGTCCATTGTGGCCGTCCCCTTCGCGATCGCTATCGCTCGTGCTGCTGCATCTTCAAATGAATCTGGCACCATCATGTTAGCAAGACGGGAATGGACCTCTTTCATGTTGATGCCCGGACTTACCGAACGCATCCAATTTGAGCCCACTCTCTTGAATGAGCTTCTGCCCCTCAGCCTCCCTTGTTCCACGTATGCGCACCACGACCGGCACCTTCAGATCCAAATCCTTGAACGCCATCAGGATACCATTGGCAATCATATCACCCAGCGTCAATCCGCCAAAGATGTTGACAAAGATGACCTTGACCCTGGGATCAGAAACCACAATCCTGAACCCAGCCTTGATCGTCTCGGACGTTGCCTTGCCACCAGTATCCATGAAATTGGCTGGTGACCCGCCTCGAGCGACCAGTGCGTCAACAGTGTTCATGGCTAATCCAGCGCCATTGACGATCGTCCCGATTGACCCTTCGCCTTCAAGTTTCACATATATCATGCCTTCCTTCTCGGCTTCAACTTCTTCCCGGACTTCGCTGTCAATGTCCCTCAGGGCATGCACGTCAGCTTGTCTCTTTGAGCTTCGGAATGCGGCATCGTCGAAGCCGAATTTTGCGCCTTGGACTTGCAGCTCGCCCTTGTCATCAATTGCAATCTTGGTTTGAAGGACAAATGCCTCCTTGGCCATGAAAAGACCAACAAGTTCAGTGATGAGTGTAGATAGTCCCTGCTTGCCCTTACCAGAGATACCCAGATGCGAGGAAACGTCCTCGAGCAGCTTCTCCGACGTGGCCTCGTCGGTCCCGTACCCGAATGGGAATTTTCGAGACTGGTCAAAGGCTCTGGAAGGATCTGTCGTCGGGGATGCGATGATACACGGCTGCCGGAAATCGCGATCAATCGAAACAGCAACGAACTTCTCGTCACTTGATGCAGGAGCATCGGCCGTCTTGATTCCTCTCTCCTTGAGCATGTCAAAGGCCTGTGATTTCTTGATGTACAGCGTCCGGCGCTGCTCAACGGTCGTTCTCTTCGATTCATGAGCCGTGGGTCGCCGCCGCATGGTATGATAACCTCTCCTCTGCTGTGACGGACCCGAGCCCGAGGCTGTGCCGGACCTGGACTTTTCAGCTAACAGTTTCTTCATGCCCTCTCCAAGCTTTTCGGGATGGTCAACCACGGTAACGCCAGCGTCTTGTAAGATCTTGATTTTCTGCGCAGCAGAGGCTTCTCCAGGGGCAGCCCAGGCTCCAGCATGTCCCATGATCCGACCTGAAGGAGCTTGGACGCCACCAATGACAGACATGAACGGCTTGGGGTTCGCTGTCCGCCGGTTGTACTCCTTGATCCATTCGGCAGCTCTGAGTTCAGCGCTTCCGCCAATTTCGCCGATCATAATGATGCCTTCTGTCTTCTCGTCTTCTGCTAGGATCTGGAATGCTTCGACGAAATTTGTCCCAGCAAGTACATCACCACCCATGCTAATGCCGTATGTCTGACCAAGGCCGGCACGAGTGGTAGATGCCACAGCTTCATAGCTTAGTGTACCTGACTTGGCCACGATCCCTACATTGCCCTCCTTGAAAAAGGGCAACGGCTGGAAACCGAGTCGACAACGGCCGTGGGTATTAATAATACCCGGACAGTTTGCACCGACTAATCTCGTCTTTGACTGTGTCCGCAGCATCTGGTGTATTCTCATGATGTCATGAATAGGTATGTGTTCTGCAACGGCCACAATGAGGGGGATCTCGTTCTCAATAGCCTCTTCCATGGCGGCAACAGTACCATCTCCGGGCACATAAATGGCGCTAGCATCTGGTTTGAGCTTCTCCACGGCAGCCTTGACGCTCGGCAAGACTGGCAGACCCAGATGTTCGCCTTCGAAGCCGGGCTTCACACCGCCTACGACATTGGTCCCGTACTCTATCGACTCCTTCGCATTCATGGTAGCTTGGCGTCCGGTAAAACCTTGGTATAGAACCCGCGTGTGCTTGCCTATCTTGAGATTCTGGATGGTGTCGGCATACGACCGGCGAACAGTCGTTGTCGAGAAAGGCGCCACATTGCCATACGTGCCGTACTTGGATAGAGCTCGGTATGGAGCTATATGGGTCCTGAAGCCCCTCGGTAATATGGTTCTCGTCATTGCTCGAACGTGGCAGCTAGGAAGTTCATGCGAGGGAAGTAACGAGAAAGCTGACCAGCTTGATGCACGTCTATGTACAATGTAGCTTCCAAGACAAAACACAGCATCGACCAGTGTCCCAAAAACCAATGAGGGGAATATATATATACAAACTTGGAGGAGATGAAGCAGCTCGCCATGTCCCGAGGTCGGCGACGAGATCCGCCATGAGGAGAGGCTCGTCTCGAAAAGGCCCATGGTCAATCTCCGAGACGCTACCACATCTTCGAGAATGGGGACCACGGCTGCGAGATCGGAGGGGGTTGGTTGTCGCCCAACGGAGAGCTTAGGAAGAGGCTGAGAGCCTGCCATGGCCTGCCGATGGCTATTGACCGTGCACAGAGCATCTCAAGACCTTTTTCTTCTCTTTCCTCTTAAGCCCACCTGTGCCCTGTCATGCCTAAGGATACCTACCCGGGTAGGCAAAAAGGGAAGTCTCGGCATGCATCCTCTGCGCCGATGCCAGGTGCGGGGAACTCAGCTCACTCAGCCTAGTGGTCCAATGATGCCTGTGCCAGTAAGTAGGTGGGTGGGTGGTACTGTAGGTGCCAGTCATTGCGACTGTACAGTAGCCCTCGTGCCCTCGCACCCTCGGCATTTCGAAGCCTCACGTGCCCACCAGCCCTTCAGGCAGCTGGATGCTTTGAGCCGCAGATGCCCCAGAGTCTGACGAGTCCCGCCTTTTTTGGGCTTGTTCAGGTTCCTTTTCCCCATCTCCCGCTTAAATTTACCCTGTGTCCATGATGTGTTGTTTGCTGTCACGTCGCGTGTTGGGTGGGCAAGCACCGCGGTGGTACCACCAGTCGTATTGCTGAAGTCTCGGATCCTCGATGCAACGCTTTTCCAAGCCTATGACATCGAACAAGGTGGCTCCCAGAGCTTTCTGTCTCCTGTGACGCCGACTTCCTGGCTGTTTTTTTCACCTTGATGTAACTCGTAGTACAGTTCACTCGTTCCTGGTTGTCATCTCCAGGGTCCCCAGCTCTATCGGTGCGGCATATTTGGCTCTGGAATAGGCAGAGGAACTGAGCCGAGCCTGCAGAAGAGATGGAGTCGAAAATGGCGAACCTGCACATCGATCTGCCCTCGGCGTCCAAAATGAAGTCAAATGCAAAGAAAGAGGATGTAATCGACTCCTGGGAGGACGATGACCTGACTTCACCCGTCGATGGTCTTGCCACGCCGACTGATGGATCAGGATCAGGATCAGGATCAGGACCGCCCATCAAAAGTATGAGATCCAAAGATCCAGCCTTGAAACCTCCACCTCCCACACCCATCTCCCCTCCCGGAAGCGGCGAGCAATATATGAACTGGTCACCCGCCCAAGTATTAGGAGGAGGTCGTCCCACACCATATAGCCCACCCACACCGTCCACACCGACAGGTTCAGATCGAGAACGAGAGCAACGGAGGCCAGAGAAGACCACTGCCACAGCAAGCCGGATGATTGCTGCCGGATTGGGTATCAAGGCCCCTAAGAAGACTGAAGAACAAAAACAGTATGATCGTGCAGTCAGGGAGCAAGAGATTCGACGCAAGAACAAGGAAAAGGAAGACAGGGAGCGAGAAAGGGAAGCCGATGAGAAGTTGAAGGCGGCAGTTTGGGATAGTTGACCGTTGCTTGCTCTTCTCCTGCGGCCAAGTTAGAACTCGCTGACAGCCTTGATGTTGGCTTTTGGGTGGCTCTGTGTAGTGTCTGTTGGTTGCTACAAGTCTCATGTAGGATTCGTTATGCTCTGAGGATATCGTAGGGACAAGGATTATTCTCGAGCAGTCCTCGAAACCATGCGATGTGTCGAGCAAACCCACCATTTTGTTAGGAATATACGTATGCTCTATAGGCTTCCGGCTCCCCTTTGGACTTCTGCTTCTGCGCAACATCATCCTATGAAGGATCAAAACGAAAGCTGAAATACTGAAATCACATTGACGCACTGAGCCTGTCAGGCAGCAATGCCAGCAATCTACTTGTGAATCTGGAGAGCAGCATTCTTGCTTTTGACCCCCTGTCCCGGCCAAAATCTGAGCTGACCGTGTCGTGGCGCCTTGATCTCCGTCCCAAGTAGCAGTCTCTAGACAAAATGTCCTATTCCCAGCTCTCCGAAGCAAAAGTGAAGTCTGTCTTGTACCTCCTCTCGCACTCCATATCTTCTGGTTGGCCCAGCAGGTGAATTCTCATTGACTCAAGCGCAATCATCATTTGTAGTACCAAAGTCTCCCTCTTGATCATGCCCAGCCGCCAATCTGTTCTTGGTGGACCTCGATTGAATCGCCATCGGCCATGTCGAGCTGCAATAGTTGTCAGCGTTTATTATAGCAGAATGCGCCGCGACTCGAGCCCATGAATTGACTCATATGGCTTGCGAGTATAGGGAGTTCACTCACCGTATCAGGAGTGTCTTGCGCCTGAACCTTTGTGCCATCGAACAGAAATCTCGCGCTGCGCATATCTTTCCCTTGTCGCTCACAGAATGCCTTCATGAGTTTCTCCAATTTCGTGCTTCTTTTGATTTTGAAGAAAACTTCATTGTTTCCGTCCGTAACCTTGATATTCAGATGCTCGGCACCACCAGCGGCTGCGGGCATGTCGGCATTGCCGTTTGGAGACTGCTGGCCGGCATCAGACATGATGGCTGTTATGGGAAGAGAATAGAAGGTGAGAAGGTGTCAAGGCTGTTCGCGAGCACTGAGTGTTGGAGTTAGTGATGGCTTCGGAAGGTTCCAAGGTTCCAAGGTGGGGGAATGACTACCTTGTGGAAGGGTTGGGTTGTTTTGAAATGGGCGAGTGTGTTGTAGAAGAGAAGGAGAGTCGGCGAGGAGGGGCGATGATTAAATAGAGGAAGCAGCAGTGAATGGAAAGAATGGAAGACGCCTGGCCGAGATTTGGTTGTATGCGACAATTCCCTCGCTCATGTTCAACTGCGCGGGAAGTGACGTTTGCCACAACAAGAAATGTGAAGGAGAGTGGGTAGAGAACAAGAACCCTCACAACCCTCACTGCACTGCGCCATGGTCTCTAGCGTGTCGCCTTTCTCTCTTATTTTCTCTTCAACAATCATTCCACTTCATCACTTCTTCAAGCAAACTTCATCATCCAGTCTTCTGCAGACAATCCGGTAAAATGCTGGTGCTCTCCAGCTTCAAGAGCACCCACTCGCTCAGACACAGAAGGATGAGGTGGGTGTCAAACAAGAGTGAGAAAAGAGCAACAACTTCAAGCTTATGGCTGTGATCTAGTCCTATCTATACCCATGATCATCTCTCTCTGAGTTGGGCCTCATGCTTTCCTGCCTTTATCCGACCTGTGGATTACAGCCTTGCGCCTGCGCATCAACTCCTCTTGCGAATACTAGCACAACCCTTCTTATGCAATCGACAGCTCCTCTCCTTGGTCTGTTTGCCAAATTGCTGCTTCCACGCCTTCCAGTCCTCAACGATGGGATTCGGGTCCGCCCCTTCCTCGAATTCCCCCCTACAAGGCAGCTCTTCCGCTGTCAATAACGAAGCTTCAACCTCAACCTCGTTCTGTGTTTGCAGCTGTCTTATGGGCGGTGTGAGCGTAATGTATTGCGGCTGAGGTTGAAACGACGAATCTGCCGGCGTCGATCTTGCCGTCGAGAGATATGTTCGAATCGCATCGCCCAGCCGGAAATGGCGGCCTGCACCGTGTGGTACGGCCATGGTCGTGTCAAGGCACAGCGACATCATGAACACCAATACCAACAGATGTGGCATTGCCGAGGACTTGAATATCGTCGTCCTCATTCTGGTTGCAAATTTGATTCTTCTCAAGAGTGGCTGAATCTCTTCCCACCACACTTATCGAGCTCAAATGTCTGCCTTGCCCGACACTGCCACTATTACTGTCCTGGTAGCTGGTTCGTCGTTGCTGTCTGATATTTCAGGACCGAATTGTCCTTCACCGGTTACGTACGGTATCTGGATGATTTCCGGTTATTTTGGATCGAGATGAATTTCACGACTTGCTAAAAGAGCGGCAGACAACCTTGATGCCTATTGAAAAAGGAGTGACTGAGAGCCCAAAGGCACACGCAGACGAAGAAGTTATTAGAGCAAAAGAGAAGGTCCTTCCAACCTCCCTCGCCAGGAGCAAGATGGCTGGCGTCTCCAACCTTATCCTCCTTGTCCAAGATAGGGACTTTTGACACATTTGACAGCAGAAGGGGCGGTTCACGGTCCGTGTCGATCACGGATTTAGAATCTGCCACACTCCTGCGTCGTCATCAGCAATTGTTTCAGCAAGTGGAGAGAGCATTCAATCTCCTGAATATCGACGTCGTTGTTGCGTCTACTGAGACATTGTTTTCGGCCTTGATTGAAAGGATCGATCGTGCCGGGCGCATGTAAGGGGTTCGGGGAGAGCATCAGGCAGCAATCATGATCACTGCCTACTGCTCGCCATGGCTTTTTTCTTTGTCTTGAACGGCTTGTAGGGCTTTCCTCCGATCGTCATCACTACTTGCGCTTCCTATGAATTTTGAGCGCCGTCATTGTCACGATTGCGGTCGTATCCCTTCGCCCCGGCGTACGATATCGGATACGTTGTTGATTGAATCTTTTAAGCTTACAGGTGTCCCCCAGCACGTCGCTCCTCCAATATTGAAAGTTCCTTTCGGACAGGGAACAACGGAGTCGAACCGCAAATGAGTCACAGCGCATGGATGCTTAGGTACGAAGACGAACTGCAACAAGCAGAGGCCGATTCTAACTTAATTGCGTCGTATGCGCCGCTATAATGAGGCTGAGCCAAGATGAACTTGAAGTCATGGAGATCACTCAGCAGAGTCAGGCGGAATGTGCTACGACCTCGATGCATGTCACATGGGTCTCCGGGAACACTCAAGATCAACACCACATGGCTGCCGCCTAATTCTCTGAAGCGGGTTTGAATGGCAGAGAGAAGTTTGTGCCTGCAGGTCCGGTGGTAGCGATCGGCAATTCTTTTCTGGGCAAGGCGGGCTTCGTATCATCGAGAGCGAGCTACCGTATGCTTTGCCCAAGTCCAGTCGGAGCGCTGCATAGACCCATTTTCGGTTAGCGCAAGAGCTCATCATAGCCCAACCCGACAAGGCTGAGGAGCTTTGGATGCTTTCTCCCAGTCCAACATTCCAAGTATAGCATTCAGTCCGTTATTCATCAATACAACACGACCGGCTATGGCGCGACTATGACATCGTAAGTCGGGCCAAAATACGGTGTGGTATTCCTCAAGTATGCACGTCGTTTTCGTCGCTTGCTTGCTCCTCGCAATTGGAGCATATAAAGAATGCCTGAAGTCGTTCTGCCGCTGAACTGGAGATCTGTGAGAGACAACGTCTGACCTTCTTCTTCTTCAGCGCTCAAGCCATCATCATGCATCTTTCCAGCCATCTAGCTCTCCTCCCTTCATTGTGCGTCTTGATCACAGGGACTCTAGGCGGCTTCGCTGGACCTACCTATCCAGCACCTCTCGACCTGTCCAGCAATGCAAGTCTTGTTGCAGAGAGTTGGAAGAAACTCTCGTCCACACTCGATTCTTACCTCAAGAACACATCCAGAGGCCCTAGTAGCACCTCAGCATCTCTGTCCGCCGCCGAAGTCGGAAATGTCACCTTCTCCGTCAGCATGTTCTCAATTCACGACCCAGCAGCTTCGAAGCTGCAATACCATCATGCCTCTCCCAAGATCGCGAACGCGTCTCACGGAACACACAGCGTCGACGGAGACAGCATCTACCGCATTGCCAGCATGACCAAGCTTTTCACCGTGCTTGGTGGCCTGCGGACGATGACCGACGAAGATTGGAATCGACCACTTACCACCATCATTCCTGAACTTGCCAATTTCGCCGCCACAGCAGGTTCAGACGCAGACCTGGTGTACAAGAGCGCATGGGACCAGATCACACCATGGGCGCTGGCGTGCCAAATCGCCGGCATTGCACGCCAGGGAATTGCAGCTGCCGATCTTCTGTACGCAGTGGTACTCAATCCAAGCAGCGCAGACATCCTAGCGACACAGTACGGTCTACCGCCCGCCAACGTCAGCGACCTAGGCTCTTGCCTCGACCTCAACTGCACCGCATCCTCGTACGTTGAAGGGATCATGGCCCAACCGCCCGTCCTCGAGCCATGGACCAGTCCAGCGTACGCCAACAACGGCTTCATCCTGCTCGGTATCGTCATCTCGAAACTCACGGGCCAGCCCATGTCCCAGATCTACCAGTCCATCTTCGATAACCTGGACATGAGATCCTCCTACTCCAGCGCGCCGACAAAAGCGTCCGACCTCGCCCGCTCCGTCATCGCAGGCGACCCGGCATTGGGCTTTGCGGCGGCCAATGGCATCGCCATCGCGTCGGGCGGCCTCTTCTCGACGACCCACGACCTGGCCAGATTCGGTACTGCCATCCTGAATTCCACCCTCCTCCCCGCCAACGCGACGCGCAAGTGGATGAAACCGACCAGCCACACGGCGAGCTTGACCTACGCCGTCGGCGCGCCGTGGGAAATTGTCCGGTACATCCACCCTGCCGGAACCCTCAGCCCCAGCGCCGGCAAAGTCACAGACCTATACACCAAGTCCGGCGACTCGGGCTACTACAGCAGCAACATGGTCCTGATCCCCGAGTACGGCGCAGGATTCACCATACTCGCCGCGAGCACCAACGAGACCGTGCGCGGCAGCGCCACGAACGTGGTTCTCGACTACGTGACCAACGCCGTCTTGCCCGCTCTCGAAGCTCAAGCCGCACAGGAAGCGAGGCGCAACTTCGTCGGTACATACAAGTACACGTCGACGTCGCAACCCAACAATGCGACGATCGCCTTCAATTCGAGCCTGACCATCGCCTTCAACAAGTCCACCGTGATCGGAGCGCTTAACGGAGGACTCAGCATCTCCCGCTGGATATCCAACGGCACCGACATGCTCGCGTCGCCCCTGTTCGGAGGCATTCGACCACGCTTGATGCCCAGCATATCCGCGCGCGGCTCCGGCGGCAGTGGTCCTGCTGCACGCTCGCAGGTTGCATTCCAGGCTTCCATCTATCCGCAGACAAATAGCTACACCGCTGCCGCCGCAGCAGGCGTGTCCGGAGTCATAGGCCCTTTCACAGGGCAATGGAACACGAATTTCGATTGGCTGACCGTCGATGCCACGCACTATGATGGCGTCGGAGTGAATTTGTTTGTCTTTGACCTTGATGCACAAGGCTCCGCGACAGGAGTGACTCCGGCTGCGATGAAGGTAAACCTGGAGAGAACATGATTATTTTAGCGGTGACATGGTGTGCGCGATCATAGGTGTCAAATCCTTGGTTCAAGGTACTTATGACATATGACGGGACAAATAAATGCACCATGATGGCACTTTCGGCCTAAATAAATTATCGCCAAGGAATTCTCATGGGAGTACAATAACATGCCCTCAACAGACATCACTTCATTTGAGGCTCTCCTACCTCGTTTGCAGAACTCTGGTAGAACATGCATAATAATCTCCAGAGAATACTAGACTTGTCAGAATGATAAAAGTCAGCCATGAGTTGTGGTGAGTATCACTGGATAAAACGCGCAAGGTTTGATTGAATCTACACCCATGTCGTCGGCTGCTGCGACCTAGGCGGTGACCCAGAGACATGCCTTCTATCTGTACCACTACCGGCGGCAGGACCAGGAGGCTCTCTACTTTGTGTCTGGGTCTGTTGCTGACTTCCTGAGCTTCCACCACCACCTAGTCCGCGCTTCATCATGCGTCCGAGGATGCCAACCATTTCGGCAGCATCCTCGAACGAATCATCGTCCATGCCCTCCTGTGCTTCATAGACATGTCGAATGGCCAAGCGAGCCAGCCGCCGCGACACCTCTGCTTCATGCAGACAGTCGTAAATGTATGCTATGTACTCGACTTTCACGGACAGTCGCACAGGGTGAGATCCAGGCAACAGCCGCTCAGCCAACTCATTCGCGTCCCTAAATGCTTGCGTCGTATAGGGTCGGTAGTCCTGCAAAGGGAGGAGGAAAGTTGCCGTACCATTTCCATTATTCGAGCCATTAGTGTAAGGGTGCGCGGGTAAAGTAAGGCCAGGGGGTGTACGGGTGGTTGTAGTCCCCCTTCCGCCGACAGGACCACCAAGACTGATAGCAGGCGACCGTCGACGTCCATTCGTGGGAGATATACCTGTTGTAGGTGTTTTCAAGGAGGATTTGGGGGATAGCGGGTCCGGGTATAGGGAGAATGTGCCGGATTTCGACCGGTTGATTCGATCATTAACTGGAGGGTCGTTGTGGAAGAGTACAAAGATGTGGTAGAAGGACGCTTTGAGTTTGTAAGACAATACCCGGAGTTCGACATAATTGCCCACCATGGGAAGCACGTACTGCTCCACCATGACAAGGCCTTCTCTGGCCAGCCATAGAATATGGTGGATCAAATGTCTAGCCTTCGGGTCGCGGACGGCGTCGAGTCTCTTCGCTCTCCTAGCTTGGAGGAGCTTTTCGGCAAGGATTACTGAAAGACCGAGCACCCGGAATAAAAAACTAGCATCCATCGTCAGTCAGAACCACCTCATACTGTGCTCATGATCCTTCCTCTTACCTTGAAAGATAATTATTCTCTGTAGTAATAACTTTTGCAAAGTAACCAAGAAACTTTTGATCCACTTCCGAGGAGGCCATCCACAACGAATACAAAGGAGGATCCCCTGTGGCGTGCCACTGTCGAGACAGAAATGTCAGCTCAATGAACCCTTGCTTCCATCGTTTCCGCGTGCGAGGCGGTAAGTCGATGTCGGTCCCGGCTTGGTCCATCATGTGCGCCGCAGGCCTTGGTCGGCTGTGTTAAGACCGCCAAGCACCGTTGCAGCAAGGCTTGATGCTGTGCTCGGATGGGGATCGCAAAGTCACATGGACTTTCGCCAATACCATAGAAAGTATGAAAACCCTCGATGAGGTGATGGTGGACAGCCACGGACACCAATCTACTGAAGAAAAGATATGGACTAGAAAGTGTGAAGTGACAGTGCTGAAGTGACTGGGTCCCGCGAAAGGTGAAGAGCAAGGTGTAATTTACCTTTTGCCGCCCAGCTTCTGATTAAGCGCTTGCAACCAAATCCGTCGCAGAATTATGATTCCTCGTAACAGTGTTTGTACGAGGCTTCGGAGGCTTGTCGCCTCGTTTCGGCTCGAGTACCACTTTCTCGCAGAATTTCTCGTAGTCGCAAAATGGTTCAGACAGCCGGCCTTAGTTGAGAATGATATTGAACTTTGATCGATTGTGGTATTCCCCCGTAGGGATATTGATAACGGAGAGAGATTGTACGCAGCCCAGAGCGAGTGACTTTTTCTTTTCCAGTGTTGAATGAACGGTAGTGGTCGGGTATCGAGTGTTGGTACAGGTGAAGGTGGAAGTCGTTAATTTTATGGCGCGAGCCGATGAGATTAATATTAAAGGCGCCTATGCGCTGTTGTTACAGAAGGAAGGAGCGATTTGCGTAAAGATTGAGCAGGACAGCTGTTGGAAAGAACGAAATGGGGCTGCGGGCTTTGGGTACCTAGTACAGTTGTCAGCTCATGGCCAAAGATATCTCCCCATGACGTCCCAGTCTGGCATTTTGGGAGACGGCGTACCTTGGTACTGGTGCGGTGGACTAAGGAATCGGCGCAAAAATGCCTATTCGCCCAGCACCCTATTATTGTAGCCAATGAATATGGGACAGGTAGGGCAGGTCGGGACTGCGGTCGCAGGACGTCTGGAAATGAGGCTGAAGGGTACCGCTTGTTCTCCTCTGACGCATGTTGTTGTCGTCAGATGAGAAAGGTCGTTCTTCCGGCTGGGGGGTGTGAGGACGTGACCACTGCAGATACGTAGGTACTTTATCGTCACTGTGGTGACTTTACCAGCGGCTCGGCGTTGTCCAGCAGTATTGGGTGTTCGAGGTGGAGGGAACTGGGAAACCCAGGCTCAAAGAGGCCTGGTACGGGTAGCTGCAGGGTCAAAAGATTCAGATTGCCGGATAAGCATCAGTTGAAATCGTAAGGAGGGTGCAGGTTGAAATTTGGACGGAGGACAACAGAGCAACGAATGTGGCAGAAGGAATCTGCAGTCAGTGGGCAGTTGACCTAGTCAACAAGAAGATAAGGACGGTGGGAAGTTGCAGGTGAAGACAGCAAGCATGACGACAATGCTGTGGGCAGCACGCTGATTGAACAAGCTAAAGGAAATGTAAAGAAGTGATGGAGAGGTTCAATGAAAGTCGGTAAGCTCTGAGGTCAATAGACGAGAGGCTGAGGAGCCGCGATCTGAGAAGAGCTGCAAGCCTGCAACGTGCCAGCGCATCAAGCGCGTCTCCCCGGTCATTCAGCTTACCAGGTTGGATATTAGCGTGCACTATCGACAACTATCGTAGGACCATGAAGACCAGGGCCAGGATTAGAATGATCGGGCTTTGCTTTAGCTTTGAAGCGCCACAGAGGCTAAACAGATGGGATCCCAGAGATTTGGATCCAGACTTGGATGGCCTCAGACGGATAGCATCAGACAAAGAGGGCCGGAGGTAGACAACCGACATAACGACAGAAGACGAGGGGGAATCACTCCCTCGAAGGCCCGGCAGTCAAAGTGGTGGGAAGGACTAGGTATGTACGTACTCGTACGAAGTAAAGGTGGGAAAGAAAAGAGAAAAAGAGAAGCCGGAATACGTACGAGACGAGGTCTCGGGGGCATCATGAGGATTGAAGTGGATTGGATATTTCGCTCTCGGCTAAGGCCAGAAATTGGAACCCAAACCAACGACGTGGCACGGCAAGAGGCAGCAGGAGGCAACCTTGTTCCTTGCTCCATGCGGCTCATCCCAGGCGCCACCATAAGCGAGAAATCTCCCACCCAATGCACCCGTCGTTTTCCTCATGGGCACGCATGGGTCTATCATGGGCGGCACATTGAAACGAGTTCGAGGCTCACGAGGCTACGGCCTATACACGTCCTGGATAGCAGGTTCCTGTTTGTGCACGGTAGCTACACAATAGCATTGAGCGTTGTCTGCACCCAAGAAGACCGACTGTCTCTGTCTCTTGTCGCTACACTGCTGCAGATGATCGCCTCAGTCCATACCAATACTCCCCTACCCCTGCTAGGAATTCACTTCGCCCAAGGGAAGCAAAGTTCAATCCTTCGCCCATTCTCCACGACCTTTCCCCGGCCTAAGGGATCTACTGCTGAAGCAATCGGCTCCTGTCACATAACGTCCCCTTGCGTCAACGGAGCCATGCCTGCTAGTATTAATTCCAACCCGACCCATCCGATGACGAGTAATAGGTCAGGAACAAGATGGCAAACAAGCACCCATCTTGCGCCCTCTGCTACCCATGGATCTTGGAAGTGCCGATCGATGCTTCTCGATGCGTAGCCTATGCCAGCAAACTTCTCTGGTCAGCGTGCACATGCAAAACCTGATAGATCTCAGCTTACCCCGACGGCAGTAATCGCATTGCTGATTTGAGATCAAGCCATAAACAGGTAAAAAGTATTCATCACCGCTTGCACTCGCGAAGCAGGTATACTGTATGCTCATATCGACATCTGCGAAAAAAAGCCAATGTCGTCCATGACCCTACAAACGACTGGAATTGAATCATCACTTTCCATCGTCTTGAACCGAGTCCACCTGTCCATTGGCAGGCGCGTGCGGAGGGCCGTTCACGGTCGGGCCATGGTTCGCTTGCATTTGCGGATGCATCTTCTGCGGGATCTGGCCATACCCACTGCTCATCGTTCGCGGTTGCATGCTGTATCCTTGGTGTGGTGTCGTCCCATACTGATGTCCGCCATAGTTGCCTCGGCCCATTGCCATTTGTTGCTGGGGATAGCCCATCGGGACACCCTGGTTGGAAACGCTGAACATCATGTTCGGGGCGCCCCCGTGACTCTGTTGAGACCCCTGCTGCATCATCATTGGAGCCATTCGGCCAGGGCTTGAATACCCTCCATTCTGGTGAGGATAGGCGTGACTTGCGTTCGGTGAATACATCTGCATTTGAGGATTGAACTGCTGATGAGGTACAGCCATATAAGGCCCGTTGGACGGCTGCTGAACCATCATGGGAGCCCCCATCTGTCCCACCTGTGCATGCATCATGCCTGGCGTGCCAGGGTAAGGTCGCATCTGCATTGGCATCTGAGTTGGTGTACCGAAGTAGGGTTGCTGCTGGTAGGCCAACTGAGCCGGATGAGGCATTGGGGATGCATAAGTTGAAGTCTGACGAGACGCAACGCTGGGGGACGGGTAGACACCGGGGGTAGCTGTACCGAACTGGAGACGATGTGTTCCATCATCATACTGGTGAGGATACTGATGAGGTCCAGCGTGAGGAGCATGCTGCGGTGTAGCAATATGCGGAAGATTGGCCGGGCCGTTCGGTATTGACACGCCCTGCCCAGAAAATGGCATATGCTGGGCGGATCCTATGCGAGTCGGCACCCGAGGAAAAGGGGCGGCCATAAGCTGATCAAAAGCCTCCAGATACGTCTTTTGATCATTCTCGGCCTTGACTGTCCAGCGAGGACCTGTCTGGAAAGCATTTGGAATCCCTCCATTCCAGCTATAGTCCTTGTGCACGTCTTCAGGCTTCGTTTCGGTGTCTGTCGGTTTGTGGGAGGTTTCGGCCTTCATTCGTGCAATGGGGTTGAAATCTTTACTAATAGAAGGTCTTTCGGAAGCGGGCTTCGGCTTGCGGTCGCCAAAAACTAGGGAAGGACTGGCGGTCCTAGATATGGACCCTGCTCGGTGAGTGGAGGCCGGACTCGAAGGGGTCCGTGACGAGCCAGCAGGGTTGAACGTAGCAGCGGTAGGGCGGAATTCTGATGCTTTCACGTTTAGGTTGAATCTGCCAGACACGGCGGAGGATGGCGTGTGCATGTTGGATCGCTGCGGGCTGGTCATTCCGTTCTGGTCAGCCAGCGGGCCGGTAGGAGGCACGCGGCCTTCTATAATAGGGATTGGAGTTGGGATCGGAGGTGGATGGCTTCCCTTGCGGTCTTGGTGTGAAGGAAATCTCGGCTGGTACGGGGCATGACCGCCTCGGGCGGGGAACGATGGTGGTTGTTGCTGGCTCGTGGGCCGTTCAGATCGTCCAGGTTGAGGAAAACCACCGCGTCCACGATTAAAGGTCTGTCTGTCTGGCACAGGTGCAGCAGGCTGCGAACCCTCGGCCTTGCGGACAGGAGTGTCAGCCTCTGGGCCTAGCGAGGGACTAGCAGATGTCGAGGTAGACTCCAGATGTTCCTTCTGCGCTTTCTCAACGATAGCTTCTTGCTTAGACGGATCTTTGGCAAGGATGCCAATAAGATCATTCGGTATGGGAGTCTTGAGCTTGAAAGTCTTTGAGAAGCGGAGCAGTTCGTTCAATTTAGCCGTCCGGTCTTGGTTCTGTTGGGCCTTTCGTCTTTCTATCACTCTCTGTTTCTCGAGGTCGGCGAACTGACGGAACTGATTGAGGACTTTGACTTCGACGTTCTCGGTAGGTCCAGGAGAGATAGCTTTCTGAGCGACTGGCTCAGCGTTTGTAGTGTAGGCAGTCGTGGCGGGCGCTTCGGCACTGGCATCAATGGTGGCTGGTGAAGGAGTCTCCTGGATCGAGGGTATTGCAGTCTTCTTGCTAGGAGCTGGCACTTCTTTCTCGTTCGGCTTCTGGACGGCAGGCTTGGAACCTTCGGGCAGCGACAGCTGTGCTGAGATGATCGCCGGATCGACAGGGACACCCGGCACCGTAGCTTGACCAGTTGGAGCTCGTCTGGCTGGTGGCGTGTACTTGTTCGGTCCTCCCACAGGGAGAGGAGGAAAAGCGCGTTCGTCACGTCGGACGCCACTGTATTTCGCTTCCTCATCATCGCCCTCGTTCTCCAACGCCTGGCCACGTTCTTCACGAATATGAGTATTTGTCGAAGCAGCACCTTCAATCTCTCGTGCAATTCTCGCGGCTTCGGCTTCACGGCGTTTGTACGATGGTGCACTTTTATCGATCATGGTCGTGTATAGGTTCTCATCGTACGTACTCTTAGTACCGAAGAGTTGATTGTTTGTTGCGAACTGATCCCAGCCTGTGGTGTTGCTGGATGATTCTAGGGAGAAGTCTGCCGAGTCAGGCCCTTCAGGAACCCAACGCTGAAGGGCGCGTTCTCCTCGAAGCTGGTTGCCAGAAATGTCGGTGTCGGTCTGGAAGCCAGAAGAGCCTGGGCGTGACCAAATTAGCTTCGGTCCGTTTGCAAACGATAGGAAGGGCGTACCATTCGCAAGCTTCGAAATCTCAGGGGGGGAGAATTCAGTAATGGCCATGTCGGCCATGTCACTCAAGTCGAAATTCATTGCGTACTCGGGACTCGAGCCAACCAAGGCCGCTTCCCGAGGCGCAGCACCATTGATCTGTCCGGCAGCTGCGGGTTGCAATTTTCTGACCATCTTCAGGGTAACTCTGGAAGTCGACGGGCTGAAGGTTGAACCCGACAACAAGCCTTCGAACTTCTCTCCGGACTTGGCGGTCATGACGATACTCAAGCCCTTTCGCACATAGTAAGTAAGAGTGGAAGCCGGCGGTGGAAGGTATTGGCCTTACAACAGCAGCTCCAAAGAGGAACATCAGTCTCTCATGCGCTTGTTTATCTGAAATGCCCATGTCCTTTTGTGTAGTTGACCTCATACTGCTAGTGTTTCTTGGTTGAGGGCTGTTCCCATTCTGCAATGCAGCCATCGAGCCTCGTTGGGGACCTGAGCTCGACGCCGAGCCCCAAGCTTTTTGTGAACCTTGTCGTCTGCGGACACAATGTTAGTGAATAAAGTTTCCTTAACTGTGCAGTTTTGAAACGTGAAGTCTGGGACAAGCGCTCAAAGCAGATGGGACTCAATGTAATGTAATATTGCGTGATCTTAGGGGCGCCAGCACGACGGATCAGATACGCACCGTGAAACGCCGTCGACAGGACTCTGCTTGCGCCCTGTATCCGCAGCCTTCGCATTGTTATTTGATCTCATTGTAGTCTTCGCCAAACCATTATTATTTTGCGGGGTATCGGAATCCAGCAAGGAGGCAGACGAGGTGGTAGTGTGGGAGGTCGCGCTGGCAGCAGATGCCATCAGCTAGTGCTGGCAAGGTCGCACAGGAGGACTTCGAAAGGGAGTTGAATCGACGGACCAGCCAGTCAAACTGCGCTCGGACGAGAGTTGAAGATATCCGGGGGAAGGAAGAAGTGACGGTCGTGAATGTTGGATGTGGCCGAGAGCACGAGCCTTTTGGAGAGTTTCAAGTGCCCTGAGCGAAGCTGGCAGCAAAGGGCAGTGCAGTTGCAGGATGGAGCCGGGACAGCCCTCGGAAACAAGCAAAATGAAAAGGAAAAGGGAGTGACTGGCAAGGAGACTGGTGGCAGTACAACCTTGAGATGTCGAGAAGAAAGCAGCAGCAGGCAAAAAGGGAAACTGCAATTAATTTTCGAGGAGGAGGATTTGACGATGATGGTGCAGAGAGGGAAAGAGGAGTTGTTAGGTTGTGGTTGTGTTTGACGGAAGCTGGACGGTTCATTCTAGCGTTGCTTTGAGTACCAACGACAATTTGGGGGGGACGCACCCAGTCTCCCAGTCAAATCATCCATTGAGTGGGCAATTCGGGGCACCAGGCACATTTCATTTCAAAGACGAGATCTACGGTGACGAGGCTAACCCTCCTGTGCCTCCCCTACGAAATACCACTACTGTGAATATTACTGTAGCAGTATCTTCTCGTCTTGATTACCAGGTACTGTCGGTTCTTTGCTTGTGGCGCCATCACTGCTGCAACTGCCATACCTTCAAGTCCGACCCTCCGTACTCCGTATCACATCTTCTGAATCATGCCCTGTGGGCGCCCTGCATCTTCCTTGGGATGGGACTGGCCTACTCCCGGCGGATCCCGTCTTCCCCGGCCCTCGCCAACCTATCAAAGCTCATCTCAAATCCCCTCTTTCCTGCGAGTCTCAACACAAAAAGTACAAGTCGAGGAAGAAGGCTCTAAAGCATCAAGAGAGCAAAATCCGGAACAGCATAGAACCGTGGTTGCAGGGCCTACAAAATTCGATCATATGGCATGTTTGTCATTCTGCAAGGTGGAACGTGAACGATGAACGTGTAAGCACTGCACTTGCACTTGCATTCATTCATAAATTGCTTGATCCGCTCAACGGTATTCTTGTCCCCTCAAACATTCTCATTCCAAGCACGTTTGATGGCTCTTCTCCATTCGTAACTCCATGTTGCGCCATGCTGCCATGCTGCCATGCATCCCCTGCCGGAACAAAAATACAAGGAACGCTCATATCATTACAATCTCAAGCTGTTGAGAATTGCCGAGGTCATTGACCGGTACTGATTCATACCACCTTGGACTTTCTTGAATTGAATGCCATGCAGGGAAAGGAGGGGGATCTTGACAATGGCAATCTCGAACTTGAGCACGAGCCGCTCGCCTGTGTCGTCTTGCACTCGAGTCCTAGTCGCTGCCATATCCTGAGGTGGATCGTTGATATGTCTGGTTTGTGGCAGATACTCCTCCGAGCCTTCGGAGTTGGTGACGAAACTTTGATCGGGTTGTCTCCTCCGAGGGTGATGCCGGCCGACTTTCTCGTCCTTGACGTCTTCTCGATCCTTACCACGGAAAGCTCCCCCAAACGATATTCTTCGTTGATGCCCACTTGTCACACGACCGCTCCTCTCCTCCTCAAGGCCTGGACCCGGCTCTTTGACCCCTTCAAGATTGATGCTAGGTGCATGTCTGCAGGAGAATCCTCCTTTGATGACAGTGTATTGAACGCCGAGTTGGTTCAAGACTCGGATGATGTCATGTCTGATGAATTCAGGGGGTTTACTACTGGTTGTCGCAGTAGAGAACAGCCCTTTCAGGCTAGCAGGCTTGGAAATCTCAGTTCCTTGGGTGTCAGAAACAGCTGGCGTACGCAAAGCATCGGCACCGACTCGCATGTCTGCATCAGTCTCTTCGGGGACGTTAGCCTCTCGATCCCGTCTCTCTTCGTATCGTCTCCGTCTGGCTTGGATGCTCTCTTGTCGCGCATGTCCGAGTGACTTCGTGCGACTGCTGGTTGGAGTGCGTGGTGTGGCCAGTGGACTGGCATTCGGAGCAGGCTTGTCTGTAAGCTCTACACCTTTGCCGTTCTTGCCAACGCTTACACTAGATTTGTCGGAGCCGCTGGTAGGTGGCGGCTCGGGTGCAAGCAAGGGTGACTCATTGGCAGACGGTCCACGATGCAGCAGGCGACGTGGTCGATAATCTGCAGAATTGACGCTGGTCGACCGACCCAGAAATTTACCGGCCCTTGAGGAGTTGTTACCGGCACTGAGGAGACCTTCATGTTGAGGCTGGCTTCCCCCTGCATGATGGGTGCCTGGGCTCGGATCCCTCCTGCGAGAACGCCGGACCGAGAATGATTTACGTGGAGGAGCCGCCGAGTCTTGAGGAGGCTGGATGTTCAGCGCTGGTGGTGGCTGGGCGCGTTCTGAATCACGCTCGCGATACCGTCTGGTGCTGAACCTTCTAAGCAGACCTATAGCGGTGCCTTCCCTTTTGGCAGGGTGGTCAGGTGGGGGGATGGCAGTGGGCGAGCTTGCGCTAGGAGGAGGCCTCTTTTCTGGAATCTCGAGTGTCTTCATGCCCTGCACCACATCCTCTTCACCATTCGTTCTAGCGCGTGGTCTTGAGCGACCCCCAGTAGCCTTCTCACCGGGCATCTCCGGGGCAAATGTATTGGTGTGAGCTGCCTCGGGCGTCGGCAAGCCTGGTAATTTCAGAGGGGTCTCTTTCGGAGTCATCGGCAGCGCCAAAGCACCAGGATTCTGCTCTCTGCGTTCGCGCTCGAGCTTCTCGCGCGCCAGATAGTAGATTGAGATGAGAGGGCTGTAGGCGTTGAGCGCGTCGTGTCCGCGAATGGCTTCGGATGAAGGGGCGGTCAGACCTTCTCTACTTATGGAATTTCGTCGCTTGTAGAAGTCGAAGACCCCACGTTTCTTCTCTCCGCTGGCCGAAGCATGGCTATGGTCGTCTTTTGTCATTCTTCGGACCGCACTTTGATAGTCGTCTGACTCAATGATTCTGGTGAGCTGCTCAGTTATATAAGCAGCAGACCCGAAGTCAAAACCCTGCATCTTCTCGATGACCTCGGCATCAAGAGGCAACGAGAGCGGCTCTCTATGGGGCAGGTAATTGTCTGGAGGCCCGTTGAAGCCCTTGATCATCCATGGATGATTCATAATTTCCTGCAGGCTCGCGCGTTCTTTGGGGTCGACCACCAGCATCCGCGATATAATATTTTTGCATTCTATAACTCCTGGTCAGCAGTGAATGTGGAAACAGGGATAGTGATCATACCGGCCGTCAGCCATTGCGGGTAGTCAACGACACCTCGCTTGATCTTTGCATGTAATTGAGGCATGCTTTGATCATCAAACGGAACCTTGCCACAAACAAGTACATAGAGAACAATCCCGAAACTCCACACGTCGACTTCCGGTCCAGTGTACTGACGAGCCTGCAGCAACTCCGGCGCCGCAAAATATAAGCTTCCACAGAACGTCTTGAGTAGCGAGCGTGGCGAGTAGAGGTTGCTGAGACCGAAATCAATGATCTTGATGTCACCATTCTTACTGATGAGTATATTCTCAATCTTCAGGTCTCGGTGGACAATGCTGTTTCTGTGGCAATAATCCAAGGCACTGGCGATTTGTCGGGCGAATTTTCTTGCTTGCTTCTCTTTAAGTCTTCCGTGTGCGATGATATAGTCGAGCATCTGTCCACCGTTGACATACTCGAAAAGCATATACCAGTGGTAGTTTGTCCGTTGAACATCGATCATGCCACAGATATAGGGATGACAAAGCAGCGAGACCATGGCAGCCTCTCTTGCCGTTCGAATCTCTTTCGAACGATCAGCTCGCTCGTCTTTGGCATTCCCGTGGTCGTCAAGAGTCTGCCTGGGAACGATCTTGATAGCAGCCTGCTCTCCAGTTTCACCATTCCTAGCGAGCTTGACCTTTCCCATACTACCTTGCCCAATGGTTTTTCCGAGCGACCAAGTGCCTGTTTGCGCAGTGATAGACGTGCGCCGACGGCCCACGGTAGGATACGCCTGTGACGCGTGTCTGTCGCTCTGCGCAGTGCTCGTAGGAGGGTGAGGGGGAACTGATGATCCGTTCGCTACGACCGTGGTCGGTGCGGTAAGATCCTGGCTCCCACGCCTTGATCCAGGACGAGATGATGTCCTCCCTTGACTTTCTCCGCTGTAGTCTCCCCGTCCGTCCCGTGAGCTTCGCCTTGAGGACGTTCTCGCCATATTTGTTTGTTCAAAGTCCCTTCGAGCAACATTGACGAGCGTGGGAGGATTCGATGGTGGTGGGTTTTCATATGATCGAGAGCCCGACCGATTATGGCCTGAATGATTAGAAGGCCGCTGGTTTGTCGAACGCGCTCTAGATGGTTGTGAAGGGGATACGGGCGCGAAGGATGAGGGAGGAGGATTGCGGGAGGCAGAATGGCTGCGCACCATGGTTGGTGTCTGTTGCGAGGCCGTCGTCGCCATTGCGAAGAGTGTCTGGCTGCAGCGGTATCTGTATTATTCAGCCAAACACAGAGTTGAATGTTACGTTTGCGGCCACGGAATGCGGTGCCTTGCAACACGCACGGACAATCGATGCCCTTGTACGGTTTGTGGCCGCAAGGCTTCGCGTGTAGCCGATCTTCACAGTCTGAAATGCCCTTTGAGAATCTGGGCGGAGACCAGGTGTTCTTTGGTGAGCGAGCCACAAAGCTCAAGGAGGTAGCCTGGTGAGCGGAGAGGTTTCGAATAAGATCATTGGGGTGGTTGGAAGTAGGAGGTAAGATGACAGCTCGGCGATGGGGCTGCCGATGTCACTGCTTTCCGTATCAAACGAGGTTGTTCATGAGCTGAGGAGGATATGATAATAGCAATGCTCTGTCCAAGGCACCCGCACAGAGCGTGGGTGAAAGTTGGAAGACTGGATGTTGGTACGATGAATGTGATTGCTGTCGACATGGGTAATCAACAGGCACACTGCGGCTGGTTGGGAGATCGGTGCATCTGACTGGGGGAAATACGTGATACCAGTCGTGGTACTCCATACTCAAAGCCCATCCCGCCTACGAGTAACTAAATCCAGCAACGCCAGCCTAATGAGTCCCGACCAGATGCCCGGGACTTCTTACCTAGGTATTTAAGTTAGCGCTTCCGTACCTGAAGCAGGGCGAAAGAAGCCCAGAATCTCGATGCCTGAACGGCATTGATGGGCGCTCCCGGTAAAAAAATTTGTCATTACAAAGTAAACTCTGGCCCACAATGCACATGTCCGTGGCACGTCAGTGCATGTCGTGACGTGTTCGTAAGTAATGTATACTTGTTATCATCTGTCAGACGGATCTCGATCTATCATTCTCGCTGAGATGCCTGCAAGTGATCAACACGACGTAAATACATATCCTACGAAAAGTGTTCCTGAAGCCTTGCATGAGGTTTCCAGAGCTCGTTGGTTCTTGATTCGTACCAGAGACCTGAGCGAGTAAATGACGCCGCCGACTTGAAGTTCCTGCGCCTCAGGTTGCAGCTTTAAGTTTGTGTCTCCTTCATGTTCCTTCATCATGGCGTACAAACGTTCTCGACAAGCCTTCGAAGCTGATCTGCAAAAGCAAGCGTCGCCCTTTGTCTTCTATGGGACACCACTACCACCTTCGGACGAACACACTCGAGACGACGGCTCCTTCGTGCCAGTCTGGAAGCAAGAAGTGACGGATGAAAGAGGAAGAAAACGCTTGCACGGTGCGTTTACTGGTGGCTTCAGCGCCGGGTGAGCTTGTGGAGCTTGAGACCATGGGGCATAGTGGCTAAAATGGTGAACATAGATATTTTAACACTGTAGGCTCTAAGGAAGGATGGACGCCTTCTTCATTTGTCTCGTCGAGGCAGAGTCGTACCACAAACGGCGCAAAGCCGGCCCAGCAGAGGCCGGAGGATTTTATGGATGAAGAGGACTTGCGTGAAGCAGAAGAATCGCGTACAATCAGCACGTCGAATGAGTTCGCAGGCTTTGGCACCGAGCATGATGCGCTGCGAAGAAGCGCCGCCATCGACATCTTCCAGCCAACGGAGGAGACCATTGGCTCCAAGTTGCTTACAAGAATGGGTTGGCGAGAAGGTCAAGGTATAGGTCCTCGAGTAAGGAGGGCCGCACATCTCGGCGATGACAAGGAGGAAGCATCGGAGCTACATCTATTCGCTCCCAACGATGTGGAAATTGTCTCATTTGCACGAAAGACAGATCACAAAGGCCTTGGCTATGAAAGCGAATTGCAAGGAGCGAGTAATGTGACCGGTAAAAGCCATGATGTTCATCGCAAGTCCTTGCGGCAACATGACTCTTCCGATGACGATACCTCCAGCGGCCCCCTCGCACTCTCAAAGAAGCCCGCAGTACGAACAAAAAAGACTGGTATTGGTGTCGGCGTGCTCAATGACGACGGTTCCGACGACGATGATCCGTACTCGATGGGTCCCAGAATATCTTACAGCAAGACTCTAGGCGGGGACAAGAAGACGAGGATCAAGTCGAAGACCGCCTCAAGTAACGCGAATCCTCTACTCAAAACCAAACCAACTTTCATATCTAAGAAGTTGGCGAACCTCAAAGGAGCACTCCGGAAATGCCACGATGGTCGACTGCCTCCGGATGGCTTCGTGTTGTCTGATCAGCTGGACTCGTTTGGAAGTCTCACTATGCAAGATGACAAGTATAAACCTCCAGCGGTGCCTGCAGGATGGGAATCGAGATTATCGAAGGGCGATACAGTTGTTGGCGATTCAAAATTTGTCTCGGCAGCAGAAGCTGCCAAAGCCTCTAATCTCAGTGCCAAAGTACGGGCATCGATCCTCGGAGAAACGCAACTCCCTGGGAAATCGGTGTTCGATTTCCTCACCCCATCTGCTCGTGACCGGCTTGCGGCAGCTTCAGGTCAGCAGGACCTTCCTACTGCCCGCAGTGAACCGCCACCAGCAGGGTATGAGGCTTCCAGTGCCGCGTCTACGTCTCTGCAAAGCCTAGTCCCTCACCTAGACAAAGCCACAGCACTGCAAGCCCTGAATCGTGGCGTGAGTGGCTGGATGCCCTATGCTGAAGACGAAAAGAAGCGATCTAGGTATCGAGCGTACCTGGAGATTCAGGCTGGTCTAAGACAAGATGAACTGCCACCCCGTGCTGAGGGTATGAGCCAAGACGAGTGGGCCATTGAGATGCAGGAATTTACCCGAGCTGCTGAAGTCTTCAGGCCCGTCAGTGGATTGATGGCGAGCCGCTTTACGTCTTCGGCATCTCTTCCGCAAGGTCAAAACATAGATTCATCGGCATCTGCGGACTCTTTGATGACGAAGCCGATGGCAAAACCAGAAGATCCGGCGGTATCAGCTGCGAAACTGGGTATGTTTGGTCCCATGACGAGGTCTGCGTCGAACTTCTACCCAACCAGACTGGTCTGCAAGAGGTTCAATGTTCCTTACCCCGATCACTCCGCTTCGATGGCTTTTGACACTGGAAACGGCACAGCAAGTCCAGCTGGGCCGCAGGGACTTGCGATGACTCAACCTCGGTCTTTCATTCCACCCGGCTTTCAGCAGGACAATGCAAAGGTGCCCAAACCACTGACCGAAAGAAAAGCTCCAATTGCTTCCGGATCAGTAGCAGGTGAGGACGGACCAGATTTGCAGCCGGCCTCCACCAAACTGGATCCGGACAGGAACGAAGCCCTAGAGCAGGAGCGACCAGGACAAGCTGTTTTCAAAGCAATCTTTGGCAGTGACGATGAGGACGATTAGACCCGATAGATAACGTTGTCTGCTTCTTGGACACTGTAGCTTGATCTCCCCTGGAGTCGTACTACGTAGTATCATAGTGTAAGTTGAGCAATCGACGTAGAGCGACCTCCAAGGTGAAGTCTAGCAGATGACAAGGGTTGATACAAAGCTAAAGGTTCGAGCCGCGATCCGAAGCGCGTCAGCCTCAAAGCCGATGTGCAAAGTTCAAAGTGATCTCGTGCATGAAAAGGCCACATTACAATCTCACATAGCCTTCTATAACTCACTATAGTCCTTCGTTTTGTTGCTTCTCTCCTCTCTACCGCTTTATCGGCCCAACCGTAACTATGGCACGCCGAAAACAGATCACCCCCTTGCAAAGAATAAATTCCGGCGAAATCATGCAAACACCGTCAGACGAGCCCGAGAAGCCTGCGGTCTACAGCAATGGGCACATTTCGACGGCACTATCGCCCTCAAGACGCTCCAGATCGCGATCCCACTCCTCTCATCCTCCCACCTCGGGCGTCCTGACACTTCTCGTCTGCGTTGGTGGTATCTACGCGTCGTTCTTGACATGGGGCCTCCTACAAGAGCGCATAACCACCACTCCCTACCCGGTTGATGACTCGGCGCAGGCGCCGCAGGAATACTTTCGCTTCCCAATCGTCCTTAACACCATCCAGTCCTTCTTCGCGTTCACAAGCGGCAGCCTCTACCTCCTATATAAGACAAGGTCATTTAAGATCCTCCCTCGAAGAGCCGCTCTGGCACCGCTCGTCCTCGTCACTTTGACCACGACCCTCGCTTCACCGTTCGGCTATGCCTCGCTCGCTCACGTCGACTACCTCACCTTCGTCCTTGCCAAGTCTTGCAAACTGCTTCCGGTCATGGCATTACATGTCACCTTGTTCCGGAAACGGTATCCTCTGTCCAAATACCTGATCGTCTTAGCCGTAACGAGCGGCGTTGCGATATTCACCTTGTACCATCCGCCTAAGCCAGGCAAAGCAAGGAAGACTCAATCCTCGAGCATATACGGCTTGACATTGTTGGGTATAAATCTGCTACTGGACGGCCTGACAAACACTGTGCAAGACTTTATCTTCACATCTCCGCATCGATATGGCAAAACCTCCGGGCCGCAGATGATGGTAATACTGAACCTGCTGGGAACATTGTTGATGGGCACATACCTTCTGGTCACACCATACGTTCCAGAGCCGCTTATTCCGGCCTTTGTCAAGACGGATACTCAAGAACTAGCCACGGCACTGTCTTTCCTTAGCAGGCATCCAAAAGTCGTTTACGACGTCTTGGGCTTCGCGGCATGCGGAGCTATTGGCCAGTTGTTCATCTATGCGACATTGGAGCGCTTTTCCAGTTTATTGCTCGTCACGGTGACAGTGACGAGGAAGATGCTGACCATGGTCCTTAGCGTCGTCTGGTTCGGTAAGAGTCTCAGCCAGGGACAGTGGATGGGTGTTGGACTCGTGTTCGGAGGCATTGCAGCTGAAGCCTATATCTCGCATCGTGAGAAGAAAGGAAAGGAGAAAACGAGGAAGAAACAGAAATAATGGATTTGGGTCTAGTAGAAAGTTCTGGATCGTCGGATCTGATGCATACATTTTGTATCTTGCATTTCTCTCCAATACTATGCCTAATGGAAGCTGTGCCACGGATATCATGCCTTTCGACTGCCTACAACATAATCGTGGTCTGATGCTAGAATACTTGACCGTATACTTGTAATGCCAGCCAAGCGGTAGTAAGATATAGGACTCAAGAATATCTCAACTGTGACGCGATCCACAGCGGTAAACCTCAGTCAACGGCAGTGGTTCTTGCGCAAGGGCTACAGCCGGCCCAGTGTGCGCGCGCAGACATTCGAGCCCAGAGTGCACTATCACTGCGGACAAGGTGCACTGGGAGAGATACTGTATTCGAGAGCGAGTGTACGGAGCATTGCATCGTGGCCGCGTCCGTGGTGTGAGCGTCATGGCTTGCCCTGCGCGAGGAGGACTTTTGCGACTTCCAACAGCCCGTTGACAGGCAGGAGGGTATTGTGTCCATATGTGGCTTCCCACATGCTTATAAAGTGCGAGAGGAGACAGGCGAGGACACCCGACTGGCTTATGGTCTGGTCGGAGTCTAGATGGAATGAGTTTTCGTGCAGGGGAGTGGACCTGCGCTGGATAAGTTCGCGCAGGCGTAAGGTCGAGCTGAGCGCGAGCTGTATCAGGAGAAGGTAGATGATCCGATGGTGTGGACTGAGGGTGACTTGGGAGTTACTGGAGACAGGGTCCCCGAGAGCGCGTAGGCGGCTGAGGTCGGTGTTCGAGGTATCGAGGGTGCCCGCGAGGGCGTGATATAGGTGCTGGTATTCGGAGTCTAGCAGGGATTGCAACCGGGGCAGGATGCGGCTGAGGAGGACGGATGCAGTGTCGATGCGATTGATGGGAACAAGGGCTGCGGGTGTCGTGGTGATGCCGCTGGAGTTCTCGATTGGGCTTGTTTCGTCGAGGGTGGTCGGGCTGACATGGAGAGTGTGCGACCAGCTACATTCGACGCGGCCCGAGTAGTTGGCGGATGCTTGGAGGAGAATATGTACAATGCGGGATTCATCGTGGGATAGTGTCGCCGGAATGGGGGCTACGGCTATGCGCCATGATATCTGAGATGCGGTTGGTGCCGGTTTGCGACACTTGGAGATGTTGGCCCGAATGACAGCCTTTGAGGTCGAAAGGGTTGTAGAGGCCTTTGTCCCGCGTCGGGCAGGGCGTCTTCGAGTCGTACCGAGTTTATTTTTGAGTGATGGATGTCCTGTAGTAGTGCCCTGATCTGGAGTCCTCTGATCTTGAATCAAGTCGCCATCCCAAGTTGAAGAAGGTGAGGAGGGCTTGCGCTGCGACTCTACACCTGGCTTTTCTGGCGCGTTGACCAGCTCTTCGATCGTCAATTTGCGGACAGGAGGTACGACAGCGGCCGTTGAGGATATGAGTCCTTCTGATGGTCGGAAAGCAGGGTGGAGCACCGGTGGTGACGTGGTTGTGGTGGTGTCGGGTTCGATGTGAAAGAAAACATCTTGCGCCGCGTACGGCGAGATAGCTGAACTCGACGCCGGAGGAGGCTGCTTCAGGAACGCGCTTGATGCAAGAGCTGTCTTGACGGCAGAGCTCCGTCCAGCATGACGACGTATCTGAGAAACGTTCTGTCTGCTGCGTGGATCACCAGTTATCCAAGTAAACGTCTTCGGAGGGCCATCCTGCCTGGGAGGCATGGGACGGTAGAACCGTGATCTCGTGTTGGGAAGAACATTCGACGACCTCAGCTGCCTCAACGGGTTTTACATTGTTGATCGGTTTCTGGGCGCATAGCGAATAGAACAAATGGCCTAGACGAAACTGGATGTCGCGGTATCATAGAGCTTGCTTGTCGAAAGCCTGCGAGTTAGCGTTGAACAGCTTGCCTTTAACAGGCGTGCGCTTATGTTTTGACTGCTGACAAGAGGGTGTAAGAGAGATGTCTGGTTAGTAATAGGCCTCGTGGCCCAAGGCCTGTTCGAAAGTCTGTTTGGGGGGGAGGACGCTGAATAAGTTGTGACTAACTAAATTACATCTCTTAGCTGGTTGTTGCTGTTGAGTGTCTTTCGGACAATAAGAAGAATCTGTTACGTACAGTATGCTCTCAGATGTTTGTTATATATCGGCTGTCAACGTTCCCGAAGTCAGATAAGTGCTGTTGCTGAACGACATAGTTTTCGTATACGACGAAACCAAAGACCTTGGCAATCTGGACTATCGCGAGGCTGGGGCCCCAGAGGCAGTCCAACAGCTGAAGAGGAGCTGAGCATAATCCTTAAAGGGGAAGGTCCTCGGCTGACAGTCAGGAATGAGATACCGTCGGTTGCAGGAGGTAGTACAGCTGTCTCATGACCCATCTATCTAACACCACCTTCCCAACCTGGTTGATCGGATACTACACCTACTCTTTCCGATTTCCATATGCCCAGGCATTCGAGACAGACTAGTGAGACCAATGGCAAGTGAATATACGTAGAAGGATAGGGGCAGCTGCCCTGACAAAATGCGTGACCTGACCAGAATAAGCATGTGGGCATGATTTTTGAGAGGCTAGTCCATCGCTTCGACTTCAGGATCGATAGGCGACGTTAACTGAGGCCCCGACACCAACGAGGAATCAGAGCAACTGCAGAGTGAGATGTCTGAACAGTCAGCGTCCTGAAGAACTTACAGCATGGAAGCGAGAGAGACAGAGAACGAATGGACGACCAGGCCCACAGCCTCCCAGCCTGCCGCTTGGCTCTGCAGTTTCACCAGGTCGACGACGAGGCGTCAAGTAATGTCTCGCGAGAAACGTGAGAGGTTCTTCTCCTTAGCCAGCATATTGCGGTAATCGTCCTCGGTTATACAGAGCGGAGGATAATGCATAGCCAGGTGCTGAATCGGACAGGCTGATGACGGAGAGCCCGTCACAGATGTATCTGTCCACCTCAATATCTTTGCTGAAGAACAGACTGGCGGCAGCGATATAAGCGTGACTGTAGCAGACCGCCAACGGACTCTCGCCAGATACGAATCGGTGTGCATAAGCGTCCTGGTGCTATTGATTGAACTGGTACCCGTACTGCCTGTCAGAGAAACCACCTGCCTGGCTAGGATAGCGCTTAGAATCCCTTGGACTTAGGAGGATCAGATAAATTGGAGTGATCGACTCGAGCAAGCTGTGCTTTGCAAGGGCTCAGACGCTGAGGCACATGCAATGCGGAAAGGCTAGGATGTGTTTCAAAGTTCCGACTCTCAGGGTTCAAGGAGAGCTCCTTGCTGGAGGAGGCTCATGAACACTGCTCGAGATCACCTTGAGCACTGAGCGATTGCCAAATTATGGTGACTCCCCTCGCCTAGCAGGGGCTTGCTCTCAAGTAGGGTACGCAAAGGTGAGTGCTGATTCAGAGGGACATCTAGAACAACAGAAATAGACGGGCCGTTGCGTTTCCTTTGAGGTAGCTCGCCTGGTAATTGGGCTCGATGCCCAGAAGCCAGAAGAAAAATCCTGCTCAATTGGGCAATTTTGCCGATGCTATCGCTTTCCGCATCGTTCAGGCTGAGAGTTGATATGTTGCTCAAGTGACTAATTCACACCTATCCCAGAGAGGCTCGAGTGGCTGTAGCTGCGCCGCGTTCTTCGATAGCAACGTCTGAAGTTGCCTGATGCTCTACGGCGGGCAAGATGCCTGGCAGCCATGAACGCATACCCAGATGACTACGTCTTCCACAACCTGCCACTGCTGGTCCTCTCTGGCTTGGACGATGGAAGCCAGTCTGAGCCTGCTACAAACAGCCGGACTCATGCCTTCTTGCAGGAAGGTGGCTTCAGGATAAAGACAGACATACCAGCTGTCAAGAGTCCACTTGCGGAGCAGTTACTACGCTCATTTCGCCGACAAGATGCTTCCACCATCTCCTGGCATTCGCGATCGGTAACTGCGCGTAACGGTAAGGTCTTTAAGATTTCGAACGTTGGCAGGGTAGGTCAGGACTCCCCGCCAGGAAGCCTTTAAGGACGAAGAGCTGACACAGGCATCTAGGTCTACACGCTTCCTCCTCGTAAAGCACCACCTCCACCTCACTCTCCTCGTTTGTCGGCCGTCGTTGCAAATGGAAGTCCTCCACCACCGCTCGTCCTACACTCCCCTCTATCGCCATTAACACCCAGCTCGCCTTTGTATCCTGACGGCATCTTGTCTCCTCTATGGGTCACAAAACATCAGTCTCGGCTCCCCTGCGCTCTTCTGGCCTGCTTCTCACTCACATCCGACTCCCACACAAGTTCTCTTCAAGACAATAAGCTAAAATCTGAGATCAACAACGTCCGCAATGTGCTATCTGCGACGAACTACAAGACGAAACTTGTGGTGATCCTGATAGGCGACGGCGCTACAAGCCCGTCTGACCTCGAAGATCGCTTCAACACTATTCGACGTGCGGCCGGGCTTGATGGAAAAAGCATCTTCTTCCTTCCACACGATTCTTCTTCCGTTGAGGTGACGGAATTTGTCAATACCGTGCTTTCCTCTCTGCATCCTCTTTGTATAGAATATTACCGCGATCTTTCGAAGCACTGCCGACGAAAGCGCAATAGAAATGTTGTACCGCAGCCTACTATACAGCCAGGGGTTTCCCACATATTGTCCTTACAGGGTTGGAATGTCCGATATGAATTCAAGCTTGGTGTTTTCGCCGAGTTTCGACAAGAGATGGATGCGGCCTGTCGTAACTACGAGACTGCTTACGATGGCTTGTTTGGTCCCGAACTCATAGATGCAATCGCTGTCTGGAGCCCACGCTTCAATGAGGCAAGGTCGTTGGCGGATGTCATCGCATTCCGTATAATCAGGTGTCTGCTGTGGGCCGATCAAGGGACGACCGCGGTGAAGGCCTGGATTGGCCACAGAGAAAGAGTTAGAGATTTGGTCAATCGCAGGGGAAAAGGAACGGAAAATTATGGCTGGGAGGCATGGCAGAGCAATTGGGCCAAAGTAATGGCGGATCTGATGTCAAGATCGGAATATCCTTTGCTCAATATCAAGATTCCGGACGCCCCAAACCTCATGCCGATTTTTGCTGATGCCGACAAGAATCTAGCTGCTGCCGAACACGTGGCTCCTTGGGAACAGCTACACCATGAAGGATACTGGCTTGACATAGCAAGGAAGTGCACAGTGTCACGGCGGAATCGGGCTCTGGAGATCCCTGAAGAAGACAGACAGTCCCCTGGTCGTTCACCCGCATCCCAGGTGGCGAGCAAAGCTCATCTCTACGACACTTATCTTGCTCTCGAGCCTTATCGCGAGGCGCCAGCAGATGGAAGTGACGGGTATGACTACACGCAAGACATCGTTTCCTCGTTGAAAGCTTCCATCGAACACTTTGCACGCCGGGGTCAGCTTCGGAAAATTGAGATCTTACAACTCGAGATGGCACTGGAGCAAATGCGATCCGAGTCCTGGACCGCAGGCATCGCAACGCTTCGGACTCTGTGGCTAAGTCAGCATTGGAGGCGCGCTGGATGGTGGAGACTGCTCCAGCAGCTCGGCTGGACCCTTTTGGACTGTCTCGCAAAAGCCCACCATCCCGAAGTACATATCCAGCTATTGTGGGAACTATCGAGCAATGTCTTCAAACGGAAGCCAGGAGCCGAAGACGATCTGCACAAAGCTCTAGATTCAGTTGTTACTGACGGTCCCCCGCCCTCTGTAGCAATTGACATGGATGGCGCATTGTCGCCAATTGTTCCAGCATTTGCGTTCTCTACCCACGATGTATTCGTCGGGGAGGCATTGGAGTGCCAGCTAAGCTTGCGCTCTCGGGCACAAACGTGGCTGCGACCAATCCGACTTTCGGAGGTCAAGGTCGTCTTCGAGGGATCCCTGAAGCCGATTTATCTGGTTGGGAGTGACAGCGAAGCACTCCCAACCGGCTCTTCGACTGTTGAGATTTGTGATGTTGCGCTTCAAGAATCGACTACGGCAAATCGGAGGTCATCTGCAGGCGCGATTGCTTCTCTCACCGGAAATGCCAATCTTAGCATACCGTCGGATCACACCAAAGTCTTCCGCCTTCGGACTGTGCCCAGAGAGGCCGGGGAGGTGTCAATTGCTTCCATCAGGTTGCTACTCGACTACCAGGAGTATTCGCTTGCTGTCACCGTTTCTGATTTTGGACATTCTGTGGCTCAATGGTGGGAGACAAAGAATGGTAGAGTCATCGCTCGGCCTTTTGGTGAAGAATCCAATGCTTACAACAGAATAACTGTACAACCAAAACCGCCAAAACTGCAGATTGAAGCGTCAGGTCTTCGCAGATCCTACTACACAAATGAATTCATCAGTATCAGCTTCGACGTCAAGAATGACGAGGAGGAGGACACATTGGTATCCATCAGCGCTCGTATGATCAGCCCTGTTGAGGGAGCTGCCCGGTTAAAGTGGCTCGATTCAGTGCCGGAGCAGGCACCAACCTCAGAAGCAGGCATACTGACCTTACCGCCGCGGGATTTGGGAACCATGAACCCAACCGAAAAGATCACTGTCTCGATATGCATTGATCAGACAGTGGTTGCCGTGGACCACGAAGTCGAGGTCGTTGCGACATACAGGTTTGCCACTGAGCCAGAAACGGTCTTAACGAAGAGCTTGACAATTGACGTCGGGGTCATCCGTCCCTTCGAGGCCAATTACGACTTTGTCCCACGCTTAGATGACGATCCATGGCCGAACTTCTTCCTGGCTCCTCCACCCGAGTCTGACTCCTCCACGCCGCTGGGCTTGAGACACAAGTATTCCGTTGTCGCCAACCTTTACTCCTTCGCTACCGAGCCTTTAACAATTGAAGCCATTTTACTTACGGCCACCAAGATCCAAGGTGGGGCGATATGCTCAGCAACCACGGGCGTCGTGCGAAAGTCGACCACCTCCGACACTACTCCAGACAAAGACACAATCTCCTCGGTAGTTCTGCCAGACCAAACTGCCATTTTCGACTTCGAGTTAGCTCTACAAAAACTGGTTCTTGGTGATCGGCATACCGTGGGTATTGATCTTGCCCTTGAGATTGGATGGCGTCGACAAGACTCAGACGAAGTTAACACCACAGTCCTAGAAGTGCCCAAACTGATAGCGGCAATGGCAGAGCCCAGGGTCATGCTCACAACATCTCATGCTGCACTGAGCTCATCAGAGTTCTCTGCGCATCGCCTGAATTTTACAATTGAGAATCCAAGCATGCACTTTCTCACGTTCAACGTCTCGCTGGACGCAAGTGAGGACTTCGCGTTTAGTGGCCTAAAGGCGTGCTCTCTGAGTCTGACTCCTATCAGCAGGCAAACCCTGACGTACCGAATACTACCCAACAAAAAGGATGAATGGATTGCAGTCCATCTCAATGTGGTAGACGCATATTTTGGACAGGCTTTGAAGGCCCTACCTGGCGCTGACAACGTGAAAGTGGACAAGAAAGGGATTGTGTTTGTAAAGGTATAGATATTTGGGCTCGGCCTCTGAATGTCTATGTATTACGAAGCTCCAACTGATTTTCACAAGACTCATTAAGTCGTAAAGAGCACGTGAAGCACGTGAAGCGTTCTGTCCATCTCCCACTTTCGGCCGGCAGCAGGATATGTCCGTGAATGCCCGAGCCTCAGGTACCTGGCACCTACCTAGCAGCTAGGGGGACTGGTCTCGCTGGGTAGCTCAGTAGTACTGGCCAGGTTGGTCCTGGGTGAAATAGAAGGTTGCGTCATGCTTGGCATAGTCTTGGGCTCTTTAATCCTTGTGGCAGCTTCACTAGCCCTGTTTATGGTCGCAAGAAGATTTCCATTGTCGAGAACCCAAGTATTGCCTGGCAGCAAGAAGAGTTCCTTAAAGATGGACAAATTACACAACTTCCTCGCCAGTGTGACCGGCCAGGAGAAGGTCGGCTTCATAGATTACTCGCAAACCTCGCTTTATGGTAAGCTTGGACCCGGAGAAAACTGATTCGCGAAACTCGAGCTGTACTGACCCGAGACAGTGGCTGCTGCAGCTATAGCTTTCAACCCAATTTTCTGGAAGTAAGTGCACCCGTTCCATCTAAGATACCTGATGGCTGACCGCTTAGTATCGTCGCGCGACAAGGCAAGACACGACTTTATCCATACAGAGCCGCAACTAACAAGATACAGAGTACAGAACGCACTTCTTGACAAAGATATTCGGCTCGCCGTACTATGGCTGCTATGCGCTGGCATTGACGATATTCGGCCTCGGCATCTTTCGCGATTCGCTATACAAGACTGCACTTGAAGAACAACCGCTCTATCCACCTCTACTCCAACCAACTCTGGGCGTCTTGTTGTTCTGTACCGGCAATGTCCTTGTCCTATCGAGTATGTGGGCTCTGGGTATTACCGGAACGTATCTGGGCGACTACTTTGGTATTTTGATGGACGAGAAAGTCGAAGGATTTCCTTTCAACGTGACCGGAGCCCCTATGTACTGGGGTAGCACGCTGTCGTTCTTGGGCACAGCACTGTACAAAGGTCGAGCGGCGGGTGTCCTCCTCACACTGGAAGTGTTTGTTATGTATTACATTGCCTTGAAGTACGAGGAGTATGTGTTTTGCTCCACTTGACTCTGAATTCAGGGACTTCGTTTACTAACAGTCTCTAGTCCATTCACCGCCGATATCTATGCGAAGAAAGAGGCCAGACCAGTGACTCGATCCATGACGAAGCAGAAAGATGGAAAAAAGGCGTAAGTGTGAAGGCGTTCTGAGGGAACAAGAGACATGAGAGAACGGCCACAGGTCAGTCCTGGAGTTGGGTGCTTATCTGGCCGAGTATACGCTGGCCAAAAGGGGACCGACTTGATGAATGCAATGATACCCCGATTGATTGCTGTGTTTATGGATGTTCAACACGTCCGTCAGTGAGAAGACGAAGGATGAGGCTGAAATTTAGAGGTTGATACAGTGACCGATGGTAATAAGGCTGGATGATGCTGGTTTCCTCCAGCGTTGCCCCATCTTCAGGTACCTATCGAGGCTATGGAGTACTCGTAGTGGGAGTAGTAAGCAAAGTTCTTGGCATTGCGTAGTTGGAGATTCACCTGAAAGGTGACTTGAAAGGTGAAGTGCTTGAATCAAACGGTGCGGGCCAATCCAGGGCGCATGATTCGACACTTTCGCGTTGCTGTCACTTCTTGCATGAGGGTTGACCTGCGTGACCTTCGCATCTCTTCACCACCCCGTGGGTTGCACTCAATTGATATAATGTCTACGAACACAGCAATCCTCTCGCATTCAGCCGGTGACTTTTATTTATAGTTTTCTAGCCATTACACCCTCTTTCTACGTCCCACAAGCATCTGCGCCTCACCAGTAGAACTTATCCTCCTGACACCGTCCACCACTCACCCTACTCTTCGACGACCGCCGTTAGCATGCCACCTCAGCATGTGGAGGTCGCGGAGACGATCGCCGCCCTCAAAAGGGCTATACGCCGCGAAAAAGAAGGTATTTTCTGCCCACACAATTGAGCTGTCCAGTCTGCGAGAGTACGGTGCTAACCCAGCCCGCTCTTTCAGCACCCACAGACCAGACTATTTCTTCGGCGACGAATAGAGGGAACAAATTGAAAAGAGGTGCAGGCTATGTTCACGCGGGTGCTCTCCCGTACCCACATGGCCCAGATGGTTATAAAGAGGTGCGAACAGTCATCCTCACGGGCTCAGGCTTAGGGTCAATGCTCACAGCGGCCACAGAAAATCGAACACGCCGGCTACTCTCGATATATCTTAGACCGAAATCCAAAGCGATACAACGAGTATGGCGACGAGCTTGAAGCCAGCGAAAGCGACACCGAGGCCGACGCTGATGCAGAAGATGAAAATCCTTACGCTGGCATCCGGCTTGAAGGTGACTCAGCTCTGTCTCATGGTGCAATTCAGAACCATACTGACGACTGCAGAGCTCCTCTGTCCCCTAAAACATCCTTCCGACCTTGCGTCTCACCCCACCTTATCTCTCCCATTTCTCGACAGCGCCCTCCCGGATATGGTGCGATCGGTGGAAGACAAACTGCGCCAGGCAAGGGCCAATCTATGGCGAGCCAAAAACCTCAACAGACAATTCATGGGAGATGAGCCTTGGATGCCTTGTGGGAGTATAGAAGGCCTCGAAGATTGGGACATGTTCGAACCTAAGCCCAGGTTTCCTACACAACAAGCGGGCAAAAAGAGAAAGCGTGAGCATGCCAACGAAATCCCTCAAAATGGCGTCAATGGGCATAATTATGCTAAGGAGGACGAGACTTCAACTGAACCACCAAGACACACAGTAGAAGCAAATGCTGAACTCACTAGTGAAATGCAATCAACAAAGAATGCCAAGCCTGAGGAAGAAACGGGCTCAGTGATCGAAGCGTCAACCAAAGAGCAGCCAGAAATGAAGGACAATGTACCGACTGCCAATGGAGGGTACTCCGGAAACCAGGTCGAGGACTCTGGCGAGAATAAAGATCAACTGGCAGCCACGAACAGTGCTCAGAACCAGAAAGCGCAGAATGGAGAGAAGATGGACATTGACGCAGACGAAAACGAGGACAACACCGCTTCCGACGAAGAGACACAACAACAACCTACTCGCAGAATTACACGCGCCTTGGCCGCAGGAAACAACCCCTCCGACGCCGCGAGTCCTCCCTTATCACCGCAATCCACCACCTCAACCATCGATTCCTCCCTACTGCAACCCGACCCTCTATTCCTCCTTCCTCCCACAATATCCGCCAATCACCGCCTTCCCAACAGCCTGTCGCGCCTTGGTCTTCCTGTCGAAGAGTTCCTCGAAACCCGCCGGCTCCTGTCCATGTACATACAGAAACAAGAAGAGAGCGTAAGAGGTTATGAAGCTGTACTGGGCAAACTGATCAAGGCAAAGAGGATGCGCGACAAGGTCTGGGAATGGAGCAAGACAGAAGGTCATGTCGGCGAGTGGTCCGACGGTGAGGACTGGATCGACGCTGAAGCCTGGGGCCTGACTCCCGAAGAACTCAAGAAGGGCAAAGACGAAGAAGAGGTGGAAGGACAGGAAGACACGGGTAGAAAGGGCAAGAGGAGAAGAAGGGACTAGAAGTCCGATTGCACAACCGAAGGATTAGAATACGTGAGGTCTACAAGGTCTACAAGGTCAACAAGGTCAACAAGGTCACACCCTGATCCCGCAACGTCAGCGTGCGCTCAAGGTGTAGCATAATGAAACCCTCCGTCATGAAGAAATGAAATCACCATGTTCCTTGCTCGTACTTTCTCTCCTCCTTGCAAGGTGCTACGAGATAAAGATTGCTCCGGAGACTATGCAAAGACGCCTGATAACGCCGTTTCTGTATGTCACTAGGCCATCCCCATCAAGACTACAAGGATGAAAGAAGTTGTACTGTTTCTCTTGCGAGGAGCATTTGTCCCGACGCCTTCCCAGCCTTCCTCAATCCGATGCAGCGATCCGAATGCATCAAGTCCCTGACACTCCATCCAATTGGGTCCTACCATGAGCTGCTCCCCTAAAGCGTCTCCTGTCCGGCGGTGGCAGCGGCAGCCTGGTGCTGTAAGCCCACGCCCTCATCATGCTCTTCCGTCGTCAACGTCATTTTGGAATCTCCATCGTGCCCGGCCTCACTCTCGCCGTCGCTGCTCTCTGCATCCTCGATGAACAACTGACCACGCTTCGTCAGCACGCCGGCATCTTGCAGTCTCGCACGCATCCTCCGTCGCTCATCGTCCTGCCACCTCGCCAGCGCGGCCGCCGCGTGGACCCGGAATCCAAAGACCTTGGGCTCGTAGCGCCGCCGTGACTTGGCCGGGACAAGTGCCGGGTAGACTTGGAAAAGGATGTTGTGGAAACTGGAGCCGAAATATGCGCCATCGATGGCCGCGTGCCGGCTGGATTTTGGGTTGTAGATGTCCTCGCACTTTGCGCAGAAGAGTTTGACGGTCTTGAGGCCCGGGTTGTCGCTTGGTCCGAAGGGCAGGAGAGGGTGGCTGTCGCACAGGACACGCGGGCAGCGGCCGAAGTCGTACTTCTTGAATTTGTCGACCATCTTGGCCAGGCCGCGGGTCGTTACGATATATCGCGCGTGCACAAGGCCGTAGAGGTGTCGGGCAGACTTTTCTATCGTCTCGCGCATGTCATCTTCGCAGTCGAGGTCGAAGACGTCGGTGATCAGATCCAGGGCGTGCTGGTAGTAGTGGACTTCCGTGTTGAGACCCGTCAGGTTGAAGCGGTCGGTTATGTATTCTTCATCGATTTCGCAGAAGTATTCGTTGCCACGAGAGGAGATGAACTGGGTAGATTGAGGTGTTAGTTTCGAGCAAAGGCGAGGCGGGAACTGTAAAAATGAGCAAGGCATAATGAGGCGTCCCTTTGACTTGGGGTCTTGATGTGAGATGTTGGGAAAGGAGTAAGGGTTATGACGTCTGCCTGGGGAAGTGTAGTCGCATGGGAAGAAATGATTTTCCCGTGCTCCAAGTGCATGATATGAAAGGGGTTTATTGCTGGTCGGAGCATTTGTTTCACCAGCACGGTTGTAGGCGGATCGAGATAACCGTGGTCTTCATCGGACAAGCAGCCCTCATTCCAAACAGCGTTTCTCTTCTCAGCCCTGTCGGAAAGAGTGCCCTAAGTGCATTCACCCCCGGAGAGTCTTTGACTGATCCGAATACTGGCTCAACCAGGATGTTCCACAGGCAGACAAAGACGGACCAAGTTCACAATTTTCGTGAGCATCACTTCAGACACTCTTTCTTTCCTTCCCTCCACCAAGAAACACAATATCGCTACTAAGAGAAAATGAGAGAAAGGCCAACGTACCCAGTCTCGCCAGTAACTCGTGTAGTCACTGTCGGTTTCTGATTGAAAGTCCTCCATCATATCGGCTGCATCAATCCGTGGGGCTGGAAATGGCGCTCGAGAGCAAGTCCTCTCACTGAGTTGGAAAGACCCAAACACACCGATTACAGGGAAGTGTCGAAGAATCGAGTATGGCTTACAATGTCGTGGCTGTCGGATGCAAGATAATCGTGGATGAAGTGAAATTGGAGGGTGGAAGTGACAATCCACATACTACGCTATTCCATGGTATGCTCCGCAGGACACGAACTACGTTGCCACATTAACCCCTATAAGGAAGCCTTGTCATGTGACCCTTGGCAGCCCCTGATTTCAAAGCGACCTCCCACGACCTCCTTCGTTGCTTGCAGGAGCTTTTCATGCTTTTGAAAAGGTTGGAAACTTTGAAGCGATGAGGGCTTGAGATCCTTGCCATCAGGTGCAGCTTCTGTGGGCAACAGAATACGCAAGAGCCTTCCAAAATGTGAGCTCAAATTGCTAAGCTGCAGCGGCAGGAATTCTCCAGGCCCTACCGAGACAAGACAGAGTCATCCAGTAATGGGAAGGCGTCCATTCGGTCAAAATGCCTGAGGTCTCTGAAGCATAGCTTGGACAAAAGGTCTCATCCTGCTGGTGTTGCTGCTGCCATGGCTGACGAAGCCGTGATGGCCGATATGGCCGATGGGTGCCATGTTCTCCTTCTGGGACGACACGGCATGCATGGGTCCTGGACACCGCCATTCTGTGCACTTCCACATTGGGAGTGACTTTCACCTCGTCAGTTCCTCGATGTACTGCAACGAAAGGCGGACAAGCAAGTATGCCGGCATCAGCAGGCGGTACCATCTTCCGCCCGCCTTTTCTCGCCAGTCACCCTGCCGGTGAATAACAATAACATCGCGACAAGTTCTGATTCTGTCCTTTTCACTATTCTTCCAATCTCTTCAGGACTGTGGCACACATTTGAACAAATCATAAACAGAAATGTCTGTAATGTTGTGCCCCACTTGTGCTGACCGAGAGGCTTTGAGAGCCTTTCAAGAAAACAGTCGTAACTTTGACGCGGAGCCTTCGGAGAGTGATGATGAAGACCAAAAGAATGAAGACGATGAGTCTCCCAGCACAGACGCAACCATCAAACAAGAGTCTGATGATGAAGACCAAAACAATGAAGACGATGAGTCTCCCAGCACAGTCGCAACCATCAAACAAGAGCCACAAGATACCGACGACGCTGAGCTTTTGAGACAATTTGAACAAAACACTGCTGACATGGCTGATGAAGCTCGCGCCTACCAAGACATAGCGTGCTCTTCTCTTGTCGAGGATACCGATACATTGTCCGACAATGAGTCCGAATTGTCGGAATTGTCGGAAGCTGAACTCTTGAGAAGATTTGAAGAAATCGATGGCAGAGAACTTTTGAAGTGCGAGGATGAGAATAAGAACAATGAAGATGTTCAATACCTAAACACAGCCACTTCAGCCGCAGCCATCAATCAAGAGCCTACAGACACCAGCCGCGACGGCTTGGCCGTGCCAGCGTTCCCAGAAACCCCACGACACTTGGCTAATGAGGCTGGTCTCAACGACGAATTCCTTCAGACTGCTCTAAATCTTGACAACCTTCAGTATCCTCTTGAACCAGCTAAAGACACTCCAACATCTCAATATCCTCTTGAGACGGCTGAAGACACTTTACCATTCCAATTTCCTCTTGCACCAGAAGAAGAGAGTCCAACACCTCAATATCTTCTTGAACTGGATGAAGAACCTTTACCACCACAATTTCCTCTTGACCTTGTGGACTATCTTGCAAGACATCATTTCCGACCAGACTACGACACTCTGCCACCTCCCTTACCACCTCGAATCCTTCCTGTTGAACCTGTCCAGAATCATCCACTACTTGATCAGCTGAGACAACATCTTCCTCCAGGAGATCACCATACTCGACCACGTCGAGCTCTTCCTCTTGAAACACTAGCAAACAATTTCCGAACAATGGCGGCTCCTCAACCAAATCCTCAACCAAATCCTCCTGCTCAAGCGCCAGCAACCAATCTTCCTCTCCAGTACCCAGTTCCTCCATTCTTGGTCAACACTGGCTCATCGCAGGCTCCAAACTTGGTGCAGTCCAACATCGGCAACTTCGTCCCACAGATCACGATCCGTGCGGGCAGGAACAACGACGACCGGCCATGGGCCTACGAGTGTGACCTGTGCGGCGCGAGGCTTCGAGTCACAGGAGATTTCAATAGACACCAGAGGGTGGGATCACAGAGAGAGGGCTTCCGCATCGTGCGGGCCGTGCCAGGGGTCGAGATGCGCTGGTACGGAATAGACGACTGGGGCTATTTGTACGTGGGCAACATCATTCGCGTCGGAAAGGACAAACTCCAACGCCAGGGAGGCATCAAGATGCCCTGTGGCCCGAATGTGCGCGCTGCCAAGGCCGCAAAGGCCGCGGCAAAGGCCTAGTCGTCGTTTTGTTAGAATAGATGAGGCTGGTGCCCTCGAGAGAGAATCATGATTGATTGAAGCACCAATTTTCGCAGCCTGTATTCACCCCTTCGTGAGATCTTTAGATGTTCAGTTTTCGCTTTCGTCATCGGTCATGCCCATCATGCCTCTCGAATAGATACTGAAATAAGAGAGACGCCCAGCTTAATACCATTCTTATGAATCATAGTGGACGCCTTTTCTGATGCCCTCCTTCTTGATGATAGTGGACGCCTATTTCAATACCCTTGTTATGAACGATGGTGGCCGCCACTTCTAATACCCTTCTTATGAATCATAATGGACGCCTCATTCAATACCCTTCTTATGAATGATGTGACCCGAAGATATAAGGTCCACTTCAATACCATGTATCTTCTCAAGATCCGAGCGGACGTTAGTATCTTAATGCTCTCTCGGTATTTACCTGTGGAGTGGACGTCTACGTCTCTTTTCTCCTTCTCGGTATGGGATAAGAGGGTCCCAGGGACACACCCACAGCTCTGTGAATAGGATGGCCGCCTACCACAAATCCGCAAAGAGCCAAAGTAAAGCTAGACCTGATTTTTGAGGTCAGTCGAAGCTTACCTATCACTTCCGGGGCGAGGTCTCTCCGACTTTGTTTGGAAATCACTCCACCATCGGAGTAGGGCATTAATAACTCTTGGTGACATTGGCACTTTGTTTTGATGGTGGAATTTTCCAGCAAAACTGACATGTGCAAAAGCTCCGCCTCGTCTCGTGCCCCCCCCTGAAGATACTACGTAGGCGGACCACTCGGAGACTTGACCTGTCGTCTTGGCCTGCACGGTACCTGTTGACTGATTGGATTGAGGCAATACGAAATACGAAGCATTCACCTTATCGAAAAACATCCGAGGTACATATTAGGCGCAGGCCTGTCTCCCTGCTTGGGATTGAACAAAGCAGAAAGAAGACCACCGTTACACCCAGAAAACGATCCGATCCATCTATTACGAGTACCAACTTTCTGCCTCACCAATGTAATTTGAGCAATTGAAATGGCTGAAATCGAATCAAAAATATCGGTACGTTCCCACCCACCTTCCCAGAGGTCGTTTGCGAGGAGACACTTGAGAGAGAAAGCATGTGGGCTAACCTGACGGGGCCATAGGACCTCCATTCTACTCATCTCGAGAAGAGCACATGCACCCCAGCACAAGCATTCTCGCGCACATACCCGTGGCTGCCGACCGAATGGGTCAACGGCACCATGAGCTTTGAGACGCATTTCCAGGACTATGAGATCGAGAATCCAGCCGTGGTTCTGCAGGAGGCTCTCGGTGGTGTTGTGAAATGGCTCGTCGAGGGCATCAAGGCGGAATTAGGAGCCGTTTCTGCGCACGACGGCGAACATGTCGCTGTATGCACTACTAGCAGGCCTTGAATGAAGGCGTTTTTGAATGTTGCATTAATGCCCTTGAGGCCACATCTATATACGCATATATACTCATGAGGGGTATCAGTCTATAAAGCGAATCTAAAGTCTATGTGCAAGTGATCAGCTAGTGTACAAGCATTAGTAAGTGACAAAATTTGCAATGGGTTCCTAGGAGGAGGCCAGTATCATCGGTCGATCGATTTGTTCGTTCTTGTCCTGCTCAGGTCCAACCCAGCTATAGACGTGGATGTGTTGACGCGGTCGATATCGTAGGGACTGGCGTTGTAGTTGGCTGCTTCCGTAATACTGCCAGTATATGATTTGACCTTGGTCAACTCCGTCCGATCAGCACCGTCAAGGGCAGACTTGATGGGCTCGAATCTGGACCCAGATGCTTCTGCATTTGCCTCTCGATCGACAACATCCAGAGTGATCTGCGATGACGATGCTGCGACAGCTGACGGGCCAATATTATGAGCGGCTTTGGCCCGCAGTTCGTTCATGGCTGCTTCCGCTCGAGCAGCGTAGACGCAGCGGCTGCGAATTGCCGCACCATATTTGTAGAATATGAAGGGAAACGGAACGCAGGCCACTGCCAGGAATGCCGGGATTGCGCTCCCCCAATGTATTCCCAGGCGATCGAACATATCGGGCGTGAAGAGAGGAAAAGCCGCACCGAATAGCGACCTGAGCACGGTGTTTGCCGCGAGCACCGATGCCGCAAACACGGTGTATGAATCGATCAGGTAGTTGGTGACCACAAGGAAAAGAATGCAAAAGCCGAAGCCGAATGGCACACCGGCGAGGACGGGCGAGATCCAATGAATCGATGGCGAATTTGTAAAAGCGAACCAGAACAGGCCGACTGGTACAGCGGTTGCCCCGTAAAAGGCTGGTGGGAGTCGTGCTTCCGCTGGAGCGATGCCACCATTCTTTGCAGCCGCCCTGAGGTACCATTTGTTCGCATAGCCCGAGAATCCAATGCCGAGCACTTGTCCAACGGCAACTCCGAGGAAAGGAAGGCCGCCAATCCCTTCGGACCAGCCACGTACTTGTTGGAAGACGATCGGATAAGCGCCGAACAGAAGATAGAGGGTGCCTGCCAACGTTAGTCCTCGTCAAGCTTTGTGAAGTTGCGGTGTCACTTACCATAGACAATTGCAATGTACAGTGACAACAGCAGGACAATTGGTTCCATGAAAAGGAGGATCCATGGCCTGAGCAGAGCTGTAGGCAAGAGCGACTTCAGCGAAGGTCGACCCTTCTCCTTATCTGCTTGCAGCATGTACACCTTTCCAGTCATCTTGCAAAGCTTGTCCACTCGTCGTCGAAGGATGACTGGAGCATAGGTCTCGGGGACAAAGACCGCCCCAAGAATCCAAAGCACTCCGGAGAATATTGCCAAAAGCCCCATGACCCATCTCCAGCCTTGATTTTCTGCGAGAAAGCCACTGCAGAAAGGTCCGATAGTTGGTCCCATGCTAGGGGCAAGAGCGAAGATACCCATTGCTAAGCCTCTTTCACTTGCTGGAAAGATGTCCGCGATCACGCCTCCAGCATTGGTAAAAGGGGACGAGCCGAATGCACCTGCGAAGAATCGCAAGACTAAAAGGGCGCCGATGCTGTTGGCGCCAGCACAGGCTGCGTTGAAAGCTGTAAACCCGCAAAAGCTGATGAAGAACATCATTTGGCGGCCGTAAATTTCACTCAGAGGCGCCCATAGAAGCGGTCCTGTCGCAAATCCCAGAACGAAAAGTGAAATGCCTGCGGTGATCAGCTCGGTGCTGGCGCCGAAGTCGAAGATCAGCTCCCGAATCATTCCTAGCGAAACGATATCAGCAAGTCTTTCAAAACACAGTTACACGCCTTTCACTTATTCAACGTACCGCTAAAAGTGCTCGAGGCGAACGCCGCAGCCAGCATCTCAACGGCCACGATCCAGCTGATCGTCCATCTTCGAGATGTAGTCCAATTGAAAGGGTTGCCGACATCATTTGGGATATAGGAGACGATGTATGGATCTTCGCGTGTGCCCGAACCTGGATACGGGTGCTTGAGTACTTCTTGGGTGACTCGAGCTTGATCGAGAACGAGACGGAACACGGAGAGATGTTTTGGGCCTGGATCTTCGAAGTCGCCCTTCTCGGCCATGGTGTACGTGCGAGTCGTCTGGGCTTCGGGATGAGATTTCAGTTGCATCACATTTCAAGGCACAAAAGAGACGAGACAGGAAGGGTGTGTACTTATCTAAAAGAGGCATATAATTGCATCATAATCTTTCGCCGGCTAAAGGAGGGTTATCGCCATGAAGCATGTGGATATCCTTAAGCAGAGAAGCACAATTTGGCAGCATGCCACTTTGGAAACCTTCGGTCGCGTCCACGTCTTGAGGTTGATCGGTCCGCCGACGGTGGAACATGGACAAGAAGCACTGCCGCAACCACAACATCGTGCACGATCTTTGCATGGTATCGGCATCGCCGCTGCAGCTCGGTCTTGCCTAGATGATTGGCGACTTGTCTCGGCCGCAAGCTTGAGATGTGCACGGTTGAGCTAGGGGTTTATCCACTAGGTGTCAAACTTCGGATAAATGGTGCCGAGCCATATCGTGGCAGATTGACATGCACAGACACTCAAGTTGTAAACTCCTTGAGAGAAGGACGATGAGAGCACTGCTTTCAGGTACTTGACGAGATTATCTCGGTCTTGGTTGTAACTTCAAGGTGTATCCAGCTGTCAATCTGTAGCGCTGGCATCAGTCTGAGCATTGATACGACATCATAGCAAGCTTCAAAGGGGTCACGAAATTTTCAATGACAGGATAGATAGCGGCCAAGCATAATTGCCACGCACAGGCTTTATCCTTCGGGTGGACACGAGCATAAGTCAAGGCAAGTAATAGCTCCTGAGCCTTGTGAGCCTCGGTAAAAGTGCCATCAGTGCCATTGGTAGACTCCACAGCCTCGTGCTGTGTCCACGTCGCTTGTCGATCCAATAAATGTTGGGCACCGATGGGTCATGGCCGGATATTGTAGCGTGCCGAGGTTGATTGATAAGGGTTCAAGAGTTCGAGGGCCTATTGCCTGGGCTCGGACTCCTGGGAGATTTTCACCAGACTAATCATCGGGACGTGGCCACACTGGCTTCTGTCTTCCACTACTGTCACAGTCCGTTGGCTTGCAACAACGCAACCCACAGCATTCACATGCGAGTTGCTGAGGAGAACAGACGCTCGGGTGAAGGTCTCAAACATGCCGTTAAAGGGGCCCTGGCCACGCGGATATCTTGTGCACAGGTTGGCATGCTCCTGTCATTACTTTCTCACAGCATAGCCCTCCTTTGGCGCTTGATTTTCAGCACATCATCCAGAAACCTTTTCGGTACATCAACCACCTTGTCACGGATGTAGTCCGCAAATCCCTTGCCCAAGCTGTCAAGCAATCGACAACTACTCACGCCCCGGCCAAGAGGCCCATAAATCACAAAGTGAACGGCCCAGATGTTCGGAAACTCCACTCTCTCAATGTAGAAATCACCTCTCCAATCTTGACCCATGACTTCTTGCAGTCTGGCGCGAGTCATGAAGGATTGTAACCAAGGGTAATGCTCTGCACAACGAACGAAGATTCCAAAGTTGATATTGGCACCCTTGTCTCCTGACCGGGCAAGACAGATGTCGCCCAGTCGACCTTCGCATGTTGATCCAAATGATGCAAGTCCAAATGGTTGGGCAGTCTCATAACTCTCCCTAGGTTCCAATTTCTGGTATCTGGGAGGATGGCCTGCATCTGCAACTTGTACATCCTCGGCCTCGGCATCGGCAGACAAAATGGCCACACCCTCCTGTAACCTGTCCTGCGGGTAAAGCGCCGGATAGAAAGCGAGGTACGGTCGTGGGAACGCTGTTCTTGTGTCCAACGATAGATGCATGCCGGAGAAATGTTGCATTCCAATCTCGCTCCAGCATTTCAGCAAGCCATAGATGGTCGTCTCGGCGTCTGCTTGCACGAAGACTCGACAATATGTGGTACTGGCAAATTGTGACCGTGGATTGGCCTCTGGAATGCCTAGGACCTGGAAATCCAGCAACTGGAACTTATCCAGGAGTCCTTTTTGCTGCAGATCATATCGCAGCTGTTTTTCGAACAGTTGAAACTTTTCCTTGGTCGCATATCCAGTTGCGTTGATCAACAGCTGTGCCTCGAATCCACCATGGTAGAAGATGGCTAGTTTCGTCGTCGGAGGGGGAGGATATCCTTTGACGTTTGAGAGTCTGACACGATTCTTGCCAACTTGCTCGATCTTGATATCACTGATATTCGCGGACACGTCGGAATTGAGATATATTGCGCCTTGCAATTCATACAGGAACTGGCATTTGACGTTGTCTTCGTTGATGAGCCCGTTCGTGTTCTCATGTTTGGTGATGACTGCAGTCCCATCGTCGGCGACTTCTGCAATGCCATACACAAGGTCCACAAAGGTGCTCAAGGGGTACTCATCGAATCCCGAAAAGTTCGAGCCTGTCACATATGCAGAGCATTCGATCAAGTGGCCGGCAACAAGCGCCCCTGCAAGTCTGTCGTAGTCTTTGTCAGACCATTTGTGCCAAAACCACGCCGCGCCTATGACCGGACTTGCGTCTGCGACTCTTCCACAAATGATGACATCCGCTCCTAGTTCAAGCCCTTTGACGATGGCTCGGGCTCCAAGGTAAGCATGCGCACTTACGATGGGCTTCCCATCCAGGTCCAGCAACGCCGTAGCATTTTGGGCCAAGGACACGTGTTCATTCTCCTCGTCGAGGTGCTGCGGCAGCTTTCCTGTTCTCTCCAACCCACTTCTGATTTCTTGCATCAAGTCATCTCCGTAGACATACGCGACCTTCAGATCAAGACCCCTGTTGTTGATGAACTTCTGTGTTTTCTTCGCCAGTCCTCTTGGGTTCAAAGCACCCCCATTAATGACGATTTTTATGCACTTGTCCTTGATGATGTCGAGGGTCTGCTCCAGGCCGTCCCAAGCGGTCGGTTCCCAGCCATCATGCCGGCCCAATGCCAGTTTCTCGGCATTCTCAGCCAAATTCATTTCGGCAAGATAGTCCCCGGTGATGAAATCGACTTGTCCGTAGGTTGCCTGCCGCCGCATCTGATACCCCGGGTCACCACGGGCTCCGGAACAATTGGCGATGCGGCATGGCCGTTTTGTACGGTCCATTGTTGGTCGGGATTCACCCATCCAAGATAATCAGGCGAGGGAGGATAAATAGTGTTGAGTAGCACAAGGTGTTTGCCAAACAACGTGAGTCGAGGAGCGCTTCTCCAGTCAATAGCTGAGAAACGTTCCTCATCTTCCTCAATAGCCTCGGGCTATCTACCCCACACTTTGAATGGTACAACCTCAAGGACCGCGGTCCCCGATCCCTTCTACCTATCGCACCCACTAATCAGATGCGGAATCAATTGGAATGACTTCACATCACGACAGTTCCCACGCAAGCTGTCTCAGTCAGGACAGCGAACGTTGTAATGAGCCCTTCCGTTGTGGGCTCGGCGTCATACTGCGAAGAGCTGCAATGTCCGCAGAGCAAGAACGGCACGAAACAGCTCGGGGCCGTCCACTTCTTGACGAACGCTGTCGATCGCTACTTCGGTCGGCAGCCATGTTTGAAGAGGTCCGTCAATAGCTAGGTCGTCCCGAGGCGGTCACTATAAAAAGCAAAGACCGACTTGTCATCAATCCCGATTGGCGACCTTGATAGCTGAACAGTACTCTGTGTCCACTGTTTCCGCATGCTTTCTTCCCCAGAGGCCTCAAACCATCAGAATGTAGGTAATGGTTGGGTCCTTGATGAGTGCTCAGGGGTGTACGAATCCAGGTAACCACGTGATCTGTTTGGCTCTTGTCGTTCGCCAATTTCTCCGGGTTCTTGATCATGCGTGATTTTGGCGGTGCCCGCCGAGCACCTGCCAGGTGGTCTGACTTGGTCAAGTGCCTGTAAGATTAACTCACGACCCACCCTCCTCATATTCCGATGGACGGTGCGTTATATCGGGGTGTAGCTTACGGCAGCTTCCACCAGTGCGATGGAAGGCCTTTAAGACGAATACCTTGGCCTCGACTATTCGTTCCGCTCCGATACTGACCCCAGAGAATAACCATAACGTGGAGGTTGAGGTATAAAAAATGGCAGAATTACTTCTTGAACAATGCTCTTCGCTACCTAGCAGCAAAAAGACAGGTATTCAAAATCAAACACTGCAAGCATCTCCTCCTACTACCACTACTACTACTACTACAACAACAGTACCCAAAATGACGAGGCGCGATTCCGAAGTGTCATCAGACGCCTCTGTACACCCAGAAAGCACAACATCCTCGCCTGGCTTGAGCAGAAGTAGCACTGACCCTGCCCATCGCGAGCGACGTAACTCAAGACTTGGCCAGGCCATGGATCACATTCGACAGGCTCTCTCGCAAGAACAAGAAAGATTGTTCGGACCTCACAAGATCGCCCAGCAGCGCCGCCAATACCAAGCCAAGGTTGGCGAGCGTCTAGAGCATCTACGCGAACAAGACAAGATTGTTCGTGCCCGGGCCGAAGCCGAAATGGCATGGGAGGACAACGACAACAACGGCGCCAGTCCGGCCGTTCAAGCCCGTAAGACCTTTGACTTGAACGAGAACTCCATGGGCGCTGACTCCGAAGAAAACCGGGAAAGACAAAAGAGTTGGGGCTGGCCCGGACTCGGCACCTTCCCAGAGGCACCCAAAGACCCGGCAAAGACTCGACGAATGAGCGTTTCTCCAGAGAGAGCCGCAGAATTGGAGCACAAGGTGGAGGAGGCAACGTACGAAGCCATTGATAGCGCTGCCGAATCCGAAGCTTACGGCTGGCCAGGAGTCGGTGAATTTCCCGTGCTTAAGAAGAGATGAGCGATTGTATTGCAATGAAACGGCGAAACTATAGGCAATTGGATTTGGAGGGACGACAAAGGGTCTCCGACTGAGCGCTCAGCACGCACCGCAAAGACATGGGATTCGGATTCCGTACTGTGGTATTCGTCAAGACGTCGACGCGCGGGAAATGGGCGTTAATTGACAGAAGGCCCTGAGCCATAGTGCACAGTATGTAGCAACAAATGAAGCAATTACCCTCTCCCCGTCAACTGGGAGCATTGCAAAAGCCGTTCTGACGAGCCGTTGTAATGACGCAAATGCCATCAAAGCCTAGATTGTTCTCGTCCTTTTCTTCAGCACGTGGTTTGGGTAGCATGACAGCCTAGGAAATGACGTGCGCGCCGAAGTTTCTAGCCGGATCGAGACCCACCTCGCAAGTCATGTGCAGCCCTCCATTTGTAATGACGTATTGCAGCCTTTCACTTCAAGGACCATGGAAATGGACTGCCACTGCAGACTTCCAGGTTGTCTAGAGTGTAAGGTAATCATTCAAATAATCGACGAAAGGGCTCTGAGAAGCACTGATAGATGAACGAGGACTAGAATTGACAATATGGTGTGAGCCTCCTGGAGTGGTGGCCCTGGAGTTCAGGAGGGGAGTGAAGGGACCCCTGAAAGCGCAGCCTCAGCCTTACCATACACAGCACTGGTGCAGCATACTACTACTAGAATCTCGAAATTTCTAGGCATGTCTTCCCCCTCCACCACAATTGTTCGTAAGACCCAAAGCGGAAATATCAACAGCCTCTAGAAACTTCACTCACGATCATACCCCGCTCCTGATGAGTCGTCACGCCTTTTCGAGAACTTTCATCCATCCCTCCTTCACGCGTATAAATGTACCCTCCTCATGCGCCCATTTACATTCCCTGCGTTCATCAGACAACAATCAGCATACAATTTCATGACTAGCACTTTGCGAAGACTACCACATCGAGTTCTCACAACAACCTCTCGCGTCACCAAGCCAACAACAACAACAACAAAAGCCTTCAACACTACCACCCAATCACGCAACATGGCTCTCTTCCCACGCTTCGGCTCTGCATTCGGACCGTACCGGCACGAAATGCAACCATTCTTCAAACTCTTCGACGACACCTTCTCGGAGCTGCAAAAGATCCAGGACACGGCCCAACGCAGCTTCACGCCCAAGTTCGACGTCAAGGAAGCCAAAGACAAGTACGTCCTCGAGGGCGAGTTGCCTGGCATTGAGCAGAAGGACGTGACCATCGAATTCGCCGACGAGTCCACCCTCACCATCAAAGGCCGCACCGAACACTACCGCGAAGAAGGCCAGAAGCCGTCTGCTCAACAACAGGGCCAGGGCCAGCAAGGAGCAGAACAAAAGCAGCAGCAAGAGTCCTCTAGCACAGAGGTCGCAACCACCGGCAGCAAAGAAGTCGGCAAACACGAGCCTCAACACACATACTGGGTCTCGGAACGCAGTGTCGGTGAATTTGCTCGGAGCTTCGCTTTCCCGACCCGCGTCGACCACGAGAACGTCAAGGCCAGCCTGAAGAACGGCATCCTCAGCGTCGTTGTGCCAAAGCTGCAAAAGGCTCCCGCCTCCAGAAAGATTGAGATCAACAACGAGTAGAAAAAGAAGACGCCACTTCAGCTCTGCAGCCAACCAACTTCAAGATGGCGCAACACCGAGTTTCTTCAGCGCTGCCTTTTCTCCTGTACAACAACAACAACAACAACGACGACGAACAACTCCAACAACTCCAACATCATTCCTTTGACATACTACGGAGATACGACTATCACGAATTCACGAGCTTCATGTAATCATTCCTTTGCATTGTCAACTGGCGTTTTCTACTTGCTGCACGGGCGTGAGCTGTCTCAAGGGCTAGCGTTACTTCTCAAACCCACCAAAAAAGAACTCACAAGCATATCTCTGGCATTCCTACAATAGCTTCAGATAGTTTGCTCTAATCAAACCAAGTTTCAACAAACATATTCTGTATGAATGTCCGTCCTGCGTGTTCTCCCTCCCGTCGGTTTTCTTTTCGTTATCCTCATTCCACCTCTTGGATATGTCCCACAAGTCTAGTCGTGGTGGGAGTGATGGTAGGGGTAGGATGTAAAAGCCAAGGTATCATAAGCCTTTAATGCGCTTCACCTAGATGATAGATGAATTGTAGTAGGGAGTAAATATCATGCTGGGGTGTTTTGAAGAGTTGCCAACATCAACAACAATGGGTTACGACAAAGAACCAGTGCTCTCCTGATCTGTGTTATGTTATGTTATGTGGTGCATGTTGTCTTGAAGCGAACTGTTTCTTCGCTCTGAACTTTCTTCGGCTGCAATGACCTGCATACACGATGATTGGCGTAAGTAGACTGATGACCAATGTTACTATGTTACACCCGGGTTCATACCACTGATACTGATGGAAGCGAACATGGAACCTCTATGCCGCTGGGCAATGTGTCGGTCTTCCCTCGCAGTCGCTCGGAGAGACTATCAGACACTCCCAGGGTTTCAAAAGTCAGATGCGAGCGACCCTATCCTTACACATCGCTGCTAAATCTCGCGGATTCCTTCTCCCAACGCGGTCGATAGAAGATCAGCTGAGTTCACGATGCAGGACAGCAAGGAGTTGCAAGAGGGTGGTTAGTCGTATGAGACTACAATCGGGAGAAGCTAGAAGCGGGAGAATCTGCAACCTACAGTACTGTGTATGTCATAGCCCGTAACACGTGTTACCAAAATTTGTCCCCAAGCTCGAGTGGTTTTCTGCTTGATGTTGTACCCAGAGTCCTGCCTTACTGCTGCTGGACTCACGAGACCTCTCCTGACCATCAGGTATTGTAACAGCGAGATCCCAGTGTACGAAGAGTTGCCTCAGTTAGATCGGCAGCGATTAATACGTGCACACTTCGTCTTTGGAAAGGTGTTGATGTATCAGGTCTGGTGATGGTCAGTAACTTGAGACCGACGTACCGTCATCAGAGGCAGGATCCTTGCATCCTGGGAGGCTGCTTGTTTCCTCTGGATCAGTATGACCATCGAGTCGACGACATGGTGCAGATTACAAGACAGTCAACACTGTAGGGGTAAGACCGAAGTAGTTCTGCTGGAACACCTGACACTGACACCGATCCCGTCAACCCTCATGCGTGAAAGTGGATCTCGAGCTTTCTGCGGCATGAGCGTTCAAGGAGTACCTGCTTGACTCTCAGCTTGGTATGACCTTTGTGTGGGGACAGTCATGTCCTGTACAAGACCATGTTTTTGCACATGATATCATCTCTGAAGGAAGCTTTTAATTAAAGCTTGAAGAGAGGGCTAGTCAGGTGCGGAATGCAGACAAATCTAACAGTTGTCTCGAAGAGCCGAATACAGACCCGAAAACAGACCTGATTGGAATGCAACACCTCCTGCAGGGAGGGAGTGTCTGCCGAGAATAACACGGACAGTTGCTGCCGAATGATGTAAGAAATCGCAAAGGCGAGTAGAACGCCAGAAGATTCTGCAACATCTAGTGTGCTGAAGTGCTGCTAGTTGTCATTTTCTCCCGAACTACCTGCAATGTCGCCGAGTTGCAAGAGCGAACGATAATGTCAAGCCATCGAGTCGGTATCAATGAGGCTTTTTCCCCCTACGTGCCCGTTTTGCCTGGCTTTATGAGGCGGCATCAAGTAATTATTGACGTTTGTGACGGAAACCCTTGAGAGACTTTTGGTATCAGTGAAATATACTCGCCGGAGTGATCTGCTCAGAGCAGCGGGACATACAGACCCTCATGTCCTTGGGACCTGTACGGGACATACCCGCAGATTGGCCTGGGCACAATCCACTCCGTCTGTTATGGCGGAAACTTGCATGTATCGGCAGCTGTATTCAGAAGAGGAAGAATCATACATCCCTGTCAATTACGAGACATGAATGTTGTTAGAGATTAGGTTGCTATCCAAGGAAAACGTCGTGGAAGTCGGTACCCGACCTATGGGAAAACGAGATGCTGTTCGACCAGGAAACTCGCAGGTGCTGCCATGAGCCAATTTATTTTACCATGGTGGAGTGACAGAGCTCGTTTGGTGGGCGAATTCCCTATGGCGAGTGGCGTGTGGTGGCTCTTGCTCCCCTGCTCCCCATATCGGCGGGTGCCGTAGGACCAATGACGCCTGTTTCGACCCTGAAAGGTTCAGCCTCGTACCCGTAGAAGTGGCTTTCGGGTGCCTCTGTCGATAATCTTCCGCTGGAAGCGTGCCGTGGTTTGATGCAGTCAGCTGCCCTAGACGTATTTCCCGCCATATCTGGCCATCACCAGATGGCTCGAGAAACACTCCTGAACTGTCCCTTGTTTCGAGCAAGGCAGGCTCATTGGCAGCGGAGCGGAGTCCTGCTGCGTTCATTTCGTAATCGCCGGTGGCAGTCTCAAATGCCACCCCTGTCTCCGCCCAGACCAATGCTTTTGTGAAATCCATAAATGGGCCTTCGAGACACTGTCTGGACAACGGCTCATCATCTCACCAATCCAGAAAGACACCCAAGTCTAGCACATCATCACCCAACCAACCACATCACTCATTCTTTGGGACTTTACCCAATATGGTACAATACGACCCGTTCGCTCAGATGTTCAATGGTGCCCTTCCAACGCGTGAGAAGGGTGTGGACTGGACGGACGCTCAAGCAGATATTGCTCGCTCACCAAGTAAGTTCGTTGTGCCCGCCCAGTCAAACGGTTTCTGACATTGTCTAGGTCAGACGGAGATGCCTGGAGCAGTTCACCCACGCCTGAGGAGGCTATCCCAGAGTCACACCCCTCCACAGCCATTCTGCTCGAAATGCCATATGCGGCGATCGTCTCAGAACCTCATCCTGACCCGCAGTCATTCTCACCACAGTGAAGATGAAGGTTATGAGAGCTTCTGTCCAGATATCTGCATGCCGACAGAGCTTCCTCGTCCTCGCAACCACACCAGAAGACATTCGGGTCTTTGCCCAGGCAATCTCATCTCGCAAGAGCACAGCGACGGCAGAACCTCGCCAACCCAGATGACTGTCAAGTATTCCTCGGCCCAGCACAATTCAGGATACAATAACAAGTGTCACTGCGAGACCGTTATCCCGACCGAGAACTTGAGTGAGAGATACGGGCTGGTCGAGGAACCAGAAGAGATCAAACCACAACGACAAAGCCTGGACGCGCAAGCCGCCAATGAGATGGCAGAGATCATGCGTGAGGAAATGATGGCCGACATGGAGGCCCGACAGTCCATGCTTTGAGGAGATACATTGATATCTCCAGTCATGATTTTACGAAAATGTAACGTCAATGGACCGGCACCGTGCACAGGAAGGGAAACGGCGTTTAGGTCCTGTTGTATGCCACTCGATGGCGGCGGATTGACGATGGGACCGGCGTTGACGGGATCTGGGCAGGCTATTGGAGGATTCACAGCACCATGGCAGACGCCGGGGCACTGGCTACTCACATCGTTAGTTGTGAAACGCCGTTCAGGTGTATATATCTGCTGGGCAGGGGCGGCACACAATGGACATCGTCGAGCAGCCAAGCTTCAAGCCATTTGGACAATGCAACCCTGACTCGGCAGGCAATTTGCAAGTACCTTGAGGTATGGACGAGTCTTTGCAGATTCTAGTTAGTCAAACTTTACCATAGTCATGACTAAGGTAGTTCTTGGGCGGACACTGTCACAAATGTCTCGAGCTTCAGAATCGTCCCAGGCACTAAGAGACGGCACCGCTTCACCAACAGGCTGTTTCGTCCAAAACCCGCGCGTTGTTCTTCCTAGCAACATGAAGTGACGTTGGAGCCAAGGTAGCAGGAGGAACACGCAGGGCGTCTGGAGAGAGGGCTGTATGAAGGAGAAGCGTCAGAGGTGGTACGCTCGTACGGTTGAAGCTCTCTGGAGACAGCGTCTCGTTTGGCGGCCATCATTGGGCTCACCAGGCTGGCGTTGCCGCAGGCCGATAAGGCTGATGAGGCTCGCTAAGCCATCAATTGACAGGCGTGACAGTGTCCAGTTCTCGGGTGAAGTTGAACCGAAAGGCAGGATGTTCGTAGGAGTCGAAGGATGCGTCTGGACCTTTTCTCTTCCCAACATCACACCACTTCCCACCTCCATCTCATCAACCACCAGTCTCAAAAGGCCGCTCTATTCATCACCATTTCCCGTTCCTTCCCGGAGATTTCGGTCAATTACCGTGTCCTTGTCGTACCAGATCTAGAGCTCGACAGTTCTCGTTCTCATACGCCTTGGGTCTCGAGGATCTAGAATACGACCCGGGCTGCGTTATTTCTACGCGATTTTATGGCACCACACTTCACCATTCTGGCCTGTCATTCGGTCCATGAACTTCATACTATTGTCTAAGTGCAATACTAGCATCAAACCCATATACAAGTCCTCCCAACTGTTTCGGCTGTGTCGGCCTTGTCCCAACGTTTATCCAATAAGCGCTCATCATGAGATGGATTGTGTGCGTTATTGATCCATCAGCACATACCATGATCTGATTATCCTCGAACTAAGCTCCTATGAACCAACATCGAATCTCGCCGGGCCCAATGATCGTTCCTCCCTTGGACCGCTCTCCGCTACACCCCCAGGATCTCGTTACTCAGCCGACCATCTCATGATGTCCGCATCGAATATGGCCCATACGCCGCAGGGGTAAGGAGCTTACGGCCAATAAGAAACTGTGGTCCGTTGTGCCATTGATTACTAGCCTCACTGTGAGCGTTATTGTCCTGTGCCCGTGACATGAGTTGCTCAATGGACGAAAGCTCTCCCGCAATGACAGTGACGTTGCAAGAAATTTTGGTTTTCGTGCGTGCATGATTGTTGCAGTCTGCTTACGTCCCATCGAGAGCTGGTCTGCTAACACGTATATATTGCACACTGTCGCTGCCCGCCTGTGCCACTCCTTCTCCCCATTGCAGCCACCCAGCAGTCTAACAACCAGAAGGGACCAATATCGAAAAGACCGACCACACAGGCAATTCAGACCAGGCCGGTAATTGAGCGTACGCCAAAAAAGAAAACCATTACTACTAATTCCAAAACCCCCCAAACACATTCAACACCATGCCGGGCCTCCCATACGCCGTACCAGCAAACTACGTTATCCGCCTCGTCGAGGGGAGCAATATCAATCAGGCAGCACCTCAGCAGCCCACTGAACCTATCCAACCGCACGAACACCCTACACATTTCCAATTCCCCCGCGTGTCACTGCACGAAATGACCCTGAAGACGCACTACCACGGCCCGCACAAGCCCGAACAAGTCTCAGCACCCCGAACGGCCGGCGTCTTCGCCCCGGCCACGGACATCCGCGAGACGCTGCGCTCGTACCACATCGAGATCGAGACCCCAGGCGTCACGAACAAGGACAGCATCCTGATCCAATGGCTCACGCCGCACACCCTGCTCGTCCAAGGCGAAGCAAAGAGACCCACCAACATTGGGCTTCTCGACAACGCCGAAGGCAAGAGAGTCTGGGAAGGCGCCTCCGGCGAAGGATGGCCCACCGAGTCGGGACATTATAAGGTTAGTACTCATCGCGCACTACTTACTATTCCAAAGACATCCCCCATGAAAGCTTCCCCCCTTATCCCAGCCCATGCTATGGGCACAACATGTGGCTGATTGGTACTTGTACACGAACTAGACGTCCGAAGACGGCGGCCCCATCATGCGCACGCCATCCCGAGAAACCGTCGAAGCCGAGCTCATGGCCGATGTCATGCCGACCGTGCTCTTGTCCGAGAGAAAAGTCGGTCCGTGGAGACGAACATTCACTTTGCCCGAAGACGTGGAGATGAAGGAGCTCAAGGCCAGACTCGACGGGGGCTTGTTGAGGATCGATCTTCCAAAGCGCAGTCTCGAGGATGAAGCCGAAATGAGAGGCGGTGGGATCAAGATCGAGATTGAATAGATGGATGAATGGGTTGGCATTGGCTTCGAGTGGACGGGAGCGAATACCAGGAACTGAGTGTTTTTGAAGGGGAAAATGCATTTATGGCTAATACTTACGATGGGTTTGAATCAGCATGCAGGAAGGGAGGGATCTTGGGTACGACTGGCAGGACTGGTAACTACTAGGCAATGGGTTCTTGTACGACGAATACTTACCTAGGTATATCTGAACGGGGACGACTTAATTGCTCGAACTCACTAGGGTGGTCGGATATGAAGCCTTATCATCTACAGCTGTCTCCCCGGTTTCTCACGGTTCTTTCTTCGTCAAGGCAGAGGCTAAGCTGTGTGCGAAATTCTCATTCAGCCGTGAGAATCTCGAGCAAGGCCTCGAATACTTACGTTGCACGCAAGAGCTCCCAGCCATGCTCGATTCTAGGAGAAGTTGCTAATCGTTTTGAATCCCGTTCAAGGACAGCCCTGCGGATTGGGTAGTAGCCTTGATGCGAGTCAATCTTCCCCGACTCGCATCAATGTAAATTTCGGAGCGTATTAATCTCCTACGAATACTCTGTAAACTAGGTGGCACCGCAACAGATAGCACTTGAAGGAAACGCTCGTTTTGTGTCAAAAATTTGGTACTTGCATTTCCACAAGGTACTTTTTAATCTCGAATATTTTTCCGGGCTCTCTCTTGCTCTCAGAGATTCTTCAGCGTATATACTAGGAATTTGCCCCCCTGATTGCGTCGCAGATTTTCAAAAACTGCTTCTTCTCCCACGCTGCGCAGTCCCACGTTGGTAAATAAAACGTGCCGAAGAACTCCCTCAGGCATCCTTCAAAACTTGCCTTCCCATGGTAGCAAACCCCAACAACCGGCATGCCTACCGACAATGCCGGAATCAAGCAACGCCTTGAAACAGAATCTTGAAAGATCCATCTGACACCCATGCTTCGCGAGATTTCTCGACGTTGCGAGCTCCGCTTTGTGTGAACGCACAATAATGTCCTTGCAACGCCGAAGAGAGGGAAAAAAGGAGGATGGAGTCAGGATAAAGGAAACTCGTCACATAGTGTTGCCTGTCCACAATCAAACGGCTTGCACCTGCAGGTTGACCATCTGCTTGAGCAGACTGCAATCCTCGCATCGGACCAACTTCTCCAGTACCCTAACCCTATCGCTAAGTCTTTGGATTTCATTTTCCATATGCCGCATTTCGACTTCAGTCTGGTTGACGTAGTTCATGGCTTCGGTCAAGACATCGCTCTTGCGCACTTTGTTTGCGGGCACCACGCTGGGTGCGTCGCTCTCGTCATCTTCATTGGCTCTGGGTCCGTAGTGGGACGACTGGAGCGTGTTGTGTAACTGCGCGATCTTCGCGTTCAGGTTTTCGCGGTACTTGCGCTCGACAAGAGAGTGCGCTTGTTTCGCTCGTTGTTTCGCGTCGGCTTTCGATGGCGCGGTCGGTTTCGCGGTCGCTTGCCCTTCCTCGTCGTCATCTGAGGCAATTGTGCTTGCGGCGACTGGAGCTGGCTTGCTGTTTCGCGCTTGTTTCCGCGCCGCAGCCGCCCTCGAATTCCGTGGTGGCAGCGGCACGGACTGGATCTGGTTGTCGTTGGATGAAGCTGATGATCGGCGGAGAGTGGATTGTGCGGTGCTCGACCTCGAGCTGAGGCTTGGTCTCTGATGTAAAGGAACGACGCTGTCACTGGTGATCATGGTCTCGATGGGAGATGTCGTTTGGGTTATGCACGGGACAGAGGTGCATTCTTCGATTGGAGGAAGGGTAGTAAAATTCATGCAAGGAGCATCTGGACCACACCTTTGTGGCTGGCAAGAATCAACTTGGCCGGCTATCAGTGGGCAGAGCTTTTCGTCATTCCTGGTGGTGATTGAGATCGAGATGGGATCAAGCGTGGACACGGGAGGCGAAGTGTTGAGAGAATCAGCAACTGACAATGAACTTGTCATGGTACTGCCGTCGTTAAGCATGTTGGAATCACCGTCGGTGCGTGAGCTCATGCTCGACTGATCCAGCGACGTAAGATCAGCGTCCATATTGAGAAGTTGAGAGTAGCTGAACGGCCCCGTGGTAAAGAGGTCTCCTGAGAGAGGCGACTGCTGATGATTAGACCCGGTGGAGTTGTGTCGTCGGGTCGACCGTAGATAGGCCAGAGGGTCAATATCGGTGTCCATGTTGGTCGAGTACTTTGGACCCTGTACCTGCTGAGGATTGGAGGCGGTCGTGGAGGAAGTGAGGGGGCCTGTGGTAAAGTCCATCTCATGCCACCCGGTGTAATCGAGTGAGTCGGGATCAACAATGGCTAGTTGTTGGGTATGACCCTGGTTTTGAAAGTCATGAGAGCCATGTTGGCCTGAATAAAGGTGTCGAAACGGCATCGTTTCAGCGGCTGCTCAAGGCTTTTCGGTATTGAAGCCTGAGGCGTCAGAACCTGTTTTCGCGTGAGATTGGGTCCTCCGTCAACGGGCGGATTGGGCCCTGGAGAGTGTTCGGGCGACTGTCTGGCGAACGAGATCGTGCTGACGGCCGCTTCACAGACCCAAAGGTGAGCTGGTGAGGACGCTAGAGATTCAGAATGGGAAAGCTCTGTTTTGCTGGGTATCAAAGAAGGGAGGATGTCAGGCCACAATGTCGAAGCTGGAAGTGAAGGTTGTGTGAGGTCAATCCGTAGTTGTAAGGTGACAAGAAGGGTCGACAGCAACACCTTCGGGAAACGGATGGGGACAGACTTGGGAAGTTGCGCGTACGGCATCGGCTAGACGGCGAGGCAGGGGTGAGTCAAAGTAAAAGAAAAGCAGAAGGTCACACCACGGTGCAGGGATCTGGTAATGCACAGACCACACAGGTGTTGAAGAAGACCAATAGAACTGGGTAGAGCAGCACAAGAAGTCACGTGCAGTAATACCTCGAACAATCCAGACCCTCAATCAGGAGACACTCTTTTACTTGAAAAAATATTGGGTCGCCAAAGGATGAAATACTCAAGCTTGTCCAAAACCGTGATAGCCCGGATTTTCTCTGCGGAGGACGCCGTTGTCGATCTGTTCGAGCCACTAAACACACAGTTCTCGCGGGTTCTCTGCTACAGAGCTGGCACCAAGCTGGTGATCTGATCAACGAGCACCTGATATTCTATCGCTATACTGCTGAATGTCGCTCACCTGTCTGCTGATGAAGCAGAGTCATAGCATTTTCTGCCCATCATGCCATGCCGGGGGTTATGGTCCAACTACCAGGCAGGACTCACTGTGCACAGCTGTTTAAAAGGCCTTGGAAGAATGCGCAGACAAGGTAGGCACTTCTATCACTCCATCGATCGAATCTCGAAAGCACAAGACAATCACAACATAAGCACACGACTCACCAGTCCCAACATCTCTACTCTCTTAGCAAACCACTAAACACCACTCTTCCACCCAATACCAAACCGTCTCCAAACAATCAACATGAACGCTACTCGTCAAATTCTCTCTCGCCGGGTCGTGTCCATGGGCCCCAGACTCACCACACCGGTCCGATTTGCATCAACCTCGCCCATTTCCCACAGCGGCAAAATGACAAAACACGAGAGAGGTGTGATGCGGGGTATTTTCACAGCCGCAACTTTGGCAACCGCAACTGGTGTCCTATATGCAGTAAGTGTTCTCGACCTTGTATTGGAGATGCTTCCGATCGACTTTGCTGCCTCGGGCAAAACGTCGTAAGCGAGAGATTGTTCTAGCCAAGGACTGCGGCTGACCGATGGGGTGTTTTCTAGGCCGCAAGATCAGGAACCAGACAGAACGCCCGATTCGCCAAGAGGAACGCCACCCTCGACAGCTCGAAATGGTTTTTGGAAGGAGCCGATAACAAGCTCTTCAAGTAAACAGCCGCAAGCTGCGTGAGATCTTGGACCTCTAGACCTGCAAGAGTTGATGTGGTTTGCGCATTGAGACACGGCGTCGATCGACCCTCGGTTGAGGTACGATACAGATCCGCCAGTGAGCTCGGAGTTTTCAGGCTGGGGGTTTCTATGTTATATTAGCGACGGCTTCCAATGGGTTTGAGTTTCGACGGGAGTGCAGAAGGATCTGGCTGGAAAAGGCCAATATATTCTCTTGTCAGTCTCGATTGGACAGCAAGATCTTCTTTCGAAAGTACATATTCAAATGGGTATCTTTTTAAGCCTTTTCTGAAGAAAAAGTCCTAAACGCCGTGCTTTTCGCTTGACGATTGATCGCTCAAGCCCCCAATTCCGCAAATTCCTCAACCCATTCTCTTGGTGTCAGATACCACCAACGCCTTGCTAACAATGAAACCAAAAACGCGAAAGCTTTGAGCCGTGCCAAGTCTCGATACGAAGCTGAAAGACGGCCAAGCACGTCTTGGAGTCCAGCTCTATCCCAGATGTGCCGAAGGATTACGGATCATTGGTGCGAGTGGTCGAATGGCCCATAGATCGGCTTGGTCTTCTTCTGCGTCTTCGGGCTCGCTTGAACTGGACGTCGGAGAAGTGCACGAGGACCACTGGCCGTCTGAGCCTTCGTCGTCGGTGTAGCTCTCATCGCTCCCAGCCGCTGTGTCTGCGTCACTCCAGTCTCCGTCGTAGCTGTCATAGTCGCTGTCGATCTCTTCTTCATCACTGTTGTTGTCTTCTTCTTCAGCGAGTTGTGAAGCCGCAGCCTTGGCCTCGGCCATTGTCGCCAGTTGGAGTGCAATGGCAGCCTGGAAATCTCGGAAGCAGGGTACGTGTTGTTGAAGATAGGTAGAAAGCTCGTTTGACTCGGGGTCATCCGACGATGGGGTTTGGGATTGGACCAGCGTCCGTGTCTGATCGTAAACTGAAATGTGGCCCAGAAGCTTTCGCAGCTTGGGTTCGTCACGGGCGGATTCTGTGTTCAATTTCCAGGATGCAACGAAATGTAATCTTGAGGCGGCCGGCGGAGACATTTCTGATCGTCGCGCTGGGATAGACGCAAAGTTGAGAGGATTGTGAGAGCACAAAGGCCCTATTGAGCTCATGATGTAGGCTGGGGATGTTTGGTAGAGTTTGGGTCTTCAGGTTGGTTTAGGACGATAAGTCATGAATTGACGGCTCCAATATCACTTCAACACAGGAAAGAAGAAATCGATGATCAGTGCAGAGGCTGGATTATAGATCTTACTAGAGCTTCTTCCACATGGACCAGAACACGAGCGCATGCATGTGGCCCGTGAGCGGTGTGCTGATGGTCGACTTGGTTATCGAAATCATTCCTCACTCCCAGTCAGCCACGATCACGTCGAGTGGGTACCGAGTGCTCTAGAAGTGGAAAGGGAGGAGTAAGGGGCTTGAAGTCTTTTGCAGGTAGAGTATTGGATTTGCGGCTGAAAGAACATTCTGGGGGAAGCACGAGGCCTTTGCGGCACCAGCTTGCAGGGGAAAGGCGCATGAGGCCAGGGTCTAAGGCAGAAGCGAGCGAAAGGGACCATCATGGACCATCCAGCAATCGACACGCCATATTGGCGATTTCCGCCCGATGGGGGCTAAGGCAAGGGCTAGCGAATGCGAAAGTACATACGACTGGCTGCCCAAGCACTGGCACGCACTAGCTATCGAAGCATGGGGCAGAAACTAAGGAAAGCGGGTGGAAGTACCGGACTATGGTACAAGTAAGAGGTCCGTGTCAAGGTGAGCAGCGGGGTTGCAGGAAGTTGCCGTGGAAGGATGTGCATCCGGCTTTGAGGAGCAAGTGTCAAAAAGGGGATTTTTCTGACGCAGTATGGAGTGCCTCAGATTCGTATTGGAGTTTGAGAGGCAGATGGCACACTGTGGCGCACGATCCAGACCCAGCGGTCGTGCGATTAGAGATGCATCAAGCCGCTTTAGGACAGCCATTCGCCTAACTATCCCCTTGTGGCCCCTTTCACACTTTGGAGCCGGAAATCTCCAATGGTTCGCCTAGAACTCGCAGTGACTCGCTCACATCTCGCCTTTGACTGCCTTATGGGACGCTAATCTCTCAGCCGCACGCCTTCGGCTTCAACGAAAAGATATAGTACTTGTAAAAGGCATCCCGTTCGCAGATTACCGAAAGAGCCTCATCTAGGGGCTGGACTAACGCGGTGCTATGGTAGTTGACATGCGAATTTGTCGGCTGTTCTCCAGGTGAATTTCGACCATGGGAGCTTAATGTGGTGCACGGCCACGCCAATCTTCCGCAATGATTCATTCTACCCTTCCAACGTTCGTGCGCGGCTTCGGGCAAGGCGAAGACCAATGATTCGATGCACGGGCTTAAGCTCACTTAGCTTCCCGAGTACCTGTCTTGATCTGTCTGTCTATGCAGCCGGAAAGGGTGAGAGGTTGACGGTCGCAAGTTTAAAGTCTGACAGCAGCTCTTGCAGGACATCTGGTTCCGGATGAGAAGAACTGCGGCAGAAAGTCCTAGAGGCACCCTCGGTATAGGATGATAGTGTTGAGAACGAGTTGCTCCAGCAATTCCAGGCCGATCAAGTTACCGCCAACAATTATAATAAATCATGCCTGCTACAATATATACTTGACGAAATCGAGGTGGAGACTGAACCCCAGGTTTCGTCGAGGCTCGAGACTTTACTAAAGTTCCAAACAAGTGGTCTGTTCCCAAGGTTTATCGATTATTTCGTCCGTGCTCAACATTATACACTCATTCAGTTTATCGAACTTTGGGCGATTCTGTGTCTATTGACACTGGCAGCATTCCAGCCATTCGGACAGACCGCCATAGCCATGGGACATCAACTAGCCTCAACTGGACAATGTTCTCTGTACCTCTGATCGTCGTCAAATGAAGCCAAGCGTGGACCAAGATATCACTCACCTTCGATGCAAGAACAATTTGGCAATGTGTCTCGCCAGTCAGGATTGCTTGGGTGATAGCAGGGACTATCCCGTGGTTACTGCTCTTCCTGACATCGATTTGACATATGTCACCCTCTCTTTACGAGGTAACATAGCTCGTACCAGCTGGATGGCTCACAAACATGGTCTTAAGCCGTAGACCAATGGCTTCCACATGCTCCGCGGTGTCTGTCCCAGTAAAAAAGACCTGGGATACCGCTTGGGCAACTCTGACTGCCAGTTGGTACGAGAAGCCCACGCAAGTGCTATGGAAGTGACCGTCAGACCATGCTCAGGCTCGTCCTTTCTGGTTTTCTTTCAGCCATTCTGTCGGGTTGGATACCCGCGCCCGGATGTCAGACGGAATGCTTTGCGGACCATTGCTCCGGAGTTTCTCTGTGCCATCTCCTGCCAGATCTTGGAAGCGATGCATCATGTTGGTGGACGGTTATGTCAGTTGTGGTCCAGATCTTCCCGTCAAGTCATCCCCTGGAACAGCGAGAAACACGTCGATCGCTTTATTGGGACAGGCTGTCAGTCCTCGCTGCCCACCATACAATCCGTCGTAGTTGGACCCTGACGTCCATTCCCGCATGACCACACGACAGTTACAGGAGCCGTCACTCAATGTGCAGTGAAGATGCTGAAGGTCGTGATTCAGCCGACATGGTGAGCAGGCACTCACAACTGCGCCGTGCCTGGCTTAATCGAACTGATTGAAGCATGAGCTGACTGGAAACAACTTTTCGCCCAAGATACGAGCATGCCAAATGCCACATCTCCTCACTTTCCCCGGATCTTCTTCTCAACCACCGGAGGTGTCAAGCCTGTCGGTTTTGCTTAATCCCCCGGTATCTGTGCACCGGCATCTGTCAACGCAACCACCCCTGTGGTCAACAACAATGACCAGGAAACGGCTGCCGCCGAAGTGCACGTGCTAGAGTGACCGTGGCCGACTCGGGCGATGATTTTGTGTGGGCGTCATGCTCATATGGTTGGCTACCGTTGCCATGTCAGCACGCCAATCCCAACCTTCAGGCCCTCCAGCCTGCCAGTCTTTGCCGGTGACATTGTGATAGCATCCGGCGCCATGGTCGCAAATTCAAAGCCGCATTTCTCGAATACCTTCCTGCTGGGTATATTGTGCTCAAAATATATTCCCACGAGTCGCTGCACGTTAAAGTACGGGATGAGGATCTCGCTTATCAAAGTCCGTAAGACCATGGGCATGATGCCATGACCGTGACATTCGGGAATGAGGTAGACTGAGAGGTATTAGTGACATGCGGCAACCCAAAAGATTGAGCGGAAAAAGGGTAATGCATCAAGTGAGCGGAACGCTATTCGACTTACATCCTACTTCATAAAGGATCTTGGGATCTCCAGCTTCCAGGCTGTTATTCTCGTCCGTTTTCTTTTGACGTTCGGCTTCATCCAAGATGAAGAGGAAGCCGCTTCTTCGAACCGTGATTTCGCCCAGAAACTTCGTCTCCTCGCCGGTCTCCGGCCTCTCCGATATCACCTCTCTGATGGCTGATACCCACCAACTCCTGCCCATCCATTTCTTTCGGCAGCCTCCTGGATTCTGCGCGGCTTCTTGAGCGATCTGCCACGAGCTTTCAATCGCGTGCATTTCTTCAGAGCTTGTCCGAGCGGCTTCCTCAATGACTCCGTACCAGCCCAAATAGTCATCCTCGGTGTACGGGTACGGTGGACCATTGAGATTCATGTAGACTCGAGGATCATTGAGGGCAGCGACAACATCACGACCGTCGTCGATGGTAGGCGGCGTCAGTATGATGCTTGAAGTCGGATGAGGAACTAGGATTCTGAACCCAGTATCTACGCGGTGTGCCATTCTGCCACGTAAAGGGAGCCCGACGACAGCGTTTGGGGTCGTGTTGATAATACCAGAGGTGGAAGATCACCGGATCGGTCTGAGCAAAATAGCCAAGGAAAGACGACTCGTTTTCTCGGATCGTGCCGTAACAACATAGGTGATGGAGCTCACTGTATAAGCGCAAACGAGGTCCGGAATATTCATGCTCTTTATCAAGGGTTGTGGAAGTGACTCAACTGGGGCAGTGCAGCTCGAGTCATACTGTTCAGAACTGTCTCCCTAGCACCACCAAAGGCGGGGATCTCGCTGCATTGGCGGATGGCTATAGGAAAAAGGAACGCTGTGACGACGGCTAGTCGTACTGATTCGCCATGCTAGGCAGCTGTTTGTATACTGTGTGTGCATTGTGACACTTTCCAAGGCAGGGCAGCACAGTCAGAAGTGGTGGAACCTTTGCTCGCATATGATACCAATAATCCGCAATAGTGAATTGCTCGTATGGCATGAACAATCTGCAGTAGAGAATTCACCAGCTTCATTGCAAGACTCCCATTGCACAAACTGTTGTCTCAATCCATCTGCGAGCATCCTCTTACACGCGCCTCGCCTGGGATCCTCTGGATCCATTGACTTGGAACTAATGCAACTATTCTACCTGGTATCATTGTGATCAGATAGGATTCTAGCCTGGCTTCCAATCATCCGCGTCACCAAATTTCTCGACCACCAACCCAGCAGAGCCTGGGTTACTCATTCCGGCCTCTAGCTGTTTCTCATACGAGACCATTCGGAGTCTCTGCCCTTCACGAGGCGTAAGTTTGAGGTATATCTCAATACCCACGGCATGCAAGAAAATCGCCAGCCACATCGCCATTCCAAAATTAAGACGCAAGCTTGCGCCAACGTTCTCTTTCGATCCGGAAAAGCTCGCGTGCACCACCATGATCTTCTCTGCTGCTATGATCGAACCTGAGATACACTCCGGATAATTGGTCACAAGCTCATGCCTTCCTTTCATTGACCCCAGCTCGCCACAGGCCATGAGCACGTCGTATGAGCCGATTGTTGAGGTGATTGCTGCTGCAACGACCATGATAAGTCTCATGGTGATGATGGTTCCCAGATAAAACATTGTTCGCAACATCCATGCTCGATGCTGATCGACTTGGAGTTTCTTAATGTTATAGTAGGCCATACCAAGGCCGATCGTGGTCGAGATCACCAAGACGCCGACTCCAGCTTGCGTGGCGAGTTCTCCGCCGAACGAACGGCGGACAATCATCAGAGCACCCGCATGACCAACCAAGATCAGGACTATGATCACATGGCCATTGATCCGGTGGAAGAGCATGGCCTGGTGTCGGATGGCAGGGACGAATTGGAAGACCATCAGCACGCCTGCCGGCACTACAGCACCGAGATGCAGGGTGATGCCGACGCGATAATGGCCTGATTGGTACCAGTACCATTCTCCGGGAGCTGATTGTTTGGCGAACGTCCCAGATATGTCGAGGTATTGCAATCGAGCGAGACTGAACCCCAGCATGGCCCCGGCAAATATCACGACTTGACATCATTAGCGAACAGTTTGCGAGGTTCGTATGGGAAAGACTCACACAATGGAACATTGTATCCTTTTTGAAATCCCAGCCAGGACCAAGCTCTGGACAGTCGTGAATGCTTGCCTACGGGCACTTCTTTGATGGTGTCTTGTTGAGCCATCTTGCGCTTACGGGTCTCTGTGCTTTCTGGATGGTTCATTCTGACGGACAAAGTGATTGCTGGCAGCTACCATCTCTTCTTCATTTTATACACCCAGGCAGTGCCAGTCCCTTTCCTTCTGCCTGCAAAAGCCCAGCCTTGTCGTACAAACTGCGCAGTATGGCACCGTATTGGGTTTAGCTTACCCCATTTGAATACGAGAAAAGTTGTACGTCAGCATTAATGCTAGCGCATGGGCTCTCTCGCCGGCGACAACTCCCCCAATCTTGAGATGGACAGGCCAGGATGAATCTTGGCTGCGTTCGACGATTGGCTGGCAGCGATTGCATTCCTTGCCGTGCTCTGCGTATTCGCAAATCTGGCTGTCGAAGAATGCTTCCTACAATGGTGACGATCGGCGACAAGCCTCAAGACACGACATTGTCAAAGTCAAGAGACGCACTTCCGTCTGTTTACCTATCTGATCTGGAAGATACGATACTATTCCTTACGCATACCTGTGGCGTTGACTAGGTCCCCCGACCATGGTTGGCGTTCCTCATTCAAAAGCCTGCATCAATTGTCGAGCTAGGCGAAAAGGCGTAAGTCATCGCGCCAGGTTGTTACTCATCGAGAGACCGACATTGACGTTTCATCGTACAGTGCGATGCTGTCAAGCCGTCCTGCGGTCAGTGTCTGCGCAGAGGCGTCATGTGTCGAGGCTATGTCAAAGCCCTCAACATAGTCTGGGAGCATCCCGGGAGGAAAAAGTTATCGACTCCGACGACTGCGATGGAAGGAGCAGTAGCCAGAAAGACTGCCATGCACTATGACGGCAACAATTTCCCTTTGCGGGCACTCCCACCATCCTGTCATGATACTGCTGCTCGCATGCAGACATATGGCCGATTTTTCGACATTTACCTACCACATACGTCAGCTCAATGGCCAAATTTGAACTCAGACATTGGGATTCTGCCCGAAACATCTTGGCTCAAGGCTGGAGCTTCCGTCGCTGCAACGAATCCTGTCTTGAACGATGCCCTGACAGCTCTGTCACTAGCTCACATTGGTTCATCCGGCAATCGAAGAGAAATGCTTCATGCAAGTCAAGCATTGTACGTTGGAGCTGTTGGTGGGGTGAACAAACTACTCAGGGACAAAACGGCGGTTATGGAGGACACAACATTGGCCATTGTAATGGCACTTGGTCTTTACGAGGTTGGTCGCGCAGCTAGAGCAATCCAAGTCGCATCTAACAGTGCCGTAGATGCAAGCAGGAATGTCTGTCAGGTCAAAAAGCTGGCTGTCGCACGTAAATGGGGCGTCGGCGCTTATCCATCTACGCGGTGAAAGTAATTTCTTCTCAGAATTGAGCCACAAACTGTTCTTTGGCACCCGACTTACAGAGGTTAGTGCCGGTCTTGATCGTCATGTCCAGTTGACTAATATACAGAAGTTGATCAATGCAGTTGGAAACCGACAGCGCTGCGATAATGCTGCACTATGGTCGTCACTTAGGTCTTCGCCTTTGGAGCCCGAGATGGACTCCTCACATGCTCGTCTGTTCGAGATCCTGGAGTCTCTGCCTGACATTCTGGGCCTATGGGACCGCATCAAAACAATCCCAGAACAGGATGTGAATCTCCTCCTGGTGATGACGACCGAGTTTGTACGGCAATGTCAAGACTTTGAAACTCGTCTAACAGACTGGCTCAACGGATTAGAATTTGTGTATGGGTGTGATGAACCTCATCAGGACTTCTCTCCAAGCCATTCTTCTAATGCCTCCGAGAGCATTAGCGAGCCATCTTCGGCACTCTATTGGTTCGAGCCATCGAATTTGTATGGACAACTCCTGCCGACGGACCCAGCCCGCATATTTCCGTGCTTCGTTTGTTTCGGCGATCCGAACTTAGCGGAGCAGATCACATTGTACTGGACTGGCCTTTTGCTTATACGCATTAGCCTTGACGGTGCTCGAGAGCGTTGCAGTCGCGCTGGATTATCGCTTGCCGCTATGTCACAGGTGGGGAAAGTTTCCCCTCAAAAATCAGCGCAGACCTTTGCACTGTACATCGCACAGTCTCTCGAATATTTCCTTCACCCGGATATGGGATTGTTGGGGACGAATTTTGTCGGATTTCCGCTTGCTGTCGCGCAAGGCTATTTTGAAAGCTGTGGGGCAAAGGAGGCTCTGTGGTTTGATGTCATCTTCAAGAGGATGCGAGAGATGAGGAGTGGCCTGGCCGTGTTTCTCGAGGACATGTACAAGGGCCCGACCTTGACACTTGTGAGAAGGTGAACTAAAAGAACCTGTATTCTGTACCTAGAACAGTCATCACGTGACTTTCCGTTTTCACGTGACTATGACTATGATTGGAGTTGTTTTGATGATGCGGGGAAGGGCGAGTCGGTGGCAAAAATGACTTGGAACCAGACAATTGCCAACTTGAACCTCAGCCTCCATACTTTCTCTTAACCTCCTTATTCTTCCCATCTTCTTCGTCTTCTTTCCTCTCACGCTGTGGTGGGTAAACATCATGGCGGGAGCATCAGGAGGTCACCTCTTAGTCCCCAAGGCTCTGAGGCTGATCAAATACGCTGTCGAGAAGACAGGCCGTCTCATTCGTGAGAAGGTGCCGCAGGCAACCAAGTCCTACGAAGCCCACGTCGAACCTGCCTATGCCCGTGTCTCTCAACGACAACCCGTCAGCCGCATCAACCAGATCCGTCAAGCTCAAAGCAGCCGCTATTATAGCACAAAACATGCCATCGACACCACCGTCAGACATTACTCGTCCCACTCTGGTGCCTCTCGCCCGACCAGAGCCTCCTACCCTACCTCTCGCACCGCTGCGAGAGTTGGACGATCGACTGGCCGAGCTCCTTTCGCCTCGACACTTCGACCAAGCCTGACAGGCGGCAGCCTGTGTCGTTCAGCTGGTGGATATGGTCTGGGAGGTGGACGAGTTGGTGGAGCAAGATACTTCTCACATTCACCGGCTGCTCCAGTACAAGTCGTGAGCAATGTCTCGCAAGCTGTTCGGGCATTTTGGTTGTCCGGACAAAAAGCTCGATTTGATGGCGCTACTCGAACGGGAGAGAAACGATTCCGAGCGGTGTCCAGCCTGCAAGAGGATGCAAGACATACAATGGACATGTCGCCGGTCAATGCCCCAGGGTCCTTCATCGACTTCAAGGTCTCTCCAACCATTACCGCTGTTGGCCCACTGAGCAGCGTCCCACGTTCTCAGTCTGCCTCATCTTGTGATTACGAAATGGAACGACAAACTCTGAACAACCCGATCATGATGTCGAACTTGGCTGTGGACTTTGCCCGAGCCTTAAAGGACCTAGCCGCCATCATGAACGATCTCAAGCATCTGGCTACCCTTGGCGATCTGCCTATCTCCCTACACGACAGCTCCACTCTTCGCGTGCGGTTCCCCGGGTGCGATGCAGACACGGTCGAAAGTCTGTGCCGAGAACTGAACATCAAGCGTGGGATGGTTGGACAGGACGAGGACTTCGATGTCCAGAACGGCACCGAAGTGGCATTGCTGTTCCCATTCGCTCCCAGCAAGACCGCTAGTGAAGTTTGTCTCGAAGCTCTTGCCAGGCCCCCCAAACGAGCTAAGCGGGACTGCGTGGACTGGCACGAAATGCTGACTCCCCCTCAGCAGCGGTCTGCAGGCTACTCTCATGTCTCGGCCAGAAGTCAGTCACCCAACGGTTTTGAGGTTATTGATGATGCCATGGGACCTAATCCCTGGATTTCGTCGCCTTCGGGTTATTCCAGTCTGCATGAGAGCGAATCATACGGCGATGATGGAGATGTTGCAGGGATGTACTTTTTACAGCCTGACAAAGCAAAGGTCTCAGGCAGACGTACGGATTCGGCTGCTGAGAACGGATATGAGGGTCTGCAGGGGATATATCGGTTCCTTGAGCAATGTGACCGGGCACGGTCGTGAGTATATCGAGTGTACGCTGTTGCCGGCGAGTGCAGCCTGAGGAAGGAAAGGGGTCCACTCTTTACCGACAGGGCATTTCCTTGATATTTGTGTTTTTAGCAGAAAGAGCCACATTAGCGACCCTAAGAATGGAATGAATCACGTCTCGTCATAATCTTCATACATTACATTCGTGAAAGATGTTTACCATACTCAAACAGGTACCGTCATCCCCGGGTACAGTTTACGTATAGGCGGGCATGCCAAAATTCATAACTTAGCAGCATCTTTGAGGGTACTGCCGCGGCTGAGCATCACTCAATGAGCCGTCCCGTCAGAGATATTCCCGCGAAATCTCAATTCTTGATTCTCCTTGACAAGCTTGTCCTTCTCCTGTTCGAGCTGCTCAATGCGTTCATACATATCTTCTAGCTCATCTTCTGCGCCCGTGGAGAATTCCTCGATGATCTTGAAGACTCGCCACAATCGACCGATCACGACAAGAGAGCCGGCCTCTTCAACGGGACCGCGCAGGAGAACATCGATGATGAACGCTGCAACGATGACGCAGGCGTCAAAGATGTGGAATTTGGAACGGAAATAACTATAATCACCACGAGTCAGCGCAACATGGAAGGAGGCGGGAGGAAGAGTGGTGTTGATATGCATACCCTAGCCCGAAAGCAAACACGCTCCCCAGCAATTCAGCCATGAACAGGCATGAGAAAGCCAGGCTGACATAGTCGAGGACATGGTCGGCGAATTGCCAATCTTTGTAGGGGAACTTTTCGTCGAATCGGTGCTCGCACATGTGCAGAGAGATGAGGAAGTCAGCGAAGATGCAGCTGATGTCGAGCGCCACCAGAGCGATGACGAAGTAGTGACCCCATTTGGACGAGAGGAAGCGCTGGAGATGGGTGCGCAGTTTCCAGACCATGGATTCTTCGCCGTGGATTTTGATGATGTGGCAAGCTACGAAGTCGCGAGAAGAGCGGAGGGTGTCGAGATAGCGCCGGTCAGAGGGGAGGAGGGGGGAGCGCTCGGAGCGAGTCTGGGTTTCGGAGTCTTCCATTTTCGAGGGAGTGCTGAGGGCTTGTGTACACAGTAGGTGATGAAGGAGGGTTGTTAGGACATTATAATGGAGTAAGGTAAGGAAGTTACGAGTAGTGTGTAGGATGGAGGATGGGAGAGGAATTCGTGATCGACGGATACAGCTTCCAAAGCCTAACTTCCACTCGGGGATGTAGGCTGCCGAACAGGAGCGTCGAAAGTCAATGCTGGCTGTGCTGGAGTTGCGTCAGAGCCAGGGAAGGACTTCGTATGAAATACGAGGACCACAGTAGCACGAGTAGCTATGGTGTTGGATTCAAGTGTCTTCTTCTGGCAGCTGGAGGAGTTTGGCAAAGATGTCCTTGGGGAGATCATTGGCTGATGTCTGCTGGGTCCTGGTGATGGCCTGTCACTGCAGCCATGTCGATTGCGTAGTCGCTTCAGGTACTTCCACTCGCACCTTTGACTCGTCTGATCGACTACTCGACAGGAAGAGGCATCTAAGGCTTCCAGGCTTGCAGGCTCGCAGGGTATGAAGTGAATATGACGTCGTCCATTTTATAGTCTGGTAAGTCCGGGGAAGGTCAGGCGAGGGCTTAGTAATCGATGCTAGCCGGAAAAGACTTCTTCCTCTCCGATCAGATTGGCGGGCTCAATGTGATCAAGCAATTGCAAGGGTTGCTCATCGGTTCTTCGTGGACATCGATCGTTGTCGTGATGAATTCTGGCATTGGTGGCTGCACATGAAGCCATGGGGGTCGACTTCGACTTCTGGGCCTTACAACATCGCGCCAGTCATGATCATCGAGCCGCGTTGCTGCCTAGATTGCTGCCTAGATCGTCTCATCTGAATGTTGACCTCCCTTGCACGAAGATATTACGACGCGCAGCTGCCACAGCAGTATATGACTGCCATGACTTGCTGTTGCCGACCTTGACTGAGATTCTCAACCCGTGGCCAACGCCCTTCCACTTTCCTTCCCACAGCTCGACGTGACAACATGGTTCGTGTGGCAGTCGCAGGCGGCACATCACCAACACTGGGAAGGTCTATCGTGACTGCCCTCCTGGCAACCGGCAAGCACGATGTCCTCGTTCTGTCAAGACAGAAATCTGACTCCAAGGTAAATTCTTCCTCCTTTACTATCCCAGCATCCATCGACTACCATCTCTTTTGCTTGCACCATTTATCTCCACGAGATTCAGTATTATTCTATTGCTATTCTACACAATCTTTGAATCCCATCACAAGCGAATTAGGGAGCCTTTCGGAGTCTACCTTTTCGTCACTACGCTTCACAGCAACCACAAATCAACGTTGAATAGATGATCTTCCTCACCATCGTTGTCATCTTCGCTGCAGTCACAGGCATTCTCCTTGGTGTCTTCGAACCAAAACAGTGGATCCTACGATTCTTGGAATACACTTGCCTTTAATTCCTCAACGCTGTTCCAGATTCTGAACGATAATCAAGACTAGATCAAGAGGTCAAGATCGCTGCCCCGGAGGCTCTTCGACAAACTTAACACCTATGGCTGTATCTGGTCACCGTTTATTTTCCTCCAAAGGTGCAGAAGCCGTTGACGCAGTCAAGAATGGAGAGGCTTGGGAATAGGAATTCACCTTCACCTTCTGGATCTATTTTTTCTTTGGCACGGTCCTCCTCTCGGCATTCTTCTATCTGCTGTCCTGTATCTGGTTTCACAGGCATTCGCTTGCCAGATATTCCCGACATCTGTATCACCGTATCCGACGTGCTCTGCGAACGTACCCTGAACTGTACCTCGAACGTGGTCGTGAGCTTCAGGCCCCTGCTCTCGTTCGCGTTCCAGCAGATGCAGTCCCTCCTCAAGGCGCAAATGCAATCCTTGACGACCATGGCCGTGGGTACACTCCTCGTGTCTACCGTGTGGAGCATATCAACCACGTTGAGGTCGACATTGACGACTACAATATCCCACGTCCTCCGCCAAAAGCTCTTCGACGCGATGGAGTGCCGCCTCCTTACCGACATTGACGATATTTGGGAAACCTTTGCAGACGAAGCGTTTAAAAACCAGGAAATATCGTCTCAGCTGTTACCATTGCAATCAGTTTTTGCTTTTGATGTGGGTTCTTGATAGGGATTTTGCTTGCGTCTCTATTCATGCAATCTGTACTGACGTTACTCTTCCAGGTCCACAACAACAGTGTCTATGGTGCGCCGATCTCCTATGTTGACTACGGCTCAACCGACTCTCTTACCTCGGCGCTCAAAGGCATCCATACGTTGATCTCAGTGTTGAAAGTCAATGATCCAATGGCAATGATATCCTACCATTCCAACCTCCTCAAATCATGCATTTCTGCCAAAGTCTCGCGCTATGCTCCTTCCGATTGGTCCATGGGCCCATCATCGCACTCGAAGGTCGACCTCTTGGCTCACAAAGATAGATTGTGGCAGGATTGTCAAGAGATTGGGATCAAGAACGGTATCGAGTGTGCTAGCTTTCACAATGGGATGTTCATGAATTATCTCGCACAAGGCAAGCTGACATGTCCTGCTGAGGATGAGCAATTTGCCCTGGGCGGCCTCGAAGATGATTTGATGCTTCAATACATTGATATCCCGCATGGCAAGTTGGTCATCCCTATCGACAATCAAGGCCACTCAAGTCCAACCAGCATGACCCATATCGGCGACATCGGAACCTTTGTTGCTGCCGCAGTCGATCTTCCTCCCGGTCAATGGACCGGCCATTTAGGTATGGTTGGTGACACATGCACTTTTCAACATGTCAAGCATCTCCTCACAGAGGTGGGCATCCAAGTACAGCACGAGACGATCACAGCCGACCAATGTGACGAGAAGATTCGGGATTTAGACGAACAGCTAGCGAGAGGCTTCAACATCGGGGCACTCAAAGGGAAAATGGTGGCCCAAATGCTAAAGGTACAATGCGAAGGTCAATTCGGTGGCAGTGTCTTCGAATCATCCTTGAACAGGCTTTGTCCCCAGGTAAAGCCGGTGAAGATCAGCGAGTTTATTCAAAGAGTATATTGACATGGGCGGAGGAACTTGACTCGGTGTTGCTTACTGCGATGTAAATAGTGCTTTCTGCCAGCATTTTAGTCACACATTGTCTTCGTCTTTGAAGGGCCTTCTCTAAGAAGTTTTTCTTTGCGAAGTCGTCGACCATTCTCGGGTCTTTGGGATCGGTAGCAAGGCGATCTCTCCTGGGCCCTGTGCCCTCGTCCCTCTCCGGTCTGTGACAGCTCGGTCGGTTTTCAGAGCAAACCTGCTCCTCACCCCACGGCTTTAACTATATCTAGCGTGTCCAGTTGTGGTACTTTTGTCAACTTCGGTGTGGAGATCTGAAAGCTGGGGATCAGAACTTGGAGAGCCGAGGACAATCAACCACCAGACAACCTACGAACTTCCAGGATGTTGATTAACAGGTCTGTTACCGTGTCCGAAGACGACATACACCATGGCGAGCATAATCCCTAACAATCTTTACCGCCTGCGAGATCGAGGCTCACTATGCAAGGTACGAACCGTCTCTCCTTCAAAGATCCAATAGTTCGAATACTGACAGCCTCGCAGGCCTTCGGCATCAAATTCGTCCCGTCTGCAGCCGTTGTGCAGATCGCACAGCAATCGGGCTTTGATGCTCTGTTCATCGATCTGGAACACTCGACGCTGTCCATCCACGATGCAAGTCAGCTATGCACGGCGGGGCTGTTGGCAGGAACCACGCCGTTCGTCAGGGTGCCTTATCAATGCGGAGATGGGTTTGTCCAGAGAGTTTTGGACGGCGGGGCCATGGGAGTGGTCTTTCCGCACGTTAGTACGAAAGGTAAGCTTACCCTTCTACAGTCCAGTTTTGCTTTTTGCTGACGGAACGTAGATGAAGCCGTCGCGGCGGCCATGATATCAAAGTACCCACCGCAAGGCAAGCGGTCGATGACCGGACAACTGCCTCAGTTCAATATGGTTCCGCATGCGGCGTCCACGGTCGTCGGCCCCGCGAACGATACCGCGTCGACGGTCTTCGTCATGATCGAAACGGACGAAGGGCTCGGAAATGTCGAGGAGATTGCGTCCGTGCAGGGAGTCGATGTTTTGCTGGTCGGCTCGAACGACTTGTCCATTGAACTCGGTGTGCCGGGGGATTTTGGCAACGAGGGGTTCAAGGGTGCGCTGGAGCGGGTGAGTCGGGCGTGCAGGAGTCACAAAAAGATCATGGGCCTCGCGGGGATTTATGATCGGCCGGAAGTGCAGAAATGGGCGGTCCATACGCTCGGTGTGGGATTCATGCTGGGTCAGCAGGATGCTGGGTTGATTACGAAAGGGGCGAGACATTGCGTTGAAGCGCTTCGAGAAATTTCTAGTGAGGTTGTGTGATGGCTGATGTCGTAAGGGAGTCACGCGGAAGTCAATGAGAGAATGAGAAGCTTCGAAGTTCGATATCTCTAAATTGCGTGTTCTTTTCTGTCAAAATCCATGCGGTTGTCCTGTCCAGTATTTTCTTTTCCTTGCAATCAGGAAACTAAGCCACGCAGGTGTAGGATTGGAAGGGTTCAAGATGGGAGGATTCAAGACATTATCTGAGCATATAGAAACTTGGGATTAATACAGGAACTATAGCCCTGCCCATGTACGTGCAGAATGGGCAAAAAGACGCTATTTACATTTCACACAACCCCGAGTGGCTATGACGGACATTCACCCTTGTACTTGCCTTGAGCTGCCTGGCCACACCACTTCGCTCGATCACACCACTTGCTCTGGCTATCTTTGATGTCACCTTTGGCCCACGCCTCCATGGCTACGCCCTGCAACGCGCGTCCGAACGAGAACGTCAGGGCCCAAGGGGCGCGGCGTGGGTTCTTCTGTTTTTGTTGGTTGATTGCATTCAAGTACGCGATCGAGTCGGCGTCACTGAATCCTCCAGAGAGAAAGACGATAGTCGGCACCAACGGTGGGACCGTCTTGGCTAGCACATGGACCGTCGCCTCGCCGACTTGTTCGGGATCGGCTTTGCCACCGGCATACTTGTCACCTGGCGTGACCATGCTGGCTTTGAGCACAAGAGAGGCGAGATCGACCTTGTGTAAGGCCAGGCGCTCGAATAGCGCAGAGTACGCGGCGATATGGGCCTCGATGGACCGCTCGATGGACTGGTGGTGGGTCATGAGCACCTCGGGCTCGACGATGGGGACCAGTCCGGCTTGTTGACTGATGGCCGCGTAGCGGGCGAGGACTTCGGCATTGTCCATGATCGCGAGGGATGAGGGCGTCGTCGCGGAGACGATGTAGGTGCTTCGCCATTTACTGAACCGCGCGCCGCGGTCGTAGTATGTCTTGCACCGGTCGAGAAGGCCGTCGAGACCTTGCGTCGTGGTTTCTTCCGGGTCGGTGCGCGGCAAGGCCACGGTGCCTTTGTCGACTTTGATGCCGGGGATGATGCCGCGAGACTTGATAATGTCCACGAACGGCTTGCCCTTGTATTTGGAAGACTCGAGCCGGGAGTCGTGTTTCATGAGCGTCTCTTCGAACATGATGATTCCCGAGATGTGGGATTCAAAGTCCCCTTCGGCGGTGAACATGACGTCGCGCCATTCGCGGCGGTTGTCTTCGGTGTTGTCCTTGCCGACTTTCTCGAGTCGTTTCTTGATGGAGCCGGTAGACTCGTCGGCGGCGAGGAGGCCTTTGCCGTCGGCTCCGATCGCCAGGGCCGTCTTGTGCATCTCCTCGGCATGCTCGAGGGGTTGCGGAGGGCTGAACGTCTGGGGACGGAGTGGTGCTGAGTTGCGTCCGGACATGTTGGCGATTGCTGTTGATTGTACCGGGGGTTACTATGAGTTGGAAATGTGCTGGGTACTGATGGATATAGGCGTGGTATAGGTAAACATTCGCCCGGACGGAGGTTTCGATATCTCCTGACCACTCCTGACTTCATAAATACATATGAAGTTCGTTGTAATGCGGAGATTGATGACGTATCATCTCAACTCGTCGATGCTTGGACGAACGGAGGGTGAAGGTCCTCACTTTTTAGTCATGTCCTCGTGAATGCGGAGCAAGGAGCAAGGATGACTAAAAAGGTCCATATACAGTCTTGTCATTTCTCCAGCGGGTTGGCAGAGTGTCGTATAAGGTGGACGGTTGTCTCCAAAGCATCATTGGAAACTTGTTCATGTCTCGCTTCATTAGCGCAGACCATTAGGCTGCATTGTCCCAAAGTGTCAACAGCATCCAGTCAGCAGCGAGACAGGATCCTGCGGCTGTTAAGGAAAGATCAAAAGGTGAGAAGGGAATGTTGGGCCGTTGCAACATAAGAGCTTTAAGGACGAGAATCATTGATGCAGACTCGGAAATGGGCATCAATTGAAAATGGGTCGTCTGACAGGTCTGACAGGTCTGACGAAGAAGTCAATGCCTGTACCGGCACTACCGGCCACGACCAGCCTGCGTATCGTACACTAGGAGATCGACAGTTGGGATAACTGTTCATGCTTAGGGGAAGAAGAAGAAGAAGCATAAGAGTAATAAAAGATGTTGAAACCAATGTTATGTTCGTAGATTCAATAGACATCATATGGTATCTCATATATAGCTGCGCTCATACCAGTCCCGCCGGTGATGCTGAAGAGTCTCTTCGGCCATCCCCGGGATGACTGCAGTAGAGCTGAGGGCTTCGTCTTAGCACCTCCTTCTTTGTCCATATTCGGTTCTCATTCTCTCATTTCGATGGTTGCAGCAGAAGGTAACGGATGTGTGTTTCCACGACCTCTGATCTCTGTACCGTCGTATCGTCCACCGACATTTCCACATGTCGAACAAAGCCGAATTACCGGAACGCCCTGCTCGAAAACGACGGAAGGACTGTACAAGACAGTGCCGAGTATTCCTCCTGGAGCATGCAATGTATCCAAAGCTCCTCATAATATGCCGCTCGTACAGTAGAAAGACCCATCCGCCCGAGCGTAAGTGATTGCAATGACTTCCATACATACTGAAGTCAAGTCAGCCTCTTTATCCCTCCATGTCAGTAAGTCGTCGATCATATTCAAGCGTTGCCAGCCCCAGCAGAGCCTTTATTATCACTTCCAGGTCGTCCAGCTGCAAACATCAACGCCAACAATGCTACACCGACAACGACCGCACTTGCCACCAAAACGGCAACAAGTCCCCAATGAACGACACTGAGCTTTTGTTTCCTCATCATGATCAAGATCATGGCAGCAACCGCACAGCTCTCTGCAGATACCACTCCACCCAGGACACCAGCGTCAACCTCGAAGTAGGCTTTTCGACGCCCCGTCGCGAGGAGTATGCCTGACAAGAAAAGGAGGACGTAACACACGGCAATCAGACCAGTGTAGAAAGAAAACAGTGTTCGCTCCAAAGCTTTTTGACGCGGAGTCAGTATCTGATGACGGCGATAGACGGAGCCGGGCGGTCCTGAACGACGAGATCTACGTCGGCTAGTAGGTGTCCGCTGTGAATGTGGCACAACCAATTCATCAGTCTCGGAGCTTGACGTGTCAGGATCTTCATCTGCACTATTCTCGCTACCCAGTAAAGGCGCGCGTTCTCCGGTAGTGCCCTGACCCTTAGACGAAACAAGCGGGAGCCAAGATACGATCCTGCTTTTGCCTTTGCTGAAGCTGTCGTAGATGGCACCAAAAGCCTTACCAATGCTTTCCGCACCGGGAAACGCAGACTCGTCAGGATCAACATAGATGACATAACCTTGCTCTGGGTTAACGTCCGAATCGCCATCATCAAACTCGTTCCAGTACCTGACAGGAGATGGTGAACGTTCGGGCAGCTTAATGCGAGCCCGCTTCTTCCGGCGGGTCTTACTGGGCGTCGCCGAGATTTTGGAAGGGCCAGCAGAGCTAGGCCCAGCACTCTCTGAAGTGACAGAAGTGTTGCCAACCGTGCCCGCGGAGAAGATGCTACCTTGCGGTCCGTCACTCGATGATGGCCCGGAGGAACTACCAGCCACGTCGGTAGGATTGAGCCGCGTCCGACTTGCTGTGCCTCCTCTGGACATGTAAGGGACTAGTGGCACCTTTCTGATGTCTTTCTCGAGCAGAGACTGCCACGATGGCACCGGCAGGTCTTTCTGAGCAGTGTGAATGGCCATATCTTCAAGTGAGAATTCATGAACGCGCTCCACCAAGTGGGACTCGTCGAACGCCCTGACCACAGCAGGTGTCCGAGCAAACTCCCATCGGATGTGGAGGACGGAGTAAGGAAACACGTCACCAGCTTGGGAGTGAGGCTGAGATACACCAACCTGGGCCATGTCCACAGTAGTGACGGTGATGCCGCTGTCAAGCGTGGCCCAGTTCCCAACATCGGCAGTATTCGTGAGACCAACATATCGGTTGCGGGTGAAGCATGTCTCAGCTAGCGGCTTGATATCTCGATGTTCTCTTAAGTATCTCTGGATAGCGATGACATTTTCGGATGTATTGGAAACTGGTGTATCGCGTTGAAGAGCAAGGGCTAAATCTTTGCGGTTGAGAGTAAGCATGGTACTGTCTGAAGATGTTGGAGCCAATCCGGCGAGTGTGACAACGGCTTCTGGATCAGAGCTCCAGTGACCACTCAACGCTATCCGCGAGGGCCGTGAGGTGCTGTGGTCTTTAACGTATCTTTGGGCATTGTCGAAGACAAGCATATGAGTGAGAAGGGCACGGGAATTCGAGGAAGCAGCAGACTTGATCCTGGCACCGATCGAGTCCAAGGAATTATTCCTCGGCGGCGTTGAAGGGATGGAGCTATCGCGCATGTGCCTAAGCAGCAAGGCCCGAGCGGCGTCGAGATTATCCTGATGAATCCAGTAGACAGCACTACCGGCGGCTTCACCATATGGAACGGTCATCAGGGCAGCATCGAAAGCTAACGGTCCGCGCAAGATGGACTCGTTGAGCTTGGTGATGGGCGATCTCTTGGCGGACGCTGAGGTCCGTTTCTGCTGTCGTTCTGAAGCAGGCGAGGGTTCTCGAGGTCGACCTGTAAGCATAGGGCCAGCAAGTTCCTCGGTGAGAATTGCTTTCTCCTCCGATAATTGCTGGAGGTAATCCGAAAAGTCTGTTTGCAGTTTCTTGGAAGAAAAGACCTCGACATCCAATCGCGTCTGTAACACCGTCGAGCCAGTCCATTTCCGGTACTTTTTGAGGATCTTGCGAAAAGCAGTCTTCTGAACCGCCGCGAATCGAGACAGGTTGAGGACTTCGTCTCCAATTTCCTCAAGATCTCGCATGAGCTGTCGGTACTTGCGAGCTTGCATGATAGGCTTGTCCAAGGCATTGTCTTGCACGGCGCGCTGCGCCAACTTGATCTGCTTTTCGAGGTGCGCAAGACGCCGCTCGATTTCGCCCTGCTTGCTACGGAGGAAGAGCGTTACATTATCATATTCAGCTTCCAGCAGTCTGACCAGCTCGTTCTCTAGCTCTTCCCACTTGCTCTTGCCTTGTACAGGAATGCCGACTGGAACTGCAACGCCTGCGGACGTCCGGGTTTTGATTAGGTGCTTCAGCTCGTTGTATTTGACATTGTAGGCGGCCCATTTCGGTACAGACCTCTGATAGAGGGTTTCGCCAAACTTCATTTGCAAACAATATGGGACCTCAGCTTTCGTTGGGGTTTGAGAGGCTGGTGCGGACTCGGGGATATAAATTCATTGAGGGGCACCCAAAACGTGTGGTTCGGTTCGGGGCAGCGCAGGCCGCGGACAGGGGTGCGACGAATGTTATCCAAGCTTCCTGTTCAGGCGAGACACATGAGGTTGAGAGATAACTCGCTCGTAGATAAGACGGGAGGGTACGGAGTAGGTAGAGGTGGTGACCGTCCCTCAGAGTGAAATCGGCAGATGCGTGGTCAAAGGAACCTGGTCAATATAACATAGTTTCAAGGTGGGCCCCTGCAGATAGGACTGGGTATGGTGAGTATGATATAGTAACGATTCAGGATGCAAGAGAGAGAAAAACAAAAGGATAGGCTTGAGCCATTGCAAGGAAGTTGTTGTTGGAAACAGTCAATCTCGTTGATTGGCCTTGACCTGATGTCTCGATGCAAAAAGTGGATGGCTCCGACAGAAACCGAGGCACACCATTAGAGGAATCAAAGGCGGAGGACAGCTGTCAAAACAGGGGCGCAGAATGGGTATCGGCCACTAGGCTCAGTACCTAGGCGCAGTAAGCTCCCCGGGCCTTGTCGAGCGCAGCATTGGCCAGGCTGTTGAGAGTGCTTATAGGCTATAGTGGTTAAAGTTCTACACCTGCTCCGTAGGTACCTTTGTAGCTTGCGAATCCGAGTCTAAAGATTCTCAAACACTAGAATCTATTTGTGATAATATTGGGACTGATGATGTATTATTCATGTCACTCTGTACTTGTGCTAGTAACAACAACACCAGCAACGCCTCTTCATCTATCTTGCTGTCGGTAGCTTTGGTCGCAACTGATGAAGGTCACAGGTCGCAGGTCGTTCGCCATTTCGACGTTTATGCACCTCATCCACCATCATTCGTCCAATCGAGACAAAATGAAGACGATCGAAAGATACGACGAACAACGATTGCCCAGTCCGTGCCGGTCTCACCACTTGCCGCTTGACTAGTATACCTCGTTAATGCACGCAATGCAACTAGATCTGGCAAATCCCGACCAGAAATTTTTCCTCTTCACATGTCGTCGCTTTTTTCTTCAATGCTATGAGTAAGAAGATCCATCTGTGGCTTGATGTTGCAGTCTCGAGACTGGGCACTATGTTAGCTTCCCCTCCGCGGATATGAGGTGACATCTGCAAATGTCTGCCACCATCGAGCGTCGGGGCAAGACGACGCCCAAAGTACCTAGGTACCACCCTAGTACGAGTCCTGAGGGGCATGGAAACATGCCTAGCACGCCTGGTCCCACGCCACTAGCCCCTATAGGCTCAACCAACAATTGGGGATTCTGACTGGCGGCCAACGCCCGGTGCTGCCCGGAGTAATGCCTCGCATGACCCAAACCAAACCCACCCGTGGCCGTCCACTCATTCCACTCACTCTGCTCAGTGCTGCGCGTCCACACATCCACCGCTCCACCAGCAAGGCTCGCAGGCTATGAAAAAAAAAATCAATTCTCCGAGGCCGCAAGCGATCGTGATCGGCCGCTTACGAAAAACATCATCGATCAAAAATTCATACGAGCAGCAAACTCCGAACGCCGGCATAGTACATCGACCGCGGATACCTCGTCGCTTTGGGTATTGCTACAGGCAGTGCAATGGCTAGCCCTCAGAGCCTGCTTGTAAGCCTTTCGAACTCGACGCAATCCTTTCTGCAACCACCCTCTTCTCTCCACCTCGAGGCACTAGCCTGCGTCAAGGCCCTCCTCGATCCTTTGGCTGCCAATGTCGCAGACGCACAAAAGACGAGACGGGATCAAAACAGGAGGAAGAGAAAACGAGGTGATTTGGAGAGGGAAGAAGAGATCCTACAACTGCGCCAGGTCTACACCAGTGGCCTCGGATTAAAGCAAGTATGGGAACAAGCCCGCAGGGTCCTGGATGCCGCATGCTCCGAGGTCGAAAGAGAGGTTGCCATTCAAAAAGACCAATCACATCGGCCAAGTTTATCAAACGGCCTCGATGGTGACAAGACTCAAGAAGAGGAGTTAAGTGAAGACCAGGATGAAGAGGCGGACATGGTCGAAGACGGGGATCTAGAAGATGATATCTCTGACGAAGAAATGCTGGACTATGGCGAAGACTACGACGATGAAGATGAGGATGAAGAGATCGAGGATGATCTTGAAGCGGAAGACTTCGCTTCAGACGCGGAGGAAGCTGACCCCGGCACTTACTCTCAAGATCCCAACGGTCTAAATGATGGCTTCTTTTCGATCGACGACTTCAACCGGCAGACCCAGTTCCTTGAACAGCAAGATGTACGCGGCGAGGACGACAACCCCAGTGAAGAAGATGACATTGACTGGGACGCCGACCCGTTGGCCATGCCCTTCCACGAACCAAAAGGCAACCCCGAAAGCAAGAGCAAAAACAAAGACCAACCCCCAGAGCAAGGCGATGACTCCGACAGCGAGGACGGACCCACCTTTGGCAACGCCGACCTCAATGCCGACGAAAGCGACGAAGACATGACTGACGAAGAAAATCTCGACCTAGAAGATGGCATGCCTGGCTTATCCAACACAAACGAAGTTCGCTATGCCGACTTCTTCGCCCCTCCACCCAGGAAGCTAACGAAAACAAACCGCATGCGAGCCTTACCCAAAACTCAACCCGCCCCTCAATCTCGGGCACAAGCAGAAGACATGGAAGGCGACATGGAGCGCGCCATGGCCGACGTGCGCCGCGACCTCCTGGAATCGGACGAAGAGGTTTCCGACGTCGAATCTGGTTCCGACATTGACGACCTCAAAGTCTCGAAGAAGAACATGTCCACACATGAGCGTCAACGTGCTCTCATCGCTTCCGAGATCCGACGCCTCGAGGCCGCCAATGTCGCGAAACGCGACTGGACGCTCTCCGGCGAAGCCCGTGCCGCCGACCGCCCGCTTAACTCCCTGATCGAAGAGGACCTAGAATTCGAGCGCGCCGGCAAACCCGTGCCCGTGATCACCGCCGAAGTGTCCGAGGAAATCGAGGAGCTGATCAAGCGCCGCATCCTTGCCCGCGAATTCGACGAAGTCGTCCGCCGGCATCCGGACGCCATCGGCTCTACAAACGGCACACGCCGTGGTCGCACCGAGCTTGACGATACCAAGCCCGAGTCTGGTCTCGCCGAGATTTATGAACAAGAACACCTCCGCGCGACAGATCCGGGGTACGTCGATAAGCGATCGGCCGCGACGAAGAGGCAGCACGAGGAGATTTCGCGCCTGTGGAAGGACGTTTCAGCGCAGTTGGATCTGCTGAGTAACTTGCACTTCAAGCCGAAGCGGGTCGAGGCCGAGATCAAGACGGTCGAGGATAAGCCGACGATCAGCATGGAGGATGCGAGACCCGCGGGCATGGGCGTCAATGCCGACGATAGTATGCTGGCGCCGCAGGAGGTTTATCGTCCCGGCGACGAGAAGCGCACTGGGGATATCGTGGTCCGCAAACGTGGGGCGAATGTGAACAAGGACGAACTGAGCCGGGAGGAGAAGCTCCGTCGACGAAGGAGGGAGAAGGAGCGGATGAAGAAAGCGCAGGACCACCAGGGTAAGACTGTCGTGAACGGAGCCCGAACGGGGGCGGCGGGCACGACATCTGCAAAGGGCAAGAAGTCCAAAGCCCAAGAGAAAGCGGATCTCCTGTCTGACCTGCAGAAGGGCAATGTCAAGGTTATCGACAAGAAGGGCGAGTTGCAGGATCTGGCTACCAGCAAGAAGGCGAAGAGAGGCGCGCGCGACGCTGGTCAACCGGGTGGAGGAGCGCTGAAGTTGTGATGTCCTCGTATTATTCGCCTGAGGAGAGCTTTTTCGATTGCAAAGCTCAGTTGACGTGCTACGAGCGAACAGCGAAAATGTGCCGCCACCCCGTCCAGCCTGTGGTGGAAGTGGATTTCCAAGTCCTGCAAAACAGATACCCACAATCCAATTCAATGCTACTATTATTCCGCTCAAGTCATTTTGCGTCTCATGATAGACGGAACACATCGTCTGCCAGCTCGTTCGCCGCCGAGGTACTGTGTAGACATGGCACCGTAATGTGATCCGATTGTGACGAGGTACTTTCCCCTGCCAAGTCAGTCTGCACCCGTGGGTCACGGATCCTCATGGCTTGAATCGATGGTGGTACCGGAAACCTGGGTCGATGTTGTTACTGCTGCCTGAAGTTGGTACTTGCAAGACGCAGATAAGAACTAAGGCGTCCAATGCTAGAAGTATCCGAATGGTGCAGCGATGGCTGACCGTAAAGCATAACCAGAACGTTTTTTTCGGAAGATATTTTGTAGAGTCAAATGATGTATTGCGAACAGCAATCAAACATATATACTGTAGTTCCGAGAAGTAAAGCTAAGAGGGGGTATATATTCGACGACAACAAAAAAGGTTCTGCTTTCAATCCAAACAACAAAACGCTCCGTAGCTTCAGGCACCGCTTGCTCAACGACTCGGCCATTGGCATCTTATTCGTACAAGATTAGCATAGGAATAGTAGCGTACCGTCCTCAGCACAGCCGACCCAATGCCCAATAACAACACCACACCAAGATCAACAGTGCCCTTGGGTTGCCCGGTAAAATGAATGCTTGAAAAACAGAAATATGTCGCTTGCCTCGCCAAAAAATGCTGACCAAATATGTGTTCGTCTTGAGAATCGACCGCAATAAATGGACGATAATGCTTAATGAGTGGTGATGCTGATGCTGATGCTGATGCTGTTGTTTGCTAAAAGCCCATCTTTTGCAGTGGTAGTCGAGATTTGCCTGGACCAGCCAAGCACACTGTCGTCGTTCGTTCGCTCTTGTGGCACTGTAGCTTCACTGAAGGAGCGCTTAAAAAAGCCCTCCTAGGAAGCTCTTCCTCTTGCTATCATTTCTGCCGAGCGCTGGTCGACCGTCCCATGTTTTTACCGGCGCTTCATCGAATCCGTAACCCGCATAGCCATCAGCGGCAGGGTCGCGATCTCGTCGACGTCGTCTCTCCCTTCTGTCTCGCTCGTCGCTGCCGCCACTGGCACTCTTGCCCTCAGTGCGACGACCTTTGCGCCGTGCTCGATGCTCTTCGATCTCAGTTTCCGTCATGCCCGCATACTTGTCGTGATGTCGAGAGCGTCGCTTGCGTTCGAGCTCTTCGTCCGCAGGTCTAGGTTTCTGCCCACTGGGATCCAAGATTGTACCTTCAACTGGTGGCAGGTCCGGCGGCTCGTCCGCTTGCGAGTGCACCCACGAGCTGGTCTTGTTGGCTGGTGGTGCGATGCCCTTGCCACTACCGCTTCGGCTTTCGTGGTACTCTTCGACCAATACACTGGGCTTTTTGCGGCTGGATTTTTCACGCCCTTTCTCCCTCGACTTTGATTCCTTTTGTCTTCGCCGTTCCTCTTCATCAGCGTAGTACGACTTCCGCCGATCCTCCTTGGACTTTTCAAAGTCGGCACCCTGCTCAGTCTCGAGTTGAGCGCGAAGACGTCTCCGCTCTTCTCTACGTCTTTCTGCTTCAGCTTCCATTTCGAGTTCTTCTTGTCGGATTCGTGCATCTTTCTCCGCTCGACGAGCTCTTCGCTCCTCTCGACGTCTCTCCTCATCTTCTCGCTCCTTCCTCTCGCGCTCGCGTGCCCTGCGCTGGTGAGCTTCCAAGTCGGCCTTTTCACGCTCCCTTCTCTCCTTGCGTCTTTGCTCTCTCTCGATTCGTTCGGCTTCTTCCTCTTGATCGCGTGCCTGTCGCTTGGCTCTTCTTTGGGCACGGCGAGCTTCAACATCGGCATCCGTCTCGGCTGGGGCATCTGTCGTAAGTCCTTCTTCATCGACAGCACGGGATTTCCGTTTCGATCGATCCTTGGTACGGATTGGTAGCCCTTGGTCCTCGGCATCCGTGAGCGTGGTGCTTCTGGGCCTCTCCCGTTCAACCTCTGCCTGTTTTGCACCTCCAAAAATGCTGCCGAAAAATCCGGTAGATCTCCTTGGGGCTGTGTTGCTTCTCTTCAAAGGAGATGGATGATCAACGAAGGCGAGGTCATCGGGGCCGCTAGTAACCAAGGGATCGCCGTGGGCACCAACATCAACCATGACTACATCATCATCGTGGGAGATATCCTTTTTGTGCGACTTCGCCTGTGTGTAAGAAACCCGTCCGTCAGCTTGTGTTATTCTGGTAAAGTCTGGCGACCAGGATGGGCGACCAAGGGGACTTGGTTGCAAGGAGGAGGCGATTGCACCTACCTCTTTCTTTGATTTGGAGGCCTTGGACTTTGATTTCTCCTTCACAGTACCGCCGTTGACGACAGGCGGGTCGTCATGAGTATGAATCATGACCATATCGTCGTCATCAATAGGATAGGGATCAGGAACAGCTAGAGTCATCGTGTCAGCGTTCGTGGCGTCGACGATAGCCATGCCACTCATAAACTCACCTGACTTGCCCTTTACTGATTGACGCCGCTCAAGCTTGCCAGATTTCATACCCATGAGCTTGGCTGCTTTGGCCGTGACGCGAGGCTCATCCTCGGGTGGAGGCGACATCAAGCCATCTACAGATTGCCGTCGGGATGAAGACGGTCTAGAGCTAGCAGCACTACTTGATCTCCGGGTCGTCGCCGTTGTCGTCTTGGGTCGCATTGCCGACGGTGGAGGACCGCCGAACATGAAGTTGGAGAATGAGGTACCGCGCGTTGCCGTTGGCCTGGTAGCCTTTTTCGCTTTACTGTCCTTGTCGGACTCAGAAGACTTTGACGTTTTCTCGGCTTCCTTCCTGTCCTCATGCTCCTTTTCCTTTGGGGTACGAGTCGACTTCGACCGCGTCAGGCCGGTTGGCGACTTTTCCTTCTTGGCGGGTGGTGACAAGTCCACGTCTTCCTTGACTTTCTCCTTTGTCGACTTTTTCGGGGGAGGAGCAGCACCCCAGAAGCCCCAAGAGGCAGTAGCGGACCGTTCAACCTTGGGGCGTTCCTTCTTAGCCGACTTTTTCTCCTCTGGTGGCGGCGTTGGCAGTTTGGGCGGATTGTCAGCGAGCAAATCAATGTCCCTTGTAGCTGACTCCTTCGGCGTAGTAGTTTTTGATGTCTTGGTGCTCTTCTTTTCCACTGTCTTCGCCTTCGTTTTGGGCTTCTCAGGCGAAGTCGGCATTGATGGATTGTCAGTACCAAGGAAGTCGTCAAAGTCGTCACCGAACGCGCCAGGAAAGCTTCCAGGAACCGAGTCTTTCGATTTCTTCTCTGCTGCAGCAGAAGACGCGTTGGTCTTCTTGCTGGAAGACTTCGTCTCGACAGCCTTTGACTTGGAGGCTGACGCCTTGTCCTTTGGCTTCTTTTCCTCTTTGGGCGAAGGCGCGTCTTGAGGTGAAGGCAAATCCTTAGTCAGCGCCACGTCTGCCTTCGACTTCTTTCCGCCGTCTTCTTTTTTGCCTTCCAAAGCTTTGATGCGGTCTGCAACCGAAGAGTTCAATTTGCTCTTGCCCGCGGTCATTGCCTTGGAGGTCTTCGACGAGCTCGCCGGCTTGTCAAGGTCGAGATCGAAGTCGAGATCGTTCGTGAGGTTGGCTAGTGCGTCGTCCTCATTGGACGACCCCTGTTTGGTAATTTCCTTTTTGGAATCAACCTCCTTTTTGCCAGCTGTCTTCTTGGACGTCGACCCGCTACCCCAGAGTCCAAAATAGTCTTCAGTCTTCTTGCTTTCGACTTTTTCCTCCTTGGTGGAAGAGCCCTTTTTCAATTTGGAAGACTTGTCAAGTTTCCCGCCAGGAGTTTGCTCCTCAAGGACGTCAAGCAGGTCATCCATGTCCCTGATTTTGCTCGACTTGGTCTCAGTCTTTGACGACTTGCCGGCCTTTGTCTTAGACTTCTTCGCAGCCTCTTCCTCGGCCAATCGTGCAGCTTCGGCCTCGTCAGCCTCGCGAGCAAGCCTCTCTTCCTCTTCTTTTTTGGCTTGTTCTTCGGCTTCCTTTTTGGCCTTTGCCTCTTTCTCTTTCTTCGTCAATTTGGTAGTGGTGGTAGTTGTACCGAAGCCCCAAACGCTACTCTTGCTGGCCTTGGCTGGAGCTTCTTCAGCTGGTGTCTCCACTATATCAGCAACGTCTTTGCTCTTCTTCGACTTCTCCTTCTCCATGGCCGCGCTCTTCTTCGAGGAAGATTTGCTTTTGGTGGTCGTCAAGCCCGCCCAAGTATCATCGTCGTTCAGCATCTCCAGTGGATCAGGCTCTGGAGTGAGACCTTGAGCGGGAGGGCTAGGAACAGGTGGAGGGGGCTCTTCGTTCGCCTTGGACTTCTTGCTGCTCTTCTTGTCCTTTTTGCCCCAAGAACCCCATATGTCATCTTCAGCAGGCTTCTCAGGCTGTTTGGGCTCATCAATCTCGACAATACCTTTCTTCTTGCTGTCTTTGGCACTTTTCTTCTTGTCTTTGCTCGCAGTGCCCCACGCGGGCCACGCATCGTCCAAGTTGTCTTCGGCTGGCTGAGCTTCAGGTTCAACCAAGACCTCGGGCTCGGGTTCTAAAGCGGCAGCGGCGGCTTTCTTTTTAGCTTCCTTTTCTTTCTTCTTTTTATCCTTGGAAGAAAGGCCAAAACCTCCCCAATCGTCGTCGTCGTTGGCTTCAACAATAGGCTCAGGTTCAGGCAGAGGCGCAGGAGGCTCATCGTCAAAGTCGAAGAACCCTTTCTTTTTGGCCTCTTTTTCCTTCTTTTTCTTTTCTCTCGCAGACAGGATTGGCTCTTCTTTGATCGGCGGCTCTACCTCAGGTGGTGGTGGCGGCTCTTCCACAACATCAAGAACACCCTTCTTCTTCGCTTTCTTCTTATCCTTAGCAGATACAGTACCCCATGTGTCTTCCGTCTCTACCTTGACCTCAGGCTCAGGCTCAGGATCAGGCTCAGGCGCCGGCAGTGGTTCATCGTCGAAATCGAAGAAGCCCTTCTTCTTAGTCTTCTTGTCTTTCTTGGAAGTACCCCAGGCTGACCAAGTATCATCTTCTTCTTTGATCTCAGGTTCTGGTTCAGGCGGTGGTGGAGGGGGTTCTTCGGCCGGCACAATGAGGCCCTGCTTCTTGGCCTCTTTCTCTTTTTTCTTTCGCTCTTTCGGGGTCAGATGAGCCCAGGCAGATGTATCCACGAAATTTTTAGGCGTTTCTTCCTTTGCTGGCTCAGATTCAGGTTCAGCCTCAATTATTGGATCAGGGATTGAAGGCTCGGGGCTGGCAAGCTTGCCCTTTTTACTCTTCTTGTCTTTCTTGCCAAAAGAGCCCCAGAAATCATCCGTCTCAACGGGAGGTTCTGGCTCAGGTGGTGGTGGCGGCGGTGGTTCTTCTTCCAGCGGGGTGGCTTTCTTACCCTTCTTGTCTTTCTTACTTTTTGTTGTCGAAAAAGCACCCCAGGTGTCATCCTCCGGCTGAGTATCAGGAGCCGTGGCTTTGGTATCGGTCTCTCCTAGGTCGACAGAAGCCGAAAGATCCACCACCGCACCTTTCTTTGATTTCTTGTCCTTCTTCTTGGTGCCCCATGCGGAAGCCATCCAATCATCGCCATCATCAGCAGCAGGTTCTGGTGCAGCAGGAGGATCGGGGACAGCCAGGAGGTCGTCTTCGAGTGCATTGAAGCCCTTCTTAGCTTTCTTGTCTTTCTTGGCCGTTCCGAATCCCCAGTCGAAAGCATTATCCGTACTTCCGGCATCTACAATAGGATCTTTCGTCGCAGCCACAGGTTCCTCCAAGGCAGCTCCTTTCTTGGATTTCTTCTTATCCTTCTTGGTGGAAAATGCTGCCCATTCGTCTTCTGCTGCCGCTGGTTCGGGCTCAGCCGGTGCGGCAGGCTTCGGCTCCTCGATCGGGTCATCATCCAACCACCCTTTCTTCTTCTTGTCCTTCTTCTTCGTAGACGTTCCCCAGGCTCCCCAAGTGTCCTCTTCCTTGGGCTCTGGTTCTACCGGAGCGGGCTCTTCCTCTTTCTTTTCCTCTACTGCTCCCTTCTTTTTCTTGTCCTTCTTGCCGACTGAAGTGAAACCCCAAGCATCATCCGTAGGCTTTGTATCGCCGACATCTCCGTCAAGGTTGAATGTATTGTTGCCGGAGTCTAGATCGCCAAAGTCAAAATTACTGAATGTCGAGGTCTTCTTTTTCGACTTGTTGCCGCCAAGGGACCAGGGGTTGTTGTCGCCAAATTCAGTAGAGCCATCCTTCTTGTCTGTGTCCTTCTTCGAGGACTTGTCATCCACCTTGGTAGTCCCAGTGTCAAGCGAATCAAAGTCCCAGGTCTTTCCCCAAGCCCCGAAGCCGCCGCTGTCTTTCTTACCGTCTGACCCACCGAAACTGAACTCCAGCTTGGGAGCGGTATCATCAAGACTGATATCCTGAAACGCAGAAGTTGCTGGTGGGTCAGCAGGGAGATCCTCCGCGCCCTTGGCAGTCAGTAAGGTCGTGATCGAGGCGATGTCATAAAACCTACCTTCTTGTTCTTCTTCTTTTTATCCTTCTTCGATGTGAAGCCTGTGGTCCAGTCGTCCTCAGCAGCAGCGTTGTTAGTCTCGTCAGCCCAACTGAGAGGGTCAGCGGCGTTAGCAGCTTCCTCATCCTTCTTTTTTTGTTCCTCCTCTTCCTGCTGCCTCTTCTCTTCCTCTTCCTGCTTCTTTTTGTTCTTTTTCTTGCTCTTCTTGCTACCACCGAAATCCCAATCATCATCTCCACCACCGCCGTTGTTGTCGTCCCCGCCGCCATCGCCCCCGGCACTCCCTCCATTACCATCTCCTCCAGCGCCCTCGCCACCATCTCCGGCGGCGTTACCCTCTCCTTCATTGTCTGATTCGAACCATTTGGCTTGCGAAGCTGCTTTCGCGGCCTTCTGCTTTGCCTTCTTGCCTCGCGTCTGTACACCGCTTGCGGCGCCAAAATCTACGCTGAAATCCATTTCTGGGTTTGGCGGCTTAGCGTCGCGGTGCGGCGAGGACGCTGGCTGCTCCGATGTGGCAAGGACCTTCGCACGTGCAAGTGGCTCGGACAGACTTGGAGGGGGAGGGCACTCGTAGTCGCTGAACGGTGGGCATGTTCCATAAGGTCTGGGAGATTCTGATAATTCGTGTAACAAGGCTGCGACCAGCGCAGTTGCTTCTAGGTAGACCTCATAACTAGGAATGATGTCCTGTGACTGGGGTCAGGGTGGGCCGATCTCGACGGAGCAAGGGAGTGGAAGGGTCAAGTAGGCTTGGGAGCAGATAGACCAGAGGTAGGAGTTGGGACTCGACTATTTGCGTTAGAGAAAAAAGGGATTCCTGCATACCCGTTGGGATGGCTTGCTGTGCTTGAGCATAGCGGTGTGCATATTGCGCCAATTATCGCCTGCCCGCACTTCGTGACAACGCGACCGAGGTAACTCATCCGTTCCAATCCTTAACCATTTCGGGGTCCTTTGTCGACGAAACGCGCTCTCGCTGACATCTGTGGTTTGCGACGCGGCCACAAGAGCCGCCATGCTGGACTTGGGCGTGGTATTTGCGCAATTTGAGGTGAGAAAGCATTTGTCGCGGTGGCGAGGGCGTTGAAATGATTTAAGAACGAAAGACTTTGAGGCTTCGATTATAGAGCCTCTTCTTGAGAGAGATAGCGAACTGCAAGTGATGAAGAGCTGCGATAGAGTACGGCGTCAGGAGGTCACAGGAATGCAAGTCATTGGTTCGCTGTGGGAGACGAAGCCAGTTTCGTTCCCTACTCCCAACCCCTTGCAAGCCAATGTCGATCCCGGCCAAGCACAAGCCTTTTATCGATAGAGCCGATACACAAACAATTTCGGGAGACAGGGGCAACGGGGAATAGATATCTGGATATAATATATCTACCACCTGAAGTCGTCAACCACGACGCCTTGGACGAACAATGCAAAATTTTCAATCGATGCCTAAGATACTCCGTTCAATTGCATCGCCAACAAACATGGCGGTGTTGACTCGCAGTGTCAGTCGACGAATAACACAGCAGCCAAGATGGGGGCGCGTGCAAACAAGCGATGAATAAGGTCGTTCCGTTCCTCACCGCCACAGCTGCTGGGTGGGAGTCGAGACGAATAGGAAACGGCAGATGGAAAGCTTGGGCTATGCGTAGCTTTCAATGGGCTAGACCAAGTAAACACTGGAGGGGAGGAGCGCTCAGGTGTGGTGTGTTTGCCGGGAAAGGGTGCTGAATCGCGTCCTAGTTGGCACACCTAAACAAACGCTCGGACGCAAAGACGAAAGCAATTGGCTCGCTCCAACCCATCCCGAGACTCAATGATGCTCCCCTAACAAAGGAACAGCGGGTCCACATGAGCGTTCGTCCGAGCAAGGGTCCCGACCTCTTCGAAAGAATCCATGGATCATGGTATTTTGGGAGCCCATATGATGGAGGTCAACCTGATACCTCGTAGTATTAAATGATTCGAGACAGGCGACCCTTGGCCCATTGAACATTGCCGCCTTTGATCGCTCAATGCAGTATCCGTAGCCATTGGCGAGGCGAGGCCCCCAAATCATGCAGGGGTGACGCAGTTCTCCGGCAATCGGCTGTACCCGGGTGATAGGGCGCTTGCCGCAAAGCCCATGGATGGCCCGGAGTGCAAGTTCAAGCAATGTGGCCATCCTTTGCACTTCTGAATCAACCAACGGCTGACGGCGGTTTTCATCAAAGCTCATAATTGGGTTGGCTTTGCACCAGCCACGGCCTCCTTACCAGGTTACAGCTGAGCGCATCGACTGGTGATGTTGCACAGATGCACCGACACGCGAGTACTCTGGGCTCTTGCTCTTTCATTTAGACCATGCAGGGGGAGTATTCGCTGTCGTCAGGCTGATCGATGGGACAAAAAGGAGCGGCTGGACAGAATTGCCACTGACCCTGATACGGTGTGATGAAGCTATCATGAGTGGCATGGCTCGTATATCAGTCGTCGTCAGAAGGATAATCGCCCAAACCTAGTCCGACAGTGTTGGTCGTAGGCGCAACAGTCGTAGAAGTGGTCTTGTTTTGATCCTTGGGTGTTTGTTTCGCAGCCTCGGGCGAGTACGCTTTTTCAGCATTATTGCTCTTCGGGGCTTCTGCAGCAACAGATTTATGTCCGACTGATGATGAGAGCCTTCTCAATTTATTGTCGCTAGCAGATTCGTTGTCCTTGTCACGGCGGCGGCGCTTCTTTTGTGTGGACCATTCGTTTTTGACCACCGGAGCGCCCAGACTTTCGGCTTTAGAGGGACTTCCTTGGTCGAGATGCTCCTTTTCTGCTTCAGCGCGTTGCTTGCGAAAAGCTTCAAGCTGCTCGGCCGTCTCCTGCTTGACTGCATCCTCTTTCGCTCTGCTGGACTCTAGCACAGAATCGAGGAAGTCTACCTCATCTTCGTCAAGAGCACGGAATTGGTTCTTCAATCGGATGGACTCTTCAAATGCTTCTTGCTTGGCGGCTATGACCGCACAAGGACTGCCATGTCAGAGGAGTGTTTGGGAAGAGCTAGTAGACACATTGTAGATGACTACCCACCTTTATTTGCTTGTAGCACCTCGTAGAGACTCTTCCCACCTTCTTGATTTCCCTCGTTCACGGGTTTAGGTTTTTTCAGAGTTTCCACTTGCTGTTTAGCTTTTACCCAGGCGTCGTCTTCTGTTGGCCGTGACTCGGGATCAGTGCCAGCTGCGAATTGTCAGAGAGTTGTGCCCAAATAGACAGGAACTAAGCCATAGATATGGTATGATACTTAGGTAGAGGAACACATACCTGGCACAAACCGGGACATTGTGATTCTGTAAAGTGGCGGGTATGCGTGAGATCTGATCTAAAGATATCTTCAAAGATCCCCGTCGCCCTTGGAGATGAGAGTGAAACGGAACGGATCTACTGTGGCTTATTGCGATGCGTGAAGGAATTCTCGGACTACATTAGTGTCCCAAGGTGAAGGAAAGCTATCAAGGGGATTAGATTGGTTCGCTTCGAGTAAAAGTGTGGAGGCGGATATGCCAGACACGTGCCCCCGTCTTCGTCCTTTGAAATGTGTGAAATCATCGTCTCCAGGTGCGGTACTCCGACGTGTCAGTGTCCAGCGCTCTGGTGGGTGCCACCGGCGCATCAGCCACCGTCATACGTACATTTGTATTTTTTGCGAAAATGTTCGCTGACTCTGTGTACGAGTACGACAGGGTTGGTCGTTTGTCAATCAGGGGTCACTCATTAGGTACTGCTCCGCCCAGCCCAGAGGGTGTCCGAGATTCCGCTTGCGAGTGAGATGCGTGGACGGAGTACTAGGTACGTATGCTGTTGGGGATGATTTTCTGTGGTCCATGACCTTATCAGCCTAAAAGACGGGAGAATGCCTCACTGGCCCGTCGTCCGTCATCGAGGGGCACGACCCAGTGATACCCAGTGATGCGTTGCCCCTCAGTGGATGGAGACAATCATCATCGTCGGGATTATACTTAATCTGGTCGAAGAATCTACATTGGAAACATTTTTTGGTTTTCATGTCTTCCCTCCGCCTCTTTACTACTCGTACCCTTTTGAAAAGCTCTAGATTCTCTTCTCGCACCGTCGCGAATACTAGTAGTCTGAGTCCATTGAAAACCACACTCTTCAGTTCACCTTTACTATCCCGAACCATGACGGCCACACAATCTGGCAAAGGCACCAAGTGAGTCTTCTCACACTGGCGACAGCTATGCGCCTGCTGACTATATTTTCCAAGGACGGTGTTCACCTTGAACACTGGCGCTAAGATGCCCGGTGTTGGTCTGGGTACCTGGCAATCCAAGCCCAACGAGGTCCGCGAAGCAGTCAAGAACGCTCTTCTTGCTGGCTACCGTCACATCGACACGTACGCCTGCTCCTACTCAAACCACTACTCCCAAACTGACAGCGGTATAGCGCCCTCGCGTATGGCAACGAAGCAGAGGTCGGCCAAGGTATCAAGGACTCTGGCGTTCCCCGTAGCGAGATCTGGATCACCACCAAGCTCGACAACCCCTGGCACAAGCGCGTCTCCGAAGGTATCGATTCATCCTTGAAGAGCCTGCAAACAGACTATGTCGACCTGTACCTCATGCATTGGCCTAGCTCAACAGTCCCCGAGGATCTGAAGAAGCATCATGATGACTGGAACTTTATTGACACCTGGTATGTGGCTTGCCTTGGATCTACCTACCGTTGCCTGACTGACTCTCTCGGAAGGCGTGAGATGCAGAAGCTCGTCGGCACCGGCAAGGTCCGAAACATTGGTGTATCAAACTTCGTCATCTCCAACCTCGAGAAGCTCCTCAACGATCCTTCGTGCAAGATTGTGCCAGCTGTCGACCAAATTGAACTGCACCCCAACATGCCTTCGCCAAAGACTCTGCAGTACTGCAAAGAGAAGGGAATCCACTGCACTGCATACTCCTGCCTGGGTTCGACCGATTCTCCCCTTTCCAAGGACAAGACTCTGCAGGCTATTGCTGAGGCCAAGGGAAAGAGCCCTCAGCAAGTGCTTTTGATGTGGGGTCTGCAGCGCGGTAAATAAAACCCCATACCCACCTAGTATCTTGTACTGACTTCCGCTACAGGCACTTCCGTCATTCCCAAGTCAGTCACCAAGTCGCGGATCGAAGCCAACTTCCAACTCGACGACTTTGAGTTGACCCCAGAAGAGATGCAGAAGCTCAGCAGTATCCCTGACCGGTTCAAGGTCTGCGGTGATGCTTGGTTGCCCGTCAAGGTCTTTTTCAACGAAGAGGGTGATGGCGGCGATACCCCGTCTCATTAGGCGGCTTCTTTACAGTGTCAATGCGCAATCTTTGAGCGTCTGGGAGGGACACGCAAAGACGTTCTACGGATTCTTAAAAGGGGCATGAGCTTGTAATCTTTACCATGAATAGACGAGGCATAGAAGCCAGCACCATGTTGCTGCCGGCGAGGAGATGCATCGGGCTGTAAAAGACGATGCGCGCCCAAAGATTTGCAGGAGATCTTCGATAGACAATTGATCTCTGGAAGCAAACACTGTTCATCAGGATCACAACTGTGCTGGCAACAACCAATCGCACCTTCTGGAAGATCAATGCTGCCCACCTGTCTGTGTACGCACGTAAGGTCGAGTGACGCCTTCGTTAGAAATATTCTGCGCCTGGCCAACCGCGAAGGGAAAGATGTCAAGCAACACATCAAGCACCATTAGAAAACTCGTCGTCGGGGTGGCTGAACACGACATGATATCCAAGTTCTTGAAGATCGATCTTGCAGTGAAAAAGGTTTACTTTTTAATTATTCTGAGATAGCATGAATAGCACATTGACAGCGGAGTGTACCCGTTTAAGGCCTCCCACATTTGCGGCACGTCGCCACCCCGCAACGGTGATTGGATTGCCTTAGTGTATTAGCTAATCATCCCTGCCGTCGAGGCCGTGTCATATAGCGCACCTGTCATTCCGCATCCCATCGCGCCCATCCTATTGATCTCGCCCAGCCCAGAGATATTATTTGACTACCAGAAGGCCTGCTCTCTGACCAGGCTCGTGCACAAAAGACACGATGCATGCTTAGCCATCACTCACGCTACCCAAGCGAACCTCCAACACTCTTCCGCTGCGTCTGGGGCCTTCTCCGTGGCTGACTTTCGTATTTCGTATTCGATTCCCTGTTGCCTGAGTTCAAGAGTCCGGTGTGCCGCTTCACCATCGAATCGAGGTGCGCCATTGTCACTGCGTCAGCCTTTCCGCCTGCGGGAACCACACCTATACTGCGTGAAAAAGATCCCCGACTTATAGAGGCAAGGTCCAGCTGGTGGTCCCTCTCCACAACTGCGAGCCTCCCTGGAACTCCGGCGATTGAGCCTAGCTTGCGCCATTGCAAAATCCTCCCTGTACGATGACCTCTGCGGAAGATAGCGAGGTGCAGCAGAGTGCCTTAGAAGAGGTAAATGGTCAATATGCCGAAGGTGCAAATGATGCCGTTCCTCGGCCGAAGAGAATCGCGTGCATACTGTGCAGAAAAAGAAAGCTAAGGTGCGATGGAAACAAACCAAGCTGCGGAACCTGTTCGAGATTGAACCACCATTGCGAATACTCCGAGGAACGAAAGAAGAGTGGGCCAAAGAGAGGCTATGTCAAGTTACTGGAACAGCGCCTTAAACAAGTGGAAAATCTGCTGGAATCAAGAGACACCCCAGCAGAATCCACCAGTCAAGCATCCAGACCTTCGACCATCCCAGCTCCAGAGTCCTACCCATCAATGGCTTCACTGGACATTCCGAACCTGGGCACGAGCGGCGATACCTCAATGTCGGGCATGATAGATCCCACTTTCACCGATCCAGCCCTCAATGGCATCCAGGACTTCGCTGGCATGAATGTCAGCGATGACTTTTCTTGGGAGATGATTGGCCTAGGATTGGAAGAAGCGTTGCCCTCACGCGACGTTATCGACGAACTGTACGAGCCAGACACTTTTGATGCCGCTTTGGTACTGACGTTTGCAGAAACGAAATCTACTTCGAAAAGGTTCATCCTTCAATGCCGATGATTCACAAGGCCAGATTCCTGTCATCAATGGACCTTGCTCCCCATATGCGACCAGCGGTATGTCTGAGATATGCCATGTGGACGCACGCATGTATCATCACCCCCAAGTATTCTGCTTACACGGAACATTTCTATGCGAGAGCGAGAAAATACGCTGAGGCAGACGAGATGCGAGGCCACGGTGAAAGCATGATTACCATCGCACATTGCCAGGCGTGGACTCTCCTGGGTTGCCATGAGTTCAAGCTCATGTATTTCCCCAGAGCTTGGATGAGTATAGGGCGAGCTTCCAGGTTGGCGCTCATGATGGGTCTGCACCGACAAGACCGTGTTGGTCTGGATGTTAAGCAAACACTGCCTCCGCCGCGTGACTGGACGGACCGGGAAGAGCGACGACGGACATTCTGGATGGCATATTGTCAAGACCGTTATGCCAGTATAGGGACGGGATGGCCCATGGTCCTTGATGAGCAAGACGTATGTTTTGACGGTGTTCTGGGGGCATGTTGCTAACATCGTGCAACAGATTCTTACGAACCTACCAGCCAGTGACGAAGCATTCCACAAGGGCCAGCCGGAGACCACATTACAACTATCAGACATACTAAAGGGAGACGGTACTTCTTCGCTATCGTCTTTCGGAGCTGTCATACTCCTGTCAACCCTCTTCGGCCGTAATCTCACCCACCTTCATCGACCCGACGAACACGAGAACGACCATGATCTCAACGGAGCTTTCTGGAAGCGACATCGCGCATTGGACAATATTCTTCTCAACACGTCTCTTTCTCTCCCCGCTAATCTTCGCCTTCCTGCTGGAATCAGTGACCCGAACACGGTCTTCGTCAATATGAATCTTCATACTGCCACGATCTGTCTACACCAGGCTGCCATATTCAAGGCCGATAAAAATCGGTTACCTGCACAGATAAGTGCCGAATCAAAGCGTCGCTGCATAGTCGCCGCCGACCAAATCACCAATACCATGAAAATGATTAGCCACATGGATATGGCTTTGGTTGGTTGAACGAGCTATCAAAAGGCTATGATGCTGACGTTTCCAGATGAACCCTTTCCTAGCATTCTGCCTCTACGTCGCCTCGCGCGTATTTGTCCAATACTTAAAGGCCCGAAGGGAAGACACAGCAGTCAAATCTTCCCTGCACTTCCTGCTCGCGGCCATGCACGTGCTGAAGACGAAAAATCCTTTGACGGAGTCATTCCTGGTGCAACTTGACGTGGATCTTGAAGGCAGTGGCCTCGATCTACCTAGCAACTACTCGCGCTGGAAATTTGGTCGCCGTCCACTCGTAGGTCGGCCCTTCTTGACATGAAACTATATATATACCTTTTCTGACTGTTCCCAGGGCGAGGTCCCAGCTAACACAGATGCCCTGAAATGCACACCGCTTTTCGAGATCCGCCAGACTCAGAATGTCGGCGACCCCACAAACAGACCAAATGTCCATCCGCAGTGGCGGAACGATGCCCATCCCAACCTGTCCGATATGAACAATTCATACCCGAGCCTATACGGCACAGACGGGTCGGGTATTGGCCCACAAGTGAGCCAAGCTGGTGGGAGCTCGTCTAATGATGGGTTTGAGAATATTTACGGATTTTCTATGCACTCTGTTGGCACTGAGCCCTCGCCGCAGAATTCAAATCAAGATGGTTCAGGCTCGCGATCGCAATCGAATCATCCCACGCCATCAACGGCGTCGAATCATAATTCTTCGCATACGTCGTATACTTCGCCACCAATGAATCAGACTGGAGCGAGCAATACTACCGGTAGCACGCACTCTCAGCAATCGCCGGGTTTCCCATTTTCTACGCAGGACAGCTGGAATCTGGCTGGTTCGAATCAGATGGGTGCGGGCTCGTCAACGAACCAAGCTCAGAACATCAATATACCGAGTATGGGAATGACTCCTGGCCCGACGGGGATGACCCCGAACCCTACGGGAATGACACCTAATCCGACGGGAATGACCCCGAACCTGGATTCGTTTTGGCCTCCCGAGGGTATGAGCGATGGGAACGATTGGATGTTTGGATGGCCCGGCTCGACGCCACAGCCCTAATCTTGGGTCGACCGTGCAAGATGATCTTCAACGGAACCTCATAATGAATACCTATATTGAATTATGTATATACCAAAATGTGATACCCCTGGGATTTTCGGACAACCTCTAGGTGACCCTCAGATCATGATGCCCTAGCGTGGCCCTAAATTTCGCTCGATGCCCTTGAGCCTTGGATACCTCTTCGCGTGTATAATGTCGGAAAGGATGCCCCGGACGAGACACCGGAGAGTGTTGTCAGCCTTGTCGGCCCCAGCTTGACTCGGATTTGCACTCGGCAGCTCTCCGCTTTTGCTTGGCAGTGTCTCCCGGGTTGAAGATCCCCAGATTTTGTTCCTTTGGCGCATGTCTGCGGCTTCCTCGAATGGATCTTTCAGATGGCAGACGGCACACCTTGATGTAGCACTTGCCTGGCATGAACAATTGAGCCCGAAGATGGCACCGATCAGTCAGCGCAAGCACTTAGGTCGTGACAAGTTCAGCACGCAGTTCAGCTTACTCAAGACCCAGCAATATGTCGATCCTGCCGCTCGTACCGTGACGCCGACAATGTACGTACTGACTCATAATTATCTCCCGAGCCTTTCGTCAGACTGCGTTTCGGTTCACTGGGACCCATCGCTGATACCGCGTCTGCCGCTACAGCCACCGCACAATATCCTGGAACGCTTCTGGCGGTTTAATCGCAACCGGCGCCAACGACAAAACCGTTCGAGTGTGGAACCCCGAAAGGACAAGTCCACGAAGTCAGATCGAATTGAGAGGTCACGGGCACGCTGTGGAAAAGGTGCTCTTCAACCCGGTGCGAGAGTTCGAGTTGGCGAGCTGTTCCTCCGACGGAACGGTGCGATTTTGGGATACACGGAGCAAAACATGCGTGACAAAACTCGACGTCGGCGGTGAGCCGTTCACACTAACTTGGAGTGCCGACGGAAGCACACTACTTGCCGGGACGAAGGTAACCTACAAACTTACTTTGGCCTCGGATGACTGGTGTAGGACTGACATTGACCTAGGGCGACGTCCTGATTCCCATCTCAACCGCGATACCCTCGTCACCCGTTATACTCTCGCGGCACAAACAATCCCAACAAACGAACCAAACCACATTCTCGAATGCCTACCCCCCGACCGACCTCCTCATCACCCGTGGCGACGGGTCCGTTCAGATCCTCGACTTCCCTTCCTTCCAACCTCTCCACACCATCTCTGCACATACCTCATCCTGCATGGCCATCTCATACTGTCCGAACGGGAAATATGTGGCTGTTGGAGGCTCCGATGCTATGATTTCCCTATGGGACACGACCGACTGGGTTTGTCGGCGGACCGTGTCGAACCCAAGTTCCGGCGCCATCAGGGGCCTCAGCTGGTCCTGGGACGGGCGGTACTTGGTCGGCGCAAGTGAAGAGATGGGCTCAGGAGGCGGCGAAGGCTTAAGCTCCGGGTTTGACATATACCACGCTGAAACGGGGGATGTGGTGCATACTATAGCGACAGGCACGAGTGGGATCCCTGCGATCGAGTGGCATCCGAATCGCTACTGGTTGGCGTATACGCAGGTCGAGGAGACGAGGCAGGGGAAATCGAGCTTGAAGATCGTCGGCGCGGCTGGAGGACCCTCTATATGATATAAATATAATATGGTCAAGGGCGAGGCAAAGACCCGTTAGCGCCACTCTAACCACAGTCTTACACGATAATTGCACGTTGATCCGATGTCACTATGATTTGAATCCGGCGACTCTTACTACGTTGCAGGTCGACAAGCCATATCTTCATTAGTTAGACTATGACTATAAACATTCGAGTGAAGTATTGCTGGCACTAAAGTCCCCTTAAGCTCCCCTTGCCATCAACAACTCCTCGTATCGAATACTCAAGGTGACTCTGCTCGCTCTCTTTCATGATTGAGTCATCTTGAGCCCCCAAGTTGTGGTTTAATTGCTCGCGGCTGACCTCCGATCGGGTAACAGGGTGATGCCGCCCTTACTCACCCTCGACTCACCGGTTGTGGGGGGCGGAATTTAAAGCAGGGCGCCCGTTGAACCTATGCAGTGGGAGATGGGCTGACAACTCCATGACGGTAGTAAAACGGTATACAGTCTAACGCCTCCTCGGGGATCTCAATCTACCAAGTTCCTCACGTTTAATCACTTTTTGAAGGCTCTAACTGCACGTGACTACAGTAAAGCAAACTGGATCATCTGCTGAAGGGACGTCTCGCTAAACCTCCCTTCAATATTGAGGTGACCCTAGGTGAGATACCCACTAAAGTAATACTTCGTGCGGGTCCGAAGGCGGTGCAAGTGTTCAAGATCCTGAGAATGATCTTTGAAGGCTTCAATGGGCTCCAGGTCCCTGATAAAGGTGCCTGGGGGGAAGTCCCAGGTGGGTATCGACCACGAGCAGGAAGATGTCGGACAGCGCTGGGTGATCAATGGCTAAGAGCGTAATCGACCGTGTCGTCCTCAAGACGGCGGTCTTTAGCCCAAACCAACAGCTTGTCTAACAAGATGACAAATCCGTAGCATAGCGTGACGGTCGGAAGGATCCATGCACTGAGGAAGAATGCGCTGAAGGGTCTCATATCCGCAGCAACAGTCATCGTCGCCAGGAGCGCCAGTCCAGTTCCAACGGCGAACCGACCTCCAATGCTGATGATTTCGTGGCGGGTCTTGTGTGTTGTGCCAAAGTAGTGCATCAATGACAAGAGCGCCATGGTGCATCCCGCAGAAATAAAGAAGTAGACAAATACGATGCCGAAAACAGCTCCAATAGCGCTTAATTTTTCTCCTCCGGTGACTGTGCTTTTGGCTTCCCTATCGGGAACTTCGATGTCCAGATTATCGAAGATCCATGCGTATGTGTTGGACAACGTCACGTCGATGATGGATAACGCCTGATCTAGGGTGCTATTGGCAGAGTTGTTGGTAATGTTGACAGACTGAAGCTCCTTGAAAAATTCATCATAGTCGACCGGCGCCACTTTGGTGAAGCGGCTGGGCACTTGATCAAGTGTGTCGTTGAGACTTTGTATGAGTTGGTCTCCATCCGCCGCCATTTCCAAGGCATTCTGGACTTTGGCCGTCAACCAATGGGATAGTTCGACCCCGAGTCGAAACAAGATGAGCTCGGAGCTACCTTCAACCGTGAGGAGCATGCCAACGTGCAATGGAAAATGCAAGACCGCCCATACTTGTTGACGAACTGTTCCAAAGCGATCGTGGTCGATCTGATCAAAATAGAGCATGTAGAGGAAGTACTGTGGCAGTTCGTCAGTATTAGCAGGATGGGAGCGAACGCAGACCGCGCAGGTCATGACGTGTGGTCGCTTACGATGATAAGGACTGAGCAAACGACCATGCCGATTGAGCTACCGGTAAAGTTGGTAGTTCCTTGCATCATGTTTGATAGGGATTTGGTCATCCCGACAATACCTTCTCCGAGGATAATGAGTGTCAAAAGAACCGACTCGTTCCACCAAGTGAGTGTGTTTGAAACTCAAGATCCGCCATTGACTGGATACTGCCAGGACCGATAATGCTTCCATCACCGAGAGCACATACCATCCGCCCTGAGCGTGGCTTCCACGGTTGGGCCCAAAGGCAAAGGTTATCCCGAGAAATATTGCACCTGTTGTAGATAAAATCCCGACCGTGAGTGCCACGGGCAGGACTGTTCGTTTGTAACTCCTGACAAACCAGAGCACGGTACAATATTGAAAGGCGAGGATCAGACGAGAGACCATGAGGATGATGCTGAGTGATCTGAAAGCTCGGCTGTTTTCGTCCTCTTGACCTGAGTGGAAAACAGGCCCCACGATTGCGAATCCAGTCATCACTCCAAAGTGCAGCGCCTTACATACCCGGGAAAAGAGGGAGTCGATTGAGAACCGTACATCGTACAAGCTGGTTTGGAACCAAGTGAACCACAGAAGCGTAAAGAATCCCATGTAACTGGCCAATGAATCTGAGTCGTCAATGGGGTGATTGCTGGTGAACGTTGCCAAATTTGCCACAAAAAACAGGTCGTAGAAGAGTTCGATGCTGGACGATTCATGGTGGACGCGGAATTTGGGCTCGTCTCCAGGCAAATGTTTAGCTGTGGATGAAGGGAGCTTGATTTGTTTCGCTTGATGATTCCCCTTCGGTATGCTGGAGTTGTCGGTTCCAGAAGGCGGAATGGTCTGAATGATTCCATTCTCCGAGTCCCACACGCTCTTTGGATCGGTGTCTGGGACGGAGTCGATAAATTGGAAATCTCTTTGTTGCTCTTCTAGGGGAGACTTGAGCACTGGAAGTACCTGTGATCGTCCTGGGGAAGACTCTTCCGTGTATTGGCGCGAGAGAAGATGCCGGAGCTTCATATCCAACGATGGATAATTCGTAAAATGAAGAGAGATCAAAGTTAGCACACGACTTGTGAGGTGAGTCTGAGCACCCTGCACAGCCGGAAGTTGAACTCGTTAATAGGAAATCGCGTAGTGTTCCTTCAGTGAGGCCCCCCACCAGTTGGGACATCAAGATAGCTGTACTACGTAAATCCAAAATCGGAACACTGGGGACCATGCTCTTAACCTCCTGATGCCTCCCATTCCAAGCAGGGATTGGGAGACCATGCAAACTACGGGCACCTCATGACAAAGCGCCCCTGGGCCATACCAGTTGTTGTTTTGTAGAGCTACTCGAATTGACCCGCTTGGATATTTGACGTCAATGCGGAGCCGCAATAGGATCTGCCCTGAAGTACGGAGTACTTGTACAATACATTTCAGGACGCTAGAATCTAGTTTATGGGGGCGAAAAGCTTATACGGGTTTGGCACAGAAGCTTGTTTGGAAAACCTTCCAACGCTTTTCGATTATTCAGAAAGTGTCGAGAACTTCTAGAGCCCTAAACACCCTGGACCCAAGTACTGCAATGTTTCAATGACATCTTAGATCCTGTTGCGACATAAGAACATTCAGCTCACAAACGAACACGACTATTACCCCTTTCCTGGCCCCCCATCCCAAAGCTTAGTCCCCGTATTCAGCCTGCTGACCGTATGAATATGAATGTGAATGTCATTCTACAACTAGATGGGGGGAGCTCCTCAGACTTCAAACAGAATAAGCGCGAATCGAGTCATGCAGAACAAATTGGGCGGGCTTGGAAACATGTCATTCGTCTTTGCTTTCTTGCGCCATCGCGACGTTTCGCTAACCAGCCTGCGGTTTCGAGCGCTAACGAAGGAATATTGCTACAGTGGCCCTCCATAGCTGGTTGCCTCAGGCTTGTCCGCCTTCGGGCATTACGTCGAAGATTGAATATGGCTGAAACGCCGAGCGGCTGAGCTGTGCGACGGCGGATGCTAAGTCCCATGTTGTACACCTCCCGTTCAGAGGTAGGATGCAGCGCGTTTTCATGCTACTATTTTACAACTGCCTGTACATTGTTGGTTGTCATAGAAGACATTTTCCTGAATTGGCACCGCTGCTTTGCCGCTAGGTTACAGAGATACAGGAACCAGGAAACCTATGTCGGTTGTGAGATCATTTCAGCCATTGCAGAATGGCCTACCACGGTGTCAGGGGTAAGTTTTACGCACGCACCCACAGTATCCGATTGTTCAGCAAGAGCAGCATTCCTTTTTAGATCCTGCTTACCTTATTCTGGCCGCTGTTAGGTTGAAACGTGCTTTCAATTGACTTGATAGTTGAAAACAGCAGTGCGTTTTCTAGCCAGTCAGAACCCCTTTGTGTAGAACTAACCCTGGACACCGTACTGTAGTACTTGTACGAAGTAAGTGGATCCACCGTAGATTCACTAACTTGTCCAGAAAGACCTGCGGTGCCATTTTTCTTATTTAGTCTGCCACGGCGCTTTCTTGTTCTTTGAAACTGCAGGTTACTCGTCACTTTCATTTGAATAGAAATCGCAGGACTAAGGCAGAGGATATACAAAAATTTCACACTCACAGCCCGTCAGTATGCGTGGAGTTCTTGCCACCACAATTGGTGCTTTGGCCGTCACAGCAACGGCCGCCGGTTCGAACACGACCTGTGCTGGGAGTCTGTACATTCTCTGTGCCCGCGGCTCAGGTGAACTTGCTGTCGCGCCAAAGGCAGGGACCTATCCTGACAATACCGGGTCGCCTGGGATTCTTGCTCTTCAGGTTGCCAGCCGGATCGAAGGAACCGTGATCGCCGGCGTCATCTACCCGGCAACGGATCCCACAGCGACTGGGGCCCTAAACATAACTGCTTACGAGTTGTCAGAGAACGCCGGAGCCAAAGCTATAGTGGAGGAGGTGAACCAGTACCACTCAGCGTGCCCAGACTCCAAAATTGCCCTTATTGGCTACTCACAGGTTCGTGCAGCCTTTCGGGACTCGATACTATCGGTACAGAACACTGATCACGTCGGCTGTAGGGGGCACAAGTGGTCCAAGATGCCCTCTGTGGCGGTACTGGCGGCGACTTTAACAATGACGCGCCACTATCACCTGATTTAGTCAACAAGAATGGTACGCTGCCACTATATATACCTGGTGTATTCTTTTCTGGAAAAGACAACTTATGATTCCGACTTACAGTCATTGCCATTGCCCTCATCGCCGACCCAACGCACATCGCCAACACGACGTACGACCACGGCACAGGAGTTCATGATGGTGTAAGCAAGCAGCGTTCTGCAATAACCACACTTAGGCATTGATTTACCTTGGCTGATCCTTACGTTCAGGTCTTCCCGCGGAAGAACACTACGGTGTGCAACCAGTACAGTGGTCTCATGGGATCATGGTGCGGCGCGAACGACCAATACTGCGATTCCGGCAACAACATCACGGTACACGAGCTCGCCCCCTTGACATATGAAGACGATGTTGTGCAATTCGTGGTTGAGAGGTGGAACAATTCAACGTCGCAACGTGGTTCAGGGTCGACCGCTACCGGGACTTCTAGCTCCACAGCCACGGGAACGTCCACGGGATCACCAACAAACACCCCGACAAGTAACACTGGCTCCGCTTCTGGCCTCCTCTGGAGCCAGAACTTGCTCCTGGGAGCCGGGATGTTGCTTTCTATGCGGTCGCTTCGTTAACTCGGAGGGGTGATGACCTGGCCCTCGGTCTCGAAGCGTTGCGGCCGCCTTGTGATTTTTATTTCTTCTTCACTGAGGCCTAGAAGAGGCTGAATGCACCCCATGCCAACGTGGTTGAAAGCTACCTCTTGCAAACTGAGTGCTTCTTGAGCCTGACGAGTGTCTTCGTAGAAGCCATCAGGGAGCTTTCCGAAAATGATCAAGATGTTACAAAGCGGCCTGCGTCCAGGTCAGGGGCCATTCCAGGGAGCCAGGGAAAGGAGAGTATTGACTTGCTCTATACTCATGCTCTCTCACTGCCATACCCTCTTATAAACTTCTAATCTGCCAAGAAACCCACGTATCGAACGATTCTGGTGGAGCCATTCGTAACCTCTGGATCACATTACCTAGATAGAGCTGTATACTGTATTGCTGAGAAACCGGATTCCTCAGTAGCAAACCACTTGTACATAATCTCGGGACCGAACTCGTAGAGAGAGCTCCAATCCATATTCTCAAATGTCTCCCTAATCCTCCAACAATCGTTTCCTCGATTCTCAAATCCTTACCGGATGACACTTCTCAGTCCTAGGCTTAGAGAGAGTCCTAGCGTGTATGTCTTATGGCGTCCGCGTGGCCAGGACCCTTTTGGTCCCAGGAGAGCCCACGGCCTGGGCCATTGGACGTCGAAGGAACCCCTAAGCCCTAAGCGGGACGTCCTGGAGATTACTCTACCCTGGGACAACGCTTCTGCGACAAATTCGAGCCTGCAACGGAGTGCACGAGGACAAAGATCATGTGTAAGTTCGGCGGCTTTAGGATTGATGTCCCAATCCCAAGGTTCTCCTAGGAGAAGAATAGGAGTACAGGCGTATCAGCAGTCATATCTACCCTCTGGCCTTCACAGAAGGGCAAACAATATTGGATGGGCATGAAGGCCGACGAATACCGAGGGCATTCGAGTTGGTCGCATGACTTTGTAGAGGCTGAGCTCAAGGCCAAATTGGCCACAAGGTTGAGTAAGTCACAAGTGGAGACAGGATATTGAAGACGATCAAAGACGGAAAAGCATATTAAGTGCAGGTCACTCCTGGCGACCAATATACTATACTACCAGTACCCGAACATGATGAGGACATCCCAACTCGTGGATCGCTTCGTTCAGTTTGGCAGTACCTTGCATCGCCCAACGATTTTCACCAGCTAAAGATACCGTCTTCGCTGCCTCCCAGGCTTCCATTAGCCTCTAGTAGCCTCAGTGCTTCTTTTATACGAGGTGCAATTGCTTCGACGTATGCCTTGGTCCGTGGTTGCGGGCCGGCCGCGGTCTTCTGCTGATCGGCCTTTACCCAAGGCACCTTTTTCAAACCTGGAGTTCCCATCACTGTGTTTCGCAACTCATCAATCACAGTATCGTCATAGCCTCCACCGAACACGATAGCTCGAGGCACTTGGGAGAAATCTTTAGTGCCCAAGTCGCTTTGTTGGCTACTGGGCCCACGCCCAGACAGAATGAGAGGAATATTGGTCCGACCATCTTCCGGACTCGTAATAAAATGAACAACTGTTCTAGTCAACCTAGTCGCTAGAAGGAAAGCAGTAAGCCGAACGGTGGAGGCATACCTTCATACTCAGGTTTCAGCATCTCGATGGCGGTTGCTCCGACGCTCTCACGTCTACCACATAATAGAATTGGTATCGCTGAAGTGGCCATTTGTTAGGGATTCGATTCCTGGAGGATCTCACTGGCTTTGACCGATGTAAAAGAGTCTTCAGCACAAAGATGGAGAAGTACTAGTATTTGTTGTGTAGGCTAACTCCTATACAGAAACGACAGCTGTCGGGTCGTGATCCTAGCCTGGTTGACTCGGTCCGACAGCACCTTCCACTCAGCCCGGCTGATCACAGCTCGATTATTCAGGTAGGCTGCTTGGTCCGGATATCGGGTGGTTCTGAATCCGATTGATGTTGGCGCTGTTCACGGATTTCGTATTCGTATTTGCGGACGCGGGGATGTGGCTTCCGAGCTTGCGCTGACCAGCATCACCTGCTTAGAAATCGACAGGAAATGGAGATTACCGGTGTTGAAAGTTCGATCGCATCGTACGTAGCATAGAAAAGGTAGATAAAATAATTCTCAACCGCCAGTGACATGCCTAGCAAAGATCAAGGAACGGTCCAATCCATCATGTCCAGTCCAGATGCTACCATAGTCTTCGGACCAACAGGAAATGTTGGTTCTGCCACCGCTCGTTGCATGCGACAGCATGGTACGAGAGTGGTGTTAGCAATGCGAGACCCTCGAAAACCCATTCCAGGTCTGACGGCCAGTCAAGAAGCAGAGGCACAATTTGAGAGAGTTCAAGCTGATCTTACGAAACCCGAGACGATAAACAGTGCTGTGACCCAAACCAAAGCCAAACGTGCCTTTATTTACGTGGCTTTCGGTACGCCCGACAACATGAGAGCCAGTGTTACGGCGCTTCAATCCGCCGGAATTGAATTCGTGGTCCTTCTGAGCAGCGACGCGATCCAGGGAAGCCCCCGAGATGTATCGCCAGCAGATTTTGTAGCTTGGGCCCATGCGCAAGTGGAGATCAACCTGGAGGAGATATTTGGTCCAGAACGGTTTGTCGCAGTAAGACCAACCTATTTTGCCAGCAATGCGTTGTGGTGGAAGAGAATGATCAGTGAAGGCGAAGTGAGGATGGCGTATCCGAACGCCAAATTCGACTGGATCTCACCTGAAGATATCGGCGTCGTGTGTGGTAACCTTCTTGCTGAAGGACCGCGTATCTTTCACGATACCAACAACAACGTCATACGGCTTTCTGGACCGGAGCTCATATCTCTTGGAGACGCTGTTAGAATCATCGGGAGAGTGATTGGCCAGAGTATCGGGATTACCGAGGTCGATGAGCAGAAAGGTCTGGAGATATATGTGGATGATTTTGGTATACCTGAGTCTGTGGGGAATGGCATGCTTCAAGCAATGAGAATAAGTTCGTCTGATGGAGGGGAGCATGTGCTATATCCGAGTCATGCTTATGAGGAGGCCAAGGACAATGTCAGAAAATACGCACGGGGCCAGTTTACAACACTCCACGAGTGGGTGGCAGAGCACAAAGATGAATTTCTTACATAGGGTACTAGTAGTTTACCTACTAAGTCATCGCGAATAACGAAACTTATCTTAGAATAAAGGGTACTAGGAAACTACAATAGAAATTAGAAAGTCACGGCGCGAATAAGCTGGAGAGTAAGTCGAATAGTGAGAAGAAGGTGAGAAGAGGATGAGTCGCGAGCAGGTGTATACTAAAAGCGGCACCGTCTGGCTGAGCAGTTATACCATTGCTTGACCTGCAAAGGACTTGACCGAGAGCCACCTCAAAACAGCGATAGGCTCATCGCGCCGTCGACAGCCAGATCCCGCTAGTCATCAGACACTGTAGTAATCTTTCATGGCTCCCGAACAAATCAGATGGGGATCCCTCCAGGACCACCATGAACTCCGCTTTTCCACCCTCGAGGTTTGGAGATAGGATAATGCACAGCCGATCTTGGCAGACCTGTTCCAGAGGTCTGGACGAGTGGTTTGTAGGAGTTCTTTGGCCTGAGGAGCAATGACCGCAACCGCCCCCGTCGCCGGTTAATGCTCACCCGCACCACGAAGCCCGCGATAACCAGTCATGGCCGCATTCCCTTTTCAGATTCGAGGAGTACGATCGCGCCCTAGACGGCGAGCTTTGGCCAGGCCTTGTCACGCGTCAACCTAGCTGCATGGTTTCGACCTCGGCGTCTACCAAGGGTCAAGTTTTAAAACCGTCAGAGTCCTCTCGGTGTGCCAGTGCAGGCGTTTTCTGGATCGTGCTTTGATCAAACACGAGGCGGCCGTCGTCAACAAGTAGGAGCATTTCAGTCCGCAAAACCCTCTTGTCTATCGCACCATGTCCATCAGGAAATACAAGGCCGCCATCTCCCAGGCCGAGCCCATCTGGTTCGACGTCCAAGGCGCGGTCGACCGGACCGTCGAACTCATCGAGGAGGCAGCCAGCAATGGAGCATCCCTGATCGCCTTTTCCGAGCTCTGGATCCCCGGCTACCCGAACTTCATCTGGGGGGGTACATACAGCGAGAACATCCCTCTCGTGCAAAAGTACATGGCGAACAGCATGACCGCACACGGGCCCGAAATGCTTCGGATCCGCCAGGCCGCGGCGGCGCACCAGATGCACGTCGTGCTGGGCTTCAGCGAGCGGGTGGCCAGCTCGCTCTACCTCGCCCAAGTCCTGATCGACGACAAGGGCGACGTGCTCCTCCACCGGCGCAAAATCAAGCCGACGCACCTCGAGCGCACCATGTTCGGCGACTCGACGGGCGACTCCCTGCAGACGGTGGCCGACACCAAGCTGGGCAAAATCGGCATGCTCAACTGCTGGGAGCACTTCCAGCCCCTGCTCAAGTACCACACCTACGCGCAGAACGAACAGGTCCACGTCGCCGCCTGGCCCTACCACGGCGACGCTCTGGGCGACGAACCCTGGTCCGTGTGCACCGAGGCCAACGAAGTCACGGCCAGTCGCATGCACGCCCTCGAAGGCGGCGCCTTCGTCCTCGTCAGCAACCAAATGATCACCGAGGCCGGCATGAAGAAGAACACCGAGGGCCACGCCGCGACGGGGACATCGTTCTCGGTCGGTGGCGCCGGTGGCGGCGCGGCCAGGGTCTTTGGCCCCGACGGGCGCCAACTCACCCAGGACCCGGATCCGTATCTGGACGGCCTGGTGTACTGCGACATCGACCTGGACTTGATCGACCGGGCGAAGACGCTGGCGGATCCAGTGGGACACTACTCGCGGCCCGACTTGCTGCGCTTGGTCGTCGACGACACCCCGAAGCACTACGAGACCAAGGTGAATGGGGGACCGCCGGCGACACTCACGTCGGCGTTCAAACCGCTCGCCGAGACGGTTGCGGCGTTTGAAAAAAAAATGGACTCGATGTAACGGCATAGGTAGAGGTCAAGCAATTCCAAACATACCGTACTACAATGGTAGACATTATAATGACGTGGCATTCGATCAAAGACACATCCTCTCTCTACGACCCGCGTGTTCTTTTCGACCGTGCTCATTCGACAAGCGCGATGCTTTTCCAAGTTCCTCGTCCCTAGATGTAACACACTCGTCCCCCGTCCCCCGTCCCCGTCCCCTGTTTCCCATCTCAGTCAAGACTGTAGTCTTCTGTGTACCCCGCTCAATGGCCTTCCTTCCCGACAGAAATGACCTTGAACATGCCGTGCGTATCGCCCACGGCCCAAACATCCTGGATCTGGCCATTGATGATCTTGAAGATGCCGACTCCGAGATACTCAAACCTGCGATGGGTCGCCTTGTATTCGCGAAAGTCGCGGGTGTGCGTTGCCGACCAGTGCATGCGCGCGATGCAGCGGTCGCCGTCGACGTACATCTCGTCGATGCGCTGGTAGAAGTCCGGAAAGGCGGCCTCGATCTCACGCACGTATCGCTTGAAGCCGTCGCGGTCGGTGGTGTTGTGTTCGAGGGTCCCGCGGAACGTGACCGAGGGGGAGATGAGTTCGTTGACGGGGCCGACGTCGAATTTGTTCCAGATGTCGTCGTAGAAGCGCCGGACGACGAGTTTCATCGCCTCGCGTGTGGCGGACGATGCTGCCATGTTTTCGTACGGGGCCGAAATGGAAAACTGGATCGAGGTGTCGGAGGCGTCGGAGGCGTTGGTGTTGGAATGTGTCAGGGCGGCTTTGCGGCCAAATGATTTTCTAGTTATGTCCCTTGTTCGCGGACTTTTTTAATCGGCCATCTTACCGAATGTCTTTGCAACTGCCGCGTCAATGCTGGATATCATCGGATACCTTTTCGAGTTGATGACAGCGACGATCGCTTGTGGCCGGCTCGTCTCGGACAGAGCAGATACTGAGCGCAAACTCGGTGTCAACTGAGGTGGTGTTGTTGGACGCACACGCGGACCCCTTATTCATGACCCGCTGTCTCGGACCCGGATGCGTAATATCCGGCATACCTGTAGATTAGAAGTGGTCGATCTCGAGATAAGCCAATGATTATAACAACAAGTAGTGCTATCGGGTCCAAGCTTGAGGTCTCGATGCGACAGACCTATCACGCGGTACGGCTTGATCACACTACGCTGGCCACTGTCGACCGGTTGAAGATTATCCTGGTTGCGGAGTGCTCGAAAGGGTAAAGCCTGCAAATGCCCCGTGCCGCTTGAGATAGGATATTGATGAGCCGTACCAGGATGGCATGTCAACAGGCAGGACGGTCCACTTTGGCAATGACGAGGACGGGTGACAGTGTGCTCAAGGCCATCCAGCACCAGGTCGACCACGCCACCGGTGAGATGCTGCTTGCCTGCTTGTCCCAATCAAAGTTTATACAAAGCCTCGTCTGGCCTGGTCTTGAGCGGCAACAGTTCTGTGTAGTTACAAGTCATCATGGCGGCAACCAACGTCAAGACAGAGATCCCGTCCGAGCAGAAGATGGCCGCAGATATCCAGATGACCAAGACCGAGACTCTCGAGGAAGGCCAGCAGCAAGATGTCTCGACCGTCGACTACTTCACGCCTGACCCTGCCTTCGAACGAAAGCTGGTCCGCAAGCTGGATCTACTCACCATCCCGATGATGATCTTGATCTACTTCCTCTCGTAAGTCGGGCGCAGCTTCACCGTCTCCGGTACGAGAGGATCTGGGATTGACGAGCGAGGCAGATTTCTGGATCGCACCAACATAGGAAACGCGAGGCTCGAAGGGTTGCAGCAGACGCTGGGTCTGACCGACACTACCTACCGCATTGCCCTGACGATCCTGTACGTGCCCTACATCACCCTGGAGATCCCGAGCAACCTCCTCTTCAAGAAGATCGGGCCACATATCTTTCTGCCCACGCTGGTGACCCTGTGGGGCATCGTTTCCACCTTACAGGTGCCTTCTTCTCTCCCGCAGGACGGTGAGCATCCGCTGACAAAGCCCAGGGTCTCGTCAAGTCCACCGGAGGGCTCTATGCGGACAGGTTCTTCCTCGGAGCGGTCGAGGCGGGCATCGTGCCTGGTATCATCCTTTACCTCTCCAGCTGGTACAAGCGGGATGAGCTGCAAGTCCGCATTGGATATTTCTGGGGCGCCGCGTCGCTTTCAGGAGCCATCGGCGGCTTGCTGGCTGCGGCCATCAGCAACCTGTCCGGCAGAGCTGGCCTGGGAGGGTGGTCGTGGATCTTCATCATCGAAGGTAATGCCAACAATCAATCCCAACTTCCTGATCCCGCAGAAGTCCCGATGGACGCAGTGCTGACGACGCTTCTTCGGTCGCTTCATAGGTATGGTCACAGTCGCTTGTGGCCTTTCGGCTTTCTTTCTCATCGCCCAATCTCCGGACAACACTCGTTTCCTGTCCGCGAAAGAGAGGGCGTACGCGGCCGCCAGGCTGAGACACGACAACATGCACGGCAACGACGTGGTCATCAATGGAGAAACCCATCATCTGAAGGTTCACGATGGCTTCGCCTTCAAGACAGTCCTGTCTGTCTTCCAAGACCCTCAGATGTGGATCTTGGCTCTCATCGCATTCACCAGCGGAACGCTGGTCTTCAGCCAGGCATAGTGAGTCCTCTGGTCCTTGCCCTTTGTCGGGTCGTGGTGGACTAACGAGGCTTCTCCAGCTTTCTCCCAACGGTGGTCGCGGGACTGAAGAACATTGTGACCACTCCGGTGAAAGCACAGCTTCTGACAGTGCCGTAAGTCTGAACCCCTGTCTCGATCGAACAAGAGAACTTGCCCCGGTGACATTTACAGCCCGTACACTCTTGGAGTGATTGGGACCTTTATCGGCTGCCGCTATTCAGACAAGTATCACTTCCGCTATCCCTCGCTGGCCATTCCCGCACTTATCGCGATCGTGGGCGTCGCCGTCATCTATTCCACCAAAGGTGAAGGGGTCAGATATTTCGGCATCCACCTGGCTGTCGCCGGAATCTATAGTTCGGTCCCCACGTACCTCTCGTGGGCTTCCAACAATTTTTCCGGCCATTACCGCCGCGCGACAGGAGTCGCTGCGGTTTTCGTCTTTACCAATTGCGGCGGGATCCTCTCGACCTGGCTTTTCCGGGCCTCCGAAGCCCCGGATTACAGCACTGCCTACAGAATCAATCTCGCCTTTCTCTGCCTGTTTCTGGCCGCGGGCACATGCTTGTCGTTTCACTACCGACGCCAGAACAAGATCCGCAACGGTTTCGTCCAAAGGGGGGAAATTGAGGAATATGGCAAGGATAAAGATGGTGACTGTCACGTATTCTTCCGATATATCTGTTGAGGAGGAGCGGTGAGTGGAGCAGGATGTCTGTTCGGTGGTGGAATATTGCATAGAGGTAGCCACGCTCATAACAAAATCAAGATGGACCCATCCCCCACAGATCCTGAGCGAAGAAAGCGTAGTCCATCTGTGGGTCTGATTCTCTGCCGTCAAAGGCCAGGAGCCAGTCGATATTCTCGGGCCCGGCATCGAGGATTGTTGAGGCAAAAGCGTCAAGAGGATCGGTCCCCATCTCGGGGCCAAGGTCGTTGAAGCCGCCGAAGCCTTCAACATCCATATCCGTGGTCGTCATCGCTGCCGGTGCTGGGACTGTCGGCTTCTGATCGCTCTGGGCATGCAAGTTTTCGTTGACAGCCCATTTTTCGGCAAGAATCTGGAGAGAGCGGATGGAACGTAGGCTCCACGTCCAAGCGGTACTCATCTCTTGCAGGCAGGTCATGTTAAAATTCAACAATCGAATGGCTGCATGGCTCATCTTTGCGTCGTGCGAGGTAGCGTCCAGCAAGAGAATGACTGACGCTGTGCCAACGGCATGAACGGTAGAGATGGGTATCCTTCGCTAGGTCAAGTTTCAGCGACCGACCACGTCCAGACTCGCAATGCGCTGCACTTACCAACGTATAGTTTGAGCGGTAAGCTCGCAGGATGGTGGAAATAGTCTCTGCCGAAGAGGTGCAGATATGGTGATGATGGGAGGTCGAGGGCTTTTCTGCAGACAGATGTGGCGGCTGCCTTTCTCGACGGAGGAATGGCCGATGAAGTAAGATCAGCACCGTATGGTATTGTATACTGTGATTATAGCTTGTCAGGCATCGTGGTCGGCGGGTGAGAATGCCACCAACTTACTGGAGTGAATATATGTGTGCAGGAAGAGGTGTCTTTGTGGAGTGCGGTAGTTTCAAGATGCTTGGAAGATTCGAGTATTGACCTGTCAGATCGACATAAGTCTTCGCAACCAGCTCCTCCTTTTCAGCCCAGGAAAGCTCGCTATTCGGGGCGTATCTGCGTGTTCAGTGTGAGCTCAGAGTAGAGGACGAGAATGACGTACATCTCATCCAGTGCCGGGCATGCGAGCTGGAATATTGTGGTGATGTATCGCATCGTCGTCACACATCGAGAAGCAGGAGCTTCCGTTGGCAGCTCGCCCTCGTTTGTTTTCCAAGGAACGAACTCCTCTTCCTTGAGCAAAGCCGGTTTCGGTGCGGTGATGTCCCTCTCGCATATCATACTAGGACGTCCAAGTCCGATGGTGAACAGCCTATACACGTCGTGAGCGAGGCGATGGCGCACATGGATCCTTCACATACTTGTCCAAAAGATAGCAACCCCACCAAGTAATTCTGCGAATCTCGGCCTGCTCCTCCGAAATCTTTCCTTGATCAACCCACTTTTGACAATCCAAATTCAGTCCGAGATTGTATGCTATGCGCACAGCCATACCTGAGGGACCAACACACGTCAGTAGCTTTTCCACGAGGACAGTAGAGGGATCATCACCAATGTATGTCCACCCCAAGCTCTCTTTATTCACCGACATCTCTCGGAGCGCCATTATTGCAAGTGCCGCAGCTGTCGACGTAGACGGATGTTCGATCTCGATGCTCAAAATGTCTTTGGCCTGAATAGCTAGCAGTTCTCCCGCAGTATTTCCATCACCTGGGTCCAAGCGAGCCTCAGGGTGGTCGCAATACCTGGCTGCCAGAGAAAGTATGCAGCGGAGCAGAAGCGGTGTACAATAGTCGTCATATATTCCACGCTCCACCGCTCTGCTGAAGGCGGTCCGGTGCACCAAGTACTGCCACGGGTTCTGCCACCTCCAGTACAAATCCAAGAGATGTTTTTGCGACTGGAGGGACAGGCCGATGTCTAAATAATTTCCGGGTATGGGAATATCCCGCCCGTGATTGTCCTGCTCGGGGCTGGTCGTTGTGACGTGAGGGGCACTTCGAAGCAGATTGAAGTAACTCGGCGCACCGAAATACCGAAGTTGACCGTCCTCTGCAATGCTCAACTGACCGACAGTGTCTATCAGGTCACCTACAGGATCACCGTCTGCAGAAGCTTCGGGATCTGTCCGCTCGGCGGGTGGAATGGTCGATTGGAATTCCTGGTCGCCCAAACGAGCGGCTTGATCATGATGTCTGTCAATGAAGCCGGGCGCGGCAGCTGGGTGTCCAGGTTGCTGTTGACTTTGCAGTTGTTGTTCAAGTAATTCGATACGCGCGTGGAGCGCCTCTATGTAGCGCTTCGTCGGTGGTCTAGATTCTCAGTATCTGGCCTGCAGTTGGATTTCGATCACCGTACTTGCGCCTTTCTGTCTCATAAGGATATTCACATTGTTTCCTGGTTCGGCAACATGTTCCACATTCCGGCAACTGGCCATCGCACTGCACTGATTTTAGCGGTCTACCTAAAGTTCATGGTGTTGGCGTACCCGGGTTCTTCTAATTCGGCATGCGGTGCAAGCTACCGACACTCGCTGTCTTGCAGACTTTTGCGACATTTGACCGAGCGGCGACACATATGTGCTCGGAAACATCCCCGCAGGACGTTGCTTTGATGCGTAAAACAGTCCTACAGAAAAGGATTGTGATACTAGGGAAGACGGAGACCCATCGTCGGAGGGGTTGAGAGAAGCCTGGAGTGATGACTGCAGTGATAGTAGATAAGGGTAGAATTGACGTCGTACTATCGAGGCTAGGCGCGAAGGAATTTTGCCCCTACGATAGGTAAGTCGCGAGTGCCCGTCTTACTCGGCTCGCGCAAGCTAGGGGTTAGTATAAAGCGGTATTGCCCCTCGTCCCTAAACGAAGTGGGTGGCGAGTAGTTTTTTGACTCAGTCTTAGTAGATTCGCTAGTCACAAAAGTGATTCACGCGTGCGCAGTTCTTTGAATTGCACACCGAGTGAGTCTGGCCAGATGTCATGCCACTCTTGCATCCTGATATCGAGCGACGTGTTGTTTCACGTTGCATTCCATCTGCCGAACCGTGAGTGTGAGTGAGGGTGAGTAGGAAGGTGAGTATAGAGGTGAGTCGCGAGCAGGAGGGTTTAAAGCGGCACGTTCAAAGGTGAGTCGTACGTGAGCTCGGGGCAGATTTTACTTGTCTTTTGGCGCCAAGACAAGGCTGCAAACTGGATGAGCAGCCTCGCCCTTTACCTCCTTCAGTCATTCCACTCCTTTCCTCTAGATGATCACACAGGGTGGAAAGCATTAGCACCGCAGTCTTCCGATATGCCAGGAGTGCTACCTGCTCCCAGCGGACCGTCTCCGAAAGTGAACATCTCGTCTGGACCCCTTCCTGCTTACATTTCGGCCTCGCAGGCTCCCACTAAGAAATCTCCATGGCGAACCATTCGCGAAGTGGACTACGTCAAGAGGGCCACTGCAACTTTACCTGAAGAATTGTACCACATCATCTGGCGCGATGTTGAGGCTTCCATGAGCCGGTTAAATTATGCCAAAGTAATCATGAAACTGGAGGACATGCTCCAAGGGGATTTCTTCAACGAGTACATCAAACGAGGTAAGGCCTTTGACATCCTTGCCCGCAGCAGTTCGTCTGGACAAGCTGTATCGACGACTTTTGGGCTCCCTCACTGACCTTGATTTTGCCAGGCAATATCCTCATGCTTTCTGAGGGGCAGAACGGGGTGGACGAAGTCATGTCGTTGAGCGAGGGTAGGTCCAGCGCTTCCACCGCGACTTCGAGTAGAGCCAGCGTGGACTATACCTCTGATGCTGCCGAACATAGGGACTCTGCGGCTGGAATTGTCCAAGGAATTCTACGAACGTGCCGGTCTTCAAGGAACTCCAGTCCGGTCTGGGGGCCGCAAGCATGTCAAGTCAAGATACTGTAAGCCGCGTCATTGTCTTTTTTGAACAACACGCGTCCCTATCATTTGTGACTCTGTGTCCTCTTCCGTTGAGTACCCTACCTGAGCGATTTCTAAGGCTGAAATAGTGGTCGAAATCAACCTGCGCCTCCCGTCCATGCTCCACGGCAAAAAGGGTTTCGAACGACTTGTCTGGGCAGCGAAGAATGTTCTGAACCAGAGCCTGAACTGGCTGTTTGTGGACCTGAATGAAGCAAAGGGTACAAATATACCCATATACGCTTTTACACAGTACTCACTCCATTCTCAGAGTCCGATGGTGCTAAATGGCCCATTAACGCACATCATCCGACCTTCCAACCCTTATCGCCTACCACTCAAACATTATCGAATATCCTCTTCCCATCTACACTGACAACTTCACTTCCCCTCTCTTCTGGGAGCATGCCGTCGGAAGAGACCCAAGAAACAGTCCACGACCTATTTGAATATCTTGACATGCTCACGCTCGCCTCGTCTCGTGTTCAGTCAACGGACAAACCGGACCCATATATAAGTCGATACCGAGTTCCAGATCTTCCAAACGACGCTACCCTGGATGACGCGACCCGAGCAGGAGGGAAAGTCAAGACCATAACCTGGACCGGATTGGTCACAACTCAGTGGATGCTAGAGTTACTCTGTGCAATCATGTAAGCTGCGTCCTCTACTCTCTGTCCCATTCTTGCCACGCGGTATTGCCTCACGGTCCGGAAATTCCCCCCCTTTTAGAACGGGTCTTTCTACGCGCCGCATCTGTCAGTCTCATTATGTAGCTGTGTGGTATGGCTGACGAGAGTGGCAGAAAACAATCACGCACCAAGAACCTCGACAGCCTCCCGCGACAGGCGCAATGGCTTGCGCTTTCCGTCTCGGCACATAAAACCCAAGCAGCCGGACGACAACTTGACGGATACACCACCCTGCTGCAGCCGCAAGCCGACAGCATAGATCGTAGCAATACCGAGACCGAGACCGATATCGAGAATGGGAACGAGAAAGCGACCGGTTCAGATGACTCTCGCAGCTCTGCAGCCATTGACCACCATGACATGGCCATGACCGAAGACCGACGACCTGCCGCCGAAGCTGAGGCTGAAGCTGAAGCTGAAGATACCGAAGATGGACGAGGCGCGCTGACGGAGGTGGACGTGGACGTGGACGTGGACGTGGACATGGACATGCCGAATCCCCAGCCTCCCCTGCAATCCGATACTAGTAACACGGAGTCGGCAAAGACGCGAACGCGAACCGGATTCCAACGGTATCTCTGTGCGGAATACGTCGACAATCTGACGTTATAGCAGGCATCGCATCGCCAGAGCGAAAAGCCATCACCGTATGGCCTATCACGGCCTACCAAGATGCGAAGGGCCATCATCTTCGGAGCATCAAAAAGCCTGCGCGCACGTCGTGGCCGGATGGAAGGAGCTACGGCTATTGCCTTGAGCATAGATTATCATCTATGAGAGTGTCACTTATCAAACGCCTTTCTTGAACCATCGTTCGAAGCAGACGGATGGGTCTGCACCTCGCGGTGTCAGTGGTACCGTGAACGGTCTATCACCCACACAGAAGCACGAGGACGACGTTTAATGATAAATTCCTGTATCAATACCAATACTCCCTATGACCTGGCTAAAACGTGGACTGTCCAGCCGCATCAGCCTGGACCGACAGTCCCCAAAAAAAGCCTTCGCTAACTTAGGCCGCTCCAATACCAAAGTGCATGCTCATCAGGGTATCACTTTCAACACCAAGAGAATAAGTTTCATCTGCCGTCGAACGATATCAATTGTTTGATTTGCGCCCATCAAACACGTATCTTCATATACTCATCCCGACAACTCGCGCAATACTCATCATACCAGCTTCTCACATCCTCACTCACATCCGTCGCATTGCCTGTGGCATCATCCAGCACCAGCCCCTCCACAACGCGACACCGCCGGCTCTCATCCACGACCCACTGTTCCCATGCCGCTTGCATGAGTTCTTTCTCAATTCCGTTGACAACGCGCACAGCAACGAGCAGATCGTGTCTGTACGCTCCCAGACGCTGACGAGTCCGCTGCACTTGTACATTCCCTTCACTGCTCGACCCTGGCGTCGCATAAACGTGATCCGGGTCATGCTCGTCGTAGAAGACGCTGTAGCACGAGCTCGCCTCGCGAGCCGGTAGATGCGCATCGCGGTGAAGTACTTCGTCCAGGTCGCTCAGATACACTGCGCGGCTCATAACCACGTCCGGCGAGACACCGAGGCGGGCCATGAATTTGGTCGCGCGACGCTCCTGCCACCAACCCAGTGAGTCGCGGTATGTGTGCCAGCTGTTGTACAAGGCACTGAGAAGGAGAGCGACAATGATGAGTTTGTTGGCCGAGAACGTCTTGGCCATCCACCTGAGCAAGTCCAAGAACGCTCCGAGAATCGTGCCAACTGCGCTTTCGGCAGCGGATCCAGCAGCTTGCGTCAACAGGTTTATTACGCTTCTTGGAACAGGCTCTCTTCTCACTTCGATACTCAGAGCTGAGTCGTTGACGAGCAGTTGTGTGGTTTCAGTCGCATGGCCGACTTGGCCAAAGATGTGTACCGCTTTCTTCGTACGACTATGTGCTCCCAGTTTGCGGACCTGATCTGCTACGAGATCCGCCAGATCAAGGGAGTCTGACTCCAAGTCCGCCAAGGCCTGTCGTTCAATCAACCCGCCCAACACCCATGCAGCACGCAGCCATTCGACTTTGATGAAAACAGCAAGCTTGCACCTGGCCTTGGCCACATGGGTGATAACAATCTTGCTGACCAGGCGCTGCCTGCTCTGGAAAGGAAGATGCCATGGCGTGCGCTTGTCAGTCACAACGTAGCACAGATGATCACTGTTTACATCGACAACTTGGTAATCCCGAACTTGAGACCAGGCTTCTTGGCCGAGCATGTTGGTGCTGGGAATGTCAAACGCAAATTCTCTGCGAAGTCGCCCTTCTCCAAGAGCTAACCATGGCCCTTGATTGAGATTCTTGGCTCGACGTTCATGTTGGAGGAGCTGCCAAAGAGCACTCTTGTCACCGAACATCACGTGGAATAGTGCCTTTGCGCTGATGTCAAACTCCCTGTGGACCGCTAGTTGGAGGTTACCTGATGGAACATAATTGACCGGCTGCGCAGGCAACTTGAACTTGGATTCTCTTCTTCCGATCTGAGCCGGATTCAGTGCTCGGTCAACTCGTAATGGCCCTCGGACTTCACTTCCCACGGTGGAGGCTCTTCTGCGATATCTCGAGCCACCTGTGTCAACTGGTGTGTTTGGTGAGACGTCTTCCCAGCTTTCAAGGCTCGGACTTCGGTCTGGTGCTTCAGTCTCCATTCTCAGAAGCGCCTTGATGACTTCTTCTAGGGCGAGAGGTTCCTCTGAAATGCTGTTCTTGACCAAGAAGTTTAGTCGTCGCTGAAGAAGCCTCAACGGCTCTAGAAACGTCTTCATTGTTATTCTTCTCGCGTTTCCATCAGCCCCGGAGTCTCTCAGATGTAGGAAGATGAAGTCACAGTCTCTTCCTGGTGCTGCCGTTGCTTCGTCAATGGAAGCCAGGGCGAGACTGGTCGTTAAAACGAGACCCATATGGTTGCTATAGAAGTATAAGTCCTTCGAGGTGACATATACCCGTCCAGGAAACTCCTGCTGTTCACTGGGATTCCATGTCGCCCTAAAAACCATGACAAGACGTTCATCGCGTCGGACATCCGGGAAAAGGAGCCTGAACTGCGCATCCTGAGACTTGAGCTGCAATGGGTAGTAATTGGGAAATTCAGGGACAAGCAGCTCATGCTTCAGTTGTCTGAAAGTGTCTCGATCAACGCTTATAGTACTTCGGTGACCCCGCTTGTTCGGCGACGGCGTACGGCTTCTAACCGTAGACTGAGCTACACTCAGATCAAGCTGCGAAATGGCATGCTGGGCTGCAATGCGTGAAGGTGATTGTGATGGTTTTGGTGGTGAGGAAGATGGCTTTAGGATTGGACTAGGTTGTGCACCAAGCTTTACTTCGGGAGCGAGTCTCGGCTCGCTACGCTCGAGCCGATTAATGAGAGCAGTGTTCGCAGTTCCCCACATGTTCGCCAGCAGGCTTGTCGGTATGCCACTCTTCTCAGGGGCCGGGCTGAGTCCGCGTTCGCCGGTGACGATAACGGCCGACCTGCTGAAATTTGTGGGCGATGGCACGGCAGCTAAAGTAGATGGCGCTAAACTGCTGGCAGGCATGTCACGAAGAGCCAGCGTGAATGCATTCCGTGGCTTTGCCTCCACCTCTGGATTTTGTACCATGGGTATACTGGGGCCGACAGGCATTGATCCGTGACTAGCAGCGATCAGGCTTGCTATGCCTCCGCCACTAGGCAGATTTGGTGTAGATGGGCTTTGAGTTATGTGCGGCGACGCTGCACTTTTTCTGTGCAAATCTAGCTTGGAGATAATGCGCGATGCAGTCTCGCGATGACCTCCTTCTTCCATAGCAGTCGATCTTCGGGGCATATCCATACTGCTTTCTCGTCCAAGTTCGTTCCCGGGGACCGGCAAAGTGTTACTCTTTTCCAGAGCTGCAATGTCGTCTCCACCAGCACCTGGCTCCGTGAAGCCCAGGACATAGGTGCCGAACTCAGGGATCGGAGGGGCTGAGATAGCAAATGCTGCACCCGTCTGGATGTTTCCACCGCCGTTGAGATTCTGCGAAGCATTGGGGTCTTCAACTGCTTTCGACTTTGCGGTCTCAAAGGCGCCAATCCAATCAACCAATTCAGCTTGAGTCTCGGCCTGAAGAAGAATGGTGTTCTTGTTGGTCTTGAGTTCAAAGCAAAAGCGACGTTCTTCGTTAGGCGCAGGTCGAACGTTACAGAGGAGGACCCCAATACGTTCACTCTCTTCGACTCCACCGGATCTAGCACTTTGCAGCAGCCAGCCAAAGACGCCATTGCGGATGAAGGCCCACCTTCGAACCCAAACAGTCCTTGTAGGTTTGCCGCTATACGTTCGTAGGAACAGCCATCCCTGCTTTTCGCCCGTCTTTCCGGAAATCTTTTTCGCAGAGGTCTGCAGAGTTGAACTACTCGCAGTATGGCCGTGACTGGGAAATTGTGGTGTAGTCGACAGGCTGTAGTCGTCTAGCTCTCTGGATGGTCGGACGCTCAGCTCTGCGGCTTCCTCTAACTGTTTCTTCGCATCCATAAGCTCTCTCCGAAACATCTTTTCGCTAGCCTCCATTTCGTTGAGCCAACCTTTCACTCTCTGCATCTCATCCGCGCTCCTCTGGAGCGTGGCAGCAGTATTGTCCCGGGAAACTCTCATTTCGCGCCACTGCTCAAAGAATAATTTGACCAGCAGTTTATCCAGTGAGAAGCGAAACTGTGGTGCGAGGCTGAAGAAGTCCATAATGGCCTTCAGATATGTCTTGCGGGACTCATGTAATTGGAAAGCATCCTCTCTTACCGAGGAGGGTTCCTTGGACTTCCCCAGCCCTGCGTACTTCGACTGAAGATGTTCGAATGTCTTCTGGGAGGCTTCGACATTTCGGCGAGCATCTTTAAATGGTTTCAGGTCATTTGCCAGGAATTGTCTTATCGGATCCGCGACCATTGTAGTTAATCTCTTCACCACTGCTACCATGCTCATCCAGTAATCTTTGGCCCCGTCTCCATACTTCTTCATTGCCAAAATACAGTAGTCATGGTCCAGCATAGACTCAGATATCGTGGTTGGGAGGACGGAGTGAGAGATGAAGCTATTGAGGACATTCTCAAGGGACAAAGACTCGGCCACTAGACGATTCGTGGCTTTCATGTATTCCTCCAGCCATCTTTCTAGCAGGTCAACTTGTTCTCCGTAGTGAATCACAGTTGCACGAGCGGTTGGAGAGTCGATTGCCGCTTCTTTTAGACCGACTGGTACGAGGTTGATGAGCCGACCAACGTCCCTCGCAGGCTGTAGTGCTTGCGACATGACTGCATGCCCTGTCGAAAGGTAGACGTGAGCACGTGCAACTCCTTATTGGATTATGCAGAGAGAAGGTGTGTTGATGATCGGCATCCTTCCCAAGCCTTGTTCATCAGGCGCACGATGTCCCAAGAAAGTAGATATGCAAGTTGAGAAATCGAGGTGTGTCGGTTTTGTTGATGCGCGTCGGAGGGGGCCGTAGCAGGCGTCGACGTCAATCGCAGCCTTAGCCTCGCAGCCTCGCTCCTGCGGAGAAACGGCCCTGAATGCCAAGGCTGCGCAACTTTTTTTCTTTTCATATGCGGAGACGCTCAGATAGGTTCCAGCAAGCATTTCTCAATCCAGAACATAGTGACCTTGGTCTCTGCTTTGCGTCAACATGGCTAGAGATCTACTTAGCAGCGATGGATCTGACAGTGAGGACGGAGGTGCGCGAGTCAAGCCGACGGACCTCAAAGTCAATGAATCTTTCGCTCGCCGCTTCGAACACAACAAGAAACGAGAGGAACTGCAGAGATGTAAGAAGGCCATCTAGAATCCCTTAACGATTTACTGACGGGATTAGTGCAAGAAAAACTGGGCAATACCTCGCGCAAGCGTAAAAGAGGCGACGAAACCGCTAGCGAAAATGAGTCCTCCAACGAGTCCACGAGCGAGTCTGAAGATGAAGGAGAGCTGGCTACAGAGGCTTTGGATTCTGAAATTATGGCTACCATAAATGCAATCCGTTCAAAAGATCCCCGTGTCTACGATGAAACCGCCAAATTCTACACTGGGCATGACTCAACTCAGCCGTTCGACTCGAAGCCAAAGAAGGAGAAGCCAATGCACCTTCAAGACTACCACCGGCAGAACCTGATGAACGGGGTCATTGACGGCGAAGAGAACGACTCTGCCCCATTGACATACAATCAAGAGCAGGAGCAGTTGAAGAAGTCCATTATTGGAGAAATCAATGCCGCTGCGGCAGACTCGGAAGAAGAAATAGACGACGACGAGGTAGAAGAGGACAAGTTCCTGGTTGCCAAACCGAGGGAGAAACTATCCAGACCCCAAGTCATTCTTGACGTCGATAACGCCGACAAAGACCCTGAATCATACCTGTCCAATTTCATGGTCTCCAGAGCATGGACTGCTTCCGACTCCAACCTGCATCCGTTCGAATCCGATGACGAGGATGAAGAGAGGAGAGCAGAGGAGTTTGAAGAGGCATACAACCTCCGCTTTGAAGACCCTGCTAAATCGAACGAAAAGTTACGTTCTCATGCAAGAGATGTCGCAGCCAAATACTCCGTCAGAAGAGAAGAGGCAAATCCAAGACAGAAGAAGCGAGAAGCTGAGAAGGCCAAGAAAGAAGCCGAAAAGCAGCAGCGTAAGGAAGAGAAGGCGCGCCTCCGGAAGCTGAAGATTGAGGAGCTCGATGAGAAGGTGAAGAGAATAAAACGTGCCGCTGGAATCAGCACAAAGGACATTCAGCCAGATGACTGGTCTCACCTCGTGGATGACGATTGGGACGATGCTCAGTGGGAAGAAGAAATGCAGAAACGCTTCGGTGATGAATATTATGCCCAGCAGGAAGTAGAGAGTGAAGATGAACCAGGAGGGTCAAAGCGAAAAATCCGCAAGCCCAAATTCGACGATGACATTGACATCCACGACATTGTCCCAGATTTCAAAGAAGACGAGAACCCCGATTTCAGTCTATCAGACGAAGGCCAGCCCGCACGGAAAAAGAAGAAGGATAATAAGTCGAAAGAGGAAAAGAAGCGGGACGCAAACAGGGAGAGAAGGATCATCGAACAATTGGTGGACGATCAGCTTCAATTCGAACTGGAAAGCTCTCTGCCCAAAAAGGTTGGCTTCAGATATCGCGAGACATCCCCAAAGACTTTCGGCTTGACTGCACGGGATATCCTCTTGGCTGACGACAAGCAATTGAACGAGTTTGCAGGTCTCAAAAAGCTCGCGTCATTCCGAGATCCGGAGAGGAAGCGGAAGGATATGAAGCACCTGGGAAAGAAAGCAAGACTGAGGAAATGGCGTCTGGAAACCTTCGGCAAGGAAGAAGGGGTAGAAGCAAGTGAGCTGGTCCCGAGGCAGCCTGACGTGGAAGAGAAACCAGAGGCCGAAGAGGGCGCTGTTGATATTAGAACTGAAGGCAAGAAAAAGAAGAAGCGAAGAAGGAGCCAGAAGAACAAGGTTGAAGCTGATGCGGTGGGTTGAGTTGCACAAAACATCGCGAAGCAACATCTACTTGAGGCTGAGCGCTCAATTGTACTGCGTCAACAAGCATGAGTTGTATCCTAATGGCGAGGAAGCCTGGGCAGTACGAATAGAGGCTGCCGATGTCTTGGGCATGCCGCTCGTTCAGAGGCACAGTGTACACAGCCTTGACGGTATCCTGTGATCCCCATGCAACCCCGAGTACGAGTACGAGAGCACGAAAGATATTTCTGCATGATCGTCGGCGCCCAGAAGGACGTGCTTTGCTTTGCTTCCAGAAGGCTCCGCTGATCCAATAGCATCTGCCAGTTCAAAACGTATTCCTAGCCAGAGCCGCAATGGAGACGAGGAGTTTGCTAATCTCGAAAAATTGTATGGATCCGCGGCAATTGACAGGAAAGGAAGCCACAAGTGAGTGGAGGCCGAAGTGATCCTCATGGCCGAGCAAAGGCCAGACCGGTGAATGGCTCGAAGAGTCGATGGCGTTGAGAAGATGGGCACGAGGGCAACGGTTGCTATGGGATGGAGTGGATGGGTAAAAAGAACCGGCAACAGGATATGTGCGGGTGGGTGCGCTCCTTTTTCCCTCCCACGCTTTGCGTAGTGCTTTGCGAGACAATTTTTGATTGCAACGAGAATTTATCGGATGCGGTAGTGAAACGGAAAAACGTGGTTCCGAAAATTTCTGTCGCTCGGGAGGCAGCAAATGCTCTACCGCCAACCCGGTTCTCTTGGCTTGGCTTAGGGGATCTCAAGCTCCAGAGTAATTTTCTTGCTATCTTCTCTTCCTTTCGCATCATTCCTGCCATCTTCGCTTCATCATCCTTTACTTCTCTCCACTCAATTGTAGCCATCAGTGAACTCTTGAGTCGTCAAGATGGTTGAAGGCGACGTTAACCAGGCGAAGAAGTCCTTCATGGGCATGGTTAGTGATCAATCCCCAGCTCCATCGTCCAATGCAGTTTTGCTGGACCTCCTCAAGCTCGATATCAACCACCACGCTCATTCGGACCTTGATGGATCTATACGCTGACTCGCAATCCTCTATTTAGCCAGGCTTCGTGGTGGATTTCTTGATGGGTGGTGTTTCTGCCGCCGTCTCGGTAGGTTCCAAGCTTTTAATTGTGATTGAGAAGAATTTCATGCTGACAATACGTTAGAAAACTGCCGCTGCCCCCATTGAGCGTGTCAAGCTCTTGATCCAGAATCAGGTATGCCCACCTGCTCCTTGCCTCCTGGCTTCCTCCGGCGCATCTTGCCTTTCGGATGGAAGAAAAAGCATGAAAACAATACTTTTTCTCGGAAAGCCGTGAAAGAAAGCTCACAAGCCGGTAGGATGAAATGCTCAAGGCCGGTCGTCTCGACCGCAAGTACAACGGTATCATCGACTGCTTCAGCCGTACCGCAAAGAACGAGGGTGTCATGTCCCTGTGGAGAGGTAACACTGCCAACGTTATCCGATACTTCCCTACCCAGGCCTTGAACTTCGCTTTCCGCGATACATACAAGTCGATGTTCGCCTTCAAGAAGGAGCGTGATGGCTACTGGAAGTGGATGGCCGGTAACTTGGCCTCCGGTGGTGCTGCCGGTGCTACCTCCCTGCTTTTCGTCTACTCCCTCGACTATGCTCGGTACGTCATTCTGACTCTGCATTTCTGTGCATCTTGGCTGACTTCAATCTTAGTACCCGTCTCGCCAACGATGCCAAATCTGCTTCCAAGGGTGGTGGTGATCGTCAATTCAACGGTCTCGTCGATGTCTACCGCAAGACCCTGGCTTCTGATGGTATTGCTGGTCTCTACCGTGGTTTCGGTCCCTCCGTCCTTGGAATCATCGTTTACCGTGGTCTCTACTTCGGCATGTACGACTCCATCAAGCCTGTCCTCTTGGTCGGTCCTCTCGAGGGTAACTTCTTGGCCTCTTTCATGCTCGGCTGGGGTGTCACCACTGGTGCCGGTATCGCTTCCTACCCTCTTGATACCATCCGTCGTCGTATGATGATGACTTCCGGCGAGGTAAGTACTCGTCCTATTTCTGCTTCCCAGAAACCAATCTGATCAATTTTGCAGGCCGTCAAGTACAAGAGCTCCCTCGATGCCGCCTCCAAGATCATGGCTGCTGAGGGTGTCCGATCCTTCTTCAAGGGTGCCGGTGCTAACATCCTCCGTGGTGTTGCCGGTGCTGGTGTTTTGTCCATCTATGACCAGGTTCAACTTCTCATGTTCGGCAAGGCCTTCAAGGGCGGTTCCGGCTAAACGTCTCGCTCTCCGGCTTCGACGACAACAGACGCAAGGCACTACACAGCAGGTTTCCAACTGAGTTAGTCCTTGCACAAGAACACAATCAAGGGGGACGGGTAATGGAGGGCCTTCAGTTGGAAGGCATGGGGTTCTGTATGATGATTCGGGGCAAGATGACGAGGAGGTGAAGCAGACAAAGTGGTGCAAATAGACGTCTCACGCAACGCATGATAAAAGGATCCAGGTGGACAACGCATGGAAATGAATGGCCGCCTTTTTATCATTGGGGGTTGCGATCATTGACACACGGGGTTTCTTGATCTTTTTTCTGCGTTGTATTCCTCAATCCCGATTGTACTTTACTGCCTGGTCTCGCGACTCTTTCTTCCGAATCTAATTGGGACGTGCATTAGGATCTTTTTCGATTTATATTCTTTATATGATCTCTCGAGGAGTTCATGCAGCTACTTTGCTCCGCCGAAGCCCAAACCATACCAAAACCAGTCCTCCGCCATCCAAGACCGTGTTCCTATACCCGAAAACACCGCGCGTTCCCTTGACACATTGATGATCCTGTATCTTTTGGCCGTACTTTGCAGACCATGAGCCTGTTTCTCTTAGCGTCCATCCCACAAATCGAACACTTCAAAATTCCACGCCGCATCCTGGGGGCATCCATCATTTGATTCCTCCGCGTGATCAATGCTTGCCGTCCCCATTGACATGTTTCCAGATCTCCTGCTCCGTCCTCGACAATCTTTTCCCCGCCGCTTTTGCCCACGACATTGCTGTGTTCAGAATATTCGTGTCGTCGTCCCCTCCTCGATTGTCGAAGACCGGTTCAGCGTCGAGGATGCCTCGTCTGCTTGTCGACGAGGGGCTTGCTCGGTTCTCGTAACGCTGGCATTCTTCGATCGGCTTGTCATCGAACGACGCGCGAGAGTCTTGCACGTAGCCTGGCGGGTGGGACAGGTCATGAGGGTAGGTCGAGGTGAGGTTTGCAGGGGGGACACCGCGATTGGGTTCGTAGACGGAAGGGGATTGCAGTTGTGCAGCTAATGGGGCGTTGTGCGTACGTGTTGGTGTGGGCGCAGGGAGGGAGTGCCTCACGGAGGCTGTTGTTGTGGGTGATGGCGCGTATTGTGGATTGGCGCCGGGCTGGGGGGGTTGTGGGATGGAGAGTGAAGGCGGGTTGCTGTTGTTATTTGTGTAGGGTGACGGGACAGCGCCTGGTTGAGGTGGTGGAGGGCTGTCGGTCGAGAAGTTGGTGGTTGCAGTGGGAGTTGTGTTAGGGATCGTTGTGGTCGGTTGGGATCTGCTGTTGTAAGTAGCAGATGCAGCATTTGTCGGCTGTGGGACAGCAGGAGCGCCAGGTCGCGCTGCTGGGTAGGGGTTGTGTGGTTGTATGGTTGTAGGACTTGCTTCTGCGTTGACCGGCGTGTAGCGTGCTGCTGCTGTGCCTGGAGAGGTGCCGAATGGATTGGAGGGGTGGTTGGCGTTGATGGGTGACGAGGTGTGGACTGGGATTGGAGGCATGATTGTTGATTCAGATTCGGCTTTCTGCGCTGGAGAGATCAAGGTCGACTTCAAATCAGGAGAATGGTGAGTGGTGTTGAGAGGAAAAAGAAAGGGATATACTTGGTCTGCTCGACAGAGACGACGACGCGGCTCGGCCGTGCGTCTGCTTCAAGGGATGTATCTGAACAGGGTCACGTCATGACAGCGAGGATCGCTTCGAGCAGACCGCAGCCAATTCCACGTAATCGGCGGGTTGGATGGGAATGCTGCCGGTGCTCGACTGCATGGATCAACAATGCCTCTTTGTTCGGCTGGTGAAGCCCTGGAGCCCGACAGAAGTACTTGGATCGGAGATGTGTACCACGGTTGCTGCACTCTCAAGAGGCTCTGCCGCAAGCGGATGATTTGCAGTAGCGCAGCGCTACATGCACGAATTCCAGGATGCGACTGACGAATGCCAAGCACAAATCAGGGCGGTTTCACGTGACCAGACATTCATTGGCTGTAGCATCACCGCATTCATTTTGCGGTGCAGAAAAAGGACGTGAACATTGGTACGTACCTCGATTTCAAGCAATGCCATCCACTTTATTTTCTTCACCTTGTTGAAGAAGGATTCTCGAGAATTCTCATGCAAAATCTTGAACAATCTCAACCAGACTCATCCCAGCTTCGGACTTTCGATCCCGAACCGTTCAACCACCTGACAAGGCCGCTTCTCTTCTCCAAAACACCCGCGTGCTAGAATCCACTACTGTGATTCGTCCATTTCGTCCATCTGTATCCCAGCTGGCATATGACTCTCGGCCAGTGCTAGGATTTTCTCACTTCCACGTTTTCCATTGTCCCAGATAGCACCGAGACGCTGGCCTGGATCCGAATATGGGAAAATTTGATCTGGAAATAACCTGCATCTAAGCACATCCTAATCGTTGACACTTCCGACAACAACTGTCCTTCTCGCCAGGATCCTTCCACACCGCTCTCCAGCTCCCGATGCGCAACATCAATTACACAGGGCCATCACGAACTGGGCCTTTTGTGCGCTGACTCAGCCTCGAATCACAAGTCGGCAACCTAGGCGCCTGTATAGAGCCTTGTCGACCCGATTGATCTCCGTACTGCCGGGCTTCTATCAAGTTTCTTGACCTATCACCACCAATATGTACACCTCCCTTTTCCTGCTTCCTGAGACTCTTCTAATCCAATCAGGAAATTCGGAAAGCAAATACAGCGACAGCAATTAGACCTTCCCGAATATGCCGCGAGTTTTCTCAATTACAAGGCTCTCAAGAAGGTCGGACAAGACCAAGACAAATTTCGAGAAGTCATTTCTGACAATCATCTCTAGCTCATCAAGCAGCTCAGCGCCACCCCGACAATCGAGGCACAAAGAGATGCAACTGCGCTAGACGCGCAAGCCGCTCTACGCGCGAATAAAGAAGTCTTCTTCTTTCGGCTGGTAGGCTGACGTCTTAACCTTGCTACGTCGTGTTGTGTTCATAATCAATTCAGGAACGGGAGATAGAAAAGGTCAATGTGTTTTATTTGCAGAAAGAAGCAGAGGTGTGTCCGAGGATTCACGCCTCAATACAAGTACTGACAGGCAATAGTTCTCGCTTCGACTGAAAACCTTGCTGGATAAAAAGCGCGTAATTCAAGCGAGAATAGCTGCAAATTCAAGACTGTCCGCCAGCTTCGCAACACTAGTCGAGGGTTTCCAACAATTTGACAATGACCTCAACAAACTTCAAGTACGCTCAACTTTGGTGGGACTAGACGCAGGTGCTGACGGAATGGCAGCAATTTGTTGAAGTCAATGAAACAGCAATCTCAAAAATTCTAAAAAAGGTCCGTCTATTATTGGTTTCTGTTGTGGGAATTGGACTGATATTTTGCAGTGGGACAAAACATCTAAGGTGGACCTCTCCCGAAACACCGCAGCTTGAGCTAATGGTTCTAGTCACGGACGAAAGAAATATATCTACAGAGAGCTGTCGAAATTCAGCCATGCTTCAATCGAGACGTTCTTCGAGATCTTGCCGATAAAGCGACCACAGCTCGACTTGACCTTGAGGCATGGGCTGAAGGAGAGAACATACAGTACGAAGTTTCCAAACCTCAAGATCGCACCATTGGTCAACGGGTCGGCACAGAAGAAAGTGATATCGATCTTCAAATCCTGCAGGCATCCGCAGCTGGCAATGTGGGCGCCCTGCGTGAGTGGATCGCCAGGTTGAGCGCAGCTCCAAACGCTGGCGAACTATTCACACGAATATTTCTTGCAACCATCAGTGAAGCTCCTGACGAGTCTCTCCACACATTTCTCGAGTCTGGCCTAGTCGACATACATGCCGAGGACGACATCAATGAACGGAATTGCTTACATGAAGCCGCGATCTACGGCAAGGATAGCGTGCTTGATTATGGCCTATCCCATGGTGTTGATCTCGCACGGCTGGATGTATACGGCAGGGTGCCACTGCATTATGCTTGTCTGAGGGGACGACTGGCGATGGTCGAAAAATTGGTGGCAGCTGGACCAAACACTATCGACATGAAAGACCACGATAACTTTACACCTTTGATCCACAGTATTGTCCGTCACCGAGTCGAATGCGTTCGTCTCCTCCTTGCTCATAATGCCAGGATTGATCCGCAGTCAGAGGCAGATCACATTCCCTTGAATTTGGCCTGCCAGCATGAGTCGATAGAGGTGGCAACCATGCTGCTCGAGAGAAACGCCAAACTGCTTCCCGATGCAGAAGGTCTATTTCCTCAGCACCTTGTTGCTCGGTCAAGCCAGAAAGCCGACCTGCTATTGCTTCTCCGACAGCATGGGGCAGATCTCAATCAGCGTGACAAACTGTATCAGTGGACACCACTTTTCCATGCGGCCAGCGAGGGCCGAGTGGAGTGCCTCCGCGCTCTTTTGGAAAGTGGTGCGGATCCAGAAGCCCTCGACGAGAAGGGTCTTACAGCAATGTACTATGCTACCTGGGAAGGTCATCTCGAATGCATGGATCTGTTATGGGAGCGAACCAGTTATCGTCGGGCCACGAGGAGAACATCCCGACTAGGAGCGGTCGTGCCTCCTCACAGCCAGATGAACGCCATGGAAATCACACCCGAAGAACCAATGCCAGCGGAAGGGGATGGTATACCCGACCTATCTCTGCCACCACCGATAATCCCCTTGCGACGGTACGGCCACAACTTCCTCGACACCAAGACATTCATTGCGATCAATTTCGATGGCGGCGCTCGAGCTATACAATTTTTCAATGAAGCCAGATATCCTGCTGCTCGTTTGACCATCTCATCGAAGACATCGGATCTCATCCCTCGCAACCTGATGTTGCCGATCCAAGAAGACTCCAGGTCGGTCTATTTCCAGGTCGACAACCTGAGCACGTTCGCCGTGGACTTTGAGATATTCCCAACATTCGGTTCCAAGGTGATTGCGAAGTCCGTTGCTCTTCCAGATGTATTTCGAGCTATCGAGAGCAGCAGCGGCACTTGCTGTCTTCCACTTTTTGACCCGAGATTACGTTCTGTGGGCCAAATAAAGTTCAACTTCCAAGTGATCAAGCCATACGAAGGCACTCCATTGGAGATTACCCAGTTCGCCACATACTGGAAAGCGACCAGCGCTCTGGACGACCATTCAGGCTTGGTAACTGGCTCAAGTTTGTCAGGCGACTATCTCAGACTTACTGTCCAACTTACCCGCGACGGTATCCCAGTCATCTATCCCTCATACTTCGTGCCCTACGACAACCTCGACGTTTCTCTGACTCAACTCAATTCCGATATCCTTGCGAAACTGGGACTTGCTGGCTCAGTATTGCACAGCGATGGCACTTCCACTTTCGACAGCACAGATGTCCTCGCGTGGAAAGATCGCCTCTCAGGCTCCATCTTTCTGCTCCGCGACGTCCTGGCCGCCATGCCGCCGCACGTCAACCTGAATCTTCATATCTTGTACCCATCGACCTCGGAAAATGTGGAGCTGGGAGTGAGCTCCAATATCGACATCAACACATTCATCGATGCGCTGTTGACTGAAGTGTTCAACCACGCGCGTGCGCTGCGCAATCTGTCCCCGGACTTGTCACGCTCAATCGTGTTTTCCTCTTTCAATCCCAACGTCTGTACCGCGCTGAACTGGAAACAGCCCAATTTTCCGGTCCTCCTGTGTAATTCTCTCGGATCACCGAACGCCCAAGGTACCTCGATCAAAGAATCAGCGAGACTTGCGCAGATGAATAACTTCATGGGCTTGACGTGCTCGGCACGAATACTGCAAATGGTTCCGGCGCTGATCGAGACCATCAAGCAAGCGGGCCTGGTCCTTGTGTCGGATGCGTCGAAGGAGGAGCCACCGCCGGTACAGCAGCCGTCAGGCTCGGTGGCTACTGGGTGGGCAATGATGCCGGACGGTGTGAACGGAATCATGAAAACTAATGGTGTCTTGAGATTTAATGAGAGCATTGACATGTAGTCTGATGAGCAGGAGCTACAGGTGGACAGGCCGTACCAGCCGGGCTGCTCGTCGAAAGCAAAAGAAGTAGGAGTGCAGATTGTGACCAGCTACAGTAGATCCCAGGTGTCATGAAAAGGGGAGGTTTTCTGTCGTGTTCAATTTAGAAAAGCGGTGCATGTGGTCGGCAGTATTGGTTGTTTGCGCTCATATGCAAGCACATCGATCGGTGGGATGCATGTGCAGTGCAGTGACAGGGACAGCAGCAGCTGCTGCTCCAGTGGAATGAGGAAGGAGGCTTTGGATAGTCGAGTCTCGAATCGATTGCTCAACAATTATGGGCGGCGGTGTGCTGTCTTTGCATTTGTCTTTCCCACCTTGTGTTCTGGGTCCGATGTTCCTCCCAGATGTACTTGGATCAAATTCTACAGACTCAGCCTTCAAGGGAAATACATTGAAAACGACTTTCGTGTCGACTGCAAAGGCAAGGGCCTCAAAGACGATTCCCAGATGAGTCGACCTGCGAACTTCGCCCAGTCTCATGTCTGACTTCGACGGTTTGTGCCATGACAACGCCTCCTTCGCGATAAGCGACACCGCCACCGACAAGGCCATCCTTGTCCGCCCTGACGGCCCTTGCATCAGGGCCCGCGGCTTCCTTCGAATCTTGCAAGATCCGCTCAGCGCGCTCATTAGCTGCTGCGCGTGAACGAAAAGTGCCCCGGATCTCCATCTCCATACCGTTGCGCCCCAGAAGACGGAGACTCCTCTGCTCCCCGGTGCCAACAAGGATGTACCAGGCCTTCCCAGGCAAGACCCTGGCTATTTCCGCGTTCTTCTCACGCAGCAGCTCCAAACGCAGGATGTTTCCGTCTGCGGTTGGCGCGTTGAGATGCTGCAGCATCGCAATGTCTCCGGTACTGATGATCTCGTGGAGAGTCTGCTCGCCGCCGACGCTTCGCTCCCTTGCGAGATGCCTGAACATTTGTTCATATACAGTGTCCAACGGGTAGAAAGGCCCCGAGATCGAGGTGTCCTTGAGATGCGGTCGGCTTGTCTTGAGGTAATAGATGACGTCCGGGTCGATCCCGCCAGGGTGGCCGAGACCTCCCATGGTGAAGCGCATCGTGGTGCGCATCCGCGGAGACACGGTTCCTCCGGCAGCCAGGATCCGACATTCTTCTTTGTGTCGAGGCCAGTCGTTGCTCTGGCATTGCTGAGAACAGTAGTGGCGCGAGCGACAGCGCCCACATCGCTTCAGTGGTGCATCATCGGGGCTGGGGTGGTGTTGGCAGCGAAAGCAGTACGGGGTTGTTGCTGTTGCTGTAGTAGACATTGGTGATTTTTCTGAAGGAAGTATTTCCAAAGTCCTGTCGTAGAGGAGGAGAAGATGCCATGGGGCAATCCAGACGTGCTCGATGAACAAACAAGCATCGAGTATTCGGGCGGTGAAGCTTGACTTTGTTATTGGCTGATTTGATGTGCGCAAGGGTTGCAGGGGCAGAGCATGCCAGGGGTTATCCTCCTTGCTTCACAGGACATCACCCTGCAAGCCTCTAACTATACACGCGCTGACTAAGCCATTTCTGGGGCAAGGCTGGCTCGGCTGGTGTGGCTAAATATGGCCTTTACATCTGTACACTTCGAAACCTGTACTCTAACTAGGCGCCATTACTCGAGGCATCTGCCCCTCCAGACAACGTGAACAGAACTCGTTCTGGCCAAGTTGGCCCTTACAACGACGCGAATTTCATCTCTGCATGACCCTAGAAAGCCGAACAAATCTTTCTTGTCGTCCTCTCGAGACCGGAGTCAACCTCCCAGTGGCGCGACGTAAATTCCAGGCGGCTGGGCTGCTTCTCAGGACAACACAAGACAGTCGATCAGACTCCGTGATGAACACGACACGAGTTCGGAAAGCGTTCAAATACCCATCGGACGACGATGGCACTGATGTATCGCACGATGAGCTGGACGAGCAAGGTGAGCACTGCAACCTGTTTTCATCATATATCTGCACAACAACACGGCCTGGAAAATGTTTGTTGTTGAACAACGATGTCCGGATCCTCCAGCACGCATCACCAGCCCTTGTACAATACACGGCGAAAGCTGGTTCCCATCATCGTCATCACCATCCTCCTCCTCTTGTTTGGCGTTCTTCACTGCCTTGCGTTCGGGGTCATCGCTAACTAGATGCCAAAGAACAAGAAAATCTCCTGACCAAACTCCGCGCCTCGGAATCATCGACGAACGCACAGTACACCCTAGTCTTCACCGTGTTACCACTGATCGTCTCGCTGCCGTTCTTCTGGTACCTCTCGATCTCGACCACAAGAACGACGGAGCTCCTGTGCTTGCTGAGCATCACCTCGCTCGGCGCAAGCGCGTATATCATGCACTTTGTCCCCATCGCTGGCTCATCTTCCTCCTCGTCGTCGTCGTCAGCGGCGGCGCGATCGGGACAACGACAACCTCCCAGCTCGGTGTTCGGCACATGGGCCTCGCCTTTGTTGACGGTCTCAGACCAAAGCCCTATCAACCAGTACTTGCCTTATCTCAGCGGCTCCATCAGCGCGCTGTTACTGCTGGCGGCATGGGGCTACCGGTCGCGCACAGACGTACCCGAGGGACTGTGGTTGTTTCTACTGCTGCCGGCGGTAATATTTGGCATGGTGTTCATGGCGAGGCGCAGCATCATCGAGATTCAGACAGGCTTGGCCCAGTTGCAGGGCATGAGGTATGAATACAAAGGGGCGTGACGGGCGGTGGCGGTTGCTTTCGAATTAATGACTACCTATGGAGAGTGGAATCAGGGAGGGTTTCAGATTTCGGGTGTCGATTGCCTTTGATGAGCAGGCGTGATATTGCGCTAGTATACAGACGTATGTGACTTGCGGCTCGACGATTCTATGTGAGGCACGTGCCAGGCTCGCGACACGTTAATGAATATTTGCCGTTCATGATCAAGACTCTCAGACCAGCGAGCAATGTCTGCAAAAGAAGGAAAAAGAAAGGTCCCCGAGAACCTTGAAATTGTATTCCTTAACCTCGCTCGCCCAACAATGTTTATTGAGAATGTGTTGATACAACATGCTTGAAGCGCTCGAGTGTTATGATTCGGCCTTTGCAGTTTCTTGCAACTTTGCGTTGATGTCGGCTGGCTTTGGAGGTTCAGACGCAATGGGCCAGGGTTTCTTCAACGCATCTTGGAGCATGACCAAGGTGCCCTTCGGGCCGCTGACGGCACCTGCGAGAATGATTGTTAATATGGCCAACTTTTGCAAATTTTTCTGCTGGACTCACCATTCACAACCACAATTCCATTCTCCGGATCCGACTGTAACACTCTCAAGCTCTGGACGGTATTCCGTTGCCCGCCCATGTTTCCGGCCATCTTCTTTCCGGGATGAACTCTGCTGCCACTGCCCTGTCCTCCACCCATTGTTCCGTGTGATCTATGACTCAGGGAGTGACCGTGACTCCGGGGTTGACCTTTGAAACCCCATCGCTTCATTGGACCTGCAAAGCCTTTGCCCTTGCAATTCGACCGTGTGTCCACAAATTGTCCTTCGATGAACCAGCTTGCCCGGATCTCTTCACCAATGGGCAGTAGGCCTTCCCGTCCACGAACACGGAACTCTCGTTGATGTCGCTTAGGACTGACGCCCTGCGTTGAGTAATGGCCCAGCATTGGCTTCGTGACGTTCTTGGGGTTGATCGTCCCGCAGCCCACACACACCGCATAGTATCCGTGCCGCCTTCTTGTCTTGTGGCTAACAACCTGATTTTGATCGAGCTGTAGAACCGTGCAAGGTATGCGCTTCCCGGCCTCAACATCGTAGATTGCGGTCATGCCCTTCTTGATTGCAAGCGCCCCGGTTCTGAGAGGAAGTGTGTCCGACACTATTCTTCGCTCGAAAGCTGCGGCTTGCGTAGAGAGAAGGGGTTTGATGCCTGGGACGACATTGTATGGGTTCGGTCTCGGAGGATCTATCGACCTGATGCCAAAGTTTCGTTTCTGCGAAGAGCTGATGGGTTTTCGCAACAGAGAGCGGGGTAGGAGGAAGGGTGGAGGGAGAGGGACAGCAAGAAGACTCGGAGTCTTTGGCGGCATACTTATTAGTGCCGCAGATGAACGCTGAAGGTGGAAAGGCAGTGCGCAGCTTGAGGCGAAGCTCGACACCAGATGCTCAGGCATTGAAATATCAGGCCTTGGCATCTGTAGACCATATCGGGAATGGTCGGGGTGCTTAGGTAATCACCGCATCGCAAAAGGCTGCCCGACAGCATCCATTCCTTGCACTCTCCCCCTTGCTTACGACATAGACAGTGGCCAGAACACCGTGATAATAGCCAGGAAGCCAAGTACAGGGGTCCGCGGACGGGTTATCCGGGTATATTATGTTGATCTTTGGTCTGTGTGGCAACGGTCGATGTCAGCCTCGAGATAAATGCCGATGGCAAGTCTTTACGTCCTGCAACGGCAATTGGGGAGGATGATGATCATTTCCCACCTTTCTCATTCTTTGGCCTTTGCTCACATGAGAAGCGCATATCTCGGAGTCTGATGTCAACTTCGTCGGAGCCATGTTGAGGCCTGGAGTCGCAGTACAGGCCTATCTCGAATCCCGAGCTCTCTTCTGGCACAAGTTGATGTTGGTCAACAAATCTCGATCAATGGGCCAACGTGGTGGAGCACGAAGCAATCCAGGGAGCATATATTTTTGCGGACGGAGAATGCTGAACTTCCCAAAGACCATTCTTCGCAACAAGTATTGACTTCCTCGGAGACTTAGCACTATCTGCAGAATATTTAGTGGTGCACAGAAAGTCCGACTACGCCACGCCATCCAAGCCAAATCCAGAGTTTGCACCTCTTCGCAACATCTGCGAGTTCCTGAACGCGCTTCACATCTATGCCGAAGAAGCTCGACAGGGCATGACAAGAGCCATTGAGGCTCACCACTTTTGTTCACATGTGCGCAAAGGTAGGGCCTCTACGCCAAGGGCCTCTACGCCAAGGGTCTCTCCTTCTGCTCTAACCCGTTGAATCACCAAGACCTACGTCAATGCCTGATCTATGATTCGGGCCGGGAGGACGCCCGACTCATCGGCGTCGAGTACATGATCCCCAAGCACGTGTAAGACGCTGGATGCAGAAGAGCAAAAGTTGTGGCATTCACGGGTTCGAGGTGGGCTCCGGCATGCTCGCGCTCCCAAAGCCCTCGGCGGAAGAGCACGACAAATGGACCGAGCTCGAGACCGAAGCAATGAAGGAAGTCGCCGGCCTGTACGGCAAGACCTTGCACTTCTGGCAGGTCGACCATGGCGACGAGTTGCCACTGGGCTATCCCATGCTGATGGGCAGCTTGACCTTGCACACTCAGATCCCGAATCTGAGCGAAGCTCTTGATCCACGCAACAAAGAGTGGGATATTGACCATGAGGAAAAGGCAAACATCCGAGCAAAAGAAGGTGTACGAGGGCCTGGCGTACATGCCAACGCGGACTCGTGGTGGAAAGAAGCCGAGGACAAGGCCAAAAGGAAACTCTTTGACAAAGCCACAGACACCATCATCCGTTAGAACACCACCATGAATGCTGGATCTGTAATTTGCGAATGGGAGACTGATTTGCACAAAAGAACTTACATAAGCCGGGACACTTTACGGGAGCCAGCCTTGTGGCTGCGTGAGGAAGAGCATTTACGGTGGACTTGGGTCTTTGTGCCAAATCAGTGATCATTAAGTGTACTATGAGCGTTTGCAATGAGCCTGTCGCGGCCCGACCATGTCATATAGTAGTATAAAGATCTAGCTTGATATAGCAACTCCTTCAAGGCCAATTTAATTAGAGCTTCTCGAAGTATTGCACTGCCAGTAGACGGCAATTCCGTGAATCAGTCGGTTCTGCCTGATGCGTCTCGTACTTGATACTATAAGTGACGGCATTATCATCCGCAATGGAACTGAAGCTCGACACCTCCCATTCCGCTACATCTTTCTTGGCCTCGTATTTCGGGTCTACCTGGCTGTGACTCACCAGCCCAAAACCTTTTCGCATTTCTGCGGGGTTTGAGTGCCCCTCTCGATACTTGTCCCTACGGCTTTAAATGCTGACGGGTTTCGTACCTGTAGGAAGTCATGTGAGGCAGAGGCATACCCCTCTTCCATTCTAAAAGCAGTCACGATGGTAAGTTGAGCATTTCGAAGCTTCCCTCCCACCAGAGCATATAAGTGCCTCCCGGAACATGCGATAAACCAAAGAACTTCACCCCGGTCGTGATTCATCATGCAACGCCGCCCATCGCTGGTGCCTGACTTGTTCCACATCAAGCGGACTGCGGTATTGGAATCTCCACCCTCGGTACGAACGGAGGTCTGCGGGACCTACACCAGCCTCGAGTCTGCTCAAGCCGCTGCTCTTCAGCGACTCGAGAATGAAGGCTATTCTCGATCTTCATGGGAGGAGTATGCTGAGAACGACCTTAACAGCGAAGCCTCTCCGTCCTGGCAATACTCGGCTAGTGTCGTTGTTCACGCCCGCAAAGATGGCGAAGTCCATGATATCGAGATTGAAAGCACTCCCAACTCCTTGGGCGTTCGCGCCAGAGCAGGCGGCGGACGGGTAGAGGACCAGCTGTTCTATGTCCTCCGCACGATTGAAAGTGAAGATGGCTCCGTGAACAGCGAGATCAGAAGCATCCATCTCTCCAAACAGGCAGCTGTAACAGCTGCTCTGGGCGAGTTAGTGAGCGGTGAACGAAACAAGGATTGGTACCGCGAATACAAAGAAGCAGCGAGCGTCAATCCGCGAGATGGAGACGCTGAAGGGCCCGAAGTGGTGGTAAATGCGCTCGGGCAGACCGGGGAAAGGTATGTCGTTAGTGTCACTCATGAAAGCTGAGAACGTCAGGACGCGTCCGGTCTGCTATCAAGAATGCTATTGTGTCTTTGGCCGAGCTGTGATGGAAATATTGGGATGTGGGTGTATCAAAATTGAAAAGGCGACTGTATCCAGCGAGCTCGTGTGTAATAGTTAGCATAATGTGAACGTGGCCGCTTTCTGGATCTTCAAGCCTGTGTAAAGTGTTTGTCACAATGCATTCCGCGGACAGTCCGGATAGAAACTCTTCCTGAACCCGGGCTCTCCTGTCGCAATATGCCTCACAGGTAAGGTCTAAAGCTGCCAGATCGTATTCGGGTTCGGGCCGGCTTACCAACAACCAGATGACCAGAGCACCTCGTTTTCATCAACTTACCCAATCTCTCAGTTTATTTGCGGCGTCCTCTTCTGATACGACGCGTTTGCCGACTCAGTATACGTTCATTCCATCGGGCAACAACGACGTTGCGCTGGGTCCAAGAAGCACGAAGCCCTTCCAGTTGAAAACAAGAAAACGCCTGAATACCTGACACCAACTTTCAAAACAACGTAACAGCTGCATCTCACCATGGATCTATCACCTTCGACCTGGCGCGTCCTGGGACTATCGGTAGCGGCCACCTACATCGGGCTGGGCACAAATGCCATTGCTGCTCCTGTTCAAACCGCCAAGGTTTTCGGAGTCTACCCAGAAGGTACACCGTCAGCTTCCGACGACAAAGTTTACCTTACGGACAAGGACAAGCATGCCAAAGCGGCGACCATGTCAATGAAGCTCCTTGGCGTCCGAGATGTTAGCATTGGGCTCGCTATAGCGGTCTTTGGCTATCAGGACAATCAACGAGCGATGGGGACGGTCATACTGAGTGGACTGGTTCTGTGCGTTGTCGATGTTTATGAGATTTGGAAGGTGCGTGGTCCGGGTTGGGGGAGCGCATTTGCAATGGGAGCAGCCATTTGGATAGCAATTGGATACGGACTCGTCCAGTAAGACAGAGGTGATTGTAGGGAGTTGCGAAAGCAACGCCATATCTCCCACTCATTTCAATCCATTCTCCTCCGACCACTCGAGTTCGTCTTCAGGTCACGTGTATAAATGACGAGGCTGAACCGATGATCTGCCGACACAGTGAGGCTGCGCAAGGCTGAGACGAAAGCTTTGCTTTTAATATTAATATCTGGATGTTTCGATTGTCCATTGACTCCATTTTTGAAAAAGATGATGGTACAGAGTAGCCTCCTGCTGGAAACCCCACGATCATCGCTACCAGAAGCAATACCACCCGCATTGACCAGGATGTCAGATTTTGAGGATAGCGAAGCGAGCGAGGATGACGGAATTTTCACTTCTCCATCTTCATTGGCCAGCGACAAACCACCGTGGCACTGAGTGGCTACTCGTATTTCCAAGATCTCAACAGATACAAAAAGCTAAGCATTTTCACTTCTCTACGTCATCTATACCAGATCCTGTCTCCTCCCTCTATCAACCAGACAATTCTCATGAAGGCCGCAAAGAAATAGCACAAGAAAAAAGAAAGTCGTGACTGGAGGACCGAAAGGCCTTTTCCGGCTCATCGAACCAATCAAAGATGCCTGTTATAGACATCCGCAAGGACTTGTCGGCTCTCTTCACAAAACAAGCCCAGAGTACGCCCGACAATGTCGCGTTAGAGGACGAGAAGAACACATACACCTATACAGAATTGCACGATAAGGTCGCCGTTCTTGCTGATCGCTTTCGCAAGTATGGCGTCGGTCGCGACAAGCTCGTCGGAGTGCTCTTGCCTCGAAGTGCCGACTATGTAATTGCATGCCTTGCTGCTCTTCGTGCAGGAGGAGCATTTCTCGTCCTCGAGCTTGCCTATCCTCCCGACCTGCTGGCTGACGTTCTCGACGATGCAAAACCAGCAGTGGTGGTGACCTACCGGGCGGAGGTTGGTAAGATCAAAGGACGGACGAAAATCATTGCTTTGGACGACGAGCAAGAAACGGAAGTGAATGGTCAAACAGAAGAACCAAGTCCCTTACCAGCCGAGACTGACCTAGACCGGTTGTCCTTCGTGGCCTATTCATCAGGTACCACAGGCAAGCCCAAGGGGATCGCCAATCCTCACAAAGCCCCAGTGCTTTCCTACAACCTAAGATTCGGAATTAGCGACCAGCAACCGGGAGACCGAGTAGCCTGCAACGTCTTCTTCGTCTGGGAAATCATTCGTCCGCTGTTGCGAGGAGCAACCGTCGTTGCTGTTCCCGACGATGCTAGCTACGACCCCGCCGCGCTTGTCGACCTCTTGTCTGCGAAACACATCACAGAGACTTTGATGACACCAACACTTCTGGCAGCAGTCCTGTCCCGGCACCCAGAGATTGGAAAACGCCTCCCAAAGCTCCAGACCCTCTGGCTCAATGGTGAAGTCGTGACCACGGACCTTGCACGTCGAGCACTCAAAGCTCTTCCAAATACGCGACTCCTCAATTGCTACAGCGCCTGTGAAACACATGAGGTCGCTTGCGGTGACATTAAAGAAATGCTGGATGAGGAATCGACTTACTGTCCCGTGGGTCCTCCGCTGAACCCCAAGCACACCTATATTCTCGATGAGGGTGGGCAGAAGGTCGAACCTGGCACCAGTGGGGAACTGTTTGTCGGAGGTCCACTGTTGGCCCGAGGATATCTTAACCGACCTGAGACCACTGCTAAAGCTTTCACACCTGACCCTTTCGACTCAACTCCAGGAGCCCGCATGTACAGAACGGGCGATCTCGCTCGATTGCTGCCGAATGGTCTCCTGGAAATCACAGGCCGTGTAGGAGCTATGATCAAGCTGCGAGGCTATTCTGTCGTTCCTGGTAAAGTCGAGAATGCCATTGTTGCACATCTAGCAGTCAGGCACTGTGCCGTAGTGGCTCACGGAGAAGGCCTTGATCGGCAACTGGTCGCCTATGTCGTTCGCGACAAGGAGCAGTCAGAGGATCGTCCTGTGGTGGAGATCAACGAGTCAGGCCGTAGCCCGGGCGCACGGAAAATCCTCTCGCCATACCTAGCTCACTACATGGTACCAAGTTTATGGGTTGAGCTCAGCGAGCTACCCACCCATGAGGTTTCTGGTAAAGCCGACCTAAAACGACTGCCCCCGCCGCCGACCGAGAAAGCTGGACAGGTCAATGGCGGGAAGATTGAACAGCAGGATCCGATATCCATTGAGTCAATAGCTGAAGTCTGGGCAGCAACTCTGAAAACATCACCGAGCAATATCTCACCCGAGCATAATTTTTTCGATCTGGGCGGCCATTCTCTATCGCTGGCGGATCTTGCATCCAGACTGACGAGAAATTTTGGTTTCCGCATTCCTCTCCAGCGGCTTGTCGACCCTCCGACTCTCAATGGCCATCTCGAGACCGTACGTGCTGTGCGAGATGGACAGATGGCGGCTGTACAAGCTGATCTTCCTGCTGTCTTGCGCGCTGATTCCGTTCTCGACAAGGACATTGTGCCATCCAAAACCACCATCTGCGCCCTCAACAAAGCAGACACGGTGCTCTTGACTGGTGCCACCGGTTTCTTGGGGGCTTTCCTACTTAACGACCTTTTGGAAAGCACTTCGGCCCAGATCATCTGCCTTGTCCGTTTCAATGACCCTTCGGATGAAGATACGCCAGGAGGTATTGCCAGAATCCGTCGGAATATGCTCGATCTGGGACTGTGGAGTGACTCCATAATGGAGCGTGTTGAGATACTGCCTGGTAATCTCTCTCGGAAACGATTTGGCCTCTCACATCAGGCGTTTGACGAGCTAGCTTCCCGAGTCCAGGTCATCATCCACGCTGCCGCCACTGTCAACCTCGTCTACCCGTACGCGGCCTTGCGAAATGCCAACGTCGGAGGCACGAGGGAGATCCTACGCCTGGCATGCCGTGGTGGTGCCACCGTTCAATATATCTCAACCAACGGGGTCTTGCCTCCATCACAGACAGGCTGGCCGGAAGGGACCATGCTCTATGTGGACGAAGTTCCAGAAAAGCTGCACGACGGGTATGGCCAGACGAAATGGGTAGCTGAACAGCTCGTCCTCGAAGCCGGTCGCCGCGGCCTGCCAGTCAAGATCCATCGTGCGGGGACGATCAGCGGTCACAGCCTGACAGGTGCAGGGAATGCTTGGGACCTGGTGTCTGCGTTGATCGTGGAGTCATTACACCTAGGCTACGCGCCGGACGTTGAGGGCTGGCGTGCAGAAATGACTCCGGTGGACTTTGTCAGCAAAGCCATCATCCACCTTTCGAATCAGACCCACGCAAAACAGCTAGTGTTTCATCTCGGCGATCCAGATCCTGTCGACACTCGAATCGTATTCGACAATCTCCGGGAACTTGGTTATCCGACAGAACGACTGGGCTTTGATGACTGGGTGGCATTATGGAACGAGAAGAGGGGTTCTGCCAAAGGTGGGGATGGTGCTTTCACCGTTGATATCCTCCGCAGTGGTATGCCGAGCGTCGACTTCTTGCAAGGTATTGTGGTCCTCAACAATGCTGCCACTAGGCCATTCCGGTCGATCGTCGAGCGGCCGAAGGTCGACAGCGTCCTTCTCGAGACGTATACCCGCCACTGGTTCGCTCGAGGCTGGCTCCCTCGTCCTCCTTCAAGTCAACGTTCGCTCGGAGGATCAGCACGGCCCATTCGCAGAGGCCCACTGGCTGGCCGCGTAGCCGTCGTCACAGGTGCTTCGTCCGGCATTGGAGCTGCCGTCGCTGTTGCTTTGGCTCGAGAAGGATGCCATGTCGCTCTTGCGGCTCGACGGATCGACGCCCTCGAATCAATCAAGCGGAGAATGGTCGTTCGTGAAGGGAAAGTCATTGTCCGGCAGACGGACGTGACGGACCGAAAACAAGTCGAAGCGTTGATCAACGCCGCTCACGGCGAACTTGGCCCCGTCGACATCATAGTCTCATGTGCTGGCGTCATGTACTTCACGATGATGGCCAACGCACAGGTTGAAGAATGGGACCGCACAGTCGACGTCAACTGCAAAGGTCTCCTTCACTGCCTGTCATCCACTGTACCAGGCATGCTGTCTCGTGGAAGTGGACACATCGTTGCCATCTCGTCTGATGCCGGTCGGAAGGTCTTCCCTGGCCTGGGTGTATACTCTGCGAGCAAATTCTTTGTGGAGGCTACATTACAGAGTCTCCGACTCGAGACTGCTGGGAAGGGTCTGCGTGTCACCAGCGTACAGCCTGGAAATGTTGCCACGGATCTCCTGGGCATGTCCACGGACGCTGAGGCGATCAAGAAGTATGGCGAGCCATCTGGTGCCCAGATCCTGGATCCGGAGGACGTAGCCAATTCGATCGTCTATGCGCTGAAACAGCCAGCGCATGTCGCTGTGAATGAAGTGTTGATTGAGCCTAGAGATGAGCCAATATGATGGGGTTGTGTTTTTTCTTGGGACATTGCATTGCATAGAGACGGAATGAGGGAATGAGGGAATGTGGGAATGTGGGAATGGTGAAGGAAAGGTATAGCGACCATTTCAGACTGATAGATCACCAATTTTCAGAGGGTGTTATCCATAGTAACTTTGCACTTTGTTTAGCATCCCGAGACTGGATAAGTTGTCGCTGTTGTTAAGCCCCGTATGTAATCAATTTTGGTGGAGAGGCCAGCCTGATCAGACGTTCAGACCAGAGGAGAGTTTGCCCATGAAACCAGGTGTAGGTGTGAAACATCCGCTTCTGCTACCATTGCCTGTCTTTCTCTTCGTTTCTCAACATCACCTTACTCCCACTTCTCCCGGAACTCGCTCTCCAACGCCACTCATGCCACAGTGCTGGGCGTACAACCACCCAGCCGCTCCGTCACTTTCTCTCGCCCAGTCCTGTCAACTTCTTCACCGCCTTCTTTCAAGTAGGTTAACAGGTGCGGTCCAAACTCTTCCATCTTCACTCACTCACCACCACCACCGCCCAGAATCCTACCGGCGTATATATCAAACACCCCGAAATCTGCTTTCAACAACAGCCTTTCTGGCCCGGGAATCCTCTCACCACCATCCACCTAGTTGCGAGCTGCTGTCGGAGGTGCACCGGGCTTTGGAAGCAGTTTGCTAAACCATCAAAAAATCACCTAGGCCCCTTGGCCAGTCGTTCTGCCAGTTTGTGTGTTTCTCGGGTTCGACTCCAAGGGGTACCAGGCGTTTCTGCCTTCGGGGCCAGTTTTTTTGTTGCTTTTTTCGTCTGAGTAGGTCGAATTTCAGACAGGCGGCGGGTTGTGACCTGCAGTGTTTGTGGGTGAGGTGTGGCAGAATAGACCCGTACCGTAGGTAAGGTCACAGGTATATATCATGGCTTTTGACCTGCCAAGACGGAGGGAGGTTGTTCGCGGGGAAGGTGCCGTCACTTACCTTACTTGCATCACGCTTTCAACTGTGTGGAGAACTGCCTCATGCCTTACCAGGCCTTCATACACGCACATAGACACGGAAGGAGAGGAAAGAATAGGTTCGAAAGGTAACCTTGAAGACTACAGCCGCACGGCCGCTGGTGATGGAGTTCGCCCTCTATCCTCGTCCTTTGCGAATGTCACCACCTCAGCAAGGCAGCCTTGCTCCTCCAGTGGGGACGACACGCGTGGCATGGCAATGGTTGGCGCGTAGAGTGCAGTGAGAGAGCGCAGGTATACTCGAGTCCCATATATAGACGTGTCGAGGGAAGAATTCGGTCGTCTCATACAAAAATCAGAACGAGGCTGAACCGGGAAATCATCGGTTCTATTTTCCTTAGCTTTCGGCCGAATTCAGTCTCAATGATTTCTACATCTCATGACTTTCTAACACCTCCCACCTAGGTGCCTCCAGCAGCAAAAACACCTGGCCACCCTCCCTTCTCACACAACATCCCTCGCTGCCCGCCCACAATGCGGAGCAAAGCCTCCTCTATCCTCGCGGCCTCCAGCATACTCACTTCCTCCTCTTCGTCAAGCTCAACATCGTCCCTCCCGACCAGCATCCGCCATTCGACAATCCTGCGCTTCTTCACAACAACACCACAACCACCACTCGCACGTTCACGCTCACGCTCGTCCCCATCCTCGCCGACGGCCAGCCCACAACACAGACCCCTACACCAACACTTCCGACGACATGCCTCGACGTCCCCATCCGCCGATCGTATAATCCGCCCTCTCGTCCCTCCACCGCGCGAAGGCTCCGGCCCCCTCCTCAGCCGGCGCCCGGACCGCGCCCTGCCCGACATATCGCGCACATCCATCTGGCTCAAGACCCTCCCCGTCTTCGTTCTGCTGATAGGCCTCAGCTCGCTCGCGATCTTCAACTACCAAAAGTCATCGAGCTCGACCATCAACAGCATCCTGTACGCGCTGCGCACGAACCCGCACGCCCGCGACATCCTGGGGGACGAGATCTACTTCGCCAGCAAAGTGCCCTGGATCCGCGGCAAGCTGAGTCCGCTGCAAGGCACGATCGACATCACCTTCTGGGTCAAAGGCAACAAGGCCGCGGCCCAGACGAAATTCGTGAGCATCCGCAGGAAGGGCAGCGAGTTTTTCGAGACCTTGGAGTGGAGTCTGACCACGCCGGACGGCAAGACGATACAGTTGCTGAACATGGAGGGCACGAGGGATCCGATTGCCGGGCAGAAGATATAAATCATTGTCCGGCTTGGTTAACTCACGTTTATGGCGGGAAAAGGCAGGACGTGGGATCACTTAGAAGAGATATTTGTGACATGGTGTACAGTATCGAACAAGAAAAGTAAATGAATGTGCCATGAGCGAAGGAAGCGCCTCCATTCGCACCCTTGATTAATTCTGTACAATATCTTGCAATGTCGCAACACGTGCACCACACTTGACAGAAAAATTGTCCGTTGGTGGGCACAATCTTGAAGAGGAGAGAGGAGTGAAGAGTTGCCCTTCTTGCTCAGCCCATCGCTTCGTCCATAAGGTAGGGAGGGGTGCTGTGCTGTCTGTGCTGTGCTATGCTTGCTCAATCAATCATCAGGCTTGACCTTCGACCCCTTTGTATTGACTCCCGAGGCGCTCGACGAGCCTGAGCCTGAGCCACTCCCACCCGTAACGCTCTTCTTGGGCATTTTGCCAATATTCCACCCCCAGCCCCTCAGCGTCTTGACCACCTTTGGCGTGATGGCCGCCGTCAACGGAACCCGGATGAAAATGAATGATTTGTGAATCGCGTACGCGAGGGCGAGTTGTGTCCATAGGCCTGCGGCGGGTTGGTGCGTTAGCATCAATTCATCATCGCAACTCCCACGCTCGGGGGGAATCCACTGTCCTCCCAACGCAAAGCAAAGCATGGCACAAGAAAACGAAAGGAAAACGTACTCGCATTACTTCCCGCATTCGCCTGTTCAGCCTCCCTGTACCCATGATCCTCGACCTCGACCTTGGCCTCCTGACTCTTATACTCCGCTCGACTCTCCTCTTCCAGTATCCTCTTCTTCGCTCCATCTCCCAGGACCTGCGCCTCCACCAGGTCCCCAGCTCCTTCGATGACTTCCCTCTCCCTTTCCGGGAAAGGCCAACTCACCAGACCCTTGATCCACGTCAGTGCCACATGCTCCCAATGCCCGATGCGATCTGTGCCCAGCATGCGCACCGCGAGGAAACAAAACGGGAAATCCAGTGCGGTTAGGAGCAAGTAGACACCGAGCGCCGACCAGCCGTATTCGCGGGACAGCTTTTTCATGCGTTGGGAGATGGACAGTTTCTCGCCCTCGCTGGCCGGTGTCGTGCTGCTTGAGTTGCATCGTCTTCCTTCTTTCGCATGTGGTATTCTTCTTGCCTGCGTCCTTGGCCGCGGCGCGAAAGGACTCGATCTCGTACTATTAGAAAATCGCTGTATATGTAACCCTCTCGTCACAGTGTTCTGTAACCGCAATGGACGCGTTCGAAAGGGCGATTGCGAAATAGATTGACGTTCGAGGTTGGTAAACACCTGTCGCAGGGCCGGACGCGCATCGAGAAATTGTCGTAGAGCATTTCTTTGGACGAAGCGCATGCTCTTCATGCTTGTTGACTGGAAGCGGAGGCAAAGGAGGAAGTCACGGCAGAGCGTAGTGTAGATGCGTTGATGTTGATGGGCAGGCCTCCAAAGCATAGCAATTATTTTGCCTGCGCTATGTCATAGCTTTTTCCGGCTTCCGGGACCGGAACAAGGATATCCGAACATACTCGTTGAGGGACTTATGGTAAGCGCAGCCTTGTTCCACGACCAGCTTGCTTAGGTGCCTGGGTAAGAGCAGTGTAATTATGACTTGTCTCTACATGTCCGAGCAAACACGATCAATAAGCACTGCGTAACGATTGCGCTATGCTAAACATACATGGCTCAGTGTTCATGATTCTGACCACGAGCCTGGTAACTCAACATCCACCCAGTCCGGGTTCAACATTCAGACAGAATTCTTCGGAGGCCTTCCACGCCGTTTGGGAGTATCAGCTTTCGGTACGGGTCCAGGAGTCCCTGTATTGGCGTTAACACTCGCCCATCCAGGTGCTGGTTTTCTAATCGCTGGCTCGTCGTCAGAGTCACTATCGACCCAAGCTGCTGCCGAGACCTTAGCAGCAACAGGCTCCGCAGGTCGTGGAATTGGAACCGCCTTTTTCTGGCCGTTTTGCACCACTGGCTCTACCATAGGCTTTGCAGATTGAAGTGACTGCTTGGGCGCAGGAGCGGCTTCATCCAGAAAAGAACCCTGCGACCAAGAATCGTCAAAATCATCGAGGTCGTTCTCCATCCACTCGATAGCAGCCATCTTGGCCCGTCTATTCGCTTGGGCTTCCTCAAGCGTCTTTGACGTTTTCGAAGTCGTGAGTACTGGTCTCTTCCCGGCTGGCTTCGTTGGCGGAGGCTCAACAGAAGATGTAACGGAGTGGGTTCGACTGACGGGATTGTCACTAACGGCAGTGGCCTTATGCGAGACAATTGGCTGCGCCCGTGTCGCTTCTGTCTGCAGTGTCGGATCCGGTGCGATTCCTACCGGCAGACTCGATGCTGAACCGTCGCTACCACCCTCACCTTGCTCGCTCTGCTCTGAACCAGTGTCTGAGTCAAAGTCTTCATCGAGTCGGACAACGTGGGTTGCTGAGGTGCTGCGACGTTCTGAAGGCTTAGGAAGAACATCATTGAATTCCTCTTCGTCTGGCTCCTCGTAACGAGGATTCTGCATACGAGTCGTTCTTCTTGTGATCTCTGCATCAGGTGGAGGTCGCGGTGTCCCATTGGCCGTAAGCTTCCTCCGATCTCGATATCGTCCAGGTGTGAACTCATCATCACGGTCAACCACAACATGTTCGACATTCCGGATTCTCTTGGGCACTTGCTGCGGATTTCCCTCGGCGGCATTGAGCGCTTGTAGATCAGAGCTGATCACCGGGGCTGGCGCCTCGCGAACCCCATTCAGCGCTTGTCGAGCCATGTTTGCCATCTGATCCACTTCGGTGAGCCTCTCCTTAGCGACAGGTAGCTTGACAATCAGAGATTTCCGTTGCTTCTTGCTCTTCCCCGGATCGGCTCTCTTGGAATTATACGGCCGGTCGCCGTCGTCCAGTTTCCGCTTTCGTTTCCTCTCGACCATTTCGATTTCTGCTACTTCTTCTACTACAGGCGGTGCATGATCGGGCGGCGCTGCTTTAGGCTCTTCTTCGCTCGGGACAGCCAGGTGTCGACCAATCTCAGGATCAGGATAGTCGTATGTGATAGCCTCGGTCGGATCATAGGCATGCTCGACATCACGAATGACGCCACCTTCTGGTACCCATGGAGTGTTGTCTGGTGATGACTCATCAATTCGTCTTGCTCCTTCAGGATGTTCGTCAAATACCTCTTCATCTTCTGGTTGATGGTCGAAAAGGACCGCACCCCCCGAACCCAAGGCTGGATCGATGGGAATGCCCTCTTGTTCCGCCAGCCGAAGGATACCGTCCACAACTCCATCGTTGTCATCGGCGTAGTCTTCACCCGGTAGAATGTCAACTTCATTGGCTAGAGCAGCGTCGGCTTCCTTTCGACGTTGCTTCAACCGGCGGGTGTTATCTCCATTGTCGTCACCAGCTTTTTGTATCCAACCAATATTGGAATAGCCAAAGTCCACGAGGCTCTCAACCGATCTCGGATCAGCCACGATTTTTGTGTCATGACTGAGCACAGTACCAGAGGGAATGTATGGTCGGTACTCAGGCTTCTTTCGGCAAGTTCGACAACCACAAATGTTGCGACAGCTTGGACATTGCCAGTCTGGATCCGACAAGATGTCCTGCGGCTGCATGTCGTATGCTCGGAACAAGACACCATAGCAGTAACTGTAGTCGCACGTTGAACACGATGCTTGTTTCCACTTTGGTTCCCAGTGCATGTCGACATGACATCGAGCATGATTATTGAGGAACTGTTTCGGCCGCACAATCTTCTTTTTCTTTTTCACAATCCCGTTCTCGTCAACTTCTTCCTCCTCGACACGCTCATCACCGGTAACTGGGGGTGGGGGACGTCGAATATCTCGAAACGGCCTTCTTGCTAGCTCCAGTTGACAGATTTGTGCCAATGTTCGCTTCTTTCCAAGTCGATCTAGTTCGGTCTTGAGTAAAACTGGAGATCGCTCAGTAACCTTGCCTTCGTACTGCAGGATTTGATGCCGCCAGTATTCGTGCTTTTGGACCAGATCACCCCATGACCATTGTTCAACCCATTTTAACTTAGAGATACATGCGCAGCTTCGGCCCATAGCATAGCATTCCATGCAAATGTCGTATGTATCCTCGTCGCCATTCGGTAACTCGCCCACACAGCTTGGACAGGTCAGGAATCTATTGAAGATATTGCACCGACAGTAAGAACAGGTAATGTTGCTGTCATATGCCAGGCTCTCAATTTTCTTTTCTGGCTTGTCAGGCAGAAAGCTTTCTGAGACCAATATTTCGGTATAAAGATGGTGTAGTCTGCGGAAGTCCTTTTCAAGTTGTCGAACTTTGGTGTCGTTGACTGATTTGTGCTTGGACCCTACAGCCTTCTGCTTGAACTTTTCCGCCAGCTTGAGCAATTTCGAGTATTTTTGCATGGTGTAGTAGACTATTGCCTTGTTTTTGTACTGTTCATCGCGACAAACCATTCTTGCTCGGGGAAGGGCTTCATGCATGGCCATCTCAAGAGTCTCGACCGTCGTCCTGTTCCAGGCAACCTTCATTGTTCGTGTGCCTCGGTTCCAGACTTGATGTGGTGCCAAAGGTGGGATCAAAATGAAATCACCAGGCTTCTGTTCGACCACGTGAGTCTTGAACGGCGCGTTCTTCCATGCGTTAATCTGAGCGAAGTGATTCTCGATCTCGATGTCGTGTCCCAGCCTAGACAGCCAATATTCGGAGACAACCGCCCTCTCTTTGCTCTCGGTCATGAACCAAATGGAAGTCCCGGGTTTCGTTGGTTTACCGTCCTCGACCAAGCCAGTCGAAGCTTCTACCATGATATTTTGACCAAGACTGGCACACATCTCTCTGTGGGCAGGCGTGTACGTCCCTTCGTGACCAATGTAACACATCATGTTTTCGGCGCGCATGTCTTTTGGCAGACTGCTCATGAGATCCCCAGCTTTGGCAATTCCTCTGCCTTTCCGCATACCAGGCCTGGTGGGATCATTTTCATCCAGAGCACCAAAGCCTCCAACGTCACCTGTACTCTCGTTCAGGTAGAATAGGCCGGGAGGTATGACATGGGCCAACTTGTCATGCCATAGCTGCGGACAATCAATGTCTTTGAGATACATTCGCTGTCGCTCTGGATCCTTGTAGTTCCGAGGAGTCCATTGATTCGTGAGCAGTGCCATATTGTTGAGATAGTGACCGACGGTGAGGGGTACGTTGGCCTTCTTCGTCAGATCTCTGGCATGTTCGACTTTAGATCCGCAATTATCGCGTAGCCACTGTAACGCAAACGTCCATCTATCCAGTCGTCCTTCGTAGCCCTCGATGACAAGAGGCTTCCCGCCGAGTATGACATGTATCAAGACCAGCTTTTCAAAGTTTTCCAGACCCTGATGATCTATCATGTCACAGTGAATCCGCACAACCCATTCGAAGTTCGGTGTGGATTCAACGAGCGTATTCAGGTCGAAGTCTGGCGCGATCGGCTCGAAAGCGGCGCAAGGCCTCGAAGACGGCATCTTGAGGTGTAATGGATGAGTGATCTATCTACTTCAGAGGTATAATCTTGACTCCTCTGGAGGATCGGTTCTTGCGACGGACATAATCGTCGCAAGGGCACAAGCCGGTCTGGGGGCGGGGAAACAGTGAAATCCGGAGAATAGAGAGCAGGCCGATGAAGAGGGTGGCTTCACTCGTGCATCGTTTCAGTGAAGAAGGCGGCCACGCACGAGTGAAGATGGAAAGATGGTGAAGCGGGCGAGTTTGCGCAAGGCTGGCAAACAGCAAATAAAGTGCAATTCACAAGTCACTCACTTCGCGCCGGACGCGACTTCTGCGGCGAAATCCACACCTTTCCTAATCGGGCACATTGCGACCCATCCCGAACAAAATGTTGCTTGAAGTTCAGTAAGCATACAGGATATCATATAAACATCACAAATAGCTCAAAGACACCGATATTCTACATGAGCTGGCTCCTGCTCACTTGAACGTCCCAACTATGATCATCTAGCCGCCAAATCCGTCCAAGGTAGCAGTGAGAAGCTTTTGATCACACTCAGCCTTGCCGGCTCGGTCTCGATAGTCCTCCCCGACAGCCATGGCTCGGGGTTTAGTTACCTTGCAATTAAGAGTGACCGCCGGGTGCATCCACAGGACTCCAATACCGTGTCCTAATTTCAGCGCAGCGTGGCAAAGACTGGTCCCTTCAAGAAGCTGGACACGAGATGTGCCATGCCCGAGCTCTAGAACCGTATCACGGTCTCTACCATTTTTGAGCCAAAGACGACGTCATTCCACGTCTGCTACCCACTTACCGACATCGAAGATAGGTACAGAAGACCTCCCTACGACATATAAACCCCCAACCACCGGCATCATCTCGAAACTGCCCTCATCATGGATCCCCTATGCCGAGCTTATCCGCCTCGACAAGCCAGCTGGCACATACTACCTTTTCTTCCCATGTATGTTCTCAACATTACTTGCCGCTCCCATGGCCACACCAATGGCGACGCCCTTCGAAGTCGTCTCGACAACAGCGCTATTCTTCTCCGGGGCCCTCATTATGCGAGGCGCTGGCTGTACGATCAATGATCTGTGGGACCGCAATCTAGATCCCTATGTCGAGCGAACACGACTACGACCTATTGCAAGGAAAGCGGTCTCAGCTCAAAATGCGATTGTATATCTAGGCGCCCAACTTTTCACCGGCCTAGCCATCCTGCTTCAATTCCCTCTACCTTGCCTGTTCTATGGCGTACCAAGTCTTCTTTTGGTCACCATATACCCACTGGCAAAAAGAGTCACCCACTATCCACAATTCGTTCTGGGCCTAACATTTTCTTGGGGCGCGATCATGGGCTTCCCTGCCCTGGGTATCGACCTCCTATCCAACCCTCCGGCCTTAGCGGCTGCTGCCGCCTTATATTCCAGCTGTGTCTCCTGGACGCTGGTATACGATATGATATACGCTTATATGGACATCAAGGATGACGCCAAAGCAGGAATCAAGTCAATAGCACAGGCCCACGAGCATAATGCTAAAGCAGCACTGTCTTGCTTCTCCGCTGTCCAAATTGGCCTGCTCGCAACAGCTGGCTACTTTGCCGGTGCCGGTCCTCTCTTCTTCGTCGGAAGCTGTGGCGGCGCTGCATTGGCACTGGCCACCATGGTTCGGCGAGTGGACCTCAAGGATGTCAAGGACTGTTGGTGGTGGTTCAAAAACGGAGCCTGGTTGACCGGCGGCGTCATCTCTTTCGGCTTGTTAGGCGACTACCTTCATCGCCGGACGAAAGAAGAGTCCAAAACCGCCATGCAGACTGTCCTGGCATGATGATTCTCACCGTTCGTTTACACCATCTTCCTGTACTACAAGCTCCAGATGAGCCTCAAGGCGTCCCACGATCTGCTTCCAATCCATCATTGCTCCATCTCCTACATCTCCGCAAGCCAGTTCCTTCTCCATAGGTCTGAGCACTGTAACCCAGCCATCTTCACCACTTCCCCAGTCCTGCTCCAGGACTTTGATCTGTTTTCTCGTGATAGGATGCCTCCACATAGCCGTATTCATAGCCGGAGCCACAAATATTCTCTTCTTTCGCCCATCGATTAGACCGGTCGTATCCCATGCACGAATCACACTGAGCAGCAACCCGTCGCTAATACCAGTCACCACCTTAGCCATGGTATTGGCCGACAGAGGCGCAACGAGCATGACATGCGCCCAGCGTCTCAACTCGATATGCAAGATCTTATCACCCCGAACCCACGGCTTCGACCACTCATCTTCATCAAGGTAGATACCATCAACATTTGGCAGATTGTGTAGGGACTTGAGCAAAGGCTGTTCCGCGGATTGGCCTTTGAGGAACTCCTCTGCAGAGTGAGTCAGGACGATGCGGATCGATACGTTGGCATGCCGCGTAAGAGCCTGTGCAATATTAGGTATCTTGATAGTTGCTACCGAGCCAGAGGCAGCAAGGAGGATATGATGCTTCCCGTCGTTCTCGTGGTCTGCGGCGGAGAAACGGCCGACGTTCGTTGCCGATGCCATGCTGTAGATCAGACGAGTATTCAAACCTCGAGATATGCCTAGATCACAAGGACGGCTCTTCGAATAAAGGCACTCATCAATATCGCAGACGACGGCAACTAGATTTATAATTGATGGCGCACCTCAATTGCTTCTGGTCCTCCAACGGGACAACGATTGATCGCCATTTGTCAACATTTGACATCATCCGAACATTTTCCTCCGCAGACATCATCATCTGCTCCTCGAGTTTACAACCACTTCTCTCACCACATTAACACCTCTCATATACCTCAACCATGCTTCAACGAACGCTACGCACACCGGTATGTTACGTCTCCTTCCTCTCCTGCCTGTATTCAGCTAAGTAACATACAGGCTCTGCGCAGTGCCTTGTCGGCGCTCTCTCCCCGCGCCACCTCTACCACCCTTCTCCCTAGAATCACCTCCTCCCTCGCCCAGACGCGGTTACTGTCGCAGGAAGTACGTACCGCTATCGAAAAAGCAGTTGCTTCGGCGCCTGTCGTCCTGTTCATGAAGGGAACCCCCGAAACACCTCAGTGCGGATTCTCTAGAACTTCAATTCAGATACTAGGTCTCCAGGGCGTGGATCCGAGAAAATTTACTGCATTCAACGTGCTTGAAGATGAAGAGCTACGGAGTGGTACGTCTCTAACACATGCTTCCTCGCATGGTTTCCTCCCTATCTCAATCACTTTTACGAAATCTAGCACAGCAAGCTGTTGGCTATAGCATACTGATGTGGCGGACTATGTACAGGAATTAAAGAGTACTCCGACTGGCCAACAATCCCGCAACTATACATCGACAAAGAGTTTGTCGGTGGCTGCGACATCCTGATCAACATGCACAAGGACGGTAGTCTTGCTCAGCTACTAGCGGAGAAGAAAGTCATCATCGAGGACGACACCAATCCAGATTCCGATGCCGAGGGCCAGCAAGCCCAAGAGACTAGAGCGACGACGGAGCAGAGTACAGGTGCTAGGTCGAAGGATGCGAAGGGCGAGAGCTCGTGATGCCTATAACACTACAATACATCTGCAGCGGGCTCCCATAAGCCGTGTACTACCTGGAGAAAATAATGCATGCCAAAAAGCTCGATCACCTTCCAGCTAAGCTGACCCGTTTTCTTTTAAAACAATGCCCGGACACTTAGTCGATCTCATGACCCGGGGTGTCCCCATTGCATTGATGAAAGCAAGCATTTCCATTGTCGCGCTCAGGCATTCTACAGATGGAGTAACAAGGCGAAAACGCAGCCCATCAGGTTCAAGAACGCAACCAGACTCGAAGGCACGGATGGCGGAAGCTATGAGGGCGTGTGCAAGTCAAACCCCATTCTGACTGGAAAGCTCATGGTATTTACTTTCATTTCAATTTCGCTCAAACGTTACAATCAGCATTGTTATTTTCAACCTCTGGAACCAATCTGTCTATCAATAGCAGTGTATTTCGAACTCCAAACCCCCCCGGCCATCTCAAAATAGCTTGCAACGCCAGACACCAAAGATGTAACTTCGTCACTCCGAACACGAATACCGACAACGTTCGACACCCAAGGAGGTGTACCATCCCACACCTTGCCACCATCTTTCACCATGCCTCCTCCTCCACAACAACCCCCCACTCATGCTGCACTCGTCCATACATAATACCCTTCAACTGGTCCTTAATCCCCATGGCGAACTCCGAACCCTTTCCTTCACCCCCCTCCGTGCCCAGTGGGAAGGCGACATCCAACCCCCGAAAATGCACATCACTGACAGGCGCATTGAAGAACGCCGTCCCTGAGCCAAAGCCCTCGAGCAGTCTCCCTTCCTCTGCCGCCCGAACCACCTCATCCATAGCGAACTTCCTCTCCACCACCTCCACCGCCTCGTCCCCCTTCCTACTCCTAACCAAGTCGAGCACACTCGCCCTCGTCACACCTTCGAGAATAACCCCGTCTCCCAACGGCGCCGTGACCAACTCCCTCTGCCCCGCCTCATTAATCCAGAGCACGAAGAAATTACTTCCCCCAGCCTCCGTGACGTACCCCTCGTCGCCGAACAGCCAGAGAATCTGATCGTACCCTCGCGCTCTGGCCTCGCCCTGCGCAACAAGAGACGGTCCATAATTCGCGCCAACTTTCGCGTTTCCAAAACCTCCCGGCCACGCCCGAATCATGTCGTGTTGAGAGGCGAGTAGGCGCATTCCCTTTGCACTTGCACTTGGACTTGCGCCTTTCCCATTGGACAGGGCTCCATTTCCATTTGCATGTCCGTTGCTCGTCGCCTGTGCCAACGACTGTTGCGGTCTCGGCTCGTCCAACGCAGGAAACACCACCATGATGATATACATCAACGCCTCTTTGGGCCGCTGCACGCCCAGGGCTGGTGCCGTCGCAATCATCGTCGGGCGAATATACACAAACCTAGTCCCATCCCCTGCACCAGCTGGTATCCACCTCCGTGCCTCGACCCCAACGAACCGTTTGAGCAGCTTAAGAAACTCCTCTGGCGCAAAGCCCGGCAAGGAGATCCGTGTGGCGGACTTGAGAAATCGCTCCGCATTACGCTGGGGTCGGAAGAGTCGTACTCTTCCATCAACGCCGCGGTACGCTTTCATGCCCTCGAAACACTCGGTCGCATAGTGCAGTACGGACGCGGTAGGCATGAGACTCAGTGGCCCATAAGGGACGATCTGCGGCGCTTCCCAGCCTGCTGATTCGGTCCAGCGCGCTGTGAGCATGTGGTCCGTCGTGTATGTCTGGGAGTATGCTTCAGGGGAATCGAGAGCCGGGACGGGCTTCGGTTTTACGGTGGGCGTGAATGTGCATTTTGAAGCAACCAGTTCGGCGACGGAGGGAGCGGTGTTGGAGACTGTCTGGGACAGGATCGCTTCCGTGCCGGCTTTGGTGAGTTTTGAGGTGTTATCTTGTGTGGGTGATGGGGGAGACACGGGTGTCAGGGCTGCTGGCGCCATGATGAATACAGAGATCTACGTGGTAAGGGGCAAAGGTAGACACCGACTGCAGCAGTTTGTCGAGAGATGGGAGGAGCTTTGAAAATAGGAACGGGCAGTCAAATCATAGCTGGGCCTACCGTGAGTCATATTATATCCACTTCCAAACAAGTGTCAAATTGACCCGGGAAGCACTTTTTCAACAAACAAAAAAAACAGTACTTAGCGGACTTCTCCAGTTTGATGGTGGCACAAGGCTTGTATGCAAGGGACGGATCACGGCAGGAGAAAATCTGTTTGGCTTTCAAGGCAACCTGCAGTTCCGGGTTCCTATCGCGTTCGCAATGCGCGCCTTTCCCATTACATGATCGATAAACATGCACATAAGCGGCTGGATGATGATCCGGGTCCTGAAGCACAAATTCCTTGGTCACAGTACTAGCACAGTAGAAAACTTCGCGCATTATTGCCACAGATAACACTGTTGCATATTTGAACATCGGATTGGTGGAGGTGGTGGACAAAGCCCAAGAACTCCGCTTGAAAATTCAAGCTGGCTCGGAAGGCGGAAGGCGGAAGCGGCTACTCACGGGTACTTGACGACGGGGGTTTGCACTCTTTCCCGCTGTCAAGGTCTGGTCGTGGCCGAGGAGGGCGCAGAGATATCTGTAGGTACGTCAGTTGCTTGACCGAATGACCACACCCAGAAAACAGACCAGCAAAGTAAAGTGGCCGTGGGCCCGGTTCGACAAATGCTTCGCGTTGCGGCTTTCCACTCCGCCCTTGCAAAGCCTCCTTTCAGAGCGCAGCAAGTAGCTCGATATGTCGGTGTAGACCTTTGAACAACTTGTTCTTTTGTACGTTGTATTGCTGGTTATGGATGTCAGCGCCAACCGCCACGCGGAACATCAAGTGAACATACCTGCTGCAACTCCGACACGGTCGATTTGGTCTTGCTTGCAATCTGACCTACGTTCTCTTCGAAAGCTTCCAGGTCTTGCGCCAGGCTGTCGTGAGGGTCACCATTCGCGTCGAAGATCTTTTGAGCAGCCTCCAAAGCGTTCTCCAGCTTTTCTCTCTGACCGGGCTTCATGTCTTCGTCTCGAACTTGAGCAAACGCCAGGGTATCTTGACCCAGCACCTCCGCAGCCAGGCCTATGAGTCGAAATTGTATGTCCTCCCAGTCCTCCCACAATTTGCAAAGGATCTTCTCCTTCTCTTCTCTGAGCTTCCGAAAGGCAGTGATTCGATCCTGTAGCAGGACTTCTTGTGCTTGCTGCTTGGGTCCTGGTTTGGGCTGGATGCTTAGGGTCTCCGTGTCGAAGGGCTTTTGTAGTGGCTCTTCGATGTTGGCCAAGTCGTCAAAATGGTGGTCAAGATCGACTGTCAGTTCCTCCAGGCCAGTGACCAGGGCTTTTTCGACATTTTCAAGATCTTTGACCACAGAAGTGTGAATGCTTTCTCGGTATTGGTCAAGACTTGCTAGAGGGTGTCAGTTTAAGAAGTGCATTGAGGTGTTTGTCCTGCCTGCAAGGTCATCCGCAAGAATCGAGCTTTGACTTTGATCCTTGTTACTGTCTCTCACTTTTGAGATACGATGCGAACTGCGTTTTAAAGATTCACGACCATTGCGAGATTTCTCATTGCTTGAAGAGGCAGCGGGCTTGTGGTTAGCTGGCGTTCGAGTCTCATCATGAGAACGCACAAAATGAGACTTCAGTCGTGCAGATCGATATTTCACGTTAGCAGTCTTCATTTGGCCTCACACCATGCGAGAATTTGTTTAATCAGTAATGAGCCTGAAGAGTGGGAAAGTGGGTGAGTTGCAGGACACTGGTGAGAAAAGTGAAGCAACGGAAAGAACTCAGCTTATAGCATTTGAACATTTGTTTGCTTCAACATCGTACAGAAATTTACTTTGGCCATATCATCATGAAGTTTTGTTCCTCTTCTCGAACTTGAGGTACAGTGGTGGTTCCAGCTTGCTTTCGCCGTGACCCGACATTTCATCACATCATAGATCTCGACAAATCCCTGAGACCGCGGTCACTGAGCCAGCACTGTAAATCAGTTAGTCTTCTACGATTCCGCGCCGACTTTTGCATTTCATCGAGCCATACTCCGTAGACACAGCAAAGGCAAAGCGGCACACCCTTGCTCCTCGTCACAGTACTTGCACCGCCACAGCCCGGAGTTTTCCAGGCTGGCATCTCCCTGCATCACGATTCAAGATCGACCCCTCACGATGTGGCACCCAATCGATATACGCTCTTGTGGACTCTCCTTTCCATGCGCCCACCATGATCGTGCGAGTCATGGGACGTGATCGAGATGGAATCCCTGCCGCAAACGAAGCGTTGCGTCAGCCAAGGCCGACTTTGTGGCGCCATACAAGGGTGATCATTGGTGGATGGCGACGATGCCTTATCTGGGACTCCCCAGAGGTATCGAAAACCTGCTTTCTCCCCGCTTTCCAGCCTCTTACAAGCCTGAGATCAACCATAGCACGCCGTACTACTTCCTACTGAGATGAATAGGTCCGAAATACTCTACAGAAATGACGTTGCCATTCACACAGACGACGATCAGGGAACTTCCCCAAAGATGCGCGACTGCGAAGGTGAATGATAAAAACGAGCGAGTCTACCCGTTTTGACCAGGTTTGCTCCATCATCTTCTGCAAACAATCTAACCTATTACTCAACCTCAACAAAACACAATCACATAACCAAACCTACAGTATCCTTACGTTGAACAATCAAAATGGTTCTCGGCATAGGCAAATCACGAACCCGTCGCCATCCCGGCGGTACCACGGTCACAACCACTACAACCACAACGCATCATCCCAACAATGGTGCAGCTGGCACAGGCCCGACAACGCGAGCTAGGAAACCCTCACTCATGCAGCGTCTACGAGGCAAGACCGCACCCCGAAGCACGGCCACGACAGCTCGACCTGCTCGAAAAAGCCGCTTCGGTGGAACCAGAACAACACGAGCAACTGCACCTGCCACGACACATCACCGTCGCAAGACCAGCATCGGCGACAAGGTCTCTGGTGCCATGCTCAAGTTGAAAGGCAGTGTGACCCGCAGACCTGGGGAGAAGGCCGCTGGGACGAGACGCATGCATGGGACCGATGGCAGGGGGAGTAGACGCCGATACTACTAAGCATCAGCACCAACGAGGCCGACCGCGCCCTGGAGGACGGGACTGGGCTGAATCCCTGCGCTCCGCATGGAGAGATAGGGAGCGCACTGTAAATTTATCTAATCTGCTCTCATCAAGATGAGAGTCCTGGAGTATGAGCTTACGATCGGAGTGGAGTCCTAATGTGTACGATATCCTGAGATACCAACTTTCAATCATAGCGAGAAAACCCTCATCGTTTGAATTATATCAATGTGACTGCCTTTTGTGTCTCTGTTGGACTTGATACAAGAATAGGCCCTCACGTTGGTCAGCCTCCCGCCCGTCATACACCACCTGTTCGACATCGAACGTCTTCATCATATCCCTTATGAATCGCATGTCTGCTTTGCGCCTTTTCTTGAAACAGAAATAACACATCGTCGCTGGACCGATCAAATCTTTAAGTGTCTTGAGCAGCAATGGGAACGCAGGCTCGAAGTACACACAGTCCGCAGCGAGAACTACCTGAGGATGTTCTCCTTCAGCAAGGATACTCTCTGGGGGTGGTGTGCCCCAATCATAGACTTCCGCCTGCACTCGCCCGTGGAGATTGTTCAGTGCAATGTTCTTCTGCATCAGTGCAAGCATGGGAATCTGGTCGGTGATGTAGATTGGCTTGCTGCTGTCGACCTCACAGCCCAACGCGACTGCTAGTCCGACGAGGCCTCCGCCTGCGCCGATCTCGATAATCGACTTGCCAGGTAAGGACCCTGTCTTGTGATATGTGAGCATGTACTTTGACAGGACCATGCCTGCAGGCCAGAGTTGACCGCCGCATCCTTCTTGGAGATCTTCGTGGAGGAGGAGAGGTGTGTTCGTAGGGAGGAGGTTGTCGAAGGTTATGCTTGTAGTTGCTGCGGCTTTGTTCTCGCGTTCGGGAACGAATGTGGGGTCGAATGCAAAGACATCGTTCTCAGGCTCAGTAGAGGAAGAGTCCGAGGGCGTCATGGTGGGGATGGGTGGAAGAAACACCCTAGGTGACGAGAAACAGTGAGTGGAGGAGGAAAATCTGCGAGTGTTACTGATTTTGATTCCAATTTCGGATCCCCATCATGTGTGTGTCAGTGATGAACCGATCAACATCACTGAGTTGGTTTCTGCAGTGTAATCAATGATTCTCAGGTCTTGGACACCCGAAAATGGTGTAGTCAGAGGCCTGGTACAAGTATTTCGACACTACCTTATGCAAGGCTCTGGCTTTTGGCGCAGAGGATTGTGGAGGAACTTGATAGAAGCCGCAGGTCCAGATATCGGGAAGTGGATATGATTGGGTGCAAATTTGGCGGAAGAATATCCGGTGTGCTCACAGAAGCTGACCCTACCGTTGTATAGACATTTTGCACAAGGAGAATCTAACGAGAAGAATTGCTCTGAGCTTCAGCTCAAAGCCGTGACCACTTTCTCGAACTAGAAGAGGGGAATCGTCTATTATTCTTTAATCAATCTTTTGGCTCTGATCCAAGTAACGTCAGGTGAGACCGATCGGTTGCTGTGGCTGTGGCTGTGACATCATGGCTTGTTGGTTGAGGCTTCGAGCCCTGTCGTCATTGTTTTCCGTGGGACCAGCTTCTTCCAAGCACTTGACAGGACCAGAGCAGTAACCGCGGGTCGAATCGACGTAGCCACGGTAGCTCTTCGTCGTGCATATAAGTCATCCGTCCTCCAATTTCTCTTTCTTCCCCTACCACAAACCAACTGTAGCTTCATCCAACAAGACCATTCTCATCAACAACACCTCAATCACCTCACAACTACACACATCTCAATCACAATGGCCACTCTACACTGTAAGATCCTTCCCCCCATCTGCCTCGCTCACTCTGGTGTGCTCCCTACGTCACCTGCGAGCTCAAATCAGACCTCACTTCATCCATTGAATCCGTCGAAACTAATATCATCCATCCAGACCTCCCACCTGTCAAGCCCTCCGCCATCGCCCTAGGCGTCGTTTTCAACCAAGTCGCCTCCGTCGGCGTTCTTGCCCCTCTGTTCGGTGACACCTACCAACGCGCCAAGGCCGCCGACAGCAAGGAAGAGTTCTTCAAGAGCAAGGAAGCTGCCACCGCGGCTGCGAGCTGGGGTTCATCCCTTGTTGGTTCAGCCATTCAAACATACGGTGTTGCTGCCCTCATCAATGCCACCGGTACCCTCAGCTACAAGGGATCCGCCTACCTAGGCAGCTTGATCTTCATGGCTTCCTACTCTCCATCTGTACGTACAATTCCGCCTTCTCATATTTCCCTCCGTGCTAACATCCCTTTCTAGCTCGTCTCCGCCGTTGTCACTGAGAACCGACCCCTCGAAGTCGTCGCTGTCGGTGTTCTGTCTCGTCTCGCAGAAACCGTCGGTCTCAGCATGTTCCTCACCTACTGGGGCACTCGAACCAACCCATTCGACTAGAGAATTCGCAGTCTAAATGATTCAGAAACGAAGGATACTGGTGACATAGTTGATCTCATTGGACTCACCACTCCTCAAAATTGAGTGTGAGAGGCGCATCAGGCTAAAGTTGATGGCCGTTATGTATTCATAATCGTACAACAATGATGAAAATCACCAAGCACAATTGCCTCATTTTCCAGGAGCCCATTAGACGCATTCGTCGTATGTCTGATGTTCATTGTTCAATAACAGCTCATGAGCCCTCAAGCACGTTTCCTTTGCTGTCTTTTCGAGTGGCAGCTTTCAAAGCCCCAAGTAATCTTGTTCACGTTCGTAGAGTTTTGTGATGTTTTGATTCATCTGATGTTCGGGTTGATGTGATGTTTTGATTCATCTGAGGTTCGGGTTGATGTGATGTTTTGATTCATCTGATGTTCGGGTTGATGTGATGGTTGAATTCATCTGATGTTCGGGTTGACATGATGTTTGAACTCATCTGATGTTCGAGTTGACCCGATGTTCGGATTGATGTGGTGTTCGGATTGATGTGATTTTCGGTTTCATCTGCTGTCTTCTCAGGGGAGGCTGAAAGCTGCAATGCATCCATTTCTGCCACTCAATATTAACACCTCGAAATGCCTGATAGGCTTCGTGTGCTTTCAAAATCTCCAGGACAATTGTGGATGCCTACTCGGCTTCATTCGCCTCCTTCTCAAGGGCAGCTTCCAGACCACCAAGCAAGTCGATCTCTGCTTCTTCTTTCACACCATCCTTGGCCGTAGCAGTTTCAGTTGAGATAGCCGTAGCCGTAGTTTCAGCAGGAACCGTGAATCCAGCAAGCTCCTTGACGTTAAAAGCAGGTACGTGGATGTCCGTTTCCGATTCAACATCCGAGAAGTCAGCAGTAGCCGTCAGTTGATCAGTAGTCGTGAGTTCGTCAGGAGTCTTGATGTCAGCAGCAGTTGTAGGTTCCGCCGTAGTTGTAGCCGTGACAGGATCACCAGCAGTAGCAGTAGAAATAGCCGGAGCAACAATCTCTTCCACACCACTCTGTTCAGGTTCAGTTGCAGTCGGAGGAACAGATGCAGGAGCTGATGCTTCTGCTTCCGCTTCCGCTTCACCCTGCTCGACGACCTCACCCTCCTCACTGCCTTCGCCATCGCTCTCAGGACCAACAGGTGGCGTCTCTGTCTCAGCAACAGTACTTCCTTCCGGTGCGAGATCCACAGGCACAGCCTTTCTTCGCCCAGGTCCGCCCTTGCGCTTCTTAGACTTGCGGATTGGTGGCATATTTCTTCTCACTGGGGTGGCTGGTGCAGCACTTGTCAAACCACTTGCATTGCCCAAACCTGCACCGTCGCCCAGATCGTATCCCGTGCTTCCAGCACCGGCCGCAGGCATGGGCCCTAAGGTTCCATATCCGTTCGTCGCCTTGTACGCGCCGCCATAGAGACTCTGCATGCCTGGCCGTCGGTCTGCGAGGTACTTTGGCTCAGACATCTTTTCCGCAATGGCTTGTGGGATAGGCACCCATTTCTTGATCTCGAAGAAGCGACCTTCGGTCGAGGCACCGGTCTTGCGTCGCTTCTCGAGCATGCCCTCGGCGTCAAGAAGGTCTTCGTCCTCGCCGTCTTGGTTACCTGCTTCTTCGGTCGGGTCTTGTCGATTGTTGCCTCGCCCCTCTGCCTCGTTGGGCCGCACCCACTCCTCCTTCTTGTAGTCCCAGATAGGCGGAGTGAAGTTGGGATTGGCCATGCGGGCCTTGCGCACGAGCTTCTACTCATCGATCAGCGTTCGTACACAGAGACGAGAGAAATGGTGGTAGGAGGATGATTGAAGGGTGTGGAATACCTGATTGAGCTCTGGGAGCTGCTTGAAAAAACTCGGAAGGGGGAGCTCCTTGCTGAACAAGTTCTCGTCCTTGTTCTGGTCCTCTCGACCAGCGTCGACAGGATCGTCGTTTGCCTCTTGGTTGACGCGAACCGTCGCAAGTTGGTACTTGCGCACGGGGAGACCCTCGGTCGGGTCGAAGTCATTGGCGCCTCGACGCGCCACCCCGTCTTGGTTGCGGGTTGTTCTCGAGGAGCGGAGCTGCATAACCCAACCGCATCAGTACGTTGTCAACAGAGCTTTCGCCCGGGTAAAGATCCCGAGAAGCGGGAGGTGCCCTCGGAGAGGACGCGGGAACCAAAGGGGCGGGAACGACCTCCTGGGGAGAGAGGGGCACACGGCGAGAAAAGGAGGGAGGAGAGGGCGAGCGGATGCGTGGCAAATCTGCCACCAGCCCAAGCAAAAAGTCCTCGTCCGGAAACCAGACACCGACCTCTGATGGCGGCGCGGATGGCGGCGCGGCGGGCGTCGTGGGAGGTGGTGGTGATGGTGATGGTGGTGCTCGTGGAGGTGGAGGAGAAGGAGATGCTGGAGGAGGAGTCTGTGGTTGTGGTGGAGGGGGAGGAGGCGGAGGAGGCGGTCCAGCGGGTCCACGCTGGATGGGCACAGCCCAGTTCTTCTCGCTACTGACGTTGCCAACGAGGTCCTGGTGGTGGTCGCGGCAATGTCGGTAGACAGACGTGTCATTGGTGTACTCACGGCCACAGAAGAGACAGGAGAAATTCTTCGGTGCCATGATTTTGTGCTGGTAGACAGGAGGAAGAAGAGAGAGATTGCGAAAGGCCAATATAGGGGAAAAGGCATGGTGTGGGTGACAACATGCCAAGCCATGAGTTGTAGAGAGGCCATCGCACACACCGCTGAGGAGGCGGCAGAAAGATTTTGGTGGCCGACTTCGAGTCTGCTTCCGCGCGCTCACTGGGAACAATGCCAAAGAGACGTACCGGTGCCATGATGAAGAGTTACTGCTTGCGCAGCTTGATATCTGCCCTGAAATTGGGTCTAGGTGGTTGGAGTATGGTCACAAAGCATACACACGCCTGCTGACCAGGAAAGAAGCATGGGCTGCCAAAACGTGTTGATGGAGTGGTTGTTGTTGTGAGGATGGTTTGAGGAGAGTTGACGGGATTGAAAGCGGTTTACTTATTCTACAGTCTACAAGGCAGGTCTACCGAGATGCTGTTGTATGGCTAAGCAGGCGCTAAAGGCGGGAGCAGCCGGTGGTATATAACCGGAGGCAAGATTCACCGATGCCGACGAGGCTGCACAAGTAGAGGAGGGATGGAAGATACAGACTGCAACACAGAGCAGACAGGAAAAGAGAGAGGATGATCTAGCACAAAGGAGGAGGATCACACAGACTCTAACCCACGATATATGGAGGAGACGCACACCCAGTAATGGCACTGGAGTTGTCAGCTACGATGGAGTATTTTGCTGTCACGGAGAACAACGAACGAAAGCAAGAAACAAAACCCAGAAGGGCAATGCTTGTAAAGCTGCAATTTGTGAATTCAAGAGCAGTCCAAATGGGATTCATCAGAGGCAGAGATTGATATGTTCATTGGTATCACAGGAGCTGTCTAAGCTAGTAGGAACAGGACTTTGCCCCAAGATATTAGTAGCAGATACTGTACAGGTGCCAGGATGAAAAAGACGTTGATATTTAGTCCCATCTGTGGTAATCAGCAAAATGGATACAGTTTCCGGAGAATGAGAAGACATACCCAGTGTCCTTTTGTCGCACCACCCCTCCATGGTCTCCTGTTTCTTTACCCTGCAAACGAACGTCAGTCAAAGGTGCAAAGCATAACAGACAAAAAGCACACACCGTCTTTCCTCCTTCTACCACCAATCTGTCGAGCTGATAGAATTGTGACACCACTGTTTGTCTCTGCATCAAGAAAGTTAGCTCTGCACTCATCAAAGGCAAGCTCGAAACACCAGGTTGTTCATGTCCAGAAACAGCAGGGCCTAACCCTAGACACTCAAAGAGCATTGAGAGCTCGTTTCCTTTCATAACTTCAAGGAAAACATCAAGACCTACCTTCATCATCTGCAACTCCTTCAAACCCTTCTGCACCAATTCCTGTATCCGTCTGGGATCCGACTCATGCTGATGCTCATGAAAGGCATCTCTCGTCCGCCGCCGTGCATACATCCTGAAATTATAGTTCGCAAACTGATTCGACTGCCTCAGCAGGGACCGATACAAACTCCGCACACTGAACGCCGAAGTATCGGCCGCAGTGGCCAACGCCGAAGAGACCATTTTCTTTCTAAAGGCAGAAATCTGGGGCGAGACCTAGCTCGCTTCCGGACTACACGTGGAGAAAGACTGCGTCGACGTGGGGTAGGGTATCTCAGAAGCGTATCGCAGTGGTATCGGTGCTTGAGGGTGGTGTGATAGGTAAGAAGATCGATGGGCGGACAGGTGAGGAAATCGAATCTGTTCGGGGAAACAGGAAGCACCTGAGGATCGGACGCAGGGTAGATTGTTATCTATAGGTCAAGACCGCCGCGATACAAAGTACAATAAGTACACTCGGTCGAAGTACACAAGCAGGAAGAAGTGTGAATGTTCAAAATCCAAGAATGGCAGCAATTCCACAGCTTTTCAAACATTCATCGCAGGCGGCGAGAATTCTTGCCATTGCGTCAATCACAGCGCTCGCTGCCGTCGGAGCAACCACACTCAATAATCGCCGATACGACCGAGTCCGTCTGCCACCATCACATCCCAATGCACATTCATTCCACGAGGCTGCCATCGAAGCAAACAATTATGCGAGACCAATCATCACACAGTCAGGGCAGTCACTCTTCTCGAGGCTGATCTTCTACGAATTTTCCCTATAAGGGCCCTACCACGCCCGCGCGATGGCCGCGGCCCTTCCTTCTCCGCCGTCCTCAAGACCTACTTCTCCAGATCCTTCGAACAAAAACGAGCATGACGTGGATGAACAAGAGCAGGAAGACCATACGTCTCTATCTAAACGTCTCGACGACCTTCTCACATCATACGTGGAATTACTAGACACATACACCGTCCTCCGTGCACAGCTCTCCAAAGACGTCTCGTCCGGCTTCTTCGCTCTTGCTCAAGCGAATCGAAACTCTACACTCGGTCCCGGAAGAAGGTACGGCGAGGAAGGATATGATGAGCGGATGAAAGCTTCAAAGACTGTGCGGATAGACCAGCGCATATCCCCAGACCGATCCTCCAGCACATCAAGCGGACCAAATCATGCCGAGCACTCACCCCAGTCCAAGAAGCCAGTCCTTGTAAACGAGGACTCAAATGAGCCTCCCTCCGAGCAAACCTCTCCAGACGTTCAAGCAACAGGAGGACATGATCCCTCAACCCTAAAGCAAGACACCAGCCATGACACACTCATCGAACCACCGCCGCCCACATCCCCCTCAAACCCCATACACGACACGTCTCACCTGCCGTCCTGCTACACACACGCCATCAGCACATCATCCACGCCTGCGCCGTCTAAGGACCCGCTAAAATGGTATGGCATCCTCGTTCCTCCTGCATTGCGCCAGTGCCAGAACCATTTCCGAACAACAGTGTCATCGACGATTCCTCAGCTGCTCAACGCCACATCCGCCATGCAAAGTCTCGAAGCGCAGATATGGGATGTTCGACGTGCATTGGGGATACTGGGTGAATACGAGCATGGCGTTAAGCGAGTCGATGCAGCAGACGTGGAAACCGCTTACGAAAACGACGACGGAGACAGTGCGGAGCTTTCTTTGCTGTCGCTGTCTCTCAGCCCGAATCAAGGCCAAGCAAAGCCGAGGAGTCAGACTCCTTCGAACCGAGCTTCACTACTGTCTCCATCTTCGCCTGCGAGACCATCGGAACCACGATCTCGTGTCTTGAAACTCGATTGATGCCGGGCCAGTGAGCACAAGTAACGCGTGCGTCCAAGGTCAAGGTCAATGTCAATGTTGTCTTGAATATCACTTGAGCCACATCACATGAATATATCATATGTACAAAAAACTGTGACTGCAGTGTGTATAATGGTTTAATCTGCTACCCCTATGGACTCGAAGCTAGTGACTGCAATATGGCCATGATGCATGACAGTCATGTGTGGTTGATAGCGTGTCAGTCTACTATGCATGCAATAGTCTACGCATGCCAACGTCATTGACTTGCTCCAATTCTGGCTTCCGTTGAACCTCGGTGCATGGCAAACATCACCCTTGGTAGCCTCAGCCTTCCATGATAACATCCTCTTGTGGGATTGTACCTCCCTCGACTAGCTTCGAAATGTCCTGAATCGTCATCTGATTTTCTTTGTCTGGGGAGGTTCCATGATATCCCACTTCCCCCTTCTGTGATCTTACGTCGTCTTTTCGAATTGGTGAGCTGAGAACGTGCCTGGCAGCTGGACTCCTCATGACTTCTTCGAGATCGCCATCCCAATAACTTGGTCGTCTTTTCTTCCTGCTCCAAGGTGGTCGATTGCTTTTTCGCCATTGCATGACGTTGGGACTCAGCTCCTTGAGACTTTTCCCAATGTCATTCGTTGAGTCCGGTGCTGCCGCGCCGTAGAGGCTCATACGGACTGCCGCTCTTGTTTCTTCGTCAAGTTCAATAACATCGTCGCCCTCTTCCAGTCTAAGCTTTGAATCGACCGAATTTCGTTTGGCCGTTTCGTCCTCTAAAACATCAATGGTAGGGGTTTCGAGCTCTCCGGACCTTTTTCTTGGATGTGTCAGGCCTGTTGCTTGCGAGTCTGTCATAGACCTCGGAGGACTGCTTCTGAATCTCATGTCGTCTGGAAAGCGTGTACGGTTTGAGTTCCTGTGTCGGATCGTTGGCCTTGGCCCAAGAGGGCGTCCATAGTATCTGCTAACACCTCGGGCGTTAGCAAGTGCAGCTGCTCCATGTTTTCTGAACCTGCTTGGAGGTTTGGCAAGCGACGGCGTTAGCGTGTCAGTTCTGTAGGAGTCGCGAATCATCGAATCTGGAGCTGGGCTCTGTCCGATCACCTTGGCAGCAGCGGTGGAGAATGAATACATTGCTGTCCCTGGCCTGGCAGAAGACTTGGGACTGTCTCTTGTATAGTACCAGCCAGGCTGGAAATGCTCAGTAGCCGTGGACAGATACTCACGATTCGACTGCGGATGTGGGCGACGTGGATGTCGAGGTGGCTGAAGAAGAGAGGGGCCTGAATAAGAAGTATCATGAGAAGGGCGTCGCATATCTGTTTGTGCCAATTGTGGTGATTTAACCCTGAGCATGGGCATTGGACTCCCAGTCGCAGTAGTGCGGTTGAAAGGCATAGGCGGATATGGTACTAAATGCGGTCCAACTTGATGCTGGGAGGGGCCATAAACAGCTGAAGTTGGATGTTGACCTGAAGGATTGGGAGTACATCTGAGGTGGATAACTGGATCCGGACAGAGCACCATCGGCGTTCTATTATGAAGCATAGGATCCGGACAGGGTGTAGCAACACTTTTGCTGGAATTCGAAGATGATGCTCCGCCGTCACTTCCCTTGTGAGTTGGGGGCTTCGGGAACAGATCACTCAGCATGCCGCGCTTCAGTTTGGCTGAGTCTGCAGCGGCCTTTGCAGAGGGCGACAACGTGATTGCTTCTGTGGAATCTGGCGAGGTTTGCAAGTCAACACATACGTCGGCAGATTTCCTTTTGAGATGACTGAGGATTGGAGATTCCTCTGCAGAATCAACATCCATTTCGTGGTCACCGGTCACTCGTAGTCTCGTCATCGGTCTTTCGAGATCAGCTGGTGACACATAGTCGGCTGGTGAGATAGAAGGCTCCTCATCAGACACATTATTAAAGTGGACCGGGGGTGAAGAGAGGTTTAGATCATGATGAGCCGCTGCTGGGTTCTCAACAGGAGAAGTGAAGCCACTGCTTGGTGGTTCAACAACCAAGGTTTTACTGTGATCCATGTCGATCGAAGGCAATTCCGGGAGTCGTGGTGAGCCTTCTGGGAATGGTTCTCTCACATCGACATCAAATTCAGCTATTAACCTGGGGGCTGTAGAATATCGCCAATCTTTCTTCGGTGTCCCTGATACTGGCTGGAGCGGGTGCGACGATTCGGCGTCCTTGCTGCTGCCATTTTCAGGACTCGTTGGCATTCTCGAGTCGATCGAACCGGTCGGTGAAGCAGCAAAACGTACGTCAAGTCGCAAGGATGCCTTCGCCGTTTGAAAGAGTCTCTGCATTTGTGCAACATGACCTGGCATTGCCACTGATCGAGTTCGGGGTGAGGTCATCCTCTTGCGGCCTATGTTGGACACCGGAGATCTGATTCCCGACGGTTTTCCCTCTTTGTTCTGTGATGAGTTTGCGCCGGGGGTTTTTGGAGACTGGCCATGCTGTAGCACCTTCGAAAAGAAAAGAGAAGATCGTCTTCGCGGTGGTTCGAACGGTGCTAGTCGCCCAAGCATTAGTATGCAGGCAGCCTAACGGTCCCAACCGAGGTGATACAGTGAGCTGTACGTACGTTTCGGAGTCCCAGGTACTCGACTGGAGCTTGTCGACTTGCCAGATGATTCCGTGGAAGGCGCTGAAGCCGGGGAAGACTCCATCATGCTGGTGCGGTCCGTGGAATGCGAGGAAAGTGTATGAATCAAAACAGAGCCGATCTTGAAGAGTGAGCCATGAACAAACGAGCGGACGTCTGCAGCAAAAGGCAGACACGATGGTAGCAGACGATGTAGAAAGCAGCGAAGAAGCAACATCTCAAGCAGAAATCATTCATGGCATGAGGTTTGGAAGGCCCGCTTGAGAAGGCTCCGTAAGCAACTACCGACCAACACGATGGTAGGCACGACCGGCCTGAGCAGCAACAGTACTGTGAAATCGCTATCTGCTGGCTGCTGGCATCACGTTCTTCTGCAGTTGAAATACACAGGAAAGACGGATAGGTTGCGGTCGCACGCCATGATTGCCGCCAAAAAAGCCTGATCATTCGATGTGTCAGTAAGTCAGATCCGATACTCTACGCAAGGCAAGCCGCTCTGTCTGCAACCGGCCTACCAAGCAATGCTATACTTCCCTCGTCTTTTGCAAAAGTCCGCACTTGGGCTCCCGTACCCGTGACTTGCAAAGTAGGTGATAATCATGATGTGGGCGAAACAGCCAAGCAGATCTGCCACGTGCTGTCTCTCATGTCCCGGAGACCTGGGCAACATCCTGGGATCAATATTGGCGTGCGTATTATCGTCATCGAATTATTGCCTGGTTCTTATTCAGTGATGCAAGTCATGGAAGCAAATTTTATACCGTGAATGGTCGTCGTCGATGAGATTGAGCTGATCTTGATCAAGTGCTGTGAGGTGGAGCAGATGGCGCCAAAATCTGAAGCTTCAGCAGCCGAGTGGACCGGTAGCCTGGCCGAGGTGCTGTGGTAGTGCTATAGATTGCTGAAATAAACCGGGGCTTCCGGGCTCTTTGTTTCCCTGCGGCGACGCGTTCGCGTATGTCTACGCCTTAGCGATGGACTGTGCGAGGCACGACCTCAAAGCAGGAAGGGCTTGGAACAGGACAAAGAAATTGTGACGGAGGCAAACGCCTACAATGGTATCGGAGAGTTTCTCCCAATACACATTATTCTGCATGGGGGTGGAAGACTTACCTTATGCTGTCACTGCGAAGCCAGAAGATCGTCTTGCTCGTGGCCACACGGGCCTCCTGTCAGACAGCCGTGGTCGCCGGTCGGGCCTTCAGCTGGTGGCTGGCCACTGATTGCTCAGTGGCGTGTCTGGGGTAAAGGGACCCTTTGTCCGTGCGAGACATGCATGCACTTCGTTGTTATCAGCTTTGTTGTGATAGTCATCATTATTCTTTTTTTGGAGAAACCTCATCAATAGATATCATCACGAAAACCGGATCATGCGATGGTAGCTTCGAAAAACTTTCCATCTCCGTTCGTTGGCGAGGCGAAGAAGATTGTGTGCATGAGAGAAAACCGGATGGTAGGAGTTCGTGTTTCAGAATCCAAGGCTGGTCCATGTCTAGCCTGATGTAGTGGTCAAGATGGGAAGCCAAAGGACGGCTTCTGGATGCAAGCGAGCGTGTCAGGGTCTATGATGGTCTCCATTTCATTGTGTTATCCACGTTATCACACCAATGATGAGACGATGGTACCTGGACTTCCCAGCAGACTGCACCGAACTTGCATGGGCTTCCCGGCTGTGCGAATTCAATGAGCCGTTGCACTCCCTGACACCAATTCCATCCTTCTGGCTTGTTACACCTTGCTCTCACCTCTCGTTTCCATTCTTCTCCTCGCTCGCCGCCGTTTGGTCGCAGTTCTACTCCTTTCCAATTTCTGCCCATCCTCTCAAGGCTCCGGATGCCGAATTGACCATCAGTTCATCGTTGGATACGATATCTTTGCCCCAGCTTCGAATCGTTGCAGAGCAATTGAATAAGTCATTCTTTACCAACCCACATTTATTTCGTCCCTCATACCGTCCACCGGCTTTCAAACAAGACTTGTCGAATCTTTACTTCGTCCTCCACCCGTACCTTCCTCGCTCACAATTGTCGCTTCCGTTCACCGCCCGCTCAGTCATTTCCTCCGACTGAAATTCACCTTCTCCCGATCCTCTTGCTGTCACTCTCACCTCACTGTGCGATCAGCCGGTAGAGACCTTACTGTCAACTTTGATCTGTGTTGTCGGTAGAGAGTGTGAACAGGCGCAAGAATCAATGCGAGAAGGTGGATGAACGGAAACAAGCCATCACAATCAACCACACGCGTGTCAGCAAACATGCTTGCGTCTTCATAACGTCTTGCTAGACTTCAGCGGCCAATTACGACCTGGGCGACTTGAAGGCCAGCTACTCTGTTGAGCAGCGCAGCCACACCCTCCGACAGCATGTCTACCGGCCGCCCATCTAGCCAGCCGAATCGCTTTCACTATCCGCAATATGCAAATCAACAGCCGCCACAACCACCAGCTGGATATGCTCATCCTTCACAATATCAGCAGAATCAACAACAGTTTCCTCCACACCCGTCAATAAGAGTACCGTCAAATGTCAAACTCAGTGCCAGACAAGTCCCTCTAGGCGTGGGAGTCTCTCCGCCGCCCGTCAGATATGAAGGTGCGCAACGAGCACAACAGCGGCCCGGCGGAACCGGTGTACTGGTACAAGATTTCAGATTCCCTACCGTTCCCCCGATTCCAGAGAACTCTCCAGCGAAATCAAAGCAGGAGCTATCACAATCGCCAGGCCGCAGAGACAATATGCACGAATCTTACATGTCATCGGTACTAGACGACTTTACCACGCCTGGGACCACTCCCGGTTCTAGATCAAGAGGTTTCCCTACTCCCAAGAGATACTCAGGCTCTGTCTACGCCGAAAGCGAGGCTCTCGGGGTTGATGAGCGTTTTGATCAAGGCATTACCAGTCAAGAAAGTAGCAGGTCGAATTCTCCAGAGAACAGCCCACAGGTGGTGCGTCAAGCTAGCCTGGGAAAGCGTGCAAAGCCTGCAATGACCACGATAAAGAACCGAAACAGCCAGCTGGGTCATGATAATCCGGAAGATGGTCCAGGGGCCATTTCAACGAACAGAGCTGCCACAATGAACGCTCTTAGTGCAGCCGTAGCTGCTGGTGTGACCAACAAAGCAACGCACTATCAACCTGAGGTACCTGGTTCACGCAGCTACACACCTGTCAGGATGCCTTTTGATACCTCCCCTCCAGTTTCACCTTCTGCGGACAGAGAATATCTACAAACCCCTAAATCTCCGAGCACAATAGCCACCACCAAACTCTTTGAACAGACTCCAGGCTCATCACATTCACGCAAATCTACCAATCCTCTTCTTGGACTAGGCATTGAGCAACCTTCGATGAGCGATAAGATCCCTCCCAGTCGAAGACCTCCAAGACTAGATATGGACGCTGTCAGAGATGCTGAACAGCGTGGTAGCACAACGAGCCTGGCGGATCTTATCAAACGAGCCACAAGGCTAGCTGCAAATCTGGACCGGGGCAAAACAGCCAGCCGCCTAGGCATGCTGGATATGTGGGGAAGCAACGACAAGTTGAGCGGCAACAATCGTCATTCGACCATGTCAGACATGATATCCGCGTTTCCTGCTCCAGCTGTGGGTGGAACTCCTACGAACCGAGGAGATGCAGCCTGGCCTCTCGGGGAAAAAGGCGACGCATATGCCTCAACCAGCGATCTCTCCAAGAACCAGCCCGCAAAGAAACGGAAGTGCTGTGGGTTGTCATTGCCTATTTTCTTCACCGTTCTCGTTGTCATCATTATTCTCATCGCTGCCGCTGTGTTAATACCTATTTTCCTAATCCTTGTACCAAAACAACATTCAAAAGAGAATACCTGTGCATCTAGCCACCCGTGCCGGAATGGTGGCACGAGCATCGTCAGTCAGAACACTTGTGTTTGTGTCTGCTCGAATGGCTTCACTGGAAGTCAATGTGAGACGCCTGGAAATGCCCAAGACTGCATGACGTCGACCGTGAGTGATGGTGCCAAAGCGTACAAGAATGCGACGATGGGCTCTTCGGTTGTGCCCGCTCTCTCGGATGCACAAAGTCAATTCAACATACCACTAAATGCGTCTACGATTCTATCTCTGTTCTCTGCGAACAACCTCTCGTGCACAAGTGAGAACTCTCTCATAGATTTCAACTCGACCAGCGAATCCACGAAAACGAGACGGTTCGTCATAATACCTGGCTTGGAGCCGCTCAACAATAGATTTGCTTCTGTTGATGAGAGCCCGGCTGCGCCTGTGGTCAGTAAGCGGACTGAGCCTGTCGGCAAGCTTTGGCTGGAAAGAAGACAAGACGGCGTGACGGTCGGCACATCAAACGGCATCGTCTTTCAGGCGACGTCCGCCACATCAATAGGAGCAGTTTCTACGCCTTCCGCATCCATCGGCACCGATGTGTCCACAATAACCAGTGTTAGCGGGACTGCCACCGAAACAGGAGCCGCAGCAACATCTGATTCTGGGTCGAGTGCACCAAGCTCAACGGGCAGTGGGGATACCACGAGACCATCCTCTACGGTGACTGATCGAGATGTCGGCTTCGCTCGAGTCCTGGTTCTCTATGTAATGCAACAATCGCGAACTGTGGACGTCGCTGTCAAGGCACAGGAGCAGCTGGAGTCGTTTTTCCAGCAACAAACGCAGGGCAACTCGTCTACAACCGTCGAGGTTGGCGAGGGCAACCAACGTTTTACCGCAGACTTTGACGCGCTCAGCATCACCATGGGCAATGGGCAGGTCATTGGTGGGAAGAGTTAGGGTGGCTACCCTTGAAATGAACGTCTCTCAGAAACAACTTATGGTCGGATATTGCACAAGGGGCTCAGCTTGGTGCTCATGGGGTTATTGGGATCTTGTTGGGCTACATATCCTACAGGTGTTGGATATGTGGAAGGCACGTCACGTCGACTGTGAAGGTCAGCATTTTCTCCAGCTGAACTTGACCATGCGGTACTTGTGAGCTGTCATTATTGTGCTTGATACCCCGTGCTTTGTACTCATATTTCTATGCGACATTAGCGAGCAAGCGAGCTGAGAATTCATTCCCTTCGGATCGAAACATCTCTCATCGAATGAAAACTGCCATTTCCATGACCGGTTCCATTGCTCCGGCGTTTATGGTAGTCTTACTTTTCGTAGACTATACACAGAGTACTCTACAGGCACTCCTGTCTCTACAATGCCAAGGCAGCTAAAAAATAAGAACTTGCATTCCCGCTCTGTTCCGCACGCTGCACCAGGGTTTCCTCACGTCGCTTCTCATCTTGCAGAACCCTGAGGTTCTGGTCATTCAACTCCTACGCTTGCATACTGCTAGTTCGACTTCCATTTGACTCACTCTCTCAACAACTCCTCCACCTCCTGCTCCGTCAGACCCAACAGATACACCAGATCAAGCATACTCCTCCCAATGTTCAAGCGTGCCGGAGCCTCCATCTGCACCTTCGACTTCGCGTTCCATGCCACGCCCAGCCCTGCCGTCTTGAGCATGGGAATGTCATTAGCCCCGTCTCCAACAGCCATGGTCTGCGCAAGCGGAATATCCTTGTTCGATGCCAGGCTGATCAGCAATTTCTGCTTATGCTGGGAGTCGACGATTGGATAATCGGGATTGAGCTCGCCTGTCAATTCGTTCTTCTCGTGGTCGACGACGAGGTGGTTGGCAAATGCATGATCCAGACCGAGCTCGCCGGCGAGCCAGTCGGCCAGGGGCTGGAAGCCTCCACTCAACACGGCGAGAGTGAAACCGAGTCGCTTTAGACATTTGCAGAGTTCCTTCGCACCGGGCGTAATGACGATCTTGGGTTTGAGATGCTCAAAAACGTCCGCCGGTACACCCTTGAGCAAGCCGACTCGTGCTTTGAGGGAGGCTGCAAAATCGAGTTCGCCGTTCATTGCGCGTTCCGTGATGGCAGCGACGGCTTTCTTGGCGCCAATGAAAGCGGCGATTTCGTCGATGACTTCTTGCTGGATCAAGGTTGAGTCCATGTCGAACACACAGAGGCGCTTGTACCGGCGGAAGACTGTCGACGGTTGTAAGACGATTTCGCAATTCCATTCTCGCTCAAACTTGTAAATTGATTCATGTTTGGATATCAGTTCAAATGGTAGGTACTCAGGATTAGGAGGGGGTGTGAAGGTTACTTCCACAACTCGGGGCTTTGAAGGATCGGGAGACAAACATCGGTGTGAAGATGTGAGTCGTCGCTCGTCTGGTTTGTTGTGGATGAGGAGGCTGTCAAGAGTGGATAGGAAATGCGTTAAGCATAACTGCGAAATATAGGCGCCGTATAAATGATCGAGCGGCTCCGGTTCTGGTGCAGGCGGTTCGAGAGGATATTCTGATATACTTGTCGTCGGAGCAGATCCCTCCGCGATTTCTGGCATAGGTAGAGGGTCTGTAGGTCTCGCAGGAGGTGACTGGTCTGGATGGATATGCGGGTGTCGAGGAGATCTTGAGTTGTAGAATATAGTCGCGACGACTCGAGGAGGGTCACCGAGCTCTGGTATGCAATTTGTATGTGACATGGTGTACACAGTTCCACTCTCTTGAGACACAATTGGAGAAGGAGATATAGCGCTGATGGACCTTCTCGACGCGAGAGAGGTGCTGGACATCGTATTGCGAGGACTACGGGGAGGTTGTTCGAGGACTCCATCTATGCTTGTCACAGGTCCAGACTGATGCGACCTATACTCGAGATGGTCGTCGAGGTAACTGTTGCTTCTTCCTAAGGCATTCTTGCCCAGGCTTGGTCTGTTAGACCGCGAAGGTGAGGCTGGGGAGGTCATGGCGATTTTGGCTGCGCCGAGAACGTGCGACACAGCGGTATGCAGACGAGGCTGGAGGCCCGTCAAGCTGAAAACGCACCAAACGGCGAGTAAGCAAACGAGGAGAGGTGTGATTGTGTAGTGAGGATGGCAGCTGCAAGGCTACGTCATGCGGACAAACCAATGCAGGAACGATGCTTGAAGTTCAATGAGGAAAATGCAAAATGAGAGACCGGCATGAGATTGGTAGGAATTTGATGATCGCCAGGTTGCATTTTGCCTTGTTCGTGAAAGCTCACCCGGATGGGATTTCGTATTGGCCACAGGTCGACAATACCGACATTCATTGATAAATACAAGGGCTGTGGACCAATCACAGCATGTCATGGTGAGAGTTCATAAGACATTACAGTTTTGCGGTAAAAAATACTTAACGAGGTAATCCAAGGTTGCGTCTCGTGCCAGAGCCTTTCACGTGATTTGAATCACGTGGTAGTTCCTCGAGTTCCTCGGGGAAAGTCGCTGACAAATTTTCTCTCCACCTCCACCTCCACTCCTCACTTCATTCAACTCTGCCTGGGGGACTGCCATCATCGATCACGACAAGCACACGCATTCTAACGCAATACCTGGGGAGCCTCTTCTCGAGAAGCACAAGAGGAGCTATGATTCCTATTTGTCGGTTTGGAAGTCGTCAGTTTTGGCCAAATGAGGTGCTCTGTACGCGGGTCAATCATGATGTGTGCATGACTTCGACCCTGATTACATTCTCGGCAAAATGACCCTTGCATCGATGCCAGAACCCACGCGGTGATGCATGCGAGATATACTCCTGCCTCGGACTGAGAAGACCTGCGAATGACGAGTGCTTTGGCCTTCGATGACTGGCCGTTGTACCCAATGACTATCAAAGGCACCGAAGCTCATCGATCACGCCATCGCACGTGACCAGTCAGTTGTCGACATTTTTGCATTTTTCTCTGCCGGCAACGAGGCTCTCGACCATTTAGTGTGCTCCACCACAGAATTGCGTGCTCGACGATGATATTGCGAGCACCGCAGTTGATTTGTAAAATGGTGGGTTTTCCAGCGCTTTCATCACTCTTCATGTCTGGTGTTGTGTGCTTTCATATTCCCTCTGTCGTCCTTGTCCCTCATCCGCCCCCATGTCAACCCCTTCAACCCTCAATCGCCTAAGAGCCTTCACCACAAGCTTCTTCACAATGTCGTCCAGATCCCAATCTCCTTGTGGCAGCGGGCAGAGCAGTCCCTCACTGAGGGGTGCCGACTCTGGTTATGCCAGCGCCAACAACAGTGAATGTGGTATGCCCGAGGTGTACTTTACCAAACCTCATCTTCAGTTCTTGAACCGACAGCTCCAGTTCCTCGAACCTCAAGAGATCCTGAGATGGTGTATCACCACGCTACCACACCTCTTCCAGACCACGGCTTTTGGCCTGACGGGACTGGTGCAGTTAGACATGCTTTCAAAACTCAAGATCCCTCGCCCTCAGATGGTCGACCTCATCTTCATCGACACTTTACATCACTTTCCTGAAACCCTCGAGTTGGTGGAAAAAGTGCGGGCAACCTACCCTTTGGTCAACATCCATGTCTTCAAGCCTGAAGGTGTTGAGACAGCTCAAGAATTCTCTGAGAAATACGGGGACAAGCTGTGGGAAACCGACGACAACAGATATGACTACTTGGTCAAGGTCGAGCCTGCGCAACGAGCTTACCGTGAGCTGCAGGCATATGCCGTGTTGACGGGCAGAAGAAGGAGCCAAGGAGGCCAGAGAGGCGACCTGGACATCATTGAGATTGATGAGGCCGGTCTGATCAAGATCAACCCGATGGCCAACTGGTCATTCCAGCAAATTCAGCAGTATGCCAAGGAAAATGACGTCCCATACAACGCCCTTTTGGACCGCGGGTACAAAAGTATCGGTGATTGGCATTCAACCAGTCCAGTAAATGAGAATGAGGATGAACGGTCCGGTCGGTGGAAAGGTAAACAGAAAACCGAATGCGGCATTCACAACCCTAGATCGAAATATGCGTTGTTCTTGATGGAGCAAGAAAAGAAGAGAGAACGGGAGGCTCTCGAGCAAGCATTGCAACAAGTCACTCTCGAGGCATGACCTCTTTCAGTCGACAGGGGTTTTGATCTTACCATTTTTTCAACATAGCGCCGGCGTTCGGGAATCAGCATCAGCGAAGGGATGGGGAAGTTCTGCATGAGAAAGGCAAGGCGTCAGCCTGTAAGTTTAAGCGATGCGATATGAACCTTGCATCCAGACGGGCAGATTTAGAAGAGCAAATCACAAAAGCCATGGCTGCCGCCTTGATCACGGCCAGTCGCCCTTTGATGGCAGCTTATCCAGATGAAAGAGACAAAGACTACAGTTTGGGGTCGACCCCTTGCTTAGCTCAAAATAAATATATTGAACCTATCTGCAGAATTCGGGATGCTCGTGTTTTAGGCCTCATTGAACTTCTGACCGCTCTTCTGTTCTCGTTGCAGCCCGCATGTGCGACGTCGAGAAGAGAAGTAGTAAGTGCTGTGTTACTCGGTGGTTACCAACCATATGTTCGAACGTGTTTTTCCGAAATAAAAATATCACTCTTCCATGTCCTACGGAGTATCATGTACTACGTAGTACGTACAACACTGCACCCCATGAACGATTGAGCCTGCCAGGCTGGAGATCGGCACAATTAGCGAAACGAAACCACAGGCCGCCTGAAATCCCTGTACCCCTTCCACTCCTTCTCAAGCTTGTCCCTGAAGTTGCAGCTCCGGCGGCCCCTTTATCTACCCAAAGTGTCATGGTTCGTGACGCCAAAGAGACACATCTGCCAGGGCGCCTGCTAGGGCCCGGAGATCTGTAGCAAGCCCATGCTCCCACACGTGAACCAACCGGAGTTGACGTAGGGCTGGCTAAGGGGAAAATCATCGACGGGGTGGGTAAGCACGCCATCCATTTCCACATGAAAATTTGTTGCTGGCCGCGTACGGGCGGAGACTGCGATAGAGCCATGAAGATGGATTTCTCCTTGGCTTTGGCCCAGGGATTGTAGCGAGTTGCAGATTCATATATTCCCGGGAAACCGCCTGTCAGGGACAAGTTTGTCTTTCATTCTTTTTGCCGCGCATATCTCTTCCTTGTAGCACATCTTTTGAGTGTCCGTATCGCGGCCATTCACCCTCTCCCGAGTCTTCGCAAATATGGCCAACCCACCTCACGGAGGGGTCTTGAAAGACCTTCTGGCTCGAGACGCTCCTCGTCATGATGAGCTTGCTGCAGAAGCAGAGAAGCTTCCCGCAATTGTCCTGACTGAACGTCAACTATGTGATCTTGAACTCATCCTCAATGGTGGTTTCTCACCGCTCGAGGGATTTATGAACGAGAAGGATTACAATGGTGTGGTAGAGAACGTCAGACTGGCTGATGGTGCCCTGTTCAGCATGCCCATCTGCTTGGACGTGTCACACCAGACTGTTGAGCGTCTGAAGATGAAGCCTGGCGCCAGAATTACCCTCCGAGACTTCAGAGACGACCGAAACCTTGCCATCCTCACCATCGATGACGTCTACAAGCCAGACAAGCAAAAGGAGGCTCAAGAAGTGTTCGGAGGAGATCCAGAACACCCAGCCATCAAGTTCTTGATGAACACCACCAAAGAGTACTACGTGGGCGGCAAGATCGAGGCTGTCAACAGGCTGAACCACTACGACTATGTTGCTTTGCGATATACACCTGCAGAGTTGCGGACACACTTTGAGAAGCTGGGCTGGGCTCGTGTGGTGGCTTTCCAGACCAGAAATCCTATGCACAGAGCCCATCGTGAGCTGACAGTTCGCGCTGCTCGTGCTCGTCAAGCCAACGTTCTCATCCACCCTGTGGTGGGTTTGACCAAGCCTGGTGACATTGACCACTTCACTCGGGTACGCGTCTACCAAGCTCTCATGCCCAGATACCCCAATGGAATGGCTGTTCTTGGTCTGCTCGGTTTGGCCATGCGTATGGGTGGTCCTCGTGAAGCCATCTGGCACGCCATCATCCGAAAGAACCACGGTGCGACTCACTTCATCATCGGCAGAGATCATGCTGGGCCTGGCAAGAACAGTGCTGGCAAGGATTTCTACGGACCATACGACGCTCAGCACGCAGTCGAGAAGTACAAGTCCGAACTCGGAATCGAAGTCGTGGAATTCCAAATGATGACATACCTCCCTGACACGGATGAATATAGACCAAAGGATCAAGTCCCTGCTGGCGTCAAAACCCTGGATATCTCTGGTACCGAGCTCCGAAGACGCCTGAAGGTCGGTGCGCCTATCCCAGAGTGGTTCTCATACCCAGAGGTCGTCAAGGTGCTCCGAGAGTCCAATCCTCCGCGTGCGACGCAAGGTTTCACCATCTTCCTCACCGGATACCAGAATTCCGGCAAGGACGCTATTGCACGAGCTCTACAAGTCACCTTCAACGAACAAGGTGGTCGTCCGGTTTCTCTACTTCTGGGCGAGACCGTTCGTCATGAACTCTCGGCCGAGCTTGGTTTCACAAAGGAAGACCGAGACACTAACATTGCTCGTATTGCGTTTGTCGCTGCCGAATTGACGAAAGCTGGCGCTGCTGTTATCGCTGCACCAATTGCACCTTTTGACGAGGCTCGAAAAGACGCCCGGGATACTGTCGAGAGGTTTGGCAGCTTCTTCCTGGTCCACGTTGCCACGCCTCTGGAGTATTGTGAGAAGACAGATAAGCGAGGAGTCTATGCACGAGCCCGACGGAACTCGATCAAGAACTTCACTGGTGTTAATGACCCTTATGAAGCCCCCGGCGATGCTGATTTGACAGTTGACTGCTCAAAGCAGACTGTCAGAAGCATTGTGCACGAGATTGTTCTGATGTTGGAAAGCCAGGGTTTCTTGGGTAGCTCGTAGACAAACGTTGCATGCGCCGACTAGCGACATTTAGAAATATCTCGAAGGATTTTGGTGGAAAAGCATGGCATGATGGCTGGATATGATAAACAGATATGTTTTCTGAGCTGAAATATGTGGGAAGTGTCCATGAATAGATCTGCTGCATGGCTCAAAATTCACCAGGCGATTCTGTGCACACATGCTCACTGAATCCATCGAGCCATAGAGTGATAGTTTTGTGTATGCAAGGCTGAGGCTGACAACGCTGAGAAGGCTGCCCAACCAGGCGCCAAGGACGCGTCAAGGAGCCGCCCCGGAGCATCATTTGAGCTCATTGCAACTGCGGTCAATTGATTGTACATCCAACTCAAGTATTCTCCTTTCCACGATTTACCTCCTTCAATCACTCGCCCTGATTCTATTCCGTCCCTCAGCGCTTCAACCTCTATCAAAGTCTCGCCACCATGTCCGACGGTACGCTTTTCAAGCCAGACAAGGACTTCAGCAAGGATGCGGACAAGATCCTCCCCGAGGCAGAGTCATTAGCCAAGGTAATGGTCAAAGACACCGCTTCGGGACTTGACGCTGATTTCTGGTTAGGGAGACCTGCAGAGGGGTATCGACAAAATCCTCGCGCTCGAGAAACAAGCCAGACAGGTATGCTCCTGCGCCGCAGTCACGGATTCAGCACTCTGACAAACAATCTAGGCTTCAGATCTTGCTACAACCTCGAGATGTCTAGTCGCTATCGTCACACTATGTAAACAGGCAGGAGATTGGAGCCAGATGAACGAACAAGTACTACTGCTGTCGAAGAAACATGGACAACTAAAACAAGCCATCACCAACATGGTGCAAGTGGTTATGGGATTTCTTGATGACACACCAAATCTGGAGACAAAGCTCAGTGTTATCGAGACCCTCCGGACGGTGACTGAGGGCAAGGTACGTCAAACAGGCCGCATTTGCAGCTCAGACTCACATTTTGATAGATCTTCGTGGAAGTCGAGCGGGCCCGAATCACTCGGATACTGTCCGACATCAAGAAAGAGCAGGGTGACATCAAATCAGCATGCGAAATCCTCTGCGAACTACAAGTCGAGACGTTCGGATCTATGACGAGACGAGAGAAGACAGAGTTCATTCTCCAACAAGTGGACCTATGCATACAAAACGATGACTGGACCCAAGCAAGCATTCTAAGCCGGAAGATCAGCACGAGATACTTCGCCCGGAAACCCAAGAAGACGCCGGAACAGCTCGAAAAGGAGAAGAAAGCGCGAGAGGAGACAGAGAAGAAACGAAAAGCCGGGGAAGAAGTTGCCCCAGAAGAGAAGGAAGACGACGTTACGGATCTGAAACTACGCTTCTACGAGCAACAAATCACGCTGGCCAAGCACGAAGATAAATACCTCGAAGTGTGCAAGCACTACCGACAAGTTCTTGACACGGAGTCAGTAGAGAACAACCCAGAACAACTACGCGCGGTGCTCCAGCGGGTGATCTACTTCGTGCTGCTGGCGCCGTATGATAATGAACAATCAGACCTCCTCCACCGGATATACCAGGACAGTCGAAACAGCGAGGTTCCCAAGGACGCAGCCCTCCTGAAACAGTTTACCATTTCCGAACTCATGCGCTGGCCCATGGTCGAGCAGCAGTACGGCGAACACCTCTGCTCAACGGACATCTTCTCCAAGACAGCAGACACGAGCGATCCGAAGGCGCATACGAGGTATGAAGCCTTGCGTCATCGTGTCATTGAGCATAATGTGCGTGTTGTGGCCAAGTACTACACACGCATCACTTTCCCGCGATTGACTGAGTTGCTGGACCTGTCGGAGGAAGAGACGGAGAAGTACATCAGCGACCTTGTCACAAAGAAGACGGTTTACGCGCGCATCGATCGACCGGCCAGAGTGGTCAGTTTCGAAGTCAAGCGTGGACCGGACGAGGTGCTGGATGAATGGAGCAGTAGTATGAAGGGCCTGCTGGGACTGTTGGAGCGCGTGGGGCACCTCATGCAAAGAGAGGAGATGATGGCGCGCATTCAACCAAAGGAAGAAAGCGGTAGGAAAGCCAAAGCTTAGTTTGCTGAGATGCTTTGCGGTTTGTGAGGAGGCGGCAGAGGGTGGAATGATTGTACTAGTATCCAAGTCAAGGCCGAAAAGCGCGAGCAAATACATACTCGGATGGACTGCTCTGCCAGTGGCTGAGAGTTCGCCTCGCAGTGTCTGTTCAAACGTACTCCGGTGAAAATAGAGTCGTCACTTAACGGCCAGTGGTTGGCAATGGCAAAAGCCCAACACAATTGTGACCTGATTCCAGTCCTGTCGTTGAAGGACAATCATGATAACACAGTGCATTGGCATGCGTCCTTAGCGAGTATACAGTGCCGCAAGCAGACACGTGCAGAAGTAAAAAGCCGGCAGAATTCTTGATTGCCATATCTGGCGTCCTTATTTCCCGTTTGGGACGTCTCTGTGATTTTTGATCGCTCGACATGAAGATTGCGCGCGCAATTTCATGGGGCGACGGCGGTGTTGGTGGTGGTGTTTTTGTTGTTTGGTCTTGTGATGCGGATTACCATTCACTTACGCTTCGTGCGCTTCACAGGCGCGAGGAGTTCTGTATTTCCTGTTTGGGACATCTCTGCGATTTTTGATCGGTCGACATAGGAATTGCGCGCGCATTCTCCTAGTAGAGGACAACGGTGTTGTTGTTGGTGTTGGTGTTGTTTCGTCTTGTGATAATGATTACAGTACTCTCGCACCCACGGTTCACAGCGAGGGCAGGTGGGCGGAGTCAGATTCACGGTACCATTTGCCGATCAATACACAGACAGACAGACAGACAGGCAGAAACAGGCAGAAATACAAAGGGAGGATAGGTTGTGTTCTTTCTTTGAATGTACTAGTACAATGTGTGCAGCATGTATCGACGAGACAATACAGAAGCATGTATACTTTTTCCAAGCCAATCTAGTCTCTCTATTCTGTTGTATATGACTTCCACGTCGCTCCTCCAAAGCGTGGGCAGCCATCGTCGAACGACTCGAAGTGTACCACTTACCCACCCAGTGAGCCAACCTGTCTAACCTCGAACGCCCAGCAACGAGGATCCCTCTTCGTTAGATACGCTGCATTATCAAAACCGGTATTCCGAATCATATCGACATATACCATAGTATAGCATTCATCCTTCCACACCCCGGGGGGAGAGGGGGAAGGACGTGCGAGGACAAGTCAACGAGAGTTGATATCCTTCATATCAATGCCAACCACAATCTCCGCGGCCTCGCCGTGCTCGATCTCCCCCTTCCCATTCGCGAGTCTCCATATTCGACGCTGCGACTTGTACCCGCCAACCAGGACGAGTGTGTGCGCCGCGTAGGCCACAGCCACGATCCAACCCACCGCAGTCTTTGCAATGCTGACCTCGTGGATGCCGTACATGAAGTGCCCGCGAACCTGTGCTGGGCAGACTTTTTGGCCGGATTTATTGAGCGGCGGGAGTTCGCAGTGCATCCAGAAAGAGAGTGCCGTAACCCAGCCCGCGGTAAGGAGAGTTGTGAATGATAGGAGGAGTTTGTAGGAGGTTTGCGAGCGCAGGTGCTGCGGTCCTGTATGGTGGATGGTCAATTCAAACCCGAGATGTAGGAGGCTCACGGTGGGGGTGAGGAGGGTGTAGAATAGGAGAGCTGTTTCTGAGCCACTCCGCTCGGCGGAGTTGGTGGTCGACGTCGTGATGGGAGCTGCCTCTCTTGCTAGAAGGGGGACAGAGGTAGAGCGTCGACCGAAGAGGGACCCGTTAGCTTCTGCAGTGCCGTTTTTGGCCAGTTGATCGGCGATGTCGGTGTGCGGTTTCGCGACGCAGTAGGCGTAGATGGCGTTGAGGATGAGCGTCGTGAAGACCAATGCCAGGAGCATGGGGAGGGCTATGGTCCGGAAGTTGTGCAGGCGGTGTAAGGCTGGATGGCGTGGACGAGTGGGTTGAGAAGTTGGAGGTGGTGGGAATGTTGGGTATGATTGATGGCGGGATATGGGAAAGCCGGTGCTCACGGGCCGGGTTGTGAACTTCATGATGTCTGATTAGGATTATATCTGCGCTCGCTCCGTATGTTCTGGTCTAGGGGTTCTCAACCTGCTGGTAATGTGCAGAACTCGAGTCGGGCTTGCAACGGGGATGTGTTGGTGAGAAGGAAAGAAAAGCGACCAGCGCAATGACGGGCCCAAGATTATCACGAAAGCTGGAATTGAGGGAGTGCGGTAGTATGAAGAAACAAAAGAACGCAGAACCATGAAACCTGAGCCTAGCATGTCAGAAGCATATGTATCTCGGCATACACTCACATGGTCATGGTGATCTTGATTTGCCTACCGCGGTCCAGCCTGGTCAGCGGCAGATGCCACAGACATCGTAGGCTTGAGTGAGGTCTCTACCGCGTTCGTTGATCTGCCTTGTGGAGGAAGGATTCAAGCTCGTCCAGTCCATGCGCTGGCAGAGACGGTGAGTGAGGTCGACATCGAGGCTCTTCAGGTCGAATGAGGTCAGGACATGCTAATAATATCGGCGCGTCTAATGGCCCCGAGAAATAAGATGCATCGAGAGCCAATCGATGACACCACCAAAGCACTAGACTCGACACACGCTGCCGTTGTGGCCGTGGGGTGTTAAGGGCGTCTAATCGTGGCAGTGGTGAAGAGGTTGTTTGAAGACTTGTTTCATGTTTCAGGGTTGAAGTTCGTGGTTTCGAAATCCCTTCAACACCATCAACAACATGCACCCACAATTTATGGCCCTAACCGGAGTTCAAAACAACGTCATCCAAATTGATATCATTGTCACCCAACTGTGGCCACCACAGCTGCTCCCTCCTCCACAAGTAGTTGTTTATTTCACGGTAGGAGCTTCTGAGTTCATCAAAGTCTACATCTCCGGTGCCCAACGTGCCTCGGATGAATGTAATCAATTCTTGAGCCGATGTCCTAGGCAGCGGCGGCTTGCAGGACGTTCTCTGGGATCACGCATGATTCTGGTCTCCTGCGCACTCTTCCAACCGACCCCAAATTCTGCAGTTGTATCAGCGCGCTGCTTCGGTTTTGCTAATCTGCTATAGATTCTATGCGGAGGGCACTGCGAGTATGGCACCCATTGGGCACTCTTGCCTGGCGAAGTTTGGTTGTCCAGTGCCCTTCTATGCGGATTCCTGGATCAGCAAAGATGTCTTCGGGCAATATCCGCACACTCCGTTTGAACCATGGACCAGACGTACGAGAAGGCGTTGCCTTTGAGTATATAATCTCGCCGAGAGCACTGCAAGCAGCTGATGCAACAGACCAGCAAATTATTCCTATTCTTGCATTCCCTCCAGCATATTTCTTCCGCCTTCGAGACCTCACGCCTCTTCAGCAACTTGCAACTTCAGCATGGATTCTCGCCTTGGAGCTTTCGGTCCCTTGCCTCGTGAAATCCGGGGAGCTCTCTTTAAGGAATGCGTCAACCAGCGCACTGCCCGGTCTCTTGCTTGTACCAGCTCCAAGATATACGAAGAGCTCACGTACTTTATGTACGACCAGATGGCCCTTATATTTGACATCGACCCGGCGGACACTTCTTCAAATGTTCGCATACTCAACGACCAAGGCAAGCACTGGGGCTGGAAGCCGCGTCGCAAACCTATCATGACCTCGCAAGTCCATGTCAAAGAAATGGATGAGACACGCTCTATGCCACTGGAGAAATTCAAGCGCATAGTCATACAACTGCATGCGCCAGATCCACAAGACCCGGGACAGCTTGTTAGAGGTTGGCTTCAAATCACACGCCTTCTCAGCTTGCTGCTGCCTCAACGAGAATACCACTACTATTTCCCCCAAAGCGCGAGCAACTTTGTACCAGGCCAACTGAATCAGGGCTACAATTTACCTGAAGTTTGCATCCGGGTTCTGGACACAAGACACTTCTGTTGGACTAGGGGGAAAGCAGATCGCCGTTTCCGACGCCTTGGAGTCGAGGAGAAAGACCTAGCCGACAGATTATACGAAAGCAGCAGACTAAATACGTTCCTGATCCCGTTCCGCCAAGTGCGGCGAGCGCGATCCCTCACAGTGGAACTTCCTAAAAGCGTGGTCTTGGACCAGGAGCCGATGTTGAGAGCAGAAATATCCCTGCTCAGTGAACTTGGCCCCTTACGGAATGTTTTTGGCCAGAACTTCGAGGAAGATTCAAAACTCTGTCAGTTCGAATCTGAGATCGATCTTCGTCTCGATTACGAGATGGACTTCCTTGAAGGTGATGCGGCAAGACAATTACGCCGAGCACGGTTCTATCAAATATGTGACTATACGGTAGCGGCATACTCGCGGTGGCGCTGGGGTATGACAACGATTTCCGATGGGGTTGATGATACGAAAGGTTCTCGTGTTTTTGGCGGATGCGAACCTCTACTGGACCGGGAAACTCGTGATCTGGTCAATGAGGCTTGGATCGAGCGTATGAAAGACTGTGCTATTTTAAGCCCTAACTACGTGAACGATCGAATAGCGTGGAAGGACTATTACCCTGGAGGGATCCCGCACATGGGGACCAGGAAGTACGCAGCGATGCTGGCAGAATTGGACCGCGGCGGGCCTATATCCTTTGAGGCCAGACTTCGGGACCGTGAATGCGAAGGTTGCCGCAAAGCAAAGAGGCGGGAGAACGAGAGATGGGTTGACGACTGTTTGAGTCCGGTTGGAAGAGAGTAAGCGTCCCCCTCGACAACGGGACACCACGAGTGAGGACGAACAGATCTGGGTGTAACAAGGCTGAGCAGCTTGATATGCAGAATCGAGAATAATACTTGGTCCAATTTAGCAATATTTTATGCCTGAAGACGTTCAAATATGCCCGGTGGTCAGACCGGCTATACGGCACATTGAGGCGGCATCTGCTTCGCCAGTCGCCAGTCGCCAGTCCACATTTCCAATTTGATTCTTTCTATTATTCATCACTCACGACAAATGTCGTACATCACGCATCCATCCACCGCGAAATGATGCCGTACCAAAACAATAATGACTCCGCCATATGAGCCCCATTGCCATTGCCATTGCCATTGCCATTGCCATTTTTTGCCTTCCCCGCTTCATACTCCGTATGCCCTTGTGCGGCGTCGGCAAAAGTCCAATTCTCATCGGAAGCCCTTTTTTTGGCATTGTTTTGCAGAACGTCCATGCTTTGAAAATCTCTGCTTTCCCCTTTTTTGATGCCTCAGGTGCCTGTTATGCTAGCGGTGTAAAAGTAGCCCTGGTCTCGAGAAGAATCTGCGCGGGGCTTGATCCGTCCTTCCTCAGAGACCGGTCTCTCTCTTGTTGTTGTATTTTACGGAGTACATCTCCAGACTGCCCTAGACTGAAGCCTCGGCTCATAAAGACCCAACCAGAAAGACAACTACTAAGCGTCATGAGCGCTACCACGGGAGAATATGAAGCTGAAAAGGACCTTCACGTCGACAAGGAATTATCTCCCTCCAGGTATCGTCAAAACCTGACTCTCGGTCGGACAGAGTCCAACATCAGCCGAGCTCTCGACGCCGAAGCAAACATCGACCTTTCGCCACCAGAGGAGAGCGCTGTTCCCATAGCGAATGAGAAGAATGATGAGCACGGCGCTCCTCCCAATGGCGGCTTCAATGCATGGCTCCAAGTGCTCGGTTCCTTCTTCCTCTTTTTCAATTCATGGTATGTTGCCCGGCCCTTTTCCTCCTCAATTCTCCTGCGGGCGGTCTGCCGGCTAACGCAAAAGCGTAGGGGAACCGTAAACGCATTCGGCGTGTTCCAAACATACTACGAAAACAATCCTCTGTGGCACGAAACGGCCAGCAACATCTCGTGGATCGGCTCCATCCAAGCCTTCCTGCTGCTCCTCATCGGCGTCATAACGGGCCCCGCCTACGATGCAGGCTATTTTCGCGCTCTCATCACGACGGGAGCCGTTCTCATCCCGCTCGGCTTCATGATGACCTCCTTGTGCAAGACTTACTGGCAAACCATGCTCGCCCAGGCTTTCTGTATCGGCATTGGCAACGGCTGCCTCTTTATCCCTTCGGTCGCCATCCTTCCGCAGTACTTCTCCACGAAAAAGGCCCTTGCAAATGGTCTTGCCGCGTCAGGTTCCTCCCTGGGCGGCGTAATCTACCCGATTGCCTTCCGACGCCTCGAGCAGCAAATCGGCTTCGGCTGGGCGACGCGAGTCCTGGGCTTCATCTCTTTCGCCACAGTCTGGTTCTCGGTGTTCGTGATGAAGCCTCGCGTCCTGCCCAAGCAGAAACGCCACCTGACCGACCTGAGCGCGTTCAAGGAATTACCTTACGTCGTGTTCTGCGTCGCCATGTTCTTCGGTTTCGTCGGCTTTTACGGTCCCGTGTACTACATCCAGCCCTACGCGATTCAAAAGGGCATCACGTCCGAGAACCTAGGCTTCTACCTGCTTCCCATCCTCAACGCCGCCAGCATTCCAGGCCGAATCGTGCCCAACTTTCTCGCCGACCACACGGGCCCATTGAACGTTCTGATCCCATGCTCAACGATGACGGCTATATTGGCGTTGATATGGATCGGCATCAAAAACCTCGGCGGAACGATCGTCTTTTCTCTGCTGTACGGCTTCTTCTCGGGCGGCTTCGTTTCTATGCCACCCGTCGCGATCGTCACGTTAACCTCTGACATGCGCAAGATCGGCACAAGAATGGGCCAGTGTTTCTTCATCAGTGCCTTCGGACTGCTGCTGGGCACGCCGGTGTCGGGCGCCATCCTGGGCAGTGCAAACAACTGGCTGGGCGTGCAGCTTTTCAGCGGTGCGGCCGTGATGGTGACGGCTGTGTTGCTGCTCTGGGCCAGGATTGATGTCGCCGGCTGGGCGTTGAAGAGGAAGGCGTGAAAGAGCAAGATTGGACAGATGACGACTGGACAAAATGACGGAAAATCGCCTCACAGTGCCCCCGAAGAACGACGAAATATAGTAGTCTTGAAAAAGCGAACGACTCGCTACGACGCCTCAATTCACAACTGGATCAAACCCCCATGGCCCATGGGTATTTGCCAGTTCTTGGGACTCTGTAAAGTGCAAAGGACCTTTCTTGCTTGGGGCTTCTCTCCGGACCGCGCAGACCCCAAAAGTGTCACGCCGAACGTCCGGCACAGGATCTGTTGCGACTTGAAGGCCGCCACATCATTGACGTCGCTCTTCCAGATATGATCGGTGACACAGGCTCGAGGAAGTTGCGCTCATACAGGGGTAGCAGACGTCAACATGTCTTCGTCCTTGTCAATCCGCCATGGAAGCTTTCTGAGGAATGGTGGCCTCTTTTGCGACCTGCCATCGACTACTTGGGTCAGACTTCAGAGTCGACGCGGCAGCGGCCACAGAGCACGAACGCGATACCCTACACTGGGTCGAAACTGGAGGAAAGACACGTATTGACCAAACAGCAAGCCCAGGGTAGATAGCCCATGTAACACGCGAGAGCCCTGATGGACATTGGGAAAGAGAAAGATAGAGTCTGATAGAATCTCTTCGTGTCAGCAGCTGCAACATCTGCGAATCCCTTCCTTCGCTTCAACGGAAGCCATTTCATATCACTTCGTCTCATTACAGTACGAGTACCATGGCTCTTCACCGTGCGCAACTTCTTGAATGCAGCCCTGCTCCACTTGTCACGTTGTTATTGTGCACTCTAGTGTATTATGTTTCATTCGAACAATGCGCTTCATTCACCAAGCATCAACATCCACCAAATTCAGCCAATTCAACAAGCCCATCGCCTTGATCAGATTCCCCTTGAGATCCAAATGCACCCCATCATATTTACTCGCCTGAATACTCATGTTCCATGTGCCGAGGGCTTCGACGCCTCTTCTCTCCGCTTCGATCCGCACACTCTCTTCGAATACCATCAATGCTTTGTTGCCCTGGCTGACCAGCCATTGGTCGGGTTTCAAAATGCCCGCGGCGTTGGGTGTGATGAACAGTCGTGGCCAGACGGAGTATTTGTGTCGTTTGTTCACGCTCGTAAGGTAGGGTGCTCGTTTGAGTGTTTCTGCGAGGATGTCGTCCAGCCAGTTCATACTCGCCTTGAGGTCGAGATCATTCCACAGACCGTGGCCGAAGATGAATGCGTAGGGTTTGTGTGGTTTTGTCGGAGACAGTAGGTTCTTGAAGCGAGCGACTTCTTCTGAATCGAGAGGGAACCTTAGCATCATTTCGATGACGAGATCGACCGATTGGGAAGATGGACAGGCCAGGCTTGACGGATCGTGTTCCAGGACGGAGGAGGTAGAGAAGATGCCTTGGACAGAGCAGGATTTCACGTCCATTTGATGGTTGCAGAAGCAGTCTCTCCTGTAGAATTGCATTAGCTAGAGTTAGGTTGATGGCCCAACGAGAGTCCCACAGTTCCTGATCGTTAAAGTTCCAGTTCGTGACGGCGCCGTAGCCGAGGTCTTTGCGTAAGAGAACATTCAGAGCGCCCACGACGTGTCTCATCATGCTGTCGCCTATGACGATGACTTTTTCGAAGCGAGAGAAGATCTCGCAAACTTCTTCGGTCGTGAACCAGCGCATGTCGCAGCCCAGCGGGATGTAGGCGCGATCGAAGCCGGCTCTGCCGCCTCCGGAGAAGGCACGCAAGAAGTCATCGCGGCTATCGCATAGTGGCAAGCAAGGCATGTGAAGGTCAAGCGAACTGATCTGGCAGGAGGTGTGATTGCGGAAGCTGTAGTCTTGGAAGGTGTCGGAAGCGTATGGCTTCCGTTGTGTGTTATTTCCTGCGGAGGGGAAGGACGAGAGAGGAGCGCCTATTGTCCCATCGTAGTCTGGGTTCTTGCAGCCACCGAGACCAAGGAAATGGCCAGACTATGGCGTTGGCTGATCAGCTTTTTGAAGACCCAGTCGCGTTTGAGATGCATCAGTTACTTACCACAGCTTCGTATTTCGATAACTTGTACAGGTACAACCACACGAGAAAGGCGGCCAATAGGGTGCAATAAACAGCTCGCTTCAATTGCAAGCGGAGCGTATATCGTGAAAACTCCATCTTGACCTCGTCTATCTCGAAATTGTTGCTGTTTGGCGAGGGCAGAAGAGGTAGAGTGAAGTGGCGTCGTAGTATGGATGGAGGAAGAGTCGGAACCAAATGTCTAGGTAGCTACTGGGAGCCCGAAGTCAATCACTTGTGCAAGGCGGCCGACAGCGATTCCAAGAAGAGCACAACAACAACACCCCAACCGGCATTCTTCTTCCTCCGCAGCGAAGTCATGTTTGTTGTTCATCGATATGCAAGTCAGCCGGGCGGTCGTTAGAGAGCGATACGTCCTACGGCGGACGTCTTCCTCGTGCAAATACCTGTGAATAGGGAGACCGCCATTGACTCTAGCCTGTTGGCCTATCGTCATCCTTAGTGAATGGCCCATCGACTCGTAGTCGTCGACCACTTCGATATGGATATCGAAACTGATGTGTTCCGGTTCGACAAAGTAAGCAATTGCCTCATTGATCGCAACGCCTGGGCTGAGAAGCTGGTGGGAGCATCTTCGGATATGGAGGAATTCTGGCATAGAAATTGCAAAGGCAACTTCATTGACAAGAAACGCTTCATTATCATGAGCTTCATCCAATATTCATGACATCCGACTCATCACCATCCTCCAGCCAGAGGCTTCACAGGCTGCGTCAGTGGCAGAGTCTTTTCTTTCCTCAGCTGAATCTGTACATTCTCTTCTTCCCACCTCTCTTTCTCCCTTTGAGCTTCTGCTATTCGCCGTGCCTTTCCCAAACCGAGGCCAAGCCAGCCATTGTCATTCTCAATTTCTCGCTCCTTCTTTGCTGCTAGACGAGCCATCTGTCGAGACATGTCTTTCCAGTTCTGCAGACCAGTCTCGAGGCATTCACGACACCGTTCCTTGCCTTCCTCCTCCTTTTGCTCCTCCATCACCCACATGACGGCTTCAGCAGCTTCGACACTATCTCGAGTCCAGCTAAGGCCCTTCTGCCTTTCACTGTCGCTGGTAGCGAACAGGATCTCGCCAATATAAGTCATCAGTCCCACCTCTTCGCAAGCTTCCTTCAAAGTGTGATATGGCCTCTCATTGCCAGTAGGTGGCGGCGGAGGGAATGGTCGTTCAATGATCAAATCTTTCAGAGAGTAAAGGTACGGCCATAGGCCCTCGTCCTGCTTGGCTCGCTCTTTCTTGCCTATCACGCCGTATGGTGATGGAGGGAGATTTTTCCTAGCTCGTAGGACGCTGAGGAATATCGGCAATGCTTGCTTGACATTCCCAGCCTTTGCATGGTGTACTGCATATGCAGTGCAGACTTTCAGGACATTTTCTGTAACCCCATCTTCTCTTCCCTTGACGATAACGCCCGTCTTGGTGTCGATGACGGCGGTCGCACCACCGGGCAGACCGGACTGAGCAATGTCCATAGCCCAACGATAGGTATCTTCAGCAGTCTCGGCTAAGCCTTTAAAATCACACCAATCGGCATAGGCCATAGCTGCTTCTAGCCTCTGCCTTGTGTCAAAGCCGTTGGTGGTTAACACCTTCATGTAAAACATCTCTGGTGATGGGAAAGCGTCCTCCACCTCGTCTGCCGTAGGCGGAGTCTCTTGGCCTCTTTTCTTGTCCCAGGGGAGCGGCTTCGGCCTTGGGTTGTCAGGCCCAGGTATACTGTCCCTGGAATACACTCGTCCAGAGGCTTCTCCTTTTCTCTTGCATATGCCATCAAGATTCTCTGCCACTCTTCCAGCGCCCATCAGAGCTTCATAGTATCCCCGCCGCCACTGCTCGCTTTTGGCACTTATGTCAAATCCTGCTATTCCCAGGCTGTCTGCATACGATCCACTGGCTTCAGATGGTAGCAGGAACTTTCCGTCATAGTCTTCGCTCTCCAATCTTTCCAGGACACTTAGATAATAGCGCCCCGCCTTCACCCAATCGGTCAATACCTGATGTACTTTGGCACCGTCACTAAACTCCGTGAATTTGGCGTTCCGTAAGAGCCAGCGGCTCCAGAATGACCAGTCTCGCGGTGTCGGATAGTCCCTTTCAAACTTTGTTTGCTGGATACCGATCGTCATGATGGTGAGAAAGAAGACGGCAGGCCAGAGGTAGGCATGGAAGCGCAATTGGCGCCAAAGCTGGGCCTTCCATCTTTGTTTGCGCTCCGTGGAGATGAATCGTCCAATATGTGCTTGGACAAGGTTTATTCGTGTCACTGGATGAAGGAAAGGTAACTGCGGACGTGGTGTGGGCCGAGCAACTAGCAGTAGGGAGGGTTTATGGGCGAAGCATCGGTGTCGTGGAGGTTTCGAGTAGAAGAAGTCAAGGGTAGCGTTTCGTGTGAAGCTTCTCAAGGCTCCGCGGGATCTGATCGAAGCCATCTTCGCGTACACCTTTTGGCAGCAGATGCGCTTCAGGGAGCACTGCGCCCGAAGAGGACGAGGCGGGAAAATGAAGAATTGTCCGTGTGAGAATGTACTTGGGCCTCTCGCATATGACGGCCGCGACGAGAAGGAATGCGGAGAAAGGATCACGTGCAGTGGCAGGTCGGCTCATTCAACCATGTGCGCAGCTACGGTGAATCGTTAACCTAAAATCCGCAAGCTCTCGTGGCTCTCGCAACTGGGGGGCCACGGGGCCTGAGAGTGTTACTAAGTCTTTGAGATTTTGGCCAGGGAGACCACGGAGATCTCTATCCGCAAATGTTGTAAGCAGGATTGGGTGTGCTTCTTCCCAGGCACCTAGGCAAACCACGCAGAGTCAGTGCAGGTGCCAGAGAAGGCAATTTCCTGCGAAAGGGTTCAATGATCTTCACCAGGAGTTGTTCGAGTCAGCAGGGCGTTGACCTGGCCAGCTCGCCAACTCGCCAGCCACATCGCTGACCGGCATCTTTACCTTTTCAATGGACGCTCCGGCCCTCAGGTGCATACCTCGTGCGTGCTTGTGATGCCCTCGATAGGTATTCCTACCCCACGTTGAGGTGACTTAGCGCGACAACAGCTTTCCAGAGGCGTTAGTTCAGCCTGACCACTTCTTCCCAACAATGACACCTCATCAATTGAGGTCGGTGCGGCTGAACCTCATCAGACAGATATTCTGTGTTTGCTTGATGTGGTTTGAACTCTGCGCTTCGCCCTTGTTTACACGGCACGGCAACCAGATGTCGAGATGCCGACAACAGACCCCGTGAAACGACGCAAACAGAATTGCGAAAATCAAAAACGATGGCGCCAACGACAGTACGACACGCTCCAGACTTTATCTGGTGCGCTTGAGAAGAGCCAGGACCGCGTACGAGAACTCGAGATCGAGTCCGACGACCTCCGCGTTCGGCTCCAGGACTCGCAAGCAGAGGTGGAAGCCTTGCGGGCGGCTACTGGCAGGCTGGAAGCACAAGCGTCACCGCCCTTGGGCCAAAAAAGATCTATTCATGGGGACGTCGACCGTGATTCTCCGACAAGTCGAGATTCAAATGTTTCGCCAGCTGTCTCTGAAGATGAAAGACCGCCGGTGAAAGCGGTTCAAGCAAGTACTGTCAATGGTCCAAGTCAAGGTAATCTACCCACCCGGCGTCGAACATTACCAAGGCCATCTTGATTGATTCCCTCTATCAGCATCCAGTACCGAGCCCATCTTTTTGGACAATACCATGACCACTTCTTACCTTGCCGACTATGACTGGTCGAGTGTTGTCATTTCTGGGAATGACGAAGGGACATCTGCTCAGCCACCTCTCAACACCCAACACTTCGGAACCTCATCAGACCCGAAAAGCAAACGGGGCTATGTCCCTGGATACTGGTCTACCTCTTGGGCTAGTGCTGTTCCGCCGGAGGATGGATTTGAGACTTCGGATCCGTCCGGCAACCCAGAATCCGTTACAGAGCCAATTCCCGAGACGGTGGGACGTCAAACGCACGTTGATTCCTGGCAGATCTTTCACTTGCCTGTTCGAGATCGAGGCTCTCCGGAATCGTCGTATGTTCACCAAGACATGGAAGAAGTAGAAGAGCCCATGGTGGGAGTACAGGCCACCGAATGCATCACTATGGCCGCCTCATATTCAAATGACCTATACTTCAACTGGCCTATGTATTCCATTCTTGGAGGTGCGGGCGGCATCTGGAGGAATATGACCAACTTTCCAGATACGACAAACATCTCGCAACACATCTTGGCTGTCCAAAAGGTTCTTCATGACGCCTTCCGCCGGCTTCTCACCAAGTAGGTGCTTCTTCTACTAGTGGCGGAGACGAGCGAACAGCTGCTTACCCGTTGCAGACCTACAGACGTGCGTGAGAAGGTGGTTGCTGATGCATTTGCCTGGATGATTCAATCAGCGTGGCCATCCAGTGAGAGCTGCTTTAAAATGATGGTATGTTCTATCCTGGTCGAAATCACAATTCCCGCGCTCCTAAGTCATTGCGGTCGTATACTCATGCATTCAGCAGACTGTTTACCGTCACATCTTCAACTTCGAACTCTTTCGCAATTTCCCTTGCAAGGCGACCTTGGAGCGGATCCATCCGCTCTATCGGCCTACCGAACTCCAAGCTCGTGTTGCACACTCACCAGCGATCGACTGGCTGCCCTGGCCAGATATGCGCGAGAAAGCAATCCGAATGCAACATAAAGTTAACGTAGACAGGCTATGCCAGATGTGCTTGGAGCATACACTAGTTGAACCGGGCCCATTCTTCAACAGAAACCAGCCACGACCGGTTGGCGCGGCCTTCCGCATCTGGGACATGTACCTTCTAGAGAAGGCCGGCGGTGGGAGGTTCCCAATCTCAAAATCCGCCATGACCTATGACCCGGCCTCGCAGGATCTTTTGACACTCGTACAGCGGCACAGCCTACCTTTCCAGGATATCGAGCAACTACGCATCGATGGGCCATTTTACCAAGTCTTCCCGGAATTTGAAATCCCCGGATGTGTATCAAGGTGGCAGACCATGCCACTTCCTGTGCCCGGGGAGGAAAAGCTGGGGTATCCGTCAAAATTGAAGCCCCAGTCACTTTCGAGATTGCAGAAAAGAGTGAATTCTTGGTTGACGGATGATCACCAATCAGAGATGTGCTGAACCGTGGGTGCGAGTAAGCTGCTTGTCTGGGAAGACGTATTCCGCAAACCAGGCAACAACCAGATCTTTGACTTCCGAGGCCCTCCGAGTACTGCAGGACCGGTGTGGCAGTAAAAGTACCAAATTTAGGGTGTCCAGAGCCAAAGGGAAGCGTTCAATCGGAGGTTCCTCTAGCTTGACGAGCCAATCCTAACAGCAATCACCTCGCCTACTAGGCGACAATGCATTCCTCGGCCTCCTCTACTACTCAAGATGGCTACCGCTGCTGCCATGTCAGGCAGATGCAATTCTCCATCACTGCTTCTCGGACTGAGGAATTCTCTGGGGTGATGCTACAGTATGGCACACGTTTGTGGGCCCGAGGGAGGGCGGAATGGCGCATCCGAACATCGGCTGTTCGGCCCACCACGCCCGTCCGTTTCGAGCTTTCAGGTCATCCATCCATCGTTGCTCGTTAACAAAAAGGTTCATGGTCAATCAGCCCACCCCGGGACAAGTATCCCTTCTCTATCGTGCCTTGCATGCTTACCATACCCCGTGCCACAACCATGACCGCCACCATTTTCAGCCCAGGCTTGATCCCGCAGGCCCCTGATGACCCTCACTACGGACTAAGAGCGGCACATAGGTCGGATACTTTTGACCGAAAGGTCGACTTCATCATTGGATTATATCGGGACAATGAAGGACATCCATGGATCTTACCGGTGGTCAAGAAGGTGAGAAGTCCTTCACAAACCCCTTTTGGTATCATGGCGATTTGAGAAAAGGCCGAACAGCTCTTTTCAAACGATCCAACTCGCACTCACGAATACCTCCCAATAGCAGGTCTCGCGAGTTTCACGACAGCAGCACAAGCACTCCTCCTCGGAGCAGATTCGCCTTATACTGATGGAATAAATATCTAGGTCGGAGCAGAATCGATGAAAGTCTCCGTGCAGCATGCATCACGCGCGAGGCTGTAGTCTATTGCACGGAAAGTCTGGGACGGCCGATTGTGTGTTGCGAGGGGACTCGCCAATACTAGTAATAGTCTTCTCTACCCCGTATGGAGTGCTTCTAGACCAGCTCTCCAAAGGCGACCAAATCGAAATGGACTCGGCTATCAGAGAGGTCAAGTAGTACGTACTGGTATGGAACGTGGACTTTGTACAAGGTCCAGCGCCCGTTTTGGAAGACCCAACCTTAACGCTTATCAACTATTCATTCTCACTTGAACTCTCTATTTCGCAGTGAGATGCAGTATCCATCTCCGACCCGCTGCCGCCACTCCCCCAGACCGAGAAACGTCGTCGGTTTCTTCCTCCTCAGACATGCCCGTGTCCTGCCTTCCCGTGACAAGATCAGCGGACGTGGCCCGAATGCGCTTTGTGCGTTTGAAAAATTTCCACCCAAGCACGTTACCGCAGAATATGACGATGCCTAGATATTTGAGTACAAAAGTGCTTGCCTTGAAGTGCGGTATGAAGGCATCGTATCCTGGTCGCGCTCGTCGGTAACAAATCCAGGGGGGCGAAGTTCTCGACCGACGCAAAGCAAAAAAAGCTGGCCAACTCACCATTGAACAATAAAACTGTAAAAGAGACGAACAGCGCAAAATAAGAACCAAAGGGCTGTAGAAAGCCTACATACGGCAACTCCTGGAGCTGAATGCCCTGGGCCTTGAGCGCTCGTCGAAAAGACAAAAAGGAGATGAGAATGGCGATCCAGTTCAAGACCGCAAAGACCGTGACCAAGCTCACGAAATATTGAAAGACGGTGGCGGCCGACTTGGTGGCATTGAGATAGCCGAGTGCCACGAACAGCGAGCTCAAGACGACGGCCATGATCGGATTGCCGTTATTCAAAACCCGGGCAAGAATCCGAGGAGCTTGGCCATCTTTCGCCAGGCCGTAGACGCATCTCGAGGCAACGTAGATATCTTGGGGGTTTAGGGTTAGCATTAATGGCACCTCGACAACAGTCCGCAAAACCTCACCGGTCATGGCAGCACTCAGCACGAAAGCCATAAGCGCTGCATTGATGATGTCGGGAAAGACATCGATACCCGCCGAAGCGATGGCCACCACGAAAGGCGATGCAGCTGGCACGCAAGGTCAAAAACAGGTTGTTCAAGTGCGGCGTGTGGATTCTCTCTCACCTGCACTTGTAGACGACTTGGTGGCTCCTACTAGTCTCTCGCTGTTGTAAGGGATCGCCAATGTCAATACAAACACGCCCACGATGTAAAAGATGACGATTCTCAGAAGCGTCTGCCTCACGGCGTGTGGAAATTTTTCCCTGGGATTCGGCACCTCTCCGAAAGTCATTCCTACGACTTCGGTTCCGGTGTAGGAAAAGCAAGTCTGACACATGGCCGCCCACCAGCCTAGGAAATAGCCTTTGTTGCCCTTCAAGAGATACGGCGCAAAGGCACCGGGAGATTTCCAGTAGCGGAAACCGATGTGGTCATGCTGAGGATTGCCTCCCATGGAGATGATGAAGCAGGTGAGAATGAGGAGGACCAAAGTGATGACCTTGATGAGACTGAGCCAGAACTCGACTTCGCCCAAGACCCGCACGCGGAGGACCTATGAACAGTGAATCGGCAAGTCCTATGAACAGCGACTGGGCACCAGCTAAGCTCCTTAAGGAGGTTAGCTGGGAGGCTTACATTGATCGTGACAATCACAATTCCAAAAACTGTGATCCAGATTGACACATTCAAGTCTGGTCTCCAGAAGCTGATGATGAGCCCGGCGGCGGTCAGATTGATAGGGATGTTGATAACGTATTTGAGGAAGTAGTTCCAGCCTGTGGCAAAGCTATTGCAACGGTTAGGTTAGGCCTAGCTTCTGCACGCTTTGGAGACCCTCAACTCGCCCAAATGCAGGATCGACCATGCGCGTAGCGTAACCACCGAACCCTTTCATCATGGGCAGGAATGTGGCCATCTCACCCAAAGCGGTCATGACGAAGAAGACCGTGATTCCGATCAAGATGTAAGATATCAGCAAACTTCCAGGCCCACCCCGGGCCAGCGCCGTCCCAGAGCCGATGATGAGGCCGGTCCCAATGGCACACGCGAGGGAGAACATAGACACTTGACGCCGCTTGAAATCTCGGTGCAGGTCATTGTGGAGCATGGCGTCCTCTGGACCAGCTAGGTACCTCCATGGGGGAGACTGCCCTGGTGAGAAGTGTTCCGTTGCGTCCTTTGTCCATTGCTGTCTTTGTCACGGTTTGCGGACAAACAGGTGTCTCGGTTGGCTAGTAGAGATGTGTTCCTCAGAGCTTGATCGACATCCATGGTTTAAACCAGGGAACTGCTCCCTTTTTAAGCCATCCGCTCGCAGCGAACATGCTGTGTGCTAAGCTGATAGCTGATAGTTCGGCGAGGCATTGAAGATAACGCCCACGGCGTCGAGTTGGCACAAGCTGTGATATACGCAGATACGGTTGGTTCTGTTCCATGAGAAAAGACAATCAACCCTTCAACCATCCTGTCGTTCGGCGGTGGGGATCCGAATTGCGGACTCGGTTGGTGCTTCCGAGCACTGGCGGAAACTTGGGCGCTGCACTTCTTCGAATGATTGTAAAAACATGTCTGAAATGCGCACTCCGTACTCCGTATCTGTACTTGAAATCTAGAGTCATCCTTTCTTGTTCGAGCTTCGAGAAGGACCAACCCCTGGACAAGCCATTGCTCCAGAGTACTCTTTAGCTGGACGCCACGCGTCATGCTCCGCAATAACCTCCTTATCAACGTTTCAGAGAACCGTCTCTGCACGGTGAGATTACAGCATCAACCGATTTTTGACGGCCTGCTAATCAGGCGATCCCATCAGGCTGTCGGCATCAAACTAATCACCGAGACGGAAGCCGTGTCTCTCGCCAAAGCGGCCGGATATGACACCGTCTTCATCGATCTCGAACACTCGGTCCTGTCAGAGCGGGATGCCAGTCGACTATGCTCGGCAGCCCTATCCGCCCGCATCACTCCTTTTGTGAGAGTCCCCTACCAGTGTGGCCAAGGCTACGTGCAAAGAATACTCGACGGTGGGGCTATGGGCATTGTTTTCCCCCATATCAGCACAGTCGGCAAGTTTTTTCCCCTTCAGTGTTATACCGAGGCTAGACTAATTACCTAGGTATAATCAGAGGAAGCAAGAGAAGCAGTAGCATACACCAAGTTCCCGCCCAAAGGCCGAAGATCCTTGACGGCTGCTTTACCGCACTTTCATTTCCAGCGAGTCGCAGCAAAACACGTTATCGAGCAGCTGAACGATGTCGGCTCCACGGTATTCCTCTTGATTGAGACGAGAGTGTCGCTTGACAATATCGACGCCCTTGCTGCGTTGGAGGGAGTTGATGTTCTGCTGGTCGGTGCCAACGATCTGTCGTTGGAACTGGGCATCCTGGGCGAATGGGAAAGTCCAATCTTTCAGTCGGCGCTCGCAAAGATCGCCGTGGCAGCGCAGCGTGCAGGGAAGATCTTCGGTATCTGTGGCCTCTACACGAGACCGGACATATACAGAGTGGCCGTAAGAGAGCTTGGGGCTCGCTATGTTCTCGGCCACGTTGATCTCGGCCTGTTAGCCATGTCCATGAGAAATAATGTGGAGTTGCTGCGTAACATCGATACTGGTGCTGGCTCGAGCATGGACGAATGAACAGGAACCTGTGCGAAACGTGTGGAATAGATTCTTACACAAGGGAAGTAGCCGCTGGATCATGGCTTTACGGCCTCGGATGCAGCAGTGGAGCGTGTTCGGAAGCCCACCCCCGAGGCGGTTAACTCGGAAAGGAAAGGGAGTGCCAGGAGACCAGGAGACAGGGTATCCCAATTGTTCTGTCTGTCCAAAACACTTCCCTTGCAATTTAGCGGTCGCGTGCTCGGCTTCCATTTTGATATACAAATTCCTGCGGCCACATCTTCTTGCATCTAATCTTCCTTCATTCATATCTTACCAACCTGTGGCGCGACAGCGTCGTCACAAAAGTATACCATTGCCGAAGGCGTCCACCTCGATGGCCGCACAAAGGAGAATCGACGCCTTGCGCGCCAAAATTCGCGGAGGAGCTCATGGACCGGCAATCGCCATGGCTGCCCACAACCCTCTCTCGGCCAAGATAGTCGCAGAGACCGACGGCTTCGATGCAATTTGGGCCAGCGGGTTCGAACTGTCCGCGTCATACGCCGTTCCCGACGCGAGCATCGTTTCGCCGAGCATCCACCTCGAGACCACCAGGGCGATGGGTGAGGTGCAAGACCTCCCTACCATCGCCGACCTAGACACAGGTTTTGGAAATGCCATTAATCTTGCGTACGCGATCCCACGATACCAGGCCGCCGGGGTTGCTGCCGTCGTGATCGAAGACAAAACATTCCCCAAGGACAGTAGTCTTCGGATAGATGGTCGACAATCGTTAGTTTCCATCTATGAGTTTCGAGGCAAAATCGCCGCCGCGAAAGACTTGGGGTCCATGCTGGTCATTGCGCGCACCGAGGCGCTGATTGCCGGGTTGGGCCAAGAGGAAGCATTGAAGCGGGCCCTTGCGTATGCGGACGCCGGAGCAGATGCGATTCTGATTCACAGCAAGCAAAAGGCACCGGACGAGATGATCTCGTTCTGTCGCGCATGGCCACGAAACGGAGTGCCCTTGGTAGTGGTGCCGACCAGTTATCCACAGCTCTCATTCGAAGAGATTTCGAGGCTGACCGACGGTAAAGTGCGTCTGATCATCTGTGGCAATCACAGCATTCGAGCCACGGTCGCGGCCATGCGACACACTTTCCGGCAAATTGTACAGGATAATGGGATTGCTGGCGTGGAGGGCCAGATTGCGCCCGTATCGGATGTTTTTGCTCTGCAGGGCGACGCAGTGATGCGAAAGATGGAGAAAAAGTATCTGCCAGAGCCGAGTGCTCCGTAAGACGTGTTTTGAAGTGGTCTTTGCGTGGATTAGATGTTGAGCATCCATCCACCCGAAGTTGAAGGCAAAGCCCTCTGGTAGAATCAAAGCGTTCAAGGAGACCATTTTTGATCTCCAGGCTCAGACCCCTATAGTTTTGAAAGCGATTTCGCGTATTGTCCAGCTAGATGTCTGTCGCGAATGAAATTTGGGCGGATTAGTAATGTGTCCCAGAGAAAGAAACTTCGTGGTCGAGTCGATTGAGGAATGGTTTGGTAGCGTGGAGCCCAATGTCGTAAGACGTAGCCATGCCAGGACGTCCATCTAAATCGTAAAGGTCCGGCGCGAGGTTCGGTTGTGCCTGGAACCCCGACAGTTGGATCATAACTCTCATCGTCGTATCATATGCCTGCCCATGAACGAAAGACCTTCACACCCAGCCCGACATGAGGATAACAACGCCCAAGCCGAGTATGGCCCAAGCAAAAGATGCCAGCGAAACGGTTGACGGACCTCCTCCGGAAGCACCGTTGGATGTCTGCGTCGAAACGACACCACCACTTCCAGAACCGGATCTAGTCGCATCTTCGTCGACCACTTTCAGACACGACATATACGCCTTCGGCTCTGAGCCTGATTGGTAAAAGACACTGATAACGGGTGTGACGGAGTAAAAGAACGGCGCATGGTCGCTCGATACATCCTCCGACCGCACAGTTTGGCTCTCGATCAGTGCAACGGTGTACCCCTTGCCGGCGATGGACGGGTGACACGTCCCCTCTGTCGTGGGCGTCACTGGGGCGTTGGGCCCAGTGAGATCTAGCAAAACGCCCACCGTACGTCAGTAATCATTACCTGCATTAACCAACCGCAACCGCAAGTACAAGCAGGTCCTCGTGGCGAGTGGTTGATGACAGGACAGGACAGGACAAGATCAAAAGAAAGGGTCCGACTTACCCTGAGCAACAACGCTCCCCCACGTCACCATAGCTGTCCCCCAACAGCTCTGTGGCGGATTGCGCTCCATTGTATCCTGCAGATTTGCACAGGTGCCATCATCCCCGGCACCGCCCTGTTTCGCAAGGCTCTGAACCTGCGCCTTCGCCTGGCTCAGAAGATCACTCACGCACTGGGCTCCCAGAGTCTGGCTGCACGTCATACTCCCGTACTCGCTGCCGTTGAGTGATATACTGCGCGCAATGCCTTCGAAAAACAATGCGCATCCGGTGAAACTGGTCTCGCTGGCGAGGGACAACGACGGTGGGTAGCCGAGGTAGAAGTTCTTGGTGAAAAGGGTGTCTGCCGCGGATGACGAGGTCGAAGACAGAGCGCCGACGGTCCATGTTAGCTCCACGGAGTCTGTGGACGTGGACGAGGATGAGGATGCTTGCGGAAGGCTGGCGTTGAAAGAGGTTGCGCCGAGGAATGCGTTCGTGGCATTGCCCACGGTACATCCGGTCGACGATGAACAACCGGGAATGGCGGAGCAGCTGACGAGGGTTTGGTCGGGTTGTTGAGCGACGACGGGGTCGGCGAGGAGAGATGTCAGGGCGAGAGCGAGGAGGAGGTTGACCAAGAGTGGGCGATGATCTGGTGCTGATGGATACATTGTGACACGTTTTGTCCTTCGGGCGACCTGGGTAGATATCTGCTGTGGTCGGTGTCGTATGTCCGTCAAGCAGTACCGGACAATCTCGTGCTGTCGCTAATCGAGGAGCGTGTTGGATATTCTCGACCTGTGGCTTCCGACAGCCTGATAGCGATGCGAGACGACCAAAAGTCGCTTATTTCACTCGTCGTTGACCTGGACGGGCGCGCAGCCTGATCATGCTCGTTGCAGGAGAAAATCTCTCAGAATCCCTCGCCCACAGATGTCTAGCAGAGTGATCTTGCTGTTTACTGGTAAGGAGTTCACCGAATGCAAGAAGAGTCAGAATAACCACAGCAGGCCATGAGTGCGGCCTCAATCCTGTAATAATAGCTCTCTACCTTGCCGACCTTTGCCATCTTACCCGCCATCCTCTCTTGCTCTCCACACCCTCTGCATATTCAGAGAAAAGATCATTCCACCATAGCTATTTCGTTAGTGGTGGAAATCGAGCCTCGGGTATCTCTACCAGCACCACGATGCGGCTCGCAAGTCTGGACTCTTTTATTATTAGCAAATCCCATGTACGAAATGCAGTAGGCTGGCGTCCCCTCGCTCTGAGAGGCGCGCTGACTGGCCCGTCGTTATTTTTATGGTGCATTAGAGCCGCCCAGGTTGCAGGGGCCGTCAAGCTCATTCTCGATGGCTATTGCTCAACCCGCAAGTGGAGGTCGAGCTAAAGATACATCTTGCTCATTTACCGGGCGCTTACAGGGACTTCGGTTGGCACTGGCAATTGTACAATGTAAATACTACTAGTAATTACTCCGTAGGTCGACACGGGATTGTTCTTTTGCATCCTGCACGTCAGAAAGATGAAACGTGCTAAAAGATCCTGCCCATCCTATCAGCTGCATGCGGGAGACGGTGAGGGAGACGCTGGAGAGTTCCTGACTGGCAGACTGGTGAGGTTGGTGCATGCCAGACAGAGACCAAGATTTGCTCAAGGCTATCCCTACACCATACGGATTACAGGTCTACTGAATGCCTAGAATCGCCATGGTGCATTGGGCATGGTCGCTGATAACTCTGTACAATCGCTGAAATGCCAACCGACTATTGATGCTTCTAAAAGTAACAGATGAAACTGTTGGCCTCTATTGTCTGCATTGTCTCTGTTGAAGCTGCCAATCTCCATGCCAGCTCCATATTCATACCGAGAAGAAAAGCCTGACATGCTCTCGCCAGCAATGGGCCTCGATTTCGAACTCCACGCTTGCTTAAAACCCGCTCGATTGATACTGCAAATGATATTGCAGCCGTTTGTCCTCCGTCAGCCCCAGACCCAGGGGTCCCATTCCAAAGTCATATATTTTGTTTGCATGATACCCTCGGGAACATCAGCAATGTGTGTCGTACCGATGCATGATCCATCACCCTCCCCACAAACATTAATTTGGTCTATTTCATTGTGTCATAGTAACATCCTGATCTGCGTCCACCGACGGCGCTCGTCGCGGTGGTTCCATTCTTGCCTCTGAATCAGGCTCAGTCGGTGTCACTGGAGTCATCGTCATCCGTTCGATCATTTCTGGAGGCAACAATGGCAACTCATGTTCTCGATCCGAGTCAGCTCGAGGAAAGTCAGGTCGCAGTTGCTGAGCGGCATCAGCCTCGGCCAGTGCTTGCAACATAGCTTCTCTATGTGCCTCTTCTCTCATGCGCGATCGTTCGCGACTTCTTGCAGCCCGGCTGTTGCGGCCACCTGAATCTGCCTGACTCGGTGGTGTCGAGGCATAGCTCCGTGTCGGGACGAGTAGGTTGCTCAACCTCGACCGGCTGTTAACGCGCGAAACTTGCGGACTATTCGATCTGGAAGGATGTCGACTGCCGGAGAGACTCCCGGGAATCGTCGACATAATCGCCTCGTGATTCGCGTCAAACGCACTAAAACCCGGTTCCGGCCGCAGATACGATACTCGTACGTCATTGGGATTTCTGAACGCGGCGCCTGGCATCGGTCTACGAGCTGGTTCCGATGAAAAAAGAGGTGGCCATCCTTGATATTGCGGTCGCGGCTCGTCCATGGCAAAATAGCTTCCTCGAGGATCATGTGCGTACCGGCTTATTTCCACCGGCCTCGAACTTCCTTCCCCATAGCCATGCATCGGGACAGGGGGAGGGCCGAACAAGCCGTCCGAGGATTCGAGGGTGTGGCGTCTTGAAGGCGTCCGTGATGAGCTCCTCGGGCGCTCGCCATACTGGACAGGAACAAATATTGACGGCAGTCCGGGGCTTCTGGATCGGCGATCATAGCCATCTGGCGGGTAAAGATTGCTCGAATTCGTCAGATTGAGATGAGGAGGTGCCAGAGGGATGCGATCTTCCTGTCCAAAAGGGGCTCCTGGAGTCCATGGACCCACATGCTCGAGTGGTACAAATGGCATCTCGATATGGTAGCTTGGAAGATCGTGCAGACTTCGCGGTCGTTGCGGTCTCGTCCGCGGTGTAGTGGCAAACGATATCCCATGTCGATGGGGATTGAGTACCGGATCCATCAATTGATCGTTGCCATCTATTGTGCCATCATCAGAGACTGTATCTGCACCTGGGCTGTCCACGCCATCGAGCAGGCTGTCATCGAGAGCCCCACGCTCTTCTCGTTGGGCCTCATCCACAGCCATGCGCAGGAGATAATCACGAAGACGTTGCACGCCTTCTCCCGAAAAGACACAGAACACATCTCGCTGAGGATGAGTGAATTCGGCTGGGGCATCACGGCAGAATCTGGTCAGATCTTCGCGCAGAAATGCTTGTACGCCAGTCAAGGACAGATGAGTGAGTCGAGGACAGTTATTGAGGAGTGCCGTAATGCCCTGTGTAAGCGGTTAGCCAATATCAGAACAAAAACCTGAATTTGACTCACCTTGAGTGTGAGATTGATGCAGTAGCTCAGATGGACTCTTTCTAGAGACACAAAGTGCTGAGGGATACCTTTACCGGCAGGAGCAAATAGTATAGGTCCATGCGCCAGAGCCATGATGCTGGAATCGGTCAAGTTTTGACATTTTACAAGACCAATTCTGCGAAGTTTCGGGAGTTGTGCCAGATGACGAACGCTCGCATCTGTCAAGCGCGAACAACAAGCCAGGTCAATGTACCTAATCCTATTGCAAGCCTTGACCAACTGAATGACGGCATTATCAGTCAGGTTTATGCAATGGCCCAGATGAATATAATGGAGATTCTTGGTCAATTTGCAGATGGACGCAACTGCACGATCGGTAATGTGTCGACATTTCGCGAGCACCAGGTTTCGTAACCGTGGCGCAGCTGGAATGATTTTCGCAATTGCATCGTCTCGAACTTGCTCGCACGCGGTGAGGTCCAGAATTCTCAAAGTGTCGAAGGAATGTCGTGGGGAAAGGTTGGTGAATGCCAAATCATTGATCTCGACACAATGAGCCAGGCGAAGCTCGCGTAGATGGCTCAATTTCGACAGGAGAGCAGTGACCGATTCGGAGCTGATGGAATGGCAGCCAGCCAAGTCGATTTCCAATATTGAGCGACAATTCCTTGCCACCGCAGTAATGGAGGCATCCGTTGCCCGCACGACGCCGTTGAGTTTCAGTCGTTTAAGCTGCCTGCAGTTTTCGGCAATCTCAATCAGAGACTCGTCGGTAATATTTGAACAATTGGTGATGTTAAGGCCCTGAAGTTTGGCACAGTTTGTAGCGACCACATGCAACGTGCGATCCGTCAAAGCATCGATGTCCGTCACGTCCAGTGCTTGCAGCTTCCTGCTCCCATCAACCAATCCTGCCACACCAAAGTCGGTCAATTTGGAGCAATTTGTCAGCGTGAGGCGCTCCACTGCTTTGCAATTCATGAACGGTTGCACCGTTCCATCATTGATCTTGTCCGCAATTGCTGACAAGTTCAGTCTTTTGACCATTTCATGGTATGGAAAATAGCTCTTTTCACCCTTTCCCAGCGCCGCCACGACATTGATCAGGTTCGCCCATTTATTACACAGCGGTCTGTGCCACAGTATTCCAACAGTGTATAATGCCCAATGGTAGGATACCAGCATGCAACTTTTCAAGTCGGCGGTGCTTGTCAATTTGGCAACGATAGCCATAAGGATTTCTGGGGGTAGTTTGGAGATGGGAGATTGGCGATGGACTTGTTCGAGGTCGACATCGTCATCACAGTCTCGAATTGCCGTGACTGCTCCCAATGAGGATTGCGAATCATTCGCGTGAGCCATGAAGTAGTCTGTGTCTTCATCGTCCCCAGGGCAAGGAGAGCTATCCGAACTGTCGGATTCGACTGTCACCGTACTCATGTTACGAGTGTGGATAGGAGATAATCGTGACCGTAGATCGTCCGCCATTTTGAAGGATCAGCCTGCGTTCGACAAGGTGATAGGATAGAAGGTATAGTGGTGTTTGTTTAACAACAAAGAGATTTGTTTGGCCCGGTGAATATGGAATAGGAGATTTATCGTTTAGTGCATTATGTCGAACACGGCAGTATGAGTGAAGACAGTCATTGCGCGGTCATCCACACGTGTTTGTTGTGTTCAAAAGATCCCGGTTGCGATGTTTTGGAGAGTGAACAAAGACAACGAACTTGACAGACGCAAACGGAGGTAGTACAAGGACGTCTGCCAAAGGGGAAAGCACGAGGCTGGCTTCGCGTGGTGCTGGTAGGAGGAATGATCTGAGGGTAGAGCAAGGGGAGCGAAATAGGAGAAGCAAGAGGGGAACGGCGGTGACGGCAACCGAAGGTGTCGTGTTTCGCTTGAGTGGAATATAGGAAGGAGAAGAGTCGAAGGGTGAATAGGTTGTGTAAAGCTGGGGAATCGACTGCAGGTAGAGATGAGGGATGTTGTATGATCAGCAGGCGCCGACGTCGAAGGTCGCCCGGTGTTGTGCCTCGTACAGTAATAACAGGAAGCGCAGGCCAGATTCCGCAGTTGCCAAGTTAACTGCTACGAGGTATGAGTCCCAGGTGTACGCTCCTCCGTATGGGCGGGGGGTTTGCTTAGGCGTTGGCGCCTTGTGCCCAAGCCACTCGCCCCGTCAAGTGACGCAAGCCTAAGGTACCTTATTAGTGAGTGGCCAACGCCATATTATTCATGCACAATAATCGATGCCCGCCACTTCATCAGTCATTTGCCCGGCATCATCTTTTTGCAGGCAAATTCATCAGCAGACGGTCACACATATCAGATTCGTTGTTTTGCCCTCACCAGCCCAAAGTTACTGCGTACAGTGTGAAGGACTCCTTGTCTTCTTGCTATTGATATCCTGCTCGGCCACCTAATGTTTGGAACCTTTATCTCCCTCTTCGACGGCCACCACCCTTCTAGCGAAAGAAATGGGGATCAACTTCGCTAGGATGCTTCTACCGGGAATTATCTGCGCACAGGGATGGAAAAACCCAGTGCACAATTGGATCTCGGCACCATGGTAAATGAGTCGCGTCCATGGGCGTATCCTCCGGATAGCGTTCCAGGTCTGTGTCACTATCAATAAAATGTGGACCGAAGAGGCTGGTATTTGTTGTCTTCCTCTACTTGTTCCTCACAGCAGTTACGAGTACCAGGTGCTGGAGCTGATACCCACCGACAGTAAGATGGATTCGCCACTGTACACAGTCACGACAGTATAACCAATATTGAGAAAATTACGGGCATTCTCTCAAGTCCTTTGTGAGGCCAATTCCATCAGCCTCGTATTCTCCATCGACTCTCACCACCTCTGACCAAGTTGAGGACGGCTTCCATAGCCAATGGGCTTCAAAATGCCTGGAACCTCCGGCTCAAGGTGAGACTCATCTGTCACAGAAATCCTCTCTTTTCAGTTCCCTTCGCCTGCTGGACCATTCCAGTCCTTTCCGACGGCGATTTAATTGTCGATAGTTCTCAAGGTCAACCCACTATCTGGGTGACTATTGCCGAAGGCCTGCAATGACGTCCTAGCGCCCATACAACCCGTTGGCTTCTGTTATCTAGCGGCGTTGGAAACCTCCGGATCGCCGACAGATGCAGATTCATGCAGATTCAAGCATGTCCAGCTGCATTTCCGCAGCAGCCACAAAGCCTAGTGAGCCTAAAGTGCCTCTTAAGCTCGAGCCATAGACGATATATGCTATTCTAACTCTTAGCCGCAACGTGTCATCGTTGTCAAAGATGTCCAGCACATCCGGGTCTCCCAAGTAAGGACCGCGTCTGCAGGCCGGTTTCGCTGTGATCTTGAGGACATGTTCGTGCATTCTCACAGGATGCAAGTTTCGGTCATTCCACCAGAGACTTGCTGATATCCATGGCATTCCATACCTGCTTCTAGTGAACAATTCGCAGCTTCAAGGCTGCGACGGAAGATATCGACATTCGCTACCACGACAACGCCTGCGCGAAGTTCAACAATGGGGAATCACGGCATGGATTCTTATGAGATGTCCAAAATCTCCTCAGAGTTGTCTATTCTCCTCCTCTCTTTGCGCCTCTCGCCCACTCTCTCAAGACGTTCTTCCTTATCTTCCCTGTACTCGTTTTGGGCAGCTCAGGGACGATCTCAACCTCGCGTGGGACCATGAACCTGCTGATTCCTGGATGTTCCCGTGCCCATTTGATGATATCTTCGCCCGTGACTTTCGAACCCGGCTTGACTGTGATGAAGGCTTTTGGCCGTTCACCCCAATGGCTGTCGCTGACAGCCGCAACGCCGCATTCGAGCATGTCAGGATGGGTGACAAGCAGGGACTCTAGAGCGACGGAAGAGATATTTTCACCGCCTACCATTGTCAGAACTGATCGAAACTCAACCCAGAGAGACTTACCGGAGATGATGATATCTTTGGCCCTGTCCAGAATCTGGATGGCTCCATCCTCATGCCATACAGCCAAGTCACCCGAATGTAAGACGCCACCGGAAAACAACTTCCTGGTTGCTTCTGCATCTCTATAATACCCTCTTGCACAAATGTTGCCGATAAAGACTATTTCGCCAATCTCTTTGCCATTCTTCTCGACATCCACAATGGTCCCTTCGGGTACCTCGGTTTTGATCACTCGGCAAGGTAGGGAAGTGACGAATCCATGTCCTTGACGAGCCATCTTGGCGTATTTGTCCTTGACATTGGGGAGCTGGTCCCACTCAGGCATCATATATCCTTTCGTGATCGGACCATAGGTCTCGGTCATTCCATAGACATGCACCGGGTGCAAATTGAGATTGGTCATCTGCTCGAACAAATGGGCTGTTGGTGGACTTGCTGCGACTGTCACCCGCACTGGCTTTGGCAGTTGGACTGCATTTGAGTCTGCGCAGAGCAGGGTATTTACCGTTGGCGCAGCGCAGTAATGCGTGATACCCTCGTCTTTCAGCAATCTCCATATCTCGGGGTAATCAATCTTTCGCAGACAATAGTGTGTTCCTCTTGCTGCTGTTACCGCCCAAGGAAACGTCCAGCCCATGGCGTGGAACATGGGTAACGTCCACAGATACTTGCAACGGTCTCCATCATGATAGGCGAGGCCTGATTCGATAACATTACCCAAGGCTGCCAGGTAGCAGCTGCGGTGGGTGTATTCAACACCCTTGGGTCGGGAAGTCGTTCCAGATGTATATGCCAGTGCATTGACCGCGAGCTCGTCGGGTGCCTGTGCCTCAAGGCCTTCCCAGCCGTGAGCACCATGCTCGTGATCATACTGAAGACCTTCCAACACGGCTTCATCGAAGGGTCCGCATAGCTGTCCTTCCACGGCGTCCGTGTCGGAGTCGATAATTATGGGCACTTCAGGATGTTTCTGCCTGTAATCGTCGAGAAGATCGACGAACTCGGCATCCACTATGATCGCGTCTGCATTTGCATGATCGAATATGTACGCAATGTCGTCCTTTTTCAAGCGATAATTGATGGCGATGTTGATCGCACCTGCCCCTCCAATACCATAGATGGCCTCGAGGAAAGCAGGCGTATTTGTGCACAATATTCCGACCCTCTTGTACCCCTTCTTTTTCACGTAATATGCGAATCCTCGAGCGCGATCAGCGAACTCGATATACGTCCGCCGCAGGATCTTGTTGTTCGAGGTTCGGTGATAAATTGCCAGCGCATTGGGTTCGATGGCCGCTGCGCGAGGAAGAAAGAAGCAAGGAGAAAGAGTGTGGTGATTGTACCACGACGAACTGCCGACCTTGCGGCCGTCGACTACCAGATCGTCGATGGATTTGCCTTCAGAAGAAGAGGTAGAGGAGGGAAGGAAATGCCCGACCAGGTTGGCCAGACGGGACTTCGGGGAGGACATGGCGGTCGACTGGGTGCGATTATGAGGACATGACGGGTCAGTTGTGACAATGGCTGTTTGTACAGGGTAATGTACAGTCGCGAAACGCAGAGAAGTACGTCCGACCGGAGTGCTGGAACAACGATGTGAACTATATCCTGTGCTTGATGACAGCGATCGCAACTTGAGTCTGGCTCATCAACGAGTCAACCGAGGCTCCTGTGGCTCCTCCATCCGGGGAAAGCTCAAAGCTAGGGGTGGAGTTACAAGGGATGAAGGGCATGATGGGGGCTGTTAATTCCCACCTCAGCTGATACCACCACTTCCACCTCGACCTGATACGCCGGTCAAAAGGGACACGAAGCTACGGAACCATCCACCCACCATCCTCGTCGTGGCAGCCACTGCTATCTCATAGGTGCCTCAGTCTTACGGATCCGACTCTCTGATTTCCTCTCGGCCGCAGCTCGGAACCCGACGTCTACGGACACCACATCGATTTCAGTATCATTATTGATCTTGTGGGCTGAACCCGACTCGGTCTGATAAGACTCCTGTGTACTCCGTATTCGTTCCCCCAGCATATCGAATCCGAACGATTCCCGAGCCCGGAGCTTCAGACTGGCCAATGATACCTACCAAGAGGATGATGGGCACTGAATGGGTCAACATCAACATCACAGCTTCAGCTCAAGGCAGCCGCTATGTCAATATGTCCAGACAATTCGACAGAATGTCTTCTTCGAGCTCTGGTCACCGAAGTCAATGCCAGTCGAGCCTTATTAGAAGAGTTACTTGAAGCAACCTCCAAATTCAATTGGGATCCATTGAATTTTGCCTTTACAGCTGCCATCGGCGCCTTAGCTTTGCTTATTGCTTGCATCACCGTCTTCCAGGGCCTTCTTACAGCCGGGCCTGGTCGCATCAAGGCAAGCAAGCTTGCTATAGGTCCTTACGCCAAACGTTCCAAATCTCGTTTTGACTTCACCGAACTATCTTTGCGCACGGTTGTTTTCGTCCCCTCTATTGGGAGTGAGAATAGAATCCATCGCGTGAAGAAGGATTTCCCTGATCATGCTTGCTGCAGCAAATATGATCCGTCGGCTGGCAGGAGCGAGTCATCTGCTTCATGGCTCCGATTGCTCGTCGAGCTGGGGATTTCGGAGCCTTGTCTTTGGTCACTTGTCGCTCGCCAGACTGACAATCTCCCCGTCGACATATCAGCAGCACCCGCCACAGGCTCTGTAAGGTTTCTTTCACATCTTGCAGCAATCTCGGATGACGATTGCATCGTTGAACAACGCCCTGACAGTCGCTTTGTTTCGGTCATTGGGAAGTCGTCACAGCTCACCTTTCGCGACCATCCCGTGCTAGGGTTTGTCGCCATGTACGAGACTTACCGCGAGAGTCCCTACTACCGAGGCGGTCACTCCAAGAAGTCCGGTGCAGATCGCCGGCCGGTCACAGGTATTAGGGGCTTGCACAGTGTCGGGGTCGAGGAGACCGCTGGTATGCTTGACCTCTCCCATGGGCTTCTGAAGTGCCGCTATCTAGGGTACGCCGTGACTGAAGGGCTGATTCAACTGAACTTTGGACTGTTGCTGCAAAAGCTCACGTCACATTGCACGCACCAACACTTGGACGACAACCCTTCGTCCATCTTGTTTAGAGGACGAGGTTCTTACGGTGCAAGGCGTGCTCATGGCTACATTCACTTTTTGCTGTTCTTCACATCGGTACCTTCATTGGTTCGTGCCTTTCCTTCGAAGCTTTTCGGTCTCCGAGCAGCAATGCTTGAGATCAGCCACCTCATCCCAGCATGGAGTAAGTCACCAATCGAAGTGATCACTGAAATCGGCGGCGTGGTCCACACATACGGTGGCACATTCCTGGAAATCCCCACTGATGCATATGTATTCTATGTTCTCGGCGCTCGTGCTCGCCATTACTCAAGCTCTTCATGGATCGAAGCTCCGCCGGGTGCTGGTTGGTGCACAAACAGTATGCACAGCGACTTTCGTAAAGACGAGAATGATCTTGTATACAGCGCGGAAATCATTCGGTTGTGTTGCGGATGGCTCAAGCGCATCTCTGGGGACGAGAGGGAATTGAAGAAACTCCTGTCCGAAGATCTGAAACATTTCAAGGACAAGCTACTGGCAGCCCTGTATCTTGTTGACGACTGGCTCCGACGCCGTAATAAGGAAGAAACCATCTGCGCTGCACTATTGATCATACAGGACGCTTCTGTCAGACGTTCACTACACACGCTTCCCAACTTTACGACCGCTGACGACGCACAACCTGTGCAATCCCTGCACGATGATCTTCCGGAAGATGTCGACCAACCAAGACTCCGTGATCTGAAGGTCATGATGGCGTATCGAGCAATTTTGCTGGGTGCACTTCTCGAACTCAGCACGGACACCAGTTGCATCGTGGATGCAGCTTTTCAAGATACAATCGTCAAGATACTGTGATTCTAGAGGGACACACTTACGTCACTATCAGTGAGAAGGATCAAAGATTTTATTTGGCTGGCATCAGTCCGCTATCCTTACGCATATCCCAGCGACCAGAACGTCTCAATGTTCTTGCCGGTATCCTCATCCACATAAGGCGGCGGCTGGGCCAAGGTTACATTGTTGCCGTGGATCTCGGCGATCTGGCCAGTCAACGATGAATCGGACACCAGCTGTTGCACTCCTCTCGTCAAGGTCGACATAGGGGTCATGATCATCGGCTTGAAAAGGTCTTTGCTCGGCGCGATATTCGTTTCTGTCGAACAAGTTAAAACCACTTCGGCCGCTTTCATGTATGAAGCACATACCTAGGACCGCCGGAGCAAGCGCATTGATTTGGATTGCTTGCTTCTCAAGAGGTCGTGCAAGCGACCTAACCAGGCCAACCACGCCAAATTTGGAGGCTGCATAGATTGGGGCCACTGGAAATGGATATAAGCCGGCATTGGACGCTGTGCAAATGATTGATCCCCTCGAAGCCGGCATCGCTCCATTGACGGGCGCATTCTTCTTGATATAATGGATTGCCAGTTTTACGGCTGCCAGCGGATCAGTCCCGAATATGAGCCATGAAAGAAAGACAAGCCACTCACTGTAAATAGTGCCAATCAAATTGACCTCCAAGGTCGGGAGGTTGGGCTTTGATGGCGTTTCCTCGTCCACGATGAGTGGACCTTCCTTCGATATCCCAGCATTCGCCATCACGACATCGATCCGGCCTTGGTCTTGGTGAATCTGCTCAAAAGCTGCGGCAAGCTCGTCCCAGTTTGATATGTCGACCTTGTGGAATGAGAAGCTTGCGTCGGAGAACTCTGAAGACAGTGCTTTGACAATATTTGTGCCTTCGGCATTGACATCCAACACAGATACGTGTGCGCCTTGTTCGGCGAAAGAGCGAGTGATTCCAAGACCTATACCGCTGGCGCCGCCTGCAAGTGTCGCCCATTGTTAGCCGTCCTGCGCAGGTTGCATGGTGATACCGAACCGCGGGTAGATATTCTGAGCTGAGCAGACTTACCTGTGACGACGATACTCTTCTTCTGCCCAGCCATGATGGTTGTCGGATACGGACCGTCTTCCGCGGGGGATTGTGAGAAAGGTCGGGCTCTTTCTCAGTCTTGATATCACAGTGACCAGGGATTTCTCGCTAGCAAGCTGCCGCAATGATGAAAACACCCACGACTGGACTTCTTGAGGCTGTGAAGTTCTCATGCGTTTTTCTTCTCTTGCGCGGATGGCGGAACTGTTTAACTGAAGTCGGTTGACTGTCCGGAAATGCCCCACGATATCGAACCCATCTTTACAGAACGTGGGCAGTCGTGGGGCAAGCCACAGCCTTGTCCTCTCCATCTTTTGCGGTTCTCGCCAATCAATCTCAGCCCCAGCAAGTGCCGAAGAGAACAAAACGCGAATCAAGCGAGAAAGCTACTAACCCCATCATCCCCCCATCGGATGATGGCCAAACATGTGTTTGCACGCTCCGGAAAAGGCGAACCTTTTCGGCCTTTGCGTCCCCATATGTGGGCAATGTGGGAGTGCCGGATTATATCATCCTATCGACTATGCAGCTTTGCCGATGTCTTCCTACATCTGATCATATCCCTGTCCCCAGGTGCAGGTTGCATTCACGAGTAGCAGGGATCATTGTGCAAGGCTGCCAACAACGGTACAATCCTTCTTTTCTCCCCACAGACATCACCATGGCGGAGATCAAGATCGACCAGGATATGCTTGGCTCAGTCAATGGCAAGGTCGTGGTCCTAGCAGGTATGCGGACGACCTTGATATTAATGATGCCTCCCAACCCTTGTCTTACATCGTGATCTCTAGGCGGCGCTCAGGGTATCGGCGCAGCAACTGTCACCCAGCTGTACCAATCAGGCGCGCACGTCTTCTTCGGCGACTGGGACGACAAGAAAGGGCCGAACCTCGCTGAGGAACTCAAATCCTCCTCCAAGTCTGCCGGCAGTGTGACATATATGAAATCCAATGTTCGCGACTACCAATCTCTCTTGTCATTGTTTGATGCTGCATACTCCAAGCATGGCCAGATCGACATGGCAATATGTTGTGCGGCCGTTACGGAGCGACCTGGGTATTGGGAGCCAGACAAGCTGAACCTGGAAAGCGTTAGGGAGGCGAGTCTACACTCATCCCAGCATCTTATTTTGGACGCTGAGAGCTGACGAGGGCAGACACCAACCGGCATCGCCGATGTGATCGACATCAATCTCAACGGCACATTGTACTTCGCCCGCCTGGCCGTCGCCTACCTGAAAGAAAAGCACACTTTCGACAGGCAATCCACCACCGCCGAGAACATCACGTCGTCGAAATGCATCACACTAGTCTCTTCGGTCGCCGGATTCAAAGAGTCCCCAGGCTTGTTCGCATACTCTGCCGCCAAGCACGGCGTCATGGGATTGATGAGAGCTCTGCGTCCGTTCACATCCCAACTGTACGGTTTGAGGGTGAATGCTATCTGTACGTCTTCTCTTCTCCATCTCGGCTCCAAGATGCTGGTGCGGTGGGTGGGGCAATAGCTGACATGAGCGACGTTCAGGTCCCTGGGCTACTGACACGCAACTTCTCTCTGGCGTGCGCACCGAATGGACGAAGAACAACATGCCGATGAATACGCCGCTCGATGTGGCGAAATACATCATCCAGGTCACGGCAGATCCGAAGGCGCATGGGAAAGGGCTCTTCGTGACGGGCGGGAATGCGGTTGACATTGAGGAGGGCCTGAACAGGACGGAGCCAGAGTGGTTGGGGGAGAAGAATAGCCGGGAGTTGAATGAGGGACAGGTGATTTTGGGATTGGTAAGTTTGCACCTACGATGTTCCCTAGTATTTACCAGCTGGGCCTTTCGATCTAAAGAGGCCCTGTCTCGGTGAATTTTTGTGACGGATGTAAACTGACTGGATGGGTTAGGGAATGGACTGGGGGACATGACGAGTCATGAGAATGTCGGGAAGGGAAGGGAAGCGACCATGGCTGCCCGTCGCCGTCGCCGTCGCTCGGACCAGGCACCACAATGTGGAGGACTGTACAGCTCTACCATGGTTAGGTGCCCCTTGCATTCGCCTGTAGTGTACATAGGGGGTGAGAACGCGAGCAAATGAGGCAGCAATGGTCCTGCAATACTAGTAGCTATTTTCTACGTGGTTGTGGTTCCGATACCACAAAGCTAGAGAGATGCCACTTTATGCGACACATCTAGTATGGCTTAGGTAAGGTATGTAAGGCGCATGGAAATTGTCACAAGAGTTTCGCTTCCTTGCGCCCATCTATATGCACCGGTTACCCATCTATTGCAGATCCTCTCCCAAACAGACGTCGCTATTTCTTGTAAAACATCTCGTGAGATAAAAAACTCCGATTGCCATGCTGAAAATCATCACACATACCACTGGTGTGTGTATAGCGTTACTTTCTCCTCATCGCTCCTGACGTCCGCCATGCCGAAGATCATCAAACATGATAGTATGTATAGCGTTACTTCTCCTCGTCAGTCCTGACGTCCGCCATGCTGAAGATCATCAAACATGATAGTATGTATAGCGTTACTTCTCCTCGTCAGTCCTGACGTCCGCCACGGCAACGGGCATCGGTCCACTGGTGGCCTCGGCAAGATTCTTCTTCCTCACATCCCATCCGCCGGTCCAGCCGATCCAGCCTTGCTCATACGGGCCTCTAGCCAAACAAATCAAAAAGGTCAAGCCGATGAAGGCGACGCTCAAACTCCCACTGGCAATCCAACCTCCTCTCTCATACAGCTTCGCGCCCGCACTCGTCCCCGTCAATTGGCCCGTGAACGTGAGCAGCATGAAGGCCGTGTTGACCCTGTTCCTGGCGTTGGGCTCGATCGACGATATCGCGGCACGGTTCGCCACCTGGGTGATCTGCAGACCCATATCGAGGGTGAAGGCTTGGATGATGGGACCGGCGACGGAGTGTTCGCCCGTGTACGTGCCCACAACGACGCCCGTGAGGTTCGCGACCAGACCGAACAAACAACTGAACATCGGGGCGAAGGGCTGGATGAGGAATTTGGCGTAAAGGGGGCCCAGACCTATGCCGGCGATGCCGATCAGGCCGAACAGGCCGATGACGACGGGGCTGTAGTGGTAAGGGGCATCGGCCAGGAGGAAGGTCAGGGTGGTCCAGTAGCTCGTGAAGCAGGCGGAGACGCAGTAGGAGATCAGGCCGGCTTGGACCAGGACGGCGTGTTTGCGGTAGAGCAGGATGATGCCGCCGATCATTTTGAAGTAGTTCAGCCCGTCCGGGTTGGAGGATGGGTAGTCCGGCATGAACAGCCAGAGCGCGATGAAGACGCAGTATTGCAGGGCCAGGGCGATCCAGTAGATGTTGCGCCAGGACGTGTAGTTGGTCACGACGCCCGAGAGGATGCGCGCGACCACGATGCCTAAGAGGTTGCCGGAGGTGACGATGCTCAGGGCCATGGCGCGTTGGGTGGGTGGGGCCAGTTCGGCGACGAGCGGGAGCATGACTTGCGGGATCACCGTCGTGATGGCGCAGATGTAGCTGATGGCGCAGAAGGCCGCGAAGGAGCGTGTGAGGCACAGGCCGATCCTGTGAGTGGGTGAGCCTACAGACTGTAGTAGGGAATGGAGCTTGCTTGGGGGAGGGCAGTGGCCCCCGGAGATAAGGGCAAGTTCGGGTGTGCGAGGTTGAGAATGAGAATGAGACTGAGACGGAGAGAGGTGGTGGTGGGATGATGGTGAAAAACGCTTACCACAGAGTCGCTGTGAAAAGGACCAGGCCCAGTGTCAATGGTCGTCGCTTCAGTAAGTCGCCCAGCGGGCAGACGAAGAGCAATCCCGTCGCATAGCCGGCCTGCATCAACGTCGGGATACGAGATACCGTGACATAAGGAACGTCGAAGTCGTGCGCTAAGATGTTGAGGATCGGATGGTTGTAGTAGAGGTTGCCCACGGTGAAAGCGCCTGCAAAGGCGAAGAGGACATTATGCCAGACCGAGAACGTGGGCGGCTTTTCTGGGTTCCAGCGACACCATGTTGGCGTGTAGGTTAGGAACTCGACGATTTTGTAGTCCCTCCAGGAGTTGTCCGTCGACAGGGTTGTTGGTTTCTTGTCGTCATTTCGCAGCTCGTCAAAGACTTCGGCTTCGGCGCCTTCCTGGCTAGCAGTAGGAGACCATGCTGGTTGCTCGCTGGGCGTCTTCTCGTCCACCATGCCCAGATGTTTTGTGTTAATTTATTTCGCAGCTCCAGCGGTGGGAGGTACTCGTACGATATGCGTGGAAGACGGGCCTTGACGGGAGAAAATTAAGTGTTGTTAATCCTAAGGCGGTGGAGATCGGTAAGCCGGTCTTTCGCGGAGTTTTCGTCGATAAGGCTCACACTCCAAGGTTAGGGGTCCTGATGGGCGTCACCAGGCCTAAGTCGATGATCCGTAGGCTCGGATAGACACTCGGAAGGCGTGGTCTCTGCGGCTGTCTGAATCCACCAGCAAGGACTGTGCAAACACTCACGATTTCGAGCATTTCCAGAGATTGAAAGACGTCTTAAACGCAAAGTGTGCTTCAACTTGGCCCGAGGTACTCATTGTTCTTCGAGCGTCATTCGTGGAACATCAGCAAACACGGTGTTGTTGCGATCAAGCAGGAGAATGTCCCACATTGTCGCCGCGAACGCTTAGATGCCGACTTAGCCGGCACTGCCGGCGATGAAGGGCCGTGATGGGCCCAAACCTCAAATCAGGGGTTTAACAATGGGGGCATGATTGGGGCAGCCCACGCTAATAAAGATACTGGTCGCGGTCCTTGCGAAGACGTTCGTTATTGTGATGCTGCCTCAAGCAGATGGCGATGATAAAGGACTGGTCGAGGGGACACGGTGCAGCTATCCAGATGGAGAGGTCGCCCACGTGACGTCCATTCGACACCACTGTTATGCATTTGATCATCAGCGGCGACAGTGACTACAGCATTCAGTCATCCTAGACGCGAGGGGAACCTTATTCAGTTCGAGTCAGGTCGCGAGGCCGCCGCTCTTATTGGAGAAATGCAACCTCGTAGGTGACTGGGCTTTTGCTCGCTCGAGCAGCCCTTATGACTCACAAAGTGACTGATATAGTGCACATTGTCTGAAAATCGAGATAGGTGGCATTCAGGACACATATTATACTGCAACCAGCTTCAACGGTCACAAAATGGACGAAACAGCTGACTCCAAGGTTCTGGTTCGAGAAGGATACAATAAAATCGCTGAAAAGTACTTGCAATGGACTCTGGAGGAGGAAACACTTCGCACCATGTTTCTAGAGAAGCTCTTATCCCACATCGACGATGCATCCAAGGCCAAGGTGCTTGAGTTGGGCTGTGGCGCAGGCATCCCGTCTACGAGGATGCTCGCCGAGCGTTTTCAACATGTGGTCGCTAACGATATCTCTGACGCTCAAATTGACCTGGCTAGAACAAATGTACCTCATGCCAATGTCGCCTTTGTGCGGGAAGATATGACACAGCTCACCTTTGAAAGCGATTCATTGTCGGCTGTTGTGGCCTTCTATTCAATCATCCACTTGCCTCGAGAGGAGCAACCTGCGATGCTCAAGCAAATCTGGACATGGTTGGCTCCTGGAGGCTTTCTGTTGTGCAACCTTGGTGTCACGGATGATCCTGGAACTATGAATGAAAATTGGCTGGGAGCTCGCATGTACTGGAGCAGCTTCAACGTGGAGACAAATATTGAGCATCTCGAGAAAGCTGGGTTCACCATTGTCGAGTCCGAAGTGCTGTCAATCAATGAGGATGGAACCATGGTACCGTTTTTATGGATATTGGCGAGAAAAAGCGGTCTCGAGTCTGGACAGGGTTAACAATGAGATCTGTCATCGGCTCGAAGATGTCTCGAGATTGGGGGACGCTGCGTCATGGCAAACCCATACGAGTGTACAGTGACTTGGAACTGCATCTATCGAACCCGATTATCACGTTTGTAACGCTTGAATGTGATTCGAAAGGACGGAGGACTATGAATGGGTGATGAACATGAACACGAACATGGGTTGCTGCTCGAAGCGCGGCGCACTTCTAGATTAGGTAACCATGCCAAGAACGGCCAAAAAGTTGTGATCATGTGATCATGTGATCATGACACTCATCGAGTCATGTCCAATTCTAATGACAGTACGAGGTTCCGTAGTTGTCAAAACACTGACCAAACCAGTCGTCCTTTCGTATTCCTCCAGGTCTCGATCCTTCGGCTCGGTCTTCTACTGATGCTTCCTACTTCCCATTGGTGCATCCTATCAGCATTCGCACAACGGAATGGAGCGGCACTTCGGCTCGAATCGTCGACCACCACCTGACTAGTCTTTGCGCTGTTCGGTGCTCGTGAGTGGCGTCAAGGTATGATGTGATCTCCGTGTTTCTTCGGTCTCGGTCCCCGGATTGAGTATGGAGAGTGGCACAAATACGATGTGGTGGACCATGGGCTATTTCAATACGGCTGAGTGAAGCTTCTCTGATTGAGAATAGCCGGCAATAAGAATTGCCCGCCAAAAAGCTTCAGCTACATCGAAGAACTCTCTCAAGCACCAACAAAGTGAGCGTGACCACTCGAACCGAAAAACTACGATATTCAGCCTCGATGGAACCACAATTTGCTCGGAATATAGCCCTTGGAGGAGATGGGGTAAGTGTTGAGGATGCTCCGTTTGCAAATTTCCCTGCCGGGAAGCCCATAACTGCTGTCGACATAGGCAGTGCTGGGCAGGTATGTATACACAGAGGGTATGTCGATGTTGCGGACGTGCCACGATTTTCCTGCCAGCTGCAAGCGAAAACTATCAGGGTGATATTCCGTACGACATCAGGTTCATTCTCCAGGCAGATGCCATCTGAAAATGTGTCCACAAATGGGATTTCCAGGTCAGGCTTCATCGTTTGCACCGAATGTTACCGAAGTGGCATTGTCTCAGCCCTCCCTGCGTCTTCGATCTCAAGCGTCAGTCCATGTACGAGTGCTCGTGGCCATGGTTCCATCTATACCGGCACCGCCTCCCTGCACTCCTGCTCGAGCACGGGCAGAAGTCATTCGAGCGCGAGCACAGAGAAGGCAAGTGGTTCTGGCTTGTCCTGTCGGGACCTTCTGAGGTTCTGGACGCCTGATCCGACTGGAAGCACGCTTACTTGTAACACATACATAAATACCGAAGACGCTGACTTCGAAGATGTAAAAAGGTTTCGGGATCATGCGGCCTTCTTCCAAAGACAGAGCCTTCACGGTGACCCCAGGCAGAGCCTCGATCTCGCGAAGGGAGAACCAGAATTCTATGTATTGTCAAACCGTTTCTACACACGTTGGATGGAGAAGAAGGCTCTGGAAGGTAAGAGAAATCCTTTATGCATCCTTTCCGATAATAGTTTCTGACAAATGCAAGTCCAATGTCATTGTTTTGGCATAAAATTGCGAAACCATAATGTTGACTACGAACCTTTTCAGGACACTTTCTTTACAGCCCTTATAAAACCAACATCCGCTGTCCGGCTCTTCAATGGTGATGTTGATCAGGGCATACGCCTGGTGACTATCGAGCTGCTAGACAGTCTGCTTATCATCTGGACTTCATTTCTGGAATCAATCTCGTACGATACTGCTTATCTACCGCACGATCGTCTGCAATCGAACGCGAGAAAGTCGTCACCCGAGTGGCGACATGTCAAAGGCTTTGCGAGGGCGATCAGGGAGATCATCATGTGCTCCGAGGCTGCTATTGAAGCTATCTCCTTGATCACCACTTTGACCGAGAACGACAAAACGATTCTCCGCGACGTAGAGTTTGAGAAGCGTCTGCTGCATAAGGATGCTTCTAACAGTATGGATGATCTTGAGCAGAGCATGGAGCGACTACTGACTAGAACTGAGCAAGCGATAAGCCAGCGGCAGGATCTCAACATCGGGCGCCTAACTATTTTGTCGGCAATATTCCTTCCACTTACTACTTCTTGCAGTTTACTGAGCATGTCTACACGCGTCAATCAGCTTGGTGCACTCTGGTGGGACTGGCTTGGTATAGTCGTTACCATTGCAATTGTCACCCTGACTGTGTGGCGCACAAATGACAAATGGCGCCGACGCCTTGGCCGTTGGAGAGATGTTTGGGAGCGGCTTCCCTCCCGTGATCTATGGGCCCGGGCAAGGGAGACTGTTCTCGACCACGAAACCCTTACTACTGGTCATCGAAGATATGGGTTGATACCTCCCGCCACAAGCGTTGCATTCATCATCAGCAAATATCTTCTAATCATCGGGGCCACAGTGTCATTCCTGATTGGTATGTTCCTTGAAGTGTCTCAAGGAGCCCGGGCTCTTGGCTATAGTGTCGCTATTGCTTTCGGTAGCTGCTTGCTTATCGTTGGCATCTGGAGATGCTATGGGGCCATGAAATGGTATCGACGTCGTGCGGCCCAGAAGCGCAAACAAGGGGATCCTGACATGGCCTCTGCAATACCCTCCGGGAAGAGGTTCCGCGAGAAACTGAGGCGAAGATTGGCAAGATTCCAGCAACAACTGCGCCATGCACCTATCTTTACCATTTTGACTGTTATTGTGGATGTTGTTCTCTATCCCATAGTGACGGTTGCTAGTGCTCTCATTTGGCTCTTTGTTGGCGATCTACCTGCGCGGGCCGTAGTGCAATTTGCAGGGTTTTGCATCGAAATCGCGTGGCCAGAGATGGAGTTTGATCTTAACAATCCAGAATACGTCACGCAACTCACACAGCAGTTCTCTCGACCAGGAGATTCAATCGATTGGGAAGAAAGCCTTTCGGATGAGAGAGCTAGCTTCACTAAGATCGTCTGTCTTCTTATCATTCTGGGTATGGCCGTGGTCAAGGCAACAAAAGATGACAAAGACCACCATGTTGATCAAGCAACCAATTCGTCTGAGCTGATCACCGCAATTCCCAATACCGACAACAAGGTTGACACAAGCACTGTCTAGGCGCAATTTGTATCTGAACTGGGACCACGATTGCGAGCAAACATGGGCATCGCGGGATCAGGACATTGCAAAGCACGGAAAGCCTAGCGGTCACTTACTCGAGAAGATTCACTCTCCTGTTCCACCGAAAGTGTGTCAGCAGGCCGGCCGAGTACTGTGTACTTGCCAGATTCTCTAATCCTTTGAGATAGGCAATCCATACATAACCGACAACTTTTTCTTCAATTCAAGTCCGCTTACGGCTGAGTCTTTTGATTTTCCTCCACCGGATGCTGATTGAAACCTTTTAGGCCTGATCATGTCAGATACGAGAAGGTAATATGGCGCATGAGTAATCAGTAAGATTGTCATTCACACCTTGTGTGGATGCTTCAAACAGGAACCCAAGAAGTCTCGACCGCCTTGCGAGACTTTTGTACCGGGATGGAGCATTGGACGCCAACTGGTATTCAGACACGCAAGAGGAGGAGAAAGGCTCAGGAAAGGCGAAGAAATGCTCATGTCACGTGATCGGATTGAATCTCTTGGCGTCTTTTCAGTTTATTTTCAGTTTTGACTTGGTCCGACAGCAATTTCACGCTTCTTACATCTTCGTCTGGCTGATCGCAGGTGAGAGGTACATCTTTCTAGCTTCTAAGTAATTGGATGCTTCCCGCCTTGGTCAGACTGGCCTTCCTCCACTCGACACGTTTGCAAACGGAATTTTACCGTCGAAACTGGAAGATCTCGCCATTCCACGCGTTTTTATGCCCGCTATGCTATGGCTCTCTGCTGAATGAGACGAGCACCATATTTCGATTGTTCGCTTCAGACAGTCATTTGCTTCGGCCGGACTTCTCAGATGCAATGGCCACAATTGCTATACGGGCGGAATAGGTGGACAATATCTTTTCTGTTGTCTGCAAGATGCATACGACACGAGAGCCACGAACAATGGGAAGGCTGGATTCCTGTCTGCCGGATGATCCCTGTTGCCTCTCAGCTGAGTCAAGTCTCTCGAGGCGGGTAATCCATTCGGATGCCTCAAATCTTGTACGACATCTGCGTTTGTTGAGCAACCTCGTAATTTGGTCTCCACAACCCGTGACCAGCGGGCATGCGTCTTGGGTATATGAATCCCTTTCTGGTGCGATTTCCTCTGTGCATCTCCTTTGAACATTTCGTCTAAGTTCATCCACGCTCACAATGACATACACCTTCTTGAATACACTACTTGGAGCAGCCTTAGTAGTCAAATTTGTCCTGGGCTACAGTCTCATCCACCAACCTATTATATTCTTATCCTCAACGATACACATACAACTAATTCTTACTGCCTTGTGGGTTATCTGGTTGGCACCCATAGTAAGTCCGCTGCGGAAGTTCCCCCTTGCTCCTCAGGGACCATGGTGGAAAACTTTCCTGCTCGAACCAGAGCCTGACGACCTGGAACGATATATGAGGTCAACACCAAACGATGGCCTTATTCGCTATTTCGGAGTCTTCCATGACGAAAGACTCCTCATCACCAAGCCTCAAGGAACGAAAGACATGATGCTTTTGCAGCCTTACAACTTCAATAAACTTGCCATTTCCAGGAAACTCATTGGACATCTCACGGGTCGAGGACTCGTAATTGTGGACCAAGAAGAGCACAAGGTTCGTTAAAGTCCGCATGGCCCAATATTCACTAACGGTCGTGATAAGCGCCAACGAAAAGCTATGGCTCCAGCTTTCAAGTTCAAGCATATTAAGAATCTTTTCCCAAAGTTTTGGTTTCACGCGACTCGACTCGTCCAAGCTCTGGAAGACCATATTGATAGGACAACTGAGGAATCAGCCATGGGTTGTCGTATCGACGTGGACAACTGGCTGATGCGCACTACACTCGATGTCATAGCCTCTGCTGGCTTTGGTGTAAATGTCAATGCAACCCAGGCTCCTGATAATGAGCTCGCAAGGCTATTACCTTTGGCAATGACGACAAGCTCACGGGCGACTTTTTACCGGCTATTGGGCTCCCTGCTGCCCGAGTGGCTATACTTCAGGCTGCCAATGGAGAGAAAATTTGAAATAGACCGGATGAAGAAGGCCCTACACAACGCCACAATGCCACTCATCGAGGCGAGAAAAGCCGCCTTCTCTCGCCGGGAAACCCTTGATCCAGAAGCTGGGGAAGACAAAAATACCGGAGATTTTGCGGACACAGATGTCATCGCAACCCTGCTCCGGTTTCCACATCCGCCTTCTGATGAGGAGCTGTTGGCTCAGTCGGCAACTATCATGGTTGCTGGTCAAGACACTACGTCCGTTGCCACGACATGGGCATTGTATCTTCTGGCGCATCATCCGAACGTTCAAGCGGCATTGCGACACGAGGTGCAAACTCATTTACCTAGTCCTGACTCCAAGACTGAGTCGGTGGATGCGCCACTCGTCGAGTCACTTCCATTCTTGGCAGCAGTGTGCAGTGAGACGCTGCGTCTGTTCCCTCCAGCGCCAATCCTCAGGAGACAAGTGGCAAAGCCTGGAACGACCCTTCTAGGCGAACATCTACCTGTTGGGACACAAGTTGCCACAAGCATCTGGGGAACTCATCACTCCGAGAGCATTTGGGGGCTGGATGCGGATCAATTCAAACCTGAGCGATTCCTCCGGCAAGCAGAAAATGGCAAGTTGAAGTTTGATCCTCACGGTGGTCTCGAGGGTGAAGCAGCCACGTACTCCTTTGTTCCCTTTGGAGCCGGTGTCCGAAGCTGCATTGGCGAAAGATTTGCAAGAGGGGAGTTCGCAATACTCTTGGCTGTTCTAGTCGGCAAGTTTGACTGGACACTGACCAACCCAAAAGCAAAGATGGGAGACGACGTTGTGCTCAACTTCAGCCTTATCATCAAGCCACAAGGAGGATTGTCGCTGATGGCAAGGAAGATTGAGGGTTGGTAAGATACTCGAAGCAGGATCGCTGGATAATGGTTTGTTCATGAGCTTGACTAGCTCCGTGAGAAATGCCTTCTTTGTCAATGTCTTTGTCAGGCTACCTCTGCCCAGCAGATGTACCGAAGGCCATCTCCGTCTGGTGCCACAAGCCAATATGCAGTCTGCAAGTTGGAAACATACACTTTTGACAAGAGCCAGCGGAAACACAACCGCCTCAGAGTGGTGTCTGACCCACGTGACTGAAGGGCTATTTACGAGCTTCCATATTGGAGATAGCCTTGTCCCATATCTATGGAGTCTCACCCAATCGATCAGAACCTATCTTTCAGCCTCGCAGATCACCGCGGAGCCGTTTCACGCTTGGTCTGTCGAGGGATTCTTTGGCAAGGATTATCTACAGGCCATATGCATGTCGTCATCGGATTTCGACGACAAACAGCAGAATCTGTCGAATATCATAGTCACAATGTGGTCATCAGCCATGCAGGATGCATCGTCTGGCTTGCCCGGTCGACAGAGATAAGATACCCTGTCAACAGAGATTTTCCTCCTTCTCTCAATGGGTGTCCGACAATATTCTACGTACCAAGTCTCTGGGCGCGTCACTCTACGCCGGTCATTGCCCGGCTCGCCGGGCTTCTTGACCGTTATCGTGAATACCTACCTGGCGTGTGAGTACGTATATCTATAAAGCCCTGCTGTTTCCCCTTGTCTCTGAAGGCTGCCTACTTCCATTCGATCGCAATCTGGTCTTGTCTTCTGCGTCTATCACCATGTCGAGTTCTGTCTCTACAGTCCTCCCCGTAGGAGCAGGCTATGGTGTCGTTGTTGGTATTGGCTTTTTCTTCACCGCCGTCATGATTGGAATATCCATGCTACAGGTATGACGTCTCGGCATCTGCTAGCACCTAGGCCTAACTGGAGCAGAACAGATATACCAACTTTTCCACGAGGACAAGCGAAGAATTCAACACAGCAAGTCGCAGTATCAAACCTGGTCTCATCGCCGCTGGCATTGTGTCTGCTTGGACATGGGCGGCTACCCTTCTACAGAGTAGCACTGTGGCGTATACATATGGTGTGGCAGGGCCCTTCTGGGTGAGTACTATATTCTTCCTCGTGAGTCCCTCGACTGACACGTCAAAGTATGCTGCTGGAGCTACTGTCCAAATTTTAATGTTCTCTATTCTCGCCTGCAAGACGAAGATGAATGCTCCTCACTGCCATACCTTCCTGGAGATTATTCAAGTGCGCTATGGACGCTTCGCTCATTGCGTCTTCATTTTCTTCGCCCTCGTCACGAATATCCTCGTCGGCTCACAACTACTGCTTGGAGGGTCTGCTGTTGTCACTACTCTGACAGGCATGAACGTGTATGCGGCGATCTTTTTGATCCCATTGGGCGTGGTCGCCTACGTAGGTTGCTCCGCTCTTTCCACTGTGTCGCTGCTGACGCAGTCTGGAATGTAGGTCTTGATGGGCGGTCTCCGTGCTACCTTCTTATGTAAGTGTATTTCCTCAGCTGTTCTCGACGATACTGACCAGCACAGGCGACTACTCTCATACCCTCATCTTGATGGTCATCATCCTGTACTTCATGTTTCAAGTCTACGCTGAGAATAGTCTCATCGGTTCTCCGGCCGAGATGTACAAGCTCCTCAAGAAGGCAGCCAACCTTCGACCGGTCGACGGAAACCAGGACGGGTCGTACTTGACACTGAAGTCCAACAATGCTCTCATTTTCGGCGTCATCCAATTGTGCTCCGGTAGTGGAACAGTCTTCCTCGACCAAGCTTACTGGCAACGAGCGATTGCGTCTCGGCCTACCACCGCCGTCCGAGCATATATTCTAGGCGGTATGGCCTGGTTCGCAATCCCTTTCGGCTTTGCAACTACACTGGGCCTTGCTGCTGTGGCCTTGACGGATAACCCTGCCTTCCCTACCTATCCGAACCCGCCAACAGCCGATCAGATCTCCGCCGGTCTGGCAGCGGCGTTCTCATCGAGCACCCTCCTCGGGAAGAACGGTGCGGTTGCGCTCTTGATCACGCTCTTTATGGCGGTCACCTCATGCGCGTCCGCCGAACTCATCGCAGTCTCCTCCATCTTAACTTTCGACATCTACAAGACATATATCAAGCCCACCGCTACCCCTCAGAACCTGATATTTATGGCGCACGTCAATGTCGCCGTCTTCGGCATGACCATGGCCATATTCGCCATAATCTGGCACGTTATCGGCATCGACCTCGGCTGGCTGTTCCTGGTCATGGGCCTGCTGATCGGTGGCGCCGTCTTCCCTGCCGCATTTGCTGTCACGTGGAAGAAACAAAGCCGTGCAGGAGCCATTGCCGGCGCATTGTCCGGTCTGGCAGCAGGTCTCACAGCTTGGCTTGCAGAAGCACAAGTCTACTACGGCGAACTCACCCTCGCGTCTACGGGGTCCAACTACGCGACGCTGGCAGGCAACCTTGCCGCGATCATGACCGGCTTAATCGTGTCGGTCGTCGTGTCCCTGATCAAGCCAGACAATTACGACTGGAGCACGACTCGCGCAATCAACATCGAGCATGCACTGCACGCTGTCGAACCCGAAAAGGCACGACACGAGTCTGACACGACGCGCACTGGCGACGATGCCGTCATCAAGTCGTCGGACGACGATACGTTGTCGCCTGCTTCCCCTGTCATGCCATCCGTGAATCCGGACGAAAAGCATGTCGCCTCAGGCCGGCGCCGAAGCTCGATCCGCATCGACGAAGAGCGACAGATGTCCATCGACGCCGCGCTGGAGGACGATCCAAGCCGTCTCCGTTCGGCGTTCAAGCTCGCTTGCATCGCATCGTTTGTCTTGCCGTTCATCATGGACTTTCTGATCCCGATCCCCATGTTCCTTAGCCATTATATATTCTCGGAGCATTTCTTCACGGCGTGGGTGGTCATCAGTTTCATTTGGGTGTTTTCGTCGACCATCATTTCGGTGGTTCTGCCGATCTGGGAGACTCGCGGCTTCTTCAGGCAGCTTTTCACCGAGATCATGGGCGATCTCAGGGGGAGGAGACAGGCTTCTTGAAGAGAAAGTCATCACTTGAAGCCTTGTTCAGGGGCATGCAAATTTCGGGATAGATGTATCCCTGCCCCATGGATGATAGAAACTTCAGTGATTTTAGAGAGATAGATCGATCTGTTGGATAGGATACCCTGTGAGTAACTTAGTAACTGAATAGGTTGCCGATAGATTCGACCAAGTATATTCCTTGCCCTTTTCTTGGCCTGCTCGACCTGATTTGTCCACCCGAAGCTTCGATGTGCATTCTGCCTTTTGCAGGCTCGCTTCTGATATCCTAAACTGCTTGATCAAGCACTCGCGCCGTTGCTCCTGAGTACAGGAGGCGCACCTGGCCAAGTTCAATGAACCCGAGTATCCGACCCAGCGAGGTGAATGTGGTGGGTTGGGGGTGCGTGCAGCATGATTCTTTCAAATAGTGTCCAGAAGTTGGGTTTTGGACGTGGACGTGGACGTGGAGGCGAATGAGCTCGAGCTCAGAATGAAGATCACCTCACCTCACCTCGCCTCCGACATGGCCCGCCATACAGGACTTTGTGCCCGGGCACTTTCCCCTGCTTGAATGGGACCTGCATTGCGACGGTCTCGGTATCACTGGGGTAGAACGTTAGATGCCCTGGTGAGCGCGTGTCCGTGTCGGCGGCAATGATTAGAGGGGTGACGCCCGACACGATGTACAGTGACTCTGTCGGTTCTTGGGGGTCTAGGAGGACTTGTTGGCGCTGTTCCTGCTGCTGCGCGCTCACATCGAGGTCGGGTCCGGCATTGGTATCGGTGTTGACGTTGGTTGTGAGAGGCACAGGAGGGTACGTCTTGACGTGAGCTAGGCCGGAGAGGAGGATGAAGAACCTGCTCAACCCAGTCAATCACTCGGTTATCGGGCGTTTGGACAACAACAGGGTTTTTGAAGGGGAATCTCGCTTGTTTGGCGCGGCTGGCGGGTGTCACGAGTAATGATGCCGAAGCTGGGTTGCATTACGGAGCATCTTCATCAGGGTTCATGAGTGTGAGTTTGAATCCGATAGTGCCCACGGCTGAATCCCTGCTCATCTTTTGGAAACAGTCTTGCTTTTACTTGAACCTTTCAAAAATCAATCGGGTATAGTAGTAGTACTGTAAGTGAACTTATTAGTCACTTACATAGGACTCGGTGGCCGATGCCAGCCCTCCGCACTGTATGGTGGGAGAACAACATACGTCGCATTCGCAGTGTCGCCGAGACTTAGAGCTTTCCCGACAGTAGGGTACTGTATGAACGGCGACGAAAGCTCCCAGCATTCGACGACTGCGTGATATGGAGGTTTAGGAGTGTTGACAACGGCGGAGAGGTGTAGCATCTCGCTTGTAGGCAAGCCCGCCGGAGTATGGTCGTCGATGAAGTTGCCGTCCAGGTGAAGGGCAGAGGTGAGATGTGACAGCAGAACGGAGGCGAACAGTAAGAGTGAAAGCTCCATCTTAAAGATTGAGGAGACGACGCGACGCGATGCGATGATGATGTTGTTGTTGTTGAAGGCTGGGCAAGGTGAACACGGAGGAACACTCCAAATGTCCCGCGATATGTCCCCGAGTTCAGATTTGAGGCAGATTTTCGTGTTCATAAAGTCGATACATTCGACAACCTCTCCCTTGAAGCAGCTCGAGCAGATCCGCCCAGGCTGGAAATGGGAGGCCTAAGCTAGGTACGAGTACTTACAGCTCAGATACTCCTCCAATATTGTGCTATCGCAAGTCATTGGTCATTTGTTGATCGATGATCATCAGGCACGTGGCGTAGATCAACAATACGGATCGACGTGCAGGTCGAAGAGGATGCAGTTGACACCGTCGATCGCATAAAGAACTCTGCATGAGAGAAAAAGCAGAACAGGGCAAACGAAGATGTTTTGGTTTTCAACAGTTTTGCATATCTATGAGTATCACCCTCATCAGCTCCACCTCATTGATCCGCCATCACCTTTCCAAAACCAACCGACTGCGCTACATACGTCTGCCAACTCTCGCGAGTCAGATTTGCCAAAGTATGTAGCCGCCATAAGTAATGACAACTTGTATCGTGCCTTGAAAACAATTGCCAATTGTAAGACCGAAAAAGCGTCTCATCTCTATCGCCAAAGGAATGTATCGTCGCTTCGCTGTGCTGAAGTTGCAAGTCATGATCATCTGATATTGACCTTCATATAGAAGGAATGTCGTAAAGGTCGTAGTAGTAACATCGAGTCACCGAGAGTCGGAGTAAATAGTACTGATGGCTTCCACTGATATGATGACTTTTCCATCAGGTCGCCTTTTCTATGGTCTCGATAACGCCTAGAATCCCTGTATCTAGTGCCGTGATCCGAAGAAGTTTGTACAAAGTAAGAAAGTTTTGTGTACAAGTAATAGTCGTTGGGACTGTACAATTTATTTGTGGAAAATGTCGGAGAGAATTTGAATGAGATTACGCTTCTGCGTTGACAGAGGTGGGCTGCGCCAGTCGCTTCCTCTGCTAGGATGTGTCAAAGCTCGAGGTCGGGCCACGGACATTGGCCCTACGATCTCACCGTCACCGAGTTCTGGAAATTTGCCGCTCTTATCGTCGATGACAGGGAGTACAACTTTGGTGAGTGGTTTCTCAAGAACCACACTCGATGCCGTAGACTCCTGCATCTCAGAGTCACCATCACTCAGACGCGCCAGGACTGGGTCAAGGGCAGTCCTCATCAGGCTGTGCTGTCGTTTCCAAACATCATCGATAGAAGCCCACTTGTCCTCTGTCAACTTGAAGACCTTGGATGTTGACCCATAATGTTCGGCAGTGCGCGCAATGTGCTTGGCATAGTTAGTCCGGGCATGATCCCAGTTGTTGCGATACTCTGTATACGAGTCCAAGTCAATGGTATCTGGGATGTATGGCTCAGGATGGATGGTGAAGTTCGCATGTCCAAGTCGAACAGCCCATAGATCAGCAACATCATCCAGGAGTTGCAATGGTGGGATGTCTAGAATTGGACAGCCAGTCATGGTGTTGGTCCGAGACCTGTTATGCATCGATACCATGGACGGTTTGGTTGATAGTGGTGGCGACGGGAGACATGACAGGGACGTGTCCATGGAAGTCCGTGAGCTCATGATTGCAGATGTCGGCGCAATTGAAGGTGACTGAAGAGGAGACTGTATAGGTTCCTCTTTTTGGCAGATTTCTGCAAGCACCGGCGGCAGTAACGGTGTGGTCGCTTGACCTTGCTCCTCGTCATCTTCCTCGGGTGTCTGCTCGATAGGCTTTGGTTCTGTTTCCAGTTCCAGCGAGGTCTGACTCGCACGCGGTACTGCTGGAGAGGAAGGAAGTAGACTTTCATGCTTGGAGATTGCGCTCAATGCAGGACTGAGGACCTGCGAGGAGCTAATGGATCCCGACCAGGATGCTGGGGAGTTCATATGGGTGATGATGGACAGTCTCGGTTCTACAGCCGATCTGTTTTTCCAACGTCTTTTCATCGACCCAAATTTACTGCTGAGACGGTTCGGATTGACAGGAGCAACCGTAGGAGCTTGCTCCATGGACCGACGTCTTTTGGAGAATCGAAAACCGGAGGATGTCGAGGACCAGGCATCGGTGTCTCCCAGGGTCCATTCAGGTTGTACAGGCGAGCTCGGTGGAGAAGGTTGACCATGATAATCTGAGAAAGCCTTGTCATAGTCGGGGAAATCATAGGTCCTGCTGTCATCGACCAGCGTGTAGCCCTCAAAGTCATCTCTTTCTTGTGGTTCTTCTGTTACATCCTCCAATCTCTTTGGCCCCGCATACATGTCGAGCGACTCTCGAGGGATCGGCGAGGAGTTGATCGACGAACCGGAGCCACGCGAAGAATGACCTTTGGAGAAGGTAGACGTGGTTGGCGAAGACAGATTAGTTGACGAGGTGGGAGACCGAGCAACGCCAGGCGCAGCTGCGTCGAAGAAATACGACATTAGATTTTCCATGCTGATCTTTTGAGGTCGATAGTATTAATGTTAGGATTGCAAGTCGAGCGAGTGTCCGGGGTATGATAAAACCCCAAGAAGGTGTATGCAAGAATCGAAGGAGGACTGGGACGGGGGATGGCCCGGATCGGTCACAGTCGGACAACAGCGCGCATGATGGCTGGTGACAGTTGAGGTGACGATGGTGGTGAATGGTTTGCAGGTTTTGCAGGTGTTGTTTGTCTGTGTTTGAGGCCCAAGCTGGGTGGACGTGGACGACAGGACAGTAGTTGGTCCAGGTTTGTGCGGTGGCCAGACAAGACCAGTCACAGGTATGATCTGGTTTGGTCAGTGTTCCATCAGTTGAACGCCATGTGTACGAATAAGAAAGAGTGGCAGTATGAAAGAGAGACAGGATTTGTCGACTTGTCTAAATCAGATAGACGGCTGAGCGATGCTGCGTGAGTTGTCAACAGCGAGAGGTTGCGGTGCAAAAACTTGTGTGCCGTGGAGCTGCTGGGTTGAGAATCTTTGAGAATCCCTGCGCAGGTCACAGGCCACAGCTGGCTTTTGCAGGCTTCTTCTCTCTCCACCTCTCCACCTCTCTGCCGCCGACCAACAACATCTCTTGATGGACCCTTGCCAGGGCGAACCAGGGTAGCACCAACCCTGGTCCTGTTCTTCTCACGGACCATCCACCGCATGGCCTCCCCGCGAGCCCAAAACCACCCAAAGACCTCCAGAAGTCTCCAGACAAAAAGCCACTCACGACACCCAAGCAGCCACTACTCACCTTCTCTTTTTCGCAGCTCTCCGAACTCCTTCGGCCGATCTTGGGCCCAATCACACAATCGTCTGCTAGTGGATAGATGAGCGCGGTGTCGAAGAGACTGGCTGAAGAATAAATTTAGGGTCTTGTCTCGAACCAGCCGGTTCTGAAGCCATAACAGATAACCGAGTCAGAAAGATAGCTGGCTCATTTTACGACATGTCTGGCGTTTGTGAGAGCTTCTCCTCGACCTCTAACACGAGGATGCTGCAAGGAAAGGTTGGTTATGACCTTGTGGCTTGCACTCCTTCTGTTTGCCCTGTCACTTCCAATGCTATGACTCTACTGCCGGCATGCAGACAAAGAAGCAAGCCAGTGTCATTCATGTACCTTTCCGAAGCTAAGGCAGCACTGCAACTCTACACCTCCGGCTCATGACAGGTATACACAGTACTCGTCAACGCCTGCTTTTGTTCAGCCTCTTAGTGGCCGACTCTAGGTTATGTGGCGTAGCCACTGCATGAGAAGGACTGCACAGAACATCATTTGCATTCCGGATGGCTTGCTGTCTCCCAACGCTTTGCAAGCGAGCAACGTTGCGGCACAGCGCTTGTGCCATCTTCCGTGCCGCTTTGATGCTTCCGCCCGTCTTTCGAATGCTAGCTTCATGCAAGGAACCCAGCCGGACCTGTCAAGCCGCCTGCAGGAACGGTATCAGATATACTCTGGGGCATTATCTCATCGGTGCTACTCGTACAATTTCCTGACCTGCCTGATTCAGCTGCTTTACAGCGTCCCCCGGTATGTTCTGTTTAGCGACTCTATCGCTTTTTCTTATGGCATTTCCGCGAGAGAACCCCTTCTGCTACAGAACGCGCGACCAGAAGCAGAAGGTTCTTAGGAAAGTGTCGAGCATGCCTCCAAGTCTTCAGAAGCAGAACGACAAAAATTTCCGCCCTTCATGACGAAGACAAAATACTTCTTTTAGATCAAGTTTCTATTTCCTGTCATTCTGTCCGTCAGTGACAGGTGTTATTCGACCATTCATACCGAGAAAGTACGAGGAGTACGAGGTGGCTGGGTTTGACTGCCGATGCTGACTTTCTAACGTCACTTGCAGATGTGATCGACGCTGTTGCTTGAGTTTCCCAGGATCTGGTCGGCTGTTGTCCCCTTCATCATTTTTCCGTCTTCCCCAGCAGAATTAAACCTTGACGAGCAGAAGTCCACATGTGAATTCCCATCACAATTGCCCTTCCTTAGACTGGCGACAAGGGTCTCTGGAAGCTACACCCATACTCGAAACTACCATCACTGTACGGATGACACTGGCGTGTTTGAGCAAAATCCCCGGTAGCAAACTTCCCGGAAATCTTCAGCCTGCGCATTTCCGGCCCCCAACGGCCGGTTTAGGCTCTAGCAACGTTTGATTTCTGGAATCAAATAAAGACAAGAACAAGGCTTTGGGTGGCTTTGGGTGGCTTTGGGTGGCTTTGGGTGGCTTTGGATACCTTCAGTATTGCACCGATGGCGTGCTCGTGTCTTAGATATTGATGCTTGGCTTGATAAGCGATTACTCGTCTTATCATGCAACGCCCATTTCATGGTCGGAATGTTTTGCGAACTTCGTGGAGAGCCTTCAGACGCCGCAATCGATAGTCCCTGCAAGGGCAAAGCCTAAATGACTTCCCCACCACATATCATCCATGAGCATCTTCGCCTTTCTGGGGGTGTTGGAAGCCGAGGCAGGGTTCTGTGGTAGCGACGAACTGCTGCAGGAATGGTCCTGCTATCGATCACGGCATAGGCTCTTTAGCAAAAAGCACTACGTCGTCGCCAAACTGAGGTATTTTCAGCGAGCAGCCAATCGACTTGGATGGAGCGATGCGACTGCATCTCGAGCTTACCAACTACTACTTCGGAGTAGTCTCTCTCAGAACGATAGGCTGAACTTTGTGAAATTGGAGTGAATACGTTGTATGTGCAGGCATATGTATCTGTGGGCTGGCGCCATTTGAAAGCACAATGCTCAGTGGCTCGTGCGCCCAGGCAAGCTTGGGACCGGCTCCAAGACCAGCAAGTACTCCCTCGCAGGTATCTCCGAACGTCACGGCATGGTAGGAACAAAGCGAGGAAGCAAATGACACGGGGAATCTCGCTTACCAGCGATCGAACTGGAAGGGATGCCTTGCAAAGGTAGTCCGACCGCGATTGATTGCGCAGATTGGGTGGTCTCCAAGTCTCCGAGTCCCAAGGAACACTACGGACCACGGGGTAGGTAAGTCGCAAACCTCACTGACAGCCCAGCCCAGCCCAGCCTCGCGAGGCTTACCAGATACCCCCTGAGCCGCTTGAGCAGTTGTCACTTCATCACAAGGTAGGAAGAAAGAAACACACGCTTCCAGCTTTCTGGAAGATCGTACGAGTATCAAAAGCGGCTGGCTGATTGACCCGAATGAAGATGAGATCTGAATCTAACATCCCGGCCTTGCAACGACCGTTATCAGGCCTGTGCGGCCACATGGTGACAACAATCCCGAGAATTTGGGATGCGATCGCGCACAAACCACGATGAGGTCATTGTCGAAGAAAAATCTCTGGTGAAGAATTCCAGAAATGCGCCACGATCGTTTCATGTTCTGGTTTGACGTAGGGAAGTTGTTCTGATACCTCACATTCTTGGACCCTGGCCATCACGGAAACGGAAACGGAAATGGAAATGGAAACACTGCAGTTGAATACGAAGGTCAGCAAAATGTATCGAATGCGCCCCATCAACATGGCAGGTCATCTACCGCTTCTTCAGAGTGGCCAAGTCGTTGAAACGGTGGACTTCGGATCCAGATGGGTTCAACCTCTACCAAATCACATAGCTTGCGGGGAGCGTGCTCGAGTAGAAATTTGACCGACGACTGTATTAAGTTTACTGCCTGGGTACATATTGTATTCCTTGCATTAGGCCAGTCTTCGGCATGTCCAAAGCTCCTGAACCGTGCTGCTCTGCTCCCGACTGCTCCAAGGCAATATAGGATCAGAGAATCTGCGCGAGACTAGGTAGTTCCAGCATCTCGTCAATACAATGTGTGCAATCCATACTGTGCCTGATAACGCGTCTTGCTTGTCTGTTTCTCCACTTCAGCAACGTATGTAGCCCCATCCTTGGGAGAAAACATACTGGCGATGCTGTGCCGATATTCCTTTTCCTGGCTCACGCACAACAATAAGACCGGCCAAGAATATAGACAGGAACCCAAGACGCACTTTTTTAACAGAGACTTTCTTGCGCTTGCCAATTCAGGGACTTTCCCCGTCGTACCGGCTTTCTGGGTTGGGCGACTGGTGCACGGACGAAGCCAGCCCAGCGGTACCCAAGATACGCTTGATGGCTGACAGATCTCAAGACGCACGCACGGACCTTGAATTTGAACGGTGTTCAATATCTCGGGTCGAGCACGTGGTAGCATCAGTACCGGTGTTGAGCGAATGCCGATGAAGAGATGGGAAGCTGTGAGCGAGATATGTATGACCCTTGTGCACTGAAGTGTCGGCCTTTGATTGCAGCTAGGCAGATCCCAGCTCGCGAACTCAATCCCAATGTCGAGAGGGTGTCCGGAGCATCATCTGCAGAATATTCGCCTTCAGCATGTGATATTGTCTTGCGAAGGTGCAATAATAAGGGCGAGACTGTCCGAGAGAGTGAAGGGTGGTGGCGGACATTGCATTTATGTTGAGAACTTGGACACCCAATATCGCGACCAGAGTTTCTTCTGCTCTTCGGTACCTTTGAACTGTTTTTGGAGAACCACGGTCAGAGTTCGATTCTGTCAGTGGTATTGACGTTCGGCTCGTCGACTTACCTGAAAATCAACCTTGTAAATCTCTTCGAACCCTTCCTTCAAGGTGGGCTCCTGCAATCTCTGCACAAACGACCTGAATGCAATGCCAGGGAGCATTGTGCGCTTTTCTGGGTTCATCTGTGATCGCGGAATGCTCATTAGCATTCGTATACGTGCTGAGTAGGCTTCGAAAGGAGCGGTGTTCAAACGGTTTCCAACCCTGTCTTCGTCAAGGTATACATACTATCTCAGGATTCAGCGCTCTGACGGCGTCGTTGTGTTCGGCAAGGCGGGATGATGCAGTAAATCGAACACATCGGATAGGCACATTGTACTCGCGGGCGATATTGACCCAATATCTTCGAGTCTCGACGTCAGCGTTTGTGTTATCTGTCATTGTACGCGGTTAGCAGAGACACATTATGGTAGAGAAATGGTGACTCATGTCCTGACACGTCACACGAAAATGAGAACACAAAACGGGGGTGTACAGTTCGCTTGACAATGCCCGTCGAAGACCAGACACGAAGCATGTGATCGCGTAGGTGAGAGACTGGGGAGACTGAGGCGGAGGAGGGGCGAGCTGCGAGGTGGGTGTCGTGCAACATTTGACATGCTGGGGGGACGAGTCGGGGGCCAGACTTGCGTTACCAGCAATGGTAGACAAGAGTCAGGCTCGGTCCGTCTCTGAAAGGTGTCACCAAAGATAAGAAGGGACGGGGATAGAGACGATATCAATCTTGACCGCAATTGAGGAACATGTCCTGCGCAATGAACGTTGCACGTACCTACAGCCACCGACCTGCCGGCGTCCAACAGCTCCTTCGCTTTCTTGATACATTTGTCGCGCTGTACAGAAAGTAATGTCTCAGCCTGAAACAGCTTTGAATAATCGTAGGTAATGGGGACGGATGTGCTCGAGATGGATGCATTTGGAGAGACAGAGAAGCACATACCGTTTTGAGGATGTCTTGGTTTACCCTCTCATAGCCAAGGGGCTGCAGGACATCCCAGTAGAAAGTGCTTTTCCCAGCCCCAGGCGAGCCACAGAAAATCACCAGTTCCTGAGGGCTCTTTTTTGTGAACGGGCCAGACACGGTGTCGTCTTGGGCTCGAGTAGAGGAATTGAGTCCTTCAAGAACTTTTGCAGGCACAAAAACGTGTTCGTATGCCTCCATCGACTCTTTGCGAAAGAACTCTTCGGGCGTCAGAAATCTGATGCCAATGTTTGCCGCCAGATCTCTAAATTAATTAATCAGAGCCGTTCCTTGTCGATGCCCACTGAATACGCTCACCTGTCCGACGTTGCATGATCTTTCCGTCTCTTGTCTGTTTTCTCTCTGCCAGCCGCATCACCAACGTAAAATGAATTTGCCATATCAACAGCTCCTTCTGCTTGGAGGTCGTAGTCTTCAAGCATCTCCTCCCACATGCCTACCCTTGGCTTCCGGTACCGATCTTGACCTGTTGCAGCATAGATGCTGATGGGAAGATCAAGCTGTCGAAAGATAGAGCCCACTTGCTGTTTGAGATTGTTGAGGCTGGCGGTGTCTCTCTGAAGCGACTTTGGATTGTCCTTAAGGCTGATGTTACCTTGATTGCTGAGAACAACCACAAGGTAACCTTCATCGTAGAGTTGCTTTAACCGTCCAGGCACCGAGGGATCCCACCATTTCCAACTGGCTGCTGAGCGGGCCCATTTACTTCCGGTGTTAGGCACGATTATTGTGTCGTCCAGATCGAAGGCAGCAACTTTCACAGGCAGCGTCCGAGACTGTGGCGGTACATTCGAGTCGTCGTATCGACCGACGATCAGGCTGTTGTTGACAGTCCTCCATACTAACTTTTCGGGTTCTTTTTGTGAAGTTGGTTTGAAGAAACTTGCTACCACCTTACCTGGAACAGATCAGTGAGGACAGCGCGAGGGCACAGTGAGCCGTACTATTCGTGGTAGACTCGATCTTGCGCTTGACAGTCGGGGGTGATATTGAGCCTTTGGGGGACGGAGCTGATCGTTTCATTGCGAAGAATCCAGGCCAGACATGGAGCTGAGAAGGACAAGGACGGCGCTGTGATCGAGGCTGCTGATTCAGTGCATGGATCACTAGACGGAAGGCCAGGTTTAAAGATTAGGAGTTAAGCAGGTTGAATGCAATGGTGGTTGTTTGGAATTAAGTGGTTGCATGAAGAATTATTAGATTTCTCGAATTGTACGCGCCTGAACGCGTTTCTATGGACGTCAGTAGAGGTCACGTGCATAATGCTTAGTCACTGGTATGCTTTCCCTGCTCTCCTGTACGCAGGCACAGCAGGACACAAAAAGATCTACCTACGGACAACCGAAGGCAATCGGGTATCCAAAGCCAATCTATCACCGGGTGTCAAATCAACTGCCTGCTTCAGTGCCTCCTTGTGTCCCAACAGCTGTCTGGTTGCCCTGTCCTTGAGCTCGGGGTGATTGCCGTCGACCACATCAATCGAGGCTTGAAGGATGTATCCGCCCGATCTATCAAAGTCCTGGAGCTTGGAGACGTCTGAAAGAAATGATACGTCACTGATCGCCTTGTCCGCAGGTACTTGCGGGAGTTGAACAACTTTGTGCACAAAGAGCGTGGTGTCCTGATCATAAAAGTTCGATCCCACCAGCATGTAGCGAGAGACATATCTGAGGAATACTTGTCAGCCTTGAGTTATAACATGAATGGGAAGCCATACTCATAGCCGAAGGCATTGAGAAACTCAACAAAGTCTCCCGCTTCGAATGGTATTCTGTAGAGTAGTCTGGAACTAATTGCTTGTTTGCCCGGATCCGGAGTGTCTTTGAACTCGAATGTCCACTTAATTGTTGATTTGTCGTGCTCAGAATTGCCATTGCCATTGCCATTGCCACTGGTCATGCTTATATCGCCATTTGCTGTATGCTTCAGCTCATTCTGCGCCAATTCGCCGACCAGTTGGACATAGTACAGGCCGGCATTGAGCATAGCCCTGACTTTCTGAGCCTCTGGCTGCATTATCCCTTGAGAACCACCAGCCGAAGGGACATTATCCAACCCCGGCGGTTGGCGAGCCTTGAAAACCAGGTGGATCTCGAGGACATCTTGTGGCTGCATACGGGTGTAGCCAGCTAGTTGCTGGAGCATCCGATGGTGGTCATTTTTGGTGACCTGACCATACAAGGCGAACTCATGCATGTCGGTAGGCCGGAAGAGGTAAGTAAAAATGCCAACTGATGGTGGATCAACCGTGTCGGATGTGTTTGATCTTCTCGACCGGTTTCGGAGACTGGGCGCTGATGACAAGATTTGATATGGTAGTCATGAGATACATCATCTGCCCAATGTGTATGTGAGGTTGCTGGGGATCGATTGTGCGTAGAGGCTGGAGAGAACCTGCTCTTGTCCCGGTGAAAATATTTGTGCAGCTGTGCAAAACCCTTCAATATTCAGACATAAGCACGATAACCATCAGGTGTGGTTGTCTTATCAGTCAGACCACCATCTCATACACCAGACTAGTTTTGCTATGTCTGGGGGCGCGTTGAAGGTTAGTTATGCACGCAAAAACAGACATGGACTGGATGCGGCAGGGAGAAAATCAAGTGATGCTATTCGTTCCGCAGCGCCGAGCTCCGACACCTTTCATGATCGCTGTGTGCTCCAAACAGTTGACTATTGCGGAGTACTAGTAGGTACCTAGGTTAGTATTATTCCTCGCCCACAACTGCCCGTCGTTGCGCCCTTCCACACCCAGTCCTTGCAGTCCTGAACACCGGAGTATCGCTAAGCTAAGCACTCGTAGACTTGCTTCTTTGGGTATTTTTTGGAGAGCAGTTGAAAGATTTCAAAGCTACTTCGAGCCTGAGATTGCTTTCATCCGCACCTTGACCTCTCCTCTCCCTCTCCCTCTCCCTCTCGACCTCGTCTGGACCTGCAGCCCGAAAGCTCCACTGTCTATTTCGGCCGAACCACACCGCGCAAAAGGCACATGCACAGATACGGGTGAGGGAAGTAGAGAAATAATACTCTGCGGCCTTTCCAAGCTTGCTTCTGCAGCTACACCTACACCATACACTTCTCGACACTCAACCCCTGCCACGGGACATCTGATCTTGCAAGAAGCAATCTACCTTGCGAAGAGACAAGAGGGCATATAACCCTCCGAACACGCCCCATCCCACCCCCTCCAGCTCCTACCACCACCTCCTCGCAAGATGCGGCCCTCTCTTATTCTCCGAGCAACCCAGCAACGGGTCCCCATGATCAAATTTATCGGCAAGCGAACACCACCCAGTACGTATCCTGCCCGCACAGGACGATCGCGCGCTTCTAACACTCCGCAGAATCCGTAGACCACACCCCTCATGCTCATCCAGCTTCACCCACACATACTCTGCCTGACAGCTTCGCCCAGTACCGGTCCAAAGCCCAGCAACACGGTCCCTTAGGGGGAGGGAACGGCAACGGAGGCGGCGCTCCTATCTCCTCGTCGCCCTTCGCAGCTGCAACCTCCGGCCCGATGACATACGGTGCTGTGGGCGGCGCACCCGGCCGGTCACTTGGACCCGTGCAGCCCAAGGATGGTGAATACTTCGACAGAAATGAGTTGCCCAAGAGATTTTGGCGGACACAATGGTCAGAGGAGGAGATCGAAGCGGTCAGCAGTGGCGGGGCGAGCATGTTCGGCTGAGGGACTGCGAAAGGGCAAGGCCATGGATTGAGACGACAAAAGAGCAGGGGCAAATTTCCAACACGCGGAGTCGAGATGCGCAGCAAGTTCGACACGGTTATGAATAAAGAGTTATCGACATCAGTTATAGACCGGCATCGACGGACGAGACAGACAGGAGCGACTGCGGGAGCAAGGGCAGGCCTTGAGGGATTTGCGATTCTCAACCCTGCCCAGGTCTCTCCACTCGAATTCCGTGCTGAGCGAGGAGGTGTTTGAACGTTCGACTACAAGGAGAAGGTCGTTGTCGGTGCGGTTATCCTCCGCCTCACATGCTGAAGTATTTGCAGATACATACTTGATCGTCGAGGCTGTACATATTAGCAAGCGACCTGCATTAGCATAGTCGAATAGACCCTCTACCCACATCGTGCATGAGTTCTTAGATACTGTACATACATATTTCTCGTTGCCTTACAACTTTACAATTGGCTAGACCCTGTTATCCTCCTCGGGTTGCCTCCCGGTGTTGACTGTACATAGACATAGACATAGACATCTGGCATTAAAAAAGGATTCATACAGTGTGCTCTGATCAAATCATCATCATCGCCTTAAGAACCGTCCGAAGACACTCCTCGCTCTGGCCCGTTTCTTCTGCGTCTGCGTCTGCGTCGTCTGCGTAAGCTCCTGTTCTTGAAGCATCGATTCTAATCGATCAATTCCCTGATCACCGTTGCGGCCGACGCGTGACGTGCTCCGTGAGGCGTTCGGTCTTGCGCCCTGATCATTTCCCAGTTGACGACGTCGGGAGATATCCGGTGGTGGGAGAGCCGCATCTTCATCTTCAGAGCCATCTCCATCTCCATCTTCATCTTCATGTTCAGCTTGCTCCTTGTCTTTGTCTGTTTTTGCCCGGTGCTCATGATCGAACACATCCGCGTACATAGTTGCAGGAGGAGCGGCAGCATCCAACATTGCCGCCTGCGGGACAACACTTCCATGCAAGCCAGCAGGCTCAATGGACATCCGACCCCAGCCCTCTTCACCAAAATCAGTAGCCAAAGACGTCGTCTTGATTCCGATTCCAGGTCGCTGCCAATTCTCCTCGGCGCGAGGCGTTGTGGGCGTAGGACGAGCCTTGCGTGTCGGCTCAGGAGTGCCGGCATTCTTCCTGCTCCTTGCCACCTCCGACGACGAGCGGAGTCTTTGGCGCTGGTGCTGGAGGAATGTCTGCGGCGAACTTCTGCCTCTTTCGGTTGTTGGTAGAGGCGTGTTTGACCGTGAGAGGTTCTGGACATTGAGTCTGGCTTTCTCTTCGGAATCCCGGACGATGGACGGTGTTCCGAACCGAGGCGTAGGATGGACCTGTCCCTGTGCTAGGTTTTGACCCAAGTCCTCTGTGCGAGATAGTGCTCTACCACCCTGCAACCCTGGCTTCGCGTCCTGGCTTGCGGGCGATGCAAGTGTCTGCTGCTGCTGCTGTACGTCCCGCGCAGATGAGGCACTCGGCCTTCGATGGGAGAGGGCCGAGGTCACAGGAATTGGAAGAGCAGAAACATCCCCAATAGAAGAGCGACTGGGTCTCCGGCCGTTGTCAAGGCTCGATCCCGGTGCAGCGTGAGACATGGAAGGTCGTGTCTCCTTTCTCGTTATGTCGTCGTCAATTGCTCGATAATAGCGGGGCCCGTGGGCATGTACTTGTCCCACGGCGGAAGTGCTGTTTAGATAGTCCTCGAATCCGTTTCTGTCCGAAAACCCTGAGAAATCAGGCTCCCGGTCCATGGTGGAAGCCGTCGTCCCGCGCGTCATGGATTCCGGAGACCGGGCCAATGTTGGCGGAAGCGGACTCATCTGATGCTCATCTGGCACCTCAGGTAGAGACCTCCGCAGGTCGCCCGTATGTCTAAGACTGGGACCGTTGGACCTTATTCTGAGGAGAGGGGAGTGTCTTTGCAACGGGAGATCGTCGGAGTCGTCGCTATTGTAACCATACATCGAGAATCGATTTGAGCGCCTCTTCTGAGATGTTGACTCAAGCCGCAATGCTGTGTCTGCTACATTACTGACTTGCGGAACTGGATCGCCAGGAAGCTCAGGTAGCTCCTCCGTGAGATCAACGGCTGCCCCGTTGCGGACTTTGTTATCTTTTCGCGCAGACGAAACCGACAAAGTCCTTCTGGTCGCCTTATGCTTCGGCGGAACGTCTTGTGCAGGATTCTCCTCGTCATCTTCGTCGTCAGAAGAGTCAATGAAGCTTGTATCTCCACGATTGAAAGAATCGTTCGAATTCATTGTTTGGGGAGGAGGCCTTGTAGGCTTGGGCTGCACAGCCGACCTATCGAAAACGGGAACTGAGTCCATCTTCTGTGGTGAACGTGGTTTGGATTGGGGTCGGAATGGTGGTAATAGCGACGCTCGGTGATTTCTAGACGGATGTGGTGACTGTGATCCCTTCCTTTCTGCCAACGAGTCTGATGGATTGAGTGGCGGCGAGAGGTTGAGAAACTGTTGCACTGAGAGAAGTGGTTCCGAGCGATCCCGTGTCCTCGTTCGAACTCCCGGAGACTTACGTGCTAGGTCATGTCGCCACTCCTTAACCTCGAGGCGCGGTTCATATTTGTGCGCATTCGATGGAATAGTTCGTTGAACCGGTTTCGAGGTGTTGGCGCCTTGCGCCTCATTGTTTTCAGAGGGTCGAGACCTCCATCCCCGCCAGGGCACGAAGTCCGCATCATCCGCATACGGATCAAATCCCGATAAGCGGTACTTTGGTGGGCGGGGGATTTGGACCTTGACAACTGGGGGACGAGGCTGAGAATCCTGGCCATTGCTCACAGGAGTAGCCGTTCGCGATTTTTCTTCACTTCGGTGGTCATTGACCTTTCGACCAACTTGACCAGAAACATGGTTAAATCCGGTCGGAGACTCATACTCAAATGGATTTCTGGATCGCCTTTTGCTGTGACGCGCGGCGGACTGAGGAGATGCAGGTTTTGTACTTGTTGTCGAAATCGGCCGCTCTTTGGCACGGATCGGAACTGGTGGAGCTGCGCCGTCTGCCGGCTGAAGAGTTGAAGGACTCTTCAAGGATTCCAATCGTTGGTCATTAGGCAAGCTGATGATCCCACGACTGGAATAGCCTGCCAGGACGACACTGTGCGAGTATTTTCCTGGCATTTGCGGTTATGGACGAAGTCATGCTCAGCTCCAGGATTGCTCGAGGGTAATGAGGAAGGGGAAATGTAACAAAAGAACAAGATCCAAGAGTATACGGGTACAAAAGTCCAGGCCAAGGTCTGGACCACGTGCGGCTGATCGCGCCGCTTAGATTGCTTGCCTTTTATGTCAAACTTCCTTGTTGGAGGCTGACTAGTGGTGTGAGCTGGGCAAGCCACGAAACAAGCCTGAAAATGGACAAATAAACAAGAAGAACATCAGGATTGATGGGCAGAAGCAAAAGGCCGAAATTGCGGGAAATATCCATTTGCCAGACCAAAGAAAAGTCATCGACATCATCATGGATCAGGACCGATAAAGGTTGGAGAGTATCATTGTTTCTGTTCCTGGTTGAAGAATAACCGTCAAGTGGTCGTGCAAGTGAAGATTTGCCGCCAACCCCGAGATCTACAGCTGACAGATCCTTGTTTTGCGGATTGTGTGCAGAGTAGCGACGAGCTAGTAAGGGGAAGAATCAGCGTCTTCGAGCTCTGTCGTACTGTCCTGACGCTGTGTGCTTGAAACGACCTGCCGATTTGGACAGTGTGCCGAGTCCTAGTTGAGAATGGTCCAGCAGATTTTGATACGAGCACGAATAATGGCTCGCAGCGGTACTTATTAGTGGCAGGGTGGAGATCTTTGGCAATCGTGAATCGTCGTAAGAGCTGAAGTTTGTTGAGATTCAATGTAACCGAAGAAGGACGTTGTGAGAGGCTAATAAAAAGGGTGTGGCTGCTCGTCGGCAAGTTCGCGCCACAATATCACTAGCCACCGCCACAATCTCTATCACAGCCACAGCCACAGCGCCTGAAGCTAAACACGTCCTGCACTTCGCCCAAATGTGCCAATCCCAAAGAAATCTGGTTGGTAATTTACAACTTATCATCAACTCTCCAAGCATTCATCCATCTATTATCCGCTAGACCAGCGTCGAAATCCTTCTTGTCAGAGAACCTGAGGTCCGTGCTCAACCTGATCCTGCCCGAAGGGTCATCATGCCCACAACTCCCATGGGTCGTACAAGTGGTGGAACACGACATCGCCGGCCTCGAAGTTCGCAATCAGCCACTTGAACCCTTTTGTCGCCGTGCCTTTCATCTCCGCGACACGCAGGTGCTCCCGCATAAACTCCTATGTTGCGATTGAACGCGCTGATCTTGTCCGCGGGCGTGAAGCCGCGCGCGCGCCTCGTCATAGTCGTCCTCAAGCGCCTGACCCAGCCCGACGCTGTCGGACAGATAGTGCAGACCGCCGCCGATGGAGCTGACGTCGCCGATCGGCACCAACGCCGTCAGGAAGAACGCGCCGCCCCCGCGCAGGAAGAGCTTGTCGTAGTGTATGCCCGTGGACGAGCCGCCGGGGACGCAGTGCCGCAGTAGCGTGCGATGCAGCATGACTTGTCCCAGCCCGTGATGTCGTGGACCGTCTTGCGGAGAGCGCTGTGGTTGACGAATTGCAGATATTGCGCCGTGGTGTGCACATTCGTGAGGCGCCGTAGTTCCTCGTCGCCTTGCGGGTTGCCATCGCCGACGCCCCAATGCAGAGACACGTCGTCGGCCGCGTTGTATATGCCGTCTACGGCCGCGGTGCCGGGCTTCAATAGGCCCCTACCGGCGAATTGAGAGAAGAAGTGCTCGCGCATGCCCAGCACGTCTTCGCGTGGCAGCACGCTCTTCACCCACACGTATCCATCGTCCTGGAGTCGTTGACGGATCTCGTCGATCGTTGCGTTGGCTGGAGTTGACCTGAGCCAGCCGAGCTGTGAAGCCGCGACGCGGCCTTGGTCTATACGGAATTGAGGCGGTGACGGTGGCTGTTCGGCTGCGAATGTGGTTGCTGGTCGAGAAATCTCGACTTCGGCGGCGGAGGCCATCTTGTATAGGTATGGTGCGCTGAGAGAGTCGACTTGGTCTGAACTTGCACTGATTGGCCCCTTCTGAGGAGTTCGATGCTCATACTTCCTCCTCAGCGGTTCAATGTTGTGTCTATTTTTTATGTGAGTGACGTGAGGGCACGATTGTATTTGGAATGACGATCATCCAGGAGCGATACAGAAGCGCCGGATGGGCGGAGAGGGAGCCATGAGACGTGCCCCATCTCTACACATCGAGTTCACGCTCATGGTCCAGAAGGTTGCTGGGGTGGGAATTTAGAGTCAATGGACCCGCTCGGTTCTCGGAGCACAGGGGTCGGGGACGGGAACTCAAGGTCTAGCATTGTTCTCGTGGGAGGTTGCTCCCCGAAAGTTTTCATTGGCAGGGTGCAGGGTGCTCTTCTCCCATCTTACGATGGAGGCATGACTGGTTGCATCATATTGGGGATGCTGAAGCATTTTGATTTGACCACTGGGCGCAGGGAACACAGGTTTGTAGACGGTCCATGCTTGACCGATACTCGCGGGATCTCCTTTGTCGCAGGAATGATGAGCGGTCGGTGGGTCTAGACTTTATTCACTGATTGACATATGGCGGCACCCGAGTGCTTGCGACTCCACGTAAGTGATGGTTGACCATCTTACTCGTTTTGCTAGGTTCATTTCCTGCTAGACCAATACGTGGCATACTCCGAACGGCCGTTCAGTAAGTCGACAATTTCGCCAGCTAGAACACGATGGACCTGCTCGCTGGGATGCAATTCGTCCCACCACATAAACGAATCTGGAGAAGTGTCGTTGTGGCGATGGACACAGTCCGTTCCTGCCACGCTGCAATGATGCGACCAGTCGTTCACTGTCAGCTCTTCAGTCCCGTTGAGATAGAGATGAGGGTTGTTATAGATGTCGGTGAACAGTCGCCAAGTATCAAACAGCGCAAAGTCGGAGCCAGGGTACCTTTGGGCGATGAGAAGCTCATAGGGCGTCTTGTACCTGAATATCTCGTTGACGCTGGCAGTGTCCCGCTGGATCCTAGCTGCAACCTCTGTCAGGTTCGACGGCTTATCCGGGTAATAATGTGTTGCAGGAGCTCCATCGGCGGCATACTGTGGTGCGAGGTGTAAAGGCACAGTGTTCATGAGAACAAAGTTGCGGCCTCCGACGGCATAGATGGCGTCAAAGGCACGATAAACGCACTCGGTATAGTCGTGCAATAGTCTTCCCGGGACTTGGGAGTCTGTCAAGAACGCAGCATTCCCAAGGTCATTCGTCCCAATCAGTATGGCGAACACAGTATCCGTGCCAAGGTTGCGAGACGTCCGTCCATCAAACGAAGGAGAGTGCTCCGCTCGGAATGCCGGGATTTCATACTCCAAGACCGAGGGAAAATCGGAGGCAATGGTGGTGAAGTGTCTAGGCGTTATCTCATTCGAGCAAACAGCCCCCGAGACAGCATAGTTGTGCAAGCTTAGCGAGTCGACATACTGGGCTACGTATCGGGCCCAGGGTCGGATAAGAGAGCTCCCAGCAAGAACCGTTCCAGGAGGGGGGCCAACACCACCGTGATTAATGAAGTATTCGAGCCTGCTTTCATCGGTGTAGCTATCGCCAAATGTGACCAGATTTCTGAAGCGTGATACGTTCCATGATGGAAACCTTTTACGCGTCAAGCAAGCTGTTGCTGCTGTGCCGAGCACGAAGAGAATGCCCAAGACAAACATCTGGCATTGGGAATGAGGAAAGACATGGGACGTGTGTAGAAGCTTGACCGAAGGCGGCTCTACGAACAATAATTCCCCATGGGCAATTTAGCCTCACTAGCCCACTAGCCCACTAGCCCACACCAACCGCTAGCCACAGCCTAAAAGCGCCTTCAGTCCCGGTAAAAGTGCCCCGAGGCATGGAGCCCCCGACTGCCCCATCAATGGTGAGAATGGCTCCCGTTATCCCCAAACGAGTCTCAATCTCTAACTATAGAACCGACCGGGTCTCGGGCGGTTTGAAGGATTTCGGGTTGATTCTTGTCGGCCTTCGGAGCATCACTTTGGTTCCCTGATGGTTCCATTATCGTCCGTCCTCGCAATGGAGTAACGAGGCGAATGATGAATCAGTCCTCAATCCACAATCACACTGATACCAGCTGACATATGAAAGGGATCTAAGCTCAGCGCGCTTCGAGTGAAGGTTTGTGGAATGTAAGTATCACCACATCACTGCTCTTCTCCTTGTCCTTGCCGGGGTGGCGACCGTCAAGATGGGCTCAATTTCCTCCGCCAACGCTAGCCCCTCTGCTCAGTATCCCCAAGAGACCTACTTATCAGTGAAACTTGCTCCTGGTACCTTGATCGAAAAGAAGCGACGAGCTGCCTCAGCTGTATCGTTGAAACGGCAACTAGGCTTCTTGAAGAGCACGGGTCGTTATGACGCTTTCAAGCTCAAATGGCATCCTTCATACGATGAACCTCCCACGGTTTGGCCCATTGGAACTTGGCTCTTTTGGTATGTCCGACCACCATCGATGAGGCGGCCCCCGGAAGTCTGAGATTCCAGATCTAACAAACATCCGCCTGGGACAACAGGGATTCTGACGTCGGCAAATGGATCGAGGGCGCTTGTTACTTTTTGCAGACCGACTATGATGCCGAAGTCGACCAAGCAGTGCAAGAGCTCACAGACATGATCGCTTCCGCACAGCACGAAGACGGCTACCTGAACATCAATTACTCGGTCGTCGAACCTTTAGCCCATCGTTTCACCAACTTTCGGGACATGAGTGAACTGTAGGTAGTAACGAAGAATGAATCTGAATCTTGAATGTTGGATCAGGAGTACCGCGGCTGACGTTGCCGATCTGCAGCTACAACGCAGGACACTTGCTCGAAGGCGCTCTTGCTCATCAGCATTATTACAAGAATGACAAACTCTTGGCTCCCATGATGCGGTACATGGAACTGCTGATCAAGACACTGGGGCCGAAAGACGGCCAATTGCATGGATATCCTGGCCATCCCGAAATCGAGCTTGCACTCCTTCGACTCTACGAAAGAACGAAGGACATGAAGTATTTTAAACTGGCCAAGTACTTCGTGACTGAACGAGGGAATCCGAAAGGGGCGGATGGACGGCATTTCTATGACTGGGAGGCGGAGCGAAGAGGAGATGATCCTCACAGGCGTCCTTACTACTATCCCGAGTACAACCCTTCCAACTGGTACTACTCTGCCTCTGCACCGTTGACGGAAATGAAGGCTGTCGAAGGCCACTCCGTCCGGCCCATGTATCTGCTCACCGCCGTGGCCGACATCGTCAGAATGGAGAACTCGTCCAAAGGCGCTCTGCACGAAGCCATCGTGAGACTTTGGAACGATATGGTGTCGACTAAGATGTACGTCACTGGCGGCATTGGTGCGATTGCCCAGTATGAAGGTTTCGGCCTTCCTTACTTCCTTCCACAAGGCACTGACGAAGGTGGCTGCTATGCTGAGACTTGTGCCGGGATTGGGATCATGATGATGGTAGAGCGAGTCCTACAGGTAGGTGTTTCGGCCAGTCGGCAAGTGAAGAGTCCCCCCTGACGTGTTCCAGTACGAATTGGACGGGAAATTCACCGATATCATGGAACTGGCTTTCTACAATGCTGTCTTGACAGCAATGTCTGTCGATGGAAAGAAATACACGTATGTCAACCAGCTGGCGTCGAGCGACACCAACCCGGCCGATCGGAGTGAATGGTTCAAGTGTTGCTGTTGTCCACCTAACATCATGAGAACATTGGCCATTATCGGAGGGTACCTTTACTCCCAACCAGCAACAACTCAAAAGACCGACACCCATGTGGCTGTCCACCTCTATATCTCCAGCACGCTTGACTTCGAAGCGGAGGGCGAGAAGTGTCAACTGACACAGGAGTCAAATTGGCCTTGGGATGGCGACATCAAGTTCCGACTATCCTCGGCGTCGAAGAATGTTTCCATCAGCCTGAGAATACCGAAATGGGCTGAAGAGTGGAGTGTAAGCCTGCCTCAATCGCTCTCCGTAATGGCCGTCCTCTGACTTTGGAAACAGATTGTACCTGAACCGTCCCAGAGTCAAGTCGAAAAGGGGTACCTGACTCTACCGGCTTCCTGGATTGCCGAACATCCAGAATTCACGCTCCAAATTCCTCTGAAGCCGAGAGTCGTCGCAGTCCATCCGTTCACAACGCAAGACACAATCTCGCTGGCCCGCGGTCCCATCATTTACTGTGTCGAAGACTACGATAACCCGTGGGTCGAGGACCATTTCAAGAGCCTGCAACTATACCCCGACGCAAATGTGGAGGAGAAACTAGTGACCGATCCAACGACGCAAGAGGAGTACGTGGCGCTGTCCGTACGTCACGGCTCTTCGCTCCTGCCAATGGGCCAGTTGAACGCAGAGCCCAGCATCCCGTGGAAGGACCTTGCGAAAGCCTCGGCCAAGGGTAGCGTCGTGGAGGATCTGCATTTTGTCCCCTACTATTTCCATTCGAATAGAGATGGGCGCGGTCACGTCCGTACTGGCATAAGACGCTGGATCCGCTAGACCTTGCGGGATTAGACAAGTAGAAGTGGCTGGCTCGAAGTATTGTCAATCCATCAAACTGTGCTTGAGGTGGAGGATGGTGGTCGGCAGTCAAGGAGGTGCATAGATCGCGTGATTGATAGGACGTGGCGGTATTGGCAATTTCATTTCGCAAAGTTCTCCCCCGGGCGCAAGTCGGACATATAGCAGTCCGTCTAAAGGTCGCGCGTATTCAATGAACTCCTGGTGTTTAATTGACGAGCGTCGACCATACGCTCGCTTTCATGGTTAGGCGTGGACTGGCATGAGGTGAAAGAGCGACCTATAATATCCAGCCGACGTGACTGTCCCCCATGTATGTTACTTCTTCATGGCCAGCAAATCCATTGTAGATCTCATCCGTAATCTCGTGTATTTCTCGTTCCTCTCCGGTGGTCTCGGGCACTGAAAGGCCAGGCTGCCACGGGCTCTCGACGGCGAGGAGTTTCTTGGATCTTTCTAGCAGACTGGGCAATAGGAAGGATGTTGCCCCCCTTATTTTCGAAAGTGAGATGAGGATCCCCCATAACAGCTCCTTCGGATTCGAACTTGCAACGCGGGTAATAGGCAACGGTAGGCATTCCGTGAAGTCCAGGATATACGTGCCTAGATCAAAAAGCTTGCGCTCCATTCCCACTCCATGGATCTCCAGAGACCGTGGAGACACGGTTGCAAGCGTCTCCATGACCGATTTCGCCGCTGATAAGGGCGTTTCCAGCGGGAGAGATGCGGCCATGAATACTGTGTCCGGCAACCGGAGTCTAAATGCCGTGTGCCACAAAAAGCTTCTGAGCCACTGCTGTGTAATCCATATATTGACGAGTTGAGGTTCAAGTGCGCCATTCGGAGACAGAACGGTGTTGGACAAGCTCCAGTAGCATACAGGGACGGATCCGGCTTGATGCTGCATTTCGGAGCGTGGAATGCATAGCCAATTGTACAGGTCGGGCGGCAAGGCTTCAAAAACGCTAAGAATCCCGAGAAAGGCGTCGATCGGAGCCGGATCGTCGTCGAAAGTTGTGGTGGGCTTCTGAATCGTTGAATGTAGCACGACTGGACATTTCAGATGGAGAGAATATGCCCTGGGCAGTCGATCATCAGCATGTGAGTACTTAACAGGGGAGGAAGTGTAACCTTTCGAAAATGAATGTCAAATAGAAAATTCGTCGCTTCAACTCTGCCTCCTGAGGATCTAGTGAGGTATAGGTCGACTCGTCATGCAGACGTAGGGATACCGCGAAGGAAACTGCTTGGCTGAGGTAGAACCAAGCTTCTTTGTGTCGCTCTTGATTGGCATATGCACTGAACAAGAAACAAGAAGTCAACATGGTGTCAATATCATGGGAGGAGGCAATGTCCAGCGTCTTTTGGACGCTGACAGCTTCGCGGAGGAGGTAGTCTCGCGCGGATGGAGGATAGAAGTCTCCCGTATCTATGGTATCTTGATCATCGGTATCCGCGGAGTCGAATACTGAACTCGGCGGAGCCAGATTGAGCTGGGTGTTCGTCGCAGCGCACAACGCAACCAAGAAGCAGTATCGCTCTTGGGAGAGCAACTCGACATTTGAGCAGGCAGCAAGAGTCTCTTGCGGTCGCACAATCGGCCACAGAGGGAATATCCATTTCAAGAACAGCTTAATGTGCAGGCGAAGCAATCGACTCGAGACCCGCGAAGATCTATCAGCTGACTTCAACCTGGCCGTCGGTGAGGCGGATCTGGCTATGCTGTGTCCGTGACGGGGAAGACTTGTACAAGAGCCAGTGCCCGAGGATACTTCAGACTGTCCGCTAACATCCTCAACCGCCTGCTGCACTGATCTTGCGTCATCTTGTGTTATCGGTGAACTGCGTACAGAAGCCGGCGGGCGCCCAGCTGCGGGAATGCGGAGGTTTGTGACTTGACGCTTGATGTTGTCATGATAAGTACAAGTCAAGAGCCCAACACGGCATTTCAGGCATGGTTGTGTACGGTCACACTTGATTTTGCGACGACGACAAGTATCGCAGGACTGCATCTGAGAGTTCCAACAGTCGTATCTGGCGATGCCGGAATTGTGAAGATGCCATTGGTGATCCTGACACATTCACCGGGGTCGAAGAAAATGGACAATGAGGCAAGAAGGATACCGGTGATGCCGGCGGCTAGGTGCAACCTAGTTCAGGTCACGTGGCCAGATGTCAACGCCGAATAGCCGGTGACCTCCCTCGCTCCTCAAGCGCCTCCCCCACCAGTTCATACATAGTAGCTACACATACCAACTACATTCATACTCCGTACTCCGTACACACTCACCATATATCTTGACCCCGCACTTGGCATAACGAGACATCAGCCGACGAACCAAGATGATGGCAGAAGCCAATGCATGCGAAGTTAACGGAATGCTTGATTCCACGCCGCTCGCTCGGTCTGCTCTGAATACAAGCAGACGTCGAGAAGACGTTCCCAGCCTCCATATAGAGAAGAGATAGGTGCTCAATCAGGCTGCTGCAGAAGAAGCTCTTCTACTCCGCATTCTCGTGCCATTCTGGCCATAGCCAATCTTGAAGAGCAGTGACATGAGCACCCTGAGAGCCTGTTTCTTCCATACCCTGTCCCCGAAATCCGAGATCCGTACCCTGCAGATGCTTCTCCAACCAAGCCTCCGTTAGCTTTGTTCTCAACAGGCTATTTGCTGAATCTTTAACCGCCTCAGCCTGTTTCGACGAGCTGGATACGTTGAGGTTACTCCAGACCTAGAAGTCAGTCTTGAGAGCGTCGCCTTTTCTGCCCCTCCGACAGAATGCACTGGTGCCATGGAAATTCCATGCTTTCGAGTGTTGATTGCTTCTCGCCACGCGACCACAAATTGCGGGGTGCAGAACCTGGAGCCTGTTCCCCCATGGTGAGCTGGATGGAGACAATGGTGCTAAGAGCCAAAAGTCTATAAAAGAGGAGATGGATCCGAGTGTGCACAAGTATTGCTGATCAATCCCAGGGCCAGTGTTCATTGACTCTATCAAAATCACAACTACATCCCAGGTCTCTTTGCCATGCAGCAACCGGAAAAGGCCATCGACGAACACGTCGAGCTCGCCAGAGAGGAACTAGAGATCTACGGAGATCTGGAAGTCCCTTCCTTCTTTAGGGAACAATCGTGGGATTTGTCTCGACTGACAGCATCCGCTCAGGCGGCTATCAACCATGAACATTCTTTGACCTTCCGACAGGCAGTTAGACAGTACCCCTGGGCCATCTTCTTCTCCGTTGGCATATCGACAACACTAGTCATGGAGGGCTACGACACAGGTCTCATCAACTCTTTCTTTGGCTTGCCTCAATTCCGCCAAAAATTCGGCAAGCAATTGCCCGACGGGGATTACCAACTTTCGGCGGCCTGGCAATCGGCCATCTCTTCCATGGCCAGTGTGGGAGGCATCTTCGGCCTCTTGTTTGCTGGTCAGGTTGTTGACAGGATTGGGTACCGATGGACTATGTTCATTGGTCTCTTCTGGCTGTCTGCGTCCATCTTTCTAACCTTTTTCGCCCAGAACGTCGGCATGTTGTTCGCCGGAAACATGCTCTGCGGCGTTCCCTGGGGTATGTTCCAGTCCGTGGCAAGTTCCTACGCTACCGACGTCGCTCCTCTAACGCTCCGACCGCTCATGACAAGTTACATCTCCCTCTGCTGGGCTATGGGTCAATTCATCTCGACCGGTGTCCTCCGAAGTCTCCTGTCTCGACAGGACCAGTGGGCATACAAGCTGCCATTCGCAATCCAGTGGATATGGCCGATTCCTCTCGGTCTGATTACCTTCTTTGCTCCAGAAAGTCCTTGGTGGCTTGTTCGAAAAGGTCGGATGGAAACTGCGCGGAAGGCACTCCGTCGACTGGGTTCGAACACCGTGACTGACTCCCACCTCGACAACGGTGTCGCATTGATGTACTTGACAAATGAGCACGAGAAAGAGATCGAGAGAGGGACAACTTATTTGGAGCTCTTCAAAGGCGTCAACCTGCGTCGCACAGAAGTCGCGGTGGGAGCTTGGATCTGCCAAGTCACCTGCGGTAACTGGTTCGGCGGAAACGTCACCTACTTTATGGAACAAGCTGGAGCTACAGCCTACACAGCTTTTGCATTTGGCCTCGGTATGAACGCCGTCTCTTGTATCGGGACTATTGCCTCATGGTTTTTGACACCGCGTGTTGGCAGACGACCAATGTATCTGTGGGGTCTAGTGGGGATGTTAATGACCTTGTTGGCAGTAGGGTTCATGGGTATTCCTTCACATCCCACAGCAGGCATCCAGTGGGCATCTGGAGGAGTACTGATCGTCAACATGCTGCTCTACTTCCTCACCGTCGGACCGGTCTGCTTCACTATTGTGCCAGAAGTCCCGACCGTGCGACTACGCAATAAGACCGTCGCGGTGGCCCGCGCTGCGTATAACATTGTGGGTATCGGAGCGAGCTTTCTGAACCCGGCCATCTTGAACCCCGGAGCCTGGGACTTGAAGCAAAAAGGTGGCTTCGTGTGGAGTGCTTTCGCCATAATCTCCGTTGTCTGGGTTTTCTTCAGACTCCCCGAGACCAAAGGGAGGACACCGATTGAATTGGACGCTCTCTTCGAGCGGAAGGTCAAGACCCGCGACTTCAAGACTGCAAATGTCGACACGATGATCGTTGCTGAAGTCCCTGTTGCTCGAGCGCATGATGCCATCACTCATGACAAGGCCTAGAGGGGGAAAATGGCAAGGTGAAAATAGGTATGAGCTTACTCGGATTCAGATAGCATGCTCGATCGATGGTGTCAGAGACAGGGGCTCTCGTACGGACGAATAGGTGATAGAGCCTAGCATCTGCTTGATGACTCTGCAACCGCGATCCCAACGGTGCTTCTAAGCGCTGAAGGTTACTTGGACATGCCTCGTCGTCGCTATCTCGCTGCCGTAGCAATGGAACAGTCATAGTTTAGTAAGTGTCAGCAAGGTGGCAGCGCAAATCTATCGGTGATCACATGTGCCAAGGCTTGACGCCATCAGACGCTACGCTTGCACTTTCATCACTTGGAAACAACTGTTACCATAGTAGTGGTGGAGGCTCCAGTCCGCCAGGAACCTACTCACACCTATCCGCACTCATCATGACCGTATACCTTGTGGTCATCGACTGCCGTCCAGACTTTGTAGCTGTCGTATCACCAACTCGACATGCACGACATGGGCACGACATGATTTTACTACGAGTAGGCTCACTGCGTGTCAAGGACCAATCAACTACCTCCGTACTCGTGGACGGTTCACTCGTCAGGATCTCATCATCATCGTTTGGCGACCAAAAAAGGACGAAAAATCCCAATACTACTAGTAGTAGTCGATGTGTCCAGACTCCCAACTTTCCCGCCACTGGGCCCTCACCCTCTTCCTTGTCGATATCCATTACCAGTAACTCGTCTCGTCGTACGGAGTACCGAGTATCCTTACTGCGTGGGCGCATCTGTGCGTCGACCGCACGTCTAGGCTTCTTCCTTGGGTATTTCTCGGCCATTTTCTTTTCAGGGTCCCTGGGCCCCTTCACGTTGCCCCTTCTATTCCTCTTCCATGCCCGCTTCCATCACGCCACGCAGCAGCAGCAGCAGCAGCAATACAATACTCGTGGATGGAAACCGCACAAAACCGCCCATCCAGCCCCCCGCGCAAGCCTCGCCGCAATCCGTGCGGTACTCCGTAACGCCTCCCGTATCCACAAACCTTATAGTTCCTTCTCGACGGGTAAATGACGTGCCCTTAACAATCCTTTTCCCGTCGTTAATCCCTCATCCCGCAAAGACCAGCTGTTGACCCGTGGAGAGGAGGGCACTGGAGGCATGAAACTGCTTCGCGTGTATTGGGGCCCTTGGCCCACCCACTCCCCCCTCTGAAGAAAACCGTTGGACATCGGGTGGCGCTTTTCGGATCATCATCTCCTACCAGTGGCAGTAGTCTCACTTAGTACTATCTCTAGGGGCTATGATCTATGTTCTATGTCTATGACCATGTCCACGTCCACGCCACAGTAGGACCAAAAGTGGCATTTGCATGTGAGAAGATCCCCTCAAGGGTTATACGCGGTGGGGTAGTACTCGTACGAGTAAGCGTTGAAAGCAAGACCCTGGGCGACATACTAGTACTTGTAGGGTTTGGATGCAGATGAGGCCCTGGCACGAGGGTGTGATATCACAGCACGTATGAGTACCACAGTATGTGTTGGAAGAATTGTGGACTGGGATCTTCGTTATTCCTGACGTCCAATAGGAGTATCATATGCACCGTCCCCCTTCTAGAAGTCCTGAAGATAATGATAGGCCAGGACACAAGGCGAGAGCCATGCCCAAACAACAAATGTTTGATCGGAAGCCTCGAAGCCCGTTCCCTGAAAGATACATACGGCTCAGATAGCCTTGTAGACGATATGAGTGGGCAAACTACACAACGTACACAGTACACGGCAGGACGGGACATGGACTTTTTCTCCCTCTCGTTGGTCGTCCAGTACTACTTGACTGCTTGCTTTGCTTGCCTCAGACGCCCTTCCTTCCCAACGCAGCGTCGAGGAAGGGCGACACATCAAAGGACGTCGATTGGACAGTCACAGAACACTGCAGACACCTTGCAGAGAACCCCCAGTCCACAGTCCACAGTCCCCAGTTGTGTGACACTGTATCGACACGAACAAGACATCGATAGTATAGTGGATTCCAAGTCCCATTCTTGGCCGGGACTATTGCCTATCACCCTATTCTAACTAAACCCTCTAATGAATGCCAGTTGTCACCCTAAAAAGCCGAGGTAGAAAGCAGTTCGAGTGGGAACCCTGCGTTAACTCTTTGAAACCGACCACGAATGCTATGAAAATGAAAGGCACGTGGTCGGGATGGCTTGTCATAAGGAGCATTGTGTAGATTTTCGAGTGAACTTGACCAGCTCATTTTGTTCGTTGCCACGATAGGAGCTTGATAACTCATAGGAGCTTGGTGATGATGATCCAATATCGCAGCCTAGCTAGTAGCATGGAAGCGGGTTTACGTAGCTAGAACAATCCGAATGTCATTTTCAGATCCATCAATCCTGACATCGGTCCCTTCGCCCGCTGTCGATCATGGCCTTCTGGCCATTCCTTGTCAAGTTTGAAAAAGAAAGTAAGGTATTCTGCACCTCCTCCCCGAGGAGAAGGGCAAGAGAAAAGCACGAGTTTACACGCTCGACCCTCAAGAACATGTTCGTAACATGTACATCCCAATCCATTTCATCCAACGCCGCATGCAGTTCATATCTCATAGCCGCATCATGAACCTCGAATGCATTTCAAATAGTCCCGTATCCGTGAATGTTATCCCCGTTATGTAACCCGATTGACGCCGTGTTTGTCGTCCATGATCGCATACAAATTTCCCAGCACCTCGAAACCCTCATTGCAATGCCGATGATGAATGCGCTCCAGAGTAGTGCAAACAAACAATATGCCGTGCTCAGTCAGTCTCATGAAAACTGCCATTTTTCCGTTTTCCTCCACTGAACATTTTCATCGCCTTTTTCCATCCTCCCCCACTTTCACTCCGATGTGACTTGGTTGGGTGAAAAGACATGCCGCTACTGCCATGACTCGTGCCCGCCAGCCCCAAGTCACTAGTGGGAGGGGTGGTTGGCGGAGTAATGGAAGAATCGTGCTCGCCGGCAGAAGGACTTTCAGGTCCGCCACTACTATCCGTCAACGCACTCTCCGAGACAGCAGAGGAGTGTGAAACGTGGGTGGACAATCTGTTTCCGCTCTGGCGGCCTAGTGCAGACGACAGCGTCGACGATCGGTTGTGTTGCTGAGGAGGTGAGCGGGATGGCTGGAATGATGCGTCCGAGGTGTTCGGTGGAGACCGCCGTCGACGGGATATCTGATGATGCAGGGTGCGTTCGTCAAATGTCAACCTTGATGGTTCGAAATCTCCGTAACCAGTGTATTCCGACATGGTATTGTAGGTCTGCGCGTACGGCAGTTGTTTGAGGCTGTTGCAAAAGGGAATGAAAATAGAATCCGACATCAAGTCGTACATTCGTTTCACCGCTGGATCGAGCGTCTCGGGCCGAGGGGGTTTCAGTTCGTATGGGACTTGGACTATACCGTCGCGTTCTTCGGCTGGTAGGTTGATTTCTCGCGGGGCGCCTGGTTTGACGTAGATATCGAGGATCCTCGTCCAATCCTGTATTAGCTCCCATCCTTCAGTCGTGTCGACCGTCATTGGCATGCCGGCCAGACTTGCGCAAGCCTCATCGTACTTGTCGGCGTATCGCTTTGCTTCTGTGGTAAATTCGAGCGTCTCTAAACAGTGCTGCTGCGAGAGAAACGCCGTGTATGCGGCCAGGGTGTAAGGAGATGGCGCTTTGTTGTTCAGGACATCTTCTAACGTAGGTCTTCCGGGTGACATGATGCCTTCCCTCCGAGACACCATACTGATGGGCCGAGCCCGCGGTAGTTCGTCCCCCGACATGTCGAGTTCTTCTGAGATGTCGTCCAAGTAATAGACTGCAGGCTCAAGTCGAGGCGAAGGTTCAGGTGTGAATGGCCAGGCTTTGATAGTTAACGGTTTCTTCCTAATCATTGCGCTGAACTTTGACCGAGACTGGCCTATGTGGAAGTAAAAGTGATCCAAATGAGGTTCTGAGGTGCAAGCCTCTGGGTCTCAGGCTTAAAAACTGCGCCTTTCTTTCTGTTGTCGAGTGTTTGCAGGCCCAACAACGCCAGAGCAGTGGTATTGGGGACCTGATGTGTTTTCACACGTGTGCTTTTGACAATAAGTTTGGAGACCTGCAAGACTGAGGTATTTGGCCGTATGTATCCGAGACTCTTCCCGATAGCAAGCTTCCCTTTGTGTCACAGAAGGACGTCGTGCAACCACCACGCAATACGGATCTCGAAATTGTCTGGACGCCGATGTGCCAGCTGTCAGGGAATGCCGTTTCCCACGTATGGAAGAAGGCGGATTGAGGTAGGTCAATGGAGTCGGTCGTGTGTTCGTTCGATTCTTGCTCTAGAAGCCTGTCAAAGACGTGGTTGAAGCGATGATGGTCTGTTATCAAAACGGTCAGGATGTAAAGAGGCAGTCGACATATAATGGACTGCAAGGGCCGTTACTGGTCCCTAATGATGTCGCTTTGTCGATCGGTTGTCCTTGAAAGAGCGACTATAGAATGGAGGAAGAGCGGCTGGCGCAGTCCAAGACTGAGCACGAGCATCCGAAGTAAGGACTAGAAGTTCGGAGGAAGATCCCACAGCCTGTCGATGATTATTGTTCGTTGGGCTTAGTGAGATCGTGGCCCGAGCACAGTCATGGCGGATGGATATTGTTGTAGGTGCTTGGAGCCCTGAGTCCTGAGGCCTGAAGAAGTCCAGGGATGGTGGAGAGTTGGATGGTGTCCTCAAAGTGTAGCCGGAGCAAAAGCCTTCTTGGAGCAAGGTTAGGTAAGAGTCATACTGCAGAGGAAGAATTCTCTCAATCGACTCGCGCAGACAGTTAGGCAGGTAACAGTGGTTGTGGAGGGTGGAGTTCTGCAGTAGCCGTATAGTCGGTGGGTTCTAACGAGGGTAGAGAAGAGTTACAAGAGGAAGAGGGTTTGGGTTCGTCCTGGATCGGTCACACTTTGGATTCGTGAGCTGGATGTGTGTTGCAGTGGATCTTCATTTCTGGTGGCATGCTCTTTGGTCCAAGTGCGTCTGTGTGCGGTCACCATGGAAAGAGGGAAAGAGACGAGAGGGAGCAGGGCGCAGGCACAGGCTTTGGCGCGCTTTGCAGGCTCGCACGGGCTGCAACGCTGGCCACTAGCCTCAGGAGCCTACTGGGAGCCCACGGCTGTAAAACCCTCAGTGTGGGTGTCTTATTGGCTACAGGCCAGGCAGATGATGATCAGATTCGAGACTAAATGATGCCACAAAAGAGGGGGCGCCGACGAGGGAGGATAAGCGAGGATTGCCTGTTGCTACATCATTGCCCGTCAGCAGCAAGTTGATGAGTTGTGGCAAGTACGAGGTACAGGGCTGGCTGACATGACAGAGACTCAAATAGTTGCCTGCAATCGATAAATATACAGTGATCAGCATCGAATACGAAATGCCATAGCCCCAGTGAGCCCCCAAAGAGACGACGCATTGAGAAGTGGGTGGGAGGATGTTTATTGACAATTCAGGCACCCTCTCTTTTGCCTCGTCCAGCCATTCGTCATCCGGCTGGATGATCTCTGATGATCCCTTTCTAGGCGCCTTCCAAACGCCCTTCCACGCTTTCTACGCTTTTTCTAGGCGACTTTTGTCACTCGTCAAATCTGTCTCATCGGCCTTCTACGCGTCTTCCAGAAGCCTCACCAGCATGAGGTCGCTGCCCCGGGCCTGCCAATCTGCGTCTTGTTCTTGCGCACACAGTCTTTTTGCCACCGTGGGCTGTTGTGGCTGTCCTAACACTACTACCACAGTACTTCGGATGTGGCCTGTTTCTCACATCTTGAGAGACATTAATTATTACCACATCATCGCGCGATTCTACCACATCCATGGCCCCGCAAATTCCATCATCCATCCTTGAAAATATTATAGTTATCCGAACAATTTTCTCATCGGAGATGTCCTCAGTTCTCCCCTTGCTTGCCTAACTGCTCACCTCATTAAATTCACGCGTGAGCACTCCATATGCGGAGGTTTTCACTTCGGCTGTGCTACCCATACAGTGGACAAGAGGACTAGAACTCGCAACCGTGGTACTTCAAGGCCTCTGACTGGTTCTGGCGTAGAGTACTCCGATCCCTACCTCTTTTGTTTGCTTGTTTCCTTCCACCCGTATCATCGATAACGAAGTCGACACAGTCGAGATGAAGGTACAACGCACATGCCACCAACAGAATCTATTTTCATTTGCAGACCTCTTGATATTTGCCATGCTGGCAAATTTTCCCAGCCTCTAACATACTGCTGGGTGGAGAGGTGTTGATCAGCTGCAACGTGGTTACTTTACGGAAAGTACGAATAGCACTGGCCATGGCCCACGACTACCATAGTCCGCCCCCGGTGTCGGCTGGCTGCAACTCTTTTGCCATGAGACAGGGGCCCCCACCGTCGAGTTCTGCAGATCGTATCCCGCTGTACCGCCAGCGATGTTGAAACCCATTCAGATACTCCAAGAGACCGTTTCGTTGTAAGCTGGTGCCATGTTTGATGCACAGTAGATGTTTTCTTGTGAGGCTTCGGCACGATCAACGAATAACATGCAGCTCCACGTGGACGCCTGGAAGACAAAGAACCATATTCGCGATCAACGATCGATTGACTTCTCCCTGTCTCGCAAATTGAGTGTCCTTGCCAGCATTCCTGGCAACACGACGTTCCGCAATAACGAAAAGGCCCATAGGAGCACTCAAGCCTTGACCATTTCCGCGAATTCCCGTGGAGCACAGATAATGTCATCTCAATATAGAAACATTCTAGAATCCTGCCTAGATTGGCAATCTGCTTCTCTGCCGCCATCCGTCCGGCTAAATTGAAGGCACGTGGACTCATGCAATCCCAGTCGCTTTATCTTTGCCCTCGGGGCTTCAGCCACCGAAAAAAATTCTGTTCAATATGTTAGTCAATTCAAGGTGTCATATCCGTATATCGATGTTGCTCTGCTACAATGAGGTCTTGCCGAGAAAGGCACGCCCCGTGCCTGTTTCATTTGCTGTCGACCTCTCCGTGCTGGGTTGCAGTTGATCAAGCGACATCTCCACAAGGCTCCAGGAGAGCTCCATTGCCGACAGGGATCTCAGCCGAGACCATGATTCCACAGCAAAAGGCAAAGATTTCCAGGGCATTGCTCATTTGTCTTTCTTGGTCTCAGACGCCTTTTCCAGTTGAATTCGATGTCCTCGCCCTTTGACCAAATTGGTGAGACCAAGATTCCAGCCAGCTTTCTGAGCTTGATCTCGGACTTTCTGCCATTGATCATGGTTTTCCTGCAGGGTGGCAACCACTAACGTAAGGACGTCGGGTTGCTCATGTTTTCTGGGCGATATTGGACTCTGTCTATCACCTCCTTGAACCACGACGTCTGCCGTTGACTCTGCAACAGAGAAATCACGATGCAAGCATCGAATGGCTTGACAAAAACCTTTTGCTTGCGTCTCGGCGGAGCCTGATTCTTTTAGTAATATCATCCCTTTGCTGTTCCGCACGTCAACCCAAAGCAGGTAATCCTCCCGCGCGAATGCTTCCACAATGTACAGGAAGTCTTCAAGAGTCTTTCTTCTGTTGCCCAAAGTGGCCTGCATGAAAAGCAGGAAATCATTGAGACCGACACCGACCTGGACACCAATCCGCTTGTTGCCAGAAATGAGGACCGACTCTTGCCTGCCAACATCATCGGGGCCCTGAAGCTGTCCACTGCGGAGCATGCCTCTGAACAGTATGCACGCTCGTTCGGCATTCAGTGAGTGCAGCCGCACACTCTTCACAGCCTTCCAGTTGGCCCACAAATGAAGCGCAAGCAAGGGTAGCAAGCAACACCACGTGGCCACTGTCCCTTGTACTTTACTAACGACCAGACCGCCCGCCCACATTCCCGCCAGACTGACTACAGTCTCCTGGCTGCCATCTTTGGCGTTGAGCTCCCCTATATTACCCGCTCGTGCGAAGTGAGAGCTCAGAATCGCTTTACTGCTCCCGCCAGCGACACCACACATGGCTCGGAAAGCGTTGCTGACGCACAGAGTCAGGACTCGGCCGAAGATTGGCATTGCCGGGCTCATGCAGTCGAGCACAAACGCAATGTCATTAACAATGTCTGCGAAAAATCGGTAGAACTTGACTTCCGCTTCGATACGCTGGGAAAATCGGTGCGCGAAGAGGATGGTCGCCACGCGGCCGATAGTTTCCTGGGCGATGTATAGTAGCATCGTCGTTACGAGGGATACGTCTTCGGACCCGACGCCCATACCCACGAAGACGGCGCGAGATGCCAGAAGGCCGGCAATGGTGGAGGCAAATGCCTGTAGAGAGTCGTAGATCTGGTAGGGAGTGTAGTCGGCAGTTACTGTTGAGGGATAGCCGGCGGGTAGAAAGGGGGATATGCATTTCTGAAGCAGAGAAAGAGATGCTGTGGTCGGAATTGAAGCTCGGGGAGTGTGCTTCTCAACGCCACCCGTAGTAAGGTTGATTTTGAAGATGGTACTGGGGAGACTTTCGGCATCAATCTCTGTGACAATGAGCTCCTGCGATGGTTGAGTAGCCATCCTTGTAGTAGAGTCAAATCTCATTTGCAGCCGACGACGACGGCTGTGTGAAGGTGCTTCGTTTCTAGCATGCCTTTGGATTCTACCTTCGCGAAGGGTTTGCGTGGCCTAAGCTTTGAGGGTCGATTAACCTGAGTAGAAAGACCAGCGGAAGCCCAGTTTGACTCCTACATAGCATAAATCAACGGTACACGGTGCAAACTGAGCCAAATTGTGATTATGTGCTTCCCTTGGACAGATGTGAAACGTGGTGCGAGATGAGGTTGTAAAGCTACGCTAAGTGTATTTTGATTGACCGTATATGCTGTAGTGTGCTTTACTGATCCGCCATAGTATGAAGATTAACGCCGTAGTACGGATAGTGATATTGAAAATTGCTGCCCACCTGCTTCCATCACTTCAGGATCATGAAGAATGTCACCCATTATAAGGGTTGGAGCTGAGGCCAGTAAAATAAGTCCCATCTGACGAGCTTTTGCTACATTGAGGCATACAAATAAGCGGCGTGAAGAGCCTGCCGTGAGTCTGCTCAGATTTCATTCAGCTGTCGCAAGCAGCGAACCTCGATTCCTCTGCTGGACAGTCCTGCCCGCGACGAAGAGGTTCCAAACGTCGGTATGTGAGTGATTGGGTAATTCGCGAATATCGGGAAAGGCAGAGTATCCTCGGACTTGTTCTTGCCTTCAACTGCTTGCACCTTCCAGCTCTGCCTTCTTCATGTGTCCTTCTCCTGCAGTTTCTGCTTAACCTTCTTCCACCATGGCCCAACAGCTGAGAGACTCTGCATCGCCTTCTGTGTCTTCACCCTTACGGGCTAAGCTCCTGGTTGGCGGTCCCAAGAACTTACTCGTGAACATTTCTTTTCACCTCATTGCATCCCGACCCTACCTTTTACAAGTCATTCAAAATGCGTACTCCTAAGCATCTGTTCTCACCATTCCTTTGCTGCTTCGGCATTCACTCTCACGATGATGACCAGGCAGCGGCCGACCTCAAGTCCCTTCCAAATCCTGCTTCGGCCCTATCGGTCTCCTTGCCTGCACACACAGTACCACATTCGCAAGGCCATTCCGGCTCGCACGTTGCCGATGCCGATGCTTTACGGCAGATATTCAGATCATCTTCTTCAGTACGAGGCTACCAGACTGCTTCTCGACCACATGAGATGTCACACCAACGGCAATCCTCCTTCGATACCGATTTCGGATTCGGACACAGGGCTTTGTCGGAACGGAAACAGCCAGGACGAATCGGACAGTTGGGCAGCCATATCAAGCAGAAGCTATCAGAGTCACGACTAAGCAAGAGCAGCTCTAAGGCTCATATGGGATCTGAAGATGCACCTCAGGAGTTAGCTGTTCCAGAGCTTGCACCCTTGAGCGTTGCACATCTGGAAGTCGCTTTAAGTCAACGGTCTACTGGTCTTCTGGAGCTTCTCATGTCAAGATCGGGTAGCGAAGGGGGATATGACAGTGACGCAAGAAGTATTCAAACGGCAGCGCTTAAGGCTAGCGATGGGACAACCAAACTCAGTCCTCAAGCGGCGAAGGCATTGCTTCGGTCGCCTACAGGACATTCTTCTGTTAAGCATGAACGTGATCAGACCTCGCCCACGAGACTCAGTTTGAGTCTATCTGCGGATCAGACCGTGCCCTCTACACCACCTCGCACGACAATATTGAAAGTCCCCCCGATTGAGAAAGTTGAGTCGCCTACAATCATTCCCAAGCGAATCAACGATGCCGTGGCCGAAGGAACTGACACCCTGCCTGGAAGGACAGCCCTCCCTGCCACTACCTCGCCGGTATCGGGTGACGCTATGACACAGCATTTCAATGGAGGTTCGCCTTCGAAAGCCAGTACTCGAATACATCACGAAAGTTCGGACGTTGTGGAGACGTTGAAAACACTGAGCGACACTGTTGCCATCGCCAAGAGAGACAGCCTTCTCTCCAATGTAGACAATCCTCGAACCAGCCTGGTCTCCAACCTGGACCCGGCCTTGCTTGGCTTCATCTCCAAGTATGGTGATCGAAGCTCTATGGATGCAGATGAGCCCTCATCTCCCCCGAAGCTCGCGGGCCGCCCGCTCACTTCCCAGCCCATGCCCGTCGACGGTCCCAGCTCTCGCAAGAACTCGGTTCCCGATAGGGACGATGCTTCTGACAGAGACATGAGGTCACTTACCGAATCCGAGGGCAACTCTATCCATCTCTATAATATGCGGATATCGCAGAGATTGGCAAGCCCTCACTTAGCTGCTGCTAGCTCACGGCCAAACACCAGCCACACCACTGCCAATCAGTCCCGTAAAAATTCGACGGACGCAAGGACTACTACTAGCCAAGCCTCCTTGGCTGGACGTCCCCCTGGCACAATAACAGCCGAACACAACAGACGCCCTTCGGATCCTCAAACAAGACGACTCTTTGAGGATGAGAGCACTGCCGACGGGCCACGGCAAAGATGGAGGCCTGTGACCTCGGGCTCCTATATGACGCTGTCTGGAGAGCCAAGGTCTCCTCTGAGTCAAGGTGATGCTTCCTCTTTCTACGAGAGTGACGCAGGAGTAGGTGGTCATGAAGACGCCCAACGTCACAGCTCTAAGAGGAACCCAAACAGTATTGCAATCGGAGGCAGGTCAGGGTCAATCAGCTTGCCTTTGGCATCTTCGAATGGCAGCATGAGCCAACTGTCCGTCGCAGAAGAAAGTGCCTGGTTCAGCAGAAAGTCATCCCAACAGCAACGAGACTCAGAGGGAAAAGGCCAGCCGAGTCTGGCTGTCAACCGAAATCGAAGCGTCAGCATGCCAGACAAGACTGAAGCAGGAAGAATCAACGCTGCGATTGGATTGAGTATGCGACCACAGAAGTCGACCAAAGCCAATGCGCCTTTGAGCGAAACCAGCATTGAGAAGCTGAAGGACGCTAGAAGGGAACAATTGACGGAGATCAGTGCTCAAGCAGTGCGTGACACATTCAACGAGAGGATGAGTGAGATTGATCCGCAGCGCGCGGTCCTGCCGATAAGGCCGGAACATGATACCGCGCGCGATCATTCACCGTTCTTATCGAGGCAGCGACAACTGTCAACAGCTTCTCAGATACCCCCTGAGGAGCTGCGCCCCGAATCAGCAGAGGGCAGACCTGAGCTACACCAGTCAACCACTGATATATGGAGGAGGACTTTCAAACGAGTTATGGATGAGCCTAACGAAGATTCTCTTGGTGGTTTTCTCACAGCTCCGAAATTCGATCGTGATGGGAGAAGACGAAGCACAAGATCCAGTTTCAGCGCAGTTGAGTCACGCGAGGACAATGCACCACAGGGCGCGGCGGTACATCTGAAACAGCGATCTCCTGCGTCAGAGGACACACCATGGGGAGACAAACAGGAGAAGTCGGCGACAATTGTTTCTAAGCGAAGTATTGCTATCATGGAAACGAAGCCAGATCAATTGATGACTATTGGAGAGCGAAAGCGAAAGAAAAGTTTGCTCGACTTTGGCTGGCGCTCTACTATGTCCAATCGGGCCGATGAAGAGGAGCATGGCTCGGGGACGAGTACACCACTGAAGGAGTTGTTGGGTATATGGGGTCGGTTTCCAAGTCATACCAGAAATGAAAGATGTGGCGCCGCTGGCGCGCGAAACGGGGTGGTGGTCAGAGACTTTGCACAAGAAGGACAGGACAAGAATTTTCGTGCAGATTCCGCACCTATGACTCCGTGGCCGAGGTCATCAACGACTGGGGAATCCCATACTCCTGGGTCACTGAGAATGCTCAGGTCTTTTGGACGAAAAGAGCGGATCGACAAGAAAAGGACCAAAAGCATGCCGCTTCCGCGTAACAACGAGCAGTCTCTGGCACTTCGTGCGAAGAAGAGTCGCAAAGGCCTTGTGGGGCGATGGAAGAAACTCTACAGGAGCAGCAGTTCTGATCTCAGGGCATACATCCACACCTATGGTCACCGTACCAGCATCAGCGTTGGTGCAAGCGTAGCACACCCGGAACTCGAAGTCATTCCGGGGTTTGAAACTCACTATGATGGCCGTCCCGAGCTGGATGGTGCGCCACATTCACAAAGGAGACATCAACGCGAAGCAGCTGCGCAGTCCGGTAGTGTTGAGCTGCCACCTATGGATGAGGGACCTTGGACGCAAATGTATCGGGACTGCGTTGGCAGTCTGTCAGCACTCAGAAGCGATGCGGACATACGAAGTATGAGCGAATGGACCGACCACCTCTTCGAGGGAGGGCATGGTATCTGTAAAATGAAGAGTACAGATTTAAGAAGCAGTACCGCAGACTTTGCGGTTGAGCTTTGCAAAGAGTTAGAAGCTGCGAAAGGGGGGCTGATCAAAAAGATTGAGAGTAGTGGGCCGGTGGACGGATTGGATGTGCCAGAAGCACATCTTAAACAGGATTGAATCAAAACCTTACACTGGCAGAGGTCGCAGACTGTGAGCAGAAGCTGTATGGCCACCACTCACGTTGGAAGCATTGGGATAAAGAAAAACAGGGGATTAGAACATGTATGAGTATGACAGTATTGGATTTTCTGTTTTCGTTTCTTGCCTGAACGCTTCTTTGGCGTCAGGATCCTTCTCATAACTTGAACCAAGTCAGCTCGAGGAATTCGATCTGTGAAAGAGCCTTTTCCTGAAATTATTCATCGTATCCTGATGAATTTGCACACCGTTGAAACATGAATTCAACACTCGTTGAGGTTGAAGGATTGTTTATGACCGCATGGATGAGACTTAAGTCACAATTCGGACTCAAGGGTCAACAGTCCTCGATAGGGCCGGTCACAAGACAATCCAGGCACCAACAGCCAGCATGAAGAGGCACGAAGCTGTGGCATAGATCAGACCTTTTGGAGGTGCGATCTTAGCAACACCAGCACGTGGCGGAAGGCCACCGGTGACGGTGGTGGTGAAGATGTGCTGGGTTGTGGTGTCGATGATCATGCTCGCATGCGGAGCCGATGTGACCACGACGGTCGAGGTCGAGGTTGGGGTCGGGGTCAACATTGCGGAACTGTTTGGCCACAGCCCGGTAAACTCGGTCATCTCTTGAGTCTGGTCGGTGCTCGGGATGCGTTGGTTGCCAGTGCCAGTGACCAAGGTGTTGAAGCTGAATAGCATGGTGATGGTGGTCGTGTTCTCATTGGCTGAGGCGGACGGGACTGTGGTGTTGATTATCACCGGCAAGGTGGTCAGGGCGGTCAAGGTTGCGGTCACGGTGGTGGTGCTGCTGGTCGTGGTGTTGACGACAGTGGTGGTTGTCTCTGATGGCTTGCTGCCGCTGCTGGAGTTGGGGGTGCTAGCGCAGGTTGAGGTTGACGACACGACAGGAGCGGAACCGTGGAGAGGAGGAGCACCACCTTCGGCGCGAGCACACACGGCACGGAGCAGAGTGAGCAGATGGACTGCATATTTGAAGGAGCCCGGTGCGCGGACTGAGCGTGCGGCATTGGCTTGCTTGGATTCGGGGACAGTGGATGCAGGGATCAGAGTGATGTGCGCATTCAGGGTCGTCGAGATCGTATTTGATGGGATTGTCGGCGTCAGAGTGCTTGCTGCGAAGGTGCTGTTGAGGGAGGCGGTCTGGTTGATCAAGCCTGTGCCTGTACCTGTGCCTATGCCGGTACCTGTACCGATGCTGGCGCCAGTGGCTGTGTCGACGACGGTGACGGTCGTGGTTGTGGTGCTACCAGTGGGCAGAGGCACGAGGTCTGTCGCAGTGCTGGCGTGGATGGATGTGGAACTGAAATTGAAGTTGTCGGTGCCAAGGAGGGTAAGGTGAGACGACAGGGAACTTGGGATTGGGAATGGCCCAGCAGGTGTTGGGATAGGCAAGATGGCAGTGACGCTGGGCAAGGGAGTGAAGGAGAGACTGAGATTGTCCGGGACTGAGGCTGCGACGTAATTTTGTCAGTATGATTCTCCGAAATTCACACAAAAAAGATTGACGCGTCGTAGACGCGTTTACGTGCAAAAGGCAGTGACGTACCCAGGGTGGTGAATTCGACGGAAGTGCTTTCCGAAGTTTGGGGTTCGGTTTCAGTGCTGGTGAGGTTGGTCAAGACTGAGATGAATGTGAGTTTGGGTTGCCTGTGAAGATGGAAGATCTAGGGAGATACTTACCGAGAGTAGACGTGGTTTGTTCTGTGGTGAACACAGTAGTCGTAGTCGTCATGTTGTCAAGCGATCCAGTCGAGGTAAGACCAATTTCAGTAGCAGAGGCTGATTCGGTGATCGTATTGTCACTCGTGACTGTTTGATGTCAGCGTCTCTTTCTGGACGCTGTAGCGTCTTCATTTGTAGGGATGTAAGTACTTGTAGTGAACACGGTAGTGGTAGTCTCCATGTTGTCAACCGATCCAGTCGAGGTAGGGCCAAGTTCAGTAGCAGAGGCATTTTCAGTGGTCTGAGTGTCAAGCGTGACTGTCTGGTTGTCAGCGTCTCTTTCTGGAACTTGTAGAGTCTTGATCTTAGGGATGTACCTGTAGTGAACGCAATGCGGGTACTGGTCAAGGTAGAGGAGACAATGGACGGGTTGGGGACTGCGCCCAGAGTTAGTTTGATGGGATGCGAAGGTGATAGTCGTCAACATACCTGTCACAGTCTTGTTTTCACCTTTGGTGCAAGTGGTGTTCTGGAAGGGAGCGATAACCGAGGAAGCAGGGACAGGAGAGACAGTGATAGTAATGGGGATAGGGGTGACGTGAAGAGTGGTAAAGACCGTTTCGGTGATCATGCTGGTAACATTGCAAGAGATCGTGGACGAAACGGTGATGTTAGTAGCCTGGAGAGCTGCCACAAACCACAGCAACACGATGATGAGGGGGTTACACATCTTGATGGATGCGTCAACGAGCTTAGAATGGTGGTTTCGATTGTTGCAAACGAATGTTGGTAACGGGGCTTGGGAATTGATGAACGAGTGATGATGAAGGAGAGTGTAAATGTGAAAATGCCGGGGGCCTGAAGCCGAACTTGATATACCCTGTGTGAGGGTATACACGCTTGGCGAAGCGACTTTCCAATATTCGCAAGGGCAGGTTAGGCGGCTTTGGTATAGACAGTGAAGGGTGGGCGAACGTCTGGTCCAAGGTTATGCCATCAAGACATATGTAGATGATGGCCTCGCCATGTGCCAACAGTGGTAAGGCTCGCCGATGCAGGGGGCCGGCACCGTTGTGGTATCGTGTTTGTAAAGGCCCATTGCAGCAACAAGGGACAATGCTCTTGCTGTGAGAGTAGCACAACCAGCCATGCAGTGTGGAATGAGTGCGGTGGTGTGAAGCCAGTTCCTCCCATGACGACTCTTACCTATGATGGGTTGTCGTGAACCTACCTTCTTTTTATTCCGCCGGGACAATGCTCATGCTGTCCTGTTGCCGACTGCACTCATTCTTCGTCGACGTATGACGGTATGATGCTTTGCAGCGTGCTTTGAACAGGTGCAATATCAAACAAGACAAGAAAGAAGGAAAAAACCAAGGACGTCGTTGAAGAAATAAGATTGGATTAGGCTGAACGCCGAGCCTTTGCGCCGAGACTCAGGGTCCAAGGCTCGGCATTCTGCGACTGACACTTGAGGTCCGCACTGCTCTGATACCACCGTTGTCAATCACATGCCGAAGCCTGTGGTGAGCAGACACCAGCAATTGTGATCAAGAGCGATCTAGTAAGTTGTCAAATCCAAGCTGCCCACTTCATGCTATGTACTGGGGCATAATCATGAGTATCACCACGGCACTGTGCCTTCGTTCGACGTGAAAGTGCCATGAGGACCATCCTTATCGGTGTTGACAATCATCCTACAAGCCTGGAGGGCTCCATCTTCAGCCTTGCCTGCCGCTTCGTGATAACCATTCAGGTTGGTTGCCCTAAAGCCCGGGTCGATCATGTTGACTTTGATGCCATCCTTGCCAAGCTCAACAGCATACATAGCACCGATCATGTTCATGGAGGCTTTCGAAGTGTTGTAGGGCTTCACAATGTAACCATAGAAAGGACTCTTGGGGTCCAATGTCATGTCGATGGAGCCAAGACCGGAAGACATGAAGAGAAGTCGCGGAGTGGTTGCTTTTTTGAGAAGCGGGATGAAGGCTTCCGTGACACAGGCAGCGCTGACTGCATTGGTCTCGATCACCTTGTTCATGGCTTCGCGGAGACCGGCACCTGGGTATTTACTGATGCCGGCGTTGTTGAAAAGGACGTCAAGACGACCGAACTTGTCCTTGACATATTCGGCGGCTTTAGCAATTGATTCATCGTTGGTAACGTCAAGTTCTAGTGGTTCGACTGTTGTACCACGGGCCAGATTAACGACCTTCTTAGCGGCCTCCCTGCCTCTTTCGATGTTCCTGGAGCACAGGAGGATGTGGTAGTCGAGTTGTTCTGCAGCCAATTTCTTGACGCATTCAAATCCCAACCCTTGGTTGGCGCCGGTGATAAGAACGATGGTTGAAGACATATTGAGATGTTCAAAAATGATTGCTTGGGATGATAACAATGCGAACCTTGTTATCCGTGGAAGGATGCTTGAAGCAATGAATCAAGGTATTTCCCTCGATGCCGTTGAGCAAGCATCGGAGAAGAAGGCTTTGGGTATTTATATTTCTTCGCCGGAGGGATTTGTCGGACTTACCTTCAGCTTGGCCACCCACTGGGTCTGTGTAGCAGTACATCTGACGACGATTTACATTGCCGGAGCGAGCCAAAGTCTGCAACGGGCTAAGAATGAGAGATTGATGATGCGTAGCAGGGCATGGAGAGAATCACTGTCGCGATATAGATGCCTGAGGGCCGGCGCCACAATATGCAGCTAGTCGTTAGTTAGCGAGCAAACCAATTGTAACACTTCTGGGTGACTTCGGGGATAAGATCTTCTCCATCACCCTTGGTAGGTGCTCAGGTCTGAAGAACCGTATGCGACTACAAGTTTCCACCATCAGATTGACTTGCTGATAAATCGGTGCTCAGATCAATACGTTCAACTAACGTGATCGCTATGCCGGTAAATTACGAAGCCTCGTCGATGATGGAGAACTCAGGCTCGCATTAAACATCCCTTTCACATCTTCGATTGACGCATGATTATCAAACATGATCGAAGCAGAGAAGCCGCACGAAATTGGCAAAAAGGCCCGCAAACGTAGCAACGGTGGTTGCATTACTTGCAAGTGCGTGATAGTCACACTCTCTCTTGCTCGTCGCTCATCGGCATCTGACAAAATCGTAGGATTCGACGGGTCAAGTGCGATGAAGGCAGACCGTCGTGCGACCGGTGCGCGAGTACGGGCCGACATTGCGATGGCTATCCTGCACCAAAGGAACCGGTGCCCGTTGCCTTTGTGATGCTCGTGCCGACGTCAAATCCTCCAGAGTGCCATTCCGTGTCTCGACGGGCTTTTCAATATTTCCACCAAGTGTGCGCTCCGGCGTTGATGAATTACGGTACTCGATTTTTCTGGAATCAGCTCGTACTCCAGGCCTGTCACCATGATGAAAGCATCAAGCACCTCATCATCGCCGCTTCCTACGCCGGTGCTCGAAGCGAGATGAACATGACATGTAGCGTCACTGCTGCGCCCAACGACGGCTCCCTCTACCTATCACATTATGGGCGGGCACTGAAGTTATTGAGCCATGCTAAAAGTCCGGACCCTGGACTGGTGCTCATGGCTTGTTTACTGCTGATACTCTGTGACGAGCTCCAACAGAACTCCTTTGCCGCTCTCCAGCATATGCTAGCGGGAAGAAAGATCCTGTCTTCCTGCTCGTCCGGAATCCGTGGCCAGGGCAACGAAATCATCAACGAGATTGCTCCCATCTTCTCTCAACTGGAGTTGCATACTGGAGAAATTTATCGTCACACCATGACACAACCACCCAGCCTTGCAATTCCGAGGAACAGCTTACATGACCTGACACCTTCTCGGCAGTCCATACATGAGCTTCCTACCGCACGATTCGCAAACCTGGATGCGGCTGCGGAGTCCTTGAGTCAGATCGCATGGGGCTGTGCATCTCTCCGACTAGATAGCCTACCTCCTCAAACGCGGTTTCACGTGGTTCCTGCTCTCACTATCAGACTCAACGACTGGCTGAACCGTTTCACAGCCTTCGAACCAACGAATGAGCCACACTGGTCTGCCACACGCACAAAGCAGCAGTTGCTGCGCCTGTATCATGGCTGTTTGGTAACACTATCCCGTTGTGCTCCATTCGACCAAGAGACCGCTTTCGACGCGTACTTGAGCAACATCGAACAGCTCATGATCGGTTGCAGTCATATGATCTCGTACACGACCACCAGGCTGATCCCAATTTTGTTTTTCATCGCAACCAGGTATCGGAGTGCTAGTTGTCGAAGAAGAGCGATAGAACTTCTCCGTACGTGCGGCGTAGATGGTCAGATCCTGGCAAAGATTGCAATGAAAGTTGTCAAGATCGAAGAAAAGAAAGTCGACGAGCCAATTACATCCAGCGATATTCCCGAGACGAATCGTATTCGCTTGGTTGACTTGGATATTGATGCTCGAGGAGAATTTTATATCCTGAGGTTCAGACGCTTTCCATACCGTGAGCCGGCACCTCTCGATTTTGCCGCGGTGCCTACCCAAGGCTTCTCGTGGAATAGTGATATGATCAATTTGACGCATCCGGTATGCCAATAACCTTTCGATGTTCGCCGACGCATCAGCTAACAGTGCGCAACAGGTCTCTCTTTTGAAGGCCGTCCGTGATTTCGACTTCACGCCGTTCTGGAACCAGGAAAGTCCCGCATTCGGTCTGCCTAGAGATATCTCTCAGGATTTTTGAGATCCATGAATCAAGAGGCCGAGAACACCTCACCATCGGACCAGGAACCTGCACGAGACGAACCTCTATTGGTGTCCTTGATATCTCGACAGGGTCGCTATGCTGCACCACCAATCTCCAGTTTCTTCCCCTTCACACTCTTCCACTCGAAACCGAACGAGAGCAGGAACGCAATGCAGGCGCATGCTATGGCGAGGATATATGAATTCGTGACGGCGATATTGTATGCATGGAGCACTCCAGCGAGCTGTGACGGAGGCGTGACTTCGCGGATATGGGTGGCACCGGCTGCAATGATTTTGTAAGGGTCAACACCCTTGGTATATTTTGGGATTTCCTTCACCAGACCGTTGGAGAAGATGTTCTGCGCAATCGAGATGGAAATCGCACCACCGAGGGAGTTGAAGAATATGGCGACAGCATTGCCCACAGGCATGTCTTTCTTTTTCAGGACGACCTGAACAGCAATGAAGGGAATCTGAACACATGCACCGGCTCCTGCCCCGGCCACAATTTGATAGCCGATCCAGGTTCCAGTGGACGAGTGGACTTTTAGAGTATGCAGGAGACCGGATCCAACGGCGAACACAGCTGAGCCGAACCAGGTGAATGGCACGTATGGTCCAAGAGCCGTGACGCTGCCGCCGACTATAACCGATGAGATGGTGAGGCTGACTAGATAAGGGATAGTGCGGATGCCGGATCCTTCAGCCGGGATGCCGGATCCTTCAGCCGATGTCCCTTTGACGGCTTGGAAGTAGAAGGGGAGGTAGTAGATGTGGGTATACAAGCCCATGGCGAGGAAAGCGCTGAAGAAGGCACAGATGAAAACTGTACGCTGTTTGAGCATGACTCGCGGTGGTAATGTTGCGAGGTCGCCTTTCCAGAGTTGAATGCCGGTAAAGACGGTCATCAGGAGGCCGAAGCCGAGAAGGCAGCCCCATACTTTGGAATTCGACCACGGGTAGGTTGTGCCGCCCCACTGAAGAGCTAGGAGAAGACAAACAATGGCGCAGATCAAGAAGAAAGCTCCAAGAAGGTCGATTTGCGCAATCTTCTCCCTCAGCGTCAGACTGCTATGTTTGCGTTCGGGGTTCTTGAAGAAGCAGAAGACGGCGGCAATCGCGACGGCGCCGATGGGGAGATTGATATAAAAGCACCAGCGCCAGGAAACTCCTGGAAAAACATAATGTCAGCCGCACCACATCGCGCTTGTAGAGACCGGGAAATTTTCAACGTACGGTCGGTAAATGCACCTCCTAAAAGGGGCCCTACGACAGAGGCAACGCCGAACAACGAACTCAGCAAGCCTATGTAAATAGGCCTCTTTCGCAGAGGGACCGAGTAGCCTATAATGGTCATTCCGCCCGAAAACAGGGCTGCAGCTCCACATCCTGCGACAGCCCGGCCGACGATCAGCATCGTCGAATTGACGGCAGCACCGCATAGCACGGAGCCGAACTCGAAAATGAGCAATGCCAGCATATACGTCCATTTCACGTTGAAGTAGGTATACACCTTGCCAAAGGATGGTTGAAGGGAAGTGGTCGTCAGCAGGTATGACGAGCCGTACCAGCCGACATCATCCAGCGAGTTGAAGACGGTGGTGATCTTTGGGATGGCTGTGGCGATGATGGTGTTGTCGAGCGCGACGACGAATGTGGAGAGAACCAGGCCGAGTGTCAAGAGATGGAGCGGGAGGCCGGTGGCGTATTTCGATTCATCGTCTTCGCCTGGCCCACCACCTGGATCGGACGAGGTCGTGGCCGTTGTGACGGTGCGGTTTAGCTCTTCATGTTTTTCTGATTGAGCGATGTTTTCCGGGTCGGCGGCCGCTGCTGGTTCTGATTGTATTGCTGGATTCGCTGTGATGGTGTCTGAGTTTACTGCCCGCTTCTCATGACTGATCAGCTCCGTTGATGCTGGACCGTCTGTCCGAACCGGCGCATTCCGTTCTTGAACGCTTGAGTCGGATGACATGACGGAACTCTCTGCCTCCTTCGTCTTGGACCAGGGAAATCTCATCTCAATGCTGATGGTTGGCTAAGTACAATGGAAATCCCCCAGATCCCAAGGATGTGGCGAATCAGGTCGCTTCGCGATGGGGATAATGTCCGATGCGTAGTTATTCAGTTCCAGAAGATATCGACAGGAAATCAATCAAAGAATAAGAAGAACAAGATAGAATAACATGTTTGCGTACGGGATCTTTGCCAAACCTAGCCCTTTGCCTCCGGATACCCATCCTTCCGACGCTGAACTGGCGGCCCTAGCATTGTGGAATTGGATTGCCGTTAGAGCGCGAGCGGTGTGCTGGAATGGACCCGAAAGCGAATTGAGGGTTGGTGGCCAAAGGACCAATAGAAGCAGCAAAATTGGATGGGCTGGATGGGATAGCGAAGCTTCGAGAGCAGCAGGATCTACCCATACGGAGTACTAGTGAGTTAATTGGAGGGGAAACGTTGCAGTGTCGTATTCTATGCCCGAAGCGGCTACGGCTGAGACCTCGGTTCGACGTTCACTGACCTTCAAGAATTATGCGAATCATCAGTTGGGTGATGGGCGACTTCCAGCATATGATGTTCACTGTTCACGCACACAGCAGACCCGTTTGATGATGGATATGATTGTCTGGAAATGAAGAGTCTCTTGGTTTCCGAGGCCTTGAATCGCATCACGTGCCGCGACGGACCTGCCTTGTGATAAACGTAAGGGTCTTGTGGGATTAGGACATCTCGAGGGGAGATGTCAGACTATATACCTGCGTACTAGCGTCAGAGGCATTACCGCCGCCGTCGCCAGAGGCCCTGTCTTTACAAGACTTGGCGCGTTGGTAATCACAGCCTCTCTTGAACAGCCATTTGTCTCCGATACTTAGTTGGCGAATACATCTCTCCTGTTCCCTAAGGCAGCCTTTTTGGGCCCGGAGGTGATAGAGAGCGCATAAATCGTCTACCTACCTACCTAAGGTAAGTATCTTGGGCCTGTCAAGGATGGGGTGGCGATAAAGGAAGCCGCACAATGGCACTTCTGTCGCCGGATATTGGAAACCATCCAGGTTGCCGGCCTGCCACCGGTTGTGATGAAGAGAACCAAAGGACAGCTACTTAGCTTATCTGAATCATAGTACGGAGTACTCCGTATGAACATCTTTGACCTCGGCTTCCACAAAATAATATTATCCCAATCAATACAATCTCGTATATAGCTCCTCCGGAGTCACTCGATACGTGGCCCAATAGGCACTGCTTATGGCTGGCTAGCCTGATCGTCCCCCATAAGCGACCCTGAAGTGCCGCAAGCCACGCTCCGATCCAGAACCTGAAGACCCACGATGCTTCCCCCCCCATCACCCCTCATACCTCAGAATAATCCAATCCTGTTACCGATCTGCTTCGGTTGGGGAAATCGTGATGGCCACGCTGATCAGATCGACCGATGTTTCGACCCGAAGCACTAACATAGCTACAAGGCGGCCGCCGGCTTGAGTATCCCAAGGGTCTGGCTCGCAGCTCTGTGAAGTCCAAGATCCAGGGATCAAGCTGTACAAACGAAACCTAGGTAGGTCCAACCATCTTGACTCTCGTCGTCTCGCCTGTCGTTTGTGTTCAGACTGCTCTCTCGGTCGTGAAAACAACCACCTAGGTACCCAATGTATCGTGCTCTACGTCTTCTGTCAAACTCTGTACGACCATGTCCAAAACACCGTCCATCGATATCCTCAACGCCCCCATTACCCTGCCTTGCGGTCTCACCCTCCCCAACCGTTTGGTGAAATGTCCTATGCAGGAAACCTGCGCAGAGCCACCTCACTTTGATCCGCCGGTCGAGAAATTTCGTGCGCTCTACAAGACATGGGCTACCGGTCACTATGGCATGCTCTTGACCGGCCAAGTCCAGGTGGACATACGCTTCTTCTCGATCCCCGGTGACGTTTGTTGTCATGAAGGCTCCGTCTCTGAACCTGTGCTGTCGAAATGGAAAGAATGGGCCAGGATAGCTCAACAGGGCCGAACACCCTGCCTGGTCCAGATCTCACATCCCGGTCGGATGAGTCCTACCGGTGGAGGCATCAGGCCTGCAGACCTGCGACCTCTCTGCCCATCGGCCGTGCCAGTCAAGATGGGCGATACCTGGCTTGACAAATGGATGCTGGACAAGCTGCTAGGTACACCGAAGGCAATGAGCCATGCTGAGATCGACGAGGCCGTCGCCAACTTTGTCCGAGCGGCGCGCGTGGCCCACGAAGCCGGCTTCGCAGGGGTCCAACTCCACGGCGCACATGGGTTCCTCATTTCGCAGTTCTTGTCACCGCACACGAACCGCCGCACGGACGAGTATGGCGGTAGTCCCGAGAAGCGCTTGCGATTCGTGCAGCGTCTGCTTCAACAGATTCGCGCGGTATGCCCGCCGCCGTTCTGCCTTGGCGTCAAGCTCAATTCGGCAGACTATATGGAGGAAGGCGGGTTGACTCAAGAAGAAGCACTCGAACAGGTGCGGTGGCTGGTGGAATGTGGGATGGTCGACTTTGTCGAGCTCAGCGGCGGCAATGCGGAAAGTACGAAATGTGAGCTGCAGAACTCGTTTGGCGAGTATACTCTTGACAAGGCGCCGAAGCGCGAAAGCACGCGGATCCGCGAGGCCTTTTTCACAGAGTTTGCGGAGAAGGTGCAGCGCTTGCAAAGCAAAGTGCCCATACAGTTGAGTGGTGGGTTCCGCTCGCGCAATGGTATGGCGGATGCCATCGACAGCGGTGCGTGCCAGCTCATCGGACTGGGACGCACGGCCGTGTTGCAGCCCTCGCTGCCGAGGGATATACTATTGAACACCGCAATACCTGACGACGAGGCACTTGCCATGCCGCATGAAGTCCGCGGCATGTGGTTGGCGAACATGGCTCCTGTCAAGATTGTCGGCGCGAGTATGGCGGGTCAGGTGTTCTACTATAACATGCGTCGGATGGGGAGCGGGCTGGCTGCTGACCCGTATGTCAGTGTGCCATATGTCATATTTTCCGGCATCATGGGCTTGGTGAGAGGGACGCTCAGCGGGATGAGTGAGAGGTTGATAGACGGTTTGAGGGGCGTGCTAGTTCGGCAGACAGTCAAGTCTGATTGACACGCTTCATGAAGATCTCTGAAGCTACGATTGTGCATACTGATACGAGGCGCGTTGCAACATGATGTCCCTTCGGCTTTTGAAATACGTTTTGTGTTCTTCCTCGGCCGGCAACAAGGATTAGACTCCCGAGATGTATACACTCTGCAAAGAATACGCACATAGAGGAATTTATTTCGTTCATCGTTGCGTCTGCCTGACCTGCACTGGCTCTTGTGACGCCGACCAACGCCATCATCGTGTACGCCTTCTCTGGTATGCTCATTTTTTGCTGCGAAGCATGCATGACCGAGGTGTATCGACTGTGTATTTATTTGCCTCAACGTCCATCTCCTATCCTCCAGGCAGCTCTCTGCAAGGGGCAATGTTTGGCTCGATGAGGACAGTGCACTTTGTAGATCAAGGGTCTCATTTCCGATGGCTAGGGACGTCGGAGGGATTGTGTTCATTGCATGGGCTCAGCAGGACGCTCGGGATTTGATATTGTCATATTCCGTATACAACGACTTTTGTTTTGGGACTCCCCTGAGAGAGCATCTCGTACTCGTAGCTATTATACAACTCGCTTGACCTGTCGCAGACAGAATGGTCAGCCAAAAGTCGAACTAATCCGGCATGATATCGTACACAAAATATTCTCGGATGATTTGGGCAGAGTAAAGAAATTATGGAAGAGGACGACTGTTCACCTCGAAGAAACGCTTCAACCACCAGACTTGAAAGACTCCCTCTCCTATCAACACACCCAACTGGAATATCGACCACCACTTGACTCGTGAATTTGTGCTTTCTGCTGTGTTTCTGTGTGTGCGTTCTCGGACGACGATGTAGGCTTGTTCGTCTTTGACTTGATCGAGGAGTTCGGAGAGCTGGCGGACTGGATTCGGGTCTGGTTAGCACAGGATTCACCTTGCGATCGCGAGAAAAAAGTCCTTACCTTCTTTCTCCAACGGATCTTGGGGAGCTTCTGATTCGGGTACGTAGACGATGCCGTGGACGTTGAATGAGACTTCCTTGCTGTTGGCCGACCAGTGCTCGTTGCTGAAACAATAGATGTATTGGCCGTCCATGCGGGCTTCGAAGGAGTAGTCACCCGACGAGACGGTGTTCATTTGTGTTTCGTAGTTGCCAACCGGGTCGGTGATCTGACAGGAGCCATAATGTCAGTGGGAAGGACGCGGGCACAGCTAGAGGATAACAGGGTGCAGGCCACTCACGTAGAAGTCGATGTCCAGATTTCCTGAGCCTCCAAACTCACGATCGCCAACTTGGAACGTCACGGTCATTTTATCATCTTTGTGTAATTCCTCGTGGAAGCATTCTCTTGTGTGCGCTCTCAGCTGGATGTTGTGTGCAAAGGAAGCCCCTATTAGGCCAGCGAAAGCCGCGAGCACCCTTAACCGCATTATGTCGTGTATCCGGTGGGAATGTAGAGGATGCAAGGATGTGACTAGGGGAGGCTCGTGGAATTCCGTCGTCAAGGAGAGGATGCTCAGTTGCTGTTGTGTTGGATCGCGAACAATTCACGCGATCAAAAAGTGTCCTCTGTCAATTCAATTCAACTCCGCAATTTATCCCTGGCATCCAGCACTGCCAGCCATAGTCCTAGAAATATGCGATCTTATCTTATCTTTCACGTTCCACTTCCATCCACCCACCATCCTCGACCTCGACCACGACTGTTCGTCTCTTCTTCAGCTCGAGATTCGTGTGCTGCTAGGCCATAAGACGAGACAGCGAACCGCCATACAGTTGTTATTGCTACCTTTTGGAACCAAGTCTGCTGTGGGAGATGTTCAAGTGCCGCGTATGGGCGCTTGGTATGTCTAGACTCGAGACTAGAGAGCATTGCGGCCCGTCGACAGGGTGCTCATAAGGGTTCACTCACCTCCCTCGTGTGCAAATATACCTGAGATCCCCAGGACGACGGTGTAATCTCCTGGCGATAGCCAGCCTCCAAACCAGGCCATGCCCTCCACTCACCTTGAATATGGCATCGCACCTCGGCTTGGAGCGTTGATGAGATCTCCAACAACTCCGCATGTGTCGCCAACGACTCCAGGTAGGTTGGCAGGCCCCTAAGTGCTGACCCTACTCTACCTGAGGCAGGCCCGCATCTAAAGCACTTCTGAGATTGCGACTGTTTTCCTGATCAAATTGTCGATATGGCCAGCGAGGAGACGCTACGACTTCCACCGTCAAGCTCGACGGTAAGAGTGCGAATGATCGACACCACAGCCCTGATGGTCGTCAACGCTAAAATGTTCGTCGAACCCGTCCAGAAAGGGCACGAATGGATCAACATAAATGTTGCAGCATTCCTCATTGAACATCCTGCCTCGGGCAAAAAGGTCATGTTCGATCTCGGCGTCCGCAAAGACTACTGGAATCTGCCTGCCTCGATGCAGAAGCGTCTCGGCTTTGTTGTTCCAGCTCTTCGCGTAGACAAAGATGTGACTGAAATTCTGCAGGAGAAGGGTCTCGAGCTGGATGAAATTTGTGGGTTGGCTCTCGTTTTGTGCCGATGGTCGGCATCCGTCGTTGCGTGTCTTAGTCTACGTTCTGCTGACGATAATCTCTCCATCAGCCAGCGTGATATGGTCGCATTATCATTGGGACCATACAGGCAGCACAGAAGTCTTCCCCAAGACGACCGAGCTTGTTGTGGGACCCGGCTTCAAGACCAAAATGCTGCCTGGCTATCCTCACAATGTCGATTCGCCCGTTGATTCTGCTGCCTTCGAAGGCCGAACACTTACAGAAATCGATTTCAGCACGACCGACCTTGAGATTGGGGGATTTCGAGCTTATGACTTCTTCGGAGACGGATCCTTCTATTTACTAGGTTGGTGTCCCGTTGGGGAGGCTATAAAAGACTGACGGTGCTGACATGAAGCAAACAGATACTCCTGGTCATTGTCTGGGCCACGTCTGTGGACTGGCACGCACCACTCCTGACCCGGAAAGCACTTTCATACTGCTTGGAGGCGACATATGTCACTTTTCTGGAGACTTCAGACCCACAGCGAAGAAACCATTACCTGACCCGATTCCTGCGGGAACTCTTGACGCGGACAGCTTCTTTCCGACGCCGTGTCCCTGCTCCTTTTTCGCAGACCACCATCCAATGAAGGTCTCCGGAAACACCGGCGTTGATGGTAAAACGACGCCGTTCTACCACATCTCTACCGATCCGTCTGCCGCTTATGTAGATCCAAAGACATCCCAGATCTCAGTTGGGAAGCTGGCCAACTTCGACTCGGATCCCTCGATCTTGGTCTGCCTGGCTCATGATACAGCCATGATGCAGGGTCTGCCGACGTTCAATGAACACCCAGAAGATGATTTGAATGCCTGGAGGGAGCGAGGCTTGAAGGAGAAGATCCACTGGGGCTGGCTGAATGAATTGCCCAGGGGTGGTAAGCCGGGAAGGAAGGCGGTTGTCGAGGGTTTCTGGCGGGATATGAAACCCTGGCCGGAAGCGAGGGATATAATGCGCAAGAATGGAGAGAAAGCTTCCAAGGTTGGCTTGCATTGAACAGGATCGCTACCACCATTTGCACACAGCTGTATGAGGTTGAACATACTAGTATTCATGGAAGCACATCTATAGCCTAGCTCTGTCTTGTCTACTAGTATTTGCACCGTTGGATATACTGCGAGCCGCAGCTGTGCCTGCCCTCCTGCCAAAGACAGCGCCTGATGTCAGGCCACTGCCACCAGGATAGTTCTCGTAAAACAGGCCACCCATCATCTCTCCGACACAATAAAGACCTGGGATCTCTTGACCGGACTCTGAAACGACCTGCGCCGTCTCTGGCACCGTTGACAATCCTCCAAAAGTAAATGTGATTCCGCAGGTCACTTCAACCGCCATAAAAGGACCCTTATCGAGGGGAAGTGCCCAATTGGTCTTGCCTAGAGGCAGCTTCATTGTCGAAGATTGTGTCGAGCATCCGTCTCGAACTGCAGGATCCCATTTCGTGCCTGGGTTCTCCTTCTGAAAGGCATAGACAGCCTTGTTGTAAGCCTCCATGTTCTCAATGAATGCCTCGCGGTTCGTGAGTCCGCACTCTGCTAGCTTGTCGGCCATTTCAGGAATCGTGTTCGCCATGATGCGCCGCACTCGCTCCTCGCGGTACTCTTCAGAACGCAGCCAGGAGATTGTCCGCTGGTCCCAAAGCTGGAATGCCTTCTGGCCAGGCTGATTCAGGATTGCGCGACCGAACTTGGCGTAGGTGTAATTTCGGAGATCGACACCCTCGTCAACAAATCGTTCTCCATTGATATTGAACATTAAACCCAGGGGATATCCCGACTTTGTAAATTCGTTGGAAGCCACACGATCTCCAGCATGCGCAGGAGCGTTTGCGTCCCAGCAGGTCGAATGGCAGCCGGACCAGTTACCGGCTTGTCTTGCTCGGACATCTCGCATCGCCATCTCAAGACAGTCTCCCGTGTTGAAGGGCGTACCACGTACTTTGGCAAGATCCCAGCTCGGACCAAGCGATTGGGAGCGCATCCTCGGGTTAGCCTCGAACCCTCCAGCTGCCAATATCACGGCGCCTGTCTTGATCTCAACGGTCTTGCCATTCTGTAGCACAGACACTCCAGCGATTGCTCCCGTGTCCGGATCAGTGATAAGGTGCTGAAGCGCCGTTGAGTAAAACACAGACACGCCGTGCTTTCGGGCTGCGGCCTTGTGATCTTCGATCAGGCCTTTGCCACCATCCTCAGTCTTCAGGGCGAGACCTCCCCAGAATTTCAACCTGCCATCAATCTCATATGCTTGCCGATTGAAAGAGAGTTGAAACCGAATGCCATTTTTCTTTAGCCATTTCACCGTCGCATTTGAGTCTTCGATCAAGACTTTGCTCAATGCCGGATCGGATCTTCCCGCGCATATCCTCTTCATGTCGTTCGAAAAGTCTTGCTCGGTATATGGTTCCATATCGATCCTGGCAGCGGTAGCCTCGTCGACATTGTTGACCAGCGGGAGAAGGTCGTCTTTGCCATGATGGACCGTCCGATATGCTCCTGCGGTGAAGTAGGAGTTACCACCGGCCCAGTCTTCAGGGCACTTGTCAATGAGAACTACCTCTTTGGCACCGGCTTGTTTGGCGGCGACCGCGGCGGAGAAACCAGCGTTCCCACTACCAGCTACCAACACCTGGCAAGAACGTGGCAAAGCCATGTCGGACTCAATCCGTCGACCTAGAGATGCTGGCTTGAAAGGGCCAGAGGATGATGAATAGCTAGCTGATGGGCTATAAGCTTCGAAGATGTCAATTTCAACTTCCTTCGCAGCGCTGACTCCCTCTCCAGAATAATAGCTGGAGCAAGCAGATCATCACACCGTCTCCATCTATTTAAATGTAGTCATAGCCACGGCATAGACGGACTTTGTCCGCCTCGGTTAACCATTCAATTGCGGAGAGTCAACCTCCGCGAACGGCACCTGTCACCGGGCCGGCCAGTTACAGCCTCGACAGCAGGTCTTGGGCTAAATTTAAGTGGCTCAACGGGATTTCAAACTCCGCCGTGGGGGCCATCTACATCTACTGCGTACACAGTGTTTCTCTCCTGCCTACTCGTACGGTGTCGTACTACTACTAGGTACGTACATAGACCTTTGATGTCGATGTCGATACCTGTAGTAAATCTTGAAGAATGTCAAGCCACTGGCACAGCCTAGCGGCTAGCGAGCCTGTTCTCAGGTGCTGCACAAGTGGCGCCATAATGGGCCCCTAGTTATTAGTCTGGTACCTGCCGAGCCTGCTTGTCTCATGGCCCTTCCCAAGCTTGGGGCCAAATGCCAACCCCCTGGTCTCGGGGGAGTATCTTAATGCTTCCGACGGCTACCCCGGATCCGACCTTTTGCTGGTCCCGGAACAGCTCCTGTTCTCATATGAGGTCCCTTGAGATCCCCAGTCTCTATGCCGCCTGCTTTGTGGTCTGAAATGTCTGCAAAGCGCCCAGACCGGCACCCAAGCCAAAGTATGTTCCTAACATCCAGCCTCATGGCTTACTTGAAGCATGAGTACTATTATCTGTCCCCTGCATTAGTCACACCCACAAGATTGCGTGTGCCTCGCAGAACAGGGGGCGCAAACCTGGTACTTTTGTCGCCGTTATCATGTCAGGCAAGGCTAAACAAGCCACAACATCAAGGCTAGGTTGCATTGTCGAGGAAAGGCCCTCGATCTAGTAAGGTAATTGACCATGTGCATGGGGCTATGCGACAATAATTGCCGCAGTGCGGAACCGCACTTTGCGAGACATTGCAGCTTTGCGCTCGAGAAGGCTGTTACACTTCTCCTGCTGGTACCAATACGATTGGGATTGAGCTAGAGGCGGCATAGCCAACCTCCCTTACCTAAATCGGCTAGAATACGTCCTGGGCAAGAGCAGAGTGTAACAGCATATGTACCACTGCCTGCCCGCCTACAGCTGCTTTGTATTGAACGCGAACGTCTCGATCACCAGGAGCAACATGACTCTCTCAGGCTCAGAGCATGGCTCTGTGCCCCCTAAGATGCCCACCACTCCCCGTCCAGTCAATCGATTGACATCCCGCAATAGCCATCCTCCCTTCTCGACTCCGAAGACACCAGAGCTGAGCTTCGTGGAGACACCGCCTGCCATTGAAGACCCCCGAACCCCAGAAGATGACTATGACTCGGACGGAGGCGCTTACCTGCTCGGATCCCCCTTGGCTGCTCGCGATCGAAGCGCTCATGTGGTGAAGATGGCTGGACATGGCCATCTCCTACCTGATCAGGAAGACTGTGTAGAAGACGCAGAAGACATTGATGGCTCAGATCCAAAAGGTGCTTGTGAGCATATTTCCCAATGGAGGATCGATACCCATGGTGGCATTCAGAACACGTCCAAAACTTTGAGCAAAGGGAGCGAACATGCAAGCTCATTCTCACATGGGAAATCCGAATCTGAAGTGCCTGTCGGCCCTCTTGCGCTCTTGCCGTGGAGAAGCGTTGCCGACTCTTTCCGCAACGTCAAGACTCGGACTACTGCAACCATCGCCCATCAGGATGCACTGGAAGGCACACCATTCAAAAAGGATTCCACGAAGACCATAGGTGGTCACAATGCTACTGTTGGCGCAAAGGAGGAACCGGAACATGATACCGAGGTGCCTATTCGGATCCCAGAGAGCGTCACAGATATTTCGGACGCTGAAGCGACCATTGAATCAAAAAAGGAGAGCATCGCAACATCATTAGTGGCTGCCCTTTCTTCAGGCTCAGCACAGCCGCAGCCCATGTCCTTGGGGTTCGTCTGGCAGTTGAGCACGACACTTTCGGGGATCTTGCCCCTTGACACCATCGAAAGATTGCAGACCAAGCCTGAGTACTGTATCGCTTCGACAAAGGGCGGTCGAAGATGCGCATTCTCGAATGGGCAAAATGGTATGCCTGGACTGACCAAAGCGGATGTTGACTCCTTGTTGAACAAGGTTGTCCGGATCAACGAAGCACCGCAACCAACTGTTGTTGCTGCGCACATACGGGAGTTAGTGAGCCGGGCGACTTGTTCCCGCTGGCACCAGGGAGAGGCGCAAGATCGAATGGAGGAGCTATGCTCATACTCCTTCAAGGTGGATGCCCTTCCTCCTGCGCCCAGAGCCGTTGCTACCATGATAGACTGCGTGTTCGAAGTCTGGATCGAATCCTTGATGAGACTCACAACAAGGCCCGAGAATGCCGTCGTGCTTGACAATGGTCCTACGGATTCTTTGGATGTGAACGTTGCTTCGGCCATTGCTCCGGTCGCAACGACTTCTTTCGGGAAGTCAGAAGTGTCGCTCAAATTAAAGGAAGCAGTAATAGTATCCTCAACTGCAACCACTGGTTGCGCTGTCAAATCGGGAAAGCAAGATGTGGTTGTTAATGTCCAGAAAAACAGGGTCGCAGCAGGAGGCATGAGCACTCATCTCAATCACAAGTTCGAGAAATTCGTCTGGTCTAAGAAGAAGGCATCGCTCTCGACGCAAGACTTACTTCGCATAACACTCTTCAAACCTTTGAGTGACACTGATACGCACCGCTCTGGGTTCATATATGTATTCTGGCATCCAGTGAGCTTCGGGTACGTCAAGATCGGATTCAGCAAAGACGTGGACAAGCGGCTCAAGGCTTGGAAGTGGCAATGCGGATTCGATCTGGAGCAGCACAATCCAGAGGAGAGAGTGGAGCTCGCAAGAGTCAAGCACCTCCATCGAGTAGAAGCTCTTGTCCACGCGGAGCTCCGAGACTACCGAATGATAGATCCCAAATGCTCTCGCTGCGGGAAAAAGCACACCGAATGGTTCAACGTATCGGCAAGCCATGCATTGAGAGTCGTCGCAAAGTGGACACAGCTATCATTGTATTCTGATGGCCATTTAAGACAGGACATCACGGAGAAAGACATTGATAAGATGTGCAGATTGCTTGATGTCCAAGAATTCCCACTGACCAGGCGTCAAGGCCAAGCTGTGAGGAGCTCGGATGGGAGTAAGTATAAGGGTCGCAGGGACACGAGAGACCGAAGGAGAAACGCCCAGCCAAGGTGACGGTGTGAGGGTGTCGCACCATATGTGTCGAGGTGTAAGAGAGATTTAATGTCGAGGTGCAATGAATAGTAATAGTCCGTAGGCTCCAGACTCGGGCGGAGCCAACGACGGACAGAAAACAGGAGCACATTGAAATCCAAGGCTGGTCTCATAAAACTCGTATCTTCCAAATCATCTACCAAGCTATCTCCTTCGTCGCCAAATACATCCTGAAGCCAGCTGCCGTGCCCGAAGTCTTGTTTACCGCTTACGACAGATAAGAATGCACGAAAGCCGACATCCGTGGCACCGTCTTTACCCGAGGTAGTCGGAGAAAGGCGCTCGTGAGATCGAAATGCAGGGTACTGTATCTAGTCGCGTCGTGTTCTTACAAGGATGGGGGGATCGATCCTCCAAGAACCTCGCCTCGGCTAGGGCTAGTGAGGCGCATATCTGCATGAAGATCGATTGGAGTACAGACTCGCAGGAATTCATTCTCATATCTCCACAAAACATACACTGCACGTAAGGACTGCCTGGACGAGTTGCTCTTACAGCACAGTCCAGACGACTCCACGAACTCCACGAGGATGGCGCCAACCAAACATAAAGCGATGATCAACGTCGATATGGGCGAGGCCTACGGAAACTACATATGTGGTCCGGACAAAGAGCTTCTCCCCATGATAGACCATGCAAATGTTGCCTGCGGCTTCCAGTAGGTCGAACCACCTTCAAGCCCTTCAGGAGGGGTTGTCATGCTGATGCAAAGACACCACAGTGCAGGCGATCCCCTAGTGATGGCCGAGACTGTGGCATTGTGCAAGGCGCACAATGTCAAGATCGGTGCCCATCCAGGTCTTCCCGATGTCCAAGGCTTCGGACGTCGAGAGATGACTCTCTCGCCTGAGGAGCACACGGCCAATATAGTCTGCCAGGTTGGTGCTCTTCAAGGATTCCTTGCACGAGAGGGTGTGGAACTGCACCATGTCAAGCCCCACGGCATCCTGTACGGCATGATGGTACGCAACATAGATATCGCGCGGGCGGTATGGGCTGGTGTCCCGCGAGGGGTTCGAGTGTTCGGCTTGGCTGGCACTCACATGGAGACGGCCGCGAAAGAGGCTGGCTTCGAGTTCGTGGCGGAGTACTACGGCGACGTCAAATATCGAGCGGATGGGACACTGATCGTCGACCGGAAGAAGAAGCCCTGGCTGACGGAGGATGTGAAGAAGCATGTCCGCCAGCAGTTGGAGGATAGTACTGTCACAGCTGTTACTGGCGAGGTCGTCGACTTACCAGTCAAGGATTATCCGATCAGCATCTGCTGCCATTCAGATTCCCCGGGTTGCATAGAGATTGTCAAGGCAACAAAAGAGATTGTAGACGAGTTCAACCAGAAAAGAGGGGTGTAGATATTCGGAGCGAACTGGTCCATGAGCATGGGTTGAAAATGCTGGCTAGGCTAATCCTTGCCTGATAGTCTGGCAATGGCAACTGCTTGTCCACTCTCCACAGTGTCGCCGGGCTTGATTAGTATGCGGTCAAGGGTGGCACCAATCAGTCTCTCCGGAACAGCGACATCGATCTCCATTTTCATGGCTTCGAGAATCGTGATCTTCTGATCTGCCTGTAGCAATTGACCCTCTTCCGCAATCACTTTCCAAACGTTCGCTTGCATTGGAGACTCGATTGCTATCACGTTCGGATCTGGAGGATATTAGCATACAGTATAAAGAGGTAGCGAGGATGAGCGCCTCCCTCGAATGACTGGACTTACCTTCGAGCAAAGACTTGACGGAATCAAGCGAGACAGCCCCAGCTTGCTTCTCCTGGTCCCATTGAGCAAGGAGTTCTTTTTCTAACACCATCATATGGCTCTGAGCGTCAGCTCTCTTCGCGTTCAAGAGCTTGACTTCCTCCTTCGTATCCGCCAGTAGCTTGTTGTGAGCGCCGACATCGAAGAAGCTTTCGGTATACTCAAACTGGTATGTGCCCGCTTTGAATTGCAGCATCTTTGCATCGTATTCCTCCGTCGTGATTTCATAAAACGTGATCACATCCATATCCTCAAACAACCATGGTCGGTCGGAGGTGAATCCTGCTTTGTGGCCAAAGATGTCGACCCCAGGAATCGTCATACCGGTAGGCATATAGCCGCCAGGCGAGTCGGTGGCGTAGATTGCAATCGCGGTACCGCCCCATGAGAATGTGCCTTCCGGAGTAAAAGTGCGACTGGGATTCATCTTTGGGCAACTGATCCGATGTCGTGGATCGGAAGGCAGTGTCTGCGGAAGAGCTAGAAAGAAGCCAACCCCAATCACGACAGTCTCGACAGTCAAGAACAGCTGTTTCAATTCATCGACTGTCATGCCATTGTTCTCAGCCACGAATTTCAAGGGGTCCGGCAAGTAACTGGCAGAGGGCCGTTGATTCACCATGTACCTCTGGATAGCATCCTCGAGCTTCTTATGCTTGAAGACGGCTGGGAGTTTGAAAGTCCTGTTGGGCAATTTGGCTTCGGCCATGGAGCCCAAAGCATCTTCGATTTCCAGCAGTCCTGTCATGAGATCGTCTCTCGACAGCCTCAGGCTTTCGTAGTAGATGCACAGCGAATTGCCGCACCCGACCATGTTCAGAATAGCGCCTCCTTTCGTCTTCGTGGAGCATAAGCCGCCTCGTGCCTCTAAGGCTCGCTTTAATGCAGTTGCACGACACTTCATGTTGAGGTCGGCCTTCCCAAAGCCGTAGTCGACCAGAAGAAAGCTGTCACCGCCGGCCCGGTAGGTCACCCTTGGTCGCGTTGCAGTTTCCTCCAACACCTTTATCACGTCTGCTCCTATCACGTACGCCTCAGATATTGGGTCGCTGTTGTCGAACCCAGGTGCATCGCCCCAAGAGCCTGACTTCGCGTACTGGCTCATGTTCTCCAGGAATGCAGAGTTCATCCTTGCGCATCTCAGTGCGCGTTCCAAGCTAGTGCGGCAGAACCTGATTTCGTCTCCCATTCGGATCTGGCCAACTTTCCACCAGTCACTGGTGACCACCGTCAGGCTGCAGATAAAACCTCCAAAATCTGGACAATCGACAGGGAAGATGACGGGTTCATCGCCAGTCCAATTGAGACCGCCGATAGGATAGCCATATTCAATCACATTGCTCGGATGAGCTCCGCCATCTCCGCCGTGGCTTCGTGCATATTCGGGTCTCGGCCCAATCAGTCTGATACCTCCTCGAGCAGCGTTGTGACTGATTTTCCACGAATGAGAATACAGCATGTCGATATCCTTCTTCGAGATGTAGCCTGTCTCGTAAGGTCCAGGCATGGCTTGGATAATCCATTGGTGAGAATACCGTGGCCTGGCCTTTTCTGGAACCGGCTGGATCGCTGTAGTGGGCGACTTTGGTAATTTCGACTCACTAACAATGTGCAGCAGATCTCCAGGACGAAGGGCACGACCTTGATAGCCACCAACCTGCACCATGGGACACGTTGCTTTGCTGCCACACCAGGTGGAAACGTTAGGGAAGCCGCCATATACTGCCAAATACGCACGGCAACCGGTTTCGATGGCGCCGATCGCTAATTTTTGACCGGCAAAAATCTCGAGTCTCTGCCATAGAGGGATTTCTTTCCCGTCTAGAGTAGCAGACACTTGAGGACCACACAGAGCCACCACGGCTCCCGATAGGAAAAGCAGCTCTGGGCCACGAAGAGTTATCTCTAAGCCTTCGGTGCCCACCTTGTTCCCCACAAGAATGTTCGCAGACTGGAAAGCAATAGGATCCATGGGTCCGCAGTGTCCAAATCCACGGCCAACTGTTGGCCGTCCTGGAAAGTCTTGGACAAGTGTGTACGAACCTCCTGAGATGACATCAATTGCTGCCGGTGCATACACATGCGTGGTCAGAAATTTGGTTGATGTGAAGCCTGATCGGAAGTCAGGGCTACGAATAATGCTGAGTAGAAAGTCAAGATTGACAGGTGGACCGCAGATGGTGCTGTTGGACAGAACTGTGTCCATCCCGGCAATTGCCTCTTCGCGAGTCCCTGCATGCTGCATCACCTTCGCAAGCAAAGGATCATACTCTGGGGTTATCGACTGTCCAGCTCTGATCCAAGTGTCGATGCGAGTTCCTGGTAGCTCGTGCCATTTAACTTCTTGCAGGAGTCCTGGGCTAGGAGCATAGTTCCGCACCGGGTTCTCAGCGTAGACCCTGACCTCGATCGCATGACCTTTTGGCTCGAGCAACCGCTTTTGTAATGATCCCAGCTCCGAATTGGGAAGACCACCATATCCACTGAGCTGCGCGTCAGCTTGCCGCAGCATCAGCTCCACGAGGTCAATGTTGTAGCACAATTCCGTGATGCCATGTTCCACTTGAAGACGGGTGTTCATCTCCAAGAAGAAAAATTCGCCTGTCTCATGGTCGACAAGATACTCTATCGTCCCTGCCGATGCGTAATTTATGCTCTCAGCAAGTCTGACGGCGCATTCCGTGAGCGTCTTTCTCAAGCCTGGATACATCTGGGTCACGAATGGACTTGGGCATTCCTCGACCACTTTTTGATGGCGTCTTTGAATCGAGCATTCTCTTTCGCCCACGCTGATGGCCTTTCCAAGCCCATTGCCGAAAATTTGGACTTCGATGTGGTGACTAACGGCGTAGTAGCGCTCGAGAAAGACACCTGAATTTTTGAACAGGGCACCGCCTCTGGATTTTACGGTCTGGAAGTTCTTTCGTAAGTCGTCCTCCGTGTTGCAAACCATGAGACCCATGCCGCCTCCACCGGCGGTCGCTTTGAGCATAACAGGATACCCTATGCTCTCCGTTTGCTCAACTGCAGCATCTTCGGTCTCCAGGAGACCTTTCGAGCCAGGCACGACCGGCACTCCAGCTTTCACTGCTAGGTCGCGAGCTGTGTGCTTCAGACCGAAAGCCTCGATAGCTTCTGGTGAAGGGCCCACAAACACAACTCCAGCTGCATTTGCACTGCGACAGAAGTCGGCGTTCTCTGAGAGAAACCCATACCCGGGGATGACACCTTGAGCTCCATTCTCGAGGGCAAGTTTGATGATCTGGTCGCTAGTTGGAAATACTCAGTCTGGGCTTCAACTCGGAGTGATATTTCTAACAAGGGGAACTGGGAAGCTCCTTGGGGCTAGCAGTCGCGACTCGGAGGAAGAAGAAGACCACTCACCCATCGATATATGCTGAACGTGCTTCGCCTGCGAGCAGACAGGCCTTGTCTGCCAGCAAGACATGCTGAGAAGCACCGTCGGACTCGGAATATATTGCGATGGTCTTGATACCCAGTTTCCTGGCCAAGGTTAGTCACCTGCCAACCCCGGAGTGAATGGTGCGACACTACTGCGCGGATTTGATGAGTCGACAGGCGATTTCTCCCCTGTTGGCAACCAGCAGGACCTTAAGCGACTCCATCGCTATATTTGCGGTATCCAAATCGACACCATCAATTGTGATAGATCATGGTCTTCTCCTGAATGTGCTGCAGCTCCCCATAAGGCAGCCACCAGCCCGAACTCCGCGCTCTCTGCCTTCCACATGGCTGCAAGCCTGCCCACTTCTCTGGGCCCCCGAGCCGTGTCAAGCTTAACGCTGGTACCTGCTCATTTTTGACATCTCTGGACTGCTGGTAACCTCGGTCGTCGAAGGTGCTGGTCGATCGCGTTCACCTCCGTGACCTCCCCACCTTAGGCGTGAGCGGCTTCCCCACCGACGGGCCCTGGCTCGGTCTTCGAGCCGTCGATGCATGTCAGCGCGACAAGAACATGGCTCAATAATGCAGACCTCGACTCGAATTTGAAACCACGCCAAAGAAGTTTCGATACAGAAACCTCCGAGCGTGAGCCAATTGAAGAGCGTCTCGACCGGTTATCAACACGGAGAATGTCGTCCATGATGATACGGACTTTGATACCTATCGCAGATCAGCGTCTGTGGATCTCTTGCTCCGCTCCTCTCCTTCCAAACATGGTGTGGCTTCAGGTGGCCAATTCCGACTTGCCCACGTTATCCTCAGCATGTCCACGCAAGTCATTGACCATTATCAATGAACTGACGCATCGCCGGCCTAGGGACACCTTTACGCCGTCTATGAAGGCAACCGGTGCCGTTGCCAGCATGTTTCGGCTATGCTCAGCGGAAGTCCTCGAGGCAACCTGCTTGCAAGGATGCTGGGAATGATAAGCACACACAGGAGACCAGTGATCTGCCATTGCTGTGCGTCAGTGGTCCCCTGGAATATGAGCGGGTGAAGACGGTCCTGATAGGCACGGTTGCAAGATGCCTATCAGTGGCAAGATAAGATGAATGGGTATAGCCTCTTCTGCTGAGATCACTGAGAATACAAAAGCCTGGCGGCCGCTTTATTCTGGCGCAAGTCTCCCGACCCGGACATTGTGAACTCTTTTGAAGGTACCTTCTCTGCGGCGACAGACTCTCTCGCTCATCAGTCACAATGGCGGACACCACTGGCTTTCAGATTGCGGCCCCTCTGTCGTCAGGGCTTGGATATGGCCTTCTCGTCGGAATCGGCGCAGCCTTCGCCATCGGCATGTCGTCAATTTCGTGGTTTCTGAGTCGCTATTTGAACGAGATCCAGGACTCGGAAATGTTCATGACAGCAAAACACTCTGTACAGACTGGTCTTATCGCTTCTGCAGTAGTGTCCTCTTGGACTATCGCCACTACACTTCTCGGGAGTACGACGTACGGCTACGACTATGGAATTTCGGGGCCATACTGGTACGCTGCTGGTGCCTCGGTGCAGATTCTGTTGTTTTCGGTTGCCGCCATTGAGTTGAAGAGGCGGGCACCAAACGCTCAGACGTTCTTGCAGGTTGTCAAGGTGCGGTATGGGACTGCTGCACATATCGTGTTCTGCACCTATTCCCAAGTCTATCAGCTTATCACAACCGTGAATCTCTTGGTCGGTGGCTCGGCTGCCTATTCTGCGATGACGGGTGTCAATCGCGATGCTTCTTGCTTCCTGTTTCCCATAGGTGTTGGTGAGTTCTCTCCTGCAAATTGCACCAGAGTTGCTACCTCTCTCGACTTCTATCATTCTGACATCAGGCAGTGATCTACACTTTGGCAGGTGGAATCAAAGCCACATTCATCACGGATTGGGTACGTATTTTCTGGATGTTCTGCGACGAACAGTCTGACTTTCTCGCAATCGGACGTGCTACTGTTCCATTGGATTCAACCTCGCCAAAACATGCTAATCAACGCCTACAGGTTCATACGGTCATTATCTACATCATCATGCTCTACTCCCTATTCCGGGTCTACGTCACCTCCGAGGTCGTGGGCTCACCCGATAGAATGTGGGAGCTTCTCAAAGAGGCAGCGCATCTGCATCCCGTTGAAGGCAATGCACATGGAGAGTACTTGACAATGCGGTCCGAAGGCGGAGGATATATTGGGCTCGTCTTTATTGGCGCTGGCTTTGCTGCCGCCGTTGACAGTCAACTGTTTCAGAAGGCTATTGCTGCAGACCCGCGCAGTACGTCTAAGGGTTACATCATCGGCGGCTTGTCATGGTTTACGATACCATTTGTGCTGGCTAGCACCTATGGGCTGACCGCTGCTGCTACGGAACACCTCCCCAGCTTCCCGATCTACCCCAACCGCATGAACACATACGAGATCTCATCGGGAATGGCGATGCCGTACGCTGCACTGGCTGTAAACGGCAAAGGCGGCGTCATTGCTATCCTACTGATGGTCTTCATGGCTGTGACCAGCGCTATGTCCTCTGAGACAGTGGCAACGACAGCTTTGCTAACATACAACGTCTACCAGGCGTATATCAACCCCAAGGCCACCGGAAAACAACTACTATTCTTCTCTCACTGTGTCACCGTTGGCTTTGCTATCGTGGCCGCAGCCGTTGCTATCGCCTTCAACCACGGTGGCTTCAGCGTCAGCTTTTTGATTACTGCCATTGGAATTTTCGTCGACAGCGCGATTGTGCCCATGGCATGCACCATAATGTGGAAAAAGCAGTCCAAACTTGCCGTGATCGTCTCGCCGTTGGCCAGCTCGGTGGCCGCCATCCTGGCCTGGTTCTTGACCGCATATACTCATTTCGGTGACATCACAATTGCTTCTCTCAGCCAGAACCTACCTCTTGTCGCCGGCAACATCATGGCGATTACTGGACCCTTTGTCCTCACACCATTGCTCACCTATATCAACCCAGACGACTTTGACTGGCAGGTGTTCAAGGATCAGATCAAGCGCGGTGATGATGAACATGTGACGGTCGACGGACATGTTGTGACGACTCACGATGCCGAGGCCCAAGCAGTTCTGGATGAACAAAAGAAGCACGAAGACGAGAATGAAAGGATATTGTTGGGAGCTCGAAACCGCTCCATTGCAGTCAGCATTGTACTCACTCTGGCTCTGACTCTCATCTGGCCGATCCCAATGTATGGCACAAACTATATCTTCAGCAAGCCATTCTTCCGCGCGTGGGTTGCGGTTCTTTTCATCGTCGCCTTCCTGGCGGCTGGGGCTATTACTTTGCTTCCAATCTGGGACGCACGGCAAGTCATGCTTGTCATTTTCAGACGATGGTTCAAGAAGGATCAAGCATACGTCGCTGAAGCTATCAGTGATGTTGTGACTGGCAAGGATGGGCAGATCGTGTCGGAAAACACCACGCCTGCGAAAAATAGTTCGGAGAAGCTTGCTGGGTAGAAAGCGGGGGACTGTCCATACTCTTCAGGAGCTGACGAGGAGACCCATTTGTTGAAGATGTACCTAGAATTGCTGAACATGGCCACGGTTAGAACAATGCTCTGATGAGGGACAAGGCCCGATTGCTTGAGACTTACCTTGTGATCACCGGAAATCGTCGTATTATCGACAGATATTCTAGTCACACGCCTTAACCACGTTAGGGAAGTGAGTAAACTATACTGAGGATGAGGGAATGAATCCTACGAACCTCGGCGATAGTGTCTTAAACAGCTATTGTTGAAGGATCGAATAAGGGGAACTTCTTTTCTGCACCCGGCATGGCAAAAGCAGCGTGATTGGCCCTCATTGTTAGAAACAAGAATCCCGTTTGGCAGAATGGCATCCTCTTCAATGCGATGCTTGGGTATTAAATCAGCCTTTATCGACGAGTGGTGACGAGTAACCTTAGTCCGAGTTGCGATATTAACAGCTTGTTATTTCAATAGGCTCAGGCCTTGAGAGCCATGGAAATGACCGGTATGTCGGGTCTGCATCGAAATCCGAAGGTTTCATTATTTGTGAGTCTCACATTACATCCACTCTGGTGAAGACAATGCTTCTTTCTTGAAGATTTCACCATTTCGAGTCTCGAATTACTTCCACTCCAGTGAGACAATGTTCTTTCCCTGAAGGTTGCACCGCTGGCGCCAAGGCTAGAAGCAAACATGAAAAGAGCAACAATTCTTTGTCTTTATCAGTCGACCACACCACTCCCTCATCATCATCATCATCATCATCTACCTCTTCATTACTTTCTACAACTCCATCTACTCATGGTGTCTTTGCTCTTGCAGCCAAAGGTCGTACGGACAACCGCTGACTCTTCCAGAGTCTGACTCCTTCGGCTTTGCTCTTCTCCATACCTATATAAATACTACTTTGAGCGGCTTCTTATCCTCAAATTTGAGGCAAAATCCGGCCCATGGCGCTGCCAGGATGCGTTCTGTCACCGACGACTACCGGATACCATAAGCCCAGCCAGAATACCACTTCCAGCTTTTGGATGACCTGGTGGCGAAGCCAGCATCGTAAGTTCAAACCCAGAGTGCATCCTGAGAAGGAGGGTCTAACAGTTTCCAGGAAGCGCAGCACCCAAGATCGGCTTATTTCACCGGAGATCCTACCCAAGACTGGAAGGGACATGACTTCTGCCTGTCCACCCTGCTTCGCATATTCGCGGTGAACAAGGATGTTCGTGATTACGAATACAACATCGGACCATTCCCCAACGATCTACCACAGGAGCGGTGGCACAAGCTTTGGAACACGATCCAGTGGTGCAGAACCAAAGAGTACTTCTCGGACAAGGGCAGGGTCGCTGCTTCACAGCGCGGCCACATCAATGAAGTGTTACAGCCACCATGGTACATACAAAACCAGTCCGGCAATGACAAGCACGACACTGGTGTCGAAGAAAGGAGCTTAGAGGCCAATGAGCAAGAAGATGGTCCAGAGTACTACATCCTCTGGCAAAACATGCCGACGCCAGAAGAGAAGACTGGCTTATCGATGGAACGCTCTGTAGGCTTGCCTCCTTTCTATCAGTTCTCATCATTCACCAAATTCGAGCTTTTTGTGTCACGGGCATTTCAACTAAAAGAGGGGAATCTCAAGATTGAAATGCTTCTGTTCAGCGTCAAAGATGGACCGCAAGCCAGTTTGGAACGCATGAAGATTGCAGTCTTCTGGGAGAGCTTGACCAGCTACGAGCTTGAAGGCTACAAGATGAGTTTCTTCTTTGATCACTGCACCCTTGAAGCAGATTGAAAGCAATCTGAGATGACCTACATGCCTTCATTCCTCGAAGACAAGTATCGACATGGCTCTGACGGCTTCGTGGAAGCAAAGAGTGCGGGCTTCTACCATGTAGCAAGTGTCCCGGCTAAGAGGATGCCAGCACCCCATCAAGAAGATGTGGCATTGTACTCTCACAAGCGCTCGAGAGCCGCGGATGGCAGTCCGGCACCTTCCGTGAAAGATTCACCCCAGAATTTGAGCAAGAATATCTCCGCTATGATATCCTGAAAGAAGCAGAACGCCGCCTGGAGGGTTCTGATGCAGACTTAGAGTCTGTCGAAGGAGAAGAGCCAGATCTTGACGATGATCCTCTTGTTGGAGACGATGACGATGACAAGACTATCGAATAAAGCGACGATGCTGGGAGCGCACGGGACGACGAGTCACAAGATGATGGTGAAGATCGCCTGAGTGATGGCCTTGAGATTGAAGGTTCCGAGCCTGAGAGCAAGTATAGCATCGAAGGCGATGAAGATTATGTTGACGACGGAGGATCGCTGTCTGATGGCAAAGTCGAATCTCAGAAGGGCAAGAAGCAAGGACCTCCTATGGGATGCCCACTTTCCTTGCATAAGTCTACTCGAGGAGGGTCTGAGAAAAGTCAAGAAGGGGACAACCAGAATGCATCCTGTCAAGGAGAGTCCTCCAAGCTACTGAATGCGCCTTTGGATTATCGCGGTATCGATCGCCCGCGGTTGAGAAGACCTGTCTCAGCAATCACAACCCCACAACTCACCAATGTTTCCGAAGAACCAGCAACTGAGGTCAATGAAGCTGGCGAGGAAACCACCAGCGAAGCAGGGCCGGTTCCAGAAGATGTGCCGGTCCCGGAAGATGTGAAGACAATGGAGTTGGACATCGAGAACCTCGAGCGTCTACATGCTAATGAAGAGTCGACAACTGCTCCCAAGGTCGCCAAAGCTTCAGAGAAGGTCAAAGTCGCTCTGGGAAAGCTGGGCCGGCTTCTCGACAAATACTGCTATCCAGAAGAACCGACGAGCGACGTATTGCAGACACACAAGGAAGGCGGGGCGCGCAGAAGCTTTGGACGGACGTTGTCCAGCTCCCCACTGATTGTCGCTGTGAGCCTCACCGTGCACGACCTAGCCAAGCGACTCTAGATGTGAGCTCAGCTGTCGCCAATATGCGGCTCACTGGAAGTACTTCCAAACCGAAGAAGATGTTAATGCCTTTTGGGGAAACTGGTCGAGTCTCCTTAGAGCTGCCGCTGGCATAAATCCGGATGATGTGGGCCCTGTTCTGGTGCTAGCCAAAGACATACTTCGAATGACGGTCGACGGATATGTCCCTGGTATGGTCGGCCTAAGACCAAAGGAAAATCAGATCACTGGCGCTGCTTCGTTCTTCGCGAAAGCATCCGAAACCGGCAAGATTGAGTCAGTCGATGGAAAGCATCAGTATGAAACTCTTCCCACTATGGGCGGCATACGATCTGATGTCCCAGGCGGTGGGAAGACTTTGATGGCGATCATGCATCTCCAGAACACCATCAACCGGCTGAAGCCTGGAGAGGTGCATCGGCCGAACTTCTTATTGGGCCCACGAACTCCGTAGGGCAGTGGTTCGACACGATTCGAAACAATGCTCCAAACATCAAAGTCTTTGTCGCAAGCAGAACTTCCCATAAACAGCAGACTGGAAAGTGGCACATATCTCCTTGCAAGAGCTGAACGATGCCCGCGAAAATGTGCCAGAAAGACTAAAGTATGCATTTGATATCACGGATCCAGAGGCTATACGTACGGCATTCGTGATCACGCACCAGATGTGCGAGTCTCGCTTCAAGGACGCGAGAAAATGGGCATTTTGCAGCTCTCATCGCCTTCTCCCCTTCTGAAAAGATTTATTGATAATCTGCCCCAAGACAGTACTCTGATCCCTGATCGGGCCTCGTAGGTTAGATTGTGTGAGACACCGGAGCTATCTAAGTAGATAAAGCAAGCGTGCCTCCAAGCTTTCAACAGGTTAACTATGTTCAATTGAGATGAATCCCTCCAGCCTCGTAGAGAGTTATATACTAAGGCTTCGAGTAGACGTGTACTTTGCCTAAGAAGCCACTTCTCCTCCTATACCGTTTGTCGAACGGACATACGTTCTGTGTCCAGGGATCCTCTTCTTCTCCTCCACCGTTTCTTACCGGGGAGTGCGTCTTTCCTATCAGCAAGACGGCCTAACTATCCCTTGGCGTACATCTGATTTTTAGAGGGCGTAATCTCGTATCTCCGACTATGAAGGGCGCAGGTTATAAAGACCAGCAGGATTGTCATGGCGGTCTTGATGACCATCATCGAAAAACTAAGCGAAAAATAAGATGTGGAAGACGAAAAATCCATGACTTTCGATGTTTGCCAGAGTAGAGTCTCGGGTCGATGGCCTGAGAGAGGAAGCCCGTTGAGGTTGTCACGCAGAATGGGTCGGATATTGGTATTTCGATTCAGTAAAGAAAATGGTCGTGATCAGATGGCTCGATCGAGAGAAATGGCCTGATCTTGATAGTTCATTCAGGAGAGAGAATGGACAAGATTCGATGGCTCGAGAGAAATAGCCAGATCTTGATATTTGATTCAGCGTAGAAAATGGACGTGATTAGATGGCTCGAGAGAAAGGGCCAGATCTTGATATTTCGATTCGATGGAGAAAATACACACAATTCGATGTCCTCAGAGAGGAGGCTCGTTGAGGTAGCCAGAAGAGGCGATATCTTAGTATTTCGATTCAGTGGAGACACTAGACATAATTCGATGGCTCGAAAGCTTATTCATACATTAGTATCGAGCATAAGAAGTTGCGCGGTGATTATAGGAAGAATAGCTACTACGAGTAGAGAGCATAAAGTTAAGGAGAGCTGCCGCGTTGTTCTAAGGACTATATAGTTGTCTCGTGGTCAAGCTTACCTAAAACCCTAAGATTTAGAGTTATTGAAAGAGGCCCGGGCACGCCCGGAATAGGCTAGTAAGGCTCCACTTAGTGGGTAGCTTAGGGCCACGTAAATACTAGCTATATAGTTTTTAGCCAGCGAATTTCCCTCAACAATAGCTGTTTATGACACTATGGCCGAGGTTCGTAGGATTCACTCCATCATACTCAGTACAGTTTACTAACTTCCTTAAGTGGTTAAGGCGTGTGACTAGAATATCTGTCAATAATACGACGATTTCCGGTGATCACATGGGTTCGCCCGCACAGGTTCAAGTCCTGTTGGTGTCGTTATTTTTTTTGCTTTTTGTTTTTCGGGGGTGTCGCTGTGTCTACATTGAGCAAAGGAATCTGGGTGTGCGAGAAATTGGAGGAAAAATTAGTCCTGTCATGATTTCTTGGCTTATTCGCGGATGCACAAACAACAACCGGTGCCACCAACGTCCTTGTAATGAAGCAAAAGCAGACCATCTATCCATGAGATCTTTTTTGGTAATGTCTCGAAGCCACCTGTACGCGTCAGAAGGCCAAAGTGGCCCTTAAGACCTAATGCATAAAGATCAGGCTCGATCGATGCGCGACTCAACTTCGTTCTTCGAAGAACGATTTGCGGATACCTTTTCAAGACACAATGTTTCTCCGGATTGCGGCATTCCGCTCCTATCCTATGCTCATCCCGACCTTTGTACTATCCCGCGCAACCTCGCACGAGATGGATCTAGTTCAGCTACTTGTGGACGAAGTCCTTTGGGGGTTCATTGCCACCCTATAGCCGGGCTACGTCTCTCCACGAGATGTTCATATCATTTCTCTAGCGAACACTCAAGGATGGTCCAATCGTCCGACAACGTTGCTCGTACTTACTATCCCCTGAGTTGAGATTGTTCCATGATTGGTATCATCGACGGTTGTAGCTCATCCGTGACCCTGCTACTATTGAGCGGTGGACAGCGTCCCGTGCAAAGGTAGGCCAGCTTATTGTTTCCTGCATTGATGGATCCCCGTTATAGGTGCTCTGACTTCCCGAATCACAAAGGTCAATACTACGACATTGATAGTCCTTTGAGAGTGGTCATGAACAAATCCCCAACCCGCAGTGCAACCTGAGAGCTGTGTTTTCCGTGAGACAATCAGGAAGCAAGCAAACAATCTTACCACCTGTTTGTGTTGCATTTTTAAATGATTCTGGACCTCTGTTTACTGGCAGAGTCTCCGTCGCGGAATCTGGCTTTTCCTCTGGCTTTTCTGAGCAGAGCTGTTTGTCGTTGAAACGCTGCTTGATCGCTGCAAACGCTTCAGCACATTCGCCGGACCCAGTTGCCAAGGTTGACGGTGCACGCAAGTATCGTATAAGTACATTATCACGGCAGAGTTAGTCCAGTCTACCTCAAGCTACACCGACACGACACTTGGTCAAAGGCCGCATCGTTTGAGCAGGAGGGATATTGTCAATGGATTTTATGGATTTCTTCGGAGGACATCGCGTCATGCTTGGGCAGAGAGGAGGACGACATGACCCTGCAATGATGTTTTACGGCCCGCGAGTACGCCTCGCCGCGCTTGCGATTCCAGAGCGTCGTCGACGTCGACGGCCAGCTCACATCATCTATGATGATTATGATTCTGATTCCGAGTAAGTCTATCAGCCAGCAATTCCAGGACTCAAACCGGAGATTGACATCTGCGGAACAGCGACTCGGATTATGACTATGACTATCGACATATACGTCGACGACGACACTGTTGCCGACCCCGGGTTACTTTCAACAACTACATCTACCGGTGAGGACCGTTGGATAGCAAGAGTCATGAGTAAAGGTGTGAAGGACTGAAGGTGGAGCATCCGGTCTTACTGCGTACCGCGATTGATGCTGACGGTATGATCCCGACAGAGCCTTCGGTGTCCAGTGGAGCAAGCAATCAAGGACTCGATTGCGTTTCCTCAGCCGTGGTCTTGGATCCGAATGGTTATGTCAATGCTGGTGTATGCTTTCAATGCGCCACGATAGTGCTGGAGTTTTGCAGGTGCTACTGATTTTTGGAGGAAAGCGTTGAATTCTAGCATACAAAATTACGGATACAATGTCATCTTCAATACACCATTTTCTCACACTCCTCAAGTGTCTGCGGAAAGTACCACCTTGTTCTCAGCAGGAACGCCTTCCTCGTCACCTTTTACACTTCTCTTGCGATCCAGCATCCATCGGTATACCTCCGGGTTATTGTACGCCGCCGTCCAGCTGTCGTGCATCAAATCCGGATATCTGGTGAATTCGACTTCTTTCGCATCGGCTTTCTCAAGTGCTTTGACCATTCGCACCGAAGCATCCACCGGGATAATATCGTCGAGATCGCCGTGGTGCACCCTATTTTCAATCATGAGCGTCGATCACTTTGTATCTGCAGGACTGGTGAGAGGCCACTTACCAATGAGGTATATGCTTAATATGGCCGGCTCGTAAATGATCGCCTCCGCCGCAAATCGGCATGACGGTGGCAAACCGTTTAGGCGTGTGCAAGGCAAGTTCCCAAGTCCCATATCCACCCATGCTGAAACCCGTGACATGCATTCGATCGACGTCGACCCGGTATCGGTCCACGATCTCATCCAACAGGGCTGACAAGATGGATGCGTTCCAGCCGTAACCCCAATCCATGTTGAGGGATGGTGTCACGGTGATGAAGTTCTCCGCTAACAAGGTACATACCTCTGCCGGCACCGGTTTAACAGAGTTATCGCCCTGCTTCGTCTGCTTGCTTTTCCTCAGCCTCGGAGCCAGAGGGATGTCAATGGCGGGCTCCTCGTTTGCTCTTAGCTTGTCGTAGCACAGGATGACTTTGGGAATCCCGTGTCTGACCGATACGAAAGACTCGTTTCGTTCGCGTTGAGACTCACCCGCGCCGTGCAGGAACAGCACCAGCGGCCAACTTGCCTCTGGGTATTCATCGTACTTTGGCGGTAGAGACACGAAATGCTCGTATCCAAAGGGGGCGTTGGAGACCTTCTGGTTGAAGAAGTCGAATTTGATATTCTTCGTCTGCGCGTACGGATGGCCTGGGTGCTTGGGCACGCTTTCTTGGTTGGTAGACGCCATCACGATATCAGGAACGTTCTTGGGTCCGCGTTTGGCCTTGTGGAAGTCGTGCAGAGAGTTTGGGTTTAGCTGGGGATCATCACGGCCGATGCCCTGTGGCTGCGTCATATTGACGTTCTTGCGTATTTTCCGGGCAAATGAAGCCGTGCGACGTTGGGTACTGTGGTTGGGTTATCGAAAGAGAAACAAACGGTGACTTGGATAGACCACGAATATGCCATCAGTCAACGTTTCGCCCGATGCTCCAGGTCTGCCTCAAATGACAAGATAGTTCGGAACGTGTTCGGGTGTTGAATACTGCCTATGATGGCACTCCTGTGCTCCCGGGGTTTGAATAGGCATTTACCAATCCTTCGAGTGTGTTGTCTGTAAGCCTGAGGCCTAGCTGACTCGGACTGAGAGCAATACAAAGACGGAATCCTCTCGAGCTGGTTTAACTTACGGCATGTCTGATCCTTGAGGGAGAGCCTTTGGTTTCCTGGCTTGTAGAAAGGTCCAGTCAAGATTATCGAGTGCTCATAACTTAGGCGACTGCAGCTGTTGGGGCTGCAAGGTGAATAGAAGTCCGTCTGCGGCTGTCTTGAGCCCCCGAGCAAGGGTCCTGCTAGGCAAAGTACCTAGGCCTTTCGCTACCCAGGTAAGTGTAGAGTGTTTGGTGAAGTGGAATATAAGGTATGTGAGTGCCGGAGTAGAGCTACGGCCCCCCGGAAGCCTGGTAAGTCTACAGTACCGTAACACCTAGCCGTTGTTAACCAGACAGCCTGGATGATGCCGGAAAGCTAATCCCTGATAGGCATCAAGTCGGTGCATTACGTATTGCCGACAGGATATGCGCATAACCCGCAAACCTGACCTGAAACGTTTGATGATTTGATAACAGCTTCATTGTTATTTCTTTGCATACCTACACAACCAAGTCCTCACAAGGCCAGCCATGCAGCAAAGATGGGCAACTCTCAGAGTGCGCACAAGATTTCTGCGCATGACAGGTATATCTCTATCTCCCTGTTCTAGTTCATGGCTCTTTTGTGTTCTAACTGATACCGCGACAGGGCAATCCTGGACATGAAGAACCAACGCGACAAACTCCGCCAATACCAGAAGAAAATCACGGTAATAACGAACCGCGAAACCGAAATCGCGCGCGAATGTCTCGCAAAGGGCGACAAACCCAAAGCCCTCCTCGCCCTACGACGTAAGAAATACCAAGAATCCCTCCTCTCCAAGACAGACGCGCAGCTCGAACAGCTCGAGAAACTCACGAGTAGCGTGGAGTTCGCGCTCGTGCAGAAAGATGTGCTCTTCGGTCTACAACAAGGCACGCAGGTGCTCAACATGATTCACAAGGAGATGGGCGGGCTGGAAGGTGTCGAGAAGATGATGGCCGACACGGAGGAGGCGAGACGGTATCAGGAAGAGATCAGCGAGGCGCTGGCTGGGCAGATGTCCAACGAGGACGAAGATGAGGTCGAGGATGAACTTGAAGCTATGGAACGAGAAGTCTCCGGTGTGAGTGCGCTGCCTGATGCGCCGAACAAGACGGTTGTGGGAGAGGGCACGCTGCCCGATGCACCGCAGACGGAGCTGGACAAGATACAGAAGCAGAAAGAACGGGCCAGGCAGAGAAGAGTTGCGCTGGAAGCATCTTGACGCGAGTGTGAATGGTATGGCATGGTATGGCATGGTATGGTATACATTTGATGGTACATATTCGCGTGTTAGCGGGCGAGAGGACGAGGCTATTGCCCAGGCATTGATTTATTGACATTGGTCAATCCTTGGATCAATTTGTGGTCTTGAGGGTTTGCGGCAGCTTCATAAAGAACGCTAACCGGCTCGCGGTTGAGAGCCATGAAATCACCCTTGAAGCCTAGGTAGGCGATCTGAGTGACGTCCTCGTCGCCGCCAGAGTGGTTGTCCTCGAAGAAGAGATTGATGGACGTCGTGCCGTTCCAGAGAGCGCGGTTCAAGGGGATCTCGGCGACATCGTTGCTCTTCGGGAGGGATAGAATTTGGGTCGGTTTCAAGTCTGTGGCCGTGCTGAAGTCCATGTCGTCGCGGTTGCGGAAGAGTTTGAGGGTCATGGGTGCTGAGTCGGTGTCCGAGGTGCGGATGAGGATCGAATATAGCTTGCATGAACCGGCGAAAGGGATATGCATGAGGAGTTGCTCGTCTGCGTCGCTTTTGAGGGTGGGCTGTTCATTAAGACGTTCATCCCATGTCTTCTGGACAACAGCCGCACCTGAGCGAGGTTCAGCCTCGTTCAATGTGATTATGCCTTCAAAGTTGATTTGCTTGTAGAGGTTCGCTTGAAGAGCTGGTTCTAAATCGTGAGAATGATCGTGGCCATCACCGTGACCGTGGCCATGGCCATGGCCGTGATCATGATGATGAGCGGACATTTTGTGGCTTTCCTCTCCAAAAGTTGAATGCAATCAAGTGCTTGGTGTCCCAGGTGGCGACGAACTAGAATTTCGGGGCTATCACAGCATGTCTCTGGAACGCAGTCAGAATATTGCTACCGAGTGGTATGCGCTGGTGTCTCTCGATCTTCTTCTTGTGAGCTCGAAGGCAGTGGCATTGTTTCAAAACTCTTGCCAAAGCAATCATGCGTTCGGGCAGACATCCTCAAATATCACAGAATGACGACGAAGTTTCTGCGCCGCTCTGACATGGGTCACGTGTCAGAATGAGAAATAAAAGCAGCACGAACCAGGTCTACATAGCATCGGGTGAGTCGACGACTCAAGGTTGCTTTTGGATCAGAAGCCTGATTGCAAAGAGGAGATTATTTGATCAAGACCTAGTGTTCTTCCTCCACCGTCACGAGCCTATATCATATCGGTCCAACCGCTGCTTCACTACCAAGGCCAGACAGAGCTGGATGCCGACAACGAGGACAAGTGTGACGCATATCTTGGACGCCCCTTTTGGATGGACCCAGCCAATATTGCCATCGTACGCGCTGATTGCGAACAACATAAAATCGAAGCAGCCGTGGAATAGTATAGGCTCAAGCAGGATCTGCCACATATTCATTGTTTCCTGTCTGATATCGCGTACCAGCACATTAAGTCCGATGAGTGCCGCCGTCATGGCATGTCCAGGAATACCAAACACTGTCCGCTCCAGGATCGTCATGGCAAGTCTGATCGGACTCTCACCGCTTTTATATGCCCCGTATGCGAAGGCCATGTTTTCAATGGTTGCAAAGCCCACCGCAGCTGCAACAGGAATCGTAATGTAGTCTCGCTCTTGAACGACTTTTCCATACTTGCGAGCACCCGTAAGTGAGAAGTACTTGAGACCTTCCTCGAGCGCGCCGGCCATGACGAAGCAGAAGATGAGCAGGAAGACCCAGTACTGCCAACGGCGAGACATGTCTCTTCTCGTTGCTCGGTGAGCTGCATCCTTGATTTTGTCTTCGCTGATCGTGAATTCCTTGATGTACTTCTTCGCGTCGTTACGGAAGAGCAAGAGGGCAGCCCCATACGAAAAAAGCCCTTGAAGCGCAATGTCTAGGCTTATGCCTATTGTGCCGGTAATGGCACAGGTCCAGATCATAGTGCTTGTGTCTGTTTGGTCGTAGTCGCGGGTGTTTTCCCACTGCCAGAGGGAGAATGTGGGCAAGACGAGGATGGGCAACATCGTCGCCAATGTGTAAAATCGATTCTGGTATTCGTCCGGTGCCATAGTGCTTCAAAGCTTCACTTATTTCAGTATTCTGTTGATCGACCAACGAGTTTCACGACACCAAAGTGCAAGAACTTGAGAGCGGTGTACTACGGAGCCTTAAATAGGTCTTCTCATAGTCACACGATGTGCGCATCTCTACGCACAGCCCAGAGCTGTTGTCATTGCAAGGAGTGAAATTACTCGTGGTGAATGAGTTCCTCTCCCGGAGCCATATGGCCACAAGCTGGGAGATTCCCATCGCTCCTTCGCATAGAACATCGAGCGCCTCAATTAGTGGGTCCAGTTCCATTGGTATTCGTATTCGTAAGCGCAATCGTATCCCCACTCTGTCAGCCGCCTCGTGTCTGGCAATAGCGTCGCGTGCCATCAGCAGGCTATGGTTGGGTCACAGAGATTTGTGGGAATTGTTATGCTGGTGAAGGACTCGACTTGCATGCTTTGCCACTCCACGATGGATTTGGGCACAACGCTGCTCAATCAACAAAGCTCGGGGAAATGGGACAGATGGGCATAGAGTCGTCTTATGCATAAGTGCAAATTCGAACAAAATGATCCCCAATGACAAGCAACGGCAATACCGATTCCGTGGTTTCGATTCGTGAAGTAATTGCCCTGCCCGGTTCAAACTGCCGTACTACGGGCGGTCTGATTCACAAATTCTCGAGCGAGCAGGATAAGGTCGTCCGTGATAGGGTCGGGCTCTGTCACATTAGCATTTCTGCGACTCGAAATCTCATCCGCAAGAAGCCGGCCATAATGCCTCGCCCACCAGACCTGGTGGCCAAGAGTCTGGATAAGGACACCCCAGTACATCAGTACGAGGAGGGCTACGTTGTCGTTATCTTTGATGGCATTGATATAGTCTTCGCCAGCCATGTTTAGCCAACCCAGAACATACCCGCAGTAGTCCTCATTGGCGCATTTTGCGAAACACTCTCGAAGCAATGATATAGCCTTCTTGCAGACCTCCCAGTGCGCAATTTGCTTGACTCGGTGTTCATAGGGTTCACCAACACTAGAAATGATCCTGCCTTCATTGGCGTCGGTCAATTTGGTGATGGCGCTTTCCATGGCAGGATCAAGTGCTGTCAGTGGCAGTTCTTCGAAGCGTTTGAGTCTCCGTATGTACGGTGACTCTGCCAGATATTGCGCATGACCTTCAAGAACGACCCGGCAACCACGTAGCAACTCAAAATGAATGAATGTGCTGGCGACCATATCGGCATCCGCAGGGGACGATGACGCCGATGCGTTGTGGGGTTCCGTTGGAACTGAGGGTCGTGAGGATAATCGACACTGGGCTGAGGCCAGGGCAAGCACCATCAGCATTAGCGAAAAGCAAAGTATTGGTTCGATCATGTTCGGGTGGACATCTTGCAGTTGCTTCCGAAAGCTGCCAATGGCTAGCGTCTGATATTCGACTGCGGCATGAACATAAGGTGCATTGTCAAACGTGCTGCCGATTTCGAATGCAGTTATTGCAAGAAGTCCGTTCATTAGGAAGTCGAAATTTATCGCCATCGACGGTACCTTGATCTGCCACACATAATCATCTTTAGCAACAGGCGTGCACATGCTTCTGTAAGTCACAGTGGACCACCGATTCATCAGCTGAAGCTCAAGCAAGTGCTTGTTGTCATTGGGGAAGACTGGACATTCAGTTTGGAAGCTGGCGGTGTCATCGTCTGGAAGTGTTGGCGGTGACACTGGGGCAGCACCAGTAGCGTTCTTCGCATCGGTGAAACCATCTGCAAACGATTCTTGGACAGTTGGCTCCAGGATGATCGTTGTCATAGTGGCATATTCACAAGGAGTCCCTCTGGCTTGACAAGCTCCACAAGGAGGTCCCCTCTCGTCGCACCTGACATGCCTCTGTTTACACAGAAGACAACCCCTGCGCGATTTTGTATGGGAGCGGCGCGGAGGCATCGAGGGTCACGGCTTTCCGGCTTCAGATGCGGCTAGTGTGAAGGCTTGCATATCGCAATACAGCGTTTGACATGACTCTAGGCTGTGTGAGAAGCATCATTGCGCACTGGGCAGGTTGGATGGAGGAGAGTTGGTGAACATAAGAGGAAGTCGGGTACGAGTACGGGCGCACTAGGCTTCACTATGGTGTGAGAGGCTTAGCCTCTAGGCATAGTGAGGCATATTGACTATCTAACCCGTACCCGGTAGGTTAAGCGTGGCCCTGCATGACGCGCTCTGCTAACAAACATCGTCCCGATTCCTCCTCGCGTCGCCCTCGCTACCAAGCTCCATTCTCCTTTCAGGTCGGCAGCACACACGGAAACCCTACTGTAAGCCTGATGCCCTTCAGGGACTTATACAAGGTCCTAGTCATTTCCAAGCAGATCACTGGCCGCCTTCGCCGGTAAGTATATATACGTGCATGTACACTGGAAGCAGTTCTTCTCCGATAAATTCCATGAACATCGAGTGAACATTGTCCGGGACTGCTTGTCTGACTTTACACGCGTCTAATATATCCGTCTTCGTTCGCTGGTTGGCTATGCCATTTACGCCGTTTACCATGGTTCCAGCCAGTCCTATGATAGGGCAAGCCATCACCAGACCTATTGTCGTCGACTTGCTCAGGTCATTGATCGGTCGACACCGCTCCCTCAGAACATCCACGGTACTACAGACACGGTCCATCAGCCAGCAAGACACGAATCAGCGAAAACAACAGTCTACTACGAACCAAACCTCACCGTACCCTTCGCTTAGCTTTGCGGGACTCGGTGCTTCTCGAGCAGTAAAGGTCACGGTTCTGATTGGTCTCGGAGTCATAGGTACAATGGAGACAGTCTTCTGGGCAAAGGCGTTGTGTCAATATTTTTCTCCCACCACGGAAACTACTCTCAAGGATGAGGAGAAGGTCCAGGAACGAGCGGCTTAGCGTCAGGCACACGCAGGATCTTATATGCAATCAAGCAACCTCTATGGCGATGACAAGCCTCGAAGCGACTATCAATGATGAGAAACTCCCATTGGCCTCTGATTTTGGTCGACAGTGTGAAGCCGATGTTGAAAGCGAAAGTGGGTCACGTGGGACGAGAAAGCGAAGTTCGCTTACTACGCCGAAACCAATTCCGAGCCTGACGCGCGTGAAGGACCTCGCTGTCACTGAAGTATATATAGTGCAAGGGTATCGACAATTGCTCTCAACTCTGTATTGGAATTTTTATCTTTGATTGACACTACAGGTCTCAGAATCACTTGGCATTCGTGTCGGCATGTTGGGAAGTGCGCCTGATCTAAGGTCGCTGATGCCACAGGCTCATTACTACCGACTTGCTTTACTCATCGCTGTAGTACTACTACTCCTTCGCATTCTCTATGCAACGGTCCTATATCCTCGCTTTTTCACTCCGTTGTGGCGCATACCAACTCCAAACGGTCACTCATTCAGCAAAGGGACGCATGCACCTTCGAGTGCCACATCCCTTTCGGCACGCCTTCGTCACTGGAGTACGACAGTGCCCAACAGCGGCCTGCTCCGCTTCTACATGCGCGGGTATCAGGAGCGGGTGCTAGTGACCAGCCCCAAAGCACTCAATGAAATTTTGGTGTCCCAGGCTTACGGCTTCACCAAACCCGCCTCGGTTAAGAAGCGTCTTTCGTACATCACGGGCAACGGCTTGCTTGTTTCCGATGGCGAGATCCACAAGGTTCGTGCCTTATCCTGGCTCCTCTCGTGCAGACTAACGCGAGGTTCAGGCGCAGCGTAAGAGCCTCATGCCGGCATTCTCCTTCCGCCATATCAAGGACTTGTACCCAATATTTTGGTCCAAAGCAAGAGAGTTGTCAGAACGTCTCAAGGACGAAGTAACCGGTAAGCAGGTGTCTGATACTGGCATCATTGTAGTTCAAGATTGGGCAAGTCGAGCAACTCTTGATGTAGTCGGCCTCGGCGGGATGGATCACGATTTAAACTCTCTCCAGGATCCCACGAAATCGCTCAGCCAATTTTTCATGCGCATGCGCCCAAAGTCCTCTCGGATCGACGCTCTCTTCGCCTTGTCGGTCGCCATATTCTCAAAGAATGCTATAGCAATTCTGTCAAAGTTGCCCGATTACGCAGAGGAAGCAGGTGCAATCAGCCTCAGACCATATACGGAACCTATGCCGCAGGATTATCGATGACAAAAGAGCAAAAGTGAGCCGCCAGCCGACGACAAATGATGTCGACATAGTATCTGTTGCCTTAAGGAGCACCGCTTTCACAAACGAAAACTTGGTCGACCAGATGATGACTTTTATTGCGGCTGGGAACGGCACTACTTCTGACGCTCTTCAGTGGGCAGTGTACACTCTCTGCAAGCATAAGGATATCCAGACACGCTTGCGTGAAGAAGTCCGCGCCAGACTTCCGTCTATGAGCAACAGCAACTTCGTCCCGTCGGCTGATGACCTGGATCACCTTCCTTACCTCCACGCTTTCTGCAATGAGGTGCTTCGCTGTTATCCATCAGTGCCAAGCACAGTCCGCGAGGCCATGAGCGATACTACCGTGGCTGGATACCATATTCCGAAGGGCACCATATTCACCATCGCTCCTGCTGTCCAGAATTTTGATGTCGATCTCTGGGGACCAGACGCGGCCACTTTCAATCCCGAGCGTTGGATGCAGGAAGGTTGCGCAAACACTGGAGGGGTGCGCAATCACTACGGTTTCATGACCTTTCTACATGGACCTCGAAGCTGCATCGGCTCAACATTTGCCAGATCAGAGCTCGCTTGTTTAGTGGCTGCCATTGTGGGAACATTTGGCTTGGAACTGGAGGAACCTGACAAAGAAGTCGAAAGGCCCAGGAAGGCTTTAGCGCTGGCCCAGCAGATGGCCTCAGGGCGAGATTCACAATTATCGATGGGTGGTAGAGCTGGCCTGCGACGCTTCACCTGCTTCCACTCGAATCCACTGTGCGACCTCTTGGCCTCTTCTCACAGACGGAAGCAGCAAAATCGCTGGGACAGCATGTCGCAGTGTTGTCTAGTAGTTTGCAGCATACAGGCTTGAAATAATATTTTGATCATCTCGAGATAATACCAGTCATTGGGCAGCGTCCAGATAGTCTCTGTATTTACATACATAGCGGGTCCAGGCTTCCTGTGCTTCTACTGTAAGTTGGGCGAAGCACTCCTCGGCTCGCTCGGCACCGTGCACTTGTTGTCACGCTACATATCTACTAGAGAGCCAACTCCATTCTTCCCTCCTTTCTCCATGCTTTATTCGCAAATGGCACAAAATGCGAGGCAGAAAACCAAATTTCGTGGCTTGTGTTCACTGCCGCCAGATGAAGGTCCGCTCGCGGGATGTCACTCATGATGAAGATGTCAGCTAACCCAGAATTACTCAGCTGGCATGTGACGGGCCCAAGAAGTTCCCTGACGCCTGCACCAGGTGCATCAAGGCCCGGAAAATCTGTGCGGTCGATCCGTCATTCAAGCGCACAAGACAGAGGGAGTATGCCTCGTGCGTCTTCTTGAGACTCCGGCAAGCGGCTAATTGAGAGAAGACGCCTTGCTGCAATTGAAAAGGAGCTGCGAGAGACCAGGCAGGATCTGAATGATCGTCGGCATCGCGATCAAACGATTGGCGAAGGCGATGGCACCGACGGTCCGCCAGAAACCGACTCAAGCATACGAGATACAATATCAGATGCAGCTTCCACCTGCGGCACGACCGTATCCGCCGTTGATCTCGGGCCCTTCACTGGATCAATTGCAGGGGTTCAACTTCAACCACAACTTGTCCAGGAGCTCTTGAACAAGTAGGTATCCTGCTGGTTCATTGTGAAGGTGTGAGCTCTGACTTCTAAGGTATTATGCGAGATATCATCCGTTTTGCCCCATCTTGCCCAGGCCTTGTGGGTTTGTACGATACTGCGAGTCGTGTCCGCTCCTTTTCTGGACGGTGCAAGTCATTGCTCTGAGAGGGTGCCACGAGCATGACGAGCTTTACGTCGATGTTGTGAACGGAGTCCGTGCCATGTCATTCGAGACGATGCGACCGGCAAATTGGTCTCTTCAGGCCATGCAGGCCCTGCTGCTTCTTTGCCATTGGCCACTTCCGTACGAGAAGCATGACGATCCTTCTCTCTCCCTGATTGCAATAGCAACTCAGATGGGGTTTCGGATGGGGTTGCATCGTCCAGACCACACCTTCGAGTTTATGGTTGACTCTCACTCCCATATGGAGTTGGACATCTTTCGACGGAGGACGTGGGTGGCCTGCTTCGTCATGAATGTTGGGTAGGCACTGCAAGATTTCCTTTTTTTTGAGTGGCAACTACTGATGCAATTGCAGAATAAACGGTGGTGCCGGCCTGCCAGCTATAGCACAGCTAGATCATGGACTTCTGGAGATACTAGCTACCAGACCAGACTGGCTCCCGGACTCGCTATATCATCAGCTGACTCTCTCGCGGCAAGCTTTCAACATCTGCACGACTCTAGGGACTTGCGAATCCTCCAATACCGGCTTATTACCCTCACCGAGGCCGGTCATTAGCAATTTCGAACGTGAGTTACGAGCTCTTGAGCATCGTTTCTCCTCTTCGTGGTCAACGACCGAGTTTATCGTCCTGAATGCATACCGAATGATACTGTACACATTCGCGATCTCTTCGGAAACTGCGGAGAACGACTCTTCCACCAACTCCATCTCGGATTGGATTGTCCAATGCTACATGGCTGCCGTCAACATCATACGAATGGCTTCAGGCAGCCAAGAAGAGCTTCGATATGCTCCAATCCGCATACAAAAGATGGTTATAAACGCCACATGCTTTTTCTGGCTGTTGCACACTTCGAGGCATTGCCATCTGGTCGACGAGAATGTGCTTTGCGACGGGATGAGTCAAGGGAGGCAGATCCTGGGAAACTTTTCGGTCGACGCTTGCGGCCTCATGTCCCGCGCTTGCAAGCTCATTGACCAGGTGAGCAAGTCCTCGGAGGCGGATAATCGCAGTGAAGCATTCCTGCGTGTCAGGTCCAGGATGGGTGCAAACCTCGCCTTGAGCGCAGTCCTCCGTGCAAGAGAGTGTAGAGTAACGGCTCAAGAGGGTAACCCAGTGGAGGACGTGGTTCATGGGATCGACTTTTCAAGTGACGACTCAGTCTTTGCGGATGTCGACTGGGAACGACTCTTTAGGGACTTTGCAACGTGTGCCAGCGAATAGAACGCTACTAACTGGGAGGAAGGCTTCACAGAGCTGCGCCAAAAGATACCAGCGGTCCTTTGTATGTTGGTGGTCCTCCATGGTGAAGTCAAGTTCATGTTGGCACAACAACCAATTCTGCTGCACCCAACGAGCAATTCTCTGAAGTCGACTTCCAAATGAAAAAGGTCGAGGTGAAAATGCTCAAACATTCTGGCCGGTCCATCAACTTAAATATCTTCTCTTCCTCGAGCCATCTACCGACCTTGTCTATCGCAACCATCTCCACCCATCAACCAAGCTTACTTCTCTCTCCTTCAGCAATAGCCGTCGCTTGACATACAATTAATGATTCCCTTCACTTGCGTGCGCAGCGAGCCACAGCACAAAAATGTCTTTTACCATATGGCACACAAAGCCTGACGGCACTCTGAAGCCCATCCGAATGTCTATCCTCGACGCCTTTCGAGGAGTGCCCGATCCGAAGCCAAAGAAATCAGTAGTGGTATGTGCCTGATCATCGACTCCTCCATCACTTTACTACAAATCCTGTCACAATAATATCGAAGAGGCTGACAAAATCAGTGTGCATGCTGTGGGAAGACCCATGATCCGAAACCCGACCCTAAAGCCGATAAAAATCATGGAAACAAGACCGAAGAAAGAAGCGATGCTGAGAAGGCTGATGACGAGATCATTCTGCGCATGAAGGCGGAAAATCACCAAGCGCAATGGAAAGACATTTTGGAACAGACCAAGACATTCAAGGATCAGCATCAAGTCAAGGCTCGTTACAAGGAGCTCACAGGTCACAAGAAGGAGGAAGGGAAAGATGACTCGAACGAGGGACCCAAGGGCAAGAAAAAAGACAAGGATCCTGACAGAGCCGCCAAAGATGCAAAGAACAGAGAGGAAGGGCTGAAGAGGGCAAAGAGCGGCCAGGGACAGCAGTCCGAGGATGCTAAGAATGAGAAGAAGAAGGTACCCACAATGAATTCATACGGGGTCGTGTTGTGACTGACCAGCCACAGGGAAAGGGGAAGCAGGACAAGAACGATTCCAACGACTTCAAGGCATGGGCTGAGAGCTACGACAACAAGAAATGGCAAATCCTGGCCTCGAAGCATTACGACAAGACCGGACATCGCATTACTCCGGAGCACGCTCGCCAGATGGCTGAAGGGAAGTGATTCGACTTTGCCATGTTCAGCGAAGCATCTTTGGTGACGTTGGAGAGAGTATGGGCTATGGCTGTTTGGATACGACGCTGGCTAAACGGCTGAACGGCATGCAGAAGCTCCCAGCAACGATGTGCTTTAAGGAGCTGTCCACTACGAGCTCAACTACGAGCTCAACTTCCTCCGTACGAGTCCTCGTACCGACCGGGGTACTTGCATGTCGCCCAAGATTGCGGGGAAAGCAACGGACATCATCCATGACAGGAAAGGCAAGGCAAGGCTTTTTATTGTCCAGCATTAGTTTCCTTCCACCCACATCTTTCAGGCTAAATTCTTGTCCTTTTCTTTGCACAAAATCTTGTTCCACGTTCATCAGCTTCCTCTTTCGTCCTTCGTTCCAATGTCGATGATGCATGCAGTCAAGCTTGATGGACTTCCTTGCCTGCGAAACATATGCCGATACCGCGGCTTTCGTTCCTGACTACTGTTGACTTGATGACTTACTCCGCATCAAAAGTGGACTATCCACGTCGCCACTACCCTTCCACAGATGACGGCGGTCTCTGTGCACCATGAGATCGAGCAGTGAGGCAAACGGTGGGTCTCAAACGCGCACAAACAGCCGTAAGTTCGGAGCCATCATGAGCTTTCAGGAGGGGACATATAAAGCTTTCGCTTTCGTTTTCGCGAAGCCTTCTTCAACTACAGAGCTGCTTCGTTGCATATCGCATACACTGGCTAGCTTTAGCTTTGACCCCAGTATTTCCTCAAGATGAAGTCCCTTGTATCTGGCTTCGGCGTCATATATTTGGCATCCGCCTTGTTCTCCAGCTTGAGTACCTCTTCTTCCCTCCCCCGACAGAGCAAGAACAACTTGAACAAGAAGCCATGGTCGGTCTCGAACTTCGACTCCCTGATCGCCTTTGGGGACAGCTATACCGACGAAAGCCGCTTGGGCTGGTTCATCAACCATAACGGTTCCGCGCCGCCCGCAGGAGCCTTGCTGCCCGAAAGCTTCAGCACGGCTGGCGGAGGACGTACATGGCCCCGCTATGTCGTGCAGTACACGGGCTCGACGACCAAGAATGGCCAGTGGGATCCTCAAATGACGCTGTACAACTATGCCGTCTCCGGTGCGGTGTGCTCGAACGACATCACGCCAAGGTATGTTTAGCTTGCGCATCCTATTTCCTATGTCTCTACCAGGCCTTGCTCTTTCAGTCCCAGTCCGTCCCGATGACGCCAATACTTAACACCTGTCGCTCGCAGGTGGTTCTCCGCAATCGACGCCCCCTTCCCATCGGTGCTCGAGTACGAAGTCCCAGCGTTTCAAGCGGACATGACATCGCAGCGCGTCAACGCAACGCCTGCCGAAGCATACTTCTCACCCGGCCTGTCCGCTTCCTCGGCCGTCTATGCGCTGTGGATCGGCACCAACGACCTCGGCGTCTGGGCGTTCGTGACCGACAGCCATGTGAGGGGCAAAGTGCTGTCGGACTACAGTTCGTGCGTGTACGACGTCTTTGACAAACTCTACGCCTCGGGGGGCCGCATGTTCGTCCTGATGAACACGGCGCCCCTGCACCTGGCGCCCCTGTACGCCAACGACACCCTGCACGGCGTCGGGGCAAACCAGTACTGGCCCAACAAGCCGGCCAACCACACGCAGATCGCCGAGACGATGCACGAGTACACGACGACGGTGAACAGCGTGTTCCGGTACCAGACGGCCTTTGAAGTGCTGGTCGCGAAACGATACCCGGGCGCGCACTTTGCGGTTTTCGACACGTACAGTCTCATCTCGGACGTTTACGACGATCCGACGGCGTACCTCAACGGGACGGGCGTCATGGCTGGAAGCGAGAGTGTGTGGGGGTACGATAACCATTGTAATGTCAATCAGACGGTCTGTGTGAAGCAAGCGAACGGCACGAATCCGGATGGGTTTTTGTGGTACGACGAATTGCATCCTAGGTATGTTTCACTTATTGCCCCAAACTGTTACCCCATCGATTGCAATGGGAGGCTTATCGCGGGCTTTGAAAACCCCGTCTACTTTACGATGGAGTCTCGAATGTATGTGCTGGGCTAACGCAAGTTTGTTCACAGTGAGCAAACAGATCGTGTCATTGCCAGGAATTTCATCCAAGTGTTGAACGGGACTTCCAAGTATGCCACTTACTACTAAGTCAGGTTTGGTTAGCAAGCGGTAGGAGACGGGTCCGAAAGTGAGGCAAATATCAACATGAACATATCCTCAGATGGCGTGGGGTGTGCATAGCCGGTACTTCGATGGCTGTTTAACAATCAGCCGTGCGGTGCCTTGGATGAGCCGGCATGTCAATGAAATGGCATGCATACTAGTACCGTGTGGCAATCAGGAGTGTTCGGCATTAGGACTTGAGATATCGTCTCAAGTGCAGGCAGAGTGAACAAGCAAGCCAAATACGACGTTATGTAACTACCGAAGATGAATTGTCACGCCTGGGAGGCGAATGAAGCGCTACGGACAATTTGCAATCAAAATCTACTCGGTCATCATTTGTGATAGTCATACATCATATCTCGCAAAGACTCGAGACATCGGAGCTGCCATGTCGCCGTAGCAGGCGGTCCGTATCAGCCAAGTCCTCCGAGCCTCGCTGAGCTCTGTCTCAAGCACCATCACTATCGAAGCCCAGTGTTTGGCAGTAGGCTATGTCTTGATCCCGACTCTTCCCCATTGACACAGCCCTGCGGGAAAGCGGAGCCAGCGAAGCTTCCCTTTGAAAGCTTGTTGTCGAGCTCAAATTGTTCGTACCTCGTGTCGTCTAGAAGGCTTCGTCATCGAGTCTAGCATCGATACCTCCGACCCACCAGACAGCAGCATTGACGACTTGAGCAAGAATGTCCAGCTCGGCCTGGTCACGAGGTGCATAGAGTAAAACTTGCGAACTCGGCGTGGGAGCTGCTTGGCTTCGACCACACAGTCGAACGAGCCAGGACGCCAGACGAGTTGAAAGTGGATGTCTCTGACCCCAGCCCTTTTCGATAACCGTCTTGACATCGCTCGGATGAAGGGTACATTGGATGGAGCCATCGAGACCATCTGCTCTGAGAATCTCACCATAGTATCTCGTCTCGTTGAAGATGCGATGGCGGGCGTAGAGCGTGGTAGGACTGCTAGGCTCAGGCTCGAAGGTTGATCGGCCGAGGTAGGTGGCTGAAGGATAGCGAGCTGAGACGTCTGAGATGACTTCTCGTAGTCTGTTTGGGACTTGTTTCTCCTCGGGCGACAGCTGTGTAATTTGGCGGGGTTCACTGACGCCTGTAATGATAGGCCGCGGGCCCATGCGCTGAGGGAGAGTCTCAAGATATCCCCGTGAGACTATGGTGGATAGACTCGATGGAGGTGAAAGAGGCTCAGAGACCGAAAGGACCTTCAGAAATCGCTCATAGAGATAGCTGGAGATATTTTGAAGAGCCATTCCCTGTTTGGTCGCGAGGAAAGGCTTGAGGTCAAGGTTGACGAATTTTAGCAAGTATGTGATGATGGCCGACCCAACAAGGATGGCTGCTATGGCATATAGAGGCTCGTACGTCTGGCCTGAAGGAAACATGGAAGCCATTTTGGTCGCAAGAGTGTGTCGTGTTGAGGATTTATCCAAGGCTGACTGTTGAGAGTGGAGGGAAGATTTACGAACAGACTATCTTGCGCAGAATAAAGACAGAAGGTGCGACTGACCTACGATAGATATACCCCCCTTCCGTATCGGTGTTCCATTGTTCTTGTTGCCGATAGAACGGTTCTCTCGAGACATCGGGACGGAGAAAGAGCAATGTATCCACTGCATGATGGGAATCAGACGGCACGCACGCACGCACCAACGGCAACGGTGTTCTGAGGTTGGGCGTGAAAATTCCATCCTAGTGAACGAAAGGTTGAGGACCTGGAATACTGAACTCAGCTACCAAAAGAGGGATGAATTCCAGGCGTCAGAAAAAGGGTGAGGCGTGGTTGGCTGAAGATGCGGCGACTATCGGCCACATTCCAGAAGGCAAGAAGCTCAGGACGCGTACTCCATTGCAGAAACAGAGGATGAGCCATTGCACGTTGACTGAGAACGAGGGAACATGATAGGACCAATTCGAAACGTAGAGTGATAAGAAGGTGGTGGATGGTGTGGATGGTATGAGGCACCTAGTGAAGTGTGTGAGGTGCAACGGCGAAAGACGGTTCGGAGGAGAGATTTGGAACTAAGCTTTGGGCGGACGGAGAGTCGGGACTTATCAACGCCGATGATTGCTTGGCATCGGCAGCCACAAGCGAAGACCTCGCAGCCAGCCACAGTCTTCACAGTCTTCCATATCAAACGGCATTTCGCCAGGAGGATTCTCCTCGCCTACTCTCCTCCATGCCGCACCCAACATTTCCATTTGGCCTTGGGGACATAGCGAGATACAAGGCTGGCTACGACGTCAATTGGTTGGGATGAGAGCCAGGGAGGACGTAACCTTACAATTGTTGGCCAGATGCATGCTCATTTTCCTTGTTGACATGAACAACGTGCATAGATTTATATATAGCATTGAAGCATGACACCTCCTTCCTATACAATCTTAAGCTATCTGTTACCTGGCTAAAATTCTTACCGCAACACACCTCAACCGCCGGATGGCTCGCGATTGTACTGCCATTATCGCATGCGATTCCATGAGTTATCCAGCTTCATTACACCGTCCACGCTTCGAATGCAGAGCATGGTTTCGAAGCGCAAAAATAGCTTTGGGCCATTGCGCACTCAGTCCGTGTAGTCCTGGTGGCGACCAGTGATCGCACAATGGCCGCGGAACAACCATCATAATGGTGTTCTGGTTTCTTCACCGCAGTCGACCCAGCCTATCTCGCAGTTCCCAGGTGCGTCATTTGGAAGTTGATGTGCAGATGGCAAGGCTGCAGGCTGACTTTCTCGGCTGAACACCGAATTGTCGGAAGGATCCCTCTAGGTCACATATCCATATGTCATTAACACCTACCAGGGTTCGCTTATCGGGCAGCTATTTTTGGGAGGATCTGATACCATTTGCTCGAAACGCTGCTCAAATCAGTCGAGACATATATCAATGTGCAGGTTGCTCTTGCGCTGAGACCCCGACCACGTCATTCCGAAGGCAGGATTGCTCGAGGGATCAACCACTGACCTGCCACGTCAGCAAAACTCAACTTGTCTGTTCACTGCAAACACCACGAGAGGTCTCAAAATAGGCACGCATGAGCTGCATGACCATCTTCCCTGGTATGAGATGCTTCGCTCAGATTGCGAGCGGGAGCGACAGGGATATGGGTGGTAGGAATCCGTGCGCGCCATCAGTCTCCTTTGCTCGGCCACTCATGCAAAATCAACGAAGAAGTTTGATAAGTTTCAACAATCATGATAGAAAGTCGCCATAACTGAGCCCACGGTGAATCCACAGCTTGATCAAAGCGATGGCGGTTTTGCCAAGGTGAATGAGCTCAGAAATGTTGGGCGTGACAAGTTGTCGACGCTCTATTGGTTCCTCCCCCTCGCCGGGGCATGGCGCCAAGATGGTCATTGATATATCACAATGTCGCGATCGATTTCGTCTTCCTTTGCAACTCGTTTTCGCAGGCTTCTTGATTCTGGTATGCCATCAGGATGCCCCTTCTTGACATCTTCCAAGCTGTGCGAGATTACACTCGTGACGAACGTAATGCACACAGCGCAAATACGCAAAAGATATTATGGCGGCTAGGAGACGTCTTCCTACGGACATGGGATCTCGGGTTCACGGCGTTCGGCGGACCGCCTGTTCACTTCCGCATTGCACACCAAAGGTTTGTGGAGGGCAAAAATGGGAAGACGCCATGGATCGACGAGCAGATTGTACGAGACTATGAAACCACCGAACGCCTGAGCTTCACTGACATGAGTCTTAGTATCAAGAGTTCTTCGCCATAGCCCAAGCTCTGCCAGGACCAGGAAGTACTAAGATGCTGTTCTGCATTGTCCTAATACATGCGGGTATCATTCCTGCCATTTTTGTGTTCCTTACCTGGAGGTAAGCTAGCGCCGGATTGGTTGCTTTGACAGGCTCGGGTTAACCTTCGAGGACAGCTTGCCAGGAGCGATTGGGATGTATGCGTTATCGTTGGGCGTGCAGCGGATCAACGAAGTTCTTCCAGGCATAGCGTACGCCTTCCTGTCTGGCTTGAATGCATCCACTGTTGGTATCGTTGCCCTCGCAGCTGTACAGGTAAGACACCACACCAGCCCCACAATGCTCGCACTGACTTGATCCTAGCTTGCCGACAAGGCCATCAAAGACAAGTTGACCCGAATCCTTGTCATTGGCGGTGCTTGTGCCGGGATGTGTTACACTGCACTTTGGTATTTCCCGGTTCTGATCATGATTGGCGGGATTATGACTGTGGTCTGGGATATGTGCCTGCGGCAAGTGGTCGGCAAGGCTCGCGCGAGGCGGGAACGGAGGCGCAGAGAATCGTTGCACCCAGCTGGAGCGGCAGAACAGAATCCATCGCAGCCTGAACCCGTTGAGTTGACCACGCGCGATACGACTCCGAGCGGACCATCGGCCGAGACCTTGCACAGGCGACACGATGGTCAAACCGAGCAAGACCCTACCGCTGCGAAGAATCCCCAGGCTGAAGAGACGAGAAGAACATCCACCAATCCGAGCACCGTCCAGACGGACACTCAGTCGCATGCCATTCCTGTCAAGACGGGCCTTTTCATCATTGCTGCTTTTTTCGGTATATCTTCCCAACCGTCCATCAGCCCTGTGCCGCGCTAACCCATGAAATTTCTAGCCTCCTTCATCGCCGTACTCGTCGCTCGAGGTGTTGTTGACAATCCCCCACGGGCTTTCGACCTCTTCGCGAACATGTACTTGGCTGGGACCATCATATTCGGCGGCGGACCCGTGGTCATCCCTCTTCTGCGCGAATACGTCGTCCAACCAGGCTGGGTGTCTCCGCGAGACTTCCTCATCGGCCTTGCCATCATCCAGGCCTTCCCGGGACCAAATTTCAATTTTGCCGTCTTCCTCGGTGCGCTTTCGCTGCTCGGCACATCCCAGCCTACTATCCTTGGCGCATTCTTGGGATACTTGGGTATTTTCGTGCCCGGTATCACTCTCGCTGTTGGCGTGCAGAGCTTGTGGCGAGTGCTGCGGACCAAGCCTTTCGTGACGAGTCTTCTGAGGGGTGTCAATGCTACGGCAGTGGGTCTGGTGTTCACGGCCGTCTATAGATTGTGGCAGATCGGATACTTGACGCCGGAAAAGAGCGATGGGCAGAGTTTGGCGACTGAGCCTTGGTGGGTTGTGGTCACGGCGCTTACATACTCGGGCAATGCTTGGTTCAATGTCCCTGCTCCTGTGGCTATTGTGTTTGGAGGTCTTCTGGGACTCTGCTGGTATGGAGTGGTGGGGCATTGATTGTCTGTAGCCTACTGGTACTCACAGTGGTACTACCGCAAACGAGGATCATGTCCAGATGCTGTGTGGGAGACGACCAAAACCATCGTGGTGGCTGCAGCTGAAAAGTCTTAAGTTGGATCTATTAAGAGGCTCGTGAACCTCGATCAATGTGCTCCTTTCCTTTCCTTTCCTTCACGGCCATTCCGCTCTCAAGCCAAGCTCGCGTTCATGGTCTTGCCACTCTGCCATAACAGATACATACACGTGAAACTGCTCGCCCACCAAGCCAAGCTCCTTATGTACGAGAGCTTGTGCTTGTCGGTGGTCAGATAGGCTGCAGCGTACACCAGTCTTGACGCCGAATAGACAAGACACGCCTTGTTGATGGTCTCGGTGGGCACTTTGGCGACGGTCGCGAACAGCGCGCTTCCGATGAACATGGGGAAGTGCTCCATGGCGTTGGCGTGGGCGGCCTCGTTGCGTTTCAGGAGGTTGAGTTGCGCGCGGGTGATTTTGCCTTCCTGCACGGCGCGTTCGCCGAAGCGCGAGACATCCTCGCGCGGATTGACGTTGTGGTCGAGGCCGTAGGTGTTCTTGAGGAAGCGGGAGGACAGGAAGACGTAGGCGAATAGGAAGTTGAAGATGGCGTGGTAGGGGGCGTTGTTGGGTGGAGTGGCCAGGAGGCCGTTTGATTTTAGGCCGAGCATGGCTGCGAGAGAGGACATGTTTTGTTGAGCTTGGAAGATAGGCGGCGCGGGATAGCTGAATAGTGCGGAGGGGGCTGTGAAGGGTGAGAGGATTAGGTGAGGTTCTTGGACGGTAGGTACATGAAAAGAAGATGGAATAAACTACAGGTACAGAGTACGGAGTATACTGAAGTGCTTTCGGATACTGAGTGACGTCAAGAATCGAGTTGACCAATCATGGGCTCAGCCTTGCGGTCGACGGCCTTGGTAGGAGTAAGGCTGTGCGTCCGCTTCTCGTTGAGCACCTGAGGAGGAGACATGGGTTAATGCTAGGAAGATATTATCGTATTTACAGAGTTCCACTACTGTGTAATGTCTCATGAGGATATTTGTTCTGAGGCGTAAATCTAACTCTGTGTCCAGGCCCATACGTAATCTGCGCTCGCTTCGGCAGAGTTGAATAGTGACGGATCTGCGTTGTCGGCCATCACGAAGTAGCAGGACCACGGCGAATCCTCAGACACCGGATCGTCAAGAGTTTTGAATTGATGCATCATCTCTACAAATTGCCCGAGTGATGAGTACTATGTAGGTGCCTGAGGTGGCTACCAGATCGATCGAAGGACACGCAAATGCCGTAAAGGGGACAAGGCTGCGATTACTGTGGAGCATGCCGCAACAGCCGCGTTGACAGGATTTCCGGTCAACACACTCCCCAAGCTCTTGAGATGAATCCCGAATGTCCTTACAACCGAAATTTTGAAGTGACGATGACCGTGCCTGCGAGTGAGAAGACAGGCTGAAATGCCCTCAGGCTCAGCTCTCAGCTGCCAGCTTTCCGGACATGGACCGTCACATTGGCTGCTGAGGCTGTCGCTGTCATTGGCTCGACCTGCATCGACCACATCGACCCTTGCTGCGACCGCAGTCATGGTTGCCTCAACCTCAGCCTCAGCGCTTAAGCTGGGTGTATCTGCCTTGTGGCAGCCAAATGGCATGCCCATCCCCCAAAGTTGCCCTCATCATCGAATTCTTCGAAGGCTCAAGGTTTGAACGCATCTTTCCACGCGCTGACGACAGGAATTTGCGACTGCGCTCGCGCATTTGATGCCCTGGCTTGCTCGTATGCCATCCAATCTCCTTGACGATATCCTTGCAGAACGAACCGATACGATCTCCTTCCCGACCTCGCTGAACATCCACGGTATCTGACAAAATGGCACCCCACCCGGAGCCACCTCGCAGTCGGCGTGAGTTCAAGATTGCTATAATATGTGCACTACCACTGGAGGCAGAGTGCGTCCTGGCGATGTTTGACAAAACATGGGATCACCCATTAGGAAAGGCTAAGGAGGATTTGAATGCTTATTCGCTTGGAGTAATTGCAAGGCATAATGTCGTGCTTGCGCACATGCCAGGCATGGGGAAGGTGTCTGCAACCAGTGTCGCAGCGGGCGTTCGCTTAAGCTTTACCAGCATCGAATACGCGTTTGTCGTTGGCATCTGTGGCGGTGTCCCCTTCAACGGAAAAAGGGAAGTCATACTCGGGGATGTGATTGTTAGCCAACTGCTTGTGCAATATGACCTCGGAAAGCAACACCCGGAAGGATTTGAGACGAAGACTGCCGCGGAAGACTCGCTTTCCAGACCTAGCCAGGAGATCCGATCGTTGCTAGCCAAATTGAACACTTCGCACCATCGAACGCTGATGCAGCAAGAAATCACAACCCATTTGCTGGCCATCCAGAAGACTTTGCCTGAGACGGCCTATCCGGGCTCGGAATCCGATCGCCTCTATGATGCGTCATATCTACACAAGCATCGAGCAGTCGCTGACAACGCGCCATGCGTTGCCTGTGAAAGCAGTCCTGAGCACAGGTGCCAGGACGCGTCGAAGATGAAATGTAAAGATTTGGGATGTGAAGAATCAGAGCTGGTGCAACGCGATCGTCTGTCAAAAGCCAAAGTGAGTGACATCAGCTCCTCAGATGGATCCCCACAGCTACACATAGGGCGAATTGGGACTGCAGACACGGTGCTGAAATCCGGAACCGACCGCGACCGCATTGCCAGAGAGCACAGCCTTATCGCATTTGAGATGGAAGGGGCTGGCGTCTGGGACTACTTTTCGAATAGCCTGGTCATCAAAGGAGTATGCGATTATGCGGATAGCCATAAGAACAAGCAGTGGCAGGACTTTGCTGCAGCTGCAGCAGCTGCCTGTATGAAGTCCTTCTTGAGGGAAATAGGGACCCCAGAAGATTCTTATGAGTATGGTGAGTTCATCCCGTCCTTACAAACAAGCCCCCAAGACCAACGGCAATGCGCAGCATGAGGGGCTCTTATCACAGAGAGTCAGCGCTGTAAGGTTGGAGCCAGTGACAATTATATTGCGATGACGAAGTATGGCTTGTTGGGCCTCAGATCCTCAATGTCAGACTGCGCCTGATTGCATGAATCGAATGAGCTGGGAGTAGTTAATACGAAAGCTATATTCGGCGACTTGGTGTCTGCGTCTCTCTGTCGATAAGCTGGTCTGTTCGGAAATAGCTCTTACTGACTGTCATATAGAAGAGCCCCAACGGTCCCTATGGTACATGCCTTTCGAGCAATCGGATCTAGAGAGGCTTGTTGGCCGCACAGACAAGCTTGAAGCCTTAGAACACAATCTCTTCCAACGTGGGCGACACTCGAAAACTGCCCTTCTGGGCCTGGGTGGCGTAGGGAAAAGTCGACTCGCAATGGAAGTTGCATATCGTACGAGAGCTCCACGCCCAGACTGCTCGATTTTCTGGGTCCAAGCAACAGACTCCCTGTCATTTGAGAGGGATTACCTTGCAATTGGGAAGCTGATGCAGGTCCCGGGTCTTGAACAGAGCGGGGCTGACGACAAAAGTCTTGTGTGCAAATTCCTCAGCCAGCAATCCGCTGGCGAATGGTTACTCATACTCGACAATGCAGACGATCCGGCATTGTGGGCGGAGAAAGATCCAAGCGCAACAGACACATCGTCTTCCTTGATCGAACACTTACCTAAAAGCCGAACAGGGTCAATACTTGTCACGACGAGAAGTAGGAGAGTGGCTTCACATCTAGCAGGTAAGGACCTTGTTGAGTTAGATGACATGAAGGTCGACGACGCCGAACAAATGCTCAAAAACCTGCTTGAGAAGCCGGACATTCTCAACGATCGTGAGAGTACACGACAGCTGCTGCACACCCTAACATGCCTTCCATTGGCCATTGTCCAAGCAGCGGCTTATCTCAACAAGAATGACGAGTCGATCAAAACATACTCGAAGCTGCTCCGGCAGCCCGAAGACGACGTCATTGAACTTCTCAGCCAGGATTTCAATGATGAAGGCCGATATAAGACAGCACTAAACCCCATCGCAACCACTTGGCTGGTATCTTTTCGGCAGATAGAACAACAGAATCGTGTCGCCGCTGATTACCTAGCTTTTGCGTCCTGTTTAAGCGAGAAGAACATACCACGGTCTCTCTTTCCTCCGGCCGAATCTATGAACGGAATGGTTGACGCTCTTGCGGTTCTCAGGGGTTATGGCTTTTTCAGAAGGCATGATGACAGTGATGTCCATGACCCCGACGGTCCGCTGTACGATATGCATCGTCTGGTTCGGCTCGCCACTCGTAATTGGTTGAAAAAAGAAGATACTTTGACGATGTGGACGGCAACAGCTTTTCAGCAAATGGTGGCCGCTTTTCCAGGGGTGAGGTGGGAGACAAGAGATGTCTGGATGTTGTATATGCCCCATGCACAAATTTTGTGTGACTCGAAGCAATGTCAAGACTTACGGGAGCGCTATAAATTACTCAGTAAAATGGCAATTTGTCTCCACTGGACCGGAAAAGAGAATGATGCGGTCGGCCTGCTTGAAATAGTATATCGATGGGCTGAGCCTACTCTGGGCGACGACGATGAATTCAAGATCGGAGTTTGCTTTAGGCTGGGAGATTATCTAGGCAGTCTGGGAAGATATTCTGAAGCGATGGACTATGTGAGTCGAGCCCTTCAGAAGAGCAGGGAAGCCCTGGGAACGGAACATCGGATGTCTATCGAATGCATGGTGATTATGGGCAAGCTCTATAGCCAGCAGGCCAGCTGGCAACAAGGAGAGTTGATACTGAAGGAAGGAATAGAGGCTGGGAAGAAAGTGTTAGGACCTCAGCATACAGAAATGTTAGCGGCCAGTGCGCAACTTGCACATGTCTATGTGAGAACTGGTCGACATGGTGAAGCAGAGACATTACAAAGTGAGATGGTTGAATGGAGTAAGAAATATCAAGGGCATGAACATCCGGACACTTTGATTGCCATGTTGGATTTGTCTGAGACGTACCGAGTGCAAGGTCGGCTTAAGGAAGCCGAGAAACTCAGTCTGGAAGTATGTGAAGTGACTGAGCGAGTACTTGGGCCTGAGCACCCCGGCACGTTCGATGCTCTCTACGGGCTTTCCAGGGTATACTACGAGCAAGATCGGATGGAGGAGGCTGAAGAGATCGCTTCAAAGTGCTTGGAAAACAGGTCAAGACTGCTAGGCAGAGAATATTGGCAGACAAGAGAATCTATGGAACTTTTGGCCTGGATACGGAAAGAACAGGGTCGGCTTGAAGAGGCCATTGAGCTGATGAGAGAATGCGTGGAGGCTTCCACTCGGACTCTCGGTTCGGAGCATTGGTTTACAAAGGAGTGTCCAAAGACACTGGACGAATGGCAGCAGCTGTGGGCAGCGCGAGCAGGAGACGCCTGTCCAATGAATACAATTGAGCCAAGTCCTCGAGTTGCTGAGGAAGAAGTCGATGAGGTTCCGGAGGATCGTGAGAACTCTCATGGAGGTACCGTGTCTTCTTCACATCAACAGCAGCCGGCTGAGCCGCAAGCAGAGGGACATCAAACAAAGCGGAAGTGGTCAATTGGAAGTGCTTCCCTCAGTCAGCCTATCTCCAAAAAGAGGGCCGAGACAAGCACCGCGGCCTGAGGAACTCGAGTACCGGGACATGTTTGCATGGAAAGTGGGACAATGCCAGTAATGAAGATGAGGTCGTGCAAGCTTTTCGCAACAAGATGGGATACTTGTTTGTGTTAGCTACGCATCTTTCTAGACTCGGAAGACAGACGAATTTGATGGTATCGTAACGTTGGCCTCGAATCCTTAAGCCACCGACGCAAGTTCAGAATGATGCTCGGTCGAAATGTTGCTTCACAACCGCTGCCTGTCTGTGCGAAGCAGCCGCTGTCGGAAGGCATGGTCATGTCGGGATAAGCAAAGATGTTCGCGAACCATACTTCAATTGCATGTGACCTTTGACGCCTCCTGAGAACGCCGGGTATCGTAAACACATAACATTCGTCAGACGAACGGCGATCAGAAAATACAGTTTTCCTCAGTCGAGATCCATCTCCTCTTCCGTCCCTCCCCCAACAAGCATCTTCCTCTTCCGTTTCTGTCTGATTCTCTCCTCGCCCACCACTCTCGACGACTCCATCTGGCTCTTGACCTCTTCGACCATCGGCTCCGTCTCCGCTCTTGCCGCCTCGAGATCCGCCAACTCCTTGCGGATAAGATGCTCTCCTTGCGCAATGACCTTGAGATCTTGCCGTCTCTTGGCCTCGCGCTGTGCCTTCCCGCTGAGTCTCCGGCGTGTGTAGACACGTTCTCTCCGTGCTCGGATCTCTTCGATGCGTTCCATAGCCTTCATTGTCGCGGCGACTAGGTTACGGTCATATTTAACGGGGGCGTTGCGACGCTTGGCGAACTGCGAGAGAAGCAAGTTCTGGTCCACGATCATTTCCTTGCCGCGGAGGGCGCGGGAGGTCTTTGTCCATTTGAGTTTGCGTGGTTGACGCTTCATTTTGAAGTTCTTGTGGCATTTGGAACGGCAGAAGCGGAAGACTTTGGCGTCATTACGGACGAAGGTGATTCCTTTAGATGGGTAGACCGGACGGGAGCAGAGATGGCATGTTTCAATCCTAGAACTGTCAGGGACCGGACCGGAAGAGAGAAGTGGTAGAGGGGGACGAACCTCATGGTTGCGGTGTGGCTCGAGGAGCCGTTGTGCCTTGAATTTGCGAATCGCACAGGGGCCGATACAGCTTGGAAACTCTTATGTGAGAGATTACAGAAAGATCGTTCAGAGGAGCTTGTCGAAGAGCACCCTGCCGGATGGTCTTGTCGTTTAGTTGTAGGAAGAACCTCGCCGTCGTTCGAAAACTCCGCAATCCTGGAAAATTTATGCCAAGATTTCTCTGAACCGGTGATCAGCCGAGAAGCCAATCAAAGGTCTCGCCAAACCTCCAGGCGAGGCGATCTTCCTGAGCAAAAAGTCACCATCATTCTCGAAAGGTCGACGCAGCCTGCAACTCCTTCCAGTTCGACAACGACGACACTGTGCCTGTGAGGCTTTCATCCTCTTACGACACCACGCGACATTCCCGTCTTCTACACGCAATATCTTTCTCGACTGCTTTCAAACCTCCAGATGGCATCAACCGTTGCCGTCGGCGTGGGCATCGCCGCCGCAGCTTTCTTTGTATGTCTTCCTTGCCAGCTACTCTCTTTACCGTTGATCACAATACTAACAGTTGATGTTAGGGCCGCGCCGGTCTGGTCGCTTTCCGCCGCTGGCGCAATCCAAACGCTGTGAATGCTCTCGGCAAAGCATTCTACAAAGGCGGCTTCGAACCGAAAATGACGAAAAAGGAAGCATCCTTGATCCTCGACCTGAGCGATCGAACGTTATCGAAGGAGAAGATTCGGAAAAACCACAGAGCATTGATGCTGGCGAATCATCCCGATCGAGGCGGGAGTCCGTATCTTGCAAGTAAAGTTAATGAAGCGAAAGAGTTTCTAGAAAGAGGAGGATGAGAGCGATACTAGAATAACTCAATACGCGGAGGCGAAGACTTTACCTCAGCCGCGTCGATCAAACGTGTCGACAAACTGCACCTGAAGATTCGCAAGGCAGAACTCGAGTTGGAGCAGGGTGCATTGAGCGGGCGGCCGAGCTCGATTTGCAATTTTTGGGGCATAGCGCTGGAGTTACGGGCTGATCTTCAAGAGTGGAAGCATGATCTCTGTCATTTTGTTTATATGCGGACATCGAAGAGACTGAGGGGGTCCACTGATTGTCTAAACATCTCCTCTCGAAGACGATGAAGAATCTGGCTACCTTGTCGAGGATAGCCGTAGTGGGCGGAGAGACTGTCGCAGCAAGGATCTGAGGTATATTGTTCAGGAGATTCTTGATGCTCGACGACCGGAGGTACAGAATCCTCAAGCAGAGGCCTTGGTGATTCGATGACCGTACCCAACCCATGTCTATATAATGTACAACACAACCAATGCACGCTTCCGTGTGTCTATCTAAAGTAGGTAATCATCAAACTCCATTTCCACGATCCCCATGATGGTCTTATCAATCACAGGCAGATGCGATGCTACCGACTCGACCCTCCACATCTCTTGAACAAGTCTTCCAGAAACGCATTGAACTCGTCTTCCTCCTCCCACATCAACACATGGCCCTTGCCTTCCCACACCTTATAATGAATGCCCTCGCCGAGCTGCTCCTTCAACATCTCCGCATGATAAAACGTGATCATGCGATCATACGTGCCATGCAGCACGGCGATCCTCTCTCGTCCAACTTGCTCAGCGATCTGCGCTATTTGCTTGGCACTCTTGTGATGCCAGCCTGCCGCGATCGCTTGCAATATGAATCCTTTCCTCGTGAAGCCTTCTCTGTCAAGACGCTTGTCGAGTTCACCCGCGGCGAAACGGTCGCGGATCGTCGGATAGTTCAGCCCCGAGTCGGCGGGTTGTTCTGTGTCTGGCTGCTTGAGGAATTCGTCGGAGAAGAGCCTGTGCGCGATCTCGTCGAGTTGCACGTCGATGTCGCGCGGGATGAACATGTTGATCCGTTGGCGGAGATTCTCGATAAAGGGGACGGTGCGGACGAGTCGAGGCGCGGTCGACACGAGGCTGAGGGATGCGATGTGTTGCGGGATGAGGAGCGCGACTTCTTGGGCGATCATGCCACCCATGCTGACACCTACGACGTGTAGATCTCGTGTGGGTGTCGAAGATGTTGACGATGATGATGACGACGGAGGGAGCCAGCCGATATGTCGTAGCAGGTCGATTGCGTCTTTGGCCATTTCCGACGTCGAGTATCGACAGCTCGGCTTGTCGCTTGATCCCATGCCCCGGTTGTCGTAGACCAGCGAGGAATATTGAGACGAACGTTGATGGCCGAAGTATTTGGTCTGGCGTTTCCAGGCCGTGCAGTAGGCGCCGAGGCCCATTATCCACTGCACAGATGAGTTAGAACGGATAAACCAGAAAAGAGACGGCATGTAGTGGAGATGGTTCGAGGGTATCCTCATGAAACCATGCTCTTGAAGGCGATTGGACTTGTGCTAGGCAAGCAGCAGGTAGCAGCTGTTATCCAGTTGCTTTCAAAAGGCCACGTCTTCCGCCGCCGCCGCCGCCAGGGAAGCACACAGTCATATCAACCGATATCCGGTGTCGTCTGGGCTTCCGCCAACATTGCAGACCGTCGATGCAACCTCCCCCTTCCTCGAACGGACTCGATACAATCGTACAGCATCATGCAAAAAGAACAAGTACTCACCACAAGCTTAACATCCCCCGTCCCATGGATCTCATAATGGATCTTGAACGGCCCACCACTCCGGCCCTTCGCGACTTCACATCTCCCCTTCTTCGTCGGCGGTAGATCCCAGTTCACGGTATTGTATGCAGGATGTGCGAGAATCTCGGCTGCCGTGAGAGGCATTGTCATCAGCACGGCTCCCAAAGAACGCTGCTGCCTTCTGCAACGTGCTGTCCCTCTCTCCTTTTTCCTCCACGGGAAACACCAATGTGATCTGGACCGACGCGATTGATGAGAAGACGAGGACAAAGAATCCGAATGAAATGACAGTAAAGGGATTAAGGTCGTGTGTCCAGCAACGACCATAAAGCACTGTACGCGATATGACGACAAGAGCAGTCGAGCACAGGAGAGCGCAAGCCAGGCGAGGCTCGGGACAGATTGTTCCGGCGAAGCAGGATGTGCATTAGTGCAGCTTTGCTTTAATATTCACACTCCCCTATGTACCTCGGTATCTGTGAGCAACTTCTCATCGACGCCGCACGAGATGATATCAGCTAGGCAGCACACATGATAAGCTGACGCAGAACCTCGCAAGCCGCGACATGAAGCCTAGTCTATCCGCCTGCTCTGCTCACGCGCTTCAGGGTACTAAGTCAGGTACCCAACAACAGCCTTAGACCTTGCCGAGGCCAACCTGTATGCGGAGAATGGCAGTACAACTTCTCCTCACCATGGAACGACCGGGGCATCGGCCTTGCCTCCAAGTTGTCCCGCTATAGGAGAAAAGCTGGAGAGAGCGGAATTCTGTCATCTCGAGTGTTCGGACACGGAGATCTAGGTCCATCTTTCGATTGCCTCATGTGAACAATAGGTAGGATCTATGCGAGCTGAAACCAACTGAACTCCCAGTACCCGGTGCAAGACAAAGAAACGGCACTCGCGGTCTAACACTTTATCCGTACATGGCTTGCATATAGCATTCGTCCAAGGAAGCAAGAAAACGATAAAATGTCAGGCCAAGAGAATGCCGTGGCTTTTATAGGCATGCCCCATCTTCGCTCCCAAGATTTAGACAACGTCAACTAACAAAAAGCTCAGGCCTCGGCGTCATGGGCTACAACATGGCCGTCAATCTGCGGACCAAAATGCCCAAAGAAAAGACCCTCGTGGTATGCGATGTGTCCGAGGCAGCAATATCCAGGTTCCAAGAGCAAATGAAAGACTCTGGGCCCGTAGTCGTTGCGAAGAGCGGATCCGAAGCCATTCAACAAGCTGTAGGTACTTTACCTTAGTCACTCAAAGTTCGCAACACAAGACATATAATAAGTACTTATACTTATACTCCGTGGCGTGCCAGGACACCATCATCACTGTCCTTCCAAACGACGCAGCATGCGACAGCGTCTATCTGGACCCATCGACCGGCATCCTCGCCGGCGTCAAGCAACAATCCCGCGCTTCTTCGCAGCCCAAAATCGCCATGGAATGCGGCACCATGAGTCTCGAGATCATCAACAAGATCCGCGACGCCTCCTCGCAATGCGGACTCAGGTTCCTCGATGCCCCTATCTCCGGCGGACCCATAGGTGCTAAGGCGGGTACCCTCACCATCATGGTCGGATGCGACGAGTCTCTGTTTCCCAAGATCAAGCCACTGCTCGCATACATGGGTACCAGCATGCGACGGTGCGGCGACGTCGGGTCCGGCACGGCCTTCAAAACCATCAACAACTACATGTCCATCACCCAAGTGCTGGTTGCCAGCGAGGCGCTGAACATCGGAGCCAAGCTGAATCTCAATATGGAGGAGCTGATCGATACAATAAACTCCAGCAGTGGTCAGAGTTGGATCACGTCCAAGAACAACCCTGTGCCTGGCATCACCCCCGGCGGAGCAGCGAACAACGACTATAATGGAAGGTTCCGGATCGAGCTCGGCCAGAAAGATCTAAAGTTGGGCGTGCAGTTGGCCAAGATGGCCGGTGCAAAACCTTTACTGTCCATCGAGACGCTGAAGACGTTGGAAGAAGTCGCAAGTGATCCGAGATACGCCGGGAAAGATCTGCGTGTGGTGTACAAATGGTTGAACGAGCAGTAGCTAGGTAGCTAGGCTCTCGCGTGAGTGGTTGAGTTCCGCCCGCGTCATGCAGTCCATGGTAAATCCATGGTATTCACCGGCTCCTGAGTACGATGGTCCAGTGTCGCTTGTACATTGAGCACAATCCAAGAATGACTGGATGGTTTGGCCGAACAAAAAGAATCTATCTAAGAAAGTGATTGAAATTTCGAACCGAGAGCAGTAACTTAGCATATTCAATTGTGATTGGTCAAAGGATTTGTTCCTTTCGATATGATAGCTCTTTTCGTGAGCTTTTCTCGCCGAACACCTCACCACAGGTATATCCTCTGCTTGTTGAGCGAGCCGTCATATCTGAAGACTATAAACACACCTACAGTACAGTGTCACGAGACGAGTAAGCCAGCAGTGGCCAGCTCAAATCTGAAAATTAGCCAAGCATGATGAGCTCGGAACCACAGCCTCGCCAACAAATATAAGTACCTAGGTAGGTGCTTTAGCGAGGGAGTCCACAACTTGTAGATCTCAATACAACTCGCCGGAGTCAAGCTCAAGATGACAGAGAACATCAATAACATCCAAGCGTGATCATCGATCTCAAGATATGTCGCCATCGTCTAGACCCTGTGTAAGATACTGGTACAGTTCCCACTCCTGAACGAACTGGAGCTCCGCCGTCCCTGATCAGCGTGACGCAGATGGACTCCGCCGGCGAGCCCGTACCAAGACTCAAAAGTGGAAAACCGACAATCACTACGCTACCGAATGCCAATCGTGCTGATCAAAGCGCGGTTGACGGCCATCACAAAACATCAACAGTCAAGAAAGCCAAAAGTCCCAAAAACTCAAAGGCCAGAAAAGTTCCTACAGAAACATGGGTGAGACAGGGGAAGCCATGTAACGTTTTCCTTTCTCCTCTCTTCCCCTGCATGTAACTGGACGTGCCTCTTCTCGGTCCTTCAATGATGGATTCCAATATCATTTCATCCTACTGAAATTGGCTTGCTATGCCTTGTAGCTTTCCTGCAAATAGCCGATAACTCCAATTCGTGATAACATATTGTGACGCCTGCTCAACGCAAAGACCAAGACAGTCCCACTCACTTTAACCTCGTCGACTGCGTCTTGTAGTACGAGTCAACTCATCGGTGCTTTCAGGATCTGTCCGCGGAGCCTGGGCTGGTAATTTTCTGTCTCTGTTTTCTTGTAGCACCCCAAAAGATACATAGAAAATATGCCGCTTAATCCTCCAAAGAATTCGTCTGGTGAAAGAATGTAGGAAACATTTGGTCGTCATAAGCGACGGAAACTCTCAGTTGTCGAATTTGTAGCATGGTCAGCCTTATTCCTCCATCTTGAACATCTCTTCATCCTCCATGTTGATGTCTTTGTCGTCGTTGCTTTCGCGGTAACCGCGCTCATCGGAAACGTTTTGGGTCAAGGTAGGAGGATGCAACTGCAACAAGGGATTATATACGTTTGTCAATGTACTGTCAGACGATTTGCTGTTGAAAGACTGGTACTGTTGTGGCAGTGGTGGTACAGGCGGCACATCAGAGCCCAAATAGGTGGGTTTCGTGCGAGGTGTCCCACTGAAAGTGAGGCCGGCCGTGGCTGCTGCAAGAGTGCCATCATCGGTGCCAGATGTGCTGGGGCGGAAGTCTACCCCGGAGAACCTGTGTGGTGGAAGGCCAGGAGACAGAACGCTTTCGGTATAGGAGCTTGACGGGACCGAGCGGTATGAGCGAGAGAACCCGTTGCTGCTGACACTGAAACGCTTAGTGTCAGGGACCGGGTAGGCAGCTTCGCTCATGGGAGGTGGTGTTGTCTCAACCGAGCTGACCTCGTCGTGCATCTCGGACGAGGAGAAGCCTGGGGATGCAGAAGATCCCTCACTCGGGTCGATGGCAGACGCCTCAATGTCGGAGTGAGCCGTTGGCAAATTCTCCGTGTTCATGTTGCACAGAACCGAAGCAGCTTCCAAAAGCTGGACCTGCTGATGCTTGGAGATGAGCAGTTTGGAGGTGACTGCCCAAGCTGGATCATGCTCCCACCTAGACTCCGTCAGTACAGGTCGGGTCAACTGTCAGGGTAGACCCTACAGATGCTTGGTAAGACAGCTGCTGTGTTTGTATCCCTTGCCGCAGGTATCGCAGCGAAGCTCAGCTCCCGACTTTTTACCCTCGCCCTTGATCAAGTATGAACCGTCACTTGCCCTCCTGTTTCTAGGCTTGGTGCTCATGCTCTTGGACGAATGTGCCAGATCCTCATCTTGTGAGTTGTCCTCGAGGGCTTCGTTGTCTTGACCGCTGCGATTGCCAGAAGTCCCATGGAAGTAGGAGTGCATACTGGGTCTAGCACTCATCGATTGTGATTCCATAGTCTTTCTCGAGCCCAGGCTCCTTCGATGATTGTGCAACGGCATGACCGACGCGTCTCCTTGTTCCCTCAATGCCGCAGCAATCGCAGCCTGAGCAGTTGTGGAAGTGATGACACTCTTTCGACGATTGACTCGGTGAGAAGGGTTCGTAGGAGCCAAGGAGATGGAGTGGGAATGCTGTCGGGCCGTGGTAGACGAGGGCCTCGAAAAGCTGCCCGAGGCAGGACGAGAAGATGGTTGATCCTTTGTTTAGAACTAAAGTCAGCACGGGCTTTAAGTCGAGAATGGGCCAGGCGTGTCCTTTCGCTCACCTTTGAGGACGCCATTATTGTGCAAGAATAATTGAGGAAGTTATCAGACGACTCCCGAGTCCAAAACTTTTTGTAGTCTTGAAACCTGAGAGCCGTCAGGAGATGGCAGCAGTCAAGGCGAATAGTGTGGTGGGGGTTAGATGGGCCAGGCACCGGGGAATAGATGGAGCGCGAGGGGTTTGCTTTCTGTGTTTGTTGACTGGTACGGAGTAAGGATGGATACAATAGAAGCGAGTCGAGGAAACTGGGGGCTGCAGTTTCTGGTACCGAGTCTTGAGTTGATGGGAAGGAGAAGAGTCTCAGGAACAGAATAATGTGTGAACCGTGGTTGTAGGAGTGTGGGAGTGCGGAACAGGTTGTGTGGATTCGCGGTTCGGTGGTTGTCCTCGGGAGAGCGTGGTTGTGTGGCTGTGGAGAGATGAACGGACAAGGACAAAAAGAGGAGCTGCGAGCTGGACACTTTTTTTTTCTGGTCAAGGGCCAAAATTAATCCAGATGGACATCCATGCACCTGCTGATCGCGCCGATTCCAGTCACAGTCCAGTCAAGTTGCTCCTCGTGCCAGAAGGAGAAGCTAAACTTGTTCCGCCTGGCGTCGTCTGTCTTCTGACTTCCACGGCCTCTGGACCTTTGACTGGTTCCTTGCTTCGCTCGCTGCGGGGTCAGGCCGTGCCTGGGCCTAAGCGTTTGCAGGAAATTGGTTATCGTCTCTCAGCTTGGGGCGTGGCTATTGGCGACGGTTTCAGCGGAGAGAGCGTCAGGAGAGATTGACGTTTTTGCAGCGATAAGCACTCGCAAAACAAAGAGAGAAGGATGAAGAAGGATGAAGCAGGCTGCGGTCAGAAAGGTTACTACGTACATAGCAGTACGGAGTATACGTAGTAGTACGGCCAAATGCGACCCCATATACTATGGTACAATTGACCAGCCAGATGTCGATGAGCCGGGTCAGATTTGATGATGGATCACGGCAAGCATGGGTGGCATGGCACTCATGGGTGATGAACAGGACAGGGCACGAGCATACGAAGCATGGGGCAGTTTTGGAGTGTCAAGACCAGGTCATGGGTTCATGCTACATACGACTACTGTGGCTGCTTCAAATCGAATCCCAGCGTGGCGGCAGAAAAGACGCCATCAGTCTCGCTTTGTACCTGACTAAAACCTGACTGGCTTCGAAGCGCCAAACCAATATGGTCCCCTCACGACGGCACGGACGTCGAGCAACCCGTCTCACGAAGGCAAATACCCGATAAACAATGCTCAGACTCGGATACGACGTATGAATCAATGGGCCAGACCTTCCAGAAGTGGCGTATGAGAAAAAGCAGGCAAGCCCATACCTGGAACCTGGTAAATGATGGCCGGGACAGCAAAGGAATCAAGTATCAATCCTCCCCCCACTGTTACCGCCTCAGGTAGTGATAGGCATACCGGCAACCACTGCAGTACCTAAGGTATTCTACGTCGGACTCCGCGAATCAAACATCTACAGGTAGCTTTGCCGTATGATATACCCATTGGTACGAGTAGCTAACCCACTACAATTCTGTGCCCACTGCCCAATTGGTTTCGGTGTTCCTTGGGGCCTGGAAAGGATTGACCCAGTATCTAAGCGCAGCGGCAGGCAGGACATGGCAGGTCGCGACAAGCATATCGCCCGTGTGCGGCAGCGGCAGGACCTCGATGTCGTGGCTTTTGGAGTCGTGTGGAGAAGGCCAAGCAGGTGGCGAGCATGGAATCCGTCAAACCAAAGACCATCTTGCACCATGCCGAAGCCGTCCGCCAAACTGTATGCGAACAGGTGCAGCAAGGTACGGAACTAAGGCAACTTGCTGTGTAAAGCTAAGCACCTTAAAGCCTTGAGGCACTGGTCACCCACTGGCCACTGTGACTGGCAGCTGCTAAGGTCGCCTGATTGCGCGAGGCAGCAAAATCACGCACTGTCGAGTCCACAATGCCGTCATAGGCTTGCCGCAGACACCTGCGCAAGATACCGCCTGGTCCCGTGGTCTCTGGCGTGCTCTGGGTAGTTACCCCCAGTACTCGTATCTTTATGGGCGCAGTCAGCTTCTTTACTTGGTCAGGCCGGGACCAATAACTGCGTCATCGGTTCCAATAGATCTGGAGACGGCACGGAAGCTGCTCGAGTCCAGGTCGATGGTTCAAGACAATGATGGTCCGTACTCAAATAGACCAGTATTCGACGAGAAGGATATCGTCTCCGAACACACAGGTACCTATGGAGCGCACAGTATGGAGAATATTTGACAAATCAGAAGCTCTCCCAGAAAAGGACCGCCCGATCCGCGTGGCCTGGAGGAAAAGCGACAATCATTGATGATCCCTCCAAATATTTTTTTGGATGTTGAAGGTGAGACCAAACAAGAGGGCCTTGTTACGACACCGAATGGCAGGATGGGGGCCGACTCGTATTCAGAATCAGGCGCATCATGGCGGTTTCGATTATCGACGGACGCTTAGCCTGGTGCCTCCTCACGCCTCTTCTGTCAAGGTCAAAGTCAAGCCCCAAACAACCATCTTTGCCGCCCCGAACTCGTGTCTGTTGCATCTGATGGCACTAAAGGGCGGGGTTTCAGGCGAGCCTGAGTTAGGCTAGACTCCCCCAGCTTCGCAGGCATCTTGCTGGCACTTGGCTGGTAACCCGGTCGGAGTCTGTGCTCGATCAACCAAAAGAATTATTCTTTTGTTGTTGTGAATCCTCAAGGCCTCGAACATGGCAAGGACACCCACTGAAAGGCACAGAGTATTCTTCCTCGGCTACAAAGTGAGGAGCCACAGCTACTTGGTCTCCGTGATCGGACTGATTGAGCCGCTTCCAAGGCTCTAGTTCGCCTCTCACCCACCTCTGCTATCTCCTGTGTTACCTTATCATCTTTCGCTTACTGATAACAACCTTTCAAGGGTTTACTGTGTGGTACAGTTGACAGCTAGCCCCCTGTCAGAACTCCTTTTGATGCCGAGGTGGTGAATCGGCACAGGATCTGCCGAGAAGCTTTCACAATTGTAATCTTTTGCAATTGTGCTGAGGAGGGGATTCGAAATGGAGGACACGGACTCGCTCGTCTTGACGCCAGACTAAGGTACGCTGACAGTCTACCTTATGCTGATGGTGAGCCATCTTCTGCCATGCAACAGAACAGATATAAAACCCACAGAACGAATGCGCCAGGGGTATACTCCGTCTACCTTGCTTCGTGGACTCCTACAGTTAGCCCCACGGTACAGTAGCCCAGACAGCGAGGAAGGGTTATGATCCGTACACTTTGTTTTCTCTCATACCAGAGCACAGGCACCATCGAATCGAGAGTTGTCCGACTTCGCAAATGACAAGAAAGGCATGAATTCGACTCTCATTCCGAACTCAGGACCTGGTCGCCTTATTCCTATATCATTTTCAGCCTTGTATTAATATAGATGTTCCTCTTATTCCAGAAAGCCTCAATGGTCATCCCGTCCAGATGTGGATAGGGTTGCCTATGCGCTTACTCAGGGCTACGCAGGTACTCCGTGCCTGACATTGTATCTATTGGAAGGTCTGTCCGGTGACTAGTACATCAACATCGAACTATCGTAGCAATGATATACGGATACTACGGCACCTGCTTTTGTGGTCGGACTTTTTCTCGTTACCTGTGACGGCTGCAGTCGCTCATTGCCCTTTTTTCGAGGTGGCTTGCTCGAAGATTTGGTCGCATTTCGCTAAGATCACCTTGCGGACATCCACTCCCCCTATCGCACGGGGTGATCAGTCCGCTATGGCGCCGGACAGTCAACAATAGCCTTGAAGAATGTCTCATTGTTTGAATAACTGCTGTTTCTCCTTCTTTCGCATTTGAGTACCAAGTCTTGACACCAGAACTATAGCGATCACAACCAGTGTGTCTCGTAGTACCAACCCCGCATCGCAGCGACCTGTTTCACTGCACTAGGCCCTGCGTCGGCGGCCCAGAAAACCCCAGCAGACCTTAACCGTCAGGATGGCAACACAACAATCCTGGGCGGCCTGGCTGCTGGACTCGTATGCCTCATCAGTCTCCCCCGTCACCTCAGACTCTCCATACCGTCACCACGACGACTCGCATTCGATATCCGACTCCTCACATGCCACGTCTCCCTCGAGATCGAACTCTCTGAGCCCCATGTCCTCGATTTCCAACTCCTCCGCCTACGGGCCATATGTGCGCACCGGCCGCGGCGGGGCAGGCAACTTCACATGGCAGACGGATCTCAAACCCGCAAAGTCATCGGATCTTGACCTCGAAGCCCAGAGTATCAAGCAGACCTCCCTGTCCGATCGTCGCAAAGCGGCCGCGAAGCTGGAGAACATCAATACCGACAAAGCAGTGAACAAACACGCGCGCCAATCTTCTGCGCAGTTCTTATCCGTCGGTCGCGGCGGCGCAGGGAATTACACATTGACCAACGAGATCGCGCCACCGAAACGAAGTCCAAGTCTACCCGTGAGCCTGAGTGCGAGTGGCAGTAGAAATCCCAGCCCGACAAATTTGTACTTTGTGCATCCCGGACGAGGAGGCGCAGGAAACTACGCCAATGCCGCTGACGTGGGTACGCGCAATGAATCGGAGAAGGAGCAGGAAGAACGCCTAGCCGCCGAACAGAGAAGAGATCAAATCGCGGAAGAGGTTGATGGGTTATTGCAGCCACCGCCCGGGGCGTGGCTCGGTGGAAGAAGGAAGAGCGAGATTATGGATGAAGCGGTGTGAAAAGGGATCACGAAAGTTATTGCTGAAAAGGCATAACAACAGAGCGCCCGTTATGAAGCCATGGTACAGCCAATGCAGCAGGCGTATCAGAAACTGATGGGGTGTCCTCCTAAAGCCCATATTTGCGGTTGCAGGTTTGGCTCAATCTCTGTTCTGCACCTCGAGCTGCACATCCAGCGCATCCCCAGTGTTGACTGGACACATCAGCTACTGCAGCGACGGCCGTCCAACAGTTTCAGTGGTGTCCCGCATGATTTGAACTCATCAATGAGGGAAACGCCCCAGTCAAGCTCTTTCGACGGCCGATAACCGGGTCTCATCTTACTTCGCTACTCTAGGAATGTCCTTTCACGCATGCTCGGGACAAGACGCAAACATGGATGAGTTCAAGTCTTCTCCAGGAGACTTTGGCATAGGCCATTGAGCAGATTCGGCTTGAATGCATCGCACCACGCAACAGCTAGCGACGACTGCGTTTCCACGCGTCCCAGCTCGATATCAAACTGGTTATGGAGCTCATTCGGACTGGGGATAGTCCCAGATCTTCCATACCGGCCTACATTACGTTCAGCAGAGCCGAAGGACGAGGAAACATGGCAATATACAGTCCACCACGCTCCATGTGCAGAGCCATTCAGCATGCTTTGGCCCGACGGCACCAACCTGCCCCCCATGGCTGTGGCTGACGGGACGAGAAGAATAGTAAAGACTTGCGCAAGACCATCTACCTTTGGCCACTGCTAGTTGGTCCCTTGTGCTTCTAGAACTACGAGGGTTCTTGCCATAACGGAAGATTGTGTGATAACCAGCATCGAAGGTGAAGGCTCCGAGCTGCTCAGGAACAAGCTTGACTTCCCGTCGAGCCCTTTACCACCTCGTGCATTACCAGAATTCCATTCTACCTTGCTTGGAGTTACTCCATATGCCGTGGAAGAAATCGAAAAGGTACACAGGGCCGTTGATTCGGATCTCCTGACGAGGAACTCATTTCCATCGATTCCGTGAAGATGGAACGGTGGAGATCTCTGACTTGTACTTGCAATACTAGCGATGAATGGACCAGGTTACAGCCGAGTCTTCCAGATAGCTCGACGCAGAATCACTTCCTTGCCTTTAATTTCGCAGAGTACCAAACATCTACATGATTTGCGCGTCATACAAGCCCACATGCTACAAGAACCTAAACCAGTCTCAGTATCACTCCCACATCGTTTTCAATATATATGCCAAGGGAGCTGTTCTTTCAGTTGTCTTTTGCGCGTCTTATACACGCTCCTCGTCTGTGCACAGTACAGCCCAAACAGCTCCAACTTAGTTCAAATCCAGGTGGCAATCTAGCTGAATACCTTGTCAAAGTACTTCATGAACGTGTTCCTATCACATGAGCGGTCAGCAAACATTCCCCACACCCGCAAGCTCCGATAGAAATAGAAAAGTGAAAAGGGGGATGACTCACCGCGGCGGCTTTGGCACATAATCCCGTTCATACTCTTCGAGCTCATCCATATCCTTCCGGAGATCCACCTCTTCGGGCTTCAACCACTTGGTCTTCTTGAAGAACTTCCACCCGACAAACAGGACGGGAAACACGCCGATCATCGTGTAACTGAAGAAGAAGGTCGGCACGTCCCAGAAGCCCGGCAAGAACACGGTATACCCTCCCACGAAAGTCATGATGAAGGTACCCACGAGCGCGTAGTACGCCGAGAACGGTTGCCACCACGACTTGTAAGGCAACGTGTTGCGATCGATGCCCTGTGCCTCGAGCGCCTTCTTGAACTTGATGAACGTGAACGACATGACGGCGAAGTTGATCAGTTGCGACGCCGTTACCTACCGGCGACTGGTCAGCACGACACGCCCAATACCACATGGGATCTTTGACATAGGTTCGAGGAGGATTCAGACTGAGACTCAGACTCACCAAATTGACAAACCAACCCAAGACCACGGCCGAGCTGTTGCTGACCTGCAAGAAGCTCAACAAACTTATCAACAGGACCAACGCGACACAATAAATGGGCACACCGTTCCTCGTGCACCGCGCAAAGATTCTCGGCGCCTTGCCCTCGAGCGCCAGGCCAAACAGACTCCGACTCGCACAGTACACGTAGCTATTCCCCGCAGAGAACGCACTGCCCAAAACCATGGCATTGACAATGTGCGGCAACACCTGGATCCTGAGCCTGTTCATGCTGACGACATACGGACTCGCCGCGGCGCCGGGCTTGCCCGTCGAGAAGGCCTCGGTCAACTCGGCGTCGTTGTAGGGCACCAGGATGCCCACGCACAAGGAACCCAGCATGAAGAAAGTCGTCAACCGGTAGAAGACGGCCTTGTACGCCCTGGGCAGGACCTTGCGCGGATTCTCGGCCTCGCCCGCCGCCATGCTCACATAGTCCGGCCCGGCGATGGTGAAACTCGCTTGGATCAGACACTGCAGGAACCCCAGGAACCGGCCCAGACTGCCGCCGTAGTACAGCTCCGTGAAACTGCCCGGGTCCTTCCAGTATCTGAAGCCGAACCGGTCGCCGAGTGGATTGCCGCCGAGCATGACGATGAAGGTGTATATGATCAGTCCGACGATGAGCAGGACTTTACCCAGGGCGAGCCAGAATTCGGATTCGCCGTACCATTGGACCGCGAAGAGGTTGATCAAGGCGTAGCAGACGATGACGATGGCGATGATCCCGCCGGCCGGCACGACGTCGCTCCAGTAGTGGATGATGACGTTGCAGGCGACGATTTCGAAGGGCACAAGCATGGCTTCAAACACGAAGAAGTTGTACCCCGCAGCCACACCGAACGCTTCGTCGACGTACCGGCCTGCGAAGCGGATGAATGGAGAAGAGATTGGAAGGTAGGTCACCATCTCGGCCATGCAGTTGGTCACGCAGAGGATGAAGGTGCACCTATCAAAAGCATCAGCGTCTCGGGCTTAGAACGGGGACATAGAGTGCGTTCGAGTTCTGGCGTGTGCGTCCGTTAAGAAGCTTGAGCACGTTCGATGGGAATAGTCTGGGCTGGGGAAGATATCGCAAACGCCGTTGTGAAGAGCAAGCATGGAAGCCTGCCCTGCTCCCTGCCCAGCCATTCTTGGGAGACCAAGCATGGATGTGTCTAAGCATACAAGACAAGCCTCGCCGCAGTGATTCAAGCTTCGAGAAGTTGAAGCACTCAACAAGCCTTTGCCGCTAAGACCTTTTTTCTCGGTTTCTCGGCCAGCCTCTGCCTCGAATACGAGCTTGCCACGATCCGAGCCGCAGCATCCCTCTCGAGAAGGCGAGAACACCAAAAAACACACAGCACGTATATGCGAAGACACGCCTTCTTCGACCGGGGCAAAAAAACAAGAAGAGTACGAATGTACTTACCAAATCGTAAAGGCCAAAAACAAGCTCCCGGGTCCTCCATTCAGCAGACCGCGTCCGATCTGGACGTACAGTGCCGTCCCGATCGTCCCACCAATGCCAATGAGCTGGATATGTCTAGGCTTCAATTTTCGATGGGTACTATCATATCCGACCTACGTAAATATTCATCAGCCTACACAATCTTCCTCGTACTGCCCAGCGTTTCTTCGACAGGTCGGAGGATACATACCTTGATGCTATCCGCATATGTTGGCGCGTCCGCGAGCCCGTAGTTGGCCTTCAGCGACGCAACGACCGATTGCTTCCTGTTAGTAGACGAAGAATGCGAGCCTCGTCGGATATTCTCCTCATCGTCAGACGAATGAGTGCGGACGCCGCGAGCGATGGGCGTTTCGTCCATCATATGTGGGGGCCTGCCTCCTTCGACCACACCTTTCTCATCGTAGCCGTAGTCGTGCGCCGAAGTAGACATTTGTGGGGGGGCTATCCAGGACAAAACGGATGGACAAATTGATTAGGGAGAAAAAGCAGAGAAAGGACCCTACACCAACATGACGGCGTCGCGTGTATATAGTCGAATGTTAGCAGGCGATCAACCTCAGGAAGATCTCGAAGCAAATGCCACACAGGCTGTGCGACAGGCTTTGCCGCAGTGGCACATTTGGCACGGCACAGACACATTCGCCATTTGCTTCTGTAGCATCCTGCCGTGGGCTATACAGTACCAAGACGCCGGAGAAGTCTGGGCATTGGCTTATCTCGAAAGAGATTTTGTAGCCTGATTGAGTGCCATGAGCTTGTGGCTCCGATGGAGGGGAGTGGAAGGAAGATGAGTGGTAGGAAGGATTGCTGGGCTGACGATGAGTAACCCACAACTTCTTGGCCTCTCCATTGATGGAGCTGATGGAGTGAAAAAAACCTTGCAGCCGGGGTGCTTGGGCGAGCTTCCAAGCTTTTCTCATGCCACGACAGCCCTGGTTCATTATCCATTATCATCAGCTCCAGCCTCCAAGTCTTGGTCGATCATACCCTGCTATCTAGCGAGCGCGGGAAGAGCCCGTGAGAGCTCGCCGTTTCTTGCCCGCTGCTGTTCGCTATCTGTGTGCTTGGTGATTGTGCAAACCCCCTGCTCCGGATTCGCTACCTTGTATACGGTATCTCGATCCAACCCCTGCGACGACGATACTGTGCTACACATCTGCACTAACTGAACACCGTCAAGAGTTCCATATCGCTGCACTCCACGTTGCTTGGGAATCCCAGACAGGGGCAAAATCTTACCAGCTGTTCTGATACGGGGGTCATGCGAGGCCATTCTCTGGTTTCCTTGTAGCTCCTTTTTAGCCTCGACGAGATCACGGCTGCTTTGGAACGGCGCTTGACGGGCCATTGCCTCTCCCTCGTGCTTTTGTAGCTCCAAGTCAAGGTCATGCTGGCCTCGTTGAGTCTATCAGTACTTTGGCTATTGCCGACCAGCTTGGTGGCCCGGGAGATCGTATTTCCTCCTGTAGCACCACTTCAGGCTAACGAGCATGGCCAATATCGATCCTCGGTCAATAATGAGAGACAGGCCTTCTTCGAGTTCGAGAAGTTCGCTGGTCTGACTACCTTCTCCAATCTTCCTTGGGTCCATTGCTTGTCACCGGACACGGATGTAGAAAAGTACGATATTGCATTTCTAGGAGCTCCCTTCGATACAGCTACCACCGGAAGACCAGGGACCCGTTTTGGGCCGACAGGTATCAGATTGTAAGTCACGACGGCTTTTGATCTGCTTTGATCTCGGCTCCTGGAAGCTCACTTCGCGTCTTTGCTGGTATTCTGACCTATAACAGGGGTTCCCGAAGAATTGGAGCTCCTATGGCATGGAGTCCGTACACGCACAACAACACATTTCTCGAATGGGCTCGGATGGTAGACTGCGGGGACGCTCCTCTGACATTTCTCGACAATACTGTGGCTCTGAAACAGCTCGAGACAGCGCACAAGGTCATATCAAGCCGTCCAGCAAATGCGACCGAGGTCTCCACGGTCCCTCGAGTCATCACACTTGGTGGTGACCATACCACGACGTTAGCAGCTTTGCGGTCGACAGTGTCACATTGGGGCCCCGTCAGCGTGATCCATTTCGATAGTCACATTGATACCTGGGATCCCAAAGTCCTTGGGGGAGGTCTTTCGCACTATGCTGGAGTGAACCACGGGACTTTCCTTCACATTGCGCATGAAGAAGGTCTCATCCTCAACTCTTCTGCTCACGCTGGGATTCGTGCGCCTGCCGTCAACAAAAAGTATGACTGGCGGAATGACAAACGCTGTGGGTTCGAAATCATCACTGCCCGGGACATTGACAAGCTTGGAGTGGCTGGCATAATTGAAAGACTCAAAGCGAGGGTAGGTGATACCAATGTCTATATTTCAGTCGACATCGATGTTCTGGATCCCGCCTTTGCGCCCGCTACAGGGACCGCCGAAGTCGGTGGGTGGACGACTCGTGAGCTTCTGAGCATTCTGGACGGTCTTGACGGTCTAAGGCTCATTGGGGCTGACGTGGTTGAGGTTGCTCCTATCTACGACAATCCTGGAGAGACCACCGTCCTTGCTGCCGCCGAAGTGGCTCATTCTCTCTTGGGCCTGATGGTCGAGACTCCAGTGAAGCCACTGACAAAGGAGTAAAAGCATCACACTTGCCTGTACATAGATGTAAATATACCTCTTTCATCGATAGGATTGTTCCTATGTCCACGTGCGGCTCAGGGCCCGAAACGCCAGTGGCAGCTAGACGGCGCTCATTTGTGCCGTGCTCGCCTATTCATGGATTCAATGTTGCAACTGTGCTGCGGGGTACGGAGTAGAGATATGGCGAGATGCCTGATCGAGGTAAAGCACATAGAGAAGTGTAGCGACTGGTCGACTGGGATCAACCTGGGAAAGGCTCGATATGGATGATGGGTGTATGATGGTGTGCATGTGTAATCAACGACTGCATGAAGGGGGAGTTCCCGGTCGAGGTTTCGCAATCCAGACCCATCTAGGTGCCCATCACCGCCGCTGAGCCACCTACGAGTTGGCAGCCAGTGGCAGCCCATGAGCCAGCCCATCAGCTGTATCGCCAACCTGCTACAGTAGTACCAGCCGAGCCACCATTATCCACCCTTTGCACATTGCCCCGCGAACCAATACGAACCAAGACAAGACAGTGCACCCCTCCCTCATCCTCCATCTGCAAAGGTCACTCGAGCACTTTTCGCCTGTTGTGTTCTAGCTCAACTCTCGACTGCGTGTACTCGGACCGTCTCTTGACTGATTTCGCTCTCGTATCTTCCATCATTTTGCAGTGACCGATACCGATCGACTTGTTTGATTCCACGCCGGCAGCATGACCGATCCAACCTCACCCAGTCCTTATTCGGAGAACAAACGATTCGAACCCAAAGTCAAAGTCGAACTAAATCCGCCGAAGGAGACTCTCATCACACTAGAAGAGCTGAGCAAATGCGACGGTAGGCACAGAGTCGCACCGGCGTTGCGCGTGCGCACAAGAACCTATTACTGAAGCTGCGATTGTGTGACAGGGACGAATCCGGATAAACCAACGTATGTTGCGATAAAGGGAACTGTCTTCGACGTGTCGAAGAATTCTGCATATGGAGAGAAGGGTCAATATCATGGTGCGCAGGCCTCTCTTTCTGTTGCAGCCTCATTCTCAATCCAATGTCTCTGGCTTACCAAATGTCCTCGCGCAGTATTCGCCGGAAAGGATCCCTCTCGTGCGCTTGCCCTGTCGAGCCTGAAGCCTGAAGACTGCGTCCCGGATTGGGATGATCTCGACGACAAATACAAGACTGTGTTGGACGAGTGGTACACGTTCTTTAGCAAGCGATATAATATTGTTGGCAAGGTCAGTGATTCCAAGCTACCTCTACACAGACTCTGAGCCTGTCGTGGTCAAGAGGAGGAGTGTAAAAGAACGGCATATGCAAAGACTGGCAATCACAACGGCAAGAAACGAGGATAGGCCTCCTAGAAAGCAGGTGCTGACTATTTCTTTCTACAGGTCGAGGGAGCTCAAAATGCTGGCATGGACGAAGGGAGGCGTTTCACTTCAGATGCTTCATGAATTCTCCATTCAACCACAAAATGCATGTCGGTCAGGATGATATATACCCCCAGTGACTCCAACAAATTGCGGACCATCTGGGATCCCTTCATCAGCTTTTACGTGTCTTTCTGGCTTGTCGCTTCTTTGCAATGATGCGATTGCGCTTGGCCACGCGGTTCTTCTCCTCGGAATCCGGTGTCTTCGAAGTTTCGGGTTTCGCTTTGTCATCTCCATCACTGTGCTTCCGCTTCTTGCCTTGGGATGTCTTCGCTCTGTCATCCTGGGCATTGCTTTTGGGTTTCTTTTCATATGTCTTGTCACCCCTTTTCTCTCTGGCCCTTCGTTCCTGTTCGTTGCGGCGCTGAATGACCTGAGCATTTTCGATTGCAAACTCGACGATGAGTCTCTTTCCCCGCTCGCCGCCCGAGGCCTTCACCATATGCCCGTTGAGCCATCGCAGCCCTGCCAAAGCATTTCGATGACTGAAGTATTCAATGAATCCATAGCCACGGCTTCGGCCTGCACCTTCCTGGACCTTGCTTCCTTTTGTATCTTCGAACACGATCTTCGCTTGTTTGACAATGCCTTTCCCCGCGAGCTTGCGCTGCTTTTCAGCTTCCCTCTCCTCATCACCACCTCGACGCAACTCTTCCTTGCTCAGCGGTTGTCGAAGGCCAGCCTTCGCATCTTGGGCAAAGCCTACCACTGCCTCACGAGCCAGAGCTTTGAGCGCTTTGCTGTCAATACTTCGAGGAAGGTTTCTGACACTCAACCGGGTGAGGCTGAGACACAGGTTCGGATTATTCTTGATGATACGTTGTCGTTGACGAGCACTGCTCTCGCGGATGTCAATCTCCGGCTTGCCCAGCTGCTCGTACAGTTGCGAACCCCTTGGAATTGATCCCTCTGATAGGAGGTACAAACGTCGCTTGTCTCGGTCACGGATGTCCCTTTTCTCGCTTGCTTCATTCGCTCTTCGCTCGGCATCTCCTTTACTCAGCGCCCGCGAAACTTGAAGCACGCGACCTTCAAGCGTATACCGACCTGATGGATCAGTCGCCTCGTTTTGAAGAATCGAGTGCTTCAATGGCTCTCCCTTGCGCTTCTTGTCGTTGTCTGCGCTGCCCGCTAGAGCGTCATGCTTAGGGGCGTCTTTGACGCAAGCCTTGGCATCGTCTACCTCGTAAAAGCAGACAAATGCTGTGCCTCTCGAACGTTCCGTTTCGGGATCATAGACCACTCGCGCATACCGAACCGGGCCAAAGGTAGTGAAATGTTCCCGTAGACTCTCATCGTCCGCTGTAAAGGGCAAATTTCTGATAAAGACCGTACTGTCGTTTTTGGAGTCATGCTGTTCTTCATCTTGACTCTCTTCGTCCATCTCCAAATCTTCCTCGGTGGCGACGTCTTCGGCGTCGAGGTCATCAACATCGTCAAATTCTTGTGCTTCGGACTCCATTAGAGATGTCGTGTCAGCTTGAATGTCCTCAATGCCTTCAGCCTCTGCGGCAGACTCGGGCGTTGGCTCCGCATCGCCTGCTGGTGTAGTCTCTTCTTCGGCTAGTAATCCTGCGGCATCAGAAGCTGCATGTTGTTGCTGTTCCCAAGTGTCTTTGTCCACGGCCCAATCGACTGCGAGTGTACGGCCATCCACCTCTTTACCATTGACTCCGGCAATGGCTTTCTCTGCGTTCTTTTTGCCACGGAGCACGACGATCCCAAATCCATACTGCACCCTGGGACCTTTATGTGGGACGACTGCGTGTTTGACCTTGCCATAGCTTCTGAACAGCAAGGCTAGATCGTCTCCTGTCTTGATACTCCATGGCAGATTCCTCACAATCAGCCTTGGCTGCTGAACTTCTGCTCGCGTCTGCTCGCGCTGTGCTCGCAGTTGTACACCAGTGAGGTTTTTACCACTCTTCAGTCCACCTTCGGTCTCTCTTTGCCGGGATTGTGCAAGTTCCACCTTTATTTTCCTCCCGTCCAACGTCGAGTTGTTGAATTGCTCGACTGCAGCATGCGCATCTTCAGCATCGGCGAATGTCACGAACCCAAAACCCTTGGAGATTTTCGTCTGGGGATCGAGGACGACAGTGGCGTGTTTCAAAGGAAACGACTGGGAGAAGTGCTCTGTTAGACGTTCGGTTGTTACAGACGCTGGGAGCGATCGGACGAAGAGAGAGCGTCGCTGGTCTTTAGGGGGGGCTTCTCCCTCAACGGCAGGCTGGTCAGTGGCGATAGGCACGGCATCGTAGCTGCCGTCGGACAGCTTTCTTCTCTTGCTGCCGGACGCCATGAGATTCTCGTTGCGGTGTGTCCGAAATGCAAGGGAAAAATTGAAACTGAGACTTTTGTCTTGCGGACAAAAATTTCTCCAACTTCAAAGTCGCTTTCTCCGAATTTCATTCATTCCTTGGCAACCATAGATAAGTAAAAACTGCTCCGAGCTCACGTGCGACTCACCCAGACCGTGCCGCTTTTGAAACCACTCACCCTCCCTCTCTCACTTTCGCACTCACCCTGCTAGAAGACTAGCCCCAATAGGTGAAATGAGTGGACAGGGCAAGCTTATATAAGACTCTTACATAGCTTCTTGAGGGAGGTTGGGACAATGTATAACAATTACTCACTTAAAGAGAGCGGGGAAGTCCTGGGGTTCCGAGTGTTCTGAGTGCGCTGTCCTGGGACACGTCGATATCTAGGATCGCCCATCCAGGCCGACTGCCGACCCCAGGACATTTTCGGTCCTAGGAGATGCGTCCTTCTAGCGTGGCCCATGACCACTGTCCTACGGTAGTGTCACTCCTATAATTGAAGACGGCCTAGCCGAGGGTGTGTCTTAAGACACTAGGTGCCGAGGACTGTATTTCCGGTACATTTAGGAGCTCAGTTACCCGGAAACCCCCAGGAATGGTGCCCTAACCAACCGATCTTCATGTGACGTTTGGTTGAACTGATCAGGTATTTTTGACAGTGCACGAGTGGATTGATTATGGTTCTATCTGTGTTCTGCTCTGGTCTGTTTGAGCTCTCCGGGAAACGGAGAGCTTCTCTTATCTATCTACAAATGGGTGGGAACGAGTGTCAGCCTGTATCAGGCGAGCAGCTTCCAGAACCTGCTTTGAGGTCTGTTGCTTGGACTTAAAATAGCGACAAGAGAAGGTATCCTGTCTTACACATTTATTCTAAGTAGGAGCTGTTCGTACCCAGGAATCAAACGTTACGACCTGGTACTCCGGCGAGTGTCAGACCACGGAAGACTCATAAAAGTGCTTTCCTCAAGCACTAATAATAAATGGTGCCATCAAGGCAATGGTGCAGTGATGCACCACCCGCGCCGTTGTTTCCCTGTACCGTTTCCTTCCTTATTTAGTCATCAAGTAGCCCTTGACAGACTTCGTGTAATCTTAGTAGGGGTGAAGAAGAAACTTGTCATTCGAACTGTCGAGGGCACTACCGTGGATTATATATTCGTAGCCTTACGATGACGTGGAGAACCGCTCGGCGTATCTCCTCCGCAGCCAAAATTGTAACGTTTAAGTCTTGGCAGGATTCTTAACTAAACCATGCCCAGAAGGGTAGTCTAATGAGAAATTTAGTTAAACATCTTAATTAAGACCTTTACCTAAAGGTCTTAACTGAAGTACATCTCCATTCCTCCACTACAGTAAACAGGAACTTTCAGATTTAACTAGGTTACTATTTTCTTTAGTCTTCTGAAACTGCTTCTAGACTATTATCTGGTTATTACCTTCAAAATTATGGAAGAAATCACCTCTCGAAATGTAGGACATTTGGTAGGATTTCCATATAAATTTGTGCCAAGACTTCAACGTACAATTTGGCTGCGGAGGAGATAGAATGACATTGCCTGAAAGACTGCCTTCCCCTCGGTGGACCTTCTATTATATGTCTGCCTGTTTCCGCGGCCGCATGAAGGTCGGTTCGTAACATCACAGCCTTTTGCATGCGGCTTCTGGAAACCGACGCTCATCGCCCTTTGAGACTAAGTGAAGTTGGCAGTTCAAGTCGAACACCTTATCATCTAGTCGTGATCTCCCTTGACTGAATCTGTAGTTTGCTCTGTTCGGCCTACGGCATTATCCAGTAGTTCTAACCGTGATCAACATCGGTTCCCGTCAAAATGGCATCGCAGTACGCTGAAAGCGTGCGACAATTTGCCAAGAATGTTCCCGGAGATATGTGTAACGTCCTCGATTTGCTCTCCAGGAAAGAACGCTACGAAACCAGAGTCTTCTATACAAACTCGAATACGGCAGGGCATGGAGATGTCTGTCGATTGACGGCAACAAAACTCATCAACAGGGTACGGGATGACCAGAAGCAAGGCCTTAGAGCCGTTTGCGTTATCGAGAACATTTCACCGGCATTCATAGAAGAGCTTGGGACGACATGGCGGGTCCATCCGCTGTTCTTTGCCAATCATGCTATGAATCCCGCCAAAGACCGCCTTTGGGATCGTGTAGAGTGGAAGCATGGCGATAAGATAGAGCACTCACTGGATGAATACCAACATTTGAATGGGATATTCGAGTACTACGACACGAAGATATCGATCCCTGATTTAACAAACCTGTCCAAGAACTATTGCTCTCGGTATATCTTCAAAGATGATCCCTGGCCAGTCAATTCCAACATAAGGATCTCATATTGCCGGCCGCTACCTGAGTTGTGTACGTACTATTGCCACGTTGATCAAGGCGGTTTTTGGCTCATGAGTTCTTAGATCTGTTTCTTGTCGACCCTCCTATTGATGGCCACCGCGCATTCCACGTAGGAAACGATGTGCAAGCCCAAATTATACTAAGATTCCCATATTCCACAAACCGCGGCGGGCTATTGTTGCCATCACTAAGGGCCAAAAGGATGTGCGTTCCAATGGACGCGCTTAAGAATGCCTTTGATCACCAATGGCAAATCGATCTCTTGTTCTCTGAACCTGGCCTGTTTCCTAGGATTCCCTTGCTTTACATGCTGTCCAGCTCTTTATGGGAGACGAATCTTAGGGGTCTTCATGCCGACATTCAAGACATCAGTTTCAACCGGATACGGAAGCCGAATCTGAAAATCAGTGACGATTTGCACGATCTTCGAAGAGAGCTCTCCACGATGATGGATACTATGACGGAGACGCAGCGTTTCGCGCCGGACCCAGTCGCCATTTTCTTCAACGAGTTGCGGGAGCAAAATCGAACCCTAAAAGGCAACCTTAATATGAGACTGACGCCGATTGAAATCCACGACCAGCTACTAGGAAGAGCAGGTCAACTTCACATCTTCTTCATGGAAACACTTCAATTACTCATGAATACGATTGCTATTCGAGATAGTCAGGAGAATTTGAAGCAAACGCGACAAAGCGTACTTCTGACGAGGCTGGCAGCGATTTACCTTCCACTCTCCTTGACCACAGCAGTTTTCGGGATGAATCTGAGTGAGATGACTGGTTCGGGACCGGCGGTCTGGGTCTTCGTGGTTACGCTTGTCATAATGATCCTAGTGACAGCCGCAATACTGCGGTCTGAAGGGTTCTACAACCGGTTCAGTGAACTGTTCCATCAACCAGCCTCAAAGCCATCGGAACAGCGCTAGCTGTAACGTGAAGCATGAGACACAGAACAGAATCGTTTCTGCAGACAGGCTATTCAATGAAAGCCTTGTCTCAACCGGGACTTTCACGAGCGATCTTCCCTTTGTGAGAAGCCTGTACCCTGTTTGTGAGGGCGCTTTGGCGATACCGTTAAAGCGACTCGGATACCGCTGTGTAGATTGTCACTACGTGCCAAACCTTCCATGGACCCAATCTTGCAGCTAACATGAAGTAGGCTAAGCGACGCTGCTTGAAAAAGTCCGCGTTTTGATTAAATATGATCAGAGCGTTCGAGGCCGCCTTGACGGTTAAACACAGAGAGCTGATTGTAGGCCGGCATCGTTTGTCTCCATCAAGGTAAGCCAGGTCGGTTATGTCACCATCCACGCCGAGGTGCTAGGCCCCTTCGAACCCCGTGACGGCTGAGATACAAGTGATCGCTCACCCCGGCTTGAGCGAGCACAGGGCGGCATTACCCTTGGCCCGATCCAATGTGAGGCGCCATCTGATTTTACTCATCTTGGCAAGTCTTCATCCGTACCTAAGTCACTGTGGTCACTCATAGTATCAGGCATGAGGTCTGTGTGGAGGTGGTACCTTGGTCGATCACGGCAGCATGAGTTGACGTGTCTTGCCGCTATGCCAGTCTAGAGCAATCTACTGGGGCCAATTACTCGTACTTGCCGACACTCATGAGATCGAGCTCAACAGATCCACAGGTCCAAGTCCGATTGCTACGTATCCATCCTTCATCTTCTCGCTATACCACCATCATGGTCCCTGAATCACTTGTTCTTTACGCGAACTGTCGATCGCTGTGAGTTCGAAACGCGCGCACCGGGGAGCGAGAAAAGCTTCCAGACTATGACCGGCCACTACAATATTGTAAGCTTTGCTGTACACAAGGCATCCAGTGTGCATGCGGCACATCACGAAGTGACTTGACTTACTAACGTGGCCATTGATAGTGCTGGAGGGATGTGGGCGAGGAACATGACCGTCTCCTGCCAGTCCCTCCCGTCCGTCAGGATGTGGGCAGCTTCGGCTGCTATTGAGAGTGTCTGTCGTGTTCCCCACCACGCATTGAGTGCTTCGAAAGTCAATGGGATCCAACAAGCTGTAGCACCCCAGTAGACCAATCGGGTCTGCCACTTGCCAAGGCTTTGGGCTAGAGTGTCGACGTCCTTTGGAAGGCCCGCCGGCTTGGACTGAAGGACAAGACCTGCGCAGAGAACGAACATCCCTTCCATGACGAATTGGGTGTGTGCTGTGAGGGCAAGCCGCGGAAATGGTGCGATTGGGATGAGGAAGCCGTACAAAAGTCCAGTCCCGATCATGCTGGCCCCATTTTTGAGCAAGGACAGCGAGAGAGTATCTGACAAAGGCATATCGAACAGGGTTTGATGCTGGGACTTGTTACTGGAGAGACCTGACTGCTGTTATTATTTCTGTCTCGTACTGATCGACTTTTGACTAAATACGAAGGAAGCTCTCGGAATGCGACATGCCTAGTTGAGACGGCTTTATATCAATGAAGGCCACCCTCGGCCCTTCAATGAGTCTGTGCATTCGTGGTGCCACACGCGGGTTGATTTTGTGGAGTTGGCTATTGCGCGCCGAGCGTGGACTGGACCTGTCTATCCCCAGGAAGGAAAGTGTTGCTTGTACCTCCGTGCTGTCAATTGGAATGGTTCAAGGGTTAATAAGAAAGCCACCTCCAAGCAACAGTCGAAAACCAATCTTCTCCTGCCCACTGAGGTACACTGCCAAGTGCTCTCCAGCACTTAGCACTCTGGGTAAAGGTGCCAACGACACTAGCTGGTCGAGCTTCTCCAGCTGTGTAATGCCGAGATGCCAACTCGCCAGTTCTCCAGGTGGATACTTCAGCGTTGTAGCTCGGCGGCAGCGCGCTGGATGAACGATGCATCATTCGGCGTACACCTACACTTTCACCTCGCGACATGTCGCCAACGCAAACGATTCTTTCTGCACTGCCAGACCGTGGATTTCATCAATATAGCGGTGGCACTTCCTGCCTCAATTTCGCGCCAACGAAGTCACCAAGTCTGATCTGTCATCGGCATAACTTGGCCCAAGCTGAGCTGGTGCTATCGGGACCAGGGGCCGGCCTTGCTCTTGGAACGACATGAACCTGACTGCGCCAGGTGGCCTCGACCGTTTGCGAAGACAAAGGAACATTGCCAATATAACGAGTAGGACGGCTCCAAAACTTGCGCCCACCACAGCAGCGGTTATTTGGCCAACCTGGTGTCCCAACTCGCTCGTATCTTGGATCCGTTGAGCAGCAGCCATAGTCATTGTGCTGGGACCAGAATATGTCGTGGTCACCCAATCCGGTGCGGTAATCTGGGCAGGGGTGCTGATGCTCATTTGAACGGAGAACAGCTCAAACATGTCAGTGCCGCAGGCATAACTGTTGCCGTAGGGGAAACTGTATGTGTTGCACCATGTCGAAAAGGCTGACCAGTCCGTGCTTGTATGTTGTCAGCATAATTGTTGAACAACTACGATACTTGTCAGGTATGTTGATGGCCCTACCATTTCAGAATCATTTCGTTCGACTGACACGCCTCGTCACAGTTACCGTCAAAGTCATCACCATCGATACATGCTATAAGGTAATTGCATGAATCCAGGACGACTTTCCTTGATGATGTGGTGTGGTAGCTCGCACAGCATCCAACCACGTCCAATATTGACTGATAGCCGCAATACCCTCCGTTGGCGCAGGTGACAGGACTTGCTGCTCTAGCATCAGCAGGACCTCTGGAAAGCTACTACACGAGCAGACAGACACTTATTTCCATTTACATAACCACAAACTGAAGTCAAACTGCTCTGCTCGATTATCAGGCGTTTGTGTGGATGATATTTCGATGGTTGTGCAGTGGGCATCGGTGCAAGATCTCTCTGTATATTTCGCGGAAAGTCAATGGGCGTTTGGATAGGCACCCAACGCGCTGCCAGTGCCATTTCGGTTGTTGAGCAAAAGGAGTCCAGATCTCGGCCTGGCGAGAAAAGGACAGAGAGGGAAATACCCCGTGGATTGCTCGTCAATTCACTAATACCGCGATCCGTCGTTCATTATGACGGCGACGCGGGCAGGTCAGCATAAACACCATCTCGGGCACCTGGGTCAGGGTGCAGAGTCACAACTTTGAGGCTGAGGAGAAGGTCAACGCCTCTCCCAGCCCCAACGTGTCCCAGGCACCCAACAGGAAGTTTGCATTCAACCCTATGGAAGAGGTTGTCTGCTTCCTTGAACCGGGTAGACCTCCGTTGCTGACAGAAAGCGCGTTTGTGACCGTCGTTGCTACGATCCTTGGGTATACCTCGATCAAAGCCTCCCAACCATCTAGCTGACGCACATGTAGCATAATCGTCTTCCTGGCTGATACTTGGCTTCACATCACAACTTCGACAGTTTCTTTTGTCGAAATCAGCCCGATCACAGGGGCAGCAAACTACAGCCTCTTGCTCACGCCAGGCTGCTTGACATCGAACAATTCTCACGCCGCGGATGCTGAATTATGCAACCTAGGCTGGTCAGGGTCGGCGACATTCTTGGCCGATAGTGTCAAGTCTTTGCAGGTTCTTAACAAGGTCTCTGACACCATCGCCGTGTACAACAACGGTCCGGACCCGATATACCCCTACCTTGGAATCCCGATGTCAGGCGATATAGCAAGCCGTGACTATACTGCCACAACATTTGGCCTGAGGACCGAATGTAAGCCCTCGTCCAGGCAGTGCAATTTGAACGGCTTCAGTGGCGCATCGACGCCCTTTCATTGCACCAATGCATTCTACGGCGACCTTAAAACGACCGCCGACGGCTGGATATCCACTTACTTCTCCGACGCGGCAATGTCGTCCAACGAGACGTTCTATGGCGTTCAAAACCCCTATTATTACGCCATCGGCGCGCTCTTTGGCACCGTGCAGCCGGCGAGTCTGGAGCATGAAACGCAAATTGTAACGCCCATGCATGGGGGCATCGCGTTCATACTATCCTGCGCCATCGCCACGTACGACATCGAGTACGACTCGATCAACGGCACTGTGACGCGCTTTGTGGCCACTCTGAGCAATGCATCCGTGGCGAACGTCTGGCAATTACCCATGGCAGAGGCCCATGTTGCGCAGTCGAATCTACAGACCGCAGCATTGATCGCTGCGACCACTGCCACTAACGCGCAGGATCTCGCCGACCAGTACGCCCTCGCATACAGCAAGGCTGCGCTGGGTGTGGGGGCGCAGTCGGTTCAACTGGCTCCTGCGCTTGCGGTGCAACAACGGTCCTCGTTCCTCGTGACGAGGCTGCTGACGGCGCCGTTGTTCTGCTTGATCGCGGCTAATCTGGCGTTTGTGCTTCTGGGCACCGCACTGACGTATGTAGCAGTGTCGACGTCTGGAGGTGAGGTGCGGGACATTCAAGCACGGCTTAGCATTGTAGGACTGGTAGCGGACCGCTTCGAGGGGGACAAGGCCTCGTCGTCAGCGGTGGGGGTAGACCAGCTATTCGAGGAGCACCAGGGAAGTTCGAGTTCGGTGGTGGCGATCGAGCGCACCATGGCTGGCGGATATGCGTTTAGAACATGGTCAAAGATCGGCGATGAGATATAGACCATGATGGCCGCCTGTGGTTTGGTACTCAGATAAGGTACCTCGTAGGAACAGGACACTGGGCACAACGAGGACGACTAGAAGAAATCGAATCACGTGATTGACAATACTTGTAAATTTGTACCATCATGCACTTTTCGTCTCCGAACTCGAAAGCCTCTCGCTGGATCGATAAGTTCATCGTTCACTGTCCACACGGACCAAGCACCCGAGATTTACCATGATCACCTGTCTCGACGGAATGTCAAATTAGGATGAGTGGCTCTCGGTATCATACCTCGACGTCGTTCTCCCTTGGGACATCGGTGGTCACAGGCGTCCCAGCCTACCTTGTCACCCTTCTCCTGTAGTTAGACACCAGGATGGCCGAAGAATTCGACGACGCCGACTTCCTTGCTGCAGAGGCGGCTGTTCAGCGATCGGCGGCAGTACCTCCACGCACGGCGAGTCCTGCCACGAACAATGCATCAAAGGTGGTTCAACCGAAGCCGCAGGCAATGCCCAGCAGGCAAGGTCCCTCCGCGATTCTAGTCTCGACTCGACAGAAGGGTAACCCAATCCTGAATCATGTCAAGTCACTCCCTTGGGAGTACTCTGATATCCCTTGTGACTATGTTCTTGGTGCTACGACATGTGCATTGTTCCTGTCTCTGAAATACCATCGACTTCACCCAGAATACATTTACAGTCGCATCCGACAACTAGGCAAGCTGTACAACCTTCGCATCCTGCTGACCATGGTAGATATCACAAATCATGAGGAGGCGTTGAAAGAGTTGTCCAAGACATCTATGATCAACAACCTCACCTTAATCCTCTGCTGGTCGTCTCAAGAAGCCGGCCGCTATCTCGAACTCTTCAAATCCTACGAGCATGCCTCTCCCGCGTCCATTCGAGCACATCAAGCCGAAACCTACCAAGAAAGTCTGACGGAATTTGTCACGACTCCTCGAAACATCAACAAGACGGATGCTGCAAGTCTCATCTCAAATTTCGGTTCTCTTCGAGCAGCAGTCAATGCACACCCAGAAGAGCTGGCATTGGTACCAGGATGGGGAGAAAAGAAAGTCAAAGCATGGACTACAACAGTACGAGAGCCTTTCCGAGTCAAGAGAGCGGCAAAATCAAATGCAGTTCTACTGAGACAAGAGAGCACGATGTATTCAGAGGGCGACAGCACGCCGGCCTCGAGGTCAGAGAGTGTCCCAGCACCTATACCGATAAGCACCGTACCAAGTCTCAGCAGACAAGGCACGGTAGCTGGGCAACCTGTCAAAGCATCGGAGATTTCCAGAGGCCAGAAGCGGCCACGACTGGAGGAGCTTCAGATTGACGACGGTATCAACGAAGATGAGGCAGCCCTGCTTGCGATGGCCGAAGCAGACATCGATCTTGCCGATGCAGAGAAGCCGAAAGCTGCTCAAGCAGTTGCAAGGAAGGAACCCGAATTGAGTGAAGGTGTCATGGCCGCTTTGGCCAAACTACGGCAAAGCGGCTGAAAGAGAAATTGATGGAGGTAACGACTTCTATTATTACCATCCGACCCAGGCATCACGCTTAGTCGCTTTATCAGCATCCGTTATATTGCATCGGGGCACCCCAATTTACGACCTTCGGTCTGCGAAGAGGACCGGAATTTTCACAATATCAACTGAAGGTCGATCATTGGCGTTGTGCTGGACAGAAACGCACCAAAATCCCTCAGAACATGCCCCAAGATCGTCACAAGGACACTTTCCCGGAGCACCCACTCCTATTGGCGAAGCTCGCCTATCGCTTCCAGAAGCTTGACAAGGCGTGTTGCTAAATCTGGAGACAGCTCAAACTTTCGTGGCTCCCCACATCATCTTCACCCACAGCGTACCCCAGTGATATCCAACCCTTTTTAGGCTCCTGGAGTGAACTGAGAATGATGTTTACTGATGATATATCCTCCTTTCTTCTCGCGAGTCTGGATCGAATAGACGCACGTCTGTCTAGTCCTCTTCAGCCTAAACTTTACGGATCACAAATACTGCTCGTACGATGTCCTTTAGTGCGACAGGCCGTCTCGACCCGTCAACAAACCCCGAGTCCAAGGCAATGGACTCCCTTGCCAGCGGAGAGTCTTTCGGCATGGGACCGGCGAACCATTCACCGTTCAGATTCACCGACGACTCGATAATCTCTGTCCCAGTCATGAGACCGGAGGACGTCTCCCGTCAAGCTGTTTCAAATACACCTCCACCTTCGGACACGACGGATCATGGGAGGGAGAAAGCGCAAGGCAAGAAATTCTCTCTTTTTCCCCGCAGACATTCAAAAGATAAGTCGGGCGAGAACTTCACCATGCGCCAGATCCCTCGCCGCGAGTATCTGGCGCGATATGCGAAGGACGAGGAGGGCAGGTATATTGGCACCCAAGACCCGGCCGAAGACTGTATCCTTCATGGCGAAGATCTGGTCAGGTTCCGTGGCAAGCGGCAGGCGGACTTTCGCACCGAAATTCATGAAACCGAGGGCGCTGGGGGTGAGACGCCGGATGCTGACGATGGTGGGAAAAAGAATAAAAGAGGACTGCTTCGAGGACTGAGAGGGGCTGATGCCGGAGATGAGGTTATTCGCTGAGGCACCATAGTTCAGCCATATTCAAGCCAACTAGCAGGTGCACTTTCTAGTTCTGGCCTTGTACGATTTCTTGTACCATGTTCGCCATATTTAATGCCTTCGCAGTACTACTAGTAGTATTTGACTGGCGAAGCAGAGGAGACGAAGCGTAGCCGCGAAAGAATCAGAGGCCAGAGCAGAATATTACACTAATCGTCGGGTGGGAAGGACAGCTTCACTCGGGTCCAACCTGGCAAAGCAAGAATGCAATTCCTCACAGACTCCAAAATTTACTCATTTCCCATCCAGAGTCTCATTAAAACGTGAACCACAATGATTTCTCGCTCGTATGCAATAGAATGCGAACCACAGCCTGATGATGCAGGCCTGCATACAAAAGACAACGCCAGATCAAACCAAGCCACAAAATTGTACAGTACGTTATCTCCCGCAAAGAGCCACTACTGGCAGCTGTTACACCTTGAATGTCTTATACCCCTCGACCAAGCCATCGCTCGCCTTCGTAATGGCCACCCACTCCGGCGCGTAGTGTATAGCCTCGTCGAACGCGGGAATGACTCCAACTTGATTCACATCGCTCCACAGACACATGACCGTCCCGGTCATCGTGCCATTGCCTTTGGCCATCTTCTCACTGTTGCCATCATAGTCCGAACCAGGACCAGCCCATGAAACCTCAACCGTCCATGCACGGTCCCAGGTTCGGGACCACAGGCGGATCTCATTGCTTCCGCCTTCGGGCACGGGAGGGAATCTCTTGTCCTTCGACGCCTGGCCTTGGACTTGAAACGCGTCAATTGGTGAGTCAAACGTGATTTTGCATGCCCGTGTATCTTTGCCGTAGACCACGAAACGGGCGGCGTTCTCGCTGTCACTGTCATTCAGCTTGGTGACATTGAAGTTCATCCAGCTCTCGTATTGCTTCTCTGGCGGTATTGTCGAGCTTGGATTCGCCACATTGGGAGGTATTCCAGTCCAGGTGCATCTTTCGAGGTTATTGTTCGGCCCATATGGCGTGCACTCGAGCTCCTTCCCTGCGGCACTTGGTAGGTCGGCGATGGCATCACGAACGAATGGAGGTGCGCCAGCCAGTGAGACTGAGTTGTTTCCTCTATCGAGGTCGACTTGCTGAACGAAGAAGAGCTTCAACCTATTATCCGCCGAGAATGGGAACGCCGTCAGGTTGTAAACCAAAGTGCCTATCAGCACCAGGAGGAGAAAGCTCGGTACGTGCCAGGTGAACCGATGTAGAAAGGGAACCATGGGAGAGAGAAGTAGTATAGTGACAACAGCAATCATGATGTAGACCAAGAACATCGAACTTCCATCCTGACCGGTTTGGTGGAGGCCCTCGGTGGTGAGTAAACCTAGCTGGCCGATGATGATGAGGTTGATGGGCACGACCACAAGCATTTGTAGCAGCCACATCGAAGTCCATTGAGTTTTGCTCCATTCTTGTTCTTCGGGCAGACCACTCTTTTCGTCCTTGATTTTGGCAGCGGGGCTGGCTTCAGTTTCTTCGGGATGATACCCTTTGAAGGTTGAACGTCCTCCGCTTCTCAATAGCCTGGATCTCTCTGTCGGCTCTTCTTCGTTATTTTCAGCGTGCTCGTCGCCCTCTTCTTGCCCGGTTGTAGAGGTGCCATATCTCGCCCTCGAGCTACTGCGGGAGGGCGTCGTGGAGGATTCCTCTCCTACCTTGCCGCGACAATACTTTGATTTCGTCGGCAGCGAAAAGAGTTCGAGGTAGGCTAACCATGTGCCTAGGAAGAGAGTACCTGCGTATATGAGGACAAAATACACGCCCACCAGATGCAGGTGCTCCTCGAAAACGGTGGCAACCACCAGGAGCACCCACCATGCTAGCCACATCCAAGACAGCCCGTACGCACGGGTCAAAGATGAAGGTCTTCCGAAATCCGCCATTCGACACAAGAACCATGCCACGAAGACAAAAGACGAGATCATCATGCTCCATACCGCCCACTCACTGCTATGGGCAATGTATTGATTCTCCTTCATGAGAAGATAGGCTAGGGCAATTGGAGCTGCACAGGCCACAAGCAGTATCAGGGGGAAGCGGAAGAACCCACGCCAGCCATATAGGGAGACTTTGTCGTCTCCGTCCGCCATATGATACTCTCTCGACCCGGAGAAGAGGTAGAATTTGTCGACACGGTAAAGTAGCACCAGCGTGAGAAGAAGGATGATAGGCCCTGCAACCAGCAGTGTTACGGAAAGGGCAAAGAACGTGTGGGCTTGCAAGACTGCAAAAGCTCGACCAAAGACGTCAAACCACAGAGCAGTACTCCCAGGTGTATGTCCTGGTTCAAGGTTTGTCGTCAATGAAGCAGACGTCAAGGCTTTCGTTGTAGCCACCGCCGCTGACAGCATATGCCAGAGAGAGGCTTTACCGGTATGACGAGAGTCATCTTGATCGGTATGGTATCGCGCTCGTGGTCCGATGAAAGCAACATCCAGTCCACGGTACCCGAGTTTCCCATTGAAGACCACATAATCTGTCTGACTGCGAACGAGGCCCCGGTTGAACCCGTCTGCGGAGGTAGAAGAACCGAATGGATACTTCGAGTGAGCATATGCTTTCGTCACAGCGTCGTCGGTACTTCGGAAAAGAGCAGCTCTCCCACCAGCCCCAGCACCTTCGAGATTGAGAAAGGTGCTGACCACCTTCGACATCGGGTGCTGTGCGAAAACGCTGGCTCCATTGAGAAAATCCTCTTCGCCGTTGTTCAAGAGAAGAACCACGCCATTCTTTGGTTTATTTCCCGGTGTGCTGAAATACTTCACCAGCTGAAGGACACAAACAACTCCAACACCATCATCTGTAGACCCAAAGCCTGTTGATACGCTGTCATAGTGAGCATTCACAAGTACAGCATTGCGGGCAGAAGGCTTTGCGTGTGAGTCTAGCCACCACTCTGCTGGATCGTCTTCAGTGCCCCGGATGTAGACTATAAGGTTCGTACCCTCAAAGTAGACGCTCACTCCAGCTGCACGCGGTATTCCACCTGATGAGTAAGTCAAGTTGGACGTATTGTCTTCGAAGATATAGGCGGCAGGAGAGCTTGCCGAGGAGTACGAGGAGGCAGCAGCGTTCGCTTTCAGAATGGACTCGATTCGAGACAGAAGCCAGTCGTGGACCTGATCGTTGTGGTGGGTGTTATAGGGATGGCGGGCGGAGGTGAGGAGCTGCAAATCGTTCCATGCTTCCGTCAGGTTTACGCCGTGTACTGGGGTAGGAGAATGAGGAGGAGATGGGACGCCAGTATGAATAACAATCAGAGCGACGGCGATTGCGAGGTAGACTATGGTGGTAAGGATAGTCACGGGCCAGCGAGTGAAACCGATAGGATTGGAGAGCCTAGCCATGGCGTACGACAAAGAGCGGTTTCAAGACATGAGGGAGCGTGAGAAATACTCCTTGCACTGGGATCAAGAAGGATGAGGATGGAGATGAAGATGGAGATGCAATTGTCTGAAGGATTCGAGGCTGCGATTCCAAAATGTTGGTTTCTTGAAATCATGGTGGACATGAGTTCCCCGCAATAGAAGGTAGTGATTGATGAACAGAAGAAGCTGCACATCATCTCGCATTGACGAACGCGTCGCCCAGCCACTCATGATCCAGGCGCTACTTTAGGCACCAATGGGCATCCCAGGTCGCGTTTAGGCTAGGTGACCCCCCATGACGCCCCTAGAAGAATAGGCTATCTCTGGATCATCTCGTAACAACGTAATTCTTGAAATCTCGCGTCTTGACGCCACGCTCAAACATGATATCCACTTCTTGATAGGTCCTTCCTTTCCTGTAACCCACCCAGTCAGTAAGCGTTAAGAAGGGGCAACAACCAAAAGAACACTCACAGTTCAGGAACTCGGAAATAAGCCCATGTCAAGCAGAGAACAGCAAGTCCACCAAAGAAGAACCCGAGTTTGCCTCGCATATTGGCCTGGTCCGCATTAATCATGTATGGAATGGCGACGGTCATCACAATTCCAGCCATGGCTTGTGCCGCAGTCGCCAACGCAATGGTCTTGCTGCGTACTCTCGTGGCCGAAACTTCACACAGAAGCACAAAGCATACAGGACCAATCGAAATATCGTAAATGAAATTCCAGATGACCATAAGAACAGATTCGGCCCAGGCAATCGACGGCCTGTTGTCATAGTTGGGCGCACAGTCGAGGATGCCAATGATGAACTGAAGGAGAGCCAGCAATGCGAGGCCATAATTGTAGATTTTGCGCCGGCCGAAGTGAATCAGTAGGATCCAAGAACAGCAAGTCCCCACAAAGCCTACGGCCAGGAAGCCAACGCCCATGTTGAAGGCTTGATCGGTGGGGAGTCCAGCGACTGATTCCGTCAGCATCTATGACGGAGACGATCACCAGAGAACACTTACGCGTGAAAAAATAGGTGGCATATCCCACCAGGTAAATGCCGGAAAGAACCTGGATTGTGTAGACTCCGACCGCGATTTCAGTTCTCCGTCTGTTGATCTTCTTGAAACAATCGAGGTACGTCGAGCCGGTTTCGATCTCCCTTTCTAGTCTGTCGGTTTCGATTATAATGGCCAACGTAGGCTTCACATCGACCGTAGGAGAAGCAAGTCGCCTAAGCGCCCGTTCAGCATCTTCGAATCGGCCCTGTCGCTGCAGCCACCATGGGCTGTAACTCTCCAGTAAGCAAGGACACGTGCATAGAGGAGTGAACGCACCTCTCCGGGGCGAATGGTAGTCCAATCAGTATCACCAACGGCCACACCTTACCAAGCGTCAGAGAAAAAGGAAGACTGCCTCGATATATCAGTGACTCACCCATTGCACCGCAAAGGGTGCACTGTATGCCCAGTGCGTGTCAAGCTTCTGAGTACCAGCAATGACTCCATTGGCAATGAGTTGGCCCGTGACAAAGCCTAGAGAATATTAGCAAAGCTTCTGGAAGGACATGGCGTGGTAAGTCGAACATATGTTCGTGCAAGACGTGAGTACGCCTCGAAGAGCAAGTGGACACACTTCTGATGCATAGGCTGGCGCAATGACCGCGTACGAGCCTAGCACTAATCCGCCGAGAAGTTCTCCCGCAATCAAGACCGGAAGTGATCTTGCAAAGAATTGAATAAAGATGAAGCCAGTAGTCAGGACGACACAGGCTCCAAAGGTCTTCTTCCGGCCGAACCACTCCATTGGATAGCCGGCACAAAAGGCGCCCACTACCTGGCCAATGGGTGATCCCATTGACAAGCCTGTCTGCCACGGCGCCGATATGATCCAGTTGCCGTCATAAAGGTACCCAAAATCCCGCTGAAATTTGGGAGTCGCATAGAGCTGTCAAAGTATAAGCCAGGCCGCCGAGATACGTGTTGGAAGATACCATACCTGACCCAACAGCTGAGGGTCGAAAGCGCACCTGTAGATCAAATGTCAGATTCTTGTCGACTCTAGCATATCCATTTGACTTTACATAATCACCCCTAGCGAGAAGAACAACGACCAGAAGACGGCCGATGGATAAAGCTTTGCAGCTTGCCAGAATCCGCGGCCATGCTCTTCGTCGGTAGCAATGCGAGCCTCAGCCTGTATATCGTCGATGGAAGCAGTTGCAATCAGGCCAGCAGGGTCTTTGGTGTTCTCAATGTCTTTATCCGTACCTGGAGATGCCATAGTGAGCTTTTGTGGACTCGAGTCTGTAGGAATGGGAACGTAGGACGTGCAATGTGGTTTCGGGGAGAAAGATAGGCTGATATAGGAATCTGGCGCTTCGGCATTATCAAAGCTGATCCGCAAAGGCGATGGCCTCTATCAGTTCAAATCTCGGACTTGACCCCTCTTGGTGATAGCGAGGTGCAACAACCCTGCAGGATGGTGTAGGGTCTGATGCTTCGGTTATGCTTTGATATGTCCAGATATTGGTTTGAATTGCTGGTCACCAGCCGGGGTTTCGCTTAGAATGAACCTACCAGTGTCATTGCGTCGCGTGCTATTCGACCGAAGGAGCGGTGCTTGCTCATCTAACCCTCCTAGGCCAGCCATTCCTCAGAATAGTTGCTCCCCCTTGGTCTAGCCCACCCAGTCGGGAGCACGCAGGACAAGCTGGCTTCTGTGCATTAGCGGCCTTGGGCGATAAGAATGCCAGCACGAGGGATCGCCATCCACCAGCAGAGGAGAAGAAGATCGGCCCGCATTCAGTGAAGCGGGGATGTGCGACGATTACGGATAAATGGGCTCGATGGTCACCGTTACATCGAAGGAGGAGAAAGTTGGAGAGAGCATTTTGAAGCCAGATAGAAGTTGCAAGGTTGATATGCGTTGGTCATCTGACACGGCACTGTGGTCACTTTGCTACTGGTAAGCGACCCGGCGAGTATTGTCACAGTTGGTTGATATACAGTCGAGCACTTGACATCGAAGTGTAGCTTGTATGACGAGGCTTTTGCGGCTAATACGCCACCGTACTATGTACGGAGAAGCACAAGGTCTTGAGAGACAATCGCAATGGGGCCGACATCCCGCGTCCACCTCTTCGTATCATACCAGGTACCTTTGAATAAAATCAGCAATGACATACTCATGTTATCGCAACGACCTTGAGAGTCTTCACCTCGTGATTGTCTTGATATGCACCCTCGAAAGAAACTCCGGCGTGCAGTACATAGCTGTCTCGAATGTCGGTATCCTCCCTCACTGTTACGAATCGCACCTCAATTCTTGCTGACCTTCTAGCAGGTCGGCGGCGGAAGATTCGCTGTGATTTGACTACAATCAGTCCAATACTTGTTCCAACTGCGCAACACGCAACATCTCCTGCGAGAAAGTAGCAAATGAATCGACCGAATCGGACGTGCACGCTCTGCAAGCGAGGCTGCAGAGGGTAGAGGGTATTCTGGATAATTTGAGGAATCAAGAAATTACGGGTGTCCAGCCTGGTGCTTTTACAGCCTTTCGGTCCAGAACCTGGTCTGGGCAGCACGCCGATAGATCCTAATGACAAACCACCGCTTATTTCCCTCTTCGACAATGCCATCGTAGGCTATCACAACCCAATCTGAAGGTGCATTCTGACTTGACTAGTTTGGGAATCAAGACCGGTCCCCTTCAACACATGGCGCTGAAGCCACGATGTCTGTCCCAACCGCTGACGGCTCTGGATATGAGCGAAATAGTAAGCTACGCCTCACTTTGCTCAGTCTTTTACCCTCTCAACATGACGCCGACTTAATCGCTACCTCCACGAATGCGTGGGGTCTCAGGCATGTGCTGGATGCTGCAAGTCATCGCCTCTTTGAGAGCGAGAAGGACCAGGCCGCTTTGGACCTCGCATCTGTTTCGGAAGGCACACCTGTTGACATTGCACGAAGTCTGCTATATTTAGCAGTATGCCTGCAACAGCTTCCACCTGAGTTTGATTGCAGCAAGTTGCAGATCACGGGTACGATTGATGATGCTCTACGCAAGTACCTCACAACCGTGGGGGATCTTGTCACTTGCAAGGACGACTTGGCATGCTCGACGGAGGGGCTAGAATGCTTGCTCCTCCAAGCGCTGTTCTACATCAACAACAGCAATCTTCGTCGGGCATGGCTGGCCGGACGTCGAGCTGTTAACATCGCGCAGTTTCTTGGATTCCACAGACGCTACTTAAGTTTCGTACGGGGACGCAACAAAGCCGAAGAAAAGGAGGCCGAGAAGCAAAAGGCCTTGATGTGGATGAAGGTAATTATGGTTGATCGATACCTTGCGCTTCTCTTGGGACTTCCGTGCAGTGTTGGGGATGATTGTTTCGGTGAATGGAGAGATGTCCAGGAGCCTATTGAAGACATTGGCGACGTCTTGGGGCGGAGACTATGCCTTCTCGCTGGTCTCATTACAACGCGCAACCAAAAGGAGCTGCCCCAGAGCTATACCTCGACTCTAGAGATTGACGAACAGCTCGAACAGCTCGCAAAGGAGTCACCTGAGAGCTGGTTCTCCATCCCACCATTGTCGCCTGGAGTACGCTCGACCGAAAATGCCGATGCCATTGATCTGGTCGCAAATCAAATGTGGTATTTCCAACTCATCCAAATGCTGCACCTTCCATTCATGCTCCGGTCTTTCCAAGAGTAGAGATATGAGTATAGCAGGACTAGCTGTCTGACTGCATCAAAGGAGATACTTCTACGATATCTCGCTATTCGCACCACTGATAACACTCAACTCCATGCCAGGGTGGTAGATTTTACCACTGTGGTCGCCTCAGTCATTCTCATCCTGAACTTGGTCGGATGTGCTCGGAATGGCGAGCTCCCACATGCTGAGCGAACGCAGAAAGATAGTGATTTGAGGCTGGTGAGTCAAGTCCTCGAGTCGATGCGACTTGTGGCTCGTGGCAGAAGAGAACTCATGGCTCGTCAAGGAGTCCAGGTTATGGAAGCACTACTTGCAATTGACACTACCAGTATCAGCGTGGAAAACCCAATAAGGCTGACCGTACCCTTCATTGGCTCAGTTACCGTCTTCAGAAACAGGCCTTCTGAGGTCGCTCTCCAGAAACCATCAAATCACGGCAATGATTTCGATGTGCCTGACCACGCAAATCCGACGCCCCCTGGTTTTGCGGAACACTTTTATACCTTGCATGAATTGTACTTCGAGCAAACCACCACGTCCGAGCCAAGTTGGTTCCCTCCTCTTGAGGCTTGGGATTTTGACAGCTTCAACGATACAAGCGGTCGAGATTCGTGGAGTCTTTGGGACGTTACTGGCTGAAATCTTGACAGATAGGCATCGCTTGTCATCATCCAGGATGTTTTGGGTGGAGATTCCTCTCTCGGCCGAGGACTCCGAGCAACCTTGAAACTCTCCCACCAAACGTCTCTTATTGGAAGACAGCTCCACTAGATGTACAGTTGTCCAGCTTCGAGTGTCGGTGATCACTTCTGACTAGTTAGGTTATCTTCTGAGGAAGTCGCTCCACGCTGTCTTCTGATCCCCATTTGTATCATTCATCGTGAAGTCTTGCCATGACGGTTCGACCTAATAGTCATTCTTTTCGTCCTATTTGCCCAGGCTTGATCGGAATCCATGAGAGGGAGAATAGCCACTTTAAATTCTGATAGTCAGGCCGCCCTTTGAGATCAACGCCAAGGTCGCGGCTGTGGATTATCGTTTCACCGTGCCAACGGTGTCAGCCTCAGTCAGCCTCAGTATTACGGAGTACTACGGATGTAGTACCTAGTCATATGTCTAACCGAGGCCGTCGATCACCAACCGTACAATTCTTTTTGATCCTAAAGTTCAAGAAAAGCCAGCCGTCTTGAGACACGGAAGATCTCCAGCGCTGGAGAAAGCGTTTTCCTAAGTGGCAACGGAATGGCCGAAGCTATTCTATTCCCGTCACAGCCTATGTTCATGGTGGACCGGGGCTGGCAGCGCAGTCGGAAGAAGAAGACCAAGAACACGGTCCGCGTTGCTGAATCGGAAGTCCAAATAAATGGTGTCCCTGAAATCACGATCACACTGGCGAAGCCCAGGTCCTCTAAATCCAAAAGCCTGACCAGGACTGCCGAAGTCCAGCAGCGAAATGTCAAGGCACAGTCCATGGAGCATGAGCCTCCAACATCGAAGCAGAAGCATGTAAGCAGGACCGCGAAGCAGGTAACGGCTAGGACCAAGACGCAAAGATTAGGCCAGACATCAACAACATTGGCGAACGCAGTCCCGACATCGGATCTTCGGCGTCCATCCGTGCTGAGCATCGGTATGACTGGTAGTTCATCATCGCTGTATACGGTCATAGATCCTGAGGTCAGTGATTTCCAGAGATTTATCAATTACTGTAAGCCCACAAATCATCTCATCACGCAAATCTCATCAAGGCTGACGGTGAGGCACAGATCCGACCCGCCTAGCTTCTGCCTTGTTGCCCGTTAGTAAACATGTCCGATTCAACTCAAACCCGATTCAGGACGTATGGTTCCCAGCAGCCATGAACGACGAGGTCCTACTTCACGTCATTCTGTTCTGCTCGGCTTTACATCAATCTTGCATGTTGGACTGTTCTGACTTTAGCGACTCAAAAGTCCTTCTCAAAGTCATCCTCGACCGACTCAACCGCCGCATGCAAGCTCGCAGATATTCCGACGAAACGATAGGCGCCATCTCATGTCTGGCGCTCTGCGAAAACCAGTTGGGCAATCACGCCAAGTGGGCCATGCATACTACAGGCATGTCTGAAATGATCCAAAGCAGAGGAGGAATTGCCGCCATCCCCGAGGAAATGCAGTTGAAGCTTTACCGAGCAGATATCATCGGGGCCGTGGATACGCTATCATCTCCGCGCTTGCCGCGCCCGATCAGGACGTCAAAGTCTCTCTACCGCGCCATTAACGTCGACATACCGCCAACTGTGTCCCTGATCAGCGAGCTGGCTGATGCCGATTTAACACCCAATCTGTTCGACATCTTCATCGACTTGTCCTACTTCTGCCAAGCTCTGAACGTCGCAGCCAAAACTCAGATCGCCGTTGACTCCAGGACATACGAAGAGGATGTGTTCTGCATACAGTACGACCTGATCACCTCTGTTAGAGCTAGCCAGAGAGGCATCGAGTGCGCTTGCCGACTTGCGGCACTGGTGTTCATGCAGAGCATCATGAAGGAAATACCCTTCATCAAGACATCCTCCGGTATTATATCGAGAGAACTCCAGCGTTCACTATGGTGCCTGGAGGTAGAGCGCGAACCTGGCAGCTTGATTTTCTGGACCCTGGTCATGGGTGCTTTGGTCTCGTCTAGGACAAACGAGAAGGAATGGTACCGAGACAAGCTAAGAGCAATGGCAAGCTGGCCTGGCAATTTGGTCAATTGGCAGAACGCGAAAGCCAAACTGCAAGAGATAGTATGGATCGAAAGTCTCCAGGATCCTTTCGGACAGCAGCTCTGGCATGAAGTCTTTGGATGCTCCTAAGAGCTCAGCAATCGAGCGATCTCTGGGACAAAGTTCGCCACTATCACGCAGGTAAGATTGAGGAAGGATGTGAAAGCACCATTACATTTAGCTGCAAGCTATGTCTTTGAGTGGCCGGATCCATCGTGAAAATCAGGACTGCATTCCGACAGTTTGTGCCGTCCCTCAGTGCAGATGCACACTACAATTTCGGCACCAGGTGGTCGTATTCCGTCCCATCGAGGAACATATTGACGTGTGCCGCATACAGCTCCGGGTACTGCCACAAAAATCCATGTCCAGCACGAGGGTATATGACCAACTGCGCATGAGCAATCTGTGTCATCAACTCCCAGCTGCGGCTCGATGGGATCAGCGTGTCGTTGTCACCATTAGCCACGAGGACCGGCATCTTGAGCTCTTTGAGCCTGTCGAATGACCCACTGGGCGTCGCCCTGAAAGACTCTATAGCGGCGGCCATCTGCCTCTTCGCCCCTCCATCGCGTTCTAGAAGGTCCAGAACAAGGGCTTCAGCCGTGCGTTCCTGGACTCGGGCCCAGTACTTGTCGAATGCCGCACGGCCCTGGTCGTCGTCGTAAAAGAACGAAAATGCCAAAGCCTTGCGCCCTTCTTCCGTGGTGACGGCTTCGGACAGTGCCTTTACCGGTTCGGGTGCAGCATTCTCGCGAGGCCAGACGACTCCGGCGATGTGTTCTGCAGAGGGAGTCGAGGCGCTTGTTCCGCTGAGGATCAATCTGCGGACGAGGTGCGGTGCTGTTAGCGCGACGTACTGCGCGGCATAGCCGCCCATCGAGAAGCCCATGAAATCGACTTGTTTGAGACCGAGGGCCTCCATGAACGCGATCGCCTGGTCGGCCCAGCCTTGGAAGGTCTCGGGGACGTCGCCGGTGCTGCGGCCCACGCCGGCGTTGTCGAAGAGGATGACTTCGCGAGACTTGGCGAGGGCGTTGACGAACAATGGGTCCCAGAGGTCCATGTTGGCTCGGTAGTGGATATGCATTACCAGTGGGGTACCGATCGACCAGCCGATGCGGCGGTAGGCGAAGCGGACGCCATTCGCGGCCTTCACGTATTGAGTGGTTGCTGTCTGAGCCGTGGCCATTGTCAAGGTGTGTTGGTCAAGGGTGACTTCTTCGAGCTTGAGTCAAGGAGCTGAAGTGGATTCTGGGAATTGACTTTCTCCCAAGGGCAGATCAATGTTCTTATATGTGTGTTCCATTTGGAATCATTCCCTGCCCACCATATGGCAGATGTCCCTCAACTTTCGAACTTGCAAATACGTACGGAGTGTCTTTCCCGAGATTGACAACGAACCGGTGGACTGTTTGAAAAGGAAATAAATGCACCTTTACAGAGTCAGGAACATCCATTTGGACACCAGCCGGTTGACGGCGATGGCGTCTTGAGCCAAAAAACCCAACCCCCCAAAAAGGAAATATTCGCACCAGAAAGGAAGTGCTTTCTGCTGCTTTATGCTCCGCTGTAGATGCTGCGCCGGCGGTCAAATGCTCGCCCATATCATGCTAGTCAACTACAAATACTTGTCTAGCTGCCACAACTTCGCCAGCTTGTCACTTAGGGACTGCTCCAGCTCCAGGGCAAGTACAAAGAGGCCGAGGAGGCATACCGAAGAGCGCTTGCAGGATATGCCTTGACCCTTGGGCCATATCATCGGGACACACTGACGAGTCTGAGCAACACAAGTGGAGAGGAAAGACTGGGAGAAAGAGCTTACGCAATCATAAGAGACCTAACCGCACATACTGTTCGTTTCTCTGTCACAGTAATTGGTATGCTCAGAGCCCCACGGAAGCGGCAGAGCAGGCAGAGCTTTCGATCCCCTGGAAATTGGAAGCCGGTCTTCCAAGCGAGAGGAGCAAGCTTCCGCTATCTCGGTGCCTTAGTGGTCAACAATTGTTGCTGTTGCGAGTGTACTTCCACTCCATCCCCGGACCCTCCCCCAACCCCCGCGTGAGCCCCATGTAGATCCAACCCAAATCCGCTGGGCGCAGGTACGAAGGTCAAAGCCAGACCTTGATGCGGTTAGTTCGCTCATCTTTGCTGTCTTCGATGTCGTCGTCATTGGTTCACATCATTGTCGTACAACAGTGATGGTGTGCGCGGCATCCTGATCTCCTCGCCTGGATTTGTCAGTACCAGTACCCTCTGACACCAAGATGCTCTCGAAAGAAGCAGGTCCGGAGAGCATGTCCAGGCTCGTGGGTCCTAAGCGAAGTCTGCGTGGGGCTGGCAGTCTCTATTATCCTTAAAGAGGGCAGATTCTACTGCTACCGGGACATGGTCTTTGCTGTGCAGAAACCTGACCTGGTTTATCACTCGTCAATCTGAAATCGAGCAACAAGCAGTATAATGTCGGTCAAAGAGGCATCTTACGAAGTCGAGAACGCAGGGCATACTCATCATGGACCGAAACATCTCGTCCACTCTCATGCTCATGAAGAAGATGTGCCAGGCACTGTCAACCTTCGAGCTATGGGTATGCTGGTCTGCGCTCCTGAGTATGCACCGTAGCTGATGTTTGTCCTAGAGGGAGATGATACATACCTAGGGCAGGCACTCTATCCTGTGCCTGCAGAAGACCCAAACGACCCTCTTCAAGTATACTACTCCTGTGTCCCGGACTGAGGAGAGCTCCATGCTAACGTGGCGCGTACAGTGGGCTAACTACAAGAAGACTATGATATTGATCATTTGTTCAATCTATAGCTTCTTGGGAAACGCTTCGTTGACTGGCCCTGCCGTATACATTGGAATATTTTCTGAGGAGTTCAACATCACTCCCACAACCGCGTCAGGGCTCATCTCATGGCCCAATCTTGCTTACGGCTTTGGCTCCTGGGTCCTGGTCCCTATGTACTTGAAGTTTGGTCGACGACCTGTGATGCTAGGTTCTATGCTCATTGTAAGCAGCAGGTGTACATTGAAATTTCCGTATCATTGACGGCTTTTGCAGTTCATTGCCGGGCTCGCCGGAGCATCTCGAGCAACCACTTATCACGGTCTGATGGCTGCACGCGTATTTCATGCTTTCGGCTCCGGAGTCTGTGAAGCAATACCAGTCCAATTGGTCAACGACATCTTCTTCTTGCATGAACGTGGCAAGCGCATCGGTTACTACACCAGTGAGTCTCTCCTGCCAAGCACACTGCCAGTATCTGTACTAATGAGCACAAGTCTGTCTCTGTTTAGGTGCTACCGGACCGCTCTATGCAGGCTACATGCTTGCGGGTGGCTATTCATGGCGTCTGTACTTCTATGTGGTTGTCGCCTTCGCAAGTGCGCTTTTCATTCTGGCCTTCTTCTTCGTCGAAGAGACCTTGTACAAGCGCGTGCCACCACCAGATGTTCCAATTGGTGAGGAGGTGCATAATAAAGATGCAGTCACAGTCCGTCAGCGCGCAATTCCTGAGCGTCTCTCGTTCCTACAGACACTGAAGCCATGGAGCCGGTACGATCCGGATGCGGAATTTTTCATGACTATGCTTCGTCCTTTCTCCTACTTCTTGGTCCCCGTGGTTTTCTGGGTCATTACTACCTACGGTATGTTCTCGCCCCGACGTCGACACCAGTGAGTGATGTTGATACTGACCTATACCAGGTTTATATATCGGTATCGGGGCGCTTGCTTTCAACTACACGTTCCCGATCAAGATTGTTGCACCACCGTACAATTGGAAACAGGTACTTATACTTCTGCCACAGCCATTTGAAAAAAAAAGAAGGCTAACTCCATTCCCACCAGACCAACTCGGGCTTGATCGCATGCGCAACGTTCATCGCCTTCGCCTTCGCGGCGCCGCTGACCTTCACCTCCGACCGCTTCGCAGCATACCTTACCCGTAGAAACAACGGCATAAGAGAAGCCGAGATGCGTCTCTGGGTTCTCCTTGTGCCCCTCCTGATCGGTCCAGCAGGCCTCGTCGTCTACGGCTGCACTGCCCAGTGGAACCTGCACTGGGTTGGCTACTTCTTCGGCGTTGGTCTGTCGGGCTGGTGCAGCTACTTCTTCTTCACCTTCACGCTAGCATATGCCGTCGACTCATACTACGCCAATACCAGCGAAATGCTAATTGCGATGAACTTTGGAAAGCAGGCGATTTCTACCGGCATGGGCTCGTATGTGCTGAATTGGGTACTGAAAGATGGCTATGCTGTGGTCATTGGTGGAATCTTCGGCAGTGTTATTCTTCTGAATAATCTGGCACTTTTTATCTTCTTGTTCTGGGGGAAGAGGATACGACGGTATACTGCGACATCTTGGTTGGGAAAATTGCACAAGAGGACCCAAAAGGACGTTATGACCCACTAAGGGAGTCAGGAAGTATGCTGCTTCAGCTGAAGAGTATGATGAAGGTTGGGAGAAGATGTGGATGAGAAAGCACGGTTGTCAGTCGAAGGTAATTCAGTGGGACAAGCAAGGGCTTAGGGGATAAACATGGCAAGCTTACATAGTACTGTACATGGGCTCAAGTTTGCGAAGTAGTCAATGTTTTGGTCGCCCACCATCCAAGTACTGTAATTTTGTCCCCATCATGGCCCTCGCCAGCATTGATACTGTAGTATTACTAGAAACCCCGGCAAAAGCAAAGCTTCAACAGCCGAAAAAAGCTTGCCCACTCTTATTCTAGACCTGGCACCACACCACCCAAGGCCATGGCAAGGGTCATGAGATCGTCTAAGAAGTAAGTACGAAAGTCGTCCAAGCCCACGAGACGCGGGCTAACGTGCCGTCTTAGCCAGCGAACATCGTCAAGACGTTCCTCGAGATCGAGCTTCGAACGACTTTGTGGAGGCCTTCCAATCCTGGCCGCCCCGCAATGCCACATGTCTGGGGCTCCCACCATACCATACCTGGCAATGAGGAGTTCTCCAGGCTAGTAGGCTTTCGATCGAAGCCCACATTACTTACCTCTCCGTACGGAGTACCTCTCCAGGTTTTTTTCTTGTGATGACCACAAGGGAAAGCACTTGACGTACCAAGTAGTACCCGGCTTTTGATTACGAACTTGAAGCGCGACCTATACTCACGGGACGTCCCAGCTCGCAATGACAGACAGTTATGCTGCCAACGGGCAGGGCCTCACCATCAACGGCTACGACGCGAGCCTGGACGTCTCCGATACCACCAACTACCTCACCAACGGCCACGATACAAACGGGGACACAAAGGAACGTGATAATGTGATAGTGGTAAGTCCCTACAGCCTCAAACCCCAGTACTAGTTAGTACTACAGTATGCTCAAGAACAATAACCAACACTTTCCGAAACCAAAAGGTCGGCGCCGGCCCCGTTGGCCTTCTGATTGCCCTCCGCCTCGCCAAAGCCGGCATCCCCACCACCATCCTTGAAATGCTTCCATACGTCGAACAGAGCCCGCGCGCAGCAGTCTACCACGCCATCTCCGTGCGCGAACTGGACCGCGCCGGCGTCTTGGAGGATTGTCGCGCAAACGGCAAATCCAGCTCCGACGTCTGCTGGCGGAAACTCAACGGTGAGGTCATCGCATCGATCGATCGAAAACCGTTGCCGGGCGAGAAGTACCAGGTCCTTGTGCTGGGACAGCATGAGCTTGCCGAGATCATTTTGAAGCACGTCAAGCAATGCAAGGAGAGTCAGGTGTTGTTCAACCACAAGGCTGTGGAGATCCAGCAGGATGAGAAGGGGGTGAGGGTGGCGGCTGAGACGCCTGATGGCATCAAGCAGTTCAGTGCGAGGTATCTTGTCGGTGCGGATGGCGGGAGGAGCGGTGTGAGGAGGCTGATTGATGTGCCGTTCGAGGGCTTCACGTGGCCTCAGTCGCTGGTCGCTTGCAACGTCGTCTATTCCTTTGACAAGTATGGGTATCAAAGCGGGAACTTTATTGTGGACAAGGACCATTGGTGTCTCATTGCGAGTCTGAATGAGCCGGGACTGTGGCGCGTGTCCTATGGCGAGCTGCCGGGTTTGACGCATGAACAACTGATGGAGAGGCAGCCGATGAAGTTTGAAGCCATCTTCCCAGGACCAAGGCCGTTGAAGTATGAGTTGAAGAACGCGAGTCCCTATCGGATCAATCAGAGGTGTGCAACGACAATGAAGAAGGGCAATGTGTTGTTGGCGGGGGATGCAGCGCACTTATGCAATCCCTTCGGAGGGTAAGACTATCTTTCCATCCTCCACGCCCTTGCAGGAAATACCAATACCAGTACTAACTTCGCACAGGCTCGGACTTACGGGAGGCATGCTCGATGCTGGAGCATGCGCTGATGCGCTGATAGCCACGCTGAAACAGGGTTACCCAGAGTCAGTGCTGGAGAGCTACGCCGAGAAGCGGAAGAAGGTCTGGCACGACATCATCAATCCAACCTCACAGGCGAATGTGAAGAGAATCTTTGAGAACGACCCGGATACAGTGGGACAGACTGACCCGTTCTTGAAGATGCTCAACGACCCGACCGTGGATAAATCGAAGCTGAGGGCCGGTGATGGACTTTATGTCGATGTGCTGGCGGATCATACGAGTATGAACTCGAAGGCAGACAAGCCGACTGTCGTCCCCCTGCCGGGGAACTGATCGAATGCACCACCCCATATAGTATCGATACCCACCATTATTTACTGGGTCAGAGAGCTAGAATCGAGACCGTTCCCTATCCGTGAGCTCAAAAATCGAGGAATTGCTAACTCTGCAGGTGTCCTTCACGCCACAGCCAAGCTCCCGCCAAAGATCCTCATGATCATCTCGACCACGTAGACTTGCCAGGACGTTCTCGGCTTCCTCGCATGATGTGTCACCGAGATGAGGATCAGGGCCCTTACTTGACATGTCACGGCAGCCTTGGACAGGGACAGGAGTCAGGGAGAGAGAGGAGCACCGGGTCATGTCTTCGATGGCTGTTGTCATAAGCCTCGCGTGACTGATTACCAGAAGTAGTACCCGCCGATCCTCAGGTGGAGTGAATGAGGATATGGCACTGTGTTGACACGTCGCCACGTTGGATGATCTAGGAAATGATGTGGTTTACCCCAAAGATAAATCCCCCTTGCCACATCCTTGCGGGTGGAGCATACAGAATGGCTTGTTTACCACCTTGGACCAATCATGATTACCGAGTGACTACGTCCTGTCCGGTTTCCACAGAAAAATTCATTGGCCTTCCTTGGGAGTTGTCAATATACTCGTACGAGTGAAGGGACAGCCCTGGACACTTCTCTTCCTTCTGCTCACATCAGCCCCTTCGGTTCCTGCTGCTGAGCACAGGTCTTGGGGATTTCAACATCTCCCTCCTACTAGTAGCTTGCGCCCTATGCGGCGGGAAGGCAATATCCTGCCCGCGCGCATCCTTACGACGCATTGCTTAAGAATATCATCAGCCTTTACACCGGCTCTTGCTTCAAGTATTATAAAATCCTCTTTGGGTTCCCTTCCCGGCAGACCTTTCCATCCTCGAAAGTATCATACGATGCCAGCTGCCACTGCTATACCCCAACATGTCCGGGCCTGTGCCGAAGCGCAGGATCCTCCGATAACTCAGAATCTAATGAAAGCGCCCAACGGCGATCTAAACAACACAGCGTCCATGCGCGCCGTGATGAAACCGCAGCGACAAGCTCAATATGCTTATCAATCACTTTCCATACCGCCATCCCTGGACGACCCGGCTATTCGTTCCAGATACCGGCCGTTTCTGCTGCCGGGCAGTATCAGCGAACAGGACTGGGTTGGCAGATTGGAACTTGCGACCGTGACGGAAATGGCGCACAACGATTTGAAACGCACAGGCGAGAGGATCAAGGTATTGGTTCTGTACGGGAGTCTACGTTCAAGGTGAGATCTATACCTGCAAGCCCAACACCGAAATTTGTGCGTGCCTAACCTCCGACACTCTTCCTTAGGTCCTACTCGAAACTTCTGGCGTTTGAAATCTCGCGCATTCTTTGGCGACTCGGTTGCGATGTGCGGGTTTATGACCCCAGAGGTCTGCCGGTCAAGGACGATGAGCAGCACAACCATCCAAAGGTTGTGGAACTTCGAGAGCTCAGCCGCTGGAGCGACGGGCATTTCTGGGTATCACCCGAACAACACGGCAATTTGACTGCTGTCTTTAAGAATCAAATCGATTGGATTCCCCTGAGTACGGGCTCGGTTCGGCCCACCCAGGGACGGACCTTGGGATTGGCAATGGTCTCGGGTGGTTCGCAATCGTTCAACACGGTGAATAGCCTCCGCGTGCTGGGGAGGTGGATGCGAATGTTCGCGATTCCGAATCAGTCCTCCATTCCAAGGGCGTACACGTTATTCACCGACGAGGATGCGGAGGAAGGCGGCTCGAGATTGATGCCTGGCGGAAATCGGGATCGACTGGTGGACTGCGCGGAGGAATTTGTCAAATATACAATCATCATGCGACCTCACTTCGCATTGTTCGGCGATCGTTTCAGCGAACGAGAACCGCTACCGAAAGATTAGAGTTGCCCAAGTTATACCTTGAGCTAGCTGATATGAGAGACGACCTACCATAGAATTGACTGTGTACATAGGCTTGATTAGACTATCATACCCAAATGGCATGATATCGTGAGAAAGTTGACTATTTTTCTTTTGTCCGGAACATGCAGTCTGTACCCTTTAGAGAACCAGCATTCTTGCGAGGTTGTTGTACTGATCAATCCTTCATCGTTAATCTTTCCAGTTCCACCGGCCGGCAATCCATTTCACCAGATACACCAAGGCAATCAAGACGGGTACTTCGATCAGCGGGCCGACCGTCGTCGCCAGAGCCTCATCGCTGTCGGCACCAAAGGTTGCCACGGCGACGGCAATGGCCAGCTCGAAGTTGTTGCTGGCCGCCGTGAAGCTTTGAGTGGTCGCCAACTTGTAGCCGAACCCCAGGCGCTTCGTGATGATGAGTGTGAGAAAGAAAATGATGACGAAATACACAATCAGGGGAGCAGCGACCCGGACGACCGAGACAATCTGATGGACGACCCGTTCTCCCTGCGATGCAAACAGGACCAAAATGGTGTAGAGAAGGCCCAAGAGCGACCACGGGGCGATGCATTTGAGAAATTTCTTCTCGTACCAGGAAGCGTTGATCGATCTGAGGATGAAGCGCGTGGCGATGGCGGCTCCGAGAGGTATGCCGAGGAAGACGCCGACGCTCCTAGCGACAATCGAGTAGGAAACCTGCGACGCGCCACCGTGGCTGATGACGTTGACGAAGAGGATGGCCAAGGGTGCATACAGGACCATCTGCAGGATGGAGTTGACCGCTACAAGAATGGCACAGTACTCCTCATCACCGCCAGCGAGGCCCGTCCAGATCAAGACCTGCAAGAGAGGGAGAACACAAGTCAGAAACCGTGGCAATGGGGTTGGATTCACGCCGCGAAGCACGAATGGGGAAAGCTCAAGCTTACCATAGCAATACAGCGCGCGAGGCCGACGAATATAAGTCCGACTCGAAGATCCGGTTCATCTGGCAGGAAGGCCCAAGCCAAACCCAGCTTATCGCACATTCAGTAAGCAAAGGCTCGAAAAACATAAGTGCCGGTACAGCGGAGAAAACGTACCATGAGAAGAGGTGCAATGATCCAATTGGCCACGATGCTGAAACCGAGTTGTATCCAGATTTGGCGATGAGCGAAAAGATGGTGTAGCGTTTCGTACTTGACTTTGCAGAGAATTGGGTACATCATCACCAATAGACCAACCGCTGCAGCGTGGGCCCTCTGATTAGCAACGGCGTTGAATCGTGAGATATATCAGTAGGTCGTGCTTACCGATCGGAACCGAGACGTCCACAAACTTGCCCTTCTGGAGAGCCGGGCCTATGTTGTCGACGAAGTTGCCCAGCAAGATGCCCCCAATGATGGCCAGCAAGATCCAGAGAACGAGTAACCGGTCCAGCCATCCTAGGCCTGCATAGACTGATTTCTTTGGTTGAGCCACTCCTCCAGTCTCATGTTTCTCGACGTCAACCAGATTGGGAGGTAGCTGCGAATAGTGCTGTGCCCTTGGGGGGACTTGTGAAGTGTTCTGGTAGAGCCCGTGGTCTCGTCCGTCTACGTCCTGTAGAGAACTCATGTTGGTCTGCAGGAAAGAGTCTGATATTTAATGCCTCTTGGGACGTGATGAAAGGTGATTGTGCCATCTTTTATACCACTCGACGCTGAGAAGCTTATGTACTTCGTTGTTGGCCGCCTCCGCCCAGTCAGAGTGACACCTAGGTGGTAGGTGTATGGGTGGGAAGAAAACGGAGAGTCATGGTGGTCTTGGTGGTCTTGGTAAGTAAACACCTCGAGCCAATCAAGAGACGAGAATGACTAAGTGTCAGAATCCGGCGAGAGAAACGAAAAGTTCGGTTTAGACACTCGTGGACTCCTTCATTATCACGAGCAGTAGTACTCCATACTTGCCGGCAGATCTGTCACTGTCAGCGCTCTTCTTCTGTCATCCTCATCCACACGTTCGCGAGCGTGACCCTTTGCGTCAGATAGCGTCATGGCCACCAGTACAGCCCCCGCCTGGCACAGTGCATACCCGCAGCCTCGGAATGAGACCCCCAATGCCATGACACGAAGAGCAGTGCTTGGCTGGCTTCAAGATGGTCAAAAGCCGGGAGTCGACTTCTTGCTGATCGACCTGCGCCGCACCGATCATGAAGTGAGCAACTTCTTAGCCCGTTTTTGCTTGCAAATGGAATGCTCACAACCTACTTTATGCTAGGGCGGAACAATCCGAGGGTCTTTGAATCTGCCAGCACAAAGCCTTTATCACAGCCTGCCAACCTTGTTGAGCCTGTGCCAAACAGCGGGCATTAAGAGCGTCATCTTCTACTGTGGTGAGAGCGCCAGTACTAGCATTGTCTCCGTGTAAGTAGCCATAGCTAACAGGATCTGTGTCGTCCCTAGGTTCGTCGCGAGGTCGTGGCACACGCGCAGCCGGATGGTTTCAGGACCTCTTGGACGATACAAAGACGGAAGGAATCCAGAGTGCAATCTTGCTCGACGGAGTCAAAGGCTGGGTCCGTGCTGGTGAAGAATATACCTCCCTCATGGATGGATACGATCCCAAACCCTGGTCAGAGGGGAAATAGACCGAAGCTCAATACTAGTATCACCGATCCGCTATCGGACGAGTTGGGATAGCGTATGCATGCAGTTTCAGAAGCCGTATGGGGGTGGTTCCTAACAGCCTTGCTGCAGCGGCCTTCTCAGTTCAAGGGTCGCTGATGAAGTCTAATAGTTCAAACAAGAGTTTACTTTCAACCTGACATCCCTCATCTCGGAGACCTGATCGCCGGAATCCAGGGTTGAGCCAAGCTGTGATAGATTCCGAGTCCAAACCGCGGTAGTTCAGGTTCGAAATCACAATGTAGGCTTGAACGCAGGCAGTTGTAGGCTGTCCGTCTGATGGAGGATAGTGGCTGCAGGACAACGACGACAATAGCGGTTCTGGAATCGATGGCCGAGGCATCATGGTGCCTAAACCGGGCGGAGATACGTCCGCGATCTCATCAATTGTTGAACAACTATGTGCCCCCGAGTCGTTCGGGGCATTGTCAATCGTGACTGCTTGCTGGTTGTCATTCAAGTCGTATTGTTGGTCGGCCTCGAGAACGGATCTAAGGCTCGTCGGCTGCGTGACAGGACAAGGTCTTCCGCTTTCGTGTGAATTGGGTTGACATTGTGCAAGCTTGCTTTTCAAGATGGCAAGCTCCGCTAGTGCTTGATCCAGGTGGCGCTCGCTGTCTTGTAGCTTTTGCTCCAGAAGGGCGATGTACTGCCGTCGCCGTTCCCGGTGACGACGCTGATTGTTCCGAACACGAATAAGCGTGTGAGGAGGTGTTTTGGTTGGCGGGGACGCAGTGTCACCACTGCTGCTGGCTTTGGAACTCATTGTTTGTCAATCTTGCCTCCTAATAATGCTGTGGGTAGATGATAGGAAAAAGCAATGGCAACATCTGACGATGCCGTGGGAAAAGTGGTAGCGATGCCCCGCCACTATCTGCCAAGTCTCGGTGACATATCAGTGCATATCGAAGTGCCTCCCTACTAAATGGGGGATGGCCAGGTGGATACAGACCCGTCCATGACTATTGTGGTAGGTCTCGTATTCTAGCTGACAAAATCAACCTCGTGAAGCCGCATGGCATGTCGCAGTCGGATATCACGTGGTCAACAGTGACATATCGATGCCTGAAACATAAAGGAGAGTCGAGATGGTACCCAAACCATGCTTGGACTCCTTCATCCAACTTGGAAACGCCGGGACACGTCTCTCTATCGACCACTCATTTTTCCCCTTTAGCTCCATATCATGGACAAGACAGCCATCTACAAACGAGTTCAGGAACATTATGGCTTGGCTGCCAAAAGTACCGACACAGCTTATAGCCAAACTGTAGCAAAAGCGTTTGGATATAGCGCAGAAGAGCTCGCCATGGCTCCCGGAGAAGCAAATCTTGGTCTCAGCTGTGGGAATCCCGTAGCCATCGCGAATCTCAGAGAGGTTGTTACCCTTCTCTGCTGTTCTGCCTGGTGGGACCTGTGCTGACCTTTTCACGAAGGGAGAAACCGTGGTAGACCTCGGGAGTGGCGCTGGTTTCGATGTATTCCTCGCTGCCAGGAAAGTCGGTGCCCAAGGGAAGGCTATTGGGATAGACATGAACAAGGTGCCCAACAGACGCTGACCTCTACTGACAGACTCTTGATGCTAACGAGTGCCCGGTATAGGATATGCTCGAGCGGGCAAACCAGAACAAGGCAAAAGCCAAGGCTGACAACGCATCGTTCATTGAGTCGAATATTACGAAAATTGCCCTTCCAGACGCCACAGCAGACTGCATCATCAGCAATTGTGTGGTGAATCTTGTGCCCGAGGGGGAGAAACAGCTCGTTTTCAACGAAATGTTTCGACTGCTGAAGCCCGGCGGCCGCTTGGCTATTAGTGACTTACTCGTCAAAAAGGATCTGTCGGAGGAGCTGAAAGCGAACATGGCCTTGTATGTTGGGTGCGTCGCTGGCGCAAGCAGAATGCATGACTATGAAACATACCTCCGAAGAGCTGGCTTTAGTGGTAAGCATACTCATCCCATTCTGTGCTTGTTGTCACCAATATAGACCCCGATGGATGGGTCGCGATCTATGCTGACCATAACATGGATGGGATAGATACTCTGATTGCAGACTCCCACGTCGATCTTAACGTCTATTTGCAAGCAAAAGAGGGGAGTTCAGGCGGCAGTTGTTGTGGTGAGAGCTCGGAAGGTGCTTGCTGCGAGAAGAGCCCGTCTTGCTGCAACAAGCGAGACACGGATCCCGGTGATGTCTTGGAGTTGTCTAAGCTGGATCTGAATGAACTGGCAGGTAAGTGACTAGATAGAGGAAAAATTGGAAGACACGGAACGCTTACTTTTGAGCAGGCTCTTTCAAAGTCTATGCCATCAAGGCATAAAGTCGCGGCGTACATTGGCCCAAGATAGACTCTAATCCATATTCCTCTTTTGGCGAGAGACACATCACCTTCGCAAGATACCCTCGCCCGAAAATCTTACTCAGAAAGCGGTTCCAGCACGAGCTCGAACTCCATCTCTCCACATTTGACCAAGTCCTGATCTTTGATCCCCGGGCCGCACGCCCCTGTGCCAAGTCCAGAAACCTCCGCATCTAGGCGTAAGTATATCGCATCTCCCTCCGTCAACTCCGGTCCATGGGCCGCCCGTTCGAGCTCAGCGGCGGAATACTTGGACACAGCGAAGTGGAACCTCTCCGGACTCCTCGAACCAGTCAACGTAGCTTTGAATCCTATGCCTCGCTCGTCTAGGATTTTCACCCACCTCAATTCCATACGATTTCCGTTTTCTTGAGGGACTTCGTACGGCGTGTGCAGCTCATCGATGGACGCGCGATGGATGCCGACCTTTTGTGCAGATTGTTTGTCATAGTACGACTCGCCCGGTCCTAAGCCGAACCAGACAGCGTGGTCGACTGTCTTTGGGAGTTGAAGGTCCCAGCCTGCTCGTGGCAAATTCCGGGGAGCGGATCCTTCAGGTTTAATATGCGCCATCATTAAGACTGTGCCGCTATTGCGGACGCAGTATGTGGTCTCGACGTAGAAGCCCCAGGCTAGGATCGGGGGACTGATGTATGTAACGGTCTTAACGTAGATGTCGCCACTGCTTGCATGTTCGACGTTGAAGCTACGCAGTTGCGTAGTCAGGTTATCCAAGCCCCAGCGCTTCCACTCCTTAGTCTGCCAGGCTAAATCGTTGTCAGTGGGAGGTCGCCAGAAGCCGAGATGGACCAGCGCTTGGGGAGACTCCGGAGTGTGGAGGAGTGGAGCACCTCTTGAGAGCCACGAATGGATCAACCCGTGAATCTTGTCGAAAGTGAGCGTGAAGTCGGCGCCGGAGATTGTGAGATATTGACGAGTGGTGGTAAAGTTCAACTTGGTTGTGTTCGCCCGCTGAAGAGTCCGAGACAGCAATAACGTCTGAGAATTTAGTTGATGCTGGAACCATGCAATTTCATGTCCGGCATCTGCCCAACTGCAACTGTTTTTCAGTGCGAAGCTGACAGTTAACCAGCATTCAGTGTTGGAGTAGGATTGATACGAGAGGACACCCTGGGGAAGTGGAATCATGCCTGTGGAACCCGGGTTGACGTCAGGGATTTGAAGGTCTCCAGAGAAAAGCTGTTCAGCGCTATTGATATTAGCATACAAGGAGGACTGCATCAATCGCAAACACTCACCTGTCATGGAAAGCCTCGACCTTGAAGTGCGCCGCACAACCGTCAAGGCCTCTAAAATTGTACCTGTTCTCGACCGTGATCATGTTGCTCTCTGCGTCGACCCATGCTCGAATTGGTGCAATGACTTTCTTGAGCTCTACCAATCCAGGGGTCGGTGTATGATTGCTGTAGCACAGTCCGTCCATGACGAAGGTGCCGTCATTGGGGATATCGCCGAAGTCGCCGCCATATGCATAGATCTGCTTTCCGCCGGCCTCCGTGGACGTCTTCAAGAGGCCATGATTTGCCCACTCCCAGATGAAGCCTCCTTGTAGTCGCTCATGATCACGGAAAGCAGCTTGATAATCTTCAAGAAGTCCTGGCCCGTTGCCCATGGCGTGGCCGTACTCGCACAGAATGATAGGCTTTTCATACGAGCCATTGGGCGCCACTCCTTCCTCCTTAGCCAGCGAAATCAGCTTGGATACAGAAGGATACATGTAGGAGAACATGTCCGCCGTGCTGGCCTTGCTGTCGCCTTCGTAATGAACCGGACGTGAAGTATCTACCTTTTTGGTGTATTCGTACATTGCTTTGTGATTGCGGCCGTAGAAAGCCTCGTTGCCAAGAGACCAGATGATGACACACGGGAAGTTCTTGTCCCTCTGTACCAGCTGTGCCATACGGTCGATGTAGGCACCTTCCCAATCTCTGCTGTCCGATGTGAAAGAAGCAGGATCACGCTGCCCAGCAGCAGCTTCGGAAAATCCATGGCATTCAAGGTCAGCTTCGTCTAGCACCCAAAGGCCAAGTTCATCGCAAAGACGGTAGAGCGCTGGTTGAGAAGGGTAGTGAGAACACCGAATAGCGTTGATGTTGTGACGTTTCATTAGCAATAAGTCCTGTCGGAGAAAATCCACAGGGACAGCTCGACCGAACTTTGGGTGATGCTCATGTCGGTTGACACCAGAGAGTAGCAGGGGGATCCCATTCACAGTCAGAAGGCCCTTCTTGATCTCCACCTTTCGAAAACCGACTCTATGGTGTATCTGCTGGATGCAATTTCCTTTCACGAACAGTTTGAGCTCGAGAAGGTAGAGCGCCGGTGTTTCTGCCGTCCACTTCAACGGGGCCTGGATAGAGTACTCGTTCTTCAGTTGAGATTCATAGCTAGCTAGAGCTATGCGGTCGGCGACGAGATTTGAGCTCTTGTCGGGAGTTTGGAGTGTAAGTCCGACTTCGCAATCTTCTTGGAGTGTTAATTCGAGGTTCACACTAATATTGGCGTCCTTATAAAGCTCATCAAAGTCGGTTTGGACGAAGAAGTCGTCAATGCGAGCCTTCTGGGGAAATGCCAGCAAGTAGACATCACGGTAAATGCCTGGACATCACGTCAATGATCACCCCGAAACAGAACTATATCGCTGGAACTCACCTGATAGCCACCATTGATCCTGGTCTTCAATATAAGAACCATCGGACCATTGATACACGCGCACCAAGAGTTCATTCTCCTCTGTCCGATTCAGCAACGAAGTCACATCGAATTCTGCAGGATTTCTGCTGCCTTGTGAGTAGCCGACCTCCGCGCCGTTCACGAAGAGATGAAATGCACTATCTACGCCTTCGAAACGCAGACGAAATTGGGATTCTGAGCTCCAGCTTTGCGGAATGGAGAATTTCCTGGTATAACTTCCGGTCGGGTTGTCGGTAGGCGCATACGGAGGACAAACCGGGAACGGGAATACGATATTGGTGTATTGAGGTCTGCCGTATCCTTGCAATTGCCAGTGGCCGGGGACGGTGACAGGCTGCCAGCTGGAGTCATCTTGTCCAGTGATGTCGTCCCAAGCAGGTGCAAGGCTTGGGGATGCGGCGTAATGAAAACGCCATGTTCCGTTTAAAGAGATAACTGTCTGTGGGATATGATATGATCTTGGTGGAAGTTTGTTTCTTTGGAAGACCTTCTCATTGGCAAAGTCAGGAGAGCCAACACCCGTGTGGGCGATCAGTGTCATGGTGGTCGAAATACTTAGGGAAAAGGACGAGATGTTACTGATGAGGCAAGATTTAAGTATTCTAGGGCAACAGAGACCCTCTTCATTGAAGCCTGGTTCTTAAAGGAGGTGCTTCCTGGGAGTCGTTGTCTGCTTGAGCGTTCTTACCGATGACAAGCACAGAGTCTAGGACCGGGACACAGGGATCTGGCATTTTCTGATGTATTAACCTCAACCAGAGATTGTGATTTTGATGATGAGAACTGTGGAACGAAGAAAGTAACACGTCCAAGGATGTCCCAAGTGAAAGAGGGGCACTGCTCCTTCTGCAGGAGAACCGGCAAGGCTGCGACAACATTGAAGAGCACGTGACGAGGCTGCAGAATTTCCAATGCCACTTTGTCCCCTCCATATGCTCCCCGCAAAATACCAGGTACCTGGGTACTTTCTGACTCACGGCGCTGCTCACCATACAGCCCGGAATGTTACAATAAGTGCTCTCACCATTCGATCTTTGAGCTTCTCCCTCACCAGCTGTGATCTCGCAGCTTCCATAAGCATGGCCAACCCTTCATCCCGCCATGTCTCGATAGCTCCTCTCCTGAAAAAACTTTCCGCACCCTCACCACAAGACAATAACGTCAACGCCGAAGACATTGCTCTCGCCTTCTCGCGAACCTTCGAAGACCAACTCAATGGCACACAACTTTCGGCTCTTCTGACGCTACTCCACTCGACCGGCAAAGATAGACACCCCGATGTCATCGCCCGCTGCGCAGCTAGCATGCGCGATGCCGCGGTTCAAGTCAACAAGCCGCAACTCAAGAAGGTGATTGGCAAGAGGAAGCGCTCCCTGGGTAAATATAATGGCGGACTATGTGATATCGTGGGCACAGGGGGAGACGCACATTCCACTTTCAACATCTCTACGACATCCTCGATTATTGCATCGCCTATACTCATGATGGCCAAGCATGGCAACCGAGCGCAGACATCCATGTCCGGCTCTGCGGACGTCCTTAATGCTATCTCTCCTAGACCTCCGAAAATCGAAGCTCTCCAAGCCGAGAATCTTCCCGAGGCGTACGAGCATACAAATTACACGTTTTTGTACGCACCGAATTTTCATCCAGGCATGAAGTATGCTGCAACAGTGCGGAGAGAGCTCGGTCTTAGGACGATTTTCAACTTGATGGGTCCGCTTGCGAATCCTGTCGAGGATCATATCGAGGCGAGAGTTGTCGGTGTGGCATATCAACAATTGGGACCCGTGTTTGCGCAGGCGCTCCAGTTTTCGGGCGCGACGAAAGCCATGGTTGTTTGCGGCCAGGAAGATCTTGATGAGGTCAGCTGCGCGGGCAAGACAAACTGCTGGCTGCTTAGGCAATCAGAGAACCCGAATTACAGAGGTGACCGGGATGAAGATGATGAAACGAGTGACGACGAACCGCCGCCCAAGTATGTGGCTAAGATTGAGACTTTTACTATCGAGCCAGCGGATTTTGGGCTTCCGTCGCATCCACTGTCTGAAGTCGGAGGTGGGAAATTGCCCAAGCAGAATGCCTCAGTATTGATGAGCATTCTGCACAACGAGAGACCGCCGGACGATCCGATATTACATTTCGTCCTAATGAACGTTGCTGCGCTGTTTGTCGTGAGTGGCGCTTGCGAAGCAGATACCTGTCCCACAGGCGAAGTCATCAAGGAGAGAGGCCCAGCTGGCGAGAGGTGGAAAGAGGGCGTGCGGAAAGCAAGGTGGTGCATAGAGAGTGGAAAGTCCCTGGAAGAGTTTGAAAAGTTCATAGAGTTCACCAACCGGCTGTAGGCAGACCGAGTCATTGAAAGTTATTCCTGCTTCAGTATACGCCTCGCCAGCCTTCTTGTGTCTGTGCTGGTCTCTTCTTCTCTCCTATCGTGGCCCGTTGCTCCCATCGGATCCCCAAACCAAACGCCTGCGCTGTGCTAGAAATTCTCCCTTTTGTGGTATCTAGACTTTTTTTTGGAGGTTGACTTCGTTTCTCATTGCCAATATTATTGCTCATCGGGCCTCGAATTGCACCATTCTGCAGCTGCGTCAGTCATCGCTTCACACCAAGGAAAGATTGATTGGATACCTCTTCGTTCTCTCCTTGTAAAGCACTCTGTGTCCGCACATGCTGCATCTGATGGCATCACCCTTGCCCAAGCTGACTTTGGCGGCACATTCTCCGCAGACATACTGTACGGTTGGGCCACCGGACGCATCGCCAGCGCTGTGGCCGGCGGCGAACTGGTTGTAGCCACCGGATGAAGGCAGTTGATAGGCTTCTCGTTGAGACATTGTGGTGGAAAATTGCGTGGTTTACGACGTGCCTGTTGGAAGGGTATGGCAAAATATGATAGGAATGACTGAGAGGCTTTGCGACAGAGGATGATGGTGATAAACCTGTCGTTGGCGACAAATGCGGATGGAAATTCCAGAATCTTGCGCTGGAAGATTCGGCAACGAATCAAAAGGCAGACACGTGAAAAATAATCAGCCTGACACGTGACAAGGCTGAAACCACGGATTTCAAGGCCAACCATCCTCCACCCACTATCACTCAGCTGAATTATTCTGGCGATGAGATATTCATTCTCTGTTTAGGATGCAAAGGCTGACCGTACTGTGACCCTGAATGTCAAAGGTTCGGGAAAGCTATGTATAATTTGAATCAGTAAGCCGCTTCTGCCTTCTGCGCGACTTCAGGCTATCTGGTCTTGCTGCCCTCGCCGCTTCCTCATCATGCCAGAGTGGACGCTGCCGACGCCTGCTCTCACGGCCTCGGAGCCAGTAAAAGCTCTCCAGACTTGCCCTATCTGCCACAATCTTGACAGAAGCAAGATCATATATTGGAAGGGTGGTCCGTCAAGGCACAAGATGTTTTTGCGGTACTATCAAAGTAGTGACTATCACAGTGTTCCTGTTCCTTTGAAGGATCTGAAATTTTCCGCCAGTCGAGAGTGCCCTTTCTGTGTCATTGTCTTTGACATATTCCGATGGCTTGCGAGGACAAAAGCTGCTGGTCTGAATGCGATTTATCAAGCCAAAGTTGAGCTTTGTGTTCCATTCAACCCGAAACTTCCTGTCGTCCTGACGTACTGCTGGTTACCTCTTCCTGGAGCACCAATACCGCGTCAGTACGACTTTCAAATTTCCGTTCCTAGCCAATGTTAGCGAAAGTGCCCTGTGTCAGACCCCGCAGATAATTGACGAGTATCTCAGGTTTGAGTCTACCGTGGTCTATTCTGAATGTAGGTCAGCAAATACCCAAAGATCCATGGCTAGGCAGGTTTAGGCCACGGATGTGGTTGCAAAATTGTCTCCAGCATCACGACAAAGGCAGATGCAGGAGCAGCCCTGATGGCGCGGCCTTGTCGATGCCCAAGCGGCTCCTGTTTCTTGGTGCGGCCAACAACGATTCTTACCAGAATCAGATTAGGTTGATGGATGGCTTCGATGGCGAACACGTCCCTTATATCGCTCTCAGCTACTGCTGGGGCTCATCAAAACATGTCATCACAAAGACGACCAACTATTATCAACACCTAGAGAAGCTTCCGTGGGCTACCCTTCCTGCAACGTACCGTGACGCAATCAAATTCACCAGAGCCGTGGGATATCGCTATCTCTGGATAGACGCGCTCTGCATCATACAGGATGACAACGGCGATTGGAGCAGCGAAGCCTCTCATATGGCCGACATTTACAGCCAGGCAATTTTGGTCATCTCAGCTGCCAATGCAAACCACGTGGGCTTTGGCTTCCTCCAGGAGCGTCCTGGATCGCGTGAATTCAAGAACAGGCTGAGACGAAGACCTGAAGAGCCGACACATGTGCTAGTGCAGGAGCCCGCCGTGCACAGCAATATATCGGGCGATTTTGCGTCGGAAGGGACACTGCCACTGTTCCGCAGAGCTTGGACGCTGCAGGAACGACTCCTTGCGACGCGAATCTTACATTTTACGGCTGCAGAGATGGTTTGGGAATGTGCGAGCACGTCCCTGTGCGAATGTGGCCATCTCGAGACCACCAATACAGTAACCTCAAGACGGCTGTACGATCTCTCGAGCTGCGATCCCACCAGTGATACCGAACGAGCGAAGGTATGGGACCATCTGGCCCTGTCTTATCAACATCGCTCGCTCACTAACGATCGAGATCGATTACCTGCACTTTCCGGCCTCGCTCATCGCTTTCAGAATGACGGCCTCGGCCATTACCTGGCCGGTCTCTGGTCCAATTTTGCAATAAGCATGATGTTGTGGGAAGTCAAGGAGGGCAGACGAGCTTCAGAATATGTGGCACCCTCCTGGTCCTGGGCGAGCATACAGGGACGCTTGAAACGCGAGGATCCCATTCAACCCAACAGCGTCTTCCAAGCCGTCCTTCTCGACAGCGGTTGTGCATATGCAGCCGGTGATGTGTACGGTGCAATCGTTCCAGGGTCGGCCTATGTCACAATCTCATCTCCATGTCTTGATGGCACTATAATTCGAAGCGAACGGAACGGACACCCTATCATATGTTTGACTCCAAGAATACACGCTTTCCTGGAGAGCGACGCCCATGTAGATGCATCTCAGTTCGGCGCCATGGTCAAATGTGTTCTCCCTCGTGGCCTTGAAGAGGGTCCGTCTGGGCGCTACATCGAAGCGCTGGTCTTGAGGCTTTCTAAGAATCTGAAGGATTACCAGCGGATTGGGATTGCACATATCAACAAGTACACTCTGCAGGAACTACAAAATCCCGATGAAGGTCTCCGTCCGATCATTGAGACTATCAAGATCATCTGAAGATGGGCGAAAAACAAGCCAGGTCCGCAAAGGTTCGCCCTTGTTGCCTGCTTTTGTGAGTCAGGTACGCCGTCGTGCCCGTCAACTGCCCTGGGATGCGTAGCATACAAAAAGTCATCAGTCGTGGAGAGTAATGTCTCCCCAAAGCATTCCCATCTACAGGGTTCATTGTCTATCTGCCCTGGGCACGCCTGGCTTCCCATTAGGCTTCGCCGGAAGTTGCACCCAGGTTATCAGTCGTAATGGAAGGACTGCACTGCTGGTCTGTTGCCTCATACCGCAAACCATCAGAACTTCCCGCTCTTCGAAAGTCATGACGTTAAGAGCTCCGCAGTCCATTTGGATTTTGAGACATCAGCCCCATCCGATACAGTACTACCACAGTATTTATCCTCAATCTGACTGACCCGACTATACCGGCCCAACCCGACACCCGGCCGCTGTTTACATCTTGGCTTTTTGGTTATTGTCCATGCATATTATGGTCGAACTCCTCCATGATTGTTTTACACCGTTGATATTACGGCGAGCCTCGGACACCGTTTGATCAACCGAGGTGCTCGTCGTTGATCTGCAACGCGATCCTTGACGCGATCGTCGATGCGTGGCACAGCTGTTTTAGCATGACGATCAGCACAGACTTGGAATACGAAGATTTGGCCCCAGATCTGTGGGAATCACGAACCAAGACCAAGGATCATCCCCTCTTACAGCCTTGCGGTCCAACCCATGGAAACGGCACCATTGGCCCAGCCGACTTATGCATGTCTCAGAGTCAATATCGCACACCACAACAAACAAACATCATGATTCTTTCTTGTGGTCATTATTCCCGAAGTACGAATCTTGGCTGTCTCTGATTCCCAGGCCGTACTACTAGGACTGTGTATACACAACCCGCCACCCGGTTCATAGTCTGCAGTGCCAAAGCTATCACCTGCACCCCAAGTTTGACTGTTTGACAGGTTGCGCTATCGATTCGATCGTGTCAAAACCATGTTAGACTATCCAAGCTTCGAAGTCCTCAGTGTTACTGACTGCCTGTCCTTACCAGCCTGCCCAGTCTCCAAGACTAGTGAGCCAGTATCCCGTATTTCCGACAATATGGGTTGCAGGTACGGACGCACAACGGATACTCCGTAATTTGTTACTCTCTACGGACCACGGAGTACTGTCACCCATCCCATTCCATAGCATCCCAACCACCTCCGCACAGACAAGTTGGTGCTAAGAAGCTCTCACGACGAGTCTCGAGTCTCGAGTCAAGGCTCATCAGCCTTCTTCATGACATTACATGACGAAAGGCGCCAATCTGCTCACGGACATTGCAGCTTACGACGCACCGCCCCAAGAGACGGCCAGGCCGGGCCAGGCCGGGCCAGGCCGAAATTGACTGTTCAGAGCCCAGAGTCAAGTCCTTCACACCTCATTCTATTGCTGGTTATTTCGGCCACGTCCGTCACAGGATATAGCAGCTATAGCTTCAATCACGCACGCACTACGGACGTGCCCATCTCATCTTGAAACGCGATGCTTACTACGGAGACCTTTCAGGCGTAGGAGTAGTAGATCATCTCGCGAAATCTTTCCCTCACACCTCTTCGGTAGCCTACGTCTGATCTCAAAACCTGGCAGAAGTACGATTTAGGAGTACTTGTAGATACCTTGTAGATCCAGTGTTTCATCATACTGGTACTCCGTATATCCGCACTTTTCCCCCTTGCAGGCTGGCGGTTCCAGTCCAGCCCGGCCTGGCGTGCCAACCCGATCAGGACAAAAAGAAAACAAGCATTTTTCGTCTAACCCCCCTACAAGTAACTAGTCTAACGAGAGTCAGTCACGTTTCAAGATGCCATAGTCTCTCGCTTACCCTGGTCCACCGTGGCCGGGGCCGTCGGATCTCATCAACAATGCAAGGCGTGGCAAAGATAGGCACGTAAGAAAGTACAGTTTCATCAAACGCGCCAGGCAGTCTCCCATGTCCATGTCTACGTCCAACGCGTGTGCTCCGACCCATGCCCGTAGTATGGGTTGTGCATGTCAAGCATTCTCCTCCCGCAGCACCTACCATCGTGCTACTTACGTAGTAAGTACTTGTGATGGCGAAGTAGCAAACAAAACCGAAAGACAGCTGCATGATGGCTGGTGTTGGCAGCAGTAAGACAGGCGGCCCAAAAAGAGTCAGCCCTTTTCCCCTGCAGGCTGCGTTTGAAACTTTGATGAACCCGACAGACACCAACTACCTAGGTATCGATGCCCCGCCGATCCCCGTGCGGGCACCGCCGTGTGCGGCGGCCCCTCGGCCCCCGTGGCACCCCTATTTCAAGTACTATAGTACTAACTAACTAGTAGTGCTCTCTAGTAGTGCTCGCGTACCTTGCTTGAGCCTACGCAAGTAACCCAAGCGAAGGAGTCGAGCGCGGTCGAGCTTCACCTACCTGTAGGCTGTCAGCCAATGATGGCCACAACTAAGCAAGCCTCGTTCAGCCACCACTCTCCTCGTCGTCGTCATCATCATCATCACACCACATCCCACAACACCGCATAGTACTATGGTATGCCCGTTAATCTTCAGAGTACTCCATACGGTTTATTAGTATGGAGTAGGTGCGCTGGGACGAAATTGGTAGTGACGACGACCATCAATCGCGACGAAGCGCCACCTCGTCGCCGACATCGACATCGACAACGAACAGGTTTGGAAGATACGCAGTAGGCAAGCACGGCAAGCAGGCAATCAAATAGAAGGGACACCAGCAATGTTTTTCAAAGATTTTCTTTTTCTATACTCAAAAAAACACCCTAGGTGTACTGGTCTCACAAGAATCGAAGTCTATAAACAGTTCGTGTTTGCAATTTTTCCCCCGCAAGGATCATACGAGGTCTGTCCTGCTGGAAGTAGAAGTGAAAAAGTGGTCACCTCCCCACCATCTGCACACGCAATGGTCTCCAAGAGAAGCACCAGAGACATGTCGATAAGATCAAAAAGGTAGGCCAGGACAAGAAAAAGTACGCCGCATGCCCAAAAACCTTTTCCCTGAGCATGTGGGTGGATCCATTTGCTCCGCGATCGCCTTTGCTTCATCATGTCGAGTCATCAATGATGTGTTTGTTTTCGTGATAGTTGTTCGTGTCATAGCCAAGCAATGAACTTGCCGGACCTGAATGAATCTCCGCATGAGAAAGATGGTTGAATGAGTGGTGGTGGTCGTCGAGACCGGGCACTACCTGCAAGGGTGATGACATATCCAAGTGTCGACTCATGGATGATGCCGTAAGAGAGTGTATTTGCAGGCAGCATAGGCGGAAGGCGGCAGAACTAGCTGCGCCAATAGGACTACGGAGATTGAATCTGGTCGGCAGGCTCATGCCTGAGCTTCATGTTTGTCGTATGAGCTGATCATGGTCGCCGCGTTTAGGCGAAATGACGGGCGTGGACACGATAGTGGGTGTGTCCTCCCTCGACGGAGACACTCCGCTTGGATGATCCGCCTGGGCACATGGTCAGGACGAGGTCAGAGTCCTGATCGCAGACCATGGTACGGGTGTCGTCAGGGGCGTTGTAGGCAGCAGTGCAGGTAGCTTCGCCAGCAGGGCAGTCAACAGGAACGCAGGTCGGGTTGTTGGGGTCGTTCTGCATGGATGGGACAATCACCATACCGCCAGCTGAGAAGGGGTAGCCATCGATGTTTGAGAGATCGTACGAGATCTTGCCGTTGGCCCAGGTGAACTCGAACTGGGAGACGGGTCCGTTGGTAGTGGCATTGGGCGAGAGCTTGATCGAGATACCGGTGCCCTCACTGCCGTATCCCTCGGAGTAGCTGCCCTGGAGTTCGGCCATAGTTGGGTTGGAACTACCTCCGACAGACGAATAGTAGATGGGGAAACCGCAGTTGTTGACGACGGAAGCGGTACCAAGGGCCAAGGTGGTTTGAGCAGAGGCAAGCAGCACGGCTGCGCCAGCGACAATGTTCTTGAATTGCATTTTGATTGTTGGTTGGTTGAAGTTCCTGTTGTAGAAGGATAGTCGAGCCTGGTTAGACTGATGGTTGGTATGGACAAGAAAAGGATGGGTCCTGTAGAGGTGTATACGTCGACAATGGTTCTAGCAGCAAAGGAATGATGCTGATCAGAGACCTGCTCGAGGCTGTATAGGGAGTGAGTTGGAAAGGATTGTCAGGATGGTTTCGAAAAGAGGAAATCAGACAACAGAGACGGGACGTGGTTTAAGTAAATTTGGCCCGTTTCCACGTTCAAAGTCAACAAACGCTCGAGGCGCCCAGAGGTGGTCAACTCCAGAGCCCTGGGTCCAAGGATGGATGGATCCTCCTGGCATCGTTCAGAGATTTTCGCAGTTACATTAGCGCTGTCAACGACGAACAAGGTGGGCATGGGCCTCGTGGGCCCGTGGTCCGAAGTCCAGCCCAAAAATGCCATTGGTGTCAAAACTGAGAACGGGGATGCAGCTTTGGAAAAACGGGATGCGTGTGCAAGTCCGGGCGAGGAACAACGGTTGAGGGGCGTTGGCTACCGAACGCCGCCGTCGCTTCATGGGTCGTTGAAGTGGATGGATTCTGCAAGAGTGAGCTCTATCGAATAAGGCAGCGAGCGCAACGCCGCACAATCCCCTGGTTCCTGAACTAATGCAGCCACACTGGAGACGGCTGAGCCAATCCTGGTTGGTACGCCCCGGCCGACCAGGGCTTCCAGACCAAGCAATTCTTCCAGGTACCAATGCTCGCCGATTGGCCCGCCTCGATGCCTCTCAGGCGGTGGCCAGAAAATGCCGCAGCGAAGGCCCGTCCGAACTAACCGCTATTTGGGCAGGCTTCAGGCACCGGCCAGGAACCAACACACCATCAATCGGTTGCCGTTTTTCGGCTGTGCTTTCCCACGTGTGCGCGGGAACGGGTGCTTTGGTCAAGTCTGCCGGGAAAAATGGTAGCTGAAAAGTCGTAGTGCCTGATGCACCACACTGGGTGGTGCTGTCGCATATGGTCGTACAGCAGTATTGGCACAGCAAATCTGTCGAGTTGTAAGGCGCCACATGTCTGCAAGGAGTGCCTAGCATTCAAGGATTGTGTTGCGCCCGATGGCGAGACGGAAAACTCTGCCCACAATATTTTTTGCAAAGATCCAGTTGTTTCAGTATCACACATTCGCGCACAAGTGCAGATTGTATCCCAATACGTCAGTCGTGCTGGCTCGCTGGCAATATTTTCCAGAACGTGAAAAACTCGATCGAGGCAAGATCCTCGCCGAGAAGCAAGGTTTCCACATGGACTGCTGGCTCCAAATGTCCCATATCCAACGCTCTCGCTGAAGGGTCCATTGGTGTTGCACCTGTCCGAAGCGAGCTAAGAATCCGCGATTCAAGAATCGCATATATACACCCCGCGTAGGATATATCATGATAGTGATTAGTGTCAAATGTAGCCGCTGCTTTGCAGCCGGTATCCACTTCTGTACCCTTGCTCAAAGCATGTACCGGCATGCCCGTTCAACCAGTCCCAACCACCCGCGTGTGGCGAGTAGAGTGCTTGCATGATGACAGTCGCTGTCGGCGGGATGCGGTCGGGTAAATCCTAACGGCACTCGCATTCTGGCCACGGAAAAAGCAGGCGCATGAGAACGAAAGGTTAACCATCCACTCCGTCGAGCCAGGATCAAGCAACAATGCGTGATGACCGCAGGAGTTTGCGCGAACAATGAACGGAAAACTGCCGTGTTTGTTGAGCGGCTCCGAAGCCAAACAAAACTTGTACCACATTACCAACTCAGACGCTGGTCGCTATCGGGTAGCTACTGCATACTTTGTTCTTGTTCAGACCTCGATAGTCCGTCTGATGACAGGAGACTAAACAGTATCGATAGCGATAGACTGCGATAGCTGGAAGCCAGAGCGGGTTTCCAGGTGTCCAGAGCGAAGCTGCCAGGATGGTCTCAAGGAAAAATAAAACGACAAGGCTGTAGCGATTGGCTAGGACCGAAGGCTCCGTAGAAAAGATAAAAACTCAGTAGCAACAGTGGCCGATGAGTAGTCAACGGACGGGGAAGCGGGAGGAAGGATGGACTTGGATAGACCCGGATTCGAGCTAGTGCCACGGTGAATAGAGTCTGCTGCCGCCTTCATGCAAGGGAAAAAACTGCATATGCATCAAACAGACAATTCGATAAACTGGTGGAGCTCGACAGACTATGATGTCAAGAACAAGCTGTCAAGCTGCTCGTCGTCGTGGATGAGGAAGTGACAGAAGTGTTTGACTGCATCAGAGTCACAAGGCGGTACCTCACAAGGCTCGCTATACCAAAGGTATACCAACTGAAGTGGCTGGGCAAGAGTCCACTTTTGAGATACCGGAAAGGGAAAGAAGAAGACTGACCGGAGACTTGGACCTAGGAAATCAATAGTAGACTCTTGTCGAAGCACGCAAAGTATCCACATGGTGATTGGGCGTGTGGTACTCCGTTGATTTCCTTTTGCAAGTAGTTTAGGCAGGTGTGTATCCTGTATCATGGGCTAAACCGTAGGAAGTCCGGCCGCCTTGTCCGGTTTCCTTCTGGCTGAAAGACCCAAGGATGCAAGCAAGAAAAGTCCATCCGATTCTTGCAGGTACGGTCATGACAGATTTCTGCATGATGAAAATAGGCATTGACTGGGATACGAGCATAAAGGCCACAGGGGTCGTTGAGCTTCTTTCTTGGGTAACGGTTGGAAAAATTCAGTGTGCGTCAACTGGCACCTGGAAGTCTGCATGGGGGCAGCGGCGACATGGCTGCAGGTGTTCATGGAGGAATGTAACTACCGGTGGGTATTGTGCGAGGCAAAGAAAGATAGAGTCAACGAATGATGATTGACGATTGAGGATGGATGATGATGATGACTTGATCCTTGCGTTGAGAAAAGAAGTGAAATTTGGTGGGAGAAGAAAAAAGCGACAGAGGAAACGAAAGGTGAGAGGACGAGAAGGAAGCGGGGAGCTCGAGTCCCGAGCCCGATCCCGTCCCAACTAAAGACTTAGGTACCTAATGGGAATACTCTTCCACCTAGAGAGGTAAGGTACCTAGGCCTAGCACGCCTAGCACGCCTAGGTAAGGTACCTACTACCTAGGTAAAGGTAGGTTGCTGTGGCCGCCAAGGGTTCAAGCAGAGATTTTCTTCTCCATTGCAACACTAACACCCTATCATCACGGACAAGCAAATTCTTTTGCTCATGCAGACCGTCAACTGTAAGCCGAGGAATAGGCTATGATGGGCTCTACCATAGCCACCTGCTATTTGCCATTGCAATCACGCTCGAATATCTGAGTGGCCATTGTCCCGTCTCGCCGTCAACAGATGGCGATATCCCGAGGGGTCCAGTATAATGGTCCACGCTATATCTCTTGATCTGTGCTTCGCCGTTCGACCTGTGCCCTGTGCCTTCCCACCAATCGGCCATCATGGACACTACTGGACAGAGGTCCATGCAACCTCTTGGGCTTTTCCACTATTCCTTTCACAATCGGACCCGATAGCACGAGCCAGGTATTCATGCATGCTGACATAGTAGCTGCGATGTTCGCCTGTCAGAATACGTCCGCCATCTGTGCTGAACAAGTGTGACCAGTATACAGCCTACGCACAACGGGCATTGTTCTGGAAGCAGACCCTCGATAGAGGATTGACTTTTCCCTTCGCCGACCTTTTCAACCCGGGTTGACCAACCTTACCAATCCCACAGCAGCACCTGCAGCAATGACTCCCACCACGAACATTTGCAATGCTCCGCCAGTGCATGCTCGGTAGTTCTCTTTGCCTGTCCAGCCCCGAATCACTCCCGTCTTCACATATCCGAAAACCAGCAGAACCACCCCCATAAGTCCTATACTCCACCACAGACCGCCTAGAACATCGTCTCTGGGCACTATGAAATATGGTATCAACGGGAGGAAGCCGCCGACAAAGTAACTGATGCCCAGAGTCAGTGCGGAGAGGTAGGGTCGTCCTGTATCGGGCCTCGCCGCATGAAAATGATTCTGCATGAGAAATCCTTTGAACATGGGTGTCGATGCTTTGATATGGTTGGCCACCCGTATCGTCTCTTCTTCGGACAACCCGAATTGCTGAAAGTACTCCTGCACATAGTCTCTGGCAGTGTCGGGGTCATGCGTGATCAATTGGTTGCAACTCCGATCCGTGGCATTGTATGACTCCCTGGAAGACGTCAGCTCTGTTCCAAATGTCATGGTCGCCAAAGACGTGGTCGACTCACACTTCACTTTTGGCTCCCACATATCCGCCGAGTCCCATGGATATGGCTCCCGCGACCAATTCTGCCAATCCTCCCAGGATCACTACCCTGGTGTCTCCAAGCGCAGTCAACCCTGCTGTCAGGGCAAAGGGTACTGTGAGGCCGTCCGATAAACCTAGAATGGCATCGGATACGATTCTTGCATCGAGTCTGATGCGCCAATTTGACCAGAATCCGCAACCGCAGATCTGAGCGTACTTGTCGGACCAGAAGACTGGCACTTGTTGGCTCTCTGCCGGACCTTGGAGGGTTGATGTGCGGGAAAGAAGAGGTCTGTTTGCTTCCAGATCGGGTGCCGATGGTAATGCATTTCGTTCCTGGGTTTGCCGTTGCGGCATCATGGTGTGGTGCTTGTCGGAGTTCATCGTAGACTCGAGGTTGCTCTTTTTCTCAAGAGAAAAGTCATCCGCTGAGTGAAATCCCATAGAACCAGACGTGAATCTCGACCGCCTCAAGAACTGGTTCTACTTCTTATATCACCGACGCGTTGATTCGGTGGATTGCTTTTGCCTTGCGATTATTCTCACCGTGGCCGAAGCGGACCAATGGGAAAACAGTAAAAGGTCAGCGAATGATTTTGTCACTTCACTGAGCCAATTGACGAGAAGCACAGGAGTAATACTCAAACGACAATTGGTCACTCTCTTGTCTACAGACGTTTGCAATTACGGCTTCACCTTCAGAGACACTCGAATTATTTCGATCCTTGACTAGCCGCAATCTGGACGAGACAACAGGTTAAGTCCATTATCCCGGATACTAACCACCAAGCTAACGAGTCGAGTCACGTGGTCAGTTTTACAGTACATCCAGCTCGCCGGGTAACGAGTCACACAACTTGTGTTTCGTCTTGGCCTAATAGCAGCAACAGTTTCTCCCAATCCGTGCGGTGGCTGGCATGCCGTCGACTCCTATCGTTTTCCTTCAACGTACCAGTCGACGAAGCCTACCGAAGTACGGATTGTTTCTCTCGATAAGATGGCTTAATCATCATATGCAACTTTCTCCGAGATTTAGCGTGTCTCAGTTGTGGTGGCTGAACAATCCTCTGCTTCGATTGGCCCGTGCTCACTAGGATGAGTAATGCCGTGAGAACAAGTCTACGACAGCATTTAAACATTTGCACCAGAGAATCTTCACGGCGCATCATGAACTCAGGCTGAGCCCATATCGAATTAAGACCGTGATAAGAGTCCAGCAGCCTCTACGATTTAGAGGATGAGCATGTGGGCGTTGCCCACAAGGATCTCGCCATGGGAATAAGAGGGTGTTGGACATGCAGACGTAAGCACATCAAAGCGTGCATAAGCTTGCCAAACGAACGTTAATGGGCTGATTTATGCCTCAGAGCGCAAAGTTCGATGTGACTCGCATTACCCGAGATGTGGCAACTGCACGAAGGCACGGCGCGTCTGTCAAGGCTATGGCATCCAGCTGTCCTGGCCTCGAGATGGCGACAGAAGAAGAGCAATAATCTCGCGAGATACGCGCCGCGCAGTGAATACCATTCAATCAAATGTCAAGAGGTTCTTGAATTCATCTTTCTGGGACATATCGCTATCGGAGGAGCTAGAGAACGGAAGGATTTCTGGTGAAAAATCACCTCCGACACACTGTCAAGCTGCTTGATACTAACAGCAAATACCCGTAGCTCGTTACCTTCGTACCATGAAAGTCCCTCGCCCGACCTATCTATCGCCCACCTTCATGAACGGAGAAGAATCGCATTTACTGGGGTTCTGTATGTTGGGTTACTCTTCCAGGACCCCATTATCCTACTGACCGGAACATCTCAGTCAACGAATCAAGATCACTGATACTAGGACCGACGGACGAGGAGGCTTTGGCACAATTCATCTTGAGAATTGCCTTCTCCGATCCAACCGATGCAGCCAATCCAGTCCTACAAGGCGTGTTTGCTCTCGCATCCCTCCAGCTTCACGGGAGCTTGAAGAGCTTTCGCTACAAGCACCTTGTCATATCATCAGTTAAGGAGTCAATCAACTGGCTCGACGAGAAGACGCTGCTCCAGAACTTGATGGCAACGATGCTTTTGTATCATTATGAGGCAGGATAACCCCGGTCCGCATAGGCTTTCCATGGTCGACTAATGATCCACAGCTCTCACTCGAATCAAACTCCAAAGGGAGTTGGGTAATATATCTATGCGCCGTGAAAAAGATTATCAACACGTCACCGGCAATTCAAAAGCTGGTTCGGCAAGAATATTCGGTCTTCCTCGATTGGATTTATTATCACGAGGTCCTCGCAGAGTTCACAGTCAGGCATTGGAAGGTCCCTTATGAAGGTTGCGGCTGGGCTCCAACAGCAAGATCACCCAGGCCTATCGAGGGAAGCGATCCAAAGGTAAATGGAAGCCTTTCTGCACTTTCTCCGGCATCCTCTAATACGGCGGCAGGTAGAAGACAACATCGGCTGTCCAACTGATGTGCTCCAGCTCGTTGTACATACATGTAGACGAGCTCTAGCCGCGAAATCCTCCGAGATGAATTATGCGAATGCTGGAATGGAGCGCACGAAGGCGCTGGAACAGAACATTTCCAGCGCAGTAGGAGACTATGGCCCAGTTCACGTACCATCTGCGACCCCGGTAGACCGAAATACTATGGTCGCCGATCTTCATCGACTCGCGGGCTTGATATATGTCAATCGGGCGGTCCATTGCGTTTCAGGAACAGAATTCCGTCATAGGCGACTTGTGAGAGAGGGCATATTGCTGTTGACCAAGATGGTAACCTGCCAGAACGCGTGGCCATTGTTCATTGTCGCCTGCGAAGCGGTAGGCGATGATCAGCGCCTTGCTATCCTCGACGTCTTTGAGCAAAGTCGGCAAGATCGAAGACGGAGATCAAGTCACATTCATCTTATTCAACATATGGTTGAGGCTGTGTGGAACCAGCATGATCTCAATGCAGAGAACCAAGTCGATTATCTAACAATTTTCGATGCGGTTGTTGGTGGAGTTCCATTCATACCACCATTTGCCTGAGTTCAGGTTCATGGCACCATCATTTCCATCCATTGTTCTGATGTCCCATCAAGATAGATCCATTCAGCTTCTGGACTAGAACCACTCATCATGATTTCCGTGATGTGTCACAAATTCCCCACTGTTCGCTTCCGTCAAGTTCTGAATCACCTGAAGCATGTCGGTGACCGATTCATCCACCGGAATCGGTCCAGTGACGCTTTGGTCGAGCTTGTGAAATGCATCGAGCATGAATTTGCGTACAGCTGGCTCGCCTGTGACTTCTCGAGCTGTTCTTGTGTCAGTGATTTGTGCCGACACGATTCGCGTTGCATGTTGACTGACCAGCATCTGTGTCTACCCATCCTGGACTCATAGACAGTGTCTTGATGCCTTCTTGGGCCAATTCAGCACCGAACTTGGTCATGACGACGTTCATGCCAGCTTTGGCGGCAGAATATCCCAGCACGGCAGCAATGCCAGTGATACGAGTGAACTCAACGTCTCCACTCGAACTGGAAATGAATACGATCTTCTTCTCCTTGCCGTTACGAACGAGATCGAGGAAGGCGTGGATGACATAAATATTGCTGATCAGGTTGTTTTTGACCTGTATGCAGTCAACCTTTGCTGTTATCGCTCAAGGGCTAGCTGAAGGATCATACGTTCTCATTGATCTCCTTCTCCAGCGCTTCCTCCTTGCCACGACTGCACTGTGTCAGCAATTTGAGCTCTCAAGCGCATCAGGCCCGTTCACTCACAAAGCAGTAGGCGGTAGCACGCTGGTCTCTGGCCCTGCGGAGCCAGCGTTGAGGATCAAGACATCAAGCGAACCGGCCGTGACTTTAGAGACTTCAGCGGCAGCCTGCTCCAATTTCTTCGGGTCGGCGATATCGGTCACTACAATGTGGATGTTTTTGCGCTTTGCAGCAAGCTGCTCAAGCGGACCGGCAGTGCCGCGACTTCGAATGATGGCAAACACTTGGTTCTTCGGATCGACAGACTTTGGCAGCGAAGTCAGTTCCATGCCTTTGCCATGAGTACAATTGTAACGGTAGACTCACAAGATTATCCACGAAGCCGAACTGCAAAGATGCTCTTGTTAGCATGTGAAGATGTGATTGTGGTATTGATCTGGGGAAGCTTACGCCGATTCCTCGCGTCGCGCCGGTGACAGCCCAGGACACCATTTTCAGTTTCGTCGATATTAGGCAGCGATAAGCGACCAGTATAGAATGTTGAAGATGGTTAGGATAATATGTATCCTTTTACTCAGATCGTTTGGTTGTGGTGATACATCGACCGAGGGGAGGCTGGCGCATCCTCTTATACCCATCGCGGGAGCCATCGCGATGTGCCATGGAAGTGAGAGGTATCGGCCGAACACACGGTAATCACTGGCAAGTATTTGCGAAGCAATATTAATAATTCATGTTTGGAGTGTCCGCTGATACTGTCAATAGCGGATGGCGGTAGAGTTATGTAAAGTGAAGCAACTTTCTCCGACTCTTGGGCAAATATTGAATGTGGAAGAAGCGCGATTGCTAAGCAACGCGTTTCCAACCAGAACTATTGGGATTTCTTTAGAGACTTGTCGGAGCAAGAAGTAGTATAAAGGGATCATTGCCATGTGAATAAAGTCGTAACAGTTCCAGGAATCCAGCATTATCGTTTACAAGGAGTGTCACATTGTGAACAGAGTCCAAATTTGTCCTCCCCCTACTTCATTTCAACGAGCTACTTGTGCAACACGTTACCATGTCCGCATCATTGTCAATTGCCCTTATTTTTGGCGCTGGCCCAAACGTAGGAGCCGGCGTCGTCAGAGCCTTCTCTGCCAAAGGATACAAGATAGCAACTGTGTCGCGGACAGCTACGCCAGACGCAAGCGACAAGCGACTCCACATCCAGGCCGACCTGGAGGATCCGGAAAGCGTCTCGACAGTTTTCGAAACCGTCCGCAAGCAACTTGGCCATCCAAGTGTGGTTGTCTACAACGGTTCGTTACTGGGACTGTTTGTTGCTACTGTTTCGATTGCTGACGAAGACAGGCGCGGCTTGCAAGTTCGTGAACGGCCAGGACCCCTTGGAAATTTCTCTTAAGGATGCCATCCGTGATATGAATATCAATACCTTCAGCGCTCTCGCTGCCGCAAAAGAAGCCGTCAAGTCCTTCGAGGTGCTGCCAAAGAACGCAGCCCGGACCTTTATCTTCACTGGAAATATAACGAATCTTCAGCCAATTCCAGCATTGATAAGTCAGGGAATGGGAAAGAGCGCTACAGCGCACATGATCCAGACGGCAGCGTCAGTCTACGCAGACCGCGGATACAGGTAGTCCATGCCACGTCCTGATTTACGGCCAAAAGCTAACCGAGGCAGCTTCTATTACGCAGATGAGCGCAAGGCTGATGGTGGTGCTGTGTACCGTGCTATTGATGGAGAGGCACATGGGAAGTTTTATGTGGAGCTTTCCGAGAAGGATCAAGGCCCGTGGCTGGCGACGTTTGTCAAAGGTATCGGTTACGTAGACTTTTCTCAGCGTTCGAATATGTAGGGTTTTCAGAAGAGATGGAAATCCACCATAGGCAACATTGCGATACCGTTCATGAATAAGATCAAGTTGTCCAGGAGGATTCGAGTAAGAATGCTGCCTGGTTGGAACCGAGGGAAGGGTGATGATGACCTAGTTCGACGGGCATCAACGGATAAGAAAAGCCGGCCCGACCGTTACTGTCCGACACTGCATAGCCAGCAACACCCCAGCGTCCCACCACTGCATGGTAGATTCAGGCATGCTGCGAACCCTTAGAAGGGCTCACTAGACCGACATCGTGCGAGGGGACTACTTTATGTTCGACAAGTGTAATCCCATGTAAAGGCTTCACGTAGCTCCGTACGAGGTATACGAACCGGCAGTTTTGTTGTCCCTGGATGGAAGCGTTCATGCCTGGCATTCGTTGCTAACCAAGCAAGGCGCTGAGCCTGTTCGCCCTGTGTAGCGAATAGCTTCGCCTGGATAGTGATACCGGCGATGCCGTCACTCATGAAACTGAAGACGGCGGACTGGTCATCATTGTTGAGTGACGCCCAAGCTGATCGGTGTCGTCGATCAACGAGGAACGCGAAACTTGACGACGGCAATATCCGAATAAATGACTGTCCAGGGAATCAGATTGCTGGAGTGTGGTACCAGAGCAGATCAGGATCATCTCCATCCACCAACTCTGCCTTCATCCCATCTGGCTCTCATCTCCCTCCTCTTCTCTAGCGTCGTCGCACCCTCTCTAATCCTTCTCACCCAGTCCGTGACCTCTTTCTCACTGGCCTTCCCATGTCCCGCATCGTCACCGCTCGAACCCTCTAGGAAGCTCTCCTGCATAGCCCTAAGTAGCGCCTCCTGCTCTGATATACTCGAGACCAGCCGCTGATACATCTGTCTGGGTCCCCAGGGTGACAGGGCATCGTCCATCTCGCTTTGTTTCCGGCGCCACTGGGACTGTAACGACGTATGGTTCAATAAAAGTTGCGCAGTCTCGTCCCGCAGCTGGCGTAGTTGGCTCTCGAGTTGTGAGACTTGCTGGGCAAGCTGGATGTTTGCTTGAATCGCAGACTGCAAGGGAACAAGGGAGGAGGAGTAAGATGGATGCGTTGAGGCCAGTGAAGCGAGGAGGGATGGGTTGCTGACTAATGGATGGAGTTCATTGATCGGTTTGTCTTGGATTTGAGAGGGGATCCAGCGATCTGACAGCATTGGAGGAGGGATAGGGCGATGTGGTGGTTGCGGTTGTTGCTGCTGGGGTAGTGATGTTAAAGAAGACTGAGCAGTTGGGACGGGTGGTGGTGGGCGAGGGGAGTTTGTTACGCCTGGAGCGGCTGCCATTGGTGTCGAAGAGAGAACTGGAGTGCCCGTACGGCTCGCATTGGCGCTTTGTGTCTGGCTATTGAAGTGTGAGATAGGCTTGGGTGGTGGGGGCGGTGGTGCGCCGGCTGCGATGGGTGACGAAGGAGGTGGTGTTGCTGTTGAAGCGCTTGGCAAATTCGGAGCAGAAGAGGATGTGTAGAACGACTCGGACATGTTGATAAGGGGAACAGATACTAAATGTGTGTGCAGTCGGCGAAGGTGGGAGGTAAATGAACGTACGAGTTGGAAGTGTAGCTTCATGTCAGCCTTGCATATGCGGAGAAAGGCTGCGCTTCGCTTTCAATTTCTTATTTCCTCCATCCAATTTGCATCTTTCCACGAGCCTCGACAACATCATTCAACCATACTCGTCCGCCTGTGCCACCTCCATCATCCTCTCCATCAGCCATCTCTCAATCGATTGATCACTCATAATGGACTACCAAAACCGCGCCGGTTCCAAATTCGGCGGCGGTGGCGTGGCATCACACTCGGCCACCAACGCGGACCGCCGCGAACGGCTACGCAAACTCGCCCTTGAGACCATCGACCTCGACAAAGACCCGTATTTCTTCAAGAACCACGTTGGCAGCTTTGAGTGCAGACTCTGCCTCACGGTCCACCAGAATGATGGCTCGTATCTCGCACACACGCAGGGCCGCAAGCACCAGACCAATCTGGCTCGTCGAGCGGCGCGGGAACAAAAGGAGGCGCAAAAGGATGGACAAATGCTTCCAGGCATGATGGGTGTGCAGGTTAAGAAGAATATGGTCAAGATCGGCCGCCCAGGATACAAGATCACCAAGATCCGCGATCCGCTGACAAGACAAGTCGGGTTGCTCTTCCAGCTGTTGTATCCGGAAATTACGCCAGGCGTAGAGCCGCGAGTGCGCTTCATGAGCGCCTTTGAGCAGAAAGTTGAAGAGCCAGAACGAGACTACCAGTATCTACTTGTGGCCGCGGAGCCGTACGAAACATGTGCCTTCAAGCTGCAGTCACGCGAAGTCGACAGACGGGAGGGACGGTATTGGACGTGGTGGGATGCTGATGCGAAGGAGTTCTGGTGTCAAGTGCTCTTCAAGACGGAAAGAGATGAGCGGTATAGCAACGTACCGGGTCTTGCGCCAGTGGGAAGGAAATGATTTGATGTTCCGATGGAGTGACGACTGAGAAGCAGCAGTTATGGACATTTTTTGGGCCGTGGCGTTGATGGGGTTTTCTCCCCCATCGGCCAAGGGCATAGACCCAAGAGTTATGGCATGGTATCTTATGTCGGATACATGGGTTCGACCGACAAAGATCCTCTGCAGGTGCTCCGGCCTTTCACCAAGAAGAACGGGAAAATCCGCATTCCACATGTCCTTCAGGCACATAACTCTCCACGACACCAGGCAGAGGTTCCATCCACACTATCTCCGATACCCGTTTCGGAGACATGCGAGATTGCCTGTGCGACGACTGTAGGGCCATTTGAGAGAGATGATGCGCGAGAGCGCGTCGAGTTTCAGGTATCACGGGTTTAGGATCTGAAAATCTAAGCTTCGTGACGGCGAGGGCGGATACGCAGGAGGGACTGTGGTGCGCTGTTTATGTGGGCCAGTATGTGTCATGCGACTCAGTTGTGTGTCAGTCGCATGATTGCAGAGGGCTGGAACATAGCCACGTCTGCTGAAATGACAACCACCACTCGGCGTCCTCATGGGTGCTCGAGCAGGATGTGAAGAAGAGCAGGCAAGAAGTCAAGTACAGACTCCAGCGACGGGCGATACCAACTTGCTCACAGGGCATGAAATCGTTCGAAGCAGAAAAGTGCGGAAAGCCAATGTCATCGCATCAATAGCACCGGGAATATATCGTCCTTGACCCCGTTTCTGAACGCTTTTCTCGTGTAGAAACCCGAATTCTGTGAAATCCTGGTGTTCTCGTAAAAACCAGCAACCCGATGCCACCATTTTATGTTCATTCGTGCGCCTATTACCCATCACTCCATACGCCGTCGCCATGCATGCATACCACGCAAAAAGAAATGCACCGTAGACTTCACCTTCCCTGCGCTCACATCATGCACATCCATGCCCATGTGACTTCTGATACCTGACCTTTGCCGGTCATCGCTGGCCCATCTGAGCCTTGCCCAACATCATGACATCTCCATATTCCTTAAGGCTGAAATCGCGGTCGACCACATTATCCCACGCCCGCTGCATTTCCTCCTGGGCTTTCTTGTTCTTCCAGGCCCAGCCGGGTGTTTCGTCTCGCTGTCCTTCAGCACCTCCCATCATCGCCGGGTTGTCTTGCATCTGGCCCGTCTCGTACTGCGCGGCTTGGTGTGCTGCTGCGCTTCTCGTTACCCGACTGCTGGTGTTTGCACCGTTCGGGATTGACATAGCCTGGTGGTGATCTTCTTGAGATTGGCCTTGTGAGCGCGGAGGAGAGAGTTCCCCGGGCGCAGAAGCGTTAAGGTGGTCATTCGCTGGAGCGCCGGAGGTCGTGGTAGACTGTGGGAATAGGTTGTCGTCGAGATCAGCGGCCGAGGCGTCTTGCTGTGCGGAGGCAGAGGCAGAGGCAGAAGGTGTGGAGGAGGTTGAAGTTGTCATTGTTTCGTCGAAGTCCATTTTGGTCTGATGAATGGTCGAGGGAAAGGTAAGTAAGTGTTCGGTGAAGGAGTCGAGTAGGTTTAGAGCAGTGTCTTCGAGGCCCGAGAATTGTCTTGTGAAGGTGATGAGAGCAAGAATATCAAGGCACAAAGGACGGTGACAGTTTTAGAGGTGTTGGAGCAAGTGAAGATCAAGGAAGATGGTTGGTGATGTGATGGATGTAATGCGGGAGTGAAGTCTACCGAAGTTCTTCCAGATTTAAGATCTCGAGTCTGTGATTCTCCTTGTTGTTTCAGCCTTATTATCATTTAGATCCGCGACCCACAGTCGACCATTAACTTACTATCGCACACCAGCAGAGAAACAACAAAGAAGCTACGATCATGAAGCGAAAGCATGAGGAGCATGTGAATGAGCAGGCTGTTGTGCACAATGAGGAAAGCATGGATTCCCGGATGAAATGTCGCAGAACCAACGAGCACAAAGATCCGGCTGACGATGAAGATGTCAAGAGCGGAGAGACAAAAGGCTGTAAAACCGTTGCAAGCGCCACATGGGTCCAGAAACTGACCAAGGAGGAGCTAAATGCGCTGGACAATGTTGTTAAAGAGCAGCAGCGGCAATGGAGGCGTGTTCAGGAATTTATCTTGTCGGTCATCACGCGATGAAGAGCAGTATACCAGCGACAACTTTGTCCGTCGATCTCGGCCACCATCACCCTCTCAAGAGCTTCTTCAACTGTCAGTCATCGCGGCCCTTCGCCACTCTGCAGGGCTTTTTGCCAGCCTCAACCACTTTCGCGGCTGCCGCCCACAGGGTACACACACCTCGAGAGTTTAACTCAAGCCTGAAGGCATTGTCGAAATTCACTGCTGATGTCGTTATGGCAGCATCCGGCGTATCTGGACGAGTTCGCCGCGATACGTCAAATAGACATACGACAATGTCGAGCTAGATGATAGCAAGACATCGGATGATGCTTCATCTACCCCTGACTTCTTCGACAAATGCTCTCCAAACGTCCAATGAGCCATCAGCTTCGTCATCAACCTCGAACTCGGTGAGGGCAACACATCGACGTCTAGGAGACCGTCATTCGAAAGAGAGACTGTCATCGCTCACGAGGCTCACATTCCTCTCTCGCTCTCCTCTCAATGTCGAATGCCCGGAGCATGCGAATGTCGCTGGAGTTGGTCTTTTAATGGGTGGAGTTCTTCAAATGTGCCTCCAAGGCCCGGGTCTGGGTTGGTCCTCCGGCCTGGTCCGAGAAACCACATAGGTAGAATGATCAGACCGGAGAGCACGGCCGCATCGACGAGGATGCCTTTCATGAGTTTTGCGTAGCAAAGTGCCATTGTAGCACTTTGGACTCTTGTTTGGAGACCAAGGGGTGCGTTCTCGAGAAAGGAGGATTGTTGTGTCGATGATGTCACCAGTATGGGACGGGGCATCTTACTCTCCATATTAAAGCAGCGACAAGAAACCCCAGCTAGCGCTCGGGATAATTGCTGGATGTAGTAGGCTCCTGATGCTGCTTCACTCAGAACCGAAGGCTTGGAGTTGGTCCGATTGGCCTGAGACGGTGGACGGCCGAATGTCCTTCCTTGACCCCCTCTCTTCTAAAAAGGGGCCGGCACGCAAGCTAGCAGTCATCCTCTCGTGTCGGTGAGCTCCCCTGCAAGACTCTCCGTTACCTTGGTCGGCATCTATGTGACCCGGCCACCAAGGTACGTTGAAACATGATGGACAAGGAATCATGCAGAATAGCCCGACGGTCTTCCAAACACGCCCGTCGCAAGAAAACATCTTACGCACGCAGCTCTAAAGGAGAGATGGTATTAAAATGCCTTCCTCTCGCGAATATGTATCGCAATCACAAACATATCTGCCCATTGATGACAATAACCACACAAGCCTAGCTCCTTCGCTACATTTAACTATTGCACCACTAGTGATCCGAGATGCCCACAGATATCGAACACGTTTCCATCACCACCTTTGGCGGTCCAGAGGTTGTCAAGGTCACGCACTCATCCCTCCCCGACCCGCCGCTCAAACATGTCCAGATCAAGGTGCTATACAGTGGATTTGCTGGGTCGGACATCAACATGCGTATGGGCACGTATCCGATGCAAAAGAAAGCGCCTCTCACTCCTGGATACTGTTGTGTTGGCACCGTTCACGCCAACGGGCCCGGCGCCAACAAATTCAAGGTCGGCGACCAGGTGGCTTGTCTGACCGTGTACGACTCTGAGGCAACATACACCAACCAGCCTGAAAAGTACCTGGTTCCTGTACCTGCAGGCCTCGACCCGAAGTCCGCCACAGCCCTGGTGTTGGACTGGAACACCGCATATGGCATGACCAAGGGCAAATTGTCTGCCGGCGACAAGGTCTTCGTCCACGGCATGAGCGGCGCCGTCGGATATGCACTCATGTCGCTTGCCAAAGCCGCTGGCGCCGAGGTATACGGGACAGCATCAGCCAGAAACCATCAGGCTATCCGGGATCTCGGCGCTACGCCATTCGAGTACAGAAACAAGGACTGGATCCAGGCAATGAAAGACATGGGCGGCGTGCAAGCAGTGTATGATCCGCTCGGATTTGAGAGTTGGGATGAATCATATTCGATATTGAGCATGAAAGGCGGCGTGTTGTACGGGTATGGAGGGAACTTGGCGAGTCTGAACGGCACAGAGCAGAGGAGTACCGTGTGGCCGACGGTGAAGTTGCTGGCCAAGAATCTGAAGCTGTGTGACAGGCGAACGGTGTTTCATTATATCTCGCGAGATCAGGGGTCGTTCGAGCCGAACCTGAAGGAGTTGTTTGGTATGGCGCTGGAGGGAAAGATCAATGTGTCGATCAAGCGAGTGTTGGCGCTGGATGATGTGCCGACGGCGCATAAGGAGTGGACGAGCATGACGGGGATGGGGTCTGTGGTGGTGGAGATTGCTTGAAGCTCAAAGGAGGAATCCATGGAGTGGACAGGCGAGTCGTGGCACGTCCTATGTTCCCGGAAAGCTATGGCAGACATATCTGAGAGGATGTAATGATGACTATTGTTATTGAGAGGAATCCGCGGACTCTTCATACCTCCATATAGTGTCCAGTCCGTACACGTTTGGCCTAATCGGACGCACGCCAGACGCTCTTCCACTTCGCTTCTCATTCCCTCGTCCTTCCCTTGGTGGAAGGTCTATTGGCTGGAGCCTCGATGAATTGTTATCAGGTCAACGCAACAGACGATAATGCGAGTGAGTTGCTATGCACTGTGGTAGTTGTGATTGTATTCGAATTTGTCGCTTTTCCACGGACACAAATACCTTGACGATGATTGGCTGGGCGCCTGGACACTAACCGACAGCCTCGCCACCATCGTTATCGATAGCAGAATGTCAATTCTTCGTTTGCCAGTCCGAGACCGGCATCACGGTCAACCATTATTAATTCCCTACATTCAACTTACATTGACGATTTCTGCCACTCCTCGATTGTCTGTGAACTTTTCTCATTCTTTTCGGAACACGTAGAAGCCTCTGAAAAGCCTCCGAAGACTCGTTACACACGACCGAAAGTCTCAAGATACGCAGGTAGCGCTGGTCGCCACTCGCCGACCATGAGCGCGATCCTCTCCGCAGACGATCTCAACGACTTCATTTCGCCTGGCGTCGCCTGCATTAAGCCAGTCGAGACCTTACCCACACAAGCAGATTACAACCCTTACGAAGTCACCACCGAAGACAAAGTCCAGGCACAGAATCCTGCTCCTGCCTCCATCTCCTTGACCGATTGTCTCGCATGCTCAGGCTGCGTGACCTCCGCCGAAGCCGTCCTTGTCTCGTTACAGTCACATACAGAAGTCCTCAATACCCTTGACACATACTCTCCGCTGGACGTCCGATATCTGCTCGACAGCAAGAATGGCGTCGTTAACGGCCACGCTCCTCCAGCCCGCGATGCGAAATTGTTCGTCGCGAGCGTGAGCCCGCAGGTTCGGGCAAGTCTGGCGGCTACATATGGCATTTCAGAAAGAAAAGCAGGATTCATGATTGAGCAGTTCCTCAGTGGATCGCAAGGTTTACGGATAGGCGGACAGCACAAGAACGGTTTTTCATATGTGGTCGATACGAACCAGCTGCGGCAAGCGTGTTTGGTGCTCGGAGCGGAAGAGGTGGCAGATTCAATAGCCAACAAGTCCAAGCCTAGGCCAGTCTTGACGTCGGCTTGTCCAGGCTGGATTTGCTATGCGGAGAAAACACATCCTCATATCCTGCCGCACTTGTCGGGTTTGAAGTCTCCACAGGCACTTTCAGGCACACTGCTTAAATCGGTACTCAGCAGGACGCTTGGTATCGCTCCGTCCCAGATATGGCATCTCGCGGTTATGCCATGTTTTGACAAGAAGCTGGAAGCAAGCAGAGAGGAACTCACGGATCGATGGTGGCAGTCCTCCGATGCGATCGACGCGCCTGTGCGGGATGTCGATTGCGTGATAACCTCCCGAGAAATGCTTTCCCTCGCCGAAGCACGCGGTGTCCAGTTGTCTCAACTACCATTTGAACCGCTGTCTTCTTCAGAACGACCGCCATTCCCAGATTCGAGAATCTCCAACTTTCTCTTTCCCAAGCCACGCCGGCCGACTGAACAGTCCCCTACAGCAGGTTCTTCAGGCGGATACCTATATCACATCATAGCCACAGAGCAAGCTCGAAATCCGGGCAGCACGATCTCAGTACAGCGAGGCCGCAACGCAGATGTCGTCGAGTACTCGCTCCTCTCGGCTTCAGGAAAAACGCTTATGAAATGCGCACGGTACTACGGCTTTAGAAACATCCAGAACCTCGTCCGCAAACTCAAGCCGCCCAAACAGTCGAAACTTCCCGGCGCTGCGAGACGTATGGCAGCATCAGCAAACATGGGAAGTGATTACGCCTACGTCGAAGTCATGGCTTGTCCGGGCGGATGCACGAATGGTGGCGGTCAGATAAAAGTCGACGATGTAGTGTCCATCTTACCGCAAACGAGAGGCGAGAAAGTGGTCAACACGGCGAGTCCGCAGAGTCAGAAGGAGTGGTTAAGACGGGTCGATGAGGCGTACTATTCGGCTGATTCGGACGAGGATGGTCAGATGGACGGAGATGTGCTCATGACGAATGGCAATGGCTGTGAAAATGGACATGTCGAGTCGGTGCATGTTAATGGCTTCGGTGGGAAGGGAGACAAGACTCAGCTCATCAACGGTGTTGATGCGGGAGAAGTGCATGATTTTCTGAACCATTGGTCGAATGTTGTTGGAGTGCCGCTTGAGAAGTTGGCGTATACGACGTTCAGACAGGTCGAGAGCGATGTGGGGAAGGACAAGCCTGGGAAGGTTTTGGATGATACGGCTCGAATTGCACAGATTGCTGGGATGAGTGGTGGAGGGTGGTGAAGCGGCTATACCTTACCAAGGTATATTTGGATTTCGTCCATCCAGAATGACGGGTTGAATGCACTGAAATGGATTGGATGAATGATACGACAACGACAACGACAGAGTTGAAGATGTTCTATGTTATAGATGCATACAGAATCCATTAGGGCCGGGTAATGCCATTTGAGCGAGGATTGTAAACGGTTTGCAATCCCAGAGAATGCAATAATAGTGCAGGTGGATATGGACCTACTAGTAGGTATATCCAAGTCGGAAAAGCTTTGTAGTGGACTGAAGTGGATTGAAGTGGACGTTTGAACGTTTGATTTTGATATGCAAAGTAGAGAGAGATTTTATATTATTGTGACGCCGGCATGGTCTGGTCTGGTGTCCGGCGTAGTCCTCCTCCTCCTCTTCCTTTCTCTTTCGCATACCTGCTCTTCCCTCGTATCATGGAGACTGAGTCCAGTATAGCAAGATCCGGTATGGAAAGTCGGGCACCATATACCTATTACCAATTTCCAATGATCTTGTACATCATCTTCCTGAAGACCGCCCCCACAAAGTTTCCTGGCCCACATGGGACTGTGAAGGATGTCCGACAGGTCGATGGCTTGATGAACCAGCTTGCTCCGTCCATGAAATACATAGATGTATATACAATATACAATATACAATAATATGAAGGCCGTTCCGCATACTGTTGAAGGGCCTCGATTGTAAAAGGCTTGATGAGTGGCTCTGTTTTATACCGACGCTCTTGACGTGAAGTGGACTGTCGTCTTCTCTTTTCCCGCCCTCTGTTCAATAACCCGCGATCGAAAATAAGTGGCTCGAGGCGTTCAGGTATCCAGGCGTCTATCAGTGGCACGACATGCCTGCCTGCCATACCATGCCGGCATCGTGCTCGTCTTTTGAGCTTTTCGTGAGCTACCCGACACCCACCCAAGCGGTCTTCGTATGGATGTTGTTTATTGCAGCACTTCAAGCTCGCCGTCCGCCACTTTGGTCCTTCCACCGATCAAACTCTGCCTGCCAATTACCACCGACCCCCTCGCATCGGTCAGTCACGATTCCCCACGTGCGGGCCCTGACTATTCCTTCGACCGCGACCTCGTTCCTAAGTATGCTAGCCAACTCTTCCGTGCGTGCTTCTCTCGGGAAGAATCGTCCACTATAGGGGTCGAGCCGCTCGTCCACGACACGCTCGGCGTCTCGACGATTCAGGGTCTCGCGCTCGAGCACCTCTGGATCGTCCGGGTCCGGACTCGTCGCGACGGATGTGCAGTATTGTATTACGCCCATGCGGGCCTGCCAGGACGGGAAGAGGACATTGTCCAGAAACGTCCGGGTCGTGGAGGATGGGATGGGCTGGCGTGTGAGGGACGAAGGGAGAGTAGGGTTGCGGACGGAGGTTGAGCTCGGGTCGAATGGCGACGTGGAGGCCGGGGTGATCAGGGCGTTGAGGGTTGTGGATATGCTGTCGTCGATCGAGGCGCGGGACAGCCGCAAAAAGTCGCGCAGGACGCGGGTGTTGAAGCAGAATTGTGGTGTGAGGGCCGGGGTCGGTGTCGGTTTGGACATTATGAGGTTGGGTCTGGGAGGGGAAGAAGATGGGCGGAAGTTAAGATGGGCGGGGTGTGGAGAGGATGATGAGGAGGGTGATGAGGGTGAAGGTGAGGACGATGGCGAGTTCGAGGGAGGAGATGTCCAGAACCACGCCAGCTTGATGGTTGAATCCTGTGCCACAGTACAGGACAAGTCGGTTCGGAATATGAAGGTGGTGGCGAGATGGTTACTGGGAGGGAGGGAGGGAGAGAGAATCGTTCAAGGGCGCATTAATGGATCGGGGTGTGTTTCGAGAGCAGCGAAAGCCGTCTATACCTCAAGCTGTGAAGGACTGTTGTAGAATGCGAGTCAGTGTACGGAGTAATGGCTGAGGGATATGAACAATGGAGAAACGCAAGTAATCGTTCAGACGAGGCTGCGGCGAGGTCAAAGATCCGCCAACCACATCACGTCATTGTTGCCGCCGCTCTTGTATACCTGGTACTTATCTGTACCCGCCAGGTAGGCATTGCTAGGGTCTCCCCTTCGATGCCAAGATCGCTGACCTGGGTTCCTCCGAATGACCTTGTGCTGACCTCCAGCCCATGCGACTGCAGAGGGGCCAGAAACGGTCCTCTTGAAAAGCGATATGGGAACCCTTAAGTACTAGAAGGAATGGGTGCAAAACACCGTTGGTGCTTTTGACCGCCAGGCTGCACCCATGGCGCGTCGAAAACCTGTAGGGAGACATCTGTCCGGGTCTCTATCCAGCGTCACAGAGGACATGGGCCTTCTCTGGGCTTCATGGAAATCATCACGAACTACTGGTACGTCTTGCCTCGCTTCTCCAATCTTGCCTTCCAGGTCTCCCTGCCCAACACCACCGCTCAAGAATCACTCTCACCCCATAACAAAGGCTCTAATTCGGAATCATGCTCCTGATGGCCTGTCACGGCGGCACCAGAGCGAGCTCTGGGGCCAGACAGCTTTGGAAGACGAGGAAGCCCCGGGAACTTCCGATATAAGAGTACCAAGCCCGCGAAGCCGGATCCAAAGACCGCGCAGCCGAATATAAAGAATAGGATTGACCAGAGTGCGACCTAGGGCCAGAGTTAGCATTGGAGAGGGCAAAAATTGGGATGTAGGATGGGGGCCTTACAGAAGGCGAAGGCGTCGCGACGACGGCCGAATATGCCATGACACCATTCGCGGCGTCCAACGCCGCGATCCTCACATAGCCATCGTCCTTATGAAGCGCAAAGCTCGTCTCGAACCCGTCGCGCTCCAATTCTTGAATCGCCACGAACGCATGATCCTTCGCCTCCAGCGCCTTAGCTGTCTCTAATCTCCACCCTGTAACCTCGGTCGCTCCATTCCAACTCACGTATACTTTCCCATGCTCCACCTTCACATCCGGCACAGTCTTCGGCCTTCCCACCCACGGACTCTTGAACACCCGGTACGATTTTACCAATCCGAAGTCGAGTATGTGAAATATGAAGTGGGGCGCGAAGTGTGCGTTGCAGAGCACCTTGCCGTCCGCTGAGAACTCGACGTAGGTTGGCGAGTTGCCAAATCCGACGAGCACGTTGCCGCTTGCCGGAATCACTTGCACAGAGCCTTGGGACACGTTGAGAACCTTGTCTGGGTGGACGAATGCCTGCAGGAGGCGGACGGTCATCTTCTCCATGTCGAGTCGGATCAGCATGCCCTTGCTATGTTTGGACGGGCTGTGGAAGACGTTGTTGGCGTGGTTGTCAAAGAGGGATATCGTGTTGTTGCCCTGCCATGTCACATGGTGTTGCCAGGCGAAATCGGTTGCGCCGTTCAGATCTTCGAAATCATTGTTCTTGCCGCCGACTTGCCACAGGATGTCGCCTGATTTCGAACTGATGCAGACTACGGCATGCATGTAACGGGCCGAGATGATGTAATCCCCAGAGTCAGTCTTGTCGACGCTGTTGATGTGGAAAAAATCAAAGGCGTCCTTCTTGGACCTTCCATGTCCATCCTTGCGTGAAGGACTGCTGAACACATCGCTCATGCGAATATGGTCCGTGGCTCGCCATTCGAATACCAGATCCCCCGTCTCGATATCGACTTCTTGGAATAGACCATCCTGGATCCAGCAGCTCTTGCCCAACCCTAACTCGGTACAGTCCACTTTGTGTTTATAGTATATCGTTACGAGCGCAGTGCCTTGTGGAGTGATGCGAAACTCATGAGAGTCTCCTTTGAGGCCAGCGCCATGCGGGTATACCCGATGGGCAATTTCGTAGGATGAGTCAAGCTAAAACGTAAGAAGTGTATTCACGAACCCAGAAGAAGGGTAGGTCATACCAGCACATAAGACTTTTTGGAATGCTTTGAGTGGCGAGTCTTCTTGGTCTTCGTCCAAAAGGTTAAGTAGTCCTGCCCCTTGTACTTTTGCACGTTCAAGTTCATGGCCTGCTCAAACTTATCGTTTTCCATCCAGATCAAGTTGCCCCTCGCATCTAGCATAACTGGGCCTCGTGCCGGGCCGGTTACCAAGGGGCCCCTTGGAGTGAGGAGGAGATTCCCAGAGTCGCACCGGGAATCCCATTGTGTTACCTTGGGCGCGGGCGCCTCAAGGTCGACGGAGTGGAAACGCTGACGGGGATAGAGGCCATGAAAGCCCAGATCGTAGGCATTGAAGGAGAATGCAGCCACCCAGGGCATGAGGAGAGCTGCGAAGAATACAAAGTACCTCATGATAAGATAACGGATGAAGCATGATAAGATAATCGATGATAAGATGATCAATGATCAATGATAAGATAATTGAAGAGGAGGTCCTTCCAGTACATATAAGAATGAGAATGAACAGGAAACCAGCGAACATATCGTCAGAGAGGGAGAGTTTGGTTTCTGAGTTGACCGGAACACGCGGAACCTACATATGGAGTAAGCCTCGCTTGTTTACCTACCATCGGCCATGGTGGCATGGTTGCAGGGCGAAAATGAAGCCCCGAGTTATGGACAACTTCGATCCACAAGATGTCTGCATCGAATGATGGCACCAGAGGCTTGCCACCATAACCGCGAGTTTTTCATCAACATCGCAGCTTTTGAGGTGACAATGGGGAAGATCGTAAAGGCCAAGCTTGGAAAATGGTTGGCGCTCTCGCTTGGATCCATCATAGAACCCACCCAGATTGTATGATGGCATAGGCCTCAGTCTTGTTGCACAGTCAGGCAAATGGCTTAGTCGAAATTCAATCTCGGGGAAAAACGACGTACCGACATCCGTGCAAGCTTATGGACGCACGCATACCGAAACAAGGCCAGATACCAGGCTGGGGCACATACTCGGGGGTTGCAGTGCCGGTCAGGTCAACGCTCAGCTAAGCGAGACCAAGCAACACCGGTCATACGCGTAGAATGCTGAATGCTTCTTGGTTCTGAACCAATCGAGAATAATAAAGCCCATAGATGTCCTGATTGTTGCTCGCTAGGAGGTCACGAGGTTTGGGTGGGAGTCTGACAACAGGTTGTTGGAGCGGACTTCACACATGTAGATACGTGATTGCTAAGTTTTCGTTGCCTTGGCACTTGACTTCGTTGACGATGAGGTGGGTAAGAATAAGAGTACTGTACGGAGTACCCAGCGGCTGAAATTATGCACCTGTATTCGCGCCAAGTCTAGAATGAATTTGGGAGCCCAGCCTTGGGGAGCCGCTATGGGGGAAGCATGACCTCGTTGATGATGGGATGCTGCACCGTAGCATTAGAGCAAAGTAGACGCCCACCAAGCGCAGGCGGACTACTTTACGCGTCTAAATACGCGATCTCGACTCTACCAGGTACTAATGTACTCCGTAAGCTGTTTCAATGTTTGATCCTGCCTGAATTCTACCTCACTTCACTTCACTTCCCTTCCAGCACTTTCTTCGCAACACTGAGAACCCCTTTGTCATCCATCAGCGTCCTTTTTTGGCAGCAACTGAATTGATTGTTATCTCTCCTCTCATCGAGGTCGATTCAACAGCCGCTGTCAACATGCCTGAAATAGGCGAAGTCGCCCGCACAGTGCACTACATCCGCAAACTCCTCGTCGGCAAAACAATCTCCAAAGTCATAGCCAACGAAGATAACAATGTCTTTGGCAAAGCAGGCTGCTCGGCCGGCGACTTTCAAAAACACATGACGGGCAAGAAGGTCGTCGACGCCGGCCAGCAGGGCAAATATTTCTGGATGATCATGTCCAGTCCACCTCACCCGGTCATGCACTTCGGTATGTCCGGCTGGATCAAGTTCAAGGACGAACATACGTACTACTATCGACCGAAAGAGGGCGAAGAGAACGAGCCCTGGCCGCCCAAGTTTATGAAGTTCTTACTCGAAACAAAGCACGAGGACGGCCAGGAGAAAGTCGAAGCCGCGTTCGTCGATATGAGGCGCTTTGCGAGGATCAGGCTGGTGGACTGTCCCGGGGGGAAGATCCGGGAGAACACGCCCTTGAAAGAGAACGGCCCGGATCCCGTGATTGACAAGGACATCGTCACCGTGGAGTGGTTGAAGAAGAAGTGTCGGGCGAAAAAAGTCCCCATCAAAGCCATGCTGCTTGACCAGGCGAACATCAGTGGCATCGGAAACTGGGTCGGCGATGAGATCATGTACAATGCGAAAATGCATCCCGAGCAGTATGCAAACACCTTGTCGGACGAGCAGATCGAGCAGTTGCACAAGTCCATTCAGTATGTGTGTAATACGGCGATTGAGACATTGGCAGATTCAGAGCAGTTTCCGGATGATTGGCTGTTCAAGCATCGGTGGCAGAAGGGCAAGAAAAATGCGTCGAATACGTTGCCGAATGGAGACAAGATTGCTTTTTTGACTGTGGGTGGACGCACGAGTGCAGTCGTACCAAGTGTGCAGAAGAAGACGGGCCCTGTGGCGAAGGAGATGGACGAGGCCGAAGTTCTGGATGGTGACGACAAGAAAACAATAAAGGATAAGGGTAAGAAGCGGAAGGCTACGGCTGAAGATGATGAGGATGAGGACGAAGAAGTCATGCCAAAGAAGACGACTGCTAGAGGCAGAAAGGCGCAAGTCAAGGGAGAACCGCAGGCCGAGAGCAAGCCCGAGGTCAATGGTGATTCAAAGTCGGCAAAGGCTACGGCCAAGGGCAAGAAGGTTAAAGAAGAGCCAGCGCACACAGACAAGAAGTCTGGCCGTGGAAAGGCTGCAGTGGCAGACTTTGACAAAGCCACTGCAATCGATACCAGCAAACGGAGATCTGGTCGCTTGAGCAAGGCTTAGGCATGGAGGTGAAGCTTGTGTTGTCCAATTGTTGCTTGCTGTGTTACTATCTCAATCGAGCGGGATCAACTTGTACTACTAGCACTGTCGAAATCAAAAATGCTCAACCAGTTTTGCGCTTATGCGTCTGATTTCCGGAGTGCCGTCGTATCAGCACCCTCGCCCTCGAAATGCCATGCTCCATGGCGACAATGCCATCTTTTACCATTGCAAGTGGCCCTTCCATTCTTGTGAGCCTTCCGTGCTATATCCAAGGCCACCGCCGTTCTCCTTCTTCGAGCCAGCACCACTGCCTGGGCGCAAGAGGATGGTCTCTGAAACAGAGTGGACCAAATTGGGCAGGTGCCTTCATGGCACATCAAACCTGCTCAGCATGAACGTGGGTCGGACCTCCGTTGTACTCAGGTCTGACAGGCGGGTTGAACGAAGGCTGAATACCCTCAATTAGGTCCGAATTGCCAGACACCATTCCAAGGGAACTGCGCGCAGATTTGCCATTGTGTTCAACAGCACCAGCACCAGCACCGGCACTGATACCCATCTCTGCCTTGTCGAGGGCCCTTCTGAACGACGGGATCAAATTTGTCGCCAGAGGGTACGTGAAGACCAACGCAAAGCAGCCCGCTGTTAACCACCAGCCATTTGAGATGCCGACAGACTCCACAAGCTGAGCCATCAACGGAGGCTGAAGGGCACCACCAGATATGCTCAAGATCATGAGCGTTTCGCACGTTGGTGTCCACTCCTCATAATCGGCCGTCGCACTCTCGAAAACCATCGGGAAAGAAGGTGCCTCGAAGAACATAACCATCACGGCCAACGAGATGGCAGCTGTGCCCGTAATCTTGGTGCCAGCGGCGGTCGTGGCGACAGCACAAGCGATGTAGCAAAGCAGGACCCAGCGAGGCTTGACCTTCGGCGTGGCGACCGCAGCAGCGGCGACGAAGCGGCCAACAACGAAAGCGACCTGTGCGAAGGACATGCAGATGGCGGCCCAGTTGTCGCTGGCACACGCGTTGATCTTCATGTGCTCAATGAAGAACTGAGCGAAGGTCACCTGGCAGCCCAGGTTGACGAAGTTGGCTGCGACACCCCACCAGATGCGAGCGTACCTCCATGATACCAGTGGGTGCTTCCACTTCTTCCAGCCGCAGTTGACTGGTGGAGGCACGGGCACCTCAACCTCAGGCACGAGGTTGGTGCGGAAGAAGATGAAAGCGACCACCAGTGACAAGCCGAAGATGCAACCTGCCAGCCCACGGTAGAAAGTGATGACGCTGCCGAGATTCGCGCATGAGGTGTTCTTGTTTTCGGTCGGCATAAGGCACTTGCCAGGGCGGAAAGGGTCAGGGAGGGGTGCCTGCGTCGAGGTATCCGGGTTGAAAACGAAAGCGTTGGCCAGGAAGGGCGCCACGACCGTACCGATACCAGCCCACGCCTGGGCAATCAAGATGCGCAGGGCGGCCTGCGTGCGACTACCACAGTTGACAGCATATGGATTTGCCGAGCGCTCCAGAGTCGAAACACCAAGACCAACGACGAACTGGGCGGCTACCATGCCGGGAAGACTGCAACCCTGTGCAGCGAACGACATGAGCAAGTCGCCAAAAGCAAGAACGAAGAGACCAGTGACCATGGCGACTCGATAGCCGCAGCGTTTGACCAGTGGGCCCCCGATGAGGAGGGAGCCGGGGATGTATGCGCCGTAGTAACCGGCGGCGAGGATGGCAGCCATGCTGCGGGTAATGCCCATTGCCACTTTAACGTGGTAATTCATGATGTCTGTAAATCGTCAGAAGGCTGTATGAGGGGTGCAGAGGGCTTTGCCGCAGGACAGGACATACCCAGCAGTCCATAAGCCAGACCCCACATGCAAAAGACGATGCATGCGATAGCGATTGGGATGATGGTATCCCGAGGGCGGAGATCTTTTATTGGACGTCCATGTTGGACGTCAAGACGCTTGATGCGCTCGAGGAAGACCAAGAGCACACCAAGCACGAAGTTGAACATGGTGGATGGAGTTGAAGATGTGTCTTCAACTCAAGGAGGGTGTTGACGAGAAAGACGATAGCGAGAGGGAAGAAGTCTGTGACAAAGTAGTTTGTACAGATGTTGGTTCTTTGGGAGGGATCAGAGCAAAAAAGAAAGAAAGGAAGAAGGAAGAATGAAGGGAATATGTAGAAAGGCTGTTGGAACGAAGGAAAGAGCCTGCAGGACCTGGAGGAAGTAGCTTGGGTACTTTGTTGGAATTCGAGGGAAAGAGGGATCCGGGGATGTTTTATATAGGTGGTCGACTGAGGACCTTGTTGGCCGCCCAAGGCAAATTTTGAGCACAACCCGCATCTCCAGGGCATCAGTCCTCCCCTCGCGGAGTGGAAGAAAGGTAGAACATTAGCGGACCCAGTCTCCCTTTCGTGGTTGAACCATTCAGGGCGGAGAATGAGTCCGAAAAGCTTGGGTACAGCCTCGCGCCTCCTGACCTTTAGGTTTTCGGGCAGCATTGAGAAGACAGCTTTGGGTCGGAGCTGAGTACAGACCTTGATATGAATGGACAGGTGTCTGTCTGCCTACAGAGAGGGAAACATGGTAGAGCTCCATGAGGACCTGAGCACAGTGCCCGACCTACAACAGTACCCAAGCTGACACCTTGTGGAGAGGTGGGGGAGTTTCCTCGAGCAGATGAGCACACTGCCATTTTGAGCGCGCCCTCACCTGGAGTCGTCAAGCTGCAAGAAGAAAACTCAATTCATGTAGATTGAAGCTTTGTGAGATGCAGGTAGACAGTTGCGAAGAGTTGTGAGTTCCAGGGTTGAGTTGTCATAGTGGAAGCTTGGCGCCATCAAAGAACCTGGAAGTCTACGTTCGGCCAATCTTTACCAATCAATTCCACCGTCTCCCCTGCTTCATAGACTCACGATTCGTTCTTAAGATGATTGTGTTTATGTAAGAGGTCGTGCTCCTTCATATGCTGATCTCATGAATAGACTTTATTCTTGTTTGAAAAATTCTAAATATCCCACACGCACAACAACATTTCAGTTATTCGGCAGTCCGATCTCGCAAGCGAGATATCTCACCGTCATGCCTTCTGCAAAGGAATCAGGATCTGGGATCAAGGTCCTGATGCTTCATGGTTATACTCAGAATGGACCACTCTTCCATGCAAAGACTCGTGCGATGGAGAAACACCTACAAAAGGCATTTCCCGGGATATCATTAAGCTATCCTACAGGACCTCTACAGCTCAGGCCAAGAGATGTACCCGGCTTTGATCCGACTTCGAGTGAAGATCCTGACAGTGTGGAAGCTTATGGTTGGTGGCGCCGATCAAACACATCGGACCCGCCAGAGTATGTCGCACTGGAGGACGGCCTGGAAACCATCGCCAAAGTCCTTGAAGAAGAAGGTCCCTTTGATGGAGTCATCGGATTCTCACAGGGCGCAGCTATGGCGGCGATGGTCGCGTCCTTGTTAGAGGGCGAACCGCGAAGAAAGGCGTTTGAGCAAGCAAAGTCACAATCCCCGTTGGCAATAGCATACCCAAAATCCTTTGAGAGGCTGAGCCACCCACCACTCAAATTTTGCGCAGCATATTGTGGATTCCGGGCGCCTGGGGAGAGATACCGAGGGTTTTTTGAAGATCCTCGTATCCAAACCCCGACAATTCATTTTATCGGCAGTCTCGACAGCGTGGTTGACGAGACCAGAACACAAGCATTGGTTGATGCAACTGGCGGCGTCGAGAGAACACAGGTTGTGATGCACCCAGGCGGCCATTTTGTTCCCAGTGGTAAGCAGTATCTGGACACCATCGCAGCATTTATCAAGCAGCAAATGTCGTCACAAGACGCCAGAAATGACCAAGAAGAAAGGGCAGAGGATATGGATGTGCCCTTCTGAGTCAATTCCCTGCGCCCCTTCGTTCTGGACTCACACATTTGATACGTTGATACCCGATAGACGAATCTAGAGCTAGAATTTCAACGTGTACGTTCTCTGCTGTTCGAGATGACTCTTTCATGAATCAAAGAGGACTGAAGTGATTGGAGCAGAAGGTCGACCATTCGGGTCACGTGAAGGGCCATAGCTCGTAAGCGGTTTAGCGCGGCGGTTGCCGCCAAGACTGCGCCAAAATCGAGATCGTTTCGCACACTTCTTCGAGGACCATTTCTACCGCCACTCGACCACCACTTCAATCGACTTCATCACACCTTCATTTTCCCTCTCGACATCCAGCAAGCCCTCCTCTCTAGACAAACGTCTCAGCACTATTCCATAAAACAGCCAAAATGGTATGCCCATCCACCTACAATACTGCACAAAATCGATGTCAAAATTCTCCTTACTCCACCCGCAAAAGCACACGAGCAATGGCAACAACCATCAACACCAGCGCCATCCTTTTCATACCGAAACTCGTACTAACGGATCTGGTCTTAGGTTCTCGCAGTCGATCTCCTAAACCCTACGCCTCAGGCTGAGGCCCGCAAGCACAAGCTCAAGGTAAGATGACCAATAGATTGTAGGAACTGTAAAATCTAACATCCTTGACAGACTCTCGTCCCTGCTCCTCGATCATTCTTTATGGACGTCAAGTGCCCCGGCTGCTTCACAATCACCACTGTTTTCTCGCACGCAGACACCGTCGTCGTCTGCGCCGGTTGCTCAACCGTCCTCTGCCAACCCACCGGTGGCAAGGCCAGACTCACAGAGGGCTGCTCTTTCCGAAGAAAGTAGATGATCACAAAAAGGGAATGATCTAATGGCATGATTTGCTTGATAGAAGATGGATTCCCAGACCTATCGCCGATTCACGATGATTGGAGTTCCGGATATCTTGCAAAAAAAGACTTGACGCATGGCGAGGAAATCTCTTGTGGTTTACGACAGAACACCATGACAGTTGTTTTCGATGGATGGGAATCTTTTCGCAAAAAAGTCTTCTCTGCTTGGGATGACGGGCAGAGGCAGCGAGACTCTGCATGAACATACATTTTTTTGTGATGTGAGGAGGGCAGATCTTGCATGTTGAGGAGGCCTATGACCAGCGTTCAGGCTAAATCATGGTGCAATGGTGGATGGTCATGTACATCTAGTACGAGGGCAATCAATTAACTCTTCAAAAAAGCAAATTATCGTCCTGCGTAGTCATATCCGTCCATTGACGCAGATGTCTCATTGGTAATCGTCTTCGTTATTCGTACACGTCCTCTGCATCCATGTCCATACATTGATGAAAGAATCCCACGACCTTCTTTCAGCTTCCGCTCCAGTACCGTTAGAGCCCTGCTGCTCAAGTTGCGAATCTCACACATATCTCCTGATCCGAAAGCTGGCGGACGAAGCATCCGTGGTTGATGCTCCCCTGCGTAGCTGGAAAGGTGACCATTCATCACCAGCCCGGATGCTGTGGCAGCCAGTACTGATGCATACCTTACTTAACCTCTCGATCCCGTCCAGAAGTCTCTTGAAATGGGTTTTGCCTTGAGACATATGTTCAAGCCTCCACCTGCTTTCGCATTTTTTCTTCAGCCACGCTCCAGCTCCCCCATAATCTTATTAACAAGCTTCTTCTGCTCCTTCTCTCTCAACTCTTTCTCGTCCATCTCCCTCAGACACCTACCCACAGCACAGACCCCTTTTACGCCTGCTTCCGGACACTCAACCCAGACCTTTCCATTCTTGCCCACAGCAATCTCAAACCCGCCCGGCAACTTGGTCCCCAGCTCATCCAGCGCCACGACGCCCTGCTTCTTCAACAACCTCTCCGCCAGGCCGGGGCTCACGTCGAACACCATACCTCCCGTGAGAGGCCCGAGCCCGTCCGGTTCCGCCTTCCCGGTGCTGGGATTCACACAGCTAAGCTCGATCTCCATATTCTTTTGTGCCGCCACGACTTTCGCATAAACGAGGTCGTTCGGCTTCAATTGCGGCCGCGTTTTCTTCGTCGCGCCCTCAAAGGCTAGTTGTGGCAATATCGCCTGAGGCGAGTGCGCATTGATGTGGAGGTGGAAAAAGTCCGTCGACGATGTGCGGAATTGGGCAATCACTAAATCTCCGGCTTTGGGGATGTACCGGGCATCGGGAGCAGATATTTGAGCTGTCTTCTTGCGGTAGTCGACTTCCAGAAGTCCGCCAATGGTTGCTGTGAAGTCGCCAGTCGTGACATCTTGTCGGAGGCCTCGACCTATTTTGCGTTTCTGGGATGTTGGAATCTGCGTCGCTGGTATGGCGTCGCCCGGGAGCATGATCTGTGTTGTAGCCATAGCGGTGATGATAAACCGCCCTGACAATCGCCTTTGACTTGATTTCTGAGGGATACTGACGAAGCCTTTACAAGTTTCTTTCTTTGCTTTCTTCCGACAACTCCCTAAGGTACCTTATGTAGTGGTACCCCGTGATCGTAAAGAATTGGAATATCAGTCCTGGAATGCCAAGAAAAAGATCAATTGGATACCAGCGCATACCGTTTTTAGAATAGCGTGATGCCGCCCTGTACGAGTAGCGGGGGCTTAAGTCAAGTTCCTGCATTGAGGAGAAGTCACCCCGGGGTAGTATGGAGTCTGGGATGAATAAACACGTTGCAGAACTGTGTGTATGCAGTCAAGATACCCTTCACCTTCGAGTGCCATCTTCTGGTTACAATCTGACCCTTTGCTTTGGAACAGAGCTCTACACCTCTTTGCCACAGCTTTGAATTCCCGACCGCAAATCGCTCATCCTGGCCGCCTAGACTGCACTGCTCCTGTCCCTGGACCAGGCCACTAATTCGTCGTTTTCATGTCATGGCTACAACAACCACCACCCTAGTTACAGAATCACAAGAACTTCAAGCCATTTGGTCAGGTACCGCTCGAGCATCACACGAGTCCACAGTATGGGATGACCTAGGCCGAACGATCGCTGAGGCTACCGAACCAAAACCGTCAAATGTCCGCGCAGCCACAACTTTAGTGCAGCTTGCGAGTATCAATTTACTCTCAAGCTTTACAAATGGTGTCATCACAGTCGGCCTCCCTACTATAGCTCGCGATATTAGTCTCGCACGAGAGCTGTACCTCTGGCCGATCTCCGTTTTTGGGCTTACATGTGGCTCGATGCTGCTTATAGCCGCGTCCATTGCAAACGTGGTCGGGGCACGCCGGGTCGAGCTTACGGCTGCTTCATGTTGGGCGTCTTCAGCCTCGCTTGCGGCCTAGCCGACACCGGCATACAACTGACTCTGTTCAGAGCGTTCCAAGGGGTCGCCATGGCCATTCACCTTCCAGCCTCGGTGTCCATAGTGACTGCCACAATCCCCAAGGGCAAGGCAAGAAACATGGCCTTTGCAGCTTTGGGATTCGCTCGGGACATTGGTTATTCCGTTGGTCTCGTCCTCAGTGGTGTCTTGATTCAAACCAGCGGCTGGAGATTGAAATTTTATCTCGCAGGAGGAGCAATGCTGATTCTCGCTACTATGGCCTTTTGGGGTCTGCCGAAGGAGAAAGATACTAGTACTCGTATAGGTACGGCTTCCGAGGGATTCACCAAGGAGCTTTACCACAAAAGCGACTGGGCAGGCAGTATTATCATAAGTGGTGGCCTCGCACTACTGACTTATGTTCTTGCGTGAGTACTTAACTCCTTACCCAACAAAACCCTGCGCTGATACCGTAGGTATTTTTCAGAGTAATAAGTGCAGACCTTGCCTCTATACGATCAAATTCAACAAGTGCTCTTCTTGCGACGAGTCTGGTACTCCTGATTGCATTCCCCTTCTGGATGAGGTATAGAGAGCGTCACGGAAAGCCAGCACTGATCCCCAACTCCTTGTGGAAAACTGTGTCCTTCGCAAGTACCTGCGTTATCCTCGCCATGTCCAACGGTGTCATCATCGCCATGGAGCTCTTTTCCAGCCTTTAGTATGTCGTCCCCTTTTTTCCATGGACCAACTTCTGCTAAAACAAGATAAAACAGCTTTCAGGAGGTTCAAGATGCAGGCACACTCACGACGTCGTTACAACTACTCCCAAACGTGGTAGTGGGTATCGTGATCGGTCTTAGCTGTGGCCTTTTCGTGGACAAGGTAGCGGCTCGGTGGTTGGTAACCATCACGTCTATGCTGTGCGCTTGTGCCCCGTTTGTAAGGCCATCATGGATCCAAAATGGACGTACTGGTTCATGGCGTTCTGGGCACAAGCCTTATCTCCAGTCAGTGTAGATGTACTTTTCACTGTCGGCATGCTTATTTTGTCTGATGTCTTCCCGGACAAGTCACAGGCGCTGGCAGGAGCGGTCTTCAACACCGTCGGGCAGTTTGGCCTGAGTTTTGGTGTTGGTCTCTGCCAGCTGGTAGCCTTGGGGGTGACGGGGAACCAGGGGCAAGCGAGCCATGGCGATCAAAATCAATCAGATGCATCACACCAGAGCTCGGAATTGCCGGAAGGTGACACTTTGCTTCTTCGAGGCTACCGGGCAAGTTTCTGGACAATGCATGGTTTCATGTTACTCTGCACAATAGTCGCCCTTTTCGGGTTGAGGAGGGTCGGCAAAGTGGGCCTGAAGCGAGACTAAAAGTAAATCGTGATGGTGCCGACCCTATCGATCCCCTCCGAGTCCCAGTTCGCTGGCTCTGGCTAACGGCAGATTTCGAAAGAAGAGAAGTCAGTTCTTTGAGCATTTTTCTTGGATCCATAAAGAGCAGAACGGGAAGACCCAACACGGATTTCTTGTTCGGTATGTGGCGCAAGTCCATACATACCCTTGGCTTATGCGTGCACTTACAGGGAGTTGTGATCAACGAAGATCCACGAGACCTGCATGGCGCGAGCCATCCCCAACAAAAGAAGAATCCTATTGATCGATACAAGCTAAGTACTGGGTCAAGCCTCTCCGCCAGGCTTTGGAGACGGATTGACCGTGAGTTCGATTGAGTAAAAAAGAGAGCATGAGATTGATCAATCCTGGGGTCTGTGACTATTATTTGGCGCACGGCACACTGCACTTTCTACCTGGGCGCCTCCGTATTTCCTGCCGGTCAGTGGTCACATCAGTCGACAAACCCACTGCCTCCGCTACATGGCAGGACCGTGACCCATTTGGTTTGCAAGACCTTGTCCTGTTCAATCTCCTTCTTGTGAGCCTCCATCTCCTCAATGTCCCAATTGATGCTGGTCAGCGAGCCGCGGAGGTAATTGGCCCTCTCCTGCGCCAGATACAAAGCCAACCCTCCCGTCTGCTCCGCCTGGTCTTTGGCGAAGGGGAGAAACTCGGCATTTTGGTCGTTTAGAGCCGTGTGCACAACTCCGGGAAGCAGAGTGAACGCGCGCAAGGTTGGAAATTCTAGGTTATGGCACGGGTGTGTGAGCAAGAGCACGTTCATTCAAGATGAGATGACACTCTAGGGAGGGGAAAGAGCCCCTCGAGGGGAGGAAAAGCGCTTACCCGTGTGGACGAATTCCATGTACTTGTGAGCGGCCAGCTTGGCTGTGCCATATGCCGAGTTGCCCGGCACGGTCACCCCTGCAAGACCCGAGTTGACGTTGATCACGGTACCGGTAGGGTTCTTGGGGTCGGGTTGGCTGTTGATATAGCTTCTCACGGTGTTGTGTAGGCCGAGAACGTTGACCTCCTAATGATGGGGCGCGACAACGTCGTCAGTACCAGGGAGGACATTGGTCAAGTTGGGAAGGACCCAAAAGGGAAGGAAAAGGGGCACCTCGTACATAGACACTCCACCATGTCGAAACTTTTTCTTCGTTGGACAGCACTATAGGAGACACCCATCCTGCATTGGCGAGCACGACATCGGGCAAGCGACCGAAACGGTCAATGGTCTCTTTGTACATCTTGTCCGTGTCTTCGTCGCGGGAAATGTCGGCCGAGATGGTGAGGACTTTGGATTTCGCCGCTCCCGAGATCTGCCTACCAAGGGCGTCTGCGGTCTCGTCGAGGACATTCTTTCTGCGTCCGACTATGACCACGCCCTCGGCTCCTGCTTGGAGCCAGATTTTGGCCGCTGCCTGTAACGGTGGTTAGGTCTGTCTCGGCTTGGAGGGTTCTTCTCGAATGATGGCGGGTCCCTTTTTCACTTACAGCTCCTATTCCGGTCCCTCCTCCCGTGATCAGGATGATCTTGCCCTTGACAGAGTTGTCCGGGTTTTGTGGTGATATCTTATCATACACCTCCCGGTAGATCTTCTTGGTAAGTTGGAAGGGCAGAGTGTACTGCAGACTTGGGTCCGCGCGGTCAGTGATGGCTGCCATTGTTGCTGGAAGGGGTGTTCTTGAGATGCTTGATGATTGCTAGTCAGGAAATGTGACGGATGTGTTTTCGCTTGGTAGTACTTTGCGAAGAAGGAGAAGAAAGTATTCAGAGACTTCGATGGTGGTACTTATAGTTCGATCGTCGAGCATGTGTGTCCTGCTTGATCATGTCCTCTGCTCCGCGTCTCGGTCGGTCGAATGCAGACCTTCCTTCGGCATGAATTGGGTGCCATTGTCACGCTGGCACCTAGCTCAGCACGTTGGCTTACCAGGAGTGGGTGTTTCCATTATAAACCTGCTACGAATACAGAGCGATCGGATCTGGCTTACCGCCGCCTCCTGTGTCCAAAGGAGCACGGGGCTCGGGACGTGCTGCCAGATAGTACTCCTCCAGATAACTTCCGCGGACGACGAGGACGACGTGAAGATGTTGGCTTACCTTGCCTCTCATTGCGTGGCTCCTGGCGGTGACGTACTTCCTTCGCAAGGTGTATGCAAGGTGTGTGCAAGGTGTGTGCAAGGTGTATCCAAAGCTACACCTTCCAGCCAAGGCCCGGACGAAACGAAGTCAAAGCACGTACCGCGCATGAGTCCAAACTGGAAGCTGGGAATATCCATACTACAAATAGACCATGCACTAGTTTAGGAAAGACACTCGGAGTGCATACGGTTTTGGCAACACCTATTGGTGCTAGGAGGGGTTCCTCTGGAAGCACCTCATTAGTAATGACGGCGGAGCGGAGCATCACCGGAATCCCATAAGGCTCCGGAGCCTCCTGGATTAACAACCAAATTCCACGGGCAGGACGCAGGGGCAGTATAACATGCTGACACATTTCATACGGACGATGTAGGCCTGACTACAGATGGGTTTCGGGAAGCAACATCACTCATGGTGCTTTATCCTTCACTGTTCTTGTGGTCCACAATTGCGGTAGTGTGCTCCGACGCCACCCATACCGTCCGTCGAAAACAAGCCGGCAATTGTATGGAAAGCAGATTGCAGGGGCACAATAAGGTAGACCTTGACGCGTGGCTCATACTTGTCTCTACGCATGGATATCATACATGACCATGAATCGTCATAGCTGATGAACTCTATAGGAGAAACGCTCGCGGTTTTTGTTTTGGGTTCATAAGCAGAAGACTGACTGATCACTCCGCGCCATGCCGATGCCACCAAAACCTCAAATCTGCCTTCTTGCTCAAGCACTGCCGTTGGAAGTGACCTGCGGAGCCTTGACCTCGCCTCTGACACCGCCTTTGCCACCAACAGGTCGAGCTGTAATCGACATGGACATCTCAGCATCGACGTTGACCATGACTTCTACCTTCGATTCCTTCTTAAGATCTCTGAAGACAAATTCGGCCAGTACTTTCTTTGGCTTGTAGATCTTCTCACGAATCTCCTCGGGTTCATCATCCTCATCAACATCAGAGTCATCTTCATCTTCGTCCTCTTTGGTGCCATTCGTCTCGGGTTTCTCCTTGGGTTCTGGCCGCGTGACCTTGATCTCCCGCTCCCCTTCACTGATGCGAAGCAGAACATTTCCTTCAAGGCCTTCAATGACTTTCGTTCTCCGCGCGGGAACAGCAGTGTCTGGTGGGATGATAACCGAGATCGAATCGCCTGGCTGTCCAGTCACTTGGTAACCAATGGCAGCCGTCAAGTGTGGTGTGACGGTGACCATTTCGTGCGTTGACTGGTCAATATCCTCCTTGTCAAACTCCTGGATCAAGGAAGCTTGCAAGGCAGCCCCTCTTGCAGAAAGTTCGGATGGGTTCAACGCTGACGGAGTGGTCGTAGGTGCCAGAACTTGAGTAGTCTCGGGGAAGATGGCCTCAACGTTCTTCGCGATCTTCGGCGTGTGCGAAGTGCCGCCAGACAGGACAACTTCATCGACATCAAGCACATCGAGATCAGCTTTTTTGATGGCTTCCTCGATGAGCCTGGTAAATCGACCAAATGTCTTCAAAGCAAGTATCTCATAACGACTTCGGTTGATGGACGATCGGAAGTCAACACCATCAGCAAGGCTTTCCACACTGAAGGCAGCACTAGTACTTTGACTGAGAGCCTTCTTCACAGCTTCAGACTCCAGCTTCAACTTGGCCAAACTCCTTTCGTTCTTCCGCGGATCAGTCTTGTTCTTTTTCTCAAATTCTTTGGCGAAGTGATCTGCCAACACCTGGTCCAGTTGAGCCCCACCCAATTCATAGTCATGAGCAGTCGCCAGGATGCTGTACATTCCACCTCTTGAAGCGACAACGGCGACATCGGATCGGTTGCCACCGAAGTCTGCAACCACCACGGTTTTGTCCGCCGCAGCATCGGAAGATCGCGAATCGTATGCCTGTAGTGCCGCAATGGGTTCGGGAATGAATTGTAAAATTTCAACTTGGATGGCTGCCGCAGCTTTGGTCAAGGCAGCCTTTTGCTCTTCGCTGGTGTCTGTGGGCACAGCAACAACGGCTGCATTGACGGTCTTGCCAGTAAAATCGGATGCAGAATTCTTGAGCCGTCGCAGATGTCGTATCGCAACTTCCGGCAGTGCTATTTTATTTTCCTGCTCGTCTTCCTTCTCCTGTACGGAAAACGTGATTTGACCGTCGATCTCGAGAGGATGGGCAGAGGCATGGCAAGGTGTAGGGTCTATCGACTTGTAGTCTTTCCCAATAAAGTCTCTGAAGTATGCGATTGTGTTCTTGCTGTTACGGACCAACTGGGCTTTTGCTTGTGTTCCGTGAAACTCTTCTCCCCCAACGTATGAGAGGATCGAGGGGATCTGCCGATCTCCTTCTTCGTTGGCAATGACCTCGACTTTTCCTTCGCCCGAGATATGTGCTATCGAACTGTAGGAATTTCCAAAGGAGATACCAATGGCGTAATGTTCGGGTGACCCTACGGCCACCCCGTTCGTGTCGTCGCTCATGGTTTGGCAGACGCCTCCGGATGCTGGAGTAGGTGGGTTTTGGAGGGGAAGAAAATAAAGAAGGTGAGTATCTGAGACAAATGTCGCTGTCCGCAGATATCCTACAATGCGCACCTGAAGACTGAAGATTGGAAGAAAACCCTTGGGAACTTTTTCGAGCCTTGCAGAGGGAAATTTCTTCCTCACGGCAGGTTAGCCGAATGCAGCCTCGTCAATGCCAAGACACTAAGCCAATATCAGCAGATCCTCCTTTGAACTCCCCCTTGTCTTCTTCTCTTCAGAACTCCCGTTGCTTCAAACTAGCAAAAAATTCCATGTGCTATGTACGAGATGATGTACAGTACAAGGTACTGGAAGGTAGCAAGGTGCAAGGATAGATTGCAGGGAAATTCCCCGCCCAATCACTTCGCGAATATTTACAGATGTTTAGATCAGAGGGAAGTACGGCTCACGTATCAACCGCATGTCACGCAGCAGGGGTTCTTCAGCATTGGCGGCTCGATGTCTCTGTGAGCCGCAAAGGATGGCCCGGCAGTTAGCCGATCATGCGTGGTGCCACCACTTGCGCTCTAACTTCGTGCTGTCGGTCAATCGATCCAACCAGATTTTGCTCAATGCATGGATTACTAACTTGGCCCATCGGCATCGGGTACACCTTGCCCTGACTCGAGTTGGAAGCTTCACCCGCTTCGTGCCTGTGACGTTGACGAATCCGTACTGACACCCTCCTGCTCCTCATCGGTGCGGGTGTTCTCGGACATTCGCTCTTCCCGGCTCCTTCTCTCCGCAAACAGCGCAAGCAAGCCCAAGTCATATGTGGCTTTGAGAGATCCAGCGGCGACAAAAGCGACCCAGAAATAGTTCTTCGTGCCGAGGACGCCGGTGATCACGGGACCCAGACTCTGAGCGCATGTCTTGACGACGTTGATGGTGCCCATTACAGCTGTGCGTTCGTGAGGCAGCACGATGGCAGCAAGGAACGCCGAACGCGGAGCCACGTCCATGACTTGCGTGCAGGCTCGGCCAATGAGGAAGACTAGTGCGCCAGGCAGCGTCGCGGGGATGGGGATCAAAGCCAGGCAGATGGCCGAGGGCAGGTGGGTGAATACCATAGTCTGCGCGAATTCGATGGGTCAGTCAGGGGTGGTCGAAGGGTGTGGAATAAGGAAGGGGGGAGGGTGAGTGAGTGTTACCTTGACATTGCCGATCCTCTTGGAAATGGAGGATGCCACAAGCATAGAGAGAGCCGAAATGACTCCTGTCACCGAGAAAATCGACCCGAGCTTGCCTTCGGACAAGTTGAACCTGCGCTTGAAATAGTATGTCACCCACGAGCTGTACGGAGCATCAAGTCAGCATCAGGACGGTCCGGATTGCAGGGTGGTAGGTGGCGGGTTACTTACACAGGTGCTAACCCGGAAGCGAAGTTGTCAAAGGCAAATAGAATGCACAATTGAACAAGAACGACTTTGCTTTCCTTGCTGATATCCGGCAGCAGCCTCCATCGTTTCTTCTTTTTGTCGTCCTTGCGTCCGTCATGCGCCCCTCCAAGTAGAGGTGCTGTCTCTGTCGAATTGGCCGACTTCGGCTGGGTATGGACCTCGCATTTCTTACTCAGCAGGAGAGCCAGGCAGAGCTTAACCAGGCCGACCACAGTGTAGACGAAGTAAATGATTCGATAGGCGTCGATGGAACTGAAATGTTTCTCGTCCCGTAGGAACGTAATGAACCAGCCACATCCGACAAATCCCAACGCTGTCCCTGCAGTTCCAATCAACGAGTACCAGGCATAGATGTCGCTTCGGTCGGTGCTGGCTGTAAGATGGGCGAGGGTTGATTCTTCGATGGCTCGAAACGGTCCAATCTCATTACCGCTAGTGTTCGTCGCTCTGGTCAGTACGGAAAAAAAATCCGGACGTGAAGGAAGCTTCAGCAGGGCAGGAAGCTCACTCACCTTGGACTAATCACCCCAACGATAGCACCTGCAAGAAGCACCCAATAATTTCCGCAGAGTCCGAACACAAGCCCCGCAACGCTCATCAACGCAGCTCCGAGCACAAGGATCCAGCGTCGGCCGAGTTGGTCGGCTATAAGCGTCAGGAGGAAGCTGATCAAAACATCTCCAACAAGCGTCAGAGTCATGAACAACCCGATCCTGGTGTCGGAGATGCCCAGGTCGGAGAGGTATGAAGCGAGGATCAAGGTCGAGCCGCCGTAGGCAAAGAGACGCACGAAGCGCTGGAGGATCAAGATCTTGGTGTCGGCTGAAGCATGAAACAGGGTGACGAGGCCGAGCTCTTTAAGCAGGGCTCGCAGCGGCCGAAGGACTGCGGATTCCTGTTGAGACTCTGGAGTATCTCTCATCGTGAGTTTCAGGTAGTTAGTACAGCTTCAGTCGTAGTAAATTCCTAAGGTGATTGAGTGAGTGGTCTTGAAAGGTCTTGAAAGGTCTTGAAAGGTCTTGCTTCTCTTATGTCATGCTTCAACCAGGTTTTCGGTTGGCAAGTCACCGCCCAAATCTGATAGGCACCTATTATGTCGCTGTTTCTAACCAGAAAAGGAAAATATGAGCGACTGATGGCGATGGCGATGGCGATGTCAAATGCAATGCTTCGACTATCTGCATACTGTTCTCGATTGCTTCTTGATGACGCCTCTTTATCTTGCTGAAGACGTCCATTTCATGGCCATATGGCCCCATTGCAATCACAACTCACACACAAAACACAGCCCGTTAACTCGTGGCTCTTCCCGTTTGGATATCCCTGGGGTTCCATAGGGGCGCATTATCCGCTCCCTTCCTGTCATCACGGTTCTCCTCCCAAATCCCATCCTGCTCTTTCCACTTAGATATCTCTGGTGTCCCATAAAGGCGCATCATTTGCAGCCCCCTGTCATCATCGTTCTCCTCCCAATCCCATCCTGCTCTTCCAAAAATCCTGCTCCTTTCCGTTTCCCAACCCCAAGCCCCCTCTCCCTCTCTGTCCATCCCCTTACTCCTCCTCGCTCTCTTCCTTGCTGCTCTCCTCCTCCTCCTCCTCCTCCTCCGCCGCCGCCGCCGCCGCCCTCCTCGCGTCAGCGATCATCTGTTTCAAGAACCCAGACGCTTCGAGTCTGGGTGCACCATGCGCCGTCTCATGGTACGCAGGCGTTGTTGCCGTCTGCGGCGCTCTTGAGACGGGCCCGGCCGAAGTGGCCACCGGTGCTGGTGCTGGCACTTGCACTTGAGCCTGGCCCCGCATGGGGGTTGGCGGCAAGTTTGCCTCGAACACCATTCCAGACGACGCTGGTCCTGGAACAAATTGCCGCGAAGGCACCACCGGGACTGCCACGGTTGGTGGCGCGGTCGGATTGAACACGAACACTGGACTGGTGTTCTTCAGATTCTCGAAGGCGTTTCTTCGCGGAGATTCCGCTCTTGCCGGTTCTGCCGGTCTTGTCGGGCTTGCCAGTCTTGTTGATTGTGCCGTTCTTGTCTTGCGTTGAGACACCGGCTTCAGGATGGCTCGGCCAGGCACTGCTGGCGCGGATCTGCTGCTTGACGGCTCAGTGTAAAGGTCGCCAACCTCTGCCTCCAACTCCTCATAGTCCTCGTCACTGGGCACATATGAGGTAGGCGCGGAGGTCCTCTCCTCCTGTTCAGCGCCTGTCGATGGGTTGAGGCTTGATGCCCCTTCCTCCATGTTGGTGGTCTCGGCCGGAGGTCCTGTCGGCGGCTCACACGGCTGGTCGTTTTGGATCTCCTGGAGGAGGAGCACTCGCGAGTCCACGTTGTCAGCCTCAGTGGCTGCAGTTTCCAGGTCTCCACCAACGGGCGATGCTTCTGTGTACCCACATGGGGTGGCATCATCGTCCATCTCCATGGTCTGGTCGGCTGGGGCTTGATTTGCATCACCAGCAGAGAACAAGGCAGAAGCATTCTGCAAAGGTTCGGTGTTCTGTCCTCCATCGAGAAGGGAGGTATCTATCCACGAAGCCCAGTCGATATCATCCGCCATGTCCATGGCATGGTCGGCTGGGGCTGGAGTTGGATGTGCGAAGGAGAACATCCCAGGAGGAGTCAGTGTTGGCTGACCAAAGGCGAAGGCAGGACTGGTTTGCATGTTCTCATCAAAGGAGAACGCAGGAAGATCCGGCAATGCATAGTCGAGGGAGAAATCAAGAGGAGCACCATGCATTGGCGCTATGCCACTGACTTCAGAAGCTCCCCATGGTTCTTGTCCGAGGAGGCCGAGTCCAGGAATCCCGTTATCCTGGAACGTGTCTTCTTGCTGAGCACCTTCCATTGATGCATCAGCGGGCATTGCCATGTCCGCATCGTCGGTGGTCGTTGGCTGCTCGGCCATCGTCGACTTGCAGGAGGTGTCCATGTTGACTTCGTCGTCAACAGGATCAAACTGGTATGGACTCCAGTGAGAATGCTCAACCATCGTTGGGCCGCTGGCTTCTGCCAAAAAGTCCATACGGTCCTCCTCAAAGTTCTGCTCTTGCCAGGCGAGCTGTGGGCGTGCCTCCTCCAACGTCTGCTGGAGGTTCTGGCCATCTTGGGCCGCACGCAGGCGTTGATTCTCAGCCTGTAGTTCCACGAACTCCTTGCTCAGAGCGCCAAGCTCTTCTCGAGCTTCGATGAGGAGGGCCTCACCGTCCCGCGCGAATTTCTTCAACTTCGCCAGTTCCTCGTCCTTTTCTTCCGCACTTGGCTGTAGCTCGAGATTCTCGAATAATTTAGCCATAAGGTCACTCTGGACCTCAAGGAGACTCGCCTTCACCGACTGGACTTCTTTTCCTTTGTCATGGAGATCGTTCTCCAGGTGCGCGATCTTCCCATCCTTCTCCTGCATTTCCTGCTCTTTGGCCTCGAGGTCGTCCTCAAGCTGCCCGATTCTCTCTTCTTTCTCGAACAGGTCCTCAGTGTACTTGTTGTCCTGGGCCTTGTTCTTCTCGGCGACCGCATCTTTCTGTGCCATCGCGTCTCTCAGCTCTTGCTCTTTGGCATTTGCCTCGTTCCGGAGATGGTCAATCTGCCGCTCTTTCTCGTCGAGTTCCTTAAGAGTGTCGCCAAAACTTTGGTCTCTGAGTTGTTGTTGGAGATCACTGATCTCGGCGTCCTTCGCTTGCTGGAGATCCTTGATTTCGGTGTCCTTCGCTTGCAGAGTTTGCTTAAGCGCGCCAACCTGAGCCTTCCGTCTTGTGAGGGTCTTCAAACCTTGGACGTACGTAACCGTCGTGCTGGAACGCGACTTCATTAGTCGCTTGTGGAGGTTTGTGGCACGGAATTTCGGGTTGAAACGCGGCTTGATCGGTCGCGACGTCTGTTGAGGGACCCGTTCGGCAGGAGAGGAAGGCTGGGAGTGGTCGGGAATCTGGGTTTCAGCTGCAGCCACTGGATCGATGTTATCCTCTGGAGTGGTTTGGACACCCCTGTCTTCGGTAGTCCTTGAACTCTGACCAGAAAAGTTGGGACGTCTAACACTTCTGAAGCGGATGTATGTGTTATGAGAATTCAGTCTTGCACTCGCAGAGTTCAATTGGCGTCTCGTGTCTTCGAGATCTCCTTTGAGTTGTCTTTCGCTCTGAGTTGCGGCATCGTGTGAGTCTCTCTCGGCTCGGAGGCGTTGCTGCAAATCTGCAATCTCGTTTTTGAGTGCTTGGGTTTCATGCAGGCTGCCGGTATCTGATGCTCTTCCATGAGCACTTGCAGGTGTGTATGGTGGTGAGAAGTGGTTGGGTTGCCGTGGAGTACCTGTCAGATTGCGTCGAGATGGCGTCGTGGTGTTGAATGATACCCATCTGCTAGGTGTAGAAGTCTTCCATGAATGGTATGCACTGCGGAAGGGGTCGATGACTGTCACCAAAATACTTGCAACAAGATCCCATAGGAACCAGCAAACAGCTGCGCGGACATACGGCCCAGTGTTGTAAACACGTATCATCACGTGTGTGAAGATCATCATCATGATCCAGCAGAGGCAGGAGAAAAGTGCGCCAAGAGCAATCAGCGAATAGCCGAAACCAGAGGACACGATGGATAGGCCCTTAGGCCAGGAAGCTTGCCACATCGGGCTGATTGTGTTGCAAGTGGATGCGTAAGTTGACTTCATGCGTGACCAGAACGCTGTGATGTCTTCAAGATTTAATCCCGACTTTTGGTGAATGTGCGTCTGTGTGACCGATGTTCTCTCTTTCCGGAGGCGACTGGCAAGGGTGAAAACGGTTATGTTGGTCATGACAGTGATGAGGAGAGCGAAGATGAGAAGGCCATCCCAGGGGTTACGGTCGACAAAGGTCATGTAGGTTGGGTCATGGTGTGTTGTAGCGCCAGTAGCCGATGCGCGGTAAGTGGTTGTAAACACAGTGGTCACTGGTCCAACGACCGTGCTTGTCGAGGCCGAGAGGGTTGTGGTCTGAGTGTAGCGGATGGTTTGAGTGACGAACTCAACCTCCGGTGCCGTGATGGTCAGGATGTTTCGGAAGGTGTTGAAGTTGAGAGCCGACAGGCAATCATTGGTTTTCTCTTGGAGGAAGAACAGCATCGCTGTCAACGCGTAGAGGATGGTGTTGAATCCAGCCATTGCGCCGGTATTCGTGATCTCTCTAATCTAGAGCTTGAGTATGAAGGAGGTATGGAAGTGCTTTAACAAGGTAGATGATGAGTTCAAGAGCAGAGTATGGTAGAGAGAAAGAGTATGGATGTGCTGAAGGTTTGAGAATTTGGGGAAGCGCTTTGTTTTGAAATTCGAGGCTGAGGCAGTGAAATAGTCGAGGGCGGTGGTGCTACTTGGCGAAGGAAAAGCTGGCAGCGGTGGTGAAAATATCGATCCAGTGAATAACCCCATTGATGCCGCATTGCAGTATTGCGTGGCAGGTGCGGTAGAATCATCACTGGTAGAATCAGACTCTCCGCCTAGTGATATGAGGTTCATGATTGTTGTGACATTGACTAGGATCAACCAGGTCAGGATTCTCCAATTGTATCGCGGCCGTTTGGTGTTGGCGACTTCAATAATTTGATATATATATCGAGAATGGAGTTTGCAAAGATCAGGCGTCATTGCCGCAGTTGAGAAGTGCTTTCCACCATCCAGCAATGGTGCGTTTTGCTCCATTGTTGTAGCAGTCCTTTGTCATGCTCATCTTTGTTCACCTAAGACGACCAATGGGCGCAGTGTACAGCTCAACTCAGCTCATGAGCGTAACAAGAGACAAGGACCCACGTCTCTGAAGAATTGGGCTTTGCTCCCAGCCGTGTAAGATATCTGGGTCGGCATATCTGGGGTGCGATGCCGCGTTTGACAGGCGCAGGTTGGCGCCAGACCCAACCGAATCTGTTTGAACATCGTGCAGCCTGGATCCGCCGAATCAATCGGCAGTTTCCATGGTGGATGCCATCGACGTTGCTGGATCACGCCGTCCAGCTCAAACCCACACGAAAGACGCGGTCCAAAGCCTGGCCATGCTGGTCGAGCTCATTATGATGGTCTCAATCGGGTCGAAGCTGGAGGAGCAGAGACCTCGACAGGGCAGGATCTTTGACGTTGGCTCAGTTGCAAGAAACTGTTTCAGCCCCTTGTACAAATGGAAGCTCGAAAGCTGCCCCAGCGGAGCTTCAGAAACAAGAGGATCACATGTTTGCGGTCACGACATCGCTCAGCTGTCGACTCTCACGACGCGATGCAACTGAGCTGACACAAGATTGTCGAGACCCTGTGCTCGAGGTCGGGATCACCACGCCGACATGGCGAAGAGGGTAGACTGGCAGAGCATGATCAAAGGGATTGAGGGATGTTGTTGAGGGATGTCGTCGAAACAAAATCCGTCAGCCTCCCACGTGATGTCACGTGTCGATCTGGTTTTCTTGATCGGTGCTTGGTTGAGGACGATTTTCTCTCATCTCTGCGGAATCATTCTCACAAACATCGTGGAGAGCAGCTGGATCTTCTCGAATCCCATCTGCAATGTTGAGTCAGCTGTGGACACATTGTCCTAGGAACATGAAGGCTGAGCGGCGGAGTCAGAGATGCTGGCAGTCTGACGAAAAGAATAAGGAGCAGAATTTATGGAAAGAAAGCGGGGAGATAACTGTCAGACAAATAGACTTTCCGTAGCTAGCCGTCACGGCTCACCGTCTCAGCCTCGTCCGTCAGTTGGGAAAGGCACATCATCCTTTCACCTGGCCAATTCTCTGAAACATCACCAATGCGCTTGCTATATTGCCCCGCCAGACTTCCATACAAGTGAGACACAGTGCCTGCAATGCAAATGAACGTATACGACCCATCGATTCTTCCACCTCGCATCTCCACCTTCTTGAACAACGTCAACACTACCACGACGCCAGGAGGCGACGACCTAGACCTCTTCTTCCACTGCTGGACGAAACCACATTGCCCGGCCTGTCTCTCGCCATCAAACAAGTATCCGTGTTCATGGTGTGCGACTTCCCAGACTTGTGTGCCAAACACTGTATTCGAGTATCCATTCGGCATCCTCTCGCCGTCGAAGACCGACGAACTGTGTCCATTAGGATGGCGGGAGCGGTGGGAACTCAGGGCCCGCCCGTTTAGCTGTCGCTGCTCTAGCATGACATTCGTCAGTGTGGTCGTCGCTGTACTGGCTACGCTACTCAGCCTCTTACTCATATTGCTTTCTGTTAGGCTGGGTCGATGGGTTGAGCGGAAATGGCGAGCTCGTCGGAAAGGCTGGTGGAGGTTGCGAAGTTGGACTCCAAGGTGGTTGCACAAAGAGCAAAGGGACGTCGCTACGCAGAGTGAAACTATCACCTCAGCTCAGATGCCGACTGAAAACGACGAAAGAACCCCATTACTCGCTTGACTTTAAAGGCGTTGGTTGGCGCTGGGCCTCGGTCAAGTCTGGACCTGGATACAGTACGCCGCCCATCCAATATTGTAGAATCGTTTCATACAGAGTAGCGCGTTTGATACGGCGCATGCACGCCGCGAGGTATGATAAAAAAGTCAACTCAACCCGAGCTCGAAGACTCCTCGGCACCGCCAGGCCCAGCGCACACTTTACTTATCCTATACTCCACCTTCAAGCCTTCATCAGTGAGTATAAACCTGCCCGAACCCACAAACAGCGCCTGCTCCAGAGCCCTATACCTCATCGCCCCTGTTTCGAATGTTATATGTATAACTGCGGGTATTATCAGCACCAACCTTACTCAACTGCAATGGGTATCTTCAAAGGCGCCGGAGGCAGACGAACAAGAATGTCCAAAATCCGTTGACCGTGCATTGGCACTCCGGCCCAGAATCCTCCGCATCTCATTCGTGATGTCGACGATGCCCGTATAGTGCACGTGGATCTCCTACCCGGCACATAGTCATCAGCCTGAGCTCCCTCGGCGGTCTCCAGCAATGAAATTTCGATCGGAAGGTAGTCGGGTATGGCTATGGTAGAGGCCAGCGTACCTCTCCACGAGTATCACTACCAAAAACAATCAATCAGCATCATTGTCGTTACCACACGGCCACGCCCTCATCTTCAACCTCTTGCCCAGCATACCACCTCTCCAGTGGCAGCGAAACCAACAACGACCTCGGCCGTTCACACCACTTGGCTAGGCTTTCACCAGAGCATCTCGTGACTCAGATGCACCGGACACTGCACGACGCCAACCTCTCTACTTCCGATGACTCGTCCCAAGTCCAGCCGAGCATGAAGGGGCTTGCAGCGATGGGTCATACATACGCAACAACAAGATCACTTCTCAACCTCATCCGGCTTCCGTCCGGGTCATTGTGAACATCTAGATATCATGATTCCAACCCATCAGCATAACAATTCACGTAGTCCTCTTGAGCCTCGGACGGGGACGAAGCGAAGCCCCAGGCGAGACGAGCCTAGCACGTAGTCACATAGCCACATAGTGGCCCCATTGACTTCTCATGCCTTGCAAGGGCGGCGTAGATCGGGAACCTTGTACGGAGTAGGCCCCCTTGACTTTCTCACGACCTTGCCGACACACAGCCTCCTCGTCCTCCTCTTGCGTTTAAGGAAAAAAGGGGGGGAAAGGGAAAACGTACAATCCACACCGGGCGCTCTCGTCCACGCATCCACGTCCACCGGGAACCCAGGCTCCGATCTCAGCGTGCCCGAGACCAACGGTACGACCGTCAACGGCGCACCGCGGGACAACGATCCAACGTGCGACGCCGGGCCGATCTGGATCTGCAGGTGCAGTGCAGGTTGGAGGGAGGGGTACCCTGCACCCGTCGTCGGGGGTGAGGGTGTTTGTGCCGTTTGTTCGGGTTCGGAGTCGTGGTCGCGGTCTGGGAGGGCAGCAGACATTGAGGAGGTCCGAAGATAATGATGCTGCTGGTTCGTACGCAGGACGTTGTCGACGTCTACCACTGAAGCCTCGTCGCCGACTAACCCCAACTACCTACCAAGCTACGAATAGGTAGCCGTGGTAGGCAGGAGTGGTAGGTAAGTATTAAATATATTTGAATACTGCATGGCTCGGTGGAAATCTTACCCCGCAGAATGTAAGGCTTACTACCCGATCATAGATGGTACGCACCCGTGGTACGTAGTTGATGACAAGGCAACTTAGGCAGAACAAAGGACGGGAGACACAAGGTATCGTATTTGGTAGGTAGACAAAGCCAAATACTAGTAGGTGTTCATTACCATATCTCATAAAATCATGAAGCCACTTCTTGGGTATCCAGGTTTCCCAATTCCTCAATGCTCAATGCCCAAAAAACAATACAAGGAACCCAATCAAACAACCAAACAATCATCAGTGAAGCATTAACCAAAGTCCTGGTCAATCTCATCATCTGGCTTCGTATGCACAAAAGCCCTCTTGATGAAAGTTTTCCAGAGATGATTCTTCGCCGTCTTCGAGTCCTTTTTACTCTTGCCTTTCTTCGCGATTTCCAAGTCGGGCTGGGCAACAAGATCATCTTCAACTCGATCAGATCTCGGGCTAGGTAGCTTCTCTCTGCCTATCCTCTCGGCAAGGTCCAGCCATGACCGCATCGTCAGATCATTCATCTGATATACACTATCATTTCTTGTGCTGTATTCGACGTGGTAATCGAAGTAGTGCTCGGGATCCTTCTTGTTGCCGTCACTGTGCATGTTCTCATGCACTCTCGTCAGGTTGGAATAGTACTGCGTCCAGGAAATAAGAGAAAGCGGTTGGGGCGAATAACCCGGACCAGGAGGTGATGATTTGGATGGTGGCTTCGGTACTGGAAATTTCGGCTTCTTGTGCTTCTTCTTTTTGCCCTTCTCTTTCTTTTTCTTCTTCAGGTCGTGCATGTCGTCTGCAGGCGACCCGGCCTCCTCGTCGGCATCATCATCCTCGAAAATAAAGTCTTCAATTTCGTCAATAGTGGCTGTCTCGGCCACCTCCGCAAGCGTCCCTACTGCCCCGGGAGCCGGATGGTGGTTCTCTAGACCGGTAATGTTGTACTCGACAACTCGAAGCGTAGGAAAAAAATTGGGAACTACACTCGGCGACACCAAACTCAGACTGAACCTTTCTGCCCAAGGTCCGCCAATCTCCTTGAGAAAGTCGGCCAGTTTCTCCTCATCGGTCGGCTTCTTCTTCTTCTTCTTCTTTTTTTCGATGTCCAATATATCATCCGAGTCTTCGATGTATGAATGACCTGAAGGGGGCTTTGGCAAATTCGCCCACCCTGTCCTCAGCTCGTTTAGGTAGGTTGCCTTCGCAGCGATGCTGAATGTCGCATTCGACGAATCAGGTTCGAATGACTCGGCTGGGCTAAATTCATCGCTGACACCTTTGATCTTGAACTTATATGTCAAGTCTCTCACGTCTTGGAACATAAAGTGGTCAACATTCATGTGGCCAAAAATGGACGTGACGATCACATCCCGGTATTGACGCAGCCACAAGGTGTACTTTTGATAGCAACTCTCGTCCCAGTTTTGTTTGCTTTCTGTTCTGGCGGGTGGCACATGGCCAATAAGGATGGCTTTCATGCCTCGCTCGCGCATAAATTGAAGCTGGATCCGCAGCCACTCCATATGCTCATAGCCCGGTTCCGACTTCAGGTCGCATCCATCGACAGCCGAGTTCGAGTCGAAAAAATACAGTGTGTTCATGCTGATGACTGCCAACTTATTTGGTATGACTTCTGTGAAGAACCATCCTCCTCTTGCAAAGGAGTGTCGCTGCTCTCCTGGCACAAACTTGTTCCATATACTGCTGTACTCGCGTGTCCACTTGTTCGGGCCAGGCAGGAAGATGTTATGAGGGAGGATGTCGTTGTTTCCGAATGTTGGAACTATAGGGACAACAAAGTCGTTCGTCGGGTCGGGATCGTTTATATTGTCAGGCTTCCCAAAGACCTCGACAAATTTTTCCACCACATATTTATTGAGTTTAATGACCTGCTTGTCTGAACGCGGGTGTCGCTCATCATTGTCATGCCGGGCAGAATCGCCAGTCCATATCACGAAATCAATCTGATCCTTAATATTGTTCTCAATCCACTTGAAGGTCGCGTTGACCAAGGTAAAGGGCGTGTCGCAGTCTGTCACTTCGGCACCGTAATAGTCCGCTTGGCCTTTGCCGGCATGGCAAGCCTCATCTGGATTCGAGCCAGACTTGTAGAATGGGTCGGGGTGGACGTCTATGGGCTCACGGTTAGGACGAGGGCAGGGGTGCCTTGAGTCTCTTGCATACCTGTGATGTGGAGGAATTTGCCCTGCAGCTTTCTAGGACCCGACTGCGATTTCGTCGCCGGATTTATAAGAACCTGCTGAGCTCCCTGACCATGCGCAAGGGGATTTGGAGGCGCTGCTAATGCAAAGGCTGAGAACAGCAGCAGGCCGCCGGTAAAGCGAACCATCCTAAAAGAAGCACACTTCCAACATCAGGCGCAACTGGAGTGATCGAGCCGCAGAAGAGAAATTTGTTCCTGTGAACCATAAAGTCGAAAACAACGTCGTTGAAGAGCCGGATGTGCACTCTTCCACGAAGGCGCAGGTTGCGGATGGCAGGTCGGTAGGTAGAGAGAAGCCAAGAGGATGAAGTCATTCGATTCAAAGGATTCGCGTTATTGTTTGGGCGAATAAGAATGAGAATCCTTCGCTCGCGGACAACATTCCCGGGGCCTGAGTCAGGCACCACGCATGCGTTTTTTGCTGGTCGCCTCGCCCTGGAATTTATCCCCGGGCGTCCCCACGTTGGTCAGGCACCGCTAAGATTTCTGCGAGCCAACCTGGGACTTTTCTGAAGTCTTCGGCCCAGTGGAAGAAGAAAACCGACACAAGAAGGGAAATGTCAGAGACAAAGACGACCGAGACTTTTAAGGGTTTCTGTAAAGACTCGTGTGACACTCTTATAACCAGTAGTCGTTGTCCTTGCACGATGAAATTCGCCCCCAGGGTTCAAGACCAAGCTGACTTTGACAGCACTTTCAAAGGCCAATAAGCCGGGTCTGCGCCTACACGTGGATCCTCAGATGACCTCTTCTTCCACAACCCCCCAAAGCACACAGGACGCACCCCACTGAGGACCTTGGGTGAGGATCGCAGTTGAGTCCTTAGCTAGCCGTCGAGGTGTCCCCCTAGTCGGCAGCTTGCATGGACTGGATCTTGCATCTGACACCACTCAGCCTGGCGCACGCGACACTTTGTAGGATTCCTCCCACGCTACGGCTTGGACTGCTTGGTAAGAGATCCGGTCTTGTCATACCCAATCCGAGTCTTCAGCTCCGACCGCCATAGAATTCGTAGCTGCGCCGTGGCAGAGATCCTTGAGGCATGCCGTAATTTACTGGCATGCGGTAGTCCTCGGGAGGCGTCAACATCTGCTGTGGCTTCATATCTGGGTGGACATTATGATCCTGATTCACCGGAGGACTGGGCAGTTGTGCCATCGTATTGCTGTCATACGAGAACTGAGGAGCGTTCGGATACATGTTGTTGGTCCCATGGTTGTAGGCCACGCCAGCAGTAGGATTAGGAGGGTTGTTGTATTGTCCTGGCTTGACTTCCAGTTGTCGGCTCTTCAATCGTGAGAAGAGCACCGCTGATTCTTGCTCAAATTTTTCCCGCATCTCCGGTATGGCCCATCGATGTCTAGCAAAGTCCAAGATCTCAATGATTTTCCGCAAGAAGATGGTTGCCCGTTGGCCGTTATCCAAGGGGGCGCTGCTGGCAAGAGGTGATCCTTCTCGAATGGCATGTGAGGTCTTGAGCAGACGATCAAAGTCCGACCACATCACCTCCACGAATTTCTGTCCAACATGTTTAGCTCTGCAAATATCGGCATAGGTCAAATATGCGTGCCATGTGACATCTTGAGTGATGGGCTGCAACAGCTCCGCATATTGAGCAGAATACTCAAACACGAGCTCCTTGTTCAGATCCGTCATGCTACTTGCAGGCACTCTTTGATTGGGAGATACAACCAAGATCTGACAATACAGTCTTTCGAGATTGAAGAGCATAAGATGGCGCTGTGACAAATTCGGTGGAATTGTCGAGTACCAGGCATGGATGTCGTTCGACACAGAACTGGCATATGTGGCCGCCGTTGCAAGAGGCCATTGAGTGCGGGAGGACCATCGCGTGGTCTGATAGAATGCAGACTGGACTCGACGGATGTCGAACAGGAAGAGACACGGTCTGATTGAGCGAAGGAACAATGCCGATGGTGAGTTCTCCGTGGCCACGGTTGGAAGCTGCACGTCCGCAGCAGAATCATCGGTGAAAGAAAATGCTCGGTCGAGAGACATGCTCACAAGTCGATCGAGCGCATAAGTGCAGTGAAATATTCGCCGTCGCAGGTCTAGCGTGGTCTTGCTGGTTTTGGTCTCTGGTGGAGGCTCACAATGGAGCCCCAGGTCTATCACAAGCCGTGAAGCCATGCCAACAAGATACCAACTGTCGAAGTGAGCAGGATCCACCAATGCGTATTGAACCAGCAGGAGAAGAGCCTGTACACCCGTGATTGAGCCCGGGTGAAGGACATAATGTGCCAGACTCCTGGCTGCGGCCATATGTTGCAACGCCGTCTTATCATTCTCGTCTCCTTTCCGCTGCGAGCAGGATGCGTATGCAATGGCCATGATTAACCTGACATTCCAGACGTCCAGAGGTGATACGGATGAGGAGTCGTTGTAGATTCGAGAGAGGCTACTCATCAGCTCTGTCTCGGAGAAGAATGGCAGAAGCACGTAAATGTTCTCCAAATAGTGGTTGATCATGGGCGTGATGGCATATCGTGGCGGGAGGCCTCGAGTTTCGACCGGAGGTAATTCATCTCTGGCAGCGGCCGATAGAAGTAGTTTGGCAAACGACATGGTCGAAGTGAAGCCATGGAAATCTCTCGAGGTGGCATTGACCGTCAAGAATCCAAAGTCGCTCACCAGTTCATCGAGATCTGATGCCTCTCTTCGTCGGGTACCGCTAATTCTTCTGGGTTTCTGCGGACGCTGTGCTGAATGTGAGGAAGACGAAGTCCCTTGAATGGCGGCTTCCGTCCTGGAACGTTCAATTTTCTTTTGCAGTCTCTGGGCAGCAGCCTCGAGAGCCGCTACATAACTTCTTTCTTTGCCCCTAGCAAACTCGTCGTTGGCACTGGTACAGCTGGTTCCCTTGCCCGATCGCTCACAAGCGGAACAAGCTGGGAGCTTTCCATCACATTTGATCTTGGCCGACCTGCATCTTGCGCACGCTGCAACGGGCCGGGAAACGCGTAAGGATGGGGCCAAAAGCGCATCAATGGACTCTGTTTTGGCCATGGCGTCGGTTGAGATTGGTACGAGCAATGATCAAGACATTACAGTTACTATTCACGAATTGCGTCCTTGGTGGTCTTGTTGACGGCGTATCAAGGCAGATCGAATAAGGTGCTGAGTATCCGTATCTCGGATCCCAATAAGCTGACTGAGTGAAATATACTCCAATGTACTTCGCACACGAGGCAAGATGGAGGTCGAGATGAAGAGTCAAACACAGCGGTCACGAGTCGATCACGTCTTTCTCTGCCGCGGCCGTTGAAAAGAAGGTTCGAGGGAATGTTTCTGATCGACCGGCAGATTCCACAGCCTTAGAGACTCGGGACTCAGGACTCAGGACTCAGGACTCAGGACTCAGGACTCAGGACTCAGGACTCAGGACTCAGGACTCAGGACTCAGGACTCAGGACTCAGGACTCAGGACTCAGGACTCAGGACTCAGGACTCAGGACTCAGGGAGGGGATGGCCACGAGTGCTTTTCTCGACGTTATCTTGATCGCTGGTGGTCTTGAGGCGACGCGGCACTGAATCCCGCACACCCGAACAAGGGGCCTCTTTGCTGGACCAATATAAGTACCGTGTAGGCGGGGGGTTTTATCAGACTTTTGACATCAATCACCAATAGAACTGCCGGAAGGGAGAATCTTGCTAACAAGCAAATGCACACCACGCAGACTTGAAGCCCAAACCCGCCACTAACGAAACCTCTTTTTCGGCTTCTACATGTGGTAGTCAAGTTGAGGCATCCAGTTGAGCCCAGTTGAGCCAGCCCCCATCAACCCCCCTCGTGCCCCTCCAACTGCCTCAAACTCATGGTTGATGATCCTTCGTCTTGATGGTGTCCTTTGGCAGGCTACTAGTTGGGCGAGTAGCCTTCAATCACCTTTCACCATTGGACATCCTTTTGACGGCTGTGATCTTCAGGCTTTGAAGCTTCAATATAAGCGCTGAACTCTCCCGCCGCCAGCACCAGCCCAAAAGACCCCTTAAAAATTTGCAGCCCATTATTGCAAGCCATTTTGCACGCCATCGCAGACCCTCCCTTTCTCCCGGTCGGTTGGTGGTGGAATCCGTCGCAATCAATACCTAGGTACGCTCGTACATCCCCACGTCTCAAGGTCTGGAAGCCTATTGCACACCCTTGCAATTACTCACAGTGCTAGCTTGCTGTCATACAGGTTGTGCACTGTACTGTGGGCATGCCTGTACTGGGTAGGTTTGTGGGCCAGAACTCTCACTCTTCCGAGCTGGTTCGGCTGATGACCGCTGGAGGATCTGCTTGCTGACAGGCTGCGCAGGTCATCTGTGCCCTACTCATCGTCACTTCCACACCCGCGGGCAGGCCCAATGAACCTACTGTACGCCTCAGCCAGCCCAATGCACAACGACGGCGATCGTCCCATATCCTCGGCTCGTTTAAGCCAGACCATGAACATGACAAACTCCATTAGTTCGGCTCTTGCGCACACGTAGATCGTGCAGAAAATCAAGACACTTGTGTTTTGGCATAAATGGCCGACAGCGAGCATGCCGCCATGGCCGACTCGCCAGAGACGGCGCGATCAAGAGATAAAGTCCACCACACAGTGACAGCATGTGTGAGATGCAGACAGGTATCCATGTGCCCATCTCTCTTGCTGTGAAGGCCGCTGTTAACGCCGCATAGCGAAAGACAAGATGCGACCCAACTTTACCCCGTTGCGAGCCCTGCGAGCGGACCAACGCCCACTGCGAGTATTATGACTCGAGCAAAAATCGGTCCATACCACGAACCTACATCACCTCTCTGCAAGAGACAGTCCGTCGGTTGAACGAAGAACTCAAAGCATTGGAAAACGAGGAGGATTATGAACCTGACCACGAGTCTATGGCGCGGGCGGCTGGCCTCGTGAAATTCAGTGAGAACGATGAATGCCGCTTCTTGGGCCCTTCGAGCGGAATCGCCATCACGCGCTTCGTGATGGAGTTTGCGAAACAGAATGCGGCCCGGAGAACAATCAAAGAGATCGTACCGCATAAGGCCGCTCAGGAAATCAAGGAAAAGTTCGACGCCGAAAGTGAGAAGCCTACTTCAAAGGTATATCCGTTGATAAGCTCGGTGGCCGCCCCAGACCTCCCGACTCGTGATCTGATGGACCGCCTGGTCGAGATATACATGGTCAAGGCTCAGTATATGCTCCCACTCCTCCATGAGCCTTCTTTTCATCGAGATTTGCAAGCCGTTTATAACGGGTCCGACGATCCGACTCTGAACTTTCAAGTTCGCCTTGTCACTGCAATCAGTATGCAGAAACTCGACAAACAGTATGCTGGGCTTGCCGACAGCTACTACCTTGCTGCCTTGCCCTACCTCACAGGAGCCGTGCAAAAGATGGATCTGTCGACGCTACAATGTTTTGCACTCATTGCACAATATTCGCTGCTTACACCCACGAGAACAGCAGCATACTGGGTGGTTGGAATTGCGGCGAAGTTGTGCCAGGACCTTGGGCTATGCGAGGAAGAGACTATTCACAAGCCGCCTTCTGGTGCACGACCGAACGCTCTGGAAGTCGACATGAGGCGAAGGCTATTCTGGATCATAACATCGATGGAATACGGCCTGTCTCACAGTCTCGGAAGGCCTAGCGCCTTTGGGGTCACCGTCGACAATATCAATGTCAACTTTTTCGAGCTTTGCGATGATCGCTTCATCAGCGCCGACGGCTTGCTGTCTGGACATCATCCAATAATGAAGAAGTGTATTTCAATTCATTTCTTCAAAATGAGATTGTTGCAGGCCGAGATCAGGCGGACTTTGTATCTTCGAAGACGCGATACACCCACACAAGATACCGACCCATGGTTTCATCAGATGTTGCAGAAAATCGACGACTGGGTTCGAGATTGTCCGAAGAATGACGAAGGCTCTGGGCTGAGTGAAGCCTGGTAAGTGCATAATTCTGCGAATCCCTGAGCCGAAAAGATCTAACAAGATACGCAGGTTCATCGGTCGCAAGAATACAATGATAGTCTTTATGTATCGGCCTTCGCCTCAAATTCCCAGTCCATCACTCGATGCAGCCCACAAATGCTATGCCGCGGCAATATTCAATATACAGCTCCAGAAGCGCCAAGTGGAAGCACATCTGATCGACATCACCTGGATCTTCACTCAAGCAATTTTCATGGCTCTTAATACGGTCCTCTGGTGTCTGTCGTACCCTGGCATCAGGCAGCAGCATCCGATCGAGGAAGTTCAATTGCATATTCAAGATGCACTCAAAGCAATCGAGCTATGTGCGGATCGCTGGCCAGGTGTCCGATCTGCCGAGCAACTCTACGAGAATCTTGTCCTCGGCTGCTTGAAAGCCTACGAAGCGGATAAGAATTCCGAGTCCCCAGCGGCTTCCGACTATGTAAGCACGGCGACACAAGATGTCAGCTCTTCGACGTCCCAGTTCGCCAACAGCCCTGCCAGTACTGCAAACACGTCACTGTACGGTGCTCAATCGCCACAGTCCATTCACAGTGTGCAAACTCAAGCCGGTGGTCACAACTTCCAGAAAGCCGTCAGCGGCTTCATCGACCACACTAAGCAGGCGTACCACCATCAGCCTGATATAGTCCCAACGACGTCTCAGCCTCAAAACCTCGGCCCACAATACATGCCAACCACAGTGCCGCGCCTCGATATTCAATCTATGCATTATAGCCTGCCTGGCTTCGACCCACAAAATGCGGCAAACTATATCCCCACAACCTCCTCAGGTTCGAGCCCGTGGACATCTGGCCCCATGTTGCCTGGTATCATTCCTGGGCTTACCGGTTCGCCAAACATGAATTATGATGATCTACCTTATTTGGCACCTTTTGGTCAAGAATATTCGCGGTACATGCAGCAGTCATACCCGTCTACATATCAGATGCAATCCCTCAGCCAGCAGCAACAGATGGAGTTGATGGCATCCCTGGAGAGAAGTCAGCTACCAGATGTGTCGAATCTGGTTAGCGATGCTACAACTTTCTACAGTGCCCAACTGCCCTGAGCCCGAGTACGCGTGTGTAGTGACGCAACGAATACTTGTTAGCCCACGTACTGAAGGCAGAAGCTTCCGTCATGGTGCATTGAATCCCACCACCACGGATCTCGTTTCTCTCACCAGCCTTGGCCAGGGCGTTCCTGCCCAACAACTGTGAGACCCCCGCAGATCGATTACTCTTGATGAGAAGTCCGCCGCGACTCTTAAGAATCAGATTCGATCTTAAGGTTGGTCGCGACTGGGCAGTTGATAGTATCAGTACGGACCATTCTACCCTTTGGAGGAGCACATCCGATGCAGCTGCAGGCCGCACAAGACGAAAGTCCGAACTTTCGCTCGACGGCTTTGCAGGGAGACCACAAAATTCGAGTAACATCACAGAAGTGCTTCACGACGCTGCAGTTGTGGCTGGCATACTTATAACCAATCCAGTCTCTTCGACAATGCAATTACATCATCAATACAGCGTGAATTTCGAGCCTAATACACCCTACAGCGGTCTATTGAAACAGGATCATGAGATCTGACAATCGCTGACAAGGATCAAATGGAATTGGGAATCACTATCCGAACAGCCACTTTCTGCCTGGGAGCCTGGTCACCGGTCGCATCGGGCATTGGCTGGATATGGGCTGCAGGTCAAGCCACAGCACTTTGGCCGCCTTGCAGGAAGTCACGGGCATGCCGGGCAGGTGCCTCGGTTGGGAAGTTGTCACCGGAGAGGCTCTCTCCCGAACTTGACTGTGTGAGGCTTACAAGACTGCCCTGTACTAATAACATCACCAAGTCAAAATCACCGATGCAGACAGGCCGTGCCTATCACCAACTTTGAGGTCGACGCTGTTGCTGATAGGTGACTTTGTTCACCGTACTTTTGAAAGGCAGCCTACCAGCCCTATTTATGGGGCATCTGCAAGTCAGATTCGCGCAACTCCGATACGAGGGGCTGTGCACCTTAGACTCCTCTTCTCCTGTGCCATGACCATTAAGACACGCTCCTTGACCATTCCCCTGCAGATGACGATACAATGTGCAGAACTCGCGAAAATTGACGCAGGGTTATGGTCTTCGTCACCCACGGTGCCGCAATAGAAAGTCGGCGCCTGATGCATATGGTTCCATAACTTTGGGTCCTGCATATTGTCCACCTCGGACGACTCTGATTTCGGATTATGACTTCCTCAACGAGGAAGGTCTGCGTCCAAGGCCCGCGAGGCGCAAGCGGACAGTTCCACAAGAGCGAACTGCATGTTGATATACTATGTTCTTCTCCCCCAGATGCCGAGGCCTGCAAACCGTACAAAATATTTGTCGCACGCTCAAGGCTCTTGTCTGCCGGCCAGCATCTTCTACCCAGAGTTTCTTCTTTTCGTCGTCACTCCTTCAAGACCTCTTACCTCATTAATCTTTGTATCCTGAAGGTGAAGTTACACCGCCGGCCGGTCTGAGATTGATTTACACTCACGTTGGATCCTTCTGACCTCCGGCGTGACCTCGAACCCGCTGCACCTTCCCTCCCGCTGCTCGCGGTATGTATGGACGACGTTGACTCCCAGAGTCTTGAAACCATTGAAGGGAATGATCCACATCCGCCAAGTCTATTTGGACCACGAACACATCGCCATTGACCATGGAGCAGAGAGGCGGTTCAGACGGCTTTGGCTTGGGTTACACTCCAGCTATGTATCGAGTCAACCAACAAGTCAGGCGAGCCCCAGGACAGAGCCTCGAAGTCCCTCAAGTCTCTATTTCGGGCCAAGATAATATTCCTCAAACCGGCCCATTTGACGCATTACTTCAACATGTCGACATTGGCCGCTACCGCGACTCTGTTTGCCAGTATCTCAAGGTCCCTTCGGATCTATGGTTCGCGCTGTTCTGTTGTCGAGTCCCGTCAACGGCTCAGACGATACTGAGCCATCACCTTATGCAAGTATATGGCTCTCTTCCAGCTGGTCTGTGGCAGCGTCTTGTGGCCTTGAGGAGCGATCCTCACTTTGACTATCTACAAGAGGACTTGGTGTGCATGGTGTCTGCAATCCCCGTCTCCCAGCTCCATTCACGATCAGGATCCGACGCGTCCCCATTTGATCAATCATCCCCCGAGAACATTCGCAGTGTGGGCACGATTCAACCTTCCCCAGTGCAGAGTCCTGGCGACACAACACCTTGGCCGGTACTGGATGTTGCAATACAGACACAACCCAGCACTACGGTGGCTCCTGTTTCCACCGTCCGACGCCACACGAACTCCAGAAATCCTTACTCGAAAGAAAAGGGGAAGGGGCGGGCCCCTGATGGTCAGAGATATTTTTGTCCCGAACCTGGTTGCCCGCATCCTCCGTTCAAAAATGCAGGAAACTATCTTATTCACATGTGGCGCTGCCACCCTGAATATCCCAAGCGTGATCCTGCTTTTGCTCTCAGGTGCATGCCATCAAATGAGGCAGATGAAACAATATCGAACGGCAATTCGGCCATCGTGGATGATATATGCGAACCATCTGTGGCGCCTGATGAAGGCCTATCATTCGGATTGTTCCAGGAGACGCTTCAGCGTCCAGGCCGCCGCTTCCCACCCAGGAGGTAAAGGTGGGAATTCACCTTTTCTACCGTATGACTCGCTGAGCGAGATATACCGGTAGTATCTAGCGAGAGAATGGTCCCAGGAAGAACACCGGATTGATTTTAAGCGCAGAGATGTTACAATGCTCGATGTGCGGGGATAAGAGTGGTTGTCGTCCGAATGAATTGCTTCAAATGATGGAGGAGGGCCAGACTGATTTGCTCTGTTGAAAAAGACTTATGTTATAAGGAAGGATGCCCCTTATTCATTGAAAGTCACTGGGTCAGACGAATGGGACTGATTTCCCTCCTGATATGAAGTGCGATGGGCTTATCCTAGGCTGGCCTTGGGTCAAGTCTTCCATTGCAAGTATTGCACTTATGATGTCCCCTCAACACATTCTCCTATCGAGCCTGTCGGGTCCGTCACACCTCATCCGCGGAAAATCCAAGCTTCTTCGACAGCTTGGGGTCCCAACACTGGGCCTGCCATCTGATCGTCGAATTGGGAGCGAGTCTCTGAAGTGACTGGGTGACGCCCAAAAATTGCGCAATGTGACTCCGTAGTGCGCCGTAGTACGGAGTACGGCCGAGTATTAATATTCTAACCACAAGACTCGTGCAAAATCTTGAGCTCCCGACCACATCAACTAATTCGACCTCCGTCCCTGCTTGAATGACTTGAATGAAGCCCTTCAAAGACTGGATACGGTAGGTATGCTTGTTCTTTGCCTCTTCTCTCTTCTTCTTCTCGCATAGGTCGCATCCCATGTCTTGTCCTTCATCCAATCGAGCATGAATCCTCGCACCGCTGGGCTTGAAAAATCCATATGGCGAGATTTACCTGAAGAAACGTTCCGCAGCCATCTTGTACAGCTTGAGGAGCGCACAAATGCAGTGCCGGCAGACGCACAGCAATTTCCAGTGTCAGGCCCTTTCTTCGAGAGAGACACAGATGCTTACACCTTTTCGCTTCACGATGAACTGAGACTCGCAGACGCATTTGCCTTTATAGCAGCTGTCCAGGAAGGTGCCCAGAGCGTTGCAGCAGTTTGCCTCGAGGAGAATGCTCGAGACCGGACATTGACAGTCCGCTTTGCTGCCGTCGACGCCATCAATGAATCCCTCCAAAAGGCACTGAGTACAGTCTGCGAGATACTGGCCCACTCAGCTGAGCAAGGAACGGATAGCCACGAACAATTCGATGGACTATTTCAATTCGTGACGAGGTTGCATGTTCAACGCTTGCTGGGCCGCCTTCGCTCATCTAAATGGGAGAAGCCGAAATACCTTTCTCGCACCCACAAAAAGCCATTGTGGCAGGACTTTGCGAACCTGATTCACCGCATACAATTTCTCTACACGAAGAATGAAAGAGCCGTAAGAGATGTCGTCGAAAGCCAGCTCGGGTCCCTAGCCGAACTGTATTCGGTCTTTGAAACCATACCTTCGAACTGCGAAGAAGAATTTTCCCATCTCACTCATCTCATCCACACAAGCTACGACCGCTGCACGTCAGAGGTACTACAAGGCTACGCTGCCCGCCTCGCTGGTGCCGGACAAACGAACCAAGTGCGAGCTGCCGTCAAGACCCTTCGACAAATTGAGAAAATAGCTGCCTATTACCGCGTGCCAAGTACCCTCATCCGCGCCTCTCGCCGATATCCGCATTATTTCCTCCAACAGCACCTCCGTCTTGTATACCTCCCACCATACGCCAGCATTCCTACATCTATCGGCTACGAAGAGTGGGCAAAGACGTGCCACGTTCATGCTGAGGTACAACTCGTGATCCACTATGACCTGAACTCGCTCCTCGCCACCAGAGTCACCTCTACCGGAACCGCTCAAGTCAAGGTTCTCCCACCACGTGTTATCGGCACAAGTAAGCATCTTTGCTACTTGTGCTACCTATTCATCAAAACCCACGGTCGCTTCTTGCCTACGAATACGCATGGAAGACTATATGACCAGTGGACGATTCCGGATCTTGTGGAGTTTACCGATAAACAACGAGAGAGATACAGAGATATCATCATAAAGATGGACGATGAGGTCGTGTCTCGGGCAGCAAACCCGCCATCGTGGAGGGCAGAACCGATGACAAGCAGAGAGAATCTGCTTGATGCCGTAAGGGATGAGTCGTCAATCGCACTTTGGCGGACACTGCAGTCAGAGGCACAGTAAGCAGGAAAGTTGGGCCCAGCATGCCCCAGTAAGTTGGCGCTCGCTTTTTTGAGGACTGTCAGATTCACAAGTCATCTCTGGCCCAGGTCAGCACGATTCTGCCACTTTGGTTTCTCAGATCTGGTCGTAAGAATGTCGTCTAAGCAGACCAACCTGGTCGAGTTTCAAGAATCCTTCATTGATGTGGCTACGCAGTGATTGAGCAGGGAAATATCAGTGTCGATGTTGGGGAGCATGACGGCCAATAGGCTGTCTCGGCTTCCTTGATTATGAGCAACACCTCCAAGGGGGTCGCACTGTTCTCCAATCGATGAGGGTCACCCAGACGGCTACTCATAGTCCATCATTCTCCGACCTTTACAGCGGCCTCAGCCCTAACTTACCGTAGCCTCGGCGTGCCTCGGTTCAAGCTTTCTTACCGATGGCCTGAAATGCGGGGACTAACGCCATCACCACCATCATCCGGGAAAACGTCTTGCGGAGAGAGATAACTAATCAATTGTACAATTTCTCGAGGAAAATATATCCCAAGCACTGTGATCATCCTTGATCTACTTGTGTTGTGAAAAGATTTTGACAACTACTACCGGATTCATAACGTCGACAAGTCAGAGTTCCTCACCATGTCGTCCCTCAACAATGCCTACGTTCTCGGCGTCGGTCTCACGAAATTCATCAAACCACGCCAGCTACGACCATACCCGGAGCTGGGCTTTGAAGCAGGCACTAAAGCCCTTCTCGATGCGCACATCACATACGATGATGTCCAAACAGGTGTGGCATGTTACTGCTATGGCGACACAACGTCGGGCCAACGTACCTTTTACCAATTCGGCATGACCAATATTCCCATATATAATACCAACAATGCCTGCGCAACTGGCAGTACCGGCCTTCAACTTGCTCGAACCCTTGTCCGCGGCGGCATCGTTGATGTCGTTATGGTCATCGGCTTCGAGACAATGAAGCCAGGTTCCATTAAGAGTATCTGGGACGATCGGCCTAGTCCGATGGGCCTGGGCACGAAGATGATGGAGGATACTAGGGGCAAGCACGATAGCCCTAGGAATGCACAATTCTTCGCGAATGCCGGCAGGGAATATATGGAGAAGTAAGTACTTTGTTCTTCCGTCGTTGCGCAGGCCGACCGTTAGCCTTGGTTGCTTTATATCAAACTCGCCTCCGCAATGCCGCTCTTGCCTCGCACTATGCACCACATCACGTCTCCCCTTCACGACCATACGACTCCTCTTTGGACTTGCATCCCATCTTTCTACGCAATTCGACAACTGACTTGTGCTCCAGATACGGCGCCGAAGCCCGCGACTTCGCCGAAATCGCGCGTGTCTCTCACGAGCACTCCTCACGCAACCCCTATGCTCAATTCAACACCGTATACTCACTCGAGGACATAGAGAAATCACCCATGATCCACTATCCGCTCACAAAATTGCAATGCAGTCCGACGTCCGACGGCGCTGGGGCCGCGATTGTAAGTGACCTTTCCTTCCTTCCTTCCTTTCTTCCTTCGCCAAGACACCCGGGCAAGTTTCGCACAGGCTTCTCGGTTCTTAAAACCCCTCTCTCTTGGAGATAAGCTTCTAACATTGCCGTCTTAGATCGTATCCCAACGCTTCCTCGACTCCCGGCCTGAACTCAAGTCCCACGCCATCCTGATGGCCGGTCAATCACTTATGACCGACTCGCCCGCGCTGTTCTCCCGCAGCTCCATGGACCTGGTTGGGTTTGACATGACCAAGCGCGCCGCCAAAGCCGCGCTTGCAGAAGCCGGCGTGTCCCCGCGCGACGTCAAGGTCTGCGAAGTGCACGACTGCTTCTCTGCCAACGAGCTCATCCTGCTCGAGGGTCTGGGCTTCTGCAACCAGGGTCAAGCACACCACATGGTGCGCAACGGGGACATCACGTACGGCGGCAAAGTCGTGGTCAACCCGTCAGGCGGCCTGATCTCCAAGGGCCATCCGCTCGGCGCGACGGGCCTGGCCCAGTGCGCCGAACTCACGTGGCAGCTGCGTGGGTGGGCGAACAACGGACGATTGGTCAAGGACATCGATGTTGCGCTGCAGCATAATTTGGGCCTGGGAGGGGCGGTCGTGGTTACCGTGTACAAGCGCGCCGATGGAAGGAAGAATACCGATACATCGGTGCAACAGACCGACGCCGAGATCGCAAAGGTCAGTGGTTTGGGGTACAACCCGGCCGTGGAGGCGAGAGGGGTCACGAAAGAGGAGGCCGAGAAAGTCCGGAGTAAGACTGGGAAGTGTGACTATGCGTTGGGCGAGACGGCCGAGAAGTTGCAGGCGAGACTGTAAACACCGACTTGTCAAGAATGGTATACTTGGGGTTGTGTTTCGTTGATCCCAGTGACCATCCAGCAGAAGGAGAGTAGGTACATGATTTGAGGTAAAGCTATATCGCTCATCGAGTGCCGATGTAAAAAGTTGTTGTACGATGAATGAAGCAGAGTTAGCTACGTACTTCCAATGGCTTGAACGAGATCGTCAAGTTGACCGTGGCTTCACCCTCGAGGTTCCCGCTGCAACGAACATTACGAAAGTATCAATATCTCATGTAGGACAGCAGGCGGAAAGTGGAATCAATTATAGTACTTTTCATGTTCATGGCTGGCTGACGAAGACTATGCCCAGTCTGTCCCTCACAACCACACAACGATGACAGTATATCCTATTGCATAACTCGCCCAGCGCATTCCTCTGGGACATTCCTCCCACTAGTACCAGTACCACACTACTCGCACCACCCCTTCGGTTGACCCCTGTATCGACTGTACATGGTGCTAGCTCAAATTCTTATCCCTCTTCACAGCCAAGAACGTCAGACTCCAAAGCTGTCTAACGTCACTCTCCGTTCCCGAGCTCACGCCCGGCGGAGGCGGCAAAGCGCCCAGCGGCGTGGTGACGAATCCAGTGGCGTTGCTATACGTCCAACTCCACACTTCGCCCTGCAGTTGCGCCGAGTTGGCCTCGATGCTGTCCCAGAGCACATTATACGCTTTCCTGACGTTCCCGTAGACGTTGGACATCCCGCACCAGGCCGGAGGAGGACTAGTACTAGTACTATTCTTCGTCGCGCCACCACCACCACCACCACCATCCGTGGTCACGTTACAACGGCCGAGCTGCCGTTCCAAGCCCCGCGCCATCATGGCGAGCTGGAACGACCAGACCACGGTGCCGTGGTAGGCGGAATTTGTGAAGTTGGCGATCAGCACGTCCGAGCCTGACAGGGCCGGGTTCGCGACGACCATGCTCTGTGGCGTCATCAAGCCGGCGGGAAACGAGCGGACCAGGCTATTTGCTGTGGCGTTGATGAAGCGCGTCTCTTGGGCCTGGGCTTCGGAGGACGATGACGATGCGTTGACGAAGAACACGCGGAAGGCGGCGTCGCTGTGCATAACGTCGACTGAAGATAAATGGTTGTAACCATTCAGGGCAATCGCATAGCTTGTGACATTGCCGGACTGCGGCAGGGATGAGGCGTTCGTCGGACCGTCGTAGAATGTCGCCGTGTTGACGAAATACTGGAGACGGTTCCGCGCAGTCGAGGCCGTGATGTTGCGCTCGAAGAAGCGCAGGGTGTGTTCTTCCCAGATCTGAGCGCGGGTGTCGGCGAGCGTGCGCCATGCACTGACGTTGACGCTGGTGTTGTTGGGAAAGACGCCGGGTATGCGTGCGAGTTGGCCTATTGCGCGAAGCGCCGCAGGGACGAGGGCGGTGTTGACATCGAAAGGGATCCGGCCGCCCCCGATACCGTAGGTTGAGTCGCGCCATTGGCCGACGATTTCATCGGGCTTGAGATGGATCAGGTTCGCCACCGTTTGATTCTTTGCGAATGCTGCTGTCTGGTTCATGATCTTCCCGGCGTTGATGAGGGTCAGGTTGGCGTAGGTAAGATTGCGATTTTGGACGTCGATGGAGCCAGCTTTGCGGCTCAGGAGCGGAGCAACGCGTGATGGGTTGTTGTTGAAATATTGCGCCATCAGGACCGGTAGGTAGTAGTCTGTGTCTATCATGGGGTAGGTAAATCCAGGGGCAGTGCTGGTCATGTTGTTTTGCAGATTGAGATACGTAGCATAGTCACCAATGGTTTCCTCATGACACACAGATCCATCTGTGCGGTTGATGCGCTCAAGGACTGCGCCAATGACTGCTTCGGTTGCGGAACCGTTGCCTTGACTCAGTACCGGTTCGAGGAGAAGAGCACTGATCATGCTGTCTCGGCCAAAATATGTCAAGAATCTCCATGCTCCGGCAAGGAGTTTCTCCGTATAAGACAGGAAAGACAGGGAGGTGGTCTGGCCGGGTTGTTGCTGGATCAGGTTCTGGGACGCAGTGTTGAGCACTTGATTGGGTGTAAGCTGCGTTAGTTGTGGGTAGTTAAAACTGGCCGAGAAGGTGTAGAAGCCCGGCCCGAAACTGATCGTCTTGTTGCGCGGGTGGATCGTGATGTTGGTGCCTGAGTTTTGATAAGGTACCAGAGTAAAGCTAGAGACGGTGACATTATCAAGCCAGAGTCGTGAGAGGGTTGCCCCCGTCTCGTTCGCCATTGTCACATTGATAGCATCTTGAATAGTGGGCCGAAGAAGACTCGGACCTTCTGTGAAGTCTCGAATCGTACGAATGCTGCCCAGGATCGGAATGGTCAAGGTTGCGGAGCTGTTGAATGAAAGGACTCCCTCGACTCCAACATAAGGGTACTTGGAGCCTTGCACGGTCTTGTAGACTGGTCCTAGCGGTTTCCCCATGGTTGAATTGACCAATTCGATGCCAAGGGAGCCATTCCGGCCATTTTGAGGCTGGAAAAATGTGCAGATGCCACTGTTACCGGCGGGCCATGCCACAATGAGTCTGGGTCCAATGATGGATAGATTCGAATCTGGGAGCGGACTGGTAACAACGACCTGTGAGTCGCTGTGGCAGTCCGAGTAAAAGTAGTTGTCGTAAGGTGGATCACGGAGGTGTTGAGTTACAGCCTGGCACGAACCTGAGCTCTGGCCCAAGGCTGCTTGAAGCCATAGTGCAGTCACGGCAACGAGGATGCCCAGCATGATGAGTAGAGAGAGTGATTTTGACAAGACGTCAATCAAACGTTCACGAAGAAGACGGACCTACCGAGTGGGAGATGACGAGGCATTAATAAGGTAGTACCAGCAGCGGATTGGCACTCGCTCGTGGTCAGCAGTGACTCTTGGAATGGAAGAGACTGGCTCCGTGCTTCCTGGATTTGGATCAACATGACATCAATGGCGAGCACGGGCGAGGCACTCGTCTGCGACGTGGAGAAGGTGATCTTTTACGAGGATAGAATGGCGAAGCGAGAAAGACTGGCAGTTTTTGCTGGACAGATGCGGGGGAGTTCGCTAGGTACATAAACCTCGGCAGATGTGGCTCTGTGGCCAATCATGAGCTGGTTTGTTTTGGTATATGTGTTGGACCCTAATATCTTCGGCGAAGCAGACCGCTTGGAATCAATTTCCACGTGACGTAGGCACGTGGCGTACGGGGAAGCTTAGAGCTCTTTTCGCCCTGACTCTGGACTGTCCTGTACTTCTCCGTACCATGTTTTACAAGCACGACGAGGCACTTTCCAGGCCTGAAGTCACGTCTCGGTTCTTCCAACTGCAAATCAACCAAGAACAATATTTCATCAATAGCTCATACTCCGAGCAGTCTTAATGGTTACCTCGCTGTCCGCAGAATACCTGGTATCGGCTTCGTTTTCGTTTATTTCAAGCATAATCAGACCGGCCACTGAAACCGGACATTATTCTTCGCCAGCCCTTCCTGCACAATGTCAATGCCACCAGATTTGATCATCCACTCCAGGCGATGATCCCGATACTCTCGCTTGAGCAGACCCTCCTGCAAGAAATCGTAAGCTGCAGCGACACCCTTGACACCCACCGAGAACTCGTCAAACACCGCCTTCACTGACGGCCGTTCTTTTGCACGCTCATACCACCTCCTTAGCGGTGTTCCGGACTCGGGTTCCAGACAGTACGAGGTTGAACGGTTCACAAATGGCCATACGCAAACGTCTGCGTATCCAAATTTATCGCCGCCAAACCACTCCGCATCCCCGAGCTGCGCTGTAAGCCAAGCTTGGATCTGCCTGACCTGGCCCCTTGCATTTTCTTTCATTCTCTCGGCCAGCTCGCCATCAGCGCGCTTAAACGTCTCAATCTCGCCCATCCCCCAATTGATGGCCTCGTACTGTGAGTCGCACACGTCCTCGATCATACGTGCTTTCGCACGTCCTGTGGCATTGGCAGCACGGAGGGGCAGTTTGGGGTATTTATCCTCGATGTACTCGAGGATGATGGTTGAGTCGAAGATCTTCAGGTCACCGTCGACCAACGTGGGAACTTCAAGCCGATGGTTATCTTGGACGAACTTCGGATCGAGAATTGTTAGGTTACCGCTGCCCCCTCCCTTCGGTGTCTCATGCTCGAATGGGATGTTCTTCTCACGCAGGGCGAGACGAATCTTCTGGGAAAAGGGGCTCACAGGGTGGTCCCAGAGGAAGAGTTCTGCCATCTTTATTTCCGGAGTGGTAACGTTTTGCGTATGATTCAGGTGATTGTTCGTGCCTTTGAAAACTGGCATACCAGGCTTTCTCGGAGAGTTAGAAGTTGGCTGATACAGGCCATCATAGTATGAGGGCAAGAGCAGACGAGAAATCCTGCGCGGTCTGCGGCGTCGAGAGTCTCGCCCGGCATATCATGATTTACTCTAGAGACACGGAAAAGTGATCGACATGGCGAATTTCCCGCCCCTTTCACCTCTTCGGGATTTCTGAAGCTGGAGGTTCTGTTTCGGCGTCTCGACACTCGGCAGCTTTGCTGCCAGTTCGGCACAGGCCAAGTCGTTACTTATAAACAACGCAGCCGAGCCCTGTACTTGTGTTTGGAACTGAGTTATTTCAGATCTCAAATCTGCCCTGGTTCGACTTCTAACTCACCGTGAACTTTGGCAACAAGCAGAGTCAACTTCAGTTTTTTCACTTTACGCCTTATTAGCTTCGGACACTCTGCCTTTGTTATATTCATCGCCACAGCAAGGCAAGATGGGCAGCATTGCAATCGACACCAACCCAAAGTCACCATTTCCCGATCCGACCGTCATAGTTACCTCACACAATTCCGCAGGCAAAGCCTTCATTCGAAGCTCGACGGTCGAGGAATCTAAACCATACAGCGGGATGAGAGTAAGCCACAGTCTTCTCTACACGACTTCAGAATTTCCACCCGACCTCAACAGCGAAAAGGACATCAAATTGCACGAAGAAATAAAGGCTGCCGGCAAATTGAACATTGTCAACCCGAACGGCACTGTCATCCGCCTTGTCAATTTCGCGCCCCACAACAAGTCCATGATGCACCGCACACAGAGTCTGGATTATGGTGTTGTGATGGAAGGAGAGATAATCATGGAGTTGGACGATGGGAGTAAGACGCTCATGCGCAAGGGCGATATTGCTGTCCAGCGTGCCACGATGCATACGTGGAAGAATGCCAGTGAAACTGAGTGGGCTAGGATGCTGTTTGTCCTGCAGGACTGCAAGCCGCTTTTAGTCGGTGGTCAACGGCTCCAAGAAGACCTGGGTCATGTTGGATATACCATCTTCCCAAGCAGCCGCAACGACGACTAGATCTATGAACCGGTACCTGTGAAGACAGAAATCATCAGTGCAAGACTTGACATGGCCAGCCCATTTGTGGAGGCGGTAGATTCCTCTTATGTGATGCTTAGATGTTTGCGGATATTGATACTCTTGGCCTCTGTCGTGGAGGAAGGCGCTGATGAGGGTTTGGCACTGTTTCCCGGAGAGAGCTGTGGTCACAGACCTCTGGATTTATTTTTCATCACCAACTCAGCATCGCTTCTTCGAGGCATCATCCCACTGTTCCCCTTCGTTGATTTATGGCTTCCAGACTTAGCCAAGTCTAGATGTGCCCGCTCGGAATTTTCGGTGACAGCCGCTTGAACTTCGAGATGCTTACTGTGCCAAAGAGACGGGATACTGAGCTCAGCACGGCAAACCCGGACTTCCAAATCTCACCCTCGAAGCTCGAAAGGATTACGCGTTACAATCCACGCTTCTGGTTTTCCGTGTCTCCACCTTCTTGGGGAATGTCAGATGGAGATACGATCGTGGACGCGGTAAGCTGGAGTATTTATCACTCCTCACTGCAATGTCTGATGGACGACCAAGGTAGAATTGTTTCTTCCATTATTCCAAGAAGGTGCCGCCGCTCGCAGGACGGTGTCAGAAGCCACAAATGGGTGCTGGATATATCATCAAGAATGCCACCGTTGTCTCGGTCGACCCAAATATCGGCACTGTTCCCAATGGCGATGTTCTGATAGAAGACGGGTTCATCACAGCAGTTGGACGAGATTTGGGACGACCCTCATGGAACCCCACTGTCATTGACGGCACGAACGCTATCGTGTCTCCTGGGTTCATCGACACTCATCGACATACCTGGCAAACCCAACTGAGGACGATCGGCACCGATTACGTTCTATCGGACTATATATTGAACCTGAGACAGATTTACGGAGCGTCTTATACTGTTCAGGATGCATACCTGGGCAACTACTGTGGCGCGCTGGACTCCATTGACAATGGAATCACATACTTGATTGACCATTCTCATATCATCAACTCTCCCAGCCATGCCGATGCTGCTATCAAAGGACTCCAAGACGCAAAGATTCGAGCCACGTTCTGTTATGCTATGTATCCGAACCCACATTGGGAAGGGTCGTGTATGGACAGAGAGCGGGAAGAGCAAACGCCGGACTGGAGATTGCATGATACTAAACGCGTCTCTGAGAAGTTTTTCAAGTCCAGTCAGCCAGATGATCTTCTACGAATGGGCTTCGCTCTATCAGAGCCCGACCTGACGCCAATTGACCGACTTGTCCAGGAAATCAAGCATGCAAGATCGATCGGGTGCAGTGTTATCACTGGACATTTCAACTTCGGTAAATGGGATCCGGGCAACTGCATAGTCAGTCAGTTAGGGCAAAAGGGTGTACTCGGGCCAGACCTTCTACTCAGCCATGGCAATACCTTGCGTGACGATGAGCTGAAAATGATCGCACTGCACGAATGTGGGATATCCAGTACACCTGATACTGAGCTCCAGATGGGAATGAGTCATCCGGTGGCTTTCAAGGCAAAGGACCGCGGCTGCAACGCTTCTCTCGGCGTCGACGTCTGCTGCAGTGCCCCCGCAGACATGTTTGCGCAAATGCGGCTGTTGTTGCAGGCTCAACGGCATCTTGAGCACGAAGCTGGAGAAGGCGCGCCTTTGAAGATGTCGCGCAACTGCAGCGAAGTACTGGAAATGGCTACAATGGGTGGTGCCAGGGCTGTTGGACTGGAAAAAGTCATCGGTAGTATCACTCCTGGTAAACGAGCAGATCTGCTCATTACCAGATGTGATGCTCCTAGATTGGTTCCGGTTCACGACCCTGTTGGCGCTCTTGTACTATATGCTAATGGCTCGGACATCGACACGGTAATGATTAACGGCGAGATTGTCAAGTCTGGAGGGAAGTTGACCAACGTGGATTGGCCTAAGATCAGAGAGGAATTGAGAGCATCAGTCACAGCCATTGTAAGTTCACTGCACCCGCAAAAATCCACGGCAACGCTGTGTTGTTTCGTACAGTGCCGGATTCAAGATCTATGTCTTATATTGAGTCCGAGTAAAGACGCTGACAGCCGTGAACCGTAGATGGACAGGTCGAAAAAGGTCCCTATGGAGGAGGTGGAGGCAACTCGGAATGCCATGGTGAAGGCCCTGGACGTTATCAATCAGCGCCGTAAGGCCAACTCCAGGGAAGGAGCCTGACTGCCTCCCCGGAGTGCTCATGTCGCTCAGGAACCTTCAGGCGGTAGAAAGTCAACGGATATGGAGGAGGGGCGATAGTCATGCTGGTTCACAAGCCTTGGGTACCATCCCATCGTTAACATCGTCACCCACTTCTCCGCACATATCGACATCATGTGCTGTACCTTTTCCGTGTCTTGGCCCAAAATGCCGCTCTCCAGACCCCATTTGCCGCCTCTCGCGTGTATCTCTTCCCCGCATTGAAGACGGTTAACTGCCGCTTCCTGGTGTAATTCAGCCTGGAGTGTTGCAGTTTTCAAAGAGCGGAATACATCATGTTGAGCGGCACAGGACGGCCGCGGAAAGCCTGTGGCACATGCAAGAGCCAGAAGGTGGCGGAGACGACGCCAATTGCTTGTCCTCACGTGCTGACGAGTAGTAGATCCGCTGTACAGGGGAGAGGCCACGCTGCAAGCGTTGCTTGAGGCTCAAACATACATGCATCTACAGCGCTCCACCCAGCGCGTGGCATTTGAAGTCTCACCAAGCTCCGAGCTCTTGCTTCAATAATGATGGATGTCTTTCTCTGACGCCTACAACAGCTCCAGAAGGGAGGCCTATCGCTTCCACCAAGGTTGCAAGAGCTGTGAATCGTCCAACCGCTTCTCCTGTCCTTTCACCGCGGCATGATTTTGAAGAGCGTTATGTTGGGATACCGAAAGCCTTGATCTCGACACTAGTCGAGCTCTATTTCGACAATGTGTACAACGCCCATCTCCTGCTTCACAGAAGCTCTTTCATCCAGGCTGTTATCTCGGGTACCGCCCGTCCCCATGTCGTTCTCGGGGTATGCGCCTGGGCAGCGGTGTAAGTATATGAAGTGCCTTTACTTTGTCAATGTGGCTGACTCGCCTCCTGTAGATTTTATCGAGATACAAATGGTCAAGCTGCGCTGAAAGATCACGGCTTTATGGTCGAATGGGCTGAACGCGCCAGTAAATTGGTATTTCAAGAGCTGCATGAATTCCACGATGATAGCATTGTCACGCTCGTCAACCTGTCTATTTTCTGGCACGGCCAAGGTTCATGGAGGATGGCAATTCTTCACAAAGGTCTGGACGTGCTAGATACTGTCTGATTGCGACGCTAAGTTTCTCACAGCAAGTGCCTGCAATCTACTGTCTATCATAGGCATCGGGACGGGAACCTGTCAACTGGACTCCCCATGGGAGTCCGAGATTCGTCGACGTCGCTCCTGGGCCAGCTACCTGCTGCACTGCCACAATTCCGAGTCCCTATCAAACTTCCCAGTCACTGGTATGGAGAAGCTAGCACTTCCATGGCCAGAAGCCGATTTTGAAGCTGGCTACTTGAGGTCATCTCAAGTCACGCTGGACTCCGCCCAGGGCAATGGAGGTGTTTATGCAGAAATGATCAAGATTTTGACGCTTTGGTGAGCTTGACATACAAGTTTCTTCTCGAAAAGTACACGGAGACTTATTCCTGTGATAGGTCTTCAGTGATAACCTGCATAAAGATGACGGAGCCGAGCCTTGCCACGAAGCTGCCCGCGATGTATGCTCTCCACGAAAAGCTGTCTGACTGGTGGCGTAGATTGCCGGCCGAGCTTCGTCTTACACCGGCCAATATCGCAGCAGTATCTAAGAACATGCTGACCAGGATCCTACTGGTGAACGTTGTATATCATCAATCCCTTTGCGCTCTCCATGCCTCTATTGTTCCGCTGTTCTGCTGGGGCAAAGGTGATGAAACCTGGTCCACAGCACGACAACTATCTGCACAGCTGGCTTATGAGCATGCTTGCACAACGTCAGAGCTGCTTGACTCCGTACTATCAACGGTTGATAAATTCAACGCAATGCCGAGCTTCATAGCGTATGGAGCATATTGCGGCTGTGCGATACAAATCCCTTTCATGTGGAGCTCGAGCCGGTCGGTGCGGGAGCGGGCCAATGCAAATGTCAAGGCCAACATGAAGATGATTAATATGATGGCGACGTATTGGAAGTTCGCGGCGCTATTGGTATGGCATTACATCAATACGTTGCTCCGGAGAGCAGTTCGGACACGCTAATCAAGTCTGCTTAAAAAACAGAAAATCTACGTTCGATGCTTGCATGACGGACACAAAAAGCACCCGACGGTCCTCGAAGACGAGCCAAAATACGCCGACCCCGGGAAGCTGACAAGCTTCAGAGTGAATGCTCCGCATGTGCAGGCCTCTATCCTCGAGTTTATCGGCATTCTATACTCGAAAGAAGACGGGTATGCAAAGCCAGGAGAGGAGGCCGGTCCTGAAATCGAGCATGCTGGTACTGTAGGCGAGGAACCGCCCTCTCGAGGGTGGATCTCAGAAGATCACGAAGGTGAGGAACCCAGGACGAGATGGTCGTTCATTTTATTGATACCTTTCCTGCAGCAGCTCCCGTAGAATACAACGAACCTCAGATCACAAGTGAAAACCACTGGGCACAACCACAACCGACCGTCGCGTTCACGCCAGACTCTGAAGAACAATGCCGGCCAAACCAGATACATCAGCAGCAGCAGCAGCAGGAGCGAGTCCAGACCTCCACGTCCACATTACCATACCAACCGCACGATATACTACCCGCTGAGGACCCTACCTTGGACATATTTCAACCTCTGCTCGATCCGGAGATGCTGGAGCTCTTCCCCAACGGCGAGCTACCAGACTTTTCAGCGTTTGACACGATTCCATTGGACTTGGACCACTTTGACTTTGGAGGGCTGGAATGATGCTCCCGGCTCTGCTGGCACAGGTGCTTGGCCGGGAATCACAGACGCAAATTAGACCGAGGGTTCCCGAGTCGGAGGGTATGGCGCAATACTGGATGATGACTTCGCCGGACGCAGACCGGTGTCGAACATGGCGCATGTGTGCTGTTAGTATTTATGGTCAAAGAAAACTTCCCCCCCGTATCCAAGGACTGGCGGCGAAAGCTTCACCAGCATCTCATCAACCTATGTACAGATTGCACGGAAATGTGGAGCAGACACAATTCGAGCATGGGATGGACCACCGTGCTTTATGAGTCGTGTCCCAGTCCATGATGGAGTCGACGCAGTCATGGATTACTTATTCTTGGAAGAGTCAGTCATGTTTTAAACGGCTCATTCAATGTCCCTATCAAGAAGTTAAACCCTCCGTCATCCTTGCTCCTCCTCGTCCCACAAGAGTTTCGACGAGGACGGCCCTTCGATCTGACCCAATTGTCTTCATTCGTCACTAGTTCAAATGATGAACTTGTTCGTCCACTGTCGGAGACGAGCACCATAGAGATACATCGGAATCGTGGTCAGGAGAATGACGCTCTGAATCAGTACGTGAAACCCAGAAACCTGCGGAAAAGAAGAAATCAGTCAATACGTCGTGGTAGTCCTGCAAGCCGCAAGGAAAGCAAAGAAGCCATATCGGCAGACATCGGAAACGACCCGTACCTTGACAAGCCCGTCCTTCGCGATCCAGGGGAACACGGAAAAGCTCAGGCCAAAAGCGAACGTGTTCTTCGCGGCCGTGACGATGGTCATGGTCTCTTTGGAGACCGGCCTGTAACAGTCAACCACATACGTCATGCCGATGCCCGGCACTGCACAGAGGACGGCGTAGGTGATGGCGGTGCCGACGATGGGGACCATCGATGGCAGATGGTTCTGGATCCCGGCGCCCCAGAGCATGAGACCCGCGGGAGCGACGATGGCTGGGGGAATCATGCACCAAAGACGGGACTCTGGCGCGAAGTAGCCGCCGTGCCGCCTGGTGATGAACTGCACGGTCCAGTCGGTGAGAGGCCCACCTGCCACACAGCCGACCACGGAAGAAACAAGATACTGGAGATAACGCAGATTCGCGCGGTCAGTTTCGAATGGAAAACCTGGAATTTCAAACGACCAGGTATAGTGCTTACCCCGGGGTAAGGGGAGGGGAGATTGGCGTTAACTTACCGAACAGCTGATGTTTCCCACGGCGAGAGAAGAGAAATTGTACACGGCAGGGAAAAGGGCACCTTGGGCTGTGATTTGGAACGAAAGCCAGCCCAAGCATACGCCGTAGGTGAGGATGCAGAACCAGACGGCTGGGAAGCGCAGTGTGAGGAAGGGACGCCACCAGAGCCACCAGATCGAAAACTCGCTACGGCGGTCGAAGGAAGATATGTCAGCGAGAGAGAGAGATATATAGGCCCCGGCAGAGCAACCACCACAAGCAGCAGGCATTACGCATAGGATCTTGACATACCTGTTATACCACAATGTGACGCTCAGGGACTTGATCCAGCGGCTCTTGACCCTGGCGCGGATGGCAGCAAGTTGAGATGCCGGCAAACCCTCCCCGGACTCGTTCTCCGGCGGACGGTCAAAGTTAGTCTCGGCCTGGAAGAGAACTATGACCAAGAAGAGCATGCCCGTCAGGAAGACTTGGTGCCAGTAGACCCAATGCCAATTCGGAGTTGCGTTGGCGATGAGGCCGGAAAAGATACCGCCGAGAGAGGTGCCGACGGTGAATGTGAGTAAGTTGACGCCCACCCACAGACCACGCTCGTGCAGAAAATAGACATCTGCCACGATCACGGGGCCCAGGCCTTCCGAAACGCTGGCGGCGAAGCCTTGCACGATCCGGGCGCCGAAGAGTGAGCCCCAACTCCTTGACGCGGCGGCCCAGATGGTGGAGACGAAGAAGAGGCCTGAGCAGGCAATGAGGACGGGTCTTTTGCCTATTTTTTCCGACAGGGGAATCCAGAAGAGGTTGCCTAAACCTAGGAAGAGGAGATTGACGGTGATCAGATAGCCTGCTTTGGTGAATGTGATGTTGAAGTCGGTCACGATTGTGACTAGGATTGGCGTGATGGAGACGGTGATCTGGAGAGCGATTAAGTCAGTACCTGTACGAGCTTACTGTGTAGAATTGATCAGGAGTTGCGGTATGGTGGCGGTAAAGGGGGAAAAGCACACCCGCAACAGCGTCCCATCTGGGCCAAACATTCAACTTTTGGTCTGCACTATGTCAGGACTGAGGATACGCTTACGTAGTTGGACAGGAAGACAAAGAAACATGCACTCCCGAACGCCATGTGCTTTCTCCATGGAGCCCATGTCTGCAGAAGGAGTCAGTGGGGGCAATGCGGTAGATAGAGGTGGATTTCGAGGGAAACGGACTGACCAGAGGGTCTCGGGGATCATCCGTAGGGCGGGGCAGAAGTAGTCTTTCGAGCACTTTGCCTTGACCGTCCTCTGAATGTTGTCAGCGAGTTCGAGCTGAGGCACGGTAGCAATGTCAACATGCCTTTGTAAAGATGTGCTTGACCAGTGAGTGCAGCACCGTGCGGTCCGTGAGACTGATCCCGGAGTGGTTCAGATTTTTCAGATCGGGGTTGCTCATCATGAATACTGGCAGGGTTTTTCGACTCCATGTTCGGTATACCGCAACTCTGACTTGCTGGGAAGGTGTAGTCTGTCGTGGATGTGTTACGTGACCCCGTCTGGGGTATATATAACTTCGATGCAATTTTCCCCATGGGTCCGTCTGGGCTTTTCTGAGGATGGCTTGGCTCGGAGGTCGACTTGCCCTAGTATCCCCAACTTGCCCTGACGAACGGGTACAAAGCCCTGTCTGGCTTGTCAAAAATGTGTGTTGTCTAAGCGAAGTGTCCTAAGAGGCTGAAGAAAGGCGACTGGGCGACCCGTCCCAATTTTCCACCGCAAAACATTTACCGTGTCGGACGGAAAACTCCACGGCGCTCGTCCACAAGGCTCGGTCTTTCGAGATGTGGAAACCTGTGCAGGGTGCAAGAACGCGTAGATTGCCGTGACGGCTTGGAGGAAATGACGTTATTCGTATTTATATCAGCTCAACACCATCTTTAGGACGAAAAAGACCGGCCCAGACAGACGGAATGGAAAAACAAGTCACAAACATGGCCTCGTGGGTAACAGTCGAAGAAACGTCCGACTTCTCCCTGAACAACCTACCGTACGGAGTCTTCAGCACCAAGGGTTCGAAACCAAGCATCGGTGTCGCGATAGGTGATTACGTGCTGGACCTGAAAGTCCTAGCTGAGGAAGGCGTCTTTGATGATCTTGATTTCGACATCACGACGCTCAAGCAGTCGACACTTAATGAATATGCCGCACTGGCAAAGAGTGGCCACTCCGGGTTGCGGCGAAGACTTCAGAAACTCTTGGAGAAAGACACTCGGTCCGGAAACGTCCTTCGAGATAACCAAGGGCTTCGTGACAAGGCTCTCGTCCCGCTGGACAGTGTGAAAATGCACTTGCCCATGATCATTGGCGACTATACAGATTTCTTTGTTGGCCTTCATCACGCGGTGACCGTAAGTGGACTGACCTCATTCGGCTCCTTATTGATGAAATGATATCTGATCGAAATTCTGGAGACAGTGTGCAGGTCTGGTGAAGCCTGGGTCAACAATTGAGCAACTTTGTCCATGTTTTTACAACTTACCAATAGCATATAATGGTCGAGCGTCTTCCGTGGTCGTATCTGGTACATCCTTGCACAGACCAAACGGCCAGTTCCCGGTCGACGGCAAGCTCGTATCTGGTCCATGTCGAAAACTTGATCACGAAGTCGAATTTGCTTGTTTCATTGGGCGAGGGAATCCTATGGGTATTCCTATAGACGTTGACGCGGCAGAAGACTATATCTTTGGATTCGTCTTGATGAACGACTGGTCAGCTCGTGACATACAGATGTATGAAGCCACTCTCATGGGACCATTCAACGGGAAGAGCTTTTGCACCACTGTATCTCCCTGGGTTGTACCACCTGAGGCCCTGGAGCCATTTCGAGTCGCACCAAAAGCGACGCCAGTAAGCTGTGAAGACTTGTTTGGACATCCGAGGATCGAGACTAACTTCTTCCCAGCGCGAGCTGCCTGATTATCTCGTGGAGAAGAACCACATATCAGTGTATGATATCCCTATTCGAGCAACGCTTGGAGGTAAGCTCCTCAACAGGACCCGAACGATGCGGATGCGAGCTAATGTCAACAAGCCAACGGTCAAAGATATCGTATAGCAGACTGCAACACAAACAACGTGATATTCTCGTTCGCTCAAATGATCGCCCATCATACTCGCGGCGGTTGTCCGCTGCGAACTGGAGATCTCATCGCCACGGGCACGATTTCGGGTCCGAAACGAGAGAACGCCGGGTGTCTACTGGAACAGACCTGGGGTGGAACAGATCCTTGTGAGATGGTAGCAGAAAACTCGGCTGAAAGCAATGTGCACCGAGCTTACCTCGAAGACAATGATACCGTGGAATTCACTGCTCATGTGACAGGTCCCTATGGTATTGGTAATGTGGGCTTTGGGGTCTGTTCGGGCAAAGTATTGCCAGCCATTTGAATCTCTCTCTCGCGCCAGTCACGAAGACGACGATTATTGTTTAGTGACTTTGACCTTACTGAGGGTCCAGCTTTTGCAAGCAAAAGTTGCAAGCAAAAGAGGGTCATCGTCGTCGTCACGGTTACTGAACATTGTAGAGAATGCTTTGGCTGAAACCGAGTCAAAAGGCGAGAGTTGAAGCCTCGAGAAGCCTCAACCCCTCCGGCTCGGCGCGTAGGCTTGGCGTGTACGGAGAAGCTTAGAAATCTCTTACACTGACTTCAGGCGGTGCTATACTTCACCGTGAACCAGACCAACCACGTGACCAATGCAAGTTGGGACTCGCGACGAGCCGACTTCCGTCTCCGTATCCGTACTCCGTACACTCAACCTCCACCACGCTCCACGCAACCCCGAGTTGACTGGCTTTACAACATTCAACACGCGGTCAGTCCTCGATCCGAAGGCCGTCCACCTTGTTGACGCCCTGTGTCCTCAGCATGACCACTCCTGATCGCCCACAGAAGCGGATGCGCTTGGCATGCGAGCCTTGTCGGTGGGTGGTCGACCTGCCTGTCCATGTTGCACCTTGCCCCTGCTCACGCTTTCAAACAGCCGCAAGAAGTCAAGATGCCCTGCAGAAAGACCAGTATGTTCTCACTGCGCAAGGCTTGGTCAACAGTGCACCTATGCATCGGCCATCGAGCGAAATACAATAAGTCCGGCTCGGTCGACACCCATAGATCGCTCCTCCGTACCTGCTACTGGCGCAACAACATCCCAACTGGACCAAAGAATGGTATACTAGCCCTTGACCGCACTACATGCCTCAGCTCTACAGAGTGAAAGTTTATTGATTCCGGACCTAGGCTGAGAGATTGAATACCCTCGAGGCACAAATGATTGAGATGCAAAATGCTCTGGAGTACATGTTCACGTGCAGTTGTCCATATCGAAGCACCACTAACCATGTACCATAGTCGCCAGAACACGCCTCTTCCTACTCAGCGGCAACCTCCTTCTCCTCTCTTGCGATCTTCACAAGGCGGTTTCAATGACCGGGCCGCGAAATCGATGCCTTCATCCGTCGGGTATTCCTCAAGCTCCTCCAATGTCCTACCTGTTATTGACCTGGCTTAGTCTTCCGCCATGGGACATCATCAGAACTTTTACGGAGCTGTATCTCACATATTGCAACTACCAGCCTCTGCCACTCTTTGCCCCGGAGCACCTACTTGGGACATTGACTACTCGGGACCCGGAATTACTACTAGCCATCCTCGGACTCGCGATGCGATTCTCAGTCGAGTCTACAGCTGCACTAGCACAAAACAGAACCAGCATGGCCTCCGTGTATGCAAGTTCAAGTCGTACGCTGACTCTTAATCGCGTGTCGCATGGACCGGTGGAGCTCTCCACGATCCAGACGCTGTGCATCCTCAGTCTCCTCGAATTCAATGGTAGGCCTCTTGTCATACCAACCGGCTTAACTAACGCAAAAGCTCTAGATGGCAACGCACATCATGCTAGCATTTACAGTTCGCTAGCCCTGGACCTCGCTCTATCGGCAGGGCTATCATCGGAGTATCCTGGAACCCAGCAGATCGAAATCCACCAAGAAAGACGTCGGTGCTACTGGAGTGTGGTGCTTCTGAAAAACCTGTATGGCTTTCCAAGTGGCTCGCTGTCCTTCTTGCAGGACGATAAAACGCCAAAACCGTTTTTAAGTCCCATGCCGCCCCTCGGCACCAGCTCTGCAATGAGAGATGCCTCGCTAGAACAGCCCGAGGGCACCACAAATCCTGACGAAACGAAAGACCTCGGCATATTCATGTACGCAATTCAGCTCAGTGAGATTTGGCAGAAAGCCGCTAGATGCGCCCATCGGCGAGGCAAACCGGGCGGTTTGTGGCCAAGTTGGTCTGCACAATCCGAATACGGGCAGACTGTGGCTCTTTTGATGGAGTTTGAATCCAAGTTTCCCTGGAAGTATCGCTTCCGGCCCGGCCGATTTGCTGATCAAGACCCCTTGCAGCTGAGGGAAGATCGGGAGTTCTGGGCTGTTTGGTTCTTTGTTCAAATGATCTATCATTCCATCCTGTGCCTTCTCAATCATCCGCTTATCATGTCACTGGCACTGCGGAATTTCAAAATGACCCAAGTGCCGGAAGTCTTTTTGCAACACACCGCCTACCTTACAACGACGCATACCAATTGGATCATCCACCTGCTGGATTTGGCAAAGCAGAAGGGTCTCAAGCTATGTGATCCTTTTTTGGCTCATCTCGTAGCCATCACGGCCACAATCTATTTGCAGCAGAGTTACTCCGAGGATCCGACGGTCAGAACGAGGAAGAAGGATTGCTTTCGGAAATGCGTCTCTTTTGTTCGCGAACTTGGCTCCTACTGGCCGTACATTGACCAACTGGTAAGTGTTAACGTGTGATCTGATAAATGAGGTTGAGCTGATTGCAAGTATTGCAGGCAGAGAAGCTTGAAAATTTTGAGCAAGCAGTATCAACCTCCTACCATAATTCGGCGTCACGCAGCAGCCCAGACTCTCGAGTGTTTATTGACCTAAGCCTGTTTTGGGATATCGTCGAGTCTTCGTTCGCGAGCGAGCTTCCACGGCCAGCCGATCCGTACTTCGGAACTTCCCTCAAGATGAATCGACAACCCTCAAATTCTGCTGCGTTTCTCCGCAGCCGTCTCCTGCCCGAACCCACCCACATCGATGAGACTGGCGTAGCTCCTGCCGCAGATATCGTCGGATCAATTTCAAGTCTGGAGGCATTGGCAAATGCGAGCCATGGCACGTCGGAGTTGCCGAACCTGGGATTAGTGAGCTCTCTTGACGAAGATGCTATTCTAGCCGAGAGTTACTTCGCTCGAGGGGATGACTTTGCCGGGAGCATGGATGATTGGTGGCTCCAAGGGGGCTCCATCTGAAGAGCCGATCTTCCTTGTAGCGACTTTCCTTTTGGGCTCACATTAACCAAGTGTCCGATCTGCCTCAGCGTTGTCGTCGGCGATACCCGCTGCCTAGGGACTCAGACGACTATGCCGCCAACTGTTCAAAGGCTGTGAGTAATTGGCAAAGAGACAGCCAGAGTGTGACACTAATGGTTGTTGACCAATGTGCAGTTGCAGGCCAATAAGGGATGCGAACTCCTGATCATAGGGCTGTTTCGTTCTTCTTCGGAGTCAAATGTCCGCCTCCGTCGGTCGCCGCCTCCATGTATCCGTGTTGCTATCAAGCTCCGAAACTCCACAAACGAATGCGAGGTATTCCGGGGGATCCGTTATTGTTTCCCGAGAGAGTCGTGCCTTCAACAATGATTCCTTAGATAGAACACGATCTTTCCCTGGGTCATGGATGCCTTCAACCGTCCGACGAGTTCAAAAGCATTTTCACCACAATGAAAGAAAGACCACAGGACTTCCTTCAAAGATACGGCACCACAGCTAGCAATGGCTTTCTCCCAGATATCGCTCCATTACATCGCCTACCTGATCCATACTATGGTCCATGGGAGTTGCTCATTAGCGACCTACCAAAGCTCATGAAGTCCGGACAGATCCGGTGCAGGATTGAGAGCCTGTCAGTACTTGAAACGACTCGACTAAAATCAGAACCTGAATGGCAACGAGCATATTCTATTTTAGGATTCCTTACTCATGCCTACATATGGGGAGGTGAACAACCATGCGAGGTCTGTCCCGGTCCCGGCCGTTTTGATCCCTTTGACCTCACTGACATGCATGATAGAAAGTTCCCCCTCAGCTTACCTGCCCTTTCCTCAAAGTCTCAGATCACTTTGGGCTGCCCCCAGTGGCAACTTATGCCGCACTCAACCTATGGAATTTTGCGGCCAGACAGCCTAAGTCTGACATGTCGAACCCAGACAATCTTCGATCACTACATACGTTCACCGGCAGCAAAGACGAGGAATGGTTCTACCTGATATCAGTCTCGATCGAGGCAAAAGGGTCATTGTTCATCTGGGAAATGCTCCGATGCATATATGCTGTTGAAAGCGACGATACCGAGACGGTCTTATCATGCCTACAAACCATCACGGCTGGAGCCATTGAGTTGGGAATACTGCTGCAACGAATGCATGAGCACTGCGACCCGCAGCGGTTCTACCACGAAATCCGTCCTCTTCTTGCAGGAAGTAAAGGCATGGCAGCGGCAGGACTACCGAGGGGCGTCTTCTACGACCAAGGCAACGGCAAAGGCTTATGGCGCCAGTACAGTGGCGGTAGCAATGCTCAAAGCTCTCTGATCCAGCTTCTTGACGTCTTTCTTGGCGTTGACCATCATTCGACCGGAGAGCATGACTCCAACAAGGCCGGAGACGGTCAGCGTGCCATCAAGGCTAACGCATTCATACTGGTGAGTCTGGCGCAGTTTTGAATTCTTGTGCCGAACTAACCGTGGAAAGGAAATGAGAAAGTACATGCCGCGAGCACACCGAGATTTCCTATCACAGATCGAGCAGTTGAGCAACGTACGGGACTATGCGCTGCGTCCGACGACGCTGGTCGGGATTCGAAAAGCATACAACAAAGCCGTCACAGCCGTGGTGGGTGTTCGGGACATCCACATCAGGATTGTAAGTCGGTACATAACCATGCCGTCGAGAAGTCCTCCAGCATCATACATCATGAAGAGGAAAGTTGTGAATCTAGCTACAGCGGCTACAAAGGATCAAAAAATCGAGAAAGATCGCGAGCCAGAAAGGGAGCATTTGCAAGGCACTGGAGGTACCGATCTGATCCCGTTCTTGAAACGAACCCGGGATGAGACACGCGAGACTTTTGTGCGGCTGGATAATTGACCCGCATGGCTTTCAGAAGGACTTGTGTCTCCATAACTTCTTGCAACGTACACAGATTTGGAGTCGCTCACATAGACTATGTCGCAGCACTCGAGTTCCAGCTCAGGCCAGGTCCTAGAAACTCGTCTCGTCGTTTTGCGTGGCCCGATACAAGCGTCCCGACTTTTCCATTGCCCTGCCATATTGGCGTGCATACTTTCCAATGCCAGACCCTTTCGTTGAGAAGATAATGGCTGTCAAACAGATGACGGCAAGGAATTCAAAATTCACCGCGTCACTTTGTATTGCCGCACGTGCTACTCCGTAGGATCTGGGCAAATCCTCCAAACAAGGGCACCGTTGGGTGGGTACGGAGGCGGAAGCGGACGACCGAGACGGACTGGGGACTGGGGACTTCTGGCAAGCGAAGGCTGCTCCGACCAGACCGCCAGGACCTGTATAAAGGGTCTCCGCATGTTGCCTTCCTCCGGACCCATGCCGACGGCTCTATAGCCATCAAGTGGAAGGGATAAAGCGAGACAAACGCCCGGAGGATGGGTATCCGTGCCTCTTATCCCACGACTACCCAAGCCACTCTCGCGCGACTAACAGCAGACACCACCCAAAGACACTCCACCCGAAGGTCTGCGACAGTAAGAAGCCCTTCACACGTCAGTACTAGATTGTCGCCACCCATTTAGCCAGCATTTCATTGAGATTGAGCTTGCCCCATCAGACCATAACAATCTCATTGATGCTATCGGGATCAACCACGAATAAAGTAATGGCACCAGGAATTCTCGAGAGCAGTTCAACACCAGTCATCGACAACAACAGGACTAAGGCAACGGTGAACAAGTATGGTTTTCCCCAGGACGCCGATTGCGAAGAGTATGCCAGATCTCTCGACGAGTCTGACCCTTTGCGCGGATTCCGCGACAAGTTCATCATCCCGTCCAAGGCGGGATTGGAGAGGAAGTCGCTCGCAGTGACGCCAGGTCAGTCTCAGTCCACACCTCCTGTCTTTTCTTTGAGTCGAGGCGTTAAAGAGCTTGCGTGCGGAGGGCCCTGGGGACATGTCAACCCTTACCCTTCCCTTCCCTTCCTGCACACAACCCGAAAGTGAAAACTGACCGTGGTCTCCTTTATCAAAAGCCGACAGTTCTGCTAGTAGTAGTATCCCCTCCGACAGGGATGGGATATATCTCTGCGGCAATTCACTCGGCCTACAACCGAAATGCACGTCGAGATACATCCAAGCACAACTCGAGACGTGGTCCTCCATCGCGGTGGCAGGCCACTTCACCGAACTCGAAGAGTCGCCCTTGAAACCGTGGCAGTCGATGGCCGATTTTGCGGCCGAACAGTCCTGTCGCCTTGTCGGTGCTCTGCCGGGCGAAGTGGCCATTGCCAACACGCTGACTGTGAACCTGCATTTGTTGATGGCTTCGTTCTACCGACCGACAGGCAAGCGCAACAAGATCCTGCTCGAGTGGAAGGCATTTCCTAGTGATCATGTAAGTTCGGGAATCCGCCTTTGGGCGTCGGCTCTCCCTCTCTCTGTACACCCCCAACCCAAGAGAAGGTCTCGACAACGGCTGATGGGGACCTTTTACGTGGTTAGTACGCCATCGAGTCACAGATCGCATGGCATGGCTTTGACCCGAAAGAGGCGATGATCCTTGTCGAGCCAGACAAAGACCATATCATTTCGACCGAGAAGATTCTGGCAACCATCGACGAGAACGCAGACGATATTGCTCTTGTCTTGCTTCCCGGGGTCCAATATTACAGCGGCCAATATCTCGACATCCCTCGAATCACCGAGTATGCACATTCGAAGGGATTGATCATCGGCTGGGATCTGGCCCATGCCGCGGGAAACATCCCGATGAAGTTGCATGATTGGGACGTCGACTTCGCCGCGTGGTGTACTTACAAGTACATGAACGCCGGACCAGGAGCTATCGCCGGCCTTTTCGTGCACGAGAAGCATGGCAAGGTCGAGTACCCCAACGGTCCTGACGACGACCCGGTCTTCAGACATCGTCTCACCGGCTGGTATAGCGGCGACAAAGCGTCGCGCTTCAATATGGACAACAGTACGGTTTTCAATTCCCTCTCCCCAAAAGAGCCAAAAGCGATAGATTGATGGAGGGTTGCTAACAGCGAGTGATCTTAGAATTCAGGCCGATCCCTGGAGCAGGCGGGTTCCAGATATCCAACCCCTCGGCGATCGACTTGACATCACTTTGCGCGTCGTTGTCCGTCTTCAACGAGACTTCGATGGAAGAGCTCCGCGCCAAATCATTGAAACTCACCGCGTATCTGCAGTGGCTGCTCCAGAAGGACATGCCGTCCAACGATGAGGGAGATCGGCCATTCCGCATTATCACGCCTCTCGACCCGTCGAAGCGCGGCGCGCAGTTGAGTTTGCTGCTTTCGCCAGGGCTTTTGGAGCAGGTAGGAGAGGCACTGCAGAGGGAAGGCATAATTGTGGACCAGAGGAAGCCGGGCGTCATTCGTGCAGCGCCTGTGCCTCTGTATAATACGTATTACGATGTTTGGGTATTCGCGAGGACATTTAAGAAAGCTGTTGGGTTGTAGAACAGTGATGAAAATAACGTGCTAGTTGATCAATGATCCGCAATATAGCTCCCGGTGCAGCATTTGTTGCCCGATGCGCTCGATGTGCTTGATGTGCTTGATGTGCTTGATGTGCTTGATGTGCTTGATGTGCTTGATGTGCTTGATGTGCTTGATGTGCTTGATGTGCTTGATGT